AACCTTGCCGCTCACTGATGATGGTCATGCGGAGGACGACCTCTGATCTTCGGTTGTTGAATAGCCCAGACCAGATGACATGCTCGAGGATGTCAAGGGCGACATCCTCCTCATTCTTGACCATTAAGACGCAGCAGTACTACAAGTCAGCCGTGTTCTTCCCTATGCTCTCACCTTGACCACAAGACTGAGCCATTCTTCGCAATCGAGCCCGTAGAAAGATGTTTGACGAACCACGACATATTTCGAAGTAGCCTCCTCTTGCTCATCCTCGACTATCAAACTTAGCCCGCAGTCCTGTTGTCATACTCACATCCCATTGCTCGCTCTAGTCGATCCTGAAGGGCCAGAGCTTCACTGGTCAGATCATTCGTCTTCGGTCGCTTGGCAGATTTGGCGATTCTGGTCACACCCTGGAGATTCAGCCGCCAGCCTCAGTCTGCACTCACCCTCGTTTTGTTAAAGTTCGCCTTCGCCAGCCTAAAGTTTTCCACCATCGTCCCAGCAGCATCGATGAATCTATCAAGCGCTTGGAGATCGCCATTCGCTATACCCTCTTCAGCAGCTTGGACATCTTCCCACAGACTCTGCATCGTAGTCTTCATTTGCTCTTCCAACACTCTCTTGGTAAGTTTACGTTGACCGACTTTTTCAGATTTGCTCATGACCTTGGACCGGCCTTTGGGAGGCCGACCAGCATCGCGGTGCGTTGCCGCCCGAGCTTTGATGACTGGCTATTAGACTAGCAAGTCGCGCTCACTCACCCTCAGTGATGACTTCCAAAGCCTCGGCTTTGCGACCAAGCTCGTCGAGCACATTGGCCATTCTGACACGCGCCTCCAGATTCTCCTCGTCTTCAGTGGCGACTAAGATGTCAGCGAAAAGTACAATGGTCGTCGCTCACCCCATTGAAAGGCCTCAAGAGCGCCCGGATACTCTTTCAGACCTTGATGGCAGATACCAATGGCATAGATCAGAGCCGACGAGTCGGGAATCTGAGATTAAGCACTCAGGACTAGATGGGACGCTCACAGTCTCGCACTCTTGAATGGTCGCAAAGCATTCGAGAGCCTTTTCCCACATCTCTCGTTTTATCATTGCGTTGCCCAGATCCATGAACAGGTCGGAATATTGTACGACATCCAATGAGAGGATCTCGTCAACGTGAATCTGAGTGTCAGCTTACTTTTCTCAAAGGCTCTCACCATCGCCTCCTCATCATCGCCAAGCCTAAGACGAACAAGCGCAAGACGATGCCTCAAGCCTGTATCTAATGGGTGACCCTCCGACAAGAATTCCTCGACATCCTCTCCCCGCTTCGTTCCGGGTGGATCGTATTCCCTATCATCTTCTATGGAATCCCAATGTATCTCATCTTGCCTCCCTTGAAGCCACCGCTGCCCTCGTCGAATAACGCCGAGAGCCTCCTCAAGTTCGTCCAGTAGGAGGAGATCGTCCGTGAGGCTGCCTATATGTTCGAGATTCAAAGTGCTCGAAGGACTCTGCGGAGTCAACTTGGAAAGGTGGTAGTCAAACGCAACCCTGTACGCCGAAGCCGCGATGTCAGTCGCATTGAGGGACACAAGTGTTGAATGGAGCTGAGATAGAAAGGTGAAATCGGTTCCTGCCGGTTTGTGCGACTTGATCAAACGGTTGAACATGTCTGCAGCCTGAACAAAGTCAGCAGATGGTCAACACTGCTCAGCACACTTTCGACGCATGTCCTTGTTGTCTGTAGATATTGGCGAGCTCGAACAGCATGGATACATCGTCGGGTTCCTTCCTCAACGCTTTGCGAAGACAATGTACACTTTGACCGAGCTGACCGAGTTCCCTTGACTGATCAGCCTTGATTGAAATACTCAACGCACTTGAATTCCTGAGCGAGCTCTCGCCATGTTCCAGCATCGTCTTCCACGTGTGCCGCGAAGAACCTCATGCTTCTCGCTGCTTCTACGTTCCCAATCTCACTGTAAATAGCTGCGAGAGTCGTCCAAGCGGAGATGACATAGGGGTCATATCGAATTGCCTCAAAGAACAGGTCAATGGCATGTTGGGATTCGCCCTGGACGTAAGCCATATTGGCTTGGCCCAAGAGCCGCTGGACATCATGAGATGGCTTATGCTGAGGTCGTGCCTTGGTTGATTAGCTCGGATTCTCCAGCTAAACTCACTCTATTGTTACCTCGTTTCCGTGATCTCGTCCTCGGTAGCTCTTCCTCCATCTCCTCCGTCTCCGCCAAGATCATCTGATCCTCCAAGCTCATAGTCTGGCCCCCTTCTTGTGTCATGAGCCCAGTAAGTCGACTTAAATAGTCAGTCAGGACCCCTTTGATCTACTCACTTGAAGATCGCATCCTCCTCCACAGGACGTGCCGATGCCGCCGCCTCCTCCTCCTCCTCCTCCTCCTCGTCGTCGTCGTCGTCAATGTACGCATCATCTGCATCATTGTCCTCTAATCCACTCGACTCTTCCAGCTCCTCCTCGGACGACGATGTATCGACATCATCTGACTCGTCTCTTCCCTCTCTCAGTAGATCGGGATCGATTGCAATGTCATCGCTGTCCATCTTGCATGATAGCGGCTGGAAGACAGCTACACAGTTACAAAATCAGCATCTCGCAACATTATTGCTCGATCGCGTGTCTAAAATCAACAATGACGTGGACATAGATATTGCAGTTGATAAGGCCGGACTGTCACGTTGGATGCTTCAACTGTCGGATCATTTGTCGAGATCCTGCGAAAGCCTTGCCGATAGAAGCGTCTGGCCAGTCGAAACCCCGGATATGCTCCTCCTGTCACTGCTGTTGCCATTTGCGGCGGCTGCGGCTCCACCAGCTGACTATGTCAATACGGCCATTTCCCGGACTGTCGAGCTCGGAGGCGCCATTGCTCGAGTCTCAACGCAGTTTAGTGTCAAGGCATTGGTAGACTCGCCAGGAGCGTATCATTTGGCTCTGGCGGGAGAGGGAGATGCTGTCCCAGCTTTCTGGGAGGTGACAGCGGGAGGTAAAGTATTGGACGTGACTCTGCCGACGTCAGAGTGAGTTATAGCATCTATCTCATGGCTAAGCTGTAGTCCTTCGACAGTGCAGATTGACCTCGGTCGATTGAAGAAGGACGAGACCACCACGATCGCTCTGCTGCAGCTTCTTGCTCACACCATCGAGCCGCTGCCAAAAGTCATCGAGCAATCGGACCCTCAATACCTTAGATGGACTACGAACTCTACCTATGTCGATAGTTGGTACCTAACCGATGTGGAGCGAATTAAGATCAGGTGAGCTGGAACGTCTCTGGAGACCGCTAAAGACAGATCACCCACCGCGAACATCCTCTCGCATGGATCTGTTTCCAGCACTTATGCTCGTGACAACACCGTCACCAAAGCTTCTTCGACCGTGACTCTTGGACCTTTTACCTCTCTGCCCGCCACATTGGGAGGAGATGTTCCTCGACAGCCTTTCAATGTACATTACGAAACGCGAGAGCCTGTTGTGGGTTTGAAGACACTCAAGAGATCCGCCGAAGTCAGTCATTGGGGGGGCAATCTAAACATTCAAGATGAGATGAATCTCGTCAACAATGGACCCAAGTGAGTCGAGCTTTTTCAAACCATGGCTGATCTGCCAGACTCAAGGGTCACTTTAACCGATTAGCACATATGCAGTCGCGATTCCATGCTGCCAGCCCCGCCCAGATTTTCAAGGAGTTCTCGCTTCGTCTCCCGGCCAGTGCTCATTCTGCTTACTACTACGACACCATTGGCAACGTTTCATGGTCGCATTTCCGCCCTGGAACGAGTTCGAAGAGACCCAAGTCTCGAGCCGTTGACAGTGTCCTGGAGCTCAAGCCGAGATATCCTCTGCTCGGAGGATGGAATTACAGCTTCACCATGGGTTACGATATGCCCCTTGAGGATGTGCTTAAAAGCGATGGCAGCAGAAAAGTCCTCGGTGTACCATTCATGACTAGCTGGCAGGACTTGTTGGTCGAAGATGCCGAGATGAACATCATTTTGCCAGAAGGAGCGACGTGAGTGAGAAGTAGCGGGACGGCTTGCTGATTCTTTGCGCAGCAACATTGAAGTGTTTGCTCCCTTCCCTGCTGACATTTCCCGATGGACACACAAGACATACCTCGATTCGACAGGTCGTCCCGCCATAACTCTCCGCAAATCTCTCTGTACGGAGAACCACGCACAGACAGTCTATGTGAGTTGTGCACCTTTCGACCAGATACTAACGGTGTTCCGTAGGTAACCTATACCTATTCATCCGGGGCCCAACTACAAAAGCCCCTCACCGTGGCTGCCGTGATTGGCGGACTTTTCATCCTTGGCTTCGGGTTGCGCCGCGTAGACTACAGTCTGGATAAAAAGACTGCGTAGAAGTTTATTAGAAAGGGCAGCATCTGAACGAAAAATGCATCAGTCTCGCCATTCTATTGGCCCGTGTAAAACCGAGTGCCCCACACCTGACTCGGTTCCTTCGGCGTTTGATCGATGTGGGGTTGGCAAAAGTTAAAAATAACTCAAGATTCGAAAATCAAGCTCACAGTACGACAGAAGGGGCAAGTGGGAGGAGCACTGTCTTCCTCTCTTGCTGCTACATGCTGAGGGCGAGAGATCCAGAAGACCTATCAGTGCCCCGGGTTGCCCCGACATTCGAAAATCCTAGCAGCCCTCGCGTGCTCTGAATTCGAAAAAAGGTAGCAACGTCATGCACCAGGTTAGTGCGAATGCAACTTTCTACAGGGCGCAGGATCCAAGGATATATCGATCATTATTGGCCCCGCATATCACGGGGCAGGTCGGGTGACTGAAAACGTTCACTCACCGGATTTGACAAACTGGGGAAAAAGTTGTATAAAAGCTAGTAAACTGATTTGGGTTCTTGGGCCAACGCGTTCATCTCCCCCATCCTCTCACGTTTAGGTTGGAGCAGCTCTGCCACTGATCAACCCGTAAAACATGTCTACTCACGACGAGTACCCTCAGGGTCACATCCAGACTGCTTCGGCTTCATCTCAACTTGCCACTTGGCATGCTGAGAGGGGCAACAAGTCGTTCCTTAGGGCGTGTATCCCCTCATGGTCCCATAACCCTGTCTATGCGTCGGAAGAGACGACCAAGAACCCCTTCAAGCTCCTGGCCATGGTCGGACCTATGGGATGGTTGTACTTCTTTTCCGGTTGGTTTGCATGGACATGTGACGGTTACGATTTTTTCGCCGTCTCATTGACCGTCGACAAGCTCGGCAAGCAATTCGGCGTGGATACCAAGGTGGGCCCGTTGATGCTGGGCGTTCATTGTGGGCTGATCCATCTCCGCAGAAAATCACCACTGCTATCACTTTGACGCTTCTGTTCCGGTCTGTCGGTGCTCTGATCTTCGGAGTGTAAGTTCCCTCCACTCCGATGTGCGATTGACATTCTAGACTCGCTGACCGATTCGGACGGAAATGGGTCTTGGTCTGTAATCTGCTTCTCATCGCCGTATTTGAGCTTGGATCCGGATTCTGCAACACATACCAGGAGTTCCTCGCTGTCAGAGCCCTTTTCGGTATCGCCATGGGAGGTATCTGGGGTCAAGCAGCCGCCACCGCACTCGAGAACGTCCCTGTCGCCGCTCGAGGAATCTGCTCAGGAATCTTGCAGCAAGGTTACTCGGCCGGATATCTGATTGCAGCCGTCATTAACCTTGGAGTCGTCGACAAGGAAGGAGGCACCTGGCGAGAGCTCTACTTCATTGGCGCTGGATTTTCCGTTGCAGCTGCTATCGTTCGAGCTTGCATTCCAGAGTCCAGGCAATACATCCTTGCCAGAGAAGAATCCCGAGCAGCTGGCCAGAACACCTCTCAGAAGTCAAAGATGTTCATGAAGGAAGTCGTCTCCATGCTTAAAACCAACTGTGAGTGATGACATTGGGTGATCTGGGCTGACAAGATAGGGGTTCGTGCTATCTGGGCTATCTGCATGATGACCGGATTCAAGTGAGCATTTTCTGATTCGTCTATGATGCACGGCCGTGAGCTGACATTTTGTCAGCTTCTTCTCCCATGGCTCTCAGGATCTCTACCCAAAGTACTTGCAGACCACAAAGGGACTTTCCAGCGCTCTTTCCTCAAAGGCAACCATTATCGCCAACTGCGGTGCCATTGCAGGAGGATCCATCGCCGGATATGTGTCTCAGTACACCGGTCGACGACTTGCGTGAGCCTTCCTTCCCACACAGAGCGAAGAGGAGCTGACTTTAGTCTCAGTATCATTATCTGCGTCCTCTACACAGCCTGCTGGATCCCTCTCTGGACCCTGCCAAACAACTTTGGAGGACTTGCCGCTGGTGGTTTCTTCGTTCAGAGTGGTGTTCAAGGCGCTTGGGGGATTGTCCCAATCTACCTCGGAGAAGTTTCACCTCCTGCCTTCAGAGCTTCGTTCGCCGGTCTCGCCTACCAGCTCGGTGAGTCGCCGTATTACTCTCACTTTCCTTTCCATTTGGCTGACTTGATCAAGGTAACGCTGCTTCATCCGCTGCTGCTCAGATCGAAGCCGACGCTGGAAGCAGGCTCAGGATCATTGTCAGAGGCAAGGAGGTCGCCGATTACGGCAAAATCCAGTCAATCCTCATTGGAGCTGTCATGGCCTGGATGCTTATTTGCGTCTTCTTTGGACCCGAGGCCGATGGAAGTCACTTCGAATCTGCCGCCGTTGCTACACAGAGCGGATCCGGAAAGGCTGCGACTGCCGATCTTGTCCACATTGAACGAAAAGCTCAAGAGGATATTCATGACCATGAACACCGCGACATCGAGTCAAAAGCTTGAGAAAGAAACATGGGCGGTTGAAGTACATAGATGAGAGATACAGGTGATTGTATGCTTTGCGCATTGCTACCAAGGGCTGGAGAATTGTAGACAGCTTTTTATGAAAAAGGGTACTCGAAAGTATCCACCTCCTCAGATCGGAAAGCATTTCGCAGAGACACTGGAATGATAGCTGGACGCTTGAGGCTTGTCCTGTGTTCTATGTACATACTGTCACATAGAAAAACTCCAGGAGTGAATCTCGCCCGAGTTCGGATCAGCTTCATACGTGTTGTATAGCAGTCAGGCCGGGCTCAAGCAGACCACAGCAGGTGGGCCGCCTACCAAAGATCGGTCGTACTAAGGTTTCGTCGCAGCGCAGGTCGAGCTCGGCACCCTACATATCACCAGCTGATCTCGTGCCACGAATGTCCATGTGCCACTGCGTTGAATGATCAGGGACCAACGCCTCGTTTCAGTTTGATTCCGCTTGGTCTCCTGGATATTCAATCTTGCCGGTGAAGTTGAACAGTCTTTCTTTCTCTAATCATCACCCACATCCTCTACATTATCGTGGCCTGTCTTCTGTACTTGATCATCACTCGTCAGTGATCATCAAATACAGAATCTGGCACCCTCCCCGTACTCTCTCTCTTCCCCACGCCCCAAAAGCAAAACGACCACCATTTAAAGCTTCTCGTGAGTCCTCTCAACTCGACCCCTCAAACCCTCGTCAACGTCGTCAGCGGCATTTGGCATCGTTCGTTCGAGCTGCAGACTCTCTTGGAACTTCATTGACGGACATCAGACCGCAGAGCAATTCAAGATGGCGCCCCCTAAAGGCTCCGAAATCGTAAGTCAACACCACAATGTCCAACTTCCCTGGAGACCGTGCGCAACGCATGATACAGCTGACCGTCATCCAGGCCCGGGGCGATCAAGGCATTGGTTTCGAGAACCTCTTTGCGAGCATGAAACTGGACGAAGCTTTGGATGGTGAGTGATCCTGCCAATGTGTTTCCCGGCCCGCCTCGCTCTGCCCGAGATCCGAGCTCCCCCACGAGAAGCGGCCAGCTGCTTTTCCCCAGCTCGTATCCATGTATCTTTGCTTGCGTTGAGCTCTCTTAAGAGGCAGATGCTGACGCTAGTTGCCGTTCTCTATGAAATCTCTGCCCGCATGCCATATCGTCCACCTCCCTCCCACCTTCACTCGTTCATGGCTTCATCTCCTCACTTGTCCTGCGACTTACCAATGATCGATGATTGTACACAGAATACCATCGGAGACCAGGCTTCGGTACCTCTGGTCGAAGAATTGAAGTCTTCGCCAACATGTTCTCTGCTAGATTCAAGAATCAAGGCAAAGAGGCGAACGCTGTCTAGTGAGCCGACTAATCGCTCGAAAGCTGAATTCGAGCCATTACGATGTCGAAATCAACCCCGTAGTCAAGGTCGCCAATCAGAAGAAGCCCCGAATCCTGCTCTGGGCTATCTGGAACCAGCTCTTGGCTGAGTGCTCGCCCGATGTTCAAAAGGCCCTTCGTGCTGGAGCTTACGACATGGTGTAAGTCGATCTGCCGTCACCCACCTTGGTACTAGCTGACGTGACGCAGCAAAAACATGTACTCACCTTTCGAGCTACCTTCAGACCCTGTGAGTATTACCCGCATCATATGACCTGACGCATGTAGTGGGAGACCACAATCACTCTCAAAGAGGATGGCGGAAATGAAGATGATGCACGCCGCCGTTTCAAAATCGTCATTACTCGAGCCAATGTCATTGACCTCAACACGGTTGAAGACTTTTGCAAGGGTAACAGGCAGACCGAGCAGACCAAGGAAATCATGGTTTGTTCCCCTCGTGACGAGTGGTGAGGCTGTTGCTCACCCTCCATGCTCAGCTGGTCGCCATCCAAGCGATGAACGTGCTCTTCCGACAGGACCCCACCAACCGCTTCAAGGCAGTTGGGGCCCAAGGTCGCCGTTTCTTCACAACTCGAGAACCGTCTCAGATCTCGCAAGGCGGTGTTGTGTACAACGGTTTTCTTCAGTGAGCTTACGATGTCCTGCCAAATGCTGACGATCAGATCCTTCCGTTGGACTGCATCAGGCCTTCCAGCTATCCAAGTAAGCAGCTCTATCTTGTGACAGCTAATAGCAGCTTGACACGGCGTACTCGGCATTCGTTGAGGCGGGTAATCTTGTTGTGAGTTGTCTTTGCTGGACATGAACCTGAAGGTACAGGACGTCATGAACAAGATGGTCGGTCGAGGCGGTGGTGGCGGCCGTGGCGGCCGTGGGGGTCGAGGGGGTGGTCGCGGGGGGGTTGGTGGTGGTCGAGGAGGCGGTCCTGGCCCAGCGATCCAGGAGGTTTCCAGGAGCCAGCTCAAGAGGCTCAACGAGGTTTTGCGAATGGCCAAGTTCAAGGTCAATCATCGGTGAGCGGTCCCCACGGTTTCTAGCTGAAATGCAGTCAATCGAGCCGGATCTACACCATGCGAGGCCTCACTACTCAGAATGCATCCGAGCTCAAAGTTTTTGCTAGATGGCAGGGATGGCGGAAGAGACGAGATGGTCACGATTGTTGCATAGATGAAGAGTGAGCTAAGATACTGATTTTACTGATACATAGGGCAATATAATTACACTGTCAGATTCCCAAGGCTTCCTTGCGTTTCGGTGAGTATTTGGTGCGATCACCCATTGATAGACACAGTTTGGCAAAAAGAATTACCTCCCGTGAGCTCCTCCCGCGTGGAGTTATCTGACCCTACAGCATGGAATGCGCAAACCTGGTCGAATTCAATTCCATCCCCTTCAGCGCCCTGGCTGCTGAACAAACGGCTGACGTGAGATCCCATCGATGCGCCTGCGGTATGTGGTCGTTGACCTTGGGACTAGATGATCAAGATTGCCGCCAAGCGACCACCCGAGAGGCTGGCTATGAGTATGCCTTCTGGCCTGAAGACGAGAACTGCTGACTTGTCATGCAGTCAACAATTGGCGACGCGAACTGAACTACCAGAATCTCCCTAAGGTCAAAGCGTGGGGACTGGAAGTCCGTACCGAAATGATGAGGGTCAACGCCAGAGTTCTGGCCCCTCCTGCTGTCACCTACGGCGCCAACAAGACTGCGCGAACACAGTTCGGGTAAGCACAAATTCTGAACCCCCAGCTGACTTTGGACAGATCGTGGAATCTGAAAGGTATGAAGGTGAGTCGCTGCACGACAACCACCCCTCCTTTCTAATGATGCTCGTAGTTCGCTCGTCCCGGAACGCCTCTCAAGGCGTGGGGTATCTTGTCCTTCGACAACAATGTGAACCTCGGTGTCATGCAGCAATTCTGCAACCAATTGGTCAATGTCCTCAAAGCCAGCGGCTGTCCAGTCGACGATCCCAGGCCCATTCTGAAGCACTACGACCCTGACGTCGGCATCAAGCCCGTGATGAGCGAGTTGGCCAAGGAGATCTACAAGAAGAATAATCAGACGGATCCCCAATTGCTCATCGTCATTCTTCCCGTGAGTAAATCGCCAATTAGCCGCGCTGACGATCCAGCGAAAAGATGGCATCATGTACTCGACTGTCAAGTCTGTCGCCGCCGAAGGTCTTGTCAGGCCTCTAGTAACTCAATGCCTCCAAGGGACCAAGATCACGAGCGACCGAGGGCTGGACCAGTATCTGGGCAATGTCTCGATGAAAATCCACGCGAAGGTATGCTGTCGCCATCATTGAAGCTGACTTGTAGCTTGGCGGTGTCACGCATGAAGTTCCTAACAGCGGAGTGAGTTCACATTTTCACGACCCGAGTCTGATTTTCAGCTGGACAAGACTACCATGCTGATTGGCGCCGACGTAAGTTGCTCTCGACCCTTCTTTGTGCTCATGTCAACTAGGTCTCTCATCCGCCTGCAGGACGGGGACCGATTCAGCCGTCAATTGCCGTTACCGTCGCAGCGGTCAACGGAGACAACGTCAAATTTGCATCTTCGCTGCGATTGCAGGAAGGCAGAGTGTGAGGTCTGGTTGCTGTGGGGAGCTGACTCTCGCCTCAGGGAGATCATTCAAGACCTTGCCAATATGGTGCATCGACACTTGACCACATTCCAGCAGAATACCAAGCAATTGCCAGCTAAGATTATATTGTTCCGAGTGGGTTGAACATGTCTGGATGTGTTTTCCGCTAAATCTTCTGCTCCCAGGACGGTGTCTCGGAAGGCCAATATGGGCACTGTGTTCGGTAAGCCTATTTGCAGTGACATCAAAACTGACCTGGATGCAGTTACGAGTTGTCCAAGATTAAAGAGGCAGCTTCTCGATTCCAGGGATACAAGCCAAAGATCACATTCATCGTGTGCGCCAAGCGCGTGAGTACACTCACTCCTAGCGAGGCATTTTCGTGACCATCACTAGCACTCCATGCGATTCTTTGCAACGGATCCCAAGGAGCAGGACCGAAGTGGCAATCTCCCTGCGGGTACAGTGGTCGACTCCGGCTGCACCCACCCTTTCGCCTTCGATTTCTACCCTCAAGCCCACGCAGGCCTCCAAGGTACGGCAAAGCCTACTCACTATATCTGTGTAGCCGACGAGAACGGTTTCTCTGCCGACAAGCTCCAAAATCTGTGCAACTCGTTGTGTTACACTTATGCTCGAGCCACACGAGCTGTCTCCCTTGTTCCCGTTGCCTATTACGCGGACATCATCGCGGGCAAGGCACGAGACATTGTGTACAAGGATGATACATCCGACTCGGCAACGATTGTGTCGTCTGATTCGGGCGCGAATAACAGGTCGGACTTCGACGAGTTGCGACTCAGTGAGTATGAGAGGATCGCTATGGGGTGTGAGCTGATTCTGCTGCAGAGAAGCGTCTGGAGGACAACCAAGCCTGTGAGCTGCGTCTTTTGCCAGCAGTAAAAATCACACTGACGCCGCTGTAGTCAATTCGGTTGCCTGGTACATATGACCAGACGGCTCGCAACTTGGACTACCCATTCCTCGCTCCTTCGCTTCCGTATTGCGTCTCGTTTTTGACACATCGAGCTCCCTCGAGCTTCCACCCAAAAAAAAAGACATTCGTCCAGCCTCCGTCTCTGTTCTTTACCGTCCCATTCGCTCCGCCGACATCGCTCAACTCTTCTCTTTGACGAGAGTCTGACGGTCGGTGATTCTCCTCATCCTTTTTTTTTGGTCTACCCCACAATATCGTCGACAGAATCGGGACTGGTGCAGTCCTTGTGTACCATGCATCAGCGTCGTATGGAAACTGATATCGGCCTGCGTAGATTGTAATGATGCCTGATACATGCTTTGATTCACTAACGTACAAGCTTTCTTTCGAGAAGACAAGGGGTTGAAAAGGACATAGGGGTTAAATGCGAGTGAGGAAGGATATCGGTGGACCACTCAACCTGAGCTGCTCTGCCGACTTCTCATCCCTTTCAGACATCCTGGCTCTGCCTCATCCCAGCTGTCGCCGTGGTCTACTTCTCAGAGTAGGTGGCGTTGTTGAAAGCGAGGAGGTTAGGAGTTCCCGCTGGCAAGTCGGTCAACATGCCTGGAGACGCAAGGGCGATGAGGGCCTTCTTCAACTGCTTGGGTGTAAGAGTGCCGTTCTTGGGGATTGGAGCGACGTTGAGAGTAGGCGCGGGAAGGACAGCCTGGAAAAGCTTAGGAAGGAGTGAGTAGGCGGAAGTGTAGATAGAGGACGAGTCTTGAGAGTCCACATCGGCGAGGGAGAAGGTGACACTGGGGTGAATGGACAAAAGATAAGCCAAGAGTCCACAAATGTGAGGGGAAGCCATCGAGGTTCCACTGATAGTGTTGCTAGTGGTGTTTCCGCCGGTCCAAGTGGACAAGATGTTGAGTCCAGGAGCGAAGATGTCAACACATTTGCCGTGGTTAGAGAAGTAGGCTCGTTCGTCGCCCAAGGTAGAAGCTCCGACGGTGACGGCATTGACAGCGGCCGCAGGCGAGTAGTTGCAGGCGTCCTTGTTATCGCTGTAATACCGTCAGTGAGTGCTCAAGCTCCTTCATCACGAGCAGGCTTTTGACTCACTTTCCAGCAGCGACGGCAAAGTGGAGACCGGCGGCAACGGCGGCGTCGACGGCATCATCAAGAGACTTGGCCTTGCCTCCTCCCAACGACATGTTGGCGACTGATCCCTTGTGCTTGGTCTTCCCGGTAGCAGCGACTTCGGCATCGGCAGCCTTCTGAGCCTTGGCAGCTTGCTCGGCGGCCCAACTGGCGTCAATCAAGTCAGATCGCTCGACCATAGCTAGAGTTGTCCAACTCACACGACACCAGCGACGACATCGCTCATACTTCCACTACCGTTCGATCCGAGGACCTTGACAGCGACGACCTCGGCAGCCTTGGCAACACCGTACTTTCGACTGGCAATGGTTCCGGCACAGTGAGTTCCATGACCGTTTCCGTCCTTGTCCACATCGTTCTGGGGGATAGTCTTTCCCCATCGAGCTCGACCTTCGAATTCGACATGGTCGACATTGATACCTGTATCAATGACGTACGCCGTGACGCCTTCTCCACCAGCGGGATCATAAGCGTACTTTGTGAAAGTCGATAGATGCAATCGAGCTCGATGAGAGATTCGAGCGAGACCCCAAGGAGCCGATAAAGCGGTGACGATGCCGTCAGGGGAAGAGGGAGATCCCTTGGCGAATGGTTCATCCACCCCGTGAGGCATCTCGAGGGTGTGCATGACCTGGTCTCTCTCGACATAGGCTACCTCTGGTGCGGATCGGATAGAGTACAGGGTGTTGTTACTGAATGTACCGGCTGAAAGAGGAAGAAAAAGATTTCAGAGTCAGCTGATCCTGTCCTGGGTTTGGACGCGACAAGACGACTCACCATAGCCAAAGTAGTCGAAGGCAGCTTCATCGGTACCGTAGACATGCTTGATGCCGCCTTCGTCGACCAGCGATCCATCCGATGCGAAAGTGAAGATGGGCTGAAGAATCAGAGTCAGTCCATGAGATCAAGGGTGTTTTGAAACACTCGGGCCAGACGGACGAGCGGCGACCCGATTGGTCATTCATTAGATTGCCGCCGCACTTGCTCCGGCCCGACCCAGGACTGCGCTTGCAGCGATGACTTATCGCGCGTGTGATCGAGCGACACTCACGTCTGCGAGATGGAATCCTTCAATAGCAGTGAGATGGAGGGCGATCTGACTTTTGTCAATCCCCTTCTTGAACACTACAATGTAAGAATCATCAATGTGATCCCCAGCGTGAGATAAGGGTGCGAGATGAGCATCCGATTCGGTGGCAATGGGCGTGGCCAGCACGATCCCAATGCTGGAGAGGAGAGAGAGGGTAGCTGCGTTGAGACGCATGGTGATGTGATGTCTGAATATGCCAAGCTGTTGTTGCGAGTGAGAGGTGGATGTTGACTCGTCGCTGAAGTGAGGATAGATGAACGAATGAAAGAAGACAAGGGCAAGAAGGGAGAGATAATGATATAAAGGGGGTGATGCGTCGTTCGCGCCATTCCCGGCTCTGGTACAAAATTACCATTTCCGGAAATCAAACCGGCGATGACCGCTGGTCCCCCGCATCGTCATGTGGCGGGACATGCATAGATCTAATGTGATGTCGCATGAGGCATAGCATCTTTATTCATCCCCAAAGACAGGTCGACCAGACAAATACAAAAGTGTTTATAGGAGGCAAATACGGCCTTCAGAGTATACCTACCATCTACAGAAGGGAGGGGGGAAACTTCAAGCCCCAGTCATTGGATTGGAAAGTTTAAATACAAAATTGCTAATCATTGTCAACGGGTTCTCCCTTGTCCTCAATCCGACTCCTTCTGAACCATTCAATCCAGTTTGAAGTTTAAGTCCACTGAGCGAAGCGACCAGATCATCTGTGTGATCCGTGTCCTTGGACGGAACCACGGCGAGTTTAGACCTCCCAGTGACGACCGCTGCGAGTTTGTCCGTATCAAGCGATTTGCTTGACCCAGGTCGAGTGAAAGCAGACCAGAATGAAGATGCCAATTTGGATGTGACGTGATTGGTGGCATGAGCGGCGAGAGCGGCGGCAGCGGTCGATGATGATTCGGTGTAGAATTTCGGACGGATGTCCACCGGGATAGATGTCTTTTCCGCGGCTGCTTCTCGAGCGAGACGACTCCAAATCTGCATCCTGTATGAATCCATTGTGCGGAGGTTGAAATGATTGGACTCGGACCATTCGGCAAATGTACCGTTGAGATCGTCCTTGGCGAGCGCCGGTGGCAGTGGTGAACGAGCTGGGGAAACACGCTTGAGAGGTTCTGGAGTCTCGTTGAGACGTGGATTGAGGTTGATCCGTGGAAGGTCGTGAATCGATTTGAGGGGTGTCGTCTCTTCCGTCTTTGGCAGGACGAAATCCGGTGTGAGCATGGTGTGACAGATGGTGCTTCCACTGTTGGCGCTGTTGAAGAAGTCGGGATTCCCGCCCCAGAATGCTTTGGTAGTGTCGAGCGAGGTCGACGCCAAGTCTTTGCGCGTGTTGAATTTGGGTTGAGGTTGCGTGGCATTTGCGCGGGGTCTGGAAGGACCAGATTCAGGCATGCCCAACTCAGGCAGAGAAGCTGGCATGGCAAAGTTGTGTAAGAATTGAGAAGGCACAGGAGCAGGTGCTCTCGAAGCAGACGACGACGAAGCACTTTCGGGATGAAGGATGGACATGGTGCTCTTTTTCAAAGCTTCTAGTTCACGCCTGATGATGACAAGGGATTCGTCAACACGATTCGCGAAAGCATAAAGACAACACACCTCAAATCCTGGTTCTCAACTCTGGAGCTGACCAACTCGGATCGAATGGCGTCAATGACAGTATCTCTGTCTTTGATGTGCGCCTCGAGCGTTCCGATGTAATCCTTTCGCCTCGTTCGGAAAGCTCTTGCGCTGAGCTTGTTTCGAAGCTGTCTCTTCTCCTTACTGCTGAGTTTTTTGTACTCTTCAGGGGATGGTCTCCAACTGTCATCGTCGTCGACCTCTTCGTCATCGCCTCGTACAACGGATGACAATCCTCCACCCTTCTTTCCTCCTTTGCCTCGACCCGCAGAGAAAATGGTGGGAAGAGGGACCAAAGAATCAATCTTCGCGTCGAGGTCTTCTGACATAGATCCGGTGGATGCCTGTCGATTCTTTCGGACGGGCGGGGAGAGGGGATCGAGCGCGATGAGTTCATCTTCGCTTGGAGCCGGCGATTGCTTGAGGTTGACCGGGCTCACGGACGAGCTCGTTGCGGAGGATGTAGAAGGAACGGAAGGAGCGGTGACGACGGGTGAATGGAAGACCATGGAGGGTTGGACCGTTCCACTGAGGGTCTCCATGTCAGTCATGGCATTGCTGCCATTGTTGACTGGCGCCTGGGCCGTGTCGGTCATGTCAACACCGAATTGGTTCTGGTATGTAATCAGGTTGTCGAGCAATTGCTGTAGAGCCAGCTGTTGGTCGGCTGGGAGTCCCAGGAAATCACCTGGGGCAGGAGCTGGGGCCTGAACGAGAGCAGCAGGTGGCGCCTGAGAAACAGGCACTGACATGTTCAAAGGTTGAGGTGCGAGGACGGGTGGGCTTTGGCTTTGACTCATACTGCCGCTGGAAGAAGCTTGCATGTTGAATCCAAACTCCACGGGCTCTTGTTTGATGGTGAAGTCCTCGGCGGGTGCCGAAGTCGCCTTTGCGAATGTATGGTATTGGTTCATGTTGAATCCAAAGTTGATCAGGTCCGAAGTGGGGGACAAAGCCACGGCAGGAGATCCAAAGCCACCCATGGGTGAAGGTGTGTGGTTCGGCGACATGGTATTGGGAGAATGACTTTGGCTCAGGTTCTGATGCGAAGAAATCAGACTCGAGTCCGGTGGATATGCAGAACCACTTACCGACTCGGATTCGAGCAGGTTGAAGATATCGGTGAAGTCCTGGATCTTATCCATATTGAATTCTCCTTGCGTCTCGAACGGGTTGGAAGGGTTGAAAGCAGTCGCGGAGGAGGATTCGGTGAAAGAGGGTGAGATGGCGCTCATTGAAGGGGGCAGGAGGCAGGGTTCAGTTGCGATAAGAATGAGACGACGGGCGAGATGGCCGAGGGTGACTTTCTCGTTTGCCACTGGGTAATGTGAACGCAGTGAAAGGAGTGACCAGGCAGTCTATGCACTGATCCCGTGTCCGGATGGCTGATGTATACTGATGGTCTTGTTGGAACCCCGTTGCGTGGATGTACAATGGTGAAAGAGATGGAATCCTCAATGGGGGGGGGGGGGGGATAAAATGTATAATCAGACGATTTGCTGTCGTTCGTTCGGCACGGGTAGCTAGCTAGATCTGGGTTTAAATTGATCTCGCGATCTGGTCCAGCTATCGTTGAGACCTCTTTCTGTGTCTTGCTTTTGAATTCGCAGTGATAGGTCAAGTTGCGGCAGTGATAGGTCAAGTTGCAAAAAGGTGTGTTCTTGTGGATGATGATGTGAATGTGGACACTATGTATGCATCCACGCTCTTGCTCTGACAAGCCTTGCTGCTCTTGCATCGCCCAATATCAATCCCCCGCCGAGACGCTTGCGAAAGCGTTTTGTGCTTGTTTTTAAGGGGGAAAAAATTCGGGCCCGAGGCACCGATGGAAAGATTCCGCACGGGTGATATAATTGACACGTCATGCAGTTTGATAAAGGGTTGTGGCAGGTTTTACCGTGGCAAAGTCTCCAGGCGTGGAAATGGATTGGTCTTTGCGAGTACCACCATTTGCTTTTCATGTGAGATGTATCCCTTGATGAAGCCCTGAGCGGAGCCATGATGATCAGCATGCAGTCGTCGTTTTTTCGATGTAACCCCCCCAAAACTTACCCTGTATATCATATTGGCGACCATACACTCGACTTCATCAGAATGAACATCTATCCGATGTAATCGCAGGGCGATCTGAAATGTTGAAATGGGTATCCGTGTCGACTTGTCACTCGCCAACCATCTGCACGAGCTTGTCAAAAGGAAGATCGCAAGACGCGTCTGGGACCGACTCACGCCCTCTTGAAAAGCATTCGCAGACAACCTTCTCTGGCTCTCTCAAGCATGAGATAGATGTTCATCCCAACCAATCTGGGTTGAGCCCACTCCAGACGTTCATCGTATTCTCTCACGTCACCCGTCCTGATGGCGTTGATGAAAGGTGAGAAGAGGAGTTGAAGACGGGGATGGAGCGCGAGTAAGGTGGGAGAAGGGAGGGAGCCTCGAAGGAGATGTAATGGGATGAGATATGTCAAGATGAGTCTGCGTGTTCGTCAGCCGCAATGCTCTCGGGTCATACTGGAGAAGACATGCTCTTGATTTCGTTTTGATTCTATCGGACAATTGGCGAGTGCCCATGAGAGCTCTTCATCGGCCTGTAGACAAAGTCAGACAGTCAGCCTTTGATTACAGGCATCCACCACTCGCCTTTTTGTCCTCGCCATTGAGAAACGCCAGCATACCAATGTAAAAATGCCATGTGACCTGGACGAGTCAGCTTGGGAGGACGATCGAGTCGCTTAAGGCTCACTTGGTCTGTCAATGGAGCCTCGTCAACTGACGGTGTCTTCGGGTCAGATGTCACAGCCCGGATGACATTCTTGCAGAGGTTTGGCTTGCCAACCTGGAAGGATCAGAGCCCATCTCAGAAGTCCCTCGGAATGATACTGACCTTGAAATAACACTTGATGCTCAGACACGCTACGTGGTAGACTCCATTCCGACGTGATTCGAAGCCTTTGAATGTCCTAGTAGAGCGAGATGATCAGCCACCTATTCGCTACCTGAAATGTGCTCACCTATCTGTTGCACACATCGTGAAGGCCTTGCTGACTGTCCTCGTACATTCTTCCAGCGCTGGCATCTTGCCTTCAGCTGCGTACGTCTTTTGATCGGCCTGAACAGGTCATTGAGCATTGAACCTTGCATCGCTGCTTCAAAGCGACAGCTACCTGTTCTGCTAGATCTCTCAGATCCCTCAAGATTAAGTAGAGAACCGGTAACACCCAAGATGATTGGTCTTGAAACCAGCGGTAGAACAGTCCAATGAGAGCTGATTGGTGTGCGTACCTAGCTTCGATTCTCAGCCCAGTTGCGCGAATCATGCGTTTCCACTCACGCAGCTTGATACTCATTTGTGTACAGCGCATGCACGCAAGCGCAATGTCGGAGTGCTATACCATCCCATGGCTCAGGAAGGGTATAGCCAGGATTCGAGAGTCGGCGATCCTGATTGAATGTCAGCTTCGACTCTCTCATGGCTCATGGCTACCCATTCCCTCACACTCACATCAATCGGTCCAATAGTATCTGACAATCCCCTAGCGGTCTTATTCCTGCAATCTAACAACCGTATAAGGGGTCTCGTATCCTGAGCCGACAGCGGCTCGAGGAAGGAGTTAAGGTACTGCTGTAGCTTCATATCGAGCTCTGCGCCGCTCCACTTTGGACCCTGCTCGACGCTTGCTGCTGTGCACCAACAAATTAGCAGTCACGACCCCCCTTTGCACCATGATCCATCCATCCACCGTGGGAGATTACACAGTGACGTAAAGTAAGCCCGGCTTGTCAATTCACCGATCGTCTCACCCGACGCACGCTCCAGCGCAACTCAGACGTTCCCTTCGACTCATCTTATAACATATCATTCTACAGTCAATTCTACACAAGAGACCCCCCAAAGCAGCTATACATCATGGATTTCATCAAGAAGTTTGCCGAAGAGCAGCTGGAAAAGCAATGTAAGTCTCCAACCCGCTCTCGGTTGCTCCACATTCCACTTGTCCTTTCGTTCGGTGTCATCAGCTTTGCTAATGACTCAACGTAGTTGAAGGCCAACAGGGCGGTAATTCAGGAGGTGGAGGAGGCTATGGTCAGCAGCAAGGATACAATCAAGGTGGTGGGGGCGGAGGAGGATACGGCGGCGACTCGGATTACAACCAGGGTGGTGGAGGAGGGTACGGTGGAGGACAAGGGTCTGGGGGATACAATCAAGGCAATGAGGGACGATACAATGAGGGTGGGCAAGGCGGATACAACCAAGGCGGACAAGGAGGATACAATCAGGGGAACCAAGGTGGATATAACCAAGGTGGATACGGTGGTGGTGGACGCCAAGACTACGATCAGGATCAAGGTAACAATGATCGATTCGGTGTGACTGGTGGACCTCAGTACAATGCCCCACACGGACAAGGTGGGGCAGGGGGATTCCAAGGTGGTGGAAAGCCTCATAGTGAGTTGTCTTCGGGTCTCCACGATCCAATTCGTCTCGCTTGCACTCCTTGTCCCTTGTCGATTTCGGTACGACATTCACTGATACACAATCCTTTTTCTTCCATCAACTAGTCAACGAGGACGAAGCGCTTCAAGCTGCAAATCAATTCAACAGCAACGGGAATGAGCACGCTTCTATGTTCTCCCATGCTCTGGGTCGAATCAACAATATGAACCCTGATGACACCGATCTTGATGAAGATCAAGTCCAGAGGCAACATCAACAGGCTTACGGTCAGCAGAATGCCGGATCAATGGATGCCAACAGTATGGGAAGGTGGGTGCACAATTCGCTCCAGTCCAAGATCTCTTGGCTGATAGTCTACCAGCGCCGCTGCTATGCAAGCTTTGAAGATGTTCACTTCGGGAGGTGGTGGATCAGCTTCTAGCGGAGGATCAAGTGCGGTGAGTTTGGTGATTCCTCTTCGACGTTGGCCGAGCTTATCTGAATTAGATGATCGGCATGGCCATGTCTGAAGCCGCCAAAGTAAGCTGGCCTGCAAGTTTTGAATGCATCCGCGCCCATCTGACCACCCTCTCGTACGTAGCTGTTTGACCAGTCCGGAGGTGCTGCTCAAGGCAATAAGCAAGACGCCATGACGTCGGCTGGACAGACCATCATGAAGCTCTTGCTCAAGCAAAAGATGGGAGGTATGATGGGAAGTGGTGGATCAGGAATGATGGGCGGTGGCAATTCGGGTGGACTGGGTCAGCTCATGGGCATGGTGAGATGACTTGTGGTAGGCCGCATGAGAGTGAAACTGACAGATTGGGCAGGCAAGCAAGTTTATGTAGAGCGACTTTACGCAGAAAATACTTCGCGGACGTAGGAGTATTGAGAACCGAAGACTATACGACTAGAAGAATCATGAAGACTTGAGCCAAATGCTTCGGCTGCGACGGTACAGACTGACGGGTCAAAGGTTCTGATGACCGATCTAGACGAGTCTGGCGGTACACTCACTACATGTGCGACAAACTTTAGTTGACACGGCTCATCTATTTGCCAACCAGGCCTCCGCCCGTAGTGTTTCGTTTCATTCGTCATAGTCTAGACTTCTGACGCGCTATGAGCTCTATTGACTGGTCGCTCCCTCAGTCGACCTTCCCTTGAACTTCTTGAACAACCCCGCCTTCTTTCCCTTCGCGGCCATCTTCCGCCTCACTTCCTCCTCGATCTCCGACTCGTCCAAGCCACCGTGACCGTACCATACGACCGTAAGGAACCCAACGATGGCAGTAATGATACACCCGACGAGTGCGCCGATAGCTTTGGGTGTCCATCCCTGTTGTTCCGAGAAATATACACGTCAGATGAAGAGAAGCATGATAAAGAGTGACAGCCAAACGCACCATGATGATTGGGAAGGGTCCCCATGGTTGACCTTTGAAATCTGTCGTTGAATTCAAGCCCACTACATTGCCTGATGTTGGGAGATCCCAATACTTGCATTGATCGTAGAGCTGCTCAGGGATCGTCTGAGATTGGAAATATTCTGGCGCTTCAATCATGACCACGGCGAGGCCACCTAAGCAGGGAGGAGTCAGGCTCATGTACGTATGGATTTCACTCTGATCGCTGAAATGAAATTCTCACTGGACAGATGCCAATCAATCTGATACCGTGTCATCAATAGCTGCACTCGCGAAGACCTCGGTCCCGACTCACATGACAGTGGAAGAACCAAGCTCCGGGGTTGTCTGCTGTCCACCGTAGCGTCACGCTGCCCGTAGGCGGAATGGTGATGGTGTCTCGTCGAGAGGGGTTCGCCTGGTTTTCATCGAAGGGAGGATTGATGGTGGTGTCATTTGACGTCACATCAAAACTCTTGTGAACAACTTGGAACTCGTGCCTAGATAACTCGGCGTCAATCATAGCTGCCTCTGACCATGGCGGGCGCAGGAAAACTAGCTCACCCGTGAAGGTGAAAAGGGTGGAAACCTGAATCCCAATTGTACACGGTCAATTCGACATTTGCCAGATGAGGGTACGTCAATGCGTGAGTTTGAGCTCCATAGACTGCTGGGTTGAGCGAGTCATTGCCCATTGACCATGCTGTGAATATGGACGGGTTCGGAGGCGTGACGTAGGTGCTGAGGGAGGTATCAGCCGTGTAGGGATCGCGATTGTCATTTGTCCTCATGCTCACATATTGTTGACTGTGAAGCCAAGATACCATCAGCAGAGACCTTTACGTCAACGCGCATGTACTCACAGGATGCTCTGTTAGTTCCGTCGTCATAGGTCTTAGGTTGAAAGCCGGCGTCAGCGTACTCAAATGTCCCCAGAATGATCGCACTCACATCGAAGAAAACATTGAGCGTGATCTGATGATCTGCAGGCAGCATTCCCTTCTTGATGACAGGTACGAATTCAGTATCGTTGAGTGTGGTGATGGAGTCAAACGTGATATTATGCGCTGGAGGATTGGAATCGGCGTACACGATCTGTAATGTATTGTTGAGAACCAGTTTATCCGGGACGTAGTCGTACCTGAGTGTGCTTGTCAGTCAAGGCCCACCCGACGCCACGCCCAAGGAACTTCCGAACTTCCCACTCACATGTCCGGACTCTGCATGACGCTCAAAGCGTAGTTCGTTCCCGTCTCATTCTTGGCCTTGACGAGAATCGAGTATCGTTGCGCGACCGCCACTGTCAAGACGTCGATAGGGTAAGGATCCATCTCGACGCCATCAGCTTCAATGATGAACATGTCATGTTGGTCGAAGTTGACCCAAAACACTGGAGTGGAGCGATACATATTCAGCGACCACAGATGGATGGATGGATCCGACTTACTTGCCAAAGCACCCATATTGACTATTCTTATTCTGTACGTTTGACCCGGTTCGAAATGTATTTTCGCATTATTGTTCGTCGCGGATCCATTGGAGATGGATTCAGGCGAGGGGTAGTACGTATCGTTGTGCAGGACGTAGATGACCGCGGAGTCTTTATAAAACAGTTCAGGTATTGCATATCGAAGAGGTTGGCGACGGCTCACCTGGGATAGGCTCCGCTCCCGTTGGGTTTTTCCAACTCATGAATTCCTTCAGGAGGACAGGATGTTCTTCATGATACCAGTCTGAGACGACCAACGTGTACTCGTCGTCCCAAGTGACATTATCAGTCCGAGGTGCCGCAGAATGAATCACAGAGGCTGTTATTCCAAAGTGTTCAGTGTATGACCCCATGCGTTCGGACGCTTGATCAACTCACGCGTTCGTAAACCATCCACGTATTGACCAGAGAAATGGGCATGAATCCAATACGTCCCATTCTGAAAGGGATCGCTGGCGTCAGCCACAAAGATTTTCTCTCCAATTCTGGAGATTCATCATGCCTACCTGTAAGCTCGTATCGATCGAATAGTCCATAGTCTGACCAGGGGGCAAGGAACATTGGGTCACTCCGACAGCGCCGTCATACCAATTTGAATGATTGAAGAACATCCCATGGGCATGTAAAGAGGTCCCTACTTCCCCGAGACCATTATAAGCGTGTATCAGTATTTCGTCCCCTTGAATAGAGTGGACCGCTGGAATTCTGATTATGCCCATGTGTGTCAGAGCGCGCACCTTCAGATTCTAAGAGACAGACAGACTTACGGCCATGTTCCGTTCACGCCGATGACTCGGCGTTCGTACAGCTTCGCCAAAACGGGTCAGTACCGTCTTTCAGAGACTTCTGAGTCCACTCACACCGTCTGGGTTCGCAGTGGCATAAGAGATGTTCCACCAGTGTTCTTGAACCACGGCCGAAACCTGTCCAGCAAGGGCGACAGCAAGTACAAATGGGCGGATCACCATGGTGAGGGTGCTGCCCGTAGAAGCACACCGGAGGCGAGCTGTTTGTGGGCCTTGTCGATTGTCTCAAACGTGCAGGCTCCGATATACGTTCACTTATGCGACCGGAGGGACTATGTGAGGATGTCGAGGGGATTTGGAAAATGGCGTATGGATAAAACGAAATTGCCTCTTCTTTGGCTTTTCTTTTTTTATCTGATAAACGAAAAAAGATTCGAATGTCCCCTCCGTCGACCTTTTCGTTTTCGACCGAAATTGCGATGGTAGGATACGAGACAGGCAGGCAGCCAGATGGATCACAGGTGCCCTGAACGGGTTTCTCGCCCTTCTCAAAGAGTAATGCCAAACTGGCCAAGCGTGCACTGACACCGTCGGAGTCTATTTTCGTTGATTGAGGAGGGATTTGGACCACCTTTTTCCTTTATCAGATAAAAAAAAAAGAAAAGAGGATCAGGAAAGTAAATGTGATCGGCCGAAAAGTGGGGAGGAGGCAAAAGCATGAATGTGGCACATCTGAGCTGGTATGAGTGAAACAAGTAAAGCTGGACGGCTATACACGTGGACCAGGCTTTGTGGTCCATGCCATGGCGCGTGAAATCGATGACTGATGTTCTCTTGCAGGGTCGAGATCCGTCTCGTATGTGAGATCGGCCGATCCGCCCGCTACGGCCAGAGGAGCAACGTACAGTACTTCCCTCGCATTTGCTTGATCTTAGGTGCGCAGATACTCCTGGTTGGACCACCTCATCGCAAAACTTGAGATGTTGATCCTTTCGCCTCCTTCATCTTGTCTATTTGCCCATAGTGTTTGACGACGGAAGGTCAGAAGATATGGCTAACCGTGGGCCAACTGAAGGCGCGTAAATTGATACATACATACGAGAAAGAATCAATGAGATTGATCTTATATACTACAGGGTAGAGACATGTGTCGTCGTCCGGGCAATGTGAGCGAGTCAAAAAATCGCATGCGGTAAGATAAGCGGGCTTGCGAAGGCAGCCAAGGCAGGGTTTTTCGTGTTGGGAGGGTGTTGTACTCGAGCTATGGGTGTAATAGGCGGATGGTGCGGTGGAGATGAAGAACTGGGATTTGGGAATCGAGACCGTTTTGTTCCGTGAAACTCGATCTCCCGGACCAGCACTGTCGCCTAGTCTTGAGCTTTGGCTCCGCTCTTCTTTCCCTCTGGTGCATCTCCGCTTTTACACGCGACGATTTTGATCTTTGGCGCTGTCACTGTGTCGAAAGATCTGCCGGAGCATCAGCGACCAGAGTCCGTCAGGGGAACAACAACAAGAGAGTGGGTCAAGGCGGGAATGGACGCCTCCAGAACTCGTTGACTGGACAGATCCAGATGATCGGATGTGGGGTGTCTGCAAAGTAAAACACTCACGTATGATTCTGACCTTCCATGCGGAACTGTGGGTCTTTCACCACGAATGTCCACACGTCATCGCACAACCTGTACGTTGCGAGGTGTCCCTGGAGGCAAGAGAGGTAAGCACACTATCTGTACGAAATATGACAAAGCAGAAGACGGTGAAGTGTAAGCGATTACCCAACTAACCTTGACGGAAGTCTTGGTCTTGACTCCTTTCTGCAAACACTCGGTCAAGCTCTTATCAAACTGTAAACAAAGTCAGCTTGTTCTCTTTTCAGCGACGGGAAACATAGACAGAGATAGCTAACCTGCTGTAGGACTCGCATGGCCAATTGAGGAGGGATATCCCCTTGAGTGATGAGTTCGTCCAACGAGTCCGTCAGCGCGGTGCCGATACTAACATAGTTTGAGCGGGATTCCAAAACATCATTCCACGTCCAATAGACTCACCTGGACCCTCTGTAGAATTCATAATAGCTCTGACCTGGTGGCGGAGCTGCCATGCTGCCCAGCAGATAGATCCGCTCAACGCGGAATCCCGATCCGACGAAAGCAAGGGCTCAAGTTTTGACGCCAATACCGTCGCCGTGGTCCCGCCTTGTCCTCCCAGTACCACCGGCGATGTATGTCTTGACTCGACTGCTCTTGATACAGTTGGGTGGCGAGCAGTCGAGTGGGACGAAGAGGGAGGGGAGAAAGAAAGTGAGAACGGTAGATGGAAACCCCCCTTTATATATCAAAATAGGGTCTTGAATATTTATCTTGACTGTATTTAATTGACATTTTGTGCGTATCGGCAAGAGGGGTTCAGGTCACGCGCGTCACTGGTTGGTAGAGGCGACGATCAAAAGCGTCTTTCTATAGTCGTGGGACGGTCGTTTCAAGTCTACAGTGACTGGCTCCAGTATTCTGACACGATATGATCATCTCTTCAAGTGATGACAAGATGGACGAAAGCTCAAGCTCGAGCTCGAAGCAGGTATATCGATTGAAACGGGGGACAAGAGTCGAGGTGAGCCTCTTGGGTTTCTTCAACGCAGGGATAGTAAAGACGAGCATGGCATGATGATGGCTTGCTTGCTTGCTTGATCTCATCCAACCGTCTCTCTCATGCTGTAATGAGTCGCTCACTGTGATATCGTTTCAATCCCCCTCTAGGATATCCAACCCAGCTCGTCCTCTCATATCCCTCCATTGTCCGAGTTTGACGGGCCTTTCCAACTGGCCGAGTACCTCTCTCTCAAGGTCAGGTCGGACCCTCACGATATCAAAGGACTCGTAGAAGTCCCAGGAACAAGCAGTAAGAAACGAGGCGTCGACGAGAAGCATGTCGTGGGTCGCTTGAACCTGAGACGCAGACCCCCGAAGCTGATCATGTAATAATGACCTCTGTCAGTGGCTATACGAGCATCTAAGGTGAGATTCCTCTCAATCGTCATCACTGTGCGCGATGCTGATCCGCTAAATGTATCAGACGCATACCGATTGATTTGACTCCCCTGATCACCTCCCTCTTATCTATATGTACTCGGGAGACATGTCCCGAGATGAAGGCAAACGAGTGGCAATATTTGTGCATTGCGCATGATGGGAAGACTGAGGAATGTTGCGCTATCGATTACATCTTGCATACGTGAGTATAAAGAGAGAGGTACGACCAAGCATATGATGCTCACAACGACCTGAAGGATTGACTCCACGGTTGCGCTCCTCAATTCTCCCCAGCAGTTCCCTTCAAGGTGAGGGACTGAGCCTATATCATGGAAGCATACAACCCCCAGGTTGACAGTCCACTTGCAGACTTTCCATTCCTGCAGCCTCATTATCCTACTTTCCTTCCCTCTTCCGGCGACTCTCGCGAATCTTCTCTCATGCCTTTTATCACCATCGTGAGGCGTTCTCCCTATGCGAGGTTGAGACAGCCTTGTATGCAAGATTCGTGGCTCTTTGTGAGACGTACGAAATGGTCACAGACAACCTGCTATACGTCCCAAAATCCGCTACGAAGATACATTCTGGTCATGAGGACGATGTGGATGTAGATATGAATGAGAAGAAGGGTGCAGAGGAGGAGGAAGAGGTGGATAATGAGGATGAGGAAGATGAGGAAGAAGAAGACGAAGAGGAGGAAGAGAGTGAGGAGGATGAAAGTAGAGGAAGGGATAAGGAAGAGATGGACAACGCTGGGAAACGAACTCGATCATTGGACCGAGATCGACTCTCTAAGAACGTTGACGATATTCCTCCGTCTCGATCTCCCGCCGTTGTGTCGAACAAGGATACACAGTCGTCTCCTCAAGCCTCAAGCTCCAGGACCCAAGGCCTAGCAAACGGCAGCCCAAACAAGAGCCTACCCTCTCGGACAGGAACCATGACTCCAGCTTCCGACGAAAAGGTGTCACCGTCACGCGACAACGTTTCTCAAAAGGTACAACAATTTGAAGAGGGCCAAGGATCACCTGATCAATCTTTCAAATCGATCCGAGGGACATTATCACGAGGTACGAATGGACGGGGGAAGCAACCGCGAGGAACGATGCTTTGGTCATCCGATTCTGAATCTGCGGCTCTTCCAACTGTCCCAGAACCGGGATCAGACTTGATTCGAACAGAGAGCAACGAAACGGCTATTCATGTGGGAACGTCAGACGAGAGTGAAAGTGTCAGCACTGCTACAAGCGACGAGGTTCCCAAAGACGAGATTGATCTACTGGAAGAGCAAGGCAAGATTCCACCTGTTGACTCTACGTTGGAAGCCATCAACTTGAACGACCCGACGCCAAGTCTGGAAGATACGCTCAAAGAAGCATTATCGGATTCTGTGCCAACACCCGAACTTGAGAAGGAGGACGCGGACAAGTCTGTTGAGACCGCGGCGAATGAGGTGGAAAAGCTTTCGTTAGAGGATGAGGATGTGCCGGATCCAGTTAACGCCGTGGAGGCGACGGCCCCGGACATCTCATCGTCTGATGCGCCGCCAACGTCGAATGGATCTACGGAGGAAGGCACGGTCACCTCGATGATGCCCGAGTCACCCGCTCAAGGACGTAAAGCGAATCGTAAGAAGGGCAAGGGGCGGTAGTACGCAGCTGTACCACGTGCCTGTCTTTATTTTGCATGTGCATAGTTCTTATGCTTACACGCTTGCCCCTTGCGACCTCGGTCGACGACTAGGATCGACTTTGAGAAAGATGATCTGCGACGAGATTTGGTTCATGGTTTCAGTTTCTACCATACCACTGGCTAGCCCTTTTGAGTGGTAATCCATATTCATTAGCGTCAAGACTGGAATTTTTTTGGGTTGGGATTGGATGGATCAATTGACAGCCTCCTGACGCCAAGAGAATGAATGGCACGTCTGATGTTCTAGGCTTCAAGTTTCGTAGATGAGATGGGTCAATGACACACGCATGGGTTGGAACGGTGTAGCGAATCTTTGGCCTTGTATCAAGTTCTTGAACCACTGCTGAGTATAGAGAGTCTGAGTTGGTGGGAAGAAGGTTGTTTATCTCGGACGCCACACTTGAATCTGTAACAACAATTTGTATGTGTTTCGGCAGTGATCATGCGTGTGAGAGCGCATCAGCCGTGTGAGAGAGATAACAACGCCGTCCAACTATGAGCATGCATGACGTGATATGTGTTCCCAGAGCCAGCATACACTCTTGAGCGCATTGAAACTCAGACAGGACATATCAAGCATCGCATCACAAACAACGACCATGGATTGGAGTACCCCCCGTCCTATCGGACAAGTCTATATCAGAATCGCCACTGACGAAAGGCGTTCAAGGCTCTGCTTTTTTTTTTTCATTGATGGTCCAACCAACCTCTTCAACTTGACCATCCATTGAGATCATATCTTAGCGCCAAGTGAACATTGACAGATGCAAAAATAGTCTTCACTTCTCATGAGAGAACTCAATCGGGTGGGGCGGGGGAGGAAGGGAAGACAGGGGGGAAAAGGCGTTCCTTCAGATGAGGGATGAGGGTTGCGAGTGCCGACTGGCTGGACGCCTCCCTCGTGAGTCTAGTAAACACAAAGCTTTCGGGCATTCCAAAAACAGCATTTGGTCAAAGTCTTTCGATCCTCTGCTCACGGCCCGTCCGTTCTTCATTTCCTGTTCCCATCGATCTCCTTTCACCGTCCTCCCGGATAGACCAGAATACCGTTTTGGCTCTGGGCCTTAGAATTTCAGTTTAGACGACCTGCCACCCACCCCTATCTCCCAATCCAAGCTCACACGTTAGACGAACAAGTAAGTAGTGAACCCAGCGCACACGAGCATCATTCCAAGGTCGATCTTTCCGCTACGACGTTCTCATTCTTTGGACTGAAACCGATCCTCGTTATTACCCATAGACAACTCACACGAACCTCCTGGTCTCTGATATTCTCTGGTACAGGTCTCGGATCGACTGAACGACCTTTCCATTCGATCTCATTCCAAACTCAGCCAAACTCATCTCTCCGTCAAAATCCTTGAAGAACACATCTTCTTGAGACAAAGACATCGATTGACTCATTTTTCCTGGGGGCTCGCTTCTGGAGGAAACCGTCCCCTTTGTTGAGGCTCCGAATCAGTCAAGTCAGAAAAGGGCCTGCTTGAAGACGTGAACCGAATATACTATTCGGTCTCGAAAAACACGATCAATCAGCGAAGCGTCTGGACCGTCCAGCCTAGAAGGATCGGTAGAAGGAGGCGTTGGCACTTGTCGGTATTTCACACTCACCGCATCGACATCCTCGGCACTTTGCTCGACTCACACCATCCCATATCACAGTGTCAAAACAAGACACGAGGCTCTCATCGCATCCGAAAAGTCATCACCTATCAGGTCCTTTGTGATTCCAGCCCCTCCTCCCCCTCTTCTCGGTACCTGAGGAAGGACGGCATTTGCTTGTTTGATTTTGGACGCAGCCATTTCATCCAAAGTCGGTTCATATTGCAACACCGAGGGTGATCACACTGTCTCCCTTTCCCCCTCAATCTCAAGCATCTCACGGTTTTCCTTGGTCACATCCTGCTCGCGCTCTGCCCTGTGATCGCCATCTCTACAATTCGCTGCAGGCCCTCAGGCACAACAGTCGATTAAATCACTTGACCTATCTCTCCCCCTGAATCACTTTATCCTTCCCACTCTGTCGATTACACTCTCTTCCTGGTCCCCCCTCCTCCCCCCTGGGTTTCATCCTCTATCGGATATTCCTTTCTGACGTCCAAAGGAAGCAAGCAAGCAAGCAAAGATTGAATTGATCACACATTCCACCCATCCAATTCGCACTCAGTCATGCCTTCAATCAGTGAGAAACGCGGCCTGCCAGGTGAGTAAAGGATGCGAGCAAGAGAAATACGTGGTTATATATATTGACATGCCTTTCTGACTCTTTCCTTCTTCATCACTCCGATTCTCAGGCCTTGTCATCGATACCATCGCAGCAAGTCCATCCATGTCATCTCCGACGTCTCCCCTCACTGGATCATCCCATCCTACACCCACCACACCTTACTCTCCTTATCCAATGACACCATCCACTCCACCCATGTACGGTCCATTGGTTGGTCATTCCGATAAGACGGGTCGACGTATTCCCAATCGACCTCTGAGTAGTCGTACACTCCCGCCTCGATTCTGTGAGGTTGTGTCAGAAGAACCAAGAGAAATCATCATGGGCGGACTGGTGACTCGTTCTTCGACTGCCAGTTCAAGGAGAGGCTCAGCTGAAAGTCAATGGGATGAAAAGAGGATAGCATCAATAGAGGTACCAGGGATTATCCTGAGTGAGTAAAGCTAAAAACAAACATCTCGTGTCCAGCTGGAGCTGACGAATGTACCATTGCCAGCCGAACCTCATCCTGAACCTCACCCCCGGAGATCAAGCACTCCACCGCCAAAATCTATCCTCCTCCTACCTCCTACGTCTCTACCGCTTCCCGACGATACAGACTACCGGACCTGTGATCCTTTCCGAATATTCTATCGAGCCTCTCCTGGTCCCACTGCGTCAACACCCAAACGCCCGTCATCTCACCTCGTATCTATCCTCAAATCCATCGCTCTACTTGGCGTCGTGGGAGTCGGCGCCTGGCATTTGTACACTTCACTCAGTATCACCGGATGGACAGACGAAATGACAGGTCTGGCGGAGGAGCTTGCTCACTAGATCGGGACACGATTCGATCTCGAAAGCACAGGCAGGGTCATGACAACATAAAAAGAGGAGCGGGAATTGGAGCGTGGCGATTACTCTCTCTCTCTGTAGGGCGGCTACTCTCTCTGTCTCTCTCTCTCTCAAAACGTATACGATGATGATACGAATCTTTTTGACGAACGACGACGATAGCTTTCCTTGCTTATAACGGGATATATTAGATCTTCTCTGGGGGCGCATGACATGATGGACATTTTGGACATTTTAGGTAGTCTTCAACCTTGGTACTCTGCATGGATGATCACCATGCATCTGCCATGAGACGTGGTAGAAGAAGCGAGAGTGCAGTCACGGCTAGAAACGGATGAATGATGATTGACCGACTGCATCCGATGAGCGACCAATGTTAAATAAAAGTCTATGCATCTAGTCTATGGAGGCATCAATCCAGATTTCCACCTCAATGTCCTTGCTCATCCTTGATCATCTGCCTCCATCGCCTTTGAACTTCGATACTCTCTTTGAAAATCTTGTACTTGACATCTAAGAGTCGACTCTCCCTCTGACCGATATCTCCAGCTCGAGGTAAAACCCTGACGGCCGGTTGAGTCATTTCAACCATGACGTCCCATAATCCTGCACCACTGAGCTGTTTAGCTTCTTCCGCATCTTGTTGCGTGAGGATCGGAGCTTGTCTAGCCGTCGAGAGATCATGAGCGAATCGACCGAGCATCGCCGCTCCAAGGACGACAGCCGCGGACGGTTGAGGCGGGATCACAACGGGCATACGGAGAACCGTAGCGAGGAGCGACATGAGTGGGGCGTTCTTGGCCTGGGAACCTGCGAGGGGCGGAGGGAGGGAGGGCGATGGAATTGGTTCAGCGGGTGTCGAGAAATTGCATTTCTCTGTCAATGAACCACTCACCAGACATGTAGATCGAATCAATGACATGTCCCCGAGCGTTCATTTCGTCCACAATGTGCTTGGTTTGTAGAGCGATAGCCTAGAAAGGTATCAGAGAGCGAGCACGATCAGTCATATCTCTTGGACTGACCTCCATCGTCACGTTGAACTTCCTCGCGAGATCACTGATCGTATCGGACAAAGCCAAGCCAGTGATCATACCCTTCATCTGAGGGTCTGCCAGAGGTGATCTATTTCCTGCGGCAAGGTCAGATACAACTTCACAGGTTGTCAGTCTGGACTGACCGTGCTGATGGAACATTAGCGACATGACCTTTCAAAACGAAAATTTACTCACCAAGTCAGGATAAAAGTGCAGATCCTTCGTGAGTTGAGCTGTAAAGAGGATCAGATCACCATCAGGGCCCATCTACAGACGCCCGCGCCACTCACTGGCAGTCTCCAGACCATACTCCTTGACCAGCGCCGCGAGTCGATCTGCAAGAATTTGGAACATGTTCGTATCCGCCTTTTTGGCTTCTTCCACCAATCTAGGGTAAGCGGGATGAGTCGTGATCATAAAGTCGATCAACTAAAAAAACAGAGCTGGTTGGCATCTTTCATCGGGCGGTGGGCATTGCGATGACCCACCTGTCCAGTGGATGATTGACCACCTTCGTTCATCCATTGACCAGGGAAGACGGCATCGCGGTACGGTCCCCACTGTAAGATTGGATTCAGCATTATTATTCAAATTCGAGATCTCTCTTCATGACGTACGACACTGTGTAGCCCGTCAGCTGAGTTCGCCGCCAAAATGCTTTCCCAACTCACCCAGGTACGAGAATCCCGTCTTTGCTCTGCACGATATGACACGTACTGGTCCCGGCAATAGCGGCCAATCGACTATTCGCCTGCTCGAGACTAGGAGGCTTGGTAGATTCTCCCGAAGGGGCAGAAGAAGTCGCAGCAACCGTACCGATCCAGCCCGCGTATCTGATTAAACGGGTCAGTGCCTATGAAAGGAGAGACCTTTGGCGCACTCCACTCACGCATCGATGACACCGCTGCCTACTGCTGTGCCTTCGATCAAACCTAAATCCTCCGCTGCCTGTTTACTGAGACCAGTGCCCACGGGTTGTCCAGCTGTCAGGACGAGACCTCCATCTCCAGGAATACCTCCAACTTGGGCAAACTTGTCCGCTGCCATATCGCCGAGGCCTAGCTGGAGATCAGCAGACGACAGGAGGACACTCGGAACAATGACTGACCAATCTTGTCAAAGAAACGCTGTTGCCAACCAGTTGTCGAGACTTCTTCCTTACCTCCATCGCAGTCGTGCGTCATGGTCGCTCCGGGAGGGACGAAGGAGAATTTACAAGCAAGCGAGCATGTGGATCGTGCAAGAGAGCCAGTCGCACGGTACGTGAGGTAATCTGGAAGGCTGAGAATGTCTATCAATACGACACCATCGCGGAAGTAGCGAAGAGTCAAGCGCTCACTCGAAAAACATACAGTCCTTGAACCGGTCTTTGGGCATGTGTTTCTTCAGCCAAAGAGTTTTGGGGATCTCCATTTCAAGCTGTGGAGGTATGAGTCAATGGATCTTGCTTGAACGTCAGCCTCCTCTGCGAACTCACACTCATGGTCTTGCCGACAAAGTTCAGTACCCCTTCACCCGTCTTGTTGATGGTGTCTGCCTCTTCCTCGGCCCTATGATCCGCCCAAAGGATGATATTCCACGCCTTTTGACCTTGAACCACTCTACCGAGGTTTTCGTCATTCTCATCCGTTTCTTGCTCGCCCGTACGTGAAATGGATACAGGCTGACCAGATTGGTTCACCACTGCAAGTGAACAGGTTGCGTCGAAGCCTATGCCTTTGACTAGAGACGGAGAGATACCTGATGATTTGATGATAGATCGACAGCATGACGACAGAGCTTGCCAAATGTCCGTAGTGGATTGCTCGTAGATTCTGTGATCCGTCGCAGATCGGTGTGTCAGGGTGGGTTCTGCAGAGTATCAAGAACAGGAAGTAAGTTAATAATAAAGAATAAAAACGGGTGCCAAAAGCTTGGGTAGCGATGCGCGAGAGGGTAGTCTAGATAACACTCACCAGACTTCTCGGCGATCAACTTTCCGGTCCGGTCTACAAGACATGCTCGACCAGAGCCAGTTCCGCTATCAAGCCAGCCAGTCAGTCAATGAATCAATCAGTTGGAGCTCGTCAAAAGGGTGGAGCTCGCGGGACAGAGCACCGGAAGAACGAGTGTAGCCCGTTCAAACTCACACGTCGAATCCAATGTAGTAAGCTTCTTCACTCATAATGGACCGGTCACACTAGGTCTGCTTGCCGTCTGAGAATCCAAAATGTAATGTTCACAACACAAAACCAGTTGACTCCACAATCTTGAAATCTGTGACCAGCTTTTTTTACGTAGACGGCTCAATGCCGAGAGTGAATTCCGATGCCGAAAATCACGTGACTTGGTTGGGGGAGGAGGGGGGGGGGCCTGAGGGCGGGCTCTCACTGTGCTAGTCTATCAGCTTTGCTCGCATAATTCAACAGTACGAGGACGTATGGTCAATCTCGGGCTCATCTGCACTCGATCTCCAGTGAGCTCCACATGGGGACAAAGGTGGATCGCCGTGTGCCCTCCACATTGGAAGCGCGTATCAGCCGCATCAATGGATGATCATGCGTACCACGAACTGAGAATACTTAGCCCTCTGCTTGCTTCGGACAAACATGCTCCATATGCACGGATATAGAAGTTCCAGGGGCAAGGCAAGATTGCAGCAATGCGGGAAGCTTTTAACAGCATGGTGCCACTTTGCCACGGTGTGCCACAACTGACCCCCCGAGGCGCGACAGACGCGTCTGTTTCAAGATTTTTCAAAACCAGGGGCGTGCGATCCCAGACGCGTCTGGAAATGATGCTGCTTTGCAGATGTAAGTCTTCAATGAATGATGCATTTGTGCTCTGCGATCAACGATATGGGCCGATGGGATCTCTCCTGCTTGGTTGGATGGTCCATCAGCCAGAAGACAGAAGCGGGGTGGGGAAGAAAGAGGGATCAACAAGAGGTCCAAAAGAAAAAAGTGCGGATGATACGTTGGCTCTATAACTCCTCCTGAAACGTTCCTGGAAAGGAGGAGTTTCTCTCTTGTAACGCGCGCCAGTAATTATTCTTTTTCGCTGTGGGCCTCGCTCTCTTGTTGTTGTTGTGGTGATGGGTAGCTTGCGACGAGGCAGCTGTGGGAGGGTAACTACTGCGGAGTATGTGCCTCGGCTCATACCACTTTGTTTGATCCCCAGCTAGCGAGAGGACTACCGTGGAATGAGCTTTGTAGGCTTTCGTGCATCATCCCAACACATGCCTCTCTCCCGGAGAGACGATCACTCTACGGTCACACTCTCTCAATATAGACTCGCTCCTCCTATATGCTGCGCCCTCCAACCTCCTCCTCTGTGCTTCACATCTTTCACTCTCCCCGTGTCGTTTATTAGTAGTCTCTCACTCCACACACACATAGAGAGCCACACTGTAAAAAAAAAACTCTTCCAAAGGGTTTTAAAGGAACAAAACAGGTCTCCCCTGCCTGCTGCTCTCGGCATTGGCCAGGCAAAAGGGTCAAACAGACCTTGACCCTCATTCACTCACCGGTTTAGATAAGGGACGGAGGAGGAGCAACAGCCTGAGCCCCATCCTGTCAGCCTGGACCATTTGCCCCCCCAATTGTGGCTGAGGTAGGTAAGGTGTCTGGCAAAATCACCTCGATCCCATCCGATTTCTTATATTCATCCTACCCATCCATCTTTCTGCAACTCGATCTTTTACCAAAGCCGAGCGATACTGTGTATCTGAAACTCGTTGATCGAGTCTAGCTTCCGTGCAGCAGCAGACACAACTCTCTCGCTTGGTTTCTCCATCCTTTGCTGCGCAAAAAAAGTATCTTCACGACCTGGTGTCCTGGAATCTTTACGATCAATCATTTTGTATCACCTCTCGCACGAATTACCACAGCGTCAACGACGACGACGATCAAGTCACTTATTGAAACGTCTTGTACAAAAACACCTTGTACCAGCTTGGCACAGAGAATCCCCCCTCAAAAAGAAAGGAACGCTTGGATCCTAGATCGCTTGAGCGCTATTGACTCTGGAGCATTGATCGTCACACACGCATAGTGAGTTACCCAAAGCCACTGTCATTTCGTCCAAAGCAGATGGTCCCAGAAGATCATACCCACCACCCTCTCAATCCTTTTACAGCTATTTCCCATCTGACTCCCTCGTCCTGTCCTGGTGACTGTGGTTGAAACGATCGCTGATCTTGGAAATCCTTTGCCCAGACCCCTACTCCTTTGTCTCTTTGGCTTGTCATCTCACACAAATCAATCCTCGCAGTCGTCACTTGACGCTCTACTCTCTTTCTACCGGCTCCAAAGTCCATAACGAGGACTCTCCCACCCATCATCATCACATAGGCTCCGTCTGACCTCTTTCAGACTATCATCACACACCATGTTCGCCAACCTGCTGCAACTCTTCACCATCCTCTCCCTTCTCCATTCCATCTCAGCATGGCCTACGGGTCAACATCAGACGCTGCGCTGTCACTCCATGTCACTCCGACACACCCCAGAGCATCAAGAGCATGTCCGTCGAGCCTTTTCCAAGTCGTCTTCTTCCTCCTCCTCATCTGCCATTCGTCGGAGAAATCTCGACACCGCTTGGCTCTTACGTGAAGCTGCCAAAGTCGATGGCAAGTACAATGCGGGATTAGGAGGATACGCTGCTCTCCTCGCGAACCCCCTTCCTCCTTCCAAACGACAGGGCGAAGTCTCATTGACAGATCACAACCTTGACGCGTCGTATTCTGGTTCCATCTCGATCGGTACGCCTCCGCAGCAGTTTGAGATCATTCTCGATACGGGAAGTAGTGATCTATGGCTCGCTTCTACCAACTGCTCGATCGGATGTAATGGGATGTCTCAATTTGATCCAGACAACTCGACAACCTTTCGCAAGTGAGCAGAAAAGCAATCATGACGTTTCAGGCCATTTCCAGCTGACCCCCGTTTGCTCACCTTGCAGCCTCAAATCCACGTTTGACATCTCATACGGATCAGGACAAGCTCATGGTATCCTCGGTCAAGATGTCGTCACGCTCGGCGGTTACAGTGTAGCTGGGCAGACTTTTGCAGCCTGCACGGATCTCACCCCTGGTCTCATCACTAGCTCTGTCAGCGGTATCATGGGTCTCAGTTGGCAGGCGTTGGCATATTCGAAGGGTGAGTTGAGCACCATTAGTCTTGATCTTTTGATCGAGCTGACACCACTCCAGCGACTCCGTGGTGGATCACCCTCGCCAAGTCGGGATCATGGAGTCAACCTCTATTTGCCTTTTACCTCAAACGATTTAGAGACGTTGCAGGTGCATCAAACCTGGAGACTGATGCTGGTTCGGCCACCTTCGGCTACCTTGGTGAGCTGCATGTTCTCCTGTGTGACCTTTCGCCTGCTGAGCCCACACTAGATTCTTCCCTTTACACTGGCGAGGTGACTTATGCAAACGTCGCCAGCGGTGCACAATACTGGCAGGTCACAATGGACTGTGAGTTGGCTGTCATGCTTTGGTGAGAGTGCGCATATTGACGTAGTATCCTCCAGCCATGACTATTCAGGGTTCCAACGTCAATCTCGGCAGCTCCAATCTCGGCGCCGTCGACACCGGAACCACACTCATTGGCGGTCCTGCAGCCATTATTGCTCAGTTGTACGCTTCCATCCCTGGATCCTCTCAAATGGGAGGATCCTATGGCAGCTACTACGAGTACCCTTGCGCGACGTCCATCGACTTTACGCTCACCATCGGTGGATTCACCATCAACATTACCGATGCCGATTTCAATCTCGGTCGATACAGTTCAGACGATACAATGTGTACTGGAGCTGCTTTCATCCAAAAACTCCCCTCCAATGCGCCTGTTCAATGGATCATTGGAGACACCGTATTGAAGAACGCCTACACTGTCTTCCGGTACTCACCACCCGCGGTTGGGTTTGCGTCCCTCGCTTCGGGTTTGAGCGACAGTGAGACTCGACCTACGACGATCCCTGTGATCCAATCTTCTACGGGTATCTTGGCGAGTACAGAAGAATTAAGCACGACGCCTGCCATCTCCGCAACGACCTCGACGTCGACCTCTCAGACCGCCGCCGTTTCAGCCGAGGAACCCGTCGTGACTGTCACTGAAGTCGCTGGCAATAATAACAACGCCGCAATCTCTGCATCTCCTTCACCGAGCGAAACGTCGTCGTCGTCATCATCATCATCGTCATCTACCAACAATACCAAATCTGGAGGTGCGAGCGTGACGTCAAGCTTGGTACCGGGATTGTTGTTTGCTTCCTTGGGACTATGCTGGATGGTCTTATAGGAATTGGACGCCACAGCTCGAGTCTTATGATAATACAGCATTCAAGCGCATACCAACCCGATCGTGCATTCTTCTTCTCCTACACCTTCACACATACCACGCAGCATGAAGATTCACCCCAACAAACCATCCGATGATACCGCTTATTACCTGCTTCAACATCCTCAAATCATACGGACGATATCATCCCTCTCCTTTCTCCTTTCTCCCTCTTTTCTCATGACCGGCTTCATTGAAGAAAGATTAAATCACATTGACAAACCTTTGACGAGACGCACGCACGTAACCTCTCCCCTTCTCCCCTCCCTCATTAAACGAGACACATCTCTCATACAACACCTCGAGTAGTATGTCGTCTCACTCAATTCAATCTGTGTACATATATCACATACGGAGTGTATGCAACGTTTACTGGCATTTTGCAAGTGTGAGACTTTCTAGAAGAACGTTGTTAAGTGAACTTGGAAGCCGCGGCTGAAAGGCAATGCATTTTGATGCACGACCAGCGACGCCCACTTGCATTCTGTTCATTTATAACCTTGAATCCGCCACACTGCCACATTCATCCGTCAGACCGGTCCGGTTCTCACCTCATTGTGTCTCTTAAGTTAGTGCGTTTCATGTGGTTTGCTGATTTTTTTCAATGCATTCCGACTTCCGCTGTTTATCACACGGGCTCAGTGCCCACAGACAAGACCTTCGGGTGGGACCCTCTGCTCATCCACACAGCGCTGTAACAAGCCCCTCTTTTCGGAGATCCTAGGTCTCCATCGATCCTCGCCGCCTTGGAAGGTCGAGGGACAACGGTATCGATGAATGACCATAATGCTCATGCCAAGTCCATCCAGAGTCTCCAATTCCCCAACCCCCATCATTCAGCACTCCCTTTCCCCAAGTTGATGAGATGACAACAATGGAGAGAGACTAACAATAGCTTTAGCGTGGAGGAGATCCGAGCGGAGAAAATGTAGAGGAAGATGTCTGACCCGCACTTTGACCATTAGGCATTGCAAGGCGCACAGCGAGCAAACGGTTACAACAACCAAAGTCGGCGATCAGAGCGGATCATTCGCACTCCTCTTCTGCTTTCGCTCGATGAGATCGTTAACAACATCTTCTTCGGAAGTGGTTGGTGCTCGGGATCTCGAAGGGAAGAACAAAGGAGAGGAAGGGCCGAGAGACAGCGGATGATAGGCAGAGGGGCGCGCGCGAGGTGTGCAAACGGGAGGTAGACTCAGCCTTGGATGCCTTTGTTCAAACGGGACCCTCCAGTTCATCTTTGATACCCTTGAAAGGATATCAATTCTACATTTCTCCACTTCGGTCTCTCCCTTGATCTCCTGGATCCCTCTCTCTCTGTGTGTGAAGCAAAGCTGCGGATGACAGATTAGAGGCGTGGACCCCTTGATCCCTTGTCTCTGGCGTTGTCTACTCCCCCCCAATCTTCACCTTGTCACCTAAGCAAAGTACTCCCGCTGGAAGTTACAGCATCACCACCTCATCTGACAGATTTGGTCGGGACTGTGTACGGGAACAAGCACTAGAGGTCTCATGGAAATTACACATTGACCATTGTACTCCTTGTGTTGGACCGTTGTACATTGGTGAGTTCATCCCTCTGCGTTGTGATATTAGCTGAAATCGTCGCTGACTTACTCCATTTGATCGCTGTCCCCAGTAATCGACCTTGACTCGACCGCCTGCGTCAAGTCATACCCACACTCCTTTTAAATCACGCTCGTTTACCAACATCCCTTGCTGCCTCTTCCCATCGATTGAACAAGGGTGTCACTCGCCCCAAGGACAAGCTTCCCCACGACGGCATCTCGCGAACATCTCCGTCAGTGTAACATCAGCGATCCACTGGAGGACGCTGATCATCTCGCCCAGGGCAGACCGCCCCCAGCCATCCACAGCTTTGTGGCGCATTCGCCTGGCTTTGCCCTCCTGCCCTTGCAAGCTCTGCATGTCTCACCTGATTGACTGATCACCTGATCACCTGACATCTACTGTCACCTATCAACCCGCCTCGTCATACCATCATATACAATAACAAACCGACCTCCCGACGGACAAACTAGTCAAAACATGGCGGAACGTCGGTCAATCTATGGATCTGCGATAACTCTGCAACAGTCTGTGACTGATTCATCCTCTCTTCCTTTCCCCAGATCTCTTTCGACGCCTCCGTCCAGTGGCTCCCCGCCTCTCCGACCAGTCTCTCGATCAGCTTCGGAATCAGAGTACCCGTTCCCAGACCGTCATCTTGCAGGTGTCAGAAAGGTCTCGGAACCGGCTTTCATCGCGACAAGCACAGCGACGACATCGTCGACAGGTATAGACTTTTCAAGCTCGTCGTCCGCCAGTGGTAAACCGTCCCCTTTTGACATTTCAAATCCTTTCGACCCGGCCTTTCAGCCCAGACCGAGGGACACCAACGCCGCCTCGGCCCCTGGTTGCCCTAGTCCACTGAGTAGGACGGTATACAGAGATAATTTGATCGAATACGATTCGCAGGACGAAAATTCACCGCATACCATGTCCTCTGCCACTTCCTCGTCTGATACTGATGAAGGCAGCAGGAAAAGCGTGGAGATCATACCAGAGCACAGGGTAAATTCGGACGTCGTACAACCAGCCAATCGAGCTTCGACAGTTCCAGTGGTGGTTCCGAAAACTCGACCAAAGAGCAGTATTCTTTCAAGATTATTGCGACATTCTGAAAGTGACAATGGATCTGATAGGCCCGTTGAAACCTCTGGCGCCATGACATACGTCTCGGATGTCCCTGCAAGTATGTCGAAAGGGAGCAAGAGGAAATCGACGACGATCACCACGGATAAATGGGCCAAGCGGGCTTCACGTAAAGCGCCACCGCCTCCCATCATCAGTCATGAGGAAGATGGGGAGCCCCTCGCAGCTTTGGGGATACAGCTGTCCAGGCAAAACGGCAATGGGAGTGGGTCGCCATTGCGACACATGTCTAGCTTTCTGAGACGGAAGAGTGAAGATGATAGAGGGATGACGGGAGACGAAGGGGACGATGATGAAGAGGAAGCGAGTTGGGAGAGAGTCAAGGAACTGCCTCGAGTCTGTCTGTTCCCGCCAGAAGAGGGTGAGTGGCATACCGTGTCCTGCTTCATGTCTTCAGGCTAATCCGTTGTAGACCTCTCTGAGCCCATAACGCTCTACCCTCCGCCCGCGCCCGTCCACCTGCGTCGTCCGCCAAGTTTGATTCTTGCGCGAGAAAGGTCAACTCAAAACTCTTCCCGCTCATCATTGTACTCTAACCCGAGCATCGGTGCAGGATCCGGAAGAGACATGTGGGGCGGCATGTCAGGAGGTTTCTCTAAACCGCCTCCAGTGTTCCGACGCCAACTACCAAAGAGGGGAAGTACACTTCCCGATGGAGTCATCATGCCAAAGAGGAGAGATCAAGTCGAAAAGGAACATCAAGAATGGCGGATGAGCTTGATCAATCAGGAAATGGATGAATTCGACATGGCATGGAAATCAGCTCAAACGCCTCCCATGAATGAAGCTTCTCCTCCTTCTCGACTGGTGATTCGACAACAGAGTCTCCCTGTGGATACTCCGGAGCCTCAGACTAGTCCAGAAGTCGTCACTGCACCAGCAGAACCGGTCCAGCCTCCTGCCGAGATGCCCGTTCCGTCACCGCCTCCTCGTGGGATCTATGATCAGCCTGTCGTGCTTGATTGCGCAGAGAGATCGACCTCTGTACCTCCTTCCATCGACTTTGGAGCCTCACCACCGCCCCTGGAGCTTGTGTCTCCAGGCAATGCAGAGCTGACAACGGATAAGCCGGCGCACACCGAGATGGTGGACACGACTATCTCTGGGCCGGTGGGGCACAGCGCGCCGCCTCTGTCCGCTCCCTCGGCAACTTCTTTCGTGCAACCGGCCACCTCCAGCGAACGACCGCTTTCATCCCTTGAGCGCGTGCGTCAAGCTGCTGCGCCTCCACCCATGCAACGCCGGGTTTCTGAAGAGTCGAAGGAGACGACCTCGACGTCTTCTCTCACTTCTCGATCCAGCTCTTCCAACACTCGTAACAGACGATCAATGTCCTTGACGTCGTTACTGGCTTCCAAGTCGAAAGAAGAACCTCCGCCACCTGTCCCTTCTGGCGAAGCCGCCGCTGCACCCGCACCCAAACTCATAAAGAAGCAGAGGAGTTTGAAGCGTTTTTTCTTCTCTTCTGATAATCTCGCCAAGGATGGGACCGGAGAGAATGGATCTGTCCCTCCACTACCAGTGCGTGATCGCGAGCAAGATTTGGCGCTAGCGAGAGAAAAGGAACAACAACGTGATCGCGTCAAGGAGATTGCAAGCGAGATGAAGGACCGAGAGAAGGCGTTCGACAAGGAAAAGCAGCGAGAAAAGGAACGAAGCAAGGAGGAAAAGCAGAGGATGAGAGCAGTCGAGTCGTCATCCTCTACCGTTTCCTCAACGTCACGCAAGACAACTCGATCCATGTTATCTCGACCCAAATCAAAACCGAATTTACGTATCGATGTCAAAGCCACCACGGTGCCTCCACTGCCATCTCCTTCGATCCCGCCCATGCCACACTCTGCACCCATGTCGACAGCTTCATCCTCTGCTTCGTCTGAGTATTCTCAGACTCCGCCATTGTCGTCGTCTCATCCCTCCCTGCCTTCTACCAAAGGGACCACCAACAAGTCACCACCCGCTCCTCAAAGCAATTCGTCATCTCGTGGTCTCACCAAACGATTCAGTCTTACCAACATGAGTAGCGCTTTCAGAAGATCACGAAAGAACCTCGTAGTGGTCGATGCTCCTCCTGTGCCTCCGGTTCCTCAGGTTCCAGACTTACCAGACGTATACAAGAAGGAAAAGGCTACAAAGTCTAAACCTTGGCAATCTCTTTCAAAGCACTCAGCTCCACCCGTGTCAAAAGGTCACGTTCAAGCTTTACAGCAGGCAGCATACGCTGCGCCTCAGGTGGCCAGGACTAGCTCGGTCCCAATGCCCTCGAGCTCAAAGCTGATCAAATCGTCCTCTTTGCCGCATGTCGATTTTGGCGCGGATCCAACTTTCCCCGATATGAAGGATTTCAGCGGGCTAAGAGATGAGCCTGTACCGGCATTGACAGTCAAGGATGATCTTGAAGGATCCGTCGACTGTCTGACCACGTCGGTGGCTCCAACCGGTGCGAAGCCAATCAGCGTACCTCCAGCTGCGCAAGTTTCGCCCACCGCTTCCATGTTCTCTGACTCTTCTTCGACGTTTGAGCTAGAACAAGAGCTAGACGAAGCTCAAGTCGTCTTGGTTTCTCCACGGACTCGAAGAGACCCCGCAGTCAGCCTCCAAGCCGTCATGGGCATCACACCTGGATCCCGCAAACATCATTTTGTCGAATCTCCCGAGGAAAAGCGAAGGAGCATGCAAGCTATCGTTGTTGGACCCTTATTGGTACCTCTGACTCCGCCACCTCAAGATCGTCATCAGATCCTTGGCGCTTTACTTGCTGAATCTCCGACGTCTATCCACCAGTCGACAGTCGAGAGCGGTGGGTCCACATCGCCTTCGCCACCAGTCTTCCATCGATTGGATTCACCACAGATTCAAATTGTCGATCCAACTCCAACGCAATCGCCCCAGTCTGAAAATGATGCAGACGACGGGCACGCCACGATAATGAGTCTCCGTCAAGGGAGTCCAGAGATCATTGTGACGACCGCCGTGACTAAGCGAGGAGGACCATCACAATCTGAATCGGAAACTTCCCTGGAGTCTCTCGGTCGATCATCCGTTTCATCTGAACCTTCCGATTTACCTTGCGTCACGCCAGCTTCGCCAAATTCAGAATCACTCCATTATCCAGCTTTGATCACGGCTTCGCTCATCCCTGATGTCCCGAGTTTAGATATCGGATCATCGCCTTATCAAGTGACGGATCTTCCTGGTGGCATCGACAGTCCACTGAGTGCCATTCAGAGACATGGAGCGGCAACAGGAGGAGCAGATGAGGATCTGATAGGACAAGCAGACGAATCGCAAGAGCCGCTGTTGGGACCTGAACTTGAGTCAGAATTTGAGGAAGAGGAGTCTGATCTCGTCATTGTTCATCCATCACCTTCGCTCAACATTGCCGTCTCGCCCGTTGGCTCCCCAGGCATGACGAGCCCCTCGACGACAACGGCGTCCTCTGCTGCTCGCGTGTCGGGCAAATGGAGCCCTGATACAAGTGGCTTGTTCAGGTTCTTATCTGGCGCCAGTGATCGAAACAGCCCTCGATCCATTGCGAGAGCTTTGAGACCAAAATCTCTGTCATCGCCCAAAGTCACGTCGGACAGTGCGTCCAAGAGTAGCCCAACGAGTGTATCCATGATCAGAGGCGATAGCGACAGCAGTGATGCAACGACGAACAGTATAGGATTGGACATACATAGCTCAAGACCTTCTTCTCCGCTTTCGTTCCCTATCCCACCGCCGCCGCCGCCGCCGCCGCCGCCTCCACCAACGATGTCTGGATCTGGCGACGCGTACACTAGTCTGGCTGCTGGCGTTCAGCTCAAATCACTTCATTTCGACTCGCTCAATTTGGATTTCGATGGATTCGACTGGTCAAAGTCGAGTATCGGTGTGAGGGGTATAGGCATAGATGCGATGGATGATTCGGCGTTGGAGGAGGTCATGTGAGGGGTGGTGGTGTAAAGGGGAGGGGTTTACGGACAATTATTGCTTTTGGTAGTAAAGTAGTTGTAAAGTGATCCAGGGAGATCGAAACCAAATCTCGACGGACAATGCAAGCTCTGTGTCATCCATTTTTTAGATCAGCTTGGGTCAGCAGGAGTCAGACCTCAATGAGCGTTTCAGGCCGAGCCTAGTCAGTGGATGCGGCAGGCCGAGGACAACGAAGGAGAAGAAGGCAACGCCAAGACACCTCTCGATGCATGGTCATACTATGACAGATACGTCGCACAGACCTAAGCATAGTGGTCGATGAGAGAATCTCTCATTTCGTTGATCACAGCAGCCGACGTTTGACCTTGTAATCCTGAGAAAAGAGAAGATCGTCGTGAGCTGTGTGTTTCATGGAGATGAAACAAGGGAAATAGCTCACTGAAAGTCGCTTCGATCACTGAGATTTCCGTGGCAGTGGTATCTAGTCCGGCGAAAGCACACCAATCGTTGACGACCACGCCTGCGCCGATGACTTCTGATCCTCGATTGACTGTACCTGCTACTAACGGCACTTGAAGTAGGGAAGAGAGTTCATCAAGCTCTGCACGAGGCGTTTTGGGATGTACTAGACCGCCCTAATGGTGTATCAGTCGATTTCGCAAAAGGATCTTGACAAAAGGCAAAGAATGACGGTTAGGCTCCATCGACTCACCTGATTTGACAATGCACAATAACTGCCTACCAATACATTGTTCGCCACGGTCTGTCTGAACACCTCAACCTTCAAAGTATCCGCGATAATCTCCTCGGTCTCTCTATCTATATCCGGGTGGACAAGCGCGACATAATCGTTGCAGACAATGACATTGCCCAAAGCACTCAACCTCTCTTCGACTCGTTGAATCGCAACGGCCGGAGGAAGAGCGTTTCGAAGATGTTGCAATTCTTGATCTGTCGTCGTGGATGGAACGAGGAGTCCATGTCGGTTTCCAGCGGTCAATCGGCCGACTATACGAGTACCAGCGATGGTGGTGTGGATGATGGGTATGACATCGGCTAGTTCTGCTTCGAATACAGAGTGAAAGTTGGATGAGGAGCTGAGACCGGTAAGGCAGTACCTGGAAAAGGCGTCAGTGAAAAGCGGTCGCAGTCGGAGGTCCGAGGGCTGGTAAGGGGTAGACTACAGTGGAAATACGTCCAGAGCAACTGAACTCACGCATTGGTCAACTTGGCGAAGACGCCAATGTCCGAAGAGTTCTCGAATTGAGTACCTGAGGGATCCAGATCAGGATAGGCCATGGGATTTGACAGAAGAACCTACGGGTCGCCATGATGCGGGGTGGTCTTGCAAGTGTGAATACTGGGGCAAGAGGTGTCTTACAAGAAAAGGTCTGAGCTGCTTTATCCAAGTTCTAATGGGATCGCAGATGAGCAAGATGATGCAAGCAAGGCCAGTCAACTTTACAGAATGATTGCCTTGGACGCTGTCGATGAAATCCAATCGACTTTTCTGTCTCGGATCCGAAAAGTCCAGCTTTCACGGAGATCTGATCACATCTCCGCATGTTCCGCGTGAACACAGGGGGATGACCTGTGTGGCATGATCGCGCTCGCCTTTCCGCTGCTTGTCATCTGCTAGCGACCACCTCCATGTACGTCATGCGTCATTGTCTCCCGATTCCGCATGTTACATTAGCGCTGCCGGATGATACTGAGCCCCGCTTCTTCAGGTTCAGGAGCTGAGCCAAAGGATGACAACTCTGTCTCTTGTCCATACTATTGGTACAGCCGTCCGCGTTTCCGCAGATCGAATGCGCAAGCATATATACCATGAATATATCGACACCCATTCACACGAGACCAGGATGCAACAACGCCTCAGGTATATCATGTCCACGCGTCTCGCCCTTCTTATATCCATAACGGGCACACCGTCTTCCCAACTTCGAGATATAATACGCCGTACCCTACCACCACCGTTACCAGTTCCTTGTTCCTCCCGCGCTCTCTCCTCTCTCTCTACCTTGGGTGGATGCCCTTGCCCTCCCGTGTGATCGTCACACAGCTGTGCCGACGCCGCCATTCATCAAGTTTTCCTTTTTGACTGACTACCTACGCGATGTTATAAGAGACAGAAAGAAGAAGAATGCCACTTGGGCGGGATTTGACAATTCACCGTTTAATCCACTCACGTGATCTTGGGCATAGAGGGCCAGGGGGATTACGGCATAGGGGAGAGGAAAGCCTCCTCGCACCAAGGATCGCATTAGTGGGACTATTGGCTGTAGTGTTGCCATCCTCATCATCGCTCTCTGTTCAGGTCTGGCATTTACTCGCAGGCCCCTCTGACAGTACGGCTCTGTATAGCTGCTACTTCCGTGCTGGACATTCACGACCTTCTCCCCCCTCCCCTTACAATCCCCTGAAACGATACCCTCACGATCTTCTCTTACACCGTCATTGCTTTTTTTTCAAGTACAACATCGCGTATCCAGACAGACGCATTTCCAGTCATCGATATTCCTTCTACAACGACGAACGCCCTCATTGTTCAAAGCTCATTCATCCACTCCTTTTTGAATCCTCTATACTTTCCCCTCCGTCCTCACAACGACTCGCTCAACCTCTCAAGACGCGTTGTTAGGCGCTGTCAAGGTTATCGGGAATATCATGGCGAGCGGTCTACCGGTGAGTGGGTTGATGCTGGTCTTGCATAATCGTGTGCTCCGTGGGAAAGAGGATCTGTCGACCTTTCGCGATGTGCAGAGCGAAACCATGCACTGGGCAGCTGGTGCCATCTCTGCTCCCCGTCGTCTACATCACTTGACCCCCTATCCAACCCCCTCCCGCGCGACTGATCTCTCAATGTTGCATCGGTCAACGCGATTTCCCGAATTGTGATTTTTTCCATTGAACGCCTGCTGACTTTGTCTTCTTGCTTTTTCCTCATACTGCATTATCGTTCGGCGTCGCTCTCAAACGACTGTCTATCCAACCCTTGACCCCTCCGATGTCCTCTCTCCAAACCTCACAGACCCGTCGCGCCAAAAGGGCCGATGAGAATGCACCCCCTGGCCCGACTCGTTCTCGTTCAACCATCCTTTCCACCAAACAATCAACCACTACCACCGAGCCATCCAAGGATTCCAACAAGTCATCCATCCCCGTCATGAAACGTTCCGAGTCTTCCAAGACGGTTACTGCTAAATCTCGCGCCGCCCTGGGGGAAGTCACCAATGCTGGCAAACGCAAATCATCAGGCAGTGGCGTGGCAAAAGAAAAGGGCAAGGAAAAGGTTGAACGCAAACCTCTTTCTGTCGCTGCTGCTCCCGTCGTTCAAGCAACCATGCCGATGCGCAGAACACGCAGCAGTCTTGCAGAGACCAAATCCCAACCGCGTACTGAAGAACGCGAAAAGATTCCTATCGCCAAGCGTAAGATTGCCTCGGCAGTCAATCCCAGTCGTACTGCTCGATCACGTTCCACGACCGCCTCTACATCCACCACCTCCGCCCTTGATGTCGCCAAACCTCTTCTCGAACGTGCGCTCAATGTCAAAGACGATGTCCAGCCGCAACAAGAAGAAGAAGAGGAACCACTCACCAAACGTCGGCGGACATCTACACCGTTGGTAGCGGAAGATGATGATGATGATCTCGCGGATGAAGCACAATATGACGAGGATGGCAAAGAGATCTTGCTTTCTAGCGGTGGTCAGGCGATAGGCATGAAGAGTCCTAAACGGCTACGGGCGAGAGATGAAGGATGGGAGGATTTGGACGCCGAGGACGAGGGAGATCCTACCATGGTCAGCGAGTATGTCGTCGACGCATTCCGATACATGATGGCGTTGGAGGTGAGTTTGAAAATCTTGGCTCTTGGCGACTCGCTCACGACTCGCAGAGCAAAACCATGCCGGACCCCAACTACATGGAAGCGCAATCTGAGCTGCACTGGCAGATGCGAACCATTCTAATGGACTGGCTGATAGAAGTCCACTCCAAATTCCGTCTACTCCCCGAAACACTCTTCATCGCCTCCAATCTCATCGACCGATTCCTCTCCGCACGGGTGATTTCCCTCATCAAGTTTCAACTCGTCGGCTTGACAGCTTTGTTCGTCGCTGCCAAATACGAAGAAGTCATCTGTCCTTCTATCACTCACTTCCTTCACATGACAGATGGCGGATATGGCGTCGAAGAGATCCTGAAAGCGGAGCGATACATGCTCACAACGCTCGGTTTCGACCTTTCTTACCCTAATCCTCTCCACTTCCTCCGACGTATATCCAAAGCCGATGGCTATGATATTCAAGCGAGGACCGTTGGAAAGTACTTGGTTGAGATCAGTTGCGTCGATCAACAATTGATGCAATTCCCTCCGAGTTTATTGGCTGCAGCGGCAATGTGGCTCGCACGATTGTGTCTCGAGCGTGGCGAATGGGTGAGCTTCAATCTGATTACGGGGATCAAGACGGAGCTGACCAAATGTCCAGAATGCAAATTTGGTTCACTACTCGACGTATACTGAGGAAGAGATTGTCGAGCCTGCTCAAGTCATGCTTGACTTTCTCCTTTCGAGCGAGTTTGACATGGCTTCGTCATTCTACAAGAAGGTGAGTCACCTCCTGGCGAGAGTCCGCTGATTACCCTCACAGTACGCCGCCAAGAAGCACATGAAAGCTTCGTGCTTCATGCACACTTGGGCTCGCGGGACTTTCCTCAGGCTATGGAAAAGCGATGAAGACATGCCGGTACCAGGCTTGGGCACTGAGCTGTACGACCAACTTCAGATTGATGTCCCTGAACACCGACTCCCGAGCGGTCACTCTGATGAGGCCAAGTCGCCACTTTACGATGGCAGTGACGATGAATAGAAAGAGGATTCCTCCCGCATACATCCTGACATTTTCGACATTTTCGACCCTTTTTAACGCCCCAACGACTATGACGAACCAAAATCCCTCCCTCTGCCGTGTCTTAATGCCATACGAGCATCACCATGGAGGAATGTCCTTCACGCCGCTTCCCGCTTCCGATTTTGCTCCTTCTCTCCTTGCACCGAGTCATTTGCCCGAGATGGATTATATATGAGAGCTATGAGGGATGAGGGATGAAACATGGATTTGGAAGATGGAGACAACCGATGTAGTGGTAGACTATGCCATATATGTACGTACAGAATTCAGAGAGATGTGATGAGATGCCATGTATTGTGCCTGGTGTAAGTGAGCACAGTGTCAGTTCTTTAGCGGTGTGGTTGGTCGAAGTGGAAAGGAGGTCATCAGGTCGTTTCGACACGCCAACACGCCGTCCCTTGTAAGGATCTATCGTCATGTCATGTCATGTCGTCACCCCGCAATTTCTACCTATGGATATTTCGCTACACCTTCTTGCCTGCGCTCGCCCTCTTCCTTGCTTCTGCCATCATGACTCGACTGAAGAATAATCCGATTCCTGAGATACCCAGCAAAAGCAAGATCAACGGTAGCCGTATAGCCCATATCCTATCGGGGAAGAAAGAGTGCGCGATGGAGTCTGAGTCGAGGAATGGCTGAACGTATAGACGAAATGGTCAGTACTTACATGACTATGTGCAAAAGCGGTTCGCTTGCTCACCAGAAGTAATGCCCAAGTTGTATAGTATGAGAACACGAATGCGGCCACTGCCAGCATCCCACCGCCTAGGATCTTATCTGATACAGCCTGCGAGAGGTTATCAGACACCCGCTATTCATGACATTGAGGCGGATAAAGACCTGCTCACCATGTTCTGTCGTTCCAGTAGTATGGTAGCTATCACGACGCGAGGTGAGCCGCTCGACCAGACCTTCGCTGGCCGAGAGGTGCAGCTATGTTGTTCAAAGCCACGTGTCACCCGATGATTTTGGTAAAATTTATCAGAGTTCCCCGTCAAGCGGCGACCGGCAAGGGAATGAGCACCTTTTAACCGGCTCAAACTGGTTAGAAAAGAGGGCTGTTCGATTGGTCTGTTCACCTATTTTCTTCTTCTTTCATCGTCTATCACACTCTCGGCTCTCCTAAGTCAAAGCATCGTCTGCGGGTCACTGAGAGCTGAACGACTAGTGAGCAGCTCTGATCGATCATCATCTGTCAAAAGACTGAAGCTTTGTAGCCTCGAGCAAATCTCGCCATCGACCGCAGCCCCGATCTCGCGATCTCTTTTCCGCACATTCACCCCTTTGTGAATTCACAAACACACCTTGTGTACCTCTCCATACTTCTTACATAGATTGGACTCGACGGCAGTCATCCTATACACGCCTCACACAACATGTCCACGAAAGTCATCATCGTTGGTGGCGGTTTGAGCGGTCTTTCCGCCGCGCATACCGTCCTGGAACGCGGAGGGAATGTGGTGAGTGTCTCAACTTGATCGCGTCAAAGCCTCGATCGAATCGAAATCGACAGTCCTCAACGTGATTGATTGATACATGACTGACGCTGCTCTAAGCTTCTATTGGACAAGAACAGCTTCATGGGTGTGAGTCTTGGCCTCAGAAGCATACGCAACGGATCTCCGGCTAACCCGTCCCGCGTGTTAGGGTAACTCGACAAAGGCTACCAGTGGTATCAACGGTGCCAATACCCAGGTGAGAGAGATCACCTTGCGCCTACATAGACCCATCGCTGACTTTAACTACAGGCTCAAGCTGTGAGTCTCATCATAACTGACTCGGTAGCTTTGATCAGCGGCTGATGATCCTCAGGATCTTGGCATTCCCGATACCGCCGCCAAATTGTGAGCCTGGCTTTCTCTTCCTTCTTGGACATGCTTCTGACCGCCCGATCAGCTTTGCCGACACCAAAAAGTCTGCTCGTGACCTTGCCCGAGACGACCTGATCAAAGTTCTGACCTATAAATCTGGTGACGCCGTCAACTGGCTGGTCGAACGATTCAACCTCGATCTCTCCAAGGTCTCCCGATTGGGAGGCCATTCTGAGAAGAGAACCCACCGTGGTGGTCAACAGTTCCCGGGAATGACTATCACCTACGCTCTGATGGAGAAGGCACGTCGTTCATAGACCTTCAGCCTGCATTCACTGACCGCTGCTTAGCTTGAGGATCTCACTGAGAGCCAACCGGATCGAGTCAAGATTGTCAAGAAGGCCAAGGTCACCAAACTCATCCAGGAGGGCGGCAAGATCGTCGGTGTCGAGTACGAGCGAGAAGGTCAGAAGGTGAGCATTCTTCCTTACCCTGTGGAGTACCGCTCACGCTCGTCGATCAGCACACTGAACACGGGACTGTCGTGCTCGCCACTGGAGGATACGCTGCCGACTTCACCTCTGACTCTTTGCTGAAGAAGCACAGGCCAGAGTACTACGATCTCGTGAGTTGACTTATCCTTTTCAGACCCCACCACTGATCCCCTCAGCCTACTACCAATGGGGATCACTGCACTGGTGATGGGCACAAAATGGCCATGGCCGTTGGAGCCAAGGGCATCGACCTCGAAAAGGTTCAGGTACACCCAACTGGTCTTGTGGACCCGAAGGAACCCGATGCCAAGGTTAAATTCCTCGCTGCTGAAGCCCTGCGAGGCGTCGGCGGTATCTTGCTGGACAACACTGGAAACCGATTTGTCGACGAGCTGCAGCACCGAGACTACGTCACTGGCAAGATGTGGGAAAACAACAAGGTGAGCTCAGAGTATGTGCGCTCAGACTTGGCTGACCTCGTTCAGTTCCCCGTTCGATTGGTCTTGAATGGTCAGTCAAGCAAGGAGATCGAGTGGCACTGCAAGCACTACGTCGGACGAGGATTGATGAAGCGATTCAATTCTGGAGAAGAACTTGCAAAGGAGATGGGAGTCAAGCCCGAGGTGCTCCAAAAGACATGTGAGATGGGCAACATCTCGCTGTGATCATTGCTGATGTCAATTCAAGTCGATGATCACAATAAATATGCCAAGAACCCCGGCACTGACCCATTCGGCAAGAAGGTAAGGCTTCCCGCCCCCAATATACGCCTTTCCTTACAACGGTCTTCAGTTCTTCTCCGGAGGTGATTTTAAGATGAACGATGTTTATCACGTCGCTCTTATGGTGAGTAGTAGCACGGTATTCACTCGTCTGACCCCTCTTAGACCCCTGTTCTTCACTACACGATGGGAGGCCTAGAGATCGGTACTGACAGCGCCGTCCATGACTCTGGCAACAAACCCATCCCAGGTCTGTTTGCTTGCGGAGAACTGGCTGGTGGTGTTCACGGTGCCAACCGTCTTGGGGGATCTTCTTTGCTGTAAGTGTACAGAGATCTTGATTTCACGGTAGCTCATGCCAATTCCAGGGGATGTGTCGTTTTTGGACGAGTAGCAGGAGATTCCGCGGCCTCCTATACCCTTGCACAACTTTCCAATGAGCGCGCTGCCAATCGATTGAACACGGTCGCCAATCACCTCCTCGAGACCCGCATTCGAGTCGATCCTAGCTCGAAACATGTCAATCTTCAATTCAGTTGGGCGGACGAGGGATCTGGAGGAACTGGCCTGACCGCTGCTGGGCCATCCTCAGAGTCTGTGCCTGCCGAGTCTAAACCTGCGAAGGAGGGTGACCGCACTTTGGCCCAGGTCGAGCAGGAGAAACTTCCCAAGCCTGAAGCCAAGAAGAATGGCGAGGCTAAGGGCGAGTACACCGCGGAAGAGGTCGCCAAGCATAACAAGGAGAGTGATTGCTGGGTCATTATTGATGGTCAAGTGCTGGATGTAACCAAGTGAGCATAGCCACCGTTTCAACGGCTTCCGTGGCTGACAAGACAACAGCTTCCTTAGTGAACATCGTATGTCTCTCGCTGTCTCAAGCATGATTCCTCACTAATTGCAATCGCAGCTGGTGGTGCCAAAGCTATCCTGCTATACGCTGGACGAGATGCCACTGAGTAAGCTCACTGTCTAGCGTCAGGGCAGAGCACGCTGACGGACCTGACAGGGAGTTCAACATGATTCATCCACCTAATGCCATTCCCAAGTATGCTCCTGATACTGGTGAGCTGATTATCGAAGGAAGGTGATGTCAGCTGATGAGACGCTCCTAGTCATCGGAAAGCTCAAGAAGTAATGAGCTGGCCCTCTGATTCTCTAAATTAGATATGGCTGTGTTCTATCTTCTCGTCTCTCCCACTTTCCGACAATACACTTTGTATTTCATGTTTGCAGATTCGGAGCCACTTGGTGGCCTATCCTGTATGCCTTGTCATCGATGCTCATGATGTATACCCCTACATATAGACCATGCGCGCTCGAGAACCCCGAGATCCGAAAGTGTCTTGAATTGCCGGCCACGTGGGGTGATCGGGTATAAATTTCAAGAATTCACTCTTCACGAGTTTTGTGTTTTGACATTATCTCCAACCTGCTGAATCTTGCATCTTTGGTCGGTTGACTCGACCTAGAAGCATAGAACTAGAGCTCGACCATCTCAAGCGTAGTTCTTGAGATAAGTCACAGACATCATGCCCCTCCCCCGCCCCGCTAGAGTGCTTCGGCAACCTTCGTCACTGTCGAACACCGGCATTCGGCGATTGAATCGTCACGCCGGTGCCGTGCTCAACCAAGCTACACGGCCTTTCAATACAACCAAGACATTCGTCTCCACCTCATCAGAGTCCTCAAATAGCAGGAGCTTTCATCAGACGCCTGTCGCGTCGAAGCCTGAGCTTGGGACAGTCGATGAGAGCTACACGGACAAGCTGTTGAAAGATATTGATCAGCTCGGATACCCTCGATCCAATTCTCGATCGGCTTACGAGAGCGATGATTACGAGGACAGCCGTGAGGAGCGAAGGAGTCCTGCGGCCGTCATGGGGTCCAAGAGGATTGGGGCAGTGGCGCTTCCGCGAGAAATGGAACGAGGTATTCAGCTAATGTTGAACAGTGAGTCAGTGCTCGCAGGCTCTTTTGTTGGCCGTCGTTGTCTATACAATGAGAGCAAAGCACAGAGCTGATCTTCTATAGGTGCCGATGGCTTCAAGGTCAGAAATCACTACCGTGAAATGGTATCCAAACCTTATACCAGTCACATTCGTCGGAAGACCAGGAGCTCAATACCCGAAGACGAAATGCCAATGGCCAAGGCAGCTGCGTTTTTACCTGGAGAATATGCAGCAGTCAGGAACGTTTTGGAGGAAATGACAAGGCGCAATGTTGACTGGGATTTGGATCCCGAGAGGGATCCATCAAAAGAGATACCGAGTGTCGTAGAGTTCACAGGTGGATTAGGACCTGGTCTCTGGTGAGTGGGAGACCAGAGCCAGGCGAGAGACCTTGTTGATGGTGCTTTACAGGGCCGCTCTGGACGTCATGGAGGCTTTGCCCTCTTCCTCCCGGTCATCATGGGTATTGGAAGAAGACGAAGACGAATCACCGATAAGTTCGCGTGAACATGTACAGCAAAGGCTCGCGAAAGCCGCATCAGAGCAGGATGCTTTCGATGAACAGAATTCGATGGATCAAGAGGATCTGTCGATCGCGAATCATGAGAACGTCAAAACGCTTTCCGCTCCTAAGCTGAGGTATCAGATGGTGCATGATACGCTGCAGGATATACAGATCATGAAGAAGATGCTGGGCGGTGAGTTCGGTAAAGCCTAACCGAGAACGGACACTCAATGATTTCAGACCGATCCAATGTGCCGGTGGACGTTTCATGGACTCCGCGCTATGAGAGTACAGAGAACACCAGTGTGAGTCGCCCAAAAATCGCCATTCACCTGACACTGTCGTAGAAACCCACGTTAACCATGTCCACCTTTATCCTGTCGACACTCCGGCCTAATGAACGCGATCGTCATTACAAAGCGCTCCTGGCGACGGAGGCGCCGTGGATCGTCGTTGTCGACCATGCTACTCCAGAATCATGGCAGTCCATATCTGAAGCTCGAGACTGGTTCAGGCAACGGTCTACCGCCGAATCACCTTTAACGTTGTTCGCACCTTGTCCTCACGATGGCGTATGTCCACTCCAAGGGACAAGAGAAATCTGTAGCTTTTCCCAGAAACTCCAGACTCCTCACTTTCTCAGGCGGACCAAGAATCATAAACGGGGCGAGGAGCAAAAGCAGTATTCTTACCTGGTCATCACTCGCGATCCCATGGCTCGAAGATCAGATCGCTCCTCTACATCAGCTCCAGCCGGCTATTTTGGAGGTGTGGCTAAAGACCGCTTGAGACACAGGGCTATGCAGCTACATAGCAACGATTCGGGGAGGATCATTCCGGACGAGGAGGGGTCTGAGCTGTACAAGGTCGTCTCTCAAGCCGAGGCCGACGTCGACGCTGCCGGCAATGCGGTGCAGAGGGAATGGGACGAGCCTGGTCTTCCCGCTCTTGATCGAATCAGCGATTTGTCTGGGGACGTTGAGAATCGGACTCGACATCTGCAGGCCGACGCGTTTCACTGGCCGAGATTGGTGGCTCCACCCATCAAGCGCAGTGGTCACGTCATCATGGACACGTGTGATGCGAATGGTGAGTTGTGGGCGATGTGGGGTTATGCTGAGCTTGTTCTCATAGGGAAGATCCAACGTATCACCATTGCCAAATCTCACTCAAAGCAAGGATATCACGATGCCAGGAAAGCAACTTGGGGCGATCTCTTCCCTCACAAGCCCAAGGCTAAAGCTGTGATCCGAGAGCGTGGTATCAAGAAGCTGTCGCCTGTCGATCACGCCCAGGGAGAGGACAGTGGCGCTCTCTTTGAGGAGATTTTGAGTGCTGGCATGAGCAGTGAACCGGTCGGAGATGGACCAAACCATTTCGGATCGCCAGACTGGGTCGAAACAGTATCCAGCGAAGCGGTCGATGTAGCCGCCACCCCCAAACCTAAGAAGTCCAACCCGAAATCGATCCAATCCGACAAGGAGCTAGTGGAGCTGCTCAAGAAGCGAGACAAGGACAAGCGTCGGGGAAAGCCGGAAAATGTGCTGAATCTTGCCGATTTCGACCCTATAGACAACAGCGCTTTCGCTCCAACGCCGGACGCTGTACCGCGAACGCGCAAAGACAAGCCGTCCCGGATGAGAAAGGAGAAAGCGATCAGGGACCAAATGCAAGGGAAGAGACCGACTGGCATCCCCCTCGACACAGAGCTCCTCGGTGACCTGGATGGGATTGACCCAGCGCTGGCGGAGGCGATAATGCGGAGCTTGAGCGGCAGTCAGAACAAGGCGAACGAGGTGTATCAGGTGCAAAGTGAAGGCGGTCCAGTCAAGACCGAGTTCAAGTCATGGACGGAGGATTTACATTCAGATGGATCTGGAGACGCTGAATTACCGCCTTGGTTAGCCGATCAAGATCGGTGGAACGATCGGACAGAGGTGTCCAGCGACTCCCCTGGTCCTTCACAGCGCTCTCCACGATCCAATGAGTCCTGGAGCGTCGTTGGAGCCCAGCAGCGTGTTCTCAGCGGGATTCCCGAGGAAGAGAGACAAATGTTGGATCGCGTCAAGGCTCAAATGTTAGAGGGCCTTCGGTTGGAGATGGAGGGTAACGGGGCGTCGTCTCCGAGCTCCAAAAAGCCTGCTCGAAGGTCGACATCGCCTCCGACGGGACGACGAAAGTTTAGCTCATTCGCTTCTTCCCGAGTTGGCTTGCAGCCGGCCACGTCGTTCTCGCAGAAACGCTACATGAGTGTTCGGCCGAGAGAGACGACAAGCGTTAATGGTGAGTGGAAGAATATCCTTAATTCTTAAGTTGACAGGAGACTCAGGAGCGAGATTGCCTCGTCGCAAGGTCACCATTGCTGAACTCGATCGTCTCCGATCCACCAACACTCCTATCACCGTCTTGACGGCCTACGATTATCCTACAGCACTCTTGTCCGAGTCCTGCGGAGTCGATGTCACTCTCGTTGGCGACTCATTATCCCAAGTAGCTCTCGGTCACCACGAGACTCATAGTCTCACCTTGGACGAGATGATACACCACTGTCGAGCCGTGACGCGAGGCGCAAAGACCCCTTTCGTCATTGCCGATGTACCGTTTGGCGCGTTTGAGAGCTCTGTCGAGAAGGGAATGGAGAGTGTCCTTCGGATGATCAAAGAAGGAGGCATAGACGGAGTCAAGATTGAAGGTGGTCCCGAAATCATCCCGCTAGTCGAACGTTTATCAAGCTATGGGATACCGGTGATGCCTCATTTGGGTCTCAGACCACAACGAGCGACTTCTACATCAGGATACCTTGTTCAAGGTCGCACTGTAGAATCCGCAAAAGAGGTTTTCGAACAAGCTTTGGCGATGGAAAGGGCGGGAGCCACGATGATCCTCCTCGAAGCCATTCCTCATCCTCTCGCTACCTACATCACTGAACGTCTCTCAATCCCGACAATCGGAATCGGCGCTGGATCAGGGACGAGCGGTCAAGTTCTAGTCATTACGGATGTCCTTGGCGTTTACGCGCCTGACTCGTCAGACCTAAACGGAAGTGAAGGCGGTGCATTCCCTCAACCCAAGTTTGTGAGGCAATTTGGGTCTGTGGGACAGGAATCACGACGTGCGATCGGGGAGTACGTTCGACATGTTCAAGACCGAAGTTTCCCAGAGACGGGTGAGGAAACTTATGGAATGAAAAAGGACGCGTGGGATGCGTTCTTGGCAAGCATGGAAGGCGTCAACGAAACAAAGGCGATACAGGGCGACACTGCAAGTGGGAAGACGAGAGACACAGAAGACGGAGCGTGAGAGTTGTACAGCCAATGTATCACAAGATTTGTTGTATCCTGTAGTGGTAATCTGCATCATCACTCTCACCCATCATGAAGCTTCAAATGCATATATGCTTGCTTACTGGGTACCGGGCTAGGCACCGTCTACTAAGCCCCTGGACACTGACTGGCCCAATGTCCAGGCTGGCCACACTTGTAGCAGGCTCAGACAATACATTAGTCTCGACGCATCGTTGGCCAAAACTCACCATCTTTGCTGCTGCTACCTCCGCCACCAGATGTGTTGGCTTTACGAGATCCACTCTTGGTTCCTGTGCGAGATTTATAAGAATGCTTGCTGCTGCGACCCGCCCCACTACTAGCGCCACCACCGTTGGGACACACATTGGACCAGTGGCCCTCCTGTCCACAATTGAAGCATTGTCCTTGACTGGCACCGCCTCCAGCGCCGCTTGAGGATCCTCCTCTGTTCTGATTTGAGCCACGTCCGGGACCGCTATCAGCGGTCCCCTCCAGTTCGTCCTCCCATTGAAAGTATTTACATCGTGCTTTCGGATTGTTTGGACAGGTCCTAGGTCGAGTCAAACTCGAGCTGAAGTGTTCACGTCAAAGCCAACCCACCAGAACGTTCTGCCTTGATTCGGGCCTTCCTTTGTCGTGGTCCGTGAGACAGCTTCCAAGCCGCAGTCACAGCGCAGGACCTCATCATGATTATCACGAGTGCTTGGTCCCTGTGACAACTCGTCAGCCATATGCAAATTTCAGGCCCACACCCGCTACTTGCCATTGTTCTCAGTCGTTTCGATGGAGGCGGAGCCGGAGATGTGCGGCCGCGACTAGGCCCGGCTCTTGCGTTGACTTCTTCATCCGTCCAAGCCTGAGGTATAAGCCATAGCGCCGGTGAATTGGACCCACAAAAAATCCACACTTTCCACTATCTCCCATCGGCTTGGCGCATGTCCAGAATGTCCGGCCTTTGTGCGCAGAATCGTCTCTCATGACTGTTCGCTGAACAGCTGGAACATCGCATTCGCAAGTTGGCATGTCAACGCCGTTGTCAGTGGAATCTTGGACCGATCAGCGGGTCCTCGTTAAGGGAGACTCACCGTCAATTCGAGGTCTCCTGGGAGCAGCTGCCTCAACCCGGCGCGCTGCGCCTCGACCGCGAGTTGAAACTACCGCTCGCGTCCCCCGACTGGCCGAAGCACGACCACGAGCGCCCCCCCTCGGTGCTCCCCCTCCCCCATTCTCGCTGTCATCCGCATCGTCGTCGACCGAGTCATCACGAGCTGTCCTTCCGGTCGCCCCGCCCCCTCTGCCTCCTCGGCCGCCACGGCCAACGCCTCTTGTCGTCCCACGAGCGCGTCCTCGACCTCTTGTTACAGCTGTCCGAAGGGCGTCCTGAACTTCTCCCTGTCCATTCATGTAGTCATTGACAATCTGAACGAACGTGAGCTCATGCAAATTGGGATCACTGACCGTCATCACAGTGTCAAATTCTCTCTTAACTGTCATGTAAACTTCTTTGTACTGCTCGATAGTAGTCTCCAGGACCTCTTCTTTTCGCAGTACGCCTTCGCAGATACGACCCATAGAATATTCCGTCTTCTTTTGTCAGTATTCGGAGCCAGCTTTCCGACTCACCTCTGCACGCAATTGAGGCTTGCTTAGCGATCGATCAAGCCCGACTCGATTGAATCCTTCGACGAGGCCGATGCCCAACAACGAAGGCAGCAAATACTTCACCTTTTGTTCTTGCTTCTCTAGCACGTACTGTCGATCAATGATCTTGGCAATGTGTTCGGCGATCGTAGCGTCCGTTCCTGCCGCGGAGTGAGTCATGAGAAGGTCTGCCTGAGCCCACCAATCCCGTTTTTGTCCATCAGACCGACCAAGTCCGCTTCGGTGAGAAGGTTCGGTTTGGACGTCTGCCCATCTCGCAATTCGCAGACAGACGGAACGAATTCTTCACCTTCGTCAAAATCGGGCAGAGCGCTGGAGTTCCACTTGTCGTAAGGGTAGACGTTGAGATAATTTCGCTGTGTGACAATGAGACCTGTGTGCGATCAGCATGGAAGGGTATGATGATAGCAGAGGGATTCTCACCGCTCGTCGAGAACTCTTCCCCATTGATATCGATTTCAACAGATGTTGTTTTACCCTCCGCATTTCGATGACAGGAGGCGAGGAATCGCCGGGTAACGAGCTCGAACACCCGCCTCTCATCTGCATCCAGTGCATTATTATGGGCTGTCGGATGAATAGGAGGATGGGCTTTGTCGTTCTTCTTGCCATTTCGAGGTCGCTGAAACTCGCCATCTAATAATCTTCAGAGCATGTCAGTACTAGCAGCGTGAATGGCCATACCCTTTGGCAAAAGCACCCCAGTCATTGTCAAACGTCTGCTTTTGGATGAGCGAATTGAAGTCAAAGTCCTTGTCATATTGATCGGTCTCTGTTCGTGGATAGCTCAAGCAACCTTTTTGATACAGCTTTTCGGCAATCTGAAGTCGTGCTTCAGCCTGAGGCTCTGGAACGATATCCTTGTGCTCACGTCGAGTACTTTTTTCGGCGCCATATGAAGCAGACGGGATCCGGACTGCTGAAGCTCAACCGTAGTTAACGGCAAGGGTTTCCTTTGGGATTCAGACCTCGGTTCGACATACACTCCACACAACTCACCACTTGGTGGCTGGTTTTGTCTCTACCTTGAGGACTTTCGCGGTGGGTTCTGTTACGCATAGCTCATACAGTACCAAGGCTTCTTCGAATCCAAAAAGGTGATTCCGACGCCACTTGAATTCAACCGTCTGAGAGTCTCCTCCCTCATCGACATCGTTCTCCCTCTCAATAGCAACGTATATGTACCAGAATGGCTCAGGGACGAAGCTCTGAACGCGATTGTATTGATCTACGACGAAGCCGAGTGTCGGGAACTGGCATGGCCCTGATGCGTGTCATCTTCCTAACGAAATGGACATGTGAGTAAGCTCACCGTAGCTGATGACCTGCTTTTCCTCGATCCCCGGTATACGATGTTGCAAGCCCATGGTAGTCAAGCGGGTGAAAGCGGCTCCAATTTTGAGATCAAGATTGATCCTCGCTTCAACGGCATTCGCCTGACGCATATCGAGGTCATTCGCTGTGCGACATGCTTGGTGGATTTGGCTTGCAAATCGTCAGCGGATGTCACGGACTGCAGAATAGACTGACGCAGGTATGATTGCACTGAATCTAGCACGTTTGACAACCAGATTACGGTTGACACGTCGACATACGGCCGCTACTTCCGATCCAATATGTTCACCTTCTCTGTCGCAATCCGTCCAGATCATCAGCAGGTTGGCATTTCTAGCCTCCTGCTGAAGATTTCGTTCGACGCTTTTCAAGTCCTGAGGTAGGAGGTGTGTCAGACGTTTTCCAGGATTCAGGTACAGTGTCGCCCACCGCCGAGACGAAGGTCTGCACCTGAGCATCGAAGAGGTCGAATGGATCACAAGCGTTCCACTTGCGATGATCGTCGTCAAAGTCCTGGTGGTGGTCAGCTAGCCGTAAGTTAGTCCTCAGACAGGCTCACACTTGATGTCAGATGCCCAAGGACTGATGTTACGGTAAAATCCGCATCGCCCGGCCCTCCAAGGGGTGGTGGGAATCGGTATGAAAAGTCATAGTTTTTGATATACTTGTTGGCAGTATTCCGCTGGAGGGAGGGGGGTCAGCATGGCTCTGAGAAGCCTATCCTGGCTGATCACTCTCAACCTACACTCTGAGATGAACCGCTGGACAGAATACCGGTGATAGCCTTCGCTATGCTCGGCTTTTCAGCGACGCAGAGGACCTTCATTCCGCGTCGACATTCCCAATGCACCTGCGTCGACGCGCGACTCAGGTGTCGGAGGAGATGTATAATGGCTGTGGAGGAGCAGCTTTGGTGAACTGATCTTTTCACGTCTTCTCGCGCAGTTGCTGACTACCTGCTACCGCTGAACCAGGAGTGAAGGTGAATTGAATTGGTTGAGAGAAGATGAGGTGGACCGGAACCAAACAAAAAGTCAGTCGCCAAGTCACGTGGGTGGTGAATCTTGTAGCAGATTCAGTCGCTTGTGGCGGGCTCAAGGGTGTGTGTGTGTGTGTGACTATGCATACCTGCCTGCCCGCTCTCACTTTAGCAAGAAATGTCTATGTTTCTGTCTGCAGTCTGACGCCTCATTCTCCATCTCAAGCTAGCTGTGGAAATATATGCCCTTATACGATTTGAGCAGACCTCATCATTGGAATTTCCTGCCAGCTATTTCCAACAACGGGCAGCCGCTGGCGCTTCAGAAGTAGTGAGGACTCCCTTTTTTCATGCGGACACGGGGAATGGGACATGATACATAGGTCAACAGCTATTTGGGTAGAACTCTCTCTTTGCCCAACTTCATTCCTACCTCGGACTATAACTCTCTCAGCAGCAACTACTACTACAACTACTACAACTCATCCTCTATCAGCCACGGCCCATCGCCTACCATTTTTGCTTCCGCCCCTCCCCCCAGGCACGTCCAGAGGAGAAATTTGGAGAGAAAGAAAAAAAGTTGAAGCACCTGCTACCCCCCTCTTTCTATAATCCTCTTTCACCAAGAACATCTACATGCAGGTCTTGCGTAGCTTGAGGACACTCACCACCAACACCTCTTCCATCACCACTCGATCATCCACACTGGTCAACGCTGCCATTCAATCGAAAAGAATGTCTTCCACAGTCCCCGTCCCCAAAGATTTCGTGCGTGTTTTCAACCCAATGCCACGTTGCTGCTGGATCCTTTGCTGATGCTTTCTTTGCTAGAACGCCTGCTTGTACACTTCGCTGGCAGAGGCTGACCCCGAAGTCAACAAGATCATCGAAGATGAGACTTGGCGACAGTTCTCTGGTCTCGAGCTCATCGCCTCCGAGGTGAGCGAGAGCAGCTCCTGAGTCAACTCCAAGCAGATGGCTGATCGTGGTCCATCAGAACTTGACCTCTCTGGCCGTCATGGAAGCCAACGGATCCATCTTGACGAACAAATACTCTGAAGGTCTTCCAGGTGCCCGATACTACGGTGGTAACGAGGTGTGTAGCATGATTTGACTGGTGCCAAGCAATTCCACTGAAATGACTCCCCTCTAGCACATTGACATTCTCGAGAACCTCTGTCGAGACCGAGCTCTCAAGGCTTTCAACCTTGACCCCAAGATCTGGGGTGTCAACGTTCAGCCCTACGCCGGTTCCACTGCCAAGTGAGCTGCCTCATCATCTCATGTGCTTTTAATCTGACGCCGTCTAGCTTCGCCGCCTTCACCGCTCTCATCCAGCCCCAAGACAGAATCATGGGTCTTGGTCTCCCCGACGGTGGACACTTGACTCACGGTTACTACACTGCCAAGAAGAAGATCACCGCTTCCTCCATCTACTTCCAATCCTTCCCTTATCAGGTTGACACCAAGACCGGTCTCATCGACTACGACCGATTGGAAACCAATGCCAATCTCTTCAAGCCCAGACTCGTCATCTGCGGTGCCTCTGCCTACCCTCGGGACTGGGACTACGCTCGACTCAGAGCCATTGCTGATGCTCAAGGCGCCTACCTCATGATGGACATGGCTCATATCTCTGGTCTCGTCGCTGCCGCCGAGCAAAACTCTCCTTTCGAGGTCTGTGACGTCGTCACTACCACCACACACAAGACCTTGCGAGGTCCTCGAGCCGGTCTTATCTTCTTCCGAAAGGACAAGGAGGCCGACATTGAGGCCAGAATCAACGCTTCCGTCTTCCCCGCTTGCCAGGGTGGTCCCCACAACAACGTGAGTCATCGCTTGACGCATCCGAGGTGTCCCCCACTGACTCGTCCTAGACCATTGCCGGTATCGCCGTCGCTCTCAAGCAAGCTGCCGACCCTGCTTTCAAGGCTTATGCCAAGCAGGTCCGAGCCAATGCCGCTGCGATGGCTGCCGTTCTCTTCAAGCACGGCTACCGCCTGCAAACCGATGGTACTGAGAACCACTTGGTACTCTGGGATCTCCGTCCTCTCGGCTTGACCGGATCCAAGGTTGAGAAGATTTGTGACGCCGCCCACATCACACTCAACAAAAACGCTGTTGCTGGTGACAGTGAGTTGTGATATATGTGTCTCGCCATCCGCTTCGTCGCTGATCTGTTGTAGAATCCGCTCAGGTTCCAGGTGGTGTTCGCATCGGTGCTTCTGCCCTTACCTCCCGATCTATGGTTGAGAAGGATGTCGAGGTGAGTCACGATCATCTCAAGCCGCTTCTTCTAGCTCACATCCCCTCCAGCAAGTCGCCGAGTTCCTGCACCGAGTCGTCCAGATCTCCCTCACCACCCAGAAAGAGGCTGGATCCAAACTCCTGAAGGACTTCGTAACGGCGTACGAATCTGGCAATGGTGAAGCCCCCAAACTCATCGCCGAGCTCAAGAAGGACGTCATGAAGTTCGCTACCGGGTTCCCTCTCCCTGGTGTCCCTGACACTGTAAGTACTCACCATCCAACTTGTGTGGCCCGGGCTGATGCTCCGCTTTAGTCCGTCATCAAGCGACCAGCTGGTGTCGACCTCTAAATGGCAGAGACCCCTTCTTTAGACGCAGTATTGCGACCTTTTTGCCTTTAGAGAGAAAACACATTCCGGAACCATTTAAAGAAACGCATTCATCGTCCATCTCATCATGGACCGACATCAATTGATATCATCTCACACTTTTGTATTCTGTCTTATTTTTGACATGTCATTCATCTGATTTCTTCGAGCTCCACTTTGACCTCCACCACCCCCACCCACCGGGGAATTCGGCCTTGCGGGCAAGAGGATCTATAAAGAGTGTGCATTCGTAGCCATTTGAGAGCTTTCTTTCCCTTCTCACTGGTACATCAGCATAAATTGCAACATCTCTCAACCATGTCAGCTCAGCCAAGCCATAAGATGGAATATGTCAATCTCGGCAAGTCAGGACTCAAGGTATGTTCCAAGTTTCCGTGACTGTCTGTGGCGTTCACCTCTTCCAGATCCCGTCAAGCTGACATCCATTGCGTTCGCTCTAGGTCTCCAAATTGATACTTGGTTGTGCCCAGTACGGTTCGGGTGCAGACTGGATGATTTCGGACCATGACGAAGGTGTCAAGCAGCTGAAATATGCCTATGACCAAGGTATCAATGTGAGTTGCGTCCTCGCGCCGACACTATTCGTGCAGCTTGCCCCTCGCTCCCTGACACTTCCGTGCAGACTTTCGACACTGCGAATGCATACTCTGCTGGTGAAAGCGAGGTCATCCTTGGAAAGTTTCTCAAGCAGCACAATATTCCTCGAGAGAGCGTCGTGATTCTCACGAAGACCTACAACCCCGATGGCAATGCAGAAGCTCGAGGACCTGCAGGATTGAACAATCATCGCGGATTGAACCGCAAGGTCTGTAGCAAGGACCAATGTTCCAGTCATTGATCAGACTCTGACCTTTGCACTTTCAGCGAATCATTGCGTCTGTCAAGGGATCCCTTGTACGATTAGGACTGGACTACATCGACCTTCTCCAATGTCACCGATTTGACAGCGAGACCCCTATCGAAGAAACCATGGAAGCTCTCCATTGGGTCGTCCAACAAGGTTGGGTCCGGTACATTGGAATGTCAAGTTGCTGGGCTTGGCAATTTCAGCTCATGCAAAGTCAGTGATCTTCCTGCGTCATGCTCAATCCAGAACCTGACCTTTTCTCCTTCAAGCCTATGCCCTCAACAACCGTTTGACTCCCTTCATTTCGATGCAGAACCAGCACAGCGCCCTTTACAGAGAGGAAGAACGAGAAATGATGCCTTGCATCAAGCACTACGGCGTAGGCTCTATCCCTTGGTCACCCGTCGCAGCAGGAAGTGAGTTCACCGCTTCCAGGTTAAGACAACAACTCAAACTAACCCGTGAGGTAGTCCTCTGCCGACCTTTCAAGGACATTGCATCGACGGAACGAGGTAAAGGGTACAAAGACAGCAGAGGGGCAGGCGCCCAGCCCGCTGATAAGGTAATCGTCGATAAAGTCGAGGAGATCGCCAAGAAGCGAGGGGTCACCATGGCTGAAGTGGCTGTTGCTTGGTCTTGCTCTTCGCCTTGGGTGACAGCACCTATCGTTGGCATAAGGGGTAATGAGAGACTCGACGAGCTCATCAAGGGGATGAGTCTCAAATTGACTGAGGAAGAGATCAAGGAGATCAATGAGCCTTACTTGCCTGTTCCTGTTCGAGGTCATCAGTAGATTAGCCGGTGGAGTCTCAAGCAATGTATGGAAAGTGACTTGTACACGTACGTGTCGATTGCGACCGTGTATCGAATGTGCGTCTAGCTGATAATCTGCCTGCGAAGGCGGATCGAAAAAGTGTTTTTAAAGTACACGATACTGGCTATTTGCTCGGAGCCTTTCCCTTCGCCTTCTCTCCTGCCAACGGACGACCCGTACTCTTCGCACTGTGTCATTTGCCGTCAAACCTCAATCCCTCTCGACCTTGACTACTGCCTTCTTGGCCTCCAACCAAGGCTCCATCTCTCGCTCTGTGAAAGCCAACCGCCAATCCTCCTGTTCGATATATTGGTCCATGGTGAGGAATCGGACCTTTCCAGGTGGGGTTTCAGATGAATCGGCTGATCGTTCCTGTGGTTTCACATACTTCTTGAATAATTCAAATGACTTCTCTGTCATCTTGACCATTTTCTCATAAGTAGTGACAGGATCTGAAGTCGAGCGGCTATCGATTGCCTTGACGATGGAGACGGCATTCACGACGGTCAGGTCTAATTGGGATGAGGTCGCCACAGTGAGCAGCCTCCAAGAGTATGAGTCTGCCGATAGTCCAAACGCACATGGGCCGGCGCCCTGGCCCGGTTGTGGCGACCAATATATCAACGTGACCCGATTTCTGGAAACCCCGAGCAAGGGATCGAGGAACAAGGCGTTGTGCAGTCTGTCCAGGGTCCTCGAATCAAACTTGATAATGATCTGAGGCTGTTCTTCACGCCTGGTGAGAGCGATAATGGACGCAGCCTGATGAGGTTTGGAACGCGAGAGTGCCCACCCCTGCCAGACAATGGTGATCTGGGACTTCCCCCCCCCCCCCCCCCCACCGAGCCCTGCTGAGGTTTTTGAGGTGTCGCAAGGGCTGTGGCTTCCACCCCTTGCCTGTCGAAGTCCTGCACCACGACTCGAAGACCTCCATTCTCTGCCAATTCCCTGAGGATCCCGCCAAAAACATGAACGTGATTGTATGGAACGGTGATCCTCTGCACCATGCGTAGAAGCGAGCATCTCTGATATTTTTCATCGAGGATGGGAACGGTCGGGTCGGACCTCTTGACGCCTTTCGGTAGCGGGCAAAGCGGATTTCGCGAAGGATCGAGGCAGGGGTGGGCAACGATCTGGCGGTATAACAGAGGAGCAGCGAGGTCGAACATGAGCTTTGATACTCGAAGACAGCGAGATAGAGCTCGCTTGTCAGTTTCAGGATCGAGCGAGAGGATCAAACGTTCCAATATCTCGGGAGGAAATCGAGGTCGCTGGGTAATAAAGCTAAGCGAGGCTATGATTCTGATGGGGAATTGTGACTGACGTTTGGCACAGATCGTTTCACCAATTGAGCCTCGATTTCTCCTCGAACTGGCTTGGGCTCAGGCTTTGAGGATTTTGATGTTCCGGAAGAAAGCTCCTGCAGAAGCGTGAGTTATCACCCCCTCAAGACATGACAGGTCCGGATGGAGAGAAGCTGGATCCAGGATCCTCTCTCGACTCACTCCGCGTACATGCAGACGGGCTTTCTTCTTCTTGCGAGGCGATTCATCTTCTCCCATCTTGGCCTTGGGACCTACTGCTGGCCTTGAGAGTCCGCCAGAGAGCCGTTCGGGAAGGGACTGTGAAAGGTGAGGATGACAGGAGAGAATGACTTGCATTTCGGTTGGATCCTGAAACGGTTGACGTAAACCTGAGTGTGGCGCATATTTTAGCTTCCTCGGGAGGCAATCACAAGCAGTCATGCATGCATGCAAGACTGTCCAGTAGATCTTACAAGATGACAGTCTCGACAACCAATTGTCTATCCGTTGTTAGGACAACGCTTGACCGGTACTATCTGAAAATGCCTTGCCTCCATCGCGGAATCGCATTCTGGAGCGGCCGACCCTCGTCCTCAATTGTCCATCTGTGGCGGGAGTCTCTTCGTGCACGGCTAGCCATCTTAATTCGTGACCAGTACACCAGGACGCGAGATGACACAAGGGGATCAAAGGACGTTGGAGGGCCGTGGATGGCTAGAGCAAAGCGATCTGGCTTGAATTTCCTCAATATTAGGCGAAATGGCTGGGACTAGTAAGCGATGCCGCTGGGCCTGGCTGCATTACTCACATTCCCTCAACGTTAAAAGCCGCCAGTAATCTGTGATGGAGGCAATTAGCGCCGCCAAGTCGTCGAGGGCATCTTCTCACTTCAACAAGTCATTAACATCCATCTTGGCGGCTCGAGAATCCGCAAAAGTGGAGTCAACCAGAATCTGTTCGACCTTTTCCTTGATGTCAAAGTCATCTTCAATTATCTGGGAGACACCGTCTGGTCAGCGTGTCTGCCGCCGTTGTCTGGTCTGCCCAGCCTCACCTTGCCATTCTCTGCACACCAAGTCCTGTAATTCTTTTCCAACATCTCCTTCACGCCCTTTGCACCGAAGCAAGCCCTGACATGCTTGTTCATCCGACTAAAGATGATCCGGTTCAGTCCATCAAATTCCTCGAACCGGATTTGCGGTGGGGGGTCTCGAGGACTGAGTCTGACGACAGAAGACTCGACTTGAGGTGGGGGTCTGAAATTGCCTTTTCCAACTTTCATTATATGCTCGACTTTTGCGTAAAGCTGGACGTTGGCTGCTAATCTGCACCACATTTTCGAACCGGGAGTAGCGACCAGACGCAGAGCGAATTCTCGCTGGAACATGAGAACAGCCGTACGAATGACGGGTCGATGGGAGAGGAGCTTGAAAACCAAAGGCGATGAGATCTGTTGAGAAATGTCAGTGGGCGCTGATTATATCTGAAGAGAGCAAACCTACCTGATACGGTGTATTGCTGATGCAAACGTCAAAGTACGGCAGATCTGCTTTGACGAAATCACCAAGGATGATCTCCAGCTTCTTCTGCTCGGGTTTCCCTAAGACTCGTTTTTGGACTTCTGCCGCCATTCGAGGATCCATCTCTACGGCCACAACTTTCCGACTGGCTTGCAAGATTCGGACTGTCAGGTTTCCAGTACCTGGACCGACCTCCAAGACGACATCGGTGGGTTTCAAGTTGGCCTATCCGGTCAGTCTCGTCTCCAGCAGCCGGCGTCAGATCCCTATTTCTCACCTTGTCCACAATACTGCGACACAGATCAGCTCTGACCTGATCATAACAACCTGGCGACCACTCACCCCTGAGCGACCGCTGGATTCGTCAGGATGTGTTGTCCGAACCTTTCAGTGTCGAACAAGTGATTCCTCGCTCCGCTCCCTGATGACCCCGTCGAGCTCTCTCCATTCTTTTTGAGCTGACCAGGACGTACAGCAGCATTATGCGGCCTCGTAGTGAAAGTCTGAGAAGTTGCCTTGGGCATAATGTCGTGCAAGTAGCTGGCTGAAGCAAGTATCCGAAGAGATTGAGGAGCTCGAGGATCGTCTCAGATTTTCAAAATTTATTTGCCACGTCAACTCCGCTTGAACGGAGGTCTCGGCATATCGAGTAGGGCCCATTCAACTCAAATGTAATCGTCCATTCAACTGTAATTGTCGATTCAACTGTAATTGACATGAACGGCAAGGGCAAGGGAAAGGCCGTCAAGGTAAGGGGGAGCTTCGCTGTCCCCCTACTGACCCAAATGCTGATCTTCAGCAGTCCCTTTCAGATCCTTCGCAATCTCCCTCCGGTTCTAAGCGGGTCAGTGAACACGAGCTACGTTGCGATCTGCCTAAACTCCCCTCCTAGCCATCTCCTAGGCTTCCATACGATGTCCTTATACGAGTCTTCCAAATCATAGGCAATGACCCACTGTCAAAATCTGTCCTCTTCAGATGCTTGATCCTCGACAAGACGATTTGCCCTATCGTCGGCAAGATACTCTATCGATGGTTGATCTTGCCTGCTGAGCCCAGGCGTCCATTCAACCCGTTTGAAGTACCTGGTCCATCGAAACTTCCAGTAATACTCCAGTCCAAGACATTTCTGCGTCACGTAGAGACCGTCCAGCTGGGAGCTCCATTTGGCGATCGATTCTGCCGATTTCTGGCCTACCTATGCGACAACACCATACATCCCTCCAAGGGTACACTGATACTTGATTTCGACTTCAAAACCTCAGTCATCAGCCGCGACCCGTGTTCGAGGGATCATTCGAAATGTATAGAAAGACTGTCAAAGGCTGGTTGGACGATCGTTCTGGATAACCGTTCACTCTGGGACAATTTTCCGAGACTATGGCCCGACCCACATTCGAGGCTCAAACCCAAAGGGACCCTGCTGATAAAACTCCGCCCTCCTTGGAAGCCTATGGAGGATATCAGAGGGTTGCCGGGATGGCGGACGAGATGGCAACGTGAGATGTACAATGCATCTCTCTACTTTGCCAACATCATCGTCATCTTCCACACTTTACATCCCAACGAGCCTTGGACGCAGTACGAGTGTGACGAACATTGTAGGAGTCGAGGTCCGATCCGTCTCCATGCAACTTGGTTTCCGGACTTTGTGAACGATCTGGCTATGCTGGCACACGAAATCTGTGGCGACGGCAAATTGGTCATCGTCAACGCTGGATCGGTGAATGTGCCCCGCGACCTCGACTGGGTACGTGAAGCGCAGCAAGACGAGATGCAACAAAGGCTGTCTGATGCGTTTTTTGAAATTGCACAAGGAAAGGGCTTGGAGTCAGTTGCTTCACAGAATCTCTGGGACAAGAAGCTCGCGTTCATCACAATGAGTCAGTATCTCGCGCAAGAAACATGGATTGGTCAGTGGAAGGCAGACGCGGTGGCATCGTGGCTAAAAGAGACCGAGCTGCAACTACAACCAACATGGGGCGGAGATCGATCGAAAGGGTGTCGGACCTGTGAGATTCAAGCCATGATGGACTGAGTCTGTAATCATAGCGTGGGCCGCTCGGCATGGCTTGACAGATAAATGAATCATACCCGTATTATTACACAATGTTGCATGGTTGGATTTGCTATATACCACTTGCATCCCCAGGACGCCAATGCAGAGTCTGATCGTACAGATATGAGATCATATGTCACGGTTTGCTGTTTTCGCGCTCTATCGTTGGGACGAGGGGCATTTGAGCAAACCGGATCTCTCCCTGTCTCTCTTCAATATATGACATGAAAAACGAAAACGAAAATTGGGTGAAGTGTGCCGCAGAGCAAGACCAACAAGAAAGTCCTCTTGATGCGGGTGATAATTGATGATGAAAGTAACGTGTCCTGATACCGGGGCAGGAGGAATCGGTTTGGGTGCAAAATAGTGCGGGATGTGAGAGATGTATTTGCTAGTCGTCGTCTTCGCAATTTGTTCGTGTGTAGCTCCTCGTCGTAATGAAAGATAAAGGCGCCAGCAGACAATGTCAGTCATCGCCATTCTCTTGAGCCCAGCCGGCTGATGCAAGCTATACGCTGCCATCCCGCCAACCCGCCAGACTCTTCTATTCCTTTTCGTCCGCAAGCTCCTCCACTCTGTCCCCACTCATGCTTGTCCCTGGTGTCTCCGTGTCGGTCTTGATTCCGCCTTCTTCACCATTCAAAACGCTCGTAGCTGAACTGGTGGAAGCATTCTTCATTAAGGCATGCTCGACCTCCCCGGATGCCATCTTTGGGACCGACCCAACAGCAGCGCCATTCATAGTGCCCGAACCAGGCATCGCATCGATGCCGAGACCCGAGATCGAGTTGACCAATTCCGCTGTCGCTGCATCTGAGTGAGGCGACAAAACCATCGGGTCGCTTGGCGGGTCGGCGGGGAATACTGACGGCTTCGCTTCTGGGAGGACCCAGCGCTTGGATTCGCCGTAAGCCAATCTGACCTTGTCCTCTCGGACCTCCAGTAGTGTTGATAGCTGCATGACTTCCTTGACCAACCCCACGTCGGTTGTCAGATTTTTGACTCGGTTGAATGACGCAATGACGGGAATGTCGATCCAGCCTTCAGAATCCATCTGCGGGCAAGTCAGCTCCACTCATAGACAGCGAAATCGCTTACTTGTTGTCGGAGGAAAAAGTCCATGGCCAAATTCTGCATGCTGAAGTAGTATTCAACCTAGACGATGTCAGTACTGGTCTACTTACGCCTAAGAATGACTTACCTGACCCAGCACATACACTCTCAGCGGGTCAAGACCCATAACGATCGTTTGAGGCATGGGAGGAGGTGGCATACCACCCCTAGCAGGCGCAAGCCGTGAGTATTGTGCACTCCAAGCATCAAATGACGCATTGGCACCATACGTGATGGGCCCCATAGGCTGCGGCACGAAGCCATAACCCATTCCGTACCCCCTTGCGTACAGGTTGTCCGCGGGAAGACCTTTGAAAGCTCCTGGCGGAGAAGCAAATCCTCTGGGCGCGCGATGCGCAGAGGAAGATCGGAAACCTCCACGCATGCCCCGATTCGTCTGACCTGAAAATGATTGTCTTGCTTCTCGACTTCTGGGCGGTCTGGTGTACTGACTGGATCCAGCGGCGGGAAATTGAGCCATAGGGGTCGCCGCCGTGATGGAATTGCTTCCTCGACCAAAAGGTCCCGCGCCAAGACGCATTGACGCGCTGTCGAGATTGAGCCCATGAGCAGTAGGGGAAGGTGCTTGGGTTCGAGATAAGCGTTGAGGATGGTTCGCTGATTGACGACTGGTCTGTCGTGAAAGAGGGGCGCTCATGGAGGTTGTGGCCTCGTCGTTGGTAGCTGAGATGTCGGGCGTTGCAGTACCAAAAACGGGTCTGAAACCTGGTGTGGCAGCCTCTTTTGATGTAGTCGTCGGCATGGGTGGCAGCCTTATGGAGTCGGATCGTGCCTTCCGTCCTTCTACAGACGTTTTCCGTGCTTTCGCCTTGGAGGGAGATGTCGAGGATTCAGCCTTGGCCACCTTCTTCTTCGATGCAGCCTGACGCCGCTGATTCTCAGCAGCCTCATCTGCGTATGCTTGAAGCTCGTCAGCTGGGATCGCTTTCCACTTTGTTTTCTCTATGGATCGGGTCAGCCACCGGATATTCAGCAATCACTCTAACCCACTTCCAACTGCTGGTGGATCTTCCACTGCAGTGCTCGTTTCGCTATCTTTTCGTTCCTTGCTCTTGTCCTTTTTCTCTTCGGCCGCCCGAGATACTTCTGCGGCTTGTCCAACATCTGGCCACAACGAAGCGTTGATGCCAGCTGGCGTGTCCGCAGATGTGCCCGCGGTAGGCCTCTTTTCCGTCCTGCTTGCAGCGAGCGCGCCTTCAATCGCCTCGGTATGACCGTTCGGTAAGCTTTTGACGTTGGGGGTTGGCGGTGGCGATACAGACCCAAATTGCAATATGCGACCACTCAGAGTCGAGCTTTTAGACGCAGACGCTACGTTCATCGGACTTGCTGCAGTGCCCAACTTCTTCTTCCGCTCTTCCCAAGGATTAACAGCGGGAACAACAGGCTGTTTGGATTCGGCCGCGGGGACTTTGCCTTCCAGGCCAGAGTGATCGACGATCGTGGCGGAATCTGGTATTGTGGTGGTGGAAGATGTCTCTGCAGACAGGTCAGGAGAAGCCGAATTGTTGGTGATAGTTGTACCGTTCAGAGACGGTGAGGAAGGGGTGGTGGCGTTCTGCGAGCTGGTGGACTGAGATTGCGTCTGAGCGGGTGGTGTACTTGTTCGGGCTCGGCTGGAGGAGCCAGACTGAACCCCGAGAGATCCCCAGACGGACTTTGAGCCTATAGCCGATGTCGAGGTGGTCGCTGTTGGCTGCGTTCCAGGTTGAGGAGATTTCTCTACTGTCAACAGAGCACCCTTGGGATGCGTCTCTTTGGCAGATTTGTGGCCCGATTTTGAGCGATTCTCATCCTCAACAGATTGCTCTTTTGACGTGGTTCGCTCTCGCCAGTTCCTGGAATCGCTGCCTGCTTGCTTTTTATCCTCCGTCCGTGCGCGATGCCTAGTATTCTGCACAGTTTCCCAAGCCCCATCATCTTCATGGTCATTGGAAGTCGGTTGCTTTGACGGCGCACTGGGCCGAGACTGTTGAGCGGCGGACTTGGTCGGAGTGGAAGTTGTCGCGGGACTAGAAGACGAAGAGGTAGCTCCGGATGGCGCTGCGGGTTCGCTGATAGCTGGCTCGCCAGATTGAGGTGCAGACTTGCTCGCATTGTCCTTGATGCGGTCGGCATACGAGCCAAGAGCGCTGAACACTGAAGTATGCGCTACCTGATTCGACGTTGGATTAGACATCATGAGAGGGTGGGAAGGGGTCGGGAGGAGTCTAGGAAAGGCGGAAGGGGAAAGTGAAGCGTGCTGCACGGCAATCATGGTAAGCGAGAGCCAGCTGGCAATGAGGACAGGAAGCAGTGCGGGGAAGAGGTGGCGGAGACAATAACGGCAATGCGATTCTTATGGCAACAACGGCGTGAGTATCCCATCACAGCGTTGCGCCGTGATATTGGGACAGCGGAGAAAGCCAGGGAAAAGGAGTGACGATGTAAAAGGATGTCCAATGTCCCACAAAAGCTGAGGTATTGCAGGAGCATATCAAAGGGGTGAACGAGGCGAGACGGAGGTTCTCGAGAGAAGAACACCGCCGAGAGTCGTAGACTCAATGGAGGGAACCTCTGAAGGCGAAGGCAGCGGACTCCAAACCCGACTCACGCAATTGGTTGATCAAGATCTTCTGAACGGGGACAGTCGGAATAGATAATTATCCTGACCAGGCCTTTCTTCAGGGTTGTGGGATGCTGAAGGGCGAGATTTCGGTACTCTATCGGACGAGAGATGCCCCAGGATCTATCGAGCGTATAAGCTCATTGAACGCCAGCGAAAATTGCTCAAGGCCGGACGATTCTGCCTCACCCTATTCTCTTGCCCCTCTCTACACGCTCGCTCCCAACAAAATCCCTTCTCCTATCCCCACTGCGAACTTGGAAAGCAAAGTCCAAGGCTAATGCTCTTCCCAGTCACTTGTTGATAGCTAGTGGTGTGTTGCAAGCGAACTTCGTCGATGAGCCGGCAATGGTTCCAAAAGGCTTTGTCAGTGACGGATCCGAGCTCGGCGGGATGACACGTCTAGCGTTGATTTAGGTGACGGTAGACGCCTGGAAGGTGGTCCGCTGATGTAGCCGAGAAGGATATCGTGTGCACGGTCTACCGGAGTCTAGACGTTACCAAGACTTGCAGACACGGGAGAAGAGGTTGGATGAAGAGACGTCGAGGGATAGCTTCGACGACCAGGATTGAACGGGAGATTCTGCGACTTAAATCGGCGTTATGAAATTTGCAGGCAGCAGTATTATTCTGCTTCCATCTTCTCTATACAGAGCCCATAATCCATCTTGACGGCCACCCATACACTTTGACAAGCACGACTGAGGGACTCCAAGCCTGATTAGGGAGCTCTTGGACGGCTCAGATCATCCATCAAGATGCGTAAACTCAAGCATCATGAGCAAAAGCTGCTGAAAAAAGTCGACTTTTTGAATGTGAGTTGGAATCGATCTGTTGCCACCGCGATTGCATTGATACGGGTCTGCAGTGGAAGCAAGATGCTTCTCAGAGAGAAGTCAAAGTGATGAGAAAGTATCACATCCAAGACCGAGAGGACTATCATAAGTGAGTCTCACAAGACCCGGGTCACGCGATCGGTCTTCTGACCTTTCGTAGATACAACAAGCTCTGTGGCTCTCTTCGTTCGCTGATACATCGACTATCCTTGCTACCCGCTGAAGACCCGTATCGACAGCAGAAAGAGTCGGAAATGCTGAACAAACTATACGACATGGGGATTCTGGGTGCGCTACTGGGAGCTGAACTGGAGCTGATCCGCCTAGATGTCGGCTCGAAACCTTCGGACATCGAAAACAAGGTCACGGTTTCTTCGATAGCCAGACGGAGATTAGCGGTGACTGTGGCCAGACTAAAGATGGCTGAGACTGTATCTGATGTGAGTTTTGCCAAACGTCTTGGCTGGCATCAGGCTCATCATGTCCCGCTAGGCTGTGCGGACCATTGAACAAGGCCATGTCCGCGTTGGTACTCAGCCGGTGACGGACCCAGCCATGCTCATCACAAGACACATGGAGGACTTTGTCACTTGGGTGGACACGAGTGCTAGAAAGAGGACGATTATGAAGTATAATGACGAGGTGAGTCGTGTTGAGTGACACTTGTCGAAATGTACTGACTCATCTTATTAGCTGGATGACTTTGACCTGTTGTAAAAATTTTCGCCCACCACCGCATCAATGCATTGTCCTACCATATATTCACACCATCGCATGCAAGATCTCCATATCACACCTTGCTCTCGCTTACCGTGCGCCGCATCCGCTCTCAGATACTGGCCAAAATGGCATCCACATCCAGCTGGTTGATCAGTGGATCCCCCCTTATCATCCCTCCGATTCGCATGTGAGCAGCTTCCGTTTTAGCATTGACAGTGGCGACTTGTTGGAAGATCTCTACAGCCCAGCGCTTCGTGTTCTGCATCGCGCCGAGTCTGATCGCAGCTGGCGTGGACGCATTCCCTGGTGTCCTTGATTGCTGCTCCCTCGCGTATGCCACTAAGAACTGAGCCGTCTCCGCCCTGAGTTGATCCAGCTGCCTATGGTCATGGACGGTGACGTACAAGTTCAATTTTGTCTCAAACTGTTCCCCTGCGACTCTTATGGTGCGCTTGGTGAAACTCGGCAAGAGGCCGCGATGTTGGCTTGTGATCAGCTGTATAGTTGATGGATCGCCTGCAGCTGCTCTTGGCTCTGCTTCGTGGCTGGTGAAAGGGATTGTAATGGCGGATAGGCCGGCAAAGTCGCGTATGGGGAAAAAATCGTACTTGCTCGGATCACCGGTACGCTTGGCGAGAGGGATGAAGCAGGTCAAGTCGAGGAACGACATGGTGGCTACCGTCTTGAGATCCTTTTCATAATCCAAACTCGGCCGAGAGTTCATCATTGGACCGAGTATGTACAAGATGACCAAAAGATGTCTTTTGTTGAGGCCCTGTTGATGATTGACACCAGTCGGGGCCCATTGATTCTGCCGCATATTCATGAGTGTGACATTGTTGGGTCCGAAGAAACTTATGAGTTTATACAGCGTGCTTGAGAGGGCGTCAAAGTTGGGCCCGCCTTGTTGTACAGGCGTCTGCCAATACGTTTGAAGCTCGTACCAGACCTTGGAAGGCTCGTCATATCGGTATGATTTTGGATGCCTGTCAAGTTGTGCGGCGAGGGCGACAGACGTATCTACCCTCCCTTGAGTGCCGGACAGAGCGTCTGTGGTCTGCTTCACGGTCAACCCAGGGCGAAAGACCAGCCTGGTCTGAATGCATTCGGTTCGAATTTTGGTGTTGTTTGCAGTCACGTCTTCCAGAGCATTCACATCATTGACCAGGGAACCATGCGCCGTCGAAAACGAATCTTCTGCTTCCCGCATTCGCCAAAACCAGGTCGACATGTCTTCCCCTTCACTCCACATGAAGATCGTCAGTGTCCGCTCGAATCGATAGACCATGTCGTCTCTCAGTTCTCCATTGATAGCTAGTCGAGTGCCATTGCCACAAAGATCGACTCCACTAGGGGTGAAGAGCCTATATCGTCTCATCCAATCACCGAGAGCTTCCAACCATCTCAAGAGGTTGGCAACTTTTGCTCCTAACACCTTGGTCATGTTGACTAAGCCGTTGTCGGCTTCCTCGTCATCGTTATGATTCATCCTTTTCTTGGAGCTGGTCGATCGGAAGTGGTCGGCAAACCAGCCGATGCACAGCGTCCTCGCATCGATTGTATTACTTTGGATCCGTTCCGCTCGAGCTCGAGTCACAAATTGGCTCCAGGATCTGTTCTTGTCTCTCTTGGCCTGAACCCTTCGTGCAGTCTGATATCTTGTGTCCATACATTTTCGGATCTGCCGGACGTCCTCCGCTGATAACACGTCAGCTATTCGCTCAGCTGCCATGGTGGCTATCCGCGGTAGAGCTCCCCAAGCAGGATCCCAATCGTCCTCCAGAGGCTGCAGAACAAGCTCGGGTCGCTGTTTCTGCTCGCGCAATGCCGACAGTGTCAACGGTCGAACGCGCTTCAGCAGAGATTCATCGCTCATGGACCCGTAGATCCGAGCGTCATATCTCGCAATGTTCTCCACCGTTTGGAGAAAGTCCTCGAGCACGGGATCTAATCTGCCTTGCAGCAGACTCCTGACGGTCATGTCCTTGTACGACCGAGCCATGGAGAATTTCTTCTTCCATTCTGGAGTCTGGACCTTTCCTTTGTAATCGATCAGATCTTCGTGATTGACGTAATTGAAATGCCTTGTTTGATCTCCAAACATCATGTCGTCTGAATGGGTTTCAGTCAATGGCTGACCGATATCTTCATCATCCTTCCACTTGATTCCGGAATTTGGGGATCGGGTCCGCATGGGTTGAGCGCCAGTCACCCTGTCCGGCGCGTAGACACTGGGTCTTGGCGAAGTGTCGATCCTTCGGAGCTTCGCCGGGTCGGAGATCGGTGGCGCCGGTCGAACCGGACGTGGGCTTTGAGGAGGTCTGGAAGTTTGTGGCGACCTCGGAGCCGATGACGATGAGGAACCTGAAGAGGGCACGGTGCCTTCCGAGGTGGGGGTCGCGGGAATGGTTGCGCCGGAGGTCGGTGTCGAAGAAATGGTGTTACTGGCAGATCCAGGAGTCCTCGGAGTTGTCACACTTTGCAAAGTCGAGGGGTTTGCCACGGCGACAGCCGAGGATGCGGATTCAGCTTGCTTATCGTTGCCTCCACCGCCAAAGATGAGGTAGGCCATGATGACAACAAATACGAGGACGATGAGGATCTGGGGATCCAAGGCCACTTGAGCCCGAGAACCCACTTGAAAGGCAACATTCCGGGCCATCCTGAACGTTGTGGTGGTTGAAGATAAGAGAGAGGAAACGATTTGCTCGCTTTGGTTGGGCTGGATGGGGTCAGTCAAATTTCAATCCTTTGTGGGCTTGGCAGCCGATCAGCAAGGAGGAGCCGATCAGTAAAGGGCAATAAGAGGTCTTTCCCGTTGATGAATACATCATGACTGATCTTTCTGAATCAGGAGGAAAAGTCCTACACTACCGAGAAGCGCATACTTGAGCTGCGGAAAGTCGTTCTACAGAGAATATCAGTCATCGACAATCATTGAGTCGAGAATACTCACCATTGCAATCGTGACGTATCCGACGTACGGCAGGAACCTGCGCTGATCAGCGCCTTGACGAGATGCGGACAACGTCGTACTTGACTCACCCTCTGACTTTTCCGATGACATGTTTCCGCTCGACCCATTCCATTCCCGGGCTGTATAGTACGAGGTCGTCTGAAGTATTGTTATCCCCCTTTGTCAGGAGCCTCTGTGTTGTATTCCTATCCGGCAGATCATCAGGATAGACTTCGCTGCAGATGGAGACAGGCACACTGACGTGATATGGGATTCTATGACTCGGTGGACAATGGGGATATCTCCCCCAGGTCTATGAGGCATCAGCATTTGGACCGCATGAGTCAAGGAGACGAAGCTCAGCGACACCGCGTCACCCACAGTTTGTAGACTGTGATATCACCGATCTCGTATGGTGTATCCGCGGGATTTGTCAAGAAGAGAATGTCCCCTCGATAGAACGCCGGCTCCATAGATCCACTAAGGAGGAAGAGAGACAGAGATGATCAGCTGCGAGCCCGTTGTGATCAACGAATTTCGGACCCACGACAGCACAACAACTATCGGCGATTCAGAGTTCGTCACTAGACACAGCGCCTTCCACATTGCAAGGCCAGAAGCAACAACCGTCAGGAAGTTGAGCGCTTGAAATAGTAGCTGGAGGGTAAGAATTAGCGACTGTCCCACTCTGTGCGGCCTGCTCACGCCTTGAACACCCAGTTTGCGCAGTCGCGCAATCTCCGAGGAGAACATTGCGGTCTTGACAGGGGTCTAGTGACCGGATTCGGTCGACCAGGAGCTCTCGCAATGAACTTGGATGCAGTGAAGCATCCAAATGATTCTCGATCACCACTCGCGCCAGCTCACCGGGAAGCTTGGCGGCGTGTCGTGCCACGTCATGCAACAGGAACCGCTTATCATTTCGCCTCTCGCCCTTTATCCCGAGCAGCTGATGTTGAGTAAGGTCTCCATTACAGCTCCGAGGGTCCAGCTTTCCGTAAACCATGGCAGACAATCAGAGCACCCCCAGACAACCGAGTCGAAGAGAGCCTGTGCTCACCCCCGGTGGAGTGGCCGATCAACTCTCCAGACTCGAGCTACCAGCTCCTTCCAACCTGAATCTGGAGATCCCAAATCGCTCGAATCTACCTCCCGCACCAGACTCTGCCATTTCCACAACATCCATACGGTCCAATGACACTGGTGATATCTCAGGACCTGAGCCAGAGTACATTACTCAAGCTCGCAACAAGAATCGATCTGAGAGCGTGTCGGAGCAGCTCAGTGCGCAGTTGAGCAAGATGAATTTCCCTCAACCTGAGCACATCTTTGGACCGAACGAGGGCGGAAGCGCCGCGGCGAAGGAGAGGAATGCCCAGAATCAAGGTGTATCGGATGCAGACTGGGCCAGAGTGCAATTGGACGACGAGGTTCCGGAAGCTGTCAAAGAGCCTGTGAGAATGACTCATTCGAGGAACGTCAGCAGAGTGTGGGTGAAAGTTAGATCGGGACCAAGTGCCTAGCTAACGAGATCACAGAGATGCCGCTACTCCATCTCACGCTAGTCTGCAACCTTCGCCAATACCTGAAGGGACCGAGACAGCGGCGGTCGCTCGGGAGCAGAAGATCACCCCGTTTGACGTAGAAGGAGGAGTGGACGCTGATGGAAAGGAGACTGGAATGTGTGTCAAAATCTTGTCTTAAGTGTGGGTCATGGCTGATTGACCCTGCAGCGACTATGAAAAGGTCGTCAGGCGCTTCGGAGCCACGATGATATCGCCAGATCTCCTGGAGCGGTTCGAGAAATTGACTGGGCATCGACCACATCCGCTGCTGAGACGAGGCACGTTTTTCTCCCACCGGTGAGTTCACGTGCCTGCTGCCTGCTGCCTGGCCAACACACCTCAGCGATTTCAATTTGATTCTGGATCGATACGAAAAAGGTCAGCCGTTCTATCTGTATACTGGACGTGGTCCAAGCAGTGACTCCATGCACATGGGTCACCTCATTCCTTTCATGTTCACAGCGTGAGCCTTTTCCAACCAAAGGTTGGTTTTTGCTCATACAGCTGCAGATGGTTGCAACGTGTATTCAACGTGCCCTTGGTGGTCCAAATCACTGGTGAGCGTTACTCCCAGCTGCGTTGGGCTTACATTCCTAGATGACGAGAAATACCTTTTGGAACGCGATGCAAAGAAGCAAGCGGCATTGCAAAAGAAGATCAAGGCCAAAAAGCCATTGAATCTGTTGGACCATTATCACAAGATGGGTCAGGACAACATCAAAGACATCATTGCCTGTGGTGTACTGCCAGAGAAGACGTTCATCTTCTCCAATCTGAGCTATGTCGGGTGAGTGAGAGCCGTGGTTTTTGAGCGCTTTAGCTCATGCGAGTCATTGCAGTGGCCCTTTCTACCGCAATGTGGTCCTCATGGGCAAAACGTTGACCGTGAACAATGTCAAGGGCGTCTTCGGTTTCTCTGACTCGTGAGCCACCACGAGGATTACCTGAGCTGACATCTGCAGCGACAATGCAGGAATGTTTCACTTTGCCGCTATCCAAGCTACTCCGTCGTTCTCGAATTCATTCCCTCAGATCTTCGGCGAAAGGGACGACATTCCCTGTCTGATCCCGTGTGCAATCGACCAGGATCCTTACGTGAGTATGACAAGACATTCAGCTCATTCTTCGAGCTGACGACGTGTTGTAGTTCTTGGTGACCCGTGATTCCGCCGACAAGTTGGGATACAAGAAGCCGTGCCTGCTTCATTCCAAATTCCTCCCCGCGCTTCAAGGTGCCAACACCAAAATGTCCGCTTCCAACGAGAACTCTGCCATTTTCATGACGGACGATGCGAAAAAGATTGCCAAAAAGATCAAATCTCACGCGTTCTCGGGTGGTGGGGCGACACAAGAGGAGCACCAGAGATTGGGCGGAAACCCCGACATTGACGTGGCGTATCAGTATCTGAGCTTCTTTGAAGATGACGATGAGAAAATGAAGTCGTTGTCAGACGTAAGCGCACGGTCAATAGATCATGGCTGATTTTCCAGGGATACCGAGCGGGCACGTTGAGCACATCTCAGATGAAGGAAGCTTGTATTGCGAAGATTACAGCTGTGGTCGAGGAATTCCAAAAGGTGGGTCTTCCTGCTGCACATTCATGCTGATACTGCGCAGAACCGAGCGGCTGTCACGGATGAGATTCTGCATGCTTACCAAGACCCAACGAGGAAGATTGACCCTCGTCCAGTCGCAAAGACTCAGGAATAGTATACATACAATAGAGCAGGACAAGTTCTGGTTCACATTCCATATGCATTATGTCGATGGTTGAGGCGCGCGCGGAAGCAAATTTCAACCGAGCACTGATTCACGATTTGGACGCGGACGCCCACGCAGAGAGACCTTGTGATTGATCTATCAGCCTTGTCCAGCCAGCGTCTTCCCATCGTCCACTCGTCATTTCTCAATCGACCAGACAGGCATATCTGAGCACCTAGGAGACTACCACTGTACCGGAAATCAGCTCGTCTTCTGTGCCGATCAACATGTCGCAAGACAAGGATCCTCAGTCAGCAGATATTCTCGTTCCTTCCACCGATCCTGAGAAGAAGAAGGATGAGAGTGAGAAGCCAAAGATAAACGGGGATGCAAAAGGCAAAGGAAAGGGAGAATCGGAAGAAGTCGAGATCGTGAGTTGCTAGTGTCAAGATTGCAGACTAGGAGAAGGGTCCGCTGACGTTGAGTCATCGCTCCAGTCTGAAGAGGATTTACAGCTCAAGACCGAGTTGGAGATGCTCGTGGAGCGTCTCAAGGTGCGTCAAGGGGGGCATCTTTAAAACGATGTCGAACTCCTAAGCGTGCGATCGATCAGCTGACACGCTGTCGACGCTAGGAATCCGACACCAATCTCTACCTTCCCGCTCTCGAATCCCTTCGAACTCTGATCAAGACCTCCACCAGTTCAATGACCAGTGTTCCCAAGCCTCTCAAATTTCTCAGACCTCATTATGAAGAGCTTGGTCAGATACGCGAAGGATGGAGTGACAGTCTGAAAGAGCAAAAGGTGCGTCTGATGAGGCAGGAGCGATGGACCTATGCTTACCCCATCATCCAGTCTCTCCTTGCCTCGATCCTCTCTGTGCTGGCCATGACATACTCGGATACCGGAAAGCGTGATACACTCTTCTACCGTCTTCTTTCTCAATCTACCGAAGCACCCGGATCCTGGGGCCACGAATACGTCCGTCATCTCTCCTCTGAACTTGGGGAAGAGTACAATGCTCGTTTTGTCGGAGAAGAGGAACATGTCAACGGACACATGAATGGAGAGGCGAACGGCGCAGCAGAGAAGACATCAGATAGAAATTATTCGGTGGATCAATTGAGAAGTCTGGCTCTCGAGTTGGTGGATTTCAACCTCAAGCATAATGCCGAGGCCGATGCTGTGGACCTGCTGCTTGAGCTCGAGTGCATCGAGCAGATTGTCAGCAGGATCGATGAGAAGACATGGCCGAGAGTGTGTCAGTATATGGTTAGGTGAGATTTCGAATGCTCCACGACATCGTCTTCTCTGTGTTGAGGTTGAGGCTTTGATAGCTGCGTGCCATTATTGGTACCTCCTGACGATGTTCACTTTCTGCGAACGGCATCGGAAATATACGCCAAATTCAACCGCTATCCTGAAGCCTTGGCCCTTGCTGTGCGTCTGAATGACAGGACACTCATAAGAGAGCTGTATGCAGCGCCGACCAACCCGTGAGTGACGTCGAAACGCAGATAAAGCGTTCGTTCTCTGACATGTCAGCAGTGTGATGAAGAAACAGCTATCATACTTTCTCGCTCGAGCTCAGATACCTCTCCACTGGGTTCATACTGCCGAGGATACCGAGAAAGAGGGCGACGGCCCAGCGCCGCTGCAAGACGAAGATACATTGCTATGTTTAGGCAATACGAAATTGTCGCATCATTTCCGCAACTTTGGCAAGGCAGTCGATGTACATGAGCCTCGATCAGTCGAAGACATCTATAAAACCCATCTCGAGACGACACGAACGACACACAATGCTGACTCTGCCCGTCACAATCTCGCTTCCACATTCGTCAATGCGTTTGTCAATGCTGGATTTGGGAACGACAAGCTCATGGTTGCTGCACCCGAGGGACAAAGTTGGATCTACAAGAACAAAGAGCAGGGAATGTTGTCAGCCACTGCATCCATTGGATTGAGCATGATGTGGGACTCGGAAGCCGGTATTGATTTCATCGACAAGTACTCCTATTCAAGCGAGGAGAATATCAAAGCTGGCGCTTTCCTCGCCATGGGCATCTTGCACTCGGGTATACGACCGGATCCGGATGTCGCTTTCGCCCTGTTGGAAGAGCATACCATGTCAAAATCACTCCCACTTCAGATCAGCGCCATCAACGGTATTGGAATCGCCTACGCCGGGACTTGCAGAGCAGATATCCGTGATCTGCTGTTGCCTCACATTGCGGACGACGCGAATTCAATGGAAGTGGCGAGCATGGCTGCATTGGCGCTGGGCTTTGTGTTTGTGGGGTCAGCCGATGAGGAGATTGCCACGGGTATTTTGAGGACCTTGCTCGAGCGAGAATCGACTGCTTTGGACTCGGAATGGACAATCTTCCTGGTTCTGGCCCTTGGATTGCTCTTCCTAGGTGAGTCTGGATGACCGATCTCCATTGCTGAATCTGTTTCAGGCTCTCAGGACACGTCGGAAGCGACACTGGAAACCCTACGGGCAGTCGAGCATGAAATCGGGCAAACTGCCGAGATTCTGGTCGATGTTTGCTCTTACGCCGGCACTGGAAACGTGCTCAAGGTCCAGAAGATGCTGCATCTGTGCGCGGAGCATGCCGCAAAAGAGAAGAAGAAGAAGGATGACCCCAAAGAGCCTGCTACCGAGGGCGCATCTGGGACTGCCGCAGCGCCTGCTGAGGGAGATGGAGATGTCGCCATGGGGGGAGAATCAGCTCAGCCAGCTTCAGGCGATGACGCTCCTGCTTCTGCCCCCGCGGCATCGTCTATCGAGGCCCCTGTTCCCCCGCCGCCTGGAGAGGCAGAGGAGGACGAGGAGGACGAAGATGAGCAGGTGGAGAGCAAGCCTCTGAAGCATCAAGCGGTTGCTACCATTGGTATTGCATTGATCGCAATGGGAGAGGAGGTCGGCGCGGAGATGGCTTTGAGGCAGTATCAGCACCTGGTGAGGGGGAAAACACAGCACGGAAGAGACTGATTAGTGCCTCAGATGACGTTTGGAGATCCTGTCATTCGAAAATCTGTTCCTCTTGCCCTTGGACTCATCTCAGCATCCAACCCTCAATTATCTATCCTGGATACGCTTTCGAAATACTCGCACGACTCGGACCTTGAAGTGGCTCAGAATGCCATCATCGCGATGGGTCTAGTCGGTGCTGGTACAAACAATGCGAGATTGGCGCAAATGTTGAGACAGCTCGCGGTGTACTACTACAAGGAGCCGGATTGCTTCTTCATCGTCCGAGTGGCGCAGGTGAGCGGACATCTTGAGATGGGAGGATCTGCGTTGATCGTGCGCTAGGGTCTGGTCCACATGGGCAAGGGCACCATTGGACTTAATCCGTTCTATCACGATGGTCAAGTCATGTCTCGGACGGCTGTCGCGGGTCTACTGTCTGTTCTCGTCTCATTCACCAACTCGAAAGCTTGTGAGTGTGCCCAGAAGGCTCAGCGACACAATCAGGTTGACTCGGCTGCAGTTGTGCTCGGCTCTCATCACTGGATGCTCTACTGGCTCGTCACCGCCATGTACCCTCAATTCCTGATCACTCTGAACGAGCAACAAGAGGAGTTGGCAACGACTGTCCGTGTGGGTCAAGCTGTGAACACGATCGGGTTGGCGGGAACGCGCATGGGTATCAGTGGTGTGAGTGACGCGACGCAGATTTTATCCCAGTAGATACTGATCATGAGATCCTATCAGTTCCAAACTCATCAGACACCTGTCAGGATAGCGACGGGAGAGAGAGCAGAGTTAGGGACGAACGAGTATTTCCCATATGCCTCGGTCTTGGAGGGATTGGTGATTTTGAAAAAGTGAGGCCAAAGCCAAAAAGGCTAGTTTCCACTGAGGCTGATACAATTCAGGAACGAAGGATACGATGCTCAAGATGTTCAAATGTAGAAGACAGAGAGACAAGAGGCACACAGACAGAGACAAGACGAATGTTCTTGCATTTGCATGCACATGTGATTGATGAGTGGGAATGGACACCACGACCTCTCGAGGTGTTGCTGGTTTTTGGGGTGGCTTGAGCACGTGGCAAACTATTTTGATTCCGTTTTCATTATGAATGTGGGGCAAAAAAAGAAGAGAAAAGTGAAAAAAGAGACGTCATGCCCAAATGGAATCTCTCTCCATCTCCACTCCGCTCTCACCACCGAACTGCTCTCTCTCATCTGGAGGCTGGTCTGCTCTTCTTTGTCTTTTGCCTTTTTATACAATACACGATCTGGAGTCAAGTGAGAGTGAGAGAGATAGACATAGTGACAGCTTGAAAGCTACATCTCCCAACCTGCTCTTCTGTACAGACACATCGAGGTGAGTGGGGTTGATCCGGGGTCCTACCTATTCTTTCTGGCATTCCCACTTGGCTGGATGACGGTATGTGCTGCATACATGCACGATACTCAGCACAGATATGGGTGTACGAGACAATATGCCGTCCCGGCAAACGTCAACCGACTACGGCTCAGTGTAGTACTGCTCGGTGACCCATCTTCCCCCTTTCTCATTCTGTCCTCGGTTCCAGTCATCCACCAGTGTATTCCGTTACACACACCGCTTCAGATCTGACCCACAGCGTACCTAGCTAACGCAGCTTAACCTAGATCAAGATGGTGCGAAACGCTCACAACCCTCTGCTGTTTGAATGCGCTTGGGAAGTAGCGAACAAGGTTGGTGGTATCTACACCGTCATCAAGACCAAAGTTCCTGTGACGGTCCGAGAATTTGGCGACCGGTGAGCCGGGCTTCATCGTATACGGTGGGCAAGTCCTGACGGGTCATACAGAGTATGTCTCATTGGACCGTTATCTTACAAGACCGCTCCGATGGAAGTCGAGGCGGAGGAGCCGTAAGTCCGATTGGTGGAACCATTTCGCTCACAACCTCAGTGAACCCGGTAGCGCCTTTGCTCACACTCTTGAAGCTATGCGTGAAAAGGGCGTCAAGATGATCTATGGAAGATGGCTGATTGAAGGTGCCCCTCGAGTCCTTCTGTTCGACACTGGAAGTTGTTACAACCGGTGAGCATCATATTTGAGGGACTCGGGACTCATTCCAAACAGCATGGACGAATGGAAGACTGATCTTTGGAACCTCGCTGGAATCCCCACACCTCCGAATGATCACGAGACTAACGAGACTATTGTCTTTGGATACATTGTCGCTTGGTTCTTGGGAGAGGTGCGTCAAGCTGCCAAAAATCCCATAGCTGACCGATCAGTTCTCATCCCGAGAAACCAGCAAGGCCATCATTGCCCATTTCCATGAATGGCAAGCTGGTCTCGCCATCCCCCTGTGTCGAAAACGACACATTGATGTGACTACCGTCTTCACCACCCACGCTACACTTCTCGGTCGTTACCTCTGCGCTGGAAGTGTCGACTTCTACAACAACCTGCAGTACTTTGACGTCGATCACGAAGCTGGAAAGAGAGGCATTTACCACCGTTATTGTATCGAACGATCCGCAGCTCATTGTGCGGACGTCTTCACTACCGTCTCCCACATCACGGCCTTTGAAAGTGAACACTTGCTCAAGCGTAAACCAGGTGAGCAAACGTATATCGGACACTCTTTAACCGGCTTTCAGACGGCGTTCTGCCCAACGGTCTCAATGTGAAGAAGTTTGCTGCCATGCACGAATTCCAAAACCTGCACATCCAGGCCAAGGAGAAAATTAATGACTTCATTCGAGGACACTTTTACGGTCATTACGACTTTGATCTCGACAACACAATCTACCTCTTCACGGCTGGTCGATATGAATTCAGGAACAAGGGTGTTGACATGTTTATCGAGTCTCTTGCCCGTGGGTGTATCAGCGGTGTGCCGAGCTCAATCATCTCCCAGGTCTAAACTACCGACTCCAGAACCAAGGCTCAAAGATGACAGTCGTCGCCTTCATCATCATGCCTGCTGCTACCAACTCGTACACTATTGAGGCGCTCAAGGGCCAAGCCGTCACTCAACAATTGCAGGAGACTGTGAACCAAGTTACCAAGCGGATCGGAAAGCGTATCTTCGAGCACGCCGCCAGGTACACTGGGTGAGTGGTCAACGCGAGGTGCACAATTGACGTCTGCAGGGAACACGGTACCGAAGTGCCAAATGCCGAGGACCTCCTCTCAGCCGAGGACAAGGTCTTGATCAAGCGACGAGTCTTTGCCCTCAAGCGAAACTCTTTGCCTCCGATCGTGACTCACAACATGGCGGACGATGCCAATGATCCGATTCTGAACCAGATCCGACGTGTTCAACTGTTCAACCGATCGACTGACCGAGTCAAGGTCATTTTCCACCCCGAATTCCTGAACTCTAACAACCCCATCTTGCCATTGGACTACGAGGAATTCGTTCGAGGATGTCATTTGGGTGTCTTCCCGTCGTATTGTAAGCAGGTAGTCGAACCACCAACTGACAGCCAGACGAACCTTTCGGATACACGCCCGCCGAGTGTACTGTCATGGGTATCCCCAACATTACCACCAACTTGTCTGGATTCGGTTGCTTCATGGAGGATCTCTTGGAGAAACCAGAGGTGGGTCTGGACGGACTGGCAATGCTAATAGGACTAGGACTATGGATGTTACATTGTCGATCGACGAGGTCAAGGTATCGAAGAGTCTGTCAGCCAACTCGTGAGTAACGTCGTAATAGCATATCTGATCTTGTTCAGACCAACCAAATGCTCGACTTTGCTTCCAAATCTCGACGATCTCGTATCAATCAACGAAACCGAACTGAGAGATTGTCAGAGCTTCTCGATTGGAAACAACTCGGACTGGAGTATGTCAAGGCCCGACAACTGGCTCTCCGACGAGCATACCCCGACTCGTTTGACGACGACGAGCCCGACTTTACCGGCGTGCAGAGGATTGGCGCACCTTTGTCTGCTCCAGGAAGTCCCAGGATGAGAACTGGAGCCATGACCCCGGGCGACATTGGCACGTTGACGGAGGAGATGGAGCACCTTGGCACACAGGACTACATGGGTGCAAAGAGTGAGTTGCTTGAATAATAGCATGAAGCAAAAAGTCGGTTGACACGTATCAGGCTGGCGATCCATCAATGACGAAGAGGAGGATGAAACCTCTTATCCCTTCCCACTAGTCATGAAGGCTCGTAATCGATCGGACTCATTTGGATCCGCCTTCTCTGGGGTTTCTGGACAAGCGACACCTCACGGTGGACGAAGATTGTCCGAAAAGGACCTCGCCAAGGCCGATGCAGCCCTCAGCAGCGTTCAGGCCAATGGGGACGATGGAGATAGCGAGAGTAATGGTGTGAACGGGCACTAGGCGGAGAGCCGTGCTGAGAGAGACGTGGTGAGGTGTGACAGGGGCGAGTAGCGTGGAATATACCTCTGATATGGGCTCGCTTGCCGATTCCCTCCCTTGCTTTTCATTTCTGTTTCTTGTCTCTTTTTAATATCTCATTCTGTCCTGACCTTCCCCTTTATCGACCGCGATTCTTCTACCTTCGAAATAAAGCCTTTAACGCTTTGACAGTGTGACGTTTCGATGACTCGTATGCCAAGTATGCAAACCAATGTGCAGGAATGAACATGACAGATGCAAATTGTCCAGATAGGTGGATAATACTACAATATGAATAAGATGTTTCAAGATGTCACAAAAGAACCCAAGATATGTGCAGATGGTATTGCAGATCACCACTCTGGTTCTTCCGATGGGTACACGTACAGTCCCGTCTCCGTGGCTACTGAGTTGGTGAAGGATGTTGATTTACGCAGCAAGAGGCCATTCAAAGCTCGAGCGATGAGTCTGGGAGAAAAGAGGGAGGCGTGAGGATTGACTCGAATCATCTTTTGGCCAGACTCACAGATGTGTGCTCCATGAGAGATGTTGCATGTCACGGAATCTGGCGAGAACATTATCAGCAACGTCACTGACCGGAGACAGGCTGTCGCTCTCTATGACTCACACAAAGCCCAATCTTCCATGATTCGTCTCATCTCCGGTATCATCGATTGTCATGTGGAATCGCTCCGTCTCGGTCATGCCGAACAACTCCGGTTCATCCATGATGAGATCGATGTATCTGAATAGGTCGAATGAAATGACGTTTGCTTGTGGATGTCTCTGTCTGAACAATTCGATTTCATCTCCGTACGCCTCATTGAACCAAGTGACGGAATCGACCACCCGTCCATAGACATCGTGTCCCACGCCACCTTCCAGCGTGTATTTCGGTGAACGATAGAATGGGTGAGCGTTCAAAAAGACGAAATGTCTAGCGCCCATGTCGTACAGCTTTGAACTCTGTTCGAATAGAGCATGAGCGAATTGACCACAGGTCTGTTGAATAGGCGAGTCAAACGCTGTCCTTCTGTCCAACTGAGATATATCATTGATACCGAAAAACATGAGGAATAGAGTCGAGTTCGATTGCCAGTCGTCGTTGTTGTTGTTGTTAGATTGGCCAGAGCCTCGAGAGAAAATTTGCTCGAAATCTGCCAGTTGATCTTCGAGTGTTCCCCATTCTTCTTGTCCTGGAGGTAGACTGGAGCCGAACCCCAAGCGTCAGCACATTGTTGACATCCAAAGGGGCTGCCTGAGGTATCCGACAAGACTCACACTTCCCGCGAGATGGTAGCGCCTGGTCTGGCTAGATTGTAGTATTTCGTCTTGGACGTATCGGTAAAGGTTGACCATAACCAGTCTGTCCATATTCTATCGGTTTTGCGATTATTCTATGGGTAAAGACTGTCAACAGGTGCGCATGAAAGCAACGATTCTCAACACCACCGACAGCACTCACCAAGTGGACGGCCGGGTCAAATGTCCCATCCCCTCGATCCTGCCATTCCTGGTACATTCTATACTGATAATTTGTCGTGAACGAATCTCCGAACGCGAACAGCGTTTTGATCGTTGGCCAATCAAATGGAGTGATCTGATGATCCTTTGAACCAGATGGGGAAGGAGCAGTAGGTCGTCCGCGATCCGTCAGTGGTCGTAGGGCAGGGAATTGAGCTTTGTAAGCTTTCAACCTGTCTGTCCTGGTCCCTCCGTATTTGCCTACTCCGACCAGGTAATCTCGATCGAACGAAGAGCAGATGTTGGAAGGCGCTTCAGGATGTCCAAAGAGGAAGATGATCCCCGTCATCACTACCAGTGCTATACATGCTATGGATGCTTGACGTTTGGGCTGTGGAGAGTGTCGAGAGGACATGGCGGTTTGAGAGGCAGGAGCTAACCAGCACGCACAAGGCTGTGTATGAGCCAGCGAGCGAGTCTAGGATGGATGGCACGGCCACAGTCGCGGAGATCCCGTTCGTTCTCCAGGAGATGAATGGACGCAGAATCGGGGCAAGGCGATAAGACTTGCCGATCCTCTAATGTAGGAGTGATCTGCAGCGATTGATTGTCTCAGAAAGGCAGACCCATCACCGAAGCTCGCAATGGTAATAATAAGATGATTGACCTGACAAAAGTGACTCACCGCTCTGAGACATTGAGCATGCTTTCACTGTCTCCCAGATTTATAAATAAATGGAATTTTCAGGGCAACAAAAAGCGGGAGCAGCGTGACGGACAGGGGCAGCTAGCGGGGTTTTGTGGCGGCAAGATACAAAACGCAGACAATCACATGCACATGACTCTGACGCGCGTTGTTAGAGCTACAACCATCCACCGCCGGATCCTCCGTACTCAAATGGACTCCGAGGTCGAGCTTCGTACACATACAGTGCCGTGTTGTGTTGATCTGGCGCCCAGTACATTCTCAACTTGCCGTCCACCACCGCCACTTCGACTGGATTTTGAGTCATCCTGACATCTACTTCGCTGGCCATGCGATGGGAACTTCCACCAGAGGATCCATCGTTTCGGTATCGACCAACGCGATGCCACCGAGATTGTAAGATGAATTGCCGGATCCGATCGTTGCTACGCCTGAGCAAAGTGCAATAGACTTTGAGCCGAGACACGAAGGGTATCCCACAAATTTACAATCTTGATAATCGACAAAATAGCTTGGGTTTCGAACCACTTTCACAGGTCTAGAAAACCCTTCGAGAGAGTATTGCCGTCTCGAGCTCCAAGTTGATGCGTTTCGACTTCCCCAGTTCAGCGTGACCAGATGATCAGTCCTCGTATCGTGTATCACGCCTCCTTCGTGATCGGCGATCCGGGCTACGGGGGTGGGCTTCAAAGTCATTGGATCGACTTTGACGAGTGTCGCTGTGGAGTTTGGACGATACTGAGCGATCGTACACCAGATCCACTGTCCATCATAATCACATCCGCCATTATGATACTCTTGGGATCCACGTTCAGTCAATGTGGCATCGGCTATGCGGGTCCCATCTGTCGAGTTGAACAGGATCAAATGGGCAAATCCAGCTCCGTTCGCGCGGTCCGTTCCGTTGCGGATGATCGGGGTGCCATTGGCGTCTCTGCCGAATGGAATGGTCGGAGCAGTGTATTCCCCAGCAGAGATAATGATCCGGTCATCACCTAGTTTCACCATACCCTCCGGTTCCCAGGTATCGCCTTGGAGTTGGACTGCAGAGATGAGGTCCCACTGTGTGGTTCGACCGAGGTTCAAGAATGCAGCTGCGAGTCCATCTGGATCAGAAGCTGCGCTCGAGGGCGGGAGGGGAGACGGAGCAAAAGGGACTCCAGGTTGCGAGATTGAAATGTTGAGCGGTCCAGCTCCGATCTGTGTGTATCCATCTCCCAGAGACTTGGTCCATCCTTGGGAGATGAAGGCGCATGCAGACCACAGTGATATCATCTTGCGCAGCAACATGGTGAGCGGCTGAATGAACAGAGTCAAGAGCGGCTTCAGTCCTTCGGGTCTCATGTTCTTTTCTTTCGGGCAACTAGATGTATCATCCGGGCTCTAACATGCACGTGTGAGAGGAAATCTGCGGCTTTGAGCAATATCTCTGTGGAGTCAAGTTTCGAGCATGACAATCCTGCAACACATTCCATCTGCTCCGCAATGTCCACTGACTTCGGAGGTGTTGAAAGGCACCGCTCCGATCGTGTAGACGGTTGAACTCAACCCAGCCATGATGCAGAAGGATGTGGCGTCTAGTAATGAGATTCATAATCCCCCCTCCCTCGGTGAGGCACTATTAGTTATTATGGTAACGATTATTCAATTCAAATGCCGAGGTGTGTGCCACGCGCCAAGCCACTTCGTATCAGATAAATAAAATGGCTCAAGACCTCGGTGATGGAGTGGACTGACTGACTCTGGTGAGTGCTGCAACATCAGGTGTGAGACTCGCGGGCAGAAGGACCATGTAGACATCCCGTATGTGGGCATCCATATCGTTCAGGTGACTCATATGTAATGTCCCGTTATGAGTAGACAACTCCCTCAGATCCCGAGTCCGGCGTTCTGTGGTGAGACGCTGTAATTTCCAGGCGCGCCGCCCGGGCAAAATGATGCCCGAACGAGCGAATGATTTATTATTCACTCTCTTTTACTCTTCACGTCTTTTGTATATTCAGCAGCCGATCGACCGAAGCTACTCCAGTCTATATAAAGAGCTCCATCCATAACTGACCATGTCGACTCATCGAACACATCTTGAGCCACCCATTGGCACATCAGATCCAAGCATAGGATCGTCATCTGGCGCACCTCATCCCGGTATCATGTCTAGCCATAGTCACGATAGCTACGCGTACTCGACGACGACGGCTGTATCCCAGGATCACACACATAGAGTGGCTGCGGACAAACCTATGGAAGAAGGAGGATACATTAGTGAAGGCGAGGGCGGCAAAATTCTCAACGTGCAAGATCCATCCGTGCCGTCTCGCAAGATGCCAGAAGGGCAAAAAGCGACCAATGTCGGTCCTGCCGCTGCTGCTCTAGGCGCCGTGGCCTCGAGCGATGCGCACGAGAAAGCATCATTGGCGAGAGCCAGTGATGCTCGTAGGGCAGGAGGAAAACCTCAGTTGAAGAAGTTTGCCTATGGATGTGAGTGTTTCATCGCCATTTTTTAGTTTGATCCGATCCTGACGGACGCAGTCTGGGACCCGGAGATGAAACCTTTCCGAAAGATTGCGCTCAAAATCCTCGGACCGACCGTTGTCCTCTCCATCCTCGTCATGTGGGCTTGTCTTCCGGCTTATTGGGGATCATGTGGGTGATCGCATTGCGTCGCATGAGCACGCTCACTCATATCTTTTCGCCAGTATGGAAGAGCAACCACTTCACCGATCGTCTGACTGTCCGTGTCATCGACCGTGATGGGGGCGAGATAGGATCCGCTGTCTCACAGGGACTCGTGAGCTTGTCTTTGCATCTCACGCTTCTTATACTGACACATGTCGAAGCTCCAAATGAAAAACCTCAAATTCTTCTCAACTGATCCGTCCGCCTTCCCTACCAACGAAGATGTCGCCGAGGATGTGGTCCAAGAAGGTGTCTGGGCTGCCATTGTCATCTCCGAGGGAGCCACAGAGGCTCTGGCACAAGCTCGAAGTATCGGTAATTCGTCATACAACGGTAGCAACGCCATTACAGTGTATTATGCTCAAGCGAGAAACGAATTGGCGACGGGCAATTACCTGCAGCCATACATCCTCGAGGACCTCGGTATGATCACTGGAAGATTTAATGCCGAATCGGTCGCTCAATAGTGAGCACAAGCGGTCAACCCGAACGAGATCACACTGACTCCTCTCTCCCAGCCTCGGACAGAATGCCGGCAATGCCACTGCTATGGAGGCCCTCGCTCGTGCGCCAACGACGGTCGTCAACCCGGTTTACTGGACGCTAGACAATCTGAGACCCTACAATCAGCCTGTCGCCACAGCTATCACGCTCGTGGGACTCATTTACATGCTCATCTTTGCCTTCATCATCACCATGACGAACAATGCCGTCCGAGAGATCATGTAGGTGCCATATCTTTTGTTTCGCAGAACCTTATTTTTTGCTGACTGATCAAAGCTCGCCATTCCTTACGACCAAATCTTACATCTTCTATCGCCTGGCCTCTCCACTCCTCTGCTACCTCCCGATTTCGTTCCTCTTCGCCATGGTCAGTTTGCCATTCAAAGTTCACTTTGGCGCGCATTTCACCTACGCCGGTGGATTCTTCTTGTGGGCTTTCACGCTATTCCTCGGCATGGCTTCCGTCGGATTGGCCACAGAGTTCGCAATCACCATTCTGGGACCGAAATTCATGGCCTTTTTCTTGATTCCATTGATCATTGTCAACGTCTCGTGAGCCGTGACCATTTGATTGTCGTCCAACCCTTGACATCCTTGCAGGGTCGCCTCTTTGCCTCATGAGCTGCAGCCTTGGATCTTCCGATATGGCGTTGCCATGCCCTTCTACAATGTCGGCAAAGTCGTCAGGACGGTGAGTGGATGAGAGATCTTCTTCAGGACCGTGCTCGTGCTCAATTCTCCCATGCCAGATCATCTTCAACACCAAGAACGAGATCGCCATGAACCTCGGAATCCTTCTCGCTTGGATTGCTCTATCCCTCATAACCATCCCGCTTGCCGTTTGGCTGTTCCGTCGCAAGGCCGTCAATGCGCATCGCAGAGCTGTTGCGGAGAATGAGTACGATGTGAACATGCCAGATGGGGGTCGTGACAGGTCGAATCTGACTCCAGCGAAAGTTTGAGCCTGTCCGTCATGAATGAAGCCATTTCGTTTCTATATGTTGTCCCGTTGTAGCTTTCGTATCTAGCCATCAAGTATAATGCAGCACATTGTCATCATTCACAACGCTGCCTCTCGGCCCGTCGGGCTCGATACATGGTCTGCGCATGCTCAACGCCGGTCGCGACCTGTATACTCGTGGGAGCAAAACAGTCACTGCTGGGTCTCAAGCACATCCAGCCTTCCACTGCCCGGACCGCGCTCTACAAAGTCATGCATGTCGTCCAATCAACAGTCATCCAAACAAAGACTACGGTTTGTCTATCGGCTCTTCTTCGACTCTGGCTCTCCCTTTTTCGCCAACTCTTCCTTGTACCAATCCGCCATCAGCTGAATCCCTTCTTGAATGCCCACAGTGGGCTCGTATCCCAACAGTCGCCTCGACTTTTCAATGCTAAAGTATCGGTTCTGGACCACTTGGGAGATGTTGTACCTCGTCATGCCTGGTTGCCTTCCTGAGATCTTGGCAAAGGTCTCCGACAATAGGCCGACAATGTAACCCAAGGCGACTGGCAACACCCAGTAACTCGTTGGCAATGGCCCAAAGTGCTTCCATACGGTCCTTGCGAAATCCCAAAAGTAGACTGGCTCGCCGTTGGTGACAAAGTACGCTTGGCCAGCGACGGGTACAGACGCACTTTCATCCTCCAAATTGGATTGCTCGGAAAAGTGGTCCATTCGGTTCCTGAGAACAGGTCGGAGATCGTTCGGATCATACTCTTTCGAGGCGAAGCGTTTGGCAACTTCGAGATCCTTTTCCGAAGGTGACGTGTTGGGTCCAAGCGGTCTAGCTTCAGAGGTAGGAACGCGTCGCTCTCCGACGGACAAGTCGATGGATGGAAGCGGGTCTCGGAATCTATCACAGGGGTACGATTCTGCGAGACGATCCGAAGCGAGGATATGAGCTCGAGCGACGTTGCCGACAAAGGTGAAATCGTTAATGTTCATATTGTCACCGATCTGCCATTTCGTTTGTCCATTCAAGACGACTCGGTGCCATTGTTTAATATTATTTTGATCTCCGGGTCCAAATATTCCACAGGGTCGGATACAGCATGTCAATAGACCCTCGCCAGAGCGATCATTGGCATTGAGTACGATTTTCTCAGCTTCAATCTTGGTCGTGTTGTACACATCGAGCGGTTTCTCAGCGTAATCTAACCGTTCGTCCGCCGAAATGAGTTGATGGATCCCATCAAGATAGACTGCACCTGAGGAGGTGTAGACGAGCTTTCTGACATTGTGCTTCAAACACATGTCAACGACATTTGAAGTGCCAGTCACATTGACTCGTTCGAGGATGTCGGCGGGGGCGGTATAGTGAGGAGAAGCAGTGTGGATGATTGACGTCGCGCCAGACTTGTCGTCAGCAGAGTCTTCCAAATCCATTCAACCAACCTTGACAATGGCATTTTCCACATCAGCAGCATTGCTCAGATCACCAGTGAAGAAGGTGATATTGCTACGTTTCATCAGCTCACTGCCCGCGCACATACGCTCAAAGTCGTCTCACTTGTCGAAATGCCGCTGGACAATATCGAACACCGCGACCTTGGTCTCTCCTCGCTCGACGAGCTGATCCACGATCCATCGTCCGAGGAAGCCACAACCTCCAATGATCAAGTAGGACTCCTCGCCTGGCATGTTGTGTGGTATGTAAGACTTCAAAAGAGAGGTATATTGAAGACTAGTTCCCGGGGAAGTAAGTGGGAGAAAAGAGTGGCCTTTCAATGTATTTGACCGAATGTGGCAGCGTGGCAGATAAGGTCTGCTGTAAACCCAAACGTCCCACGATGTATCCGTATCATCGAAGGTGAGGCTTCTCAAGATCCAAGAGGTCCATTGGAAAGTTTAAATCATGCTAGGGCTCAGGAAGGCTGACCGTGTACGTCTGGATATGGTCCAATGCGGCCAGCTGTGCCCAAATTCCAGCCGACGGCGGGGATGCCTTCTCCTAATTTTTGACCTCGTAGCTTTTTGACGCAGCATTGAACCATGTCTCGCGCTTCACCTGACTCGAAGACAGTCTGGACAATAAAAAGACAGGGATTTGTCATGCCTGTATCTAACAAGAAGGGCCGAAGATTTGACTCATCTCGCTGAAGCTCCATTAACGCCTCAACGAGTAGCCGCGGATGGCGCTCAACGCGCAATATCCTGTTCGTCACGAGTCGGGCAGCCGTCCGAATTTCCATCTTCAGTCACAGTCAGTACGAGGATAGGAGGACACTGGTGAAGGGGCGTGACGAACCCAGCAAGCAGGCCTGTATCTCCCCTAGGGAGTACAACACGGCGAAAATGCTGAATGGTTTTGTTCTCGAGCAGTGCCACACATGTGTCCGATCTGCTGTCAAGCCGAATGGCGAGACCCATACACGCCCACAGCTTCCCACAGCATCGTACTCCATGCCTAACACACTAATCTCGCTCAAAACAGCGACAAAGCGTCCAGAAAGAACCGGTCAACGGTGGATACAACTCGCTGGATTCATGACTCCATGGAAATTCCTGAAATCCGATGATCCCTTTCCAGCTCGCTCCTGAGCCGATCTAGACTTTTCTGAGCCCCATCAAACCTCATCAAGACTCCGATACGCCCTCTAAAGTATCCCTCAAGCAACCTGGACCGGTTTCCCAGCTGCTGCTTTCGCCACGAGACGCCTCAAAATCCACCTGATGCGATATGTCATATTTTGCGCTTCTCTCGACTCGTTCTGGCACTTCCACAAGGCCGATTCAGCTCCATGTGATACCATTCGATAGCCCGAGAATCACAGAAGCTCACCTACTGACATATTCATATATTGCGTGACCAATGATCAAAACACATGGCAAAAATAGTCCGCTTGGCCCAGGGGTAAGGCGCTTGACTTCGAGGTCTTGTTTTCGTCACATTAGCGATCAAATCTGTTAATCAAGCGATCGGGGGTTCAAATCCCTCAGCGGATTCGCTCTTTTTGCTGTTCTAACGATACCTGAAGCTCTCCTGCATCTGTAGAAACAAGAACGAAGTCAATCGAATCAGAAACGAACGAACTAGATCGCCACAAAGTTCCAAGATGGGTGATATCCAGGTGGATTTTAAGGCATGCCGTAATTTTTGACGCGCGCGTGAAAATAGGTGGCAAATGTGGCGGCAGTGTGGCAGGGTGATGTCGGTGTGGTGGGGTCTGTGAGTGATGGGTGTGGAGATGGTGTGGATCGGGTCGCACTCGCCGACGAGTCGCACCGATCGTCCAGCAGACAAGCAGGCGCGGGCGAGACGGACATTGTGGCACTGCGAACATCAAGACTGTCCGTTTTGTCAGGAGGGATTCTTCCCCGCGGGTTGAGTTGTGGACTTCGGAAGGCACGCGGTGAAGCAGCAATGCGAATGCTACTGACTTTACATGTTGCATTGTCTCCGCTGAAAGAATCCCTTGACCATCTCCTGTACTGATGTCTCTGAGCGGCGTCTGTGCGCCAGGCCACTACACAGCTCGCTGCATTGCTTGATCAATGTAACAACCTAGTCTGCATTCAGAACGCCACGCCCATTGCGTCCAGGACAAAGTCCAAATTCTGCGTGATGGCTTCCCACCACTCTGCCTTGCGGTTCGCAGGCCAAGGATCCGCCGTGGCCAAGCACTCGGCCTGAATATGGTCCATACCGTGACAAGTGAACAAGGCACTGGGCACGCCCTTGGCTTGAAGCTTGTCGTACAGGGCTTGAGAATTCGAGATGGGTATCACCTTGTCCGATTCGGCCATGACGATGGCTGTCGGCGGGAAATGGGAATCTGCAATGTCTAGTGGAGACGGCTGAGTGTATGGAGGATCATGATCATAGAGATAGGTGAAGAGAGTCTCGCTATGGATTTGCTAAGGAGTGAGCTTACGACTGAGCTAGTTGTGCTCACTGCAAAGAACATGATCATGCGTTCCGGCATTGGTTGCGGAGGTGGCACACTGAACCTGTCAGACCGAAAAACTGCCCCCCGTCCCCCGGTACCCACTTTGCAAGCTGTCCCGGCATCAAGCCTGGAGGCAATGGACTCCAGTCTGAAGACGCCGGCCCATGCATCAGACTGTCCCACTGGGCTTTCAAAGTAGAATCAGCTTCCAATTTCGACTCAAAGTCGGACTTTGGTCGATTGTTCGACCCTGACATGTCGGTCGGAGGATAGGTCACCGAAATAGCCAAGGGCCCCAGGCCTCCATTCAACGACGCATCGTGTGCCTTTGTATAGTCAGCTTGACCTCGTCCGCAGACTCACCAGATAGATGGCTAACAGCGCTCCAGCGCTCCAGCCGAGGACACCGATTTTACTTCCGTCGATATGCACCTCCTGAACCTGCTCGCCAAGGCGTTCCTGACAGTATCGAAGGGCGTCCAGGCAGTCATGCCTCATCTCCTCGATGTGACAGCTGAAATTGCGTGAGCAGGTTCATAAATCTGTCCTCCTCACTGGGGCAAAAGCCGGTGCTCGATAGAGACAACGACAACTTTGTGATCCAGCAGATAATGGACTTGATTATATGGAATCAAATGGGCGGCACCGACCCAGAAGCCCCCGCCCTGCCTTGATCAGTACGGTATGATCTTCCAGCCTCACCCGTATCATCCTGCAAGTCAGCCTGACCCACCCAGACGGAACCTACATGACCACGGGCAGAGTCTCGGCGGAAGTCACATCTTGAGGGAGGTAGACATTGAGATGACACCCTCCACCCTCGACCCCCTGAATGTCCTTGTATCGCAAACGATAGGATTCTTTCAGAAAATCGTGTCTGGTTGCCATCGTGTAGAGCATGTGGTTGCATCCTGATGGGGGGATGGGGGGAGGAGGTTCAATATATGTATTCTCCACAGGTGACGAACTCGCTTCCCGAACGATGCCGAGGCCGGGTATGGTGAGAGACTATTTCGGGCCCGGCGGCGATGGATCACTTTTGCATACAGATCTCTACATGCTCTCATACGAGCTTCCATTTCCCATTCTCGTCTACAATTTCCACGCTCCTTTTCTCGTCGAGCGAGATTCGGCCAGCGTGAATGATCGCAGTTGTGAGAACCCTGAAGAAAGAATGAGCGAGAACTCAGCTGCGCGTGCCAGGACCTACACTGCCTTGACCGTTGGCAAACCCTTGCCTTCGTAGTCGCTAGCTTTGGACTGACCAGCCGAGACGGATCGAGCGGCATCGATAAACTTCTCAAGAGACAAGTAGCCGTAACCTCTTTGACCATCAAAGAAGCCGTTCTCGTCGGGGGAGTATTTGACGTAGAATGGATTATACTGAGGGTCAGAACTGTATCAAGTGCTATCTCACGTCGAGCTACAAAGCGTCAGCGTCGTCCCCTTCGTCATCGCTCACCTTGCCAATATCGTCTTCGACCACGCTGTAGCCTCGGTGAGCCTGGTCAACCCTGATCTCTCCCTTTGCGGCCATGTAGTGAAGTCTCTGCTCCGAATGGACTCCGGCCTTGAGAGGAGCGGCCCAAGAGGCAGTGTAGACGGCGGTGCCTCTCTGCTTAGAGTCCTCGAGATTCTGCCAGTCGACCAACAAGGTGATCGTGTCTTCGGTCTTGGGATCGCATCCCATCGATGTGGCAATGCCAGTGGTGGCGGAAGCGGTCACCTTGGTGGGCTTGTATCGTCCTTCAACCATCCAGCAGTGAATCTGAGCATTGCTTAGCGAATACGTGCACCCACACTCACATCAATGTGGTGCGAGTTGAGGTAGTAGGAGATATCAGAGTCGATACCTGCCCACGACTTGAACGTTTCGAGCTGGAATTTCGGCTGCGACATGTATGAGCAGTAAAAGTTGAAGTCTCCGAGCTTCTGTGCCCGGGCTCGGGCGTCGTTGTATGCGGGGCTGATGGTCAGCATTCGAGCGTGCGTTGGTGGGCTCACTCAAATCGCTTGTGGCTATGACACGTCAATATCTCCATTATCGATCATGGGATTTCCCACTCACTGCTCAACGAAGCAGACCAGCCCCTTCTCTTCAGCAAGCTCGATGAGCTTTTGATGATCCTCGAGCTTTTGCGTCGCTGGCTTGGTGACAAGAACGTGGTGGCCCAGGTTCAGAGCCTCAGCAGCGATGGGAAAATGAGTCGAGTCGGGAGTGAAGATGATCACAGCCGAGCCCTTTGGCAGAGCACGAAGTGCGCTCTTGTCTTGATTGAATTCAGCTCAGATAGCCTGACATGTGCTTACAAGCCTCGGCATCTCGCAGGTTGCCCTCTGGGAAACCTCTGAATGAGAGGTCAAGACCCTTGTACACGTCCCCGATATTCTTCTGGAAGTGCTGTTTGATCTCCGGGAACTGGGCGATTCTCAGAGATTTTCAAAAGCTCGTCAATTGCCCACTCGCCTTGCCTCCGTTGGTCCCGGCCATAATGATGCTGATTGGAGTGAGGTCGGACTTCTGCAATGAAACACTCACTCGGTAACTTTGCCTCGTCGTCGCAGATCAAACATGGTGACTCCGACAACGCCGATCTATACATAAGGTCAACCAATCACTGATGCAGCGTCCGAGCTCGTTCTCACCTTCTTGTCTGATTTTGACTGTCCAGATGGGGTGATTCCGGTGGTGTATTCACCCTAGATGGAGATGTCAGGATTGAAAGAGGGGCATCAGAGTATTTCACTCACGGTACCCATCAGTCCGACAGAGATGGGAGGAAGTTGGTCAGTCATGGTGATGCTGGACGATGCGATGGTTGATCTGAGTAGCAGTCAGGATTCTGGAGAGAATGAACAAAGATGTATGCCTCCTGTTCTTGACCAAAATGTCAGTTCCAATTCCTACCAAGCCGGCCCGGTCGACCCGAGCCTTCGCGCCGAGAAACACCCTTGATGGTATTTTTTTTTTTGATTCCGCGTAAGTCAAACCACGTGACAAGCCACCGGCGCGGAGGCTCGAATAAAGTCAGTGTTCGATCATCGGAAAGGTCCGCTTTCCTCATCACAATTTTCAAAATTTTGCCAGCAATCAAACTCACCTACTGAAGCTGTCAGAGTGATCATCCAGATCTCAACAGCTACAACCGTCATGATCCCAAGACTACTAGCTACGAAATCCTCATCGGTGGCTCTTGGGCAGCTTCTGGGACGTCGATCGATACAATTGTCCAGGACATACGTACGATGTGCGGCTGTCTCTGTCCAGAATCCTAGCCTGCTCTCTCGCTCAAGTGAGTTGGATCTCCTACGCAAACCCTTGAACTCACCATCGTCCCAGCTCTCAAGCGATTCTACGTGGCAGAGTCGACCAATAGAAAGCCCGATGAGGCTGAACCACCCAATGCTCCGACTAGTGCCGCCGATGCGTCTGGAGAGAAGACTGACATTGTGCCTTTCGAGTCGCTCCAGGGCAGAATCAACCCCAATATCCTCAAAGCGTTGGTCTTCAAGCCATTCCAGCTCTCGGCTATGAGCAAGGTCCAAAAAAGAGTGCTCAAATTGATGCCATGGCTGGTGGGAGGCCAGTATGCGGAAGATGATTCTGGAGATCCCTCTATCGAAGAGGTCAAGAAGCGTGGACGACAGGATTTGGTTGTCAAAGCCAAGACGGGAACTGGAAAGACTCTCGTAAGACTGCAAAGCCGCATGTCCCGCTGACTTTCAAGGCCTTCCTTATCCCTGCCATCGAAGCTCGCCTGAACCAACTTCAAACGCTTTCAACACGAGCCAACGAAGATGGAAGATCTCCCGACGGGGCTCAGCAAGGTCAAGCTCGCCGAAACGTTTCACGATCACATGTCGGTGCCTTGATCATCTCACCGACACGAGAACTCGCGACGCAAATTGCCAACGAGGCGCTGAAAGTTTGCACCTGGACCAAGGACTTTGAGGTCCGACTGCTCGTCGGAGGAGAAAGCCGAGGCTTTCAGTTGCGAAATTGGAGTCGAGGTAGAAAGGATATCGTCGTCGCTACTCCTGGTCGATTGTGCGACTTGTTGAGCGAGCCCGATGTGGCCGAGGCCGTTCAAGGAACCGACCTGTTGATTCTCGACGAAGCCGACACACTATTGGAAATGGGTTTCACCAAAGATCTCAACTTTATCATCGATCATCTGCCTAAAAAACGACAGACATTCCTTTTCTCCGCTACTGTCTCCAAAGAGATTCACCAAATTGCCAGACGCACAATTCAGGACAACCATCAATTCATCGACTGTGTACCGAAAGATGAGAGCAACGTCCACCTTCACGTACCGCAATTCGCAACTGTATTGAAAAGTGAAGCCGATCAGATTCCACACATCATTCGACTCATCGCCCACGACCAATTTAACAACCCAGACAATTCCAAAATCATCCTATTCTTGCCCACCACCAAATTGACCATGCTCTATGCCACGTTGATGCGAGAGCTCAACCACAACTTGCCCAACAAGGTGTCCGTCCATGAAATCCACTCCCGTCTAGATCAAAATCAACGATCTCGTGCCTCTGAACGCTTCAGGAGGGACACACGGCCGTCGATTCTCGTCACCTCAGATGTCTCTGCTCGAGGCGTCGATTACCCCAATGTGACCCGAGTCATCCAGGTCGGTATCCCGTCCAGCGCGACGCAGTACATCCACCGTGTCGGACGAACTGGAAGAGCAGGCAAAGAAGGCGGACGAGGCGATCTGGTGCTCATGCCTTGGGAGCAGGGGTTCATGAGGGAGATGCGTCAAGTACCCATCAAGACCCTTCCATCTGATGAGTTGAAGTCTGAAGTCATGGAAATGGCCAAGAAGAAAGTTGGTGATGAGGGGGTCCCAGCTTTGGAGGGAATCGACGAGGCTGTCCAGAATTTGATGCCCTCTCTGGACCCCACTGCCATCGAGGAAGTCTTCGCATCTATGCTCGGATACTACATTGGTCATGCGTCAGAGCTGAGATTGCGCCCCGACGAGATTCTTGAAGGCTTGGAGCAATGGGCTGTCCTCACGGCTGGTCAACCCAAACCCCCTTATATGTCCGAGCACATGCTTGCCAAGATTGGCATTAACCGTCGTAACGGCTATGGTTCACGACGCATTGGAGGAGGAACCGGTAGCTTCGGTCGAAGCATAGACGATGATGGGGAGAGCAGAGGCGGCTTTGGCGCCCGTTCAAGCGGAGGAGGAGAATCCGGTGGTTTCGGTCGAGGCACAGACGATGATGGGGAGAGCAGAGGCGGCTTTGGTGCCCGCTCAAGCGGAGGATCCGGAAGTAGGTACGGTGACCGTGGAAGATATGGAGGTGACCGAGGCGGACGTGGAGGATATGGAGGCGGCCGTAATTCATATGGAGGACAGCGTGGGTCATTTGGAGACGATCGTGGATCATACGGTGGGGGCCGTGGATCATTTGGTGGCAGTTCAGGCGGTTCATCGGGAGGATCCGACTTCTAGATGACTTTCGCTTCTTTCATTAGAACGTTTTCTACGTATCTTGTGTGTATCAACAGTATTGGAATGCAAGCACACTTCCGCATACTGATCTCTCATACGACGGCTACGATACGTTGACTCCGCACCGTGCTCCAGGCGCTTATTGAGCCACACAGCGCCTTGGGCGACAACAAAAACCGAGACGATTCGTCAATTCGTTAATGCGCGCTTCTTTTTTGAACATTTTATTTTCAAATTTCCTTTCGGGCGAGAGCCGACCTCCACCGCGGTCACCCACCCACAACAGCCCCGCCTTTCTTTCTGCTCCTCATCTCTCTGTTCTTCTCGAACATCAATCACCAAAGCGTCTTGCTAGCAAGTCATGTCCAGCTCTACAGGTGAATGATTCGGCTGGAAACGCTTGCTGACGTTGATCTCCAGTCGACCCAAATTGGTGGCGTCAGGCCTGTGTCTACCAAATCTATCCTCGTTCATTTGCAGATGACAATGGAGATGGAATCGGCGACCTTAAGGGAATCACATCAAAGGTCCCTTATTTCCAGCAGCTCGGTATCGATGCCATTTGGCTGAGTCCATTCTACCCCTCCGCGCTAAAGGATGGAGGATGTGAGCCTCTCCTTCTCATGTTAGGACGAGACTGATTTTCCTCGCTTCTTTCAGACGACGTCGCCGATTATCGAAATGTCGACCCAAATATCGGCACGTTGGAAGACTTCGACGCCATGTCCAAGGCCTGCAAAGAAGCTGGAATCAAGGTCATTGTTGACATTGTTCCGAATCACTGCAGTGACGATCACCCCTGGTTCCAAGAAGCTCTCAAGTCTCCTCCGGGAAGCGAAGCTCGATCTCGATTCCACTTCCTTGATGGTGAGTCTCCTCTACCGCCCAAGCTACAGTGTCTGACAGCGTCTAGGTCTTGGTCCCGACAAGTCTCAACCCCCTGCCGATTGGGACGCGGCGTTCGGCGGTCCCGCTTGGATCCCTACTGGTGATGGTCAATTCTACCTAGGAATTTTCAGCCCCTTCCAGCCTGACTTCAACTGGTCGCATCCCGATGTCAGGGCTGATTTCCTGAAGACTTTGAAGTTCTGGGGTGACAGAGGAGTTTCCGGATTTAGAATAGACGTTGCCCATGCTCTTACCAAGGATCTCAGTGGGACCTTGATGACCAAGGCTGAGCTTGGCGAATGGCGATCGGGTCCAGATGCCAACGGCAAGCAACACCCGCTGTTCGACCGAGACGATGTACAGGATATCTACGTCGAGTGGAGAAAGGTCTTTGATCAGTATAACCCTCCTCTCTTGTGAGTCTCGCCCTCATTTATCGTACGCGTGTTTGACTCTTGACCCTCCAGTGCTGTGGCCGAAGCTTGGGTTCAGCCTCACCGACAAATCAGATACGCCTCTACCAAGGGACTCGGCCAAACATTCTCCTTTGACATGCTCATTCAGAAATACAACCGGGACCAGCTGAAGAGTTGCATCGTCTCGTCCCTTCGCGATGCTAAGAGGACAGGCTCCTCTACCACATATGTTCTTTCCAACCACGATGTATGTATCGTGCTCTTCTTGCGAAGCTGCGCTGACCGTCCCAGGTTGTTCGCCACTCTACACGATATGGTATCGCAAGTGACGGCAAGGAGATGACCATGAAGGAATGGGCCGAGGTCGGATACGAGCCGTTCCTCAAGTCTGGAGGCAAGGAACCCAAGTGCGACCAAGAGCTCGGATTGAAAAAAGCTAGGGCTGTGTCATTGATGATGCTTGCTCTTCCTGGATCGGCTTACCTCTACCAGTGAGTTTCGAACTGCGACTCGTATGCTAACTGTGATGCAGAGGCGAAGAGCTTGGCCTCCCCGAAGTCATTGACATCCCTCCTGCCCAACGTCAAGACCCCACCTTTATCAACAGTAAGGGCGAAAAAATCGGTCGTGACGGATGCCGAGTACCGCTTCCTTGGACAAAAGAAGGCAAAAACTTTGGCTTTGGAACCGGCGCACCGGCCCACTTGCCTCAACCCGAATGGATGGGCGGGTACGCTGCTGACGTCGAGGACAAGGATCCCAAGTCGACTTTGAACATGTACCGACAGGGTTTGAAATACCGACGGGAACTCCAAACCACCGAGGATCTCGAATGGGTTGGCGACGACAAGAACGTGTTGCACTTTAAGCGTGAAGGCGGATGGGAGGTCCTGACCAACTTTGGGACTGATGCTGTTGAGGTGCCTAAGGGGGAGGTCCTCGTTGCTTCCGGAGAACTGCAAGGAGATAAAGTGCCCCAAGATGTTACAGTCTGGGTTAAAACGGCTTGAAACTAGTTCTTCGAGCCCAGGACATTTTTGATTAAATGCTCAATATACTTCTCGGTCGGTCATACAATGCATATACAGCAACTTGATACGCAGCGCAATCGAGCCCAGATCATATTCGATATTCCCCATTGACCCCATCTGGCGGAACTGACCTTGTTCCACCGAAACTCCAAAGCTTTAAGACGAGCCATAATAGGACAACGGCACCAACGATGTAGGCAATCGTACGGTATTGTCTGACTGTTGAGGAGGCCGCCATGGAGCGAGAGTGATGTCGAGAGGTGGAGAAGAGGGAGTTTGTGAATTGCGTAAAGGTGTTGCCCTGGAAGACTGGTCAGATTGGGTCTGGAAGTGGGAGACCCGAGGGACATACAGTTCGATCCAGCTACATTTGGACGTCAGCGAAAGACCTGCACGTAATTGCGAATCAGACTGACCTGGTCATTCTGACGGTTCGAGTCGTCCAGAATATCTATTGTGACCTGGAGATCCAGTCAGCCCTCCACCTGGGACCGTACAAGACTCGACTGACCGATCTCAAGGCCTTGATCTTGCCATGTAAAGAGTTCAACTCTTCATCGTTCTGATTCTCCAGCGTTTGGTCACTGGTGCTACTCGACTGATCAGTAGTGGACTCTCGTCTCTCGTAGGACCAACCTGGGCATAGTGTCGAGAGACCCCTGGTGGAGGTCAAGATGCGGTATGCCGAAGCTTTTGCGAGATCAGGGGTAAATGAGCCTCTTTGTGATTCGATGGTCCCTCGCAAACTGTGATGGAAATGGTGCAGACTGATCGATCCGGCTCCAGATCCGTCTCGTCGAGCCGTAGAGATTCCACAATGTCCTGTGGAATCGCCAGATCCCTCAATTGGTGAGCAATAGAAGACTGTCAAAATGCGAATGCCTTGAGCGGCAATAAGGGGATCAACGAACGGAATCAAAATCCTTGCGGTGGCACAACCTTTGGAATCATCCTGGTGTGATGTGTGACCCTTGCCTGCAGAAGAAATGTGGATCACCTAGCTCTTGTCCCGAGCCTCAGAGAGTCATGATAGCTGTCAAGCTGTCCTGGACGGTGTGAGTGAAGGACGGTGATCTGGGACCCCTCAGGACTTTCATGGACGAGCTCCCCTTCCTGCCGCCACACTCATCGCGTGAGTTGGCCCCTGTCGTTGAGTGATACAGGTCGTCGAGTGCACGTCGTTGAGTGCACGCCGTTGAGTGCACGCCGTTGAGTGCACGTCGTTGAGTGATACATGTTCGCATTATTTCGTCAGCTTTCTTCGCACTTAACCTGGTCTTTGCTCTCCTACCTTACTGTTGCTGCTCATTATGCTCCAGTCGAAAGTCAGAGCTCGTCGAGCTCGAGTCTACAAGATACCAGATACCCCACCAAAGACGAGTCGACCTCTTCCTCTGGACATCCTTCGTCGAATATTTTCGTTCCTTGACCCAATTCACGACGCGAAAGCACGACCGGCACTCGCAATCTCACTCAGAGTCTCTCACGCCATTCATGATCTTGTCGCTCCCTTGTTGTACCGCGAAGTATCCCTTCACTGGCTGGTCAACCAAGACGTCGTCTGGAAAGCAGGCACGCAGGACACATATTACAAGATCAGGAAGCGAAATCCTGCGCCCAGATACACGCTTCCAGCCCACTACATACAGTATATCCGTCACCTCTACGTGCATCACCACACCCACAAGAATATCCGTTCTGCCTGCCGTCTACAACTACCACCTGCTCTGGTACACATGGACATTCTCGAGCTTGAAATCGCCACGAGAAACCGATATGCACGCACTCGCAGAGACTGGTGCAATGATATCACCCCCCACAGCCGTAGAAATGGCAACGTGAATCGTTGCCCGGGGATCAGATTTTTCCGACCACGCACTCTACTCCTTATATGCGAGGACTTGTTTGTCAACGATAGCGACGAAGCATTTTGTGACGTCTCTCGGCTACCTGAGGTCACTCTGCAGGCTCTGAGAAGACTGGTGATCCGCCCAAGACGATGCGCGCTAGAGGATATTTTCCATGGCTATGGTGCTGATGACCACCTGCGATTTGGCAAGATTCCGACCTCTACGCAACGAATCGATGTCGTCTTCGAACCTTCCATTGCGGGACTCAGGCGTCCACGGAATGGCGGTCCTCCATCAATCCTCGACAGACAAAGGTTGCAGACTGTTATGTTTGAAGACCTCTTGAGCCTGATGTTTGCTGCACCAAGAAGGGAACCGCCCGGATACCAGGTCACCATAGTTGGGATCGGGTACCTCGGAGACGACATCGACCCATTGCACGATCCGGGGGCCTCCGGTCGATGTTCAGAAGCCATACAGGTTGCCGTGGAAGCACGCGTGAGGATGATCGCCATCACGAAACACGGCGATTCTCCAGAGACCCGCGCGACGCTCGACAAGATGCGATTCCTCGACTTGAGGACCTACGCTGCAGAGCTGCGAGGCATCGACAAACACATACTCAGCGCGGAATGCTGGAACCATTCGGAGCTGGATCCTTTATTCGAGACCTGATGTCCACCCCTGTTGGTGTCTGCTGGACTTTCGTAGGTGATGTCAACGGGAAACCTGCGACTGACATCCGCGTAGATTGCTATTTCAGCAAGATGGCAAAATTGTTCCTCTTCGGTCCTTCGACCAGAACTCGTTTCCTGCCCCATCGTTCAATATTCGATTCCGTGGGGTCCCTCCATGTGTACAACCAGTATCCTACTTTACCACCCTCTTTCCATCTCTCTTCGACCTGTTCAAAACCCACGCATCGCATCAAGTTTCGCAAAGACTCCAATGTGACATATCGAGAGTTTTTGACGCAGGGGAGGGGGAGCACCAGGAAGAGTAAAGAAGAAGCGCGAGACGCGAGATGCCTGTGAATGAGTCGCAGCATCTGACCTGTAGAGTATGATCAGGTATGAGTCCATCCATCTGGATGAGCAAGAAGCTCACCTCGACGTTCTGAATCGTCGACAAAGTTCAAGACTAGACTGCAGCTGATAATATCGAAATGATCCATGTCGGTCGTGGGGAGTGGCCGGTTGAAAAAGTCTTGCTCCTCAATATCTGGGTGTAGAGAATGAAGATCGATGGGGTGGTTCTCGATCCATGAGGCGCAGGATGCGAGATTGTCCGGTTTGAGAGCGCCGAGCTCCAGACATCTATTCAGGGGTCAGCCGGTGCTTTCTGGAAGAGCATCTCATCGTCTTTTCACCTCAATTTGTGAGGCGTCTGATCGGGTACAGCAGCCGCTCTGGAGGCCACATTGTCAGGGAGACCCCGCTTCTTGAGCCATTCTATGAGCACCTTGGCGCTGTCTCCTCCGCGTTCGACCGATTGACCGTAGACGCTAGCCTTTTGATATGCCTCGATACCGCCGAGGCTGTCAAGCTCTCGATCGACCTGGGCTAATTGGACCTGAATGACATCCTCCTCCTTCTTCTCAGATAAGGGCTTCGCTTTCAGCTGCTTTGTCAACGCCGCTTTCCGCTTGAGCAAGACATGGAATTTTGAAATGGTCTGTTGTGTCGCCTTGTGAGAATTTGATCGTAGACCAGGTTTCGTGTCTTTCGACAGGGTGACAGGTCGTTTCCTGACCTTTCTGGAGTTCGCCATGACATGACATGGACCAGATGCTACAGTCTTGGCCCTGTAGCGGTTGAGATGCTATGCAAGGCCATTCAACGAGAAGCACTGCATGACTTTTCTCTTTTCGGGCAGCATTTCGATCGACCCTCGGCGTGACCTAATTCCGTTGTCCGTCCGCAGCGGCAAATCGACCGTCTTCGGGGATGTCGTAGATTAGGTCCTCGGGTTCTTTGACTCTTTTAACATCATCACCACCCCGACTTCAGAACACGGCTGAGCTTTACAGGTCAACCGGTGAATCTGCACGATGAGCTACAAGGCTCCTCCGACGGGCACATATGTGCCGACTTTGAGTTTCTGGAAAGACCGATGGAATGAGACGCCAGATCTGGGTACTTTTCGGCGACACCTGGAGAGGTGGGCGGGCGGACGAGCAGCTAAGAACGTTCGCTGACTTGTCTCATTTGTAAAGACTTTCAGACGACGGAGTCAGAGGCGTGACACTGTTCTCATACTTTGGAGAGGGTCCTTACGTGTCGGCGGTTGAGAGAGGTCAATTCCTGGAAATCGCCAGTGAGACCCTGAAGCCCAAAGGCGTGATTATACTCGTGGAATGCTCGAGTGAGAGTCTGCAAGAGACCAGTCAAAAGATGGCGGATGCAAAGAAAGGAGGGGCAGATTACGCGTTCTTAAGTGTACCCATGGGGTACCTGGACGAGCTAGATTTGGAGGATATCTTTGAATACTTCGCCGAGGTGAGTGGACTCAGATCTTTCGGACCCCAACATGCTGATATTTTCATCGTAGGTCAGCGAATGGTCAGATCTGCCATTCGTCGTTCGAGCTCCGTCAGGCGATGTCAAGATCAGCTTTTCACCCGAGTTCATAGATCGACTGGCGTCCATCCCGAATTGCGTAGGGTGCCTCATGCCAGCATTCTCTCCGGCGATTCAAGGAGTCGCGGAGAAGTTTGCAGGAGGAGACGACTTTGCCATATTTGTCACTTATCCTGGGGATGTTGGCCCGAAGCGACTACGGATTCGATTACAGGGAAGCATAGGGAACATCACACCCGTCACGCTGGTCAAGTTTTACGATGATCCAGATGGAAGGGTATTGGAAACGATAAACGCCATTTTGACTACCAAAGTGTTGAGAGACATCGCGACCAAGGTAACTGCGCTAAAGGTGTGTCTTGCAAGATTGGGCCTGCAACCTGCTGACAGCTCATAGTACGCCATGACTCGCGTGAGAGGTTATGGTGGGACCTGCCGACCGCCACTACCCGTGCCGCATCGAGAACTCACGGCTCGTGTCGACCCGATCTTGCCGAGTCTGGCAGGCGATTTCGCACAGAGACGGTGGATGGCTCTGGATGGAATAGATATTCACGATGAGTCTACAGGATCTGGCCTAAGACGAGCGGGAACGTTCACCCCTCGGGGTTGAGACACATGTTGCTACTCCGTCCCGTAGAACTCGTCCCTAGCATGCATCACCCTCATCACTGCAAACTGATTGCCATTCCTCCGTCGACAAGAAGGCCTGTCCCATTAACATATCTTGCCAGTCTAGAACACATGAAGAGGACAGCATCGGCAACGTCGTCCGGCCGTCCAAGGCGAGCCAGCGGTACTCTCCTCTCCTGATCTGAACGAATGGCCTGATTCTCCAGATGAACCTCATTCATCGGCGTCACAATCGTTCCTGGAACGATCAATCAGCTTCAACGAGACCGACTTCGTCCGACTTCTAGACTCACCAGGCATGATAGAATTACACCTTATTCCGTACGGACCAAGGGCGATCGCACAACTCTCCATCAGGCTCTTGATTCCTGCCTTTGTCGGACAGTAATGGCATTGCTCGCCACCTCCCATGATGGCGCTGATACTGCTTATACCGACGAGGCATCCCCTTTCTCCATCTATCGGTTCTTGATCCTTCATCTGGTTCGCAACGGCCTGAGAGATCCAAAAGGTTCCATTCATATTCACGTTCTGTGTCCGCAGATACAGGTCCGGGGGTAGTGTGAGGAATGGATGGAATGTGCAGATCCCTGCATTGGATACCAGAGCGTCGATACGACCAAATGTGTCCACTGCCCTCTTGACAATCTGAAGGCGAAGATGAGCATCGGGTGTGTGTGTGCACCCCCAAGTCTCACCAATTTTGAGACTTCGGGATCGGAGATGTCCCCTTCAATCACGACGAACTTGGCTCCTATAGTCTCAAGCTGAGAAACAGTCTCACTCATCTCCTTGCTCGTCGGGCTACCGAGATGGTGCAAGACGACATTGGCTCCATTCTTCGCGGCGCCTGGTGCAGTGCTCAGCACGCAATGCCGCCCTGTAATTCGGGCTTACCTATGGCTGTCGCTCGACCTATACCAGTCGCAGCTCCAGTAATGACAATCGTCTTGCCTGGCAGTAGATTGAATGACATGCTCGGTTGGTCGCCTTTGGCAAAGTGGATTCGTTTCAAGCAACAGAATCCATCCACCCCTGCACACGGTGTCATTCGGTGCAACTTTCTGCCGTATCCACGTGGACAAAAAGGGGCAATCTCGGTCCGTCTCTCCGGAGCGATTTCCCCTCGGTACATTGACAGTCCAGCACAAGCAACGTCTTTCGCATCCTCGACATCACCACCCCTGTAAGACTTGTACGCCAATTCTCTCAGCTTTCGCATCCTACTTCTACTACCATTCGGACTCTCTGACTCTCCATTCTCCCATACTCATACGCACTGTGCATCAAGCAAAATGGGCAAGACTTTTCCAACAATCGTGAGTTGCCGGTCGGATGAGATGCGTGGTGCCGGAGCGTTTGGTCCTGCTTAGGACGCCGCGCTGATTCGTACCTCAGGAAAAGCTCGAGACATTCATCCCGAGCGCTCATGGCTCGGGAGGTGACTATCACAGGTGAGCATGGCATGTTGACCGGTCGCAGACCTTCGTTGATGAGCTGTCATAGGCAGGCCGCTGAGCACTGGAGTGGGTTGACTCACCTCGTGCCTGGGAACCTAAGTGTCAGCTGACCCCAACCTAGTCGTTGCGGGAAATATTTCCTGCCCGATGCACAAATACCCGGAGTACCGTCACTCTCGAACGTCCTGGGGTATCGGTGTCCTCGGGTCCATTTTTGTCAAGCTCACCGCTACGGACGGTACCGTCGGATATGCCACCGGATTCGGAGGACCGCCTGCATGTTGGTTGATTGAAGAGCATTTCAAAAGATTCGTCATCGGTCAAGACCCTCGAGACACCAATAAGATTTGGGATCAAATGTTTCGAGCCTCCATGTTCTACGGTCGAAAAGGTTAGTCTTGACGCAGCTTGCATTCTGAGTAAACTGATCACGCACGCGAAACAGGTCTCCCTTTGGCTGCACTCAGTGTTGTCGACTTGGCCATCTGGGACCTCCTCGGCAAGATCCGAGGCGAGCCTGTCTATAAGATGATCGGTGGTCGAACCAAGAAAGACATCCCGCTGTACCTTACTGGACCCAAGCCGCCCGTAGCCAAGAAGCTAGGATTTTGGGGATCCAAGGTTCCCCTGCCTCATGGTCCTCCTGATGGTCATGAAGGGATCAGAAAGAACGTGGAGTTCTTGAAGAAATGCAAAGAGTCTGTGGGCGAGGACTACCCCGTCCAGGTAGACTGTTACATGTCGCTCGACGTGCCATATACCATTGCACTCGTCAAGGTGAGTGTGAAGAAGACTCGTGCGCGGGTAACTTTGTCTAACGCTGTATCTTAGGCTTGTGAAAAGGCCGGCGTTGAAATCAATTGGTGGGAGGAAGTCCTCCACCCCGATGACTTCGATGGACATGTCAAACTCAAGGAGGCTTTACCACATGTCAAGTTCACCACGGGAGAGCACGAGTACTCCAAGTGAGTCCTAAAGGTATAAGTGGAGAGGCAGAATCTGATTGAATCCCGCAGATATGGATTCCGAAAGCTTATTGAGAACCGGGCGATCGATATCCTCCAACCTGATGTTATGTGGCTTGGAGGACTGACAGAGTTGATCAAGGTTGCGAGGTGAGCCGCTGAAGATCGTGCTGCAGTTCTACGGCTGACACTGTTGATAGCATGGCCGCGGCTTACGACATTCCTGTCGTCCCCCACGGCTCTGGACCATATTCGTTCCACGCCATCATGTCTTTCCCCAACAGCGATTTCTGCGAGTACATTGTGAGCAGATCCTGGATCAAGTCGAGCGTCCAGGAGCTCATGGTCCGAATCAGGCCAATTCTGCAGATGGAGAGTCGATAGCTCCGTCGTTTGGAAATCTGTTCACAAATGAGGTCCTTCCTCACAATGGTCGTGTGGACTTGACTGACGAGCCTGGGTTCGGCCTCGAGCTCAACCCTCACGCCGAACTTGTACCATACTCTTCCTTTTTCTTACCTGCGAGAGGTATCGGCGCTGCGGACGAGGAGCTCAAGAGTGAAAAGAAGCTGCCAAATGGAGCGCAGCCAGCTACGGTCGAGGAATTGACCCATTGATGTTCCGTGATCCAGGCCTTAGACCGATTCTTGTTCGGCGAGAAAGTAGCTAAATTTGTAGTGCAATGCAGTCTGCGGGCAACGATAAGGTCATGCTGTCCATTAGTCACCACAACTTAGGATAAACATGTGATAGGCAAATCCTTCTGGTGGTCCGATCTCCTGCACTGTCAGGTTGGACCCTTCTCGGCCCTCCAAATATCTTTGGAGAAACCGTCAGCGCTCGAAAGCGATCGATCACCTGCCGAACTGACCTTCTCCGAAAGTGAGGTTGACCAAAAGTGAAGCTGGGCCGAGCGCTCAGCATTGGGAGCAGGTCATCAAAGTCTGACAGCACTCACTACATGAATTTAGATGTAGTGCTCTTCTTCAGGACCCTGATTCAGAATGTCAGGATTCACTCTGCATGCGGTCGAGGGACAATACCCACCTCAGTGCTTCGCTGACTTCTTTGGTGCACGCAATGACATCCTTCTCGGGCGGGTTCTGCGATCGATTCAGCATCTTTTGCGCAGAAAAATCGATTCGACAAACCCATGGATCACCCTTAGTGGTTAACATGGCACTGCATCAGTGTCAGTGTCTATGCGAGGAAACGGTCGACTCAGCGAGTCTCACTCCATAGTTCCTGAAAGTTATCAGTACACGTTCACAAGGTGTCCACACCTTTATCTATTATCAAGTCAAAGGACTCCTTCTCAAACTGTAGATCCAAAACATCCATTACCTGCCATCTCATCTCAGGCTTGTCTGCGTGTCGCTCTGACATCTGTTGTATGACTTTTTCAGAATACTGAGATGATCAAGTTAGGCACGAGTTGCAATGCAGCTGGTGAGACCGCTTACATCGATGTTGACAATGTTCTTCCAGCCCGCTTCGTACATCTGGCCATAGATCAGCCTGTCGGGCTTCCCAGTCCGTAGCTGCCCACTCACAGCTTCTGAGAGTGCCGAGTTGCCGCAACCCAACATCAACACCCTCGCACTCGTGCCTATGTCTTGTGTCTGCTCTCGTATGATAGGGATCAAGTAGGATGGTGTCAAGAACCAGTCAAAAGTGGTGTCGGGCGCTTCGCTGTTCCTATAAGCTGAGTCGTGCGGCTGACATACTTGGTATATCGTTGCTCCCTTGGTAATAACGATCAACGAAATGTATCTAGTGATTTGAAACTCACCAATACTCCCTTGTCCCGTATCCCTCGTTCGTCGCGGGCAGATTCTCTTCGGCCTTGGAAGGCATCTTTGGAACCCGAGATACCCTAACCACTCTGATACTTGCGCCAGCTCTGAGACTCAACGTTGAACGACCAACGTCAAGATTGCCCAATGCCCAATCTTGAAAATGTTTAGAAATGGACTACCTCCACCACGAGTTTTTCAGCTAGCAAAATCCAGTTCATTAGAGCACCGATTCGATACTGTCCATCTTCCGGCATCTTCCCTCATCCAGGTTTTCAAGGCCGGCGTTAGCGCTCGTCAGGACCCTTAGGATGGATCCGAACGGTGAGGATGGACCTCGTAAAGTGGAGATTGCAGAAGTCGATGTGGATTTCGGTTTAAGGGTGAGGTCCCAATCCGAACTTTTTGGCAGCACGGCAACCTTTTCTGACGGACTGATGTCGTATAGGAGAACCCCGTGGTCCCTCCGCCTTTACAGCCTCCATTAGCAAGCACGATTCTTGCTGGGCTATATGGTCCTCCACCTGGATCACATGGAAACGATTCCGCTGGGCCGAGTGCCCCTACGCATGCGGTTGACCAGACTCAAGACGCTGAGAGGATTCAGCGTTTGCAAGAGGAGGAGTTCCAGAGGAGGCTGAGGGGAGAGTATGAGAATGCGCAGAGGAGATTAGGGGATGTGGTGAGTGGCATGTCATTTGCATCCATCCGCCCTCATGCTGATTGTCGGTTCAGGTATCTGGCAACATGGACCGCCCGCTCCGTCTCACTTCCATCAGACTTGTCCCTCCTCCTCCAACTACACGAACAAACTTTCTCGCTTCTCTCATCAGCCCTTTTCTCGCCCCTCCATCACCGCATCTCCCTCCATGGCTTCATGTCGCTCCTCCTCCGCCCCGCACCTTGCACGAAGTGTTATTGACAACTCGAGCAATGATGCAACACATTGACAAGTTTGGTGTTTTCGATATGGAAAAGAGCGGGGTGAGGCTGGAAAATCGTAGAGGTGGAGACGATGATGAGGTCGAGCTGGTTCTGAGTCTAAGAGAGAGGAGCAGGTTGTTCTTGAAAGCTGGGACCGAAGTTGGTGGAGGCGAAGGAGGAGGGGTAAGTACTGTTCATCTAGCTGTTTGATAACGGGACCGCAGAACATTACAGCTAGGCTGCGAAACGCACTTGGAGGCGGAGAAACTTTGGAAGGTCAAGCCTCTATAGGCACGAAGACCAAGTCGGCTTACCAGGTGAGTTTTCAGCTGCAAGCCTCTCGTAACCGGGCATCTGAGCGGGCTTCAGGCATCCTTAACCACACCCCTGTTTGCCTCGCCATTACTCTCGTTTGCGCTCTCAGCCTTTTCATTTGACAGGGACAATTCTGCGTTTGCCTCACATCGTGAACAAGCTTCTGGAGGTCGAGCAAAGCTCAGTGTGAGTGCTAATACGAGGATTGCGCTGAAGACGGATCAGGCCATCGAGCCGTATGGCCTTCATGATCTCACCTACGAGTATATCAAAAGGGATATCAATCATCTCAGTCCCGAGGCTTCCATCTCGTGAGTCTGGCATCGCCCAGCTCAAATTTCTGGCCTGATCGCCATCTCATAGAGTTCGTCAATTGGCGAGGGAATCGACAAAGTCTTCACTATCGCATACCTTTACTTCGGACACCAGGGATGACCCCTGGTTGGGCACGTCGGGACGACTGCTCAAAATCACTCATGTAGGTCCGCCTACTGCGGTCTTCTCTAACCATCGAGGAATACGCTGGTCTCCCTGGATCTTCTTCCTCGGTCCGTTTCTTCAAATCACTATCACAATCCCAATTCTCTAGGGCTCTCTTCGAAGGCTCAAATATTGTAAGTCAGATAAGATTAGGAGATGCTTTCTGACGTGTCACTAGACCTATTCTCTAAGCTCACTCACATCTATCCTCTATCCCTTGGGTCCCCGGTCCCGGCCAACAGAACTCCCTGATCGGTTGTTCCTCGGTGGTCCCAATTCTCTTCGAGGATGGAGAGTTGGCGGCATGGGATTACGCGACGGTCCAGATTCATTAGGTGGTGAATTATCATGGGGTGGGGGATTGAGTGTCTTTGCTCCGATCTGGCCAGGGAAAGGATACTGGCCAGTGAGGGGTCACGGTTCTTTGAACGTTGGGAAAGTCGTGGGATACGACAGAGGTCAGTGCTCGTAATGGCTTTGGATGTGTGACTGATGCGTGCGCTCAGATCGGACATTTGGAGATAACATGATGAGAATGTACAGGAATCCCAATGTGTCTGTAGGCCTCGGCCTGATGTATAGGTGAGACTCTGCGATTCGTTCTGGTTGCGCGTAGCTGATGATGTCAGGCTTGATCCGATTCGTGTAGAAGTCAACTTTTCAATGCCACTCATCGGTCGGAAGGGTGAAAGGACAGCGCGTGGTTTCGGCGTCGGAGTAGGCATCGAATTCCTGTAGACTGAGGCAGTCGAACCCAGCATCTCAAATCATCATGCATCATGTGTCGCAAGTCTCGCAAGACGTAGAGTCTGCGGTAGACATTGGATAGCGTAGATCATCATAGAATTATGTACAAACAATCGTATAATATGCTACAACAATACAGCTGAGTCTGCGTGTCACTTGACTCATTCGCCCAACCGCTTGCCACCAGCAGGAAATGCAGAATACGTGCCATGCTCTGCTTCCTCATCATCATCCATGGTGTCGTCCGGATTGTCATGCACAAGATGATCGGTCTCCGCTTCCCCTGACGTGAGGCCGGTCGCCGTACTGCCACCAGGACCTGTCGAATCTTCGTTCACCTCTTGCGCCTGCAAGTCCATCTCTTCTTCTCGTTCCCTCTCTTCCTCCTCCCTCTCTGCCTCCTGTTCAGCTTTCTCCCTTGCTGCTTGTTCTCTGTACAGCCTATTCAACCTTTCCCGCTCTGCACGGTTCTTGACTGCATCTCTGTCCTCCTCGTACTCCGCCAAAGCACGAGCTTTGCGAGCTGATTCGGCAGACTGATGATTCACCTTGGAAGCTGCTTCTGAAGCTGCTCGCGCTTGAAGGTTGGCCAGCTGATGAGATGGGCAAGGTGAGTGGGAGCTCATGACTCTTTGTTCAGCAGAAACCTACGTGCGTTTTCAACACCTCTGCTCCGATTTCCAGTTCGTGCATCCGAGCGAGAGATGTCTGCAGCACGTAATGCTTGACAAATTCTCGGGTCACGATACGAAAGCCAAGCTGATGGGAGCGAGTCATATCAGGATGGATTCTCTAGTCAACAGCTCGTACGTACTGCGATGAGATATTCATGCCCACCCTTCACTTCCAACACCTTGTTTTGGAGCAGCGAATTGGTAGCTCGAATATCTCGGTATTTGACTTCGTCAGGGTTCTCAAGGATGTTCATGCAGATCTTGATAAGGGTCTTTAGGGATCGCGTGCACAAATATAAGTCGAAATAAGTGGTCAAAAGTGTGCCAAGGGAGGATAGCAGCCGTTCGTCAGCCAGATGGACCCAAACAATGGACGGGTTCTACCATCTCACCTCCACAGCTTCTGCACTCTGCTTGTATCCGTTATCCCTGACAATACCTCTATCCAACAGCCTTGCGAAATTTCGTCTCGTCTCCAGGTCCTGCTTCTCGCTAGGCTTTGTCCATGAAGGCCGAGAAGTCGAGGGTTGAGTCATTAGACCTGGGCCTGAACCAGAGCTCGACGCATCGTTCGTCGCTTGACTAGTTGACGGACCTTTCAGTCTCGCTTCTGCCGCTGCGAGTGCTGCTTCTCTGACAGCATTGAGTTTCGGTGCCATGGTATCGTGAGGATAGGAGGCAAGTCGAGTGGTTTTGATAGCTTGGAAACGCGATCGGGGCGTTGCTTCAAAGATCCCGGTCAAAGGTGACATTATGCCGAGCGTTCCGTCGGAGCTCGCCGAAAACCCCATGATCTGACGGAAGTATTTTCCATGGCTATGTCGGCGTTAAGGAGCCTGATTGGTCCGAGAGAGAGTTTATCGCCGATGACAGAGTGCCACACCATCTCATCCAGACTGTATCTCCGGCCCATCCTCCGCCTCCGGGATCCCTTCATAGTGCTCCCAGGTTCAACGACGTACAGAGGCTCTTCACTGTCTTTACAGTTGGCTCACTTCAACTCTAAAGACCTTGTGAGTGTGCTCAGTTATTCCTACTTTCCATCCAGTGGACACAGCGTGGATGCTCTGAGCAGACACCACATTCCTCGCTCTCTTCCGTCGACGCATCAAGGCTTATCCACCCTCATCTTGGGACATACGCGCTGACATTTTACATTGCAGTCACTGCAACATGACTAAAAAGAGAAGGGGAGGTGGACGAAACAAGAAGGGAAGAGGACACGTCAAGTTTGTGCGATGTTCCAACTGCTCGCGATGTGTGCCCAAGGTGAGCAGTCTTGGCTCCGAGATGCAGTACATGGGAATGAGAGTGTCACGCACGTCACTTTCCATTCCTGTGGCCTCGTCTGCCATTGCGAGCCTCGTCCTGACGCCTGCGCTCTTAGGACAAGGCCATTAAGCGATACTCTGTGAAGAACATGGTCGAGGCCGCTGCTGTTCGAGATCTTTCCGACGCTTCAGTGTACCAGGAGTACGCTCTGCCAAAACTTTACATCCGTCTCGCCTACTGCGTCTCATGTGCCATCCACGCCAAGAGTGAGCTCGTCATTCATTTTTCTTGTCCTGCAAGCTTATACCGATATAGTCGTCCGTGTTCGATCCGGCAAGAAGGGCGCTATCAACTCTCGAAAGAACCGTGCTCCCCCTCCTCGTGCTGTCTTCAGAGACGGCAAGGTGAGCTACCTTATTCGCATTGTGATATAGCAGCTGACATCACTTTCAGCGTATCAACCCCGCTGTCGCCGCTGCTATGGCTACCAAGACTGCCGAAGGACAAAAGGCATAATCGTGTAGTTGAGCAGAGGTTACGAGTGTAGCATGCACGGGTTCTCAGAATCGGCCGTGGCAGTTGGAGTGGGCCTCTTGGCATGAACGGGAAAACCTCTACATCCTTGAATGAGGACTTGTGACATCCAAGGATCGGCACACCGGTCGCCCGTGCGGCCTCGAGCTTGCGCCTCATTCACACATTAGATCGTCACATCGTCGTCATGCGTTCTAGATACCTAAGCCAGCCCCGCCTCTACGGCTCTAAGATGCTCCATACTACAGCCGCCTGTTTCAAACTTTTTTACACTTCTATATTTGCGCTCAGCATCACACCCATCTACTCCACACGTTCCTCGCGCATCGCGCCGAAGCACCGGTTTGGTGTCTGTCGAATCTTCGGCGAGTGTCGCATCACTGACCGCGATCCAATCCTCTTTCCCTGCTGGCGCAGCAACTCTCAGAACGACATTGTCATCTTGTATTGAGCTGATCCACCTGATCATATTCTCCAGTGGGGCCGCAGTAGTCGTCCGTCTTGATGGTGAAGGGTAGCGAGAGCCACCGACTCCTGATCCGCCTCCTCCCGTTCCACCTTCTTCACCTGGCGAGGGGACGTCGAGCTTAGCTCTTGATCTGCCAGTCTGAGCACGAAGTAGTCGATTGATCGTTTGGTCCTATACCCCAAGTTGAGCGTCTCCTCATATTTGACATCTCCCTTGCACTTTCTCACCTGCTCATCCTGCAGCTTTTGCTCCGTCTGTCGCTTCCTCCGCCTGGCAACCTCTTCACGCCTTTGTATCCTCTCTGCTTCCGTCAATATGAGCTGCTTTTTACTGGAGCCTTCATTGCCTGAAGATTCAGGGTTGCGTCGTCAGCGAAACGAAATGGGCCAGTGAGACTGAGATGTATCGAGCGGTAAATCTCACCATGCGGCAACTCTAGCAATGTCTCCTGCAGATCCTTGTTGCCTCTAGCCCTTTGTCTTGCTGTCATCTTGGAAGGACTCGTAGACCTCTGAGCGGAGTTCTGGCCTGAATCCAGCTCGTCCGTCGGGTCATCTCCTTCTTCCATGACGTCAAGTTCGTCTTCGTCGCTCCCTGCAAATGTATCAGCTAGCACTCAGGCCGACAGCACCCTGGATATGCGATCGCACTCACCCAGATCAACATCCATCGCGACCATCTTTGTCCGTTTTGAACTTTTCCTAGCTGCAGCTCTTGAAGGTCGCTTTGTCCCTGATCCACCGAGGTCGACAGACGAAGGAAGACCTTTCCCTTTGACGCTAAACTTGATCTTGAGGGCAGCGCTAGGGGAACTCTGAGCTACTCGTGTGGACGACGCAGTGGTGGAATCACCACTCATGCTGGTACCTGTTTTGCTGGTGGAAGCGGTCGCCTGTGCTCTGGCTTGTTTCGCGGCTGTCCGAGAGGTCGTGGCTTTTGGTAAGACTTCGGGTGCGTCTTCTTCGTCTAGCTCGTCCTCGCCATCATCATCACTCGAAGCTGAGAAAGGAAAAAGTATCAGTGCGTTGGAATCAGGAGCAAGTCAAGCGATCCGAATCCGACCCACTCACGTTGAGAGATCACCTCCTCTTCCTCCTCCTCTTCGCCTTCTGCATCTTCGTCGAGCTCCTCATCCTCCTCCCCCTCCGCGTCCTCATCAGCACCGTCTACCTCCATGTCTTCGGCTTCATCTTCATCTTCCCCGTCTTCCTCGCCCTCCTCTTCGTCCTCATCGTCCTCTACGTCATCCACCTCTTCGCCCTCGGCATCATCGTCTTCTTCGTCATGGGGAACAGGCTTGGGGGACTCAGACGTGATGACATGACCGCGCCTCGAGCGAGACGCAACGCGGGACATGTCAGTCAGACGATTGAGGGATAAATGAGGGAGTCTCCACCGGATCTTCGTTCCCAATCGTGAACGGAGCGGTGTGAGTATGCCAGAGATGCCATTGGTGGCCCACCTCACAAGGCACGAGGAGATGCTTCGGCATTTCAATTTTGAGTCCGTCTTTTTTGCATGGAACTCTGTTCGATCTGTATAGTAACACTTCTATCTCTCTCTACCTGACAGTTGTGACCTACATTCCAACGGGGAGAGCGAACAAGACAACGCAGCACATTTTGTATCTCCCTAGTCCCATCATTGACGACCTTCCCTCACTATGGACTTCTCTCAGTTCAACGGCGCCGAACAAGCGCATATGACCAAGGTCATTGAACGTAAGCAGGTGGGTTCATAGCTCTCGGCGGCAGGGCGAGTCATGTCTTTCCCCAGAGCGATGGCAAGCGAGTCCTACCTCAACCGATCCATCTGCCGGATATCGACGCTGTCGCATGACCATCAGTCAAAGATGATCGTCGTCTATCAGGCCAATGTGCTGATCGTTTTCGTACCAGATGGCAGACTTTATGAAACTCTACTCTGGGATGGTCGAGAGATGTTTCAATGCGTGCGCTCAAGACTTTACGAGTAAAGCTTTGACATCGAACGAGGTGAGCTAGGCTCTGTCGGTAATCACCACAATATCATGTTGACCGTCGACGTAACAAGACGACCTGCGTGCAAAACTGTACCGACAAATTCTTAAAGCATTCCGAGCGAGTCGGTACGAGATTCGCAGAGCACAATGCGGGTGAGTGATCAGGTGTACTCGATCTTTTGGAAGCCGGCCAGACGATTCGCAAGTATCGATGAAATCAGCTGACAGTTCGGCTCCTATAGAACAAGCAGGCAAGTAGGTGCCAAAGCCCACCGGAGAACAAGGTAGCAGGAATCATGAGATTGCCTTAGCATCTCGACTTTATGCCCGCAATGTAATACTTCCATCGCTCACTTGAGTTACAAAGGAAGACTGCGAAATCTGATCTTCTAGATGGTCATCAATCAGGAACCCAACGAAGCCCGGAGTGACTCCTCCTTTGCATACTGGTTGTTGTACTTTCACAATTTGCGTCACGGGTCTCTTCACTTCTCCCCTCATCTCCCGCAGACACATCAAGATATCGGCCTTCAAGGCTGCCGTGGCTGTGACACCTCTTGCTGCCTGCTTCTCTACTGATCTCTAGTCCATCTACATGGGACCGGTTTGTTGCAATTTTGCCTTCTCAGTTTCCAGACGCTGTCAGAGATCATCAGCCATCAGATCTACATGTCACGATGTTGCCACGATGTTCTAACTCACAGCGAACAGTAGCTGGACGGCAATGTTGATATTGTTGGGTTGACCGGTGATCGTCACCAGTCTTTCTTCGGGATTGGGGGTTTGGCCGGGGTTGGCAGGGGTACCAGGCTCAGTGACTCTGATTTGGCATTGGGATTGGGATCGAATCTCGTTGATTTTGGCACCGCCTTTACCGATGACTACAAAGAGCGTCAATACTTGAAACTCAAACATCCGACAGAGTCAAGTCGACTCACTTGCGCCGACGAGAGCGTTGGGGATGAAGATTTGTTGAGTTTGTGCACCAGGAGCAGTGGCTCCACCATATGATGGAGCAGCTGAAGGCTGCATGGAGGGTCCGCCTCTTGATCCAGGTTGACGATAAGATCCAGTAGTGGTACCCGGATTCCGCTCCTGGTATTCGAGAAGGATGGTTCCAATGTAATAGACGGCGATGTGGACTGCATCGGCAACGCCAGAGACGGAAAGGACTCGCTGAGGACTCTGTCAGCCACATGGCTCTGTCACGACTGTTTAGACTCGCCTCAGTGGATCCAGGGAGCATGGCCTCGCTAGCATTTAATCGCGCGCCGCTGGCCTCCTGGATCTCCTTGATCTTGGAGCCACCTTTGCCGATGCTAAAGGGGCAGCCGTCAGCGATATGAAACCATATGAAATGTATTTCACTCACACGCTGCCCATGCGAGAATTCGGAATGATGAATTTGATGGTGACGGCTCGAGAGCCGGGAACAGATGCGACGTCGAATGGTTCATCGTTGATACGTCGAACGATGAGACCAAATGCCTATATGGTCAGCCATTGTATTGGATCTCGCTCACCTTGGCTACGGCGTCCAAGGCACCTGATACGTTGAGAATTCGTTCAGGATTTCCGGGGATGGATTCCGACACAGTCACTCGGGCACCAGATTTCTCCTAAATAGAAAAGGGCTCAGCACATATCTTGAGGAACCCACGCCCGCGCTTACTCTGATCTCATTGACATGTGATCCCCCCCGACCGATAATGATACTGGCATCTTGTGTGACGATCAGACTTCTCATGGAAATTTGGGACGATGGAGGCTCGGCAGCCTGGACGGGAGCTTGAGGGACGGAGGAAGGGGTGGAGAGGGAGCCGGTCGAGTTGTTCGTTGTGGCGGTCGATGGCCCCGCATCATTACTGGATATGAGCGTGAGTGAGATATTAACCTAGATCTCAAATCCACTCACGCGTCCATGGCAACATCGTCCATCTTCCTTCCGTTAGAGGAGGCGGCGTTGGTGGGAGAATTGGAGGTGGTGGTGGTAGTGGTGGCGGTCCCCTGGGCTTCCTTTGTACCAGCTTGACCGTTTCCTGTTGCGGACGCTTCTGATTTATCGTCTCGAGCTCGTTTTGCTGACGATTGCTTGGTCGATTCAGGGGGCGAAGGAGATGCAGGTCGTTTAGCTGAGGGGGCGGTGGCAGTGGCTGAAGACATCACGAAGAGTATCGAGGGCAATGTATCAAGGTTGAGGAGGTTTTCAAAGATCAGTCTCTGTCAATTGCCTCCACGACGACTACACGGGAGTTGTGAATGAGGCGGGGGCGGGGCAGGGCGGGGCGGGGCGACGGGGCAGTGGATAGGCAAGGTAGGCCCAAGAATCAAGATGTAGGACGGCAGGATGACGGGCAGGACAGACACGCCCGAGAGATGTCCAGTGCGAGAGGCACGCGAGCGAGCCGGAGTGAAAGGGTTATTGAGATATTCCGAGATGTCGGGAGGAGGAGAGGAGAGGCGGAGGTCGGTCGGAATAGGTTTTGATGTCGTGTGTTCAGTCGTTGGCAAGGCGGAGTGGGATGGACAGACAAATGCAGTTTGAGATTTTGGAATGAATCGGATTGAATGGGTGGGATATGTAAAGGTCAGGGTGGTGTGGAGGGGGATAGGGAAGGGGGGGTGGGGAGATTCCGTGGCGGTTCAGCAGTGTAACTCACGACGTTTTTGACTGGTTTCCCGTGTATTCTCCACAGCGACAGGCGATGACTCTGATGATGATGTCGAGTGAGCTAGAATGGCCTGTTCTTCTTGCTTTGATCCTTTTCCGAGGGAGGTCCAATGGATATTCGAGCGATAACAAAGGGAGAAAGGTAGATGGGTGGGTTGAGAGGGGAGCTCAGCAGGCATGACCCACGCGGCGTTATTGTCGAATGTGGCACTTTTTGTCAACAAATGTTGGCTCGATCACCTACGAGACGCGTGTTTTTTGTTGTATGGTGGACCATTGTGGTTCACTTGCAATGAGATGAGGATGGGCAAAGCTTCAGTATAGAGGGGATCTGGTACAAAGGGTTCATCAGCAGTCTGATCACTGCTGCTGCTCAGATTCCGATGCATTGAGTTTGTGTCTCTCTCTACCAGCACCCGACTCCCAATTCGTGTGTGGCTTCGAGGTCTGCCTCCCTTCTCCGGCATTTCGACGAAAAGCAACTCGATCTGCCTCGACCCCCCCTCTTACTCCAGCATCGTTCTGTGATTTCTTATTTTATTTACTCATAAATATTGCTATCCCTCTCATTCTTCAGTCAGCTCAGAGTGTTCTTCCAAGGGCCATTGAGGAGCTTCCCTTTCACAGAGAGAACAGATTCAACCCCGCAACTCCGGATCACGGCCCATCTACACCATCTATAACCCAACACGCCCTCCCGCTCCAATTTTGGATCTCTGTACAATCTTCTTGTACGCGTCAAACTCATTTATTCACCCTTGACCAGCACAGACAAGCTCGCGGTAACGCCCACGACCTTTGCAAGGTTCTTTGCATAGCTCCTCGCCAGCAGCATTGTGGCTCCGATTCGTGGCATTCGCAAAAGGACATTACCCCCGCTGCCCATGTCTGCTCTCCAGATGACCACGAACTGAAAGGTATTTCTGCCTTGCGATCAAAATCCGCCGCCCTTGCCTGTCTCTCGCCACCTGGCTGCTACCTTTCCTTCATTCTTAACGCTTTTCAACTCTCATCTCTCCATATCATACATCCTCCGCCACGATGGTCTTTGTCAAGCGTAAACCCGTCATCTATTACCCACTCCCCTCCCTCGCCGAGGTCTTACAACCTGTTCAGCCTGCCCAAACCAATGACTCCGCCTCAGCATCGTCTCCGGCGCCGTACGACAAGGCCGACAAGTCGAACGAGCAGGTTGCCGAGCTGGCCCCTCTACCTCCGGATGGGAAGAATGAGGAGGAGCAGATGGACAAATTGTTGACTGTCTTTCGAGGAGATTTTCCGGGAGCTTCAGGGAACGTAGGACCTGGTAAAGGCAAACGTGCGGGTGTGCGCGTCCTGAATCACCATCTCAACAACGGAGCGGCAGCCTCCTCTCCTGCCAATGGGAGCAAAGTCAATGAATCAGCTCAGGACGGAGAAGCCGAGACAGGGGACGCTGGGCCTATAACTTGGAGAATATGGGATAGAGAGAGCTTCTTCATCCCCGCTACTGGAGAGATATTCACAGATTATGAGTAGGTATCGTGTTTGAGCGTATCTGTGACGTTTGACTGATACAACGTAGGACTTTCCTCTCCCGGATGACCTTTTACCAACAACCCTTGTTCCAGTGTGAAGGTAGGCTGAGCGCGCCGCCCTACGCAAGCTAACATGATTCAGTGAGCGGCAAGTCTGGCCTCACCTACAGTGCTGCTCAAGCCTCTGAATGGAGGGAAGCACGACAGCTACACACTAGATTCCCGAAGCAACTCAAAAAGGCTGTTTTGATCGCCATTCAATTTCGTGCGTCGTCCTCCAGACGATCCACAAAAGCTCACACAGTCTCTCAGAGATCGAGGGCAAGCTGGACACGCTGGCGGACAAGATATTTGAGCGTTATGTCAACCGATTTTTTGATGAAGAATGTAAGTCGGATGATCTGGCGGGGTCTCTAACTTTCCGAAGGCGTCTTTGTCGACGTTGAAGGAGACAAATATCTCGCCCGAATTGTCAAGACCTTCCCACCACGGTCCCTCGCAGCTTCGACTTCCTCCTCTCCCGTGTCCAGTCTCAAATCGCTGCCTAGATACCACCCTTACGCCGCCGATCTCAATCTCTCATTGGAGGAGGCCAATGAAAAAGATGATCCCATGGCCTACTTTTACAACGTCAGGCTGTTGGAAGAGGGCGCTCCGACAGATCATGACCAGGCCCAGACAAAGCAACACACTAACAGCGATGATGCCGAGGAGCAATGGCAAGGTAGTACGATGGAAGTACGGGCGGACAAGATCAGGTAGGTTGACTCTCAAGTGCCAGTCTGCCTCGAGCTAATAGTTGCACCAGCCGAGATCGAATCAACTTCTCACGAGTTATGCTGAAGCGGTTCATTCGAGATTGTGTTTATCGAGATCCTGCCATCTTTTCGCCTTGGGTGATCAAACCTGCCGTAGCGGCTCGCTATGACATCTCGACTGAGATGCCGTCAGATGTCGGACAGCGGATCCAAAGATTTAAAGAGGAGCTGATGGACAAGAGGAAAAGGGCAAGGGATGAAAAGTTGGGGATTGTAGAAGAAGAGAAGCCGACAGAGGAGGATATCAAGCCCAAGACGAAGAAGCAGAGGCTGGCAGAGGAACGTCGTTTACGTGAGGAAGAAAAGGCACGCGAAGAGGCTCTCAAGAAGAAACCGATGAAATTTCCGGCAGAGGGTGAGTGAATAGACAGGATTGTCATTGACGAGTCTCAGATCTTTTGGTCGAGTATTCTCAAGATAAGGACGAGCCAGCGGGTCGGGTCGAAGTTCGACCGACCCCGAACAGAGATCTGCCGTTTGGCGACTTGTTCGAGAAGTTTCTCATGTCCTGGTCTTTCCTCAATGTCATGGGGTAGGGTTTTGATTTGTTCCGAATTCTCTTGGTATTGACATTGTGACCTTAGGAAACCGCTGGCACTATCACCGTTTACCTTGGACGATTACGAGCAGGCTCTGTACCACACCGACCCATGGACGTCTCCTACGAAGCTCATGGTCGAGATACATTCGACGCTCTTGAACGCCCTGATCGTGGATCAGAATGCCGGCAATGAAGCTGTTAAGCCATTATCCTTGACGGGGCGCACCGAGGACAATGACACAGATTATTGGGAGGGTAAAAAGGGGGCCACGGCCGAATTGTTGCGACCAGCTGCGAGCGATTACGCCTCGAATTGGAAGACCAAGGAGCTGTCGATCAAGGAAAGCCGCAAAGGCTGGGAGAATGCTCTGGTGGGATGCTTATGGGAGCGAGCAACACTGGATACCTTGCCGAACTACCTCGACAACATCCTACACTTGACATTCGAAGACAAGCCAGCCCCAACCCGTCCGACTTGGTCTACTGGTCCTGCGACTGCGGCTTCGGGTCATGGTCTGATACCCTCCAAGCCCGAGAAACGATATTCGACGTTGCACCATGTTCACAAGCTTGAAATCATCTCGTTCTTAATCGAACTGGTGGCGCAGACTGCGAGTATCAGGGACTTTATGGAGCAGAGCACGACAGATTTGACAGAAGTCAGGAAGAATATCATCGACGTCAAGAGGGAGCAGAGGCAGCTGTGAGTGTGGCGGTATGAGAAGATCGAATGCTGAGCGCGTTCAACAGCCGCGCCGAGAGAGCTGCTCTCGATCCGCCGACCAAACCGAAGCTCGAAAATGGCGAGCCGGTCATCGATGCCAACGGAGACGTCGTTATGAGCGATGCGGTTAAGGAGGAGGAACGTGACACTCCCGCGCCATCTGTCAACGGGGTTGCCAACGGGACCACTTCTAACGCCACAGACAGAGATGAGCTAGAATCCTCGATTGGCCCAGCACAGGACGACGAAGATTCCGATTCGTTCACCGAACCGGCGCTCTCCGAACAGGAGGATGGACCTATCGTCGCCGCAGCTCATCGCCGCAAAGCCATGAAGGAGAAAGCGGCGGAACGCGAAGCTGAGGAGGCGAACCGTGCAGCTCGAGCGGCTGAAGACCGATTGAAGTCAAAAGAGAACAAGCACATCGCTTCAGAGAAGCGGAGATTACAGGACGAGATTGACAGCATGACACACAAGCTTCGCTTGCTCGACCACGATTTCCGATCACACTTGCAGACTTTACGCGCGAGACCACTCGGTTCAGACAGATTCGGGAACAAGGTCTGGTGGCTGGATGGTTTGGGCTCGGCGCCGTTGATGGGAGATAATGGAAAAGTCACTTACGGTACCGGGAGGCTCTATCTTCAAGGTGCAGACGATATCGAGGTCGAGTTCTGTCGGATCCCTGCGGAAATGTCAGAGACGGACTGTGAAGCTAGACGAGCGAAAGAAGAAGGCGATGGGAGATTGTCACCTGGCGAATGGGCCATGTACGATAGCCCAGAATCTGTATGTCGATACGTCCAAACTCGCTCCGACTCCTAAGCTGATCCCTCGTCATAGTTCGCCGCCTTCATGTCGTGGCTGAATCCAAGAGGGATCCGCGAGCTGGCACTCCTCAAAGTCCTACAACAGTGGCAGCCTGAAATCGAAGGCGGTATGCGTAAACGGAGGATAGCGGTTGGTCTGGATACGCCTCCAGAGACTGGTGAAGAGCCAGCGAGGCGGGCCAGACCAGTTCGCAAGGTCGCTGCTGCGGGAGGGGACGATGAGACTTCAGGTTATCTCGCGTGGAGGGTGAGCAGTGCTGCGTCGATGGGCGTCCCACAGCTGACCTGGACTAGAATCGGCGCGCCGTGTGAGAGTGAGAAGTGAAGCTCAAGAAGTCGAGGTAGAGGAGGGCCGGATCCTAGTCAATATTGAGACACATAAGAGTCCGAGTTTACGAATTGTCATGGAAAACCGAGTTCAATGTAAAGATCACCGTCCGCTGTAGCAGCCCTGGGAACTGTTGTCCGCGAACTGCCACCAACTGAATCCCCGGAAATGCAGCGCGACTGATATCCTTTCCCCATATCTTCAGCCATGTCCCATTGGATTGCTACATCCCCATGATGAGCGAGATCATCAAGTGAATGATGGATGAAGGCTTACCTTCGACTCGGTCATCCCAGTCATCTTTAGATTCACTCTTCTTAGAGCGCTCTCAGCAACAGACGGAATTGACTCGGGACGAACAACCAGATGTACCCATTTGTTCTGTCCTCCCGCCCCCTTCCGTTGAAGGGCTGTACGTGTACAAGGATGCGATAGATCGGATGCTCGCCCGTGAGTCATAGTTTTAGTTGGATCTTCGCACCTGATCTACCATAGGACGAGTTATGCAAGGGATCGAGTCGAGTGCATTTTTCGTCAATTCTCGAGATCAAGTTATGCTGTTCGAGCGGAAAGCGTCAGAGATATCATCGAGCGGGTACAAATCTGCCTCTCAGTTACCTGTATACCTCCACGAACTCTTGGGTGACCTGAGCCACAGCTTGAAACCTCGGCTCCCAGCACATGTCTGGACCACTGTATTCCGACAAGATCTCGCACGACAAGTCATCATCAACTTGTACGAGCCGGGTCAAGGTATCACTCCGCATGTCGATCTCATCAACCGATATGCGGATGGCATAGTTGGAGTCTCACTATGCGGTAGCGCAAGCATGACCTTTGAACACATCGCGCGGCCTGAAGAGCGGTATCACGTCTTTCTACCGTCTCGAAGCGTGTATGTGCTGCGTGGCTCTGCCAGGTACGACTATTCTCATGGTATCGAGGGACGAGCCTTGGATCTTGTGAATCGAGGCGATGGGAGAATAGACACTATCCTTAGGGAGTCTAGACTGAGCATCACCTTTAGATGGATCAAAGAAGGCGGGGATATTTTGGATTGATTAGATACGGCTCAGACGGCGAGCAGAGATCTGCAATGTTATAATACTTCTTTCCACCTTTGAGAACCGAATGAGGGATAGCTCTAGATCCCCTCCTACGCCTGACTATCTTTGGCCTTCTTGTGCTTTTTCCGTGACTTGACTTGGCCAGCATCCTCACGTCCACTCGCTTTGACCACCTCGCCGGCTTTTGTTTTGCCCTGCTTCCCGGTCCTTACAGGTTCCATCTCCATCCATGCGTCTGATTCTCTCTCTTTCTTCTCCGTGATGGCCCTCGCAGCTGCTAGACGTCGCTTCGATCGAGAGTCCATGATCAGTTTCGTGATGACTTTACTGGCATACAGCGATCCCAAAATGATGATGGCAAAGGCCCAGGCTATGGGAGCATCGACGAGCGGTCCATTGCCAGAAGCTTTGGCAGAGATACTGACCAAGTCTCTTGGGATCAATGGTGTGATGAGGTTGGAGATTGGAGACAGGCTGGGGTGTATCCTCATCAAAGAGCAGTAGACCACAGAGCATAGCATGACGGCCCAGAGTTCTAGACTCTCCAAGATGAAAGGGCCAGTTCCAGAAAGGATACTGGGCGATCCAATCGACCACTGAGCAGCTGGAAGATTGAACGTCTGTACCATCCAGCCTCCACCGCAAGCCGCTATACCACTGAGGACCGCGACGGTCCATGGATTGGCGGCGCTGGCGAACCTAGGCGAAGAGGCTAGGAGATCTGGTAAGGATGTCAAGACGATTCCTCGAGCTATCCCATCAAAGTAGGCCCCAATGATATTGATGAATGTAGGTGCTGTCGAGGTCATATAGTTGGCCATACCGGATGGTATGAGTAGGAAGTATATAGGTATATAGATCAGCCATGGAGTGGACGAGATGAGCCATGCCGGAGGTTGTGAAGTGAGCAATGATAAAAGGGTTCCACCTCCCCCTGGTACGCAGGTGAGTCGCAAGTCTCAGACGAAGGGCCAAAAAAAGCACGGATGCAGCTCACAAGTCGCTACGAGGTACCCAAACAAATCCTGAAGCCTTCCGACCTTTCTTCTGCTCCCTCCTGTCTTCGTGGCTGCCGCCCATACCAGACAGGTCCTCGAAGCGTGCAGAGCGCCGAATCGTAGAAAGGGGTAATAGATCGGATGGACAGGCTCAGTCGTTATGTGATGGACAAGACGAGATATACTGGGGGCAGACGACAGAGGGGAGAAGGTGAGGAAGGATGATGGAGAAGCGAGAAATGACTGCAAGGAGGTCATGTCAATGGATTTGGACAGGGGTACAGGGTTGGTCAGCGGCGCCAGACCTAGCGTCTCATTGGCGATGTAGCTGATCCATTGCTCGAGGCTCGACATCTCCCGGCAGGACCCTCGAGCGTTCGAGCAGCAAGCGGGATGAGGGGGAATGACAAAAAGCAGATGAAAGTCAAGCCTATCCAGACGCGGCAGGAAAACATCCATCGCCAGGCCAATCGGCCTCTGGGCTCGACGTGACCATATCGGCCGGCGACGGGACCGCACATCCGCAAATCAGACCCAAGCAGTTACAATACATACACAACCCGTACAGAGCAAAATCTACTGATCCCCATGACTGACTCCTCTACGTAGTAAGCGGGAGAATCGCGTCAGAAAGCCAAATGATCGATCTTCCTTCGTATCCTTTCGTAAGCCCACTGACCCTCGCTCCCATCGTATACCTGCATCTGAGCGTTTCCACCCGAAATCGACGATCAACCCTATGCCTCGGTATCGCCAGTCGACATGATTCGGCGGTATCTCGTCGTCGATGGTCCGAGGATCCTGGTCGTCATTCGATGTCAAAAGGGATCCGGGATCAGTTTCGTTGAAAGGGTAGGTTGGTTGATATCCTGCCAGATGGGGATCTTGTACCCGGCCAGAGTTCACACTGAGCCATGTTCGGTCCGGCAGAGGTGCAGATGAAGAAAGGCTTGAGAGGGCAGGCGGTATTGGAGAGTCGACGAATGGTGATGAAGGGGAGGTTGCAAGGAAGAGGATAGAGTACTGTCATTGGCGATCAGCGACATTGTTCGAAAGATATTCAATAGAGATCACTGGGACGCCAGGTCACGTCTAAGCGCGTTGACTCACCAAGACCAGACAGTAGCTGCAAGGTCTCTCCCTCCAAAAGACAGCACCTACGAAGAGAGCCAGGAAAAGCGGGGATGCAGCAGGAACAGGGAGCATTATAGAGTAGATGAGAAGATGCCTCAAGCACATCATCTTGAAGGGATCTTCTCGCTTGCTCTGTCACCGCAAGGTCGTTAACGTTGATGTGATCGTCCAATGTTGCGTCTGCAACCCAACCGCGGCTGAAGGAATTGGAGACACACCTGGGAAATTTTGTGGCGAGTGGCGGAACTTCTGTGAGGCAATACCTGGCTACTTTAACTCACTGTCGGCGACACCTGCTACGACATTCGCCCTATGCATCGTAACAGGACATCCTGTGCCGAAAAGTCTTCTGGCTCCAGTGATTCCGAGTGTTGACCTCCTTCTCAAGAGGTGATGCTCGGTTGCTTTTTGACAAACGACCATATAAATGCCAGCCACCGTTACCAAGTGACAGGGGTCGGACGGAGGGACCAGGTCACAGGCAAACCGAATCCGCGGCCCCCAAGGGCTTCGGAGGTTAAGATCTCAGATCGCGGCTCACATTTCTGGCTGGCTATCGGATTCTCTTCTTGAATGGCTCAGGCCTCGCAGCCGTTTCCACTCGGACATTGTGCTGCCTGGGAGTGGCCTCTAGGTAGCAAGCCCCAGATTAAAAGGCATGTCTTTGAGATTCATCCTCAAATCGGTATCGTGTACAAGTTAGCGACACTCGCATGTCTCCGCTGCACCCTATCCCACTTGCCCACTCATGGACCCGTTCAGTCACCCCCAGGCGTCGTCTTCTCATGGCAGCACCGGGCTGGACAAACGGCGACTTTGCTTACAAACCACAAATTCGTCTGGTTCCCACCGTCCGATTCCGCCACCAATCAGACAGTGTCAACCTTCATCGATCAGCTCATGATAGCGTGATCTGCTAGTGAGCTTCCTACAACGCTTCAACTGACCGCGAAAGCCCCGGCCGAATGCACAGGACAAGCTACGGATCCACTGCATACGCCTGGCAAGCTGAGTCACATCGAAGGGGCGGGATCCGCCGTCCACCAGGACGTAGTACGGACTCCATGACCATCCACGTACTCTGGTGTCAGATCCTCCATGTCACTTTGGGCGCGCGCACCGATGAAACCCAAGGCCTTGAGGAACGTCACGGACTCACGCCACTCTCAGTCTTCGGTCAATGCATCTCCGAGTTCATTCAACCTCACGCTCCCCCGAAAATCCTCCGCAATTGTCTCGAAATCGCACCTAGCGTCTTTTTGCAGACTCGCATTATTAGTCGACATTGTCAAGCTGTTTCTTACGATTAACTGACTCATGATCCCTGAGTGATCACACTCTATCTTTCCTCCGCGGGACACATGTGGATCTAGCTAGACCAGGGCCGCATTCGTGCCGATGCCTAACGAGCATTTGTGTTACTGAATTCATAGAAGGAGTAGCCGCCCTCGGTTTGGGCGATCCACTCTGCATGGCCAACTCTCCTGAGAATCTGTATCTGTGTCTATCTGACATCTGACCTCTCTATCTCCCGAACATACCCCGCGTTGGCTGATCTGTCGGGTAGAATATCAGTTTCAGAGCTTGGTCGCCAAACACATATAAGGGATAACGAGGGCTCTGAACCCCTCATCCACCTCATCTGCTTCGCGAGTCTTTCCCTATCACAAGCACTATTCACTGAGAATGAAGTCCATCGCCTCTCTTCTCTGTCTCTTACCGGTCTTCCTTGCCTTCCCGACTCCGTGTTCCGCATCTCAAGAGGTTGAAGTCATTAACCTGCACAAGCGCACTGGAGGTGAGGGTCACATCTTGACTAATAGGCTGACGAAGCAGACTACGTGCAGAACTACAACGGTGGGGTTGCCGACTTTCAGTACAACCAATATGACGGCACATTCTCGTGCGGATGGAACACGGACACCGACTTTGTAGTGGGCTTGGGATGGTCCACGGGCACCGGAAGAGCGATCACTTACAGTGGTTCTTACAATCCTGGAAACAGTGGATCATACCTGTCCATCTACGGTTGGACCGGCTCTGGATCCCTCAGTGGTGAGTGTCCATTGTACTGTACGTATGGCGGCCGACCTGAGGTCCATCATTCAGAATATTACGTCGTTGAGGACTATGGCAGCGTGAGTGCATGATGTCCTCGGGCTCGGCTGATCAGTGAAGTTCAATCCTTGCACCGGCTCCGGTGTGACACAACTCGGCACCCTCTACAGTGACGGAGCAAACTATCAAGTCTGCACTCATACACAATACAATCAACCCTCGATCGTGGGAACGACTACGTTCCCTCAATACTTCTCCGTCCGAGAGGGCAAGCGAACTTCTGGGACAGTCACTATGCAGAACCACTTCAACTATTGGGCTCAACATGGGTTTCCCAACCGCAACTTCAACTACCAAGTCTTGGCCGTCGAAGCCTTTTCGGGGTCAGGAAATGCCAATATGAAGTTGATTTCTGGCTGAGCTTGTCTCACCACCCCCTGTCTTGAGGAAGTGAGTTACACGCGCATGGAATGGAAGATTAGGTGGTGCATGATCGATGAGAGGAAAACCATTTTGGAAGACAATGGCATGCACGCTCCAATTGAGTGCTGCAGACTGCATAGGCGCTCTTCGTTCCGGTACCCGCTCCAGATTTTGGGACGCGTCTCCACCCCATCCGCGTTTTCGATTTGATGCCTGTTGCTTACCTGACTGAATTGAGATCTGAGGATTTTAACGACATTGCATGCGCGCATTGCTCAATACACACATGACCTTACAAGGCTTGTTGTTCCTAGATCTGACAGAGGTGAGTCAGCCCCACCTCGGACAGTGGCGTCTCTACGCCACCCCCAATGGAATGAAACAACACCTCTGTTTACATTCCTCAGACGCAAATATTCAGAGCGGTTGCACACGTCCATACATGGCAACTCGATACATGGTATAATACTTGACAAGAACGGGGCACCAATTGTCCATTTGCATTGATTATACACGATCCCCAGGAGCAAGAGGAATGAATAGAAAAATGTCCGGTGTCATTAGGAAGAGCAGGAAATCCTTTGTCCGTTCGTTTCCGCGGACCATTTTGGTTTTGGAGATGACCAGTCCCTTACAAGGACCACTGTTGTTGTGGGTCGGGCTCGGAGCAGGTCCAGGTCTGGATCATGGTATTGCCTTGATTGTTGACATCAAGACATTGGTCTGCATATGCGTTAGCTTTTGCTATGTTTCTATCTCGTTAAAGATCGACTCACTGTTGGCAGTTGAGATGAGGTTGCCGTTGAAGTTCCAGACCTGTTGCGAGAGTCCGAAGTAACATTGCCAAATCTTCATCTGAGTCCCATCGGCAGGGTTGGATCCGGCATCCAAACAGTAGTTGGTTCCGGCCAGCTGGATGGCACCACCGTCAAACGCGTAGAACATTTGATTGGCAGCTTTGGTGCAAGGAGCGAGGTTGACGGGAGTGCCGTTGGCGAAGGATCCTTGAACGGTGGCGCACATGCCAGTGTTACCATTCCATGAGATGGTGGTGGAGGGTCCGGTAGGTCCGCTCGAAGCGGATGCAGAAGGAGCGGCGGATGAAGTGCTGCTCGGGGCCATGCTGCTGGTGGAAGCCGCCATGCTCGTAGATGTGGCAGGTTGGTCAACGTACCAGACTGTCGTCATGATGATCAGCGTCGTCACGGACCAAACTAGATGGTGACTCACTCTGGTTGGTGTCTCCAGTGGTGCATTGGTAGGTCTGAGGACCGTTGTCACCTTCGTCGAGACACATGGTTCCTCCAGTGATGGCAATTCGGTTGTCAGGAGTGAGGTACCAACTAGAGACCTCGGTCAGAAATCGCTTCCGTCATCGCCGGGACTCTCACTCACGTCTGTTGGGTCAGACCAGGGTAAGATTGCCAGACCTTTGCAGGTACAAAGTTATGAGGGTTCTCACCGGCATCAAGGGCGAAATTTGTGCCGTGAACGAGGACAGATCCAGAACCAGGGTTGATGTCCCAGAGAGTGGCTGTGGAACAGTCACCAACCCAGACGGGAGATCCGTTCTGGATGGTGACTCCAGCCTGAAGGTTCAAACAGGTACCAGTTCGGTAAGATCGGATGGTGACTCCAGAGTATCGTTTCTGGATGGGAGTCGCAAAGGCCGAGCTGGCAAGCAAGGCGAAAAGGGCAGCAGTGGCAGAGGCGTGCATTTTGGGTTGAGGTTGTTGTTTGATTTTGTGGGTTTTGGAGATGGAGTGAAGACGAGACAAGGCAGATGGTATAAAGGAAGTGGGAGAGGGAAGAAACGAGGCTGAGTCTTTACAACAGTCGAGTTTTATAGATGTCTGCAGCGGACTGCGAGGTGGGCCGTGTGATCTGGCTGGAAAGGAGGGGCGCAAAAGCAGGTTAAAACATCATAGAGCGGTCAGTGGCGGGTGGCCATGCGTCAGAGGGAGACGAACAAGAGCAGATGGTCCGGGTGACCCGTAGGACCCGAGGGACAGGCACAAAGGCCGTAGAGGAGTGCGGGGAAGAAGCCAGCCCATTCCACGGTCAGGCGGAAGATCGTTTTTCTAAATTTGTAAACAAAAAACGGAGGTGTCTATTCGGATGACATTTCGAGGTTTGGACAAATTACTGAATCCAGAAGTTTACCGTTCATGCTAGTCTACGGTTTGCTCTCGTCCATCGGGGATATGTATCGACGAACTCTAGGTCTTGGTCCTCCTCACCCAATGGTTTGTTCGGCATACCAAGGGGGAAGCAGAAAAAGGAGGCAAAACACAGCCATGTTGTTATTGTTGAACGCCACATTAACAGTTGCCACACACGGAGAGAGATTTCTGAGGTGGGGTCGCCGACAGGACTTGATATGACTCATCCAGAGTGAGATTTTTGAGAATGGGGGAGCTTCAATCCAACCACGTTCCACGAGGTACCAAGGAATTTGACATTCCTCGTCGCGCATACAGCGCCAAGCGGATTCCATCCCAAGTACTAAAAGGAGGGGGCGAAGAGGGGGAGGGGGGGGGTAGGCGACATGACCGGTGGCCGGATCTTGCCTTCTGCCTTGTCGCTGCCGGGACTTTTATTGTGGATGACATCAGGCGAGACCTCGAGCTACGATTCAGGCCAGACTTGAGAAAGTCAAGCCAATACAAGGAGCGCTCCCTGAGAGCGAATGTTATGAGTTCGGACGAGGTATGAGCCATGCACTCTGTGCAGAGAACTCTACGAATTGCGCCTGCGAGGACCTCTCCCTCAGCTCTCTCCCCCGTCTTAATTGTCCTAGACTCGCATCCTCGCCCTGGTCCGTCTTACAGTTTGACTTCCTCATTCCTTTCCGGTGGAATTATGTACAAGAGCCCCGAAAGAGGCTGGTCAGCTTGACTTTGTCGCCGAGGTGCAGTATGATAGATCTCGCCGCATCTCCGAAATGTATGGTGTCACGACATGCTCTATGGATGGTCTACCCCACTTGACAAGCCTCACAATCACTGAATGCAATATGATCGATCGTCTTTGCCCTCAGCCCGCCAGTACTGTACGTATTCCCGATTCAGCGGCGATTGCCGATAATGGCGCGCAAAGAATCAATGTCTTTCATTGCTTTTATTGTATGGCCTTGTGTCGCATGGGTTGGGTCTCAATCTTGGCGCGATGGAGGAGGATGACGACTGGCTCAATGATGAGTCCGGGCAGTCGTATAGACATCAAGGTGGTGCCGCGGACCCACTGGTCGATGCAGAGTGGAACCGGCTGGCGACACGGTATAGCGATGTGAGTTTGACCAGGGGGCCAGTCATGGATTGCTGACGTTTCTCTTTGCAGGCTGGCTACAGGGAAGGAATAACCGATGGAAAGCTTGCGACACTCCAACAAGGCTTCGATCAGGGTTTCAACAGCTCTGTTCTTGCTTCTAGGCGTCTTGGTCAATTGAGAGGAAGAGCGAATGGTCTCCTGTCGTTCCTTCTCAAAACAGACATACCCGCTCAAAATGGCTCCTCTTCCGCGGATCCGGCTCGAGTCGACCTGACGATTTCGAACGTGCGAGAGTTCGTACGACTACTAGGAAACGTCAAGAGGGATGATATCCTCCCTTTAGATACGGAAAGGCTGGAGCACGAACGGAACGAGCATCCAGACCAGGATCATGCTTTCGAGTTTGAGCGAAACGATAAGCGTGATATGGAGGGACTGGAAGATGCTATGAGGGCCGTCTCGTCTGGCGGGGACATAGTCGGCCCAAGACCCGAGACGCGGAAGGAGAACACAGACTCGGCGAGAGATGCGTCCTCACTGGATGCCCTCGAAAGGCAACTGATTCAGCTGGAAGCCGCCATCATCGGCGACCATCAGATTTGAACTTTATGGCGGGTTTGCCTAGCCGTGATCGTCCTGAGATCCCTCAACGCGCTTCAAGTCGCCTAGCGGCAGCTGCTACCTCAAGATCGCGAGATACCTCTCATGATGGCTTGCAAAGCTACACCGGAGGGGCCGGACGCATTTCGAAGCCGACCCCCGGTTCTACGCTCAGCGCATTCGCGTCTCGCTCTGGAATGTACGAAGTGTCCATGCATATCAAGCTCATTAAAATTGTCCATGGCGTGAATGTGTTATATGCTACAGCAGGCTTCCGTCAAGCGCTTGAGGACCGCCTCAGAGTCCTGCTCTTCCGATAAGTCCCCGCTTGCGTCCGCCAAATGCCTCATCTATACCGGTTCCGCGACACACCATGATCAACATGGATTGACGCTGGTCTCACAGTCTTGTCTCAAACCTCAAACTTCTCCTCTGGTGACTCGTCGACAACGCCGAGTTTCGTCCTCCAGTTCTGCTTGCTCCCTCTCCTGCTTGCACCTCCGGATCGAGGTGGTGATAAGGTTCCAGATTCAGATATGACACGGGAAGATGAGTCGTGAATGACGGCGATGTATTGCGGCTTGCCATTCTCGAAACTGGGGTAAAAGATGGGTGAGCAAGCGTTGAAGGAGGCACGCTGAGATGGATAGAGCGAGGGAGGAGTGCATGGAAGTGGTGAGAGTCGTCCCTTCTCGATGGCTGAGGGCGAATAGAACGGCAGGTGGGGAGATGAACGAGGGAATCTGTCGTCGACATGTCAGCAAGGCACGCTCAGTGGACTGAAGAACTCACGACCACTGCAGCATGGCTAGCAGAGCCACAAACCCAATGACCAGGAATGGTAGTGGGACCTTGCAAGCGGGATAAGCGACGATATCAAATCGATTACACGTTGTGCTCACCTCATCCAATGCCGCCAGTATCAAGTATCCGACGGCTCTCATAGCTGGCGGGAGCTCACTGGCTGTCCACTCTGAAATGGCCGAGATCATAATGTCTGAAGTTGACCCGGGGACGGAGAGGAAGGTCAGAGTCGAAAGAGCGTCTTGAGCTGAGAGGTCTATGTAAATAGGAAAGGATAAGGGATGATCAGGGTTGGAACAATAACGATCCACGAGGGACTAGCGTTGGACTCCTTGAATCTGGACCTTTAAAGGATGTATGAGATGATGATGTCAAAATAAGGGGGCGGTTCTCTGATGGAGCTGATTGATTGATTGGTTTTGAGCTGTAGAGGGGCAGAACGAGGTAAGTAAGCGATACAAGCGAGGCGGTGAGGACAGAATTGGATGACCAAAGATGAGGATGGCCGATCTCCCATTGAAAGGTGTGCAACACACTCACTCTATGTGGTTGAGCAGAGTTCCGTTTGTGTTCAACTCCGACCTCTAATGTCGAAACGTGGATCCAAGGATGAAAGTCTGTCTTAATGTCCAGTGAAGAGCTAGCTATGAGAGGATCTTCCGAGTCTATGCACTTTGTGCCGCTGCCTTTTGCCTTCAGAAATGTGTGCGTCCCTTCCACGACGGAGGAGGAAGAGTCGATTATGAACGCGCTATGTCGATCCGCCTTGGGTCCACAAATTAAGATCACTATGCGGGATACGAATGTGATGGACGAGGATGAGAAGGAGTCTGGAGCTGATCTGTATGGGATGGAATGGATGATTGATTCTTCCGCAACCTTGAAGGCTGGACAGACCACGATGGCCCACTTCATTATCATCATTATTCTTAGACACCCGCAGAAAATGGGGGCAATCGTTCAGATGGTCCTCCCACCCTGCTCCTGGACCAGTCTGCCGCCCCTTCCCCTCCATGAAGCTTCATCCGAGACGAGACACAGCCGAGCCGATAGATAGATTTGAGGGGGGGAGCGAGCGAGCGAGCGGCGGAGCAGGCAGTGCTTCATGATCCTCTTTTGCCCTGGCCCCATTCCACACTCACTCGCCCCCCCCCCCCCCTCGAAATGCGGAAAGGGTCTTTTAATAAAAGTGTAAAAGAAAAACCCCTTTCGCATCGATCCGCTGAGGCGATACCCGCACTCAAAATATCATCTTTTGCTCCTTGATTCCTTGCCTACACCGCGTTCCAAGGACCCAGCTGTCTCTCCTCTTCGCGATTACAGGATTTATGCCAGACCACGCCACACTCTTTGAGATCTCCCACTGGATCTATGCATGAACATACCAACACCGCTTCCCTGGCTTTGTCCGAGACAGGATCCCACCGAGAAAAAGTCTGCCATCCCGGCGATGACATAGTGTGGCGTTGAGTGGCGAGAAAAGGAATACACTGACGTAGGCACTGGCTGGGGTTGTACAGGTCAGTTTCACACGACGAGGCCCTACTTTTCAGATGTGTCATCATACATGCCTGGTTCCCATCTGTCTATGACTCGAGTAAGGACTGCCCACCGATCATGCGCAACAGCTCGATGTAGCCTTTCTCAAACCCTTTGTTGAACTCCCTCTCCGAGAATCGCTGTTCAGCAGCTGCTCGAGCAGCACGACGAATCTTGCCTTGTTGAGTGGTGGAGAGAGAAAGAGCTTCGTGGATCTGGGACGCAAACTCGTCCGCTGTCTTTGCGTGGAAACCTGATCAATATTCCTTAAGCGAGGCCATTTTCCCATGCACCCGTCTTACCTGTCCGTTGACCGTTGAAAGGCACTACAATGTCCAACAACGGACCAGCAGAAGCATGAACGATCGGGATCAGACCTGCTGCCTGGAAGCGACGGATCAGCGCCATTCCCCATGACAAAGCCTCACCATGAATTCAACCACATTGATCCCGAAATGCTCGTCTTGCATCGTGTTCAACCCTATGCTAGCCTCTCCTAAACGACGTACGATCTCCGGGTACGGCGCGTTGAGAAGGAAAGTGACATTGGCCTGAATGATCAGTTGGGAGCAGGGTGACCACTCACGTCTACAGCAAGTGTTCGAGCGAGATCTTTCAATTGGTCTACTCTCGCTTCATCAGCTGGATGTCGCGCTCCTCCCGCCAATGTGAGAGTGACGCGTTGGTCTCCATCGCGGTGCTCTGGATGGCTTTCGAACAGCTTTGCGAGAGCCTGGATCTGCTTGGCGTGGTCTTTTTCTGGCCTGTTTGCGTCCAGTCAGCTACCAGGGCGAAGGACAGGGACGAACCTGAACTGAGCCAAAGAGAACAGCTCGCGCTTGCGGTGATCCAATCGGCCGAGGGAACTGAGAGCAGTGGTATCGCACGGAGGATACACAGTCTTGACGCCAGTGGGCTTGTCGCCATGGATGGCGATCGCCTTGTCGTCCATGAGAAGTAATGAACTCAACCAGCCTCGTCGAGCCTCGGAAACGAGAGAGGTGATGTGAGCCGAAGTCCAGGATGAGTTGGCCATGGTGTACTGGGAGAACAAGAGGGCAGTTGCGTAAAGTGAGGTGAGGATATGGTAGTATCTGATGCCATATAGTCAGGGACGACTACAACCGTGATACGTCGTTGACTCACATTAGCTTAATTTGAGTCTTGTACCATGATCCCGATGCCCCGGCATTTTCGATCCCGAACGAGCGTTCGCGAACCCGCTTGACCATGTCAGAGCTGACGGTAGGGTAATGTACGTATGCTCCAATGGCGATCTCTGAACCGCAGATGAATCGAACGAAAGGCCACGTAAAGGCGTAACCCATTGAGTCTAAGCGGACAGGTCAGTATACGCGTACGAGGCATTGATCGACGGACCGAGAAATATGTCGCCCCACAATCCATGGGGACCGCAAAGTCCCTGCCAAGCTAGGCAGATACTACCGAATGATTGCCCGAGAAGCGTGAAACGTTTCCAGTATGAATCGTCGACAAGGTGACGAGATGGAAGCGGGATGAATTGTAGGTACTGCGGGTGGAGCTTGATTGAGAAGCGGTCCTGAAGACAGTGGTTCAGGACAGAGGTGCAGGCATCGGCACTCACGTCAATCTTCGCCAAAATGGCCTCCTTTGACGCGGCTGGGTAATCACCCGTGTACACCAGCACTACCGTCTCCTTGTGTAGCCTCTGCAAGTGCATGATAGCGGTCCATAAGACTCGTTCTCCACCGCCTCCAGAGTTACTGTCAAGTGTGTCAATGAGCGGTGCGACACTCCCCGACAAGATCTGGCTCACCAATACGGATGCCAAAAGCCTATGATCGTCTGCTTTCCAATCTTTCGTGGAGGGCTATTGGCTGTACCTGGGACGATCACGTTTTCTTCCAGGCCCATCTTGGCTAGGAGTTCGGCTCGGCGTCTCGTGTTGCGTGTCCTGACTCTTGACAGGCCGAACATGGTCACTCCAACTAGAGCGAGCAGAACGATGGGCAGGGTGCTGAGAATCAAGGTCCAGCTGATACCTGCGTAAGAGATTATACCGAGAGTCGCGGCGGCTCCTGCCAGTATGGCTTTGAGGAGGATGGAAGTAGTTGAGCCAGTCGTCAACGCCCACACGAGCAGGACGACAAAAACCCACACGACATCAAAAGAGATTGATGCCTGAGCGGGATGTGAAAGCATCTTGCTGCATAGTGACCGAAAGTTCGACCCGCTGTGAGGTATAGAGGCGAGGAGCTGCCTGGTGTTGAGCTGGTGAATGACGCTGGCCAGGAGAGCGAGCTCGATATAGACCATCCTGGATCCTGAGGGTCTGCCGGATCCCTTCTTCGACGGCAAGTCGAGTCGTGGTGACGACGCGAACGGAGCGAGGAGTAAGAGATGCAGGGTAACGAGGACAGGCATGAACTGTTTGGTGTCAATCGTCTTTGGCAGGCACAATATGCAGACCATTGCCATGACGAGCGGCAGCAAGAGTTGCAGGTGATAGCTGGGTCGTATGACATATGTTGGCGGGTGTAAGACCAAAGCAGTGAGAAATAGAGAGGTCGATACGGAGATGGCCACGAGTTGACCCAGAACCATGTACGCCCACCTGTACTTAATTCCTCGGCGAGAGCCTGAGAGTGATGAGCTTCATCACGTGGGAAGAAGTTCTCCGCTTGGCTCACTCTCGAACCATATGACGGCTGTGTAGACCACTGTCCAAGTACATATCCAGCTGCTCCACCACCAAGCAGTCGAATCCTTGGTGACGATGCTCCAGGCTTGTTCAAACAATGCTGTGTCGACCAGCCATGAGCCGACGCTTGCTCCTGGATGCGTTCGACAATATGTCTCGAAGGACCACTGAGATACCGTGAGCAGACGGCTCTGGGCCCTTGACAACGGTAGAAATCATCTCACCCTCATGAAATCAATCATGACTGCCGGATGGTCAGCTCCGTAGCACTGTCGACCACGTTGAATCAGCTCACAGTACCAAGTACATCCTAAGGCCGCTATAGCCATTCTCAAATAGAGGAACGGCAGACCCTCTAGTAATTGACTCGGCCGAACATCCCTCAGTATAGACTTTCCAACGTAGATCGCACTGAGGAGGATGATACCAAAGTATGAGCCAAAAACGAGGTAGGCAATCAGCTCGTCAAAAGGCATTCTTCCGCAGAAGATGACTGTAGTCACAGTCAAAGGGGACCTCAGACGCTGTATATCGCGTCGGCTTGGAAGCCTCCCAGATGATAGCTCCGTATCGCTATACGCCTGCATCTTCAGAGCGCTTCAACGATGCAATGTCCGAGTCCACGTGGCTTTGACTGTTTTTTCTTTTCGGACGTTTCAAGATTCTGGCCACTCTGTTGAGATCATTCAATTGATCCTCTTCGTCGGAACCACTGTTGACTCGAACTCGCAAGAGGTATCTGCAAGATGGGACACAATTCAGATAAGATGTATGTGACTCACTCGGAGCACGCTTCGGGGAGTCACACGGCCTCGTCTACCGGAAAGCGAATGGAATCTGGAAAGTCGGAATTCCAGAGACTGCCATTGTGAGTGGATAGCATAGCCTCGCGTCATGTACAGCGCCAAGGGGGGTAGAGGGGGGGGGGGGGAGGCAAAGTCGTTCTGCTATAGGATACGACGAGTATGGAAGCTGACGTTGTACAGCGACTGCTGCGCTCTATCTCTGCAGCCATTCAAAAATCCAGTCGCCGTCATTGCCGATACTGGACCCGATGAAACACCTCGCGCAGATCTGTTCGACCTCTTGAACATTGTTCCATATGTTCGTAAATTCAAGTCGAGTGAGCTGCATCTTTCTGTCATCTTTGGATGAATCGGCTGACTCGCCGCTCGCTCAGATCCGGTATCTGGAAAGCCATTGGAAACCACTCAGTTGATCAAGCTGAACTTTTTCAAGGTTAGTACCTAGCACGGACGACGCCCCCCTGTCACCTGAGGATCCTGATCGGCTCTCTTAGAACTCTGAAGGAAACTACCACGATCCCATCACTTACAAAGTCTTTTCTCCGCATATACATATTGTGTTCCTCAAAACCACCGGCAACGTCTTCGACATGGCCTCTCTGCAATTATTAGCGATCAAGCCAAAGACGTGGAGGGACCTGGTCAATGACGAGCCCTTCAAGAGAGAGGACATCATCACCATTCAGGTGGGTCACTCTACTGACACTATATGATTAGCTGATTGACCTGATAGGACCCGTCTAATTTGGCATCGAGGGATTTGAGAGAGTACGACTATGTTAAGAAGGATCTCAAGGTCAACGGTGAGATTGATTACCGATCCCCTGCCTCCTCTGATGCCTTCTAAAGACGATGACATGGCTGGCGACCCGCTCAAGGGTATCAACGTTGAGGCCGCTGGCGGTGCAGGAAAGGTTTTGAGGATGATTGCGGAGCAGGTATGTCGTGCTTCGCTCCATCCATGAAGTATCTCACGCACAGCATAGACTCGTGCGGAGCAAGAACCTACCCCGATAGCTTCGTCGAGCAGCCCCAAACCAAATGCCGCGGAGAAGGAAGGCATCGTCGCGAAACGCAAGATTGAGCGACTAGCTTGTGAGATTGTCGTCTTGCATCCTTCGTTCCCACTGACAAGTTCAGATAATGCCTCAAATTACTCGACTGGCAAGGCGGCCGCTTCGTTTACCTCGACGTCCATGACACCAGAGACAAAGAGCGAGCGGGCCATGTTCGACGAAGAGGAATGTGCGTGGTCCTGTCGTTGGCCGTGCTAACATTGCAGTCATGTTTGAAGAAATGAAGAAACCTACAAAGGAAAAGGAGAGACTCAAATGCAAAGCCTACGCCACTATCATGACCAATTACGGTGGACTCAACGTGGAGTTGCACGGAGATCGTGCTCCCAAGACTGTGTACAACTTTGTCCAGCTAGCCAAGCAGGGCAAGTACGATAACGTCATCTTTCACAGGTTGATCCCGGGATTCATGGTGAGCCGAATGCGTCGTTAAGGGGGAAGATTCTGAGAATGTCCAGGTACAAGGTGGAGATCCTACTGGAACTGGGAGAGGCGGTAAATCGTTCTGGGGGGAGCCATTCAGGGACGAATTCAGTGAGAAAGGAGCCTACAAGCATGGATCTCGGGGGGTCTTGGTGAGTCACATGCTGCTTTTCTCAGCAATTGACGCCACGTCGCAGTCCATGGCCAACAGCGGTCCTCGATCCAACACATCTCAATTCTTCATCACGTTCCGACCGACACCTCATCTCGATGGCAAACATACGGTATTTGGCAAGCTAGTCGGCGGTGAAAAGGTCTTGAATACGATTGAAAAGATCAAGGTACGACCAAATTCCGATAGACCCACAAAGGACGTGATCATTACCGGCGTTCAAGTCCTAACGGACCCTTTCGAAGCGTATCAAGAACGACTTCAGGCCCGTTTAGCGAGGCAGGATCAGAGTGATGAGGCGCTGAAGCGGCGTGCAGAAGCAGCGGCGGAGCGAGAAAAGGATAGAACGACGTGGTTAGGAACAAATTTGGGGGAAAAGGGGGAAACAAGATACGCGAAAGAGGAGCGGAAACGGAAAGAGAGAGATGACGAAGGGGCAGTTGGCAGATACCTCCAGGCTGGGAACGGAGTAGGATCACAAGTGCAGCAGCCGCCGCCTAAAGCTCCTCCGCAAACGTTGGAATTTGGAGTGGAGAAGAAAAAGCAGAAATCTGGAGGGTTTGGAGATTTCTCTGGGTGGTGATGACCGTTGTTTCTTTGCATGTTGTACATGGTGTATCGTATCTCGCGAGGGTTATACATGCCCTAGCAACTGTCACGCGCTCCCTACATGTCCCCTTGGAACACTCCCGCAGGAAGATCGAACCAACTATGGAGATCGCCTAGTAAAGGCTGCACTGCCCATGCTGGGAGATGAGAAAGGTTGACATCAGGAGGTGAGACATGAGGCGTAGCATCGGTATTTCCTGCGCCGGCTACGGCGGAATAGGCCGTCCGACGGAGATCCAAGAGGACGTGGATCGCATCGGGAAGGTTTGGGTGTTCGCCACTTGCGGATTGGAGCCACTTCTTCTTGGCTCGTTCCAGGAGCTTGACATATCCGTCTTGGCGAGCGAATGTCAGCGGCGAGGCTCGTTCTGGGAAATTCTGGTCATGCTCACTCGCGAGGGCCCAAAACTGCGATTGTTCTTTCAGTGCAGCGACAATGCCATCGAAATTCGCATCTGGCTGGTTATGATGACTCAGAAAGGCATGCACTGTGGCGGTCTCAGTCGGGGCTCCCTCCGGCTCGCCAGTACTCGACTCACCGAACAAGACTCTCGCCGCGACCCAACATGACCAGATGAACAGTGGCGTACTTGCACTCATCCATCCAATCTCTCTGGCCTTGACTGTCAAGGCAGCCACTGCATGTGCCGATGTGAGGCAATGCGAGGTGAACGGCTCGACGGGATCGCCATTCGAGAGGGCAGGAAAAGCGTAATATGCGTTGACTTTGAGCAGGGTGCTGGAGAAAAAAGGGTCAATGAGTCTTCACGAGGTGAACCAGTCGGACTCACGCATGAAAGATCGCTTGCTGGTGAGTAGCGAACGCTCAGTCTCTTGGGTCTCTGCACAGGAAGATCACTCACGACCATCAAGGACAAACCATTCTGTCTACCGTCTTTCAACGGGAGGTGCGCAAACCAACGTCTTGCAGCCGAGTTGAGGGTGACACTGGCATCACGTCGCCGGTCTACTGCTCTCGCATCGCTTGGATCGAGTACCTGAGACTGCAATGTGTGTGCTCGGCCGCATAGATCGAGCACTTCCACGAGGTAGCTGAATGGCGACAAGTTCTCTGGTGGTTGCGGGACAAGAAGATGAGGGATGGGACGGAACTGGGGGGTGACTATCCATTCCTGCGACCTAACATCAGGACTGAAAAAAAAAAAGTATCTTCTCGTTCGAGCTCACTGGTCTCGCCCAAAGCTCATCTGTACACGGCAATCGCCGAGTGATGTCAAAGTCTGGCAGGGCAAAATCCCAACCCGTCGATAGACAGGCGTATCGATCAAGGGCGAATATCAACCAAAATAGCCTTCGACGGCTTTCGTCCTCTCGCCAATCGGCGGCTGGGGGAATGATACTCGTCCGACTGAGACTTGGCGCAGGTGCACGACTCGGCGTAAAGCTCGAGGCTGTGAGGTCATCCTCCGATGTGAGACCCAAATGAACAGCCGACCGAGTCAGGAGAGCCAAGATTCCCCAAGACGAAGGACCTTGTTCTGATCCAATGAGATCCAGGGCTAATAATGCAAGTGCTTGGACAGAGGAAATCGAAGTCGATTCGATCGCGTGGGACAGGACGTGCTGTTTTGCAGCTCGTTTGTAATGCTCCTTCTTGCCTTCGAGGCGGGCATCGTGTGAGAGGCGCAGAGTGACTACGACAATGGCGTGGACAATGATGCTCCAAGGTTGTTGAAAGGCGACCGGCGTAGGGGATAAGATGGGCGCCCAAGGATGTATGTTAACCCAGAAAAGAGCCACAAGATCGTGCACAATGTCTGGAGGAGGCAAGATATTCGGATCATGAAAAGAGGTTGTGCTTAGTCCAGAGGGAGAAGCGCTGGGTCCGTTGAAAGCCGATGAGCTGCCGATAAGATCTAGGGGTAGAGGGACGGGTGTTGGAACAGACGGTGGGCCCATCTCAGGTAATGATCTCGACATGACTGGTGATGCGAGAGGATGAATAGAAGAATAGGATAGGATCTGGTTATTGACGGACATGGTCTGTGGATTGGGACCCGTCGTGGCGGAGAGAGGATGCAGTGTTGAGCCAGGTTGTTGAGAATACAACGAAGCGGCGTTCAACCTCATTTCTTGATCTGCCAGCCGGATTTCATGCTGCTCTAATCTAGATTCTAGTTGCTCTGGAAGGTAGAGAGAGCATGAGTTGACATGATCGACTGAGACTCACCTAATCGTTTCATCATGTCATTTCCGCTACCCGCTCTTAATCCTGGCTTGAGCTTGATGGGATAGTAGCATTCCTTGGGATTCCTAAGCGGGCGAAACGTTCAGCGAACTATCAACAGTTGGGTCAAAACGCTCACTTTGCACAGTTATCACAGGCTGGTTTCTTAGAATCGCATTCTACGCTCGGGCATTAGTGCGGGAGCAGGCGGTGGTGACTGACTGATCTTTCGAGCTCTACACGGAGCGCACGTCACGGCGAGCGGTCTGTCAAGGCATCAATCAGCCACTGATTAGAGTGCCCACTCACCTCCCTCCGGGACCTGTGTCTTCACCACCGTACAGGCTGAGCGAAGTATCTAGCGAATCCCTTCGAGATCTCTTGGTATTACTATTGAGCTTGGGGTTTGGAGAAAGCTCTGTCCTGGTAGAACCAGAAAATGACGCCCTTCCGTGTGTCGCATCTGTAGAGCTCTCCGGTTCCGCCGAGGGGTATTCCCAGGCATCTCGAGTATCGGAGTAGTCCAAGGAGTCTCTTCGGGATGGCATCGCACCGAGACCCGGGGGCGGGGAGGAAAGGTGAGTGTGAGGTGACTTCAGGGTGGCTTCGGAAAGAGGACCTTTTTCTCTCGCTGATGCAGCCTCTTGTGGCAGAGGCTCTTCCCTCCGGATTGCCCGGGCCGTACAGTTGTCTGATCAGAGCGTTGGATATCAGCGAGTCGAGGAAGAATAGGAAATGAGATGGTGAAAAGGCAGAATGATAGTCCGATGATTTTTCGACTCTCGGTAGTGTCTGCCATTTTCCTCTTGGCGTAGCGGTTATCAGATTACCATACAGAGGGACAACTACAAGAGGGTGGGTATTGTTGACAACTAAAGGTAATACACAAACATGATGCTCAAAGTCCGGCCTCACTCCCCGCTGCCCAGTCACTCTCCCCGCCCCAGCCCTCACTCTCACTAAGACTGACGACACTCATGGGTCCCCTTCGATGCTCAGTCGAGACGGAGACCAGTCCAACATCAAATGGGATAGGCATCTGCTGTTGAGGTGTCGGTTCATCGGAGATGGTGCTCAACCGAAGCCTGGCGGGCCTGGGACTGCCGCTCAGAGGTGAATACGTCTCGGCATCTTCGTAACCGCTCGTACTGGTCTCGGGTAAGCTGATCACATCCTCGTCCAGCGGCCGGGAGGGAGATGCCGAGCGTACATTAGCCCATTGAGCTGTTGTCGAGTCGAGACTGGTGATAGAATGTGACAAGTCATTCCGTGTGGTAGCGTGAGAAGGGTCCGTCGCGCCTCGTGGGTTGCAAGGCGATGCAGCATTGTGATGCGACGGCGATGGAGGCTGAGACTCGAAAGGGTCATTGGCGATGTCCTGCGTCTGACTCTCCAAGACAGGCGCACTAAACACCACCTCGCGTGTCGGCGATTCCAGCTGTATCAAGCACGGCACCTCTGGATCGCTCAACTTTCGCTTCGATACGGCCCGAGTGCGGCGATAGACATTCTCGTCGATGGCTGAAGGCTGCTGTTCCGCTGAATCGAGTTTCCCAGACTCTTGGAGCTCGTACGAGGATGGTCTGCCCCACGATTCAGACTCCTTGATCCGTAACGGGTCGTTTGACCGTTGTTCCCGCAGTTCATATTCTAGCGGAAGGTGTGAGGGATCCTCGGATCGGCTCGGATAAGATGGCACCAGCAAAGGATCGAGCTCGTGTGATTCATTCGATCGGGTCCTTCTTCGCCGAAGCTCGGAGCCTCTGTCTTTTCTCGCAGAGGACGACGCGGTGGTTGCAGCAGCAGTCCGACTCTGGGCGGGGACAGGAACGGCCTGGCGTTGTGAGGTTTGATGAGTCGCTAGGAAAGCTTCGATGAAGGGAGCGAGATGGGGATCGTAGACAAACTGAGGGGTCGGGTCAGCACCTTGAGGCCAGAAGATCGATGAGACCGCCCGAACTGACCTTTTTGAACGCATATCCACCTCCTATGACCGCCAGAGTGGTCCCGATGATGATCGGCACCGGATGAAGCGGCATCGTGTGATTTAAGAGTGGAAGTCTGGAGGGAAAGATCAGGCCGCCGTCGCCTGCTGCTCAAATGATTAGTGGCTCGATGTCTTCATTCCACGTCTCGTTGGGCGTTTGTCGCAGTCTTCAAAACGACGCTGACGGGTCGGGTGGCGACTACTGGATGACCCAGGGGGAATAGGCGGATATCCTCCTGGGACCTCCGCGCAGCGTCAAGATTAGGAGCAGATGGCAGAGATTGGGCAGAGTGCTGCTGTGGTCTAGTCGCCGCGAGGAAATGTGCAGACTTGTTCAAATTATACACGAACGAAATGAACCAGAGGGATGACCAGAGTCCTGCAGTAGGTTGAACTCGGCCCGCAATAAAGAGTTCCCGCGTTAGCCGTGTTCCATTTTTGATTCCGTCATCTTGTGCAGCCGGGGTAGTGAGGGTCTCCTTGTGTCTCTACAAGCTCGCTCTCTTGAGGTGTCAATGGATTCAGCTGGTCCTTCCATGAAACCTTCCATGGGTAGACGGCCCTCTGAGCTGATTGGATCCTCTCCAGAATTCGGAGCGTTCGAATCGGCCGGGCCTGCACCTCTTCATGGCCAACAACCTGACCAGCGGGATCTGCTGTCCTTTGACGATGACGACTTGGCCTTGTTTGACCCACTCTCAAGTGGCAGCGTCCGGGTACCAGCACAACAGGACTTACTAGACGACATTGGGTTCGTAGATTCTCAATCATCCCAGGCTGGATCAAGCCGTCCGGCTCCTATTCACGTCACACTCCCTCCTAGACCGGACGAGATCACACCCGATTACCAGCCTCTGAAATCTCCTCGATCACCTAGGAGACTCTCTGCCCGTCTATCTTTCGGTCCGGGCTCACCGCCTAGAGTATCAGATGCAGGCCGGGATATTGTGTTTCATCCTGCATCGCCGCTTGATCGTGGGCCTCTCCCACCTGCCAATGCGAGGAGGTTAAAATCCGACACTGGCTACCATGGCGATTCAGAGAGTCAGTGGAAGAAAGCGGAGCCGTCGAGTCCTGCTCAGTCGAGACTGCTCAACACGCTCGCAACCACTACCAAAATCGCATCCAAGTGGAAATCAGCCATTGATTCTGGTTTACATTCCAATCCCAATCATCTCCCATCTTCGCAGCCCTTACACCCGACAGATTTTGGGCTCACGCCGACCGCCCTCCCGATTGAAATCACACATGACACTCCTTTCGCTCTTCCTGAGCAGCTGGTGGGCAGTTATATACCGCCGAGCGGTGCCCCAGGATTCGTGAATGAAAAGGTAAAACCGATGCGAGTGGCTGAAGAGAGCGACGAGTGGGCAAGCACAAAGCTCGTGGGGAGACGAGAGAGCACAGATTCAGTCTTGTTGGAGACAGACGCAGATATGGTGAGTGAAGCTGTTTGGCCTAGGGAGCTGACGAGATAAGCTGCGGCGTCATTTGCCGGCTCGGAAGCGTATATCGAATCAGTGGACTCTGCTTTGTAAGTCTGCTTTCCTTCGGATCTATCGCTGACTCGGGAGTCTCACTTGATCAGCACGGCGCGTCGTTGTCCACTCTATACCGTCAGGTCGAGCGATACGCGATGAGTCATAAGGGATCAGGCAATATTCTGGTTGTCAAGGACGGTCACGGGCGGCGGTTTGGCATATTCATGAATGAAGCAATCGTGAAGCGCGATGGCAACTATTACGGGAGTGGGGAATCGTGAGGCGACAGGTGTACGGATGACACTGATGTCTGCAGTTTCATGTTCAAACTGGTCGATTCGGAACAACTGAAGACGTTCCCGTGGACAGGGAGGAACCAATACTTTGCTTTGTGTGAGGGAGGATTTATTTCGTTCGGTGGAGGGTGAGAGAGGTTTTTCAGCCGTGACTGACAGACCCAGATCCGGCGCATACGGCTTGATTCTCGATTCAACATTCACACGCAATTCCTCTGCAACCTGCCCGACATACGACAACGAAGTCTTGTGTTTGTCAGCAGCTACCCGGAATGAGCGTGCCACTGCATTTGACTGCATCGGCCTGGAGGTCTGGGCGACGTGATTGCAGCCCATGGCATGATGAGAACGATACAAAGATTCATTGACAGCAACCATTGGGAACACCGTTGGCTGCCGTACCGTTGGCTTTCTGGATGTTCAAGCGGCAGAAGCAGGACGAAGTTATCGGTACGTCTGCGACGGCCAAGGCGAGTCGCAGATGTGGGTAAACCATTTGAGCCTGTTTCTTCAAGCCCAATCGAGTGACGCACTCGTGATACCCATGGAGTGCCCAGACATTGTTCGGATGTTGATGTGCGAGGGCCAGAGTGGAACTATAGCCCAGATCGTCCTCGTATGTTTTGAGAGCCTCTTCGATATGGCCCTGCTGCAGTTGTAAGGCGGCGTAAGCATGTCGGACGGGCATCATCCATGACCACGGCTGGAGAACACGTTAGCGTCTGCGGGCGCTTTGCTGTCGCGCTCACCTCTCCATAGACCAAGCCATCATATCGCTTCATTGCCTCGCGCAGATGCTCGAATGCAGCTTGAAAGTTGCCTCTGCGGTACTCGATTTCTCCCTCTAGCATTGCTTCTCCGACTTGCAACACGTCTATCGCCTCGTTGGGGAACATCAAGCGGCCTTTGGGAATCTTGGCCATGGTACGCTTCATCTCTTCCAGCTCAATGTCCGCTTCTCTGACCCTGTTTTGAGCTGCGAGCGCGATGCCTCGAGCGTAACGGTGCATCGAGGTCGAGCACGAGTAGAACTCTGGGTCGTCTCTCAAAGGTTTGGCAAGGATCTCATCCCACCTTCCGAAGCGAACATAAACATGTGCCCAGGTACCTAGGAAACCTTCGAGGACATTCGGCATGGTTCGCGCCAAATCCTCGACCGTGTCGGTTTCGACGAGTTTGAGGTTGTCCCTCGCGTCCTCCCAGTTTCCACTTGACATGGCAGCATATACGAGAGAGTGCATGTTGTGTAGTCGAAGGATATTGTACCATAAAGAAGGCTTCCCCTTGGATACGTAGAGTTCGTCATCGAATAACGCTCGACTGTTGGCACTGATGGCTCGACGATAGTCACCGACGAGAACATAGATGTGAGATGGCATATGGTTGAGATGAGAGGCATCGGGGATGAGGCCGTGTAGTTTGTCGCCTGCCGGGACGGCGTTCTCTGGGGTTCCCGACATCTCCATCAGGTGTATGTAGAGGTGAAGGATGCCAGGATGGCGTTTACCCTCGGGCGTGGCGTAAGCCTTGTCGAGGACTTGTTTGGTCCGCACGGCTTGAGATCCAGGCAAAGGTTCGCCAGTCCCAAGATCCCACAATTTCCAGGGTGACAGACACAATAGAGAGTCTGCATATAAAGAGGCCACGTCCAGGTCATCAGGGAACTGGTCGTAGACGTGTCCCATAGCTTCGGCGTAAGCGTGGTTTAATGCTGCAAAATCCCAATCTTCCTCCGTCTCGGGTGTGTCGGGGGGGAATCGATGGATCAACGCCTTGCACAGACCAGCTTCGACTGGAGGAGCATTCTCAGCAAGCCTCAACATCTCATCCTTGTTTTTCATCCATACTTCCATCGTAGAGTTCTTCATCGGTCCCATGACGGCCCAAGACTTGGCGTAGTTGGGCGAGAGAGCCGCCAGCATTGCCCAGAGACTGATGGCACTTGTCGGGTCCCATAAGAGGGCGTTCTCAGCACAATGGGCAGCCTCATCCCCGTGAAAGCCGTGAATCCAGACTAGAGCCCTGTCGAACCAGATCTGAGCTTCTGGCGAGGTCGTACTGATCTCGCGGTGAAACTTGCCAATGTCGAAGTAGGGCTCCGACGGGGGCGGCGACGAGCTCATGGTGGGTTAGGATCGGAGAGTGTTGATTGCTGGCAGGGAAGGGTGCACCAAGTAGAGCCAAGGAATGGCGCCGTTCGTCGGAAGAGGAGGATATGGTGATAAATCGCAGAAACAAGCGGATGGTTCGGCGATCGACCTGCTTGGGTCCGAACGGTCTTTCGGGCAAGATTTGCATCCGAGGGGTGCCGAGCAACAAGAGGACTATAATGTGGAGCTATGTAACATGCTGTCAGGGTAAACATCCTACACATCCAATTGCTACCTACGTGGGTCTTAGATACATACTATCAGAGGATACCCTACACATCCAATTGCCACGTTGCCCTTCCCTTGTAAGACTCTCCCACTTTCAACTCCGTCCTTCTCTCGCCCCACAGCCTCCCTCCCTTGGTCTCCACCATCTTGCGATCATCTCCTTCAGGCAAGATAAAGTGCAGCTTGCCCTTCCATAGAGGTTCATAGCCCATATGATGGATGGTCACTGCTACTCGAACTTGATCGTTCGTGCCAGTGTACGTGACTGTGATCTCCATCTTGGTCGGATCAGACGAGATACCATCGTCTTCAATCCATGAGCTCGTGTACGTCTTGTCTCCCTTGCCGGGGAAGAGGAGGACGCCTCGCCAATCATCGAGTCCGACCACACCGCCTTCCGACATCAACTTTGTATCGATCCCGTCAATGTTTGTCCTTGGCGCACCACTCGTGGACGTCACAGTGGCGTACTCGTGTCCGATCGGAATAATGGTCCCTTCTCGAACAAACATTCCACCGTGATCGATGGGCGTTCCGACAGTCGACCACGTTCCAGCTTTGAACGTACCATGAGGAGCGTGCAAGTCAAAGTAGAGGGACTCGTCGTTGTTTGAACTCTTGGGGAAATACACTTCCTGACTGTGTTGTCCTTCGAACATGGCGGGAGCTTGCAGTATTCGTCCGACTCCACACCATGCTTGGAAGCCATCCAAGACCTTTGACGTGTATAGCTCGGCGTCATTGCGGAATGGGCCGTAGAACAATGGTGCGTTTGTCGGGTCCGCATGAAGGTGACTCTCCCACATGAGATGGTTGCTGCGTAAGGAATGAAGGGAGGGGATTGCTCACAAGTATGGCAAAAGTTCGTAGCGCTGCTTGATGTGAGCTCTGATCAGAGGGAGTACCTGAGGGTACTATGTTGTCAGCGATATCTTCATGGTGCTCACCATCCAAGGCGTGTTAAGCTTGGCATGTCCAGCTCCGTCGTTTGGTGCCGAGTGGATGCAGAACCTCGAATGAAGCATGCCCAGTTGGACCCAACGGACGAACAGCTCTGGAGACGGGATGGGGCCGACAAATCCTCCAATATCTGAGCCATAAGATTGCATGAGGGACAGGCTGCTGTTCAGTTGGATGTGCTGAGACCCTCTCAGGTTCTGCCAGCTGGTGGGGGGGGACAGTCAGTCAGTCTTCAAGCCTCTTGGATCTACCTCGTGAAGTTGTCTCCCGACCAGGTCGAGCAAGCATATTTGAACGCTGCGACGTTGCCACTCCGAGTCAGGACGTAGGTTCTTCGTTCAGGATTGCACTTTTGCAGCGTGGCGTGGCTGAGAGAATGAGTGTCTGTAAGATCGGCAGACTCACCTGTATCGATTCATCAACTCGTTGCCAGTGATCCGGCCCATCAGACCTGTCCTCGTGGGACCTTTGAAGTCGGAGTAGCGCTTGAACTCGATGTCGTTCTTGAACAAGATTTCGTCGTCTCGTGTGAAGTATTCCGAGTTGTCACTGCCAGGTGAGCATGAATCCACAGTCAGACTCACTCCCACATCCCATCACAACCCAACTTGACAAGTCCCTCAACGCCCTCACACCACCATTCTCGGGACCCTTTGGCCGATAAGTCCACCCAGCTCCCATCTGCACTAGCTTGGATCCCACTCGCCCAGATATTTTGCGTCGCTGGCCCGCCTGTGAATGGGTCATGGAACAGACCATCGGCTTGGAGTAATCGCTTGTACGCCGGATGAGTCTTGAGTACGTCTCAAAAAAGCTTTGTGAGCGTGTGGGACCATGCGATCGACCTTACATGGCTTGATGTTGGGAACGACCTTCATCCCTGCTTCATGGTACTTGCCGATCATTCCTTTGAAATCGGGGTATCTGTGCTTGTTCATGTAGAACACCCATCTTTGCCCAGTCTTTTCATCGCACGTGAATCCGGATGAGAGCTGGGGGGAATGAGATGGCGAGGAGGTTTGTTCACTCACATGCATCGCAGAACAAGGGATGTCGTGTTGTTTGCAAAGCTCTGGCCATTTTTCGAGCTCTTCTTGCGCATTGTCCTGGATCGAGAGGTCAGCTTGACATCAGTGTCTCTTCTCACGAGATCAGCGAGCAGCATCGTGGAAGCTAGGCGGGTCAGTCGGCTCTCATACACCCGCTTACCTAGATATCCGAGCCAATCGCGTCCCACGAGCTTTGGTTTGCTCGTTATTTCCGCCAACGTCTTGACGACTGCCTGCACTCCATCACCCAACATGACCCATTCCTCCAATCCTCCCCAATCCTGTGTGAACGTCTTGTAGTACCCTCCACTGGGTATGTCCAGACTCCGTCCGATGTCCCAAGTCGAGACGCTATTCGTCCCGTGAAAGATGGCATAGGTCAATCCCTGGTTACCGTCTTGACCAGGTCGAGGCGTGGAGACCAAGAAAGGCGTATGTTTGTATAAAGGGTCCGATTTGTAAGTGTCGTATCCTGCAACGTCAGCCGCATGAAGGGTGAATGACCTTTCGGACAAGTCGAGTGGCGCCGCTTTCTCTCCCAGACCGAGATGGACATTATCACGTTCGTACCTGTAATGTCGGATGATGCCATGTTCTGTGAGACCATACGATCGTAATCTGACATCGCCCATGATCTGCTCTTCGACGTTGTCTTTGACCCTGAAGACGGCAGAAGCTATTTGGGTCCTCCACGACAGACGAAGCGAGAGACGTCCAGAATCGTTGGACTGAGGAAAGGCAAATGAAGCTGTGTACTCATCGAATGAGAGCACTTCAAACGATAGAGGCTCGACTTTCAGACTGACGTTATCATGTGGAGGTCGAGGTCGAGTGGGACCATGCAGTAGGATCCTGTACGCATTAGCAAGGGGGAATTCCAGCGTCCAAGAAAAGTCTTTGATGTATCGAGTGTTCTTGGTCGATACCAGGGTGAATGAAGTGAGCTTTTGGCCGACTTTGGCGGGACAGGCAGGCACAAAGTCTGTCAAGTCTCTCTCGACGACTGGCATGGTGGTGGTTGAGGGCAGTGCGATGCGGGACCTGTCCGCTCGAAGACTCGTCCAAAGCCGAATGAAGTCACTTTGTCCCGAAAGCCGGTGCCGGTCGGACCGGTGAAATCACGTGGCTCTCAAAAGCCAGTCGCGTAGCGCGTCGTCCAATGTCGTTAATACGTTGACAACGACCATGTCAGAATCTCTGGCCGATTTGTTCTCTGCGTCTTCGCCTCCTCCTGAACATCGGCCGAGGACGCCTTCACCGCCCCCTCAAACGGATCTCCCGTTGTTTTTCAGCCCTGGCGAGACACCCGATAGGCCCCGACATGTCAACGAAGCGAGCGAAGCGGGTTCATCTCGAATCCCGAGCGTGCAGGATCCAGACGTGCGTGTTGAGGGATCGAATGCTGCGATAGACGACTTTGATTGGGGGCCTGTGCCCGGCGTTTCAGAGACAGATATCCAGCTGGTCGATCCGTTAGCAGTGGACGCACTACCGCTGAAGAAGAAACGAGTGATAGCAAAGGTTGATGAGGAGAGGTGCGCTGTGCATGCATAAACTTGCTGACACAGCTTCAGATTGATGGGACCGAACGGATTCCCAGCTTTGATGAAAGCTGCCAAACGGTTCAAAGTCCGGGGCAAAGGTCGAGAGGTGGGTGGTTTCGACTAGTCTCGATCACTCATCTGTTCAGGCGGAAGACTTGCGCGAATTGCTATCGGTATATCAGATGTGGGCCCATGGGATGTTTCCCAAGGGAGATTTCCACGGTACGATCGCTCGCGTTGAGGTCGTTTGCCGAAAGCGCAGGATGGAGGTGGGATATACTTGGTGAATGGGCTGATTTTGGCTTTCAGATGGCGATGAAAGGTTATCGCGAAGCCTTTTACCCCGCTCTGCTAGAGTCACCAGGATCGAGTCCGGGCCCGACTGACAACGATCCGGAGCAGCACTCATCCCCAGCTGTCCGCGCTATGGGCGGCGTTTCTCAAGCAGATGAAGATGGACCTGATATGGATGAATTGTTGGCTATGGAGGAGATGGAGAGGGAACAGATCGAGCCTCTTGGTCCGCCAGAAGATGATGATTGGGACTAGGTCAAGCGTAGAGGTCCCATCTGGTTGTATTTATACATGTAAACTCAGATATCCCCCGGAATCCTCAAAAACTGCCCGATGACGACCGAAGGAAGATCGAAGACCTACAATCGTCAGTCCGATCGCTCTTCCTGCAGACCCACATCCCGTCTGATGGTAAAACAGCAAGAACACGGTACAGACACTCCATTAACGCTCAGCGTGGTGGGCTGGAAAAAGTTTTGCGTCGTATTTTCAAAAGCATGGACTGAGAAGTTTTCCCAGTATGAAATGACGCTGAGGTGGTCAACAGCTCTCAGGGAAGCTTGCACCCACGATGATTTTTCGAATAGGTGGTAGATGTAATTCTTCTTGCCGTACAATTCTGCATCGTTCCTACCGGACAGTGCACAGAATTCCGGATTGGCATAGCAGATCTCGCCTGTTCTTCGCCAGACGGCTGTCGGCGTAGCAGAGTACGAGATGAGCTTTTCGAGTTCCTGGGAGGGTCAGGCGAGCCTTGCAAGCGGGAGAGCGAGACGCACGATCATGGTACGCTGGAAAGACCTCTCGATGAAGACCTCGTCATCTTCACTCATCGGCATTCTGAAGCTGTTAAGCGAGGCCCCAAGGAATCGCTCACTGAAGCGCTATCAAACTAGGTCTGAAGGAGGCAAGGGCATGTACGACGCGCAAAATGTCCTTGCGATCAAAGCTGGGGCATGGGTCAGTCGGCACGTACTGGGGACCTACTTTTTCGTCAAATAGTCCATCAAGATATGATATCCTTCTGTATAGTCGCTGAAGCGTATGAGATGGACTCACGAGATAGGGGACTCACTAGGGCTTCAAGATCTTCCTGTAGACCTCTCCCGGTGTCAAGCTCCTCGTATTCCTTTGCGGAGGTTCAAGAAACGGTCCACCTCCGTCTATATCCAACTTGATGCCATTGCCTATAGCTTCGGACCACGCTTTGAGACCGAGATAGCCGATGTCTCCCGTCTGTGCTGCATTGGTGAACGATTTCGCTTGGAGTGGGTTTGAGCTAGACGGCGATATGAAAGGTTTGTTCTCCCACAGACCGACGTGACCATCCGTCGAACATCCCAGCGAGGTTGGGTCCAGTAGCAGCGCGTCGGAAGGTGGGATAGGATTGAAATTGTCTGGAAGTGTTATAGGTGAGAGGCCACCGAACATGGCATCCAACATCTGGAACTCGTCTGCAGCTGCCGTGACTCCGTAGGCTGTGGGTGAGTTGCGTAGCAGGTCTTTTTGAACTCACGATAAATGGAGGAAGAAGGGACATTCGTGTCGTTGAAGGCGGTTCCCGCGAACGGGTCACTCCATTTGTTGTCAACTGCATCCGAATCGTTGAGCGGCCCAGCGAGCCAAACATCTTCGGGAACATGTTGAGACGTGCTAGCCGTGAGTGGGGGGTCATACGGTATGTCTGGGAGGAGCGAATTCGCAGGAGCTGTCGGGGTCTGGGCCGCCAGGTGAGTCTGACGCGGGTCGAACGTTGACGGATCGGAGGCTAGGGCTGCCTTTGTGGTCTTGGCCGGGGATACATGCGTAGGATGTGGGCGAGACGCATCTGAAGGAGGGTTATTCCAGGTGGAGACTTTGAGACTCACGACGCTCTTCTCCTTCGAGCAGGTATTTTGCCTTTTTCCTCACGCCCTCGACACATTGATCGCCTATACCTTTCTTGACGCATCGGGTACACGGTCGCTCTGGTTGATTAGTTTGATAAGGCGAGACTAGACCCGGCTCACTCTCATCGCATGTCAAATGACTCTTCTGACACGTCAGACACGCTTTGGCAACCTTCTTTCTCGATCGTGCTTTTGGCTTGATGGCTGATGGATCACCTGTCTTACCCCTCGACGAGCCAATGTCCGGGGATGAAGCTCCTGACGTGGATGCTGATCCGTGATCGAGGTGTTGCATGGGTGCGTAGGATAAGGAGAGGTGCACGAGGCGAGGAGGCGTCGGTTTCAATGTCTGCGCGCCATGAAGCAGGAGGGGTTTGTAGGCTGGGAGACAAGGTGAAGCATGTGAGATTGTCATGCAGCAGGAGACCGTTGGACCGGGACCGAGTCGTCGCCGAAATTGATTCCGGGTGGCACATGGTCGTCTGACCTAAACATGCCGTGCAACGTGTGGATGGATATACAGAGGATATTGAGCGAGCTGGACGGGTGGGCAATAGAGCGAGCTTGCGGGTGGACAAGGGCTCGCTGGACGAAGAAGGGCTCGCTGGACGAACAACAGGTCGTCGGAAGGGTGGACAAGTGCTCGCTGGACGAGCGAACAAGAGACCGCTGGACGAGCAACGGAGGGCTCGCTCGGTAATGGCAAAATGACAGTAGCATTCCTTTCTTGGTGGACTCTGCCCTTCCCTGGATGCTTCTGAGCTTCTTTTTGAGCGACAGCGTTCCTGTGACAATGCATCATAAGTGCTATGTAATGTCCGTTCCAATGCATCATAAGTGCTATGTACTGTCCGTTCCTTGTCTCCGAGGAGCGGCAGCAAAGCGACGAGGCAGAGCAGGTGGCCAATGATTAGGTATTTGGTGACCCCACCTTGTTCCTTTATAGTCTATATACCTTGATGCGTGCCCATTCTCTGCTTGCTCTATCATTCGACTGAACTTGTCTCGATCGCACGTCACTTGCTGCTGCTTGTTCTCACTCGTCTGAATCCAATTATTTCCGGACGCCACTGCGACGCCGTCATCTTTACGACATAGCCCTCCCTGTGCGGCGTGGGTATTATGTCCAACCACCAACTTGAATTACCATCCATTGATACATCGAATCCTTCTGGATCGACTACACCTCGATCCAGTCTCACTCCGACTCAAGCTTCATACAAGTTCACTGTTGCTGGGCACACTGTTGACTCGGCTACCACCGAGACTACTGGGGACAGCAGCGGAGCACCGCAGACGATCAAGAAAACCCTAAAATCATCCATTCTCTCAGCCGTCAAAGACTTTGATCCTGCCCATTCTCAACCTGGTGACGTGAGCCTAGGTACGAGTGGATCGTCCCCTTTGCTGGTCGCAGGCGGGCGCCAAGACGAGCCTGTCATCCAGGTGAGTGGGGTTCGACGAAATCCGCAGGCATTACGAGCTCTTGGAACACCATGCTGACATGACTTGACTCTGGTTTTCGACCACGTCCGACTACTCCATCCACTCTGCATCACCACTCCTCACAGACCACTGCCGCCCACGCCGCCCACGTCGCGCACGCCTCGCCCTATCCCATTCCGCGTCGAAACATGGAGGAGCATCGTATCTTGGAAGATGACTCGCATGGCGAGCACGCTTCGCCATCTCGGAAATCCAAATACTCTGGCTCCCCTTCTCGACCCCATATGACGGCGTTGTCACCCCTTCAGGCATTCTCTCCCTTGCAGTCCATGTCACTGCCCTTCAAGGAGCAGAGTGCCGTCTCGGACAAGAGCCCAAGTCTCAGTCGGACGTCCAGTCTGACCCGATCACTCAGCAGGAGACAGAGCCTCATCGCTCATGCGGCCTCATGGGACGCTGGACATGATTATGACGATGAGAACCTGACCAATCCGATGGCCCTGTTCTCCCGTTTGACACTCGTCAAGGCGCCGAGTCAGGACACTGGGCTGAGAAGGTGAGCATATCAGTCGACGAGATCGCTGATGCAGCAAAAGGGCGAAATCCTCATCTGCTCTTGCTCCCTTCACAGGTCAGAGTACCATGAACGATCATGCTCCCGCTACATCGGCTCGTGGACCAAGAAGATCGTTCGCAGCGTCTTCTTTCGCTGGGTTCACTCAAATGTCTAGGCTCCCCTCGCCTTTCTCGGAAGGAGGTGATTCCCTTCATCGATTGAGCCACCTGGCTGGGGTCGGATCAGGTGGCGATGGAGGCATCGGGTACGCACACAAGATGTTGACTCCTGAGCAGGTGGTAGAGATGGCGAGGGATACCGTCCATCCGATCGCGATGCCCGAGGGAGGTCTCAAAGGAGTGGACCTCAAGCGACGCAAAAGCTCAGGGTCAGGTCGGAAGGCGTCCAGCAGCACCACAGACTCGCCTGAACGATCTCAGGTGGCTTTGGAGCCCGTGGAATACGTTCAGCTGGACGATGATACGTTACTCCCGTATGTCGATCGACCGCAAGAGGTCCGAGAACTGTTAGAGACGAACAAGGAGCTGGTCAAGTTACTCAAAGCTGCATTCCCCAAAGAACCACTTCGCGAGCATTGGATAGCGTTACCGCCCGAGGAATGGAATTGGGAAGAATTCATGCGACACCTCACGACGGTCTCTCGCGTCCAGTGTCCCGACTACGCATGGGTGTTCCGGGCCCGTCAATCGATGCGCGCGAGATGCGTCTCGCTGTGGGAAAAACTCGGCACGTGTCTAGGATGCGATGGCGATTTGCTCAACGCGGGAGGTGAAGACGGTCTACCATCTTCCTGGGGAGGTTTGAGTCTCGGCGAAGAGGGCGAGTATGACCCAAGTGCGCATCAAGTGTATATTGAGGCGCTGGAGGCTGGGGAGAGGGAATTCAAAGAAGCGTTTGGAGAGATCGTCGAGGATGAAAATGAGCAAGCGGCAGCTGGGATGACGGCTCTTTTGGGTACCATTGGAGAGGAAGACATTGGTCCATTGGACGATGCACACTTGACGACGGCGCAAAAGGCCAGCAGGACGACAGTGCAGGATCCAATGCTTTCTCCAGATACCTCAAAGCCCTCGGTTCACGGTCACGATGGCCCGAGAAGACCTTCGGCAGACGCTCGACATGAGCGATCCAGGTCGTTTGTTGGATTACAAATCATGACTTCACCCTCCATTTCTCATGCTGCTTTGATGCGCTCTCCATCAGGTACGACTCCTACCACGCCTTCTGCCCACCTACCGATCTTCGATCGAGGTCCTGGCTCGCCTCTCTTCCCCGGTAGCTTTTCAGCTCTATCCGTGGAACCTAATCTCGGACGAAGTGCCAGTGTAGGCCTTGCAGGGGGTGTCAAGGCCGCTCCTGAGACATTTGGAAGGGCGGGATACAGGCCCATCGCAAAGCGACAGAGTGGCGCGGGGTTGTCAGAAAGTGAGTCCCGCTGTCTTCTGCCGCTGCTGACGTTAATTAGGTGCCATCACTTTCGCCAGCGAGTCTGATCCTGGTCTACCCGGAGATGACTGAGCGGGGGCGGGTGTCTCAACGTGTGTTGGCGGCGTGTATACACGTCCAGACGACTTCAGCGATCATGTGCGTGTCAGTACACGAGTATGCTTTTCCTCGTCAATATGTAATATGTCCACCTGCTTTGCCTAGAGTTTACTCTGCTTTGACCAACCTGCTTCACGCTTCACGTGTCACCTGCATCGACCTGCTCTAACCTTTCTGCGCCAAGTTGCTCACGGATTGCAAAGTAAGATGCAGGCGTAGAGTGGATGGTGTATGCGAGCGTCACTGCTTCGGCTTCTGCTTCTGCACAACTTCTTCTGCTTCGCGTTCCGTGCTTCTGCATCTGCGTCGCTGCTTTTTGTGTCACTGATTTGGGTCCTGCTTCTGCATAAATGCTTCTGCTTCTTCTTCTGCGTCACTGCTTCTGCTTTGGCTTCTGCTTCTGCTTCTGTATCTGCTTCTGCTTCTGCTTCTGTATCTGCTTCTGCTTCTGCTTCTGCTTCTGCTTTGCTGATCTGCTTTGGCTTCCTATGTCATTGCTGCGGCTTTGGTTTCTGCTTCTGCATCTGCGTCACTGCTTTGTGTGTCACTGCTTCTTCTTCTGCTTCTGCTTCTGCTTCTGCTTCTGCGTCACTGCTCCTGCATCTACTTATGCTTCTGCTTCTGCCTCCTGCTTCGGATTTATGCTCCATGCTCCTTGCCTGCCTGCTTCTTCTTCTGCTTCTGCTTTGGCTTCCTGCGTCACTGCTTTGTGCTTCACTGCTTTGACTTCTGCTTCTGCTTTGGCTTCCTGCGTCACTGCTTCTGCTTTGGCTTTGGCTTCTTCTTCTGCTTTGGCTTCTGCTTTGGCTTCGGCTGCTGCTCCTGCGTCTTCCTCCTGCTTCATGCTCCGTGCTTCGTGCCTCCCTACTTCTGCTTCTTGCTTCTGCTTCTTGCTCCTGCTTCTGCTTCCACTTCTGTTTCTGGTGCCTCCCGGCTTCTGCTTCAGTTTCTGCTCTGTGTTTTTCTGTCTCCCTGCCCCCCTGCTCTCCTACTTTTGCTTCTGCTTCCTACTTCTGCTTCCTCTGCTTCTTCCCGGCTGATCTCCACCCGCCGCCTGGCCGCAACCCACACCTTTGCTCCAAAGAGATCGGCAGAATTCGGGAGATCTCAGTAGGACTCAGGGATCTCAGTGAATCTCAGCATCGAGCTCAGTATAAGGACGTAGTAGTATCTAAAGCCAGCATCGTAAAAGCTCTCGACGCATCTATCACACTGATCTTACTTCATAATCTTTGACTACCTTGGCCTACTTTGTGACTTGACCTTTGTTCACTTTGACACCTCGACTCCTGCTCGCCGCGACATTACTGCGGGATCCTCGAACAATACAAGTCAAGTGGTTGAGGCTCTTCGACCCGCAACCTGAGCCACAACCCAAGCTTGCTCGTACGACCTTTGTCTTCCATCTGGTCACCGGCGTATAGGCCTCCGGGAACGAGTCGTGACATTCTGCGTCACTGCGTCACTGCATCGCTGCTTTGTGTGTCACTGCTTCGGCGTCACTGCTTCCTGCTTCCTGCTTCTGCTTCCGCTTCTGCATTACGGCTTCCTGCTGTTGCATCTGCTCCATGCTTTTGCTTCTGCTCCTGCATCTTCTTCTGCTTCTGTATCTACATCTGCTTCCGCCTCTGCATCTGCATCTGCTTCATGCTTCTGCTTCTGCTTCTGCTTCTGCTTCTGCTTCTGCTTCTGCTTCTGTGCTTCTGCTTCATGCATCCCGCTTCTGCTTCGCTGCTCCGCTGCGCCTTGGTCCCCGCTCCATGCCCCTCTGCCTGCACATAGATCATACACCTCTCACCACCTCCCCGATACAGGTCGCCCAACTCTACGCTGGTCGACGTATGCAAGGTCTCCTCACCACTATCTGATACGGTCGGTAGGCGTCGTGCACGGTGTTGTCGGGCACCCAGCACCTGGGGTTTCACAGGGGGGGAGTGGCGAGTCATGGCCTGCTTCATCGGCATTCGTAGTACGCAGTGGTGGCCTGCTCCGAGTTTCAGCTTCAATTACAGGAGTGTAGGCGTGGCTTTGCTGGGGTGGTGCGGGCATTGCGTCGCTGGGGTGGTCGTGAGTAGGGACCTGAGTGGGTGAATTGGTGGCCTGCGTGGACTTGCATGGACTTGCGTGGACTTGCGTGGACTTGTGTGGACTTGCTTGGGCGTCTTGTTCGCCATGAGTCGGTGGATGTGCTTCGCTCGGAAGGGTTTGCTTGAGTGGGACTCGGTGGGTATGGCTTGTTCGCGTTATCAAAGGAGGGGTACGAGGGTGTTTTTTGCTGTGCTTCGTTCTGCTGGGTGGTGTTTGCGGGCATCACTTGAGTGGTGTTCGCTGTGCTTTGTTTTGCTAGGTGGTGTTTGCTGGCTCTACTTGAGTGGTGTTCGCCGGACCTCGTTCTGCTGGGTGATGTTCGCTGCGCTCGCTGTACCTCGTTCTGCTGGGTGATGTTCGCCGTACTTTATTCTGCTGGGTGTTCGCTGTACCTCGTTGTACCTCGTTCTGCTGAGTGTTCGCTGTACCTCGCCTCGCTGTTCCTCGTTAGGCTAGGTGCTGTTCCGAGTACCCTGGTCTGGTGGATGTTCGCTGTACCTTGTTCTGCTGAATGGTGTTCGCCGTCATCCGATCGGGAGGCTGCTCGGAATAGCTTGCTCGCCTGTGGCCCTCGCTTCGCTCGGAATAGCTTGTTCGGCCAGTCACCCTCGCTTCGCTCGGGACTAGATTGCTCGCCTACTCACCCTCGCTTTGCTCGGGGTAGCTTGCTCGCCCACTCACCCTCGCTTCGCTCGGGAATTGTACTTTCACCCTGGGACCCACCTCGCTTCGCTCGGAATAGCTTGGTCGCCTGTGGCCCTCGCTTCGCTCGGGCTAGGGGTTAGGTGTTTGAGAGGGGCCCACCACTTTTTTCTGCTTCACGTTCATGCTCATCTCGTCTGCCACACTCTCGCTTTTCTGCTTTGCCACAATGCGCAACATTTGTTTTCGTCTGCTTTGCTTCTTGTTCATTTTGTTGTTTCTGCTTTGCTTCCGTTCAATTTGTTTTCGTTTCGTGATCCTGCTTTGCTTCGACTGTTCTGCTTTGGCTCCGTTCGACTGTTTTCGCGCCACGCTGCTTCCGTCTCTCGCCTGTTGCTCACCCTCGGATGGGACTCGTCGTGATCCGTGGAAGCGACCTCTTGCCACAGCGTATCGACCATCGTCGCGAGCGGTGGTACCTGCCCCCTTAAGCAGGTTGCGGGTTCGCTCGCTGGCTCCGCAGGTCTACTCAGGGTGAGGAGGTGAGACTGGATCGCTGTGGTTGCGTTCGCAGGAGGCGATGCTTCGTTCTCATGGGTAAGACTGGGATGTGGGTGGGACCAGGGTGGTTGTGTTGCTCGCTGGTGTGGTGGGGTGGTCGCCCTTGGTGTTGTAGATGCCAATCGCTGTGATATGCCAATGGTGTTGTAGATGCTCGGTCTGCTCGGTCTGCTCGCTGCCGTATACACTCGCTCTGCTCGGTCTGCTCGCTGCTGTAGATGCTCGCTGATGTAGATGCTCGCTGTTGTAGATGCTCGCTGTTGTAGATGCTCGCTGTTGTAGGTGCTCGCTCTGCTCGCTGTTGTAGATGCTCGCTGTTGTAGGTGCTCGCTCTGCTCGCAAGTATGGATGTCTGCTCTGCTTGCTCCGCTCGCTGCTGTAGATGCTCGGTGCTGTAGATGCTCGCTGCTGTAGATGCTCGCTCTGCTTGCAAGTATGGATGCTCGCTGCGCTCGCTGTAGTGGACGCTCGCTCTGCTCGCGGGTAGAGATGCTCGCTGCGCTCGCCTGATACCAAGCCCCCCGCCCCTCCCCCACCCCCCCGTAAGAGGTTTTGAGAGGACCCCACCACTTTTTTTTGCTCCATGTCCCACGTCGTATTCTGCTTCCTGTGTGTGACCCGCCGTCACCTTGTTTTGCTCTGCGTCCGTTTCTCTCAGTCTCGGTGTCTCCTGCTTTGCTTCAGATGTTTCGATGTTTCCTGCTTTGCTTCAGATGTTTCGATGTTTCCTGCTTTGCTTCCGTTTTCAAGTTGATTCAATGAGACGAACCTCTGCTTGTGGCAGAGTTCAGGGAGGGGACATGCTCATCTTGTGTGTTGTCTGCCTGGCCCCTCCTCGCTTGCTTCATGGGTGGCTTATCTTTATGCTGGTTGTTGCTTGCTCGTTTCGCTGTGTCAGTCGTCTGTTGCTTGCATGACTCCGTTGCTTGACCCTGGACGGAAGCTCGCAGGGTCACTTCTAAAGGTATCCGCATGCAGAGCGAGCGACTGTTTCCATTCTCCGCGCGGTAACACCCACAGGGAGATGCCTAACCATGAAACAAAACGCTGACACAGCTTACATAAGCTCTGCCACCAGAGCCTCACGCACGCGTCTGACTCATGGCGGTTCGTTCTACATTGGCAAGGGCTCGGCTTTACAGCTTGCGCCTTTTGATCACCGATCTTGCAAAGAAGTACGGTGCGTGCCCTCCCGGCTCCCAACCTATGTCACATGCATGTACTCGATACTGGTCGGTCCCGCTGTCCTAGGCGGACAGGAGATTCCGCTGCCACCTCGAGGACTGGCCCTTCGCCGTGCGTGGTGACGGCCTTCTGTCCCTCAGATCACCTCGGTGCGGTGTCCTGCAGCAAGAGGCCATCATTGCCGTGGGTGTACACGAGTGAACCTCGACGACATCTCAGAATGAATAGAGGTTGTTGAATCCATCACTGATCGCGATGAGCTGGCGGCTACTCTCTGACGCGTGCCAGGTATGTATAGCTCTCCAAAGAGATCCCGCATTTCATGCCCTACGCCTCCTTCGAGAAAGGGTTGGACGGACGACTCGATTTTAAAAAGGCCGAGATGTCGTCTTCCGTTGCGACTCTTCACTTATTATTCATCAGCCTTGTTCTACACAGCGCCTTACCTATCACCTCAAAGGCTGATCGCAATCCCCCCTCTCCTCTGCATCCAAGTCTAGATCGCATGCACCCCCCCCCCCCCCTTGTGCATCCATCTCTAGTCTTCTGATCCCATCCAGGATCGTCTGACCGCCTTAATACTGACGCTGGTTCCAGAACACCTCTCCGCACACCTCATCACTCACTTTCGCTACTGACCCAGGGATGAGACGCTTTTACCATCCTTTGGAGAAGACGAACCGTGTTTAACAGAAGAATCAAATAGGGAACAGCGAGTAGACCCACCGCCTTGACACTGTTCATTTCTCATCTACTCTTCTCTTTCACTCCCTTGCCGACTGGTATCGTTCAAGAGAGGTGTTGATCCCCAAGTAGGTCCAGCTGGATTCGAAGCTGATCCTCGTGTTAGATAGAGCTCCATCCATCTGGCTAAAATCTCTCGTGGATCAGATTCGTCTCGCCTTTCACAGGGTTTTTTCTCTCTGCTCTTCAAGCTTTGCCTGTGAGTTACGCGTCCTAGCTGTCTCTGACCGGATCAGTCTCTCCGTTGGCTGTCTCTGGCACCATGCCTTCAAAGCGACAGTGTTGAATTGTCACCAGTGACGAGGAGGAGCGAAGGCCTGGACCTACCGCTCGCTCTTCTCCATCTGTTCAAGCAGTCAATCCTCCTGCGGCCGCTGCAAGCTCTGCTGCCTCCCCTGCTTCCCCTGCAAGCTCTGCTGCTGCCGCTCCCAAAAAGGTGACGCGAGCGCGTCGCAGCACTGCTGCGGCCATCGCGTCTGTGAGCTAGACCGATGGAGATACACCGCTGACCCAAAAAGGCACAGGCCAAAGGAAGAAAAAGGCCAACAATCTTGATGGCTTTGTGGTGGACGATGATGAAGAAGACTCAAAAGACGGTGATACCGACGTGAGTTGCCGAGCCTACTACCTCGACCACTGAAGCTTCTACAGAATGACAAACCTCAAACCGGCAAGAAGACCAAGAAGACCAAGAAGACCAAGAAGATCAAGAAGGATGACGACGATGCAAGCGAGCCTTGATTGGACCACGCAACTCCGGCCGTCGCACTTGCCATTCAGCAATGGACTGAGGGAAAGGGTACCCTCTCCGGGGTGAACAATGCTCAAGCCGGATGTGAGTCTGAGTCTGAGTATGAATGATTTTCCAACACGAGTTCTCTCAGTTCTTGCCGCAGCCATGCACGTTCGACAGGCTGCTGAGCGCATTTGACTTGATCAGAACACTATCATCCCTCTTTGACAGGCCAAAGTCGAGGCTCGACTCCAGGGTGTGAGCGGCAATCTAATGCTTGTCCAGGCCTTGCTTGGAATTTACAGCGACTTTGATGGCCGTGACAACATCAAAGCGAGCCTCCTTGATGCAAAAAATCGATGCATCACGCTTCAAGACTCGGTAAAGGCCTTTACAATTCCCTCGTCTACCAATGCCGCCGCGGGACCTTTGTTCACTTCCAATGCCGCCGCGGGACCTTTGACCACTCAACAGGGAGAAGAAGGCGATGATGACCAGGCTTAGTCCTTTTTTCCCTTTTTCCTTGCACTCAACATATGGACCTCTCAATGTCAACGTTCCCTCAGCCCAGCGCCGGTGACCATGCAGATCCCCACACAAATCGCAGCGTCCTACTTTTGAGCAAAGCAAACGGTTTAGGCGCCTGTTACGATGGAACCTGAGCAGACTTTTGGCGTCAACCTGACTACCATTCTCCAGGGCAGTTTGTAGCACAGAGTGCACGAGTCTACATAGCAGATTAAGCGGAATATGATCATGTTCAGCAGAGAACCAGACGGTCATTCAAAATTACGATTCATAACATGACAGGACATGACGGTCGGTGTGTGGATCACTCAAAGTGGACTTGAGCCATCAGAACGAGGGCGGAGGGGGCCATTCACCTTGGTCTAGGCGTCATCTTCCTCATCATCCTCGTCATCTTCCTCATCATCTTCCTCGTCATCTTCCTCGTCATCTTCCTCGTCATCTTCCTCGTCATTCCCATCGTACTCAATATCACAGTCATTATCAATGAGATGGTCCGAGAGGACGTATCCTTGCTTGGTGCGTTGTCGCTTCTCACCGACCTGTCGAGAGCCGGAGTAGTAGTCACATTTGGGCTTTTGAGCAGCTTGCTTCTTGAGTCTTTGCACGGAGCAGGACGACCTCTATTGATGGACTTGGACTGGAGCATCTAGAGGTTGAAGTTTGACCGCAACGGCGCAGAGTGTGTCATTTGCGGGTTGGATTCAGCAGGATGAAGAGGAACGGCAGCGTTAGGGAGATTGGCAACAGGGGATGCAGGTGTGAGAGCAACTACAGCGGACCTGAGCTTGTTCCCATCATGAACACCTTTCTCTTTGCGAGACATGCCTCAATCAGTGCTGTGGCGCCAAGGTGCTGTTTGGTCATGTGAATCAGCTCCTCCAACTTGTCTTTGAGGACCTTCTTGTCTTTAATATCCATAGCATTGAGAGTCTTCTGGACTTCCTCCAATATCGTCAACAGCTTCCTCCAACATCGTCAACAGCTTCGTGTGGTCGGACTGGGTCATGGTGGAAATCTCTAGGTGAACATCCCATCGTCATGTTAGGATCGGTCCGGCTAGACAAGCCTACACCATATACACCTAGCCTATATCCATCCTACACCTATCCTACACCTACCCTACACCTATCCTATGTCTGCCCTACATCTATACCTACCCTATTGTAGATCGTGGTTCCTCCCAGGGTAAAAAAGTGGGCCCTGGTGGGACCAATCTTTCTTTCTTCCTAAGGATCAAATTATCATAGGTTACTTATACTACCTCTTGCTTTCACCCATGAACCAGTACCGTGACCTCACTTGTACTTCTTGCTCTTCCCCTTGACTTGCCGGATCCTTCCAAGTCAACACCCCTCGAAACCACTGTCCGACCAATCCACAAGTTTACCAGTTCATTCACTGAAAGGAACTCAAGCTCCGATAAACCGTTACCGTCCACCTGTCTTTGAATCACGAGGTTTTCAAGGACACGGTCGTAACACTACGGGCGCACATCCGCACTGCGCACCGCTGGAGACCGCACTTGGGGGCAACTCTCATTCATAAAGAGGGGTTGTGTTACGGCGGGGCTTACCAAATAGAAGAGGGCAAGTACCGTTTGTAATAAGCGCACCTTCTATTAGAAAGGGATAGCTTTGGTGTACGGACGGCTGGGTCTTGCAGCTGGGTGCGAAGTACAGTTGCAAGAGTAGTTGAGAGTGATAGTGATTGAGATGCAATAAGGTGAAGTGGTGAAGAAGTTGAAAGGGATTGTACTGAAACTGGGTAAACTGAGAATTGTTCTCTGAGGGAAAAGAAGACTACAAACCACCTCCTTATATAGTTTTTTGGAAGGCCCTATGGACCCACTATGTAGACACTACAAGATCTGCGTGCAAGTTGCACGGTGGGAAAAGATCTATCTGGGATCTGCGTGTAAGTTGCACGCTGGGAAAGATCTATCTGGGATCTGCGTGTAAGTTGCACGAAGATCTCCTTTTTCTACTTCAGGAATATTGGGGAGCGTCTGGATCTGCGTGTAAGTCGCACGCTGGGAAAGTGTGGCAAATATAGAAGAGGCTGCGTATCACACATTAAGGATGAGTTGGTGTTAGGATACGTCTGAGCGTATCGTAACAGCGGCGAGTGGAGATGAGCCGGGTCGTAACAGTAGCCCCCTCCCCCCCAAGGCAAGTTCCATCGAGCCAAAGTGATGTTGCATTGGGGAAGTCAAGCAAGGTAGGTGTTGTCCTGTCGAGGTGAAGCCGAAGAGGAAGCCAAAGCATGTGTCTTGATGTGTCGAAGTATGTATTCCCATGTGTTGAGGTATTCTTGTTTGAAGTGACGAAGATTCGGTGTTTTTGGTGTCGAAGATTTATCTTTGTAAGGACAAAGTTGGGCCTTCTGGAAATTTCCCAAAGTGGGGGGGAGTGCCACAGGGGTCTCTGGGGACTTGTTTTCGTCGCTTTCAGCGCATTCACTTGTTTCTATGCCCATCCCATCATCCTGACATCCCTGCAGCAGCTATGCCTTCCAGACTCAGCAAACGAGCCAGAAATGACCCTAGGAGTGAATCTCCTCTCACTCCTGTCCCTGAGGAGGACCCCCAGCCGCAGGATACACCCAAGCATGCCCCAGAGTCTCCTCTCGATGCCAAAATCGAAGATCCAGCCCAGGAAACAGTTCCAGCCCCTGAGCAGCCAGAGGCAGCAGGACAAGCAGAAATCACCGAAAACATCCAATCCGAGGCTGTGAAGGCCAGACTGGCCCTGGTAAAGGACATTGAACACTTGGGGGTTCTCCACATCGATTCTGACGCTTGCCAGAGGTGCCAGGCTGAGAACAAGGCCTGCCTGACTGCTGGGCAAGAGACCAGGGACAAATGGGCAAGCAAACATTGTTCTAAAGGTTCTTCAAAGTGTTCCCACTGTGTTGGGGTGGGCCAGCCCTCCAGCTTTGTACCCAAGGCCAGGAGCTCAAGAATGGCGACGAGATACAGCCCTGGTGACAAGCAAGAGATGGTGAGGGATTTGGTGGGTCTTGCAGAGGCCTGGGAGGCTCAGATGACTGTCAGGTTTCGTTGGCTGAGGAATGAAGAATAGGATTATTCTTGACGAAGGCAGGCGAGACGAGGCGAAGGCTTCCGATATTCGGCGAGGATAGTCGAATAAAGGTAAGACGAAGGCTAGTGTCAAAGGACCAGAGAGAGGTTGGCTGCGACAGATATTCGAGGCGTAATTCGGCGAACTCAAGGCTATCAAAGGCAACTGAAGGCGAGCTGAGGCGAGCTAAGACGACTAAAGGCAAAGGGCGGCAATGGGATGCAAGATCTAGTAGTATTGAACTTCAATCTTGGATCGCTGGTCTATCTAAGGCTATCTGCGGCTGCTATATATATCCTTCGCCGATCCTTCACCTGTCAATCAATACTCATGCCAAGATCCTGTCTTTCGGTGATCCACTCTGCTTTTCTCGCCGAGCTTTTGATTAGATAGTGAAGTGAAGGCGAGCTTCGGCGAATATCTTGACGAGCCGTTGAAGTTGAGGCGAGATATCGGTATTTCGGGGTCATGACCTTGTGGCGTTCTGACAATGACGTCTGATTCTGCCCTGGAGAAGCTGGCCAGGCAGGGGGTCCTGGGTCTGATCCAGAGGGCCAAGGAGGCCTTTGATTTGTAGTGAAATGTCGATAAAAACATGCTGTTACAACCCTGTCCTGGAAGACCTCAAATTCAAAGACAGGCGGATAGTAGTCGTTTAGTCGAGCTTAAGACCGGTTTGGTGGTTGGACTTGTAAAATTGGGATTGGTCGGACGGCTAGGAACGGCTTGGAAGGATCAGGCAAGCCAGGGTAGAGGAATAGCAATAATGAGGTCTGCTGAACTACTGCATGAAAAGATAAAGAAGAAGAAGAGTAGTAAAAAGTAACCTATGATAATTGGATCCTTAGGGAAGAAGAACTGACAGTCTGTAGAAGTCTTCCTTTTATACCTTTTGCTCAGGTACCCATTGATTACGATCCCTACCTGGTAAACGATCCATGCGGGACAGGCGTGCCAGCTTGCCAGCCAAAGTAGGCGAGGCCGGGGGATAGGTAGGCGAGGTAGTCGAGGTCGTAGGATAGGTAGCCGCGGTAGGCAAGGTCGTAGGATAAGTAGGCGAGGTAGGCGTGGTCGTGAGATAGGTAGGCGAGGTCGTTTGTCATGGTCCTAACGGTATCCCCCCACTAAGTGGTGAAGTCCCATCCACCACAACTGCAACCACCTTGACTACCGCCAGCCTTGGTTAGCCATAGTAAGCCCGTCCTTGGCCATCCTGATGGGGGGTGGCCAGCACAACGTGATTGATGGTGCAAGTGCGGACACAGCTTGATTTACAGTGCCCGCACCAATCGTTGCAAATTGCCAATGCTCGGGGTGAGACCGTACCAGCCATACTAAGGTTTGCAGGCGCCTGCTCCGGCCGTTCCAAGCGGGTTCAGCACCTATCAAGGCGCGAAAGGCGGGATAGACGGGGTTGTAAGACCGTGGGAGCCCGTAGTAAGGTGTAGCAGGGTATAAAGGTGAAACTGCGGCCGCAGGTTTATGAATTTGATCCTGCAACGCCCGCACTTGTCCTTTCTGCGCCGGCACTTTGCAAACATGTCTCTACCAGGCCTTACTGCAGCCTCCCTCACCCCACAGGTTCTTCAATGGCTTTAGGAGTACACTGTGAGTGATAAGTGCGACTGTAGTGCGGTACTAAAGGTCCGCAGTTGGCGACCATGCCCCGCAGTGACCCGCAGAGCCCCCGCACTTTGAAGTCCAGCTCATCATCTCATGCACATACCGCAGATGCGCCCGCATCACCCGCATATAGTCCGTGTCAGAACGCCACAAGGTCATGACCCCGAAATACCGATATCTCGCCTCAACTTCAACGGCTCGTCAAGATATTCGCCGAAGCTCGCCTTCACTTCACTATCTAATCAAAAGCTCGGCGAGAAAAGCAGAGTGGATCACCGAAAGACAGGATCTTGGCATGAGTATTGATTGACAGGTGAAGGATCGGCGAAGGATATATATAGCAGCCGCAGATAGCCTTAGATAGACCAGCGATCCAAGATTGAAGTTCAATACTACTAGATCTTGCATCCCATTGCCGCCCTTTGCCTTTAGTCGTCTTAGCTCGCCTCAGCTCGCCTTCAGTTGCCTTTGATAGCCTTGAGTTCGCCGAATTACGCCTCGAATATCTGTCGCAGCCAACCTCTCTCTGGTCCTTTGACACTAGCCTTCGTCTTACCTTTATTCGACTATCCTCGCCGAATATCGGAAGCCTTCGCCTCGTCTCGCCTGCCTTCGTCAAGAATAATCCTATTCTTCATTCCTCAGCCAACGAAACCTGACAGTCATCTGAGCCTCCCAGGCCTCTGCAAGACCCACCAAATCCCTCACCATCTCTTGCTTGTCACCAGGGCTGTATCTCGTCGCCATTCTTGAGCTCCTGGCCTTGGGTACAAAGCTGGAGGGCTGGCCCACCCCAACACAGTGGGAACACTTTGAAGAACCTTTAGAACAATGTTTGCTTGCCCATTTGTCCCTGGTCTCTTGCCCAGCAGTCAGGCAGGCCTTGTTCTCAGCCTGGCACCTCTGGCAAGCGTCAGAATCGATGTGGAGAACCCCCAAGTGTTCAATGTCCTTTACCAGGGCCAGTCTGGCCTTCACAGCCTCGGATTGGATGTTTTCGGTGATTTCTGCTTGTCCTGCTGCCTCTGGCTGCTCAGGGGCTGGAACTGTTTCCTGGGCTGGATCTTCGATTTTGGCATCGAGAGGAGACTCTGGGGCATGCTTGGGTGTATCCTGCGGCTGGGGGTCCTCCTCAGGGACAGGAGTGAGAGGAGATTCACTCCTAGGGTCATTTCTGGCTCGTTTGCTGAGTCTGGAAGGCATAGCTGCTGCAGGGATGTCAGGATGATGGGATGGGCATAGAAACAAGTGAATGCGCTGAAAGCGACGAAAACAAGTCCCCAGAGACCCCTGTGGCACTCCCCCCCACTTTGGGAAATTTCCAGAAGGCCCAACTTTGTCCTTACAAAGATAAATCTTCGACACCAAAAACACCGAATCTTCGTCACTTCAAACAAGAATACCTCAACACATGGGAATACATACTTCGACACATCAAGACACATGCTTTGGCTTCCTCTTCGGCTTCACCTCGACAGGACAACACCTACCTTGCTTGACTTCCCCAATGCAACATCACTTTGGCTCGATGGAACTTGCCTTGGGGGGGAGGGGGCTACTGTTACGACCCGGCTCATCTCCACTCGCCGCTGTTACGATACGCTCAGACGTATCCTAACACCAACTCATCCTTAATGTGTGATACGCAGCCTCTTCTATATTTGCCACACTTTCCCAGCGTGCGACTTACACGCAGATCCAGACGCTCCCCAATATTCCTGAAGTAGAAAAAGGAGATCTTCGTGCAACTTACACGCAGATCCCAGATAGATCTTTCCCAGCGTGCAACTTACACGCAGATCCCAGATAGATCTTTTCCCACCGTGCAACTTGCACGCAGATCTTGTAGTGTCTACATAGTGGGTCCATAGGGCCTTCCAAAAAACTATATAATGAGGTGGTTTGTAGTCTTCTTTTCCCTCAGAGAACAATTCTCAGTTTACCCAGTTTCAGTACAATCCCTTTCAACTTCTTCACCACTTCACCTTATTGCATCTCAATCACTATCACTCTCAACTACTCTTGCAACTGTACTTCGCACCCAGCTGCAAGACCCAGCCGTCCGTACACCAAAGCTATCCCTTTCTAATAGAAGGTGCGCTTATTACAAACGGTACTTGCCCTCTTCTATTTGGTAAGCCCCGCCCGTAACAGCCGCCTGGCCGTAACCCACACCTATGCTCCACAGAGATCAGTAGAACTCAGCAGAGATCAGTAGAACTCGGGAGATCTCAGCAGAACTCAGGGATCTCAGCAGATCTCAGCATCCAGCTCAGTACATCAGTACTGAATTCTCGAGCTCAGTACAGAGCTCAGTATAAGGACGTAGTAGTATATAAAGCCAGCATTGTAGAACCTCTTGATCCTTCTTCTCTAAGGATCAATCTATCACACATCTATGTTAGTTCAATAGTCTTTGACTATCTTGGCCTACTTCGTGACTTCACCTTCACCCACCTTGACTCCTGCTCGCCACGACATCACTGCAGGATCCTTCAAGCAGTCCTCTCAGCCAACCTCGACCAATACAAGTTAAGTGGTTGTGGCTCTTCAACCTGCAACCCAAGCTTGCTCATACGACCTTCGTCTTCCATCTCGTCACCGGCGCATAGGCCTCCGGGAACAAGTCGTAACACCTCGGGACATGATGTCAAATGGTAAGATGCCAAGGTGGGGACAATTCACCCTTTCAAAGGAGGTCAATGCGCAGCGATGCTGACTTGCTGCCACGCGCGTAGTGCGTGGTTGGGTGGCAAAATCCGCTTTCCCGATTTTGAGATGAGATATACAGCTATCACCCAATGTCAGCTCAAAAGGTCTCAGGCCAAGATCAGTGGTGCGCTGGCTGGCACCATGTCAAGAGGGTCAACTGAGAAGAAAAGCAGATGAAGGCGTCTGGTTCTTGCCTCACAAAAACTGACTGTGAGCTACACCAGGCCACGGAGTTGTTCAAAAACTCCGCACAGACGCGTTTGCAGAAATTGCGTCATGTCTGATAGATCGCTCCGACCCGACGGTATATGTGCTCCAACGGCTCCTGTCATACACAATCAACTCTCTCCCGACATTCTGATCCAGTCCTCGACGGGCTTGCACTTCTGACGTTTGCCAGTTGTCATATACACACCACTGCGCACCTCCGGTCATGCCTCTTTCTTCCCATCTTCTACTTTCAACACACCATGGGCAAGTACTGGATTTGCCGTGTCTTCAGCTGACTCTTTGTCTCTCACGCAGTGCCGGCCTCACGCCCACCCGGCAAGATCACCAGCTCTCGCACGAAACAACTCCAACTTGGTAAGCCCAGAACCGGCCTGCCTTTTCCTGTGACGAGATGAGCAAAGAACAATGTCTTTGCAGCCTCAGGCGCTATGTCAGAGGATCCTATTGTGCTCTCCTCCGATCCCCCAAGTCAAGGTGAGTGCATAAATCTAGTTCGCTCTGACACGTCCAGCAATTAATGCGGCCTCTGTAGCAGAATCCTCCCAAGCTCAAGCCTACGACCAACTTGCCTCATCTCCTGATCGCAAGTACAATATGCAAGATATCGAGCCCGATGTGGATCCAGTCACTGAGTCTGCCGTTGCCGAAAACAATCCAGAGACCACCAGCGCCAATTCAGGTATGGTCACAAAAAACTCCCTTGGCTGATTGACTCCTCAGTGACCCTCAACTCTGACGACTCGTTCATGCCATTGCATTCCAGCGCAGATTCTTTCCCGTCGGTCCCCTCAATCACGCTGTATGTTAGCCCTCCATTCCTTGAGCTGACCATATTCAGCAATGCCCTAACTTTTGTACGTCTGCTTCAGGTGGCCTGTGATGAGCTACGCTTCCTGGATAGCATGCAAGATGTGGAAAGACAACAAGCCATTGTGTTGATTGACTTGATCAACAGCATGATGGGAGACATATAGATGGCCGTACGATAGCAGATATGCATAGGTTGTAGCCTGTTCAATGAGCACGACAGCAAGCCTGGAGCTCCAGGCTTGATTTTGCGCATCTGCCGGAAAGAGAATGTCGGAAGGGGGAGAATATGCCAAACCTCCAATATCCCCCCTCAACAATGTACCTCCGCCTCCATACAACCATCTCCTGATGTCACAGCAGACGGAGCTAGAGCAGATAGCTCGACAACGTGGTTTTGAGAGGCAATTCATCGGCTAGAAGTGGCTCTGGGTGTGAGTGTCAGAGCTCTGATGGCCAGCTGGCACAAGGAGCCTGCCAAAGCCCTGCTGGACTTGTGTAAAAAGGAACATCACTTGCGCCAGTCCAAAACTTAGGTTGATGGAAGATGGACGCCTCTTGGTTGATGGTTTCTGTCTGACTTGTTACGACAGAGCAAGCAAGAAAAATACGTCCCGTTGTGATAAGGTCTATCACAAGGCAGATGGCACGACTGAGGCAAAGCCAAAAAGACGTATCAAGAAACCTCGTACAAAAAGCTCTGCGAGTGCACGTCCAACCGTCTCGGACAACACACCAATCCCTTTCACTCCGCCTCAAGCCAAGAACAACAACATTGGCACCAGCCTCCTCCCCCACATGCCCAACTCCTCATCTACTCACGTCTTCACCACTGACCCTCCATTTCCTCAACCTGCTCTCCATCCGCTTGACTTGTTGCGATACGCTCAGACATATCCTAACACCAGCTCATCTTCTACATGATCACACAGCCTTTTCTATCTTTACTATACTTTCCCAGCGTGCAACTTACACGCAGATCCCAGATAGATCTTTTCCCACCGTGCAACTTGCACGCACATCTTGTAGTGTCTACATAGTGAGTCCATAAGACCTTCCAAAAATTATATAAGGAGGTGGTTTGTAGTCTTCTTTTCTCCTCAGTGAACAATTCTCAGTAAAGTTATCCTTTCAACTTCTTCACCACTTCACCTCATCAACCTCATTGCATCTCAATCACTATCACTCTCAACTACTCTTGCAACTGTACTTTGCACCCAGCTGCAAGACCCAGGCGTCCGTACACCAAAGCTATCCCTTTCTAATAGAAGGTGCGCTTATTACAAATGGTATTTGCCCCTCTTCTATTTGGTAAGCCCCGCCCGTAACATGACTCTGACATGCGTCAAGGCCCATGCACATATAAGACTGAATCGCTCGCGCAAGTGGAGGAAGCTTATCAAGTCTTGCAACAAACTGAAGACTCCGTAGCTACCTCGGCCAACCCTAAGGCCCCCAGCGCATTATTCACCCTTGAACAGTTCGATGCGCTCAATCAGCAGATCATCAAGATGCAAGGTCTTCTCCAGATGTTGGAGATGCAGTGTCAGGACTCAATGGACCACCTGAAGAAACATGTACCTGATGCTATGCCTCTCATTCTAATCCCCAGCAAAGCTCAACAACTCCCTTGCCTCGATCCCTGCAACATTTGGGAAGATGCGCAAAGATGGAAGACTTACCTCAGAGAACACATAAACAGATTCATTGAAGCTCACCTGATGGTCACACAAGCACATTGCAATAGACTTGTGAGTCTCACAGAGTCTGCTTGACGACGCTTCAGATGCAGCAGTAGAAGACGTGATTGAACATCCTTTGAAGGGATCCAAGCGTTGGCGGCAAGTGACATCTCAACCGCAAGTGTTACGGGCCGTTCCGGGCGAAGACGAAGGTTCCGGTAGGAAAACGAAGGGGAACGGTTGACGATTCGATGCGGAAGGATTGAAGTCCAACCTCGATATGTAACCCGATTAAGAAACCGGACTACGGATCAACTGATTATATAACGATAACTCGATATGAACGGAATGGAATACCGGGAGGTGTTCCGACGATTTCCGAGATCAAAACGAGATGAAGTGTAACATATAAGAATTCAGATCCTTGGGGGGATCTGTCAAAAAGTGTCTACTTTATATATTCCTGGCAGAGTGGAGGCCTCCACATCTGTTTTACTCATCCTCACACCGATACTTCTCGGAACCCTTCGGATTGATCATGGGACTGTCGGAATGGTCACGGAAGGTACGATTGGGGTCGGAAACCGGAAGTGGTCGGAAAGGGTCGGAATGAGCCGGAAGGATGATAACGGCGAATGACGTGGTAAAAACGAGGGTGAAGATTGTCGAATTGTAACAGTACCCCCCCCGGAAAAGGGGAATACGAGCTCCTGCGAGAGCGGAATGTGACGAAAAAATTGAAAGAGGGTGATTCAACAGAACAAGAGGATCGAAAGGATGCTTGAAACCATTCGGAAAAAGGTTCCGGAGACGGAATTGGCAATTGAGTTGTATTCCGGGGAAATCGAGCAATGGAATAGGGCGATTTGGGACGGATTGAGGAAGTTGGAGGAGTATTTCTCCACGGAATAGACAATTTTGTAGCGGAATGAGGTTTCAACACCTCGGAAAATATGTAACAAGTTCAACCTTGCACAAAATTGTGTTTCGGTTTGTTGGGATGATTACGGTGGAATTCCGTAACCAATTCGACGCAATTTTCGAGATGACTTGGGGGTTCCCAAGTATTTGAGGATGGATCGTTGTAACCGAGCCATTTGACGAGGTAACGGATTGGCGGTTTATACCGTTTATCAACTTTGGAGTCAAGAATTTCTTCAACTTCAAGTTCGGTTTGACCTTCGATTTCAACGGGAGGAGGAGGAGGTTGATTCCGGTCAGGAATCGTGTTTTCCTGGTAAGGTTCCAACAAGTTTACGTGGAAAACGTTGTGGACTTGCCAAGATCGAGGAACAATCGAGGCGATACGCATGAGACGAAATCTTTTCGGATATGCGGAAGGGACCAAGGTATCTTTCGGAAAGCTTTTTCGAGGGCCGTTTTGGGCTGAGATTCCTAGTTGATAACAAAACCCAAGAGTCGATGTGGAGCAAGAGCCGGTGTGAAGCAAAGTCACCCTCTGAAGCAAGAGTCGGAGTAAAGCAAGAGTTGGAGCAAAGCAAGAGTTTGGGTGAAGCAAGAGTCGATGTGGAGCAAGAGTCGGAGCGAAGCAAGTTCAACCTCTGATGCAAGAGTTGGAGCGGAGCGAGAGTTGGAGCAAAGAAAGGTACCCGGTTGATCGAGCAAGCAAGCAGAGCAGGTCAAAGCAAGGGAGATCAAGCAAGGGCGCGGGAGCCTGACGCAAGCTACAAGGGTCGATCAGAGCGGGAGACAAAGCGGCGAAGCAGAGAAAAGTGGTCCCCTCTCAAAACCCCCTTCTTCTGCGGCGTGCCCCCCAGGCGAGCGCAGCGAGCGTCTATGTTGCGAGCAGAGCGAGCGTCCATCTCCCGAGCGCAGCGAGGTATACCCTGGAGCACGAGGCCATCTTCCGAGCGGAGCGAGGTGTACCTCGGAGCACGAGGCCATCTTCCGAGCGAGCAAGAGTACCCTGGAGCACGAGTCCATCACCGAGCGAACAAGGTGGACCCTGGAGCACAGATCCATCTCCCGAGCGAGCAAGAGTAACTTGAAGCACCAGTCAGAATTTCAAGCAGAGCAAGGTGTGAACCACCGGTCTACCTCGCTGCGCCTATACAGCGTGTACGCGAGCGACGACAAGCACTCAACAAGCTGCACCTCAAGCCACCACACACACACTCCGCGAACATCGTGTGCACGAGCACCCACACACACGAGCAGTGAAGCAGGCGAGTGCAATGAGGGCGAGCAACAATGAGGAGCGGAGATCCACCCTAGGACGATCCTTGAGCGGATCTTTGCGTATCTTTGATCCGCTCAAACAAGGTGAAGCAGGTGGACGAAGTGAAGCAGGTGGACAAGGTGAAGCAAGTGGACAGAGCAAAGCAGGGAGACAGTGAAGCAAGGAGCAAGTGAAGCAAGGAGCAAGTGAAGTGTGAACCAGGTGCTTGAAGCAGGTGGAGCGCAGAGCAAGGCGGGACAGAGGAGAGCCAGTGGAGCAGGTGAAACTCGAAGCAGGTGATACCTCGGGTGGATGGTGGAGCAGGTGATACTTGACGGAGGTGAACAAGGTGAAGCGTGAAGCTATGAAGCAGGTGAATCATGACGCAGTGAAGCAGGAGAAGCGTGAAGCAGTGAAGCAGGAGAAGCGTGAAGCAGGTTAGTCATGACGTAGTGAAGCAGGTGAACAAGTAGGAAACTCCTCAAGTAGGCAAAGCGTGAAGGTTGGGGCAAGTGATGATTGAAGCAAGTGAGGCGTAAAGCAGATGAAGCATGAAGCAGATGAAGCACGAAGCATGAAGCATGAAGCAGATGAAGCACAAAGCATGAAGCAGATGAAGCTTGAAGCAGATGAAGCTTGAAGCAGATGAAGCATGAAGCTGATGAAGCACGAAGCATGAAGCATGAAGCAGATGAAGCATGAAGCACGAAGCACGAAGCATGAAGCAGATGAAGCACAAAGCATGAAGCAGATGAAGCTTGAAGCAGATGAAGCACAAAGCTTGAAGCAGATGAAGCACAAAGCTTGAAGCAGATGAAGCACGAAGCACGAAGCATGAAGCACGAAGCATGAAGCACGAAGCACGAAGCAGATGAAGCATGAAGCAGATGAAGCGTAAAGCAGACGTGAAGCGGAAAGCAGTGAGCAGTGATACTTGAAGCAGTGCAGCTTGCAGCGGAAAGCAAGTGAAGAGTGAAGGATGAAGCAAGTGAAGCATATAGCGGGTGGAGCAGGTGAAGTTCATGTGGCGCGAAGCAAGTCACCCACGAAGCGTGCCGCACGAAGCAGAGAAAAGTGGTCCCCTCTCAAAACCCCCTTGCTTCCCTACACCTCATAAGTCGAGAAGCAAGCAGAAGCAGACAGTTGAGCTGGAACATGGGAGCGACATACGAACCGCCAACACTGAAGCAGGAGAACCAGAAGCAGAAACAAAAAGGTTGAGTGGGAGCAATACACGAAAGAGCAGAAGCAAAGACAGAAACAGAGACAAACACAACCAAGAACAGGAGCAGAGCAGGAGCAGGAGCAGACCCACGCAGACAGACGCAGGACACACCGACCGGCGCAGAGACAGAATCCACGCATACAACCTATGCATTACACGTACCATCCTCGCTTGGCTCGCGTCCTCGCTTCGCTCAGGTCCTCGCTTCGCTCAGATCATCACTCCGCTCTGGCGCGGCAGCTTTACGCACAGCAGTAAGACGCAGCCAACCATGGCAATAGCCTGAGTAGAAGAGTCAAAAAAAGACACTTGCGCAGCAAGATGGACCTACACCATTCGCAAGAAAGATCAGTAAAGGTCGACCAACCTCACTGAGAGCTGAGAAGACTGTACCGAACATCGCCACGGTCGATACTTGCGCTAACGGCGAGAGTCAGCGACATTTCCACGGCTTCCCTTAACAGACGATCTCACCCAGCTTCTCCACCAAGGCAATAGCACTCAAAGCATCCGCACGCTCGTCAGGCCCGACAAAATCCAACGTGACACCTTTGCAAGCGGACCCCGTACCACTGGCGAACGGGAGTACGACAGCCGCAAGATACATGTGCCATCCTTGATGTGCCAGACTGACCCAACTCGTGAGGAATCCGTCAAGGAAGATGCTACCTCGTAAAAAGTACAAGTCCCACAAGGAACCATGTTTGACATCAGTTGGAGCCGGTGCAGGATTATGTTGAGGTGCAGAAACGACTGTCGGTTCTTCCGCTTGCACAGGATCATCGAGGTCTTCTTGCGCCACGGTCCTAGACGATGACACGGAGGAAGATCTTGTGATGGGCTCCGAAGCTGGTGACTTGGAAAGCCATTGACGACCCGATTTGATGATACGAGGGAACAACAGCGACAGGAAGAATGCCTTCATCAGGAGAAAGATGGACTACCGTCAGCGCTCAGCTAGCGGTTGTGCCCACCAGCATTATGCCGCTATCGGCTGGACCGAAAGCAAAAACGTTTGTGGCCACCAGCTGCAGAGCCATGCCAACGTAACCCGTTGCCAGAACGCTGAAGAATGCCCCTGATCCCAGGAGGAAGAGATTCCAGTCCCTCTTGAGTCGTCCGTCCGGTTGCTCCTTTTTGACAGGGACAAAGACCTTGAGAGGTGACAAGAATGACTTTGACTGCTTCTCATGCTCGTCATCCTGTTTCTCAGGCTCAAAGTAAGGCAGGAACAGCGATCCAAAGATGGTGCAGAACACCAATAGACCAAAGGCGAATTGAAAAGGTGCAAGTGGACCGATGAGTCTCTCGGACAATCCTCCAACTGGCCCTCAGCCTCCACCTACTGGTGTCCACTCACAAGTGTATCCACCTGCCGCGCCAAGCATCATGATTCCGCCGAGGACACCAAATTGACTCGTACGCTCTTCTGGCTCTGCCAAGAAAGCAATGAAGCTATTGGCAGCGAGACCATATCCACCTCCTGAGCCCATAATATTGAACAACTGCGTAGTCTGAATGATTTTGATACCCGTAGCGCCTCCGACGGTCTGGGCATAGATCTGGGTGAGATTACGCATGGCTGCCCAGGCTGTTTGCTGAAACATGGCTGCCTTTGGACCGAAGCGCTTGATCCAATAGCCAGTGACGAAGAGGTTGAGGAGGGCTACAATCGTCAATCACAACTCGTCCCCATCTCACTCACTACACATGGTCGTCGTCGAGCTCATCAGAGCGATACTGGCAGCTGTGCTTGACTCGATCCTCGGAATGGCACAACGATTTTTGTCCTCTGGACCATCCCACGCGTGATGCTTGTAATACTCATTGCATGTCATTGTCCGGAACGAGTAGATCAGAGAAGTTTGCGTAAAGGCGAATGTCAAGGACAGCAGACATGCAGTGAACATGACTCTGCGGATCGGGGGGAACCATCCGGAATGACTAGGAGAGTTGGACTCATGTTTCGGTAAGAGAGGGGTTGTCTCCCTGGCTGGAGTGACTGACTTCATGGAGGCGTCGTGAGATGTATCAGAACAAGTTTCGTCGCGAGGCTCGGGCGATGGTGCATCTACCAAAAACGAGGCGACCGTCATACACCCTCGGAGATACCCGATCGGACCGATAAACTGCGGACATGTCCGATGCATCAATGATAGCACTCATCCGGAAGTCTAATCCCATCGTCTATACCAGCGTTCTGAGACCACATCAGAAACATGCAAAAGTCCTAAACGTACCATGTTCCTACCTCCATCTACCGAAATAATGGCATTTGTCATGTAGCTTCCAGCTTTTGAAGCGAGAAGTAAGACTGGCCCAAAGATTTCATCCTTGGTACCCGCGCGACCTGAACTCAACGTCCAACCATAGGCTTGCTCTCACCTAACGGTGTCCTCTTTGCTACCTTTTCCGCAGCAGGGAGGAGTTTGAGTTCACCATTCTCATCACGTCTGGCAGTGATTTCCGTTGGGAACGTCCCTGGGAGAATAGTATTGACTCGGATCTTCAGGCTGGATGGCGTTAGGATCCGCGCACACGAAAACCCACGGGGCCAGACGTCCGGCTAACATGCTAGCGAGGTGCACAGCTATCACGTTATCAGGGCGTTGTACAGCTCAGGAGGCTCACCAGCAGCCTGATGAGATCAGCAGAAGCCTCTTCTCACGACTGACCTTTGATACCCCATACGTCAATGTCGAGACGGGTCTGAACATCAGCTTCTCGCAAAAGTACTGCGACACACCTCTGATTGGCTATGGCCGCTATCGAAGAAATGACAATGACACTGGGATCCTCAGATTTGCGTAAAAGAGGAACCAGGCCAGCCGTCATGAAGTAGACACCTGAGAGCATCAGGCGCCGCCCTTGCAGCTTGCATTTACCGTTCACGTTGACTGTAGACATGTCAACCAGAGCGACACGTGTTTGGCTCACCCGAATGGGTCTTCTCCCAATCATCGCTGAGAATCTCAGCCTCCCTCGTATCACCTCTACACCCACTCGTCAACCCCTTCCCATACGAGTCTCTCGATAGAGTCCGCTACGGCGCGTCAATCACCCTCCGGCTCCCCCGACTCACGATCAAGATGGTTGCTGATGGGATCCTTCCAGGGTCGTTGAATCGCAGCATTATTGATCAAGACATCGACCTGAAGGGTCAAGCTGGCACTCTAAAGCAATACTGACCCTCTGCTCCTTCTCGGTGATCTGTTCGACTAAGCGGAGGACGCCATCTTTGGTCGAAACGTCCCCCTGAGCGCTAGCTTTAGCCTTTCTCAGCTATCAGGCACCTACACGGAGACGTGTCCTCCATACTCCCCCTCGACCTCTTCTGCCGTCCGTTTCAGCACATCTCCTCTTCTTCCTATGATCCAAACCCTTGCGCCATTCTCCGCGAATCCCTCAGCTAGCCATCGTCCTATGCCGGTTCCTCCACCCGTGATGACCACGACTTTGCCTTTGACGTCAAATAGCGCAGACGACGTCATATCCGCTCGAGACGCCCGACGGTGTGAAGCGTCAGACACATCGATGCATATGTCTCATTTTCGACGCGTCGGAAATGCCGCGTGCCCGAATCGACCCCGGGGCACCGAATCGACCCCGCGAAGCAAGTGAAGCAAGCAAAGCAAGCAAAGCAAGCAAAGCAAGCAAAGCAAGCAAAGCAAGCAAAGCAAGCAAAGCAAGCAAAGCAAGCAAAGCAAGCAAAGCAAGCAAAGCAAGCAAAGCAAGCAAAGCAAGCAAAGCAAGCAAAGCAAGCAAAGCAAGCAAAGCAAGCAAAGCAAGCAAAGCAAGCAAAGCAAGCAAAGTTCATGAAGCGCGAAGCAAGTAACGCACGAAGCATGAAGCGCAAAGCAAGTAACCCACGAAGCGCGACGCACGAAGCAAGCCAAAGTGGTCCCCTCTCAAAACCCCCCTTCCTTCCCTACACCTACATGCTTGTCATGCATAGTATGTCTCGATTCTTAAGGCCACTACCTCAAGTAAAAGTATGCGGGCCCTCAAGTAAAAGTGTGCTCTGGCATCCGAATACCATCGTTTATCCCGGCGCCCTGGATGAGGCTATGAGCGTCTCTAGCACTTGAACACGCCACGCACCATCAATCGCCCTCCATCGACGGTAAGCAATGCGTTATCCATGAATTGTCCACCACGACTACAGAGAAGCATCACAGGTCCAGCGATCTCTTCAGGTTGTCCCGCCCGACCTCGACCAATTAGTCAGCGGCCTTAGTCACTGTACTCACCGACAGTCGACCTCAAGGCGGCTTTTTGCGCCGCATGACCCATCTTCTCATGGTCGGACGCTGTTGTGCCTGAGGAGCCCGTCATTTCAGAGGGAAAGATCCCGGGGCAGATGGTGTTGACGCGAATCTTGAACCTTGGAAAACGATAAATCCCAAGATGAGCGGCAGAGCTTACGGATGCAACCTGCCAGCGAGAAGATCGCCAAGGTGAATCGCTAATCACGATCAGTCTTTCTATCATTCTCAGGAAACATACTGGCTGCCTGGAGGTCCAAGGTTTTGAGTGTCTCATCTCTCGTGCGATGGTGATGCTCACCTTGCTGACTCCATACGTCAGACTTCCCATTGCCCTACCCGCGCAGTCAGCTCGGCTCATTGGTCCCTGCTCACCGTTGGTTAGCTAGACCGGCGATGGAGGCAATGTTCACGACACTCGGATGAGATGCCTTTCGCAAGAATGGGATCATAAAGGTGGTCATATAGTAGACACCTGTAATTCAGTTTCAATGCTCACCCCTAACACTCACCATTGACGTTGACTGAATACGTCGTGAACCCCTAAGCCCCACCCGTTTGCCCCCTCGACTCACTCTGATTGGTGATCTCCCAGTCTTCACTGCAATTCCCAATCAACAAACGTACACGCCCCGCTCACTCCTCAGTAGCCTGCATGGCTTGTAGCACTTGTTCGGCTGACATTGTCGGTCAGACTGCGATAGCCAAATACGTACGATCATTGTGATCCTTGATCTCTGTCCTCCAAGGTTTCGAGATCCCGGCGCAGTTGATAAGCGAGTCGAGCTGCATACGTCCAGTGATTAGCGAGGCCGAAGAACTCCACGATTCACCCTTTCTTCTTTCGCTCCGAATGCTTCTGCTATCGTTTGAACGGCGGCCTTGGTAGATACATCTCCCTGAAGACTGTTGTCGTCAGCCTTGATCCGTGCTCTGTAGGCTCACGGTATCACCTCCCCGCCCATGCGAGTGAGCTTGCCAATCTCCTCGGCTGTCTTCTTCAGTACGTCGAGTCGACGTCCCGTGATATAGACTTTTGCTCCATTGCATGCAAATCCACTCGCGATGGCTGCGGGACATCAGTCTCGAACACTCTGCATCTCCATACCTCGTCCTATTCCTGTGCCTCCACCAGTGACGAGTACGACCTAAAGGGACTCAGCGACCGAGTGCTTGTGGAGCTCCCACCTGTCCCTTGACGCCAAAGATGTCTTCAAGTGCGAACGAGACGTTGGACATGGTACGAGTTGCTCTACAGCGTCCGATCAAGGTGAAACGAAGGATGACCAACGACTCAAGTTCGGGTGCGGATTCGGAACGGATCCCGACCGGTCCGATGAAGCCGTTCGTTGTGTTGTTGGAGGCACACCTCCCAAGACGCCTGCATAGACAAATGTCCCATGATCTAACCCCCATACGGAACCTTTTACAAATAGCCTATAAGACGAGAACCCCCAAGAACTTAATGATGATTACAACGCAGTCTAAACATTGTTATTGGGAAGCGGCCGCATGCACAATGCCCGGCCCCTCCACCTACCCCATGACATTGACGGGGTCCACCGAGGTCCCGCTCAAGCCAAAGTACCCGGTGCCATCTTCCCTATCCTCCGTACCGGGTTTCTCACTGACGACACTCAAAGTCGACCCGAAACCCTCGATAGAATAATCGTTGAATCCGGGGATGGCGGGACCAGGCGACATGGTAGCTATGACCGGGGCAGAGATGGATCTATCGTTCGGACGGAGAAAGGCAGGGTTCAAAGACGTCGCAGCTTGATACACTGGTGCTGTGGGAGCTGGTGGATCAAAATATTTGGTGGGTGACTCTGATCCGGGGGAAGCTGGAGACGTTGAATGTCTCCGAGGATGAAGGTTGAACGGAGGTGTGTAAAAGTTGGGCGAAGAACTCGATCCCATGCCAGACGAACTGGCTGACATCGGGTCCACGGGGACGGTAGAGACGTTTACCTGTGGGACATTAGGGTTGAGACCCAGGATCCCCAATTGTTGAAGCAATTCGGCGGGACTAGAAAATCAGCTCAAGCTCATGTGCTGCTACACTCACGCAGAGGCTCTACGGTTATCTGGCTCAAACCCAGTCGGTATCGCCGCCATCCAATCGCTGTCCCACTCGCTCGCAGTCGTCCCATCCGTGGTGTAGGTGTTCAGACTGGCCATGCTACCTATTCTATCTCTCGGCATCCATGACCAAGACCCAGGTGGGATCTCGCCGGCCGGTCCAGCATGAGTTCCGAATTGGAAGCCAGGCGAAGGGAGTGGACCGTTGGGAGTAAAAGGAGGGATGCCAGATGGGTATGGAGCACCAGTGTATTGGGGTTGAGCAACGGCGGGAGCCACTGTAGCGCTCGCGTCTTGGACCACTAGCGGTTTGTCCACTGGTACTACCTCACCGGCGGCACCTCTGATGGGTGTGAAACGAGGTGGAGTGAACGGACCAGAAGGTACCGTTTGAGCATTGGGTACACTTGCCCGCCGTGAATTGTTCATGGCGGCGAGATGAAGGGCGGAAGGACGAGACTGAATGGGAGAGATGGAGTCTTCCGGTATCGCATACGGTATACTGCCCTTCCGAAGACCTGGCGAGCGGGCTGCAAAGTGTCCAGCGACGGATTGATCCGCATCGGCGAAGGAGACCCTTCGACCGACTTGCGTCGGAGGAGCAAGCTGACCTGTCAAGGGAGGACGTGGCCCATTGGACAGCTGAGCCGGAGCAGTTTTGGGCGGTGTTCTCAGCCCTCCTTCTTGCGCCGCTCGTTCTTTCAGTGCGATACTCTTGACTTTGGCGCGTCTGGCAAAGTGAGCACCAAAAGCCTTGTTTGAACTGCTCACCTGTTCTGGAACCAAACCTGAATGTTCCGTTTGGTCATCCCGAGCTCTAGAGCCAACCATTCTCGCATATTATTGTCCGGCTTCGGATTGACCTTGAACCAGTGCTCCAACACGCGTAATTGATCCGGTGTAGTCCGACGTCGGTGTTTGACCTGGCAAGGTATCAATGACGCCCGCAGCTCAGCGTGCTCACCTCTGCCGGCGCCGTCTCATCTTCCCACTCTCCAGGCTGAGGCCAGCCGACAAAAGTCTGAGGTGGTTGCATGGGTCCAGGACCTTGAGGAGCCATGTGCATATATGCTCCATTCCGCGGCATCGCTAAGCGATCACCGTGGTTGGGGAAGGGGGTGGGATGGATGGGGGAGGTGAGCTGTTGAAATGCAGGTTCAAGGTGTTGTTTGGGAGCTTGGGGAGGAGGAGCAAAGGTGGAGGAAGACTGGGAGAATTGCTGCATGATGGGTGGGAGTTGCTCTGGCACAGGGATGAGCGGGCTGTGACCCTACGCGGACTCACAAAGAGCAGGGATCACTCTCACCAGGCGATCACGATTGGTTGCCGTGCACGGGTCCACGCACTGCGTCTCCAGCCCAGGATGGGTTGAGGCCAAAGGAACGGGATGCACCCTCGGTTCGCGCGACTAGCAAGCTTCCAAAGGAATGTTCGGCGTCCGATAACCGGTGATAGACTCCTACACGATGCGCGTCAGGTAAGGTTGTGGAGGAAGTGGGCAGACGGAGTGAACAGGGCTCCCTTTCCCTTCCCTTAAACAAAGAGTCCGGCAATAGCACAGAGCTCTCTTTTCGACTCACCAGTTCACTCCAAGGTTAAATGGCTGAATGCGAAACAGCTCGTGAGAGGATCGTCCCTCCGAGGGTGAAAAAGTATTGCGTTTGAGACGAACCAAGGGGTTTAGGTGGGCCGAGAGCCCAGGAAATGCTAAACGGATGAGTCGAGGTGAACAGGTGACCGATCGCGAAGAGTCAAAGAGTAGTGGGATGTGAAAATGACCTCGTGACCTGTCGAGCGGAGCAAGGGCAACAGCGCCGTAGCGAAAAGGAGATACCATCAGCTCCTTTTCCTTAAGAGACAGCGTTACATACCTGATTTTGTGTGTGTGGAAGAGGGGGATGCCTGAATGATCGAGAGAAGTGGTCGGAACAGTTTCAAGACAGAGAAAGCATAAGAATGGCAAATGTCCAGCGTGGCTATGGAGCGAGGTGGTCTATGATTCGCTTGTCTTTACAGCACTTGACTGGTGACGATCACGAATCAAAGTCGTCCGGTAGACCTTCCTGACCCGAATCGTTCTCCGAGACAATGATCTGATCTTTGAACGCGCGACAGATCTCGGGATATCGACCGTTGGGGATGAATGATCAACCGAAAATGGGCAAAAAGGATGATCAACCGATTACGCAACGGGGGGATGTCTAGAGACGCTTGTCAGTATGATGTTTGACGTCTTCCTCATATCATCGTCCATGTCCTTCATGAGAATCAAGACCAGTATCCAACATGGATCGGATGAGACTCAGAGAAGCGGGGGGGGGGGTGCCTGATCAAGGACGAAGGATATCTTTCCCATACAGAAAAAGAGAAAAAAAAGGACTCACGAGGTGATGAAGATCAATGTGACCGGGGACCCTGCTGTGGACGACCTGGAACGCGTGATTATCCTCTCGAGTGCAACTCTGACTGCCGCTGTTCCAAGAAGGTAGGACGGTCGTCCTGAGAAGACGGGATGTCCAGACTCGTGATCAAGTCGATTTGAAATGTACCGAGCAGGCCGACCGTTGTCGCAGGTGAATATTTATTATTGACGCTGAGCGTATGGTCAAGGATCACCAGGTGTGCGTGTGCAGCATGTATTCTCTCCACACGCAATGAAACCTCCGTGGCAAAAGGAAGATAGGTAGATAGATGGTGATGATGATCTTCTTCTTCTGCAGATCACTTGGCTTGGACTTGTAAGGTCGAGATCATTCAAAAGCGTATTTTGCACCTCAGAAGGGAGTCTCTCTCACTCTCACTCCCTCTCGGTTGTATCAACCTTCGAGTCCCGGCTTCTTTTGGCGGCGCCTCTCCCTTCTCTGCACGGACTGGCGTGGCTTTTTCTGCCTCACTGGCAAAGTCTTTCCCTTTTCTGCCGTTTGTGCAAGGCAAGAAAGCGGCGTAGAGTGACCAGGGATGATGCAAAAGGGTTCAAGGAGTTGCGATGGCACGCTCTAATTCGAGCGAGCTTCGGACAATCCACCGGAGGGGTAGGAGGGGGGACGAAGAGAGAGACGAGTGCTGCTCTCGTCTATATTTCGCCATCTCAATGTCGTGCGTACTCTCGTGCGCTCCTCCTTGTTCTCTGCCTCTGCCTCTGTGGGAGAGGTGGTCACACTCAGCACCACCCACCACCACCACCATCACCACCTGGTTAAAGCAACGAGGCGTTTTTTCTTTTGCTTTGCTGCCTCACTCGTTTTCCCTTTTTGTCACTCTTTTTTTTTTCTTCTCCCTTTGCTCTCTTTTTGCTTTTTTTTTCTTGCTTTTTTTTTTGGCTCCCCACCCTTTTACATCGCTATCGTCCGAGCATCTCTGTGGCGCCTCACAGAGCAAACGATCGCCCTCATCCCCCCTGCTCCCCCCGCATTCCTGAGAGCTCATGTACTGCCGCTGCCACCACCACCACCACCACCACCACCACCCACACTATGTATCATGATTAATAATGTAGCTCCTGGTCCGAACGGGTGTTTGACATCTCAGACATACGCGTCAGAGGCAGACTCCATGTTTCACGGCCTGAATGGCAGATCTTTTTCGAGAGTGCATTTTCGGTACATGTGGTGCTCGACGCAAAGGCCGCCGCTACAAAGCAGTCGTGCGTTGGCTCATGCGTACGGCCCCCCCTCCCCCCCCCCCCCAACCCGGCCGCTCCAAGCTGTATGCTCCGTGATCACGGGCTGCTTTCGTAACCCCATTTGAAAGGTGGGACCCACCGTAAAAACCCGTCCAGACTAGGTTAGACCAGGTTTTTGATTCTCGTAAGCGTACGGGGTTTGATCTGTCGGACCGGCACACGTTCACGTCAGCAACAGCTAAAGAGCACGGCGGACTTTGTAAAATGTGTAGATCCAGGTCGGCCCGCATACACACTCCGATGGGATTGCAACCGGGGAAAGACAGTTCGGAAAGCTCCGAAAATATACGTCCGTCACAGTCGTAACACGTTATCCATCTGTATGGACCGTCGTTGAGCGACTATCGTAGATCGCGTGGACTTGTGGGTGCATGGGTAGTGTGTCAGTTGCGAACGTCCCGACACACGACCGCGGTCATATTCGCGTAACCCTGTCTAGGTCCACCGAAATCCTTCAATGCGTGCGGGGATGGAATACTGCCATCTCAACGCAATGCGTGCTTGGTTCGAACACTGTCATCTCAACGTCATTTCTTGGACCTAGAGCTCGAGCAAAGGCATAGTATTGAAGGCCGAGAGTCCCCGGAAGAAAGTCTGCAGATTTGTCCTTCAGATCAGTAGGGACTCTCTGTAGAGCTGCCAGATGCAAGTCTCGCTCCGTCGACTTCGACTGCTTGATCACAATCAGACACAGACTTTGTATTGGGATAATGATGCATCGACAGTATCAGTTCTGGTTCGTCATCACCATTTGGAAACCGTGCTGTCACTGAAGATCGTCATCTCCTGTGTCTCGTGAACCGCTTTCCATGACTCACTATCGCATGTGCTTGCCTCCCATACTATCTCGCGTGGCGTCGTCAATCACCTTGACCATGCCATCTGCGACCAGAAGAGTTTAGTTATCAAGCAGCGAGGAGCCCGCATCGCGACCCACCACAGGACTCAGCGACTGAGATGACCGCCTTACCTCCCTCTCTTCCCGACAAGACAGCGGCACGATTACCCATGTCCCTGATAGAACTATTAGAAATAGATTGAGCAAGCAGCCTCACGTCTGTACCCATCCGGGTGACAGGGCGAAAATGACCAGGTGAGGCTCCTCAAAATGAGCCATTCGGGCCTGGAACATTGATAAGCTGTCTCCCAGACGCAGAACCCCACCAAGAAATTTGCGCCAGCCTAAGGATGAGGTCAGCAATGGCATGACTCACGCCCGACACTTGACGAACCTTTGTGATCCCATAAGTTACATCAGGCTTTGAAGCCTCGGCCTCTCTATCTAGGATGGCAGCACCCGACGACATGAAGATGAACTTTCCGTCCTTCTCCATCAATCTCACAGTCGCCTGGAAGAAGGTCATAAAGCCAAGGACCTGTCAAGAGTCAGATCGTAGAACGAGTGTCCGTCCTTACATTGACTCTCCAGTGCTCTTCAAACACCTTGGGGTCGATATCACGGATTTTGGCGAATGATTCGTTCGTCATGATGGCGGCGTTGCAGATGACCTAGAGAAATTAGCATTGATTTATCAGCGTAAATGACTGACTAAGTCAAGCTTAGAGATGCCTTTAGACTTGACTTGCTCAATCATCTAAGACTGTATAAGCAACTTCTCTCGTGCAGGATCCTCTTCACCTTCTCGGGTCCATCGACCTGCGCTTGATCCATCTCCACGACAATCAACTGTGAACCATTACCAGTCTTGACTACAGGCATGGACGAGGGATTGCGCGCAGTCGCGATGACAGTATAACTATCTCGCGCTGCATACCTCTCGACGAGGCCAAAACCGAGACTGCAGAAGCTTCAGACGTCGAGACGGGCTGAATGGGCTCACCCTCTGTTGGCTCCTGAGATCAAGACTGTAGTGCTCATCTTGTGGAATCGTGCTGGCTTGGATGTAAGGACACGGCACGAGATGTGTCAGCCAGGTTCGCTTTGTCATGTCAAACGGTCGGTGAAGGTGGAGGTCTCATGAGTCATACATTGGCCCGAGATCAACCCGATTTGTCTACACGCGCGGTTCGGCGACACCCGGTAATAACATCCATCGTTACGCTGCCCTCAACTGGATGCCTATCCGGAGCCATCCATCGACGCCACACATACAAGCAGACAGCCAAGCTACCTCTGCCTCCGGCGGGATCTCGATGCCTTGAGCGACCGGTATAGCCAAGTCGTACGGACTACCTTTCTCATTCAAGGCAGGGAAGAGCAAAGGAAGATGCTGCCGCAGAAGAGCAAGGATAGAGAGTGGCATACCTGGTGGATCGGTCAGGATCGAATCACTGATGACAGGCGACGCTCACCATCAGCTGTCATCGGTGGGACAACCTCCTGTATGACTGGTGCATTGTCAGGAAGGTACAGCTTGACTGGCAGCGCTCTCGTAGTGTACGCAGATTCGGGCTTTGATGGACCTGAGGAGCCGGGATCCGTTGAGGGTGGACGAGATGGTATCGATGGGCTAGGAGCACCCGCAGCAATAGGCAGGGGAAGTATGCGCGATGCCATGCGCATGTAGAGGTCGTAGTCGTCTTCACCACCCGTTTAGCCCACCGTGTCATTCCGATGCGATAAACACAACTCACCCTGTACAATACCGTCCCAACCCGCTTCTAGATCTGCCCGTCGAAGATTCGTCACTTTGGTGGTGTTTCTCCACCTGACAAAGTCTGCTTCTTTCACTTGATTGATGTATTGAGTCTTGCACGCTTCGACAGTGTTGTTGAGTAGGAGCTTATCGGCTGGTGGGTTCGATAAATGCAACAATAGGCGTAACGGACGAGATTTGGACGATGAGGCGGAAGTAGATGAGGAGGCGGTGGGGTCTGAGCTCGATGCTGCAGATCGAGAGATGAAAGAATATAGCTCGATCAAATCCAATGGCCAATGCCTAGCACGACACAGATTCAGCCTCAAGCTGTATCACGGGCGGGCCCAAGACGTACCACCTGCAAGGACCTTGAGACACAAACACCGAAGAGCCCTCCTCGACCTCCTCCTCAAACCACCAGTCTTTCTCATCTGTATCCGCCAGCTGTTGGTCGTCCAGCGCTAGTTCGACGAGGTTTTCCCGGATCTCTGGTAAGAGCAAAGGCAGATAGGAGTGGCGAGGAGCTTGCATCTGGAGACTTGTGAGCTGGGCATCCGGAGTTGATTCTATGGACTCACGTAGTATCTGTCCGATCCGGAACCGGCTCCAGGTTCACCATCCGCTAGACGAATGAATAGGTGTATGGAGGATTGCCAAGCCAATCTGCGGAATAGGTTGGTCGAGGACTGAGCGGAATGGGTAGACATTGCGAACGCAGCAAGAGATGATCGAAACGAGAACGTATCAAGGTGTGCTTGGCCTAGGCGTCTCTCACGCTCCTCGAGTTCCCTGCTGAATAGATTATTGTTCAGAGGTAAAAGGTCTAAACGCGAGACCCGCGTCATTTCGTCGCTTTACAAAATCGACCAATCGACCACTACCCGGCCTGCTCGTCATGCCATGAGATTCAATCTAGTCTGGTCCTTGCGACCAGCTCCAAAGGATCAGAAGGTCAGTGCATCGTTATGGGTGTTTCCCATCTTGGCGGCGCTCATCTCGCTGGTGACTTACCGGCAATATGCTGTTGACCAAAAGGATTCGGGAGCCTGGGGCTGCGAAATGAGCTGGATGACGCCTTCGTATAGACTTATCGATACGTCAGATAGCCCTGTATCAAGGTACAAGCTCTATCTCTATAGAGAAGCGCAATGGGATGATCACGAGGTGAGCGATTAAACGCCGCTCCCAGCTGAAGCACCCAGCCCACTGGATCGCCGGTCATCTTCGTACCCGGGAACGCTGGCTCATATGCGCAAGTGAGGTCCATCGCCTCATCAGCCTCTAGGCAGTACCATGAGCATCCTGGACAGATCGCTCAAGGTATGCAGCATGTGCGAGGCCGCGACTTCTTCACTGGTCAGCCCCTGTCTTCTTTGCTGGCACATGTTTTCTAATACCCTCGCAGTTGACTACAACGAAGAATTTTCCGCTTTCCACGGTCCCACGGTCAGGGATCAAGCCCACTACTTGGCCTATGCTGTTCGAAAGGTCCTCGAGCTGTACCGCGACCATAGTGGTCCGAGTCAAGTCACCTTGCTAGGGCATTCTATGGGTGGCATAGTAGCTCGACTGGCGGCCATAGAGGTGTCAGACCTGGTCGATGTGATTTTCACCATGTCAACGCCACATCTGTATCCACCAGTGGCCCTTGAATGGTCCATGGAATCGATCTACAACACCATCAATTCGCAATCACACCACGGGTCAGGTCCAGTCCTGTTGTCCATCTGTGGAGGTGTCTCGGACACTCAGATCGTCTCGGATGCCTGTAGCCTGACGCATGATCTAGTCGGTAAAGATGGTGGCTTCGCTGTCTTTACGACGGGTATACCCGGTGCTTGGACCGGTGTCGACCATCAGGCGATGGTGTGGTGCCATCAGGTCCGCTGGCGTGTGGCTAGGGTACTCTTGGAGATGACACAGTTTCAGTCCCGTGCCGACAAGCTCAACGTGGCTCGTTCATGGTTATGGCAAGACAACCCTCCGCCCGTTCATCTGAACGGTGACGATGACCCGTCCATCGATCGACGTCCTCGAGATATGACGGTGCTGGTCAGAAGAGTCTCAGCAGATCCTGAGACTCGACGACCCCCCATCTCAATCGAAGCTTGCGATTACAGTAATCGATGCGAACTGGTTCGCTTCGAAGAAATGACTTCATTCCCCGCACCGATGGAGCCGGATACCCCTTTTCCTCTACCTGGTGAAGGTGTCAAGGCTTTGGACATTGCATATGCGATGAGCTTCAGGATGCCAGACGATGCGATAGAGATCAAGAGTCATGGCGAACCTGGGCCTGAAGTGACCATCGGGGCTCACGTGTCGATCGCCGTCCACGGTCGACGATACGGTAAGTCTTCAGATCCCATGCTGGTCTCACTGGTCCTGCCCAGATTCCGGGCTCAAGCGTGATCCCACGCATCTGACCCTGCGGTTCCCATCCATCTCTCTCACGTCACTCGAGGTTTTTCAACTCGACGTGGAACTCGGTCACTGTAAAGGTAGGTCTAGCTGCAGGTCCGTCCATCTAAAGTCGTCTTAGGACCTCGCCCTGTGATCCGTCACCGAAGCATGCCTCGTCTCGACGTTGAAAATACAACGTCCGAGTCCAGGTTCTTCCCCCTGAACTCCCAATCGGTCCAGGTTCACTCGCACATAGGCGATGCCCCATTTCTCAGCAGCTCTGGACAGTCCCGAGGTCTCATATTGGATGTGTACCAGGATCCCTCTTGTCCCGTAAAAAGGATCAACGTGTCTACACTCTACCTGCGCACTTTGGCCAAAGCAGTGCTGAGATACCGCATGATGCCAATCGCCTGGTCCATTGGATGGTCCGCCCTGCTCTTCTGTCTCCAGCTGCAATTGTTTGCTCGGAACGGTAAATGCTCTTCTCGTAATGTCCCCAGCTAATGACAGGCGTCTTCCCTTCTTTTGCCGAGGTTTTATCAGAGATCAATACAGCTCGCCTGTTCGTTGGCTGTTGTTTCTTCTTCGGCCTCTCTATTCTCCAGCCACTCATAGGTCGATTCACACCTACTCATGACTGGTTGCTTGGAGTTGCGTACCCAAGTCTAGCTCCACTCAGCTCAATCTTCGCGATCATAGCCTTGGGCCTGGTGATCATATTCGCGCACTTCCTCGGCTTCAGCCGTGTCATCGTTCAGCGGTTCCAGCCGACAAAAGGCCAGAACTCGCCCGAGAAGGGTGATGAGAAGTGAGCCGAGTACTCGAGGACTCTAGTGCTTATCAATCAGGATCACACCAGACAGGTTACTGACAACGGGTACCTTGGTCTGGACAGCATCCGTTCTGGTATCGATTTACCTTTTCGTGCCACAACAGCTTGCGCTGGTAGCCTTGTATTTGATACTGGGGATCACCTATGTCTCCGAAAGACCTGTCGCCAAGGTGAGCTTCCTTGAAATCTGCACTCTCTCTCTGACTCCTCATACCTCAGTCAAGTCACAGCCAACTACTGGCATCGATCATGCTCCTACTCACTTTCATCCTCCCGTTCAACCTCGTCACTCTCGGCATATGGGCAAGAACGCTATGGCTCGATTGGCGAAGCGCATTCTCATCTGACCACAATATTCTTAGAGTCATACCACTGCTAGGTCTTGTTGAGTTGAGCTCCCGCACTCAGGAGCTACACTCTAGGCATTTGTAAGTGGCGACGTTTATTCATTTTGCTGATTTGCTTAGATTCATCCGAGTTGCTCAAGCATGTCTGCTGCTCCTCAGCCTCATTGCATTTCTCTTTGGGGGCAGGCATATGTATATTCTTCCTTACCTTGTAGATCCAGTCCTCCTATGCTTGTGGGGAATCCTCTGGCCATAGATCTATGCATAGCACACACAACGCCACCAGGGATCGCCATTCCTCACCCGCCACGCGACTGACTTTTCTTATTCGTTTCCCACGGTGGATATCGCCGAAAAAACAGTCACCAAAACAACCCTCAATATGAATCAATCAACCCTCGTCCTATGGTCTTATATACATCTCAGTATCATATCTCAACTCGCACTGGGTCGACGCTCACTTTGGACTAGCTCTCGGAGCCCGGAGCTCTGCCCCTAGTGACCCGTTAAGCAGACTTTTCGGATCCATGACGCCGCAAAACTCACTCGCACCATGCCGACATTTCCCTCACCATACAAACAGTCTGGAGGCACGCCCGGCGGTCGACAGTCAGGGTCCCCTATTCCTCCACCTCCTCCTCCCAAACCCATCGACCTGAACAGTTCCACAAGATCGACCGACAAGGAGACGGGCAGCAAGATAACCAGGAGAGCCTTTTTATGCGATTTGGTGGTCGAACATGAAGGGGAAGGTGAAGGGGGTATATCAAGGACAGACGCTGATACCAAATCAGAAACGGCAAATCTCTTGCCATATCTTGGCGAGTCTCTGGCGACGCCTTCTCTAATTGCTGGACCATCCCGTACGAATACGCCTTCGAAACGGTCGACAAATCTGAACGAAAATGAGCCCACTGCGCCGTGGTCAAAGGAGAAGCAATTGGAGATGTCCACAAGGCTGAAGAACCTCATCGAGGAGCTAGTGAGGACGGAGCGGAGCTATCTATCGCGGATTGAGGCGCTCAAGAAGGTTTGGTAGCGCCGAGACTTCACACTGACGATCTCAGAGCTATGCAGATCCGCTGCGCAATTTTGCGAGACAGGAGTATAGCAAGATCATCCCCATGTACGAAGCCAAGACCCTTTTCAACAATATAGATGCAATCATCCTCGCATCCATTGCTTTTACTAAGGATCTCGAAGCCATGTTCGCAGCTGGAGAGGGTCCGGATCAGGTTGGGACGATCTGTCTGCATCATGTGAGACGCACATGATGATGCAATGCGGCTGATTCTTGGGCTAGCTCAGAGAATTGAAGACGTTCGAGCCATATCGCTCATATCTCAGCAAACAGGATGAATCACAAAGGATGTTCCAGGATGTGCTCAAGAAGTACAGTAGCTTCAATTCGTTCATCGAGGTGAGCCGGTGACTGAAATGATAGCCCCCAGCTGATCGGCATTCAAAAGCGGACGAAATACCAGACAACAGGCATAGGAAATATCGGCTTGCGAGAATTGCTCATGGAGCCTGTACAGCGCATACCACGGTACACCCTTCTTTGGCAAAGTGAGATCCGAGTCCAAAGGGCTGAGCTAAACAGTGCAGCCATGGTGAAGTGCCTGCCAGCCTTCTCCGAGCAGAAATCGAAATTGTTAGAGAGCATAGAGATCGCCTCGAGGATCGCCCGATGCGAGCCCGATCCTCAGACGGTTCGAGCTACAGTGATGTACTGTCTGGAGAGGAATGTGGATGGCTTTCCAGTGAGTTCCAGTCGTGTCGTGAAGACAGATCGCTCAGTCGCTCCACAGGCAAATCTATTCTCCAGTAATCGAGATTACCTTGACTCCATCGATGTGGATGACGTCCCGCATGAGCCCCAGCAGGCTACATCTCCGGGGTCTCGTCGGCTTTCTTCTATAACTTCGCCATCCACATCAACTCCCTCTCTTGTATCACTTGGATCCGGGAGCTCGAGTGCTCACCTCCCAGTGTCCCCAAATAACCTGCCAAATGCGCCATCCATACCTTGCACGTTGTTCCTATTCGATGACAAGATCATGGTCGTGAAACGGCAAGCGAGTGCTCTCAGTGGAAGGAAAATCACGGGACTGGATGACGTGCAAGCTTTGGTGCGCAGTGGTGGGGGCGTAGCGGTGCTAGACAAGCAGACTGCCAAAAAGGACAAGCTCAGCTTTCGAGGCATAGTGGACGTATCGGATGTCGTGGCGGTCGACGCGGGAAGCGGGGGTGAGTTGGAAGTCCTTGATACGTCACTGAAGCCTGGGTAGACTTTCAACTCTTCTTGGAACGTCCGCCAGTGGGCTTTGGTGAAAAATGGTCCGGCCGACCCCTCAGACTGTACTCAACCGTTCAACCCCCCTTTGGGGTTGGCCTGGATCCAGTCGCTTGCCGTCAGGACAAGCTGAGATTTCTGGAGAACCTCTGGTCTGCTCAGGCCAGAGCGAGAACGAAAGTGTTACCCTCCGATTCCGATGCGAAGGCGCCGTCGCAGATATTGGCCCAAAAGGGAGAGACTGGTCTCGACAACGCTGGCGAGCCTTTCAGCCGCGCCAGGCTGTACTGGAATGTATGGAAGAGAAGAGACTGGATCATGTCGAAAAAGGTGAGACTGGCCTCCTGTCTCTCCAGATACGCGTTTTACTGACGTCGTCTTCCAGGCACGAGTTGTGGTGCACATTGATGAGGGAAGTGAATCTGCAGATCTTCCACTGTCAAACGACATGAACCCGCTCTTGGCCATTCGCCTTCAGCCGCTTCCGGGTGGACTATGTCGCATGTCCGTCTCCACTGCTGAGGATGAGGAGACAGATCGCTTGATGGTATCCATGCAAGATGTCATGGGTCATATGGCCACCATCAGTGAGTGCAACTCGTACGGGAAGCTTGTGCTAAGTGAAAAAGTCCATCAATACGGGATCTTCAAGATACGTGCAGCCAATGCGTCAGCGCCCACCACCCCCGGAGGAAGCGCTCAACGATTCCGTCCCTCTCTACTCAACCTCGACACCATTTCCCGCAACCTGTTCGGCGGCAACAATCCTCCTGGACGAAGCCAGAGCTCTCATTCCGATCACTTTGGAACCAGCAGCTCCAGGCGATCCAAATCCGTCATGAGTCGATCATCCACGCAGAGCAGTGGCGCTCACCGACACACGCAGAGCCTTGGCTCAGCCCTGGGTAGCGATGGTCTGCCCTTGAAGCGGACCCCCAGCAGTCAATCGCAGACCTCTCAGAGTCGCCTGGGTGCACCATATGGCAGCAATGACCCAAGTCTTGGTCAGAGCGAGATTGACCTCAACGAGCGTCTGAATCTTGCTCGCAAGAACAGCAAGTCGATGGCAGCCCTGAGTCCCAAACCTTCGCTCCGACTTGCAGCGAAGAGTGTTGGCGAATTGAGACACCGTCACGATCAGACACAGGATCTCAAAAGGCGGCATAGCAGCAACCTGGACAGGGCTATCGAAGCGGAGAGTGCCCTTCGAGAGGCCATACGTTCGGGATCGCCATCTCCTCTATCCCCATCGTCAGGTCCGCAGACCCCTCTCTCTCCCACTGCTCCTCTCCGAACACGCAAGACGCCATCGCCAAGTCGGGCTCTGTCAGAGGACACACCGAAGCCAAAGCGAGTCGTCGACGGCTTGTTCGAGTCGACCCCGACCCTTGACGCAATCATCGCTGCCACCGTCATGTCTCCCCAAGCATCTGGGCAAGGAACCAGCGGTCATATTCGAAGTGCAGCTACGCACGAACACATCTCCTCTGCTTCAGTATCTAGCCACCTCCGCAGTCCAGAATCGTATGAACCGATCAGAAGCCCGCCACTCGATCGTATGACGAGTCCGCCTCCCAGACCAGCCTCCATCCCGATACCGGCATCGCCGAGACCCATGGGTCCTCGATCACCGACAATGCGAAATACCCCTGCTGTCTACCCGGGTCTCGGCTCGGGTCACACATCATTGCGTGTAGTGTCAGGTAATGGTCGCAAGGTCACTCCTGGACGGACGACATTACCGCTTAAAGAAGACGATTCGCCCCTTCGTGGTCGGACTGTGTCGGGCACATCGGTCAAACGACAACACTCTGCTGACCAGATGTCACCACGGAAGCGCAGCCCATCAAAGAGTCCACTTGATCACGCCGACCGCGTCGATATCGTACCCGATCCTCTGCCTGTACCTCCCCTTTCGGCAAAGAAGAGCGTCAGCCGGAAGACGCCTACTCGGAACGACTCTCGCCGCTCAAGTGGACCTCTGACGCCTATGAGGCGAGTCTCGTCCGCAGGGTCTGGCAGTATTACTTCGCAGAAACTGAATCCGAATAACGAGGTCACTGCCGAGCATCCGCATGCCCCAGCTGCTGTCGATGCGACACGCCGAAATGTAAGTTGATTGTTCTTCACTGCCAGACTGACCCATTCAGATCCACGATGCTCGTGCTGCAAGCAAGAAGTTGCGAGCGGAGATCCACACGTTGAGGAAGATGCTTCGGAATGATCCCATGACACCGATTCCTACCTGGGTAGCGGATCGAAACGCATCATTGCCGAGATCGCCACACCGACGTAACATCCAGGCAAGTCTCCTCTGTGCTCGGCCATCTCTGACGTTGCAGCGACTGGCAGACAAGTCTCATCTTGCTGATGCCGAGAACACTCCCGAACTGAACCGCCATGAACTTGACGAGATAGCTCAGAGCATCTCCTCGCTTGCCCATCGCCTGGAAGATGTGTTGAAAGTTGCGTCAAATGACGGGGAACAGGCTTCAAGCCTTGTCGGGAGACTTTTGCATGACAACACCCAAATGTTCCGAGACATTGAAATTCTCCGGGCACAAGTGACGCGGAAAAAGGAGACGTGTGATCAGCTCAAGGCGCAGCTGGCGGATGCACAGGTTGAGGTGGATGTAATCTACGAGGTGAGTAATTGCATGTGAATTGATCCCTAGACACCGCGCGCTGAAGCTTCACGCTTAGGCGTTCAATACTGAGCTCGATGGGATGTTCAACGACGTGTCACTGCCATCGACCGAGGCGTTTGAAGCGATGCGCTTAGATCTTCAGGATACAAAGGCGAGACGGAATGAGCTGGCCTTGGAGAACATGAAGTTGAAGCGGGAGCTTGAGGAAGCCAAGCTGAAGCGAGACCAGTAAGTTGACCAATACTCAAAGAGATAATGTTGACCTTCCGGCAAGATGGGCGAGGATGTTGAAGCAGCAGGGAGTCTTGCCTTGATGGCGATGAAGGCGGCGTATTTTGTTAATCATCCAATATCATGTAAGATTGTGCTCTCTTTGTACATATATACACTCCTACAGCATATAGGCGAATGGGGTGGGTGCCTTGTCACGTTGTGCATACCCCCTCCCCATATGCATGCCTTTTTTTTCGTGGTTGATCTGACTACGCTTTGCACTGTTTGTGCTTTATTTCCCCTGAAGCAAGAACGAGGAGTGACTCTTGCTCGTCTGCTGCTCCCATCAGCCCTTTACCACAAGTTGAGCACGATCCAAAAGCTGGTCTCCAGCCCATCTGTCGCTTCTTCGTAGCTTCCTTGACACTCCAGAACAAATCTTCTTCGACGATTCTCGTCGTCATGCTCAACATTTCCCCCTCGGATCGATAAGAGTCGAGCATACCGGTCAAGATTGTCCTGAATTCCGAGTAGGCTCTACCTTTTTGTGTGCTCGATCCAGTCGAGCTCTCATCGACCAATCGCTTAAACATGCGAGGGAAAGACAAGGTCGTGGTGGAAGAGGAAGCGACCAGGCTCTGTAATGTATATTGGACGAGGGATCTGAGATTATCCATGACCATTTGACCGTCGGGATTCTTCTCACTTTCTTCCTCCAAAGACAGGGAGATGACCGCTCCGACCGAATGGACCACCTCCATCACGCCATGTAAGACTGCGAACCATAAATCTTCAGATTGAGCAGCAGACGACTTGTTGTCGTCGTTGGAATGTTCTTGACAAAGTCGAACAGCCATGTGAGAGACGCTGTTCAGTGTCTGCAGGATCAGGTGAACGTCGCCCATCTCACGATCTATGACAGCTTGACCGAGGTCGACCGCTCGGGACTGTAGGACAGTCTCGGTGACTGTGAATGCGGCGCGCGAGTCACCCATCTTGTCCAGAGCCCACAGTTGTCCCTCGACATGGTCGGCTTTTCGACATTGCTCGGCCAGAGCACCGAGATCAAAGAATGCCGGTCCACGACGATCAAGAAAGGCAATAACAGCCGACGAGTCGTACCTTGTGAGCAGGGAAACGTAAAGCAACCGCATCGAGCTGTCTAGATTCGTCGAAGGGCCATCCAGGTGCATCCCGTCGAATCCTTCCTGCTCTTCCTCCTCCTCCCCCTCAGTTGCTCGATCAAGAAGAGACCGCAGGTATGCCATCTTCTTGAGATCCGAAGTGATAGTTTCAGTTGCTTGGACGTGTAAAATTGGAAAGTGCTTGTCCAGCAGTAAAGCAGTCTGACGCACGTTGAGATCGACCAAGTGGGATAAAACTGTCTCGATACCAGATCGAACCTCTGTCATACCTTGAACGTCCAACTTGAGCTCATCGAATAGCCGGTCGAGATCGGAGAACAAGCATTTGTCCAACTCTGGATCATTGACATGGGCCAGGACGAGCAATCGCCACTTGCCTTCTGAGCGGTACATGGACCGAAGGATGCGATAGAAGCCGGCATGCTCGAACAAAGCATAGATCTCCTCGATATGGTCCGGTGTATAGGTAGATAACAGGTATTCCGTGGCCAATTGACGATCCTCCAAATTACTAAGATCGGTCTCGCTTGCCAGACTGACCAGGAGCCGGCGCAACGTCGACGGCGGGATGAAAAGGAACTGAGGATACTTTGGCAGGTTCCGAGCGACAAAGATGTATAGGAGCGTAATATCTTCGTTCGCGAATCGATCAGGCTTCATGACATCGAGCATGATGTTGATGATGGCTTGTCGGCTCGTGGCAGCGGCGGTGGAGTCATTCAGGTACGGATCTTCAAAGGCGATGTCCATGGCATGCAGGAAAGCCTCTGTGTCAAATTGCAATATCAAGTCGAGATAAGGGTAAGATACGCCGTGATCCAAAGCCGGTACGAGGGTTCCTTCGTTTCCAGAGGGCCACTGGACCAATTGTCCGGAAAAGATGAAATCATACACCGACTTTCGAGCTTCTGACGCCTCCTCCAAGGGTTTCAACATCTCGCCACTGGGATACGATTGACCGCAAAGGACCATTTCCAAGTATGCAAAGAGCTTGTACGCATGCGTCGCGCCAATCTCGTCATGTGACGCTCCATGTTCTTGCCCTACGATCGCCGGTCTGGACATGCGATCGCGTTGCAAGCTTGTCATCAGCCCCAGTAGCTTGACCAACGGTGCCACAAAGTCTCGCATGGTGCGGGTATAGACGTGTATGAGAGCATCCCACAGCCCATGGGCTTCACACAAGGTCACGACTTGATTGATGTCCAGAGACGTGGGTTCGACATGCCATATGATTGCTTCTGCCGAGTCGAGATCGCCCTCCTGCTCAGCGTGCATGGACATGAGGTCCTTGAGCACAGCAGGTGGAATTGTTCTCACTTTGCCTTGAAAAATGTAGGGCTGGAGGAGTTTGAGAAAGATGTTTTGGATTCCAGCATTGGCGAAATAGTCGTATTCTTCGTCAAAGAGGAAAGCAGTGTCATTCAATGCCAACGACGTATCAATACAGGTCGATGCGAGCCCCTCGAACAAGCCTGTGAGGTCGACACCTCGACCATCGACACTGTAATGCGTATCGTCTCTCATCCGATCCTCTGAGAAAGCCCAATCAAGAGAAGATTTCAAAAGCTCTCTGATGCGGGACCCAATCAGATCTCTGCGTTCCTCGCGATCATGCGGCAATGTGATCGTGTTCCCCGGCGGCCGATCTTCATAGTATGCCAGAGCGATCTGAATAGCGTCGAGGAAATCCCCCTGATGTACTCTATAGAGTATACGGTCGTTCCATTTGAGTAGACTCGCCACTTCCACGGCATCACGGGTCTAGTGAGCACGTGTCAGCGCGCGGCAATTTGAACGGGCAAACTGAGGCCTTGGCTCGCTCACGAGTATGAAGAGTTTGCCTCTGAACATCCGCACACTCGCTGCCACCGGTCTTGAGTATCCCGGCAGAGGGGTGCCATCGTTGAGGGATTCGTAAAACGAATTGGACATCAAAACATGTGTTTTCCTCGGTTGCCATTCGACCAGCGTCATGGTTCGCGCATCTAGAAGGATGATCGAGTCAAAAGTAACGAGTACGAGATGATGCTCGTCGTACCACTGCAAAGCAACTATGGGTCCAGTGGCTTGATAGGTCAGTCCTTCGGTGAACTCGGGTTCAGCTTCCGCCTTGACTGTCTTCGTCTTGGATACTCGCGTGACGATCTTGATGCGCAATAGCCTCAGAGTCCACCCCCAGGAATACGCCAATACTTTGTCGGGTCCCTGACCAATACACCACTCTGCGCAGCCTCTCAAACCACCATATGTACCGCCGTCGTCTGTCCGCATCTTTCTGTACCACGTTCGGGCCTTGGGCTTCATACCCACAATGACCAATTTTGCAGGTGTCTGCAGGACGGTAAAGTTGAATTCGTCTGAAGGGTCAGGTGCGGATCCCAATGGTAGCGGTCGAACAGCGAACAAGGTTGTTTGCTTTTTGGCTTTTGTGGTGACGACCGATCCATTCGTCTCAGATGATGCTGGTGGGTTCCCCGGATAACTCCCCAGCATTCTCACCACATCATTGCTCTCCACACCGATTACTTTGCCCAGACTCCACCAGAAAGCTCTTCCGTGCTCATCTCCAGTGACGATGGATGTGTGTCTTGCCCCGACGAATCCAATGTGAAGGATGGGACTGCCTTGCAGGTGGCCTTCCTTTTGGCCCGAGAGAACTTGGGTCAAGGTGAGGCCAAGCGTCGTCCGCGCAGGTTTTAAAGGGCGCGACAAATCGTAAAGATGGATGTTACCTGTAGCGTGCCCCACACCAACGTATGTGCCGTCCGGTGAGACGCAGACAGCTGTGACTGGGCCTGATGATGCAGACGCATCATTCTGCAGAACATGCTGGAGTTTCTGGTCAAAGGTGTAGACGAGCACGAGTCCTCCATCCGTTCCTACAGCAATGATGTCCCTCACATCCATGACGCTTGGTCTACCGAGAGGCAGAGGCTGACGAGGTGGATCCGGTGGTTTGGAGAGGAACGAAGTAGCTTTGCGTGCCGAGTGCGGAGGCGGGTCGACAATGCTTTTGGCATCTGGTGAGAACAGATGAGCAGAGATACCGCGAAGGGGATGAAATGGAAACGCGGAGAAATTGAACGGGCGAGGTTTGGAAGAAGAAGAAGACGGGTCAGTGGGAACGGCGGTACCGGGTGCAGCGGGGTCAGGAAGTGGAGAAGCGGTGGTAGAATCGGATTTCGCCAATGACAATTGGGAGAAATGGGATGGAAGACGAGCTTGAGCGAGGAGGGATGTAGGTCTACCAGGTACAGACTGTTCAGTGGACGTGGACGCTGTGCGGTGATGTGATCTTAAGCGGGATATGGAAGGGTCTACAGGTGGAGTCAGGTCTGAATATGAGGACTGTGACACATGCACTGACGGATGTAAGATGTTGACAAGCGCTTCAAGGACGTTGGGCGATCGGCGGGACCATCGTGGGCTCCTGCGATTGATAGTGAGGATGAGGAAGGTGTGACCGCTGATACCACCTGCATGAGGTCAGCTTGAGGGACTCTAGCAGAGGTGACATGACTAACCTTTCGCGGAAGCACTATGGAATCTGAATCGTCATATTCCAGCGTAAGATCTTGCTGTCGAGCGTTGGAAGTGGCACCCCGCTCATGATACCCATGTGTACCATTGAGAGGGCCTGAAGGGCTCACTTCGTCCACTGCGCCTTCGCCATACATGTCTCGTGTTTCTTCTTGTCGAGCAGTAAGAATTGCCCTCTCGTCCACATCCTCCTCCTCCCCATATACGTCCTCTCTGCTTCCCTCAAGTTCCCGACTACGCTGTACGTCGTGAGACCTCCAGACATCACTGGGGCCATCTTCTAGATCACTCGGCCAGGGTTGCGTACTTGCTTGACGCCATGCTGCTTCTGGAGGACGGCCAATCTGAGAATCCGAGATAGAAGGTGAGCGTCGCCAATAATCACTTGGACCAGCTTCCATTTCTGGCCATTTGGGGCTCGCAGGTCTGTCAAATGGGCCATCATCGTGGTCTTTACTCTTGCTGTCCATTTCCATCTCGAAAGGCGTCGTCTCCGAGTCGAAGCGGGCGAATGCCCTCATTCGGGACACTGAGTGTTGAGGATCAACATGCCGGATACTGTTCGAAGATCCATTCACAGATGAAAGTGGTCGAACGGGCGGACGCTGTTGCCCCCCCGTCTCGCGCTCCGTTGGCAAACTCTCCAACTCATCCCTTACCGACAGCGGATCCATGATGAACGGGCCGTCGGACGACTACGAAGCTCAACGACGCGGATCCGACATGACGAAGAGTGTGCACTCAGTTGAGGCGCGAGAACTCGTGACCACGTGGTTTGTGGCTGTGACGAGTCTGCCGAGTTGATCCCTCCTTCACCCCGCACGATGCGAACAAGAAGGCACCGATGCATATTGTGATTGTCGTTCAAGATGATTTGCTGTGATTATATGATTCCCAAGATGCCAAAGACCCAAGATGCGAGAATGGTGTGGTTCTATTATACCGACAATGCCCAAAACCATCAAGACCGATCCTATCTTCTCGACAACGTCTACGCTTTTCTACAACGGCCGCGTGCCTAAGCATTGGCCACGAAATAGTTGAAATTATAGTCCGCAGGGTTCCTGATGGGCTCCTGTCAGTTTGCGTCCCGTCTGTCCGCTCATAGGCGTGGCATGACGCGACTCACGAAGTGTACGAGAATTGTCCTGTCGAATCATAACTCTTGACGGTAGCTCCGTTTCGAGCGATAGAGGCACCGATACTTCCCGGGAGACTCGGTACGCTCAGCTTCGCCACTCCTGCGGGGGCGTTCCACATGGCCTTGTTGGATCCCGAGTAGATGGTCACGACCGCAGGTTGAGAAAGAAGCATGACGACGTATAGGTTGTCATCTGTGTTCTGCCAGTTGTTGGGTTTGGAAAGTGTCGGGGCATAAGGTTGAGCCCACTTGGAGTGAGGTCTTGACCAGAGGAAGATCTGGTCCGTGTTGATACTGGGGTAAGAACCATATTTGAATGCCGAGCTGTAGTAATTGATGAGGGGCAGGAGTGGAGCTGAGGGAGGAAGAAAGGGAATCAGCGAAACGACTTGAGCGCGAAGCGAGTATAAGCTCACTGTGAGGCATCGAGACCGACCATGGGGTGGACACTTGGCGGATGGGTCCAACGTAGTGACTCTCGCCAAAGTCTGCGGGGAGGGGGAGAAGTGTGTGTCAGCTCTTCTCTGCCCATCATCAGTTCTCAAAGAGTGGAGCTCACCATTCCAGGAGATGATTTCCGCGAAATCCACCTGGTTCCTCATTTGAACGATCTGTTCGAATCTCCTGGCCAGGAGCCAATCGTCGGAACGGTAGATCCAATCCTTGTTGTAGCTGTTCGGTCCATAGTAGGTGAAGAAGAATGGAGAGATGGCCGGCATGTACGCTTTACCGCCGAGATCACCCATGTATTGATTATCGCTCGACGTGTCGAGAGGCGAGTCGCCCATTGGCCATCCGGAATTCCAATTCAACTCGCCATTCATCCAATTGAATCCACTGTATTGGGACGGATCGACAAAGATGGAAGGGACAAAGAAGCCCTGAACTCCCTTGTTGCTCAACAATTGATCAAAGTAGTTGAACCCATCGTTGAAGTTGTCTTGACCAAAGTTGCAGCCTGATCCAGAGAATGAAGCGTACATGGGTTTCCCATTGTACGTTGCTTGAGCATTGTTATAAGCATATTTCTGGACGAGGGATGTCAAAAAGTCGGCATCCGATGCACCACTACATGAATTGGCAGAAAAGTCGATCGATCTAAAGAGGAGGTATCTTAGGAATGCAACAGCAGAGAACGTGCTGACTTACAGGAACAGCTTGAAGTTGCCTCCTAGTTGATTGGCAGCGGCATACGCATTGTCCATCTGTGTGAATTCCCAGTAGAGATTTCCAAAGTTGAGTGCGAATCCATCGATACCAGCGGCGGAGGCTTGACTCATGTCATTCATCCAATCGCTGACGGAATAGCTGTAGGTCTGGAAAGGAGTCAATGACAGTCCAGACGTCACGCGCGCTCACGTTTCCGACAATGTGGTGCACATAGAGTGATTTTTGACTGTTGCTTCCGGGTGGGTTGGCCACGCCGAAAACGCTGTTGGCACCGGCTGGGTTCGCAGGCAGTGGAGAAGGTGAGGGCGTGGATGTGGTCGTCGTGGTAGTGGTGGTCGTAGGAGTAGACCTTGTGGTCGTAGTGGTGGTGGTGGTAGGAGATGGAGTTTTGGTTGTCGTCGTCGTTGGGACAGTCTTGGTAGTAGTGGTGGTTGTAGACGTCGTCTTAATGGTGGTGGTAGAAGAAGAAGTCTTGGTGGTAGAAGAAGAAGAAGTCTTGATTGTGCTTGAAGACGACGACGACTTGGCGCTGGAAGAGGTGGAGACCTTGCTTTGCTTGTACACTTGGTGGAAATAGACTCGATCAGACTCTTTCTCCCTCAATGACAGATCGCTGTAACCTACAGGATAATCGCCAAGGACCTCCACATATTTCATTAGCATTACCCCCGCAGGCTGCATTGCATCCTGCTGCACTGGTACCGAGTCCTTGCGGTATTGAGTTTCCGCACTGGATAGGAGAAATAGGCAGAGATCATCAGCTTGCGTTACGAGGTCTGAATGGATCCAGAGTGAACATACCCAGCACTGGCTAGAATCTGAGAGGACAGACAGGGATCAGCCATGTTGTATAGGTGGTTCGACAGCTCTTCTGTCTTCCCCGACTCACCCTCTGTTCCGGCATAGGTGAAACCTTTCTGTGCACAATATGTAAGGCAATACTCTGTGGTCATTGATTTTGTAGTCTTGAAGCTTTCACTCAGAACCCGAGTATGGGCATCGACCACGCAGCCGAGACTTGTCCATCCTGCCACCAGACCCCGTTTCTCAATGTTCGAGTCCTCGATCTCGGACGACGACGGGGGATGGAAGGGGAAAGCGATGGCTGGACCAGATAATGCCAGGTAGGCAAGGAGAGTGAACAGTGATCGTCCGATCATCATGGATCAGTATTTGAACACCTGAATCACTTGGTCGATGGGAGCCGGGGGGATGCGATGAGATGATACGAAGAACCGTAAAAGATATATCTCTTTTATGATCGTTTGTTTTTTTATGGCCCCCTCTTGTCCGTACCTGCGGTGCTGAAAATAGTTTCTGGACCATATAGCATGGCATTCCCAACGGCAGGAACGCCCCTCCACCCCTCCCCTCCTCCTCCTCCTCCTCTTCCTCCCGGACAGAGTTCAGTGGTATTACAGAGACTACCACAATGAATGGGGTACGTAACCTTGGAAGTGATCTGCGCCTCGCGTAAGTGTATGATCTCCGTGCCTGAGTAGTACGTAACAAAGGAAGAAGAGAGCTCTTCCATGAGCCCCCAAAATTGCCCGCTGTGGCGCATCCAAAGAAATTTTCTCTTCTTTCAACGCTATAGGCAAGACATTCTATTCTCTCCACCTCCCTCCACTCTCTTCGTCTCAGGGGATGCATTCCAGACTCATGCAGAGCGCGCCGTCTTCTCCGAACTATATGGTAGCTCCCCCCAAAAGGGATTCAACCCAAACGCCAGGAACAGGCACACGATGGCTCGTAAGACGAGAGGAAGAGTGAGTGAGTGAGTGGACCCATACAGGGGCGGGACCTGGCAGCGGAAGGATCCGAACAGGGGAATGAGTGAGTGAGTGAGTCGCCGCAGCTGTGGCCTGAGAAGAGTGGAGGCTCGCGCTAAGGATTTCGAACAAAAAGCTTTTTCTGGAACCGAAGAAATATGGTATGCGCCAGTCAAAAAGTGGCATGAAGGGCGGCTGGTCTGCCGGGTCCGGCTGACATCTCGTAAAGACGGGAACAACACATACGGATGGGATCCAATGGGATGGCGAAACCAGGGGCTTTGACTGGAGAGACGAGGCGGGGGGCGAGCAGACAGCGTAGAGCGTCCGGGAAATTTCGGTCAATGCACCGAAGCGTCCAGCCGAGCAACGCCATGCATATAATGATATACACGTGACCATTGATTATGGTTATGCTTTCACCTGTAACAACATTATTATCTCCGTCCGGTCCAACATGGTGGCGATATCCAATGGCGTTTGTCCGTCTTCATCCTATCATGCAACGCCACTAGAGTCAGCACATGGGCGTGTGGCTGGTCAGGGGGGTAGAGGGGGGGGGGGGGGGTGTTACTACTGACTTGGACGCTCAGATCAGCATGACGCATTAAGAGGAACTCGACAATGGCGATATATCCGCGATCCACGGCTAAATGGAGTGCCGTGTTGCCCTGATGATTTTCAGCCCACAGCCAGCTTCACCTTGCCACACCACTCACTGTGTCGTCTTTCACATCGATGAGTTCCGGAGATTGATCTAACAATGCTTTGATCGTATCGAGGTCGTTGGTCAATACAGCCTCGTGAAGTGGATACAGATCACTGGGCCGACCGTTAGCCCTCCGCCATTTCTCTCTCTCTCTCCTGTTGTCTCAACTCACCGAGCTCCATCAACCTCCATCTCCTCGCGCGACATCATACTGACCCCTGTTCCCATGCCAGTGTTGGAACTCTTGCCTCTGACTTCGCCCGTTGAGGTAGAGGATCGTTTCCCAGCATGATCTTCTTCATCTTCCGAATCCAGATGCTCTAGATCCTCATCATTGTCCTCGTCCACAGGCACATGCCCATCCCATCCGACTTCTCGCGCTATGCTCATATACCTTTCTTGGGCTTTGGCAACTCCCTCCAAGCCTTCTACAGAGTATCTGGCATGCTGAACGACCCAGGCATCATACTTCGCTCGAGGGGCAGGTGAAAATAGAGATGGGCGAGATCCAGCTCTATATAAGCCATTTCATCATCAGTTCTAAAGTCCAGGCCGGCCTCACGTTCCATCTCACGGTCCAATTCCAGATTGAATATACTTGAACAAGCCGTACAACTAGCCATAAACGTATCAGCGACCATCGCCATGAATATTGATTTTTCATAGTTGCCCAACCTCTAACTTTCGCTCATTTGGCAGATGGGCAGCTGCTGGAGTGCCCGAAAGCCATTCTGAAGCCGCTTTGAACGCTTTCCCAATGTTGTAAGAGTCATCTCTAGTCATCAAGGGCCATAAGCCAGAGGGCTAAGCAGAGTCTGCCGTCTATACTTTCCCGCAATGATCTCAGCATCATGTTCCGCGTCAACACATGAAACCCGAGACTTTATTCAATCCCCCTGATAAAGTCAACCTCCACTCTGACTGGTAACCCGAAGCAGAGGCTGTGCACTGTCTCTTTGCTGCTTGCATCTCAGTATCCAGAGTACTGCAAAGATGGACGCAGGACCTTCCAAATCTTCGACTCAGCCTGAGCCAGTGGACAGCTTGATCAGCTCCGAGTCTGGCTCAGGGTTGAACATCAGCTTGTGAGGACAAGGCAGGATCCCCTCGTTGCTGACTGGTTAGGCATCCATTACCCATCCTCAACATTTCAGACCATTACACCCGAGCGCGTTTAACGTCTCCGGACCACCCAGAGAAGCGTGAGATCCGGAGTGTGGAAATGTCATGAATATGACTGACTCGTCCCTCTCTCTCCTCTCTCTCAAAAAAGTCATCGGAGCTCTGCTTGGTACTCAGTCCAACCGAGATGTATCCATCTCTAATTCGTTCGAACTGGTGTACCAGATGGAACATGGAGCTGCCGGTGGTGATGTAGATATGTCTGAAGGAGCGAATCGATCACCCAATAAGGGCAGCAATCTGAACATAGACTTTTTGACTCGACGAGGGGATGATTGTGAGTGAGCTCAACATCCTCCCTGCGATTAGAATAGCTCAATATATCGGCCAGTCAAAGAGGTCTTTCCGACATTGGACATAGTCGGATGGTATACGATCGGTCAGACGCCCACAGCGGATCATGCTAGACTCCATCGACAGGTCAGCTCGCTCATCTCACATCGAGATCACAGACTGAAGCTTTGCATAGTTCCTAGAGAAAGTTGATAGCCCCCTCTTTCTCCTCTTTGACCCCTCTCAACTTGGCGACGGTCTCCCCTTTTCAGTCTACGAAGCCTCATTCGCCGACACATCTTCCTCGTCCACTTTCACAGCGGCCGGAACCAAGTTTATCAAATTAGATTACGCGATTGAGACTGGAGAAGCTGAACGGATCGCCGTGGATGGTATCTCGAGAGGGGATGCAGGGGCCCAAGGTGATGAGAGTGGCGGTGAGTGTACAAGTTGTGCCTCAAGGACGTGCCGACTGAGTACGGCGTGATGCGTAGTCGTTGGCAATCTCACGACACTCCGAAATGCTATTGGCATGCTGCATGAAAGGATCTCAATCCTGACAGCTTACATCACTGGTGTTATCAATAGTGAGTTGACCGCACGGTGTACGAGAAAGGGGCTACCATGCTGATATATCTACAAGAAACGGCCGAACCAGATCAGAGCATTCTTCGGCAGCTGTCTTCTCTGGTATCGTCTTTACCGACCATTGACTCTGTAGGGTTTCAAGAGGAGTTTATGACTGTACGTTGTGACCGTCATCGCTTGAGCTACCTTATTGTCGATCTGATCTCCTCATGCAGGAATACAGCGATGTTCAATTGGCCAAATACCTATCAAGCTTGACAAAACAACTCGACGCCCTGGCTGATGTAAGTCGTTTCACGATCATTTCGCGATCTCTCTGCTGATGCGTGCTCGCTCTGCAGTACGCTGAGAAGCACAGTATCGTCTATCCTTCTCGAAACAACGCTGAAGGTTTCTACAACGGAGGCGGCGCTGGTGATCCTGCAGGCCGAGGCGGACCTGCTAGAGTCATGGGTGGGTTTGACATTCCTGGATCTTCAGGTGGTCCAAGATCGCGAAGGAGAGGATGAGGCAGCAGAACGGTATGCCATAATTATGGGCGAGGCCTCAGGGGCCCAAAAGCAGGTTTGTAGCATACTTTTCTCATTCATCCCGGCATGTATCATACTCACTGCTGATGTTGTACTGACTGATGCAGTAGCCCGGTGACATGGATCACTTCGTCTCGGCAGTCTCTTGTGGCATCATCACGGGGGGAGCTGATAGTCAAGCAATCACCGTCGCAGCATTCCAACCAAGCGTCAGTTTCAAGGACCTTCTGGTGAAAGGACTGTGTAGCTCTGACAAGTGTCACATTACCAAAGGGTGGTGTCCAAAGGGGGCTCGCAATAAATCTTGGACGGACAAGCCACTCTCACAGACTCAAGGACCCATTCACTGCATTGAATCCTCAAACCCTTGTTCATGAAAGCCAACTTTACTTCACCAGCGCTGATCTGCGAGACAACTCACGCCGAGGGCTGAACATGGGGCTATCGCTGGAGCTTACAGTATCGTGAGATCTTTCACAAGCTCATCTCCAAAACCCTTGAGAATCAACATCCCGTGTCGGTCGGAAGCCTTAAGAGGATAGACATGCTGGTCATTCGCCTCTCTCACGCTCTTTCATCCCTCTCGTTCCTTGTCGTCGCCTTGGGAAACATCCACCGTCCACCAGCTCGAGGATTCCGTGCTCATGATATTGTCAAACGACAGGCCAATGGGCACTACATCGGTGGCGTACTGCTCGACGTGTCCTTTGGTTCCGGATATTCAACTGCCTCGACACCTAGTCTGACTTCCTCCTCCTCAGGACGAGCCAGGGGTCCCTTACGTGCCGGCTTCTTGGATTGGAACCTCGTAGCCATCTCCACATCCTCTGCACCCGATCAAACATCTTCGGTCGCCATTTCATCCTCAATATCCAGTCATGCCAGCTCTCCCATCCCGACACATTCTTCCACCGCGTCAATCACGTCTATCCGACCACCTCAGGTCATCCACTTGATCGAAGTAGGATCAGGAGTAGCAGGCGGAAATCAAGCGACTTACACTTCAAATGCACCGCCATCGACCACCGTACAAAGTCAGCATGTCCCAGATCTAGATCCAGATCCAAATCCAAATCCTCATCCACAGTCTCAAGCTCCTCTCTCCGCCGAAACGAGCAGCACGAGTGTCGCCGATGGAGTTCCTGTACCGGGTCCGACGTACTCCGGGACCTCGGGTGATCAAGCGGGCTGGGTCAGAGCTCATAATGCTTATCGGAGTCAATATCAAGCTCCAGCCTTGACATGGAGTGACGATATGATGTGGAAGGCGAAAGGTAACGCAGAGTTGTGTACTTATGGGCATACGTGAGTGTCCAGGCGGAAGGTAGCGTAGCGTAGCGCAGCGCAATCCCAGGACAGCCCTCAGAATCTTCGACCCTCCAGCGATTTCCCCCCGCCTTTGCGTCCTCAACGGTTTCTTCCAACGAATGTGCTTTGATGCTAATGTCTACGACTAGCAACACTGGCGAGAACATTGCTTGGGGACCCGATATGGGCCCTGATAAAGTCATTGATATGTGGATGAGCGAGGCTCGTGAGTCGTACCGGAGCCAATCTGGCGCCTCGACTTCGACCTCGACCTCGACCTCGATGTGGAATGACGGGCTGATCTGTTCCTTTCCCTATATAGCATTGTATGATTGGTCGCATCCAGGGTATCAAGGTGAATACGGGAGTCAGCGCACGAAAACACATCGCGTCGTCACCAATCTTTCACCGGTTCTCAAACCTATACTGATACGTTTTACTCGTCCCTCCCTCAGATCCCGCAGGTCACTTTACTCAAGTCATTTGGGTCGATTCGCTCAGAGTAGGTTGTTACATTGTCAACTGTCCGGTGGGTCTGCTCTCTCCGCAAAATCATGTATACAAAAGCCATCTCACTGCCTGCCCGCCCGCCTCCCTCTCGCTCACCCCTCCTCTTGCCCACACAGGACGGAGGTCAACAAGCGACGTGCGAGTACGATCCCATCGTAGGTATCGGTGCCACACTCTCCGGGGATGCCTCACACACATGCTGATACTACATGGCTCGTGGCACTACAGGGCAACTACGTCAACGCAGGTATGTCGATGAGCATGAACTTCGCTACGCCTGGGCCGGCAGCACACCCATACTGACGACACATTCCCCACAGGCATGTTTCAAGCCAACGTCAAGCCGAAGACATAATACACATCGGCTTCCGTTTGACCCTGAGAAAATGCATGCTGCAGTACAATTCCTTCTACCTTCCGTATACCTCATGCTTGTCCTTCTGGAAATAATGTCTTATGCAAGGTATGTTATATTACACTCTTGTATTACAATGCTTGTTAAGTGAGTTCAAGTCTTTGCTGATATCCGGCTACCTGAGCCATCATCAGACCTATAGCACGGTGCCCTCCGGGAGCAGTTGATCTCTGGCCAGACCCAAGCCGGTCCGCATCAGATCCAGACGGGTCGAAAATGTCTCGGCGAGTAAGAAAGCAGCGAATGATCCATCTGCCCAATACGAGGCATGAGCAGTTATCATATCTGAATCATGCGTCAGCTCCTAACGTGTTCCAAGAGACGCGGGAGGGACAAACCTAGGTACTCGCTGACGCCTGCTGAAGGGAGGTAAAAGTCCAGATTCCCATGCGGGTTCAAAGCTGAAAACCTTCTTTCACCTCGAGATCCTTCCAGCTTTTCTTCTCCACTAGGACCAGACATTTCGATCCCACTGGGTAATCTGATCGCCCCTGGTCTCAGGACTTTCTTCTCGCCTGATCCTCCTCCGTTACTACTGCCCCAAGGTAAGAACCGGGAGATCGTACCCAGTCCTTCAGCTAGAGTGGCGTAGAAACCAGCAGTGACAGCAGTGATGGCTAACGGCGGACGTTGAGGCGCAGAACGATTATCGACCGCCGCGTTGAGCTTATAAGCCACCGGATCGGTAAAGTAGAATACGTTGTATATGCTGTCAATGGCCATGCAACCGAATTTTCCTGACCGATCAAGCTGTCCAAGAGCGCGTCAGATCAAGTCGTGCTCGCCAGTTGAGGGGTCTACTCACTGCCTCATCCTGTGGTGAATGCATGGTCCTTTCTCTGCCTTTTCTAGGCATCAACTGCGCTTGATCCAAGTGTAGAAAGACACCAAGTGGACTGCCACAGAGGAATAGGTTGCTAGTGTTGAACAGGAATCTATCACGAGTCTTGGTGATGACCGCTTTGGGCAGCTGTGCGAGTGGCGGCATTTTGGTAGGTTGGTTGGACAGGATATGGGCAGCGAGTGCGGAGCCAAGCTTTGAACCCGTGGATCAATACTCCTCCCTCAGTCGCCAACTCACCGAATGACCGATGATATGTACCCTCCCTCCCTTCGCCTCAAAGTCTGGATTCCGAGCTATCCAAAGACGGAACAGCTTGTTTGCTTGCAGACATACAGCCTCGATCATCTTTTGACGGTGATGGGACATGAAGAGCGGGATATCAAGCAGGACCTAGAGGAGCTCAATTCAGCAAAAGTCGAATGCCCTGCGACGCACCGCATTGGTCAGCTCTCGAACATAAGGAATCGATTTGTTGATGGTTATATCGGCCATCGTGAACCTATTGTCCATGTCATGTTTCTTGTCCTCGGCTGTTTTCTCATCATCTAGATTGAGGGAAGCACGCCACTGTACGGGTAAGACCTGACATCGCCTATCTCGGATGATGGACGCCAGAGCGGGATTTGCAGCTTGCTTCCGTATGCACTGTCTCAGTTGATTACCAGCGTAGACAAAGTTATAGGATTCGTATTGCGTCGCGAGTTGCTGACCGATACCATGAATGACGAGTAAGAGGTCCGTGCAAGGTGGGTCATCGTCGTTGCTACCGACCTAGATCGGCGATTCAGCATTGTCAATGGCGCTTATCTGTTGACTCACTACTGGTGCTGCCTCCTCTTCCGCTGCAACTGCGTGATCATGATGCCCCGTAGCCTCTCTCATATCATGAGACAAGGCTTCTCTAGCCTGTATGATCCCCTTGGACGCAGCGCTGACAATGGCTTCTGGTGAGGTTGCTTTGCCCAGTATTCCCTTCTTCAAGCTTCCAGCTGATCCGTCACGGGAGTGCGGTCTTCTCATGGCCTCTTTACCCGACTTTTGACTGCTACTCGATCCACGACGGGAGGATAGACCAGATTTCTCTTTGCCCGAGGCCGCTGCAGCGGGTCCATACCCACGGTAGATATGTGTCCCAGAAGACTTGGACAAGGAGGACCAGAAAGTCCTGGACAGATAGGTCATGGCTCCGGTCCTTATACGGTGAGTGATGATTCTGGCGGATCTGACGGATGCAACTCACGTGAGCAGACGACCCCGTTCTGCATCGTCGAACATGATGGACAGACCTGCCCCAAACCGGGACGGAAGATTCCGTTTCAGCTTGTCTTCCGCGGATTGTCCGATAGATATCGCCGTCGCCAGTTCATCCCTGTAGGAGGGCTACGAGCATGAGGTACTGACAATCAGATGTTGACATACCTGCCACGGCTGGATTTCTCTGGATGCATCAGCAAGCGATGACACTCGAGCGAACCCACTGATAGGCTTTCTCAATCTCCTCTGCCAGCTCCCAGGAGCAAGGCTTGGTCTCGTCCGTAATGAACCATGAGCCTCGGATGACCGGCACACGAGGACCAGAGTGAGCCCAGAAGACTGGATGTAGAGACAAGGTAGACAAGGAAACTTCGAAGAGCGAGTCCTAGCCGCGATGTGAGCCTGTAGTGCCTTTGGGTCTGCGAAAGCTCACCTGCGATACGGGAACACCAGAGATCAACTCCAAATCCTCATAGTCCTTTTGCGCCTTTGCCATGACCGCCTGATAGCTCTTCTCATCCTCCTTCTCCTTCGCACCCCTCTGTTCCTCCCCTGAGTACACATGCTCTATGCCCTGGTGCTCGTCCACTGAGGACGCCACGGATTGTCTCCGTTTGCGTTCCTTGTGCTCTGCAGCTTCCTTCTCCACTGCTTTTGCCTTTTCCTCAACTTTGCCAGGCGATCCTTCTCCTTCGTTCCTTCCCCAGTCAGAGATAGCTTTGGTCCGTTCCTCGGGGCTGAACTTGAGCCATGCAGCCTCTATACGGTCGGATTCCTGAGGTTGAAATGCCTTGTAGGACGTAGCAGCGGTGGTGATGGGTGTTGGAAGTAGATCCAAGTGTTGGGCTCCTGCATGAACCCATCTGTAGTCGCATTCTGGCATAGTCAGCAGAGGAGGCGATGACAAAGCCGGGTCGTCTGACCCGGGTTCTGGCATTGACAACTTTGCCGGCGGACCAGGTGAGCTCATGGTATTTTGAGAGTAACGGGGGGCTCGTCCGCGAGCAGGGGAGGGAGATACCGAGGGGTGGATGGAGGGGAAAGGGAGGAGGAGGGCTGGGAGGTTCACCTCGTAGTCTGTGTCAGTGTGATTGGCTCTGTTCTATGAAGTGCAATGTGGTAGATCTGTCAAAGAGTCGTAGATTGATTCCAGTGGATTTTTTGGGTTGCCTGTTGTCGTCAAAGTGGCAACACGTCATCGCAGAAGGAGGAAAGGAGGGGGCAACGGTGGCGTCGAAGCCGCAACCTGGGGGGTTAGGGGGGGAAGGGGGGGGGGGGGGGGGGGAGGGGATCTGGATGGATAGATGACATGCAACGTCCATCCCGCCTCGCTCATCTAGGCATACATGGACTTATTGTGAGATGGGCAGATGGTTCTATTGACTGTCCGATTGATCATCTTCGTGCCTTAGTTGGGGTTTTGGATGATAAGCTACTAGGCCGATGTTGTCCCTGCAATTGCTGGATGGGACTATAATGAGTGTATAGTATATGACTGATAACGGAGCAGTGCAGTACACGAACACTCGCACCATTATGCAACGGGTCTACACCCTGTGTATCGGGCTGAGCGAGTACTCGTGCAGTGTAGCTACCAGCAGCTGCAACAATGCCGATAATTGGCTGTCCCGTTGCTCTTTTCTCTCTTTTCTCTGGTCGTGGCTTCCCGCTTTTTTTTTGTCTCTGTTGCCTGAGGGTTGTAGAAGGGGGGGCAGAGGTTTGCAACTATCATTCTGCGATACAGCGTACCAACTTGACAGCTTCCATCTTTGTCCACTGTGCAGCAGCAGCAGTATCCTCAACCAGGCCATACATTACACACTGAGAGACGTGAAAAAGGTACACAAATACTCCCTCGCACACGTTGAAAAGGGCAGAAAAATAGCAGCACACATCGTTTAATAAAAAAAATTCACCACACCTTTTCCTTTTCGTCCTCGTCGTCGCCCGTGGTCGCTTCGTAGCTGGATGCTGAGATAGGCGAGATAATTCACCAAGGGGGGGGACTCACATCCAAGATCAAAGAGGGGGGCTCCTGTGGTCTCGCCGAACGTTTGCACACCATGGACTCTCGACAGAGGGCACCATTTGCCCATATCAATTCTTCGGCCGATCTAACCGCCCCAGAACTATTGAGCTCTAGGCATTTCCCTCAACATCTCTCGCACGACTCATTGAACTCTGCTTCGAGTCCAGGAACTTGGTCAGGTCCACCTAGCGATGCGAGCGGTCCTATCAGCTCCATGATGTGGAATCATGAGCGTCCAGGATCCTCCGCTTCACGGTCAACGATGAATGGTGGTGGTGGTGGTGGTGGTGGTGGTGGTGGTGGTGGTGGTGGTCCTGGGGAGAAATCAGGTGCTATAGGTGGTCCTGGTACTGGTCTTGGGTCGAACCTGAATCCATATGGTGGACCCATCTTCTCACTCGACACACCTGCACCGCATCATCATCGACTTGCACCGAGTCCCATCGGTGCAGGGTCCATCGGTCGATCAAGACACTCAGACTCTTTTCGGCTTCCTTCGATCCACATTCCAGGGTATCATACCGTCAGATTCGTTGGTCTCTGTACCCTGTGGTACATGACTTCAGCGCTGTCCAGCAATACCGGCAAAATGATCCTCAACCATTTCAGATACCCCGTCACCTTGACCATTGTTCAATTCTTCTTCGTCGCGGCATACTGCGTGCTCATCAGTCGTCCAGAACTCGGATGGACAGGTAGATTGAGACAGCCGTCAAAGGCTATCCTCTTGGGAACATTGCCAATGGCCGCGTTCCAAGTCGGAGGACACATCTTTAGCTCATTGGCTATCAGTAGAGTACCCGTCAGCACAGTTCACACCATAAAGGTGAGCACGACGACGGCCATTCAAAATGTAAATCTCTCACTGACCTTGATCACTCTCAGGCCCTCTCTCCACTTTTCACAGTCGGCGCTTACGCTCTCCTTTTCCAAGTCTCCTACTCTCCCGCGACATATCTCTCCCTACTTCCTCTCACCATCGGCGTCATGCTAGCTTGCTCCTTCGACATCAGCCTGCATAACATTCTCGGTCTGGTCTGTGCTTTTGGATCCACGTTGATCTTTGTATCTCAAAACATCTTTTTCAAGAAAATCATGCCCACAAATGCAGACTCAGCTACTGGATTGTTGGGTGCCCCCAAGCTCGACAAGATCAATCTCCTCTACTTTTCAAGTGGTATGGCTTTCCTCCTCATGATCCCCGTGTGGATTTGGAACGATGTCCCGAGACTCTTGAACGATTGGCCGGCTCCTCGTGGAGGACCATCTGTCTCCCTCTATTTCTTCCTCAATGGGACGGTCCACTTTGCTCAAAACTTGCTCGCATTCGCCATCCTCTCATCCACGTCTCCCGTTACGTATTCCATCGCATCGCTCGTCAAGCGGATCGCAGTCATTTGTCTCGCTATCATATGGTTCAATCAAGCTGTTCACCCCATTCAAGCTGTTGGTATCGCTCTCACAGGTGTCGGGCTATGGATGTATAATAACGCCAAGCGTGATGTCGAAAGGGGTGAAAAGAGGATGAGACAGGTCGAAGCGAGTCGAGATGCTCTTCCAACACAACGTCATGCCGATATTCCTCAATCCGGTGCCAATAGCATTCTTGGCCTTTTTGGAATCGCTCGAAATCCCCCGATCGAACCTCATGCGTCTCCCAAACCGGTCTATCCACCCAACTTCAAGCAAGGATCGCACTCCTCAGCTTTGAGGACAGCCAACTTTTTATCATCTAATCAGGGACCCCACCACCCTCCACCCATGATGATGCCACATTCAAAGCCGACAACGCCTACAGAAATGGCATATCCTTCCCCACCCGCATCGGCAGACTCGTCTCCTCCCACTGGCCCTGTGACCGTCCCACCTGCAAATCCCATTACCGATCCTGGCAATACGAGGCACAGAGGGCTTTCTATGGAGACAAAGGATGGACCGTTCAGGCTTCCACCGGCTCTATCTGGTACTCGATCAGCTACGATTGAGGAGGAACGTCCAGGCCGAGGGCCCATGGTCAGGGCCTCATAGTCCCTCTCGTGTAGAGGGCGAAGCTCTTCGGATTCGGATTAGTGACCCGCTTGATGCCTCTTAAGATACATCGGGACCAATGGGGTTACCATCTTTCACTGTACAATACTCAACCACTTTCAGGCATTCCGGCGAGCGACACTAGACTACTTAGATAATGCATCATGATGACTAAAGGAAATGATTGGACTGGTGATGATGACGAGTGACCGAGGACTAAGCTACCATCCAAAGTCCCACAGGTCATCTTTTTGGGTATTGCTGAACCGTCTCTGCAAAGTCCACAGACGGGATCTCCAATCATCCCTTCCGACGTATGCGCCGCACATTCGCCTTGAGCCCGTGAATGATGATCGACCATGTAACACTCGCCAATTGTCAATCACTGTCGGACGATCAGTCAGTCAGAACAAAGTGGGCTGCTCTGCTTGAACTGGCCATATGGCCCCGGCAACTCACCACAGACTGTCCCAGGTTGCAACTTCACCCAATACTCATTCTCTCTACTCCGCAATATCCTCTCAAACTCTCTCGCCGCTTCGTACCAGACTTCCACTGTCGATTCCTCATCCCATCCATCTCTATCAACCAATACACCTCGATCTTCGTTATTCCACCTCACCATTTCCAAGCTCTCGTCTCCTTCTTCATGCGTAACGGTCAGAACCGGTCGACATGTCCTGTACATGAGCCCCTGGTTTCCAGAAGCATGGTGAGGCACAGGCACGGTCGATAGAGTCTGATACATCCCTGGCTGATCGTGTTCTAGCTGAAGAGCCGCTTTGAACCCGTCAACGAGCAATGTATGGCCTCCTTCTCCGGGCGGAGGATGGGACAAGAGATGAAAGATTTGCAAGCCGGATGGATCAGTGAAGTAGGTCGAATCGGTATGCGCTGGCAATTGTTGAGAACTGTAGGCCAAGTCTCCCAGAGACATGTCGGCTGTGAAGTCCCAAAAGCCCCCATCTGGTATCAGGATAGAGTGAGAGAGCGCGCTTTCGTTAGCCCAGGGATACAGTGAAATTGAAAGTCTTCGACTCACAATGCGTCTGTCGAATGGTGCCTATTCGATTGATGAGTTCCTCCGTGGCTTCTGGGGTAGCTGGAACTCCATTGACGAAGCAGAAGCCGTATTGGTCCTTAGTTCTCTCAGTCACCGTCGAGCGAGCAGGATTCTGGCAGCGACGTTGAACTCACCACTTTGCTGATCCACTCCAAAACCGCCTTTTCCGCCTCTTCCTCACCAGCAGAAGATGGCATCAGCCTCTCATAATCTATGGACGGAGGCTTGGACGCTATCTTGTTATCCCAGAGTATCTTACTTCAAGGTGTGTGAGCTTTTCATAAAGAGAATGTCATCAACCTACCTGCTGATCTGAGGTGATTGAGCTTCCACCAATCGGGCCCAAAACCTCCAGGGGAACAGTGCAGTATGTCCATCTTGACCATGCCACTGGACAGTTATACCATCCGAGGATGGCGTGAGCTCGGATATGAAGACGTTTGGGTCGACCTGTGAGAGTTGGGGTGGGGTCAACGAGGGCGACGAGTCATTACGAATGGTTACGGACTGACCTCGGATAGTGTTTTTAATCTCTGTTTCGTCTTCGCGTGAGAGCATTTGGAACATCGACAGTGATCGAGTAGGTACGCTGCTGAGCTGGCGAAAGGTCTCAGTACCATTCAGAAAGAAAGGTCACTCACAGTTTGAGGGATCTACCTCGATGCTCAACATCGACTACATTGTTCTTTAGAGACACTTTGGGCGGATAGTTGTCTCTCTTGCTTGCGTAGTGTCTCCGTTCGAGTGAAATCGCTGTCATAGAGCCGGATCTGCCTGCTGAGGCTCGGGAGCTTGGTACAGAAAGACTTGAACGGGTGGTGTAGAGCCGAGCTGTAGGCCCAAAAACTTGAGTATGCCCACATTGTACGGTGCAGATCCTGGAGCTAGCTGCCCGTAGCAGACCTATTGACCCAGACCTGAAGGACATCCGGACAGACAGACTCTATCAGCTGTTATGAGAGCAGTCCCAGTATGAAGACAATGCAGTAATGGAACAAGGTCCGAAAGGCCGAGCACGCGTACCTGGTGAGATCCCTGCCGATGATAACCGTCGGATCCGCAATTATGAACCGCCTGCTGCCTATGATCATGCTACAAGATTATTCATGCTTGCAAACATAAAGACCGCATCAGGCTACAGGACAAAGCTATAGGAGACAATTGTACAAATTAAAAACACATCCATAAACCCCTCCCTCCCGTTCCCTGGTCATGACGATACAAAGATGGCGTCAGGTCCTCAAGCAATCACGCAACCGACCCATCCGCTTCCCTCGCCTTCGAGGTCTGACTCCGCTCCGATAAGCTCGACATGCTCCATTTCAGCTTGGTCCTCCGCGTCCACGTACTTTGCACCCTCCTGCCTGAAGGACGTATCCCCCTCCTTCTCCTCCTCCTCATCCGCTGCCAACGCAGCCTCGATGAAAGGCTCCAGGAGTTTCAAAAGCGTTCCTCCAAACGAGACTGGGCCGATGAATCCAGTCGAGGCTTCGTCCAACGCATGATGCTCTTGCGTCTTGGGACCAATAAAGTCAGCGTCGGACTCATTGTATGTCCATTCGGACCCCTCCATGACTCGAGTAAAGACGTATTCTTTCTCTGCTGCGTCGACTGCCTCATTGTATGCGATCCACTCGAGATACATTTTCGAGTGGGGACCGATAAAATGCTCCCAGGATTCGTCGACGGCTTGGAAAGCGAGGGTCCTGGGTCCAATGAAGTCACGGGCGTTCTCTTCGAGATAGGAGGGATCCCCATCCTCGTCATTGTCGTCGTCGTCGTCGTGAGTCGTGACATCATCAAAACTATGTGTGTCGACCGCAGTGGTCTTCTCCACAGTGGGACATTCGATCGAGTCAAGCACTTGTCCAATGGACGGCTGAAGAGATGAAATGGTCAGGACCAAATGACGATAAAGCACATAGGTGCGACGTACCATGAATCCAATGCTGGGAAACCTGAATAAGTCGAATCCTACTCCAGCATGCGATTCGGACTCAGACTCAGATTCCGAGTCAGACTCATACTCATACCCAAGCTCATATACGTCGTCCTCATTGCAGTAAAAGTCCCCTTCGACAGTGAGAGCGGGGGTAACGATCTCGAGGTCGGGGGAAGAACAGGCCGACATGATCAAGATGGAGGTCCGTGCAGTGAATAGGTCGGATGAGGTCGTCAAGTGGCTTTGCTAGCGATGGTAGTCGACTTGATGGATAGATGTAGATAGATGTAGAGGTGTGAGAGGTAGAGATGTGGGAGCAAGACAAGAAGCAGACGATGAAGCTCCCATAATAAAGCATCGCTGAACTGAGCCATCATGCGTGCCACTCTCCTGTGTCAGTCTCACTCCAGGCAACAGAACTGGCATGTGATCATCAGTGGGAGAGGTATAGATTGGGACACACGGCGTAGAAAAAAATAATTCCGAAACCCCGACTGTCGTGTCGTCAACGATCACGTGAAGTCCGTGAACCGCTGGTTCCGTATGATGGTAGCATCGCAGTGTTAGTCATACACGTCAGTGACTAGCCAAGGCAGTGAATAAACTCCCAGATCAGTACAGTGACAATCGCACCGAGCATGACGAGCTTTGTCTCCATCCCCGCAGCTTGTCTCGCGCCTCCGTGCCATGCGACCCCTACTCCCCCGGAACCAGCTGTGAAAGTGGCTCCTTGATCAGCCGGAGAAGCAGTACCAAAACCCAGTGTCGAGATCGGAGCCGCCGCGTTGCCTGCTAGATGCGTCCAAGCTGATCCCGTAGCGGCTGAGAGCTGAGACGAAGAGCCATACGTAAACGTGGCGACTTCTCCGTCCGACAAGGTGGTCTTGCTGGCGTCATCGGATGACTGTCCTCCGCCTCCTCCTCCTCCACCACCAATGGTGGCGACTCCCGTTCCGGGGATCGTCTCTTCGTATTCTGATCCGGTCGTTGTCTGCCAATACGTCGTGATGGTTTGAGTGAACGCAATGGTGCTTTCATACACACTGCTCATTAATACAGGCGTTGGAGAGTACTTGATAACAGTGACAGTCCCTTGCTCAGTCACGGTGGAAGTGATGGTATCGGTCGAGTAAACAGTCGATGTGACGGTCTCCGAGTTGGTTATGTAAGTGGTGATGTAACATGGGACAGACGTCGTCGAGAGGATGGTCGTGGTAACTGTCGCTGCGGAGAGTGTGGTCGCTTGTCCACCATAGGTACATGGAGGGCTATCACAACGATCCACGAGTCGGGCAGTGGGAGTGATGGTCGGTGCGGGGATGTGAGCCGCCGCAGTGGCAGGTGTAAGTTGAGCTACGAGAGCAACGAGAAAGACTTGTAAGGCGTACATGGGGAATATTTTATTGCACGGTGAGTTACGCGATGGCGGTTGTGGGCTGCGAGAGAGAAAGTGAGGAAGTTGAATGAGTAGGAAGCGGTACGATCAGAGTGATCGATCTGGCTGACATCGACACTGTTGGGCGCCCCTCTCGGTGCTGGATGAAGGCAAGGGGATGATTCAAAGGATCAGTATCGTAGTCAGTCAAAGGATGGCAGGATGATTCAAGCCATCTCCGTGGCCGTTCAGTCCATTCCAAATCCACATATTGCATACAATACCGTTTCTCGCTTACTTCTTCTGATCCTTCGCATCCTCTGGTGGGGGCGGAGGAGGAAGCTTGAAGTTCTGTGTGGTGCGTCAGCCCTGTGATCCACGCCGACGAAAGTCCTCAGCTCACCTCGGGATGAGCTTTTGCATCTCCAGCTCCGACCTGCTCCCATGGTGACGCGGCGTCTTGGAAGTTTCTGCGGAAAGTAAGCATGTGTGTCTCCTCTACCGGTGGAAGCGCTTACCGGAATGCCTGGGTGAGCTGCAGAGGTTCATAGACGACTCGTTTCTTCTCCTCATCGTACCGGACCTCAGAGTATCCCTACGATGGGTGAGCGAGCATACCACATCAGCGGAGACTGATCAGCTCACAGTGAGTGGGAAGTCTTTTCTCAACGGGTGACCTTCGAAACCTGCATTTGGGGTCAGCATGAGAGATCATCCGTCAGCTGGTCATTCGCACCATAGTCTGTCAAGATCCGTCGACTGAAAGTACGCGTTAGCCTTGTCTCGTCCCAAACAATGAATCACTCACAGATCCGGGTGCCCATCAAAGAAGACACCATACATGTCCCAGACTTCTCGTTCGTACCAGTTTGCACCATTGAACACGCCGACAGCGGTAGGCACAGGTGTGATCTCATCGGCGTACGTCTTGACTCGAATGCGAGACTGATGTGCGACCGATAAGAGGTTGTAGACGATCTGGCGGAATCTCAGCAAAAGCAAAAGTCTTGGTCTCTCGGGATCCTGGTGGATGGATGCCCTTGCTTGCTCACCTCGAATCGCATTTCACGGGTGGGATAATCGACAGCGGTGATATCCATGACGGCCTTATATTGACATTGACTGTGATCTCTCAAGAATGTCAAGACAGGGACGACAGCCGAGGGTGGAATGTAGATGGTCAATTCGTCCTTGTAGACTGAGAATTGTTGAATGTATTTAGGTAGACAGGTTGTGAGGTATTGACCGTATCGGTGCAGAGGATCACTCAGATCGGCTGTCTTGTCGGCGGGGTTGATACCAGTAGGTTCGACAAAAGGTGCTTTGGATGGTTCGGCAGCTATAGAGAATGATCCACCCATCGTATGAGCAAGTACGAATGGCTCATCAGGTAGAGAGAGAGCCAGACTTACCTGGTCTAGAGGTGCTCGATGCAAACGTTCGCATCACAGTCGAAGCAGATCCGATCCGTCTAGCAGCTCCAGCTGATCGAGCTGCTCCTCTCAGAGCCACCAATGAAGTCCTCGCAGCCATCCTGCCCGCTATAGATCCTCGACGTCGATGGAGTATAGGCGATTCCGTTGTGGGAGGTGAACGAGGATGATGATAGCTCCTCGCACCTCCCCTATGCCACATCGGCGGGTTTATTAGCATTCTGCGCTGTAATACCCGCCTAAAAGGACTCTCAAAAGGAGCGGAAGCAAAATTCAGAAAAGTGCTGCAGCTCAGTGCTGAAGATTCAGTCAGGAATCGGGTAGCAGGAGGATCATTCCCAGGAGGGCGAGCTCACAACATTGCGCGACATCGAGGACAACGGCGAAGACAGCATTTCCACAGGAGGAGCTCGAAAGGGGACTGGAACCACAGCATTTGACCGATCTATCAAGCCTTCACGCAATTCGTCTCGAGAGATTCCGCTCGACACTTGAACCCGTTGCACGACGCCATTTGGTCTCCTTTCATTTCACCATCTAATAAGGGGAAAGGGTGTCTCGTCTGGCAGTGAAGCATCCTTAATTGGATGAGCAGTTCTGCTTGATCCCCCATGTGAGTGAGGCACCCCCCTGCGCCTCCCATTGTCCGAACGGACCTTGCTGGGCACGCGTCCGGCTGATCTTTGCTGACTTGCTTTAAGGATCGCAAAATGACAGAGACGGTCGAGAATGCACCACAGCCAGAGAAACAACAAGCCGGAGTAGATACGAAAGAAGAGGGCGCTGTTGTTGCCACAGCGCCCGGAGAGGGGGAGTCGGCTGGGGCTACAAGGGACCCATTAGCCGCAGTCGAAGTGGCAAAGACTGAACGAGTCATTGAAGATGGTACAGCCAGCAACGATGGAGCGAGCGAGGATGAAGTAGAGGGACTGGTGGAGGATGGAGATAAGCTCTCCGAGGAGGTCGAAAGCGCTCTGGAGACTGTCGATCATGCCCCGCAGGCCGACAACGCCCAACCAACCACGGAGATGCAAACGGATCGACCCGCAGACAGTACCGAGGACGATAAGCGGGATGAGACAGACCCATCTTCCGAGATCCCGACGACTGTCGTGCGACCTCCAAGTCCTTCATCTCGTACTTCAACACCGCCGCTCCCGGCTTCAGGTACCGCACCAGCCGCCGCCAAATCTTTCAAAGCGGTCAACGTGAACAAGAGGTTTTTAAGCAAAGCCGTCAGTCCAGCAGGTACATCACCTTCAGTCTCAAAGCTCGGTGGCATCGGAGGTGAGCCAATTCAGGAATTGTAGCTCCCTCTTGACAAAGCTCATTCGTCCATAGGTCGCTCAGCAACATCCCCAGTCCCCATAGGTAACACATCATCTCGCTTATTGTCAACCAAACTCAATACCATTCCCTCTTCCAAATCCTCGACATCCCCTGGACCTTCTACACCTGGATCGATAGGGTCCAGCGCACCGTGGGCGAAAACAACTCCACCATCCCGAGATGCTGCAAACTCTTCCGGTCTTCAACATCCTGCGCCTTCACGTGCAAGACTGATCTCCAGCTCGAATGTCGCCATGGGATCGGGTCAAGGGATCGGCGGCTCAGCCCCTAAACGAGCTTGGAAGACTGTATCTGCTGCCGAGAGACGAGCTGCCATCGGTATGGCTAGGGATTTTCCGACGGCATCAGAGGTTGCAGAAGGTGAGTCGGATCCGATCCGCCAACAGACTGACTCTTGGCCAGGTAAAAAAGCCGCGCAGATGGCTGCTCAGGCTCAAGCAGCTCACAATCAGGAGATTCTCAAAGGTCTCAATGCATTCACTCAGCTCGGCACAGATCACCGATGGGATGTGAGTGATGCACCTCGCTTTCTAATCGATGCGGCTGACGAGTATCTAGGACGAAGACGATGACGATGATGTCCTCGACTTTGGAGATGGCATGGTGTACCCTACTTATGAAGAGGGTCCCGGAACGAAGGAGGTCGAACCCGAGCCTAATCTAGATGCTCCAGTCTCCAAGTCTGAGCGTTTCGTCGAAGATTTCGATAGAAGCTGGCCGAGGAGAGCACCTCTACCAATCGCTTCAGAAACCCCGACTGCCCCACCGACTTCGACTGCTTTGCCTCAGAAACCGGCTCAAGATGCAGAAAGAGTCCTGTTCAATGCCAACTCAAATCGAATGGAAGCACCGCGTCGCCAACCACCACCAACCCAGAACCAGCCTTTACCTCCTCCTACCAAACTCCTTTCAAGATCTTCCGATACGGGCAATGCGCCGGCCCTTCCCCGGACGTTTGACCGACCACTACCACCACATCTGCAAGGCGATGAAATGCAGTCTACATCCCGCGACGCTCAGGCAACATCAAGGCGATCACCCTGGGGTGCAGATGCGCATACTCCACAGAACCCTTCTCAGACCCGCACCTCCCCTCAAGCTCCGTTGTCATCTCTTCCTCCCCGAAAGTCTTTCAGCCAACATCCTCATCAGCAGCAGCAGACGCTACACCCGCAGCAGCAGCAGCAGCAGCAGCAGCAACAACAACAGCAACAACAGCAGCAGCAACAGCAACAGCTACAACAACAACAACAACAACAACAACAACAACAACAACAACAACAACAACAACAACAACAACAACAACAACAACAACAACAACAACAACAACAACAACAGCAGCAGCAGCAGCAGCAGCAACAACAACAACAACAGCAACAACACCAGCAGTCACAGATGGGTCAGCCGCCGTCCATTAACCAGAGCGCTGCGGCACACCCAACAGCCCCAGTCACCAATACATCCGTGCCTGCCATGGTGCCTGTCGTCGATTCGCAGACCCAGGAAATGCATGCTGCAGCTGAAAAAGCGAGATTAAGGCGATTGGCCGAAGAACAAGAAAGAGAAGCTGCAGCTGAGCGAGCACGGAAAAAGGCAAAGGAGTTGGAGGAGCGATTCGGATCGAAACCCTCAGCTTCGGCTACAAATACGACATCTACAGACGCTCCCAAGCTATCCACATCCGGCCCGCCTGGTCTCCCATCCCCTCCCAAACAGATCACGATCGCCCAGCGGCCAAAGCCAACGGTGGACGGAACTCCTCAGCCGCCCGTATCAGCTGGGACCGGTGCACCTCCAGTTTCCGCCAGACCTAGCGCCTCCATCTTACCGCCTCGACCAGTGGGCAGTGACAGCCGAGATGGAAGGAATGGCGATTCTTGGAGGGCAAAGCCTGTCGAGCCTGCTCCTCCAACAGCAGAAAAACCTCCGACCGCGCCTGCGCCCTCACATTCGCGACCGACGGCCGAATCGTTCTTCGAAGCATCTGCCCATGAAGCACCGCGGCGGGCGGCGCCTGAGCTCTCAACGGACCAATCAAGATTAGATCCCGTTGTTCGCCTACCCGCATCTACTGAAAAGGCATCGAATAAGCAAGAGACCACATTTGATAACATGCTGGCTCGGATCCAAGCCGCCATGAATGAATCGCGGACCAACCCCGCCACCTCTTCCAGCTCACCGGCTGCGGCCACCGTTACATCTGCTATCCCTCCATCATCCACTACCGCAAGTACAAGACCGGGGCCTCCACCTGCTCCTTCCGTCCCTACATATTTTGACGTGACGCTGCCGGAACCGCCACGATCACCACTACCAGCCTGGCGCACATACACAGTCCGTCTTCCACGTACATCACGTACCCTTTCACCACCTTCCCGTGCCCGACTATTGGCATTTGACGCACCTCTCCCATCAGCTCCAAAAGGCTGGATAATGTCCTTCACGCCACCTATCGAGCAACTGACGCCTCGCAACTTGTCCATTGCCGATTCCCTCATCTCTCGCCCCCAAGTCCGTCCCCATTCGAGATTCCCAGAACCGGGACCCATCGTCAGCATATCCCCTCGTCAATTCGAACCATTCCTCAAAAAAAAGCGTAAGGCCGTCAATGAACCCCTACGGTCAAACACCAATGCCGAGATCATCCAGCCTACTATGGCCACTTCGAACATTCTGACGACTTTTGCCTCGACGATCCCAACACAGCCTTTGGAATCACCAGCAGGCGTATCTCGACAAAAGACCAAATCGCCCGTGAAGACCTCCATGGCCAGCCGAGCCGAGAAAAAGGGAGTGTTCTCCACGGAAGGCGTCAGTGTGCTCGATGGCAGAGCTCGTGCGGCTTTGGATGCCCGTCCTGGAGTGCGATTCATGGTGTCCTCCGAACTGGAAGGTGACAGTTTGTTGGACGAAGTCAATAAGATGAGCCTGGAAACGGTTGAGGAAGGCATGGATCAGCGTATTGAGCCGGTAGAAGGGCGGATCTCTGGGTCAGAGGTGAGTCGGTATATTTTGACCATTATACTGATCTCCAAGACGCCAAAGACTCCACCAACACTCAGTGCCAGTGCATCCCGCGGTCAGATCGCCTCACCGAATGGAGTTTCTGCGGCCTGGACAAAGGCCGGTCAGAATGTCAATTCACAGGATCACATCAAGAGCATGTGGGAAGCTCCGGCTTCCAACGCCAGCGCAGCCCCTACCGCCCCGGCCGTTGCCACTGTGCCGACGACCAGCACTGAGACATCTCGACCGATTGAACCCACCCTCACGGAACCCGTTCCCGATCCCTCAATGCCCCTTTACCCCTCTCTTAATGCTCCATCCTCTGCAGACCCTCCCGCCGCAAGGCCATTGAATGCCGGCGGTAAACTTCCCTACTCTCAATCTCAGACTTTCTCACCTCCCGCGACGAATGCCACTTTCTCCACCCTTCGCCATTCCACAAGCACCGGACAATTTGGCTACAATCCCCAGCAGAACATGATTGGACTCTACGCGCGAAACCCTAGCAATGGTGTCGCTGGCAATGTTGTCAATGGATACGGTATGCAGGGAGGAGTGTGGTCATCTTCTGCATTCGGATCCGGTTACGGTTATGCTAAGCCAAACGTTTCGGGTGCCATCAGCGCGATGGATCAGAAAGCAGCCATGGCGTTCAACTCGGCTCAATCTCAACAGGGCAAGGATGCATCTATGGCTGCGGCGTACGCCAGCGCATCCATGTCAAATGACTATGGTCGTTACCAGCAGCAGCAGCAGCAACAACAACAACAACAGCAACAGCACCAACATCAGCAGTATGCTTCTGCTGGATTTCCATCGCCTGCAGGAGGAGCTCATCACCATGCTTCACCTTCACAATCTTCGCAATACGGTCAATCGCCGTACATGTCTACACGAAGCATGACATCACCTCAACAGAACCCTTATACCTACGCGTACGGTGCGCCCGGCTCACACCTCGGAGCTGCCGGAGGTCCAGGAAATGCTCATGTCCGCGGCGGAGGTCGGGAGCAAGGCCAAGCTGCTGATGTGAACGTGTATGGAGGCGGATACTACGGTGGTGTCGGCAACCAGCAGGCCATGTATGGGTACGCCGGGGGAGCAGGAAACCACGGAGCTGTCGGACAGGCAGGCAGAATAGTCTCTGGGCAGCATGGTGCTGGTGCTCAGAGAAAAATGTGGTGAGGGAATCGACGATAGCGTTTTCTTTTATTACGCAGGGCTTGTCAGCTGCTTCATACCTTGCAGCGAGCTGTCTGATGCACATTGATTTTTGGGACATTCTGGGCTGCGCAACTCCTGAATCTTGTCACAGTTCTCTTGCCGCTCGGTCTATACATATTGCAAAGAAGAGATCTCGCCTTGAGGTAGATAACGCCGAGAACTCACGTGAGGATCAAGGCCACTGGACGGACCCGAAAATCGAAAGTGGCAGGAGGACAACTCACCTGACCAGATTGTGGCACATTAGCCATCTTGAGCAAGGGCTTGCGACCTGAATGGGACGGTGAGCCTGAGGATGAGGATGATATAGGAATGGAGGTTTCCATTTGTGCCTCTTTCGCTTCTTACAACCCTCATAGAACAGACACGCATTTGGACAGACTGCACTCGAACCCAACAACGCTGGCAGCAATGACTCGTCCGGAACCTTTCCAGCGTCACCCCGCGTTCACGAATAAGAGGCATTGGAGTCTGGCGTTCGATTACCATGAGACGTCGCCCATCCTGGCTGATGACAGAAGCGTTCGCCCTTGCTATGGACTCCGGCAGAGAAACACTAGAGGGGCAGCCCCTCCCCGAAGGAGGACAGTCCACAAAGTCTTGTCGAGCATGCTGGAAGGTGGCGACGATGTCAAAGAGGTCGCGACTTCGCCCTGGACAGCTCAGAAGCCTCTTGATGTTGGCGCTCAGACGAGCGAGGAAGATTTCTCAGAGCTCGACGCGGAATCAAAGCAGGAGGTTGAACACGAGTTTTGTCACTGCTCCGACGTGCAGTCGCTGATGGTGAGCTATCGGCAAAAACAAGCAGCCATCTTAACCACATCTCTAGAGCGATGACGATGCTCTCTCGCTTAACATTTCTGAGGTCTCAAGTCACACAACAAGCTGCGAGGTCATTGTGGCAAGAACGCTCTTCTATTCTGTGGATGAGAACTCGTACACAAGCATCACGCCGATATACTCTAGAGAAAGCAAGAAAACCACCAAAGTCAAGGACTTTTTTTGGTCGTCCCGGATGATAGTAGGCATCAATGTCTTCCCGCTTGGCGTACCGACTTCTGACGGATGTACGTCAGATACCACGACTTCGACAAACAGCCAAAAAAGTCATGAACCGTTTTGTGGCGGGCAGAACTGGGCCCGAGATCGCTGCCGGCTTGCCAGACTTGTCGTAATCCCATCCACGAATGGCGAATATCGTCTCGCCGCCTTTGAATATGTCGCTATGCATGATGCTGTGTATGTTGGTCCGTCGTCGTTGGCAGTAAGTAGTAAAGTACATAATCTGAGGACCTTTCTACCTGTCCATCTCAGCGTTTCACTTCATCAGGTCTTCAAAGCCTTGAGCTACATCCTCCTTGAGCTGCAAGGAATCAGCGGGCTCTCATTGATCTTAGTGACATACCTTTGGCGAGATAACATCCTTATCCGCAAAATAAGCTAGCATCATTTCTCTCGCCAGCCAGGCGTCCTTCACCTCGCCGAGCGGTCGGCCCTGTCACGCACGTCAGAGCGATCCCTACTGAGATACTCGTATGTTCTTACCTCATACTCCACAGCAAGTGATCCTTTGGTCCGTACCAGTGATAATGAATGGCCCTTGGGCACTTTTTGCGATGGGAAGAGGGATTTCAAGGATTGTATCGATTCCGTGATCCGCTGCGAAGAGGAAAGTAAGCTCTGGGAGAGGCTGAATAGCGCGTAACAGAAGACTCACAGCATCCTCTGTCTCGGTGATAGAGCCTGATGTCCGAGCGAGCTTTTGACGAGCGATTAGAGCTCTGGTGAAACCATCCCGCAGGTGCTATGGCAGTATGAGCCCTTGATGAGACGCGTGAAGGTTTGGGCTTACGCTGAAGTCGGTGCTTCGGACCGGAACTGCAACATGGTGAGCATCTCAGAGATAGCGATTAGCTTGAGGTTTTACACTCACCGATCCTCACAGCACAAGACACCGATTGATCCAACAGCGACTTGATCAATGCCTCTCCCGTCATTTGTGGAGCGCCAAGGGGATCTGAACCAGATGGTGATGGGGGAGTGAGAAGATGCAGGGCGGTGAAGTTCTAGATCGCCAAGAGGTGAGCTGGGTGACTCATCCGGAGCTAATGCACTCACATGCCATCCCGGAACATGATGCAGATTCTTGATCCTTGACTCCTCGATGTAGAAGCCCGCGCTATATACCTTGACTCTGAGAAAGGATACCTTGCGAACGCCCAAGCCGACGAGATGAAGAGGCGGACAGGGTGAAGTGGGTATGAAAGACACGGGAAAGCGCACTTCGGTATCAGGATCGACTAGAGGCCCTGTCAGCGATTTCGCTCAAAAAGTAGGGGGAAATTGTTACCTTTGAAAGAGCTTGCACCAGCTACGCGATCATCTGACTTGGGTGCAGTTTCATTCTGGACGATCAAGCGAGCTCTGAGCAGGTCCAAGTGGTGATGTACTGCACGTCACGTCATCATCAGCCAGAGCTCCGACGAGGGACCCCTTGAGTCTCAACGGCAACTCACCGCCCAGCTTCTCGTCTGCAAAATACGCAATTCCAAAAGAGATGGCTCCACCGGCGAGGGCTATTCGCTTAGAGACTGGGGCCCGCCTCGCAGTCAAGCCCACTACGTGCAATGCTCTGGCTGTACCTCTGAACAACATGGTGAAGTTGCATGTGCATGAAGGGGATTTCACCGATTCCTGATGCGAAACAGTTTTTATCCGGCGATTTTCCGACGACTTCGCTCGTATTCATGTTTTCGCCACATCTTCACTATGCTGTTGTTGCTCGCTACCCATGTTGATGTGCCTTGAGAAAGCCATCATCCTCTCAAACTCAGCGCCGTTGATCCAGAAACAGCATTTTTCGACTCGAGATCAGCTGGCTTCAGCAGCGTGACAAGTTTAGTTTTAAGTCCGAATGCGAGACACCACTGAGACTTTCTTTTTCTCCAGTGTCCCCTCGTAAGTGGCACTCAACATGCATCCCTCACAGAGATCAATGGGATTCCTCCCTTCTCCATGCTGGTCACGGCTCACCTGACCGTACCGCATGATTGGAACGCACCCATTCTTCGTTAACTCTAGTAATGCATGCATGCAACATATAAGTACCGTTCAATCGAGCTTTCATACCACAAGTCCCAGAGTGTTCACCATCAACGATATCACCCCATCGTCCAGTCGACCAACTTTCCAGCCTAAGATATTTTTACCCACCGATATGTCCTCATCGTCTTCTTCGATTTTGCTCTCCACGCCTCCACTCGGATCCGAATTTGATACTTCGATCAATACAGGTGGCGAAAAAATCAACTGGGATGACCACGCCGCCGCTTGGTTTGGAGACCGAGAGCTGGGATTCACACAGTCCCCCGAGACCACATCGGTAGGTACATCGCTGCTCGAGAGACAAATTCTGACCATAGGGCAGATCGATTGGGACAGTTTGCTTCCTCCCTTAACGCGTATCGATCGACGCGCTTCAAGGGCAAAATCTCGTCTTACAGAGCACATTGATGATGGAGAATTGGCTGTTCTGGATGAAGATTATCTTGATGAAACCCGAGGTGATTTCATTGGCCCTTGGACGCTGTCATTCACGACTTTTGTCGAGCAAATGCTTTGCGCTGCCATGAGACAGACTGTGAATCAGGCTGGAGAAATGAGACAACCCAGGCGAATGGCGAGTGGTCCGCGGATCTTACGGATGAAAGCTGATGCCGACCTACCGCAGGTAGTGGCAGAGCATTCTCTCGCCAATCAGCCTGAGTATGGAGTGCCGCCGCCCCTGGAAAATGGTCGGAGGTTCCGCGATCGCCTTCGCAATGTCGCTCGAAAAGTCCGCGGCATCTTGATCCGGTCCCAATGCTAGACTGGATCCTGCAGTGCCTCTATATTCCCTTTGAGTGTCCCGTCACCTGTTTCTTTGCCGTCACTCGTGATTCCCCGGAGCATGCATGCCGGATCCGTAAACAATGCTTCTAGATTCATGATTCGTTCTTTACCACGAAACGCCACTGGTTCACTGTTGGACTGGCTCCAGTATTTGCATCGCCGCCTGGAGCAAAGATGCCTGCGTCGAACGGCGTGTACAGCGATGAAAGCACACCACTTTGATTTCGATTGGAAAGCTCGTTATATCGTATAAGTGTAGCATCGTAATCGTTCATGGCGGACTTGATCCGTTCGATTTCGAACACTCCAGTCTGGTTACCTTTCAGGCCAAGCAAGCCTACAGTCCAGGAGGTGGCGATGAGGCGGTAATAGAGCTGGGCGTAATTGATGCTCGAGTCCATAAAGTTTCGCAATCTCGTGTCGCTGACCTTCACATCGTGAGCCAGACGCTCCACCTCGTCCCAGAGGCGCAAAGCTTCCTCTTTTTCCTTAAGAGCGGCATCGACTTGCTCAGCATCGACGATCTGAGCGGCTTCTTTAGCCAGTGCTAGATCCATCCCGCCGATATGCGAGTCTCTGGTCCACTCGAGACGGCTCAATTGGTGTATCAGGGAATAGTGTCCCAGGAGTACGCCTCGTGAGGCAGTGAGAGCCAACTGCCTGAGGGCTCGCATTGAGCCACTCTCCATATACTGATAAATCTGCTGGAAAACGTCCTCTTCCGAGATGGTCGGATTCAGGGCCCAACGGGCGATCACTTCGACATTCATGTCAATCCAGAACTCGTCTGCAGGATAGGGACCGTTCCATCCTCCACCCCTAGACCAAGTGACTATACCTTTGAAGAGAGGTGACCCGACGAGGTCCTTGAGCCTTCGATGTCCCGTATAGTCATCATACTTTGCAGGATTCTTCTTGTAGATCGTGTTGTATTCCTCAAAGCCATCGATCACACCGTGCATCACGTATTGAGGGGTCGCACCTTTGCCTTCGTATTCTCGCTGACACTGGATTTCCACTAGGCTCTGATGCTTTCCAATTCCTAGAGTGGGATTGAACTTGACTGTTCGCCAAAAGTCAGCTTCGGTATGTTTGATGACAAAGTAGAGATTGGGGTGAGGCTGGATCTCATTTGTCACGTTGAGGTAGTATTCGGGATCGTTGATAAAGCCATCGAAAGACCAGGTGCGGTACAGCAGGAGTTTGTTGTGTCTCTTGATGACTGTCTCCTCTAGAGCCTTCAGGAGCTTGATGTGACTCTTGTATCCATCTGTGATCGGACTTGCACCCACATGATAGGGTACATCAAAGGTGTATATCTCTCCGGTCCGGACGAGGAGGCCATCCAGAGCGGGAAATCGTTCAAAGACAGCATTCAGCATGTACACTGTGATATTGTACATTTGCTTCGAGTCCATCGACCACTTCCCACTTTGATCCACGATGACATCTCCATATCTCTCCACGAGTGATTTTGGCAAGGTGAACATGTCGAACCAGTACATGGCTTTCAAGCCCTCATTGTGTATAGCTTGAATATCATTGTCGATCACAATTGCTAGATCTTCAACCCATTGTCTCGACTTCGAGCCTGCCGGGAAGATAGCAGGATCGAAGGTCTCCCAGGTGATGGCGGCGGATGGCGGCTGTCCATCATGCTTGACCATGACATTGTATCCCAAACTCTTTACAACGCGCGGATCGGAATACTTCGTCTGAGTTGGCCCTTCTCCAGGGTTCTTATGGACCAAATTGACACGCAACTCGAGCGGGACGCCTTTTTCGGGCTGGTGATTGGTCACTGTGGATGTGATAGTGTTCCAGTAGTCCAGAAAGACGGTCAGGATTATCGACAGCCGGCTGAAGCGGAGCATTTCGGAGACGTACATGGTGAAGTCAGATCTAGCTTGCCGGACCTTCTACTGTATGCATCATAGCCCGGTGATTCCTCGCTCGTCTGACTTGGACCTCACACACAACCACAGGTGAGCATGCCAAGCCCGAGAACAGGAAGGCAACAGATACTGGTGTGGGATTGAAGATGTATAACAGATCAACATTGCTACCCCACCGCATATCTGCCTGATTGATGTCATCGGGACGCGGGGTGAACCGGCCCGAGAAACACTGAAGTGGGGAAATAAATGCCTATGGGATGCGCTAATGTCAAGGCCACAGACTCCATACCTTACCGGGTTTCCAATTGTGATCCTTTCCGAGGCATCATCGCAGCAAAGTAGACTCCTCTCACTCATTCGGGACTGCTTCCGAACACGAACGAGAAGTTGCGCATGTGATACCAGGAAAGAAAGATTGAGCGACTGAGTCAGAATCCCAATGGGACAATAAGATTGTCCTCATCGATGTGGACATCTCTGCGGTCTGTCACTTTCCATACTTGCGGAGTGCTACCAGTCAGCCTGAATCAAAGCCTCTATAGCCTTCTATAATGCATCGCCAAGCCGTTGCCGCTTCGGTCAGGGATAGCACGACCTCGCCATTCGCCACAAATGCTTCTCCGTTGAGGCGGTGATCACCGAGAAACGCGGTTTAACGCTCGAGTGCTTCAACAGCGTGTCACGCAGATGCAGCCTTCATATCACCGTGCTCGCCAAGCAGGAGGTATCTGAGCCGCTCGCCATGGCAATAATGTACTCATGATGGAGTGTGATGGCCATCATCACCCTCTTTCGCCAGCAAGTATCCTCCGCTCTTATCGGGGGCCAAGACCCCGGCAATGTCGTCCTCCGCAATGGCTAAACGGCCAAACAGACCCCTAGTCGTCAGATGCGTATACGAGGGAACTTCCAGAAAGGTTACTTTTCCTTCCGCAGTGACTTGTCGTCTGGACTCAGTCCGTTCTAGGGTGAGCTTCCTTCACCGCATGTCTCACAGCTCAGACCTCCTTTAGATCGGTGAATGCTTCTCGCTCTTCGCATCGCCCTTCACTCTGTCCTATACGGATGACGACGGCGAGGAGTTCACAGTCAGAAACGAACATGATCTCACAGATGCCATAGCATACTTTGTCTCTGGAGACGACGATGATCAAGGATCTTCTATTCGATCTGGATTGGGATCAACTCGAAATCCACAAAAGATCGTCTTGCGTCTGGACGTCGTGGTGGAATACGATGGCCCGAGCTTGAGCGACACGTCGTCCATCTCCGGGTTCTCGACCTCGACAGGAGAAGATGGAGCAGAGAGCGTTTGGAGCTCGGCATATACGCACAGTGTGCACAGCGGCCAATTCAGCGAGAGGTCCCAAAGGTTACTCCCTACTGCAGTAGAGCTTCAGCACAGTGAAGCGCTACTCGCGGGTGCTATTCAAGACTTGAATCTCAGCAATACGGGAACGCCTAGCGTGTTCTCGGACGCTACAATCGATGGCAAAGCACCTTCATTCCGTCGAGACTCCCGCACATCCACCAGTCGTCAATTACCTGGACCATCTTCCCTGCCAAACAGACGGGCATCGGATGAGACCGCTCGACAGGATCCACCCTTGACTGGGCCGGACAGCGCTCCAGCTCCTTCACTTCTTACTCACTCGGAGCTAGGACATAGATGGCTGAAGGAGCAGACCAGCCTCGTGACTTCAAGAAGGTTTGGCGCTCCATCCATCAATGGCTCGAATCGACAACAAGGCTCGAGGGATAGTGACGACAGCGATGAGGAGGAGGTGGTGGACCTGGCCCTACTCCGTGACGCCAGGGGAAGTCAGTTATCGACAAGAAACGTTAGGCTGACCAGTTTTCAGAGTTCTACTACTCTTACGGGTCAGATGTCGCGAGCTTCACCTCTGATGCAGAAGTGGAAGCCCCACAGAATGTCGCTTCAGGCTCGCGACCACCGGTTCATCATTTTTCAGCTTATCGGGACGTCACTGCCAGTGGATCTAGCGCAGATCCAGGTCTCAGTCCCTTCATTACCGACTGCTCAGCATGCGGGACCCAGCTTGATTATTTACGTTACGTTTGCGCGATCTGCGGAGAGGTCCAGGGATCGTCGGAAGGCAACGGATTAAGCGAGGCTGCGAGTAATTCAGGCTTTGAGCTTTGCGCTGGCTGTATCGAGACTCATGGTATCGAGCATTCGAAAGCCATGGCTCGAGCTGCGCAAACCCGGACACCTCCCAAAATGGAGCTCAATCATCCTTTCCAAGAGAAGATCTGGGGAGATCGGGAATGGAAGGATGTCGGTGAGTCAAAGCGCTCACCTCGAGAATACGGAGGCCAAGCTCACCTTTGAATAGAGTATACCGAGGACTCTTCGTGTTCGATATGCCAGAGGCAGCTACATCGAGAACGGTTTAAATGTGAGTATAATCAATCGCCATGGCTCAAGACTGACCTTCGCTGAACAGGTGTATCTTGCTCAAAATTCGAGCTATGCAGCTTCTGTAGGTGGCCACAACAGAATACATACACTTCGCTAAAACTACATGCCAGGCTATCAGAAAGTAGGAGAAATACACCCTGCGCATGCGTTTCTTGTTGTCAACAATACTGGCTCACTCAAACATGTTCCGTCAAGTCCCATCCCAGTAATGATGATGCAGTCTTCGAGAGTGGCCCCCATCTCCTGTGAGCCACTCACAAACGCTGTCGCTTACAGCTCTCAGCCGTTCGCCATCCTGGGGTGTTTTGTCACAAGTAAGCGGATCTCCAAAGTTCGGTCATTCAAGCTGATACACCACTTTAGCTGTCTTCAGGACATCGTGGGGCCGCGTTTCCATTGCGCGGTCTGTCTTTCTTGGTCAGTTCATGACCAAATTGGCCTCCTCGAGACACTGATCTGTGTTTCAGGGACCTGTGCGCGGATTGCGAAGGACTCGCTGTACCAAGCGACGGATCCGGGCACACTGCGGATCACATTATGATGAAGGTGAGTATCGGCGTACATCCTTGCGCTATCAGGTACTGAGGCATACCAGATTCCTCTTCCGCTGGGCTCGCACGAAGTCGAAGTTGTCTCGCGAAGAGCTAGAGATCGTTGGCTTCAACAAGACGCATCCGCTGTCGCTGCCGCAGCTGCCCTGAGGTCGAATGGCGATGGAAGGGCTAGATCTTTGTCTCCGACCAATGAGACGGTCTATGCAGATCCGAATGGCACTCGAGCCGACGTGACCGGTGCATCACCATCAACATCTCGTATCTCCCGAGATCTGAATCACCATATGCAGTGCAGCCAGTGCCAAGAGTGGATCATTGGAACCAGGTTTCAATGCGCCAATTGTCCATCCAAGCCTACAGGGTATAGTCTGGTGCCTTTGTCGATTTTTAGAGCTGCGAACTTGTGACTAACGTTTTCTCGCAGTGCTCAAATTGTGAAATCCGTTCCTATCGATGGCACGATCCCAAGCACGTATTCTTCAAGCTTGATGCGCCGGTTCATTTCTCCATTCAGTCGGAAGAAGGTTTGCTCCCGCTACTGTACAAGGGCAAAGTAGGCGAAGTGCCTTCGTCTGTCGCGCTCGACCCTCGTGATCCGAAGGCGTACCTCAAGCATGTCGTACATCGGGAAACCCTGTGCGATATTCACTCCGATCAGATCCGGGGAGCGTGGTTCCGATGTGCTCATTGCCCAGCCGGGTTCGATGTGTGCGAAGAGGCAGCGCAAGAGGATCACCACGATTCTACGCATGGTGAGTCCTGTAAGCGCGCGATCGCAAGTCGTGCTGAGTCGCGCTCTCGTAGTATTCGTAGTCTTCAAGGCCAAAGTTGATATGGGAGTCTTTCGACAAGTTGCTCATCTAGAGGAAGCTCAATCAGAGCCTCTCCTGAAGAATCCGGTATATCTTAGTAGTTGAGGATCGAGACTGTATGTTCACTGTGTTGTAGGCTAGGCGAGAGCAAGTCAAGCATATGAATGACTATGCTTAATTCCATCTCCTTTCGCGACTGCTTTTGCCGACTTCCCTATATTTTTTTTGGGAGGTTTATGACATGTCTTGCTCTCGCTCCTCTATCACGAGGTCATTCAAATGCGGTACATGAATGGAACGGCGCTGATCAAAACCAATTATGCTGCTCGAAAGATGAATGGGATCGGGTCAGACGATGCGGTGAGGAGGAGGATGGTCACAGAGGGCAAGAGGAGAAGTTGGTCTTCATTGACATTCGCGTCACAGACTGAAGGGAGAGACATTCTGCAAACTCATCTGTGCTTATAAGCATCAATCTATCACCTAGATTCGTTCTTTCATCCTTCACTGGATCTATCACTTTGCTCGCCTTCCTGACATCGAGCACTTCCCAGTCGATCCGTCTTCAATCCTATTTCAAGACTCAAGAGTAAATTCATCGTCGTCGACATCGTTGATTGGCATCATGTCTTCCGTCTTCGACGACTTTTCCTCTGGATCGGCGCAGGCTGCCCCCTCCCGAAGCTCGACGTCCAATTCGGCGTCGCTTGACCCCCTCCTTCTGACTCCTCCCACGGACCAGCTTGGAGAATCCTGGTGGTCGATTTCATCTGGCTCTTCCCATCTTCGTCGCTCCGAACCCGACTTCTCCTTCCACCCTGGCGATTTTGGAGGTTACGATGATACCACTTGCGGCCTGGTCACTCCAATCACCGCCAATCAGTCTGCAGTTGATGAGCTCACTCCAACCGCGACACACCACGTCCCTCAGGATGACACGGATGTTCCCATCTCCTCGTCTCCACTAACAAGATGCCCAGCCGTACCTCTCGGCCTTTATCTCGAGGCTCTTAGTGGCACTGATGCCCGATCAGACACGTCCGAATCCACCACATTCGACGATACAGGTGCGATCTTTATGAAGACGCGAACCGAATTCCGAGCAAAGTGGGCGAAGATCCATCCCGTCGACCTCGCCAGGATGGGAGATTCAGAGGCTATCAACATGAGAGAGTCTCAAGGCCCTCGAATCTATGAAGTCGACGCAAAAGGTCAACAAGCCCCCACTGGACCTGATGGAGTCGATGACGACGAGTTCTACCTCAACGGGCCGCCCCTTCGAACGTGGCAAATCCGAGCACCAGTCGCGAAGCAAATACGAGTCGATGGGAAAGCTGAGACTGTTTACGAGAACAGTACCGTTGCGATTTACGCTCTCGACCGCGTCTTCCTCCCTTCCACAGAATGTTTGTGTGGCTCGCCCAAGATGCTACCTGTCGAATTCGATGAGCAAGAACCGATGACAGTCCCTCCAGTCAACTCTGCCGATTGGTGGTCGATTGATCTGTCCTCTCCTTGTCTCCCTGAGATTGGACCCCTTTCGACAGGCGAGGAGATTCCTGACGATATCTCAATCTTCGATCTAGATGAAGAGTTCGCGATCGGAAACGAGGACAAGGATAAGCTAGTAATCGCCGCTATGCAGACCAGGGAGGATGACGCCAAGGTCAGGAGGGAGGGGGATATCAGAAAAGGTGCTGGATCAGGTCGAAAGGCGAGTACAGATTACTGTGACCTACTCCCGTTGACTTGATCACAGTCCATGTTTGCCGCTGTCCGAGACAAGAAAGGCAAGGTTGAGGACGCGTTGAAAGTCCGAGGACAACGCGAGCCACAGCTTCACTCGGAGGGACTTGACCCTCCTTTCCCCGTTTGGTGGGTCCGCAAGACCTGGTCCGACGTCAAGGAGGTTTGCAAGCTGGTTTACAACGCTTGAGGGAGAAGGGCCGGCCATCTTGTCCTCGTTCGCTTTGTTTTTTTTCCGCCAGTCTCTGCCCTTGCTACGGTGCGCTGTGTAGCCTTCCCTCGTTCTCGATACGTATTAGTATTTGCTTGCTCGATCTGCCCGTCAGATTTACTCGTAACAATGTATCCATTGATTTAAACTTCCGAGGTACCTTGCGCGGCTAAATTGCCGTTGGGTCGCACGACCACGACGAGTGAGCCGAACCCTTATCCTGCCGACAAAGTTAGCGGCTCAGGATACCAGTCCAGTCAAAACGAGCCGAAGCCCAAGGAACTCTGTGCATCCATCCCATATACCAATATTTATCACCTATGCCTGTATGTCAAGCAGCACCTCCTCTCGTCCCATGCTCACAAGACCTTTCACATGATAATACATTCGTCTCTCGCTTCGTGTCGTGTAGGTCGTGCACCTCCTTTTCGTGATTTTGGATTCTTCATGTTGTTCAGCTCGGTCAATCGCTGCATCGCTCGTTTGTGTTGTTGGCCTGTTAAGACATGAGCTTCAGCATTCACACCGAGGAAGCCATAGCTCACCTGCGGCGCGCATGTACCATCTCTTGGCACTTTCCACGTCTTGTTTGACGCCGATACCTGTCTCCGTGTAGTCTGTGTACGATCAGCTGAGATTTTTGACTATAGCTGAGCAGCTCACATCCAACGGCGTATTCAGCCTTTGCAAGTCCCTTGTTGGCGGCTTTTCGTCCCCACAAATATGCCTCGGTATCTGACTGCTTCAAGACCCCCTCTGAGAAAGACAGTCAGATTGTTCAGAGCAGAGCGATGGGCCACTCACCACTTCCCGTCAAGTACCATCCAGACAAGGCAAGTTCAGCCTCGCTATCACCTTTCTCAGCCGCGCGGGTGTACCACGCGATGCTCTTTCTCGGATCGATTGGACAACCCAGATGACCGAACTCATGACACGCTCCGAGTTTGAATTGAGCGGGAGCATACCCCAGGCCAGCAGCTTGAAGAAATAGCTCTCGTGCGGTATTTGGGTCGTGAGGGACAACACCTCCGTTATTCGGTCGTTCATGCAGGAGCGCCAGCTCGTGGAGTGCGTGAGGATTATCTTCGTCCGCTTGCGAGGCTGCTCGTGTGAGCCACACGATTGCTTCGCGAGGGTTTCTAGGCTGTCCAAGCAGGCCGCCAAGGAGAATCATTGATAATTTGTACATTGCCGCAGTATCTCCCAAGGCGGCAGCTTTGCGATAGAACAAAACGGCTCTGCCTGGATCCTTCTTCGTCCCTGCACCGATCTCGTTGCAAACAGCTGAACGGTATGTGGCTGCGGGATGGTTCAGCTTGGATGCCATGAGGTAGAGGTAGTACGCCTTCTCGTGGTCGACTTGTAATCCTAGCTGACCTGTTCCGTAGAGGTTGGCAAGGAAAAATTGAGCATCAGCATAGGGGATCTTCCCTTCCGCGAGCTTTTTGATGTTCCTCAGAGACTCTTGCAATAGGGCATCCCTGTACTTCCGTCCTAGCTTTGGATCGCGCTCCGCTAGCTCATCGCCAATTTTCTTAGCGGCCTCTATGAGGTATTTCGAGAAAGCGAATTGAGCCTCTGGATCCGGATCATCCTTCATGCGCCTCCTGTAGTCATCGACGTACTGCTTGGTGTAAGGTGGCTTGTTGAGATCCACAGCGGCCTGGACTCCTCTGCGACGCGTACTGGACGCTCCGACTGATTCGGTGGGCTGACGAGCGAGTGAGACGGCCGATCTGGAAGAAATGGCGGAAGCTGTCGTGTTGGTCCTATGAAGTGTTCCCGTCGACATCTGTCTCGAAGGCGCACCGGACGAAGAGGATGCGGTCGGTGGAAGTCCGACAAAGTCGTTTGCAGCTGCATAATAAGGATTGGAGAAATCAGGCTGCTGCGAGGCATAAGGAGCACTTTGCCCGCCGTAAGGGTCTCCCCAATTGCTAGGTCCTCCAGCGCCGGGTCGACCTGCAGGAGTATATGCCGACATGCCTGTATCAAGACTATAAACACTGGCGGCCGGATCAAATGTTCCGGGATAATCCGCCGTCCTTTGTCGTTGTGGAAACGGTTGCCGAGGGGCGTAAGCACTGCTCATGCTCGCTTGACGAGGAATAGTGGGAGGTGTGTTGGATGAAGTCATAGACAGTTGGGAGAAATCAAGATCATTCGGGTCGGAGATGGGTCGTCGAGCTGTGCCTGGGTGTCCGATTCCCGGCATACTCCCTGATGATGCACGATGATGTGATCGTTGTCCTTGATAATCCGGATACGCAGAATGCTGACCACCAATGTGAGAAGGATTGCCATAGTCGACGGGGGCATATGGCGCGCGATCCCCACCGGATCCTGTTCGATTGTGGGGTCTGACGGAGGAAGAGGTAGGTTGTGGGGGTGGAATGTGACCTTCGGCTTCCATCAATGTATCGTAGGATGGGAGTGGTGGATCGTTGGGATCTGGACCTGGCACATACGAAAGGTATCAGCGATGCATCCTGCGCAAATTCGGTTTCGATACGGTTCATGTCTCATGACGAAGTTGGAAAATGTCGGGTAGACCCGTTATCTGTCTCTACTTGGCATTGGGCTAAACTCACCTCGATGCAGGTCATCTTCCATACTCGCTGCGGATCCGTATCCGTTCATGCTGATGTCAAATACCCGATTCTAGTCGACAGAGCGAATGACAAGTATGCCAGCACGCGCTGTAGTGCTTAGGCATACTATGGCGTCAAGGGGTAAACCAGTAAACCCAGCTCGTTCAGAGTCGCCCTTAAGAGCGTGGTCGTGCCGATGGGAGTGACAATGTAGTAAAGATAAAGCCTCTATGCTTACTTGCTCCCCTCACTAAGTGGAATCAATGAGCAGTAATGATGCTATGGCTGTTGACGGAGACAGTGACAAGGATGATGTCGGCGACAGTTGAGATCACTAGAGATTGCTTTCGAAATTTGCTTCCGTCGAAAGGTTGAGTCGCTGCAACACAAAGCATTATGGGTCATTGTTGTCTCTGTGGATCAAAGCCTCATCAGTTGGGCTCGTGTAGTCAGCCAGCAATGAGCACTTCAGTGGGTCTCATAGGGTCTCGCGTATGATACATATACTGATGCTTGCTGCTCAGCATTCCGCCGCCTTTCCATCTCTAGCAGATGTCACAGACCTCTTTGAAAATGGTCATTCTGCGCCCTCCACCTTGGCGGCACCTTATATGCCAACTTACCCGAGCACATCTGCGGCGTCCTCCAGCAGCTCGTCCTCTGCTCCTCAGTCCAATGGTTACAAAGCGAACACCAAGCCCAATCTGGTACCGGTGTTCATTGAAATGCCAGCGGACATGCTCACACCTGTATCTGCCTACCTGAAAATTGCGAGTGAGAGCAGTCATAGTTTCTTGTTGGAAAGCGTCATTGGCGGCGAGAATCTGGCGAGATACAGCTTTGTCGGTGCAGGTGAGCTCTTTTTGTCAGGTCTCGTCATCGGACTCACACCGGTGCAGATCCCCTCAAGGTCATACGTACTGGACCGGGATTCGACCTGACTGGGGATCCACTCAAAGGTCTGGAGGCAGAGCTGGAGCCGTATCGATATGTCAAGCTACATCAAGTCCCGACTTTCACGGGTGAGCAGAACGTCCCAGCGGCTGTTTCAGCAGCACTGACGACCTTTAGGCGGAGCTGTTGGCTTCATCACATACGATGCCATTTCCCACTTTGAACCCGTTACTAAACCTGCCGAAGCACTTCGGGAGCCCATAGCCGGACTTCCTGAGGCGTACTTTATGCTTACATCGACTCTGGTCATCTTCGATCACATTTATCAGACTGTCAAACTCGTGTCTCACGTCCACTTGCCAGACGGATCACCTTCGACGCAGATACCGGCTTTATATGAAGAATGTGTGGCTCGAATCGAAGGACTTAGGCGGAAGCTCGAAAACCCCAGCATACCCTTACCTGTCCAAAAGCCCATCCAGCTGGGGAACGAGGCCGTCAGTAACGTCGGCAAATCAGGCTATGAAGGATTCGTCACCAAGCTGAAGGAGCACATCGTCAAGGGGGACATCATCCAGGCTGTCCCGAGTCAGAGACTGGCTAGACCGACTTCCCTACACCCCTTCAACTTGTTCCGTCAATTGCGCAGACTTAATCCAAGTCCATACATGTTCTACCTGAACTGTGGAGATGTCCAAGTGATCGGCGCGAGTCCTGAGACATTATGCAAGGTCGAAAATAGAAAGGTCTACAATCATGCTATTGCGGGAACTGTCAGAAGAGGGAAGACGGCAGAGGGTGAGCGATCTCTTCGAGGCGTTGCTGACAGTACAGAGGACGCCGCTCTTGGACTTGCTCTGCAGGCTTCCGAGAAGGACCGAGCAGAACATATCATGCTGGTGGATCTGGCTCGAAACGATGTCAACAGAGTCTGCAAGCCAGAAACGACCCATGTGGATGCCTTGATGAAGGTGGAGAAGTTCAGCCATGTCATTCATATGACCAGTATGATCAGCGGCATCTTGAGAGATGACCAGTCGAGGTGACTAGAATGAGCTCACAGAAATATATCTGCTGAGACAACCACCTCCAGATTCGATGCGTTCCGATCCATCTTCCCAGCTGGCACCGTCTCTGGTGCTCCGAAAATCAAGGCCATTCAGTTGATCTCTGGCCTGGAAAAGGAACGACGGGGTGTCTATGCTGGCGCAGTTGGGCGATTTGACTTTGATCGAAACGAGCTGGACACTTGCATCGCCATCCGGACTATGACTTACAAGGATGGGGTTGTCTATCTTCAAGCCGGTGAGTTTGGTCAACCTATTCTGATGCGTCCATCGTTGATGTAAATTCTCCAGGTGGTGGTATTGTCTTTGACTCCAATGAGGAAGAGGAATATATTGAGACCATAAACAAGCTGAAAGCCAACGTCAACTGCATAGACGAAGCTGAGAGGTACTACGCCGCATCTCAAGCGTAGAGTGCATGCTGTGAGATGCATGCAAGCCATCATGTCGCCACCCGGACCCGCCCGAAAGCGGAACCAAAATTTGGCAATTGCGTCAGCGGATTCGGACATTTTGCATGATCGTCGCTGTAGCTACAAGCTATCTACTTGCATATCCATTTGTAGCAGTCAGATCAACGCAGTAAGGGACCCAGAAGCGTCGAGGAGGCAGCCATGTGGTCTACGGGCGCGTTGACGGCTGCTCTGGCAATTTTTGCGAGATGTTCGCTGGCTCAGCAGCTGGTCGTACAGGGCAATGCCGGACTCGCCCACGTTTCAGTTGCTCTGCATTCGGACAAATCGGTGACAGTGGATGATGGTGAGAGCAGCTTTGGAGCAGGCTGAGCTAATACCTCAGTACCCTCAGACTCGTTCGCCGACACCATCGTTTCGGCTCTCTCACAATCCGACCAACATACAACGCTCATCCGCCTCCTACAGCGGTCCAAGTGCATCCCCCTCCTTGCCCATATAGGCAACGCGACGGTCTTCGCGCCGACTGATAAAGCCTGGAAAGCATGGGAAGATGATCATCGGCCTTCTTCAGAGGATCCGACTGGGCTGTATCGAGGCTGGCTATCTGCTAGAGGATTAGAAGAATGGACCTGGTCAGAAGATCAGGTCTTGGCCGCTCGAATCGAGAGTGGTGGCGAACGAGCGGAAGAGGAGAAGAAGCTGGACAATCAGAATTGGTGGTTACGGCAGCATCTTCTATACCACATGCTCAACTATACCCTTCCCCCATCGGCTTTCTTTCATGACAGTCCTGGAGACAAAGGAGCGATTTCTATGACAGACGCCGCGGTCTCTCTAGAGACAACGCTGCTTTTCCCTCTAACGGAAGAACCGCCTCTACCCCCAACGCCTCCTCCAGGTCCACCATGGCTTCCGAGAGGCGGTGAAGGACTGCTTGGTGGACACGGACAGAGGCTCCGAGTGGCTAAAGGCGACTCCGAGCACCGTGCAAAGGTCGGTGTGGACTGGACGGGATCAGGCGGAATTGAATTCTGGGATGGGAGCGGATGGCCTGTTCCCGATGACCAGAACAAGACCAGTGTGAACGAGGCTCAGAAGCGCAAAGGAGACAAAGGAGACCAGGAAGGGAATGCACCGAAGAAACCTTCGAATGCGACTGGTCCAGTGGCTCGGTGGGTCAGGAATGGTGTAGTGGTGGGGATACAAGGCGTTCTTGAGCCTCCTCTGAGCATTCGTAAGTGTTGTGCAAGATACGTTTATTCGCACTCATTTCTCGTATCTAGAGGAGATCATTCAATCCACGCCTGAACTATCATACCTTTCGCATCTGCTACCCTCCTCGCCTCCATTCCCGGATCCTCTGCCCGATGATCTCGCCACTGCACCACATTTGACAATATTTGCACCTTCGAACGAGGCGTTCAAGGGGGCTTTTGATGACATTGAACGAGGATACTTGGAAGGAGGGTACGGATCTGAGGGAATCGGCAGAGTAATTGGAGGGAGTGTAGTACTGGCAGTGGGTCGTGGACAGGTTGGTTGGAGCGATGCTTTCAAAGCGAATGACGACTCTGGTGAGTGGATTTGCCTTTTGTACTGGCCTGTCTAACGCCATGCAGTCGAAGCGGCATTCGGTCTGCACCTCATGGTCGAAGCCTCTCAAGGCCTCGCTGTCAACGGCACCAACGCCTCAGCCATCGACATCTTTGCGTCTAATGGTTAGTCGCTCGCTCGAGAAACGTCTGGCTGATTCTTCCAGGAGTCATACATATTCTACCGACCTTGCTCCTTCCAGCGAACTTTTCCCTACTCAACTCGGCCGAAAAGGTCTTGCTATCAGTCAACGCCACCCGGTTCGTGTCGCTTTTGCGGGATGCCAACTTGTCTTCTAAATATGTCGGTCAACCGGGACGCGAACAGGATGAGTCACAAGCATGGACCTTCCTCGCGCCAACAGACGATGTTATGGATATGATGGACCGATTTGGAGCGGACCTGGGTCCTCCGCTGCCACACGTATGGCAGCATGTGAAGAGAGACCAAGTGGTAACTCCGAATCACAGGAGCGTTCAGCTTGCCGATGAGCCATTCAAAGATGCTTCTCCGCTTGCTGCGTTGCTGCAGTACCATATCCTCCCTGGGCGGTACGACCCCTCCGACATCAAGGATGGCATGCTGCTAGGGACCGAGTTGAGGACGTCGTCGCTCAAGGGCGAGAGACAGAGACTTCGGGTGGACATCTCTAGCAATCGCGGGAAACTTCAGTGGGATACCGTTGGTCAAGGAGAGATCCGCTTCGGCGGTGCCAGCGTTAGAGGTAAACCAGGTGAGCTAGTGTGATTTCTCATGGCATCGAAGCTGACCGTTGCCGCAGTCCGCTCAGGGAAATCCATTATATATCTCATCTCGTCTCTGCTTTCACCACCTGAAGACGTGCTACAGACGGCTGTCTCGGATCTCCAGCTGTCCACGTTCATCGCTGCTGTCTATGCAGCGGATATGGAACGTATTGTCAAACATACTCCTGGATTGACCTGGTTCCTGCCGCGCAATCGCGCGTGTAGCGCTCTCGGTCTCGGTATGCAGTATCTCCTCTCCTCGGAGGGCAAGGACGAGCTTCGCAAGGTGTTGCGATACCACGCGATCGACGGTGTCATCTACTCTGCGGACATTGAATCTGGCAAGTCTGTCTATAAGACAATTGAAGGTGGCGACATCATCCTCGATCGATCGAGCGGAAAGAATGGAAACTTGAGTCTATCCAGTCCTACCAAATGGAAAGACCACGACTCTGGAGAAGCTTTTCCCGCAAATGGCGAACTACGGCCAGCAAGAATCAGCCAGCTGGATGCCCTCACGAGTACTGGTGTTGTGCACACCATCGACAGCCTTGAAATGCCCGCAGATGTCAGCTTGACAATAGCAAAGCTCATCCGAGGCTCGAAGCAGAACACAATGATGGATTTAATGATTCGAGCTGGAATGGAGTGGATCCTCCAAGGCCGTGAGCCAACGAACGAGGAAGTCAATGCGGCTCAGCTTCATGGAGTGGTACAGACTTGGAGCAGCGACGGAGAGAATGACGGCGATGAAGCCGATTCTTTGGCCATGCCTTCGTACACTGTTCTGTGTCCTTCGGACAAGGCGTTCTCCCGGATCAACATGTCACTCTATTTGTCCGACAAGGACGCCTTGCTTGATTTGCTGAAATTACACATCATCCCGACTCAACCTTCTACGCCCCGGACGATGAAAACCAAGCAGCCTGCGGAACCTCCGAAAGATGGTCAACCCTTGAGTCTTCTCGACGACTTGGTCTATGATACGCTGTACAGCTCCAAATCAAAGTATGGTCAACTCGCTTTCCGAGCTACAGGTGATAATTCTTACATGATTGGGATACGCAACGCGAGGAGCAGCTCTGAATCCGACAACAATGCTGCGCGTGTAGGTGCGAGTGGCCGTGGATCCGTTAGATGGAGACGGAATCGCGTTCCGGACCTTTGGATGGACGACACTGCATCTCGATATAAGCGATGGTTGAGCAGTAATAAAGACAAGAAAAAGACTAGTGAAGCTGAAGAGGATGATAAACGATTCGATCTGTGGAAGGGGGGTCTGGCTCTGGGTGGAGGGGTATTGATGATCGACAATGTTTTGGTGCCGTTTGAGCCCAGCTGGTTCTCGAGGTAAGTGCCAATCGGCGCAGCGCACCATGAGCGACAGAGGCTGAATGGATTGTACAGATGGGGATGGCTCATCGTCAGTCTCGTGGTGGTCGGAGTTGTATTGTTAGTTGCGGGTGCGACCTTTGTATGGTGGCGCATCTCGAAGAACAAGGAAGAAAAGTACGAGCCTTTAGAAGGGGAAGAGGAGGAATAGACTATGGAACTCTGTACCATCATCATTGGCTGTTCGACATTTGGTGTTACTGGGTAGATAGGTTGTATCGCTATTCTCAGCACTATACATGTAGCTCTCGAGTTCGTTCTTCCCTATCTCAATCTATTTCGCGAGCCTGCCATTGAAGAGATCCGCTCCGTCACTCTTCAACCCTCCTCTACCTACCACGAGCGGACTATGCCTGACTTCTCTTCCCGCCGCATCCAGTAATTGACCTCCATGAAACGTGCTCATTTCGTCCTGTTTATGGAGGTTGAAAGCTCCGGATCCAGTCGGACGCTTTGCACCTGGACCTTGGACATTGGCTTTAGTATCTGCGTGACCGAAGATCATTCCAGCTTCGGATCGAGTTGTGATCATATCGTTGTGATCGTCATCGTCTGGATGTCCATGGTGTCCTCCTCCACCACGGACAGACCCAGGTGATGAATCGAAGCTGTCATTGCCCAGTAAATCACTGTGATGAGCCATACCCGGCATCTGTTGAATGGTACCGCCACCTCCAAACACTGAATCGATATCCGCTGAATCTTCCTCGTCAAATGATTCGTCCGTGATGGGCGTTGGCTGTTCGTGGGGCTCATCGACGATATCTGAACCGAAGGACGTGTTGGCAATTGATCGTCGACTCGATCGACCAGGTTGAGACAGACGACCAGTGGTAGGATTAGGTCCCGACATCGCGGTCGAGGCGGGTATACCGCTTTTCCCAGCTTGATGATGAAGATGATGATCACCTTGGAACAATATTTTACCCTCTCCCTCGACTGCCTCCGGCACGACAGAGTATCTCCTGAAGATATCTGGAGTAGCAACTTTTGGCGAATAACTCGTCTGAAGCTCTTCCATCAGATCGTCAATGATCCTCCTTGCTCCGTCCACTTCCCGAGCCTTGCCTTTGGCATCTCCTACTGCGCCAGATTGCGTACTCGATTTCACTGGCGTCCTGCCGACGTTCATTATTGCCTGTGTCCTGGGAGGAAGCTGCCAGCTCATCGTGACTGGTGGGGAGCTTGGAAACTCGTGATCGAGATCGCTCATCTCGGCGATGATGGTGTTAGCGATCGATTGCTTGGGCTTCTTCATCTTGAATTTATGGTTCAGAGGCGTGGTACGAAGGTCTGTGACCCCTGTCGGACGTTGCGTTGGAGCGGCTCTAGGCGTGGTGCCTGAAGGTCCTGACTTCCGCGAACTTGAGCCTCCCTTGGAGGTCGTGGTGGTGAATGGGCCAGTGGGTCGAGATGGCTCAGAAGGCAGATCGCGTTCGACAGTACCCGTAGAGACATCTCCGATATCCAGATCATCTCGTCGGATGTCAAAGACAGGCATCGTATAGCCTGAAGGCAGTGATGGCGTAGGCAGATCAGAGCTCTCATTCTGTGGTCCAAGTTTCAATCCATCCAATTTCCTTTCGACCGTCTCGAAAGGTGATTCCAGCGTATCGTCATAGTCATCTTCGACCTGTTGATTCCGTTTCGAGCGAGAACTCGCTCTACCTCCAGGTACAGGTGTTGACGAGACATGATCTCCATCGTGGAACATGAAGGATCCTTCGGCTTGAGCTCGAGAAAGATATGGATCTCCCTCAATTCGAATCGTTTCATCTGCTATTCGATCATGTTCTTCGTCACCATCATCTTCTCCTCCGCTGTCAGAAAGATTCGATCGAGTCTCATTCGTCGTGGTCGTATCTCCCGGTACGTGTACTCTGATAGCTGAAGCAGCTTCAAAGAAGGAATTCCAGAACTGGGACACGGTCGATCAACAATCCATGAAGGGTAGGATGGAAACCGGGCAACACTCACCTGCGCAGCTTCTCGAACCGGTTCACTGGCGATCGCGAAACGCTTGAATTCAGGCAAGACTTTGGAGGTGATAATGGTGTGGAATTTGGCAAAGTTTGCATCAATCTCTTGCAGCAAAAGAGTGTTGAGTTGGTCAATCTGCTCCACTTGAGCGGAGATGGGTGCGGTAGGCGATACTCCCGGGATGGTGGTGAACGGCGGGTCGGTCAGAGATGGATTGGACGCCATCCTTAGCTGACACTATCAGGGTATCCACAGCAGTCGTACGAGTCCCAAAAAGATGATCAGACGACGGTACGCTCTAGTCCGCCGGTGAGAGAACGTTATGACATTTGTTGTCCGAGACCGACCCCACGAATCAATATTTCCAGACGCGCTTTCCAGTCGCGTCCTCACTATTTCTATGACGTGGCGCTGCCACGTGAGCTGATAAGAGCCGTATGAGGCCTGAACGTGGCGGATATCGCCGCTGACTGCTGTTTCAGCTGGAATGACCACCTTTTCTCTCAAATCTACTGGACGGTTTGCAGCTATAGAAGAGTACTATCGGCACTTCATTCATGTTACAGACTCTAGGAAATCAATCTGGCGCATAACCCACAATTGGTACAGTATCATGTCTGTCCCGTCGCCGAATCGACAGGGCCCATCGCATCGTATTGATACCTCCATCTGTCCACATTTACGTTCACTCATCGGAGGAGCCACATCGTCATCTGCAAATGGTATTGCTTCGGGCCAGCAATCCTCAGCATCTTCAAAGTCCGCAATAGCTACACCATACCTAGCTGTGGATTATGCTTCTCTTGTGGAAAAAGATGGAGAAACGACTCGCGCTGGTGGTGCTTCCGCAGAACAGCGGTGTCCAGTCGTCATGAGGCGGTTCGTACAAGTTGTGCGGTGGGGAGCGACGGACCAAGGTATAAAGCGTCGCAAGGTGAGCTCTCCATCATTCCCCTGTGTCAAGAGGCGACCGCGGCTGGCGACTGCTCAGCCCTGCCATTTCGCTGACACACCTCAGACCTCCGCTCCAGCATGTCACTCCTGTTCGTCACCCCTTTCTAGGCCATTCGCATGCCTCACTTGCGATTTTGTCGGATGCATATCCTTGACAGCCGGTTCATCGTCTTCCTCTAAGCAATGCATGAACGAACATTGGCGGAAATCTGAGGGAAAATGCGCTTTCGGTGAGTCTGTACGAGGTGCACACCACACCCATCCCGGCGTTTCAACCAACATTTCTGAATGTACCGATGACTTAGCTGTCGACTCGAGCTCTGGAGCCATCTTTTGCTCTGCCTGCAATGATCTCATTTACGCGGATACGTTTGAAGATTTGTATCGGGTCGCTCGTATTCGAGTGGAAGAGGAGAACGATAAGAGTCGGGAACAGGGTAGTATTGTCCGAGGGAGAGGACCATGGATGCCCTGGAAAGCGATTGCGGACTCTGCGTCTCGGCAGAGTGCGCCGTGTAATGGTAAGTCTGTTGCGATCACACGACTTTCCATCTTACCATTCCGTCATCCCACTAGGCCTACGTCCTCTGCTCAACCTCTCTCAAACTTGTTTTCTATCCGCCATACTCCAAGCTTTTATCCATAACCCATTGTTCAAAGCGTACTTTTTATCCGACAGGCACAACAGACATGTCTGTGCGAATGGCTCGGGAATCGGAAAGCTCATCACCGGGCCAGATGGTGCGCCGTCTACAGAGAGGGAGAAAGGATGCATGTGCTGCGAGATGGACAGAGCATTTGAAGAGGTCAGCGATCAGACCTGGAGAAGTGTAGTTGGAGCTCATTGAACCAAGTTTCACAATCATGACAAGGCGCCTTTCGGACCTATCACGATGTTATACGCCATGTGGCATGCCAGTGCCGAACTCGAGGGGTACGGCCAGCAGGGTGAGCCTAGTCTCACTCCCTGGAGAAAGCTCGCTCAGCTGATATGCCACAGATGCTCACTCATTCTTTCTCGCTGCCCTCGAGCAGATCCATACTCATGCCAAAGGTCAACTATCAAGCTGTAACTGTATAGCTCGTAAGGCGTCCCTTTGTCTGGCCTTGTCCCCGTGCTGACTTACTACCTCGCTCCCCAGATCAAGCGTTCCTCGGGTCTCTCTCTTCCTCTGTGACATGCTCAAATTGCAAGACGACATCTACGACGGATGATCCGATCCTTGATGTTCAACTTGATTTCCCGTCTGCTCTCACGGAGGGACACGAATTGACCTTGGCAGCCATGTTGAGGCGGTATTGTTCGGAAGAAAAGGTCGGAGATCATGGGAGAGGCTACGATTGTTCGTCGTGTGGTGGTGGACAGGGCGTCGTGAGTGATTACAGTATTGGCGAAGCTGGATCCCAAGACTGATGCGATCTGGCACGTGTTTCAGGTGGCCACCAAAAAGCTATGTATCAAGAAGCTTGCTCCGGTGCTGTCGTTTCAACTCAAGGTGAATTATTGTCCGCCTTGTATTTCGCTTCTAGGGAGCACTCACGCTGATACCCCGCAGCGCTTCGCTCACAATGCTACGTCGAGCAAGATTGAACATGCCGTTAAATTCCCATCGCATCTTAACATGCGCCCCTTTGTCGATACCACAATCTCGTCGCCTGACGGATCGAAACAAGTACCCAGTACGCCTGGATCTATCCCGCTCTCCGTATATGACTACGACCTTTTTGCCGTGGTGACGCATGAAGGCAAATTGGACAATGGTCACTATTGGGCAGACGTCTGGAGTAATGGCGAGTGGTGGCATTGCGATGATGACAAGGGTGAGTGTTGTCTTCCCTGAGGTGATGAGCATAAGCTGAACGGTACATTTTTTTAATCACGCTCGCTTCGTCTTCGCTCGGTCTCACAGTCACACGCACGACACTCTCTCAAGTCTTGGCTCAAAATGCCTACATGTTATTCTACGTCAAGCGATCATTATCTTATGCGCAACCTCATTCAAAGCTCTTAAACCACGCCAATGGAGATTCCGTCAATGGACATGTTCCGAATAGCAATAGCTCGACGGGTATTGTCAACGGTGGCAGGATCGCTCAACCTGCCGGAACGATCTAAGCCCGTCAAAATGTCTCTCAGACCCCTGATCTGTCCTCTGTCATTATTACTTAGACCCAGTGTATTCTTCAACATATCATTTTCTGTCGTCACCATCTTTTCAGTACTCGATTCCAATAAACTCTCTCCCGCCTCCTCATCAACCTTCTCGCTCCGCACATCTCACATCATTCAGTCTCAGTATTGTTTCATCGCATAGTTAGCCGTATAGCTTAGACACCCTCGAGTTCATGCCAATCTCTGACCTCTCTCTCACGAGACATGGTGCAAAATTTGTATCTGCATGTTATGAAGAAAGCCATCTACAGTGCAAAAGGGGCAACATGGGCGTTTTGTAGAGCACGTCAAAGACGGTGGCCGTTTGATCTTGTCTACAAGGGGGCAAGCCTAGATTATACTACGGAGTGCTTTGAACAACGGTTTCGGGATCCGAGGAGCATAAGGCCAGCCAGTTTTGTACAGCGATCCATCCAACGTTTATATACATGTTGTTTCTTTGTTGTTGTTGATGCCGGCGTGTATGCGGTCGCAATGTGATTTCGAATGTTCTCAGGAGTTGAGTTTAGGTCAGCATGAGTGGGTGGATGCAATGTTGACAAGCAGCGCTGGTCGAGACGTCCACATTCCGGAACGCGGGCGGTAGTCTTTTCATGGGTACGGTTGAAAGATTCGAGCAAGCTGCGATTGATGAGCGTCGACAGAATAAAGTATCGACAGGTGAACAAAGTTTGATCCGATGACCGCGAAATTTGACATCGATCGACATGTGCATCGTATTGCGACATCGCTTGATGAAGGAAGTGACAGGAACAATTGTAGAAAGACAGGTCGGAGAATATGTCAAGTTTGCGGCTCAGGTGCAAGTTTGATACCCCTAGCACCAAATAGAGTTACCAGTCGAAAAGTCCCAAGTCGTCGACGAAAGACTGCTTTTGGAGGGTCGATCCTGTCCGTCGGTCGGGAGGGATTGGACGCCGGATACATCCTGAGAGTCTTGTTGAAGCTCTCTAGCCATTCTCTTGCCTACCGCTGAACCAAGGGATCCAGAATTCAACACGCTATCGGAGAACGAGGTCGACGGACTGTATGCCGCGACGTCCACGCCGAGACCATTTTGGATCCAATTGGAGGATGCTGTCAACGGCGTAGGAAGCATCTGAGAGGTGGACGAGAGAGATGTGGAGATGGATCCGGAAAGAGACGATCCCAACATGTTGGAGGTACTCTGAGTCGACGCTTGATCCGTCGCGGCGGTGGACGCGAAGGTTCTCGACGCGAGGTTGTTGTGATTCGTGTTGAGGGGAATATCGAGTCGAAGTCTCGGTTCAGATCGTCGAGCAGGAGTTTGAGAATTAGCCTGAGGTGTTGAGCCTTGAGCAAATCGTTGACCTAAGCCGACGACGCCCATACCGTCCAATGAGACATTGACAGATTCCTGCTTGGCTCGAGTAGAGAACCATTCCGCCACAGTTGCCAAGTCCGGCGAACGACCGTTGCGAGGGATGACTGTGACCTCTTTAGATCGCTTCGTCGATCCTCCAGAACCTATCGGAGCGATGTCAGAGCTGAAAAGCGACGATTCAAGTTCGTGTCGTTCGTCGACAGTCGACAAGGGTGCCGAGGCTCTGCGCATGTCCAGGCGATGATGGGGCAACGCTTCAACATGAAGTGCCTGTGAATTGTATCTGGCCATCGCAGAGGTCTGGATGGGCGACTCGCGATGGGTCTCACTCTGATTGTAGAGCGGTTTGTGAGGTTCAGGAGGGGGAGTCAAAGGAGGAACGGTGCTCTCGAATGGCACTCGGAGTTCATGGACCCCATGAGCGAATTGGCAGGCTTCACCATATCGGCAATGGCCGACCTCATGCCATGCACGGCAGAGCTCCGTCTTGTAATAGATCGATTGGTAGGATGCAGGAGATGCGGTATTCTTCGTCGAGAGAGGCGAGATGTCTGCCGAGTTTCTCGATTGCACTCGTTTATATGTGAGGGAAGCAATGCTCGCACTCGGAGTTGCAGGACTCGATGGTCCAAGATTTGCTGAGAATCGACGGGTGGATGGAGGAGTCGCCATGCTGATCACCGATGCATTCTGTCGAGTGTCCTTTTGAGGGGTACTGAAATAATCATCGCCTTTTATGGAGATAGACCCAGTAGGAGTGTAGACTCCAGGCGAGTCAAACGGTCGAGTCTGAGACGAGGCGAGGGAAGGATGTGCAGACAAATTGCCGTATGCCGAGATCGTTGATGAGACGGAGGGTAAGGTTCCCGATGGAGAAAGTGATGCGAGTCGAGGAGGAAGCATACCAGAATTTGACGTGGCACTGGAAAGACCATGTTGCGGCATACCTGCCACTCCGACGGGCACACGAGCGGCGCCGAACGATTCGAATCGACTCCAAAGCCGCTCCGGGATCCCATTCCCTTCACCGGGGAATATGAGCATTGTCAATGCCGGAGGGAGGAGATCATCTCGTCCAGCTTCAGACAGGATTGTGCCTCTGAGTTTTGCAGGGTTGGTATTGAACAATTCCCAAAGAGCTTGATCGTATCCGCTTCGCTTGCGAGTCTCTTCGTTGACACCTAGGGATGCGTAAGCTGAGAGGGGATGAGGGTAAGCAGAGTTGTATGGCTCTGGCAAGGGGATGTCCCCGTCGGTGTATGGTGGTGGATCAAGGGAGAACTCTTTGGTCTTGGATGTACCGAAGGGTGGAGTGGGAGGAGCTGTCGTAGGTCGCGTCTGAGCATATCGAGTGTCGGACAGTGGATCGGCAGACGCGATAGATGCATCGCGGAGGAGTGACGTGGTATCGTATCGAGCAGCTTGGGGCTCGTGGAGAGGTACAAGCTCGATCGGTTGATAGAGGGACGAAGGGCGTCTAGGCCACTCAACTGTTGGAAGCGAGGCGGATTCGGTGGTGGAGGTCGAATCGGCTGAACGATGCTGCTGAGCGGACGCAAAGTGCGTGGAATGGGTTGAGTGTGTGGAGATTAAGTCCTGGCTGGGTTCTGCTGTAGTGTATCAGTGTGAACCCATGAAGTGAAGGACCACTTCCACTCACCATGCTTGAAGTCGGTCGTGGCGTCAGCCTTTTCAGCGGTAAAAGCGGATCCGAATTTTCGGATCGCTTGACCCATATTGTTGGCGGTTGAAGTGTGTTCCTCTGACTCAGCCCGGCGAGCGACAGGATCCGAGGGCGAACGATGCTGAATGACAGGGGAGAAGGGTGAGAAAGCGAAAGAAGAAAGAGTTGTATGGGTATCGACTGATTCCACCGAAATAAAATGGTCCTTTGAATCGCGCTGGTTGACTGGATCATGGTGTTCGCGAGGGAACTGATAATCTTTACTATTGACGCCTCGATTCGGCGAGCTCGAAGTGTATGGTAGTCTGACTTGGATGAGTTGATCCTGAGTGAATGGTGAGGGGTCGAGGTCTGAGCAATGGTTTGAGAGTGAGCAGGTGTAACGTGCTTGACATGAGTAAGAGGAGAGATGCTCACATGGGTGATCTAAAATGGATGGGGTCGAGGGTCTCTCATCTGAAGGCGGGTCAGTATCAAGGTACAGCCCAGATGCGAAGAACTCAAGCTCACCTGGAGTGTACTGCGGGATATCCCGTTGGTCAAAGAATGATGGTCTTGAATGCGTTCCTGCAGCAATCGGCCCTGTTCTAGATGGTGAAGCATGGGAGAATAATCGGTGAACAGGTAAAGGTTGAGAAGTAAGAGCTGGAGATGGGTGGACCGTATGAAAGGGAGGATAAGGCTGACTAATTCTGCGTTCGGAACTCATGGTGATTGAGGGTCTGGGGGATATGCTGCACCGTGTCAGCGTGGAATGACACACCCGTTGATCATCATCATCATCACCAATCCACCACAACACTCCCCTCACACATGCTCGCACACGTACGCACACACTCACCAAGGATCCAAAATAAGTTCGCCCTGAGCAACGTGACTCGTTATGTCATGAAAGGCTGGGCGGGCAGGGAGTAGATCTGTGTGAATGAATTGAGCGACGATCACTGCAGTCAGGCAAAAGGGGAGGAGGATGAAATCGAGTGGACGAGAGAATGTGGTATGTTGTTTAGATGGACGGAAACAAGATGGACTCAAGATGGACTCACTGGATGTGACTTGGATGTACCTGATATCAAGGGTGATCGTGTGTATGTGTGTGTGTGTGTGTATGTGGTGTATCAGAGTAGAGCTAGGGGGTTTCGATGGGGGCACGTGTAGGAATGGTTGTGTGATGAAGATACGTGAGGATGAGGATGAGGAAGAGGAAGAGGACGGTGAGGATAGTTGTGAGGATGGTGACGAGGAGGAAGCGGAAGAAGAAGCAGCAGCAGCAGCAGCAGCACATAACATCATGTCCCCATCTACCAACATATGTGATGGTGTTTGATGATCAGACTGAGAGAGAGTGGGGTGAGCCCAGGCGTCTGAAAGGATCCTTTGAGACACACATACACTGTTTTACCCCTTACCTTTGAGGTTGGTCGTGGTGGTGCGCCACGATTACAGAGCGTTCGTTAAGCAAACACCGGTGGGAGAATGAGGCATGAGATAGAATCACTTTAACAGCAGCTGCCGCGACACTCGATGATCAGCGCAGGTCAGTGAACATCAGAATCAGTCATTCAGTCAGTCGGCCAGCCAATCTATCATCACGTCTGTCTGCTTCAGCGTTGGGGCATCATAGCCTTCGGGACCAATTTGTATGTGATGGTGATGGTGGCGTTGGGGTGTGACTCTTGACCTTCTCAAAGGTATCGTTCTGCCTGACGACCGACACACACACTCCAAATGACGTGTTATTTGATGAACACCCAAAAGGACATTGATGGCGAGTGGCTGAAGATCGAAAGGGAGGGGGACGCGGAGGGAGGGAGCAGCTCCAGATTCTCAGCTGATGGCTCGGGATCGTAAATGGGTTGGTGGCTGCTTTGACCAGTGGGATATCAGTCAGCACATCAGTGAACTGGATGGTTTAAACTCACCCATTCACTCAAATCTCCTCTACTGCTAGCCTGCTCAAGTGAATCCAGCCTCCGCCAACAGGAGATCAAATGACAATACCTCACAGACCACACAGATCCTCCGTCTGCTGTTCATGCCAAAGGCCCTTTCCTTCCAAAACTCTGCAAATGAGCTCTAAACTGCATGCACCACACCACACTCCCTGTTCCATCCTCCGATGCCAAAAGTGTTATAGACATATACTATACAATGAGTGTGAAACCAACCACAACAGATACTTTCACCGCCTGACTCAGTCATCCGAAAGCCATCGATACTGGGTAAATGGTGTCAATTCCCAGTCGCAGTGACTCGCGCGTCAATCGAGTATCTCACCTCGAATCTGAAATCAGACTTCTTCCTCTGACACCAGCTATTCTCCCAATCAAAGTAGAAATATCCACCTTGCTCATAATCTGAAGTGACAGCTTGCGGATTGTGAGCACGTTGGAACCAGGTGAGGTATTGCTTGTGAAATCGCCACGATTGGCGCTTGAGTTCTTGGGCGGCGGCCCATCTAAGCGAACATAGCGAACACGCCGAGCGCAGCGAGCGGAGTGAGGGGAGTAGGAGGCACCAGCGAAGCAAAGCGATCGGGTGCCAGCGAGCAGGCGTCGCAAAGATGAGACAAGGCAAAAAAACAAAGAAAACAGAAATGTCAGCGCAAATTCCCCCAGTCACAGTCTTTACGCACTGCTCATAAGTCCCCGTCATGTAATAGAAGACAAAGAATAACTGATCAATCTCCATCCGCTGATACGACCGTTTGTCCTCCAATATCGGCAAACGCGTTTGAGGGTAGTATGAGGGCGTCTTGATAGGGGTTCGAGGGTGGTAATACCGCGGTCTGGGCGGAATCAGCAGATGTGTGTGTGGATCGACTTACGGTTCGGAATCTTCCAGATGCGGCGCATTCAGGTACGAGGTGTCTAATGCGGCATTCAATTCGTTGATATCATTTGATCGTCTCTCAGCTGTGTAATCAAGTAGGCATTAGCATGGCAGGACCATCCGCCTCATGACTTACACGACTCCTTGGCCATGTCAAAGCTGTGCATGAGATTGCCCATGACGCCTTGAGGTGCTCCAGCAGAAGGCGGACTGGTGACTCGTGATCCGGACGCTTGGTTTTGAATGGGTTGCTGCGCTGGTGGGCCTTGAGCGGTCGAAGCAGGTGCACGAGCTGTCTGTGGATCGGATGCGGTTCCAGGCTGCGTCTGCGGCGCAGTGGGGTATCCCGGAGGTGCGGAGACGCCTGGCGGTGGTGGAGGTGCTGACGCTTGTTGGGTTTGAGCAGGGGCTTGTGCAAAGGGCGGAGCGGGGCCATTGGTAGATACGGGAGAGGTGACAGTGTTGGAAGGAGCAAGAGGGGCGGGGGATTTGGAGAGACCTGGTGGTGGAGGTGGCGCACTGGCACTCTGGAAAGGCTGCGAGAGCGGATCGTCAACTCATTTGAAACTCCCCGCGACTTACGCTGGAATCCTTTGGTGGCTCCGCAGAGGATGGTGGCGGCGGAATACTCGTGGTGTTCGCAGTGGCCGATCCTGTCGGTGCGTCTTCCTTCCGAGGCGAGTCAGAAGGAACGGGCGCAGGAACGGTAGGCATGGCAGGAATCTGAGATGCCACTGCAGCTGCAGCCGCAGCAGCGTATCGAATCGGAGGGAGAGTCTTCGTAACTGGTGTCGTACCCGTTGGCTGGGCGGCTGCAGGAATTTCTTTCGAGCTCGCATCCGTTTTGACAGCCGCCTTCTCAGGCGTAGCGGCGGGCTTCGTCTCTGCAGTCGTCTTTCGTACAGGTTGTTTCTTGCCCGCTATGGGACTCGGTGGATCCTCTAGAGCAGCCACGGCCGACGGTCCACTGGTACCTTGAGACATGGACAAGGACCGACTGGCAGGCGTAGTCTTTTTATGCCCTCCTCCACTATCCTTGTCATCTTTCGCCGGTGTCTTTGGTAACGGTAACGGGGCCGTATCGACGGTATCAGCAACGGATGCGGAATCAAGGTTGGACGTTTCATCATTGTGAAGGTCGCCAGTATAGTCATCTTCGTCGACAAGGTTGAGTTCATCGTAGATTCCTTCGTCTTCTTCAAAGTCTTCCTCCTGCGCGCGTAAAGATCAGCAATGGAAGATCGGAACAAAGAGACTGCGTTTTGCTCACCGTATTCGCCTCGACAAAGTACTTGACGTCCTCTTGAATCGCCTCCACCTGATCTGTCTGTAATTGCCCATTCTCTAACATCCGCTGGACGACTTCCAATCTCGCGATATGCCACTGTCTCCTCTCATTCAAGGTCTCTAATTCACCCAGTCTGTCTGCTCCCTGCCCTTTCTTCTTCTTGCCCGTATTTAAACTCTCAGCTTCCGCTTCTGTCAATTCAATTTGACGTGATAGTTCATCGACTGTGTTGCCTATCCAATCGACAATCTCCCGTTTCGCCTTCTCCGCTGGATCCAATTTAGATTGAGCTATCAGTCCTTCTTTCGAAAACGCTTTCATCTTCATCTCTTTTTCCAGCGCTTTGAACCGCTCCATTTGCTAACGAGACGAACTTCAGCGCGTCGTCCATATCCTAGACGTTTGGCTCACTGTCTCGATCGACTTTCTCCCATCTATCAAAGCCGTTTTATCCTTGATATCACTACTGGATATCCAGGATTTGATCTGATCACGTATTCTCTGAAGCTTTTTGATCTGCGTCTGAAAAGGAGGGGTCAGACGGTCAGCTTATCAGTCAAGGGTTGAACACGAGGGAAGGTTTTTCGGTTGGTAGATTGCGAAGGAGGAGCGAGTACAATATGTCAAAGTGGGAAGAGGGAAAAGTGAAGGATAAAATAGAAACTAGGCATACTCTGCATACCTTCAGATCAGTCTCGACTTTTTCCTTCTGAGTCGTACTGGAGGCATGTTGTAGTTTCTCAAAAGTCGATTCAAAGGTTTCTACACCGACAGCGACGGCCTTGAGAGTCTTATCGATCTCGGCTGGAATGGGACAAGTCAATGAGTGAAGTGTGACGAGATCAAGAGTGCCGAGAGGGTAGGGAGTTTATGGTGTGCACAGAAATCGGACATGAGTGAGCGGCGGCAAGAGTGATAGGGGATAGCCGGATCAACGGGGGTGGCATGGTGTACGGAGCGGAATACCCAATGATCAGCCATGATCTGGCAGTTGCGCGTGAGATGAAGCCTGCTCACCCTGTAGTTTACGCTGCGCCATCTTGAGCGACGTCTATCAGAAGCAAGTAGAGAGCGGATCGTGCAATTGAATGTCAAGCAAGATGAGAGTTCCAAGGATCCCAACGGGACATTCGGAATTGGGCAAGTAGAATTATTCTCCCCTCGAATTGAATTTTACTCCCGTTATTATTTCCAACTTTCGACCGTCCATCCTTTCAGCACCAAATAACTCATGACTTGCTCCATCGTCTCTTGTTATCGTCCATACGTGTCCTGCGAGGTCCAGACCAGCTGTGCTGCATGCTACAAGCGTCCTAGACTCCCCCTATCGCCTCTGCGACACCGTTCGAGCTGAGTAGCCCCGGCACGCGGCATTGAACGATGCCAAGCCAGCGTTGATCGAACCGTTCTACGCGAGTAAACAAGTCTCTTCGAACTTCGTGACCTTGAGCTCTGTTGTCTAACTTGACATCACTCTAACCTTTCTTACTTGTTAAACTTTGCTGCACAGCCGCCAGGCTTCCGTCATCTGTCACGCTCGTCCATTCCCGCTACCATCCCCTCTCACTGATTCCTTCGTCACATCGTCTCCGTCAAACGCTTGCGCCCCGGTCTCTCAACCCTTTCCTACCTGGTCGCACTCGTAAACAATGGCTCCGAAATCACGTCAAGCCGCTGAGGCGCCCCAAAGTAAGCGGACACAACCTGCTCGGCCTGGGACGTCCAAAAGTTCAAAGACGGCACCTTCGAAGGCTGCCGGTTCCAAGGCCAAGGGCGATGCAATTCAATATTTCTCCAATGAGGAATTGGGTCCGTATGGTCTTCTCTGGGAGCAGGATATTGCGACGGCGCTTGCCAGGAAACAGCCAGGGGATCCGATACATGACGATCAAAAGGTCATTGATTGGCTTCAGAAGACAGGAAAATGCAGAATCCAACCCCCAAATCATGCCTTCGATCGGATGTTCCCAACATACGCAGCGAAGTTTGGTTTCAGACGGTATGTCCCGAACTCGAACAGTCAAATCTCTCAGGGTTACCGTGGTCCACAATGCAAAATTACCCAAGTCACGCACGACGGTAACAAAATCAGCGAACGCTTGGCGGGTTGTCATAAAATTCGGTCGTATCCTGCTTTTTTGTATACCCAGTGAGTCATTCGCACTGCATTCAATTTCACATACTCTATTCGAAGCTTCGATCCCGGTTCGGGACAGTCTCGGGTTTCATTCGAACGAGGAGATTTGCTGATTCTTCATCTAGTCCTGATGTCCAATGTCTGAGCTGTAAAAATAAGAACCTGCAATGCCAGATCTGGCGGTACGAGCCGGAGAAGGTCATCTTGGACAATGGAAACTCGATCTGTGAAGCAGTGTGTCATTTCGCCTGCTGGCAGTGTTATACCAGCACTTCTTCGACCTGCTCATTGAATTCGGCGCCCGTTCGAGTGTCTATTGATGAAAGTGAGTCGATCTCGGACAACATGGATGGCTGCTTCGTTCGAAGGGTCCATTCTGTCCCACCATCCGAAGGAGAAGACGAGCTGGATGACGATGATCAATTGGATCTGGAGCAAGCAAGTCCAAGTCTCGAAGCGCCACAAGCTGCTCTTTCAAGCCCTTCTACCGTTCGCACGAAAAGGCCATCTTCCGCCCCTCATTCGGATCCTCAACCTGTGAAGGCTCCACGAACGTCAAACGAGTCGGCACCCAATCGTCAAATGAGAGGGGACGAACGACTCAGCATGCTCGGTACGACTTCGACAGCACGGGTAGATGTCGATTTCCCAATGTTTGACAATCTTGTCTCCACCAAAGCCTCCGAATCTCCTCAAGACCCCCCCACACCTTCACCCCTCCCCGCATCCGCTCACAATCTCCAAAAGTCTCCTCCACTGGATTCGTCTAGTAGATCTGCTTCGAATGACGTTCGGCCTGCTAAGACTGGTGACCGCGCTAGAGCCTTTCTGGAACAGATGAAGAAACGCAGCTCCTCGCCTCAATCCTTCCAGCCCTCGAATCCTCAAAGTGTCGTGATACCTCCCAGCAATCAGTCTGCTCCCGCTCCTACTCCGTTCGCATCCAAATCCGGCCTCCATGTTATTAATCCCGCCAAAGCCATGTTCAAGCCTGGATTGACCGAACCATCTCGATTGGCAGAACACAAAGACGCCCAAACCGCAGCAATTCCTCCAGAACCAACTTCGATTCCGTTGATCAAGGATCACGTCACCAAATGGACAGAGCTGAACAAGGAGAGGAAAGAAAGCGTTGTGACACTCAAAGCACAGTTACAAGCGTTCAGTGCCAAAGTGGAACAACACTCGTCTGGCCTGATTGCAGCTGGCGATCAGCAGCTCGCACTGTTCGAGGATGTTTTGGGGGCCATCGAACCGCTGGCAAAGGAGAACAGCAACCTTGTTGCCCGTTCGAAGGAGCTAGAGGGGCAGATATCTGGGTTTGAGTCTAGACTTGTGGCATACGCGGACAAAGATGCTGAGAGGCAGAAGGAACTGGAGATGGTGGAGAAGAGTCTGGTCGAGGTCAAACAGCAGTTGGAACAGTGTCAGGGACAACGCGACGCAGCGGAAAATTGTCATATCAACGCCGTTCGAGAGCGTCAAGCTGCTGTCGAACAGCGCGACAAGGCGTTCGAGAGTGTACGACAAGCAGATTTGAAAACCTCTGCAGCCGAACGCATCTCTTCTGAGGCTGCAGCAGCGGTAGAAGATGCTCTCGCCAGAGCTACGGAGTCTGAAAGGCTGCAAGCCGAGGTAGACAACGAGCTGAAGGTCATTCGAGCCCTTTCAGATGCTCAGTCGGCTGAGATCACTTCCCTCAAGCGGCAGGCTCAACAACTGCAGGGCGGCCTGCCACCTCCTCCATTGCCACCGACCATCATCCAAGCTGGCTCACCTTCAGCTCTCAAACCGCTTCCCCCTATTCTCAAGCCGATCACTCAAGAGGAGAACAAGAAGCCAGGGCGAGCCAAATCAATTCCCCTGTAAGGTGACGCGCTATGTATGTACCCTATTGTATAATGTTTTGGATTGTTGTGAGCTGGTCTGAACATATGCGCATCATTCACGATAAAAAATGCATACAAAGGGACTTGGGATATATATTAGTCTCATTCGAAGGTGTATTGGTATATGTTCGAACGAGCATTCACCCGATTCGTACGCACTCGAACGAGGATCCTTGACACTTATTCCCATTCGAAATGTCCAGTCAAGCTTTCCATCTCATGTTCAGTCGTCTCATGTCATGCATGAGCGTTCGGACGATACCAATTCATCTCTTCTACTGGCTATTTGAATGGCCCTGCCGATTTCCGCCCTCCTTAATGAACTGTATCAGGTCCTGTGTCTGGGATTCTGAGAGCAAATTTGTGAAGTTTCTGTCCTTTGCTGCCTCGCACAAGACAAAGTGTAGGAACCTCATTCTGAGCTGAGAGCTTTCCTTTGAGGAGACGAACGATCGTGCGGTCCCAATAGCAGTTCGAGTCGGCTGTACGCCTTGCATTGCAAGAAATGCGGCTGCAGCTGCCATCGGCCCACAGCTGTGAACATCATTTTGTGTTGGCCACTGAAGGTTCTTCATATTCGCCTACATGGCATCAGCATCTAATCTCCACCGCTTTGACCGACCGCGGTGTTCGTTCCATAAAGCCATCCAGTGTTGAATTCTGGTTCCACAAGCCCTGACCCCGCCTCCCATTCGAGACGAGAATCGAGTAAATGCGGCCAAGCCTTCACGAGCGTCAGTTAAGTTGGTTGATCTCCAGTTGACACCCTCACCTTTGTGACTGATCTGTGATCAGATCCCCCCCCATCGAATCGTAGATCAAAGTCACCCTCTCGGACGCAGAGACTATCACCGCCGCGTAATGCAGCTCACTGACACCGACAACACTGACCAAGAGCTTGTCTCTCCAGCGTGAATCTTTTCCCAAAGAGGGAAAAGGTTGATGACGCTGCCAATTGAGCTGGATTCCTCCTTTGCGTGCGACGAAGGAGAAAAGCTCTGGCACAAAGACTGCTCCATTTGCAAGTCTGGTTGTCGACGCCCGCGCTCGCAAATTACAGAGGAAGTTGATGAAAGGTGCTGACCACAAGGTCGTTCCGAAGAAGAACGACTCAAGCTCCTCCTCTGTTCGCCACCCCAAATCTTGATCAATTTTGGCAAATGCAGCCGATTTCGCGCGATTGTGAGCATGCAGGAAGGTATGTAATGGAGCGCAAAGAGAACGAATTTTCTCCGCGAGCTGAGAGGAGCAGACCGGCACCATCGGAGCTATTCGAGAGGTCTGGAGATTCAAGGCCCGTAATCGCATCAGATACGGTTCCATGGATGGGTTATCCCTGAGAATGACTTGATTGTGGTCTGATACGGTCACCAAGGAGCGCAGTTGTTTCGGTTGATGTGCTCTTGATAGCTCTGTTCGGATCGTGTCAGTCTGCGCCAAATTGAAACCTAGAGTAGAGATCAGTCTGGTCTTGGATTGAAACCTACCAGTCGACTGTGCTTTTCGAATCTCTATCCTTTCAAATATAAGCATCAATGGATACCTGCCCTCACGCCATGCATCAACGGGAGATGACGCTAGGCGAACCCGATGATCGTCAATGAGCCACCAGCGATCGGCTTTGGGCACCAATGCTACGTAATGGCCGGTGTCGGCCTGCGGACCAATTCGACAGATTATCCCCTTGATCCTCCACATCGAGATCTGTGTAGCATTGTCCATACCTCGCTCTGTGAGCTCCATGAAAGAAGGTATCCTGGTTGAAGCTACGTGGAATGGCGCAGCTGCTCCTGCGTGTTCCATGTCGCTGTGAGACCATCGAAGCTGGACCGTTAGTAGCTGACTGGTGCTTCCCAGCCGCGAAACCTCTTCGTGAGGACCGATGATGCCACATGTGGGTGTTTGACACTGCATGGTTCGCTTGTGTTCAATCTTCAGATCGCTCAGCAGGTGATCTACCACAACCTTTGATTGAGCGTTCTGAGGTTCGAAAAACTTTCCGGACGAAATCATGAGAGAATAGTGCTGAGTTTCACGACATTCGAGCCGAAGACCAAAGCACGCGTCGCATCTGTCGAATGATAACACGGTGGTTTTGAACAGGTCTGAATATTTGGTGCTGTTATCGAAGCGGTCCCATACAGCAATGAGCTTTAGAAAAATTTCCGTTGGATCTTGCTCGGCGTCCTGAGGTCGGATATACCCTTGCGGTGCTGTGAGCTCCAGTTCCTCTGAATTGATCAGTATCATAGAGCCAATCAATGGGTCTGCTCACCTGCCAAAGCGGCGGTCAGGTTGGGAAGAGTTTGATTAGACGCACTGCCGTCCAACTTCCTATTAATAACGCCTACAAATTGACGATATTGCTCCTGCGATGACGAAAGCGCCGTTCCTGCTTCGCGCCAAGCCTCAACTGTGCTTTCCAGCCACACACGGATGTTACTCAGGACCTGGAACAGGCTGAGCGCATAGCATTGGTTTCCTATTCGAACGACTCCCATCGGCTGCATATCTCCGATTCGATCCAGTTCTTGTTTTCGTAATAACGTTTTCTTGCCGAGCTTGCGCCGGGAAGGATGCAGTGACTGTTGCTTCGCGGGGCGTCCCATTGTTTGAGACCCGATGACCTGACCTCCTTGCTTGGAAGGCATGAGGTCCATGCCCTCATCACCAACCAACGCATCTACAGGACTACCCCAATACGCCTGGAAATCGCGTCGTTCATTGAGTTCGGACGTTTCCTCGTTCGTGGGAGGATCTGGGAGCCGTGAGGCAATTGCCTCTGCGTCGCGAAAGTGATCGGTGACCGTGCCGCACCTGTTGACAATCTTCAATGCCAGGAGATGGGCGCAGCTCTTGCCAGTATACTCGAAAGCTTCACACTCGCAGACTGGCCTTCTTCCGTTTCTGGCATGCCCAACGTAGTATTGGCGACCAGTGACAAAGACATCGTCGGCTGCTGAAGATTCTCGAACCAAGTAAAGCGGTGATTCGTATCGCATTCGAATGACTGTCGGTAACGATGAAAGTGGAACTTCCTTGATACCGTCATCCTCCCAGATGTCCATTGCTGTTCGTAGCCGCTTAGCTAGATCTCTGTTGATCCTAGGATCGCCTCGATCTCCCTTCTCGTAATACGGGAAGTAGATAAAAACAAGTATATGGAGCAGACGGTCGAGCCTTCGAGAAGCATCAGCAGTGTCTTCGTAACAGATGTTGTGAATCCCACCGCCTGTTGATTCGACAAGCCAGGAAGACTTTATCAAAGACGCGGAAGGCTGCCTCTACAAAATTGTTCGTCGACCAAGGCCCGTCCCTGTTGTCTATGAAAGGAGGAAGTCCCATGTCGATAACAGACATAAGCCACCTCTCAGAAAACCACTCTCGGTGGAAATACTGATGAAGATGATTCCAAGCCTCCAAATCGTGTCCACATAGTTGAAGGACTTCCTGCTTTAAAGCCTCATAATACTCGGGCCATTTGGTCCGATCGTCACATCTTTGAGCCCTTCGAATGGCATCGAGAATCTGTTCTGAGATCCAGTCACCTCTCTCCCTTCTGCCAAAAATCCTCTGAAGCCGTCCTCGAACGGCTTGAATAAAATGAAACTGGCACATCCTTATCGCAACAAAGGGCCATTCTTGTCGAATAGCCTTTCGTTCAGCGTCATCTCCATCTATCATGATAGAAATAGGGGTGTACCCGTCCTCAACGATGATTCGGCAATTGCGTAGGAGGGTGGCCCGCGGTCCTTCCTCATCTGGTATGGTTGTCGTTACTTTGCCCTTCAGGAGGAGCTTGGCTCGGGCTTCGATTGCCTTGCGGAAGCCATGTAGCAGCCATCGATAAGCCTCGTGATCATGATAGTTTGACACCATGGCTGCCACTATCCTTTCAGCATGCTATCAGTCTTCGCACCAACCTGGCTCCATATGGTGTGCTTCATTTACCACCACTAACAGAGTGAGGGGGCAGCGATCGTCGTTCTTGTGTCTGAAGCTGGAATCCAGACCCAAACCGCCCTCTAGACTGTGTAGTATGGCCATGTCTAGCGCATGAGGCGGTGCGACAACGCATTCGAACCTGTCCGACTTCTCAATTTCTGATGCGGTTGGGTCGTCGCCCCTCAAATCTGGATAGCGACACCTTGTGAGGTCGAGCGTCAGTAGATGCGACTCGAAACACTAGCGATAAACCTCACTGTAGAAACGAGCTTGGACTGGACTCGGCCATTATTTGGATGGCCACCAGAGGATCCTTATCAAGATGAAGTCGATCTTGAGCAGTCTTCAGAGCCTGCTGAATTGTACGGCGGGTGGCTCTTCGATGGGGCAGGTTTTCAACCACATATCGAGCATGGGGATCGGTCGACTCCCACATTTGTAGCCCTGACAGTAGCAGCATGAGAAGCCAGTCTCAGCGGCCGACTCACAAATCTGCATTGTAGAAGCGGTTATGGCGAAAGTGGAGGCAATATTATGGAGTTGATGTCGAATCATGGGCGAAACGCTGAGGACAGTTGGTGTAACAGGATTGGGGAGATCTACATCTGCAGCTGTCCATACCGTACATTCCTTCTGAAGGATCTGTCCGACGGTCATTTCAACCTGGCAAGTTAGCATGGCTCCTGCATACGGGACTAACATATAGGAATATCTGGCAGGGCGACCGCAGACGTCCGGAATTTGTGACAGACTCATCCTCAGCGTCACCAGAAGAGTCGTCTGAGCTACTACTCTTGTCCGCCTCGGTCGAACAAATAGCGGGCACTTTCCGACGGTTTCGAACAGCATTAGACCACCTTTCCAGTTCTCCTTCATTGTCTTCTTGATGTGCCGATTTTCTGGGATGAAGTCTGCAGGAGCCCCTGCACTTGTATTTTGATCGCCAGACAATATCGAGTGGGCCTTTCAGACTACTTCCAGAGGTAAGTCTCAAGGCCATTCGTCGAGCTCGAATATCCGTTGGTTTTAGTCCAGGTGGATCGATCCACTCTATTTCGATATCCTTATGGACTGTGTGAACCACGATACTGTAGTCATGCATCTGTGAAATCGTTCAATATCACTTTCGAATGAGGGCCCGGGCTTACCAGACTGTCAAAGTATCGAGGGAGCGAAAGCACCTCAATATGCGAATGGACCATCGTGCTCTGCTGGAGGCGCATTCGAGCAGATTTGCGAAGGGCTTGCGATGTCCAAATAATGTTCGGAAATGCTGATGAGGTAAAGTCGAGCTTGTCTATGGCATCAGAAGGCAATTGTACGGGTAGGGCTGCACGTAGGATGGCATGCCGTAGAGCAAAAGCAGGTCTTTCCCCCTGTGGCCATAAACGGGATGCCACCTCTGATTTGCTCTTCAATGACACAGACTCTGACAGAGAATTTGTTGAAGACACTGTAGTCGTGATCGGTGTGGGGAGCCGAGTACGTGGAGGAGCTATGCTTTGGGTATCTGACGCCAGATCAGATGCATCGGCAGAGTCGGTTTGAAGAACTGGTTCGGACGTGCTTTCAGTAAAGAATTGTCGTTTTGGACGGCCGCGCCGTCGAATGGCCACCGCCGATGAGACTGCTCCAGCTGGCAGCGAGATGGGCATCGAGGCAAGAGTGTATCAGACGCTGAAGAAGAGCAATGCATGTTCGAGTCCGTAGATCAGGTGTAAATACCAAAGGGACAGGATAGAACAGGTCAGTCAACCTGGGTTCGAAGAAAGGACCTCGAACAAGATCGGAGGGAGGTCGAATACCAAAGACGGCCAACGAATCGCTGTCGAATGGGCACGCATAACGAAGATATGAGCTTCAGGAGCCAGTGTGCATGATACCATGGGCCGCGGAGGCTCTGGAACAGTGTCATGATGTTATGCTCGAAAAGGTGAAGAAATAACAGTTGAAAGGATGGACGGTCCAAAGTTGGAAATAATAACGGGAGTAAAATTCAATTGGAGGGGAGAATAATTACTTTGGCCGGAATTGGCTAAGGCGAAATAGGCATGCGCAGCCACGTGATTCCATAGGCGCTCAAAAACCCGCGTGACTGAATTCGTCGGACGCGACTGAACATTGATAATTGGCAGAAGTCAAACTTGGATAATAAACGAGCCTGACCCGAGGAAGCAGCGCGAGATCATCGCTATGGTCAGCTCTATGCGGTCGGCGATCGTACGGGTGAGCTGCTACGTGCTGGCGGCTGTGATGAGGAAGCTCACATTGTCCTTTAGGTCTTTTCTACCAAATACTCCTTGACGTTGCCTGCTTCTGCGCTCAACTACATAGAGCAAGTCTTGACAGAGGTGAGCTGACTCGGGACAAGACGTGTGAACCTCAGGAGAAGGGACCATCTGCTAATCTACCACCGTCCCAGAATGAGATCCCAGAGGATGAGTGGAACACTGGTTTGGAATTCTGGGCCAAAGAATATCTGAAGGGAGAAGGTGTGTCCCGAGTACGGAAGCAGAGACCACCACAGGAAGACTAATTGATGTTCCAGACTCATCGTCACTGGTATCTCTTTCAGCCTTGAGAAGAGCATACGAGGTTCTCCAGTTGGGAGTGAGCTGTGTTGACTTCCCATATATAGATACCAGCTCACACGCTCCCAGACGAACGAGGATGCGGACGATATTGACCCATCGGAAATCAACGTCGAAGCTCATTTCGCTGTGGTCGACTCGTTTGACATGCCTCCAGTTAGGTTTGATCCGGTCCGAGGAGGTTTCACAACGTACGCAGGAGTCTCTTTCTCCAGTATCGAGCTCACGCTGCCTCAGGGCCCGCTCTGGACCGAGTCTAGCTGGACAGGCTTCGTCTCGCGCTTCGTACCTTCGTGAACGGTGGGGAATCATCAAGGAGGTGAATCACAGAATCTTCATCTTTGGGGAAAATGATGGCTGATTGACGAGCAGATCATCCTGCGCAACGAAAACTTCACACCACCCGCCTTGGGAGGCCATGATCGTACCAATTATCTCAAATTGACATCTACTCGAAACCTTTTGGGACGTGCCGGTCAATTATTCCTCCTCTTCGGGATGCTAGCCAGGGATCCAGAAGGGAGACTGTGTCTTGAAGATGGAGACGGAAGAGTAAGGCTGGATATGCACGATGCGGTATGTTCTGTGTATGATAAGGAATGAGGTATGACATGTCTGACGAGGCGATATGGATAGGTACCCGGAGAAGGTCTTTTCACGGAAGGATGTATGGTTCTGATAGAAGGAGAATATACCATCGACGAGACTGTTCGGGTGCTGGCGATGGGGCATCCGCCCAGTGAAAAGCGAGAAGTCTCGAGGTGAGCGAGGGATATCTAAGTTGATTTTGGACCTAACGCGGTCATCGTATAGAGGACTTCATGGTCACATTGACTTCCTCGGTACAGGTGCTGTGTCTCTAAAGGAGGAGGTGAGACCACCCTGAACATCGCTGCATCCTGCTGAGACGTATCCTAAGCAAAAATATCTCCCTACCATTCTTGCCAACACACAGGTGTCCTTCGTCGTCCTTTCCGATGTGTGGCTAGATCACCCTCGGACCTTGCCAGCTCTACGGCGGATGTTTGAAGGATACACTCAAGCCGCCGAGTATAAGCCCATGGCATTTGTTCTTTGTGGAAACTTTACACAGCGTGGCTGGGAAGGAGAGGACGGTCTCAAGCGGTATACTAGTGAGTCCAGGCTGAGTCCGTGTACACGCTGATACTCGTTCAGACGGCTTCAACGCCTTGACAGATCTGCTTTTATCCCTTCCTACTTTACTCAGCTCGCATTTCATTTTTGTCCCCGGTCCTGTGGACCCATGGTCATCTTCCACCCTGCCTCGTCCTCCTCTCCCGGCGACATTCACATCTCGCTTGACTCAACGTATACCAAAAGCTCGATTCGTATCTGACCCATGTCGGTTGAAGTACTTTGGTCAGGAAATCGTCATTTGCAGACAAGATTTGATGGGTAAAATGATGAGGGGTCTAGTGGGTTCAAAGCAGGATCCAGGGGTCGATATGAAGCGATATGTGAGGAATTCTCCATGGAGATACGACATTGTCTATTTCCTGACTACCTATAGCTCGTTCAGACCGTCTTGGACCAGTCCCATTTATCGCCTCTGCCCCAAGCCACTCGCCCGACATTGTGGGAATACGATCATGCCTTGCGTTTATACCCCATGCCGACGGCTCTTGTCCTGTGTGATAAATATGAGCGGTACGAGTTGACATATGAGGGGTGTCATGTGTTCAACCCAGGAAGATTTGTCAGTGGTGGTGGTGGAGGTGGTGCAAGCGACAGCGAAGGAGGTGAATTTGAATGGGCAATGTATTATCCTGCTACAGGTAGGAGTGAGCGAAGGTGGGTCAGATCGACGCGAAGCGGCTTGCAGTATGCTGACGTGTCCCCATCAGTGCATTGACTCTGGAATGAGCGTCACAAAGGCCCTGTAACGACCATGTTGTATTCCCCACATTATACCGCATTTATTAATCACCATACATTTGTCCAGAGCGACCTCGCTTTTTCGGTGACCGTCAAATGCGAGTCCCGAAAAGCATGGGAACGAGTCCCACGGCGAGACCAGGCTGAGATTCCCTCTCACTGCGCTCCGTTTCTCCCTTTGACTGGTTGAAAGTATCGTCGAGAAGGTAGAGTGCTGCAGAGTCAACACATCGCAGTGGGTAGGGGAATCCGAGAGGGACGACATGGCTATTTGACTTGAGCTTGGGATCTGTTGACACGTGCCACTGCCACGAGGAGAAAACGCCGATAGAGTGCGAATCGGCGTTATAATCCCAAATTATGAATGTGGCTAAATTTCCCTCACAGACTTTAGTGAACTATGGGCTACACCGTCTGCGCCGCCTAAACCGTTTCGAAACCTCGAATTTCTCTCTCCCTTCTTTCCATCCATATCTTTGTGAGTTGAATGAATTGAAGGTTGGTACGCCCTGCTGACTTTCGGTCTCCCTGCTCTCTCTGTGCGTCTCTGTGGCTCTACCACTCGCTCGCTCGCTTGCCCCCCTTGTCATCCCACACAGCATCATGGCTGAATTCACCACTGGAGAAGAGGCAGCTGCCAAAAAGGCTTCTAGGTCGCTCAAGAAGTACACCTACAGAGGTGTCGAGTTGTCTCAATTGTTGGACATGAGCAATGAGCAGTTCATCGAGGTGAGTTGCACCCTCGAGTGAGAACGGATGGGCACGGAGGGAGAATGAAAGTCATGAAGAGAATACACCGCTGACCTGTTGGTTGTCTCCTCCTCATTTCCGTTCCTGCTCCTTATCATCCGATACCTCCTCATGCCGCTATGGTTGTCCAATGATTCGTCGCTCGCTCCTCTCGCTCCACACAGCTCGTTCACGCCCGTGCTCGAAGGAGGTTCCAACGAGGACTCAAATCTAAGCCTATGCGATTGATCAAAAAGCTCCGTAAAGCCAAGAAGGAGGCCGCTGCCAACGAAAAGCCAGCCATGGTCAAGACACATTTGCGTGACATGATCATTGTTCCTGAGATGATTGGAAGTGTCGTCGGTGTCTACGTGAGTGTCCATCATACGAGCTGGGCGAGTGGATCGACGTATCCACAAGCCGGGTCGAATCGACCTTCGTTGTTCCTGGCTTAAAGAAAAACAAACTTGTCGCTCTGTGCTGATCCTTCACTATCAGAACGGAAAGTCTTTCACCACGGTCGAGGTCAAGCCTGAAATGACTGGACACTACCTCGGAGAGTTCTCGTGAGCTGCATTGGCTTCGATTCGCACTGCTTCAGCTCACATACACATTCCAGTATCACCTACAAACCCGTCGGTCACGGACGTGGTGCCAACATGAAGGACTCTCGATTGTGAGCTTTCGTCACCCAACCTCCCCGTGTGCCCCAGCTGACAACCTTGCCTAGCGTTCCCCTGAAGTAAACGATTTAGAGGGCGGAATGAGGATATGGAGGCTTTTCTTTGTACCATGAGATGAGATGCTATGCACTCGTTGACAGACCAACCCGTCGTCCTCAGATTGTGCATGCCCCGTGTCGTGAGAGGAGCAATTGCCCCCTTGACTCGGGAAGAATTCATCGACGTCCCGGTTGGACGGGCGAATTTGCCGAATTGGCGTGTGATATGCTCTGCGACCCGCATCTGAGACGAACATCCTTCCACTCGTCTACACGTAGACTTTGCACACTCCCTAGCTCTGGAAAGTCGACTTACTGCCTTCCTGCCTTCTTCTCTCTCTCTTTCCCTCGTACCAGATTCGGCCGTCACGTATGCTTGTAATATCTTGCTGAAACCCTTGCACCCCTGGCCGTTGTCCATCGCGCGCACATGATTAGCCATCATGTCAACGCAGTCGGATGTGCTAGACAACATCTTTCACCGAGTAGCGAATAGGTGAGCATCAGTGCTATAGCATTGGTCTTCTTTGCAGAAGCTCACTCTATGATGCAGGAACGAGGATGTCCGAAAGCAAGCTGCAGAGGATCTTCAGCTACAGGCAAGTCGACGCATCCATCCCGTCCTCTGTCCCCTTGATCTCCCGGATTCACCTTTCCTGCTCCTTCGCTTGTGGATACTAATTATCCCTCATCTCCAGATTGCCTCGTACACGTCCGACTTTCCAGGACACGGTCAAGATGCCAGTAAAGGATTATGGAGTGACCTTTTCATCCGGACGTTCGAGTTGACCAGAAGCAATCATGCAGCGGAGAAATTAGGTGCTACAGTGGTCATTGGTGAGCGACTAGCAGCTCAATACATTAGATTCGCGGCTCAAAGTCTCACACAGGGGCCATGTTGGAGGCTGCGAATGAGGAGTCTCCCGATAGAGGTTTGCAAAAGACTCTAAGGCTCTATGAGTGTATGTTGCCTCTACAACCTTGCTGTTGCTGGCCCGCATGATGTGGACTGATGCTTCTTCACGTCAGATCTCCGCCCATTGCTCGTCAGCAGTGACTCGCAAGTCATGATGGACGCTGCCAAAGTCGTCGGTGAGTTGGTGTAAAGCTGCACCCCTCCTGGACTTGCGCTCATTCGCCCTCAGGAAACATGGTCCGAATAGCAGGAGTTAATCTTGGTGAATCATGGTTCACTAAAGAAGTAGGACAAGCATTGCAGCTCCTAGAAGGTGAGTGGTGAACTTTCGATGCTCTAGCTGACCGTCTTCTAGACTCTCGGCAAGAAGTCAACCGCTTCAGTGGTGTCTTAGTCCTCCACCAATTCGCTAGTAATGCTCCCGCCCTATTCCACCCATTCGTGTCGAGAGTCTTGGAAAAGATTTGGATCCCATTACGGGACTCTAGGGTGGGGATCGACTCTCGCCGTAAACGGACCATCTAGCTAACAAGAGTCTCCCTCTACACAGACGGTCGTCCGAGAACGCGCTTCATTGCTTCTCTCGGCATGTTTGGACATTGTCAAGACGAGAGACAAGTCGCCCGCCGAGACGTATAGAAAAATCTTTGAAGAAGCCCGCTCGGGCCTCATGAGAGCAGGAGGCACAGATACAGTCTTGGGATCACTACTGGCCTTCGGCTCCATGTTACAAAATCAGCAGATCGTCAGTTATTCATCGCATTCCGTGATCCAAAGCTGATTATTGCTGTTCTCAGTCCATGGCAGACTACTATCGTTCAATCTGCGAGTTGACGCTCAAATACCGTGACAGCAAAGAAGTGGTCGTCCGCAAAGCCGTCATTACCCTCATTCCGTCCATGGCGACATATGACAGCGACGAATTTGAGAGTCAATACCTACAGCGAAGCATGGCTTGGCTGCTGCAGGCCTTGGGCAAAGCCACGGATCGAGATCTGGGTGTGTAGAATCTCAGATCATGTCTCGAGCAAGCTGATCCTCGTATAGCATACATTGCTATTGGTCATCTGGCAATGCAGCTTGGTTCAAAGATGCGGCCTTTTGTCGAAGAAATCCTTAAAGTCATGAAAGAGCATCTGCGGATGAGAGGGTGATTGCGGAAATGGATAGGGCAAAGGATACGGCTGACGATCGTTGCAGCAAGAAGAATGCTCCATACGAGGGTCCCATCTTTCAAAGTCTCGCCATGCTCACGACATCTGTCGGGCCGATGCTCACAAGACAAATGCACGAGGTACTAGACTTGATGTTCCCCTGGGGTCTGAGTGAAGCTCTGTGGAACGCCTTGTCAGTCATCAAGAACCATATCCCACCGTTATTGCCTTCTATCCAGGGTGAGTTGGAGTTCCGAAGAGAGACCTTGTCGCTGATGTGATCAGATCGCCTTTTGGAGAGTCTGTCAATGATTCTCACCGGTCAGCCTTACAGGTCACTTGGAGCGCCCGCGATTAGGACGAAAATGCACTCGAGGGATATCAATCTTTTGCAGGTGAGCCTTCGACACTTCTCCCTGCGCATCGTCTGACGAGAGGGAAGGCATCGACGGGCGCCCAACCACCAGAGACATTGTCCCTCGCATTGAGAATCCTAGGCAACTTTGATTTCAGCGGTCACACCCTCAACGAATTCGTCCGCGACGCAGCGCTCCCGTATCTCGAGCACGACAGTGCCGAAGTCCGAAAAGAGGCTGTCCTAGCTTGCACTCAGCTCTTCATCAATGATCCCATATGCCATCAGACTAGCAGTCACTCGATCGAGGTCGTCAGCGATGTGTTGGAGAAGCTATTGACTGTGGGAATCACGGATCCAAGTGAATCGGACCATCCAGAGCCAAGGCAGTCGCTGACTTGCAAAGATCCAATGATTCGACGCACTGTCCTTGAGCACCTGGACGAAAAGTTTGATCGCCATCTTGCTCAAGCGGAAGACATTCGATGCTTATTCATTGCTCTGAACGACGAGGTTTTCCAGAATCGAGAGATTGCCATTGGCATCATTGGTCGATTGGCGCAACACAACCCTGCCTATGTCATGCCTCCACTGAGAAAGTCCTTAATCAATCTCATCACCGAGCTCGAGTATGCCACTAACAGGTGAGTCCATTTTCACTGGTCTCGTCTCAAGCTAACGATGCTTCCAGCCGGCAGAAAGAGGACAGTGCAAAGCTTTTGTGCCTGCTCATAGGCGCAGCCGCAAGTCTCGTCAAGAGCTACGCGCCGACCATTCTCACAGTCCTACTCCGAACCGCTAGCAGCTCAAGTACATCTATACCAGTCGCCGCATACTGTGTGACGTGTATTGGCGAGCTTGCACGGGTCGCAGGCGAGGAGCTCGTGTCAAACGTTCGGACGATTTTGGACCTCGTCATCAGCATGCTGAACGATCAAACGTCGACGTTGAAACGAGATGCAGCGCTCAAGACACTGGGCCAGATCGTTTCAAACACTGGCGAGGTCATCAACCCGTATATCGAACAACCGCAGCTCTTGGGCATCCTATTTAGATTACTACAGACCGAGACGTCTCAAGCGATACGCACGGAGACGATCAGGACCATGGGTCTTTTGGGAGCGCTTGATCCGTTCAAACACAAGGTAAGTTGACCCGATCCTACATTGACATGCTCATGACCTCTTCTCAGGTTCTGCAAGGCAGTATCACCGATCCGACAGCTGCTGAAAATGGCTACCGCGTTACCGATATCACTCTATTAATGAACCAGCAGACCCCATCGAACGACGAGTACTACCAAACTGTCGCGATCACATCACTTGTCAACGTCTTGAATGACTCGACACTCAAGGAATCACATTACGAGGCCGTTCAAGCGGTCATGTTGATATTCCGAACCCAGCGCCTGCGATGCGTATCTTTCTTGCCCCAGATCCTTCCCGCTTTTCTCCACGTTATCCGAATAGCCCAACCTCAGCTGCAAGATGTACTGCTCAAACAGCTTGCGAATCTCATTTCCATCGTCAAACAGCATATCCGCAATTACATCAACCAAGTGTTTTCACTCGTCCACGAATTTTGGGGTTCCGGTCCCACCGTCCAAATCACTTTGATTCAATTGGTCGAATCCGTCGCTCGTGCCGTCGAGGGAGAATTCAAGGCGTACCTCCCGAGGCTTCTACAGCAGATCCTACACAGCTTCGACGGTGATCTCAGTGAAAAGCACATTCAGGGTAGTCGTCTCAGCATCCTCTTGCACATCCTCAAAGCTTTCATTGTCTTTGGATCCAGTATCGAAGATTATCTCCACCTCATTCTCCCTGTCATTGTGCGAAGCTTCGAGTCGCCGCAGGCTCCTTCTGAACTCCGTAAAGCGGCATTACGGACGACGGGTCAACTATGCCGCAAGGTCAACTTTTCGGATCACGCTTCTCAGATCATCCATCCGCTGGTAAGGGCCCTAGCCCATAGCGATACAGAAATGAGAAGTATCGCTATGGACACGCTGTGCGTTTTGGTGTTGCAATTTGGGCCAGATTATGCCATCTTTATCCCAATGGTCAACAAGGTGAGTCTTAGAAAAGTCACATAGTCGTGCGTCTTCTAACATCAGATCAGGTTCTGGTCGAACACAATATTAAGCACAGTGGATACGATACGTTGATACATAAACTTCTGAATAGAGAACGACTCCCCCCAGATCTCGGGCCCGTTGAGCGGTATGTCTGTCGTCCCGAGGACTAGGCTTACAACGCGCTAGCTTTGCCAACGATCCGACATCTGAAATGTCAGTATCGGTGGAGCAGGCGAAGCTCCCAGTCAACCAGCAGCAGCTCAAACTGGCTTGGGATTGCTCTTCAGTGACAAGCAAGAGCGAATGGATCGAATGGGTCAAACGACTCGGCAGTGAACTCATGCGAGAATCCCCTTCGCAGGCTATCCGAGCCTCGCGGAATTTGGCTGAACAGTACACTCCCTTTGCAAGAGAGCTCTTCAACGTGGCTTTCGTTTCTTGTTGGACCGAATTGTATGAGAGCTATCAGGTGGGTCTGAAAGCCAACAACAAACGTGATTGACACTGCTACAGGAGGACCTCGTGCACAATCTTGAAACAGCTCTCACCAGCCCGGGCGTACCGCCTGATGTCGTAAATGTCATCCTGAATCTTGCCGAGTTCATGGAGCACGATGACAAACGATTGAACATCGACGCAAAGCTCTTGGCCGACTATGTGAGTCGTCCGATCGGTGATGACCACTTCTAATAGGGTCGCAGGCATCTCACTTCCACGCCTACGCCAAAGCTCTGCACTACAAGGAAGCTGAATTCTTCACCGACGCTTCTGCTGTGGTGGTCAACGACCTGATTGAAATCAATCAAAAACTGCAGCAGGCAGACGCTGCCTGGGGGACCCTGGTTTACGCTGAAGGTAATATGGAGATGACCCATGATGTCATGTGGTTCGAGAAGCTCAATCGATGGGAAGATGCGCTTTCGATCTGGGAACAACGAGCGCAGAACCCGGAAGAGGAGTTTACAGAATCTCAGGTTGCCTTTGGTCGGATTCAGGCTTTGCACGCTCTCGGAGAATGGGAAGATCTGTCGGAACTGGTTCAAATCAGGTGGCCAAGTTCGACACAGGAGGAAAAGAAGCAGATGGCCCCCTTGGCCGCGGCGGCTTCCTGGTCCTTGTATCAGTGGGATCTGATGGAAGATTATATCGCCGCTATGCGAAACGACACTGTCGACCGGCATTTCTACAAGGCTATCATTGCTGTTCATCGCAATCAATTTGGATCCGCTGCGAGGCACATCTCCAGGGCGAGGGAGAGGCTTGATCCGGAGTTGACCTCGTTGACAAGCGAAAGTTATGGACGGTCCTACGAGTGAGATATATCTGACAGTTTGAGCTGACAGTTGCAGCACAATGGTCCGAGTTCAGGCTATGGCCGAGTTAGAAGAAATCATCTCGTACAAGGATCATGCAGATCGCCCAGAACGGCAGCAGACCCAGCGAATGACTTGGAGAAGAAGGTGAGCGGAAGCTTTTCAGCTTGAAGCTGACCCATCAAGACTCGACGGATGTCAACGAGATGTCGAAGTCTGGCAGAGAATCCTGCAAGTTCGCTCGCTCGTCCTCTCGCCGAATGAAGACATGGACACTTGGATTCATTTCGCAGATCTATGTCGGACGCAAGATAGACTCAAGCTTGCCGAGAAAACGCTCACATCGCTCGTTGGCAGTTCCTACAACGCCGAAGACCCAGAGGTTCGTGGAGTGACCTTTTCAACACCTGCAGATGCTGACCTGCACGACAGAGTCGCGCTAGGGCGCCGCCCCCGGTCATTTTTGCCTACTTCCAGCTCTCATGGGCTAAGAACAACAAGGAGCAAAACGCCCATGAGCAAGTCGCCACTTTGCAATACCTCCGACGCTTCACCGAACAGCTGACTGAGGATATCGGTATTGGTCAACGGGACGCCCACGGACGATTAATATTACCGGATGTCAAGCTGTATGGCGAATACACAAAGCTGTTGGCGAGATGTCACGTCGAACTAGGAGCTTGGCAGACTGCTTTGCGCGAGGGCTCCATAGCCGTGAGGAGTTTTGGTCTCTTCTTGTCCCGGTCCTAAGCTGACCTAATCCAGTCCGACCCGAGCGAGATCCTGGCAGATTACTCTGAGGCTACGCAATTAGATCCCGAATGGTATAACGCCTGGCATACCTGGGCACTGGCCAACTTTGAGGTTGTCACTCAGCTCGAGGTCTCCCCTGGAGGTCTCCAGCCTGATCACTTCACAACGTACATCATTCCTGCTGTCGACGGCTTCTTGCGCTCCATCGCATTGTCTCCGGGCAAAGCATTGCAGGATACATTGCGTCTCCTCACGCTCTGGTTCACGTACGGATACCAGCATGGCGTCAGCACCGCCATTTCGCAAGGACTGCATATGGTCAACGTGGATGTTTGGCTGGAGGTCATTCCCCAGGTGAGTTAACGGCGATGAGAGGAATGATCCCGAGATTCACCGATCTGATCGACGATAGATCATTGCTCGTATCCACACTCCTCGTGCTGCTATCCAACAGCTCATCGTCCGCCTCTTACATGATATTGGCAAAGCCCATCCGCAAGCTCTGATCTATCCATTGACAGTCGCATCCAAGTCCGACGTGGCAAGTCGTCAAGCAGTCGCTCAGTCTATCACAGCCAAGATGAGAGAGCATGCCTCAAATATAGTAGACCAAGCGGAACTCGTCAGCACAGAGCTCATCCGAGCTGCCATTTTGTGGCATGAAATTTGGCATGACGGTCTCGAGGATGCTTCCAAGCATTATTTCGCCGAGAAAAACATCCCTGCGATGTACGAGGTGTTGGAGCCGCTTCACGAGATGGTCGAAAGGGTGAGTCGTGTCCGGCACCACGTGCTCATACATCTAGGGACCGGAAACACTCCGTGAGACGTCATTCGTGCAGTCCTTCGGACATGATCTACGGTCTGCAAGGGATCATCTCCGAAGATACTCGGCTCACGGAGATATCAACGAGATTCAGCAAGCTTGGGACATATACTATAATGTAAGTGCGAAAGCCGATGGGTCCTACCTAATTCCTGCAGGTGTTCCAAAGACTGGCGAAGCAGTTGAGGATGCTCAACGTCATCGAGCTGCAGTACGTCTCGCCCAAGCTCATGGACGTCCGAGATTTGGACATTGCTATTCCTGGCACATATCAATCGGGCAAGCCCGTCATTGGCATTGCTCAGGTCTTGCCCACCTTCCAGGTGATCAGCTCAAAGCATCGGCCGCGAAAGTTCAGTATGCGCGGTCAGGATGGAAAGGAGTATGCCTACTGCTTGAAGGGTGAATAGCGCTCAGGAGCCTTTGGGATAAGCTGATCCCTCTCTAGGTCACGAGGATCTGCGTCAAGACGAGCGTGTCATGCAGCTGTTCGGTCTGGTCAACACCTTGCTCAACTCGGAGCCCGAAGCAGCCAAGCGTCATCTTTCGATTCAGCTTTTCTCCGTCACGCCCCTATCTCCCGGTGCTGGTCTTTCGGGCTGGTTACAACATAGCGACACGCTACACATGCTTATCAAGGGTTACCGAGAGTCTCGCAAAATTCTTGTCGACATCGAGAATCGTCTCATGCAACAGGTGAGTTATTTGAGCGACCGCTTAGGCTGACCATGTAGATGGCGGATGACAGCTATGATAGCTTGCCCTTGCTGCACAAGGTTGAAGTCTTCCAGTATGCCTTGGACAACACAACCGGACAGGATCTTTACAAGATCCTTTGGCTCAAGAGTCGGAACTCCGAATCGTGGCTCGAGCGGAGAGCGACGTATACAAGGTCGTTGGGTGTCACGTCCATGGTCGGTTACATTCTAGGGCTTGGAGATAGACATCCATCCAACCTGCTTATGGATCAAATCTCCGGCAAGATTGTCCACATTGACTTTGTGAGTCGTACCCTGTCTTACTTGATATGCAGCTCAAGGGCTCCAGGGTGATTGTTTCGAGCTGGCGCAACAGCGTGACAAGTATCCTGAGAAGATTCCCTTCCGGCTCACTAGAATGCTCATTCATGCCATGGAGGTGAGTATTTCCTTCTTATCGAGTGGCCCCTCTGAATGTCTGCAGGTATGTGGGATCACCGGAACCTTTTCCAAATCATGTGAAGTCTCAATGGGCGTCTTGCGAGACAACCGAGAATCCATCATGGCCGTCCTCGAGGCCTTTGTATACGATCCCCTTATCGCTTGGCGACTCAACGCGACGACGCACCAGCCGGGTGGACGGGCGAACACCGAGCAAGAGGCAGATGAAGCGGCGTATGCTAGGCAGAGACGGAGCAGGATCAACGAGGCAGAGGCTTTGAACGGTGAGTCCTGGACCAAAATGAAATGCTGAGGTGATATAGACGCGGAGAGGCCCGAAGTCAGAAACGAACGAGGCTTGGCAGTCATCGACCGAGTGAGGAAGAAGCTCACCGGACGTGATTACAAGACGCCAAACCCCCTCACTGTTACCCAGCAAGTGGAGAGACTGGTGGACGACGCGACCAAGACGGAAAATCTGTGTGTGGCGTACATTGGATGGTGAGTCAGACATGTTGTTATAGAAATCCGGAGTCTGACCCTCCGATCAGGTGTTCATTCTGGTGATCTTGTGGTCCTACGGACGATGTCTGCTTGTGTACATTGTTATCCCTCAATATCGATACAATTTTCGCTGAACGTGCAAATGCAACCCTCGGATACGGAGATTGTGCCACTCTGAACCCTCATATTGTCGCTGCAGTCTCGCTCGTCTGCTGTCCTGGAGTCTTCTCCTTGGCCTTTGATCCTCCTTTCAAGCCTGAGCCGATCAAGCTCTTCGCAAGAGCCTTGTGCTTGTTCAGTCCGAATTTGCGCAGGACTAGATGAGCTGCAGCTCTCTCTGCATCCTTCTTCTGTGCTCGAACGATGCTAGGACAGCTGGGGCAATCTCAGCGAAGGAGTTCTGTATCAACAACCTCACAACTCTACGCCCCTGTGTCGTCCGCGAATGACTGACTGCCAGGTCCCGACCTTCTGAGCCTCGCATTTGGCCGTAAAATCGAGTATGTTCTTGTTCCTCAAGTCATGAAGCTTTGATATGTCAAGGGAAGTCGGTGAGGTATTCGTGTCGTCCGAAATTTCAAGGATAGCTTCCTGGATTTCTAAGCCATGCGGGACGCCTTCGCTGCTGAGCGGAACCGCTGTGGTCTCATGTGATGAACTCGATATACCGTTCGCAGAGGATCTCTTCCGTGGAGGCTACGGCCTGCGGTTGAACTTCTAGGTTGGAGGCGAGAGAGACGAACACCGGAGATAGCCAGGCCTCAAGGATGTTGACTGCGTCTCCGGCTCGCTTGGTCCCATCCTTCAGATGTCCCAAATAAACGGCAGCGACATACGCCTTGAGCACGTTTGCAGCATCTCGAGGGGGAGTGGGGTCATCGAATACGCCGGAGCGAGTGATGGTGAGCTTCTTTGATAGTCTAGAAAGGGTGTCGATCGAGGTGAGCTGCACTTTATATTGCTGTTGATCTTAACGAGAGCTCGCTTGCGTAAGAGTGCCCTCACCTGTGCGGTTTTGACGGTCATTTCAGGGAAGGCCGTATGGAGCGTACACGCTACGATGGCATCTTAAAGCATGAGTATAGTGGAGAGACTTCACAACCTACGCAGCAGTGTGTCTCCAACGCTGATCATCTTCTCGTATTCTTCGCTTGATGTCTGCCCGGCGTGGGTCGGGGGAGGATTTCGGTTCCTCACAAGGATATCCTTGTAGAATTGGTTGTGTATGCGCGGAGGGCTACGGAATGGCGTCTCCGATAGGAAGATTCTGTAGCTCATTTCTGATGGGCCCGCCATGATGATGACGACACAAGGCCAATGTTGAAATGCAATATGAATGCTGCAAAGCGATCTGGACCAGGCACAGGCCAATTTTGATGGTAACGCTTGGAGACATTGCCGTCTGGTAGAGAAGCAGAGCGTTTCCATTCTATAAGATCCGCCCCAGAACCCCCATACGGACCTGCATGTATACTTATGTGCCGCCTCGTATCAATTGCAAGCACTGCTGATCGATCGCAGACAACACAAAGAGGCCTACTGTACATATGTTCAAGGATAGCAAAGGGTACGAGAATGGCAGTGCCACAGTGACAGACACTGGTGGTCGCTTGCATGCGGCGTATGTATGTACATGTATATAAATCGGTCTGATCTTTGAGCTCCGTCTATCCCTACTCTTTTGAGCCACTGTGGGGCTGGTGCCTTGTGCACGAGGCGAATCCGTCCCTAATGAAGATCATCTTCGTCCCAATCTCATACGGAATCCCGTGTCTTTGATCTCATTGAGTACTAGATAAGCCGCGACCTCGGCTGCCTTTTTCTTGGTGTCTCGCACCACGCCATGGGCACTGCGCCGCGAGTCAGCATAGGGTCCCATTTTGCTTACCAAGGGTCTCGACCCACATATACAGTCCATTGTACCGAGCACTGCAGGACACCTTCCACCTCAAGCCTTGCGTGCCCTTAGCGCCCCCCGGCACCATGCTTTTCTCCTGGTAGTTCAGCTCGGTGATATATAACCGTTGCTGCATCTCGTGCAGGCGAGATTTCGATCCCGAGGCGTCGCGGTCAAGCTGCGAATCGTCCGAGGCAATGGAAACACCATCGTGCTGCTCTTCTGCTGCAAGCTGGTCCATGATGGGCTCGAGCCATTCGTTGAGAATAGCGAATGCGTTGGCTTTCGTCGAATCGAGGGAGTCGGCACTGAAAAACACAGCAGCGATGTAGGCCTCGAACATCTCGGCAGCATTGTTGTGACTGTCAAGAATGGCCATCCTGTCATGCGAGGTTGTGATCGCCTTGGATGGAAGATCGTATGCAAATGACAGTCTAGCGAGGCTCTCGCGACTGACCAGCTGGCTTCGTAGGGTCTTTGGGAAGGCTGTAAATATGCTTTCTGACAAGCTTCTCACCGTAGCTGCCCCTTTTGAGAGCTTGGGGTAGATCTTTTGCAATCGGCAAGTGACTATGTATTCTGTAATCGAGGTCGTAGCTCAGTGGGCACCGAGATGTCGAGCAGAGTCTCACTCACGCAAAATCGCGTCACCGATGTGTGCCATCTTTTCGTAGTTGAGAGGAGCCCCCGAGCTCGTCGTCTCGGGAGACACGGAGTGTAGTCGCTGCACTTCGATGCGTGAGCGCCGTTCGCAGAATGGTAGGATCCCGGACGACTGGCAATGGGGGAAGTACTAATCCAGCTTGTACTTCATCTTCCAGTTCGCTCATGGCGATGTGGTGAGAAGAGAATGTCTGGGTAAAACGAACTGGTCAGTAGAGCCTTTTATAAGGTGCGAGCCAGACTTGGTCGCGATGCTGGCTCGAGATAAGTGCTGGTCGCAGAGAGACCGGAGCATCGATCTCTTCGATGTGTAGCTCTAGCGGTTGCCACGAGATGGCGGTAGTCAGGCAGATACCACACGGCGACGCTATGCATTTTGAGTACAATTTGATCTACGCACGGCGATCAATGTCGTGAGGGTCGTTTCAAGCTAGCAGCTTCTGTATCAAAGGTCTCATGGCACCAGGCTCAATTCCTTACAAATCTTGTACGCTGCTAGAGTCGCAGCAACCTTTTTCGTCGTCCCGCTTGCTTCGCTTCGACTGAATGATCATCAGGACTGATCTTAAAATCAACTCACAGCTCGCTGCCATCGCGGCGCTGTGCCACACAAATGCACGTCCACATGCCCGAGCTGTCCGCAGACGCTGAATATGCGTAAGATGGCAGGCGGCTTTCATGCGTCAGATAGTATTGGTTAAGAAGAGCAGTGGATCCCGCTGCCTGCTGCTCCAAGGCCACATTGATATCTGTTGTTGACTGCTCACTCCGTATTTGGTCCATCATCTTGTGGGCTAGGGGTGTATAAACGGCCCGCAACCACAAACCGAGTTCGTCCATGGCTTGACCGTATGACATACGCCGTGGGGAACCGTCCGCGAGCGATGCTGTGGGTTCATGAGGCTGAGGTGTCAATGGGGGTGTTGGATTGGATCTAGGTGTCCCACGATGAAGATATGAGTAGAAGAGGCCGCCGATATAAGCCTCGAAGAGGTCCGCTTGAACGTTTGGCTGATTGCGTAGGGGGAGTGCAGCTGCATGTGCGGCCCTGAGATGTTTCGGTAGACCGTAGTGCAGAGAGAGCTGAGCGTTGGTAGCGTTGGACACCAGGCGGGACTTCAGGAGCTGCAGCGTGAGCAGTGAGCGCGATGGACTGACTGACAGTGGCTGAACCAACGACAAGGTCAGGATATAGTTCGTTGAGCAGGAAGGTTATGAAAGCGCCTGTGATTAACCCAGCTATATCGGTCAACTCACCTAGGATGCCGTCTCCCACATGCTCTAGCTTTTCGTTGTCCAGATCCGCCGCACCAGAGGTCAAGTCGAATGAGCTGGAGCTATGCTGCTGCGATCGAGCGCTCGAATGGGTGAAGACAATGTCCGCGTATTTAGGGTTGTCTATTGGTGGAATGGGAGGAAGGGGAACGCCAGATAACCACGACATCTCGACGTCGAAAGGGAACGGAACGAAGTCGGATGTAAATCGACGACCGCTGCTGGACGCCGCAGCTCGTACCGAGCGTAGAGCCCGTGATAACCGCAAGGCCGGTCGCAAGTTATATATGCAAGAAGCACAAGCGAGGGAGAGCTTGGAAGTTAATTGGTGAGTCTGCCGGCTCTGGAAAGGTCGGAAGTCATGCGTGTTTGAGCAGCGAGATCTTGGTGAACCGTGCGGTTCTTGTTGGATGGAATGAATGTCTCTACCTCGAGATGGATACTGGAGCTGTCACTCCCTGCCCTATGTGCTGCAGCAAGTGTTGGAATCGTACAAGGTCAAAACCACATGGTCGCTAGATTGATGGTATATATGTCACAATATCCGTCCTGTCAAAACATCAATCCAGTAACCCACTCGCTGATTTTGTGATTTGTTGGCTGCAGTACAGGTGTAACATGCATGCCTGTGAACGTCGCTGGTGTACTAGTAAAATGGATGCAGAATCCGAAACAGTTGTTGGAACCCAGTTCGGGAATTCCGACCACGTAGTAGCGAGAATTGACGAGAAGTTTGACGAACATTTCGACGAACAGCTCGCGACACATCGCAACCCACAGGAAGAGCACATAGAGTGGGGGCAACAGATGGAAGCAGAGACGGAGCGGAGCTTGGCGCATTCGCAGTTGTCGGGCCAGTAACCCTTGCATTCAAACTTGCGGACAGCCACAGGGTTGGGGCGAGATACATGATGCCGAGATTGCAGGCCGAGATTGCAGCTATTGCTTGCGCAGTGCATCTTGACCATAGGCTCCGCCAGAAGTGCAAACTTCCTGATGCAACACGCAGCGTTATATACACGGACCAACTCGACACAGTCAGGAGGATTCAGCAGCTCCAAGCTACGGGTACAATGGACATACAAACCCATACGCCAAGGCGACATGCCTTGCGTTGGCTAGTGAAGGAACTTACCCTTCACGACAACATACGTATAGCAAACCAAGAAGTCCACATGGACGACTCAACACAGCCAATCTACATCGAAAGGCTGATGACTTAGCGAAGGGCGTAAGGCGCAAGAGGGTGATAATAAAGTTCCTTAGAGAAATCATCGCCGCTTTCGAGAGTGGCATAATCCACCTTCAGACCGCCCCTGAGTGCAAGGTGGGCTGAACGAGTTCTCTTATAAATCCAGTAACGACGCGAATTACAATGCTCCTTAGCTCTTCACCAAAGCAAAGACAGCGTTCGCCGCACAGGTCCAGCTCTTGCTGCCAGCTCGCGACTCCCGAACGGGCGGTCGACTGGGAAATAAAGTCAGCCCTGAACCTACCTAGCTGCGTGCCATGTGAGGTGGAAATTGAGTATGTTGAACAGCACCATATCTTCGCCACATGTGCCGCAGCTCAACCCTTCATAAAAGCTCTAGCTACAGAGGCTAACACGATCATCATTAGGCGCCCACGTGATGACATCGATGGAGATGTGGGAAGACTTCACCGGCAGCTGGCGAAAGCACTCGGAAAAGATGAAGCTATCTGGAGTAACAGCAAATCTGAGTCTCACATGGATGGCCAATTCAACTCCAGTACATCACAGCTCATAGGCGAATATAAGACGATCTCGTCGGTCTGTCTGTCAGAACCGCCGCCCGAGTATGGGGAAATCATCATAAGCACGCCTGTTCGCAGCGACTGCCAGCCGAGAATGAAGTTCGAAGGGGGTTCTGCGGGGGCATGATAACGAAAAGCATGAGGAAAAAACGTAGGCCCATCACACAAAAAAATACTACGCGTCCGAAGACAAAAAGTACGTCACCCGGGAATCGAACCCGGTGCGGATGCAATACTTGCTGATGGCAAGCATCCATGTTACCTGTGGAGATGTTAGAGTATGAAGGAACTGAAGTCGTAGTAGTACTCACCAGTACACCAGCGACGTCCGTTGGAGACAGACCAGTACTGTTGCAATATGAAGCGTTTGAATTACGAATCTTGGGAGGGGCTTGTACCACCTCACCCCTGACACTTGTCCATCACCATGTGAGCAGTCTCCAGTCTGTCGTGATGGGTAGGAAAGACCAGTAGCGAGGAATCAGGATCCTCACCTCATCATAAGTCCCAAGGACTGACAAATGGGGATAGATGAGACTGATGTGGTCCTGCCTTGACTCGGGCCTGCTGGTCACTGCCCCTGACGTCGCCGTAAAAGAGGAAACAGATACGTCAGCCCATTAGGAATCACCCAGTTTCTCTTTACTTGCTGCGCGCTGACAGAGGAGATGGGATCGACACCAGTAAGGGATGTAAGCGTTTGCACATTGTCGTGTCGGACTGTCGGTTTTGCGGTTTTTCCGGTGCGAGGTCTGTCCTGGGAAATTATCAGACAGCTCTTAGACAGACCACCGTGTCGAGCAAGATCCTTGATCATCCAGAGCATGAAGGCCTGTCAAATGACAATCAGAACGAGCCTGTCGACATTGCAACTTGTCCTGGCTTCCTCGCAACATGGCCGGCCATACAGCAGTTTGCTGCCACAAAAAGAAGCACTCGCCACTACCGTGCCCTAAATATATCCAACTGCATAACATTTTCGAAAGCTTCGAGTGATGATCTCTTTGACTTTCAACTGTCGCAACAGTGGGATGAGATAACATTAGCGATCGCCTCGCCATGGCTACGCTCTCGACCTCAGACCAACAGGTCTGGAAGAAGGTGCTCAGCGCCAAGGGTCAGGTGAGGTCGACTTCAAGCTCGGGCTGATGCCTTAGTCTATGACCCAAGCTCAAATTGAGCAAAGCCTGCCTGGCATGCCTCGGAAAGAGGTGCAGTCGAGCGTGACGCAGCTCATGGCGGTCGTGAGTTGAAAAATTCGGTACACCCCTGATATAAGAAACTCTTGCGGAGCGAGACGTCGAAAGAAGGAGGAGCACCCTTGTTTCATGCTGTCCAGCCCAAGGATGCCAAAAAGTGAGCACGAGACTCATGAGATGGGCATTTACAGTCAGAAAACAAGCTCTCACTTCGGATCAGAATATGGTCCTGAAGATGGTATCACAGGCTGGTCGGAGAGGTGAGATGCGCTACTGGACCGTGGTTGACATTTAGGAATCGCTCAAAAGACACTTCGAGTGCAGATTGGTGCCGATACCATTCCCACAACGATTCTGCGCAAGACTTTAGACTCGCTAGAGAAGAGCGGTCATATTGCATCTTTCAAGAGCATTCACGTGGGTGACTAATCTGATCAGGGTCTGACGCTCAGCAACCCACTGTGTCGCTCTACATTCTGCCAAATGTGAAGCCGGCGGAGGATCTTACCGGTGGCGTATGGTATGATGGTCAGAAGGAATATGATGCGGAGTTCGTCAATGGGATTACTATGTTCCTGTATGACAAAGTCAAATCTTTGGTGAGACAAACCGAGTGTACCGCCCTGACCCAGTAAGACGTTTCCGTCAAAGGACGACAGGAATCCCGCTCATGCCAAGTTGGTCCCTAATGCCATCTACCCGGTCACCAAGACGAAGAAACTGCCGACACCTCACACCCTCCTAGCAGTCTTGAAACGATCTGGTCTGACACAGGCAAAACTCAAGGTCGAGAATGTGATGGAGTGCATGAGGGCGTTGGAGCTGGATGGACTGATTGAAGCAGTCAAGCCAGTCGGCGGTGTCAGTGTCCCTGATGTAGTGGAGGATTCGGATGGAGAGGGACCTTCGCGAAAAAAGCGGCGAATGAACAATGATGACGATACGGACGAAGATGAGCTGGATCTGCGGAAAGAAAAGGCCAAGGAATTAGCAAAGGAAAAGAAGCGCAAGGAGAAGGTCAAGCTATTGAGAAAGCAACGAGCGGAAAAGAAGGCCAAGGAGAAGGAAAAGAGGGCGAAGAAACGGGCCAAGAAGAAGGAGAAGGAGAAAGATCGGGAGCGGAGACGTAAGGAGAAGCGCAAGCGCAAGGTAAGGACCAGGTTGCACGCGATATGCTGAAGCGATAGGCTCGCTCAGAGTCTGACGATTCGGAGGAGGATCTCGATGCAGATTCGGACGAGCTGGTCACGATCGATCAGGCTTTCGGCAAAGGACGTAAGAAGGGTAGAGCCGAGGATGATGAAGAAACCGATTCTGATCGAGACGAGAGGCGGAATTCGAAGAAGAAGTCCAAACGTCAAGCTGCACAATCAGATAGTGAAGACTCGGATGACGACTCTGAGGACGAAGGACGCCGCAAGAAGTCCAAGAGGAGCAACAAGCGGAAAGCTCGATCTCCGGTAACATCCTCAGAGTCTGAAGATTCGGAATCCGATGTGGACTCCGACGACGTCTCGGTCTCCTCGGTCGACTCTGCCGATATCGATCTCAGGGATGTCGCTCTGAAACCCAAGTCAAGCGCTATTATCGACAGTTCAGAATTACAGACAATCGCTTTCGCCCGAACAGGTCTTGGGGAGCTCAACGACGTTCATGTAGCCTACAGAGCGACCAATCTGGTCAATTTGCCTTTGGGTCAGACCCAGATTTCATGCGGGAAATGCCCCCAGTTCAATTTTTGCCAGGAAGATGGCCCGGTCAATCCTGAAAGCTGTGCATACGTGGATGACTGGCTGGCGGACGTGGTTGGAGGCTGGGATCCCGAGGGTCGAAAGAAATATAGAGATGAGCCCACCGCGATGGATACCGGAGACCAGAAGGACGGCATGGAGGCGTCAGGAATCGGATATGAAGAGGACGAGAACATGTCGGACGAGTAGACAGTTGCCCTCGCAGGGCAAAGTAGATCATGACACATTACGCCGATTCATGTATCTTATAATACTATATCAATCTTAGGCGCCTCGCGCCTATCAAAATCAAGCCAAAGGTTCGTTGTTGAACCATCGGGAGACCATGGCCAAGGCTCCCATAGGATCGTCGTGGGGGACCTGATGGGATCAGTGAAGTTGGCTTCGATTGACTCACCATGTGTCCAGCATTCTCGAAAGCGACAAACGTAATGTTGCCCGCTCCTTTGCCGGCCTGCTTGGTCCATCCGACGACATCTCCATTGATGTCTGTGAAGTTGTGGACCTTTGCAGCTGCATAGTCGGCCGCATACCGCATCTGAAGGTTGTCCACAACTCGCGAGCAGCCAATATAATTGACGACTAAAGCAGTCAGAGGGAGTCAAAACTGTGATACTTACTCGCATCGGCTTGTCCAGCGTAGATCAAGACTCGGATTCCGGAGTCGATCAAAGGTCCAAGAAGGGCACCGGCATAGTGTACCCCGTCGCCTTGCAACAGGCTGGAAGGGTGAGCCAAAGTCCGTCGGGCGGGGAACTTACAACTTCTGGTTGATCTGGTTGTTGCACGACTCAAAGTTGATTTCAGCAGGAACTCCAAGGTTCTCCTTGACAGCAGGTTGATTGAGGTAGGTTTCAACCCATCGAGTCTCTCGGTAGCACAATGGTCCGTCTGCCTCTTCGCTATGATTGCACGGTCGCCGGACGTCGTAGAGGTTGAGACCCTGCGTTTTCTCGCTCAGCTTCGATCTCAGAGAGCGACACCGAGCTCACAAGCTGCTGTATGGGGCCGATCATCTGTGTGACACAGTATAGCTCCGCAGGGACACAAGTGAATCGAGTGTTGGATCTAGGCGAGTCAGCTTGGATCATTCCGCCTCTACCTACTTATAACACGCTTCAGCGAGTCGTTCACATCTAGCCGCCTTGGTCCTCAAATTGGCGCATTCAGATCCTCTGGGGTCAAACACAGCGTAAGGTCCATCGCAGGCCCAGCTGAGAAGAAGTCAGATATCTTATCATGCTGAAAGTGCAGTACTGACTCTGGCACGGAGGCGTACTGAGCTTTGGGGTCCGTCACACCGTCACTGTTATCGTGAGCTTGAGAGAATGATCTAGTTGCCTACCCGATGAGAACAGACTTGAAGTTCAAAGTAGGGAGGTTTGGGTTGGGCGCAGCAGCGAGCGCAGCGGTTTTCTTGTAGATGACATCGGCAATGTTTGGAATGTACTGGCCTGATTGTGTCAACCTTGGTCAATATGGGACGCCGCACCTGCATATGACTCTCCGGCGACGTGAAAGTCCTGCTTGGAGTACTTTCGGAACTGGATGCTGAATGAGCAACCGAGCCATGGCACTGGCGCAACACACTCACCTGCGAGATGAACAGGGACAAAAAGGCATACACGTCCTCGGCCGCGGCATGCGAATCGGAGACCTCCTCCGAGCCATCGGCGTAGGAGAATCCGACACCAATGGGTTCTGATAGACGTCAGCACGGATATTATACATGATGTTTGCAACGCACGGTCAAGGTAAATAACATTAGCCACGGAGTTCCAGGCGTACTTGTTATAAGTGAGATTGCGTCCCTCATCGGCGATGGCACATCCTCCGAGCTCTGAGGCATGTCAGCGGGGCATCAGTCACGTGGACCTACCGAACATGAGTCCGGTCGTAGAGGAGCATCCTGGTCCACCTAGACTGATATTAGCGTCTAACAGCGTCACACCGACAAATACGGCGCACCATTCAACCTAGAGAGTTGTTAGGCCAGCATGGCGACGCAAGGGCTTACACACTCACCAAAGAACCAAAGGGTCCTCCTTAGGCTTATTTCGACTCTCCTGGAACCAGAAGAACAAATGCTTGGTCTCTGAGATGTCGAGATATCCAGACAACTGCTTGACTGCCGGGTCACAGACATCGGGCTCAACGACACGTAATCGGTGCAATGGGAATGCTGGGTGCTCCACGGTCATGTCTACGGATTGTCAGCGAGGCCCAATCGTGTTGTTGAACTCCTCACACTCCATTCCGTGCATGTTCACTGTATTGATGCGAAGGGCAGCAGCTACGTCGTCGTTGGCAGCGATCCACTGATCTTTCTCATCAGAGAGCCAAGATTGAGCCTTCTCAATAACGTCACCGGCCAGATCGAGGGCGTTTCCCGGAGAGAAGAGGCGCGGAGCAGCCAAAGCAGCTGGTAGGAGCGCCAAAACGCTGGTAGTGACCTTCATGATGATCGTAGGTGTGAGTTGCGCGATAGATAGAAGGATGGAGGGGGATACTCGATGATCGGATCATCTAGAGCCGGTTGGAGGAACCGCAGCGGTCTTCGCCGAAAGAGGGAAGATTGAATGATTACGTATGTTATCACAATTCCCTGCCTGATTATCGGCCACACTTGGACAGCAACATACCTTGATCTGATCACTTATGCTCTAGATGGCATAGGTACGATATATAATGGCCTCTTTGGATGATCTGTTCGGTCAGACTCCGGCCCCCAACGAAGAGGAAGGAGGTCAGTGCTGGGATGGGCTGCAGCAGCTCGGAATCGCCGCTCACGTTTCTGCGCTTTTTGTTTAGACGTCTGTCGAGTATGTCGGATAGAGGGTGACTCGGAGGAGCCCTTAATACACCCTTGCAAATGTTCAGGTTCTGTCAGGTTTGTGCATCCAACCTGGTGAGTCCCGCCTTCCCGCAGCTTCATCGCATTACTTGGCGCTGACAGACCGGTCCAGTCTGAAAGACTGGCTATCACACAGCCAGAAGAAATATTGCGAGATATGTGGACACCGTTATACATTCACGAAGAGTGAGTTGTCTGCAATCACTTGTCTGACATATATCCTAGTCTATACAGATTACATCCCCACCAAGATACCTAAGATTGTTTTCATTCGCCAGACTCTTCTTTGGTTCTATCGAATTGGCTGCCACATACAACGCTTTTGGCTAGCGGTCTTGGGATGGTTGATCATCCTTCCAAGCTTGAACCTGATCACACTGCGGACGCTGGTCTGGCTCGCAGACAGCTCAATGTGGGCTCGAACCTATATACGCACAGTTTACCATTTCTCATCCCTTCTCTACAGATCATCATCTTCAAATCCGAGTTTACCAACAAATGCAACCCTATCAACCGCTGTCGTCAATGGTACAGATTTCAACGCAACCGAGGTCAATGCTACCATTTCCGAACCTCAGGCTCATGGCCCACTCAATGGACTGAGATTCCGGGATTTATTTCTCAAGCCCATGTCGACAGCCCTCAGGCTGTCCGTTGCGAATTGGAGGGATTTGCATGGAATGGACGCTGAAACGTGAGATTGCCAAGTGAGCCTGACTGACACTTCCCAGTATCCCTGGATTCGTCTTTCGTGGTCAAATACTGTCCATTGCCACCGCCGCCGTTCTAGTCGGCTTGGTCTTTTTCCGCGAATGGATGACGCAGCAGAATCCAGCGGAATTGGTTCCCACTCAACCAAGGGAAGAGGAAGCAATAAATCTGGATGATTGGGTTGTCCAAGGCGGCGTTGCGCGGCGCAGGCTCAAAGAACCTACTCCTGTGAAATGGCGGAGCAACCCCGTTATTGCCGAATACTTGGCACGAGCGCGGCTTCCAGATCCTCGGGCCAGACAGCAAATTAATGAAAATGGCGGTTCAGACTTATCAGGGGCTCTGGAACAGCCCTTAATCACGCCCAGCGACAACGAAAAGGCATTGGACATGTCAGAGATTTCCCCGACGTTGTTACAGGACGGGAGCGGAGACGATGAGGAGGTCGTGGCTGGACCTAGCCGGCCCCATTATACACCTTCACCAAGTTTCGACAGTGTTCCTCGGCCTTACGAACTCTCTGAGGCTGGACCATCACTGTCGAAAGTTGCATACACCGCTCCAGAGATGCTGGGTGAGGAGGACGACAGCAAGGTGGAACCGCGATTAGTGTTCGTCGACTTCAGAGCGCGGGATAGTTCTGGCCGGCCATATTTTCCCACTCGAGTGTCTCCCGCGCGTCGCGCCGCCGCTCTTCACTTTGCGCGTATGAACAAGTGGCCGATAGAACTCAAATTCGAGGGAGACAAATCCAGACCCTCAGACAATCGGCCCGAAATCATCATAGATGTCTCTCAGCCAGACTCCGGCATGGCTCTGACTCATACACACGAGGATTTATCTGTGGTTAGGGAGCTGACGTCACGATATACCTTCCACACCGTTCCTGAAGAAGCGGAGGCGGACATCAACGAGGTCCCGGGGGAAATATTAGAACAGCTGCCACACGGGGAGACAGGGCTGATGCACTTCGTCCATCAGCCCAACGGCACTGCGGTAGCCCTCAGCCGAGAGGACGAACGTGCTGAAAGTGTGAAAGCCCTTGAGGATGATAGGTCAAGACCGCAAACGCCTGATACGACAGAGCCAAACGCGCTCGACACACCTGCCAACCGTGAACATCCACCGGCTGATGAGGATGACGATGAGGATTGGGAAAATGAGGACGAGGTCGCCGAAGACCAAGCGGATTTAGTCGAGGCCGACCATGAGAATGTCGACGGAGATGTACATCCCGAAGGACTCCCCGCCGCCTTTGACGCAGAGCTCAATGAGGACGCACCTTTCGAGAGAGAAGATTGGGATGGTGTCTTTGAAGGTGAGCCAGATCACATAGATTGCGGCTGACATGCAGTCGTCGGTCTCATTGGACCTCTTACCAACCTCATTCAGAATGTAAGGCAACATCTCTTCGGCCGTGCTTAACATTCAGCTCGCTTTCGCTATCACTATCATGGGTGCTGGTTTGACTCTCCTAGTCGGCCTTCCGATAATAACCGGCAAGGTGGTTCTGGCCCTGGATTTGATCAAAATAGTCTTCACGGTCTGCAAACTCTTTTTGCGGGGGATTCGGATCATCACTGACCCGATATTGGACATCATATTCGAGATCACGAAAGACGTGGTGCTTTTGCCGCTTCTGTCCTCCTTTCAAGCTCTGGAGCGAATAGTAGCTAGCAAATTGAACGTCCAACCGCTTGCTCGACTGGACCTGTTGAGAATCACTCAAACATTCACTTCCAGAGCGAATTCAAACGCCGAAGGAGCGGAGACTGGAAGGTACATCTCGAGGCTGGTTGGACAGCAGCTGCTGCGCCTTCATGAGGCCAGTCGCAACACCAGCAAGCGATTGGCGACCTCTCCGAATCTGACTGACAACATCTGGTGCATGTTGACGGGGTACGCTGCGGTCATCCACGTTGTCTGGATCGTGGCTTTAGTGGAGCGAAAGATGAACAGAGGCCAGTCGGCGATTCTCGATACCGTCAGGGACTATGCCGTCTTTGTCAAATTGGCCCTATTCATGGGAGTGGAGCTCATTGTTTTCCCACTGGTCATTGGCTCGGTCATTAATCTCTGCACCATCCCCCTCTTTGATGGTGCATCTGTGGAGCGCAGCTTTGAACATCTCCGGAACTCTCCGTTTGGGGTTATTTTCGTCTCATGGCTTGTCGGTACCATGTGAGTCTTAGAATCCAGGAGCTCATCTGACTTCTCAGGTTCATGTTCACATTTGCCTCATTCTTGGCCCATATTCGGAGTTCAACCAGAAAGGGAGCCATGTTTTTCATTCGTGACCCGGCAGACCAGAACTTTTCTCCGGTGAAGGACATTCTAGAAAGGTCTGCGCCATCTCAGATCAAAAAGGTGAGTGCTGCTGTGAGAGTATACCGCTGACGTTGCAGCTTCTGGTGTCCGCCATGATGTACATGGTAGTTGTGATCAGCATATTTGGAGTCGCGTGTTGGACATTGCATCATCAGACGTTGTACCCCATCTTGCCGCTCAGACTGGCGAACTAGTGAGTGCTCTGTAGTAGACATGGCTGACGATCAGTGCACCTTTGAGTTCCGTGCCTTTTGATCTCCTCTATCTGCATCTCGCCGTTCCTCCAACTCTGGAATTCCTGAAACCCTCTGTCCGGGGTGCAGCCATTTGGAAGTTTTACTGGACGATCGCATGCCGCTCATTTTGCCTTTCCAGCCTCTTGCATGGCAAGCGGCACAATGCGCAATGTCAACAGGGTGGCCCAAGAATTCTGGAATGGATCTGGCCAATCTTAGATATCCCTCTGCAAAGACTTTTCGGACCTTACGACCCTGCTGGAACCTACGCACGAGTTCCCGCCGCCGATCAGGTTGGTCTTCTGCCCGCTTCGGAACGGAAGAAGGGTGGAGTGTTTATTCCTCTCACGAAGGAAGGATCACCCAAGGACGATGAAGGCAAATTACGGCTTCTCAAACAGGATCAACGTGCCCGAGCTCTCAAGCGCGATCCAAGGAAAGACTACACCGTCGTCTGGCTGCCCCAGTATTGGCGAACCAGGATCCACGCTTTCATTTTTGCTGCTATTGGCGTTACTGGATGGGCCATTGCCATGCTGCTGTTCGTACCAATATTGGTAGGACGTGCCACGCTTGGCATGTTGGTCTCGGAGGAGATGCATGACGGATACGCATTCGTGAGTGCTACGCGGTTCACAGAACGTCTGCTGACGATATCAGCTCCTTGGAGGCTACATCTGTTGTGCAGCTGCGGCTGCTGGCATGTTCGCGCGGAGGATGATCCTGAAAGAAGGAGTCTCAGGCCGTTTGCGGAGATCGTCGCCCTCAGCACGAGTCAAGCGCGTCTTGCTCCCATCGATCATCAACGCGTACGCTGTCTTCGCGCTCTACTTTGTTGCGCCAAGTCTGTTAGGAATCAACTTTGAGCTGCATGTGGGTCATATCTGTCGATATGGCTTGGACACGGAGCAAGTACCTATACTGCACTTTTGGGATGCCTGGTGCGCACAGACCTTTGTTGGTTGACCACGCTGATTATGACTTTCAGGGCTATGGGATGCGTGATGTGCTCGCTCCTAGTGGGCCTAAAATCTATTATTTTTGAGAGGCCGGTCCCGGACCAGAGGTCGTTGATTCAAGGAGTAGCAGACGTGAGTTAGCCTGGCTTGAGGTCGAAATAACACACCCCAGCTTTTGCAGTCGCCATTTGGCAAAAGCCTGGAGGAGCTGAACAAGATTGTCATGCCGTTGACTGGTCTGCTGCTCGCGCCGCTGCTCACTGCTCCAGTCCTGTCCGTCAGTATCGCTAGTCTACCTTGGCAGATGAAGAATCCCCAAACCTTCAACATGTTACTGTGTAAGTGGTATTGTGGCTCCGATACGACCTTTCCGCTGATTCACCTCCAGTCCGTCTCCTCTATCCGGTTTCCACCTCGATTCTCCTTGTGGTCTTTCTTCGAGCACCTCTACATGCCAGGCTGCTCAAGATGAGACAAGGCGTCATTGATGCTGAGTACAAGATCGAAGAGCGTATCGAGAATTATGAGCCATCAGCTACGGAGAATGCGAGTGGTACCGGCGCCAGTGGGGTAGAGATCGAAGTCTTGGTCGGTGAAGCAGTTCGAGAGGGAGAACGCGAAGATGATTGGGAAGATGAGGAATAGATCTTGAACCTCTGCAGCCTATAGAACGTTTATCCAGTAGCATAGTCAGCTTATCTGTATCATATAAGATAGACTCTATCGGGAGGATGTCCCGATCGATGCCGCTCGGGGTAATTCATGCCGAGACTCGGGGGATCTACACCAGCGCGACTTCTGGTATGGACGGATGACTCTCACTTGAGTCGGTCGCTGCGAGAGCTGACGCGCTGATATCAAGCTGTGGTCGAAGACACGGTGGACACTTGAGCAACGGACGCTGCTCAGTCGACTATACTCGCTTCGCTGTATATCATCATGCCTGTCGGAGATGTACGATGATCAATGTCGTGGAGCTAAAAACGCACTTTATTATCTTTCCGAGTCGGATGCATCCTGCTACACATGCTATCTGCTTGGACTCTCGACTCGAGTATCCTACCATTCATGTACCATATATCACCGGGCATCGATCATCTGTGCATAGACTCTGACTGTTCCCCAACATGAGATCTCAGTACCCGATTTTGCCTGTTCACTCGCCTCCCCTATCCCGGTCGCCATCTCCAGGATCATCCACTCCACGCCAAGGACATCTTGCTTTCGTAGATGAGCGGTTCCCGAGCCTGAACTCGGAAGTATCCCGTGGATCCATTGCATCTCGCCATACACGTAGATCGACAGCATCGACTATCGACTCACAGCACGACATCAAAACCGCTATCAACTCGCCGGCGAATCTCAGCCCCCGGCCCTCGGAATTGAAGCTTTCTGAGCTGGACACGGAGATCAACGCAGAGTCGAGCCCCGACGCTTTCAACAAAGAAGCTGGATCGAGAGTATCTGCGGGCGATGGTGAAATCTATATGATCAGTGGTGGGAGGGGCAGTGTCAGGAAACGCAAGACAGTGGTCGATCTCGGGAGAGGACTCGAAGACGTGATCATAATTGATTGGTTGACCGATGATCCAGAAGTAAGCAGGAGGGGCGCAGATCAGTTTGATCGCTGACACGGTACAGAATCCGATCAACTGGACTTCAAGGCGGAAGTGGGCTATCATATGGACAGTCCTCATTCTCTCCTCTCTCACGGCTCTGAATGTCACCTCAGTGGCTCCCATGAGCCATTTCGGACCCGCTTGGTTCGACACTTCTCGAGAGCTTTTCTTGCTCAGCTTGACAGTGACTATGATTGCGATATCCTTGACACCGATGATCTTGGCTCCGCTTAGCGAGGTGGTGAGTCAGAGCTTGTGTCGACGTGCTAAATCGGGAATAGTATGGTAGGAACTGGATATATCAGATCACTTCAGTCATGTATGCCTCAAGCTCCAACGAGAGGGGTCACCTGCTGACACGATCTTAGCACGGCTTTGCTGTTTATTCCACAAGCGACAAGTCACTCATTACCTGGGCTGCTCGTAGCGAGATGGTTTGTGGGTGCTATCATTTCGCTCGGTGGACTGAAGCTGACCCAGCCCAGCAAGGCATGTCGTGTTCCGTAGGCAACTCGATGGTGGGTGGCACCATTGCCGATCTCTTCCCAGCACACAGTCGTGGTTTCGTCATGAACATCTTTGCTATGATGATCTTTATCGGGCAGGTGGGTTCGCATGACCCCGAACCAAGCTGACAATATCAGTCTGGTGGAGGATTCATATTTGGCTGGGTAGGCATGTATGGGGGCATTCCATGGTGCTACGGCGTGAGCAGATTCCTCAGGGACCCATTATGCTGATTGATCCCCCTCGCAACAGCTTCAAGGCATCGCGGGGGCCTTATCGATCACTCTGAACGTTCTCTTCCTCCGCGAGACCAGAGCAGATGTCCTCCTATCGCGACGAGCAAAGCAGATCACACAGGAGACTGGCATCAGGCATCTCTGTACTAGCGACTTGGAGAGAACCAGCTTGACTACCTTGATGCGCGTGTCGCTCGTTCGACCCTTCCGTGAGTAGCATGTGGCCTCAAGTCAAGTCTCCAGTATAATGTTTACGACGCCCACAGAGTTCCTGTTCACTGAACCCATCGTGACTGCTTTATCAATCTGGGTTGGCTTCTCCTGGGCCTGCATCTTCCTCGGCGGGACTTCAGCTCAGCTCATCTTTGCACAATACGGATTCAACCCCGGTCAGCAAGGATCCATGCAGATGTGAGTCTTGGTCGGCCCCCTAATCGAAGACGCTTCTAATGTCTGCCAGATGTCTGCTCATAGGGGGGATCATCGGTTTCTGCCTCAATCTCCATCAAGATCATCTCTATATCAAATCAGCTCCTACAGAGGGAGGCAAACCACCTCCAGAAGCTCGATTGTATTACGCCGCTTGGGCCGGCCTTGCTTTCCCCCTTGGACTATATGTCTTTGCCTGGGTCGGTAAACCGTCTGTTCCATGGCAAATCCCAGCTTTGTTCTTGTGCCTGTCGGACATTGGTATCTACGTCATGTATGCTGGAATCTAGTAAGTCATCTGCATGCCTGGCTTCAATTAATTATCACCCACTCAGTAATTATCTTGCGGATGCCTACGAGACCTACAGCTCTTCGGCCCAAGCTGCACAATGTTTCGCGAGGAACATCTTGTCAGCTGTCTTCCCACTCTTTGCAAAGCAGCTCGTGAGTTGGGCGATGCCATTCTGGCGACCTCATTGACTGGGGTCCTGCAGTACAAAGGCATGGGATATTCTCAGGCGTCGACGCTCGTGGCATCAGTAGCTTTGGCTCTACAAGTCGCTCCAATATTAATACTCTGCTACGGAGAACGGCTGAGAGCTAGGAGTAAGGTTGCCAGCGCTCTTGCAAGAACGTAACCTTTGCATCCACCTTAGATGTCTTTGGTATTCATAGTTGTATTGTATTTCAGCCATGAAACGTACGATGCCTCTACGCAGGGCGGACAGCGAGCCATCGTTCTCTAGACTGTCACGTTGCTTCAAAGATGCGTGCGGGCGGGAGCTACACCAAGTTCCACAGAGCTAGAAGCAGCTGAATCCTTTGAATCCACTGCCATGTGATGTGGGGTCTCCATCATCACCGGCGGCAGTTCGGATACTCCGAAGTTCGCCCTCTCAACGATCCTCGAAGTGACGTCGACACCTGCTTCATAGGTCAAGATGGCTGTCGAGCTACCCATCATTTGCTTCAACGATGTTTACAGGGTGTCTCAGCGCTACGTGCCCCAACCAGGTGCCCCTGATGACCCGAAAGCCAAAGAGAATGGGGCAACAATCACCGTCTCTCAATTCGGACACGTCCTCTTTTCTGAGCGTGACAAGTGGCAGGATCGGAAGGGTAAGGGCAAGGAGAGGGGAGATGGCAAAGGCGTAGATGCAGTCGAAGGTGATGCCGAGAAGGAAGGTTTGGTCCTGTTCGCTGGTGATGTTTTCAATCCGAGTGTCGAGAGTTCGGTGACTAGAGGGTCACATATGGTGGGTCCTTGCTGTAATCTGCAGCTGATTGGAGCCAGGTGCCAGTCTTGAACGCACTCAAGATTGATTGTGCCTGCGTCGGTAGGTCATACTCCCGGTAGCTTCAGGCTGATACATAGGTAATCATGACTTTGATTTTGGTCAGTATCTGAGTGCAGGATCACCAGCGACTGAATGATCCGGTCTAGGCTATCCCCACCTCACCAAACTCATTTCCGCTACGACATTCCCCTGGCTCTTGTCGAACATCGTTGACAAGACGACCGGAGACGTCCCAAAACCTCTTTGCAAGTACTGGGTGACTGAGAGATGCGGAGTGAAGATCGGACTAATAGGTCTTGTGGAATCGTGTGTTCACCCAACCCAGCCTAGGGTTGACTATTCCTTAGCGATTGGATCGCTACGATTCCCTCTTGGCCTGAGAACTTCGAGTATCAGCCAATGAAAGAGACAGCCATTGAGCTCTCAAAGGAATTGCGTGATCCGAACGGACAGCACAAGGTGGACATTATCATCGCTCTGACCCACTGCAGAGTTCCTAACGTGGGGGCTGGTGCTTGCTTCTGATTGCTGATACTTTGCAGGACATCAAGCTGGCCAACGAGCTCGGCGCAGTTCAAGACATTGACAAGGTGGAAGATAAGCATGGGGTGGACTTGCTCATCGGTGGACACGATCATGTGAGTTGCTTTGGTCCCAACGAGCACCAGCTGACAACTATCACCATGTATAGATCTACTACGTGAGTTCTTGCCCCTTCTTTACTGAAGATCCAGATAGGCAAAGGGGCAAAGAATTGGGATGGGTCGCCAGGAGAGCGCGGCGTCGCGGGCACCAAGGAGGATCGGGGCGTGCGGTGGGTACTTGATGTTTGCATCGAAATAGCGTTCTGATCATCACAGGCTGATCAAGTCTGGAACCGACTTTCGGGATCTCACGTCCGCAACGCTGTCGCTCTCTGAACCATCTAACAATGTACGTCGGCGCACACTCCACGCTCTCAATGGGAAGCACCATTATATTCTCCCCTCGACGCCTACCCTTCCGCCTCTCAAAGAGCTGGTAGATTCTCTTCTGTCCTCCGTATCCGAGACGCTCTCTAAAAACGTCTGCTTCACCCTCACACCTTTCGATGCGCGGTCAGAGCTAGTCCGGACGAGAGAGACTGGACTAGGCAACTGGATCGCCGATGTCCTACTGCACGCGTACGCCGAAAGCCTGTTGGAGGGAAAGCCAGGCGAGAATGGCAAAGTAGAATTTATGAAGCAAGGCACAACACTTGAGGATGGCGAGAGCCACGCACGGCGTGGAGGCGCAGACGCAGTCTTACTCTGCGGTGGTACTTTAAGAGGAGACAGCCAGTACGGACCCGGCAAGATCACCTTGGGGGACATATTGGGTGGGTCTCGACCGCAAGTCTGGCTAATCATTCGCAGAGATTTTGCCCTTTGAAGATCCAGTTGTGTGCATAGAGGTAAGCTCAATGTGGGCCCCTCGCTGATGAACAGATGGACGGCAAAGGGATATGGGATACCATGGAGTCGGCTCTATCTAAATGGCCCGCGCAAGAAGGGTAAGATTATGTGTAGGCTGACGCTCACACTGCGCAGCCGCTTTCCTATCATCTCGGGTTTAGTGGTCAAGTGGGACCACAATGCCGAGCCGGGGAAGCGCGTCAGATCCATACACCTGACAGATCCAGAGCTAGAAGAAGAGGAAGATCCAGAAGACGTGGTCGAGTTCGTTGAGCGCGAAGACGGGACGACCGTGGAGATCAAGCACAAGAAGATACACGTCGGAGAGGCAGTAGAAAATACAACAGATGGTCGAACCTATCGGATCATCACTCGAGAGTACATGGCTCAAGGCTATGATGGTTTCGAGGCCCTTAAGAATCGCAAATTCATCATCGATGATGAAAACGGTCAAATCATGTCGTCAATCATCCGATCCTTTCTCCTCGGTTCCGCGTACATCTGGAGGCGAAAACAACTTCAGAACGCCAGAGAGAAACATCTCTCCGCTCGGACTGACAAGGTATTGGATCGAGCACGAGCAGAGCATCTGTCGACTCCTGCTCAATCTCCTTCCGCTTCGCCTAGGATGAGTCGCTCGGCTGTCCTTTCTTCTGAAGATCCACCCATGTCTCCGATGAGTGATCGAAGTGCATATACAAGTGGAAGTGCTGGTGGCGGGCGGAGACATGTGATTCAGCATAGCCGGGTGTCTATTCGAGACGCGATGCACATTTCCAAGAATGAGCACATGTCCACTGTTGACGAATGTGTGAGTTCTGAAGGTGTTCTAACCCCTCAGCTGACGATGTCAGGCCGGAGATGAAATGCGATCGCACGGAGGCACATCGCGTCAAGCGGGCAAGGTCGCCGCAGCCAAGAGCCAGGAGGAGAAGGATGGCGTGGCAGCGGAATACTTTGTACATGATGACGAGAGAGATAGATTGAGATCTCTCTCAGACGACCTGGCCGTCGTCTGTCCACTCGTCGACGGAAGACTCAAGGACATTGCAGAGGACGAAAAGGACTCTGCATGAGACATGCATGAACCTTATATCTCTTTCCACCCACTGTCAAAGCCAGAACCACCCATACTGGCACTGACGAGCCCCAGACCAAACACAGTAAGATGGGCAGTTGCTGCCATGCCAAACTGGAAAACATATCAGCAATTAAGACTACATTGGGACAGACACTTACTCCTCGATAGAGTTGACGGATGCCAGCAAACAGGCCACCTTCATCTCGCTCCGACATGACTCGCTTCCTTCGCACGCCGGTCTCCTCGGTCACGATCCTCCACATGGCTTCTACCACTCCGACATAATCTCGATCTCGTAGCGCAACTATACTCTTTATCCGCTTGCTGTTTCCCCTAGCTTGGATCTGCAATCGTTTCCTCACTGTCTCGATGGGCAGGAGGACCACAAGTGACGCGATGCCGAGTGCGAGATCGCACGTTGCATACGTGATGGGAGACAATTCAGGAGAGATGCTGAACTGTCTTTCGAGGATTAGAGGGACAGACAAGGTGAAGAGAGGTCGCAATATGTGCTCCAAAATTGATGGAATGAGAAGGTTCGAGTTGAGGTATAGGTTCGCGAGACCACCTTCTTCGCTCAACATCTGTCTGAACATTGCGATGGAGGATGGCGTCGAGGGCTGAGAGATAGGCATGGCGATCAATCTAGTCCGGATGACCTCCATCGGACTCAGCACGAGATGGGTCAAGAGGTGTGATGTGACGCCTAAAGCGAGAGGAACGCCCGGAGACGGAAGTGCGGACAAAGGGACGTCGGGGTTGAACGGAGGGGTGGTGGGGAAGAAGCCAAGCAGAGTAGTGTGAACGTGAGGCTGGATCAAGCTGACCAACATGGAATGAAAGGTCGTTATGAGCTGAGATTTCCAGAGTGATGGAAGACCTTCAGAGGGTGTCAAACGCAGACGACGCATCATCCCCCAAACCCCGTTTCCTCTTGATATCTCTGGGTCATCGTTGAGCATCCAAGAGGGGTGGACTGGACGTCAGATAGCTGAATGTAGACTTGGCGACTCACGGTCCGGCAGATAGCCTGACGCGTCGGCAGGCACAAGTGGCTCTGGCGGTGGAGGCGGGATGAAAGAGGTCGACGAAGGACCTGATAATCGCTCTGTAAAGTAGACGTCTGCTTCTTCAGGGTTGTTCAACTGTCTTGTTAATCGACGGCATTCGCAGAATGACATACCTCCGCTTCATCTGCCAACCAGTCTTTCTGGGCCACCTCCGAGCTCTCCGGCTTTGTGGGAGCGAATCTCTGTCTCGGTCGATATTCAATCTGGAGCAATGTCTTGCCCACTTCGAAGGGCATGCCCACTGCCGTCGTGAAATATTCAGCTGCGAAGATCTGCAAGAGACCATAAATGCGAGGGTTGACTCCTTCATCAGGTTCTGGCAGAGGAGAACTGAATGGAGTCGGGAGATGGGAAGGAGTAGGAGGCGAAGCAGATGGCGGCGGAGAGACTGTCGGAGGTAAAAAGACCCATTCTTCGGCGGGAGGGTCTGGAAAAACATCATTGAGGCCAGGTCTCATCATATTGCTCACTGTAGAGGTTGCGAACCGAAGCTGGTCTGGATGAACCGGATGCCATCTCGAGAGGCGATTGAGCAGAGAATGTACAGTCGAGTGATTTCCAGGATGCTGCTGACACAGTCCAGTCGGTCCTTCGATGAATGCAGCTGTAGATCTCGTAGACCTACTGAGTTGTTGTGAGCAATGTCGAGACTGTGTCAAGCTCGTGTCGTCGTCGCCACCACCACCACCGCCGACCACAGTCGACGGAATCAAATTTATTGGCTCTCGGAACGGTGCGCGCGTCAGAGGGTCGGCAAAGAAATGTAGTGAGGTTTTTTGAAAAATACCAAAAATCGGATGGCCAACGACGACGACGAAGGTGGTACAGAGCACAACAATAACAACAACTCTGGCAGAGCTAGGGACAGCAGACCCAGGTGGATAGCATAGGCCTGTCAAGGGCAAAAGAGCGTCTCAGTGAAGGATCGGCCAGGCATTGTGGTCAACATCCACAAATTAACGGCGGTCCCGCGGATCATCAGAACCTCCTGCGAATTTTGCTGTGGATGGACCTTCCGATATGCCCCGCCGCGATCTTGTGCGCATAGTTCTTGTCGGCGATGGTGAGGGATAGAGATCTGAGACCTGAAAGCTCTGTTGACAGCTTTGTTTCTCTCGCAGATGGCGTTGGCAAATCCTCCATCATTACCTCCCTCATCAAAGAATCCTTTGTTTCCAATGTGAGCGGAAAGCTTTGTCCAGACCGCGGTCGACCGAACGTCCCCTCACTTGCTGCCTTCAGGTTCAGCCCGTCGTTCCAGAAGTCACAATACCTCCCGAAGTCACCCCTGAGAATGTTACCACATCCATAGTCGATACCTCCTGTGAGTCGATCACTCAACACGAAGCACGGATCCCGCTGAATATGCGCATAGCCAATCCCAAATCCCGTCCACATCTCCTCACTCAACTCACAAGGGCCCATGTGATATGTCTTGTGTATTCCATCTCGGAACCGACCAGCTTCGATCGAGTGGCCGAGTACTGGCTGCCTCTGTTCCGAAGAGAAGGCGTCAATGTGAGATGGGATTCGAGCTGTGTCTTTTATCGACTATTGACTGTTTGCGTAGGTTCCCGTCATCCTCGTTGGAAATAAGATAGATCTCAGAGGAGGCGAGGTGACGAATCAGGGGCTGGAGGATGAGATAGCGCCCATCATGCGAGAGTTCAAGGTACGCTTCGCGCAAGCTTCCATGATAGAATAGCTCACACCGAGCAGGAAGTCGAGACTGTCGTCGAATGCTCCGCCCTGTTACCACTGAACGTCTCCGAGGTCTTTTACTTCGCCCAAAAGGCGGTTTTGCATCCTACGGCGCCACTATACGACTCACGAGAGCATGTACGTGCCGCTCCGGCAGAGCCAAAGCTGATTGACCAGACACTCAAACCCAAATGTCTGGAGGCATTGCAGAGAATATTTAAAATCTCAGACGTGGACAAGGATGGGCTGTTAAACGCTCACGAGTTGAATCAGTTTCAGGTGAGCTGCAGTCAACAGCCATCGTTAACAATACTGCAGCAAAAATGCTTCTCGGCGCCTCTGCAGACTCAAGAGCTAGAGGGTATTCTCGACCTTGTCCGTGCCCATGATCCCACATTAGTGGCCCCCGTGCCGATGCTGTCATCCGCCCCTACGACCCCTATCATGACCCCTACCATGCGTTCAACCTCTCTCCCTCGATCCCCTTCAAATCTTTCACCGCCTGCGGAGGGCATTACTGAGACTGGCTTTTTGTACCTGCACACAATATTCATCCAGCAGGGTCGTATGGAGACTACATGGACGGTTCTGAGAAATTTTGGATACGGAGAGGGTCTAGATTTGAGAGAAGATTTCCTACTGCCTAAGTGGGTTGACGAACGGGCTAAGAACTGAGCTAAGAACTGACGACTTGCAGATATGACGTGCCATCAGATTGTTCTGTTGAGCTCAGCCCTCTAGGTAATCAATTTTTCACAGACATTTTCGAGGCGTATGACAAAGTCAGTCTCCAATCCCTTCTTCTGCACAGTACTGAATGAAAAATGACTCAGGATCAAGATGGCGCGTTGTCCACATCTGAGCTCAATGACCTTTTCTCAACATCTCCGGGGAACCCATGGCTGTCGCAGGGCTTCCCAGAAACCACCATAACCGATGAACTCGGGCGAGTCACATTGCAAGGCTGGCTGGCGCAATGGAGGTGAGTGTGCGGCTGGATTTTACTGACATTCCCAGCATGACTACCCTCCTGAACCACCGCACAACTCTGAATTACCTTGCCTAGTATGTCCGCTCTCCCTGCCTGAGCTCACCAGTGTAGCCTCGGTTACTCCTCCTCACCAGCGACCGACTTGCCCGCTTCCACCGCTCTGAAAATCACCCGTCCACGGCGTCAAGATCGAAGACAACGCAAAGTCACCAGATCAGTCTTCCTGTGTTTTGTTCTCGGAGCTACAGGGTCGGGAAAGACTTCATTATTACGGTCATTTGTCGGTCGACGCCTGCGAGGTGGTGACGATGGTATGGGTGGGTATGAACCGACCACAAAGGTCCTCAGCGTGGTCAACTCGGTTGAAATGGAGGGAGTGGAGAAATACTTAGTGGTGAGTGTATCCGAGGTCGTTCAGCCCTAAAAGACCGTAGCTGCAGGAATTTGGATCCAAGTACGAGAGCGAAACATTACGCAATAGCAAAAAGCTGGACATGGCCGACATCATAATATACGTCCACGACTCGAGCGACACAAACTCTTTCTCTTACATCTCTAATTTGAGGGTGGGTCGCGTTGACTGATCGCGCTGATCGCTCGACTCAGCAACAATACTCGCTTGATCATATTCCTGCCATTTTTGTTGCTACCAAATCTGACCTCGATCTCGCTCAACAGCGCCACGAGGTCCAGCCAGATGTGTACTGTCGTCGTCTTGGCCTGCCGGCACCTATGGCCGTGAGCGCTCGAGGTGGACCCATGTCAAATCTCTGGGTCGCCGTCACAAGAGTGGCTTTGAATCCGTAAGTTGCGCCGGGCTGCTGCCATGGAGTGCTGAAAGATGCTGTAGGACCTCGTCTATACCGAAAGGGCCGTCATCCGTCATGTCGCCAGCCCAACGGGTCCGTTCTGTGGCCACGATCGGTCTCGGAGCTACTACAGCAGCGACAATACTGGGCCTGTGGATGAGATATCAAGGCTATACATTTCGTGGGCTATGGCTTTGGATCAGTCGGACGACAGGCATGTTCTCTGGAACTCGCAGCTCATGAATTATGTAACAATTTGACACACAAGTATATTCCTTGCATCGGCATCATGCATCACCAGTCTCCGGCAGCTACAACGTGTCACAGTCTTTAGCGAGAGCCGCGTAGGCGATCGCGGTATTCCTGCAGCCTCGTGATCAAGTCGTCGAGCTCTGCCGGTCGGACCTGTCTTGAGCCAAGGCCTTTCAGCAATTCTGCGGCTCTGTAAAAGCCGTTGAGACTTTGCCCACTTGCACTACACATCATCTCCTGTATGGCTGAGCCATCGCGAAAGCTCTCGTTGAGTCTCCGGCTAGCTCTGGCCAGAGACAGTATGGACACCAATGGAGAGGAAGGAATGCGAGATAGTGCATCGGTCGTCATGGCGAGGCGGACGGCAGATCCTACCCGATCTGATGATCTCGTCATTTCGGCTTGAGCCCTGAGAAGGAGATGAGAGGGAGTATTGCATGATAGATCATTGATTGCATTTGCGATTGTTGAGATTGTTTGAGATGGATGGGGAGTGCGCTTTGGGCCAGGTCTAAGAGCTGGCACTGCTGGGTAGCTGTCCGCGGACCATCGAGTAGTGACGTGGTCGTGTGAAGGGTTTGACGGCCAGCCAGGGGTGGGGCAAGGATTAAGGGAGATCCGTGTCATCTTGTTCTTACGTGGTGGTCGAGGTTCAAGTCCAGAAGAAGCTATGGCCGCGGAAGAGGCAGACTTGCGGGACGGCTGACGTCCAGAGAACACGCGACTGAGGGGAGGACCAAGGCTATATTGAGATGGGGCTGCCACGCGCCGTGGTGAAGGCATCACCGAGGGGAGCTCGGCAGAGATTATGGATACTTGTCTTGGATATGAGAGATTTGTTGTGCTGTTCGCCTTGACCGATCTCGCTAAACTAGTTTGTACAGGCTGGGCCACCATATAGACCGGTGCCGACTCCAGTTCCGCGATCGAAGAGACGTTTGCACGTCTAGGTTGCGAGGTCGCCCAAGTTGCCCCTCTGAGATCCGCGCGTGTCCATGCTATATCGCTGATCACCCTATGATGTGCTGAGGACGGTGGACATAGAGATGACATAGGAACAGTGGAGCTTGTTAGTGCTGAACTTTCAACGGCACTGTACGAAGGTGGTGGTGATCCAGGGGTATGAGAATGATATGAGGGTAGTCGAGATCTCAAAGCTCCAATGAGACGATCATCATCGGGTTGAGTCGATAGAGTATCGTTAAGCGAGTCGAGGTATCCATGAAGATGATCCACCGTGTCTAAACGTCCACTCGAAGTAAGATCAGTGAGGACTTCTCCGGCCGCTCCTACCCGGAGGAGATCTCGATGTTCCCTATTCAAGTCGAGTCCCTCGTCTCTTGAGCTGTCGGAGGACAAATTTTCTAGAAAATGGCAGATTCGAGAGGACGGTGAAGAAGATAGCACAGAATGGGTAAATGACCGTGCTGATCGAGCGAGATCTGAGGCGTAGTCAGAGTCGAATGCTAGGCGAGCGGCTGCGCAAGAAGATTGACCTGAGAAGGCCTCATCTGAGAGGTTGGAGGCTGCTCGCCTGAGGCGTGAGGCTAGCGACGAGATGGGACTGATATAAGACCGCTGAGAGCTGAAATCAGAGCTAGATGGTGTCATGGTGAACATATGTCAGTGGTTGGTCAAGCTGAGGTGGCGATCGACGCGCATTATATCTCTTCATCGTCCATATCATCTGCCCATTTGAAACGGTCCTTTGGGTCACCGCCACCTCCTTGCCTGGAGAGCAAACCGGCTACTGCCTTTAGAGAACCTTTGCAGAAGTTGGTGCGTGGACAAGCTTATCAAGGAGTCAAAGGCGATTAAGAGGCTAGGGTCAGGAGGCAATGGTCGACAGCTCACAGACCAGATTCCAAGGTGTCAATATGGAAGGGTACTGAGGGCTCTGCGCGTCAATATGGAAGGGTACTGAGGGCTCTGCGCGTCTCATGACATGGCCAGGATCTCTAGAGCTCTGTCCATAGAATCGGATGATGGGATAATGAAAAGACGGAAGGACCCGTACTTGCTCCTGTATGCCTTCGACTACAAAGACCAAGAACAGACTCAGAGCATTTCGCGCGATCATAACGTAATTGAACGTCAGCCAGCGAACAACGGTCATGTTTGGTTACTAGACTCTCTGCATCCTACCGAAGAGCATCTAGCATAGGGGTTCAGCAGAAAACGACGACGAGTGGGCTCAGCTTCGCCGAGCTCAATGCGTCGCAATGGACTCCTTTTCGAATCGAGCGAATATGAAGCGTAAACAATCCAACGTAGGTCCACCGCTGCGGGGAAATTTGTTGACATTCCATCAGTCTATCCTCGGAGCCTTTGGCAAGACTTCAAGAGTATCAGCCATACCCTTGGGGTCAAGTTACACCCCGTCCACTGCTACCTCTTCGAATTTTTCGGAAGATGTATACTCGCCGGATACCCCATACTCCACACATGACTCGTCTTCCTCCCGAGCGACGAGTTCATCGTATCACCTGCCGCCGTCAGGTGGTGGACGCAGGCAGAGCGATGCTGCTGGCTCTTTAGCGAGAGATCAAATGAGAGACGGAGGGAAGAAGGCCGATGCGACACTCATACGGAGACCGGAAGACGTGTTCAAAGTGGTCAAGGACAGGCTTTTTTGCTGGAGTTACATGGTCCAATGGTATCAAGGGTGAGACGATCAGTCAAACGTCGCAGACTTAACACTTGTCTGTAGAGATGTGCATTGGCTGAACACGGTGAAGATATCTCAGTCAACTCTGGAGACGTATCTTGGTCCGTCAAGAGTAGACTCTCGAGCACGACACTTCTTCATGCTTGGCGCGTCATTGTCCGCGCTGTTCGACATTGCGGTAGCGGCGGATTTCCTGAGAGCCCTGCTGAAGCTGTTAGAGGAATGGGAGACTTTCACAGAGAACAGCGGCGGGAAGGGAGTGGTAAGTCTCGTGGGCGGTCTGCGTTCTCAGCGGTCTGACAACCCCATAGAAGAACTTATTCAGAGGTCCCAGTAAGGGCAGGAAGACACACAGCGGGGGCGGGATGCCGGAGATGACGAGCGCCATGACGGATAGCGAATCTCTTTTGCTGAACATCCACCTAGTAAGGCTTGCGACCTTAGAGCCCCAAATTGACCAATTGTTTAGCCCTTCTCTCCCGACTTTTTCCAAGTTCATTCCACCACCTGCTCGATCATCCGTGATCTGTACAAGAAAATCCTAGGCATGGTCTTACCCAGCAGACCAGGGACTTCTCCTCCTTCTTCACTCCAGGGTGGACTGGCTATCCAATTTTCATCCGATTCTGGCTCACTCTTTCATCCATCTACAATTATCCATTCTGCCCCTCTCGATTCAGCACCTCCGACTACAGCTGCGGCATCCATTGACAGCGGTCCAATGTCACCTTCCTCTCAGAGCGTGTCGAGTTATAGTTATTCCTTCATCGGTGGACGGGATGACATGTCCTCCAGTCCAATCATTGGTGAAGATCATTATGGTATGGCGAGTGAACTTGGCGAACCTCTCACTCTCAACTCAACCGTCACAATTGCTACTCAGCAAGACGCTTTTGAAGCCCTAGTGGCCGGTGAATTACCACCGGATAGAATGTTGATCGGAGATGGACAAAAGCTTACCCCGGCCTTCATTGACCTTTTCCTCAAAGTCGACACCAAGCTGAGGGTGAGTCACCTGACGAGGTCACTCTGACGCGATGCCAGAAACACTTCTCCATTCTTTTGAGAGAAGGTGATACGCTCGCCCGACGCGTACTGGACGATGAGCTGGCAGCTCTGACAATGTCATTGACCCATGGACCGCCAATGAAATTTGACGTGATGGCTGGGCTCAGTGCGAATGGCAACGCATATTATGGCGGTTCAATGGCCCATGACGACAGGTAATGGGCACAGTGGATTAACCCAAAGTAGTCCTACATTGTAGATACCAGCTAATGTTTTGTATCTTATAATCGCCTTCGCCTAGTCCACCAGTTCCAACGGACGATACACTGCATCCCACATCCGACTCTATGCCACGGGTCAGCCTGCACCGATACGAATTATGCTTCACTCACCCTGATGTAGTCCTCAAGACTCATCTCACCATCACCCTTCACAATCTTGATGGTATTCTCATCCTGCGCGTTATTGTCCTCCACGGCTTGCCTGACAACCGCAGCCGCAACGTGTACACTGACTTTCCTGACATCCGCCAGATCAGGTAACAGCGAAGCTTCGTGGTTGTTCAGGGCGGGTGAAAGGTCAGCGAGCGAGTTCACACCCGCCATGAGCATTGATCGAGATATCGTCCGAGCTCGGGAAAGAATGGCACCGAGTCCCAGGGCGGGATAGATCAAAGCGTTGTTGGTCTGAGCGACGGTATCTGATACAGTCAGATTGCAGTCGCTGTTGTGGCCTGCTCACATTTCTTGCCATTTGGTAAATCGACGGGATTGAATGGTGACCCGGTGGCTACCAACGCTCGTCCGTTCGTCCACTCCATCGCATCCACTGGAAAGACGTCAGCAGTCATTATAATGGTGATCCCACCTGGATCGACTTCGCATAGCGCAGTGGGGTTGGACATTGGGAACTGAGTCAGGGTCAGTGATGTACACATTTCTTTCGCCTACAATGATTGGTCGCTCGACATGACTGGCCTAGTTGACTTTAGCATGGACAGCTACGACAGGGGGGTTCTCTCTCACCATCTCTTTCACGATTTCCTCAGTGAAGGATCGTTGATGAGTAGAAGTGCCAATCAAGACGGTCGGTTTGACCGCTCTGACGACTAGACTTGATGTCAGCGACGCGGAAAATGCCTCATATCCAACCCACCATCCATCAAGAACAATCCCTTATGCTTCTTGTTCTCCCTCGGCCAGTCCTTTACCTCGTCATCCGCCCGAGCATACGGGATTTGAGAGTGTCTCAACCCATTGCCCATGCTCTCCAATAGTAGACCATCCTTGTCAACACACCAAAACCTGTCCAGGGCCTCCTTTTCGCTCAATCCTTCGAGAATCATGAGTCCGTCTTTGATCTGGTCGGCGATACCCATTCCAGCGGACCCAGCGCCGTAAATGACGATCCGTTGATCTGCAAGCTTCGTCCCAGAGACCCGAATGGCGCTGTGGATTCTCAGCACTGAGTCACAGAGAGACAGTACCCACGCTATGAGAGCTGCCAAAGCCACAGCACCAGTTCCTTGAATATCATCATTGAACATTGGCATTCGGTCTTTGTACTTCTCCATGAGTCGATGAGCATTGGCCATGCCAAACTAGAACAGGTCAGCAGTTAGTTCCGAGCCGCATTACTCACATCTTCAAAGTGGATGATACTCGATGGGAAGAGATCTCGACAAATTGTCAAAAACCTCTCCACGAACGCATCGTAGTTTCTCCCCCTCAGACGGGTCCTCTTCCAGCCCATGTACAACTTGTCGGCGAACAAGGCGTGATTGTCCGTCCCGACGTCCAGAACAACGGGCAGAATCCGATTGGGATTGATACCGGCTCCAAGTGTGTACAGGGCGGCTAATGAGGCTCATCAGCATCTGCGAATCGAATACATCTGGCCTGGACTTACCTTTGGAGGTCGAGATGGTGATACCGCCAACTCCCTGGTCTGAATCGTTCAGCTTCACTCATTGGAAATTGGCGTACCTCCTATCCCTAAGATCGCCTCCGAGTCAGTCACCACCACCAAGTCGATGGCGTCATTCGGCTTTGTCTTATCGTACGCCACATCTGCCGTCCTGTTGACATCTGCCAAATGCGACTCGAGCTGAGCTCGCATACCATCTGCATTGGGGAAGGACTGGGAGAGTCAGGCTTCTGAACGGCCCAGGGGAACGTACGATGAAGCAGCCGATCCTGAGGAGCTATGTCAGCAAGATTCACAGGGACGAGGCGCCAGACTCACGGTCGACGAAACAAGCTCGAATACTGAGCGACGGCTTCCGCGGCACCTATCACGAGTCAGCTTGAGTTGGCAAGATCAGCGCTTACCCGGTGTATACAGTACTCCCAGAAGCTCTTTCAAATGGTCCTGCATCAATTTGTAAAATAAGACCTGATTCTGATCTCTGAGCGAGGCGAGGAAGCTGCGCCGAGGCATATCAGCCGCGTATGAGCATCGTTGTGGGCCTGACTCACGCATGCTTCAGGATGACGGAAGGTTGCTGAAGACGGGTCAGTCGTTATACCAGCTTTCGAAGACGTCCACTGACCTTGAGTAATTGGGTGTACGCCCTATGACATTGCTTCTCCAGTGAATGCACATCGTACGGTAAGAACCCCTCCAATCCAAAGATGGCTCTTTCTTCACGAGTGAACCCAGATCCCTTAGAGGTGCACGTTGAGCTACTCTCTCGGAGCTATCACACGTTCGAAGCCATACCTTGTTCAGCTGATGCTCGAGATCAGCATATGGAATCTACAAACTCGGAAGATAGGACAACTCACTCTCGGTGTATTGAGTAGAGCAGATCCTTTCAGATTCGTCCTGATAGCATGGACCAGCTAGCTTCAGCCTCCTTCCTCGTTCTCGGTTGGAACCGGACGGGTTAACCCACCGTATAGGCACCAAGTTCTTCTCCTCTGGTGGTACGACCGGTTGATCACCCGTCGCGAACCGCCTCGATTCTATACGGCACGCATTCCGTTGGATCTTAAAGTGTCTTTCGGGCGCATGGGTGGTGAGTATCTCGGGTGATGGGCTTTGACCTACTTTCTAGGGAGTCTCATACTGCTCCCAATCTACTTCCTGCTGACTAAAAGAGCCCTACTGCTACAAGTTATAGAAGACATAGACCTTCGTCGTCGTCCCCACCTACCTTGCCCCCCAGCCAACCCTACTTTTAGCAGCATACATTTTTTTGTTTTCGAATTGCAGGAATTCGAAAAAGACGTCACTGCGGCGCCTAAGTGGGAGCCCAGCCAACAACTGCGAACACCAACGACGACGACGACGACAACGACGACGGACGACATTGCCGGAAAAGAACATCAATGAGGACGATGCACACAAATGCAATGAAGTGGTGCTATACAAGATGGACGGGGTCTATGTATGCGATCGCTGACTAGCTCAACGTGACGTTCAGACGGATACCCATGCAGGCCAATTCCGCGCACAAATACCTAAACACGTCTACGAGAGCGTCAGAAGCACGTTTCACGACGGGGAACAGAATACACTCACACGGCACACTGATGACATCCATTTCTCCCTTTCGCTCTCCCTTGACAACGACTTGGTGTCTCTTTCCCGCAGCGACCTTGTCACCGTGCTCATCTTCGCATACTCTGCAATATTCGGCTTTGCCCTCCTTGGCTCCTACTTCATCGAATCCGAGAGAGATCAAACTGCCACATTTACGGCAGACCCAAGCGGTCGAGTAATCAGAGCAGTTCATTAATCTGTCTTGGAGGAGGAACGACGTTCCATGGGCGATCAAGGCATCTCGCTCCATTTCTCCGAATCGGATACCACCGGCACGTTTACGTCCCTAGCTCCCAGGATCAGCCACGAAAGGTACCACTGGCAAGCCTTCCACTCACCTTGACTGGTTGTCGAGTCAATGGGTCCACAGGACCAGTAGTCCGGACTTGGAACTTGTCATTGACCATGTGTCTCAAACGTTGATAGTATACCAGACCAATGTAAATGTCCGCGGTGAATTCCTCGCCGGTGATACCAGAGTACATGGGCTCGTTGCCTGCGTAATTGTAACCAGCGGCCAACAATTGTTCTCCAAAGTATTGCGTCGGACGATCGGCGTCTGAGAATCTAGAAAAGGAATCAGCGTGTGACAATGATGTGAACACCCACCTGAAAGGCGTGGCGTCCTGAGCGATTCCGTGTAGAGCTCCCGCCTTCCCAGCGATACTTTCGACGAACATACCGATCGTCATACGCGAGGGGAAAGCGTGAGGGTTGATGATGACATCAGGTTGCATCCCACTCTCCGTAAATGGCATATCGATTGCTGGAAACTTTTGCGAACACACTCCCTTTTGACCGTGTCGAGAGGAAAACTTGTCTCCAATGACGGGTGCACGAGGGATTCTCAACTTGATGTGAAGCTTCTGAAGCTCAGCGTCGCCAGCATCGGACCCGAGAAGTCGGACTTGGTCGATATACGCCACTTCATCGCCTTTGTACTTGTGGACTCTGGTCTTCCCACTGACGTCGTCGATGAAAGCGCAGAGCGGATCACCAGATTGAATCTTGACTCCGGGTTGGGGCAATCCATCCTTACCGACAAAGTCGTGCCACGTTGAAGTAGCCTTGACATCTCTGCCAAGACCAAAGTGAAGAGCTCCGGATGAGCGTTCTTGCTTCAGATCAATGATTTCAGATTTGTAGATTGTTCCATATCCGAATCCTCGTTCATGTGCTGACTTGTTGAGAATCATGGCGTCCTCCATATCGTAACCAGTGTATGAGATGACAGCGACAATGGCATTGGTCCCGTTCGGGAAGAGATCGAAGCCGTAGTGATCGTGTAATACCGGTCGGACCACAGGCGTTTGACCAGTTTGCAGTCGGTACTGCGACTCAGCCGAGTTAAACTCGCAGCGCTTACCATCTTATTGTCTGTACGACGACTCAGGGCGGTAGACGGTGTACCCATCGTTTGTTTACCCATTTGACACTGCACGTCAGCCAATCTTCCTTTGACACCCTCACCTGGTACATGTTTCGCGGACTCTGGTTGAAGTCGGAGAACGGGGTAAGATTAGCGATGACGGACAAGACGCTTGTCGGGTCCAGTTCGACGTGGGTCGAGATGTTCTGGATTTCTTCCGTCGTACAGGCAATATCCATATACACCTGTTCGAATGATCCGACGTGATCCATCTTGCCATTGGCGATATAGGTGACTGGCCGCATCATCCTGGCACGTCCACTGAAAAGATACAGACCGGGGTACTGTCCACCCTTCGTAACTGGAACCAGGCCAATCTCTAGATCCAATGGGACTTTCTTGTTACCCTCCGTCTTCAGCCTCCGCAACAGGTGGGCAAGGGTTTTAGCCTGAGCAGGTGAGCTCCAACCGATGATCTTCCCATCCAATTGGACCACAACATTGCGCTTTCCGTCGAGGTTCGAAGCGAAAGCTTGGGTCATGCCGTGGGCAGAGAGAAGACCAGGGATATGAGAAGCGTCAATTTGAGATGTAATGAGCTGACATGTGTGCGACAAGTGATTGAGCAATCCACAAGGCGATCCATCTGGCGTGTGGACGGGACAGAGAAAGCCTGAAAGAAGGGTCAGCAAAGACATTTGCACTCCACTCACCCCATGATTCCGGCATGAGTTTTCTGACGGTCGTGGTCTTCAGCTCTGCAAAGAAGGCTCCTCGATGGATGGATCGGAAATGACTGAGATATCGGTAAAAGTTAAGTTTCTCCGCTCCAATGGTGTATCCTGAAGTCTGTTGAAGATCCAGGCCCGTGGGGGAGATGAGATTGCCGGTAGCGAGAAAATAAGCTAGACGAGCTCCGACATCCCAATTAGTCTTTGCGAGGACAGATTGGAAATATCTCGCTAAACGAATCAGTGTCTGTTGATGACATCGAGTCGCGAACTCACGAGACTTGAACTCTTTCACCTTCTTCTCTCTGATGTCTCTCAGAACCTGTCCGCGAACGGCTGTGAGACATTCCTCAAAACGTTCCTTGATGATCATGCCGTAGAGGAAGCCAGGGAGCAAGACCTCGTGATGCTGAGCCGAGTCTGGATTGTCGGCGATCGTCGCGCCAGAGACCAGGGAATAAAGCTTGCGAAGCATGAATCTGCAGCATCAGCATCGAGTTCGAGGCATACTAATCTCACAAGAGCATTCTGAACTTGTCCCGAGGTGCAGGTAGATGAACCAATACCACCTTTTGAAGCAAGAATGATCCGATTTGAACATTTGTCCAATCTTCTGGACATCCGAGCACGACACGGAATTTGTCGCCGAGGTAATCCAAGACCTGAGTACCGATATGCAATCCCCAAGTCTTCTGACTCCTGAGGAGCAACTCGACTCGATCCGTCAAGAACGTGTTGTCATATTCGCCCTGAACCAATCCTTCAAAAATCTCTTTGTCCGACGCATCGCATAATCCTTTCAGAATTAACATGAGAGGGATCATGTATTCGACCTTTCGCCATACGAATCGGAGAGTGGCCCCTCCTGATGAGAGGTAATGGATGGTGTTGGTACAGGATGTTTGATCAGGTCGGACACTTCGGATCTGACAGCCGTAGGGAGTGTAACCTATCCCACGTTTGGCGAATGATGGTCGGTAGAGGTTGATAGGATGATTCCGTCGAGGCAGGACGAGAAGTCGAATGAGCTTTTCGTTCCCATTCACAATGAAGTAGCCCCCAAAAGAAGAGGATTCTTCTCCGTGTCGAACCAGCTCTGCCGCTGACATGTCACGGATGTTACAGCGAAGACTCTGAATCGTGAGCTTGAGAGTCTGGCTGCCATCGACTCACTCGGACCATGACTGGTAGCAATCCACAATCTTTCAACTCTTCGTGTTCTATCGAAGTCCCGTCTTCGTCTGTCACTCGCCATTTGAGATTCACAGACAGTCGGGAGCGATAAGAAGTCATCCGCTCTCGAGCCTGACAAAGATCAGGGTCGGCACGCTCTCCATGTCATCTTCTCACCTCTGAGGGGAATATGCGACGCTCCATGGCGAGCTTGTCCTTCTCAGGCACAAGAGGTTTGGCAAGTACAACCTTGTCGATCCAGTCTGTACAGTAATTTCAGCTGATGCTTGGGGTGCGTTCACCTCACAAGTGATCTTTGACCCAAATGGTAGAGTATCATTTGACTGTCCATCAAAGACAACCTTTTCGCCTATATCCTCCACGCCAACTTGCAGGAGCCCTTTGCCGTTCGGATGGGCTACATGGTCAGTCTATCTGTCTCCGAGATATCACCCACCGTCATCCTCGATCAGAGCGTTAAAGCTGTCGATGTGCGGTGCGACAAGTGTATCTAGAGCCGGGACATCGGAACCGACTTTGGGTGGATGTCGAAAAGCTCGTTCACGGGTGAGAGTGCGGAACGAGGATGTATCTCTAGATGACGATGCAGTATTTGGAGCTAGAGGGTCGAACGAGGTCATCGTGACTCGTGATCTACCTCTGCCTACAAGTTCAGAAGAGACTGGAAGAGCAGGATAGAGCTAGGGATGGTCGGTTTGAATTTTAGAAATTTGAGCGAGAAGCGGCGGTTGCCGAGTGGAAGCGCGGTCCGAGGCATTCGACCGCTGCCATGATGGATGCCTGACATGGACACGATTCACAGTATTGAATCACTCTCTCGCCCTGACCCGATGCACGACATGAGATGCTAAGACGTGACAACACTAGACCTATACCATATGAACTCCCGAAGCGAAAACCCCGATTCCTCAGAAGCTGACCCTTTGCCTATTCTGCTGATGCAAGACTCCCCAATCTCTCAACTGCTCACATGCAGGCGACTTGAGTGCCCTGAGCTCCTTCATCTTTTCGTAATCTGCTCCTATACCAAAGATGCCTGCAGCTTCAGATACTTGTTGAGATACACGTTGATTGAAGTAGTCGCACTGCAGGTGGCAAGGATACGTCAGCTGCAAACTTCATCTGGACCCCCTCCTAAATTTTCCCACTCACTTCGTTATGAAGCCTATTGATGTAGACATTCTCTACGCCTCGCTCAAACAATTTCACCTTCGTGCTGAACAGTGCCGCATTCTTATCTTCTCTTCTTGCCTCAGGGACACTCTCCCACACCTTTGAACCCTCCCACTCCTTTTGGTTGACCCAATACGGTACACCTCTGAAGAAAGTCTGTCGACCCAAATGATGATTTTGATCCGGTTCAAAAGAGTAAGATGGAGTGTTGTCATGATCACCGGTAATATTCGGTAAGATGGAAACGATCGCGAAGAAGACTAAGAGGAGTATAGGGATCAAAGCCATCATGGGATGTGATTCTTCTGGTGCTTCAGCAGTTCGACGTCGAGCTCGACCTCCATAGTGCGTTGTGAATCCTCCAGGACCGCCAAAGGTAAATACTAGAAAGCGAGTGAGCTTTTGGCACCCAAGTTTGAGAATCGACATACCATTTGCTCCTTGGCCGAAGCCACCTCCACCTCCGCCAAAGAACATATTGAACAGGTCTTCAGGGTTGAGTTCCCCTTGGAAACCGCCACCTGCACCACCAAAGCCCGGTGGGAAACCACCGCCTCCTCGACTATACATTCCTCCTCCACCACCGCCACCTCTAGAAGTCGGATCCACCGAAGGATTCGCGTCAAAGGAAGCTCTCATATCGGCGTCTGATAAGACTTGAAAAGCTTTAGAAACCATCTTGAAAGCTTCGTCTGCGCCCGGCGCCCCATTCTTATCTGGATGTAGGACCAGCGCGAGCTTCTTGTATGCCTTTTTCACGTCATTTTCTGTACAAGTTCGTTCCACTGAGAATGACGCCCCGCATCAGGATGGATACGTTGCAGTTTGGCGCACGACTCACACGATAAGATCTCATAATATTGATGATGCTTGCACTTCTTCACCCTGGTGACCACTTCCATCTGCTTGGCTGTATATTCTCTCTTTTTCGGGGCCGGCGTGGTAGATGAAGCTCCACTCGTCGAAGTCTTGGCTTCGGTATGATGTCCAGGTCGGGAATGAGCAGATGAGACATGCTCTTCTACGCCCGACGCTTTGGCCTTGGAAGTTGTGTCACCAGTTCCATTAGAGGATGGACCAGCATCAGCATTCGAACTGGATCCCCCAGTCGATATCTCTCGCTCGATAACGACGACCATGGCTTCTCCTTCGGGCGTAGAATAGAGAGCTACTGATTTTTTGGCGAATCGCAGTGCATTGGGAAGATTGGATGAATTTCGATGTCTCTGAGCTATAGCGAGGCATCTCAGAGCCTCTTCTTTGTTGACTTCCATGCTGTCGTAGACGAGTCCAAAGTTTGTGTCGATACGGCACCGGTCTACGTTGCTGACGAGGCAGTCTCGAGGCAGAATGGACCAGAAACGTCGTCTGCAAGGGAAGGGCGGGGCGGAAGCTCGGCCAAGCAAAAAAAATGTGCCACATGGGAACAAAACGCCGAATTAGGGCAAGACCCCTCGCCACTGACTGAGACCGTCGGGTTCACGATGTCGTCGAGTTTCATTGACCATACACCTGCGTTCCATTACAACACGAAGCAATGATGACACGGACAGTCTTTGTACATCTCCCCTCGCCCTTGGTTCCTCTGCATCTTTCACTGCCCCCATCCACGCCACTCTCATCGCTCCCGCTCCCTGTTTCCCTCGCTGCTAGCTCCTCGACTTACCTCCGGACGATCTCCTCAGGTCCACTTGATCCTTCCACCCTCATATCTGATCTGTCACACGATGAGTCCCCCTCTCATCCTATCACGCTTCATCTTGGCGTCAGAGTCCTCGGTGGAAAGGGAGGTTTCGGAGCGAATTTGCGAGCCGCAGGAGGTCGAATGAACAAGAGTGCAGGTACCAACGTCGACGCATGTAGGGATCTATCAGGTCGTCGTCTAAGTACGATCAAAGAGGCCAAAAGGTGAGCATTAGGCGTCGAATGGCGTATATCTAACCATGACTTGAAAGACAAGCAGAGCTGCTTGAATCTCTACCTGCATTGCGAGCCGCCGCTCAAGCTGCTGATAAAGCCAAACTTGAAGCGCTAGAACGAGCCCTCGGAATCAGCTCGGATCAGACATCTGACCTCTTGTCATTGCCTGAGGATGAGACGCGTGGAGAGCGCAGCTCGACAGGAGCTGTCCGAGCGGCGACAGGGTCAAAACGGATCGCAGAGGTCGACTTGGAGGAGCTCGCCATGAAGAAGCACAAGTTCGACGATAATGAGTTTTTGGAGCAGAGTCGGGAAATTAAGGACAATGTACGAAACGCTGTGGCGGCCGGTGAGTCGTAGATATCGTTTGTAATGGCATCCGCAAGCTCACACATACTCCCAAAGGTCTACTGAAGAAGAAGAAAAAGCCAAAGACAGAGGAAGCTCCCGCCGCCTCCAAGGGCAAAGCATCAGCAACCAAGATGGCTCCTCCATCGCCAGTCACTAAGACTGCAGCCGTGGCGTAGGCCGTGGCGTGTATTTGAGTCCGATGCAGTGGGATCTCGTTGTTGTAGATAGTCAAATGTATCACATGTCTGATATCCTGTATAGCTCAACCCTGGGCTATACGCCGAAGTCAAGGTGTTCACCTGCCAGTCACGTAAAATGAAAATATTCTGCCGAAGTCCCTGTGGCGTTTATGACCGAGTCACTATGGACGTGTTTTAGGTGTAGTACATGGACGTATATTGCTTCAATAATGATAAGAAGGGACTACAACCTATTCGACCTGCAATCGATGTACCCCTTGATGTGCATGTGGTCGCCGAGTGCATACATACACACACAAAAGTCGCATCGGATGAGCATGTCCGAAGTAGATTTCACCCACATACGCAGTTTATCCATCTGTGCCACTTCCGATCGTGTTCCACTTTGCACGGAGGCGGTCAGAGTTGCCAAGCCAAAAGTGTTTGCTATGGTTCATTGGGCAGACTGAAATGTTCAATGGGATGTGCCAGCTGAGTGTACGATGTACTCGTCATCATTGTACACTTCTGGCTCGGTATTTATCGTAGAGCCTGTATATATGATACGACGGGCTATCCAATGGATGGACACGGTGCATTTGTGGCGTTCGCCAGAATTTGGAGGCCCCCTCTCTCCACTCCCTCCCCCCCTCCTCTCTCTTCATCTCTCCTCCGTGATTCTCCTTGACGCCACACGCAAGTCTTCCTTTCCCCTCTCCCTGTTCCCCCGACCATCAGAAGCCCTGACCTCAGGCACGTTCAATTAAAATTGAGTTTCCTGCAATTCCTTCGCTGTGCCTGGCCTAAAGTGACCTGTTTTCCTCATGTCAACAATTCAACTATAATAATAGGTGAAGGGGGTTAGTCACCATGATCATTCTCCCTATCAACATTACGCAGATCACTTGGTCAGGGGCCATCTGATTGGATTGATATCGACTTATTAGGACCCCTTGTTGCCTATCTCACACTCCTTTGTACCATTGGCGGACAAGACATTCTTTTTCATTCCTCGCGTTGTCAACATCGCGACAGACTTCGCTCCAGGTCACGCCGAACTCTCACACCGCCAGGCTCTCTACAATGTCTTCCAGTCTTATCCTATTCACCTTGGCTATTGTCTCTTCCTATACTGTCTCCGCGGTCCCCGCCCCCATCCCGTCACCATCCTATCCCGAATGCAGAAAAGGCTACGGTACAGGATATGCACATTACGACGGGTGGAAGCTGATCGGTGACGATGTGAGTAGGCAGAATACTCAGTACATCTTGGACCTCCCTCCTAATGTATTGTCTCAGCTATCCGGCGCTGTACCTGTATCGCCAGAATCAGCCTGTGTCAATGCTTGTAATCGTTACGGATCAGGTGAGTTTGTTATCCCTTTACCTTGGCGCTCCGAACTGCCGCTGATCCCTCTGGACGCTACCTTCAGCCTGCGCTGGAATCTTTTTTGACGCCTCCATCTCTCGATGCTTCCTCAAAGGGGTCCATCCTACAACCTGGTCATTTGTCCGGGGCGAAGAAGACGACGGCACAGACCTCATTGGCGGTTGTGAATTATGGTCATCCATCGTTGGACCAGAGATGGACGCGGAATGTTGCAATGTTTCATGAGTCAGAGTTCCTGGCTCTCGCTGTGACTCTGGTTTCTAGGAAGCGGTATCAAGACATGGACAATCGGGTTTAGACCCTGTAGCTGTATAATCTTCGAAGTGTTCTTGGGCGACTACCGCGTACCTCTAGATGGGAACATCAATTCGGCTGGGATGGTCATTATATTCAGTAGACAAAGCGACCAGTACATGTATCTTGGGCATTTGTTTGAGCGACGTGTGAGCACTCTGCATTTGTCAGCCGGCAGATGACATCACGATACTGATGCATAATCCGAAAACAAGAAATGCTGTTCGTCAAAGGACAAGAGACTACGGACAGAGGGATGCTATTACTCGTAAGATGTGACGGTCGAGGTTACTGTTACAAAGGTGGATGTGATTGGGATTTGTGTTGAGCAGAAAGTGATTGATAAATTGTCCGTTTTTTGCACGCGCACTTCTCCCTTCAGGCCAAGACGCCTTGGCCACTCATTACGTCGCCAGGTTTGGCGATCCTCAACGAAAGTTCCGGCACGATGACATCGTCGAATCTGCCTCCTTCCTTTTCGAGGTATTCGAATTCTTCTCTCGCCTTTTGCTCATAGTCGAACCAGTACTTTTTCTTCGAAGACCACGGAAGAACATAGGTCGTCAGCGATGGCTTGAGGGCCTTGGCACGATCGGCGAGTATCTAAGCCAACGTAAGCTAACATGGCCAAACTATATCCGAGCTCGGTCAAACTCGCCTCAGCCTTCACTTCCCTCCATAGCGCAGGCTTGTCCGAGATGATGCTCTTTATGCCCCACCTGACACATTCTCGCATTTCCTCCTTGTCGTTGACTGTCCAGGAGCAAATCCACTTGCCAGCAGCTTTGCATTCGGCCCTGAAGGCTGCACCGTCGGCAGAAGCCAGAGCCTCAAAATAAACGCTGAATCCATGACAGTGTTGGAAAAAGTACTGTCGAACTTGGGGGATAGACATAGAGATGCAATACCTGGGAAGGTAGGGCAACAGCTGGGATGCAGGGCCGATGTATTTGGGCTAAAGGATGGTGTCAGAAAACACAGTCATGCCCAGAGATTGACTCACGTGCCAAAGGCCGAGGATGATACGAGGAGCAAGCTTTGTCGCCCAATCAGGATAAGACTCGATGACAGTTTTGACCAGTCCAAATAGCTTGTAAGGTTCGTTCTCGATCTTGCAGTCCAGCTGCTGTGTCAGCGAATGACCCCGCGGCATTGCTCACATTGAGCTTGACCCCAGGATGATCCATCAGGATGTCGAGGACCTCGGTGAAGCGAGGGATAGGTTGATGAGGAGACTGCTTGGTCCTCACGTGTCTGAATCGGTTGTCAACACCTGCTCAACGACCGTGTGACTCACTCCAAGACCCCGTGCCATGGTTGCGAGTCGATTCTGCCTTGGCCATCTGTCGTTCGAGAAAGGTTCGGATCATGGAACATGACCAATTCGTTGTCGGACGTGATGTGGATGTCTTTTTGTATGCAAGTCAGAGGATGGCCTCAAAGGGAGGTGAACGCGAAGGAGGGAAACTCGGTCATAGGATACCAAGGGCAAGTGCCCCACGAAAGGATGGAAATTGACCACGCATGGGGAGAAGAGAACAAGAGGAAAGGCGATTTGGAGAAACTGCCACTAACCCGTCTCAATGCCATCTGCTCCTGCCTTACACGCTTCAATGAATGATGCGCGAGTGTTTTCAGCTGGAGGGGAGTGAGTAAGATGCACAGAAACCTATCCATTCGGGTGGCTCACGAAAGGCGGCAGAAGCCTGTGACGGAACCACGTCAGCGGAGGGGCAAATCTAGGCTTTTGACCAGCACCACTCACTCCTCGATGTCCCCAGCATTCGGGGATGTGATCCTTCTCCTCTTTGGCCGCGGGACCGAGGTCAAAGTCAAAGCCCTCTACATCCGTATCATCGGGAGACTGAATGATTTCGAAAGCGGGCGAAGGGCCGACAGAGGTCGAAGGGGAGAGCCCTGGAGTAGGCAAGTTGATTGCCATGGCTAAGGCCTCTTGGCCAGCACTCGTAGCGGTTTGCGCCGACATGATGTATCGTCGTCGTTGATGATAGGTGTGCTGGAGAGCGGTGTGAAAGCGAGCACAGAACCTAGCGGATAGGTGACGGTGGTTGTATCTGAATAAATACGTGTCTGGCACAAACGTGCGTTTGATAGGCGCAGATTGGCTCAACGGCGTGACAATGCGGGGTAACGAAATTGTGTGGAGATGCGGAGATGAATGGGACTGTCGATCCTTTATGTCTGCTTCCGAGGTATAGAAAAGGGAGAACGGAGAGTTCGAGGGGATTAATCAGACAGGAGGAGAGTGACTGTGATCAAAGCCGGAAAGTTGACTGAGAAGGAATAGATAACAACTGATAAGGGCGTGTCAGCCATGCACGGGGATGTTCAGGCGTCGCATCGATCTGACGGAGAGAAAACGAATGGGAGAACGTTCACCCACTTAGTTCACAAGTTCATCTTGTTATGTAGAGGGATGGCGCGTATGTTAAAAGATGGCGAAGAGTTTATGCAGAGGGGGAAGGGGCGGTGAAGCTGTCAAAGAGGATGATGTGACGGAGCGACGGAGCGGTTTTGATGTCTATCGAGCCTTGATCTCGTTTAAGGAGCAGATCAACGGCCGAGTGATGACTTCAACCGAGCAGGCGCTTCGCGGTGACCCATTGATAGAGAGAGTGAGTGTAAGTTTGATGCGTTCGAGGTGGCCAAAAATGCTCCGGAGAGTTTAGATGTCCCACCGGAGACCGGATTTTCAAGTGGCACAGTTCCGTCCGACCAGGATGTTTCGGCGCGAGTCGTCGCAGCAGAAAACTGGCACTAGTATCGCTGTCCTGCTGACTATGGACAAACGTGTTTGAATGGGATTGTCCACTGAGGATGGCAAGAAAGAACAGAGAGCGAATGTTGGTACTAGTTTTGGACTGATATACACGTGCGCCTCCCTCCCTTCTCTCTCTTTTTTTTGGACAAACTTTCTCTTTATTCTTTACCGTCGCTTGATCCGATGGACGAGGCGTTTTTATGGGACGCGGGGAGCATACAAAGATGGCGCGGGGCAACAGCGACAGCACAGCTGAGGAACAGCGGGAGCCAGAGGGGGGCGTGCTGCTGATGCTGCTGTTGCTAGTAGACGGTACAGTGAAATTCAGGCAAAACAAAGGGTGTACCGGGTAACTCGGTTGCGGGGATGTGAGCGACCGAACATTCCTGCGCTTAAATTGTCGCGCTTATATAGTGTCACGTGCAAGGTAGATCAAACCGAACTCTTTAAGCTTAAGTAATCTTGTCGGACCTGGCATGTCTCCTGACTAGGGTGGGTGGCATAGGATCATCGCACGGTCACTACAAATGATGAAATCTCCAACTCCTTCGGCTTGCTCTTGCTCTTGCTATTGCTCCTCTTTACACTGGGAATCCACACTTCATTCCCATGTTGACGTGAACGGCCTTGACCTCTGTGTAGTTCTCCAAAGCGTACTCTCCCAATTCCCTTCCCAGTCCAGAAGACTTGTATCCTCCGAAGGGAACTTGAGGGTGAAGCTCGTTGAAGCAGTTGACCCAGATGGTTCCAGCTTTGAGTTGCTGAGCGACTCGGTGAGCCCGGGTAATGTCCTTGGTGAACAGTCCAGCGGAGAGACCATATTCAGATTGGTTGGCCTCGGCGATGACCTTGTCCTCGTCCTCAAACTTGGAAATGACAATGACGGGTCCAAAGATTTCCTCCTTGACAATCTTCATGTTGGCGGTGACGTCTCCAAAGATGGTCTATTATGTCAGCAAAATCTTCCTTCTTGTGCTCAACCTACCGGCTCGATAAAGTATCCCTGCTTGCCGTGTCTGACACCTCCAGTGATGACTTTGGCTCCCTCCTGCTTGCCGCACTCGATGTGGTTCATGATACGGTCGTACTGAGTCTGGGAGACCTGGGGACCCTGGTAGACGTTGGCGTCGAATGGGTCGCTGCGTGTGCGCATGAGAAATCTTCTGGCGTGATCTTCCGCACGACTCACCCAACCTTGGTCTTGGAAGTGATTTCTTTGAATCGAGCGGCGAATTTGTCGTAAATGTTCTGGTGGACGAACAATCTTGTTCCAGCACAGCATGTCTGACCGTGGTTGAACCTGTCGTTGGTGAGCTTTCTGCTGGCCCTCGCCTTGACTCACAAGAATCCCTGGGCAGCATACTTGACGGCCTCTTCCAAGTCAGCGTCTTCGAAAATGATGTTGGCTCCCTTTCCACCAAGTTCCAAAGTGACCTTCTTCAAGTTGCTCTTGGATGCCTCCTCCAAGACCTTTCGGCCAACTGCGGTGGATCCAGTGAAAGCGACCTTGTCGACTTCAGGGTGAGCAGCGATGGTGGAACCGACAGTGTTACCGTATCCAGTAACGACGTTGATGACACCGTCAGGAACACCGGCCTCCTTGATCAATTTGGTCATGTAGAGGGCGGTGAGTGGCGTGAGCTCAGAGGGCTTGATGACGACTGTGCAACCGGCAGCGAGGGCTGGTCCGATCTTCCAGGAGAACATGTAGAGAGGGAAGTTCCAAGGGATAATCTGTCCAGCCACACCGACGGGTTCATGAGCGGTATAAGCGAATTTGAGGGAAGAGGTCTGTAATTCCGTAAATGTCTGACTCGGTGACAATTTACTCACCTCGATTGTCTTTCCGTGGATTTTGTCAGCCCAACCTCCATAGTAACGGAAGACGGCGGCAGATTGGGGGACCTGACAGAGACTTTGTCAACTTTGGATCCAATGAGCACCGCATCAGCGCTCACATCGAATCCCTTAGCGATGGCGAAGGCCTTTCCATTGTCCATAGCCTCAAGACTGGCCAAAATGTCGACATCCCGTTCGATCAGTTCGGCGATTCGAATGAGGTATTTTCCCCTCTCGAAACCGGGGCAGTTGGTTCCCCAAGTAGTGTCAAAAGCCTTTCGCGCGGCCTTAACAGCCACGTCGACATCAGCTCCGAGTCCTTCGTGGATCGAGCAGATGACTTCTCCAGTAGATGGGTTGACAGAGCTGTGATATGGTGTGTCAGCGGAAATAGAACAGGTTGGTGCGAGTGAGAAAAGTGGGGGTCTTGGGAGAATTCCCGTGAAACTCGGCGTGAGCGAGTGCTGTCACCGCGAACGGTGGGTAGCTGAGCCTTCCCAGCGGAGAAGGATCATTCCTCACGAATGCCTCTCTCACTCACTCAATGGTCTTGGCACCCTTGTCGACCGAGGTGGTCCATTTGCCGTCGATGAACAAGCCAAGAGGGACCTCGACCTTGCCCTTGAATCCGGCGTGGTTGAATTCGTGAGTGAACGTTTGAGCCATAGTGAATGCTGTACAAGTAGCTTTTTAGAGATGATCAGGTAGAGCGTAGTTGATCTTTTTGGGAGAGAGTGAGATGTGAACGAGAAGAGATCACGATCACCATGAACTTGCTGGCGGACGTGGGGGCTGAGGAGGGCTTCAGTCAGCCCACTTTTGGGTGGAGTGGCGTCGGTTGAATCTTAATCCGAGGGTGAGTAACCGGTTGATGTCTTATTAAATCACCATATACAGTAATTTTGTGATCGATTGCCCATGAGTCGGCCGGATCTATGGGGGAATGGTTCTAGGTGGCATATAACCGGAGAAGCGATGGGTGGTGGAGGTCCTGAGCCTGTAATGAGATGTGGAATCAGAATGGTCGTGAGCAAGGATATTCATGGTCGTCAAGGACTGGCGCCAAGCCATTCGGGGCATCGAAAGGCGATACAAAGGATGTGCCATCCTGCCGTTGAAACACTGGGCAATCAACACATTGTTCCCAATCCCGCTTAGTTTCGGATGGGATGCCACATCCAACGGCTATCAGGGAGGAATAAGGAGGCACCGAATGCAAGCACGTCGAGTCGGCCTTCGACGCAGAGCGCACTGACGGAGACGTGTACTTACCTCCTCTACAACACGTCCATCAAGTGCACAAACAGTATGCAAGAGTGAACGATATCTATCATCCGCAAGATGAGATACTTCATAAAGGTGGCAGGCAAGCACGACAGGGACACCAGATCTGCGTGGCCCGCACTTTCTTTCACTCAGCTCGCTCATTACTCTCAATCAAAGATCTCGGCGCATTGGAACGGGCGAATGACTTGCTCAACCCTTCTACTGTAGCTATAGGGCCAGAAACTTTCACAACATGCAAGACGTATCGCCCGAACCTCATTTCGGAGCAATAGAAGGATGAATATCCCGAAATTGTCCCTAGCTCGTTTCAGGCCCGGTCCGGTGCTCCATATGTCACATGTAGCGGCTTGTCGGTCCTATATAATAATAAGATGGAGGGAGGGGTCCTGTCTTCTGTCCGAGGCAGGTGGCACACCCTTGACACATGATGAACGCCCTGACTCTCCTGACACTGCTCTTACCGACTGTACTAGGATGGGACTATACCGTTGAGTTGACCGTGGATCGCTCGACAAAGTACCAGGTGGTCGATGGTTGGGGTTGTTCCGAAGCTTTTCAACGAGCCACAGACGTTCTAGGTCGGTATGGTCTCTCACCCCAAAACCAGAGTTATGTGCTTGATCTGCTATTCGACGTCGAGAAGGGAGCTGGATTCACCATCCTGCGTAATGGTATTGGATCAAGTAACAGCTCCAAAGGGAATCTGATGAATTCCATCGAACCGTACGCTCCCGCTGGACCGAATGCTACCCCCAACTATACCTGGGATCACTATAGCAGTGGGCAATTCCCTCTCTCGCAAGATGCTCGAGCTCGTGGTCTACCTTACATATATGCCGATGCGTGGTCTGCCCCCGGATTCATGAAGACGAATGACGATGAGAATAACGGAGGTTATCTCTGCGGAGTCGAAGGCACCCATTGCTCCACGGGCGATTGGAAACAGGCCTATGCGAATTACTTGATCCAGTTTTGGAAGTACTGGAACGACGCCGGAGTACCCATCACTCACCTTGGGTTCTTGAACGAACCTTCTTTCGCACCTGATTACGCCAGTATGCAATCCAACGGGACACAAGCCGCCGACTTTATTCGAGTTTTGGGTAAAACAATCCAGAAGGAGAACATTGATGTCGAGATCGTCTGCTGCGATGATTATGGATGGGAACAACAAGAAGCCTTGATGGCCGGCCTAGCAGCTCCAGATGAAAATGGAAACAGTGGCGAGAGCTACTTGTCAGTCATTTCTGGGCATGGATATGCTTCTCCTCCCGATTTCCAACTCAGCACGTCGTTGAGAGTATGGGAGACAGAATGGGCAGATTTGACGGGCGATTACACTCCTTATGAATTTTGGAACCATAGTGGACCGGGCGAAGGTCTTACATGGGCATCAAGGATCCAAGTGGCCTTCACCCAAGCCAATGTCAGCGCCTTTTTGTATTGGATAGGTGCGGAAAACTCGACAACCAACTCGGCTTTGATCAACCTGCACGGTGACGAGGTCGTGCCGAGTAAACGATTCTGGTCTTTTGCTCAGTTCAGTCGATTCGTCCGCCCAGGTGCCCGCCGCATCGACGTCCAAGGGGCAAACTCGGAACTCACTGTGACTGGATTCGAGAATGTGGATGGTACTGTCGCAATCCAGGTCTTGAACAACGCGACGACAGATACGACCATTCGTGTGCGCCTTGGCCATGGTCAACATGGGACAGTACAGTCCTATATCACAGACAATGAGCACGATCTCGACGCGATGGGTCAGTACAACCCAGGGCCACCCGGCTTCTTCGATACCATTGTCAAGGCAAAGAGTCTGACCAGTTTCATTCAAGGTTCTTGTCAGTAGGGTGAATCATATTATATTTCCATGCAACGTCATGATGTCATAAGTCATCTTCGGACTCGATAATTATCGCCGTGCTCTTGTACAGTCGCTTCTTGGTCGTCTGCAGTTTCAGGCGCGTCGTAGGCATCGTGAAACTTCGATTACGGATAGATCGTCGCCATCGTCGAGTCTTGTTGACATCTTCGAGAGTGCGAATGTAGTCTACGACGTTAGTCCAATAGCTAGTGGAGTACTAACCCTCGCGCATTTCTTTCGCGTCTCTGTGGAGTTTCGAAGCTCTTCGCGAGCAATCCTCTGGGAGCTCTTGTGCCTCACATGGGTCCATCCAATCTTCGACCTGCGTCTTCTTGGCGTGCCCTTCCCACAGACGCTGTTCATGAAGTGCGTCGTAGCCTGTATCCATCACTTCGAGTGCATCGTCAAGAGTCGCATCTTCTTGGTCTGACAGGGTGGAACTGAGGTCGTCATCGCTCATCACGCCGTCCAGGCTACCGTCGTGTGGCGCATTTTCCGCATGTCTCTCGGCCTCGACGTCATCCAATCCATCCATCGAGTCGGGTGCCGGGAGCGTACCCAAGACTGCCATGTCTCGAAAAGGCAGACTGTAGTCATCCAAGTCATAGGGCGACTTTTCCTCAATCTTCTCCAAAATCTCATCTGGGACCCATCGCTTACGGAACGCAAGCAGATCACTGATCGGATCCTCGTCTCGCATGGCAAGTGTCGATCGGATGTGCTGTATCGTAATCTCGCGCGATGGTTCAGCCTCGGGTGACAGTGTAATTGCTTGCTCAGCTGTGATAATGGTCTGAAAGACCAACGCTGCGACGAACGAAACCAAATGGTCATATAGCAGGCTTAGCGTCTCCGTAAGAACGGCCGGCTCCCCGGAGACGCCGTGTTCATTCTTCTCGATGAAGCATCTGGCTGGTCAGCTTGAGGCATGGTGTCACCACTCACTCATGCCACGTCTTCAGCTTTGAGAGATTGAAGACATCCCAGCCTTTGTGGACAAATTCGTCAACGACACCGAGGTTCTTGGCCGCCTTTCGCAATCTCAATAAGGCCGCTCGACCCTCATCGGCTGGACATTTCCACCTATTCCCTCCATTGGCCCTCATCTCGACGTCTTTCTTCCAGTACACCTCGTCAGGTCCGCCTTGTTGCTCAATCTCCTCAGGCGTCATCCCACTCGCCACCAGACGCCGCATCCGATATTTTTGTCGCATATGCCTTCGACGTAAAAGTACCCTTAAAGAGCCTTTCTGTTCTGGCGTCCGCTTCTTCTTGTTGATAGCTTGAATCTCCTCAATCATCTCTTGATCCGCAGCCATACGTCTCGTTTCTGTCGATCGTGGATGTCCGATCACTGGCGGTCCATCTTGCACGCTTGCACCGATTGGTTGACCGTTCGGACCAGTCCGTCTACTAAGTGGTTCCGCCCATTTTTGCCAGCTCGCCGCTATGAGCCGTTCCAAAGTGTCAATCTTGTCAGAGGAAAGCTCTTCCATGTAGTCTTCGAGGGCCCACTTCTTCTCAAGCTTTCTCAAGGCTTCGTCCTCTAGGGGCCTGTGAGCGGCGAGTTGTTTCGGTTGTCGAATGGATCTGAGCACCGCTCGTTTTTCATCTTTTCGAAGGATATCCTTCTCCAGGCGTGAAATCTCCAGGGACTTTTCCCTCACGGCGCTTTCGAGCCTCTCTGCAATGCTTTCTTCCTCCTTGATCCATTTAGCGCTGACCTCCCTCGCAGCTGGCGATAGACCCTCTTCCCAGGGATGTCGACTCTTGTATCTCCCAGCACGATCCCGCTGTCCTTCTTGTGATCCTGTGTTCCGCTGTACAGCAGCGAACCCATCTTCCAAGAGATCCAAGTAATGCTCCACTTCGACCTCGTGTCTGCCGATGTCCGCCGCGATGAGTTCGGGACGGAATCGTGAATGCCTCGCTAGAGCCAAAAAGAAAGCAGCCTTGTCTTCTGGCGTGAACTCGGCATTGATTGGAGGGACAATGGTCGATTTACGAAGAGAGGGAGCTTTGCGCCATGACTGGGAAATACGGGGGCCTATCAACCGATTCCTAGTATCTGAGACGTGTTCATCCAGGGCGATGGTGTACCAGCTGTCTAGCTGTTGGGTATCCGACGCGTTGTCTAGCCATAATTAGCAGGCCCGTACCACGTCTCTGGACCTACTGTGGGGCTCTGCCTCTGTCGCTCTTGCCTTTTGCTTTCGCTTTCCCGTTTCAAAAAGCTCTTGCTGCTCATCCTCGTCCATGACATGGTTCGAGTCTCAGAAGTCGAGAACTCAAGCGAACGCGGTTGTTGGAGAATGGTCCAAATTTTTTTGGGTCTGCAGTGACGACATTTTAAGCCGATGTCCAGGAGATTTATGCAGTTGCCGATCGCGTGCATGCTTCTGACTACCTCCTCCTCCGTGTACGATGCTCTTCACGCAGATGGAGGCATGTGCTAGCAGCTCTCGATTGACCTTGACCCCTCTCAGACAGTCGCCTGCTTGTCGAGGATGCTTGCTTAATGTCTCCCGCCGTACATTCGCTACGAGCCCTCTCAAACCGAAACCGATACAGGGCCGATCTCGCCGTTGGATAAGACGAACAGGTATCGTGATCCTCATCGGAGGCGGAGTCTACGCCTATGACAAGCAATTCAATGCAAGTGCTCTGAGTCGGAGCTTGAGGACGGGCTGGATAGGGTGAGCCATAGAATATTAGACGGGTTCCTGACCGCCGGCAGACTCGTGTGCACTCTTGACTGTAAGATCTGTTCATGACAGCTCGGCTGACAGATGATGAAGATAAGATCAACTTTGCCCCGAGCAAGGCACATGAGATTGACAATCTGCATCAACGTGTCGCAGACAGACTACGTTGGGTCATCGACACGAATCAAGGGCTTTATCTTAAACTCGGACAAGCACTGGGGCTACAAGCTGCGCTACTGCCAAAGCCATATCGAGAGGCCTTTGGACACGTCTTTGACAAGGCTCCTTCGGTCCCTTATGCTGAAGTTCAAGGGGTGAGTACAAGGCTTCGACTACCCACTCATCCCGCCAGGTCTTTCGACGAGATCTTGATGTCGATCCGGAGGATATCTTTGTGTCCTTCTCGCATGAGCCACTCGCTTCCGCCTCGATAGCTCAAGTCCATAAGGCGGTTCTTAGAACTCCACAAGGCGAAGAATTAGTCGTCGCGGTCAAGGTTCAAAAACCCGCCATCGAGAAGCAAATGGAGTGGGACCTGTTCTCTTATCGGTGAGTGCCACACTTTTTGCTTTGTAGCTGAAGGTGAAGCTCCCTCATGTGGGTTTGCGAAAAGATCTTTGACATGCCGAGTGAGTCCTGAATTCACAGATATGTAGCTGACAGACCCTTAGTGTACTTCGTGTAGGTGATCTCTGGCGTGCTCTACTCACGCCTAGTGCCAAATATGTCTCGGTGCAGATGAAGAATGAGACCAACTTTCAACATGAGGCGGGCAACGCCAGGCGGTGCGCAGAATTCCTCAGCCAGACTCCGGAATTGAAGGACGATGTCTATGTGCCAAGAGTCTTTGGGGAGAGTGAAGGATGTCGCGAATCGCAGCGAATCATGGTGACCGAGTGGATCGATGGGTGCAGGTGAGTGATGCAGATCCGCTCGCTTCGTGTGACTCATACATGGTTAAGGTTGAACGATCAAGCGGCTCTCGAGCGGATGGGTCTGAAAGCTCGGGACGTCATGGATTTGGTCATCTCTACCTGGGGAGCGATGACCTTCTCATGGGGTTTCCTGCACTGTGATCCGCATCCTGGCAACATACTCATCCGCCCGCACCCCAAGAAGAAGGGAAAACCTCAAATCGTGAGTTGGCCTCAGAGCGAGTTTGCTGACCGGCTCAAGGTGATCATCGATCATGGCCTGTATATTGAAAGCACAACCGAGTTCCGGGAAGATTACTGCAACCTCTGGCGGTCGCTATTCATGCTTGATATTCCTACGATCGAGCGTATAGCGCGCAAGTGGGGTATCGCGCTGGACCCGAATATGTGAGCCTTCAGCCATGGCTAGTACTGAGACTATCAGGTTCGCCTCCGCCATATTGCTTCGCCCATTCCAAGTCAAAAAGAAAACGAAGGAGGAGCTGGCGCAGGAGCCAGAAAAGACTGCATATGAGCAGCAGTTGGAGCTAAAGTCGAGGTTCAAGACCATGTTGGAGAATGAGCAGCTGATTCCGAGGGTGAGAAGGCCGCTGATCTCTTTCTGACTTCGCCCCAGGAATTGATCTTCATTGCTCGGTGTCAAAGGATGATGCAGGCGAACAACCAGTTATTAGGATCACCATCAAACAGGATCAACCTCACCGCCAAGGTGAGTTTCTACAAGACAGCCAGGCGCTGAAAAGTCCAAGTGGGCCTCTACAGGGTACACCCGTTCACTGAACGCCCCTCGCACTATCGCAAGAGTCGGTCTCAGCACATGGCTCAGTGACCGATTCCGAATGATCATCCTCAGAATGACCCTGGGATTCAGCGACCTGATCTTTTGGCTCGACCGATTGCGACAATGTGCGGTTTTCCGCAGCTCGAACGACCCGACGCTGACGCTTCACATAGATCTGCTGCCAAAGTCCAAGCGGAAAGGCTGGGAAGATCAACTGCAGGCACAGTTTGAAAGTATCGCGAAGGAGGAGTTTGGGATCGAGCTAGAAGACGACGTTTTCTTAGGCTGATGCCAGAAGCCCTCGCCTGAGATCCTGGGCATCCGAGACACATTCGATATCCCTGGCTAACCTTTAAAAAAGGATCCGTTGTGCATCGAATCCCCCCAATCTGTGTACTGCTGACTCCGCTATCATGTCTTGGCTGCCAAAGGCATGTCAGAAGCTGTCACTTACGAGGTGTATGATATTGCATTCACACCCATGCTTCCTGCCATCAGGCATCAACAGCTAATCAACCTGATCGTGGCATCCATAATCGGTCGACGTCTCATCCTGTTCCGGCGACGCTGTTTTGCAACGGAGCCAACATATCCACAGATATCCTTGAAGGCGGAAGGCGCAGCTATGAAGGGTGCTTATACAGTGCCCCTGCAGATTCGTAGATACATATCTTCGAGGGCGAAAGGCTCAGTCACAAAGGATGCTGAGTTGAATCCGTCTTTTGGGCTGTTTCAGGGCCCCAGGGATCAAGCCCCATCTCAGGCTTTCGATGTCGCCAGTCAAAAGGGATGATCGAGCCCCCCCTTGGGTAGTCCTCCGGTCTTCCTTCGCTGGGGTCTCAGCCTGGACAAACAGATCGCTCCCTCCATTATACTTACTAGTAGGATTATGATAAGACGAAGGCCCATCCTCCAGCCTGACCGCTCGCATACATACCAGTCGACTCAGGAAAGCGTTCTTCGCACATACCAGAACAACATGACGACCACTGCTGCTTTCTCCCTGGAAGACGAGGCGGGACTGGCCGGCAGGACTGTACTGTCGGATCTGAAGACGAACCAAATACCCTATGATGCCTCAGACAGTGACATTGATGAGGCGCGAGTTTTCTTCCAAGGCGAGTCTTCGTCTGCCTTAATTAGGCTCCTACAGCAGTGAACCCGGCTCACGTTATCTTCAGAGGCTTGGCCTATGATACTGGCTGGCACACCGTTGTCCTTGCCTTTGACCTTGAGCAGAGGAGCAGCGCTGGCCTCGCGAGAGCTCCGCAGGAGTCTAGGTACACTCCAGCTACTTTCACAAGCCGACACAGGATGGGGAGACGAACACGTCGAGCACGATACCAGTTCAAGTAAAGGCAAAGGCAAGGCGACTTGGGACCCTCAGTCAACCGGGCAGAGCGAAGGCCTCACAAAGAAGGATACTGCCGCTCAGCGTTATAAGACCCTTGAGAGCTGTGTAGCGAAGCTTCGCGATGCACTTTGTGCATGGCACGTATCTCTGCTGACGAACCCAGAGAAGTCAAAAGCAGATTTTGACGACAAGCCAGAGTTCTTCCAATTTCTAGCCACGGAGATAGCGAATGAGCGGCTGGATCCCGAAGGCGACTATGTGGCCTTGGATGAGGGCGCTCCGGGTCCATCTGTGGGTCAAGGATCAGCTCATCTCTTCCTCGAGAATCCTACCGATGACTTTGGGGACCAGAGCGCTCTGTTGAGATGGGCCATGGGTAAGGGTAAGATTTGGGAGTTGAGGCTGAATTGCACCTTTCAGATTACCACGACCTATTCGGTAACATGGACTCACTTTGCAAGGCTGAGGTTCTGCCTCACGAACACGAGATGAACGTGTCGGCTCTGATTCCGTACGTGAACAATTACAATGACAGAGCCGCGGCGAGCTTGGGGTTTGACACTGGAGGAGATGCCAGTAGTGACGCCATCGCAAGGGGAGCGGGGATTGCCCAGACGCTTGGTCTGAAATTTGAACAAGGAGAATAGAGGCTCCAAGTAAAGACGAAAGTCTTGCCAGTGGGTAGAGATGCATGCATCATGCATCCGGGCTGGTATCTTCGATTCAGGGTATCTAAGGGTATCTGCCACAATGCCACTCCAAATGTGGAGGAGCGTATCATGACATTCCCGCGCGTGTAAACTTGCCTTGCCTCTTACCTCAACCACGATGTCCGACCAGGAGGCAGAGCGCAAGGCCAAAGCAGCGAGGGCTAAGAAGCTAGTAAGTCGGAAACTTGACTCTATCCTTGACTGACACGGGTCAGCTCGCTGCTAGGCAGAAAGGGAAAGCAAAGGCTGCCAGTGCGGCTGCTCCCTCCTCACCGGCATCCACTGCCGTTGTCGATGAGAGTGCCGCACCGTCCGTGAGAACAAGTCTGAGCTTGGATGCGCCACCGCAGATCGAGTCTGAGGCGAAAGTGGAGCCTGGATCTGGGCCTGAGTTCAGTGTCAAACCAGAGCCAGAGTCACAGCCAGAGTCACAGCCAGAGCCACAGCCAGAGCCTGAGCCGGAAACAAAGCCCAGGTCAGAATTAGAGCTGGACCACCCCAAGTCAGATCTCGATACCATACCGGAACCCGAACGCCAGCCAAAGCCTGATCCTTCACCACAGGTAATCGGCCCAGATAGGGAGCAGACTCAACCTCCGACCCTTCCTGCTCATCCTTCAACCCCTCCGACCGACTCCCTCGGCAATCTGCAGCAGACTGTCTCTTTGCTCATCCAGGAAAGGACAGACCTGCAGGCCCAGGTGACAGAGTTACAAAAGGCGCTCAATGTAGCCAAAGGAGATTCTCAGCTGTTGATAGAAGGGCGATCGCTGATCGAGAAGCTAGAACGTGAGAAGAAGGAGCTCGAGGCAGAGTTGACAGAGGCGAGCCGGGTTGGAGAGGAAGTGGAGCAGCTCAGGCTGGAGGTGAAGCAGCTGCGGGGGGAGCTTGACATTCTCGGAGACGAGAAGAAGCGGCTGCAGGAGCAGGCTCAAGCTTCTGAGAGAAAGGCTGCGGATATCGAAAAGGAACGTGAAACGCAAATCAAGCAGCTACGGAAGGATGTGGATCGAGCGAGGGAGCGCGAAAGTGGTCTGGAGGGCGAAGTGGCGAGGTTGCGTCAGGTGAGTGTGGGTGAAGACTGAACTGACAACAGACGCATGCCGAGCTTTCTTCAAACTTGGATGCGATTACATTGGAGCGTGACCAGCTTCAGACATCGTCGTCAGCCGACTCCTCAGCTCTCGGTGTGCTGAGGTCTGAACACGAAGCATTGCAGAACACGCATGATGCGCTGAAGGCGGACCTCGCGAAACTGGACGAAGATCATAAAACCCTTCGATCATCACATGACACCCTGACGGCAGATCACGCCGAAGCGTCGTCCTCGCGCGCTGCCCTTGACGAAAGTCTTACTCGAGAGAGGGAGGAGCTATCACGCATCAGAACTGAGCTAGAGGAGACGAAGACTAAAGCAGAAGGGAGCGTCAAGAGAGTCGAGGCGGCCGAGAAGAAGCGCGCCGCGCTGCAAGAGGAGAACGGGGAGCTAGTCAAGCAATTGGAAGAGGTTAGAGGTCGGGTGGTACAGGTACTGGATGAAAAGGTCGAGTTGGCGGCCAAGCTGGAAGAGTGGGAGCGAAAGGCAGAGAAGCAGGCAGCCGACCGTCAGCGTCTGGGGCAGGCAGAGCAGGAGCTGGAGCGGGCCAAAGCTACGATCCGGGAACTAGAGTCTCAGCCCAAATCCAGCGCAATGCCGATAGCGCAAGACGAGTCTTTAATGACCCTCGAGCTATCTCGTCAAGCGGAACAGATCCGACATTTGGAAGCCTCCCTACATGCGTCAACATCTCGCGTGCATAGCCTGTCGAGGGAGCTGTACGACATGCAATCAGAGCGAGACGAACTCATTGCCTCAGGCTCTCGAAGCAGGGGACTATTCCTGGCCGACGACACAGGCTTACGGTCGCCATTATTGGGCGACTCGAGGCAGTTGTCAGTGGATGCCCTGCTTCCTGCCCATGTTCGCCGGAAACGTCAAATATCGCTGGCCGCTCTCAAAGCAAGAATGGATCACAATTCGGCAGATGGCCGCAGAGCAAGCCAGGTGTCAGCGGATGGTCAGAACGCAAAGCCAGCGCATAGTTCTGGGCTCGGCAATATGAGAAAACAGTTTGGAGACGAGATAGTCTTTTGCTGTCCTGCTTGTGAAGGCGACTTGATCACAGTATAATATGGCTCATATTATGCATCATGACTGCCTATCGCCGATGAGGGGCTTCCAGCGCGACCCGTAAACTCTCATACAAACCATCGGCTGAGTGACCCTGACTCCTAGCGTATCGACTATCCATCGAGCTTCCCAGGCTGTGATCCCTGGTCAACGGTTCGCTGAGCCGATATTGAGACTGCTTGGCAATTAGTCTTTCCATTTCAGATCGGTACCCCTGTGTCGAGTGCGAGGCGAACGGTCGACTGAGTCGCAGGGATTTGGGACGGTAGTAGGATTCGAAAATATCATAGTGATCCTCAGTCTTAGAGTATGGGTTCGCCAAGCTGCCGTTGTCCGTGTTCGTCCGTTTGGAAAGTAGAGAGGGCTGACGGTTGAGGAAATGATCGCGCGGTCTGTGCAGGTAGCCTTGACGGCAGGATGAACACTCGCATTCGATCATGGGAAAGCCACCTGGGTTTGGTGCGGACTTTCGCGTCGGTGCGTAATAATCGATGTCATGTCGATCGGGCCGTTGCACATCCGAATAGAGTTGGCTGAACCGCGATCGAGAGGGGAGACGGGTGAATCGGTCGTGCATACTTCGCGAGTCCGTGGGGGTCACGCAGGTGTCACTGTGGCTGCTGGGGTAGGAGCGATAGGAGGGGGTCTCGGATCGCGAAAATGGCTCTTGGTGGTGCGAGTCGTGTCGCGAGTCAGATCGATAGGATCGTGCGTGGGTGTATTCCATATCCATGGCGCGACGACGATCTTCTTCTGCGAAATAGCTTTCTGAGCGTCGAACGGACGGTGGATGTCTGCTGTCATTGTCAGATACCTGTCCTCCGTCGCGTTTTGTAATGGTCACTCCGTCACTCGCGCGGCTCTGGCCAGACGTGATCGTCTGCTGCCTCAGGATCAAGCTCTGCAGCTCTTTCTCAATATCAGAGGGCTGAGGCGCCGATCGAGTCTTGGCACTCCTCTTCTTGGCACAGAACAGGAGAGCAATGAAGCCTATCAAGCCACAGATGGCTAATGGTACAGCGATGGCCACGGGGTTGACCTGTCGGGCTTGCGGTGATGCAGAGTCTGACGCTTGAGCCGGGAGCAACGTGGTTAAAAGATTGTTGGGAGAGGGGGAAGTTGTGCTTGACAGAGCGGTCGAAGTGGACGAGGACCAAGTGGAAGTGGATTTGTGCCATTTGGTCGTAGTTGCCGACGGCGAGACGGCTGAAGTTAGCGGTTTCTGTTGGCGACGATGCTCACTGGCACTCCAAGGGGACTCTGAAGCTGTCTCGGAAGCCGTCCACCACTTGGTTTTATGAGTGGTGGAATAGTCATCATCCCCATCATCGTCTTGCCAAGCGTGAGCTCTCAACGAAACCTTGACACGCACATTTGTTATCCCTCCAAGACCCGTCGTCTGAGTCCTGCTTGTCAAACTTGTATCCTTTCGTGTAACCCTTTTCATCGTCATCATCGCTGGAACGACTTTCTCCGCGCGGCAGTAAAGTCGAACCAGCGAGAAATAATGTCAATGTCATCGAGCTCCTGGCCAGAGACGCGGATGATCGAGGCATGGTGCCGCCAGGGCAAAGGATCGGAGCTACAAGCACACTGTGGAGAGCAGACGCACAGCGTCGATATAGTGATGGTCAGTAGCCTAACGGTGAGAGTGTAGCACATGCAATGGACGACGTGATCAGATATCAAGCCAGACAACAGATAGCCATCTAGGATCAGCTGAGACGCAAGTCTGACATTGTCAGACGATCTGAGACATTGGTGCATCTATTGAGCCACTGTCTGGACTTTTTCTGTCGTTGTTTCCGGTTGAACGTGCGTTCCCTCTGGGGTCATCTGAACTCCTTCTTGATCCTCGAATGATCGGAGCCCACGGAGTCCCCACCTGTCAAGCATAGCCTTGTCCTCATCCCAACCGGAGCAAGGTGTGGTGAGCATTCGCTCGCCGGTGAAGATGGCATTGGCTCCAGCCATGAATGCCTATCGTCAGTAGACTCCCGGAGCAGATTCTTACCATTGCTTGCTCGGTTTCGGAGAATGTATGACGACCCGCTGCAAGTCGAATGATGGTTTTGGGCAGGACAATTCGGGCCGTGGCAATGGTTCGGAGCACGGTGTGGACGGGAACAGGCTGTGGTGGGTCAGACATGATTCTGAGACATTCGGCTCACCTTGTTATCCTCGAGCGGAGTCCCGGGAATAGGTACGAGCGTGTTGACGGGGAACGATTCGGGGTGCTCATCAAACCTAAGATAGTTAGACACGCTTCCATATGCGACTCTCACCTAGACACTTCGTGAATCAGGCCGACGCGGTCCGCATCTTCTTCACCGAGCCCAAGAATACCTCCCGAGCAGACAGAGATACCTGCGTCTCGAACGGCCTGAATGGTCTCCAGCCGCTCGTCATACGTTCTACTCGTGATGACCTGCTCATGAGCTGGGTTTCGGTCATCATTCTCACTGATGGGTAGAATTCTCGACTTGTATCCAGGTTGTGATTATAGGCGCTGAGACCAGCTTCTTTGAGTCGTCTCGCCTGGTCTGCGTTCAACATGCCAAGAGTAGTGCACACTAGTGGTCAGCAGATATAAACGGCGTTACTCGCCCTCCATCCCCATGCCTCGAACTTCCGACACCATCTTGAGGATCTTTTCAAAGCCGCTCTTCTTTCCGGCCAAATCTCTCCACGCTGCGCCCATACAGAATCTAGTCGACCCGTTCGCCTTGGCTTGACGAGCCGCTTCCAATACAGGCTCAATGTCTACAAGTCGAGATGACTTGGTCTGGGTCTTGTAGGACGAGGACTGAGAGCAGTACTTGCAATCTTCCGTACATCCTCCGGCTATCAAGGTCAGCTGGGTAGCGCGCAAAGGTTTCACTTTTTATGTTCATCAGAGTGCAGAGCTGAATTCGGGAGGGGTCATGATATTTGCGGTGGATGGACGCCTGAATCGTCAGACTCGTCCGACCCTTCTGCTCACAGCTCGAAAGATGTTGTCCATTAATGGGGCATCGAAGATGCGTTGAATTTCGGAACGTCGCCAGTCATGTCTGATATCAGGACGGGACTGGGTCGGCGCTTCGGCAACGGTTGCGAGGCCGCGGGATAGAGCGATGGACCCTACTCTGACAGAGCCTGTAGCTCTGGGAATGGTCAAAGCTGCCATGATAACTCTAGGAAGAGAGAGAGGTCTGAAATCAAAAGCAGCACTGGCTTATTTTTTCAAGTTGTGCGGAAATCCTTGAATGGTGATTGGTAGAGGTTGACGCAGACAACCGCATCCTCATCATTCAGGATGCATTGCCTATCATACTACAGATGCACATACGACCTCGCCCGACCAGTGAGCGCATGCCATGCATGGGTCCAGTATCGCTGCCTGCCTACGGAACGGGCCTTCCCCATGGAAATATTTGGTTCCGACATTCGTCTCACCCGATAGCCGGAACCTGGACACTAGTCTGTGTAGCGTTGACCCCATCTGCCCACGATGGCGAGCTCGTCTCAAGCTGAGCCGCTGTCAAAGCTTGATTTGCATCATGTTCCAGATGACAAGCCGGTATTTGCGTGCCACAAATGCTCCGAAGTGATCGTGAGTGCATCGCATCGTACACGTTTTGCCATCTGACCGTTCCAGGCACTGCAAGATGAGCTCGTGTCCAAGGCATTCAACGGACGGTCAGGGAGGGCATAGTGAGGTAACCCAGTGATGTCAGGCTGAAGCTTGCAGCCTCATGAATACGACCTTCAATACCAAACTAGGCAAGCGCGAACAGAGGAGGCTATTGTAAGTGCCAAGTGGAGATGATTGTCTGACCATTTCGAAGGACCGGGACACACACCGTGGCCGACCTGCACTGTGCGTCCTGCAATGCGGCATTAGGCTGGCACTACATCACCGCGCCGAGCTCCGATCAGAGGTATAAAGAAGGTGAGGCAGACGAGGTGTCTCAGCTGAAGGATTAGGCAGATACATCTTGGAGCAGCGGCTCGTCGTGAAGATCAACAATTGGTGAGGATGTTGAGATGTACGAGATGTTGTACACCGTTGTACCAGTGGTCTGTAGACATCTATCTGTGACTTGTGTTCTTTAGCCTGGGCGAGACCCGTCTATGTTGTGTCCGAACGTATCTCTCCGTTGTCAATGCATGCAGTCTCTAATGCCAAATATGAATCGTCCATGATGTAATGCTACAGTGTCTCTAACGCTCTCGTTTTCTCTACCAGACGATCTCTCCCGGAATCCATTTGTCGATCAGGCCCTGATAGTAGGGTTTCAGTTCGGAAACCTTGGGAGGTTCGTCGGATTTCGAGTAGAGGTCATAAGCTGCGAGTCAGCACAGAGTCGAAGAGAGTGCTGCTCACGATTGAATGCTCTGACGGCGGCGAGCTGAGCCTTGTCATCCTCACACATAAGGTGTTGGTAGGCATTCTCCTTGTGCCAAGGATAGAAGGAATGATATCGGATCATGCTAAGTCCTTCCTTAGGCACTAAAAGGTCAGCACGATAGCGTAGAGTGGCACTCACATTTGGATTGTCTCCTCATGACATCGTACAGGTACTCGTCGTGACCGTAGGACAACAAGACATTGTCAAGACCGCAACCGCGTTCGTAGATTCCGCACTCGGTCATCAACTTCTCATCGTGGATATCTGGGTTGTCGACGAAAGAGTCTTTGCCGTAAATGATCTTGTCGGAAAACTCGCATCCGACGACGAATGTATCACCAACGACGTCCCACTGACCATCGGCACCGAAGAAGCACAACAATTTGCCGAGATCGTGAACGAGACCGACAACTTGCATCCACTCGGGCTTGCCATCACGTCGAATGGCCTCGGCTGTTTGGAGCAGATGCTCGATCTGTCCAACAGAGGTATCGGGGTCAGACTCGTCGATGAGCGTGTTGAGCATTTCCATGGCCTCCCAGACGGTCATACGTGCGTTGACATTCTTGGCGTACTTTTCACGGATGGCGAGGTTGTAATTGAGTGTCTGCTTGGTGTGTTGTTCCTATAGAGTGTCTCAGCAAGGAGTCCATGAGTGAGTGAGTGACCTGCTCACCTTGTAGAAACCCTTGACACGGTCACAGGCATCCTCATAACGTCTAAAGTTGTCCTTGTCCTTCTCTGCATCAAATTTGCTCGCCTCGTCGTATTTGATCTGATTAACATGATCAATCTCGTCACCAATGGCCTCGACCTGAGCGGCCTTGAGCTTGACAAAGTCGGTCACTTCGGGTGCGTGCATGATGAAAGATAAGTGGTGGCAAGAAACCGAGTTGTGAAGTGGCCGTTGGGTGTAGGTCTTTGGAGAAGAAGAGGTTGGGCGTTGATCCTTTCTCTTCCTTTTATTTGGAGCGAGCGGGCCGTCCCTCCGATAGCGGACTCGGCAGACTCGGGCCCAACACAAGAAACAGGGGGAGGAGGAGGGGGCAGGAGGAAAAAAGATCCACCGAGGGTATCCGATTCGGACGAGACACAAGTCCGATCTCGGAGCTTGTGAAAGGTGCCACATCGAGGCAGCTGAATGTCGCGTGGTGCACGTGGTTCCCGCGGGGAACGTAGCGAGAACGCGTTTGCTTTTCTCTCGAGATTTTCGCTTTGGGTGAATGACTTTTTACGCGTCACTCTTTGCTTTCACAATCCACTGACCATGTCGTCGATTGTCGCAGGACCCGGACCAGAAACACCTCTGCCCCTCAGTCCGCTGAAGCAACTTCCCACTATGGCGCCATCACCATCGGTCAAACGCCATAATGACCCTTTCCTGGACTCTGCGTCCAAGAGGTCCAAGCTAAGCTCTACCCCCTTGAAGATGCCAGCTATTCCTACCCGCGCTCTGACACCATCCACGTCCACTGCGGCGTACTCGTCGTCTCCTCGACGTCTCGACTCGTCGCCTACCGCTGCAAATGTACAACCTATAAAGCACGTCAGGATCAAGGACATTGCCATGGAGCCCGTCACCGTAACTCCTGGCATGGCCATAGTTTTCGGACGGCATCGACACACACATGATGCGAACCGCACGACAGAGCTCCGGTCAACCGTTCCACCCCATTTGCGCCATCTCGTCTCTGACATCGACTCGCCTGCGACTGTGGTCTATCTTCCCCGATTTGCGCGCCATGCGTCTCGAGTCCACGCCGTGGTGGAGTATCTCGAGGACAATGATGTGCTGCGTGTCGTTGTAGTGGGTCAGAATGGTCTGAGATTATCAGATGGACACCGCATTCTGCCTGGACAGAGATTCGACCTGCATCGTGAGGATGAGCTGGAGATAAGCTTTTATGGAGCGGCTGTGCACCTTGGATTTCCGCACGAAACGAGGGAGAGATTGTTCTCGCCTGAGTCTGAAGCGTCATCGCCACAATCATCCTTGCCGCCGTCGTCTCCACCATTACGACGCGGATCGAGTCCGCTGTCTGAGGATGAGATCTCAACCGCGGCGATGGTCCTCGAGTCGAAGCCATCCGTTTCGCCTAGAATTGGAGGGCCTGATATCGACTCAACACTGCCCCTACCAGCTGGGACCGACTTGCCGGCCCTTCTCGCCTCTACCGTCGTATTCTCAGGATCGTCCAAATTGAGTCTGCCGGATCTTGTCAAACACATGCTGGAAGTGAGTCAGAGGGCCGATATGTACTGACAAATCAGTCTCAGCCTAGTCTACGCGAGCAAGGGAGTGAATCTCAGTGGGAACACTGGTGCTCAGGAGTGCTCGACAAGAACGCCATGTTTGGCAAGGTTCAGCGTCACGGCAAGGTAAGTCAGAGACCTGGGACTTTGCTAACGACAGGATGCATCGGGCAGACCTTTGTTACCGCACTACTTTTACAATCCCGATTTGGATACCGACCTATCGCGTGCAAAGGAGCTTGGGGGCTTGGTCCGACCTCTGCGGACTGTGCAGAGGGCAGGAGGCAAGGCTATCGACTGGCGGCCAGTCGGTGGAGGAAGGAGGCGATAAGCCTGGATTAAGCTACGATCCATCCGTCGCTCTGGAATGCGTGTATGGTGTCTTGGGTTTTGACATTCGGTACGAGGACGTAATCCGTATTCCTGGATTGAGCAACGTTCATGCATTTTACCTACCAAGTGGATAGGACGAAGACAGAAATACCGGCGGCTTTCAGCGGGCGTGTGAGCTCTGCCATAATGCCCACAAGATTGAAAGGGAGCGGTCCGCGAATACGAAAGGCCGTCCAAGGGCCTTCGGTGTGGGGTGGGGTAGGCAGTGCTCCGGCATCGGCAGAGTAGACCACGCTGACTTCGTCGGGGATGCAAGTGACGCTGAAGAATGAGCAGTCATGAGAGGGTATCTGGGTGCCTGGGGGATACTGGGCTAGATGAAGCTGATGGTCAAGCTGCACTAGATGCAGATAATCCGCCGATTTGTCCATGGCGTGTGATAGAAACGGGCGAGAGGAGAGGAGATGAAGAAAAGCTTGAGATAAATCAAGCGGAGATCGCCGCCCGGATCTGTACGTGGCCCTGGCCATGGTCAGATGGCCGGAAAGGGTATTGGGCATGCTGCAATCACTTTTTGGATCTACCTGCACCATCGTACTCAGCATGCACTTCTCAGATCCAGCAGGAAAGCATCGTCAACCACAGACATGGGTCCCATGGCCTCCTCCCAAGGACTATCAATTAGACAGCAGGCCATGGCGATTGCCGCCACACAGACCGATGATCATTTCAGGCATGTCCGGATCAGGGTTCACAGCTGACAGATTAGGTGCCGAGTTAGTGGACCCTGAGCATGGTGAAACGGTCAAGGGAATGGACATCAGGATTGAAGACGGCAAGATAGTAGAGATCGCGCCTTGCGAGAGCCTGTCGGGGTACAGAGATCAACGCAATGCGACAGTAATTGATGCCACTGGACTCTACATCTGTCCAGGGCTCATCGATTGTGAGTGAGCGTTAGTGTGTGCATTGCTGAACTCCAGGCCATGTACATATACTCGCAGGTCTGGGCACTGCTGAGGACGAACCTGGTACGGAGATGGAGAATGATCTGAATACTGCGCTAGGACTTAAATGTGGGCTGGGATGGAGTAGTGAACTGACTTTCAGACATGTTGTCGAATGGCTTTACAACCGTTCGTGACGTCGGCGGGGCCACGGCTAAGCACCGTTATTCTACCGAGTCTTGGCTCACACCTGGGCCGAGACTGTTTGTGGGAGGGCCAGTTATGTCCATGACCGGGGGGCATGGTAAGAGCTTTGTGGGACGGTACTGACCTCAGGCGATCACCGATCACAGTTTGACATGCTCTCCACCAACAGCCCATATGGCCAATTCTACAATGGCGGTATGGAGCATACGAGCACGATCGCCGATGGGGGTGAGTGAGAATGGGTAAAGCGAGCTGACGGATAGTGGACGAGTGTCTCAGAACCGCACGCAAGCTCATGGCAGCCGGCGCGGATCACGTCAAGATCTGTACTTCGGGTGGTGTATTGTCTCCCTATGACAAAGTCGAAGCGGCTCAATATACTGTACCAGAGATCAGGGCTGTCTGCGAGACGGTCAAGGCATTGGTGGGTTTAGTCTCCCTGCTCGCATTGACCGCTAAGGGTGGCACCCTCACCACAAGCCACTGTAACAGTGATTTGGGCGCGAGGAATGCTATCGAGGGAGGAGTAGGATGCATCGAGCACGGCGGCATGCTTTCGAGAGACACCCTTCAATCGATGAAGGAAAAAGGTATCCATTTGGTCCCGACCTTGATCGTTCAGGATGTGAGCGTTGGCACTGTACTCTGCTGACCCCAGGCCGTTGTCAACGGTCCTCTCAGGCCGTATGTATCGAAGCGGTCCTACGAGAAGGCAAAGACCGTGGCTTCGCATTCTGAAATCACGATGAAGGATGCTGTGGAGATTGGAGTGAATATCGGTTACGGGACAGATTACGTCCCGATGTTCCAGCTCGCCGAGTTTGACCTGCGAGCAGCGTTCCTGCCATCAAAAGAGGTACTCAAACATGCAACATGCAATGCAGGTGAGCCCGGGGCGTAGTCTTGGCTGACATTAGCCAAAATCCTCGGAATGGAAGGCAAGCTTGGATGTATCAAAGAAGGCGCGTTGGCCGACTTTTTGCTCCTGTCGGCCAACCCGATCGACAATGTGAAGATCCTCAACCGTCCGGACAAGCATCTCAAAGCGGTGGTCAAGGACGGGCGGTGTGTCAAGTCGAGTGTCAAGGGGCTGCCTGTGGAGGTAGAGTTATTCTAGTGTTTTGTTTTTGTTGTCATTATTGCAATTGGTACGGACGTGATTTGATTGCCGATTGTTTATGCCACCGCAACCGTATCGGGTCTCCGATGACGTCTGTAACATCTACTTTCGTCTTCAGACATCATGCGCCTGGCCTCCTTGTTCTACACCTTTGGCCTGGTTGCCACCACCCTCGCCGCTCCCCTCGACACCCAGCACACACTCGACATTTGCCCGCAGCTCAAGGTCAAATGCGTCAAGGACGGTGACTGGCAGCATCCGATCGGCGAGCTTGGCAAGAGACGTGGGTGATCTGTCAGATCTCGCTGAACTCGTTCTTAGCCTTTTGCAGGGAAGGCTTGCGTTGCAACCAGTGTGACATTGCCAGGAACAGTGGGTAATCGCTCGTTTCTTGCTCATGACGCAGCCCGCGAATGTAACCGTCTCTTCGCCGACTGTGACAAGGCTTGTGAGGCATACGGTCCGATCCCTTTCTAGTGGACGAGTTCCCCTGATCCACTGCCTCGCATGCCCCATGCATCGAGTCAGCTCGTGGGCATTCGACTGACACTAAATCCTTTCCGCGGTTTTAGCCTGATACCAGGGAAAACATGAGATCCAACATGAGACGTGGGATGAACGAGACATTTTAAACATGGCTTGGCCAGGCGAGGCAGAGCAGGTATATGAATAGAATACGAGGTGCTTGATCCTCCCACCATGCCCTCGGATTGACATCCCCTCTCCACTCGGTTGCTGGCAACCATGCACTTTTTATCTCTCGCCCTGTTGCCCTTTGCCCTCGCTCTTCCCGCTCAAGTCCCCATGATCGTCCGAGATATCATCGATGTCGACTTTGACTCGTGCAGTGCGTCCAATTCGGTCCTCAACATTACCATCTCACCGTGTGAGGTGGGCAATGGGTCGAGAGATGATCCGTGTCATTTCAGTGCAGGAAGGTGAGAGTCCGTGTGCTAGGATCCTCTGCTGACGACTAGCAATTACACCATCACCCTTACCTACGTCCCGCCCAGCAACTCGTCGGCGCCTCGTGCAAATCTCGCCGCAGAGGATCCGGCGGGATCTGGATACGCCTACTCGGGGCAGAGCTTTGTGAGTGGGGATTCCGCTTCATCACTGACAGCCAAGGGTGCATGCGAGTATACCGCTTGTCCGATAGAGGAGAATGTCATCTCGACGTATACCTACAAATTTGTGACTTTAGATAGCGTGAGTCAACCCGCTCCCTTCACCTTCGCTCAACCTCAGCCATTCAATCGTCTCACCTTCAATACCACGGACGGCCTTGAAGGCCCGTCCCTGATGTGTGCTTCTTTTCCAGTTGTCTTGTGAGTAGCTTTTGCGGCTGTTGTTGACATCATCAGCGTCCCACCATCCTCCAGACGGTCGATGCCGAGGTTACCATTCGGGGGTCTTGGGGCGAGGGAGAGGGAGTGAGAGTGGGCGCCAGGCTTGGCCTGGGTTGTCTGCACGAACCCACATGACTTGATATGACTTCTATTCTTTTATGGAGGGTATGCATACGCATTCGTGGCATGCTGAGCGAGTCTGCCTCGAGCGGGTTGGGAGAATTCCTGTATAGCTTCATCGTGTTGCAGTTTCTCAGGAGTCCAGTGAAACGCGTGGATGCATCGCGATGCATGGAGGAGGATGTCTAGGCTAAACGGCCTTACAGTACGCTGCCCGAGCTCTTCCTGGGCCAAGAACAGGGATACGTGGAAATACTCCAAGGCGTCCTATGGCCCGTCATAAACCGGAACCAAAATTTCACGTCGGGACTGTCTTCTCTGTTCACTTACAACACCATGGATCAAGTAGGTCAAAGTTGTGCACATCGGCTTACCCCCAGGACGCCTTCAGGTCACTGTTGTCAGCCCCTCGAACGGGCGAAAGCTCTCGACGCAATCTCAGCGGCCCGCCTCCGAAGCGAGGTTGGGGTATCAAGTCCAAATCCGGGAAAGAGTGAGCTGAGTCCTTGCTGCGGTTGCTCATCCCAGGTACAAACCCGAGGTTCAAGATGAGAAGCCTTCCTTTGCCCCGAGGGCGCAACAGAAGAAGCAATCACAAGAGAAGTACAAGGACCGTGCAGAGATGAGGAGACAAGGCATGGATGACGAGTATAAGCCTGTGGAAAAGCTTTTGGCGGATCTGGAAGAACGGGCGAAAGACGCTGGAGAGGATTCTGCGCAGGTCAGGATGACCTCATAATCGGAGCTGACTAATTACAGCTTGACAAAGCCCGCCAATACCTCGGGGGAGATGCTGAGCATTCGATCCTGGTTAAGGGTCTAGACTTTTCGTTGTTGGCCGCCAGAAAAGCAGAGATTGCTCGAGAGAAGGAGGAAGTGGCGGACGATGAGCTCGATGCTCTACTGAGTCGTGACAAGCTCGAATCTTCAAAGGCACCAGTGGAGAAACAGGAGACAATTGGCAAAGGAGTAAGGTGATGTCAAGGACTATCTGACGGCCTACAGTTCAAATCCATTAATAGGAAAGAGGAAGAACCGAAGAAGAAGAAGAAGAAAAAGAAGAAGGTTGCAGAGGGATCGGCCAGCAAGGATGGTGCTACAATCCAGGACACGAGATCTCAGGCAATTGTGCGTCCTGACAGTCCGAAGAAATGGCTACCGAGCCCTGCACCGGCACCGAAAGCGATGACGCCAGCTCCCGAGCCTGAATCCGAAGACGATATCTTCGGAGACGCCGGAGATTATGATCTGGCTGCTGGCAGGGCGGACGACGAAGACAGCTCTGCCGATGAGACATTGGAAGAGCCCAAGGAGGCAACGACTAATGAGGCCGGTCGGCACCGCGGCAGATCACGCGATAGTAGTCTTCATCGCGATTCCTCCCTGTACCAGCGCAGGAACTCTGTTTCCAGCGACAGACGCCGAGACCGTCCCTACAAGGACTATTACGAAGGGCCATCTCGTCAAAGATCGCCGTCACCTGATCGACGATACTCACGCTCTCCATCGCCCTATTATCGTCGCCACTCTCGCTCCCCATCGTCCTATCGTCGCCACTCTCGCTCGCCGTCGCCATATCGTCGACATCATTCCCGTTCTGTATCGCCTGATGGTCATTCAGCCCCATACTCCGCTCACCGCGCTCATCCTTCACATGCGTACGCCCGACGCAAGCATCGCTCACCATCTTACTCTGGCTCCCCTCCTCCTCGCCGACGCTACTCTCCCTCGCCACGTCGTCGACGGTCCACTTCCCCCGATCCAAAGCGTCGTCGCCGCTCTCCTTCGCCGCGTCGCCCTCGTTCCCGCTCTCCATCGCCCATGTTCGATCCGTATGCGATTCACTCTCGCTCCCCTACTCCATCCTCTGACGAAGGAGTCTTCACCGGGAAGCTTCAACCTCTCGCCTCATCTGCCATTCAAGATGTGAAAGGTTTTCTCTCCGCCGACGCGGATGCCGCCAAGGCAGAGGCGAAGAGAGCGCGGAAAGCCGGATGGCGTGCGAGAGAAGGTCTCGCTCCTCAAGAAGGAACCGAGGGTCTTATCAAGAAGGATATGAATGAAAAGCAGAAGTTGAATCGAGACTACGTCGTATTGATGAACAAGATGAAGAAGGGCGAGGAGAGGACAGAGTGATGCATGATGTGTTCAGTGCCCTGTTGATGCAACGCTCTCATGGCGAGCTGACGGAGCCGGCATCACGCAGTAAATGTCAAGATGAGCTTCAGCCGAAATTTCAGTTTACAATGATTCATATACTTTGTGATATCTACATCACAACGAAGTAGCCTGGCTAGCTCAATCGGTAGAGCATTCGACTCTTATACTGAGCTCGCAAGAGCGGTTAGGAGCTTGAACCAAGTCACATCGAAAGGTTGGGGGTTCGACCCCCCCGTTAGGCTCATTCTTTTTGCTCCTCTTTTTTCCTTGCCTTGTCGTTGTACACGTCTGCTTGAACGACTTGAAGGCGCCTCGGAAACGGGAGTGATGCATGTTGATATTCGTACTTCAGCTTCTCAGCAATGCCTGGAGCTGTGAGTGGGCTTTTCAGACTGGTGGGTGGCAGCCTAACGAGAGAGCTGAACTGGCACCTACCGAAACAAAAATATCGCGTCAGCGGAGATCACTCTGACCCTCCAGATTATACATGTGGCATTCGCATCTGCTTATGGAGTAATTCAGGATGAGTTCTCATAGTACTTCAGATCCAGTCCCAGCGCATCACACCTCGGCGTAGACGAGAAGATCTCGAAATCTGCTTGGAAACTTGGGTATTGAAACACCCTCAAGGTTTGATTCTCGACGCTAACCTGACTCCACGGTTCAATCATCCTTACCATCGCTGATGAGTTGGTGAAACCTCTCGCGTCCAAAAATGCGGTGTTTGGGTTCGGGTTGTAAGATCTTGCAAAGCTGGCCCAAGTATCGACGATGAACTGACTCATTGGGATATCCAAGCCATCACGGTCGGGCAATCCGACATATGGCATGGTCCCAAAAGTGTAGGAGAGGTCGCCGGAGTGACACTTGAAGTACTCCATTTCTGGATCGCCGTAGGGGTAAGAAGGGGTGATGGGGGCTTCGCACACGGGCGGATGGGGGTCGTACCCGTTGTAGGAACGGTTGAATTGGTAAAACCAGATGGATTGGAGGGACTTGTGCAGGGCAGCAGAGTACGCCGTGGCCTCGTCGAGACATCTAAATTCGCCGTCAGTCACCATGGCGGACGAGGCATTGTAGATGTCCAGTGTGGCATTTGGACCGCTAGGCACGGGGTAGAGCTCCAAGGTGGACGGGGAGAGCTGAGGGCCGAAGCCATTTGCGGTGAGTAACGTTGTGAGATTCTCACTCGCTGTGGGGTAGCCACCAAATGATGCGCCGTCGTCTCGCATAAAGCCCATCATGAGATGAACATTGTTGACTTGAGAGGGTTCGGTGATCTCGAGCCTGTCTGAGGTGATATACTCGCCATCTTGCACGACGTACCGCGCGACAGTACTGAGGTTGGCGAGGACAAAGGGGTCGATCTTTCTCAGACAATCTAGATGAGAGGTAGCATTGAGACATCCAGTCGCATTAAGAATGGGGTTCGCGGCGATGTCGACCTCGGCGGAGATGTTAAGATATTCGCTGTACGTTGTGGCGTACGAGAATCCTGCGAGGTTGGATTGAGGTAGGGCTCCAACAAATAGGTCCTTCGCCTTGGGGGAGGCTATCAGGGCTCTGACGGACCCTGCACCGGCTGACTGCCCTAGAATCGTCACGCGCGAGGGGTCACCGCCAAATGCGGCAATGTGCTTTTGAACCCACTCCAGAGCAGTTACTTGATCCGCCAGTCCATAATTCCCATTGGTCTCTCCATTGTCGAGTGCAAGGAAACCGAGCGTGGTGAGACGGTAATTGATACCGACAACGACGACGTCGCCTCGAGAGGCCAGGGCTCCACCGTCTAGGTTCGGATCGTTCCCTGTACCCGCCGTGAAAGCTCCGCCATGAATGTTCAACATGACGGGTTTGAGCGGTGTGTTGGAATCTCCGGGGAGGTAAGGCGTCCATATGTTGAGGAAGAGGCAGTCTTCGGATCCTACATCGGGCGATTGAACACATTCCGACCCGAATGCCAGGGCCGTCGTGTTTGTATCCGTCTCGTACACTGTCGAATAGGTGAAACGCTCTGGCTGAGCCGCATATCTCACTCCCTCAAACCTGAAGGCATGCTTATCACGGTACCCAGTGATATGCTGATCATTGGTCTTGACTTGTACTTGCCAGTATGTCGAGTTGTTCTGCATCGTCGCGGAGCTGAGAGGGGCAGAGTTGGTGCAGAGTGCCGGTAGCTGCTGGCTGGATGTGCAAGTGGCGTCTTGGAGTCCATCTGCGGTGATATTGACACACATCCCTTTTGCCCAGTACAACCCACCGCGACCCTCATACTCAAGATATGGTAGAAAGTCGGCATACCTCGCGCACCACAGCTTCTCCCCATATCGCTCGCACGCTTCCGACGCATCGCCCGCTGTCATCCCCTTGCTCAGGACCAACAACGACTCGTCACGCCACGAGGAATTACCGTACAGATCATTGTGCGTGAGGATGGTAACACTAGAATCGACTGCCGTCCATGCTCGACACGAGGCGCTGAGCAGGAGAACAAGCGACAAAGACCACATGTCGACCATATCGATCCATAACTCCATCTAGCGGTCTCTCTCTCTCTATATATACTACCGAGTAGATTACACTAGTGGCCCAAATTATCCGGGATCGACCCGAAATCACTCCGCCACATTATTTCTCCGCCTTGCGCTTCTTCTTCTTTTTCAAGTCTTTGCCGTCGGCACCACCCACCCTGCCGAGTTTCTGCCTCGTCAGCTGCATTCCCCCGACGAGCTCACTTTATTGAGCGCCCTTTGCAGAGCTCTTCTCGTCTCGCTCTCCTCAGGGAACGAGGAAATGTCAAAGTAGGTCGGTGCGTACTCTAAGAGCCACTCGGGTCGGACTTCGGTCACAGTGCGGATGAACTTGAGGGTTAGCAAAGGCAAGCGGACTGACTCACATTCGCCGTAGTAAGGACGAACTCATTGTAGATGACCCATTCCGGGGTTGTGTCGAGACCACAAGACAAATGCAATCGGACCACTTGATTGTCTTTCACGGTCAGATAGCTGCCCTTCTCTCCCTCCTTGTGCGCCACCTGCATAAAGAAACCACAGACCAGGGCTTGGCGGATATTGTTCCAGTAATTCTTGTCTTCCCACGCTGTGCTGACAAGTTCGAGATCAAACTTTTCCATGCTCCGTTTGAGCTGAGTGCGGACATTGTCCGCTTGGGTGAGAGATCGGAAGTTGAGGTAGTTTTGCCAACACCAATTCTTATCTCCTTCATTCGACTTGTACGCGTGATAAACATTGAGCAGGGTGAGATGGTCGCCATCGGGGTGAGTGAATTGCGCCTTGGCCATGTCCGCCTCTTTGCGGGCATTTGCCGGGCGCATGAACACGTTCGGAACGGAGAGCATGGCTGTCAAGCTCAACATTTCGTTACTGCAGCCGAATTCTGGCGAGACGATGAGCATTTTTGCGAGCTGCGGGTCGAGCGGGAACTCGGCCATGATCTCGCCAAGCGGTGTCAAGTTTCCATCATCGTCCAATGCTGCGAGATAGTGGAGCAGCTCTAGCGCTCGCATCACGGTTTCTGGCGCCGGTGCGTCTGTCCGTCAGCCCCGCCAATTCTGGTCACCCACCCATGTAATCGAAATGTACGAGATCTTTGATGCCCAGCTTGATCAACTCTAATACCGTGTTTGCCAGATTACTCCTCAGAATCTCTGGATGTGTCTGCTCCTCCAATTCCTTGACGAAGTCCTTTTCCGTGTACAGCCTGAAACACTTGCCTGGTCGTGTACGACCCGCACGTCCAGCCCGTTGCATCGCAGACGCTTTGGATATCGGCGAGACCAGTAGTGATTCGACTCGTATTCTCGGATTGTACACTTTTTGCTTGCAGAATCCAGGATCGACAACATAAACGATTCCATCGATTGTGAGTGAGGTCTCGGCAATATTGGTGGATACGACAACCTTGCGTCCCGGCAGATCGCCTCGAGCCGGCGGAGCAGGGTCGAAGATGCGTTGTTGTTGCTGAGGCGGCAGAGACGAGTAGAGTGGGAGAACCAACAGTGGCCCTGCCATCCCTCTCGATGCGAGTTCCTCACCCTCTGCACGAATCTTCCGGCACGCGTCCTCGATCTCTTCCTCTCCGGTCAAGAACAGCAGCACATCTCCTTCGTCTTCTGCCTGGTGTATATGCAGGACGGTCCGGATAGCCGCTTCCACATAGTCGTTCTCTGGCTCCTGAGTGAAGAACGTCTCGACTGGGAACGTCCGTCCAGACACTTTGACAACTGGTGCGACGCCTGTCGGGTTGGTGTCTCCAAAGTATTTTGCGAATTTGGCGACATCGAGCGTGGCCGACATCACAATGATCTTGAGATCGGCTCGATTACGGGCAATCTGGAGTCAGCAATGCATGCCACAAGCCACTCACATCCTTCAACAGCCCCATAAGAATGTCCGTCGCCAATGTTCTCTCGTGAGCCTCGTCAAGAATGATAGTCGAGTATCGCTCAAGCTTTGGATCATTCATGGCTTCTCTCAACAACATTCCATCCGTCATGTACTTGAGAAACGTGGTCCCCGGCTCTGTCATATCCTCAAACCGAATGGAATAACCGACCTGTTTCCCGAGTTGCACTGCGATGTCAGCCGTGTCCTTAGCACTTGACCCACCATCCATCTCATCCGCTACTCGCTTTGCCACCGACATGGCGGCGACCCGTCGTGGCTGCGTACACGCCACCATCTTTCCCCGCAGCATGGGCAGATCTGAGTAACACACGAACTGAGGAATCTGAGTTGTCTTCCCTGATCCTGTTTGACCTTCCATCACTGTGATCTGGTTCTTGCTGAAGACCGTCAAGAACTCTTGCATCTTTTGATACACTGGAAGCTCTTTCCGCTTTGCGAGGATCTTCTTGTAAGTCGCTGAAAACGGAGCCAGCTGCTTGAATGGATTCACATCGCCATCCTAGAATTGTTCAGTCGACACTCTCTCTGCCGTCACCCACCATAATATCCTTGGCCTGCTCCACAGACACCCGCCTAGGTACCAGTCCATCGAGCGGGTTTTTCACCTTGCTCCCGTTGGTCGTGCCGTTCACGCCGCAAAGATGAGGTGCCATATGAGCGAGATAAGGGTTCTCAGCCGGAGCTGTAGAGGGTCCTGCCGTTGGCATCTCTGTCTTGACCTTTTTGCTAGGAGGTGCGTCCATTGTGCAGATGCGTAAGGTCAACAGTGATAATAATCTTTTTTTCTTTTCTGGCTTTGATGCTAAAAGGTCTGAAAAATTTGCTTCCGCATGCATCACTATATCTCTCCTTCCTCGACCTCGTCACGACGAACCTCGGATGACCTTCGAGCGCGCTGAAATATGAGCGTAGCTCGGCATCCGCGGACTCACCTTTGACTCGCGATCGTCCGCACCGTCCGATCGATGCTTGCGATCAGGCCTATCCTCATCCTCTCTGCGCCTCTCCCTCCGCCTGTCGCGATCGTCATAGTCATACCTCCTGTCCTTGTCACTCTTGCGCCTATCCCTGCTGTCATGCCTGTCCTCTCTGGACCTATCGCGACGAGAGCTCCTACTAGGCTCGTCCACTTCCATGCGATCGCGTCGATCCGACTTGTCCTCTGACTCGCGTAATTTTTCCTGCTATCAGCTGGGCAACGAACTTTGACTCACCTTTTGACGCAGAATAAACTTGTCAAATGCAGTCCGACGATCTGCCTCGTCCTCTATATCCTTGTACTCTTGCAACTCTTCCATATGCGGTTTCGCCTGGTATCAGCGACGCTCCTCACCCCACTCACCTCTTCAAAGGTCATGTCTATATCAATATGCCTTTGAACCTTTTTCAACGCATACCGCAGATCATCGATTCTATGTCTCCGCCTTCTTTCTGCCCGTCTAGCTTCGTCCGCAGCAGCTGCAGAGACACGTTCCAACATCTGACGTCAGCACTCGCCCACAATGTCACTCACCAAGTCATATACATCCCTGCGCATCTTGTCCTCGACATGTGCCACATTGCCATCTTTGACCCACTTCTCAAACTCCTCCCATGATGTGTCCACCTTGACCTCTCGGTTGGTATCCTCGAGCACTTTCTCGACCTTTTCCGCCGCCCGCTCAACCTCTTCACTGATGTCGTCCACCGCGTCCATCCATAAATCCAAGGGACTAGACCCCTGAGGTCCAAGTAGGGCAAGATACCGCTCGTCATTTTTAACGAGTCTGAACGTATTCTTCCATTTGCTCGTTCTCGTGAGCTGACCCTTGGTTTGAAGTTCCTGTAGGAGTGCCTTGAATCCCTCTCTCGCTTTGCGTCCTGACCGGACGTGCTCGATGCGCAAACGTCTCCATTCCTCCTCATGATCCTGCTCCAGTTGCCTCGCGTAGTCGTCATACACTCCGAGGATATCAATCGTCTCCATCTCTTGCAGATCGCGAGATCGCCTGAATTCGTCCGAGTCCAGGATCATGTTGTGAGCTGCACGCCATGTTGTCGACACGTTGATGTCCAGTGATCGTATCAAGCTACCCAGATGCTGAATGTTACGATTTCGCAAGTCACGAGCGGATTCCTATCCATGAGCTAGATCTTGTACGACACCCACCTCTTCGCGCTGCCTCAAAGCCGTTGTGAACTCCTCCAATATCAGTATCCTCTCGTCTGGTTTCGCCTCTCGCCAATGCTTATCCCTAGCAAAGACCTCATTGGCGGTCTTAGTTGTAGAATACGACTTTATTCTCGAGGAGGCCGCAAAAAGTTTGTGAAGAACAGGCCTGAGGCGTTCTATCCTCGCCTCCTTTGCTGCTTGACGCTTTGCGACGATTCGATGGGTGTACTGATCGATGATGAGATACGGGCCGAGGACTCGCTCACCTTTTCAAACGCCTCTTTCTTCTCTGCGAGTGTGTTGAGTGCCTTGTACAATGGGTCTAGGACGATCTTCCTCATCGTTTGGTCCCACGTCCAGTTCTCATCTATCCCCTCCTTCTTGAGCAGATACATGAACGCCTCTTCTGCCTTTTCATGTGTGAGGAAACCGCCCATTGGCCAGGTGATCACTTCCTCGTCAGACGACTCATCACTGGGTGTTGGTGATCCTCTTCGATCCCCGTATCGAGCTACAGCGTCATGTCCCACCGGGGAACCAGATCGTGATCGGGGTGGACTGGGACTGTCGCGTGAGTTAGGGATCTACACCGAACTCACGTTGGCTCCCCCGCAGCTTTCCGTCTAGCCTTTTCAACCTTGTACGCCTCATCCCTTTCCACTTTTTGCTTCAACTCTACCAGCTCTGGCGGTAGGTCCCATTTGGTCTCCTTGGTCACACTGTTGACATAGTATGGTCTGTCTTTTGATGTATACTGTTTCCACTGGGTCTTGCCGAGGGCTCGCTCAAATGGTGTTCTTAGCTCGTCTGGTTTCTCCCACACCGATTGTTTCGTGACTGAGTGAGACCAGTACGTTCTTCCTTCCGAATTCTTGTGCTCTGACCATTGCGGCTTGGCCGCAGGTGATGCAGACATGATTCTGAGGCAATAATTATACTACAGAAGAGATGAAGGATGATCCTTGGACTTTTACGGTCTTTTCGTGGTTGAACACGTGGCAAATTCGCTGACGACGGGTTTCAACTGCATTGTCATTTCTAGCGTCTCGACTTTAGCATAACACAATGTCCGACTCAGGCGGTGATCAACCTTCCGGAGGCCCACGAACGCTAGACGGCCGACCGGCTGAAGCTTTGCCCGAGGGATGGGGTCAGCCTGCGCGGAAATCCGGAGCAGGCGCCTCAAGCACTGCTCGAACTGGAGGGTGAGCAATTACAAGAGGTTCACGAGCTGAGGCACAGCATCGCGACGTTGTTCAATACCGTAGGGCGGTTGATGCAAGGCTCCGCTGACCTTTAGGGGATCTCTGGCAATCGACCAACTCCTGCTGAAGATAGTGATGACGAAGACGATGGTCGACGTCGAGCGGAGGAGCTCTTTGCAGGTGGCGAAAGGAGGTGAGCGCGGTGCCGAATGAAGGCTGAAAATGACAGTGGCTTGGCGGTGACGAATCCTGATCAACCGGGCGACCGTTCCAACGACGTGGTGAAGAACATTCTCAAGCAGGCGAAAGAGTGAGCATACGCGCGTGCTTCGTCTGATGACGCCAGGGGCGGAGTTCACGAAACCAAAGCAAAGGAACGAAAGCCATTTACAGGTTCTGGCAATCGACTCGGGTCAGAAGATGATCCTGAGCCTGAACAGCCTGAACAGCCTGAACCGCCTCAAAGTGGATCTTCCGGGATGAGCGGTCTCCTCGCAGGCATGTTTGGTCGTGGCGCTGGCGGACCTCCACCTCCGCCTGACGACGATGACGACGAGGAAGAGACTCAAGTTCGTCGCTTGACGTTTTGGAGCGATGGATTTTCGATTGAAGATGGACCTCTGCTCCCTTACGATACGCCAGAGAATAAAGATCTGCTCGCCGCTATACAAGCTGGTCGAGCACCTCCTTCCGTCTTCAATGTTGGATGGAACCAACCTCTTCGCGTGGAAGTGGCCAATCGGCAAAACACACCGTATCAGGCCCCACCCAAGAAGCCCATGCAGGCTTTCTCAGGCGGTGGCCAGCGTCTCGGATCGCCCGCACCAGAAGTCGTCAGTGGAGCAACGACTCCAAACGTGCCAGGTGGCTTGGGCTCAGGCGCCACATCGAATTCATCGACGCAGGCCCCAAGCTTTTCCTTGGACTCGTCAAAGCCTACCACTAGCGTTCAAGTGCGCCTTGCAGACGGTACAAGGTGAGTACATCATCGTCCCGTGGCTCACGTCGAGGCTCGTAGCCAAGGTGAATCTCACCCACACGGTGGCGGATCTGCGAAGCTTTGTCGCAGCGTGAGTCTCCACCCCTGTGGTCGCTCATCATAGCGCTCGACCTGACGCCCGCCCGTTCATTCTTCAAACAACGTTTCCTTCGAAGGAACTCTCAGACCATGCCCAGACGGTGGAAGAAGCCAAGCTGCAGAATGCTGTGGTCGTACAGCGATTCACGTAGAGATCACAAATGTATCATATCGTCACATGTCATAAGCACCTCGTTTAGAGTGTCCAAATCGGTCGTTGAGTCCACGCGCCTCGCTGTGGGTCAATATGGATTGCACTTGGAATGTACCCACCGGATCTTATTCTGTCTCTCTTGATCCGACAGGAGCCTGCCGGTAATTCCCATATCTCGATCGTGATCCCAGATGGCAGACTTCTCAGCCTCCTCTTTCGGCTTGGACGCATGTTGATCCAGCAAAGACTTCCCACGTTGCTCTTTCTTCGACGGTCAGCGATATGGCCTCCTACCACACCCACGTTATGCCTCTCCACCTCTCTACGTATCTCCAAATCCCTCTCCCGCCTCAAGCCCGTCTCCTCATCGTCTCGCCCCTTTCCTACATCTGGCAATCGCTTCCGTTTGATGCCAGCAACTTCATCTGCGACTCGCTGAGCTCGATCCGCTGGCGTCTCTGTCCAAGCGGTACTATCGGTCTCCTTTGCCTCTGTCGAGCGGGAAAATGTGGTCGGTCTTTTTCGTAATGGATCTACAGCGGACAAGACACCAGAGGACGGCGGCAAGAGCATCCATTCTTGTCTCTCTAATTTCTGAGGCTTGGCAGCTTCCTAAAGAGATCAGATAACTCCAGCTTCCAAACTCACTTCTCGCTCTTTCGCTCTACGTTCTTCCCTCTCCATGAACTCTTGAACCGCAGACTTTTCTACACCCACGTCTCCCGTTGGCATAGGTCCAACCACATCATCATCGCTATCATCGTCATAGATAGGTCTTGAAGGTCCTACGCTGATTGAAGGACCAGGTCTCGATGGCCCAGAGACAGCTACCGCTTGCGCTTTTCGTTTAGCAGCAAGATGAGGAGGTAAAGCAGGCCCAAAGTCATCTCCTGCGTCCTCGTCCACTGGGGTAGTAGATCTCGGTAACGATGGTCCAGTCTCAGCTGAGCCCTCCGGCGATGCTGACCGTTGTTGTTGTGCTAGATGAGCCAGATGAGGTGGTAACGCTGGTCCTATTGTCATGGCGAGCAGAAGAAGGAGTCCCAAATATAGAAAGACTGCGAGAAATTTAAGCTCCAAGGAAGGTTACCTATATTTTGACCGGGCTCCGTTTATCGCAACCATTTTGCCACGCAAGCGGTGCGGTGCTTCTCACTTTGTTCACACACCTACCAACTCGAATCCTTTGCACGACAAGGTAACATCATGGTTGCTGACGACAAGAACGCTCTGGCTGCTGCTTTGGATCTCCCTCCGTCCTACGATCATGCCGTCACACCTGGTCCCAGTGAAGGCAGTTCCAGCGCGCCTTCCGCTCCTCGTGCACCGCCCAAGGAATCCCTCGTCTTCTTTCAAGCTCCAGAACATGCAGAGCCTCTTTTCGGACAACGAACCACTCCTGAGGACATCTTGGCGGATATAAAGTTCACAATGAAGGGAAAGCACCTGGTCACTTGCGATGCAAGGTTACAGAATCGTGAGCTCGTCGCCACCCGCCACCGCTCACCATTGCTTAGCCAATGTCCTGTATGATTGGATCCGTTACCGGGCGCTTCAGCAGCCCAACATGGTCTTGCACTGCTCTGGTAGACATTATGAAGTGCCTGAACGCGATGAGACGGTCACGGATCGCGATGGCGTGAGGTCTCGCCGCAAGGGACAGCCAGAACAGATTGTCGACTTTGACTTTACAGTGGGTCAGACAGTCTGGCCTCGCTTATCCCACAGGTTGATCTAGGCTCGGTGTACAAACATCCAGACAACACTGCTAACATCCACATCGACACCGTCAGATCGGATCGACCGACGGCGCGGGGAACACATGAATTGACCTATGCTGCTTCCTATTCTCAAGTGGGGCACAGGGATCTTTATGCACCGCTGTTGGGTCCCGTGGATGCTGGTGCCGTTGCCGACTCTTCCTACATCTCCATCTGTAAGGAATGGGTGCCGTGGCGATTGTTCCGAGGTCTTCCGCCTTGGAAAAGGATGGAAGACACAGTCGAATTCTGGGAACAGCGAGGAAAAGGCAAGCACACGGCGAGGATTGCCCTACGAGACGATGGGTTCGACCCTGAAGCGGATACTCGACTCGATGGTGATGACACTCGTGCCACTTTGAAGCAGTGGTGCGAAAAATACACATCCGATCCCTCTTGGCTCAAGTCTTTCGTCGTCCCTATCTGGCTATGGGGATGGAACCTGGAGGCGCTGCAGACGGGTGGGTTAGAGTCCCAAGACTTGAAAGCTGATGGGAAGCTATTGAGGGCGCCATCAAGTCTACGGGATACAACTCGAACGATGTCAAAGTTCAGTTTGAGCTAGAACAAATCGTCATCGAGGTACATCCTCCCAATCTCCTTAGTCGAGCGGTAAACACTGTGAGTCGTACGTGTGCTTCGGCCCACTGATTATCAGACATGGGTCTACGTGCTTCTCTGGATGACCCTGCTATACCCTCTCGTCTGGATCTGGCAACGCATGCACACTCTCGGCGGAGGTCCATACCAGGTCTCGTCGATCAATTGTGAGTCGACTCGCGTGTTACCCCGGCTTATACCCCGAGACGGCCTCAAATTCTACCCGCCTCTACCATCGACGTTCCCTTCAGAGACTATTGAAGCTGCTCAGGACAGACTCGGTGGCATGTACAAGCTACACAGTGAACTTCCCAAGCCCGCTCAATTGGCCTACGGACCGCTCGGTGTTCATTATCTCCTTGGACGTAAGGAAGGCGAATGGTTCCGGGAATGGGAAGAGAGAATCCGAATGGGCGTGAGAATGAGGTACAGAGGTGCTCTAGAGGGTGGCGGAGAGGAGGAAGCCGGCGCTGGGTTGGATGGATATTGAGCTGTAGATTTCGTCGTAACCCTTGCCGCCACTTTCCGGCACGTTCCGTAGGAAAATGATTCCTATTTTTTTCGGCATGAAAAATCCCATTCTTCATCTATCTCTACTTGCAATCAACTTTCACCATGAAGTCTCGACCAATGTTCCTCAGGGCTATGCGCCAGCGCAGTGCGCTCATCTCACGACCCGTTGTACTTCGGCCGGCGCTCTTGGCCCAGGTTCGACCTCTGTCCTCATCCAGACTATTGTTGAACGATTCCCGGCAAAAGCAGGAATCAAAGCAGCAGCAGCAACAGCAACAGCAACAGCAGCAGCAGGCACCTCCGGAGGACAACGCTCCTCCTCAGAGTCCATGGAGAGCGTTCATCAACACGTTGAAGGAGGAGATCGAGAAGAATCAAGCATGGCAGGATAACATGAAGCACTTGGCTGGAACAGTAGATCGGACTGCCGACGGAGCGGCTATGAAGCGGGCAAAAGCGCTGTACGAAAAGACAAGGGTGAGCGAGGTCATGCTGATGTGGGGCGTAGCTGACATCGTTCTCAGATCGTTACGATGATCAAAGAGAATCCCCGACTGCAACAAGCTGCCAAAGACCTCTCAGCAGCTGGTATCAGTGTTTCCGAAGCTACAGCTCGGGCGCTCAAAGACCGAGGAGTCATCGACGCTCTGGAGAGATTGACAAATCTCGGTAGACGATTCGCTCAGCCTCTGGTGGATAGCCCCGTTGGGCGAGCGTTGATCGAGGCCTTGGACGATATTGGGATGCAGGGGTATGAGGACAAGGCGGCAAGAAGGGCAAGAAGGCAGAGACGGATGGAAAAGGCTGGATTGGTCAGGAAGCCTCGAGTGCAGGAAAACCCAGAGTGAGTGCTTGTGTCGACATTCAGGGGGACCCTTGGCTCATTGTGATAGGGCTGGGGAAGCGTTGGTCGCGACTGAGGAGAAGCCCTCCACATCCCGATTCCACTTTGTCAAATCCTCTCCTTCCTACCAGCGATTTATGGACAATTACTATGAATCTGAAGAACCGATTTTCAACATGTTGAGATCCGTTGGATCTCGTGTGGGACGTCTGTTTGACGAGAACGATACCGCTCGAGTCATCCGGTCCATTCGACAGATGGACCCAGATTTCAAGATGGAGTCTTTCCTTGTCGAGCTGAAAGAGTACATTGTACCGGAAATTGTCGACGCCTACCTCTCAGCAGACAGAGACGAGCTGCGACAATGGATGTCAGAAGCGGTGAGTAGGCTACTTGTCGGATGGATGCTGACCATTCAGCCGTACACCGTTACCTGGACAATCCTGGGAGAGTATGTCAAGCGTGGGCTTGTCTCCGACTGCCGAGTCTTGGAAATCTCTCAAGTCGATGTCCTCTCATCTGGATTCGCCAATGAGACTGTGCCTGTATTCGCAGTCATCTGTGAAGTCCAGCAAGTCAATTGCTGGCGTTCAGCCAAGACCAAACAACCTGCCGTTGGGTCTCCAGACAAGATTGAACGGTGTAGGTACGTGTTTGAAATCACGAGGGTATTGGAAGAAGTGGACAACGAGTTGACCGGCGGTTGGAAAGTGGTTAATGTGAGTCAGGCCATGCCATGATGAGGATGTGCAACATGCGCTGACCAGTAACGGGGACAGATGGTCAACAGGACTATGTAGTAATACGTTGTATCATCTAGAGTGTTTAGGTTCCTCAATGCAGCATCACCATTCGCATCCCATGTCAGCAAACGGAACCAGGCACGGTTACCAACGGGAGACATTGTACTCCCCGGGCCGCTCCACGTGGTTCGGTGGCCGGGAGGCGGTGAAAGATCCCCATGTTGGAAAATGGCATATGGTCGTCTTCTTTTTCCACCTGACCATACCATATCTCACTTCCGCATTGCTGTACATCTTTCTCTCTCTCACACAGAGGGGGCATGGAAGCACAACGAGAACAAATTCATATAATACAGCTGTGATCGAGCAGAGACGGACACACTTGGTCTCATCCCATTCCACTCGATTTTAAGGCCGTGTTTTGACCTCTTCCTCTCCTTTTCCCGCCATTCGCCATGCGTTCGATCTCTTATCCCACTCTGTCGACTCTAGCGTTGGGTCTTCTATCCTTCACATCTGCCCTGCCTACCATCACACGGACGGGCAAATACCTATATGACCCCCAGGGTCAGCGATTCTCCATCAAGGTGAGCCTTGGAAAATGGTAAACAGACTTGTTCCATTGTCTCATCTTTTTCCCGCCTTTGTAGGGAGTCGCGTATCAACCGCAAGGCCAATTAGCAGAGAACACTCAGCAAAATCAGGAGCAGTGAGTGGAATCAAAGTGTCGTCACCAGAGCTCTGCTAATCAATGTTTTCCCTGCAGAGGAGGCTTCCCCGAACCGTGAGTCACCCGTCGCTTGGACCATTCCATCTGCCCCGAAGGGTTCATACTGAAATGTTCGATCCTCGTCCCCGCAGATCATCTTACATCGACCCTTTATCATCTTCAGCCAACTGCACAAGGGATTTACCGTATCTTCAACAGCTTGGCGTCAATGCGGTTCGAGTGTATTCGGTCAACTCGAGTCTGAACCATGATGACTGCATGGACATGTTTGACAAGGCGGGCATCTATGTCTTGTAAATCTTTTCTCCTTCAAAGGGGTTGCGTTTCTCGTGCTGATGTCATCTCCAGGCTCGACCTCTCGCTGCCACTCAATGGGAGCATCAACCGAGCCGAACCGAGCTGGACTACCAATCTCTTAGATGCATACATCAATACCATCAATGCGTTCGACAAGGTGAGTCGTCCCAGCCTTGCCAAGAGGATGTGCCAAGACGTTGATGACCCTTTGTCACAGTATGACAACATCCTAGGATATACCATAGGTAACGAAGTCGTCAACCTGGCCTCCAATACAGACGCTGCGCGTGAGTCAGGGCAATCCAGCCAATACTGACTCGTTCCACAGCGTACGTCAAGGCTGCCGCGAGAGACATCAAAGCCTACCTTCGGGGCATCAATTCCACCGCTCTGGTCTCCTATGCCGCTGTCGATGGCGATGCGGCGTTCAGGAACTCGGTCGCCGAGTATATGACATGTGGTGACGAGAGCGTCCAAGTGGATCTTTATGGTGAGCGACGAGCGAGTACCCCGCTGATGGTGCCACAGGCCTGAACAACTATGAATGGTGTGGAAACGAAAACCTCAACTCTTCACATTGGAATAGCATCACCAGTGGATTCTCCGATATCCCCGTCCCTACTTACATGTCGGAATACGGGTGCATCACCAGTCCACCGAGATTGTGGACCGAAGTCCAAGCCCTCTTTGCCCCTCCCGTTTCCAACGTATTCTCGGGTGGAATGGCATTCTCCTACTTCCCCACATCGGATGGCTATGGTATGGTAACATTCTCATCGGACGGCACACAGTAAGTGTTGCAGGCGTAGCCATTTGCTGACCCGACCAGGGTCGACACGACATCTGATTTCGAACGACTGGCAAAACAATATGGCAATGTCACTCTCCCCACCTCGCCAACCCAATCCAATTCGCAATCAAGCACTCTGCAGTGCCCTGCCGAAAACTCGACGCTCGAAGCGAGCTCGGACCTGCCGCCTACACCTGATGCCTCGGTGTGTAATTGCCTCAATCAGAACGCATTCTCTTGTCGAATTATTCAGTCGTCTGCCAATCAACCAGCAATTGTTGGCGAGCTGACCAAGTGAGTTCACCTCGGTAAGACCTCTGTACTGACGTCTTTAGCTACGCTTGCTCACTTCTCGGCTCGTCCGGTGCCCAAGCCTCCTGCAATGCGATCGCCGGTAATGGAACAAGTGGTACATACGGAGAGCTGTCTTTCTGCTCTCCCGCCATCAAACTGAGCTACGCCATGTCTGCGTATTACATGTTCAACCCCGTCAGCACCAGTTGCGATTTTGGTGGAAACGCTACATTGTCTCCGAATGGTGAGTGGTCGTCCTTCGAGCCAATGCTGAATTCAATAGCACCAAATACACCTCAAGACGCTTCAAGCGCTGCAGAGTCATGTCTTGCTGCTGAGCCCTCGGGCGGAGTGTTCACGCCATCCGCCACGACCTCTTCGGTTCAAAACACTGGAACATCCTCGTCCTCGCCGAGTCCGTCAAGATCAGGATCTGCGGGTCTCAGAGTCAAGCTAGGAGGAGGAGGCATGGAATCGTGGTTCGTGGGAATCGCAGGTGCCATCTTAGGTGGAACCTACCTCTTGATATAACATCACCACCGTTGGGAGGATTCATTCGGACATTTATCATTCCCTTCTTTGGAACACTGTCACACATGACGACCTGTTCTTCTTTGTCGCATTTGTCTGTTTTCATTCATCACGTATAATTCCTTGTGTACTTGTGTCGTTATGAGATCTGATCTTGCATTGTTGTCCCAATTACAAAGCCCGAAGGGGGAAAAATGAATCTAAAGCCCCCCCCGGAGACCGTGGTGATAATTATATTTTTATAACAATTACGTGCTGCACAGCATCGATCATTTAGACCGCCGGCTCTTGTCATTGACCTGTAAGACATCATCTGTAGAATTCCACGTGGAGCGGCGAGCGAGGCTACCTGATCGACAGCGAAGCCGCTTTCAGTGTCAAAACCTATGTGTTCCAAGGACCCGAAGGCACTTGTGTAATGATCGCCGGTCGAATGCCCGAACCCCGCTAAGTGGACCCATTAAAATCTCCTATATCCCCCTATCTCGGGGGTCCTCTGGTCCATCAGATCTACAGAACAATGTTCAGCATTTCATCAGGAGCAGTCCAAAGGCGTCTCGGAATGAGTCCGAATCCAAGCAATTTCAGATCACGTAGTGAGTCGGAAGATTCGGTCTGACGTTCCTCAAGTCGGAGGGGCTTGTTGACACGTTTCCCTATTGCAGCACGCATATCCTTACCTAAATGGTACCGATATTGGCCAGCTGGGATCCTGCTCGTGATCATCTACGTATCCATGGTCCATGGTTTGGGATATTCTCGACCTTCCTTCCTATCCTCCTCATCTGCTTCGCTCGCCGTCGAATGTACAAATGACCCGTCCTTCCATATCCCTTACACCTCTTCTCCGTCTCAATGGCCTCATTTGGCCGCCCGAGATCCTGGCGAAATCGCCCTCCTTTCATCCTTCTGGGACAAGATGACTACCCTGTTCCATACGCAAGCTCCTCATCCCGCACGCAAAATTCGTCCGACGATCAGTCGACCCTCTCCAGAACAATACGCAGGGTTCACCATTGAAATTGCCGATGCGCACTTTGACCTCGGATCAAGTGATGCCGGGAAGACGAGAACAGCGCATTCTCACGTCGTCAGCTCTCTACCCGACTACACATCCTTCGAACATCTCTATCATGGCAGAGGGATCGTCATCCTCGCAGGAGGTCGATACGCTCAATACGCTACGACCTCGTTGAACGTCCTCCGAATCATGGGTTCAAAATTACCCGTTGAGATCTGGATCAAGGATGAATCGGAACACGATATACTGTGGGCCAAAGAGGTCGAAAAATATGGTGCAAAAGTGAGGATGATCTCCGATTACGCGCCTATCGGATCCGTTTGGGACTGGTTCAATCCAACCACATATTTTGGAAAGCCAGTCCCATGGAGTCCTTATCAACTCAAGACCATGGCCATTTTATTTTCCAAGTTTGAGCAGGTGTTATTCCTCGATGCCGACAGTGTACCCATTCGAGATCCAGAAGAATTGTTCGAATCTACAGCATACAGAGATACCGGAGCCCTCATATGGCCAGATCTATGGCCTTCTATCGCCTCGTCCTGGTTACCCTACCTCATTGGCTTGACACCGGCGAGGTCAGACAAGATGTGGCATGAACAAACGGCAGAATCCGGTCAGATGATCTGGAACAAGAAGATGCACTGGAAGGTGAGTGGGCCGCTGCACCCTGCTGCCAACTGACGTACACCCCTCAGAGTCTTCTCCTTGCGTGTTATTACAACTTTTACGGTCAAGGCTTCTGGTACACCGCCATCACTGGCAGCGGCCAAGGCTGGGGAGACAAAGACACTTACCTCGTCGCTTTACAAGCCCTGGAAGAACCGTATCACATTGTGCACAAATTACCAGAGAGATTCCCAGCCTGGGAGAGCGATATCCCCATCATCAACCTTCAATTCAAGCCGAATGAACCGATCCAAGCTGAGGATACTTTGGAGGGGGAGGAGGAGGACCTAGATCCCGAAGCGACTATCGCCTCGAGCCCTTCGCCCACGACTTCGGCCACGAGCCCCGGCACCTCGCCTATCCCTGCGTTTGCACACGCATGTGGCGGCATCAAATGGGGTCTGGGTGAATTTGCTGAAGCATATCATTCGTCGACACCGTGGAGTCTGTTTAGCAAGTTCACCAGTCCAAGATACTCTCATCTGAGTGAATTGCTCAGCAAGGGCGAGCGAGTCTTGTCTGTGCTCCCGTATCAGACGGAAGAGGATGTCGAGCTGCAATTGTGGCGGGGACTGGAACATGCCGCCTGTTGGAGTAGAGCCATGGGGAGTCTGGAAACGTGTCTCTGGACGAGAGAAAGGTTACGAGTCATCTTTGACCAATCTGTTGTATCAGATAAGAACATTCATGAGTGTTGAGACGCAGGTCGATCATAGTCAATGTGGCATATATGTAGCAATCGCAAATGAGGAGGGATCTGACAGGCTGCCACTCGTTCGTTCGTCATGACACCGAGTCGATGACATGATACGATCACACACAAACTTTTTTTCCATAAAAAAGCGAAATCACCCCGTATGTCTAAATTTTTCACCTCTCACACGAAGCCCTTCTTCCCCCGGTCAAATGGACGGGACATGGGGAGGGGGGGTCAGCCACTCATATTAACGTTCCGGCGAGGGTGCGAATAGGTCCAAACAGTGGCTGTGCTATCCCATGGAACTATGCCTGGCATGTCAGTTGGGGGCGGCGTTCAGAAAAGAGAGAGAGAGAGAGGGAGAGAAAAGGGGCCGATGTCTGACGAGGGGGAGCGAGGCGGCAGAGGAGGAGGCGAGCATATGCCGCGAAGCTTTTACTTTGGCCTTCCCGTAACTTGTGAAATCGAGGGTTCAGTGGGAGGTGGGTTTATTTGGGGGGAGGCCAGGGGGAGGGGGGACATGAGAGAGAAGACGGTGTATAGCTAGCTTGCTAGCTTTGACATCGGACACTGAGAGTTGGGGGGGGGAAAAAAATTACATTCAATACACCGCCCATCGACATCATCGATTGGTACCATAGGATTACCGTTGCAGTCAGTCTGCAGGGTTCTCTCTCACACAGACTCTCTTTTTCTTTCTGGACAAGACTTGTACAGCACTGGTTGGCCGTGATATGAGCCTGTAGGTGGAACAAGACTCTATCGACTTCATCAGCAGCAGCATCATCATCGACCCTGTTTACAGATCAGAAAAAACATCGAGTGTCTTATTAAGGGTAGAACCAACATTACAACTCCATGCCACGGTACAACAACATTGACGGAGATAGATCGTCCAGCTATTCTTGTACGCCAGATAATGTGAGTCGATTCACAACATCTGAGAGGCTGTGTCATCACAGTCATACTACCCCACGCTGTGCCCGCAGTGTTTTCAATTCTGACTGAATCCCCTCCTCTCATTTTAGATGTCTTATTCTTCTCCTCGTCAATATTACGGGAGACCACAAGGGACGCCCACTCCTCCCCTTTCGCCATCTTCTCGGTCTGGCTCTGGTCAACATCACCACCACCAGCAGCAGCAGCAGCAGCAGCAGCAGCAGCAGCGTCACAGTATGACCGGTGTAGGTGAAGGTTTGAGGTACAAAATGGCAGCTGGTAATGGATATCATGATGTGAGTGGGATGGGTTCAACTGTCTGTGCACTATTGTTGTTTGAGGTTTCAAAGACCCCGGCGGGGGGGGGGATCCACACAGACACAAAACAAACATCACTACACCAACCCAACAAGCGATCATCCATTGCTTCTACACCATGCTCCTCTGACCTGCTTGCTGACGCATTGCTTGATCCCTTTCAGAGCGACCTCTTACCCCCCTCCACCCCTCCTATGGCCCAGATCGGCGACTCGATCCCCTCCACTCCAGGATCCTATCGTCATCCTTTACCACCTCGACTTCACTCTACCGACTCTGCATCCACCGCTGCATCTGAAAAAGCTGCCCTGGGAGGCAGCACCATGGCGCTAGGCCCATCCGGACTCAGCCGAAACATGTCAGTCGGCAGAAGATCAGGTGCAGGCGGATACAATTCCAACAATGAATGGAGAGAACCCAAGGCGTTTGTGCCTTCCAACCCGTCTAAACGAAGATGGCTCTTCTTTGGTGTGCCCATTTTTCTGCTTCTTGCCGCTGGGATAGGTATCGGTGCAGGGGTCGGCATCACTCAGAGTCGGAACAAGCACACTGGAAGCTCGGCCTCTTCAGACGGATCCGGATCCACCGGAAGTTCGGGAGGGTCGACCAATACATCTACCACCCCTACAGACTCTACGTATGTGACTGGAACTTCTGGCAGTACTATTACGATGGACGACGGAACAACCTTCATATACACCAATCCATTCAACGGAAGTTGGGCAGTCGATCCTGCCAACCCGTACAACGTCTCTGGACAGGCGCAAAGCTGGACACCAAAGTTGACGGAAGAATGGGTCTGGGGTCAAGATACCATCAAGGGTGTCAATATCGGAGGATGGCTCGTCACTGAGCCATTCATCGTCCCAAACCTTTACGAACAGTTTCAGAACAGTACGCCGAAGGCAGTCGACGAATACACCTTGTCCGAAGCGATGGGTGATCAACTCGCAACCCTCATGGAAGAACATTACTCCACCTTCATCACCGAAGAAGACTTTGCCCAGATCGCCGCTGCTGGACTCAACTGGCTTAGAATCCCCATTGGATTCTGGGCCATCTCGACGCAAGAAGGTGAACCGTTTCTTGAGGGGGTGGCTTGGACGTACTTCCTCAAAGCCATTGAATGGGCAAGAAAGTATGGTCTTCGAATCCTGCTCGATTTCCACGCTCTCCCAGGATCTCAAAACGGCTGGAATCATTCCGGAAAGGAAGGTGTCGTGAACTGGATGTACGGTGTCATGGGATTGGCGAACGCTCAACGAAGTTTGGAATACATGAGGACATTCACAGAGTTTATCTCTCAGCCTGGAATCAGAGAAGTCGTCCCAATGTAGGTCACTCAAGTCCCTACTCCTTCGCTGACGTTGTCAGGTTCGGCCTTGTGAATGAAGTTCAAGCCTCTGTCATCGGCGCTGCCAACCTTCAAGCGTTTTACTACCAGGCTTACGAGATGATTCGAGGTATCACTGGCTACGGAGAGGGTAACGGACCCATCATTGCTATTCACGAAGGCTTCATGGGTGTCATTCCTTGGGCTGGCTTCCTCGACGGAGCTGATCGATTGGCGCTTGACCAACATCCATACCTTGCCTTCTGGGGTAATCAAAATCATGGAACATGGCAGCAGAATGTGAGTCTGTCCCTTTGATTCTCGCTGATCAGTTCAGGTCGACCAAGCTTGCGGCTGGCAATTCGCAACCAACTATTCTCAGATCAACTTTGGAATCACCATCGGTGGTGAATGGTCCCTCGCACCTAACGACTGTGGATACTGGCTCGACGGCGTCGATGTCACTCCTCAATACGAACTCCAAAAGGTCGGCTCTTGTGAAGTCTGGAACGACTGGGAGAACTGGAATCAATCGATGAAGGATGGCATGTACTCATACTGTCAAGCACAGATGGACGTCCTTGATAACTGGTTCTTCTGGACTTGGAAGATCAACAACTCGACTGTCGTGGGCACAGCCACTAGCCCCCAGTGGCATTATAAGCTTGGATATGACCAAGGTTGGATCCCCAAAGATCCAAGAAGTGCGGATGGATTCTGTCAACGTCCCGAAGCTAGCTACACTGCTCAATCGTCAACCATTGTGAGTGACTTCTTGCACATTGTAATTCGGGCTTTGTGCTGATCATCTCCTCCAGTTCGACGAGACTTACCGCCCTTCTCAAACTGGAGGTGTCGCGACTCCGACTTTGAACCCCGCTCAAGTCTCTTCACACGACGCATGGCCACCCACTTCCTTCGGTCCCAGCTTTACAGCCGCTCAAGTCGCCTTCTTCCCTACGTACACTCAGACCGGTGTACCAGTCACACTGGCAATGCCTACGCCAACCGGTACCATCAAACCTACCGCCAGCCCGACATTAGACGGATGGTCAGATCCGACAGACACTGTTGGTGCTTGGGTCTCCGTCTCGGGATGCCCGTACCCTCCGTGAGTCGCTAAAGTCTGACATACAGAGCCCACTTTGCTGACTGGGTTCTCTTCCAGTGAATACAACGCTACTGCGTTGAGCAACTTGCCAACTGCTCTATGCACTTGAAAGAAAATCCAAAAACCACCACTTCATTCCAAGCATGGACATTTCACGACTGTATCACTCAAATCATCTCTACAATCCATTTCTGTTGCTCACTATAGTCAAAAGGGACATTTCGTATTCTCTACCTCCGTTCTACTTTCATAATTCTCTTGTCTTCACCTCGACATATCCATATTGTGTATAGGTCGTTAATTTGTCATCGACGAGACGTGAAGAGAGGAAATCATGAGTCATAAAATGTATAATGATGATATCTTTTATCGCCAATCACGGAGATGCCCCTTGTCTCCCCATGTCGGCGTTGACTTGGCCTATTCTCCCCTGAATCAACCCTCTCAAGGTCCTTAGACCTAACAAGACGCCCTCGTCTCGCCCTTCTCCTTGTACAAGCCTCGTGTGCGCAAAGTCAATCATCTTCAATGTGAACGGAGGACATCGTCTCGCTCGACGAGCATCTGCCCTCTGTCCATCTTGCGAATCATCGTCAGATGATGTGGACGAGTCGTAGTCGTCCTCCAGCTCGTCGTCTTCTTCTTCCTCTTCCTCTTCCTCTTCCTCATCATCCCCCTCTAAGTCTGCGTCCTTAACGGATTGACCTGGTCCTCTTCCTTGCGCAGCGACTGACAAGGCCTTTTGCCTCTCATCATATCTATTCAGCGCGTCTTCCAGCCTCTCAGGATCTCCCTCGTATACCAGCAAAGCGCTCGCTCCGATGAATCTTGCTTCAAGTCTCGAGATGACATGTTCCAATTCTGCCATTTTCCCGTCGATCGCACTGAGCAGTCGTAGCAGTAGAGCCGGGGGGATAGCGTGAGACGTGTATTCCACTGGCTCAGTAGGCGAATCGGGACCCGGGACTTTCTCAGACGATCCTGAGGGACCTGGAGCGGTCAATTTCTCTAAGGATGCCGGGTCTGCAGGTGTCAAAGGTAGATGCGAGACTCCGCCGCCGGTAGAAGGTGTAGAGGCATTATCTGAACTTGGCGAAAGAGGAAGTACGAGGGAAGCAAGTTTATCGGTAGGAAGAGGGAAGAATCGAATGATGCCGGCGGGAAGGGAAGAGGGTGTGAGAGATTTGCCATACGATTTAGGAGTGAGAATATACGAGGAGGTAGGGGCGTGCCAGATCTGAAGAGAGCAAACGTCAATCTCGACTCGGGGAGCGGTTTGACCTACCTGACATCCTGTCAGTCTTAGACCCGTCGCATGACTCGTTGTCTCTCTCGCTTGCTTTTCCATCCTCGCTCTCTTCTCCTCCGAGGCATCCGGCGCATGGAGCTCGGTCCCGAGCTTGGCATCGAGAACACAAGGTCGTGTGTAGTTATGGGCGAGATTCTCAAGCACGATACTCTACACAGGTGGTCAGTGACCATGAATCCGTGGGTCCTTGGGGCAATAGCCTCACCTCGGGGACTTCGCCGACCTTGATGCCCTCTTTCGATATCCCGCCAAGGCCATCGAGTTGTCCTTCCAGCCGTAATGTCCCGTAAAACTGAGCGACAAACGGTTTCAACTGAGCCAAGGCCGACGATCTCGGAGCAGATCCAAGCATGTGATAGAAAGCAATTTCACGAGGAAGAGCCGGCTAGATTACACCGCCCTTCATCAGTCCGCTGCGTTTCCGCGGCCATAGCGTAGGAACCCACCTTGATCACTAGCGAGCCAGATTCGTCCGACATGACATTTTGATGACCTGCAACTTTATTGGCGAGGGGTGTCGAGCCATGATACAAGGATAAATCAGGAGACGGCATGATCTTCGTTCGACTGACGCTGATCTTTGGGCCCACTGGTCACTGGTCACCTTTTAGCGGGAGGTCGTCCACTGCTCTGCAGAAAGAAAGATGTCAATCGCGTTTCACACCGTGCACATGGCAAAGGCGGTGATCGCCGCGCCAAGGTTTTCACTGATGACGGCATCCGTGGCATGTGGTTCATCAAGCGACCGCGGGATCTCAATCACGCGACAGTGAATTACGTCCAGAACCGCGTGAAGACGAGTCTACAGGACAGCCTACTGGTGAGATGTAATACTTAGGGACGTTTCGGAATCATACAGAGAGCTCTGAGGCCCATGCATTCCGGCTTGAAATGACACCTCCCAACATAAGCAATGCCACCGCCATTTGACCGATGAACAGCCACTGATCTAACGCCAAGCCGAATTTGATTTTACGAAAATCCTTTCATGTATCCTGCCGTCCACCGCATAACATCACCATCCGACTGATCCCTAGAGTGCCACTCACAAACAAGCTTGACATCTCGCCAATACTTCTGACTCCTCATCGAGACTTGCTACGCGCCGCCCGCCCTGCTGGTTGCTTCCCTCAGATGAAGCTCGATAAGCAGAGAACCTTGAAGTTGGTCTGGAGTTACCTGCCGGACTGGGTCTTAACGATAGGTTTATGGGTGAGTCCATTGGCGATCACGGCCATATTGGAGTGGCTGCTAACTCATTCTAGGGCCTCTTCTACCTTCTTGACAAAGTGAGTCGTCCGTCCTGCATCCTAGTCCAGCGTTGACATGCCTGCCAGGTGGATGGCTACAGAAGATTGTTTTCCGTGACAGATGCCTCACTCGCGCATCCTTATGCGGAGCACGAGAGAATTCCTGTCTGGCTCCTGGCTGTTCTGTGCGGGATTGTTCCGGCAATCCTTATCGTCTTGATGGGGTGAGCCATTTCCATGCAGGCACAGCACTCACAGTCAGCGCTGGTATTCAACGATCAGCTTGGGATGTGCACTGTGGTATCCTTGGACTCATCCTTGGTCTAGGCCTGAGCCAGACGTTCACCACCATAATTAAGGTAGGAAACTCCTCGCTTGATGGATTGTTGTCTGATCGACCGTTCAGATCACAGCCGGTCGACCTCGGCCTGACCTATTTTCACGCTGTCAACTACCTGAGGATCTCACGTCAAATCCAGTCCACGGACTCACATCATGGACAGTGTGCGAACGCACTGATCTTCTGACGGAAGGCTTCAGGAGCTTCCCAAGTGGTCATGCATCCTTCGCATGGACAGGCATGTGGTATCTCATCCTGTACGCTGCAGCTAGTGAGTTTCTCCCGCTGGTCAAAAGGACAATGTTGATAAGAGATCACAGAACTCCGCTTATTCAATCGCCGGTCTCATACTTGGAAATCTTGGATCTTACTAGCTCCACTTAGCTGTGCTGCGCTCGTATCTATCTCACGAACGATGGATTACAGGCATCACTCGACAGACGTCATTGCAGGTGGGATCATTGGTATCCTCGCTGGATGGCTGTCCTACAGACAGTTTTATCCCGTATGTCATGATCTTGAGACCCCACTGACTATGCTGTCAGAGCCTCGGTGACTCTGCATCTTACAAACCGTACTCGCCTCGTATACCGCCCTCCGATCAAGGTATCCCACTCCATACGACACGGATCGATAGGCCCCGCTCGAATGTCGAGAACAGCGTCAGAGCTTCGTTGATACCTGTACCTCACAGAACAGTGACGAGTAAGACGGAGAATACTTCAGGCTTGGAGTCAGCATCTCACATCGCTTATTCTCAAGATCCAAGTCATCGACAACTCGCAAGCCCTCTGAACCGACCAGACGAAAGACCTTCCGATGCGACACTCAGGGGATCGGCATAATGATCTTGGAATGGCTGCACTTCATCTTCTTGTATTTATGTACGTAATCTCATCCATCTATCGAGCTAGTGTTGCAATCATGTGCTGTAGTGTACGTATTAGAGCCACCGTGATGCGCGACGCAAAGCCCTCATCGCTTGAGCACGATCAAGGCATGCGCGATGAGGACGCGTTGGAAGATGTTAAGCCGAAAGCTCGATGAATGATTACAAAGTCGAGACGTAGGCAATCAGGGCGATCCAGAAAGCACAGAATGGAGTCACCTGTCGTCTAGCTTGATTGGAAGGTGAAGAGGCACTTGGATGTGTGCAGCTCGAAGCAGCGCTCTGCAAAGTGGGTATGCATAAAATATTGACCCATAGGCCGTCGTCACGGTTCAAGAAGACTACATCTTGTCCGTCTTGTCCTCGCCCGTCTGATCACTGTCCCCCGTCCTGGGCTTGAAAGCACCTCGAACGGGGCTTGACAGCTTCCAATCGAGTCTGGAATGGGTCGGACAGGTTGACGCTTGGGTACAGTCCCGACAAGCTCCAAGAGACACGGCTATCTGCCGACCAGCATTTTCTATTGCTGTTGAGTTTGGGTCGTCACTACCAGGTTCAGACGATCCTCAATGTTGGATATACTGGGGTTGGGTGCCACGCCAACTGCCACACTCACCTGGTGTCAGGCTTTGATGTACGATTCGATCGGTTTGAGGACATTCTGCTAGTGCTCTCTCTACGATGGAAGCTATGGGTGGCTATAGCGAGGGTTCAAGCTACTCTTAAGTCTACTTATGGTGATGGCATCGGCGGCCAACTTCTCACACCGCTAAATGGAGAGAGGACTCCATATTCGAGGCTCTATTGAGATCGGGATGCAATGAGTCTTCGGGGTCAAGACCTGAAAGGATCAGTGCGATCCATGATGTATGGGTCGTGAGAAGGATCGGACGCAAGAAGCCTTATCATAAACTTGTACAGTGCTCACCGGACTCGAAGTGTCCCGCTTGCCTAAATTGTTTGTTTCTCATGGTCCAGGTGAGTGACAGGCCCGACTGAGGTATATGTCTGCGGCTCAGGATGAATCATGCATCGGTCTGACTATGCTGTCAGAAATAACGAGACATCACACTACATCTTGTCCGTCTTGTCCTTGTTCCGCGTCGACTGAGCCGAGCTCCCAGTAAGCGCGTTGGGTTGGGAGCACTGAGCGCATTGAGAAGTCCCTGATGTCACACACTTCATGCAGCCTCCCAGGCCGGTAAAGATGGAGTAGTCAGTGTAGTTGACTTGCTGATCCTGAGGCTTGATAGTACTGGGTCTTAGGATAAGCTAGACCTCATGATGCTGGTATTGGCAGTATGTCAAGAACAGACCTATCCGGCTCGAGGGTCCTACTTGGATAGTAACTCTCTGAATAGGGATGTCAAGCTGGGTAGCTCATAGACAACGAATATACATATTGATGAAGAAGAGAGCTTTATCTTTATGAGTCCTACTCTTATACTCGGGTAACGGCTCGGCCAGCGGAGATCGCCGCCGACCGTTCCTGACACAGTACGAGCATAGGTCAGTTCGCTCACGTATCACTCGCTACAGATGATCTGTTGTCTTGTGTCGATGACATGGTGAATAATGAAGTGGGACAATTATGTGAGCTAGACGCGTATAGTGACGATATGGGGCAGAATCAATGTGGGAGGAGAGACAGCAACGGTCTCTACTTATAAGATCCTGGCTGACCTGTCTCAAACACAGAGGAACGATAGCACCGTTCACACAGGGGCAGCTTCGGTGTGTAAATGTGGAAATCGCGACTGACATGCAGAAAGGACTGCGTGGGGCTGCCTCAGTCAAAGGACCAGGTCTGTCAGGGGAAAAGGTCAAAAAGGAGAGCTACGGTATGGTCTGCAGGACCTTTCGATTGCTGATACTGGTGTGAGTGACCAGCCATGTCAGCCCCCAGTAGTGCCAGAAGTGCGTGGTGCTCGCTAGGAGAAAGGACATTGACTGGAACGTGTTTAGTAAGGCTACAGGGAGGCGACCAGGGTGATGAAAGGAATGGATGATGGCTGTCACTCTGTTCGGTGTTCTTGGGCTGCTCGCGAGTACTAGCATCCCAGTCTTTGCGATGACAGGATCTCAAGCAGCTATGGCTTGCCCACCAGTCCGTCCTTATCACGGCTTCCGTAGAGACTGACGTAGACACAGCGATAGATGCGAGTCTAGAGACACGGGACGTTTGACCTTTGACGATGGGTGCATGAGATACATCAACACCCCGGTCCCTTGTCGAGAAGGGGCAGAGGGGATGCCCGATGGAGTTGTCATCCACAAGCAGACACGGAGAATCGACGGGTGTATTTGGCAAGCCTCGTAAACATGAGATGCATCTTGACCTGAGGTTACCTCATGAGGTCAAACTCGAGTACTGTATCGGTACCCCGCATTCCCTCGCTCCGAGCACTACTTGGCCGATTGGCCTGTCCCGCTCTGACTAGTTGCGCCTCCGCCGATACCGCCACTCTGTGAGGAGGTGGCAGCTTGCTGTGAGGAGCTTGATGCAGTGGTGCTCAAGTGCTCCTTCGATGCTTTACAATCTTCACAATCAGGCTTATCACAATTTTCCACAGCCATGCTCATCGAATGATCCATCCCCCGCCCAAACATCTCCGAGTATTCGCTATGATGCTGGGTCAGGACGTCGCCTTCGAACCTTATGAGTAGCCTGTTGAAAAGGTCAAAGAAGTGGAAGATACTCACCTTCGTTGTGAGTCTCCACTAGACATATTGTATTTGCGAGCTCGGGTGTTACTGACTAGTGTGATAAACTTCGCGTGATACGTCTTGGGTTCGGTGGTTTGTATTGGGAGACGATGTACTGACATTCGCCTGCTTATAAGACTGCCATTTTGGCCTTCGTCGAAGCAAAGCACCACCTCATTACATGACGAAAGTCTTCCAACAGTCTGTAAGGAAGGATAGGAGCATCCTTTCTACACTACGACACTGCCCCTGATTCGTCGGTGCTGCTGGTGTGGGAGGAGGCTTCGATATCCATCCTTTCACTCTTGAGAGCAGACGTGGGCGCTCTTTAGCTAGTGAGGCTGGTGTAATCTGCAAGGCAGCCCCTCAGATCGTCCCAGTATCTGGGAACGCGGATCATCTGCCCCAATAGCGTTCTGAGTGACCGATGTTCTCACCCCTACGAAATGCATATCGCATGCTCCGCACACCCCGTCGTTGGGATAGCCTACCTGTTGAGATACCGACTCAACGTATCTCAGCTTCAAGGCTTGATGTCTACTTCTGCGCATCGGCACTATCTTGTGCCGCTTGAGTGGTATCAGTTTCCTGCGTTTTCGGAACAGAATTCAGCTGCTGATGCGCGGCAACACAATCCTTGCACCCATGGTCTTCGCAGGACTTCAGGTGGCTGTCTGCTGCACTGGATAATGCCAAGTCCAATGCGCGAGTGTTGGCGCTGCAACAATGGTCAACTCTTGGCTAAGTTTTAGTGGTGGAAGCATCGATTATAACTCACGAAATCCGCTGACTCTTCTGCGATGGGGTCTCCGACATGGTGTTTCTTCGATTGTGTTCTCTTGAGACTTGGAGTCTGATCGTACGGCGTGGTTCACGATTGTCAATAATCAGACTGTGGAAGTGATGAGGGAGGATACTATGCCAGACAGTCCAACTCTTATGCGCGATCGGTCGCAGGAGGATTTGAGTCCGACCTTGGGGCCTGGACCCAACGCTCCTTTGGTTCGAGCCGACAGGGGACTGTCCTTTGTGAGAGACTCAACCCGCGACTTGCTCGATCCCATATGTGCCATCATGGGTTGCCTATCGAAGAACATTCCTCATCGTCCGCCTCAGAAGGCCACGTAGCTCCATCATCTTGGAGCCGAGCAATGGTCGTCATGGTGACCGACCGTGTCAGAAAGCCGAAACACATCGTCAAATCTTCTTTTGTTTCAACGCGTCCCACCCCTCGAGTTTCAGATACTCGGGACCTTTTTGGACGCCCCCATCACGCTTTTTTCCTGTGTTCGGCTTGTTCTCTTCCACTGCCGCTGCTGCTGCTGCCAGTGAGGTCCAGAGCCATTAGACACTGATAGGTAGATTGAATGATCATCAACGTTCCAGCAAGCTCTGCTTCGCCGAGGGGTCTAAAGGATCGAGACGGAATCTTCCCCCTTTTTCCCCCTGTTCACACGGTATGCATGGACCTGATGGACCGAGGACTAGCGGAGGTTCGTTGGACGGACTGGAAATACATCCTTCTCATGACTGGATCATCGCGCGTCTACTTTCTCAACTTACTCTTCATCCAAGTTCCCGCCGTCGAGCTTTGACAGCTCCCTCACGCTCCTTGTTTGTCACTGTATTTCTACACAGCGAGATCCAGCATACAAGTCGAGCGCCCGGCCGCGACGACATACCTTCGTCAACAGTACTTGCTGTCACCGTTCAGGACTTCCACAATGATCAATTGGAACTCCTTGTGGTCGATCGTGGTGCTGAGCTCAATTGTCTGTGCTGACCCGTAAGTCGAGCATCCCTCATCTTTCCATCCTCGATTGACGCCTTGATGCCCCCGCCCAGATTCTGGGTCGTCCGTCATGGCACTCTTGTAGAGAGTCGTTTGGACCCAATCATCGCTCCTGGCGTAGTATCAGGTCATAGTGAGTAATGGAATTCCTTTGCATATCACTGACCATCAAAACAGCTCACGCCATCGTCGGGACGGGATCATTTGACCCTAACTACTCGTATGAGAATTCGCGGAACAGCGAGTGAGGTCGAGCGAAACGATTGCGATCCTGAAAGCTGACTCTTACAGCTGTACGACTGCCAATGTCGATGTCGATTTTAGTAGTTACTGGGTACCTGCTCTGTATGTGTATCGCACCTACCAACTGAGCTGACGCTCATCAAGCTACGCTCAATGGCCCAATGGTACTTTTACGAAGCAAAAGTTCAGAGGCGCCAACACGTACTACCAAGTCCGAAGGTAGGACACCAGACAGACAGCCGATACGGTCCGGCTCACAGCCCATCTCATCTTTTAGAGGAACCAATGAACCGATCTACGAATTCCCTCCTGGATTTCGAATGGTCGCTGGTGACCCTTACCGAACCACGTTCGACGCCAGTGTACTGGCTCAAGATGCTGTCAGATATAGTACGTCATCGGCATCGTCCAAGGGATGCTGACGAACATCTACAGATTGTCTAGGTGTCACTGGACCAGAGACGAACAGTGCGCCAAATGATCTGCGTCTACAGACCCACTGACTAGGCTTTCAGAGTTTCCTGCTCAATATTGTCCGGATGGTCTACGTGCAGAAGTCTACTTTCCTCACTGCTGGTGAGTGACTCGGATGTTCTGACTTCAGGGCCTGACACCTCAACAGGGATGGAGTGAACAATTGGCTCGATGGCAGGCAAGTTTGAGACATGCAACCAAGCCGAACTCTGCTGATGTCCCGTGGCCAGTGCCCACGTATCGTATGGCGCGGAGGGCACCTTTGATGGTGGTGGGAGATGCCCAGACACCCACCCGAAGCGTGAGTCGGAGCGATACATGAGCGTCACGAAGGTTGGTAGCTGACGGGTCGTTCCAGGTATTATGGGACGTGAGCTCGACTCGCAGCCCAACGATGCTACGCATTCATTCTGACCCCTTTCAGTCTTCTACGAGTTCTTGTTTGATGATGTCAAACCAGAGACCGGTGCCAAGCGTGAGAATCCGATGGTTACATGGTTCACTAATTGCCAACAGGAACCTTGGCGACTGGGGACCAGACTGGATATGGCTTCCACGGTATGTTCCAAGTCTGTCTTGACGGTTCTGATCAGCTCTCAGGGGATTTCACCAATGGCTGGCCTACAGGCTTGTTCTCCAAGATCTGGGCAGAGGGGGAGACATGTAACGTCGGATTCAGTTTGGAAAACTGTCCACCTCTCAAAGAAGTCATGACGGATATTTCTGATTGCAAATACGATGGGTTGATCGTAGATGAGGTAAGTTCCATGGACCGAGTCCTCATTGACTGTTCTCCAGGAAATCGGGTACACACCGCTCGACGCGTTGCCCGGTAATAACCCCGTATTCGATGCTGAGAACCCTCGACAACCGGATCTCAATTATGTCGAAAAGGCACAATTCGTCCGTGCCGTCAATGGTATGCCTGGTCCAGGTCCAGAAACACCACCGCCTGCGATGGTTTCCCCGACCCAAGTCGATTCTGGCGATAGGTAGTGAGTGTGGCGGGCAGGCATGCACACGTCAAGACTGAAAGCCACACGTAGCATAGGCACCGTCAGAGGCGATACAGGCTACACTGGACCTACGTTCGTATCTGGAGACGGGGCCACAGGAGGAATCGGCGCAGGATCTCCAGTTCCTTCTACGATGTCAGGATCGGTCAGCGCAACGTCCTTGACGATGTCCGGCTCAATGCCGACATCAATGTCAAGTGACACTCAGAGCTCTGAGTCTTACGCTCAGACCCACAGTCATCATCCCGGAGCCGAACCGTCCGCTCCTGCGTCCTCCTCCAACATCGGTCACGTCCTAATGCCCGTGTCCTCCACGTCTACGAATCCTATGGCTCATTCTACTGGAAGATGCAGCAGAAAGAAGAGAAGCAGGAGCAGAGTCTGATTGCAGGCTCTTGCCCCTCAGATAGGAGCTTGATTGATTCTCTCTTCTTTGTACCCCGTTTGGACTTTCTCCTCCTCATTTGCTCCTGCTTGATGCATGGACAGTCTGCAAGCCAGAGATGTGGAAGGAGCCCGCGTATCGTGGATGATGCGAGATCGACCGATGTGCTGGTTGTTGTGCTTGGGATCGATGGGAGAGTAGGTACACTGCGTCGAGCGCTTCCCCGGGGCATGCTACTAGCTTTGGACATGCTGGTACAAGGGACCTTGACTTAGACTGATGGGTATCGAACAGGCCAAGTTTGTCGCTGGGCGTGACGCCCTCAGTGGGTTTCCTGATTCAGGATCCACTATGAGGCTCTCGCCTGTCGTGTCTCCGACTGAGCACGCAGAAATCACACAAAAGGTTGCAAAGCGTTCACAGCAGACCAGCAGAGTGAGCGAGCCGAAGAGTCTGGCTCACTCTGATGATCTCCACGAGTCTCGCCACGGTCAAGTCGTGATCTGCCACTTTCGGATGCTAAGCCATATTCATTGTCTGGGCGGGGCGAACTCTGGACGTATGTACATAGGGTTAGAGCTGGGACCAGACGTCGGACGGGCAATGCCACCTCTCATATCGCCAGAGCAGGTCCAGAATTTCCCTAATGGATCCATCCATAAGTTCACGACTCAAGCGTTGGTCGGCAATGCATTCATGCATCGCGCCGCGCCCATGTCGACAACTGATGTAGGCCGTGCTGGAGCCATGAGTTTATCTGAATCACCTTTCCCAAGCGATTCGGCGGAGGACGGTTTTCATACTCTTTGTCATGTTCGGCGAAAGGAGACCCCCCAAGAGCAGAAGAAAGTGACGACACTCCACCGGCCTGGACCGAGGAGTCAGGTGACGTGGTCTGGTGACAATGTTGGAATCCGTTGATCGTCGGTTCTATATATGGACACTTTTGAGACCTGTAATCATGTACTTTATCTTATCAGTGGTGCCCCTGGGCTCTGGGATCCCACAGACCAGAACAGATCAACGTACAATCGACACGATGCTGCATGAGAAGCCGAGACAAGAGACGACACCAATATTATCGCTACATGAAGAGGTGAGGCGTGAGCCAGCCAGAGAGGACCAGCGTTCAAAAGAAAATCTAAGTACAGAAGGGGGGTAAGGGCGAGAATGAAAAGAGGAACTCCGACATATGTACAACTTTATGTGTATGTGATGGGATCGTGTGTGTTCATGAACATGAGAGTAATGGGAGGATGCGTTGTGGCGTGACGACTAGAGGAGAGAGGCGGTTTTGAGAGGGTGACTGACGATGGAGGGAATATGCCAGGTATAGGGATGCGTGAGGGAATGCGTGAAGGGCAGGGACGGTGCCGCCGACAGTCCGAGATGCAGCGCGACTAGGAGAACGAGCTGAGACGTTTAGCCATGGCTCGTTTGGCACTCTTCCGATCCACTAATTCTTTGGTCAGCCATTGGATAAACTCCCCTCACGGCCAGCACCCACCCGCTGTCTTGTTGAGACCAAACTGGGGCAAGGACTCGATCGCAGCTTTTCGTTGAATCGTCTGCTGAGCTTGTAAGTAGAGAGTGCGCTACGATCGACGGTTTAGCACAATCTTGTCAAAATATGACCGCGGCGACCTACCGTGTACGTGTACAAGCCTGCCTTGTACCGTTGCAGACTCTGTGCGTTCTCGTCGACCATTTCACTCAAGCTCGTCGTAGAGGTCACCATGGTGATCTCAGAAGGGGTTGTATTGACAGGTGAGGACACGCTAGAGATTGACGCAGAAGTCGCATGATTCCCCGCTTCATCCATGCGTTTGCCGGTCGGTTGCTCCTCAGAAGTCAGGTGGACGCTTTGAGTTTCGGGTGAATGGAGTGATGTTGAGGAAGTCGTAGCGGTGAGATTGTCAGCGAGAGAGGGGATCGAAGCGGATGACGCGGTGGTCCTGGTGGGTCGAATTGGAGCGTTGGTGTTGGAATCCATAGAGGTTCGAGGGTATGATTCCTTGTCCTCTTGATCCATATTCGCGTCATCCATGCTATTCCAACTTGGGGACAGACGAGTCGCCGCCAGTCTATCTGCCAAAGACGACGAGGAAGATGGGTCCTGTGCATCGTTGTGATGCTCGCCTCTCGGTGTCGATTGGTCATCATGAACCCCTTTGGGTTTTGGGAAATGTCGCGTGCGTGGTATACGACCCGTCACCTTTTTACGAGGTATTATGCCATGCCCTTTTGGTGGGACGTAGGGCATCGTGAACCAGGGAGCAGGTGGAGGGAGGGCAAACAGACACCAACGAACAGGGGAGAGTAGAGGCAAACGCACCAAGAAAGGACTGTCTGTAAGAGAGAGAGAGGAAAAAAAGGTCAGGTCGATATCTGGATGATTCGATGATGACGGGTTTGGAGAAAGGGGAGTGGATTAATTCAGGACCTTTGTAAATCGGGAAGAGAGGGGGAAGTGCGGAAAGGATGCGGGGGCGGGTCCGGATCAGATGGGAGTCTGGCAAGCTGGGTAGATGATGATGGTGGTGATGGTGATGGTGGTGCCCGAACTGGCAATGAATTGAATCAAAATGAAGTTGTACGAGAATGAGGAATGAACATGAGGGAGCAAAAAGAGTCGATGTAATGGGAGCGCAGAGAGAAAGGGAAAGAAGGGGGCGGCTCCCTTTCAATCCGGTAACTGGACGGGTAGCTGCTATACTGCCATACTGCTGCTACTACTGCCCTACTATGACTTGCTGGAATGTCCCTCTTTTAGTTGTGCCTAGAACACCTCTCGCTCTGTGCACACACTCGAACTTGGAAAATTCCCACGGCCCCGGAAAATGACGAAGGGCGGGCGAGTGGAGAGCATGACGTCAAAAAATAGCAACCTGGCGTTGGGTCATCCGGTTTACAATCAACGACATCACAGACACACTGAGATAATAGACAGCTGGCTGGAGACTGAGACACAGCTCATGTCCCATGGCTATGGCCGGGGCAACAGAGTAGATCAAGTGCAGGTCACTCATCGTCCCCGCATTCATGCCAAGCCAGCTGGTCAGCTGCATCAACCATGTGATTTTGGTGGGGGAGGGAGGCCCCTGATGTCTTGTGATGGATAGGGTCCATCAGACACGTCTCTCTAGGGTCGCTTAATGATTCTACCATACAAGGCTCGAGCACGTAAGGCTCACTTACGTTGGGCAAATAGCTTGTGTCCATATGTAAACCGAGATTCAGCGAGAGGATCGATCCTGGGGATTTTACCGTCTGGCGCTCCCAGACCACTCGTGCAGACTTCTTCCTCCAAAACTACATTCAGCTCACTCTTCGATCTCCTCAATTCCCTCTCTTTCTTACAGGCTGGTAGACCGCTTCAGACACACGCCCGTCTCGATGATCCACTTGCGCCGCCTCTCTCTCTCTCTCTCTCCACATGTCGATCGCAGGGCTTCAAGCCACCAACCAACATGCGCTTGAGCGGGCCCCCGCCCTAATCACCGATTGCTAATAAAAACCCTGTTGATTAGAATAATCCTCCTTTTTCTTTTTTTGAGGGTGCAGCTGATTCCGAAGGGAAGGGGGGGCACCTCAAAAAAATGAATCGATTGCCACACGGGCCAAAATTCGCAGACGCGCAAACCTCGTGGCGCCTCTCGCTGTTCGGGAAAATATATTTTTTGATTCCTCCCAGAGTCTCACGCACACCTATTGACTCACTCACTCACTCACTTACTCACTCATGAGGTAGCTCTGGCGCGAACATCTGAAGCCGATCATGAGGATAACATTTCCAAATCCACTGGGACCACCCATATCTTTCGATACGGCCAATATCCCATCCGGTCCTCCTATCCTGTCGCGTCTAACCTCTCATCCAAGACGAGCCCAGATTCGCGTCTTATTATTGATTCTCATATCGCTCCTGCTGTTATCTTGGAGACCATCACCGCCTTTCCCACCGGATTACGCTAGAGAATGGTCACTGGAGCGAACATTACCAAAGTCGTACAATCGACCCTTGATCGAGGGCAAAGAAGGGAGGTATATCAAGTGAGTCAAATGATCCGGGACATTAAAAGATCAGGCACCATTGACCCGGGATTTTCGCTCAGATTCGAGTCTCCGAAACCGACCGGTGAGTGAGCAAGCGACGGAAGGGGATGGAAGGGGGCGGGGGGCTGTCCAGCTGATCTCGTCGAACGTCTCAGGGTTCAATCATCAAGTGAGCAGCCGTGCTCGAGAAACCATTCTGTGACGATGCTGACGTCCCATTTGCTCTAGATGCAACGTGTGTTGTGAGTGAGATCCATCAAACCCCTTCCGACTGGATATTGAAACCGCGCAGATTACAGCATCACCTGGCAGTCCTCAGTAATCGGTCCTATGCATATGAGCCATTGGTCCAGGATGACACGGTATGTACGTCAGAAGTGGTCTCTGCTCACCCGTTAGCGCTTTCCCTTTGTCCTCACATTTCCACCATGGAGATCCGCCAGGGTTCCACTGTCCGCCCTGATCTCCACAGTGACGTCTGGTTTCGAGAGATTTTTTGACAACCCCCGAGCCGTTCCGTGGGTATAATTCTTGGGGCTCACACTGACCGAATAGCTACTCCCACTACCGATCCATCTGTCCCTCGTGGAAAGAGACGGTCTACCAGCTCAAGGATGCCGATCACCCAGATGGCAACCTGGATGTGTCGCTTGATGCTCAAATGCGTGTCCATCAATTACAAGCCTTGTTCGCTGGAAACGATGCCAAGTGTCTGCGTATACAAGGGCCAGTATTCGGTGACGAGTATGTCGAGCGAAGAGCTATCTATCGGGCCTGACCTCGTTTAGCTTCTTCGATTCTGAATCGCTACTACAGCTCCAACAATCTTTCATCCAATCACCCGTCTTGCAACACTTCACCATGTCACCCACCGTCTTGTCCGTCGTCAATCGTGAAATGCATCGACTGGCACCTGACAGTGCGCCATATGATCTGACTCGGGTAGGCACCGCTTTCACTGCGGAGGGAGTCAGACCTGGATCCAATTGGAAACACATCTTGGCATTGCATCTTCGGCACGGGGATTCTTGGTCTCAAACATGCCACGATAAGGGCATGAAGTCTGCGTGAGTCGTATGCGGGTCGGGTCGCATTCCATCGGGCTGACGGCTTGGTCCAGTCCATTCGTCGGTTGGACTAAAATTCCCGAATTTCCCGGAAACGAAAATGTTCCTCCCCCCGCCGATATGGCTGAAGCTGCGCGGTTGGGCCTGTACAAGGCCAAATGCTCACCCGACACGCTCGATATCATTGCTCGAGCACGGAGAATGAGAAAGAACCATCCATTCTTACATACAGTCTACATCTTGACCGACGGCGTGACGCCTTGGGGAGAGGAAGTGAAAATGTGGTTGTTGTCTGAAGGCTGGGAAAATGTGTGGCTGAGTCCGAAAGATATATGGCCAGATTGGCAAGACGGAGAGATCGGCGTAGGAGTGGATATGGAAGTGGCGAGGCGGAGCGGCGTGTTCGTCGGCAACGGGGTGAGAGATGTTGTTGATTTGGATTTTTTGTCTGAAACTGACTCGTATCATTCAGTTCTCCACGACCGGCTCCAATATCGCTCTCTTGCGCTTAAGGGATGGCATACATCCCGATCTCACTCAATTTTGGTAGACTTTTATTGATCATTTCAAAAATAAAGGACATTTGGAGGGGGCAGCCTATGCACATCTAGTACCGGATCTTTTCTTTACGCCTCTACAATCTTGGCGACTTTTATACCTCGTCTCTGCCACGTCCAGGACATCCAGACACCCACCTCGCCATCGTCATCTTCAAGAGGTACGATGGAAGGGTAGGAATACTCTTCGAGACCGTCGACTCCACCTGCATCCGCGCCTGTCAACCGGATCTCATCGTGAGGTGGAGGTGCCTGTTCAACTGTCGCCCAGAGTTTCCAGGTCTGTCCGTCGTCTTGACTGATCATGAGGCATAGAGGTGTCCTAGGTCCCCAATTGCGAGTGTTGTAATTTCCAGTCCTGGCTCGTGTCAGGAACGATTCAAAAAAATGCGGTTTCTTTTTCTCTCACCAGATCACTCGCCCGTCCTTGAGTCTAGCAATATCATGTCCAGAGTTGTTGTTCGGCAAGATTGTCCTGTAAGCCGGAGTCCAAGTCCGACCATAATCTTCGGAATCGCTCCGGAGGATACAGCCGGCGGAAGATCTCAACGTGAGATGGACGTGTCCAGGTGCATCTTTTGATTCCCATAGACCAGGTTGAATGGCTCCTTCACCGGGGAAACTACCACCAGGGACGCCTCTATCGGCTGGAAGCTCCACCAAGGGAGATTTGATCCAGACATCGCCTTGCTTGAACGTGTCTCCCTCTTTGGGTTTTGGCGCGAAGTCAGAGTACGAGTCCTGGCCCATAAGCGCGCGTGTCAACATGCTTTTTCGTTGCATCTTCGATGGGCAGAGGTTTGGGAGTCAGAACTCACCCAGACACCGTATGGTTTTGATGGATCGGGATTCGGAACCTCATACGAAGCACCTGTACACCAATCTCCATTGCTCAATACGATCGGAGCATTCTTCTGAGGTCCTCGTCCACCTGATCTATCACCTTGCACCAGTTCTTTCGGCTCAGACCACGAATCACCTCCGTCCGTCGATTCAATAATGTACGTTATCCAGCTCGAAATGAGTTTACCAGTCCGGAAAAACAAGTACACGTGTTTCGGCTCGTTAACGGGATCAGGGATGAACAGGACAGGATTCCAATGAGGTAGAGTCCCATCACCCGCTACGGAAACTTGATCTGTCCAGTTGCCATTGACATATTTCGAGAACCTACGTTTTTACATTAGGAAAAATCGAAAATGTGAAAAGAGTTACTCGCCATATCTTGACATCTGGTTTGCCTTCCCCTGATCCACCAAACCATGCGAGGTATCTGATACCTCCAGCCACGGCGATAGTCGAGCAATGAACACTGGGCGCTCGAGCATCGTCCTTGGTAACGAACTCAGCCGTGATCTTGCCCGAAGTTGCCGTCTTGGGCACCTCAGCAAAGGGAGGAATGGTGGGTTGTTGGTCTGTCATGGTGAACGTTGCGGTCGCTGTTTCCACCGTGTTCGGTTGGTTGATTGTGGTCCGTTGGTCGGTCGGTTAGAGATACTGCTTTTTAGCACCCCCCCCCCCCACTTTTCGGCACGTTGCCGACGAATTTCGGATCATCGTGCGGCGCATGAGGGACTGAGAAATACGCCGAAATCTACCGAAACAATGGATAATGCATGGCATCAACGATTACAACCGCCCCTCATGACCACTCTGACCTTTTCTTTGTTGGACTACTCCCACAAAGCGACCAATCTCACTTCTATACTCTCTCGAGGTCTCACCAACTCAGGAGCGATCCCATCCGCATCGTTGTCCACCTTGACAGCCACGTGTCCACAGTATAGGACGCTTCCGTCACTTCCTTGAGCGGTATCATAGCATTTCAGCAGGATGATCTCGTCTGGCATCTGATGTCGGATGTAAGACCAATGTTGGGAAGGTGAATGATGAATATCGATCCCTATTCCGTACTGCGAGGCGTGTCGTGAGATGTCTTTGAAAGTGAATGTCCGCCCGTCAGCCATGGCCAATGGAGCGTTAGTCACGGGTCCTAAGTTGGCCCAAGAGGACGTATCAGCGACGCGGTCCTGCGGGGAGCAAGTTGCAAGATGTGACGATGTTGAGGCTCTTGTGACTCACCGTTGAGCGGTCTCCAGAGGTTCACAATCATACCCCGTTGAAAACTGTCGGCTGGTCTCCCGGCCGCTTTACCCACCAGCTCTTTGCCCCAGGTCTGGAGACTCGCTCGCGTCAGATCGAGAGATTTCCCCCTCTTGGCACGAGCGAGAGTTCCGTCAAACTTACCGCATCTTGGTCGACATGGGCTACTCCGGCAATAGGCTGAATCCTAGACGGATCCGTAGGTTTGAATCCTTTTTCTGGACCCTTTTGCTTTTCGATAGGCTTCAACTTGACCCCTTCTGCATTCCGTCGAATGACCGAGTTCCAAGCGATCACACGAGTGCAGCCAATGTACGATCGGAGGAGTCTGGGCAGAAGAATCGGAAGTATTTCAGCTGGGCTGTCTGAACCTATCTCATACGGAGAAATGAGAAAGAGAATGGATGACTCACTCGGCAGACTCTGCGAGATATCCTTCGATACCTTCTGGGGAAGCCACTCGCTCTACAAATGGACTCTGATGCTTCGTCACGGCGTACCCCCGTTCATAGAGCTGTTGTTGTGGATGGACTTGCTGCTCTGCCTCGAGTTCCGGACGTAGATCCAATACTGGGACTCGGATGTGTTCCACGGGCTTCTCGCGACCCTCAAGATAAGTCAAGTAGACAGAGGGATCGTGATCCAGTCGCTCGTCAGGTAAGTTGAACCCGATGACAGCGGTCAATTGGGACGGAGAGGAAATGGACGGCATGACTGGTGATGGAAGAGAGCTCAATTGCTTTGTCAATCAGGGAGGAGGTTCGCTGATCGTGAGCCCCAGATATCACCACAGCGTTATCTGACTTGCAAAGCCAAGCAAGACGGACTATATTCCCCTACTTTCAAAGACTTGATTTTTTCAAGCCCCTATCTTTGCAAACTGGAGGTAAGACTCTGCCCCTGCGCGCCGTTCCGCCTCAGATACCGGGTGTTCCCCCGTTCTTCTGTTCTCCATCTTATCGGGTGAGAATCGGTCTTAGCCGTGCAAGGCTCTACACATATCATCCCAAAAGTATGAATCTACCGCCAGAGTGCCAAGGAAAAATCAAAAAGAAAGAAGAAATTCCCAAAAAAAATCACTCCGCTAGACTCTACGAGGCGCGAGAGCAGAGATCCGATAACAAATGTTCAATCTCTAGGCAATATCGTCCCTGGTCTTATCTTTAAGGGGGCATGTTCGCATGGCATTGTATTAAAAGAAGATATGGGGGAGAGGGGGGCCATAAGGAACTCAAATTTTGTGGTCAGAGGTCCGACAGAGATCACGACCTGACGAATTGCTGCACTACACTGAGGATATCTTGACGAGCTCTGTCAAGATGAAGGTGCCTACATTCCAACTCCAAGTGCCCGGAGCCGAGGGGAGAGAAAAGTCTTTGGAGAATGACGATCTCTTGCCGATTCCTCAAGAGAAACGGTGAGTAGTAGCGCCGAACAAGATATTCGTTCTCCTTCGGCGGTGCGTAGGCTGATGAGCTACTAGAACCTGGGACTTTCTGACATTCAATTTGTTCTGGTTCTCTGCCGTGGGGACTGTGGCGAATTGGCTCGGAGGTGGCAGTTTCTTGACATATGGAATCACAGTCTGGGATGGTATCCTGGTAAGTTGATTTCGACGACGAAGCACAACAATGCTGATGATGATGGAAACCCCCCAGTGTAATTTTTTCGGTTACCTCTTGATTTCCCTATTCATGGTCCTCAACGGTCGTTTCGGTGCCGTCTATCATTGTGGATTCCCAGTCTATTGTCGAGGATCCTTTGGCGTCTACGGCGCCGCTTGGCCAGTGTTCAACAGGGCATTGTCCGCTTGCGTCTGGTCAGCTTTCCCCTATCATCAGGCAAGGGACGAGTGCGCTGAGTTGTTGTTGTTTCTTCAGGAACGGAGTCAATACCGTCACAGGTGGACAATGTGTGTATATCCTACTTCACTCGATCTTCCCCTCGATCGCCAGGATCCCAAATCACATGCCGGAAGCCTCGGCTTTGGACACAGCTCAGATGATTGGGTTCTTCCTGTTCTGGTGAGCCGGTCCCTCCCTCCCTCAAAAGTCACCCAAGAAATAATGCCCCTTATTCCTCTTCCCCAGGTTCGCAACATGTTTCGCTCTGTTCCTTGCGATTCCCAAATGGCCACTTTTGATCAAGATCAAACTCGTGGCCTACGTCCTCAGTACTATCGGGATGCTATCCATAGCATTACACGCCTCGGGAGGTGTGGGCGATACCTTGACCGCCAAGGCCAAAGTCCACGGGTCGGAAAAGGCATGGTTGATCGTTCGTTTCACTCTACTCTCCGCAGCTGGATGTTCCACCTTTGCGAGTAATGCTTCGGATTGGCAGAGGAATGCTTCAAAACCGAAGGATCCCATTTGGGGTCAAATTCTAGGCTTCCCATTGAGCAATGTGAGACGGGGGTGGTACAGTGATCGAGAATCTCACTGATGATAACCAGTTCATCGTCACGCTCTGCGGGATGATCACTGCTGCATCAAGTCAGCGAATTAGCAAAGATGGCGAGGTCATCTGGTGAGTGGTCAAAGCTTACATACCAAAGCACAAATGAAAGCTCACTGGGGCGAATCTCAGGAACCCTCTCGACTACCTCGACATGATTCTCTCTGACAACTATACCGCTGCGAACCGAGCCGGAGCTTTCTTTATCTCTCTCGGATTCATCTACTCGTCTCTCTTCTCATGTCTGTTCGAAAACGTCTATCCCTGCGGTCAGGATGTTGCTGCGTTGTGCCCGAAGTACATCTCCATCAAGCGAGCATTTGCAATCTGTCAGGTCGTCACTGTGGTGTGAGCCGGATCTAGCCCAGACGTCTTGAGCCTTTGACTGACCGCATCCCGCATCCAGAATCAACCCGTGGTTCTTGCTCGGTAGCGCGGGCATCTTCATCAGCTTCTTAGCTTCGTACCAGATCTTCCTATTCTCCATCGTCGGTGTCCTCCTGGTGGATTACTACATTATCAGCAAAGGCCGAATGGACCTCGGGTATCTCTTCACTGCAGACCGCAATGGACCCTATTGTAAGTGTCGACAGAGGGGGGAGGATATGTCTCGCTGACATCTCACAGGGTACTCGTATGGATGTAATTGGCGAGCGTTCGCAGCTTACATTGTTGGCGCTGGAGTCAATTTCTGCGGATGTGAGTGACTCAACTCAATCTGGAGCCTGGGTCCTAACCTTGCACAGTCCTCGACAACATGGGTGTCAAAGGGTTCAGTCTCGGAGTTGTCAGATCGTTTTACTTTGCCTTTATCACCACGGGCTGTGCGGCTGGATTGACCTATTACCTCTTGGCGAGGTTCTTCCCACAGGAGAATTACAAGACTTACAGGGAGCTCAAATTCAGAGAATGGAGTCAGGACGAAGTGGAAATGTATGCCGCGGGAAAGAGGGAAATTGTACCGGAGAGAGCATCACAGACACCTTCCGTCGAGGAGAAATCTGATCTCGACGTTACTGCCGTCAGTGTCTTGCCAGCGTAAGGGGTATACAGTAGGAATAGAGGGATATTAGATTGTCGTTGTCCTGAATGAACCATCGCTTCTGCACACACAATGTCCAATTCATCGAGATACACCCCGGGTTCTGAATTATAATGTCGTATCTAAAGGGTTCACTGTTCTTCCCTCTTCTGGTTAGGACTTTGGGGCGAGACCACCATAGTTGTTGCCCGGGCCATAGGTGTAGTTTCCATTACAGGCATAGTTGAAATCGATTTCAGCCAGTCGGTTCTGGAGAGCGCTGATGATAGTGTTGAGAGGGCAGAGACCGTCCTTGTTCCAAGGACATCCAGGGTGACTCTGGTCGATGGGGATGACTCCGTCGTTGAGGATCCATCGGCCCTGCTTGGACGGGCTCATGTTGGGGCACTCGAGGACTTGGAAGACGAGGTGAGTCGCAAAGGGGAAGACTCGGGACGTGGAAAAGACGCTTCCGTTTGATCGCTGAGTCGGAGAGAGGGGCTCAGTACCGAATACAGCGGTGAGGTTGAGCGCTGTCAAGGTGTCTCCGACGATGACTTCGTGCGTCGCATCGGCATAGATCGAGTTATTGACGGGGAAAAGGATGGGAGACGAGTCGAGCGTCGAGTTGACAGCAGAGTCGGAAACGGTGATCTGTTGGTGGAGGAGACGGGCGACAAGTTCCTCAGCGAGACCTTTGCCTTGAGCGGCGGAGACGGGACTGCCGGGTCCATTCTCATACCAGAAAATGAGCTAGCAGGGATCAGCGAAAGGTCCGACCAAGTGGTCACTCACGTCATAGTAGTACTCAAAGTTCATATAGTCTTCCGAGGTGAAGAGCTTGCAGAATTGAGAGTAGCCAATGGCGTCAGTCTCGTAAGCGCACAATTGAAGCATCGCAATGGCGTCACTAGGAGTGAATTGAATGCCCTTGACTTCCGAATTGAGTCGAGCGAGCGTCGAATTGAAGGCGTTGACAGCGAACTCCTTGGCGACGGTTCCACCGATATCAGAAGGCGCACCGTTGGCGTTGGGACAGTTGTCATAGGCTGCTCCAGTGTTGTTGACACCGTTAGCTTCGACCATGAGCTCAATGTTGACTTCAGTGAGGTAGTCGGGAACACCGAAGAATCCAGCTGCAAAGTTGTCGGCGGTGTGGACCATTCGATCTCCCGATTCTGTCCTGAAGACTGGCAAGGTGCCAGCGGCGGTAAAGTTGTTGAGGAGTTCTCCGTAGAGGACTCTGAATCCCGCACCCAGCTCAAAGTTTTGCAAGCGTCCGAAAGGAGTCAAGATCTCAGCTCCGAGACCATATTGCCAGTGGTTGAGGAAATCGAGATCTCCCCAGCTGGACCAAGTGGATCCATTGTTGGCGGCTGCGTTGAGCTTTTCGGCAAACTGAGCAGGAGCAGATCCACCGGTAGGGTATCGAGCGCCATGTCTGTAGAGAATATGGACTTGAGTGATGGTGCATTGGTCAGGGACAAGAGGAGAAGCACCGGGAAGTCCAAAGATAGAAGAGTTGACACTGTAGACAGGGCTCAAGTTACCCCAGTACTGGGTGATGTCGAAAGGTGTGGACGGGTTATCGTATGGTTGATCGACAACCAAAGGCCATCGGAAAGCCGGCATCTGGGTGTATGGGTACGCAGAGGCAGTTTGAATAGCAGCGGGCTCGATACCGGTGGGAGTCGGTCCAGCGTAGCCTACGACGGACTCGGGAGGAAACAGGGCAGTGTTAACGGAGGCTGAAGGCGTCAGCTAAGAACGACCCGGGGCACACTCACTTCCATTGGGAGGGTAGACGTTGCTGGTAGGGGACCCTACCCATGTCTCGGCTTGCCATCGCTTCTCGACGGGGTTGGCATGAGCAAGGACAGGGAGAAGGGTTAGTAGAGCAGCGCTGATCATGGTGGAGGTGAGTTGAACAAGATTTCGTTTGAGAGGTGTAGGGAAAGAGGAAGTAGTAGCATCCAGACCAGTCTCGGAATATATATACATACACAGAGCCAAGGAGGTACGATCTGGGTAGACGACGAACCCTCGCCTGGCCCCCCAGATCCCACAGTCAGCCAAATCAAGCACGTTGTCTAGCAGCAGCCGCTGGGGGGCGAGAGGGATGTATGTACGTGTGTGTGAACAGAGATGAGCATGAGGATGTACGTATGATCACCTCATCTGGCAAGACCGAGGGTATCTATCCGGGGTACAGGCTTAGATCATGCGCGGGAAAGAGAGAGAGAGGATCGAGACTATTGCGTCATTCTGCCGTGGTCGTTCTCGCTGTCACCTTGTTCCTTTTTATCTGATAGCGTCTTGCTCCTAAGAACGTGCGTGCTAGTAGTATCCCTTCGATCGTTTTGACAACTTTGGCCGGTTCCGTTCCGATCGGGCGGTGCGGCAAGAGGAGGTCTCCCACAGTAGAGCCAGCTCTCTCACGGTAGATGCATGCTGAGTTCTCCCACGGTAGCAGTACCTCCTCATCCCAGACGCCACCTTTTTGTTCGCAGTCAGCCACTTTTCACGTGCCGCATTGTTTGGATCAGCTTCCGATCAATGCCATGTTGTTGTGGCACTCACTCGGACATTGGCAGCGAAGCAAGGTCTCCATCATCATCCATGATGCCCAAAAGCTCGACCAAGCTTGCGGCTGAAAGAGTTTCGTGGCCTTTTTCGAAAATGCGCAAGATGATGCCAAGAACAGCCTGTTCCATCAACCTTGGCTGCGTATACCAACACGCTGGATTTTGGAATCTCCGAGGCTCGATATTAGCTTTGCCACCTTGTATACCTCACCCCCTACGTATTGTTTCTCCGTGATGCGATGTCTCCCCTTGCCCATCACTACTGCGACGACGGTACTACTGCGTCCAAGTATGCATGTACCGTATGTCGACGCGATGCGATGTAGGGTCTATCTTTCTCTTGTTTAAACCCTGACGTTCGCCGGCCTGGTGTGTTTTTTGTAATGTTGATTAGGATTCAAGGTGCACGGCTGCCCAGGGAGGTTTGGTCCATTAGAAATCTGTCTTAATAGATCCCCCCCAAAATAATAATATCCTCGCCCGCTGCCCTGCGGATTCCCCCCTCTCCCCCCCTAAACAAAGTTTTCTCATGTTAACCCTCCTTGCCCTCCCTCCCCCCTCCCCCCCCTTTTTTTTCTCTCTTTCAGTCAGTCTATTATTTTAGCACAGCACGTTGAATTTGATCCGCCTCGCCATCATAGCCTCGCCTCCTCTCTCTCTCACTCTCACTCTCACACTGACCTTTGTCATTCATTCATTGACTCTCTCCATCTCTCTCGCTCGCTCTCTGTATCAAGTATTGGGTCAAGTCAAGGTAGTATCGGAGTCCGTTACACGGCTTCGCTCCCTCGACAAGAAGGACTTCGACAAGGCTCTTTTTGTGGGAGGGGTTTCTCGTGCCAGACCATTTTTGCCGTTTGGTTCGTCTGTTTTGATCCCCCTTTGGCAAACGACCTCTCGCGGGTTTGATCAATTCCACTCTTGACTCGGAACGCGTCAAGCTATAAGATCGACCTCAGATCAATCATCACCCCAAGTCTTCGTCGAGCGCGTCTCGCGCAGAGACAATCGAGTGAGTTGCACTGTAGGAATATAGACAAACAAAGACGAGGAAAATAAAATAAAACAATCGTCATATTCGTGTCTGGAGAGGGCGTGAAGCGTGCGCTTGCTGTCGAGCACGCGACGTCGGTGGGCATCGTTGGCATCATTGGCATCATTGGTGTGAATGCTTCACCGCCGCGGTGCATGTGTCACGCTGATAAAGTCCAACCTTGCTGTCTTGCCAAAACCCCCCCTTTGTGTTCTCCCGGCGACCAAAACATTTAAAAAATCACGCTGACACCGACAATCCTCACAGCACCATGTCCTATCCTCATCCTCCACCAGGCCCTAAACACGCTCCCTCCTCCTACTCCTCTGGATCATCTGATCCTTTCAATTCAACTCAACAACTCCCTTACTCTGACAACCCTCACAATCCCTATGGCGGAGCCCCCAACCCTGGCGCGGGCGGTGCGGGCGTAGCTCCTCCCGGTCAAGCTGGTCAATACACGCCATACTATGACAATGATCCTGAGATGGATCGTAGATACGAAGGTGGGGGTATGGGTCGAGAAACCTGGGCCAGTGAAAGTGGTTGGTCACAGAATGGTACGTGCGCCGGGGGTTGATGGCTTTTGTTTGGCTTGGCTGAATCGCTCTTATCAGACCCTGACAACAAATTTGGATCGTCTGACTTCCAGCATCAATCCGGTTATCTTCCGTCGCGGGCGTCTACCCCGACGTTCACTGAGGGAAGTCGGGATGGACATCGACCTAGGGAACCTTACCCCGCTTGGACTGTCGAGGCGAACATTCCCCTATCAAAGGAGGAAATTGAAGATGTCTTGATCGATCTCGCCAACAAGTTTGGGTTCCAAAAAGATTCCTCTCGAAACGTGTACGATTTCCTCATGATTCAGCTCGACTCGCGAGCTTCACGAATGTCACCGAATCAGGCTTTGCTCACGTTGCACGCGGACTACATCGGAGGTGAACATGCCAACTATCGTAAATGGTACTTCGCCGCTCAGCTCGATCTCGACGACGCCATCGGAGCAGCTCAAAACCCTGGCTTGGCTCGGGTCCGCTCCGTCGCGCGACGAGGCAAAGGTGCCAAAGTTGGCTCAGCGTCCTCAAAATCCCTCGACAGTGCGACGAACCGATGGCGAACAGCCATGAACAACATGAGTCAGTACGATCGCCTCCGACAGGTCGCCTTGTATTTGCTCTGTTGGGGTGAAGCCGCGCAGGTCAGATTCATGCCCGAGTGTCTCTGCTTCATCTTCAAGTGTGCCGATGACTACTATCGATCCCCCGAATGTCAAAACAGGGTCGATGCAGTGCCTGAAGGCCTATACCTTCGCGCCGTCATCAAGCCATTGTACAAGTTTCTGCGAGACCAAGGGTACGAAGTAGTGGATGGCAAGTTTTTGAGACGGGAAAAGGACCACGATCAGATCATTGGATACGACGATGTCAACCAGTTGTTCTGGTACCCCGAGGGTATCAGCAGGATCGTGCTCAATGACAAGGTGAGGTAATGCAGCAGAACATGACATCTGACCACCATGACACAGACTCGACTCGTCGACATTGCCCCCGCTCAACGATTCATGAAGTTTGACCGCATCGATTGGCCCAGAGTCTTTTTCAAGACATACCTCGAAAAGCGATCCTTCTTCCACCTTCTCGTCAACTTTAACCGAATTTGGATCGTTCACATCTCCATGTTCTGGTACTACACTGCTTACAACGCGCCTGCTATCTACGCTCCTCGCGGTTCCACCAGAGCCACTGCGCCCATGGCTTGGTCCATGACTGCTTTGGGTGGTGCCGTCTCTACGATTATTATGATTGCCGCTACCATTGCCGAATTCAGCTACATCCCGACTAACTGGAACAACACGTCGCATCTGACTCGTCGTCTGATCTCCCTGTTGATCGTCTTGGCCATCACGGGTGGACCTTCGGTCTACATTGGTATCTTTGATCAGAACGGTCAGATCTCCTTGATTCTCGGTATCGTGCAATTTGGATGCTCTGCTCTGGCCACCGCGGCATTCGCCATTTTGCCCTCGGGACGGATGTTTGGAGACAGAGTCGCAGGCAGGAGTCGAAAGTATTTGGCCAACCAGACATTCACAGCATCTTACCCTACCCTCACCAAGGGCAGTCGTGCTGCGTCGTGCCTGCTCTGGATCCTCATCTTTGGATGTAAATTGACCGAGTCTTACTTTTTCCTCATCTTGTCTTTCCGTGACCCTATCCGAGTCATGACAGGCATGAAGGTTCAAAACTGTACGGACAGGTATCTTGGCTCCAACCTTTGTATCAATCAGGCGGCATTCACCCTCGCCGTCATGTTTGTCATGGACTTGACGCTCTTCTTCCTCGACACATTCTTGTGGTATGTCATCTGGAACACCATCTTCTCGATTGCACGGTCGTTTGCCCTCGGCATGAGCATTTGGACGCCGTGGAAAGACATCTTTGCGAGATTGCCAAAGCGTATCTACGCAAAGCTGTTGGCGACCGAGGATATGGAAGTGAAGTACAAGCCAAAGGTGAGTCAGGTCCACTGTGAAACGCTAATGGTCAGGTGCTCGTGTCCCAAGTCTGGAACGCCGTCATCATTTCGATGTACCGAGAACACTTGTTGTCCATCGAGCATGTTCAAAAGCTTCTGTACCACCAAGTTCAGTCTGACCAACCTGGCAAGCGAACCCTTCGAGCTCCCGCGTTCTTCATCTCTCAAGGCGACAAGGGACTCAAGACGGAATTCTTCCCCAAGGGATCCGAAGCCGAACGACGAATCTCCTTCTTTGCTCAATCGCTCACCACTGCGATGCCAGAGCCCATTCCTATCGATTCGATGCCGACATTCACAGTGCTCGTGCCTCACTACTCGGAGAAAATCCTCCTGTCGCTCCGAGAAATCATCCGAGAAGAGGACCAAAACACCCGAGTCACTCTGCTGGAGTACCTCAAACAATTGCACCCCATCGAATGGGACAACTTTGTCCGAGACACCAAAATTCTGGCCGAAGAATCCAACATGTTCAATGGTGGAGGTAACCCATTCGGATCCGATGAAAAGGCAGATTCAAAGCGAGCAGACGACATTCCATTCTACACCGTCGGTTTCAAATCTGCTGCGCCGGAGTACACCCTGCGAACGCGTATCTGGGCGTCACTGCGTGCTCAAACACTGTACAGGACGGTTTCCGGATTCATGAACTATTCCAAAGCGATCAAGCTGTTGTACCGTGTGGAAAACCCCGAAGTCGTCCAGCTATTTGGCGGAAACACCGATCAGCTTGAGCGTGAACTCGAACGCATGGCTCGACGAAAGTTCAAGTTCGTCGTGTCCATGCAGCGATACTCCAAGTTCAACAAGGAGGAGCATGAGAATGCAGAATTCTTGCTTCGAGCGTATCCGGATCTGCAGATTGCCTACTTGGACGAAGAGCCAGCCAGGAAGGATGGTCAGGAATCCCGCATCTTCTCGGCCCTCGTCGACGGACACTCTGAAATCATGCCTAATGGTCGACGACGTCCCAAGTTCAGGATCGAATTGCCAGGAAACCCTATTCTCGGTGATGGAAAGTCTGATAACCAGAATCATGCGATTGTCTTCTACCGTGGTGAATACCTCCAGCTTATCGATGCCAACCAGGACAACTATCTCGAAGAGTGTCTCAAGATCCGAAACGTGCTTGGCGAGTTTGAAGAATTCCGTATCTCTGCACAATCACCATACGCTCAGAACGGTCATTCCGAATTTAACAAGTTCCCCGTTGCCATTCTCGGAGCGAGAGAGTACATTTTCTCTGAAAATATCGGTATCCTTGGTGATATTGCTGCGGGTAAGGAACAGACATTCGGTACGCTCGCTGCGAGGTCGTTGTCATTCATTGGAGGAAAACTGCATTACGGACATGTGAGTGTCTCATCCACGGCCTCTGTTGACCTCAGCCCGATTTCCTCAACGCTATCTACATGAACACGCGTGGTGGTGTGTCCAAAGCGCAAAAAGGTCTCCACCTCAACGAAGATATCTACGCCGGTATGACTGCCTTTGGACGAGGAGGTCGAATCAAGCATTCTGAATACTACCAATGTGGTAAAGGTCGTGATCTCGGTTTCGGCACCATTCTCAATTTCCAAACCAAGATTGGAACGGGTATGGGTGAACAGATGCTGTCCCGAGAATACTACTACCTCGGCACGCAATTGCCTGTGGATCGATTCCTGACATTCTACTATGGTCACCCTGGTTTCCACATCAACAATATCCTCGTCATGATGTCGGTGCAGATCTTCATGTTGGCACTGGTCTTCCTCGGTACGCTCAACAAGCAGCTCCCCGTGTGCAAGTATAATTCACGAGGGGACATCCTGCCTGGTCAATCTGGTTGCTACAACCTTCAACCCGTGTTCAAGTGGATCAGGCGATGTATCATCTCCATCTTCCTCGTGTTCTGGATCGCCTTTGTCCCCCTGTTTGTCCAGGAACTCACTGAACGAGGAACCGGTCGAGCCATTCTGCGTCTGGTCAAGCACTTCCTGTCCCTCTCTCCCGTGTTTGAAGTCTTCTCAACCCAGATCTACATGCACTCGATTCTCAACAACTTGACATTTGGTGGCGCTCGGTACATTGCGACCGGTCGTGGATTCGCAACCACTCGAATCTCCTTCTCCATCCTCTATTCTCGATTCGCCGGTCCATCCATCTACTTGGGTCTTCGAACCCTCATTCTCCTGCTGTACATCACCATGAGTGTCTTCATACCGCTCATCATTTACTTCTGGATCACCGTCGTCGGTCTCTGCGTCGCGCCATTCCTCTTCAACCCACACCAGTTCTCCTTCAGCGACTTTATCATTGATTACCGAGAATTCCTCCGATGGATGTCCAGAGGAAACTCTCGAACCCATGCCAACTCGTGGGTCGGATACTGTCGTCTCTCCCGAACGAGAATCACAGGGTTCAAGCGGAAGCGACTCGGTCTACCATCCGAGAAACTCTCGAGTGATATGCCTAGAGCACCTTGGCGATCCATCATTGTTGGTGAAATCATTGGACCACTCTGCATCGCCATCATGTTTGTCATCTGTTACTTGTTTGTCAAGTCGTTCCCCGCGTCTAATGGAGTCACTCAACCTGGTCTCCTCCGAATCGCCATCATCGCCCTCGGACCCATCGTCTGGAACATGGCTTTGCTTTTGGTTCTCTTCTTGGTCTCAATCTTCCTGGGTCCTATTCTTAACACCTGTGGGACCAACTTTGGAGCCGTCATGGCTGCCATTGCGCACTTTGGAGCCGTCGTCGGAGCAATCTTTGCGTTTGAGCTGTTGTGGTTGCTCGAGGTGAGTGTAGACTGCTTCCGCCATGTCCTACGGCAAAACCGGCAACGCTATCCATTGATCTTTGGACTCTTGGAGGTGTATGTGAGCTGACGCAGAAGCATAGTTGTGGGACGTTTCCCACTCCGTTCTCGGTTTGATCGCCGTGATCGGTGAGTGTTTCCTAGACGACAGACGCTCTTCGGATGAAGCATGTTCTGACCAAACCTCTCAGCCGTCCAACGATGTATCTTCAAGATTTTAATCGCTGTTCTCCTCACCCGAGAGATGAAAGGAGATGAGAGCAATCGGTATGTTCTAATATCACTCTAGACACTGTCAGCTCACCCATTCGATAGTGCCTGGTGGACTGGTGTTTGGACTGGCCGAGGTATGGGCGCCTCCGCCATGTCCCAACCTGCCAGAGAGTTTATTGTCAAGACGATTGAGAGTGAGTTTCACGCCACTCAGTCTACGAACAAGCACAGCGGCTGACATTCTCTCCCAGTGGGACTCTTCGCCGCCGACTTCTTGGCTGCTCACGTCTTGTTGCTCTTCCTCGCCATCCCGGCTATCGTGAGCATCGATTGACCCGCGACTCTAGCACATGCTGACCTCTGTGCAACAGATTCCCTACTTTGATCGCATCCATTCAATGGCATTGTACTGGCTGTTGCCTTCGAAACAGATCCGTCCCCCCATTTTCAGTTTGAAGATCAAGAAGCAACGCCGGAAGACTGTCTTTACTTGTGAGCCCATTATCATTTGGTCTTGGAGATCGTAGGCTGATTCTTTGACCAGATACGCTTGTCTTTGTGGCGATCCAGGCCTGTTTGGTTGCCTTAATCGTCGTCCCCCTTCTCTTCCAGCAAGTCATCAGTGTGGAATTGGGAACACCATTCGGAGGAGCCATCTAAGGAACGTCGTTGGTCGTTCTCGACTCGGCTATCAAACAAAAAGGGAACTTCATCGTCGCCCATAGATGCTAGACTTTTCCGGATTACGTCTCCTTTCGAACCCTTCAACTATACCGTATATCCTTACCACCTTTCTGTCCTGTTTATACATGATTGATCGAGAACGATCGCAATGAAGTGATGGACAGTTGATACTGTGTACGAAAAATGCATCGTGTTTCGTGACCGAATATCGTTCGTTCATTTTGCTTTCGGTCCTGATAGCTTGAATTTTGCTTCCGTCGGAACGAACGCGTTCGAAAGATCAAAAGTCAACTCTGTGGTTTCTGTTGCATCACTTGACTCGTTGCAGTATGGCTTTGGTAGCTGCGCTGCAGCTCTGGGACGCGCCAAGCACCTCTGAATATTATAGAAGGCGATACGAGGATCTCGCAAAGGTAAGCTTGTAAAGTGTCCTGGTCCTGATTTGGTTTTCGCAGGCAGACTCGTTAGTCAAGTCGTACCTCGAGCCGAGAAATGTGTCTGCTGGAGTCACAAAGCCAGGTGGGTCACTGGCGCGCATAGCGTAGATCAGGATCCTGATGACTTGTTTGATAGTCGAGACGCCTGCTATCTCGTCAGCGTTCAAAATGGTAATAGAAGCGGGCTTGGCTCCTGATATTTACTCAGATTTCATCAGTACATTCTCCTCCTCCCAAACACATGATCTGCCGCTGACTACACCAGTACGAGTTGACTCGTCTTTCGATCTGATCCGTCGAGAAATTGATGAACACATGGACGAGGCGACACTTGTAGGCCGTCAAAGTCTGTATCGGGCTGATCTCAGGGATCATCTGGACAAGCCGATACCATATTGGTGAACCTATTCGAGCGTCTGGCCTTATGGCAGAGGATATGGGCGGTTCCCTTAAAGGCATTCAATGAGTGAGCCGAATCACTTTGTCAATGCTGCTGACTCGATACAGTCCCAAGCTCATCCCCCAATTCACCAAAACATTCCATCAACTCTTGCATGCTTCGTTTCCGAAATGCTTCCCGGATGTGCTACAGCACTTTCTCGAGTCATCCCTGTTGAGAGTACCCGAGCCTATCTCGCCGAGACCGGCTGCTCTGCCGAAGGTTGCTCCTCCTAGTCCTCACCTCTCTAGACTTGGGATCATTCCTCGTTACTCTGCGACGTTGAGCAAGGTGGCGTATGTGGAAATTGAGCGCATTGTCAAGGACGAAGCCGGCAAAGGATGGGAGACTAGACGTCTGAACAAGGCGAGATTGAGAGTCAGCAGTAGTGTCGCTGGGTGGTTGACTGGGATGTTTGATGGTGAGCGCTCGTCGCAAGAGATACCCCGGCTGATCTCATGTTTCAGGGACCGAGGCGGCGCAGACTGCTCTGAGACCCATGTTCTCCCGCTTCGACTACTATCTCTGCAAGTGCTTTTTCGACACAAGGTGGGCGCTAGCCATCGGTGTCAGCGCTGATTGACAGGACCGATGAGCTGTTTGATATCATCGTCGACTATCCCGATTCGATGGCAGCCTTGGAAGACCTCAAGGTAGGTGGGATGCGACGTCAAGGCGCTGAAAAGCTCGTAGGAATGTCTATTCAAGGTGGATCAGAGAGCAGCACTGGTGGACAAGCTCAAGGCGGCGTGAGTCGGACTTTCGTCTACCTAGCTCACATTCTCAGCAACATCAAGCGTCTTCTGCATCCAGGTGCAGAGACTAAAGATGTAATCGCCCAATACATCTCCACGATCCGAGCCTTACGCATTTTGGATCCGCCAGGAGTCCTGCTCCATAAAGTTGCCGATCCTATTCGACGTCATCTCAGAGAGCGTCCCGATACCATCAAATGTATCGTGGCTACCCTCGTCGAAGGCGAAGAGCTGCAAGACGAGAACGAGCTCGGCGCTGGGGACGGCGCGATCGACCAAGGCAATATGGATGGGGTAGAGAATTTCTTGGACAATCGCTGGGAACCAGAACCGGTAGATGCTGCACCAGGTAGGTCTCGGCCGTTGGATATCGCTAAAAGCCGGCAAAGAATTCCGCTCTGGGAAGGCGAGCGATATCATCAGCACCCTTGTCAGCATTTACGAGACCCGCGACGTCATCATGAAAGAGCTGCAGGTCCTTCTCGCGACTCGCTTACTCGCAGTCAAAGACTATGACGCGGTCAAGGAGGTGAGTTCTGCCTTGGACTTAGGCTGAACTGGCCAGATCCGCACCGTCGAACTCTTGAAAATCCGCTTCGGCGAGGCTGCCCTTCAGGTTTGCGATGTCATGCTCAAGGATATTGCCGACTCTAAACGAATCAATGACCATGTGCATGGTGACATCAAAGTGAGACTTTGCTTCAGGGTCATTGCTGACGCGCAGTCTGATGTTCATCCGCTCGTCATATCCCGCATGTTTTGGCCGAATATCGAAAATTCTGCTTTGCACTTACCGCCCAAGCTTGAGGAGTGAGCGACAAGATCTCCCTCATCCCCACTGACCTAGTTCACAGAGCTCAGCGCGAATACGAAGCCGCATTCCACCGGTTCAAACCAGACAAGCACCTCAAAATCCTGCAACATCTCGGATCCGTCAGCATCAGACTCGAGCTTGCGGATCGCATCGTGGAGGTGGAGGCCACACCCCTCCAAGCATCTATCGCAGAGCTGTTTGAAACTCGGGATGCATGGTCGATACTTGATCTAGGGCAGAAACTTGGCATTGAGGACGAGGAGACCGTCACGAATGCCTTGATCTGGTGGGCTGAGCACGGCGTGCTCAAGGAGACCAACAAGGGCTCGTGGCGCCTTCTCGAATCCATGGAGGACGACGTAGCGCCTAGTATTCGTGAGTCAAGAAACTTTCATTCTGCTGATTCTATCAGCTTCTATGCCTGAAGACTCGGGAATCGATAGACTAGACGAGACGAAAGCGGACGCAATCCGAGTTCACTGGCCGGTGAGTCACCGAAATCGGGCAATGCTGACTCCTTGAGCGCATCGAAGGTAAGGACTCAGATGTGATGCTGTCTGACTCTGGCAGCGGCGCTCATTAATCTCGGACCGCAAACGTTGGACTCACTTCATCGAAAATTGCAATCGGTACCCGGATTCGATGCGACAGTCGACGAACTCGACATGTTTCTCATCATGGCCAAGACCCAAGGGGCGGTCAAACAACAGCCGGATGGCCGCTATATTGTCTCGCGATAATATGCTACATTTGCAAGCCTCCGGAACTTGCTGAGACATTTGCGTGTGGTGATGCAAGCATTTTCATCCGTTAATTTCTTGGGCATGGAGGAATGTCTCACCTTCTTCCGGAAAAGCATATGCGGAGAATCACCGTCGGCTCATCTCCTGGGTGCACCGAGATGTTCTCGAGACAGTCGCAATCGTCGAAATGGCACTTCCACTGAAGACATCTTCGAGACATGAAAGGTCATTGAAAAGACCTCTATAAAAGGCGGAGCTTTGCAGGTTATCATCGTTCCCAGCCACCAACATTTCGGATTCTTTACTCGCTGGTCGAGTCATTGTATTGTAATCTGTTCATTACCAAGCTCAATCTGTGCAAGTCACAACATACCTCGTCAGATCAAGTCAAACTCTCAGCCTACTAGAAGCATCTCCAACCGCCGCAATGAAGTTCCCCACCTCGCCACTCCTCCTCGGTCTCGCTCTCTCCAGTAGCACTTTGGCCTACCCCGCACCCCCTGGCGCCCGATCGCCTAACCCGGAGAACTCGCCTCTGCTTGGCGGAGACAAGGACGAGAGGGGCTGGGGAGTCAACGAGCGTGCACCTAGCAAGCTCGCCCGAGGCTGGAGTGAGTCCTATCACATGACTTGGCTGACTTGAATCCTCCAGCCAAGCGACAAGACCCCTCTGCAACACCCAGTGACGCCAGTACAATTGGCACCCAGAGTCTTGGCTCAACTCTCGGTGACTTGACCAACACTATCGGAGGTATTACTGCAGGCACCCCTCTCGGCGGTATCGTCAATCCGCTTCTTGGTACTGTCAACGGGGTAGTGGGCGGTCTCTTAGGAGATGGCAGCAAAGGACCTGTGTCCAGTCTGCTTGGTGGCTTGGGCCTCGGCGGTCTTTTGGATACAGTAAAGGGGACCGTCGGCGGACTTCCTGTGGCGGGACCCCTGTTGAGTGGACTGTTGAACAACCTCAATGCCGTGCCGGTCCCAGGTCAGGGCTTGTCGCTCGTTGCCAATCTCGGAAACGGCAAGTACCTCACATCTGCAGGCACAGTCATGCAAATGGGACAAGGCGCACTGAGTGGGCTCTCCAACTCCGCCGGAGTTGCTAGCGCGACGGGCGGCGCTGTCAACTCCGTGCTAGCTCAACTACCAACGAGCGTGACCGACCCCTCCAGCGGGACAACATCCGTACCTATCAACACCTCGCAGGGCACAATAAGTCTGCCCCTCTCAGTGCTTCAAGGGCTTCTCGGCAGCCTGCATGGGCAGCTCGGGAACACTGCTGGATCGTACGCTGCAGCTAGTGCTGCTGACCCCAACTCCATGACTGCCCAAGATTTCAGTGGGGCTACCAGCGCAGTCTCGGGCTTGACCTCTATTCCTATCAACACTGCTCAAGGGGTGATTCATCTTCCCCTGTCGGTCCTCCAAGGACTCTTGGGCAACGTTCAAAGTCAGACAGGCAACCCTACGACCATGATCGGAGGCACCGCTGGCAATTTGGTCAACATTGGTGGTCAACTTGTTCCTTTGTCTCAGGTCCTTGGTCTCCTGGCCGGAGCCACGTCTGGTTCGACGGCATACAATCTCGCCGATCTGAATACTGGTAGTGATCCCGAATGGGCGCAGTCTTACGGGATGGACGCCGACAACTCGACGATGGCCACCAATTCCAGCTCGTCCTCCGATCCATCTGCTTCGTCAACCTATTCGAATCCTTATCCCAGCGTCGATCAGAGCGGAACACCGTCGGCAACTCAACTCGTCGAGTCGATGATCGCTCGACAGCTTCCTGTCGACACTCGCAAGTCGATCAAGGATGTGCCAATCCCGTCTCATTCATCTGTACTTCCCTCGGCGGTCAGAGGTTTTACGTCATTGCTGCCTTCAGCAACGAGCGTTCTACCCGATATTACGACCGTGGCAAAATCTCTACCGACGCCTTCTGCAGCCGAGAGGCAGCCTCTCACCGCGGAAGACTTCGAAGATGATGACGGATATTCTGACGGAGATGAGGACGACGCCGAGTCCTGGGGAGACTTCGAAGATGGCAACTGATCCGAACATTTGAGGCGTATGTAGATGATCCCGCCTGAGATGCATCAGATGTTCTGGCATTACCACTCTTATCTCCTCCTATCCCACTCGCGCTTATCGCGCTTCATGTCTCTTTCCTCCCACCCGCCGTCTTTGTGATACCGGCCTGATCGATCGCGATGTGAATCTCGTCGATCTCTATCGTTGCGATGTCCGTGTCTGACTCTATCGCTATCTCGCCGGGCATCTCTATTGTCCTTTGATCGATCGACGCCCCTAACGTCTCTATCGTCTGCGTGCCGACCAGGTGCAAAGGAGATGCTGTTTCGTTTGCCCACCTCTTGCGCCTTGCGCACTTCTTCTTGCTTCCGCTTTTGCTCATCGCCCAATGCTTTTGGGCCATATTTGGGTCTCAGATATTCTAGTCCTTGCCTGGTGAGCCAGCCGCCCGATGGGAATGCAGTGGCTCGCTCTGACAAGTCGACGAATTCCACCAACTTGGCGTAGATATGCGGATTCGCGAATGTGGTTGAGGACAATAGTGAAGTGTTGATATGCTGTCCGCGAGAGTACTTGAGATCTAAGAATTGTGCGACTTTATCCTACGTTTGGGGGGGGCCGTAAGTTTGTGCCGTTGTTGCGTCAACTCACCCTGAGCTGAGTGCTACATTCGCCTGGATCCACTTCTGGCGGTATACCCCAATCCTCAAGACCATCAATGTCAGGTGGCCTGGTCACCCTTCGGAACATCTCTTCCTCGGTCATCTCAGCTTCCGCTTCAAGACGAGCTTCCATATTGCGTTCGTAGACGGCGACGTCAGAAGCCGCCAAAGCCGAATGAGCCAGATGGGCTTGAGAGGTGTGTGTCAGGTTCTCAGGAGATTTCGACCTTCTTCGCTTGGCGTTCCGTACACCCTCATGATGACTGCTGGAGGGGCTCGAATGGCGCGGCCGTTGCGATTGTCCTAAGTTCTATTGAGCTGACGCCAAAATGATGGGGCAGGATCTCTGACGCACCTAACGAGGAGTCATTCCGTGGTCTCTACATCCCAGTGAAGTGACGCCAAGAAGCCAATGTCGAGAAGCCACAGAGGCAGAATAATCGACGAGGTAAGAGAGGGAGAAGGAGGGGCAAAGTGTGATCTTCCATCCCCTTTGGACCGAGGTCTCAACATGACTTACCGATGGACCGGCAGCGGGAGGGGAGGGCGAATTATCAGAGTATCGAGCAAGACCTAGAGGAATTGGAATTAGCACGTTCTTGACTTCGACCGCTCAAGGACCCACCCTGCATTGTGGGAAGACGGCCGCGACTCTTGTAGTGAGCGTCCAGAGCGAGGCAGAGGTCAATGTACAACTCCCAACACAACGAAAAGTTTCATCCGAATACCGGTCAAAATACGACGACCGAAATGCTTTAAAATGATGATGACATGAAGGAACCCTATGAACAGGTGAACTGCGTTGATCTTTGGCCCTCGACAACTGATCTGGAGCTGTTCTGACTCGATAACACTCATCAACAGCTGTGATTGTACCTCTAGAGTTAAAGAGGTGCCATGCCAGACCTGACCACGCCTCCGCCCGATCCTCCCTCTAAAAAGCACAATGAAGTGGCCATCGAGCTGGTATCCGGCAGTGTTGGAGGAGCCCTGCAGGTCCTTGTCGGACAGGTGAGCTTAGCCGTGCACCATGAGTACTGAACGTTATTCAGCCTTTGGATACGCTGAAGACGGTTTGTCGACTCGTCATACTCTATTCCCAGGGCTCATGACCTGCAGAGAGCGCAGACAGCCCCAAAGGGCAAATACAAGAACACTCTAGACATACTGACGAAGACGGTGAAGAGTGAAGGCCCGCTGGCGTTGTATAAGGGTAAGGCCACCGTTCAACCTGCAAAGCTGACAGCTCGACAGGCATGGTGAGCTCGGCTTTCAGGTGCATTACTGAGCAAACCAGCTGTCACCATTGATAGGAATTGCGGCCGTCAATTCTCTCCTGTTCACTGCCTACGGTGCATCTCGTCGGCTGGTCTCCCCATACCCTGACTTGTCAATCAAGCAAGTGGCCGTGGCAGGAGGTATGGCCGGGGCTGCCAATGCCATCTTAGCGTCACCGGTGAGGCTCGAAGACTGCGAACAAATAACTGAGCAAGTGAAAGGTCGAGATGTTCAAGATTCGGATGCAGGGTCAATACGGAGGTGCGGGCGACAAGAAACTCGGAGCTGTCATCTCAAGCATGTGGCGTGAATGGGGTCTGCGGGACGGTATATTGCGGGGATACTGGGTACGCAACTGCGCTCAGAAGCATCGGTTGACGCACAGGTCACCGTGGTCCGCGAGATACCAGCATACATGGGCTTCTACGCAGGCGAGTTGCAGAAGACATGAGAGGGTCGCGTTTACCCCAGTAGGCTACGAGACCACCAAGCGAGCATTTGCCGGTCGCTATGGCAGTGAACCGCTACCTATCTGGACACTGTTGACATCTGGCGCAACGGGCGGAGTCTGCTATTGGCTGGCTTGTTACCCATTGGACGTCGTCAAGAGTAGGGTACAATTGGCCAGCCATCCGCCAAGTAGGGGCGGCTGGTTTGAAGGAGGATATATTGGACGTGAGCTGCGCGCGATCATTAGGGAAGGCGGAGTGTGAGTGCATCAAGCGTGAAGGGTATTTGCTGAAGGCATCAGCCGATCCCTCTTTCGTGGGCTGTCCCCGTCACTGCTACGTGCGGCTCCGGCGGCAGCAGCGACGTTCGTAGGGTTCGAGCTGACACGAGGTCAGTCCTTTCCTCACCGCCAAAGAGCACTGACGAGAAGCAGACTTCATCACTAAACGAAATATTCTGTGAGAATGCATGCAATGACAGGGCCGCACATGTCTTCTGCTGTGACAAAGATTCATGGCGCAGACCAAAACATGAATAGAGGTACGTAGCATAGTCTGTTTTTGGACTAAACGATGCGAGTCAAATTACTCAATCGGTGTAGTGCTCTCTGAGCCATAGGTCGAATCCGCCTCTACAGGTGACGTGGCTTCTTCGTTCCCTCCTACGCCTTCTCCTGCTTCTTCGTCTTCCTCCCCCCGAGCTTCTTCTTCCATAGCTTGCGAGTCAGCCTCTGTCGCGCCAGGACAAGAGCAGCCGATGGGATAATCTGACCACTCATTCCACGGATGTATCACAGCCTTCTCACTTTCAGACAAATTCAAAAGTGTGTAATGGCGATCCTCTATGGTCCGCAAGTCATCTTTAAGCTTTGTGATGAGGCCTTTCACGGTGTTTGTGGCCTTAGAGGCTTCCCTTACCTCTACACTACTGTACGGGCCTGCAGCATTCACGCCGAAAATCGTCCTTGCTTCCTTTGAGGTTCGAAGCATTTCCAGATGGTCTAGTGCCATCTCAACGCAGCTGTCAAGGGCCTCCATGCTGGACTGTGACATCGATTGTTGTGGATCGAGTATGATCGAGCAAGTGATGTAGAAAGACAGAAACCTTCCTGAGACCCGAGGCTTACTCATGCAGTCGTCCCTTTCAACCGCGCCCCGAGGCATCCTTTGTCGCCAGCTGAGACCAGGATCTGACGTCAAAGTCTGTTTTCGACACCCGCAGACTCGAATGCGCCAGGAGGGCTATACATAGAAGACGAGAGATGACATCGCGACAACAATTTACAATAGCAGGACTAAGAGCACACACAACGATTCTGATACAAAGATTAACTACATGATAACACAGCCTGACCGATCGTCACCAAGATCTTCATCCCTCCACCAACTTCCTCGTCTACGTCGCAAGGCTGATGGCCTAGACTCTGACCCTGACAATCGCTCAGAGCTCGAAGAATTGGTCTGTACGCCCCTTTCAGCACTTGCGCGGACGTCTCTCCAGCCGGCTGGAATAACCACCCTCTTCCAGCTCCAGAATGTTTTCAAGACCGTCTTACCGGAATCCAACATCTCAGACTCCTCATACGCAAAGACCGAAGCTGCCCAACCAGTGAAACCTGCTCTAGGACGTGTAGACGTGGCAAGTGAAGAGTACGCCGCAGGAGTGACCACGGCTCGACAGTCGACCAGCGACAGGGACGAGTGAGGGGAATCCCTGCGGCGAATGAACTCTCGCATGACCGCATTGTTGGCGGTAGTGTTCTGAGGAAATTCAGCGGTCAGCTTTAAAATGACACTCACATCAAGTTCAAGGACGCCGAGGCTGCCGCAGCCTCGAACAAGTCGAATCAATCCCTCGGGAGTGACTCCTGCCGCGTAGCCCAGCCTCAGTTCAGTGAGGTCCCGACCTAGGATTTCGCCACGGTGCGATCGAGGCGGGGTCAGGGCGTCCAGCACCCTGTCGTTGATGCAGCCCGATATACCAGTGCCTTCCATATCTATTCGCTGCAGAAGCGGCATCGTTCGGAGCATGTTGATCAATGGCAATGCTGCGTGCCTCGGCTCAACATCGCCGAAAATCAAGGGCAAGGAAGCCAATTCGAGATGTGTCAGGCCAGGTGCCCTATTCGTGAGATGCTGGAAGACCTCGCCAGAAAGAGATGTGCAATTTGACAGATTCAGGTGTGTCAATCGACACGATCCTCCCCTCGCATCCAATGACGTGGCGAACGCCTCAAAGTCCGCGTCGGACAATGTCGTACATGCTTGGAGATCGAGCACACGCAGATTTGTGAAGCGTGACGCAACGAGAGGCAGGAAGTCTTGCGCTGTTGGACTGTATCCTCTGATTCCTCCGACCCGTAGAACTTGTAGAGCAGCAGCTTGCTCATCGGTCATGAATTTGAGCCAGACAGCCAGATCGCAGAGAGTCACGTCCCAGCATCTTGAGATGTCCAGACTTGACAAGTGACGAGTATGCCTAGCTAGACAGCGAATGACGGCGGTGGACGTCGCTTGCACACCCCGAAGATTCAACTTGGTGAGGTTGGGAGAAGCAACGATCAACCGGCATAAATCGTGGTCGGTAAGATTGTGGCACCCTCGCAAGTCGATATCTTGGAGACTAGACAGAGTCGAGCGAGTGATGGAGTTGATGAGTGTTGGGCCATATAGATTGTCAAAGCCTTTCAAGGATAGACTTCTTATGCAGAGACCGGCGGCCGATATGATCGAGGAGAGGGTGTTTGGATGTAGGCGGGGCGCAAAAGCGTTCAGGTCACACATGGTCCACAAATGACCATCAAAGCACAACGACTGCCAAGATTTGGAGACCTTGATGTCAGTTCTTGCTATAGTTCTGGCAACTTACTCTACTCAGTCTGATCAGCTCTCTGCGCCCTAGATCCTCGTCCTCCCATCGACCGGACACACAGCCTTGATATGAGGACATGAGAGACTTCAAAACTTTCAGCTGCAACTCTCGAGGAAGTCGCGTGCCAAAGAGGTCAATTTTGGGCTGATGGACGGCAGGCACATTGTGTGGCATCGACATCGACCTTGGCCTGGTAAGAATGGGTGAGATGGGCTGCCGCACAGGCAATGGTGTCATTGTAGACCCAGCCGACATGGCAGAGAGCATTCTTGGGCGATATTGCACCGTCGACGACATTCGACCCTTCCCTTTGTGACGTTCCGGCCACCCTACCGTCGGAATTTGATCATGGGCCTCGAGATGCGACGACGCATCTTCATAGGCCGCGCCGCCGAGCGGCCGACCTTGTTCAGAGGCCTGAGAAGGAGAAGTGACATAGTCTCGCGAAATGGGACCAGCATTCAGCGGATCGATGTCCGGGATCGACCTGTTGATCGCCTCATGGTCCGCTGAGATCGTGGGTTGAACTTGAGACGGACTCAGCTCCCCCACACCAGACTCTATCGTCGGGTGTTGAGCTCGCAAGGATGAGCTGGATCCAGAGAACGATAAAGAGCGCAGTATTCGCCTCAAGCGATGCTTCTTGTGCCGTTCGTCTGTTGCATCACCGTCCGTGGATTCGGTCTCCGAGGCGACTGGGGTTACGGAACCAGAGTGCAACGTCAGAGCCTTCAGAGAGCTTTTGGAGCGTTGAAGCTTGCGTCTGACGGCGGCTATTGTCCCTGTGGTCTTGGTGGAGAAGCCTTCCACTCGTACAGGGCTGGTGATGGGGTCCACAGCTTGGTGGTATATATCCGGGAGGATAGCATGTTCAAATCGCATCCCATCGGGGTGGGCCAGGAAGTCTGATTGCTGCTCGGCAATGACAGGCCTGCTCGATGATCCCGAAGATTCAGTCTCAGCGATGAGGTTGGCAGTCTGGCCAAATCCATAACTGGTCTTTCTGTGAATGACGAGGGGATCCGATGAATCAGCGAAGCGTTCATTATCACCAAGGACGTGAAGGATGGAGGGTGTCTGGGGAGTCTGAAGACTGGACTCGGGATCAGAAGTCGAGGATGATGTTGTACAGATTGTGTCGGATCGAGGACGCGTCAGGAGATCTTGCTGCCCTACCGGCGTATGAGCTCGAGAAGCAGCAGAAGGGATGGCAACAGGTTCGGACATGATCGGTCTTGGCGCGAAGATAGGGGTACAACATTAAGTGTTACAAGGAATGGAATGCTTCTACAGGAGGACCATTAGGCCGTGGATGGTCATCTCGAACCAGTTGGCTCGATCTGGCGGGTGTTTTTGAGCACCAATCGTATCTGATTCCAGATAAGCTGCTTGAGCTGAACCCCCGAGAACCTCAGTGATGTCAGCAGGTCATCGTCGTCCGGCTGCTAGGTTCGTGCCGGGTAAATTGACATTTTGATTCCGGGCAGGGTGATAGTGGCGATGTGGCGTCTCCCTTCATTCGCTCAGTCAGTGAAAGGAGAGCCCACATGCTTCTGCTGACTGGGATCACCTTTGCAAGTGATCAGAGAACCCAGGAGGTGGCAAAGAAGCGTATCTTCACCAGCCGCTTTCCTCGCTCCACTCACATCAGTCAATTATCAGAGCGCCCTCCAACAACAATCGACAGGCAAGATGGTGAATACCAAGGGTTCCGAATCGCCTCAACCCGCCTCAGCAACTGAGAAAGACTCTCGGCTGTCAGATTTTGCTAAGGCTTTCTCTCTCCTCGAAGTACCCGAAGAGCGCTCTTCCGAACGCAAGACATTCTCGCTGGTCTACCGACCCAAGCAGCCGGAGTCTGCCACATCCGGGTCCGATGCTGGAACGCGGACCCCTACTCAGGAGACAAGCCATGGGGGCACTCTTAGTCTGGTGCTCCGTCCAAAGCTGACGTTGACACCTTCTGAGAAGGAGGAGCTCCTGAAAGCGTTTGATTTTCGCGGCGAGTCAGCCAGTGTCAGCAGTCCACCTGGTTCTGGGGAACCGACCCCGTCCACATCTGGAGAGGCTACCCCAACGAGCTCGGGTACCGCGACTCCATGGGACAAGGCATCACAGATCTCGAGCGACAGTGTCATTTTCACGCCTTCAAGCGAGTCTGGGATCCGTTTTGAAGAGTTTGACCAGGACCAAGAGACTATGAACGCCATGTTGGCTTACGATGCAGGACGCGACCTCATCCAGATTCACGAGGTGAAGACCCCAGAAGAAGCTCACACATTACTACCTGAACGACTTGCCTGCGTTTACAACATGTACTCGAACGCAGCATCACTCGAGACGCTCCATAAAGAGCTCAAACAACACAAAGGTGATTACTCCAAGCTGTCGGCATCATCAGCCGCCGTCATCGACAAGTTACATGATTCCGCGGTGGATCCTCAAATGATTCCAAAGATGGTCGAATTCACGAGAGACTTCTACGATGGCTCCGAGGAGATCGGGACTCAGCTGTCTATTCAGTACTTCACCCACATGCCAATCACTTCTAAAGCCGTCATAAGCGACGTACTGGCAGCGCATGGCCTGATGTTCTGGGGAACTGCGACCGACCACGAAGACGACGTCGCAGCAGCGGAATTTGGCGCCTTGTTTCAATGTATCTGTTCAGACGCCGACAAAGGATCATCCCTAGCTCCCAGCAGCAACAGGTCCTCCCTCGCTCCCGGCAGCAACGTTGGCACTCCTCGTCCCCTCAGCTGGAGATCAGGCACAGCGACGCCGACTGGGCCTGCACCCAAGAAGCTCAAATCTGGAGGCTCTCCTGCAGCTTCAGATGCCACCAGTGACGCGTGATGAGAGCGAAAGTCCCGGAGTCGTCTCATCAGATTTCATTCCGCTACAAATACACGAATCATTTCCGTACGTACCTCGAGACCGTATAGAGGGTTGTCGAGAGGGCAGATGAGTCAGTTTTAAGAATGTGCAAGCATGCATATGCTGTGTCATCGACTTGTCCTGGCGAACTGTGCAGGAGTGCAAAAGTGTAAAATGAAAAGCGCCTCGCCGGATAACACATATCCCTCCCAGCCACTCATGACATGCTTGCTGACGTCTCCGAGGTCAGCTCATGCTGATCCACATCTTCTCTCGCCATTATATACACGACAGCCCTGTTGTTTCCGAAAATCATCAAACGCTCATCGACTCGCCCTCGTCTGTGCCAGCACACCTATTTGCTGCGCGAGGAATTGTCCCAAATCCGATCGTGTTCGAGCCAATCTCAACAAGACCTCAGCAGTCTCTATAAGCTCCTGTTTCCTCCTATCCTCGGTTCCTTGTGCAGCCAGTGCAGCCTTTACAGCGGCTGAGCATCGTTCTTTCAGAGCTGGATTCGGGAGATCGAGGTATTGACCCAAGACCAGTAAATCTCGATATCGTTGGTCTTGCAGTTGAGAAGCCGGTACACCGTGCTCACCAGCATCATCCGACGCGTTCAAGAATGATTTGAGCATCTGTAGCCACTTGAATATGATGTCAACTTCCATGGGCGTCGGTGAGATCCGCGAGGGGCATGGTTGATCAGAGTAAGGAGGCACAAGAAGGGAGATGAGAGTGTCGATGATTCGATGCCAAATATCCAGCATCAGAGCTATTCTTGTCACTGTGTCTAGAGTCTGGGTAAAGACGGCGAACTACAAAGTCAGCTTGAGTTCTCCTATGCTTGATCTCACGTTGGCGTTGAGAGATTCGAAAAGGCTCCCGAGACTGGCTTCAATCTCGCCATCGCTCAGCGCTCCTTTTGGTCGCTTCTTATCCTTGAGCTGTTTGGCGAGATTGTTCAGAGTACCAGTTGAAAGGACGATCTGCACTGTCTCGCCAATACGGTCGGTGATTTCCCTCATCATGTCGACTTCGGTCCGCTCAAGACTGCGCATTGCCGTCGACAAGTATCGATTTGCATCGTTGCTTGCGCCATCTTCGATATCGAGTCGGACTCGGATCGAGCCTTGTGGAGTGAGCGTGACGAGGAGGTCGCGTACAGGTGTGGACACAAACGTTTCGTTGTCGACTTTGAGAGTACCGGAACCAATCAAATCGTGTTTGCCGACGAGTGATCGGTTGTAGGCTGAGAACTCAAGAATTTTGGCGCTGCCCATGGTGATCTCGACAGTTTCATTCCTGAAATCAGGTCAACGTGAATGTCAAAGGTGATTGACTCACCATCGGGGATTCTCGTTCCCGAGGATCGTCTGAGTCTTCAACAGTCTATCGCCTGTCTCCTTGTCGCTGAAGACTACAAACGCATCGGCGGCCTTTGTGGATCCTTTCGCTAGCATGCCAGAGCCTCGCATGAGAGTCACAGTGACAGCTCGCCGGCCAGTCGCGTCGCCATTCACTCTTAAGGACTTGACATTGGGTTTCGAGGAAATATCTTGGTCCGAGATGATATCCTGCAAGGAAACTTGGGATTGCGTGATATCCATGAGCTTGGTGCAAGCCTGAAGTCATTAGCCTCTCCATAGCTTGATCTTGCTTACCGTTGGGGGCGCCACAAACCCATCGACCTTTTTCTTTTCCAGAGATTTGACAGCCTGTTGACCTTTGGCAAGCCAAGATCCAGCTTTTCCCCCGAGCATTGCTTGAAACTCGGTAGTCGGAGTGGATATTTTTGCAGGGGTCACATCGGCGATGAACACAGCGTTGATGGTGGCGGCATACTGTGTGACGGCAGCAGAGATGATCTGACCATTAGCTCGGGTTCGCAGACTGCTCTTGCCTTGGACAAGTCAATAAGGTACACGTTCCGCCTGTAGTCGCTGAGAGGGAGATCTTCCTGGATGGTCCTGAGCGAAGCATGGATGAACTGGAACAGGTCGGTGACGGATTGAGAGTGCTTGGCATGTCCATCTGGACGCCACTGCAGGCGATCAGCGCCCGCCTCAGAATTGAGACCCACGTCATCCATTCCGATTGCGCGTGACACCCATTCCTGGATGGACAAAGTCTCTGTTTCTCTCAGCCAAGCTTTGATGTGAGGTTCGAAAAAGTGATGCAGCTCAAAGCCCATCTCTTGCCTATTGATCTCAGCAGGACTCCACCAGCTTCATGCTCACCCTGGGCACTGGTCCTCCCACATGTCGACCAATCTCGCGACAGTATCGTATAACGAGAACACCTCGGAGGAACTGGAGGGCTTGTCCAAACTTTGTAACTCGGCGCAGAACAAGGGCAGCTGCTTGGCAAGGATGATACTCGCCGGATCGAGTCGACTGCACCTCGTCAGCATACGCATTTCTCTCTACACTCACTCTCCCAGTCCAGAGCCCCAAGACTTTTTCACATTTATCACCTCCCTTTCGATCCAGGTGGCAACTTTTGCAAAGTGGTCCACACCTTGGTGTTCATGGACAGGTGTACTGGACAGCATTGCCTGTGCGACCATGACATATTCTTGGACTGCTGCTCCTTTGATTTGGTCCGAGAGGTCGATAAGAATACTTTCGCCCAGGTTGAAAAATATGTCCTGACCAGCAGCAAAGAGATAGAGCAGGGATGCAGGAGGTCGAGCGGGTGGGATATCGGTGATGGGGAAAATGGACTCTATAGCTTTGGCGAGCAAGTCGTAAAGTGCATCGGAGAGATCCCGGATGGCTTGCGACGATTCTCCCTCCAGCTCAGTCTCGAGATCTTTGATGACGGGTGCCATCAACCTTGCAAGTTCAATCTCGCGCTTTCCACCGAGGCTGGCTCTCCACTGTTCATGGAGCGTGACCAGCTCTCGTTCCAGCTCGTCCCGCGAGGGCACGATCCATATCCGCCGGCACGCTTCGACGAGCTCGTCTGCTCTCCCGCTCGCACGAGCCACCAGTCTACGTAGGACCTGAGTCTTCTGGACCGGGACAAAGAACGAGGGTGAGGTGTCGCTCGTAACGGTGGCATTTTTCGGATCCCCTGGCGCAGCGAGACGAGGATATTTTTGCAAAAGCTCTGTGAGTTGCTGAGAAGCACGTTGCTTTCTAGACTTTTCGAGACCGCCAAAAGGCCCGGGCTGAACGGCGAGTTCCCTCTTTAGATCGAGCAAGTATGTCTGAGGATCAGCCTCCAGATCATGTTTGTTTGCTGACCTTTTCAATCGAATCTGACTCTTCCATTCGAAGCACATCCCGTGTCAACGTTTCTTGCGATCTTCCCCATACATCTCCCACCAAGGATACAAAGTCGGCGGTGTGTGAAGGTGGCGCCTTTCGCGGTCCTCTCGTTTCTGAACCTAGCCGCGGAGACGGTCCAGCTGTCGGCGTCGTGGCGGTGGATCGAGAAATATCCTGATTACCGAGGTAAGCCTGAACCTCAGTCCGGAGTTTGAAGAGGAGATCCTTGTCTTTATCTGTTTGAGAGCGCGCAAGGGGCGAGAAGAAGGTCGACCGCGGGAGAAAGTTGTACAGAAGCTGCAGGAGATGTGACTGGTGTTCGTGTGGCATGGATGAAGCCTGAGATTCCGCGGCAGCAACCTGGCTGAAAGCTGAAAACAATGAGTTTCAGGTCGATCTTTCAATTCACTTACCGTCAAGGAGCACCGGCAGATATCTCAGATTCATACCGCTTCCCGTCTTTGTTCCCTTGGTCTGCTTCAAAAAGGCTGCAGTTGTGATTTTCCAGCCTTGATTCCCGTTCTCAGCCTCAAGGACGTTCCAGAATTCGACGAGGAACTCTTTCGGCAGCTTCAGACTGTCCTCATCGTCCTTCTTCTTCTTGCTCAAGCCAAAGGAGGACTTTCGTCTGTTCATTGCTGGTCCCAGAGGGGGTGAGCTGATCTCTGGAGAAGATGCGAGAAGCGGGGGAGAGGGTATCGGAGGTGTGACGGATCGTTTCGAATTGCTAGGAGCGTCCAGCCGCTGTCGTAGCACGCTGCGCAAGGTCGATTGAGCGGGTGACACACGATCAGGTTCGCAATACACTTACGCGACTCGCAGGGAATACAGGTAGCCCTGAGCATCAAGGTCGTCCTCACCAAAGCTCAGCGTTGTCCCTCTGCTGAGCTGTTTGCTGAGCGCTAGACTGGCTGGCGACCCGGGAGATGGCTCAAAGAAGGGTGAGGATTGCCTCGAGGAGGCTCGTGGAGACAGCACATTGCTGCCTACAGGAAGAGGAATGGGCGAAGAGGACGGAGAGGACGTGGGAGAGGCACTAGATACCGTGTAGAGGGTTTGAGATCTCGATGGCATGGTAGGAGGAGGGATCGTCTGCTCAGCAGCTTGCTTAGTCCCTGCAATGTGCTTCGTCAAAGAAGAAGAGATGGATGAAGTGACAAGTCTCGCCGTCGTCCTCGTAGGGGAGAAAAATAAGGAGGACTGATGGGCAGGCAGACTTTGAAAGAGGCGTTCAAAAGGCGATACAAAAATCTCCTGCGACACGTTCCCGGTGCCTGATGCCGTGACGGGAATGGGCCAGGCTCTGTTCGGATAGTCACAGTCAAGTCCTGGTGGCTGGCTACCCGTATAAGGGCGGATAAGACTATGGGATGTGAATCGTGTTCCTGTTCACTGGCACTGGGAAGTTGTGGATATATATCAGAGCAGTGATGGTCAATGATACTAACCCGTTACATCTGGAGGTCAGACTGGGGGGTTTATCAGCCACACGCGTGCGGACGGCGCGCGCTCAGATTTTAAGAAAATCAAAAATTTCCATATCTTCACCTACGACACTGAACAGGTAGAGGTGGGTGGGTTCTCGAGATGGGTGCTTTTGTCCAGTGGGATTAGGTCTGATGGTTCAATCCTCGACACGAGAACATAACAGTCGAAGCTGCCCTACAAGCATTTTCCTCTGTATAGAGACTCATTGACAGGGATCTCCCGTTGCGACAATTGATCAGATCCCGTCGGATTCAATTCTGCCAAGAGCTGGCCACGTGGGGATGACTAATATCCCACGGTAGATCTGTGCTAATTGATCCAGTTTCCGTCGGGAAATCCATTTGATTGACAAAGATTATTATGATTACTATTACCCCCTCAGTTTGAGGCTTACAGCAGCACGCCCCTCGAGCTCATTCTAGGCTCATCCATCGAGAATCTGTTCATTGGACCAGGAAGGATAGAGAGAAAGATATAAATAGTGGTCCTCTGCGACAAGTCTGCGTTCTTCACTTCTCAAATTGGCGAAACACAGAGCCTCTTCCACCATTCGATACCTCATCCCTTTACTCATTGTATCACTAGCCATCATTCTCCGTCAACCTATCTCCAGAGCCTTATCGCCCGTCTCCAAGACCATCACGACGTATCTCAGACCTTTGAGCACATCCAGTCCCAATCCCAACATGCAATTCCAAGTCAGACCCTCGGAGACCAGGGGAGGTGCCGACCACGGCTGGCTCAAGGTGAGTAGAAGCTATGAACGGAAGGGAACGCGAGCTGAGCATATAACAGACCTTTCACACCTTTTCTTTCGCCGACTACTGGGACCCATCTTTCAACAATTTCGGAGCCCTTAGAGTCGTCAATGAGGATCGTGTCGCGGTAAGTCTTCATGCTCAAGCAGTCTTTGAGTCTTCCATTGACCTCGCTTGTAGCCTACGACCGGGTTCCCCACGCACGAACACCGAGAGGCTGAAATCTTCTCCTACATCATCTCTGGAGAACTCAGTCATAAGGACAGCATGGGAAATGTCGAAACGATGAAGCGAGGGGATATTCAGCACACTGTCGGCGGTCAAGGTATCGCTCATTCGGAATACAACTCGCACAACTCGTGAGTGCCGGCTTAGCGCGTGGTAGGCTCGATGTTGACATGCACTCAGAGTTGGTAACCATTTCCTTCAAGTCTGGGCTACACCAAACCAACGAGGACTCAAGCCAAAGTACTACACTCGGTGAGCCCGCTCTATCTGATTCAAGCGCATCCTGACATTCCCTCTCAGTCACTTTACCGATGACGAAAAGGCAGACAAGCTGGCCCATATTGTCGCCCCCATTGGCTCTCCTAACGTGCTCGACCAAAGGGAAGACAAAGTTCCCGGATCTTCTCCCAGTCCCATCAACGCAGCCCTCAACACTTTCGCTACCGTTCTCTCGCCAGGCAAGAGCCTTCAGCACACATTCCAACCCACCATCAAGGGTGTTGACGGGGCCAAGATCATGTACGCTCATCTGACCCAAACCTCCGGGTTCAATACAAAGGCGGCCGCCAAGGATGGGAAGACAGCAGTGATCAGGATCAAGAACGGAGACTCTGAGGCGGTTCTCGGAGAAGGTGATGGCCTGTTCATCCGAGGTGCAAAAACTGGCGACGTGCTGGAGATTGAAAGCACCGGTGGATCGCCCGCTGAACTGGTTCTCTTTGAGATGGACCAATAAAGGGAATCCTAGAGCAATCCCGCTAAAGTCCTCTGCCTGTCTGAGCTGTACGTTATAGAAGAGTCGTGTACCTAACATCATGCATCAATAAGTCGTACTCACTGGGCAGTGACCGGATCGCGAGGCATGTACCGGTCCGAGCTTCCGATCGATTTGGTTCCGTGATTTTCCGGTCTCATCGCTATTAATGACCGGATGCGGGGGAGCATTGGATCTCATTCTTATTATCAGTAGACCAGAGGGCAGACCAGTCACATCGGACAGAGTGTTTCTATATTCACTCCACCCATCTAGGGTCATTTGAACATCAACTTATCGCCATGTCCATCGCAGAACAGGAGCCCCGCAGTCGGATCGCCTTGGTCACAGGTTCATCCAGTGGAATAGGTCGCAGTTCCGCTATCGCGTTGAACGCAGCTGGATGGACAGTCATTTTGACTGGTAGACGGAAAGATGCACTGGAGGAGACTGTCAGGTTGATGGGAGATGATAGGTCAGAACGAACGACAATTGTCGTTGGGGATCTTGCCAAGCCGGAATTCGTAGAGGCATTGTTCGACATCATCCGAAGAGATTTCGGTAAGTCACCAGAGCTCATTAAGCGTCATGCTGATGAAGATCAAGGCCGTCTGGACCTTTTGTTCAACGTGAGATCTCATTGTATCTCCTCACCTTTATGCTGACTTAATCAGAACGCCGGAATGGGAGCTCCCAAGCAGTCATTCGACCGCATCCCTTTGGACACTTTCCAAGAAGTCTTGGATCTCAACGTCACTTCTGCCTTTTTCTGTGCTCAAGAAGCTTTCAAGCTTATGAGGGAGCAAGAGCCACAAGGGGGAAGGTAAGGCGTCTTTCATTCAGATGAGTCCAATCGAGCTGAACCTCACCCTTCAAGGATCATCAACAACGGATCTATCTCTGCGTACGCTCCTCGTCCTCTTGGAGCCGCGTATACCATCTCCAAGCACGCCATTTCGGGTCTCACCAAGTCTATAGCTCTTGAAGGGAGGGAGCACAACATCGCCTGCAGTCAGATTGATATTGGTAAGCAGAGTTTGAAAGGGTAATAGCAGGTCTGATTTTGGTACTCGCGTGCAGGCAACGCCTACACGTCATTATCCTCGTCCGGGTCGGGTCAATTGCAAGCTGACGGCACTACGAGAGTCGAAGCGTGAGTGATTCTCATATGGAGCATGAAGGGCTGAAGCCATTTATCAGCGGCTTTGACGTCAAGCATGTGGGTGATGCCCTCGTTTACATGGCCGAGCTCCCCCTGGAAGTCAACATTCTGTCTCAGGTGAGATTGATAGATCCGACTCGCCAGGGACTGCGCTCAATAGTCTCCTACAGACCATCATGGCTACTACAATGCCTTTTGTCGGCCGAGGCTAGACGGCTTGTTGAGACGGCAGTTCATAGTATGCTTATATCTAGCTGTGGTAATGATACATTGTTGAGAGCATCACCCTCCTGTACACATTGGGTATACTACACCCACAGCGGCGCGATGACCTTTTCTACTTCATCCAATCTAGCGACTTGTCGCAATTCTACATTTCCCACACGTTCGTATACCACCAGACCGCCCGACTCTTCGCCTGCAGCACAGACGAATCTCCCTGATTTGTCTGCTGCTACGCCTCGTAGACTCTGAGCAACGTCTTCGATCCACGGCGTTGGCGCTCTCTCAACTCGACCCTCAGGATCGACGGAGAATACTGCCAAGGCATCCTTGCCACGCGGCGAATCGCGATTAGACCCAATGAGCATGGCATTGCCAGTCGGAGCCAGGGGCGGGAGGTATATCAGAGCTGAAGCTTTCATTTTTGGCCCATTCCCTTGATCTGAAGGTGGTAAGAGTGTATGACGTGAAAGCAGCTCTGAAGGTTTAGACGGGTCGGAGGGGAGGGTATGAGCAGTGAGCTCCGAGGATATCTCATTGAGAACGTAGAGAATTCTGCCTGGAGAGTCAGGTCCAAATCCAAGCAGTTCACTCACCATTCGGATGCACCACAACATGACGAGGTCCATCACCCACGTCGAAGCCCTCGACAGCACCTTCAAGAACCCATCTCGACTGATCATCCCCATGCCCCGGGCGAATTCGCCAGACCTTGTTGGATCCTAAATCAGGTACTAAGACTCGACCGTCATGCACGACGATCTGATGTGCGTGCGCTTCAGTTTGTCGAGGGTGATCGACAGGCTTGTGCGGTGGGGTGAAGTTGAGCGACGGCTCAGTCTTGGCATTCATGAAACGGCCATTATCGTTCAAAGGCAGCATACAGATATTGCCCGAGTGGTACTGCACGAAGTCGTCAGTCCTCCCGCTGTGATATATAATGACGGCCCTCACATTGGCGACGATCAAGGCCGAGTTGTCCGGAGCCAAAGCAAAGTGACACGGACCTTTCGATTCCTCGCTCTGCTGAGCTTCGTCCAGAATTGTCACTTTTCCATGTCTGTCAAATGTCCCAGCGAACAGCTTGGACTCGCCAGCAGCATTGAAGTAGATCAGATCTGCAATATTTCTGGTTGAACGGCGGCATATCAGTACGAGGAGGTGTCACGCCAAGGAGGAAGCAGGAGCTCACGGATGCTGGATGATCCAACTTGATTTTGGAGCAAGTTCATTCTCTGCAGTCTTCCGTAAAGTCTTGGCCTTCTCGTCGAAGATGACACCGTAGATCTTATCGATATTGGTACCTAGCAATAAAAGATGCTCTGTCGACATCGTCGTCGTAGTTTGTGAGTCCAGGATGACTACAGCAATGACACTTCGCTAACGAGCTCGGTTGGTCTCCCGGCTCATGTTGTCCGGCGCCGGCCGGATTCGGCGATCGCCGAAGCGAGGAGGCTTTTGCCCGATATGACCGCGCGCAAGCGGTCGATGCCCGATATCTTCATATTCATCTTCCCACCTCTGTTGCGATCTGTGGTTTCTGGGCTGGTGAGAAGTGGGATAGTCAGACAGAGATCCTAGGTCTGCTCTATCAGGATACCGCCTGTCAGATATCATCACACTTATCCACCAAGAATCACATTAGCTTCCGACTCAAACCCATTTCAAGTCGAGCATCATGTCCGACCTCTCACAACCACTCCTCGATAAGGAGAATCTTGACCGATCATCAGTCGAGCCAATCATTCCCCGTCGCTCCAAGTCAAGTTCATGGAGCGTTTTTCAGCTCGTATCGGCCGCTGTGATCGGAGGTCTCATCACGACGGTCCTTCATCGGTGCATCCCAGTCTCATCAAAGGCCGGTTCGATCCAGCAAGAAGTCCATGCTGAAACCGTTCCAATGTGTCCCAGTACCGACGCACTACCTATCATTGCGCCTCGCACAAGTGAGCGAAGATAGATACAAGTGATGAAGGAGCCTGATATTCTCTGCAGACATCTGGAAGAATCTCGATCTCGAAGAAGCACTCGACGTTCGAGCTTGGCTATCTGATCCTGAGAGAGGGCTGAATCTGACTCATGCACAAGGTGCCAGCCCGAGGTGCGCGAAATAGTCGCAGATTGGAAGGGACTCGCTGAGATCTGGTACAGTGATAACTATATCCAGCTGGTCGAAGTGGCTCATCCACCCAAAAGCCAAGCTCTCAAATATCTTCAAGATGAAACCCCCCTCGATCGATACGCACACGTGAGTCTGTATTCCGCGTCTCGGTGCAGCTATGCTGATACATTGTAGGCTATTATCGCCCATGGAGGAAAGGACGTCGTCGTCGATTACCTCGTCGGCCCACTGCCCATCTCTGAGAATACAACCTTCCGACCGAGATCTGAAAACTATCATAACCCTGTCCCTCTGAACGCCCATATCCTTCTCAATTGGACCATGCTGGCGGAGCGTTTCGCCACGATCATCGCTCCTATAGATCCAGTCACGCGAGATCTGTTCAATGGATCAATCTTGGACGGGACACTTCAGTTTGCAGGCATAGCGCCGACGAGCTACGACGGGAAATGGAGACGCACATGGGGCCAACTCAGACGAGCTGATCCCGGTAGTTGGCTTCAACCGCTTGACATGTACTTTTACGTGAGTGCCTGAACGCCTCATTGGTTCACTGATCATTCAAAGGTCGACATGAGTGGAAATGACATGTCGCAATACTCTGTCTTGAAAGCCGTGTATGAGGGCAAAATGTACGATGGATTGGACGACTTAGTGGCGGCATGGAAGGAAGGACATCTAACCAAATCGCCGCCTTCTTCATACGAGTGGGCTACTCGCGCAATTCGGGGCAAGATGAGAGATCTGGACGATCGAGCGGGACCGAGGAGTGTTCATTTTGACGGTGCCAGATACAGGTTCGACGAAAAGGAGCAGTACGTGACCTGGATGGGTTGGGCCTTCTACGTCGGCTTTGAGAGAGACATGGGTGTCCATCTCTGGGACATGTGAGTGATGTCAGACAGACTCTGGTCTCATTTCGTCACAGCAACTTCCGGGGCGAACGAATCATCTATGAACTTTCTCCACAGGAAGCGATGGCGCAGTACTCTGGCAGTGACCCCCATCAAGGCAATTCGGTGTGGCTCGACAGGACATTCGGTATGGGTGGTACTGTGCGAGACGTCATCCTAGGCTACGACTGTCCTCATGATGCTTTGCTTCTGAGTGCCACTACCCATGAGCGGGGTACAGCAGTGCAGAGGCAAGGAATTTGTGTATTCGAGCGGGAAAGTGGAAGACCATTGTCCAGGCATACGGGTCGAGCGAAGAATGAAATGGGAGCCGTCAAAGGGTACGAGCTGGTCGTGAGGAGTGTCTCATCAGTAGGCAACTATGACTATATCGTGAGTTTCCCTCCGTTGTGACGTCTGACCGACCGGAAAAGTTCGACTACACGTTCCAATTGGACGGTACGATCGAGATCCGAGTCTCTGCTTCGGGCTATCTGCAAGGTGGATACTGGCACGAAGGAGACGATGATTACGGGCACCGTATACATGAGCGAAACATGGGTTCGCTGCACGACCACGTGATGAACTGTGAGCCTACATGGAATGTCTGATGGTGGCAGCTAAATCATCACAGTCAAAGTGGATTTTGACGTTGCGGGTACGCAGAACTCATTCATGGCTGTTTCTTTGGAGATGGAGGATAAAGAAGCTCCATGGTTTGATGATGATTGGGGCACGGTATGTGCATGACCTAATTCTGTGCTGACGACGCAGACCCGCCATCAACAGAAGATTGTTCGCAGAATTCTGGAGGAAGAGTCCCTGCTGGAATACCCTCACAAGTGAGTCTGGCTTTGTATAGAATGTCCATTGACTCGTGTCTCAGTATGGAAGGCGCCTATGTCATACTAAACCAGAATGCCACAAACGCTTGGGGCAATCACCGAGGCTATGCTGTCCATCCCGGACCTCTCTGCCATCTGACCAATCTCGATAGCAAGCGGACGGAGAATAGTGTCAATTGGGCCAAGCACCACTTGGCAGTCTCTAAACGGAAGGACGATGAGCCCACAAGCAGCTCAATGTGGAATATGAACTTGCCGGGTGCTCCTCCTGTCAACTTTTACAAAGTGAGGGTTGCCTTCCTAAGCCCTGTGGCGGCCAGCTGACGTAGCTGCTAGTTCTTCGACAACGAGTCGATCGTCCAGGAAGATCTCGTCCTGTGGATCAACTTGGGAACGCATCACATCCCCCGGGCGGAAGGTGAGCCTGATTGTTTGGCGTTATTTACTCACTTGGCCCCAGACACCCCAAACACCTTGACCAATGTCGCAACATCTTATGTCTTGCTGACTCCATGGAACTACAACGATCATGATGTCTCCATTGAGTCTCGCAACTCTGTCCTATTGAACAAGAAGGGCGGCTGGGTGATCGAAGAACAGAGTATTTCGTCTGCGACTTGTTCTCCACCCAGACCGCCAAAGTTGGCTTACCGCGATGGTGAGGCTTGGAATGAGGATGGGAAAGCGATCAATGAGGATGTATACGCCTTGATATCGGATGTGGGCACTCCTCTGGTAGCTAAAGTCGGGGCGTTCAATGGGCGTGGGGAGCTGTGATACATTCTCAACATTATGCATGTCAGGTTGAAGGGGGGTACGTCAACCCGGACCGAGGACCGGTGATCCCCGATGGCGCCAGAAATACCTCGCCCGAGTTAGAAAATTCCCGAGAAGATAATAAAATCACTCCGACTCAAGGATTGGGAAGTGGGGGGCGAACAGTGGACCGACATTTTACCATACACGATCTTCTTTTGCTCTGAGCTCGGCTTTGACCAACAGCAAGATGGCCGACACGTCTCTTGAGAACGAGAGGGAGATCAAAGACGGCAGAGACCTCGAGACTGGCCCACCTACCGTCCCATTCTCTTCAGGCGCCACTCCGGTCTTATCTCAAGGAGAGGGAGGCGTCAAGTTGGGTCTGCAACAGAGACAGTGAGCGGCACCTGGGCTAAAGATGGCCTAAAACGTAACTCACTCGGTCAGTCTGTCCATGATAGCCTTGGCTGGCATGGTGAGTCGTCGACGACTTCTTTCTGATCATTGGATCTGAGGCCTTTCGGTGGTACAGATCGGAACTGGATTGTTCTTATCTACTGGCTCTGCTCTAGCTTCGGCGGGACCTCTGGGTCTGCTCCTGGCTTATATCCTCATGGGAGCTGTCACAGCTTGTATAGCATACATCAGCGCAGAGCTCTCGGCTTTCATTCCACTCTCTGGAGGATTCATTCGACATACTGCCTTGTATATTGAGTGAGCGGATACCCATTGAGATCTGGGCGAGGCCACTGACAATGGGTCGTAGTAAATCCACGGCTATGGTTGTAGGATGGGACTTCGCCTACACTATGGCAGTGACTATGCCAGCGGAGATCGTGAGTATTCTCAGGGGTGACAAAGATGGCGTGTTCATTCGATTCAATGACAGACGGCTGCGACTAATCTCATTGGGTTCTGGAACCCCAAAATCACGCCAGCCATGGGCATCACCATCTTTTGGGCCGGGATTGTCTTCATCAACTTTTGTCCTGTGAGATGGTATGGCGAATCTGAATACTTTTTCGCCTTGCTCAAGGTACGTCGGGACATCTACGGCCGCGGCTACCTTTATCGCTGATACTGTATATCGGCGCAGATTGCTCTAATCGTGGGCTTGATACTTGGTGGTCTCATACTTGATCTGGGGGGAGTCAAAGGACAAGAACGGATTGGATTCAGGTACTGGAAAGCTCCGTACGAAGTGGGCGAACTCCTCCCGCGATGGAATTCAGCTCACGCCTCGATGATAGCCAATCATTGCTCAATTCACAACTGGAGCCGCAGGTCGATTCTTGTCTTTTTGGAACGTCATGATCTGTGAGCTTATTTGATGCAGAGATATTCAATGGAGAGAGAGACTCAACTGACACCAAATGTTGCACGTAGCCGCCGCATTCGCTTACAACAACGTTCAAGTCGTCGCTACTGCCGGAGCTGAAACCCGAGATCCAAGGCGATCTATCCCTAGAGCTGTCAAGACTACTTTCTGGGTGAGTCGAGAACCATCCGCCGAGACATGTTCCTGACGTCCGGAATGCAGCGCGTTGCCATCTTCTACATCATCTCTGTCCTTATCATGGGCATGATCGTTCCAGCAAATGCTCTCGATCTAGTCGACAAATCCGGTACCGCCGCCTCACCGTTTGTTATCGCATTCGATCGTGCCGGAGTCAAGGTCTTACCTTCTATCATCAACGCTGTCATCCTCACCAGTGCATTCTCCTCCGGAAATAGCTGTACATTTCTTGCATCGAGAACAATGTACGGTCTCGCTTTGGATGGATTTGCTCCTAGCGTGTTCCTACGGGTCAGCAGATGGGGTGTCCCCTATGTCTGTGTCTTTGTCAGCTCGCTTTTTGGCTCCTTGGCGTATCTGTCTCTCGGAGCCACAGCTATGCAAGCTTTCGGTTGGTTGGTCAATATCGTCACTACCGCTGGTCTGATCGCTTGGTGTGTCATATGCATCACCTTTATCCGATTCGAGGTGAGTCGAGCGGCGGACAGAGCGTTTTGAGCTGATTTCTTGACAGCGTGGCATGCGAATACAAGGTATCTCAAGGACCAGGTTACCGTACAAAGCGCCTCTGCAGCCGTATCTCACTTGGTTCGCTTCGATTGTCATTACGCTCATTCTACTCTTTTGCGGATTTTCTGCCTTCACCCCGACCTTCAGCTACTGTACGTTGCTTGTCATCTATGACCTAATCCCAAGCTAATTTTCTCTTCCAGCTGCGTTCCTCACAAACTACCTCAATGTTCTCATCTTCATCCCTGCGTGGATAATTGTCAAGTTGGTCCGGCGGGATCGACCGATCGCCTACGCAGACATGGATCTCGAGGGACCATTGAGAACCTGGGAGGAGGAAAAGGATTTGAATGCTGATTCGATATATGGACGATTATCCACTTGGGAAAAGCTGCTGAACAAGTTCTTGTAGATGAGTGGGGTGTCGTAGAAATGCAACTAAAGGGTTCAAAGTGCCTGTGCGGGAGGCGCTCAGTTTTTAAGACTCTGCATAGGCGAAAGATATCACTCACTTTCTTCTCGAGTAACACCACCTCGCCGGTCTCTTTCTGCTCCCATGTCGAGACAGCGGTCCGAATGACCTTCATCGTAGATCCACAAGCTGGATCAGGGCAAGCCAGGACATCTAGCAACTTATAAGCCTGGGACAAAGCCGGCCAAACATGCCTATTCGCTTACCTTCCCTCGACATCCAATCAGCTTGAGAAGTGCTTCGTTGCTTTGCGGGTAGCAGAGGTAGAACTGAGCCTAACGAATACACTGAGAAGCCTGAAAGTCGTCAGTATGAGAGCCTGTCCCACAGACGGCCACGACCAAGCCGGCCCATGTCGCGTACCTTGTCCTGGAGGTAATGTCAAGACCTCGCCTTTCAGTTCGAAGTAGTCTCCTGGCTGACTCGAACAAAGCATCGGTCGAGAGTCTTTGGGGGATTGCACTTCAACTCTGAGGTCGTAAAGCTGGAATGTCCTGCTGCTCATTATGCTTCTCTCGCGGTTGAAGGCAAAAGTAGACTGCAAGCTGCGTTTCGGTTACGCGGACAGTTTCCCCGGCTTCCCCACCTACACGTCTCGGGCATGGATGACGGTAGACGTGACTACGATCTTGTTTGGAAAAGAGATCACTGACGTGCATAATATCCGAGATGAATGGTCTCAGGATCTGGAGGAGGTGGGACGACTACCTCATCCTGCGAACGAGTGCGAAAGACAGCTCGATCCCAAGGAATGACAACCTGCGAGTGGGGGGCCTATCGCTCAGAATAGATCCGATAATTCGCCCGGGTGAATCACCAAAGCACTGCTCCTAGATCCATTCCTCGTTCTGTTGCACCGTACTTGCCTCATAAGTGGGACTAGCTGGATCGACTCACTCTGAAATCACGAGCTTTGCTGATCGCCATGCCGGGGCCGCAGCAGAACGGGACTGAGGCTATTTCCGCAGGTCATGTGTCCATGATGAATGATGTTTTGATCTCACAGCGTGAGTTGGTGCGGCACCGGGCCGGGCATGTCATGGAATGGGACACTGATCATGATCATGACAAAGTATCTCCAGATGTTCTTCGGGGTGTGGTACGGACTCTGCTCGGAGCCAACCATACCAATGCGTCTCTATTCACCTCTGTGACCCGAGCCTACCTCGAAGCTCATCCTCCAACTATTCCCGACTCCTCTGACCTGTTCCCGACTCCCTTTGATGCTTCAAATATCACTCAGGAGCCAACCGAATGCCTCAAAGAGACACTCCGAGAAGCTCGAATCCGATTCTCTGCGCACATGCTCGGTCCCGCACTCCTGCTCCTGGCCAGTATCCCTCGGGCCATGTTAACGAGTAACGTGTTCATACGAGACACCCCCGGACCACTAAGGGATACACTTGTCTACGCCGCTGGCGATATGGCTCAGGCTGCTCAAGCTCTCAAAGAAAGTGGAGATAGGTCTATCGGAGCGCGGGGTGCTTTAGTCACTCTCGTTCGGGATCTCTATTATTATCATCAGGTCGTCCAAAAGGAGCAGTCCCTACGACCGAATGACAACATTTTCAATCCCTTAGAGCGGGCCGTAGCGCAGACGATCGACACGCTGTGGTTCTGTTTCCCTGACCACTCTGGGATCCCATTCCAAGAACCAGAATACACAAAAATGCACAATATCAGACGGACGAAAAAAGCTCTACAGACCACCCTATTGGGTCCTATCAAAGTCCCTCGATTGTTTTACGGTCTATGGCAATTGTCGAGTCCGGCATGGGGAACGAGCAGCTTGGAAGACATCACACAGGCCATGTCGAGTCTTGCGTCCCTGGGGTTCATAGCGGCTGATATGGCTGGTGAGTCGCACACCGATCGATGTACCTGATGGACCGTACCATAGACCACTACGCCGATGCAGAGATTCTCTTTGGAAACTTTAGAAATCACATCATGTTCCCTTCGACTCGTCCGGCTCTGATCTGCGCGACAAAGTACTGTCAGTTCGCACCGGTCCCCTCGACCGAAACGATCGATCGGGAGTGGGTCCTGGCAAGAGTCCAAGAGCGATCCAATCGAGTCAAGGGCGTCGTCGATTTGCTCCAAGTTCACTGGCAGCATGTGAGTGACGCCAACTATGAGGTCTCCTGACGGTATAAAGCTCAGCGACAAGCGGTACCTTGACGTGTTTGTGCATCTCGTCCAGATCTCTCAACGTGATCCAGATCTGTTACGTGCAGTCGGTCTCTGTAATTTTGATACAAAGACCATGGTGGAGATCTGCGAACATCTCAACAAAACCATTGGTCAAGAAGCCGGTATCGTCTCGAATCAAGTACAATACTCTCTCATTGATCATCGTCCGAGATTTGGTATGGCACAAGCGTGTATAAAGTATGGAGTCAAATTAGTGACGTATGGGACTTTCGTGAGTCGATATTCCTCCTCGAGACGCAGAGCTCACGAATTAGTGCGGTGGCTTTCTATCGGATCGGTGGGTCGGCATGGATGAGCCGAGCGTGTATAAGGATGGGTTCAATACGTCTCAGCGAAAGGTGAGCTTGGTATTGGCGATACCGCTGAACCCCGCTCAGTATCTGGACATGATCAAAGCATGGGGTGGATGGGAGCTCTTCCAAGAACTACTGGAGACCCTAAAAGGCATTGCAGAGTCGCACAATGTCAGCGTAGCCAATGTAGCAGCGAGATGGGTCTTAGATCAGCCAGAGACAGGGGTAGTGATCATTGGTGAGCTGAGGTTCCTCCAACTTCCGCTCAAACACCTCTTAGGATCTCGACTCGGCGTCACTTCGCACGACGAGGCAAATCTCAAGATTGATAGCTTTAGATTATCAGACGAAGACATGGCCGCTATTGAAAAGATCTTGGAAAGGAGTCGCGGGAGACAAATGTTTGAACAGATTGGAGATTGCGGAGCCGAATACAGATGATGATAGATCGATCATATTGCATCGCGTCAACAAATGCCTGCATGTCGCATGTCGTGATACAGGGAAAGGGAAAAGTCAAAGTCCGTGAAAGTGACTAGTTCATAACTAGACGATGTGGACACTCTTAGAAGAGCGTGGCGAAAGCACCTGCGATAACTCCTCCGAATATCAAGGCAGTCCATCCTCCAGTAAGGCCGACGAGCTGAAGCCGAGCAGAAGCAGCACCAGTCTTGGAGGAAGACGAGGCGGAAGCAGAGTGAGAACCGGTTGCTGATCCAGTGGCTGAGCCGGTAGCGGACCCCGTCATGGATCCCGAGGAGCCCATGGAGGTGGTGGTGGAGCTAGTGTCGGGAGTGGAAGAAGAAACGTTCTTGGTTCCAGCGGCATAAGATGCAAAGTCTGGGCAGACAATGTCCTCTTCCTCGTATGGGTGCGTCACGTTGTAGGCTGTGCAGAGGGGGACAATGTGTTGGAAAGCAGCCTTGATCGAAGGGTACTGAGAGATGAATTCAGACATGGTGAAGTTGGCTAGAGAGGCATAAGCGAAAAATCTCAACAGGGTGATATGAGTGACGCACTCAATTCGTGGTTCAGCACAACAGGGCCGTGAGTCGCGTAAGTACCGTTGGCGACCTTGTCGACGACAGCTTGGTAGTTGCTAGTGACGTCCGCAGGAGAGACATCATCCGCGGCGACGCCCTCTCGCCAATCCTCTGTGTCGTCTGACCAGACAATCGTCGTGAGGTTAAGAGCGGCAGCAAATGCACGGACACGGTTGTCAACGTCTCCGTAAGGTGGTCGCCTGAGAGGTGAAGGCTTCAGCTTGGGCAAGAAAGACTTTCGCGGGTTGAGCTCACCAGCACTTTGGAGTGACACCGAGCAGGTCCTTGAGGACTTGACGGGTGTAGTAAAGTTCGGCAAAGACTTGCTCGTTGTCAAACGCAGTCATGTATCTGAGAATCGTTAATCAATGCGGCCACACGGAGGTCACTGGCTAAAACGCACTGGTGAGACCATGTGTGCACACAGATCTGGTGACCATCACTCATCGCACGCAGAGCTTGCAAAGGCCAGTCCATGACGTTGGAACCGATGTAGAACCTGTGTGGCATTTTATTAGTACTTCTGTAGCCACACACGCTCGGACCCCAAAAACTTACATAGTGGCATGTTGCTGGTTCTCCGCGAGGTAATCGTACAAAGCATTATGAGAGCAGTTGGGACCGTCATCGAAACCGAGACCCCAAGTCAAAGGTTCGGGAACAGTGGTGATATCCGCTTGGAGACCGGTATCGGCGGCGGGAGTATCACATTGATGCCATGACCACCAACAGTCTGGATCAGAGTTGTTGTATTGGACACCGACGAAACTTCCGTTGGGGTTTCCCTTGGGGTGAATATTTGGGAATTTTGCATTGACAGTCGCGTTGATAGTTTGGAATAGGGACATGGCAGCTTGATCGTTGGGTTGGATAGTGGCTCCAGTAGCGATCCAGGGAGTGGGGTAGTTGGCTTTGATGTTGGTTACGGGGGCGTAAGAGTAGTAGGAGCACTCAAAGGCGGGGTCTGAACACGTCCGAGAGTCGTCAGTTCAGTAGGTGACTTTGAATGTATTCGAAAGATCGCGCGCTCACCGATGGACACTGCACCGCTGGCTTCGTCCGTTGGACTAGCTTGACGAGGTTCCATCATGCCCAAATTTCTTCTGCCAATTTCGTGGCCACCGCATCCTCTGTGGGCAGAAGCCAAAGGCGCCAACGCGAAGGGGATCAAAGCGAGGGCAAGCATGGCGAGTCGTCGACCGGCAGTCCAAGCGGAGGGGGAAATGAAATGAATGTGGAGTGGAGAATCGTTCAGTAGACTGGATGAAAGTTTTTTTTTTCCTCTGGTGCGCGTGTTGACTGGGACTTGGTACGTGACAAACAAGAGAATTCGGTTTCTCTGCTGGTAAGACGGTGATTTGAACCGAGTGATCGATGATCAGGTACAAGATGACCTGCAATTATGGATCTTGACTATTCCTTGACACTGTAGATGATCAAGTGAGTTATAGATAGATCACAAGAAATGAGACTGAGAGGGGGAGAGAGTAGACTTGAACAAGTTGACAGTCAGTTCATAACAAAAGTGAATTCCAGTGCATGCGATCTTCCCCCCTGCCTCTCCCCCCCCCCAATTCTTCCCCCTAAACCCGACGCCGGAGCCCTTGCCCTGTCAGCAGTGAAACTTATTTTTTTTTCCCTTTCTTTTCCCAGTGATGAACAGCATTTTTGCGAGTGAAATCTATAAATAGAACAGCCTCGGGAGGTGTAGCGGCGGTGCTGGCGATTGACCTCTGGGGGTTCTTGTTAGTCCAGTCCTTACTAACTAACCATTAGGATTTTTCATACTTCCCCCATATCGCATTACAAAGTTGAATCCTGTGATAACCCATTCGCTTGCCGCGCTAATGTGCTGATACGCCACATGGGCTGTGTGACACACAAAAATGTAAACAATAGCCTGACTGCCCTGGACCAATGGTCACTATTGAATGCACAATCCGCCGAATGGAATGCTCACTCGCCGAAAGCAGAAGGGCGCGGAATGCTGGCGCATGGCGAAGAAGCGGTGACATGAAGCGTGTGACGCCTCGAAATGCAATGAAGCCATTCATGCAAGAGTCCGATACCTCATGATCGTTTTTCTCGTTTTCACTTTTTGAAGTCTATATTCGTACCACGACCCTGCTTGGCCATCCGAGCACCTTTAAGCAGACATCTAGTTGTCGGCCTTGCCCATGTAAGCGATGAGGTCACAGACACGTCGAGAGTATCCGTATTCGTTGTCGTACTGGAGAATGTTCAGCGTTCGAAATCACCCAGAAAAGTCATACTCACCCAAGAGACAAGCTTGATGAAGTTGTCGTTGAGGGGGATACCAGCCTTGACGTCAAAGATGGAAGACTCGGTGCTGCCGATAAAGTCGGTGGAGACGACTTCGTCTTCAGTAACGCTGCAATTGTCAATCGCTAACCCTTTTACCATCGGACTCACGCAAGAACTCCCTTCATCTCTCCGGCAGCGGCCTTCTTCATGGCGGCGACAATCTCCTTGTAAGGAGCAGGCTTCTCAGTCCGGACGACAAGGTCGACCACGGAGACGTCCGTAGTAGGGACACGGAAGGACATTCCGGTGAGCTTGCCGTTGAGCGAGGGAATGACCTTTCCGACAGCCTTGGCGGCTCCAGTGGAAGAAGGAATGATGTTGGTGGCAGAGGTACGTCCTCCTCTCCAGTCCTCTGAAAATAGCGTCAGCGGTCTGGATGGGGGAAGGATGGAAGAATGCTCACTGTTGGAAGGTCCATCGACGGTCTTCTGAGTAGCGGTGGTAGAGTGGACGGTGGTCATGAGACCCTCAATGATGGTGAACTGGCTAGTCAGTCCATGCACACCAAGTCACACTCACGTTGTCGTGAACGACCTTGGCGATGGGAGCCAAGCAGTTGGTGGTGCACGAGGCGTTGGAAACGACCTTGTATTCAGGCTTGTAGGCGTCAAGGTTGACTCCGCAAACGAACCTGGGTAAGAGGTCAGTACATGTCATCAAAGACCGACCTACATTGGGGCGTCGGAGGAAGGAGCAGAGATGATAACCTTCTTGGCTCCACCTTCCAAGTGCTTGGAGGCACCCTCAGTGGTGGTGAAGACACCAGTGGACTCGACAATGTACTCAGCGCCAGACTCTGACCACTTGATGTTGGCGGGGTCTCGCTCGGCGTGGACAGCGATGGACTGTCCGTTGATGACGAGCTTTCCGTCCTTGGTCTCGACGTCACCCTTGAATCGACCGTGCATCTGTGAGTTGAGTGTCAGTAGATACGCAGGGCCGGTCCTCGCTAGGCAAGCTCACCGAATCGTACTTGAACATGTAGACCTGATATGTGTCAGCAAAGTATTGCGTATACGCTTGCACGATCCCGCCTCACCATGTAGTCGAGAGGGATGAAGGGGCTGTTGTATGTCAGCTGAGGCAGTCCCGTTGAGACCAGGCAGCTAGCTCACTCGTTGATGGCGACGACATCGAGATCGCCATGCTCAATGGCGTTTCTACATTGCTTGTTAATACTGCACAACACCAAACAAGCTTCTGCTCCTTCACCTCATGACAATTCGACCAATTCGGCCTGTGAGAAGTCCAAAGTCAGCCACGTTCCTTGAGTTTCCATGACGTTGTGCAGCAAGCAATCATTGCATGAGAAGAGGGAGACTCACCGAAACCGTTGATTCCGACTTTGATTCCCATTGTGGCAGATGATCTGATCAGAGATGTGAAGATGTTGAGAGTACAAGAGCTTGAACAAGAGTTTGCTGCTTAGTCACTGGAAAGACGTAGGTAGGGATGAGAGAAACAGATTGCGTTGGGGACACTGTCTGCCCGCTTAAATTCGAAAATAAGAGAAAAATGGGAATGAAAGAAGGAGCGACCTGCCACGAAGAGAGAATCACCGCGAAACGCCGATGTGGGGGAGAGGGGGATGTTCCCACTGTAAGCTAGATGCTGCCTCGACACCAGACGGCTATCCGAGAAAGTAGGACCGCTTAGCAGTGTTGTCCGCAATGTTCATACATACCTTCATTGAGTTCAATCTACGCCATGGGGCCCTTTTTATCAATCTTCGGTCGGATCACCTGCACGCCAGGCAAATCATCGGATCGGATCGGAGATATTCGGCGACGCAACGAGACAGGGCTCTGATCACGTGACGGACCAGCATTGTGGGAATATCATAGGAACTGGCCATGGTCTACCAGCAGCCCACACGTGCCTTCTCTTCTGACCCTGCGTGGTGTTTTACAAGTGGATCTCTGGTAACCCTTCACGCCACGCCGACAGCCCTGTGGGCCGAATGAGACTTGACCATCGGGACATGGCGCCAGTGAATGACGGGATCAAATCCGTACTCGTTGTTTTTTCTTCCCATGACGTACTTTCGTCCACACACTGTTCTCTTGTGTGGCACCTATCGAATATACATTCACATGAAGGAACGGTGCCGCTGATATCATCAAGTGTCCTGAGAGACAGCGTATTCCCTGCACCTGCACCTTCCAATCCCATCTGCCGCGGGAGAGGCGCTAAGCAGCCAGCCAGCCAGGCTGCCACCAAGGGGGCTACAGAGTGTGGGCGGCTTCCAGGCCAGGCGGGAAGAGTCGGTTATGCATAGGAGGAGGAGCAGAATTTTAATCCCTGGACTCCCGATCTACAGCCCCCTTTTTGGATCTCTTGTCTTTCTCAGGCCGGACGAGTCACCGACTGCATCCGGCCTCTCGATCCACTCTTTTGTTCGGTTTTGTATCTCTCTCACACCATGCCCACTAACGCCGAATGGAGGGAGGAGGCGAAGAGGAGCGAAGAGACCGGTTAGTGGTGCAAGCAAGAGGAAAAACTAGTGTCTCATGATGCACCAGTGCTGTTTGTCTTTTTACCAGTTTCCGGATGCAAAGGGCCAAGGGGGGTTCGGTCCTGAGGCGAAAATTTTGTACGATGGCATGGGCAGGGCATCATGGGGCCGAGTACTATAAAGAACGTTCGGACTGAAGTACCCTTCGTTCTCATCAAGAGCATCTTACAACCACATCGCTGTACAACGAACGACACTTGAGCGTATACACGAGCACGCTACCGTCCCGGGCAAATCTTTCCGTTATCTCTGATACACGTACACGTATCCCGATCATACAAATCTACGATGGCCACGTCTGATCGATTCCCGAACACCTCGTCGTTCACCGTCGATGGTGTCCTGTTCGACATGGTAAGTCTAGCTACTGCAACCTTTGATCAAAGCTGAGACATCTCGGTTCAGGACGGCACACTTACAGACTCGATCGCTGCGGTCGAAGCTGCGTGGTCCGCCAAGGCCGATGAGCTTGGCTTGGACAGAGAAGAGGTTATCGCTGCGACTCATGGGCGACGCGCCAGCGACAACCTCCAAGATCTCATCCCGAATCTGAAAAAGGAGCATGTGGATAAAGAGGTTGATAGTGAGTAACCAAGTAATCAAGTCTCATCACCCGCTCACCATTGTATCTCGCCCCTTGTCCTCACAGAATTCGAAAGGTCCATCCTTGCTTTTGCCGACTCGCCGCCCGTCTCTCGAAGTGGATCCAGACGAAACTCTCGAAGCGGTTCAGCGGCCTCATCTCGAAGCAATTCAATCTCCTCGTCTCGTAAACCTTCGTTCTCAAAATCCGCCACATCTCTCGGTACTCTATCTTCCTTTGGACCCATGACCCCAGTCACTGGCGGCACCGATTCTCCGAAGGAAGCGACGCGACGACCGTCCACAAGTCTCAGTAATGACATCACCAAGGCTTTGACCAATCTCGCCATGTCGTCTTCCCCTAAAAAGGAACCCATCCTCATCGACGAAGTCGATGGAGACGTCTTTGAAGTTGACGAAGAGGATCTCGTCGACATGTCCGTTCAAATCTTACCTGGCGTCCGGAAGCTCATCGATTCATTGCCGAAGGACAAGTACGCTGTAGCTACGTCAGGCGCCAAGACATATTGTCATGGATGTCTTGAGCGAACGGGAATCGCTGTCCCTGGCGTGTGTGTCACGGCCGACGACCCCCGATTGGAAAAGGGCAAGCCTCACCCTGATCCATTCCTCCTCGCCGCCAAGGACCTCGGAATCGATCCCAAGAAGTCAGTCATCTTCGAAGACTCCCCAAGTGGCATCAAAGCCGCAGTCGCTGCTGGCGGTACCGTCATTGCTGTTTGCACTTCTCACAAGCGAGAGCAGATCTCGCATTATGGCGCTCACTACATCGTCGAGACCATGGATCAAGTCAAGTGCGAACAGCTGCCTGATGGCAGACTCCACTTCACCGTCGCTCACTAGATGTGAGAACGGACGGAGGCATGTATACATAGACTGTGAGCAGGGCAGGTTGCTATAACGCGCCCCTGTGTCTGTAGCGATAGATATTTTCAGTCAAGCGTTCTAATGTATCTCTCAGTGACCTGTCTTCAAAAGCTATACACAGACTGTAGTCTCCTCATTCGTAGAAGCCCTCGCTTTCCTTTCACAACCGGTTCCTCATCTTCTCCTATATTGCGCTTAGCACACGACGAGCGTCCCTGCTCCTCTCCGTAAGCTTGCTACCGCAGTGCCGGCGCACTGCTGACGCCGTCCCGATGCGCTACTCAAACGCTACGCCTGCTTGTCTCCCGAGACGGGATCGTCAAGCGCTGACGAATCTCCCCAATAGTCCTCTTCTAGCCAGTCTCTCCAAGCTGCCGCATTCATATTGCTCAAGCTCCTGTCTTCGATAAAATGGCATGAAGGTGGGGTCTTGTCCAACATCCAGCACCTTGTAGTATGACAAATGACTTTCTTGATCTCTTCTCTTTCTTCCTTGGCAAAGTTGCAGAGGATATATGTAGGACGTGGGTCTTCATGGACGGCGCCCGGGGGGTTTAAAGATGAGACGGCTGAGATCGCAAGAAAAAACCCAACGATCTTGCACTTTGGCATGTCTGAGATCCTGTCCCTGAATTGATCAGGGAAGACAAGACGGCGAGTTTTGCTTGAGGTTCGGTAGGAACGACATAGCGGCATGTCTACACTGCGAACACGAGGGCTATATGTGAAGCTGTTCCGGATGAACTTATCCATGAACATCCATTGCAGTTGAAAGGCGATCATGTCTGTGTAGGAGCCGTGCTCATATATGTCATCTGCTCGCCACGAGAAGTGCAGGGGTTGGAACAAGTTCGCGATCCTTTTGAATTCAGCGAAAGAGGCTCGGCAGACGCGATTGAGACGGATGAAAAGGGTGGAGATGTCGAACGGCTTCTTCTCTACATTCTCTACAATGTCCATTTCGTACTGCTTCGCGATGAAGGCTAAATCAATGCCATCGAAAAGCCTTTCGGAGCCGGTCCAAGCGGCCATGTGTATTTCCAAGTGCTCAATAGCTGGAGGTTCGCGAGGCCTTGGATACTCCAGATTCTCTCTGCTTTTGCCCTTACCAATACCAGTTGAGATGAGACGTTGGCTTAGAGCCTCTCGGGATGACAGGAAAAGGTGGAAGCTGACAGAATCAGAGAGTCGCACAACGTGATAGAGTCGAGGGGTCACCAAGTCGTAGAATGAATTATTGAGTCGTGACAGATTGGCAAGTGCATCCATTTCGTTCTTCGCATAGAGGATCGTGACGACCATATTCATGATCTCGAGAGGAAGTGATCGGACAGGTCGTGATGAAAGTTTGTTTTCATCCACACTGACTTGGCCTTCCGTACGATTGAGGTTAGGCAATGTTGTGGGGACTATCGAGCCTTCTCCTGCCTTCATCAGCCGGGTTTTGGACCTGGTGAAGACCATCCTGGACCGGTCAGCCACAGGTTAGAGAGGAGAACTAGTAGTGAAGACGAGGAAGCTTCGGCGTCCATGATGATCTGGTCACCCTTCAGCTATGAATTTACGTTAAGTGTTTCAGGATGGACATCATCGATGTTTCGAGTCCCAAATACTTGCAAGAGGCATACAACAAATTGTCCAGGAGTTGTGTTACATGGCAGGAAAGAGATATTCAAGATGAGTGTTCGATGATTCCAATGGCTCTCTAATATCAAAAAGATGAGATCCCGTCCCCCGCAAGACTCAGAGGAGAGACTCAAGCCCCAAAGTTGAAATAGCCCAACCAGTGGGATATTTTCATGTCGACATTTCTAAAATTTACCGGCCGTCGCGGTTGGCTGGTCAGCAATGAGTCCAGACCTGGGACTAGTCTTGAGCAGGAAGCATCGATACTGTGAGTGAGAACAAGGTCGATGCATGACTAGTGCAGTCTTCTGAGAGGCTTGTCGATGATGATGTAGACGGGGCAAAGAGATGCGATAGCGCAGGTGACTCGGTTCAAGGGCTAAAGAGAGAAAGCCAGCGTAGAAATGTAGACTTTGGACTTTTGACAGTGAACATCATTGTTCCAACCTCATTCATACCTTGTACTGTCCCCGGGCGGGACGTATCTCAACTCTCTTGTCTCCGACCTCCTTATCCCAATCCTCATTTAACCCGAATTTGCCGTGCAGAGCACGAGCAGGAAAGTAGAGAGAAGGGCGGACGCAGAAAAACGCCATTGGCAAGCCTCTCCGTGAGAGGACGTTCTTGCTGGGTTCCTCACTCTGCTGTCCTTCCAAGATCGCGAGACGCTTCGTAGGACGCCCCTTGGAACGCCATACCGCCTCTCTCTGGTCGCCTATCGAGAGAACCCCTGGAGGAGCCCCTCTCAAAGCAGCTGGACCTGTCGCGAGGAAGAAGAATTTCAAAGCAAACGTCAAGATGGACTCGATCGATCATCCCGAGGAATCAGGTAGCACTCGGCTCACCAATCTTTTACGAAGGCAATTCGGATGTGCTCCTCATCCTGGTGAAGTGAGTCGACAGCCTCGCGGCTGATTTCTATTCTTTGCTATCATTTAATTCTTTTCTCCGTTCACCGTTTTTTGGGCAAAAAACGCCACCACGCCCCCTCTCGTCCCCTGTTCAAGGGACCCCCCTCGCCGATCTCTTCGGCTCGTCTGCGTCATGTTCGGAGGAGATGAGAGGATGGACAATGACCCGCCACCTCGTGAGGCCCGGAAATTGACCCGTGTTCAACCCACCCTACGTTGGATGCTACTTCCCTACATCTACCGGTTCGGATACTCGTCTTGAAAATCCTGAACAAGAGATTCGTCCCAAAATCCCCTGAGTCCTGATTCGAGCTGCGAAAGCCAAAGTCCTCGGGCTAGTCTGAGCCAAACCTGCCACTGCCTCTCTCTTTAATCCCCGTCTCTTCCTCCCTAGGGAACTCCATAATACCTCCCTTGATCCTGCCTTCGTATCACCTCTCTCTCTCTCTTAATCCTTCACCCGTACCTATTTCCGTCTGACCCCTTCATCTCCTTCCACGGCCTGTCGCTCGTCGCTTGCGCCTATCTTGTGACACGCTTATCCCCTCCCTCTTAGAACAACGTCGACTACGACCAAAAGGGTCAAGTCTGTCCGATGCTTCAACCTGGAGACATCTGGTATATTGTCGGCGCCGGCAGCTTTTGTACGTCATCTCAGGAGCAGGAGGGAGTCTGCTAATGAGATACTCAGGCGGCCTGGTGTTGATTATCCTCATTATCGTTTGGATTCGAGTATGGGTCAAATCTCGTGCCAAATCCCGTCGATTACAGGAACCGAATCCTGCCAATGAGCGGACCTTGGACAACCTTCATTCACCATTGATGCAGAATGCGACGATGCCAGGGATGGCAAAGAGATTATCTTATGAAGAGAAGGACCCCTATGCGTATAATGACCAATCACAGGTACAACCATCCTTGACATATGATCAGTCGGAACAAAAGCCAGCATATTACTACGAGCACCCGAACCTATCGAATCCAGAGCTCTTTGGTCAACCCATGGTTCCCGCCGATCAACAGAATCACATGGCCGTCGTGGATCATCAGTCTTATTCTCAACACAGCCACAATCCCTATGCTAGCCCTTATGATGCCCCTCTTCCTTCTTCATCCCATGATCACTCGAGCTACGAATACGATTACAATAGCTCGCAGGATCATCATCATCCTGCTCAACTTGCTGTTGACCCTCAACATCAACAACCATATTTCTCGCCCACGGAATACGCTACCCCTGATTCGTATCATTCACCTGGAAGCGACTACCACTTGATGACACCTCAGTACCCTGATCCAGGGATGAGGCGGATTGAGAGTCCAGCGTCAAGTGTATCAGATCCATACACCGCCATGCCTTCCGGAGTCACCTCTGGTCGAACGAGTGTCCATCCTGCCTACCCTCCACCAGCTAGATCACCTGTCAAATCACCTCGTGGCGCTCGAGCAGAGCTGAACGATACCCCAAACAGTCAGAAAAGGTTCATGGAGCGATATGGTCGACATCCACCAGTACCTGATAGACCACACGGATTGACACACTATGCCTCGGGCATGCAGAGTCAAGAGGATTATGATGGGAGGGATGATTATCGAGACGATTACCGAGCGAGCTCTTCGAACGACCACTCGAGTCGTCTGCACGTTGTGAATGATCCATATCTGTACGGCATTCCCAGTTCAGAGGGGCCAACAAATCCATACAGCCCGAGAAGGCTTTATGGATGAGTGGTTGGAATGCATCTTGTATAAACTCTCTCTCAAAAACCCTGATGAAGAAGCCAATCGATCGGTCCCCGGCATCCGCATTACTATCATGATGCATGGACAAATCGTTATACAGAGGCAAAAATTGGTCAAGAATCAATTATGAGTGATCAGCCGTTGATGTAGATGATGTGGAAACCAAAAGGTGCCCCGTGTTCATTTCGTGAGGGAATTCTGAGCCTCAAGCTGGGTGAAGAGATCCTGCGATGCATCAGTTGTGGCTCACAGGGATCGCTCACCTCCGCGGTCGTATCTCCCGGTGCGAGAGTCGGCAGATGATTGTACTGAAGCACGTAATCTACCAGCAGAGACATTTGATGGCGTGTCAAAGTCGTGGACCCTACAGGCAGCGCGGATTCTAAACGCATCAGCAGAGTTGATTCGAAAATTGCGCACCTCTAATTTTTGGCCGGAGGAACTCGTGATGCAATAGTTCAGGAATGGTGAGGCGTTGTTCCCTGTTGTAGCACAGGCAGCGACGCATAGTATCGATGGCAGCCGGGTTGACAGCCACGGCGAGATCGGGAGCCGCTCCTTTTGGCGTCGCCGTGTCGGGGTATGTGATTTTGTGGTTCGGATCAGCGATCGCGTTCATCTTGGGTAGTGGGCCGCCCGGAATGCTGGAGAATGGGGTATGACCGTAAATCATCTGATACAGGATGCAGCCGAGGGACCAAACATCGCTGGAATACGACACCTGTGTTTGTTAGCAGAGCCAGCAAGGACCAGACCTGCCTTGAGCACTTTCTGATTATTCATCCGCTGAATCGCCTCTGGCGACATGTAGTTGACAGTTCCGACCTGGCGTTAGCACGAGATGACAAGGGATCGACCCACCTGCTGCTCTCGTTGAATGTTGACAGTGTCATTGGCCACCGCCTTTGCAATGCCAAAATCGATAATCTTCAGACGACCTTTCACCAGTACGAAGTTGGCAGGTTTCAGGTCTGTGTGGACAACATTTTCGAGATGAACAGCGTGGACAGCTTCAAGCATCTACGAGTCAGCGACGCCCCAACAGACCGCACTCACCTGTTGCCAGTATAGTCCGACAAAGTTCATATTGAGCATCTTCCCCTTTTGCTCATCGAGAAGCAGCGAAAAGTCGATCTCTCCGCATTCCATGACCTGACGTCAGGGACTGAATTGGCACGTCGACTCACAATGTTGAGCACTTTTGGCCGATTGTTCGAAAAGATGATTTGATGATCTATGAGCTGGATGATCCTGTCGTGACCTCGCAGTCTCTTCAACAGTTCGATTTCGTTCATGTATCCTTGGCATGTCTCGGCATCCGCACGATCCAGCATGACCCGCTTGAGTGCATACACCTTTCTCGTGTTGGCGCATAGTACAGAGTAGACTTTGGATGAGCCGCCTTTGCCGAGAACGGTGATTCGCTCATATGCATTGTTGTTGACCTGAGGTCAGCAGGAAATCACATGAGCCCACTCACTATGAAGGACCGTTTGGCAGGTGCCGGAACGGGATTGACCAGAGTCTGCGTGTTGTTCCATTGTGTGGGCTCCGCTGGAGCTGAAGGCTGCACCGTTGCCTGAACTGGATGATGAATCGGTTTGAAGTCGATGGGCGGAGCTGGACGCGAAGCTTTGATTGGTTGTGGAGATGGAGGCAGGGCGGCAGGGATCGTACGTGCTGGGGCCAAAGGCGATCTAGCCTGTGCTCTTGGTGACCTTGCAGGCTGTACTGAGATCTCTTTGTGAGGTGTCGAATGGCGGTAAGATGACCCTGATTCTCCTCCTAATGTTTGGAACGGACGGAATGGTTTGTCGTCGGGATCGGGCGAGTTGCGTCGACCTTGCAGAGAGTGGACGGAGGAGTTTGCAGGTAGAGGGCGTGATTCCTCCGGGTCTTCAGACATGGGAGAGAGACGGAATGACCGAGGCTCTTCTTGAGGTGTTGTGGATGAGTTGGCGGGGGACGCGGTATTCGGAGAGTCTAGCATATATGATGAGCGTTGATGGCCTGAATGATCCTCACCTGACATTGGATCCGCTAAGACCTCCTCTCCGGTCTCAGGCGCGACAACGCGTCGAGCTGGACCACCGAACCTGGACAAGCCGTGAACTCGACGACCGGTTGTGCTGAGGGCCCCGATAGTTCGATCCGTATGCCCCGGTGTGACAAAACGACTTCGCGTGGTCTGTGCGTCCCCGCCTAAAGCCTTGATAGTTTTGGTCGTATCGGTGTGATCATTGACAGAGGAGGACGAGCCAGTCGATACGAGAGCTGGACGGGCTGAGGATGCCCACGTATTGCTGTCATCGGTCTCTCTACCCTGCCTCATGGTTATTGGCGCAGAGACTACTCTTGAGAAGACACGATTACCCCCATACGTCCTGCCAAGGCCAGACGAGTTCGGTGTTGTGCTTGTCCCCTTGTTTGGAGTTGTCGTGGGAATCTCGGCGAGCGATCCCATCCGTTGCGATGAGGCTGAAGGATTCTGAGATTGAGTGTGTTGATGACGAGGGAGAATCCGATCTGGCGGTGTCGCCGTAGCATCCGCAGATTGAGGTCGTATACGTTTTGATAATGTCGGTGAAAGCCTAAGATGCCGATACTTCTCCTCGATATCCTCTGAACGTGATGGCGTACGTCTAGATCCATTCGGTGTCGCCCTGCTACCCATGCTGCGGTCCTCGTGTTGACCCTGTTCGTTCATCCAGGGAAAATGGAAATCCGGAGCGACGAGTTGAGGAGACTCTGCACTGTCCTCTTCCCACAAGAATCCTTTTAATGGTGTCCGTCTGATCTCATGCATGCCTGATATGGATCCATGTTTCGATCTCGTGCGATTCGGAGTGTGGAGAGAGGCTGAGCGAGGGATGGACGATGAGGCGATGGGTCGGTCTGAAGTCGGAGCAATAAATGTTGATTGAAGTGTTGTCATTTTGATTTCGAGTCTTCCCTAACCAGAGCTGTCGTACGGCGCTCGCGATACTGCGCAAAGCTCAATCTTGTCGCGATTTCTCCAGTCCTATCGGCTCTCCAGCATTCAATGTCTCGGTGCAGCAAGCATGCAGACCTTCCCGGTGGAATGGTGAGGAGGTATTAGCCAGAAAAAAAGACAGTCGCCAGATTAATGAATGAATGGCTGGCAAGTGTTTATGTCGAGTCAGAAAATTACGTAAAGCTGAAGAGATGATCCTGGCAACAACTCGTACGGAGAGTCCATTGCAGAAGAGCATATGAACAAAAGCTGCTTTCTCAATTTCTACTAGGCCACTTTTATGCTTTGAAATCATTCTGCTTCGAGTACACCTATGTCTCTGTCCACAAACTCGATTACTTCGAATCGCAATCAACACTACACACTGCTCTACGTTTCTCTCTTTTTGATTCTCTGCTTGAGGGGTGGGGGTCTGATCTCTTCTGGCGATAAATTGAGGTTGAAGTATCTGTTCGGCCGCGAGATTGAGATTTGGTCCTGCTTTTGGCGAAGTGAAAGTCGTACATCCATCCTTATGAGGGAAGAAGAAGGAGGGCGGGTATGTCGATAGATGGTATCGTGAGACGTTGCTCGAGGTTAGGAAAAAAAAAACGAAAATTTGAATGCAAAGGTCGTAATGTAAAAGAAGATGCAAAAGGACGAGACAGGAAACGGAGATCATGACAGTGTCGAATAGAGGAACAGGTTATTGGTGGCGGCAATGGCAATGGTGTTTTCTCTCGGGTGCCAGCTGGCGTGAAGCTTGATAGTTAGCGGAAGAGCCCCTACAACTGTCTCACTATCTTCTTAGCGAAGTCAATGTTTTCCGTCTGCAATCCCTCCTTCTTGCCTGGCGCCTTGCCTCGAGCACCTCCAATCTTCTTCGCTTTGAAGGCAGATTTGTCGGCTTGAAGAACGACATCGTTGTCTCCGTTGACATCGTAGATCCGGAAGTAATTTTGATATGACCCAGTGAGCACTTGGCTACGAGACGCTCAGCTTCGCCACACTTGATGACTCACTTGCCATCACCGCTGAACGTGCACTCAAACTTGTCGAAAATGCAGTCATTCTCGTACAGGTCGCAAAGCTTTTGTCTGAGGTGATCATGTATGTTGATTGTTTTCACTGGCTTATTTTCCATTGCGATATCCCAGATTTTCAACGTGAGGTAATCGCGCGACAGGATATACCTTCCGTCACGGGAGAACTTGACGTCAGAAATGGAAGAGATAATTTCGGAGAAGAAGGATTTCTGGGACGGGTCCTCCTCCTCTTCAAATTCTGAAGGCGTCAGAGTGGCTGGCGTGCTGGACTCACGTTTTGCGTGCTGATCACATAACGCGGACTCTCTCATATCGGCGAGTTTAATCGTTCCCTTTGAGCTCGAGTACATGAAAAGGTTGCAATGTATGGGATGGAATTCGGCGGCGGTGATGACCTCGGTCAGTTCTTCCATGTTGACAGGTTTGATGTCGACGATGTCTGTGTGCGATGTCAGCCTGATGGATTCGCGCTCCGGTGTTCTTGACTCACTGAAACTCTGGTCGCTGATATTCAGGTTCCACAGATTGATCCTCAAATCGTCAGCAGAAATATATGTCTCGCCGTCCGAATTGACTGATATAGAGTTGATGTGATAGGCGTGGGCATTGGCATACACTTTCCGAGGGACAGCGGCAGTGATGGAGTCATGTGTCGTCATTCTAGGAAGTCGTAACGGTGGACCGGATGGGCCTTGACCGCCCGCTTGAAAGCCATCGGAATGATTGTTTTCAGCAACCATCTTGATCTGCTTATCGAATACCTTCCACAGCTTGATCGTTTTGTCTGAGGGTTGCAGAAGGTCAGTAAAGTATCACGCAGTACCGATCGACTTACCGTTCGTACTGAGCAAGAAATGGGCTGCGTTCTGTCGCTTTATCCACTTGATGCGATTTATCTTCTCTTCGATCTCTAGTGATTTCAGATAGTCGAACTCTGGTTCATGGGATTGAAACTGAGAGTCAGCGCAAGATCACGATCAAAGGCTCACCTCTGTGTAAAATTTATATTCGCATCCACGTTTCTACAAGTCAACAGGACGAATGTGGTGAATGACTCACCTGCTCATTCCGCTCAAACAAAACCACTCTACCACCCTTATCCCCGGTTGCCAGATAGTCGCCTGTATGATCAAACTCCACCGTTGAAATGATGTCGGCTATGACAGTCAGCACATGGCTCTGCCGCAGACCCTCACCCTCTGTGATATCCTCCACCTCCCCCTTGTCTCCAAAGCACTGGGCGAAGCGCCATGGAGAAGTGGATTCGGCCTCCATGGGAGCAAGCAAAACGCGATGCAGGGGATTATCCAATCGCCCGCCTTTCTACTGATCTACTGAATTAGGGATTTGCCGGTCACTGACAGCGTATGAAAGATGGTGATTACCCAGAGGTGCGTCCCTCCGGGGCAGAGGAGAAAGGGACGTCAAAGGGGAATTGGGAGGCGCGCCGATTTGAAGGAATTGTTGAGTCTCGTGTGAGCGCTGAGGGCTTATGTTTGTAGGGTGGTTTACGGTGTCTTGAATGGCCCAGTGAGGACGGTCCAAGACTCTGCCTGAAGTATGTTGTTGACGTGTCCAAACGACTAATGCGGTATGAAGTTGATGGCCATGAGATGTAGACAGTAGGATCCACCTTGGATTTCTCGGTCCATGAGGAGTGTTATGCGACGATTGGAATTGGAGACACGCGCCTATTTGCCACACAATTTCTACCTCACGCCTATATCTGCTCAGGGAATCAAAACCTCTTTCGTCGGTCTTCTCATTGCATCTCTTTCGCTATCATACTTCCTGTCAACAGATCACACAGTCCCTGAATCATGCCCATCGCACCTATCGTTGGAAAGGTGAGCACAAGCGTGGGGATGTGTGGCTTACATATAGCTCCGAAAGAGGCTGATCTTGGATATTTCCACGGCGTGAGGAGAAGGACTAGGGGACGGGGCACTGATGATTCACAGCTTCGGACTTGGTCTGACTGCTGGATACGGGTACTGGTGAGTCTCATTCTGTGTGCTAGGCTATCTTAATGACTTGTGATCAGGTACGGAGTTCACGTTCCTTCCGGTGAGTGGGGAATGCGCCGGTTACCAGGATTCTTGGCTTTGGAGCAAATAACCTCAAGCTGACACCTTGATTAGCCCGACAGAGGGACGAGTTCTACCGCAGACTGGAGGAGCAGAAGAACTTGGCCGCTTGATTTCTTTTTGAAGGCTGTAAACAGGATGGAGTTATGAATGGGTTGCCTCCCTCTTGATAATGGGCTCAGAGGGCATGACGTCTACGACCGCTCGACCAATCAGCAGGGATGGAAAGATCCAGGGATGTCGATTCCACGCTATAATGACTCTTTCCGGACTCGAGACGGCGTATGCGAGGCTGAGAAGCTTTCTAGGGGAACTGACTGGCATTGATATCTTTGACACGGCCTCTGACAGTCAGATTGCGTCACTGCAGTTACCCTTCCTTACACTTACAACTCCTCAAGTCAGGAGTCGTTCAAAGGACAGGCCATCCTCAACTTATATTCTGTATCTTAATCCGTCTTGAACACTCTTCATCCAGCGAGTCCACCCTGTACGCCATGGCAGCGGGAAGGTCAACCTCTCGGTCAAGGAAGATACCGAATGGAGCTCCTCCGGAGGATAAGCACTCTGCTCACTCTAATTACGCCAAAGCTACTGTTGACCGGGAGGCTGGCCAAGATTATCATATCGCTGGACCGCATGTCCAGCTCGACCGATCAGATCATGCTCTTTACACTGTCGATCACCACATCAGACAGGCCCTCCAAGCAATGAAACATGGTCATACCAAGGTGAGTCTGATGAATCGAATGGCCCTTTACTTTAGCCATTCCTCAAAGCTTTTCATCATGTCTTAGAAGAGTACAAGAGGCTAGATAAGAGTCGGTCATCGTCCTATAGAGAGCGATTCCAGAAGCATTGCTCCATCGAAGTGCGTTCAAAACCGATCACAAAGCTAAACCCGCAGAGCAATGCAGACGCACCCAGACTCCGTACCGGAAGATACACCACCCTCCTATGGCTGGTCAAAGTCTATGCGAAGCTCTTTGGAGGACTAGTTGAAATACCCGTTTGCGTCCGTCTACTGTTCCTCTTGCTGAGCTCTGTCAGTCTTGCGCTTCAATCATGTCTCGCGGTGGTCCACGCCCTCGGATGGGTCTCACACAATTGTGCAATCAGTTGCCAGTCTTCGGCGCTCCGGTCAACACTATCTTTGCCATTCTGATATATACCCTCATCCCATTCTACATCGGTCTGCCTTTTGGATCGGAAGTAACCATCTACGGGACTAGGCTGTACGCGGGATTCTGGGGGTAAGCACGAAGGAGCGATTGTCACTGAGGAGAGCAGCTGGCTGGGTCCTCTAAGCTTCTTTCTTGGCGCGTGGTTCAAAGCGTCGGAGATTCAGCCGGAGCTCTTTGCGGCTCATTTAATCGAGACTTGGATCCACCTCCTTGCAGAAACGGAACAAGATGAACTGTCAAGTGATGGATCGTACGCGAGTGAGGGCTTGTCGAGAATATTCTTCAAAGCAAGTCAAGGTCAGGTGCAAGATGTGACGTACCCGAAATCTTTCCGTAGAGCAGTATGGGGTGATATATAGATATGAAGCATACGATCGTCGAATGGTATACGAGCAACAAAGGCTGAACGACCAACTTCATCGGTATTCGGGGGCTGCAGAAGGTCTTTCAACCCAGTACCATCCTTTAACGCAAATGCCACCTCCACTTTTGATGACCACATCTGCGCGTCTCAGAGTCGAATGTTTGTGTTCAGCCTACACCATGATCAATCCATACGCAATCCGGCAGCTACTGCGGCCGGCGCACGTTGACGATGTGAAAGTCGTCCTCGCTGTCAGTAACGACTGTATTGCTAGTGGCTCGAGAGACGGATCCATTGGCATATGGAAATTGGAGACTACAGATGAAGAGGCAGGGAGCTCCAGTTCTTTTCAGCTCAAGGCACTCCTTGGAGGACATGGGGCGTACGTCAACTCACTGGCATACATTCCAAATGGTGATCCTTCCTCGGCATACATAGCTTCTGGCGGGAACTCAACCATGATCTTGCTTCACTCGCTTGAAACTCTAGATCCCGAGTCAACGCACGCCTTGCTTGGACACTCGCTCAACGTCTGTACATTGAGCTATAGCCCTCAAAGGTCCCGTCTGATTAGTGGAAGCTGGGATAAGACGGCGAGAGTGTGGAAGAAGCATGATCTTATCGATCATGATGAATCAAATGAGGCCCTGTGGGCTACAGAGCTACTTCTGGAAGGGCACGTTGAAGCCGTTTGGGGCGTTGCGATAGTGGAGGAAGGACCTAAGGCGGGTCATTATCTGACAGGTGAGGCTTGTGATCCTTGTGAGCTGACCCTAGGATCTGGTGGGATAATGTTGTCTCTATCATTAGCTGATCTCAGCGGACCGTCTGATCAATCTGTGGGATCCTTCTGGTAACATGCTCCTGCGTATCAAAGGATCCCCTGAACCCGTCAGGAGTATCAGCATGGATGGCAACACGTTCATCAGCGCGTGTAATGATGGGTACGTCGTGGCATATGCCAGGCTAATGATAGGCTGGTCCGGAGATGGGACATGACGGGGAGCGTTTTACAGATATACAGAGGCCACACGGACTATGTCTATCACGTCGTTGCGCGAGATGGCCAGATCGTTTCTTGCGGAGAGGATCACTCCGCGGTGAGAGCCCGCTGTGCGAACGAACTGACTTTCAGAGAGTATGGGCATCTGAGCCGGAAGCCCGAGTGTTGCTCCATCCCTGCCAAAGCGTGTGGAGTGCTGACATCCTACCGAACGGGGATATCGTCACAGGCGGATCTGATGGAGTCGTGAGAGTATGGACCGCAGATTCGGGGAGGACAGCCACGGAAGAGGCGCAAAATGTGAGGAATGCTGGGGAGACGGTGACTGACTCCAGGCCTACGAGCTTGAAGTTGAGGAGGGGATGAAGTGAGTTGGCGCCCTCAAACTTGGCTGACGCGAAGACTGTTCAAACAGGAGAAGGTGGCTGATGCAACATCGGCAAATGTCACGACCAAGTCGCCGCAAAGTCTCACGATCGATATTGACATTAGGCGAGTATATGGAAAAATGGAGCTGATGCTCAGTGATGACGCCGATCCTATACCCTTGACAATCTCCGTTGGCGGTGGGTCTCGCTAGTGTAAACGCCAATGACGATCAACCAGACGATCCAAGCCAAATCGCTACCCGCTTTGGCGCTGAGCACGGACTATCAGATGACTACATCCGGCAGATCACTGAGTTCATCGAGCTTCATCTGCAGCAAATGCAATGAACTTTTGCAGGCCTAGCTTCCACGGTAGGTAGTATAGGAGAACGGACTGAGAAGGAGCGGAACATGATAATGTTGGTCTGGATTGGAGAAACGGAATGTGATCTGAGAGCGGGGATCAGTCATGTCCTCGGTACTTAGCGCTCACCTCGACCACCGGGAAAAAGGTCTCTACGCCTCTTGATTCAAAGTATGCGCCAGTCTGGAAGACCATCTTGTACACTCCTTTGGCGACTTGAAAAGTTGGTTCCAGCAGGCTAGAGCACCGTCCATCCGCATCGGTTACGCTTGGACTCAGCATTCTCCATGAGGAGCTCACCACTCACCCTGACGCCAAGGTTGACGGTAGAGCTGCAGACGTCACGGAATCGTCTAGCGGATCCAGTGATAGACATTCCAGAGTACATGCTACACCTTGTGCTGGTTTTCCGATGGATGAGTCTAATACTGAACGGATGAGCTTGGACCTCGTGCTGGCTAGGCTCACCGTGGCAGGTGATGGGCGATTTAGACATCGTCAGCGGCCGAATGTCACCAGGGGGAGAGGGGGCAAGGGAAGGAGGCGGGCGGATGTCTGACTCTGTCCCGCCTTCAAATCGCACCGAGAAATGTTCGGAGTGGGATTAGTTGCCAGACCAGGCGATAAGATAACGCCCTCTGGCTTCGTTTGAGGTCATTCCATGACGTAATCAACCTCGCAGTTCTTTTCTTTGTGAAAAGTCCCCGCGGACTCTCATTTCATTTAATGTTCTCGGCAGCTCCGTTGACGACCTCTTTTATTCGACACTACCGCAGTCAACCGCAGTCTTCATGTGACATCTTGGGGACCTCGCTCGATCTCAGGAGCGACTCAACGTCCTTCATCTCTTGCTGAGAACTCGAGTGCTTGCCTAATCAAACCCCGCCCGACAGCTGCCCCATCCCTTGCCTCGGTGATCGGATCTTTTGAGCCGCGATCCGCCATGTCAGATCGCGCAAGCGGGAATAGACCCTCGCGCGAGCCTCTACTTCGAGCACAAACGAATCTCCATGCTATGCCTGTACCTCGTCCTTCACTCGCACCACGGAGTCTCACAGCCGATGCCAAGAAGCGACCGACGCGGATCATCCGAACATTTGAAGAGGTCGCTGTCGAGGTGGAGAAAACGGTCATGGCTGAATCATGGTACGAAGAACTAGAATGTGGAATTTGTTCGAGTATCCTCGGAGCACCTCATGCTCTTGTCCCTTGTGGTCATTCGTTTTGTGGAGCATGTGCGTGGCAGTGGATCAAGGTCAATCAGAATCTCACTTGTCCACATTGTCGGGTGGAAGTTTTTGAAGGGACTCCAATCGTCCCCAATATCATGGTCGATCAAATTATCGAGCGGAAGTTACGATCTCTACCTGAGGGAGAGCAAAAAACAGAGCTACTAGCTGAACGGAAAGAAAAGGCAGACGCATGGAAAGCGATCCAGCGGGAACAACCTCCTGCAAAACCTGCTAGGCGACCCAGAGGGTTCGGAGTAGAAGATATCATTGGATTCTTTGACGCTCCGGAGAATAGTCGACGGCTCGCTGCGCGTCATATTCCGGAACTGGGGGCGCAGATACCTGGACAAAGACGAGCCGCTCAGCTGCAGTATGGAGGGATGAACCTTGGTGAGATCCGACGAGCTGAGGCAGAAGAAGATGCCATGGTCAGACGGATGGAAATTAGGCGCTTGAGAGAGGCAATGCTTCAAGCTCAAGATGTTGGCGTTTTGACCGAAGAGCCGACGGAGATCGATTCCACCGCACAAGAGAGAGAGCAGGGAACGCCTCGGAGATGGCATAGACTGGCAAGTCGAGCTCCACCAACACCTTTTGTGCCCGATCCCGTTCGACGCTCCGGTATTTCCTCTACAGCACCATCTGATTCACCGACCCTCCACGGCCGACCTACTCCCGTGAGATCTTCAGTGTTCGCCGCACGACAAGCTAGAGCGAGGGGTAGTCAGACCAGAGAATCGACAACGATTGGCCTAGTCAGCGACGAAGATTGACATCACGTTGTAGATGTATGTTCCCTAACGATCTGAGATGATAGGATCCTGCTACGGTATGACACTCTTAATTATATGCATGGCGAGAATCATCAAATGGCTACAGTACAGGTGGAAGGGGAGAAAACGTCCATGTCATTGATTATAGTTTGGAAGGGGTCGGTGGATGGTCAACAGGCGGATCCTCCATGTATCGGACCATCTGATATTCTTTGTGCTTGAAGCTAGCAAGTCAGTAAGTTGATCGGAGACATTTGACCCACCCGCATTTCTCGTAAAAGGCTATATATGTGGTCAGCTTTGACTGCCACAGTGACCTACGGATGTTCTCCTTGTTGCAATCCAGGATAATCTTATAACAGCCCATGGCGCGTCCGATACCCTCGAGCGTGTTGATGATCTTCAAGCCCAGCTTTCTCCCTTGCATCGACTTGGACACGGCAATGTCTTCGATATGTCCAATCATGCCTGCTGCGCGGGTGAACTTTCGCTCAACGATGATGGAACCGCAAGCCACGAGCTGATGACCATTAGCGATGCCCTATTAGGGTTTTGGCTTGCCTGATCTGTCTGCTTGGAGACGATCACAACTGTGAAGTACGTGTTTGGGCATGATTGTAGATTCCGAAAGGTTTCTGAAGGTCAGTAGTGGCTCTGGCAATTCGCGACGTACTGGCGTAGACGATGGGCGAGACCGGAGGCGCTATAGTCAATATTGATAAGAGGTCAAAGTGCCCGCGCGAGTGATCGGTCGAAGCGAGTGGGCGTATCTGCGAGTGAATCAGAGGGTTCGGGCACGTCTGCTCACCGTCAAATCAGCATCCAGCTGTTGTCTTGCCGACTCTGGGATGAAGCTTGGATCGAACAAGAGATCCAACTCCCTTTGATCTTGGGTCATCTCCAGGGCATGCGGAAGGCTTGGCTGCATGAAACGCGGTGGATAATAGTCGAGAGGAGGGGGACCAATAAATGTCGCAGGTGTGCTTTGTGGTAGCTTCTGATAGGGGTGTGTAGCTGCTGTCAGACCTTGATACAAGATCCGCAACCACGATCGCAACCCCGGTCGCCGTCGAATTGACTTTTGTGTGGTTCAAAATATGAACTTGTGGCTTGTTGAAACTATTTGATAGCGATTGACGCAATTTCTGAAACAAAGGTGTGCACTGCTAATTAAGAGGGGGACCATTTAAACACTATTCCTCCTTGGCCACTGAATAATAATAAACGTCGAGATTTCGCTGAGATGCGCTTGATGGACTGACCATCCATACACCATGCCACGGCGAAAGAATGACTACATGTCGGATGGCGGATCTGACTCGGATGCCAGTGAACCTTCGGGATCGGACGAAGAGTTCAACTCGGATGCAAATGAAGATTCTAGAGCTGAACGTAGACTTTTCGAACAGGGCTCGAAGCGGAGGAAAGTAGCTAGACGTGGTAAGGAAGCTGCCTGGGAGGGCATTTTTGGAGAAGGTGATGGAGAGGGAGGAAGAAGAGCTAGAGGACTAGGTGCTCGCAATGGATCAGGCGCCGGCAGGACCACTAAGTGAGCTTATCGCATCGACACAGCTGATCACCAGAGCACCATCATTCGTGCCGAAGAGTTCTGCTCCAGCGGTTCAAGAGGTAGAATTACAACGTGGAGAGGATCCAGAAGAGGAGTCATCTAGGGAAATAGAATCAGGGAAATCGGATGAGGACGAGGACGAAGATGAGGATGAGGACGACGAGGACGAGGACGAGGACGAGGACGATTCGGACGCCCGACCGCCGTCCCCTCGAATTAGGGAGACGGACTACGACGATGAGCCTGTCACTCGTACCGGTGGTATAGGTTCTGCCAAAGCAGTCGCACCTCCCCCGCCTGTCTCGGGACCTTCTCGTGGTGGTCGTGGAGGATTAGGCTCCTCGAAGCGTGGTGGTAGAGGTGGTATCGGATCTTCTCGAGCAGCCGCTGAGGAAGGTGCTGAGTCTCATGGTGGACTCGGCTCAAGCAGAGACACCTCCCATCACGTCGATGAATTTTCCGAGGACGTGAAGGACTCTTCCCGCAGTGCTTTCGGGCGGAAGGCTCCTGAACCTGAGCCTGAAGCTGGACCTTCAGATTACGCACGGGCTCAGCAGAGCTTCAAAGGACGAAACGGCGCCGTGCCCGCTGTTGGAACGAAAAAAGTAGAGCTCACAGCTCAGGAGAAAGCGCATTTCAACCGGATCGACAAGCATTATGGTATCGCTGCAAAAATGTTGGGGAATATGGGTTGGAGTGCAGGAGAAGGATTGGGTAAAGATCGCTCGGGTCGAGCTGTCCCTGTGGAAGTCGGTCGTGTGATGCGGGGTCAGGGTATCAGATCAGGGACGAGGACAGAGGATAGCAAACGTGAAGCTAGGCGAAGAGGAGAGATCGTTTCGGATTCGGAGGAGGAGAAACCGAAACGGCGAGGAGTGAAAGGTTCCAAACCAAACCGCACGGAGGAAGATATGGGAGACAGCTGGAAAAAGCAGAGAAAAGTCAAGGTCAAGGTCGAGCATAAGACGTACGAGCAATTACTGGCAGAGGCAGGAGAAACGCAACAGGTCGGATTGGTCATTGATGCGAGAGGAGGGGAGGTGAATCACATACTCAGAGGTTGCACTGACATGGATAGCTCAAAGAAGTGCAAGGGATATCCTCCTTGTCACTGTCCAGTTGGACGCCAACTTCGGACGCCACTCAATTGCCCGAACTCCGACACAATCTTCGTCTCGTTGTCGATGAGGCAAAGATACATGTCGACGCTTTGGCCAGAGAAGGAAAGGCGGTGAACAAGAAGCGACGATGGGCTCTTCGAGAGGAACAACTGGCTAAGAGGCGTATAGACGAGACGACGAGTCGTGAGTTGGTCTCCCTGTGGGCTTAGCTCACTCTTAGGCATAACTCGATTGGAGCGATTGACGACGACTGTCGCTACGATTGCCAAGCTCGCGGCAGAGGAGGGATCCAAAACGAGCCCCGATCTGGATTCGTTTACAGAGTGCTTCAATACACTGATCGGCGACGTCGAGTACAGGTCTCTAGCCATGGACGAGGTGATCGTCGGTGCTATCTCTCAAGTTGTGAGTCGTGAGCCTCGATGATCACTCATAATTCAGTTGCGCCGGCAATTCGCAGACTGGCAACCTTTCGAATCGTCCGACAAGCTATTACCCGCTCTCACACGGTGGAAGAAAGCGTATAACCTTAAGACGGAGGAACAAGCTCTGGTCACTGATCGTGTGCCATCGCACTCAGCAGAAGTAGTCATGACGCCTTGGGAGAGCCTGCTCTGGAATGTCTGGCTTCCAAAAGTGCGGTCCGCCATCAAGTGAGTCATTCCTGACCTAATGCTGCTGATACTCAGTAACGACTGGGATGCCAGACATCCTGAGAAGCCTGTGCAGCTTTTAGAAGCTTGGAAGCCCTTGCTTCCACCCTTTGTACTTGACAATGTCCTTGATCAGCTCATTCTGCCCAAGGTCCGCTCGTCTATCGACGAATGGGACACCAGACGTTCCGGTGGTAGGAGCCGATCACTCGCTACGATCGTCTTTCCCTGGCTGCCATTGCTTGGTGCGAGGATAGAAGAAGTCTTGGAGCTCGCCAAGAGAAGAATCAGACATGTCCTGCGTAAATGGGTTGTCAGTGATGGCATCCCTCAAGAGCTCGAGCGGTGGAAGAAGGATGTAAGTGTCTTGGATAGCAGCATTGCTGACCCGTCAGATCTATTCTTCGAAGGAATGGGACGAGCTCATGCTCCGCAACATTGTTCCCAAGCTCGGTGTCTGTCTGCGGGACGATTTCTCCATCAATCCTCGGAAACAAGATATGGTCCCGCTCGAAGATTGGGTGTTGCCATGGCATAAGCTCATCCGCGCCTCGACGTTTTGTCAACTGCTCGAGGTCAATTTCTTCCCAAAGTTTTTGGACACATTATACATTTGGTTGATACAGCCTAATCGCAACGGTGACGAGATCGCTTCCTGGTTCCTCTGGTGGAAAGGGCGATTCCCAGAGCCTGTTCTGGACATGCCAGGGGTACAATATGGCTTCAAGTCCGCACTTCAGCTCATGGATCAAGCTTCGCAGCTCGGGGTGGAAACTCCCAGTAAACTTGCCAAACCAGTGTTCACACCCCTTCCACCGAAAACGTCATCCTCATCCAGGTCAAAATCCAAGCACACTGCAATTTCTGCGGCTCCTCAGCCTACAATGGACATGGAGATCACCTTTCGATCCCTCGCGGAAGATTATGCCACTCAAAACGACCTCATTTTCGTACCACTTGGCAAGTCGAATGCTTCGACCGGCAAGCCATTGTTCCGCGTCGCGAAGAATGTCACTGGAAAAGGTGGTATCACAATCTACGTTGGAGAGAATGCCGTCTTTGCTCAGGGTGACGACGGGACTTTCAGAGCAGTGTCCTTGGAGGATATGGTAAAGAGGGCTAGTGCGTAATAGTCTTCAGGGGTGTCAGACGCTCCTCTGTCCTCTGTACTGTATGCACGAGCAGCGCTCGCGCCGGCATCTGGGCAAGCCCACTCTGTCGAGGCATATTTCAATCCGCGTCCGATTCACTATGTGTTTATCTGGGTGAGCCTGTCGGCCTATCAGACACATTGCTATGTGCGGTGCGGTCAACGACCGAAAGCGCGGAGCGAGCAGGAGGGAGAACATGCCAACAAGCCATTGACCAGAGCTTGGCAAATCCTGTTTGTCATCCCGATGGACATACCAAGATGTTGTGAAAGCTCTATGAAACATGGTGCATGAATCATCTCGTCAAAGACAGGAAATGTGTGTGATTTTTGCAGAATACAAGCTACGTATCGATACTTCTATAGTTCATGAGGTCTAAAATTTCGTGCTTCCCAGCCACGTCCCGTGGTCAGTCTCCTTCCGTTGTTTGTGGCCCTAGTGGACTGTCTCCATCTCGATCTGAGTTTCGCCATTCACACCTTCCAGGACCAGCTCAGTACACGCTCCTTCTCGGGTCTTTTCGGTGACCGGAACCTCTAACCAGTCATCCCCTTGTCGACGCGAGACCTTGACCTTGCCTTGGAAAGTCGTGCCTGAAGGCAGGAGACAGTGATATCCGTGGTTCATGGTTGGGAGGTAGAACCTGATGTAAGATCGGATCTGGACTCGCTTTTCCAATGGAGTCAAAAGAGGTGAGGGAACAAGGTCTCGGGCGGAGGATCCGGTATTTGTCGGTGGTATAACCGTCAAAAGGGACAGGGGTTGCTTGAGTGGAGTTGTCATCCCATCCGAGAGACCACCGGTGATTGACGTCGATCGAGACATGTCCGCCTACAGTCAGTGATGAAAAAAGCAGAGGGCGACTCACCTGAATCAGAGGGGTCGTCTCATCAGGCTCGACCGGAGTCCTCGCACCGGAATCCGTCTCGTCATCGTCCGCTCCGTCTCCGTGAGCAGGGGTCACTCGCCTCGTCGAACTGGGTCCAAAACCAAGAGTCGACAGGAAAGCGTGCAGCAGGTTGACAAGGAAGCGACTGACAAGTCGGAGTATCCACCATGAGGATTTATTGCTCACAGGCTCGACTTCACGTACATGCTCGTCTTCCAGTTCAGGAATCGATTCCGTATGAAAGCTGAATTGCTCGCCTTCGGAACCGTGGTCTTCTTCCTCCAAAACCTCCCTTGTTTCAGCGGGCAGTTCGGGAACACCAGAGTCGACTTCCTCCTCTCCCGCTTCGATGGAGGTTGCGCCAGGTATGCATACCCAGATTGGTTCTGCGTCACCTGTTCCGCGGAGTTGAAGGAAAGGGTGAATGCCAATGAGGTGGACGACAGCCTTTCCAGGAGGGATCCAGACGTTGAGGTTGTTGCTGCTTGTGCTGTCCTCCATCACGACATGATGATTGCCTGACTTGGTGATGGCGGCGACCATGTGACCGTCCTCAGACACTTTCGATACCTCGACCGAGATGGTGCAAGAAGAACGCCTCGAAGATGCGAAGATACCGAGCCATGTCCGGCCTGCGTCCGAATCCGAACCCTTCTCGGTTTTGTTGATATGAAACGCCGCAATGTTAGGCTGCTCCTGCACGATATGAACTCCAGCAAAGAGCGTAGATGCGCTATCCGTGATCGCACTTGAAAGAGCCGTCTGTGCTGAAGGGTAGAATTGCTGAATCTGGTCGAAATGAGATCCCGGATCCAGTCTGAAGCCCTCTGATGCCGACGAAGTGACGAACCCGTAGGTAAGATGCGGTGAGAGGGCATCTCCTGAGACTGGTGACTCGTTCAACCGATAGAATGAATGTGTTCGAGGTTTTCTTGCAGCCGCGACGAGATGCGCGGAGATAGCTTCGCTGGTGGGCAGAGTGTGCACCGAGATCGAGCTCGAGCTGTTCAGAGATGAGCAAGTGTTGAATGGTGGTCCTCACCTTGCATCCGGCAGACACACAGCCAAGGCCTCCTGGTCGTAATCCGCCACGCTCCCTTCATGACTTTTTTCCACCTTGATGAATCCATTACCTCCATCCCAGCCTAACCATTGCACTTCGCCATTCTCCATGACCCTGCGGAACGTGTATGACCAATTAGATCCCTCGTTCGCCTCAATCACCCCACGAGCCGTCATGGTGACACACGCCGCAGAGTGTTCCTCCTTCTCGGCATCCAGATACAGTACATTTGAGGATTCCCCTTGCATCAGTTGAGCGTTGTCCGTCTCATTCGCTACCACCTTGTCAAACTTCATGCCGTGCCAAGCACCGTCATCCATCATTCGCTTGCCGTGCTCATCGACAAGAGCCAAGTCTGTCCAAATCTCCCATTGACCATTGGTGTCCTCGCCCTCTTGGAAGACTATCTCAAAAGTGAGATGAGCATACTTTGCTTCTGGGGCGTCGTGAGAAAGTTGGATAACAGTGGTGGTTCCAAGCGAGGGGTGGAATGTGGGCATTTTGATGCGACTTCAGAGTCGCGACTGCTGCAACAAGCTCAGCTCTGGGCTTCTTGCTTCGTCAACGTCAACGAGGAAGTCTATGGTAGTTGGAGCAGAATGACAACGAGTCAAAAGTTCTCAAAAGATGCGGATAGTTCATCAACGTGTGGGAAAATAATAATCAAAAAAACCTGAGAAAAACACGGAGCATACCCCAGAGAGAGACGTCAGCTGATGAAACGAATGGAGCCCCACATGACGAGATACCATGACGTGGCAATATCGATGGGGGGTTGGTCTGTCGGATCCGAGAGATCTTTGTATGATCATCTTGAAAATGCTCTTGACCATTCATTGCCAGGTTCCACATTGACTGACCACTGCTCACGGCGGAAACTATCAAGATGGGTGTTCTCGAGAAGATTGAGGAGATAGAGAGTGAGTCTTACACTACTGAGGGTATCAAAGGCTGATACACTGCTCCTTCCCATCGCAGAGGAGATGTCGAGGAGTGAGTCTCAGCGAGCGGCTACCGGCTTTTGAATTAACTCTGGTACCTACAATAGCGCAGAAGAAGTGAGTGACCGCTAGCAAAGAGTTTGGTCCTTACTGAAACCCAATCAGTAAAGGTAACGTCTCCTATCGATTGCCGCTGCAGGCCATTGATCCTCGCTAGCGACGGAGTATCACCTGGGACAACTCAAGGCCAAATGTCAGCTCATATGTAACGCTAGTTTGCTCATCAGCTGACGGGAGACATCTGTAGTGGCCAAATATCGGGCACAGCTACTGGAGCCAGAGAAGAAAGGTGCCAAAGGGGAAGGCTTCGATGTTCTAAAATCCGGAGGTGTGCCCTGTGGACGACTTGAGCTGACCATGTCCAGATGCTCGAGTCTGCCTGATAGGATTTCCGTCCGTCGGGAAATCGACCTTGCTTTCGAAGACGACAAAAACGGAATCAGTGACGGGAGCTTATGAATTCACGACCTTGACCGTAAGCTTGTCGGAAAGGAGCCCGGACTGATCCGCTGTAGGCGATCCCAGGAGTTTTAGAATACGAAGGTGCTCGAATTCAATTACTTGATCTTCCGGGAATCGTGCAGGATGCCGCGAAAGGTGAGAGACTATGATGTTATTCAAACTGACCCTCGCAGGACGTGGACGTGGACGACAGGTTGTGGCGGTAGCCAAAACAGCAGATTTAATCATATTAATGAGTATGTACCGTCTCCTGTAATCAGATCTAATCCCGGATAGTCGACGCTACCAAGTCTGCTGAGCAGAAGAGGCAGTTGGAGACGGAGCTTGAGGCAGTCGGTATCCGGCTGAATGCCAGGCGACCCGATGTCGTATTCAAGCCCAAGTCCGCAGGAGGAGTGAGTGGAGCAAGACTGTAGGCGCACTGACTCGATCCAGGTCACTGTGGGTCACTTCCTGGAGACTGATCCAAACCCCTGATCTTTTAGGTCACAATCACTGTCAAACTGACAAAGACTGACGAGCGGACGATCAAGAGTATATTGCAAACCTACAGGAGTGCGTTCAGCCTGCAGGATCAAGAGCTGATTGACACAGTACACAATTGTGACGTGGTGGTCAGGGAGGATGTGTGTACTATACCGGCCAAAAGATATTCTCAAACTGATCAGTCTTCCAGATAACAACGGATGAGTTCATCGATGTGCTCTTAGGTCAGTTTTTTAATCAACGTTCGCTGCTGGGACTGACTCCTTTGGCAGGAACGAGGCAGTATATCCCTGCCCTCACCGTCATTAACAAGATTGACGGTGTATCCATGGAGACATTGGATAAGATGGCTCGTGAGGGCGATGGAAAGACCGTGATGATCAGTTGTGAGATGGATCTGGGTCTGGATTGGTTGCTGGAACGTATATGGCAGGTGAGTCCCTCGCTTTCTTGGCTCGTGATTTGCTCTGACCGAACACGCAGGAGCTGGGGCTCGTAAAGTGAGGCATGAAGTGAATGATTCGACTCATACCGCCGCCAGAGTGTACACGAAGAAACGTGGTGAAATCCCCGATCTATCTGACCCAATCTGTTTGCGACAAGGAGCGACCATCGAGACTGTCTGCCACGGTATTCATCGGAGTCTGGCCTCGCAGTTCAAGTATGCTCTGGTATGGGGAAAATCTAGCAAATTCAATCCCCAACCGCAAAAAGTCGGATTGACCCATTTGGTCCAGGACGAGGACGTGTGAGTTGATCCAAGCATAACGAAACTTGGTTGTAGCTGAACGAGTCACAGTGTCAGCATCATCACCAAGTAGCGCGTCTTCATGCTGAGATCACCTGTTGTATTTATGTATGTTTGAGCACCATCTCTGCTTGTATCGATCGATGCATTATGATACATGAAGGAGTGGCATCGCGAGCCAAGCAAAACAGTAGGCAACATACACGAATTAAGAATGTCTCTCAATATCTCTTTGAGCAGTGGTTATTTTTTCAAGGCGCTCGCCCTCCTTCGGTTTCTACACCTTTAGATCCGCCATGATCTCCCTGATCGCTCCGATCCTCTTGTCGACATCTTCAAACTGGCTCAATGCCAGACCCGCCTTACGGTCCGCCTCCTCGCTGCTTTTCACCACCTCTGCGCGAGTCTCTACGGCCTTTCTGAATCTCTCTCGAAGGTCCCAAGCGCCGATACGCATGACTTTGCGCACTTCTCCACTGATTCGACTAGAGACTGCTTCAGGAAGAGGTATCAAAGACGCGTCGCTCTCTTCCGCTCCAGACGTAACAGACAGCGTAGCGTGTAGATGACGTCCGACATTGCGAGGGATGGAGCGAGGAAGTTCGTAAATCACGTAGGCGACCGCTCCAGCTGCCATCACCCCGATGATGGGCGCGATCCATTTCCTTGCAGATGGATTGGAAGCGAGCTCCGAGACATGAACCACATTCTCCACTAAAGATCGTATGCCAGACTTGTTGCCGACGAGCGAGAAGGCACCCACTGCCAGAGACGCCATACCAAGGCTCGTCTCGGGAGAGAAGGAAACTAAATCTGAGCTTTGGGGGGTTTGAGACGGGAGTGTCGATCGAGCGAGGAATAGATGATGCTGAATATCTAGAATGTCGGACAGGTTGACATCGGCCAGCTTGGGTTGCTTTGCGAGTCCAAGTCCAACTTGCGCAACTCCAGAATTTCGACGCGAAGGTTTTATTCTAGTCGAGAACATGGCGTTGGGGTTGAACACTCGGTTGGAACGCTCCACATCCAAAGGCAATGACTTGTCACCGATGTCAAAAATGGTGTCGACACCTTGTGTTGTGAGCTTCCGAGCGTCACTTTCGGCGAGCGAGACGACAAAATCGAGAGAAGCGAGCATGACCCGTTTCACCTCTGTAGCATAGTCCCAGACCCCAAGGAGACCGGGGTAGGGAGGTAGTTCCAGATGAGGTGCCGGTGCGGCCATTTCCCCCCGGCTGATTCGCTCCAAACCTCGCTGGATCGCTTGTTTGCTCCTCGATGCTGCCTCTCCTGTCACGCGCTCCTCCTCGTTGACCAGATTCTCCTCCAAACCGTCCTTGCTCTTGTTAAGGGTCTCAAGCTCTGGCTTGACTCGAGATAATTCGTTACGAGCAGCCTCGCGCTCTTGCTTGGCGACCAGAACATTCGCTGAAGCCAAAAGCTCGACATCTGCCAGAAGATGTGTGACGTAGTTCTGAGCTGGGCCGAGTTTGGACTTTGCCCGATTTACCAAGACGAATGATCGGAGCGAGTGCTCCAAATACGAAAATGTCTCGTCAATCTCATCGCCGTCCTCGTCGTTGATGCCCAAGGCCACCTTAGCCGAGTCGACAAAGTGTACGAGATCTGCCGCATCCTCGTATGTCTTTGGGCTGAGCTGCTTGATCTGCTCCAGGACGATTCGGCGGCACTTCTCTTTGTCCTTGATCTGGTCGAATCTGTTGACCACGATAAACAGATGAGCCTTTTCATGACCTGCTTGCCAAATAAACTCCTTGGCTGAAAGGGTGAAGTGATTGGCAGCAGAGACGACAAAGACAACTACGTCGATCTCTTCCTGGCGAGCAAAGTTGGCGGTCGTGATGATCGAGTCTCTGTTGAGGCCAGGCGCATCAATTAGGGAAATATCCACGACGCCGTTGTGCAGGATCGACGGGTTGCTCAGGCCTTCGGAGTGGTCTCGGAGAAAGACACGGAGAGGAGGGCTTGAGGCATCGCTCTCTTCATCAGATACGATTGCTTCGAGCTTGTCGATCGGTTGAACGGTATATGTGGATTTGTCCGAGGGTTCATATTTATCCCCTTGATCCAAGACGTGGATCTCCTCCACATCTCCATTCTCCCTCGCGCTGACAACTTCGACGAACCGTGTAGTGAGTGGCTGTTGGTCGGTCGGCATGACCTCTGGACGCCGCAACAGAGCGTTAACAAGAGTCGACTTTCCAGCGTTGAGATCTCCAGTGACGAGCACTCGTGATTGAGCATCATGTATACGCTTGCGGAGCAAGCTGAGATGGTCCAATGACGCTGATAGGCGATTGTCAAGCAGAGAAGAGATGGAAGATTTTTCCAAATGTGTGATGAGGGTCTTGGCGTGACGAGTCGCTCCGAGATTGAGGTCCAGTTTCAACACGGAGAAATCATCGCTTGCCGTTGAGTGGTTCGTGGATGCATCCACAGGAGGGAAGGAGGGAGATGCTGGGGTAGACGAGTTGACGGTTGTCAATGCTCTGCGAACTGCTTGACGAGAAACGGGTGTGTGCTCAATGACGACATCTACAGATTTTGTCGGCTCATCGGCATAAGTCAGAGTTCGACGATGGGTGGGTCGGGCAGAGCCTGAAACCACGTCAGACAAAGTCCCGAGATGGTGACAAGCTCACCGCTTGAGCTTGATCCCTCTGCTGGTTTCAAGCTGGGATATCTCACAGGCCACTGGTCTCGGTTGAAGTTTTTGAGTCCAGCGACGAGATATTCAGATTGCTCGATCGCCTTGTCCAACCTTTGATTGTTAGTCTGTGAGGAGATAATGACGGTCCTCACCTGTCTCTTTTCTCTTCATAATCCCTCACAACACCATCTGCCGCTTCTCGAGCGAGTCGAGAAGCGAATTCGGAGCCATTCTGAGACTCCTTCTCCACGTGAGTCGAGTCATCTTGAACAGAGGGCGTGTACGCCGATCTTGAAGGAGCGTGAAAAGGCTGCATTTGTGATGTGATGAGTCACTCAGTCTCAGGCGATGGTGCGTGCCGAAATGATTGGGTTCTCAGAAGTCCATTGAGGGTCGCTGAGTCAATCTATGGGCCCAAGAGAAGACGCGAGGTCGATGATGCACCCTTGAATGGTAATGTTCAGGTTGTTCGGGCGTGGTCGGAGTATAACGTTACGATGGGATGGGCTGGTGGCTGGTTGAACTAAAATCTCCAGGTGGAGTGGCGAATCCCATTTAACGGAGCGTCCGAATAAACCTGGGTCACAAGATTACGTAAATGGTGCAGGACGGAAGCAGATTTCACGCGACTGAGTTTTGTTTGTGCTTCAACGCAATGTACTGTTTTGTATCTATCCTCAAGGGTGGTGCTTGGGCTTATCCTCTGCTGCAGTCACAATGGCCACAGCATATCCCATGGATACTCCATCAAGAGTGTTGAGGAGGGTCCAGCAGATGGAGGACGTGGAATTGCCTTCGTTACCCAGTATTGAGCATGGGTTGGATGATGGAATGACCAGCGAGGAGGAAGAAGATGAGTCGGACAAGTCGACAGAGATGCAGTCGCCTGCTTTGAAAAAGAGCTCAAATGAGAGTGTGAGCTATCAGTGTGACACCAGTCTGCTTGTTTGTTGATTTTCTCATCTTCAGGACATGGCCACGCCTCACCCGCTCCGCCAAAGCTATATCCCCCGTTTGGCAAAATCTTCTCCAGCCGATACGACTCCGACCGACGTATCGTCATCCGGGTCTCCATTCCCACCTCAACGTCAAAACAGCGCAACTCCCTCTCCTTACGCTGTCAGTGCTCCAGGCACATCTACTCCGGTCACCTTGCAGTCACGACCCTCTCGTCCGAATCTAGCTCAAGCTGCTCAAGGCTCAAACGAGATGGAGCGGACTCAGAGTGCTCGCAGTCTGAAGAGTAGTACAGGAACCACGAGAGACAAGTGGCACACACCAGGCGAGATGAGTCGAAGCTTCTCAGGCGAACAAATTAGCCCAGAGTCGTCATTTGAGGGAACCGAGATGGAAGACGAAAAATCGGTGCCTCTCAATGACACATCGGTGATGGTTAGTCTACAGAGAAAAAAAGTCTAAATGCTCACCTCCTTTAGTCTCGGGACTCTGAATTCCACCGCCCGCTTACTGAGACCCCTTACACCCGTCGCCTCTCGAATGGGCATGTACTTCATCAACGTCCTGGCAAGCGAGTGTCGAATATGCCTCGCCCCACCATCTCTGGACAAAATCCTGGAGCTCTATCACCCATATCTTCGTCCGCAGGGACCGCCTCAACCCCACAGTCGAATCAGACCGCTCTTCACATACCTGCCGCTCGGATTCCCAGCCTCACTCACAGCGATCACAGCGCTACAGATGTTAGTGAGCCCACTGGGACACCCGAGGGCCCATCTCGAGAGATCACAGTCATGTCAACGCCTCGGCTGGCTCGCGATGCGTCCCAGAATTACGACGACTCGATCGAAAGTGGAGGCTCAGCCACGGAGCTGCACGATAGCGAACTGCCCAGTCTTCCAAGTCTGCCAGCTCCCGAAGACATGTCTCAATCAGTGGCTCCAACACCCTCCAAGAGCGTGATCTCGGATATCATGTCTACCCCTGGAATGGGTCGATTGCAATCGCCAAGACACATGTCGCCATTTTCCAAGCAGCATACTCCTTACGCGGCTCCTCTGACCGACGTTACCATGTCAAATAAACAATCGCCCGCGTCCCTCCCATACACTCCTGGAAGTGTCGGATCTAGGGGTTCCAAAGGTAGCGATTTCTCGACACCTCGAGCTCTTTTGGACGATGCAGAACGGCGCAAGAATCATGTGATCGCCGTTTTGAGCTCCACAGAAATGCCATCCCGTAGACTAGCGGTCCGTGGGACGCCTCATCCTCTTCGCAGAGTCTCCAATGCCTCGCCAGCCAGCTTCGCCGATGGCTCACCTGCTATGCCCGGACAGCCCAGCTCATTCCGAGCGACCAGTCAAGAGCCGCACAGTGGGGACTTCAATCGCACTCAAGCCAACGAGTCCTTCGTATCCGTGGCGTCGTCCGCCGATTTGACGACCGATCATCGCGCCTCTCGCACCAACGGACCTCTTGTTCGGGCCAACACATCCTTCCCGACTATTCTTCTTCCCACCGGACGAAATGCCAGCAGCGGTTCGCTCAGAAACCTTTCAGAATCTCGAGCTGATGGGGTCAAAATACACCGTCACTTGAATGCGATGAACAAGCAGTTACTAGAGACGAATGCTGGTCTGGCAAGAGAAGCTGAAGCATGGCGAGACGAGGTTGACCGACTCATCGGCATCTTGCGAGACGCCGGAATCGATTTCGAAGAGGTGGATGTGCTTGCCAATCTGAGTGCTCAGATGGACCAGGCAAATCACTCTCGCCAGGACATGCTGTCAGAACGATTCAGGGATCGTCGAGACAACAGCGACATAAACGGTTCTCTGGAGTTGCCCCGTGATGGCTCGAGCTTGCAAGCTCAGCACGAGGATGTACCTCCCATGTCGGACCTGCTCGCAACGCGAATGTCCCTAGTCGACGAGAAGCGGAGCAACGACGAGACATTCCCCGCCGGCGCCCTCTTAGAAGGGCTCTCAGACGCCGACTTTGACTTCGTTGTGACAGAAGTGGTGGAACGACTGGACCTTCTCGAGGACCATTTGATCCAGAAGACTGGTCAAATTAAGGATCTCCAACGAGAACTCGACGTCGCTCATGGTTTCGGATCGAGTGAGGGTAATACCACTGCTGTCAATCAGAAAGTCGACGAGCTCTCCCAAAAGCTCGAGGAAGCCAATCAGGAGCGTGCGGAACTTCAAGCCTCTTATGCTCGAAAGACCGAAGAGCATGCGAAGAAGTTCGGAGAAATCTGCTCCGGTTTCGAGGAGCAAGTCAGTGGATTGGAGAAGGAGCTATCCGCTGCCAAGTTGGAAGCCGATCGACTGCGGTCAGAGGCGTCGAAACTGGAAAAGCTGCAGAGTAGAGCGTCACAGGGCGAAAGGGAGGCAGAACTGAAGAAACAGCTTGGGGAAATCAATGTGGAACTCAGGCTTGCCACTGAGGCTTCGCAAGCCAGAGCCGCAGAAGTTGAAGATTTGAAACAGACTTCCTTGGTAGCCTCAAAAGAGCGCGCGGAATTGGACCACAGAATGGAGTCCATACAGAAGGAGCTAGCTGAGACGCTGGCTCAACTTCGATCAGCAGAGCAGGAACTGGGGAAGGCACGAGCAGAGGCTTTGAGCGAGCAAGCGCAACCCAGCCCGGCATCCGAAGGCGAAGGGGATCCCGAGAAGACTCGCGATCTGGAGTCCATCAACGCCCAACTCGAGGAGGAACTGGAGCAACAGGACAAGGAGATACAGAATCTTAACGACAAGCTTGCAACACTTCAAGCTGATCTAGACGCCATGTCTGACGCAAAGGAGAACGCCGAAAACCTACAGAACGATGTTGAGCATTTGAACCGCATGCTGGACGAGGCAGAGGAGAATCTCGCTGAGAAGGAAGCTGAGCTCGAAAGTCTCAGGGGCAAGACATCGCTGTCGCAGTCCCTCAATTCGGTCGGACCACAACAGAGCGACAAAATTGCGGAAATGGAGCAACAGCTCGAGGATGCATTCAAGGAGATTGGCCGACTGAAGCACGAGCTGGGGTCGGCTTCTCATCGCAAAGCAGTCCTCGACATGAAGGACATGCGCATCCAATCGTTGGAGAAAGAAAAGGCACTGCTTCAAGGACGCCTGGCGAGCGCACGAGATACCTCTGTTGGACTCAAGGCGGCAGGTTCACCTTTCAAAGCCACACCTTTGGCACGCAAATCATTCTCTACGAAAGCCCTGACCCCAGGTCCCATGATGGAGGTGAGAGCATCGTCGCCGCAGAGGACTGACGAGCATTAGATGTCCTGGCTCCAGACGACGATCGGAGATGCCAATGAGTCGGTGTTACTGGCCCAGATGGAATATCTGCAAAAGGAGCTTGACGTGGCGAACGGGCATCTCGATGCCAACTTCAGTCGACTGGAGGCGGCCGGACTAAACGGTCTGAATCTGGCTGAAAGACTTGCCAGTGCTCAGGATCGGATCGCAGAGCTCGAGGCAGAGCTGCGGGCGATGCGAGTCAAGAGTAAGACTTCAGATGCGGAGCACATGCTTGATAAGGACGAAAAGTGAGTGGTAGCGTTGAATCATGGGCACTTTGTCTTATGCTGTAATCAGGGCCATCATGGAAGCACGGTTGAAGGCTGCCCTGAAATCTGTCAACGAACAGCTTGCTGCCGCCAAGGCAGACTACGACGCCGAGCAAGAGAGGCTCCACAATGACAATGCCAGATTGCGAGATTTTATCACTGAGGTCAGGGCGAAAAGTGACGCAAAATATGATCGAGTATTGGCGGATATGGAGCGCTTGCAAAGCGACACCGAAGCGACAATCACGCGCCTGACATTGGAGAAGGCAAAGGTCGAAGGGGATCTCGAATCCGTACAACGGGTGAGCAAAGGTCATGACGGTGTGAGCATATCTCTGACTGTATTACAGGAGTTGCGCTTGTCCGCGTCCAAGATTCAGCGTTTAGAGCGTGAGATGCAGCAGCGGCTAGAAGCCAGAGATGGACATGATGCTGCAGATTCGATCCAAATTCAGGAGCTAGAGAAGAAGCTGCGTGAATTGCGAGTCAAAGTCCGATCCCTGGAATTGTCCCTGGATGATCGCACGGAGGCTCTGAGGACCGCAGAGGAACGTATAGCTTCGATGAGGCGCGAAAAACAGTCGACAGCAGATGAACTGGCTCTCTTCGAAAACGATCTTCGCGCCCAACGGATCGAGAACGAGCGATTCGGCGTCGAATTGAGGCGACTACAAGCAGCGCAGAAGCAGTCCGATCCGAACGTGGAAGCAGAGCTCGCGGCTTGCCAAAGAGATTTGGACACGGCTCGACGAGGGAGAGATCACTGCGAGCAACTGCTCAAAGAGGCAAGGCAAGATTGTTCTGATCTCGAGCTGTGGAAAACGTCCCATCAATGCAACTCGGGCCTAGAAATCGCACTGGCTGACCAGAGGACTCGGTTCAAGGCCCAACACAAGGAGCTCGCGGCACAAGTCAAATATCTCAAAGCCAAGTTCACTCGCGAAGCTACATTCCGAAATGCGCTGTCACTGCAGAAGCGTTATCTGTTGCTCTTGGTCGGTGGATACAGTCTCAAGTGAGTAGGATGGTGTACTGCTGTGGTACATCGACATGCTAACGACCCGCCGCAGCGAACAGGCCATCCTGAAGCAGATCGCGTCTATGGGCTACCCTATTCCTGATATGCCGCGCCCTAGGAGAACTCTGAAGGCCGTCGGGATAGCTGTGCTAGGCGCCATTCGCGCCAGGTGAAGCGAATCTCTTCAGAGTAGGACCAAGGCTGACTTTCGATTCTAGAAATTCTGCTCAGGACTGGCGGCGTGAACGGAAACTCAAGGATGAAGCCGTAAATTCTTACCATGAGCGAAAGCTCGAACTGCTATAATCAATCTCCTCCATTTTGGTTTGGGTCCCTTTGAATTTTTGTATTTCGGTGATTCGTCTCATGCATCGTATACCTCGCTTGCTCCTACATTGAGCTATGTGACTTGCAGCCTATAATGATGTACAATTCTGACGTGAAAGAGACTGCAATGCTGATCTGACAATTCGCAAGAATTTTTATGCTCAGGTGCAAGAATGACAGGCCGGCTATCCTCTCACTTTTTCCTGAATGGCCAGAATCTGCCAAACATCGATGGCTTCGGCGTTTCATTACTGCCAGGCGTGGGCTCGAGAGTGGACGAGGTAGTCGCAACAGCGACTGGCGAATGAGATTCGCCCTCGACCGCCCGGCGTTTACTAGGCGTCCCAATATCGTCACGCACCACACCACGACCGCCTGCAGTTCCATCATCGTTGCCGTCATCGTCTTCAAAGTAGTCGCCTTTGCCCTCTTTCCAAGCAGGGGTCCCCTCATCGTCCATAGCTCCAGTAGGTCTCTGCTTTCTTTTTCGACCTCTGGCCATACGCCCAGGTGTAGGCGCGTCGGAATCATCGCCCATCACCTCGGATCCAGCATCATCAGGCGTCGCTTCTGCCGATGGATCATACTTGAACGCAATATTGTCTTTCATCGCCGCTAGAGAGCGTCGACTTTTACGCTTTCCAATTGGCTTTTGCACAACTTCCTCAGATTCGTCCCATACTATATCCGTGGCTGCGTCTGTATCCGCCGATGGATCGCGTACATGGTCAGGGGCAGACTCGACTTTGACGTCAATGCCGTCTGTTTCCATCTCGAGCTTCGAATCATTGACATCGACTGGTGAGTGCTTGGCTCGTCCTTTGCCCTTACGCGTCTTGCGAGGCTTTCCCCGTGTATAATCACCATTGTCGACTTGAACACCCTCTTCCGACTCGCTTGCCCATTCGTGTTCGTCTTCCGCAGGGCGATACGCTGCGTCTTCCGATAGATTGGCGGTGGATCGTCGAGTCCGTCCGGACCGAGTAATGATTTGGACTTGGACATCCTCTTCTCCCATATCCGCATCCGCACTTCGTGGGATGGCGTCCTGTTCGGGCTCCCTTTGAGGCTCCGCCAGACCCAACGCATCCGCAACACCCGTACCGGGGCGACCGACCTCAATACTGCTAGCTCTTGGCCCGTGCCTTCTACCACGTTTGCGTGCCGGAGTGTCCAGCGTCGGCGTCAAGCTAGCGCGACTACGCGTACGTTTAGCAGGGCCGTCGGCAGCCATTGGTGTACTCTCGTCCGCCGATTCGGGCATATCTAGATGATCCTCTGGAGTTGCCTGTCGATGGCTTCTGGTGTGCTTGGCTGGACTGTCTATTATCTCGTCTTGAGCCAAGGAGGTGGACCGACGCAGATTTCGACGCAGGGTCGCGCTAGGAGAATCCAGCTGAGATGCCTGAGATGCAGAGGATCGGTTGGCTTTCCGATCCATGCGTGGACTCGCCATCACCTCGCTAGTACTCGGTTCCATAGACTGACGAGCATTTCGAGCGCTTGAGCGAGTCTGACGCGCTGGGACTTTCGGTGAATCTGAGGCTGGACCTGATGCTTGAGTCTCCCCAGCCGATTTGCGTCCGCTGGCTCGGCGTCGACGAGTAGATCCTTGACTGGCGGGTGGACCAATTTCTGGCGTCTTTGGCTCCTCTGCCGCCTTCTCGTCCTCTTTCTCCTCCACAGCTGCCGGGATAAGCACGTTCTCGGACGCCGAAAGGAGATAACAATGACCCTCGTTGACAACATCCAGCCCTACGATCCTGTGAAGCTTTGCAGCTAAAGGATCATCGACTAAGGGCTGATTGACGTTTATTCGTCGTTCCTCCGTGTAACCTTCCAGCTGGTCCATCGGCGAGGGTTGACCAAGATCTTCGGCGTCTTCTTCTTCCAGAGCCTTCTTGTCGATCACAGTACATTGGGGCACCAAGATGACAGCATCGTACACATCTTCCCGTAAATGTAACTTGCGATAGAAGCATTGAGATCGAGTCATGTGGCCACCAAGCGGCTCGGGATCAGGTGTAGGCGACGGTTGCTGACTCGATCGAGTACGGGACCTGATCGGCATTTGCCTGTTAGGCTGACGAGAACCGTGATGGTGTCTCATCGGGATGAATTCTGGTTGTGGGAGAACGTCGGCAGGTAACGTTAGGCTAGGATTGTCTTGCTTTGGCTCCTGAGCCTGGTGAGCTTCATTTCATGACCATGGTCTTCACTTACAGCTTCAAAATCCTCCGCTTTCTCGAAAGAGCTCGAGTCCAGGTCGGTAATGTGATGGAGCTCTGCCTGCTGATTATCCGATCCATCGACGGCCTCAGATTCATTCATGAACGCGTCCCGTTCTGATCCTACCTGCACACCGGGCGTTGTGGCTGTCGAGTAGGTGAGAGTATCCACAGGCGGCTCGACGATCAACGAGGGAGATGGAGTGACCTTTGCTATGTCACCAGGAGCGAGCACCGGCAGTTGAAGGATCGCATCCGGCGGTGGCGCCTTTGGATCAGGCAGTGGAGTTGGTGTCTCTTCTCGGTCAAGATCTCGAGCTGTATCTTTTATAGAGCTAGGCAATGGAGTCTGATCTGGAGGTTCGACGATGAGAGAAGGCGTAGGGCTGTAGTGAGTGTTGACAAAGTCCGAAGCTTGGAGCGAGGAGAACCTATCGGTATCTATCGGCGGAGGTGCAAGCATGGGATCGGGTAGGGCGGGTGGTGTATCTGTTCCTTCAGTGAGCGGAGCCCCTGCCGTGACAGTGTCAGGATCTGGCGGGATAGTAGGGGGCTCGACGATCAGGGAAGGAGGTCGATCATCAAGTGAGGTTGGATCGAAAGGGATCTGGGGGGAGGGCATGATGGCATCAGGGGGTCGCTCATGAGGGTCAGGAAGGGCGATCGGTGATTCTTCGCGGATCTCTGCTGATTCGATGATCTCCACTTCGGCCAAGAGAGCTACGACTGGTGGAGCTTCAGATGGAGCAACAACGACGGAAGCCGAGGGAGATTGACTGGTCCTTGGTGTTCGAAGGAGGAATGGGATTGGCATCGAGGCATCTCGTGGTGCTTCGTGTGGATCAGGAAGCGAGGGCTCGTCGGCCCCGTCAGAGTCTTCATCTGCATCTTCATCTTCATCTTCATCTTCATCGTCGCCGCTTCCCGGCTCCTCCACCATGAGGTCGAGCTCCATGGTGTCTTCGCTCTGATCAAGATCAGGTGCCGATTCTGGCACTACCAACGGGGAAGGAGCAGAGAAGTCACGACCATTGGATTCTTCGCGACGCGCCACGCTGCTCTCCACTTTGTCCATATCCACGTCCACCACAGAGTCCATCGGCTGATCGTCCATTCGGTCAACAGAGGAGTCGATAGGCTTTTCGACTCGCACTACTTCCTCTTCGAACTGTATCTGTATCTCTCTCCTGTTTGCTTCTCTGACATCGGCCATTTGAGCCTCTCCAGGCTGTCGCAGCATTACTCGCTCCTCGACCATGTCGACAATCACTGACTGCTCGAGCGGGACGACGGCAACTGTGGAGTGCGGTTCTGTATTCTCTACCAGCTCGACAACTTCGAGCATCGGCAGGTCGGTATCGAGAGCAACCGCTCGAGGATCTTCCTCCATGACATCTCCTATAATAACGACATCAGCCCCTGGAATGAGGTTCCCACTGAGAGTCTCACCATCTACAGCTTCGAGAACCCTTGCAGCGAGCGAGGGGTCGGCGAGCTCCGGAGTCGCCTCACTCTCATACGCGTCCTCATCATGTTGGACCATCTTGTTATTGGATCCAGTAGAGACGGGTGGAGAGGGATTTTGATCAGCCAGCGGCCCGTCAAATGTTGAGCTGTCAGGCTGGAAAATAGACGGCAATTCGCCATGATCTTCGTATGTCAGGGCATCATCAAGTCCTGCTTCGCCCTGGGGCAGCGTTTGGTGCGTCGGGCCTGCAGGCGAGGGAACGTTATCTGTTCCCGGTGAATGTATTTGGTTTGAAGGCGTATGCGGCTCGGGGTTTTCCACGACTTCCTCCTCTTCAGAGAAATCCTCCGATGGACTTCCATCCTCGGGTTCGTCGTCCCCATCTCGACTGTCTTCCGCTTCTTCTTCCTGCTGCTCGTCGTCGCCTTCTTCGTCTGAAGAGATCTCAATGACTTCGTCATCCGGCGTAGGACCATGAGATGTTCGCCGCGGAGCTGTTACAGCAGATGAGTATTTCTCTGCTACCCTCACCGCTGCAACATACCAGTAGAGACGACCGGAGGCGACAAAGCTTCTCCTTCTTCGTCGTCGTCCTCGTCACTTTCCTCATCTTCCTCTTGCTCTGCTTGCTCCACAGGTTCCTCGAGCTCCTCTTCCTCGTCATTCTCATCCTCCTCTTCGTCCCTCTCGGAGCCAAACCCTACATCCATACTCTCTATACCATAGCGATCGTTGTGATCTCCTCCGGGGCCCGCAATGAAGGTTCGATCGTACATGGGTTCGTCTTCTTCGAGTCGACCGTCTTGATCCTCCTCGTCTGAGGCCAACTCGCTTGATTGGAGAAACGCAGCTGCAGCTTGAGTCGTATCGTCAGAGTACAGTTGATGGGGAGGTGGCATGAGCATCCCGCTCATGAGCTCTGTCTCATTGCCGACAGCGAGACTCGGATCGGCAATATGCTGAGCCAGCGCTGCCAAGAGCGCAGGGTCGATCTCCTGAGGCATTCCTGTCGATGTGCTAGCCCACGAGGCAGGATCTTCGACTTGTCCGGAAAATCCTGTTTGCGGAATCTTCGGATTCGTCGTGGGTGGAAGCGATGGAAAAAGGGACGAGGATGAAGCTGTGAAATTTATGGATCCCGCGGTCTGACTCGTGCTCTCCGGCAATGGTGCTACTGTATCGACCCAGCCGCCAGCGTCTTCATCATAGACCCGAGTATCGTCTTCACCTAGATCGGCGCCGTATGGGTTATCGAGATCTTGCCCGTCTCCTTCGTAGATGCTTTGATTTTCGGGCATAGCTTCTCCAAAAATATCGCCCCCAATTGCCTCTCCTTCCCAGCCTTCCACGTCCTCGACATCTCCTTCATCCTCTACCTCCTGGTCTTCGTCTTCCCCGTTGTCGTCCTCCTCTTCCTCTTCCTCTTCCTCTTCCTCGTCAAGCTCCGGATCGTCTCCCTCCTCGTCACCATCCTCAACCTCGACAGGGTTGTACCTCTCATCCTCCTCATCTTGAAATGCCGCGTCCTCCTCATACTCTTCGTCATCTTCGAATTGAGGCTCCAGCTCATCGATGTCTTCCTCAAGCCCATCACTCATGAGCTGATCCTCTTGACTTTCGTCGCCATCCTCAGCGTCAGGGTCTAGACCATCCAGAAGTGCCTCATCTCCCACTTCAGGTGATAGGACGTCTTCTAGCACCGCTTCATCATCATGAACTCCATTGACTTGGACCTGAAGTGTCTGACCGTCATCTCCGTCTTCATCTTTCTGCAGGTCTTGATTTGGGTTCTCGCCGTCGAGTACGTCACGCCCAGTGTTGTCCAATCCTATGAGTGGAGATGGAGATCTCGAAGGTCCAGGAGAAACAGGTCCATTCAGCCCTCGTCGAATCTTGCGCTGCAGATCATCAATCCATGAATTCCTCTTGGCATTATCGAATCGATCATATGCCGTTGGCATGTGTACCGCCGGTGAACCATTCGAGACATTTCTGTCGATCCCTCCGACGCCTATCGACCGTCTAGGCGGCAGGACATGGTTCGACATGACATACAGAGAGAGACAGTCGGGCTAGAAAGTCCAGACGCCGCCAGCAAGCGAACATCGATGTCAGTTCATTTCAGTTCAGTTCAATCTCGCGGCAAGTACGAGGTGATCACGTGATTCAGTCTGATTTTAAGCTTAAATAATGGCCTGAAATATTTCGCGTGGAAAACTTGCCAACCGTTTGACTTTTGCAGCAGATCTATCTATTGACATTCCACCTCTGAAGGTCGGGGACTTAGCAAAGGCCAGCGGACAAAGCGAAGACAGACAGAATGGCAGATACAGCTCCGCAAGGACTCTTGGTCACTGCTGGCAAGGTTCACGTCCCGTTCAAGACGGAGCTATTGAACACCCTGGCCTCCCCGAGATTCAGTACAAAGCCTCCTCATCTGGTAGGTATCCTCGCTACGAGGAAAGAAGATGCGAGGACATACGCGGAGGTAGGTTTGAAACATCTTCAGAGCATGATATTGTGCTGAGACTCATTCGTTCCCAGTTCACGAAACGCTCGTGTGAGCAGGTTGGAATCACTTTTGAGCTTCGACTCGTTGGTGAAGCTAGGGAAGGAATGGACCACGGAGGTGTCGGTATAGATGTGGAGGAGGCTATCCTGGAGGTCAGCTGGCTCCTTCCTTCCTAGATTGGTCCCAGCTGACGACTTTCAGGCCAACAACGACCGGGAAGTGGACGGGATCATGGTCTACTACCCCATCTACGGTGGTCGACAAGTAGGTTGACTCTCATCTACAGTCTCGCGAATGCTCCAGTATTGACCCGTCGAATCAGGATCAATACCTCCAATCCGTCCTCTCGCCTCTCAAAGACGTTGAAGGTTTGAATCATCAATTCCTGTTCAACCTGTATCACAAGTGAGTTTCATCCGGTTCTGAAACCTTTGGCGAGGCTCAATCGCCCATCAAGTATCCGTTTCATACATCCCTTGACCCTCCGAGCGCCATCCTCCGCCTCCACATTACCCCTGGCATCTCCTGCAAGTGGCATTGAGCGAGCTCCAGAAGGTACTGTCAAGTCAGTTCTGCCATGCACACCTCTTGCAATTGTCAAAGTGCTGGAACATATCGGGGTATACAACCGGATGTTAGAATACGGTGATAGGGCTCGTGGCAAAGTCATCACTGTGATCAATCGGTGAGCTCATGCCTTCATGCTACCTGTTCCAAAGCTGACGTAGCTCCAGTTCCGAAGTTGTCGGGAGACCGCTAGCTGCTTTACTGGCGAATGACGGGGCGCGAGTGCTCTCCGTGGATATTGATTGTGAGCTTCCCCCATCTCGATGAAAGGTCTCAGCTGACTCTATCACCATCAAGCCATTGTGGAATTCTCAAAACGCCCGTCTTCATCTACCCAATCTTCTCAGTTCAATGCTCATCATATAGTCTCAACTCTGCCTGATGATTTCAAACTTGCGAATGCGCTGGCGATTTCGGACGTGGTCATTTCTGCTGTCCCAGTGCAATCCTACAAGGTTCCAACGAAAGATTTGAAGGATGGATGCATCTGCGTCAATGTGGCTGGAGAGAAGAACTTCGAAAAGGATGTCAGGGAACGGGTGAGTACAATGCATATCAACTCACTTGGCCAAAGGCTGAGGTGCCAGGCATCCATCTACGTGCCCAGTGTGGGTGTCATGACGATTGCCATGCTGCAGCGCAACCTGTGAGTCTGTCAAAGTGGCTTCTCTATGCTGATACTGGTATAGGTTACGACTATGCGAGTACCAGGACGAGGCTAAAAGGCTTGGAGCTTGATCGAGCGTTGAGAAAGTATTTCCTTTTTGGTGTAGAATTCATCCCATAGATGGCCCTGCTTCGCTTTCTGGACGACCTGCTGCGTTGAATTTGACTTCAATTCTTTGACATTCAGCATCTATCTATCATCAGGCTACGTCCACCGCCGACTGTGCTCGCTGCTGCCGTCCTGCCGCTCCGTCTGTCATTATCCATCCGTCAAAGTAAAGCGATTTCGGGTGGGGAAGGGTATGTGATAAGAATGATCGTGTGTATGAGAATTTTAGACACGGGGAGTGCCGAGAATAGTGAGAGAGGCAAAGATTTCGTAGAAAGAATAAGGTCATGTCTTGCGGTCATCAAGGATTCAAATCGCATCTGAACGCTTAAAGAGTCTTTTCGTCTGTAAAGCTTGTGTCAGCTGGGAGCTGTATTTTTTCGCTGTCAGCTGAACTCACGCTCAAAGCTCGAAGGAGCAGTAGTTCCGGCCATGTTGAATCCCTCAGCAGGCTTGTTGAAAGGGTTGCTGCTGCCTTGAGTCCGAGTCTTGACGTTGCCGACGATGGGTCGGAGAACGTTGGTGTAGAGGATCTCGGCACCTCGAGTAGCGGGGAGCATGACTAGGACAGGAGTGAGTTGATGCTTCAACTGACCAAGCAAGACCGACACTCACGCCAGATGGTGAACAAAGTCTTGAAAACGAACCACATTGGGATCCAGTAAAGGATAGCTCGGAGACCCATAGATTCAGCGAGGTTGAGGGATCCAAAGACGGTCTGAGATGAGACATAAGCATATAGACCTGGATGTGACGCGTCTCACGCACCCAGTAAGTGAGCCATTGCTTGTCATCGTTGGTGCTGGGGCTCTCAATAGCCTGAACCGAGAGATAGGCGGGGAGAGCCCATCCAATCAAGTTTGAAACGGGTTGAGCCAAGCCAAACATGTTGAAGAAGATGAGGACGACGGCACTGGAGATGATGAGTGAGCTCGATTGGATCACGATGAATATGGATGCGCTCACGATGCACCAAGAGACAAGACACCGTAAGCCTTTGGAACCTTGGTCTTGGCTTCCAAATCCCTCATGATGGGGTACTTGTTTAACTGACCGTGACGTCAGTACTGGGTTGTGTGACGGAGAAGACGGTGATCAAAGATCATGTCATAAAGGTATGGGGCTGCCGACTCACCTCAGCATCGAGTGAGTTGACTTGACCCGAGAGGAATTTGTTGGCCTGTTGGGTGTAAGGATGGTTGAGGAAGTTCTGCTTGATTTGTTGGCCTTGCGCGGACATCTGAGGCGAGGGCTTGTCAGCGAGTCACGGCGAGGAGGTAGAATGGTCTGGTGAAGCCTGCAGGCGGGGGTCTGGAGATCCATACACGCAGGATACGAATATCTCCTTTGGCCTGTCTATAGCCTTGAATGGCTGACTTCGCCCCCGCGCCCCCATGAATCCGCGGTGCAAGCAATCATTCACACGACCATGGGAAAAAGGCATTCGTCCCCAGAAGCAGCCGAGATCCAGTACAGGACAAGCTGACCACAAGGCTTCGAATACTACTCACTGTGATGAGATTTTGCTTCTGAGTAGAGCTGCAGGTGGTCTGAGATGTTCAAGCAAGTGGGATGAGTTGCAAAGTGTGAGGAATGGATGGTAAACGGATCACCCACCCATTGTCGTATCTTCTCTTTCTTTCTCTCTCTTTCTCTTTCTTCTTTCAATTTCGTCATTTGAATCCACGTCTGCGCGTTGAAATCATACGTAGTCGTGTAAAGTGCCACATGTGACGTTGAGTATCCCATGGCTGATGAAAACGCCGAAACGCCGTCTGATTTCCCGGAGATGTACTCAATCTCCATCCTGCCAGCTTACGTTATCCCCCCCAATTAAGCGCCTCTGTGCCAATGGGCCATTAAGAGAATAATCTTGGCCTGACAGGGCGTGGATGAGAGTGTTGACAACTCATAAGGAAATCCCCTCATGACTGTTTACGAGGTCCACACATAATCGCCTCTAGCTGCTGCTAAGCTCACATAGAGACTGGTCAGACTATCATCATTATTGCCAAAAGGGCACTCTCGAGCCCCATAAGTCCGATCTCACCAGCTATTCTTAAATCACAGCTCTCATTGTCGATCATTTCAAAACGCGTCAGATATTATATTCGGCGCAGCTTGGGTTGGTGGATTCGGTGCCCTTTTAGTCCTCTTATTTCAGTGCTGGACACTGTTGGCCTTGCACGTATAGACGTGCGCCCTCATATTCTGTCCCTATGATCCCCGGTTCACCCCGACCCAAACCTCTTGGATCATATGGCGCGCCAATAGGTCTAGGTCATCCACCTATCCATCGGGGAGGAGGAAGGAGATCAGGTCTGAAGAGTCGTGCGACTCAATTGTTAGCTTTGAGATTCGGCTGGGTGGTATTGGTCGTGTGGTTCGAGGTGAGTGACCTCCATTTCTCGAGTCAGAGCGGTGACTCACCTCATCTACAGATTGGCGAAGTGAGCCTCATTGCCAGATCATTTCATCAGATTGGACTGACCCTAAGCTGCTTCTAAGTTCTTCCATTCCCTATCGACGTGCAAATTCCCCGACTCCCAACTAAGTCCCTCTCGTCGATCGCGGTCGAGCAACGCTCTGAACCCTCTTCCTACCCATATCGTCCTCCTCGCCGATCCTCATGTCCCACATCCTCGATTGTCTTATCATCCCGACAGCAGAAGATGGGTGAACAGATTTCGGCAGGCTCTGGATGAGCTGTTCATGAGGAAGAGCTGGAACGTCGTGATGCGTCTGGGCAGGGTAGACGGAGTTATCGTCCTGGGTGATATGTTGGATTGGGGCAGAGGGAACATGTCGGATCAGGAGTGAATTGAAATTCCTCTTTCGTCACAGCACAAGACTGATGCACTCGCTCAGATACGAGGAATACGTCAAGCTGTACAGATCCATTTTCACGCTCCCTCCCGATACACCAATGTACTTCATTCCAGGGAATCACGATATTCCACTCGGTCCAGGGAACAAGCTATTCTCCACCTCTGCCCGCGAACGATATGCCAAATACTTTTCGCCCCCCAATTCCATCCTGGAAGTGGCCAATCACACGTTGATCCTCCTCGACGCTGTAGGCTTGGTAGAGGAGGATTATAGACGGTATGCTGCGGAAATGCAGTTTGGCGAATGGGATGGCGTCGAAGGCGGAGTCATCGAGTTTGTCAAAACGTTAGGCGAGAGTAAGTCTGCCAAAGGTGCACGGATGTGTGCATTGTGACTCATTTACCTCCTCAGCGCCCCCCATTGGACCCAAGATACTCTTGTCTCATATTCCCCTCGCCCGACCGGAGAAAGCCAGCTGTGGACCTTTGAGAGAACACGGACGCATAGCCAAAGGAGCTGGACCTGGGTACCAGAACTTGCTAGGTAGGGAAACATCTCAATTCTTGCTAGAGGAACTGCAGCCGAGTCTGGTATTGAGGTGAGCGGCGCTTCATTCATATTCTCGCCACTCACACCCTGTCCTAGTGGTGACGACCATGATTACTGCGACTTTACCCACCAGCCTTTTGGTATCCGAGAAGTGACTGTTAAATCTTTCTCCTCTACCTCTGGAATCCGCCGTCCGGGGTTTCAGGTCCTGTCCCTGATCCCGCCTTCTCCCTCCAGCCCATATACCGAGCAAGTAACCATTGCCGATCGGCCATGTTTCCTCCCGGATCAAGGTGGTGTTTATGGCCGCGTCTACCTTCCCCTCGCCATTTTGACGGTTTGTTATCTGATAGGATCGAATTTTTGGGCAGCTTGGGAGAGGTGGAATGCCAGCGGACACACCGTCTATGGTGACCTCAAGGCCAGATTGAGCCCGGCCTTGATGAGTTCAGATCAACTCCAATCTCAACAATTATCTCGACGTGTATCTGACAGGCCGAGCCCGCTCGCGCTGTCAAGGCGATCGTCCCGAGACGCAGGCCTTCCTCCTGCTTACGGTTCTCCAAATCAACGTGGATCCTTCTCACGTTCTGCGCCGGTGTCCCCGTCTTCTTCGCCTCGCCTCACGCCTCGATTTCACGGTCATACACGGGATGATGACGAGGAGAGTTCAATCTACGATGTTTCTGGGAGTGGGACCTTGTCCAGATCGCCATCTTATGGTCAAGCTCGTTTCCCTTCTGACCCGTACCTCACCCCAGCGCTCAGCTCCAATGGATTCACAGCCGAGCCATCATCCTACTTCTTACCTTTACCAGACGAATCCAGCGGCAGACCCAACGGCGTAGGATTAGGTCTCTCCCCTTCCCTTTATCCCCTATCTCCAGCGTTCAGTCACACACCAACTGAAAGGAGATCGATCAAACGATCGTCCTCCGCCAACTTTTCAATCTATCCTTCGTCCAAAGCCCCCATTAGCCAATTATCAAGATTGATACCGTCTGCGTTCGACATTTCCGCGGCAGCAAAGGCCAAAGAAAAGTCAGTCTTGGGATACATGGTTGACAGTCTACCCCTTGGATCAGGGTTCAGTCCTCGCCGTGGGGACAAGCTAGGAGCGGTCAAGGGCTTTGTCAAAGTCGCTATCAAGTCTCGGACAGGTTTGATCGGTAAAAGCTTGAACGAGGTCTTGGCCGTTGCTTGGCCTACGGCGTTGGTTTGGCTGATTGTCAATGTCTTATTCTTTTTGGGGTAGATCGGGACCGTAGACGATCATATGGGTAGATAGATCAAAAGGACATTAGAGCTCACATGACATGTCTTTACATGATCATAATGCAATGCATTTTTGCGCGGACGTTTGTCGAGAGTTTCAGAAACGAGACTGATGGAGTGTCAGTCATAGAGATCAGGCCCGTCTCTGGTCAGTTTAGAGCCAGCGTGAGTTGCGCTCTAACGTACATACATGCCAGATACGCCGCAATCCATCCCGCGAGCTCAATAAGCGCAGGACCAAGGTGATCGCTATCCTCTCTTGAACTGCCCTCCTTGCTGTATGCCCAGCTTTTTCCGTTCGTAAAACGCATCGACTCGACTCGCTCCCATATTGATAATTCTCACACATCCATCCCTGTCCTTCTCGAGCCGTGTACATTCCGTACAGTAGTAGGCGTCGGATATAGCTGTGACATGGTCTGTCAGCATAGATAACCAATTCAAGTCTATGATTCAACTCACCAGGTGATGAACAGATGATACATTTCCCAGCGGCGGTTCCGACTAAGTCAACTATATCAGTATCTTTGTAGAAATAAATCGACAGTTCACAGGCACTTACAAGAGCACTCATCGCATATATGGACCAGTGTCATTGGACGAACGTACGAATCGCACACGGGGCTAGACAGAGCATCAGTATCGTTGCCCGAATATGTTTACAATGCACTGGGATCCGCACCATTTGCCATCGCATTTCTCGCACATTCGACCGATTGCTGGACAAGTCGTCAGCATGGACATCTAGTCTCAGAGAAGACATTGAACCCTTTCCTGGCTGTATCACTCACCTACACCTGGTTGACGGCGGCACATGAGCAAATCTGAAGCAGGACGTCAGCTTTGCGAGTGTAAACGTAGAGTATCTCGCTCACCGGGGTGATGTTTGGACTGAGTGTAGCACGTCAGCGTCTGGCAAGGCACAAGGAAGGGCGGTCTCAGAACTCACCATGGTATGTTGATGCGAAGAAGCGCTGAGCTACGCAGTTTGCTCACAAGCAAGATTGACTCAAACGAGACAATAACTAAAGGACTTCGACCCGGTTCTTTTGAATTCATCGTCGATTGATTTTCCTGCTTAGTCAGCATCATTAACGAGACGCGAGCGACACACCTAACCGGAATGCTAGAATACGCTCGGTCCCATCGTCCACAGCTTGAGCTTGAAGAGTGAGCTTGTCACTGAGGAGCAGGATTCTAAACCATCTATCTGCAGGTCCGTATCACACGTCTTCAGCACCTGTACGCCATGTCGCGCTTTGCGGGAAGATCTCTGGACAGGATATGGTTCTATTTCTTCGTGGTATGTGTCAAGAGCGAATCACTCGACAGACAAGGACAGAAGCTGACCAAATGATCAGATGCACATCGTAAGCACAGTGCTTTCAAAAGTATGCAAGACACGAACTGACTGCTTCTGTCGCTTCAGCCGATTTCCCTAGCTGTCGACTTTCAAGCTCTCTATCCTCCCAGCTGGATAGTCAATACACCACTGCCGGCATTCATCAAATGGTATATGGGTTGGTCTAGAGATCCAGTGATATTAGGAGCGTTGGGCGGTTCTCCACTTTGGCATTGGATGAAAGCCTTCTTTTGGCTCGAGGCGGTGTTCCAGCTCCCATGTTGGATCTTGGGTGCCTGGGGAATGTGGACGAGTAAGTGCTCGGCATGAGGGGATACCTCGGAACACTTTGCTGACCCTACTTGGTGTAGATGACAAGCGCGTATACCGTGAGCTTGGAGATGTTGTAGACTGATACCATGTAGCGTGACTAATCATGTGCTCCACGCAGCCCTACTCCTAGCTTATGGCGCATCCACCGCGACGACCCTCCTCCCGACTCTGCAAGCTCTGTTCACGGTCCCTTCGACTCCGCCACTCTCAACGTTGGAGCTCGCCAACCTTTTGGGATGCTATGTCCCATATCTTCTCATACCGCTTGGCATTGCGATGGACATGTCCATTAGGCTCCATCGCATCATTGCGCACTCTCAGGCGAGAAAAGCAATCTGATGGAGTGGAGGAGCAGCTCCAATGCAAAAGTGATATGATACAGGATGTGGAAACCTATGACACTGACATGATTGTCCGAGCCGTCAACGTCAATACGCCAATTGAGATCAAGATAGGAAAGACGATAGCTAATGGCGAAGTATTGCCACCCTTCATGATCGAAGTGTCGAGGTTGGTCGGGCGAAGGCTCTGAGGAGTCGACGGTCTAGCTCGGCGATAAGGTGTTCGATCGAGTTCAGCATGTCGAGGCGCACGCTTCTTCGCCTCTGGCCATTTGATGTCGTCTGCGAATTCGATGACCAAAGAAGGCACGGTCATTTCTACACTAGCGACTCCGCCAAAGAAGTCCGTCACTAGTATTTCTGCCGGTGGGACATCGGATAATTCGGTCGAGATTCCAGGATTGGAGAGCATCTTGACAGGATCATAGTCGTCGAACTGGCAGTATCAGCTGTGTACAGACAAATGTTCACTCACTAGATCCTGCAGAGTCTGCTTTGAAGTCTTGTTGATCGTTTCTAGATAATTCAAAACGTGATGGGTATACGCGTCAATCACAGCGCAGCCAATCTCCATGTCGTTATGATGCTGCGAGTCAAGTCAGCTCATCCAGGTGTCAAGTCCAGCCTCATCGACGATCACCCACCGAATATGAGTTCTCTCCAATCTGAGAACAAGCCGTGGAAATGACATTGGGAGAGTAAATCTTTGAGTACATGGTCGCTGCCTGACATGTATCCGTCATGAACAACAACTTGTTGAATCGTTTCTTCTCAGACATTTGTTCAATAGCATCCGCTACGTCAAATGCAGAGATCTCCTCGTTGTCTTGAAACTTTAGGAATTCCACACCACCATGTCCAGTCATGTAGATGAAGACGTTGGAACTCGAGTCAGAGAGCAGTCGTTTGGATCGAGGTGTATGATCAGGATGTCGGCCTGAAAGGTCACATCACTGAGCCTTTCGCTCACACAACTTTGGCCCTGAACCAGCTCACCCGTCAACAATCTGAGAAACGACTCTACCGTCACCTCGTATCCTCTGTAATCCACTTCAATCCCTTCTCCATAGAGGTCTAAATGTCTTCCCGCATTTGCATACACTTTCCCAGGTAATGGATTCCTAGGATTACAAGCGACATCGTCCGCAAGCATGAGAATGATGTTGGAATCAGGTATACCTAGACGCTTGATCGTCCTGTACATTGCGAGCGTATTGGCCATGTGCTACCAGGTTGATTTTTAGCGAGAGGCCAATCGCAGATACGCAGAGGGCATGGAAGGAAAGGAAGATAGGGGGGGTCTCATCCTGCTCACTCTATAATTGAACCAGTATCTCGAGGTGTCAACCAAGATGGCCCAATTGTTCGTATGCTTGCCAACATCTCCGTTATGAACCGCGGTCACGGTCTTCTGGGCGGACGCGAAGGTAGCCAGTGAAGCCACCGCGCTGAGCAGCAAGCTGTACAGTAGCAACTTCATGTGCCAGCGTGCGACTGTGTCGCCCTTCGGATACAGCTCTATTGACTTATTCGCTCATGTCTCGACTAATCTCTCAGACTCTGGGGGGCAAATGAGGATGAATAGGCAAGTGGACAATCACTCGTAATGGACGATATTTATATTCGGCGACAAAGTCAATTCTCGCATTTCATCATCTGACCTCGCTCTGCCTTTCTGTTCTCGCTTCTATCTTGTTCAGCCACAGAACCGCAACCTAGGCTTTGATATCAACGAACCTCCTGGTATTGCTACAGATTTTACCATGTCCGACCTTGAGAACGAGCTGCTCGACTTGGCGGAAGATGACCCACATCGTCGCTCGAAAAAGAGAGCGCAAGGCTCTGGGCCAAAAACCAAAGCTTAGTGAGTGTAGTCGGGACTCGGAGGAGGAGAGAGAGGTTCAGTGACCTCTTCTGGGCTATGATGAGACGAAAATCTCAGCTGATCACGATGTAGCGTCGAGGACTCTGACGAAGAGGACGAGGAAGGCGAAGAAGAGATGGAGGATATGGATATGGACCTAGAAAGTGAAGAAGAGGAGGATGAACCCAGAGCTGCACCTGCTAGTCGATCTGTCCCTGCACCTCGAGGAGCTGGAGCTTCATCTTCGTCGCGCGCAGGACATCGGACAGGTGATACTTCGGGAGGCAGGAACCCATATCCTCTGGAAGGCAAATACATTGACGAAGATGATAGAGACCAGTGGGTCACCTCACCTCTACCTCTGCCCAAGATTGGGACTGCTAGCTGATTCTTCTCAAACTCGTCATCAGACTCGAAGACATGCCTGAGATTGAACGTGAAGAGATTCTGGCCGCTCGACTGGAAGAAATGCAAAAGTACAAAGACTCCATGGCTCTCGACGCCATGTTCCGGTCAGCCGCTGGCGGAGGAGTAGCGGATGATGACGATGACGACGAGGGACCCAGTCGAAAAAAGCGTCAGTGAAGTGCTAGTTATATCCAAGACACGACGCTGATTCTGACTCTCAGGCAAACACACGAGCGTCACGAAAAAGGCTTCAGATGCGATCAAGGATCTAAAAAGTAAACGTAAAGCTCAAGACGAACGAGCCGCGAGACGGGTACGTTGGAACCGATCATTTCACCGTGTGTCAGATAGCTCATTATCGCTCATGGTAGGCCGCTCGACGCGAAGCTCGACCTAGATCTACTTCACCTACTTCGGATACGCATTCCGCGGAAGATGGCGAGATTTCCCACTTTGACAGATCTTACAATGTCGATAGTCCTCGAAAACCAGCCAAAAAAGCTGAGAAGCGAAGCGTGGAAGATACCGATGCTGAACCAGTCTCGTATGTGGAGCTCAACTCTGCTAGGTTGAGCAGGTATGAGATTGTCGACATGTGTTTCAAGGATGGTTTTGAGGATGTCGCAAAGAGTGGGTTGGCAGATTTCATCTCCATCGGGGCGATTGACTTATGATTCTTGTAGGTTCATTTGTCCGAATCATGGCCAATGAGCCGGATGCAGATGGCAGGCCAAAGTACAGGATACACCGAATAGTCGGTAAGTCGATGCAAAGCGATCATGAGAGCCCTCTAATCTCGTATCAGACATCGATGAGAGTGGGAGTCACGGCCAATATACTATAGAGTATCAAGGCAGGAATATTTCAGACAGTCGAGCATTGCTTTGTCAGTATGGCAAAGTCAAACGTCTATTTAGGATTGCCGACGTGTCCAATGGAGACATTATCGAGGTGAGCAGCGACTCTGTGCGAGCCATAAGGGTTCTGTGGTCTAGAGACTTTTTTAGGGTGAATTCAGGCGCATGCGAGATACATGGGACGTGGATGGTGTCAAGCTGCCAAAGCGATCCGAGTTGAAGAAGAAGCATGAAGCGATCAAAGAGTTGAGAGATAGACCAATGACCAATGTGAGTGGATCTTCTTTTCTCTATCTCTCGTGGATCTCTCTGACGCCGCTCGATTCGATTCCAAAGGACGAGATCAATCGCCAAGTGGAAGCTCGGAAAAAGTCGAATATCACTGCACAGCGAAATGCCAGTGTCACCCGAATATCTCAATTGATGGCTTCGAAAGACCTTGCCATCCGTCGAAATGATCACGCAGCAGTCGCAGAGTTGGAATCGCGTATCCGGGCTGAGGGTGGTGATCCGACCAATGGAAAATTGATCAGTGATCCACTAGCTGGAGCTCTCGATGATGGATACGAAGACAAGATTGCAAAGATCAATGAGATGAATAGGAAACGGACAAAAGAAGCCATGGCGGCAGCTCATCTGGCGGGTATCGCCAAGAAGAAGGCCGAAGACGCCATCGTCAAAGCTAGAATGTAAGTTGTGTGAGGAACCTGGTTAAGATCATGCTGATCCTTTCCATTCTCAGATCACAAGCTAGTAGTCTTGCACCGGATCTGGTCACCAAGCCAGTGGCTACTCCGCCATTGTCTGGTTTGAAGAAGGGCGAGACGCCTCAGAAGTACATTGCCAGGACGATCGATTTGGACCTCGGAGACTTTTGAACTATTGGCCAACACTCAAATTTGTAATCATGATATGATCACATGCAAAGATCATTGTATCATCATATAGACTGTGCAGCCCAGCCCGTAAAGTCGTGTCTCGTCAAATCGTTTCAAGGCATCAAAGCATATACTGTAGCTACACACATTGTCTCTCATCATAGCTCCATCCAGCCCCGCCGAGTAGGCACATCCGCACTCGAGATCGTCGTCAGCCCTGTACCTGTACATTGGTTATTGGCCGAAGTAGGTATGCAAGATAAGAATCGACACCATCTGCAAGCAGCATTGGGATCTGTCGTGTCTGAGTGTTCACAGTCATTTAGCAATAGAACCTCGGAGTGACAAAGGACACGGAGACTCACAAAAGTTCTTCGTCGTCAGAACGAAGGCAAGGATGATCAAGACTATCGCCACGACCCTCGCGGACCAGATAATGTACCGATGTCGTTTCGTCTCGCTGATAGAAGGGTATAGCACCGTTCCCGCCAGGATGCCCATGGCGAAGCCCTGGGATGACATCAGCTGACTCTACTGGAAATCAATGAGCTTACGCCCAAGTGTGCCAGTCCATCGACTGCGTATGGGCTGTGGGATGTCAATACCTTTGTGCCAACACTTCCTTCTCACATGTATCCGATCGCAACACCTATGGCAAACTCGATGAAGAGTAAGAACGCCTGCGGGACATTAAACCGATTGTTGTCAAGGCTTCTGTCACACTGCTCACCTTGAGCTTGGGTCGCTCTTCATACTTCCAGTGCATGGCGAGATCCACCACAATGCACCCTTGCTGTGTGACAGAGAGTGAGCGTCTCTGGGCTGAATGTGTGAGCCTGAACTCACGATGGCGAACAATGCACCACTGGCGCCGAGGGAGGGTATACCCGTCCTGACAAAATTGCCTCCAAGTATGAAGCCGTATATTCCCCCTGCAACGTAGACGATGAGGAATGGTACGGTTCCTGTGATATGTGAGTAGAGATTTATGCCTGCTCGTAGTCAGTCTCACCCATTTCACGCTCGATCAGAGACCCAACGATGACTTGACCGAGCATGTTGACCAGGAGGTGGATGATACCAACGTGGAGGAAGATAGGAAGAACGAAACGCCATGATTCTGGTTGAAAGAGTCAGCGATCGCAATGCCCAAGCTCACGATCTGGGGTCTGGCCTCCAAAGCCACCATGTCCACAGATTTCCTCGACGGTACAGCTCGTTGTTGGAGGGCTGGACGAAGTGAGCCACCTTGTCACGGTGAGAAGATGTTGTGCTCACTCGGCTGTATCACTCAAACACGGGAGCTGAAAGTCCGGTGGGATATCCGGGACCAGCTTCATACACCTGAAAGGCGACATAATAAGCGCGTATCCAGCCGGACCGCAAGTCCCACTCACGGCGGGAATCTCGCTCCGATATTGATAAGTACTTCTGGGGTAGGCCCAATCATGTAGTTGAAATTCGGCTTGGTAGCGATAGGTGATCCAGTCAGACTGTTGTTCCTGACCAACTCGTAGATCATCAAGCCCGTCATGATAATAGTGAGGGTGTAGGTCGCTACCGGCCACCGTTGCCCGCCTAGACCTCTTCTCTTTCGTTCGATAGCCTGTTCCAGTGGGAACTTGCCCACTCGTTTTCCAAACAGTGCCAACAGTCTATCCAAGCCAAGGGAGAAGAGTAGGGTCTCGTAGAGCCCACCTGGTTCCTTCCATTGATCTGTGCCTGATGCGTCAAAGGGGACGTATGGCATGGGCGACCCGTCATAGTGTGGAAAATGGACTTTGCGTCCACCCATACCGTCTTCGTACTCTCCCATGGGTCCTGCTCCACGAACCAGTCCTCGCATCTCCAAGTCATCCGCCTTGTTCGTATTGGACAACAACATCGAAGCTGGCCTCTTTGAGTCCGAGCGATAGTACTGGCCTTCCTCATCGATGTAGCTCAAACCACCCATCGAAGGTGCAAAAGACCCCTTGTTCTTGAGGTGGGATGGTGCGCCGGAGAGCGGGACGGTGGTCGGTGCAGGTAGTGTCATATGGTGGACCGAAGAAGCCACCTCAGATCGTTGAGAGGCTGAATCCCAGGGTCCGATAGACATGGATGTCCTTCGATGAATCTGATCGCTGTCTCGGTATGACTCATCGTCGGGGTACCCTTGGTCGCGCCTTTGATCGTAATGAGCGTTCGAATTCAACTCTTCAGTGTAACCTTGAGGGCCAGCGCCATGGTAAGGCCTGGCATTGGGCAGGGCGGACATCTGACCTGACGGTGTGCTTGCTGTATATTCTGGGAAGTGTGTAGACCTAGAGATGGGCAGCGGCGGCCCTGCTGGAAGCGATTGACGATACCCTTCTTTCACCCTTTGCGCAGTGGTGAGACCGTCTGATCGGGGGTGGCTGGAGCTTGAAGGTTCAAGAAGGAGTGTCCCGGAGGACAATGAAGAGGCGTGAGGGTATGATTGATCGTAAGAAGGTTGAGAAGCCGGATCGGATGATGCGGTGGAGGGATAGTGATGGGATGGGATGCCTAGAGGCTGTGCCGTTCCTTGGCCTTGCATCCTGATCAAGGCCACTGTACTGCTGCTGCCGTGTCAGAAGATGACTTCACGGAGTGGGATGAGCGATGGGTTCAGAAGTTTGAGACAAGAGGTGTGTCATGGATGTGAGACAGCGGAGACAAAACGTATTGATGATCCAAGAATTTCGTTTGGGAGCGAGCGATGACGGTAGCCAGGTGACGACAAGGGGCAAAAGAGACACCAAAGGAGGGGGGACACAGGAGAGCGAGCGACTCGACACACAAGAAGAAGAATATCAGTTATTTGAATGACATCCGCGACCACCTATGCTACTTGCAAGTTGCTTGCAGTGATCTGTAATTGTGGATGGGATGGGATGACCATGCGTGCAGCATTCCACAAAGCTGAAACATGGTTTGAAGTAGAGTGTGGCGTTGTGTAGCGACACGTGGCAAAAGTGCCTAACTCATTGGCATAGGCGCGTTCACCAGAGGATCGTTCGAGCACGTCCTGATGATGCATACTGTAGGGCTGTCTTGTGCCGTCTTTACCATCACACACAGTGACATGACATTGTCTTCAGATCGCAAGAGCAGTCGCAAACCACCTCCAGATCTAGACCACTCACGAGCAGGCTCATCGAGCTCCTATCAATCTTCAAAGTCAAAGATGACATCCGATGACGATCGAGCTCTAGCTTTGCTAGACATGGCCATAAATCTCGTCGATAGCGCCTTGGATATCCTGTTCAATCACCTCAAGACGGATGATCAACTACGTAAATCATCTCTCTTGATGCCTGGTGGAACAGTTGGCAAGCACTTTAGACATGCAAGTTTGCCTCCTTCTTCCTTTGACTTGTCCCACTCGCCTGTCCGCCCATGCTAACCTTTTGCCCTCAGGTCATCGAGACGTACCGAGCATTCCTGGCACCTCTTCATCCTCGATCTACTACTCTACCTTTGGGGAAACTAGTGATAAACTATGATGCCTTCTTACCGTCCACGCGTCGGCCACTCGCTCGATCTTTGCCTGCATGTAGGGACGCCATGTCATCTGTCCGAGATGATCTAGTCGCATGGGGCAACCGCTGTCGAGAGGGAAGCACAAGGTCCACAGGGTCATCATCCAACTCGTCTCGTCGGTCTACACGCTCAGGGTCGGAGAAGTCTCGCGAGGGGGTAGATAGCACACCATCGACATCTGGACTGGCGAAGGAGATGTCGATCCCAGTCGAGCTCATTGCCATCACGCCCACCAAGGAGGTCCTTTCATCTAGTATCGGGCGGGAATTATGGTTCTGCTCCCTGCATGCCATTCATCACTTTTCAATGCTGAGGACCATCGCCGTGCACGAGCTGGTGAGTGTTAGTGGTTCCAAGGGAGATCACCAAGCTGACCGAGCGACAGGGCCTCGACCTACCCGTAGAATTCGGCACGGCACCTTCAACATTATTGTGAGCATACCATATTTGCTCGCTCTCGAAGCTCATCCCGGCGATCAGATATCGAGGTAAAGGCTGGCAGCTGCCTGACGAACGCAAGATCAAGGTCGTCAAAGCCAAGCTATGAAACCTGGTATATCCAGACAACCAGAGCCGAGCACAAAGTGGGCACCTAGCGTCTCTGACGCCGTTGCTCGTTCCTTTTATTTTTTGTATCCCGCCTGCAGCATACATGTCTGTATATGCCGATACTGGCACACCTCAAGTGTTTCAAGGCTCCACGCAGCGGCATGGGTCCAAAGTACAAGCTCTTGCTCAACCTGACCGTCCTCATCTGCTCTCTTTCTCCACTCCATATACGTCCTTTCCAACTTTCCACCATGCGCCATTCTCTCCCCCGACGCACCATCGCCCTGCAAATTCCAACTCCAGCGGGTGCAGGCGTTTCCCAACGATGACCACACTGTGTAGAGGCGGTCCGAATTCCTCTTCGGGCAAAGCAGCAAGCTCGGACAATGTTCCAGCTATAATACGCTGTGTCGAGGTTCCTATACGTGATAGCGATAGGGCGAGAGTTTGATCAGGAGGCAGGAGGGTGGTTGAACGAGGAGCTGTGGACGTTTCGTCCTCGGTGACCTCCGAGGATGAGGTCGTGCCAGTGGGTGGATTCCGCGAAGTTTCAGTGAGAAGAATCTGCTTGAAAGCGGTGTGAGGTGACATGAATCGGGGTGGCTCGTATATCAGTCTTCCTCTGCGGTGCATCAACACGGTTCCCAGCTCGACACCATCGATGATCACTACTCACCTCGCCATATTCTCCTCACTCTGTTCCCTTACTTTGATATCGACCAATACCAGCGTGTGCATTCCCACTTGCAGATTCTCCTCTAAGCGATCGTACCAGCTTTCCGGTGTCCAAGTCTCGGTATAGAATGGTAAGGAGATGGTTTGGCCGAAATTGTACATTTGCAATCCCGTCGCTCCGAGAGCAGTGAGGATAGAGGCATTGTGAATGACAGTGGTAGGGATATTGAGGTCGGATGCTCGTAAAATGAGATCAGAGTGAGTCGTTGCGCTGTACAAAAAGCCTAGGGTCAGCCAATGCTCGAACGGGGCATCAATGATGCGACTTACCCAAGAGGATCGCCCACGACCAAAAATGCAACGTCCACTTTATCTGCGTCCCGGAGTATATCGTCCGACTCTAGCTCGACAGTCTCCCGAGTCGCAGTAATAACCTCTCGGCCATAGAAAGCTTCCTAGACACACGATCAGTCCAAGATCCTCGGATCATACATTAATTTAAGACTTGCCAGCTTCTCTTTCGGGATCATCAATATTGATGTGTAAGATTCAAGATACACCCTCTCGCATCGTTTGACAGCCTGCCAGAGGTCAGCAATTCTAGCTCAAATAGCCTGAGAGCCTCACTTCCAAGCCTTTGACTGTGATGTCCTTCTCATCGCTCAACCCCAATCCAATGATGTACAGCATTCTGCTCAGTCTACTGCAGTCTATACGAACTAGTGATCGAGCATTTCAGCTGGAAATTATTCTCGTCGCCCATCCTCGAAATTTTGCTTCCGTCCCTGTGGAAATGGCCGCTGAGGAGTCTGAAACTGCCGACCCAAGCAAGTCTGGGGCAAAAGCACACCTTGCAAGAAGGAGCGTGGACAGCGACCACTGGCATACATGTGACGAGATGGCACCGTGGAGTGTCCGCAGAAGACGCATCGCTTGTGATACCTCTTTTAAGCCTGATGCCTGTCTGGACAGGAACGTGTCACAGCTTGGCCCTGCAATCCTATATCTGTCCGGCTGATCTAAAAGCACCTCGCACGTACGACACTGCCGCGTCGTGTCGATTCTCCCACGTCAGCTCAACACTGTTGCTTCACCTTCATGTCTGTCAGCCCGGATTTCTGGGATCTGATCGAGAACCTATGCGACGCGTGCATACATACATTCTTGGCGAATGCTCTGCTTGATCTAATTTCGGTTGCCGTCCGACTAAACGCCGAGGTACGACCCCGCCCTTTTCCACTTCCCGCCTCCACAGCTGTCCCACCCCATGGTCACACCATATTTCGAGGGACTGTCGGTGAATGCCACGCCGCCACCTCTGGAACCCACCCGGCCGTAGCAAGAGGTTTGCCTATAATACTAGCGTCAGAAGGAAAAAAAACAGCGACGAAGAAATAATAATGAAAAATAATCATCATGACAGCTCCATCGGCTACTTTTCGATAACCGGCAAGCCTCCTGCGTATCCTCTTTCATTCACCGTCTATTCTCAAGGGGCCCTTCGACCTCGGAGCCCCTGTCTCCGTATTCATCGGAGTATGCATACCAATTGAGAGATTGCCAAAACGGAAGAAGGGAGTGCTCACATGCGATCGGTGGAGGATTTTTGCTAAGAATGGCAGGACCCACTTGTGACACGTCGTCATCGCAGATTAACACCCAAAGAGATGGGGCAAAACTGGAGACCCGCCCACTAGACTGATTCAGCGGGGGGGTCGACTCAGTTTGAACCCAAAGGCGAAGGAGCAGAGGCAGATTGGACAATCGAAACCTCCACCGTTTGGGGACGCGAGACACACCCAGAGCCCACTGTTTCCCTCCGGTAAATACACACATATATATATATACGAGAGAGTCTCGCCCCCTTCCCTGGACCCCACATATCCCCCCGCTCACCACAGTTTCCGAACCACCTACCTGACTTGCATTCACAACCTCTTCTGTATTCTCACACACACCTTCACCATGTCTCATCTCGACCAAGTTGCTTCCCACCGAACCTCGGACACCATCGAGCAAGGCAATGGAAACCACCACCACACTGAAGCAAAGTACGGTGGCGGACAGAGCGTTGCCAGATACCTTACTGCTGGAGGTACTCCTGCCGATTCTTCCAACCCCGCTTTCCCAGTCTACCACAGAAAGCTCGGAAATCCATCTCCTCTAGGTCTATTGGGGTGAGTAGATGGTGGCGCAATTTACCTGATGATCTTGGCTGACATCATGAATCGTAGATTCGGCGGAACTACCTTCCTCTTGTCGTTGTACAATGTGAACACTAGGGGAATCAATACCCCCAACGTCATCCTTGGTCCTGCTCTTGCCTACGGTGGTCTTGCTCAGCTCATTGCCGGAATCGAGGAGGTGAGCCGCGAGGATAAGCGATCACGCACCCCAAAGTGGCGCTGATACATTCAATTCTCCTCCAACTAGTGGGTTTGCGGAAACACTTTTGCAGGTACTGCATTCAGCTCTTATGGTGCTTTCTGGATCTCTTTCGCTTGTCTCTACATACCTCAGTTCAAGATTGCCGGTGCGTAATACTCCTGCATCTGCTCGCACAGCTTCCTCAATCTGACGCCCTATGCCCAGACGCCTATGCGGTTGCTGGTGAATTTGACAATGCCGTCGGTCTCTTCTTGGCAATGTGGGGAGTCATCACCTTCATCTTCTTCCTCGCTTGCTGGAAGTCGTCCATCGCCCTCTGTGCCCTTTTCGGATGTCTGGACGTGACATTCTGGTTACTCACAGCCGCTTTCCTGGCCCCTAATGCCAAATGTGGAATTGCCGGTGGGGCTATGGGAATTGTGAGTGTCATCTCCGTAACTCGAACCAGGAATCGAGCTCATCCCATCTTCCAGGTCACTGCTTTCATCGCTTTCTACATTGCTCTCGCTGGAATGCTCACACCCGATACGAGCTACTACACTTTGCCAACAGGAGACCTGTCTCGAGCCAAGAAGAATGAGTAAATGCAGCAAGCGGAGAGAATCCGAAAGCGAGGATCGATGATCGCATGTGGCGAAAGAGGCAGGTGCTTTGAGCACTTGTATCCTCGTGTACTACCAATTCACAAAGCCTTTAATTACTTCACAGTCTCTTTCCCCGTCCTTTTATCTTTCAGGTCGACCTAGCTGATAATCGTAAGGGGCTCATATGCATCTCAAACAGTGTATTGATCCGCCAAACGCATCCTTCCCAGTCTCTTGCTGATTTTGCCTCACTGATGCTCCTTTGGGTGCTTACTCCCGCTCCGGTCTCCGTCTCACTAGCCTCATGTACCCTGGTGAGGGACGGTAACGACTCGAACTTACAGGACGCTGGCAGCTCCCATGGTTCCATTGCTAGAACGTAGATCTACGTATGGTCCAACCAGACCTCGCAGAGCGTATCTCGACCTACAACTTATTATGCACGATGAACCGCTCGGTTATCGTGCGAGACGACAAGCTATCCGGTGTATCTCTGATCTCAGTATAGCCTCAATGGCCGCCGTACTCGGACATCACCAGAATCCATTCGTCAGACGGTCCAATAGATGTTTCAACCATCAGCAAGAGCCTTATTCAGGTGATGGCTGCTTTGCGAGACGACGGAGATCTCGCAGGGGTCATGGAATAGCTTGGTAGGCCACTCAAAGCTACGGCTCATGGCCACACTTCGCTAGGAATGTAGCGACCGGCATAAGAGGAAATGAGGAGAAAAATCGGTTCACAGCTTTTGAAGATCTGTATCTCCCTGATACAATGTTGCAGCAGTGACTTTCTATGCACCCGATGTACAACAAGAAGCATGCAAAGTCTCATAATGTGTATGAGTACGAAAAAGAGAAACGGATGCTGTGTGCACTATCAATGATAAGCTAGTCATATTCGATACAGAATACCACTCTTTCCCCTCCCCTCCCCTCTCCCCCCTCTCATCGCTCAATGCTTGAGCGGCGTGAACGGTCCTTTGAAATACAGCGCATCTAGCTCATTGACCACCTCCGTCATGGTTGGTCTATCGCTAGGCTCTTGACTCCACATCTTCTCCATCAGATCGACCACTTCGTTTCCCCAATGTTTCCTGAGCCGCGCAACGGAAGGTCGTTTCTGCTTGGTCCCAACCGCATCGTAGATGTAATGCTCGTTATGGCCTTCCCAAGGGTATTTCTAACCACATTTGTCAGAATTGTAACGTCCAATGTCCATTTGACCTACCTTTTCACCAGTCCATCCCGACAACATCTCCCAAAAGACCATGGCGGCGGAGAACACATCGACCTTGAAGTCGTATCGAGGATGGGGATGCCACAGTTCCGGAGCTTGCCAGTTGACCGTACCGACAAGGGACCTGATCATCGATCGTGTAGATGTCTTGACCCTAGCAAGACCGAAATCGCCAACTTTGGCATGTCCCGCTCGGTTGATCAAGATGTTGGAAGATTTACACTGCCCTGAGTCAGCAACGACATTGCTCACTGCCTTCAGGCAGACTCAGCTCACGTCACGATGGATAATGGCGGGCTTTCTTGTATGAAGATACTCCAATCCACGAGCAATGTCCAGCATGAGTCGGTGAACCTTGTTGGCAGATGGCGGTTCGACATTCCGCTGGAAAGAAATCAGCTGGAGATCACATTCACACGCCTATCTCTCTCACAATGTAGTCAAACAAATCTCCATTCTCGCACAGCTCGCTGACGAGCATGCAGGGGACTTGAGATGTGTCCTCAGGAATGCAAATGCCTTTGAATTTGACAATATTCGGGTGACTGAACTCGGCAAGAAGTTTGAGCTCCCGAATATCCATCTCGGACAAATGCCCACGGAACTCTGAGATTGCGACTCGACGTCCTCGGAATTTGCCAACGTAGACGCTGATTTGAAGTCAGATCAGAATCCAATTCTTGTCTCACTCTTTGAAGCCTCCACTGCCAATCCTCTCGAGCTTCTGCAGTTGCTCCGGCTTAATGATCGAGTCCTCAAGGCCGAGCTCCTGCAGGTCGAGATTGATGTCACCGTCACCTGCTCTTCTATCATCATCATCAGAGTGGGGCGGTGTCTGTGGATCGGTTGCATGGATGTGGTCTCGTAACAGCACTGGTGTAGTCTTGCCAGATACGTGTACGTTGGACGCGATTGCGTGGATGATTTTGCCCTTCCTTTTGCGCGGCGATTCAGGCCTTGCGGTCGCTTGCGAGGAGGAAGTCGAATGAGTTTCGATGCCTTCTTGTTGTTTCTCGTACTGAGACAAATCAGGTAATTGTCCGTGAGGATGTGGATCTAGCTCACCCATGCCAGGAGCGATTTGGCTAGTTGAGGCTTCGTTCCAGCCGTGTCCAGGCTTCTCGTCTCGCACAGCTGCACGAGCTCCTCGCGCAAGAGCCGGACAAGAGAGGAGAGAGTCGCTTGGGAAAGGTCGATATCTTAGGAGTGCGCGTTAGCAAGAGGGTTCGAAAGACATCAACGCACACCCACCCTCAAAGTCTTGGCTGTCTTCCTCCTCTTCGCTTTCTTCGTCCTCCTCCATTTCGTCCTCATCCACGTCAGCCTCCATGTCGGGATCATCGATCGCCTCCTGTCTCAATCGCCTCTTCCGACTTTTCCAAGCCCCAAACGATTTGCCAGATCGTGTCGTCCGATTCATCACGTCGTCATCCTCGGATTCCTGCATCTCAATCTCGTCAGGTACAGCCGTCGATTCGGATGTCTGAGACAGAGGTGCCATAGATCCGACTTCATCCTCGTCACTGAGTGATGAGTCAGTCAGATCGAGAGACAAGCGAGAGTCTCGTCGATTGTGTCGAGGGGCGAATGCACCTTCGTGATTTGCAGCCGCTCGAAGTTGCGCACGAGTGAGAGGACCGTCTCGCCCCGCATCTTCGTCTTCGTCTTCTTCGACATCGATTGGTGCAAGACTCTCTTCGTCGACTGACATGTTGTTGTTGCTGATAGATGAATCGGTCCCCGCTACGGATACATCGTCGTCTTGCTGATCTTTCAAAGCCTCCATTGCACGAGTTTTGGCGCCTCTCTCGGGTCTCGAATCCCTGCGGGAAGAATACAGCGTTGGATCGTGTCGGTCAATATTCTTGTCTCGACTTCGAAGCAGACGGAGGGGTCGAGGCGAATGATCGCTCTCAGCTTCATCACTGTCTTCCTCGGCATCCGCCTCGAGTTCGCTGAATGTTTCCCTCGACACCGTTCGATTGCTTCGGGATCGCAGTCGAGCCACAAGAGGTGTAGGTTCCGCTTCGTCCGAATCTGTCCCTTCCGAACTGTCAACCATGGATGAGATGTACGGATTCCGCCCAGAAGGCGCTCGGCCAGGAGCGGCAAGTTCGCTGTTCGCCAGCGTTCCCCGGGCTGCGCTGAGGCCTCGAGGCATGCTAGGCCTCCTAACTCGTGCTGGAGTGTGTCGAACAATTATAGGAGAATCATCTGGGGAAGGCTCAGCATCGGTAGTTGTATATGCTGATGACAACGTCGACGAGCGCCTGGTTCGGGTCCTGGTGGGAGAGTCAGTCAGGGCCTCCACATTTCAAGCTGGCACTCGCTGACTCACCTGAGCAGACCTTTTGCCGGACTCTTCACATCGTCGCCAAATCTAGCCTTTCTATCATGTCCCTCACCGCCGCCCATGCTCTTGCTTCGATTTAATTTCCTCTCCTTTAATCTGGTCTTTGCTCTTGCGGTTCCAGGTCCAGGGGTTCGTCTTGGCGCTGTCCGCATTAATCCAACGTCGGTGATACGTGCACGTCTGTTTCTCTTTTCCGGCTTTGGCGTCGCATGGAGGTCCGTCGGCCATCTCGTGGACTTGTTTTCCATCGAGGATATGGAGGCCGAGCTCATCTGAGGGATGATGCCAGTTGCTGAACGCAAACGCTTGATTTCGTAACTGGCGTCGATAGCCGCTTTACGCTTGGGTGATGTCCTCGATGATGCGGAAGATGAAGCTTGCTGAGATTGGTTCTTTCGCTTCAAGAAGTCAGCACGCTGGGCCCACACACATGCCAAATGTCTCTCACCGCAGCAATCAGCCCGTCAACTAACTCCTTCTTCCCGCGATTGGCATCCTCCTCATCGTCCATCATTGCCGAAGCGTCATCGCCATCTTCCGCATCCCACATCCCTGCGACTTTCCACAGACGAACAAGTTCCGCCTTCCTCAGCCTCTGCAACACGTATGCGGGAGCGTCATCGATAAGCTGCTGGTCTCCTGTAATGCACGGTTTAGCACGAGCTAACATGCGGTCAATCACTCACTTTCAGCGATGAACTCCGGTTCCTCCTCCTCTTCCTCGTCGGAAACCTCCACCCAGCTCCCCGACTCGCTCGTCGACGCTGGAGCCTGATCCTCGTCATCACGCTTCCGCTTCCTCGGGCTAGCATCGTCACCAGAAGCAAAGACATCATTCCGATGCGACTCTCGAGCAGGCACTGTATTTCTCTTGACAACGGGTTTTTCGCCCGCCCTCTCCCTCCGCTTGCCTCTCTTGCTCGGCGCTGCCTGATTCACAGTCTGGTCACCAGTCTCCGAGCTGAGTACCGAGCGTTCACGATTGCCAAGTCCAGGCGACGAGAGCTCATCATCGTCAGAGTCAGAGCTTATGGCAGAAATAATTCGCCGCCGCTTTGCAGGTTGCCTTGTCAGTCGGTGTCGCAATGGTGTAGCCGTCTTCCTAGGTGAACTGGCGAAGTGCTGACTCCTCGTTCTGGCGAGCAAGTGCATGCTGAGATGGAGCGGGGGTTGTAAGGGTCACCTATACGGTTCTATGATGTGTCCATGGTCCAAGTCAATATCGGCTCCAGACTACTCATATGAGTCCAAGCTTCACCGATGCCAATATACGAACGAGTATATGAATATTATTGGCCTTTTCGGCGATGGTTGATTGGACTGAGGAGGCGCGCGCGACGGAGAGTTGCAAGCGCGTGACGTTGGTAGCTTTCCGATAGAGGTTGAATTTTGAGTAACTTTGGGTGATTCGTCGATGTGAGGATGTCGGAGCAGAGCTCTACGGAATCTCACATGCCATGCCAGGATGAATTACAACAGAAGATGATGATGACGAGACTAGTAGGTGCGTAGTATCACTAGCAATGCACATAATGTTCCAGACGATCGGCCCTAAAGGATCCGTTATCAGAAGATCATGACGTGGCAATATTACTGCTGATCTGCGAACGGCTGCCGACTTCGTCGTCTTGAGTATCCCGATGCTGGGCATTGGCACTGTCATGAGCGAGACGTCGAATGTGGCGTGAACGGGTCTCGATATTAATTGGGCTCTGGAAGCTGATGTGATCCGGAGGAAATGCTGGATGACCGCTGCACCGCTGACTGATGAGGTGTTCCAGATCACTAATCTCCGTGACGGGCTCGGGTGCTGAATTGGAGCGTCCCCGAGGCTTCAAGGATGTATGGCCGTCACCAGAATGTCAATCGTACACTCACTGATTTATCTTTCTTCACCTCCTCATCTCTTGTCAGTCCTTTTGATCAGAGTCTCCTAACACATCCGGGTATCCTTTCTCCAGTCTCACTACCTTTCACAGTGTGACAAGTCCCATCGTCTCAAGCATGGGCTGCTCAATTCTCAGATGTCTCTTTCAAGGCAGCCCTTGCCGCTGTTTGCAAAATGGCGCTTGGTGTTCGAGTGGTGTCGAATACCACGACCCACCCCAATAAGGCATTTTGGGAAGCCTCTTTACTCGTCGCTATCCTCCTTGTCGTCTTGTTGGTCTCGCTCTGCTCATGGGGTGGAGGCTGGCTTTGGGGTAACAGCGACGGATCTTCACCTCGTAAACCTCGTTCTGACCCGCCCACCAGTACAGGAGCACCCGCCTCGACTCCCTCCCCGCCTGGTGCACCTCCTCAGGACCCACCTGACAGTCCGACAACGCCACCCGGGACGAGTCCTCGCAGCACAGATAGCAGCGGGACCGACAGTGACTCTGGCGGGTCTCACGACGATGAGGAAGATGGAACGAGGAGCCCGGGTAATGCTGTGAATAGTCGTGTTCCTCCTGGATTCAATGCTCAGACTTATCATTTACCTGGAGGTAATACGGTCATTTTACGTACGCCCATCGATGAGACTGATCGTGAGGGTCGGACTACAACAATCACGACGGGTGGAATGAATAGGCCAGTCACGGACGGTCAAGGAGGGCGATCCGCATACATACCGTTTGAAGTCCCTCGCAGCTCCTTCCCAGGCAATACAACTTTTGCCCAGCAACAGGGTCGTCCCGCACAATCGGGAGCATCACCTGCGGTACAGCTGCCCCCTTCTCAGCAGCAGCATCCAGCTCCTCCGGGAGAGCCTAGGGCGGTCAATCTCCCGCCTGTGACCCCGCTCAGCCCCAATGTTATTGTGAGTCCTACTCTCCCCCCTCCCCGGCGCGATGTACTGAACATGATGCCCCAGAACTTGCAACCTACGATCCGTCATACGCCAGTAAACGTGAGTCTTGGGGCTCATTGGCAGTGCTGAGGCCCGCAGGTACGACGTGTAGAGGTCCCAGAAGTCCCATTTGACCCCCCTGAAATTTTGAGTGGTGGGAAAGGAAGCAGCCGCGATCTCCACATTGAGATAGAGAAAGAGAAGGCCGGCATTGGGGATCTTCATATCGAGATAGAGAAGGAGAAACCCGGTCTACGCGTTGACATTGCCGATCCACTGCACATCCATGACGATGATGGCGAGCGACCCTCCGAAAAGGAAGTGGGTCCCATTCGCTGGTGGTTTGCCGACGAAGAACGACCGCAATTGTCTCCGGCTGACCTTGAGCCTGGCAATTACCTTCCTCTTTCGGATCCCTCCAACGTCAAGCTGGAAATCAAGAATGGCGACCCGGTCCAGATTCTTGGAGAGAATGGCGAGACGATCGAAATGCTCGATCAAGACCGGAGACCGATTCAACTTCTGGACAAGCAAGGCGATCCGATCCGTCTGATCGACGATTTCGAAGATACCATTCGGCTAGTCTCCAAGGCGGGACAGCCTCCTCGGATCGAGAATAAAGATGGAGCAGCGATAAAGATTGGTATCCAAGATGGCAAACCAGTGGGTGTCCGACTCGAAGAACAGAATTCCTGGAGGCGGATGCCAGATCTCAAGCCCGAACGAGTTAGGATACGTGTCGGTGAAGTCGAGAAGGAACAGAGGTCAGGCAACGTCAAGCGCAAATTGACTGTGCAACCTGACGGGCAATTGGTAGTCGATATCATGGATTCGGAAACAGAGACTGAAGGCAACAATGTGGAGCGCCGGGCAAAGGTCGGATTCAAGGTGGCGGAAGGAGAAGAACCATCGCCAGAGTCCAAGCGGAGGAGAGCAGCTCAAGCTACTAGTGAGGCGGCCGGTACGACTGCATCTCGGAAGCGTACAGTGGTCGAGTTGGACGCGGAGGACGAGAAGAGGCGAGGCGATGATCCTGCTGCCGAGAAAGAAGAACGTGCGAGAACGCCGAAAGACAAAGCGAAGGAGAAAGCCACCGAGCCTGGGATAAGGATCGTCAAGAAGGACGATAAGGTGGTAGTCGAGGCATTTGAATTCGCGGGAGAACCCGAAATTATCGACGAGACAACGGGCAAAGCAGGCAAGAAGAAGAAGAGCGTCAGAAAGGTCAAGGTGGCCAATGGAGAGACGGTGATGATTGCAGATACCGATGAGGAGGAAGCTGCGAAACCTTACAAAAAGAAAGACAAGTCTAAGAGAGTCAAGGTTGTCAACGGCCAAACATCGATGCTTTCTGACGGCGATGATGAGCGCGAGGTCATAGATGAGCGGACTGGCAAGCCTATCGGGAAGAAGAAGAAGAGGCTCAAAAAAGTCAAGGTGGTCGGCGGTCAGACAGTCACCACCACCGACACAGACGGTGAGGTGGAAGTAGTCAATGGTAAGAAGAAGGGTCGGAAATCCGCCAAGGAATCAACATCAGACAGCAAGCTAGAGGACAGGCTTCAGGAACTGGAAGATGCGCGGGACTCCGACATGATCGCAGCTAGAAAAGCTCGAAGAGAGGAGAGGTTGAGACAACGTTTAGACCCAGAGTCGGATCAGGATACTACTCCCATGAAGAGATCCGCTCGGAAGCGTCGAGACTTGGCGGCTCAGCAGGACTACGATGATGACGATAGTGGTGGCCAGAATCAGTCAAGCTCCAGGCTCTCGCGATCGAGGAATGCTCCCACAAGAGACGATCCCAATGCTCCCGATTACTATCGTGCACCCCAGCAGCAGGTGCAAGCACAAGCTCCACCGATTCCAGCGGCAGCGACGCAGTATCAACCTGTACCGATGCCGATGGCAATGCCAGCATCAGCGCCAAGTCAACCAGCTTATATTCCATCTGCACCAGCTGCAGCACCCAGCGCACCGGCCGCGGCCGCGGCTCCCGTTCCCGTCATCGTTCAACAAGGTGGAGGACCGGTTCCGATGCAGATGCCAACGCAGATGTACACCACCCCGAATAATGGCTCGGGACAAAATATACCAGTTGGTCAACAAGCCGGCCCTTCTCGTCCTCCGGAGGAGCCTACTGTGCCTATCAGCTCAATGTCGAACCAGAAGCCAAAAGCCAAATCAGTCGTAGTGGAAACAGAGTCTGAGGCAGAGGCAGAGGAGAAGTCTGCATTCAAGGGAAAAGGTCACAAGTTGGGTAAGAAACCAGACGACAAACCACCCGAAGCTCCACCTCTCGAAGTCAAAAGAGAGGCGACTCCGACCGCCCCAGAAGTCGAGAGTCCACCTCTGACGCCGCTATCCTCTCTGCCGTCAGCCCCTATTGATGGCGCGAGACCAGAACAGCTGGGTGAGTAGAGACATGAGCGTGGCGCTGATTGTTCTGAAAGAGCTGGAGCCGGTAACTGATTCCGACGACGACCTAGAGACCAGACTGAGACAGAACGACCCGAAAAAATACGAACAGTTCATGGCAGCTGAAGCAGAACGTCGAAGAGAAGTACCGCGAGTGGTGGAGGGCGGACTCAAAGAAGGTCTGTCAGACTCCGTCGGACCAGATAACACATTTTCGACGCTTCAAAATAAGCGGGCGACAAACGAGCAAATGACGATGGCCCAGGAGGAAGATCCTACCGATTATCGAACCGGAGGGAACAACAAAGCATGGGACGAGGAGTATCGACGTGGAGAAAGCGCACCCACGGGTCGGATCACCAATACTCAATTTGACAAGGGTGAAGGGGTGATACCGGACGATACAGCCATATCAGAAAGCAGCAGGGACACCGAACGAGCTACGAAGGATACTCCTCTCACAACATCACTAGACGCGCCAGATCTGCGGACTGCAAAGTCCGATCCTCTTCCAGTACCGATGGATCAGGAATCAATCGAGTCATCTCAGCAGCAATGGAAGGATAGTCGACCGTTGGGAAATATCAAGCCAGAGCAGAACCGGATCGACAAGATGGATCTGACACTCAAGGACAGGCCACAGGAAGCGTGGAGGGATTCAGGACCACAGAAGAAGGGCAAGGAGAAAGACGACGGCCAAAGAAATTCGCGTATCGGGATCCCGATTGCAGAGAAGTTATCTGACGAAGCCTGGCGCGAGGAAAGACCATCGCCTACGAAGCTATCAGGAGGCAAGCCGAGCCTATCAGATTCGTCGACGGCCGCATGGGAGGACGAGCAGAGCTCAGGGTCCAGAATAGACCAAAAGGCAACTGTCGGGTTTAAGTCGGACGCAATCAACGATACAGATCAACGTTCGGACCGAGCTTGGCGCGAGGTCAAGCCTTCTCCAATAGAGACGTCTCACGAGATCCCGGAACTGGCCGAATCACCGGGACGCGAATGGAGGAAGAAGAGGCCTCTGTCAGCCGAGAGGGACACATTCACAGGCGTGGAAGGACGGAAAACAGTCAATCAGGGTGGCATGATGCTTGCTTCGTCGATCGACCGGTCGAAAGTAGAAGCTGGCGAGACGCCAGGCGGATCGCGAGGATCGAAATCGAGCCCACCAGAAGGGAAGATAATGGATCAGCCGGCATCGGATCTGGGCGGATCTCTCGATTCCAAGCATCAAAAGGAGAAGCCTTTGCGGACTGATGAAAACGAAGTAGCAGAGCAGCAGGCCGTGCTGCAGACCGGGTCGCAGAAAGCTGAAGCTTCAGGCAGAACAGCGCCGCCTTCGGCAGTCTCTGCCTCAAAACACGAAGAGGGCCACATGCCATCGGATATGGCTTGGCTGGAAGAGAGGCCATCCCCTTTACGACCCTCGCACGAGGCACCAGAGCTGCCCGAATCCCCTGGACGCGAATGGCGCAATGAACGACCTTCTCCAGTCAAGAGCGAGGCTTCGATGCCCATAGAGACCGATCCAGTCGCTTTCGGCCGTCCTGGAATGATGCTGCCTTCCGCTGTTGATAGGTCCAAAATTGAGGCATACCAGCCGCCTTTGGATTCACCTTCCTGGTCGGAAGAGGCTGGACAGCGCCTCGGTGGAAAGGGCAAGGAGAAGAATCATGACCCCTTCCCAGAACTAATGAATATCGAGTCAACGGGACGGGAAACATCCCCATTATCAGGAAAGCAGGCAAAGAACGACGACCAGCCCTCTTTCAATGCTACGCCATCAGGTGGGTACGCGTAAGGTGTCTCCGAGTTAAGAGCTGATGCGCGGCTTTCTCAAGCACTCGATAAGCGACGGCCTTCCGCCCTGACTCTGAGCCGAGACGACGACAGACCGATCTCCTTAGCTGATCCCAATTCTCACGACCCCTCTCCTTTGGCTCAGCCTCGACTTGATCTAGCGGAGAAGGGGACCGACCGATATAATGATGGCAGCATCGGGGAAGTGAGACGCAATGAGCTTGCAAGTGAAGGGATCACTTCTCCTCGTAAGTCTAGCACCTGTTGCACCGACTCATAGGGCTGAGACTCTACTAGTTCAGGGGTCGCAGCCGAACGGAGATGCCAGCCAGACGCCTCAGCACCGTCTAGTCAATATGACAGAGTCTCACACGCGGACGTCAGGGGTCGGAGACCATGCCTCTCGACAGGAGCGGAGACCTCGTGAGTCCAGTGTGACCTCTAGGCTCGAGCATGACTAACTTCGTCATAGCTGAAATATCACGACCGAGTCGAGCTGAAAGTCCGGTGGCTCAGCAACAGCTCACCGATACGACGCATTTACCTGGAGATCGCTCCCTATCTGATGACGACGACTCAGGATACGGATCCGACCCGGCACGCTCTCCAAGATCAGCAGAAATGCCAATCATGGGTGAGGATGGACAGCAGCATGTTAAAAAGGCGCCACCGAAACGCGACGATTCAGGTGAGAGCCGGTGCGGCCCCGAGGCATACAAACTAATCGTTCGACAGGGCATGGGAGTGTGCCTGCTTCTCCCCGGCAGGTGCCGCAGATCGACGGATCTTACAACCGAGGGCGCTCCCCGGACATCTCACCTTTATCACCGCACGGTCAAGATGACTGGGAAGCGGGAAGGCAGCCTCCTATCGGTAGGAGATCGGCAACCCCGCGTTTCGCAGACGTCAGCCCGATGGAAGCTACTGAAAAACAAGCGCATCAGACGTCCAATCCAAATGTGAGACGGCTTTTGACGAGCATCCACTTCAACGCTGACAACCAGCTCGCAGGCATCCGCGACTCCGTCCGAGAACGTGATACGCCCCCGGCGCGATGCCCGAAGACCGGCCACGGACTCTGGCGACGCAGCAGTCGGCGAGGATGAAGGTCCTATTGGCCAGAAGAAGGCACAAATGGATGCCACAGACGATATCCCGACTCCACCGGACCACAAGGACTCGCAAGGAAAAGTCCAAGTACCTCCCTTGTCGCCTATGAAACCAAGAGAACGGCAGAGCGTTGATCCCCTCGCAGTACCATCTGATGTATGGGGCGAGGAGCCCGCTGCAAAGACTGTGAAGGGCAGTGACCGCGCAACGCCAAAGAGTACCGAAGAAACGCCCGAGGACAAAGTGCCGAGCGACGAAGCGATCGCGGACAATGAAACGAGGTCGTCCTCAAAACGGCATGAGAAGGACACGGCTGGCAACGGCGAAGAGAGAAGTGCCCTCACAGATGGTAAACCGCGTGAGTGCTTTGTATCTCCCCCAGACCTTGACTGATGGGATATATACCAGCTCCAGACAGAAGAACAACAGAGCCTTCCATTGATGGACCTAAGAATGGAGCGGAAGAGGAAAAGGCCGATGGGCAAGATACTGAGACCTCAGCTGGTCAGCCTCGTAAGGCATCTACTGAAGGCAATTCAAGCAAGAGGTCCCGGGAGAAGAACAAGGAGCACCTCAGCGACATAGATGAACTGGGATCGGCCAGGGTGACGAAGTTCGGTCATGAGAATCGGAGGGGTCTCGAACGGGTTCAGAAATCCGATAAGAAACCTGACAAGGGTGAGCGGTCATTCTGGCTTGGAGTTGGGTTGTCTTGATTTGTCCCAGTGAGAACCAGACGCGATGCGCCTCCAAACACGAGCAAGGAGCTAGCAGACACAACCAACAATCTACCTTTATCACAAGCTTCTAGAAGGACAGGGCTCAGGCAGATAATCCGGGCTACATGGCGAACAATCTCCCTCGCTCCCATTTGGAGCTTTGCAACGCTCATGAGTGCGATCATTGTCCTGATGGGCGATCGCCAGCTCGCTCAGATGATCATCAATTCGCATTCATCCGCTGCCGTGTCGCGAAAACGAGCTCTTGCTCCGGACCTTGCCCTCACCGAGAAGATCAACAACAAGGATTTCTCAACCCTTCTATCCCCCACGGAGTTCTTCATCTTATTGAACATCTGGAACTTTCTGGGCCTCTTGATACTCAGTATCTTGATCAGCGCGACCATAGGAGGAGCTCAAAGACCGAGTCTCCGAAACACCAGGCATACCATCGCCAAGGCCTTAAGTGGAATTGCGAATATCCTGTTGATGGGAGCCAGACCTCGAGGCCTCAGTATCATCTCACGATCTTCTTGGACCTCATATGGCCGGCTGGCTATGTTTTTGGCTCTGCTGACCCTTGTCATCCTTATCCTACAACAAGCCCTGGCGTTTGCCTTCAGCGCCACAAGCACACCAAATGCTCTCCTAGACGCCACGCCTGACATAGCGGGGATCGAGAAGCTGTCTCACACTATTTCCGCTGGCCAAATCCTCCTTGCGCTCATGTTCATCCTTGCCATCATCATCCCAGCACTCACCTTCGGCTGGTACGCCCTTCTAAATCCGCCATCAAAGACCGCTACTAAAGACGTAAAGGCGGATCAACAACTCAAGACCAGGAATACAAGGACGATAATGGCCCTCGAAGCTATTGGCGCCATTGTCATCCTCACTGTCTTCCTCGCTGTCATGTACTTTTTCTCCGAGATCGTGGCGTATTCTGGAACAGGCAGCTCAAATCTAATCATTGCGAATGTGATCTTGGTATTTATGATACCTGCGACGGGATGGGCGTTGATTGTCCTATCTAGAGCGGGAGGAAGAATCTATCGGTCAGGGAGCCGCAGCCTGTTTGGTAATGATCCAGAGAAGTCTCTCGTATAGTGGTCATCCGCCAGTTCGTCCACGGTATCATTGGCATGTACAACATTCATCCCTCGTCTCAGGAACACCCCGGCCTACTTTAGAAAGCCCCACAGATTATTGAGACTCTCCGCCAAAGTCGGATGAGCCCACACAGCATCTTGCAACACAGTCCATTTTGTCCCGCCCATCATAGCCATCTGTACGACGCTCATGATCTCGCCTCCTTCCAGACCCAGGCAAGTGAACCCCAAGATGCGATCTGTATCCATGTCCACAACGGCCTTCATGAGACCTCTGGTTTCGTCCGTCTCGAGTGCTCTTGCCACGTAGCTCATCGGCATAGTGGCAGTCTTGATTGTATGGTCGGGAAAGCGTTCTCGTGCTTCGTGCTCGTGCAAGCCGACGTGTGCCAATTGAGGATCCATGTACGCGACATAGGGGGCGATGAGATCTCTATCCTTGATCGACCGATGCTGTGAGGGATCACCTTTGTGGTCGATTAAATTGGCTTTGAGAATCCGGTAGTCATCGTACGAGACGTGGGTGAACGCCGGAGGACCCTTTACGTCCCCGAGCGCCCAGATGTGAGACTGAGAGGTCTCAAGAAGGTCATTGACCTTGATATACCCTTTCGAGTCGAGCTTGACACTAGCAGCTTCGAGGTTCAACTCGTCAGTGTTGGGTCTTCGGCCAGTTGCTATGAGGACGTGTGAAGCATTAAGCGATTCGACATCGCCAGATTCAGTCTTGTACAGTACGGTGGCGCCGCAGCCCTCTGGACCCGGACTGATGCTTTGGACTGCCGTTTGGAGGTACACTGCGAGCCCATCTTCCTCGAGGATATTCTTGACTGCCTCAGCGACTTCTCGATCCTCTCGAGGAAACAGCTGTCGTCCTCGTTGAATGACCGAGACGGCCGACCCCAAGCGTCGGAACAGTTGACCGAATTCTATACCAATGTATCCTCCGCCAACAACGACCAGATGCTCCGGCACGACGTCCAGCTCTTGGATAGAAGTAGAATCGAGTATTACTCCTTTTGCGAACTCTCCCTTGAGACCATCGATTGGAGGCTCGACAGGTCGTTCACCAGTGTTCACGAAGATCTTATCGGCAGTCAAGCGTTGGATCTCCTGGCCAGAGGTATCGATGACGGCTATCGTCTTTGAGTCGAGAAATCTGGCGACACCGGTCAGGAGATCCACTCCTGACTCTTTCAACGTCTTCTCTCCGCCTTCACGAAACGAATCCACAATCTCTTGTTTGCGCTCCTTCACTCGTCTCTGGTCAACGGTGATCTCGCCTTTGATATTGACACCATATTCTTTGGCTCGATTCACAAGGTATGCCACTCGACCACTGGCAATCATCGTCTTGGTAGGTGAACATCCTTCGTTGACACAGCAGCCTCCCACGTGCCGAGATTCAATCAAGGCAGTCTTGAGACCTGATTTGACGAATGCTTGGCATAGAGGTGTACCACCTTGACCGGATCCAATGACCACGACGTCGTAGTGCGCGAGAGAGGTCATGAACCGCTTTCAAGGTGAATGTGGTTGCGGAGGAGATGACTGTGTATGATCAGCTTCGACTGGATGTAGTCAGATGCAATGAAGATGCATGAAAGGAGTCCGAGGTGTCATCCCCCTTACCCTCCGCTCCCCCCAACCTCCCAAGTCTCTCCCAAATGGAAAGAAGGTACAAGCTGTGAGCTTGCTTACAGAAGGTTCTAAGCTACAATGTCCCTGCCTCATTCTGCCACATTGTCGATTGATAAGCGGAGATAAATTTGCAAAGTCGAGAGTGAAAAAATACTTCCGTCGGTCAACGTCTCTCAGCTTCCACCTCAACTCTCCCATCTCGTCTCTCTCATCGGACTTGACCTGATTTGGTTACATTGTCTATCTGACTTTGTACTTTGACTTCATCTCACTTCCATACACCACATCAAACCCGCAACAGACCTTCTTTACCACCTTCCGGTGAGTTCGTATTCCCTTCCTGCATCCCTCTTTGTCGGCTCTCTTGAAACACAGCCACTGACGTCTGGTTTCTGTGTCATCACTTCATGTGCTCCTCCACATCCACTCCGGTCACTCTACTCCTGATACCTAGTCTTCAACACTCTATCACTACCCATCATGGCTTTGAAGCGCATCAACAAGGTGAGTCTGATATCCGCACGATGATATGTGTACATCGTCGTCCAATCTCCATCCTAGCGTGGAAGGAAGTTTTTTCAGCCAGTGCTCACGCGACATTTCCGCATCTTCTTCTTCTCGTCAATTGCTCACAATTCTTTCAGGAGCTGATTGATCTCGGACGAGATCCGCCATCGTCATGCTCTGCTGGACCTATCGGAGACAATTTGTTCCAATGGCAAGCTACAATCATGGGACCGGTGAGTGGCAAGAAGCCTTCAAGCTTGGCGTCGATCCCGCCGTGAAGGGTTCCAGCATAACTGACTTATGTGTATAGAGTGACTCACCGTACTCTGGTGGTGTCTTCTTCTTGTGAGTGCATCTCACTACTCTATACCGATTTTGCTGACTGATCCAATAGGTCATTGACGTTCCCTACCGGTATGTCTCGGTTCCGACCCCGACACCGACGCGCTGGCATGCTGACCCGTTTTAGACTACCCATTCAAGCCGCCCAAGGTTTCCTTCACCACCAAAATCTACCACCCCAATATCAACGCGAACGGTTCTATCTGTCTCGACATTCTGCGAGATCAGTGGTCACCCGCTTTGACCATCTCAAAGGGTCAGTCCAGTGTCTAAGCGCTTACACGCGCACGCTGACATTCCCCAGTGCTTCTGTCCATATGCTCCATGTTGACAGACCCGAACCCTGATGATCCATTGGTACCGGAGATTGCGCATGTGAGTTGGTTATTGAACCATGTTTGGTCCCGCTGACCCCCTCTAGACGTACAAGACAGACAGGCCAAGGTACGAAGCTACAGCGAGGGAGTGGACGAGGAAGTGAGCATACCCATTCCGCGGCACGCATGGTTCATGCTGACGGTTCACAGGTATGCGACCTAGAATTGAAATTCACTCGTGGCCGCTTTCATACATTGCCTTTCATGTGTCATGACATCGTATCCTCTTACTGCTTCAGGGGTGTCCAATCATCATGCGTCGATTCATCCTCCTCTGTCAGTCCGATTGCATGGTTTCCTATTCGACCCTCCATTCGTTCAGTCAGAGGCAATTCAGCCCCGTTCCGCCTAACTTCGTATTCTCTCGAGTAAAAGAGGGTACAGATACAGAATCCGCGCCAGCTGTCATGTGAAATTCACGGCCAAGTCTGGCCGGTAAGATCTGCAAGCTGTGCGTTTGTGAGACGAGACTGTCGGGCTCATTTCCTTGAACACTCCGTGTTCGCCTCCGATCTACGAGTCGGACTAGACCTAAGGGTCGGAGTGTCTAGTGGAGATTCGTCGAGACCGGTCCCATCCCTTACTCAGACTTTCACTCGGACCCGAGATTCCCTCAGATAATAATTATCGAGAAAATCGCTCCGGACAGCGAGGAAGAACAAGGAAAGATCATCTTTGATCCTGCGCCAAGGGTTGACGGAGTAGACGTCTCAAGGGACCCCTTGACGGAGACTAGAGCGGCAGTATATCTGCTCAGTGGGAGAGAAAGGCGAGCTGCGGCGTGAGTCCGGCAGTGCTTCAAACCAAGGAGCAGTCTATCAGCCTTGTCTCGGCGGCCTGAGACATTTGCGTGTTGGACTGAGATGTAACGTGTGTCTGTCTAGGTCCATCAGCTGTGTACATAGGTCTACATCTACAAGTGGTCGGTTCTATCTAACCCCCTATAGCCCCGCCGGCGACTTGAACTCTGCACCTTCATTCTTCTCTGCATCCCTCCCTAACTTCTCATACGGCGGTGGTGCTTGCAAACGCCCGACGACAGTCAACTCATCGCTATCCCTGCCGCTATCGGTCCTTGCATCCATCCTCTCGTCCCATCTGTCTTGCGCCAGTAACGGGGTTTGAGGATGAACATCAGGCCATTGATCCCCGTTGAGACCTGAGCCTATGCCGCCAGAAGGATCCACAAGCTGCCACATTCCACCTTGGTCGACAATTTGACCGTGTTCATTCAATGTCACTCTTGCTGCTGAATCATCCGATCTCGCTCTGATCATTCTAGCTACGGACATGCGCCACGGTTTTCGTCCGGCAAAAACGTTGGAATTGACCAAGTGGAGTAGCCAGACGAGCCAGGCGCATGTGATCGAACAGGACGCGACGTTGAGTATTGTCACGCCGATGAAGGTCTTGCACACCGCAAGCGTTTTCGGGAGGTAGTCGACGGAGAATGCGGCATGACAAGAAGGACCAGCCAGAAGGGTGATGCCGATGCCCATGGTGACTGTCATTTCTGTCAGGTTTCCTCATTTCTGACTCGGCGGACCTCTTTGACTCACTCATTCCAAACGCCGCTTGGATCCCGAGGTAGGCCACCTCGATTCTCGCCGCATCGAGAGCGACACTCGAGGGCCGAATAGAGAGAAATAAGGCGATGGGGAAGTAGACGAACAGAATGATGGATGAAACGATTTGAGGCACCATCAGCGCGACTTCAGAAGTAGCTAAGAGAGTGACAATGAATGTGAGGAGGATGAGAACTAATTGAGAAGCCTATATGGGAAGCGGTCTCAGCAAGAAGCATCGAGCTCAAGGTGCAGTCGAGTCGCAAGTAACTCACCATGAGGATGTATCGAATGATCAGAGCATTCTTAGATGACCTGATGAGGTCTGAGAGGGTAGACTTGCCGCTCATCCTGACGGCCGAGCTGTGGACTGACCCTGGTAAAAGGTAGAAGATTATACAGAGTCGTCCGGTGTCCGGGTGGTTGGAATATTTTCAGTCTTCTGCTTGCTCGATGTCCAGCGCTATGAGAGGTTGACGCTTAACTTATCTCTGCACACCCTACTCAATGTCGCCTAGAGATCTGTGAGATCGTCAAGGAGGTCGAAATGAGCTCAACGTTGTTGTCGTTGCTCATCATTCAGCGCTTTCGGTTCAACCAACCCGCCAATCAGGGATCCAAACCACACCACAAACGCCTCTTCCGAGCCGTAAGAGGCACGAAACGAGTGTCATCTCCGCGTCAAGGGAGTTCAAGGCATGACTGTCGGACCTGCGTCTTCTCTGCTTCTGCGGAAGGCGTAGAAAGACAGACTCAGCGCCGCGGGAGTGAAGACTTTGCCCTATGAAAAGAACCGCGGATTTGTATTTTGGGACTCTTCGTCCATTTTTTTCCCCCTTCCCGCGCTGCTAAAGACGCGTAGCTTCAGAGTCATGGACTCATTGTTTACGAGCACTATCTCTTACGCTCTATCGATCTGAGACGACGACTGACAGGACATGGCAGCGGACCCATCCTTGCAGCCATCAATTTGAATGCGCTTGCGGGCCTGACTTGCTTAGCCCAGCCCGATCGTCTGACGCCAGCAAGCGGTTCAAATATAGCGACGCGACTGATTTTTCATGCCAGCGCCATCGACCGGAATTCCAGTTTTAACAGGTATCCGCTGAGGTAGATAGTGCATGTCAATAGGGTATTCAACATGGTATCGAATGCCTTTCAAAGCTGCTCATTATATACAAGGAAATAACGCGTGGGTGGTACGGTCAAGCTTCTTCATCATCGTCTCCCTATACATCACGCCTGACACCCAGCAAATCAAGAAAGGTGCTTGGCTTCGCTCAATGAGCGGTCAGCCGAGCCCGAGAACCATACACTCCCGGCTCCGCATTGACGTGAAGATCCTGAAGATCTTCAGCGCTCTTCTTGTCTTCCATTGTATCGTATGGGCCCTGAACGGCATCAGAAGCTATTCTTCAGCGTACCAGGCTTACCCTGTTCAGGCCTGGTCGCTCGTCCAGGGTGTAAGCGGGAGTGGATTGGACATACGTCTCAGTCTCTACATCGACCTGGAGTTGGGTCTTTTGAGTGGGTCGGTTGCTCATGGCAAAGACTTGCCCCTGCAATGCTTAATCAGCGGTGGGGGGATACGTGTCGCCACAGCGTCCCACTCACTCCGGTTCGGTCCTTGTCTCCTACCCATTGCTGCTGGAACGTGATTCGAGCGTTCAAGGCGTACATGAGACCAACAGCGTACAGCTTGGGCTGAATGCCCTGGAGAGTTGATCCGAAGAGAGAGCTAGGTGTCTGAACTGGGCAAGATTAAGCTTGGCGCCATCAACTTCTGCTCACCGAACTCGACCATGAAGGTGATGGCGATGATCGTGGGCGGGACTTGTGACTCTAGCGTCATTCGAATCAGACGCGTGATGACCTGGATTACTGATCAGCTTTGAGGTAACGAGGCAACAGCTACTGACTCTGTCGGTATGGGACCAGCCGGTTTTGGATCTCCACAGACCGAAGAGGATGGAGATGGTGATGATAATATCGGCCGACATGATGGAGGACAACCAGACTGAGAGATATGTTCAGAACGGAGAAGGATCCAGGACAGAATTACTCACTCAACTCCGGAACAGTGACACCATCAGCCTGGAAAAGACTCGCAAAGCTCGAGAAGAGGATCAAGACTGCGAGCGTGGCGCCGACTCTGGCGAATACGAGTTGGTAAGCTCATGAAGGGACACCACCCAAGACTATTGACTTACGAAGTCAAGATCAAGACGCCGCAGACCAAGGGGATGATCCACATTCGGTTGCAAAGTCGATAAGCTCTGTAAGCGAAGAAGGCCTGGACGACGGCCGAGTTGAGTGAGTCGAGGAAGGGGAACCAAGCGAGGTACCTGAGAACATCAGTGAGTTTGGTGTCTGACACTCGCATCCTTGACTCACTTGGTTTCGGCGAAAGGCGACCAGAGTCCCTAAGCGTTGATTGAGCCAATGATCACCAGATAATCAGAGGTCCTCACGAAGTTTTGCACAAAGAGGTACGAGATGAAGTACTGTGCTTCAAAGTGAGAAAGTGTTTTTGATTCTCAGGCTCGGCATTCTCACCCAGAGGTAGATTGTCACCACAAGATTGATGATGGCAGTGGTGATGACGACCGACTTGATCCACCAACTATCCCTTCGCTGGTATTTGAAGTACGAATAGACTGATCAAGCTTGGTCAGACTTCGTGTGGCTCACTTGACGGGATGAAAGACTTGCCTTGCATCGTCAAGACGCCACTGTGGTGAGTTTGAGATCAGCTCTGGCGATGCTTCTAGAAGTAGCTCACCAGAAGAACGAATCGACGCATACTTGAGCGAACATCTACAGGAATGGACGGTATCAAGCGATGCTGACGGAGACAAGGGAATCACTTACGCATCCTAGGGAGAATTTCTGAGAGGCATGTCAGCGACTGTGAAAGACGCCTACGAAGCAATCCAGTGAAGGACGAAGCATGACTCGCGGAAGTAAGGGCAGGATGGGTTGCGTCTGTGTGGGGACCCAAGGAGCTGGAAATGGACTATTACTCACTGCGCTGGGTGCGAAGACGGCAGCGATCTCCGCCTCGGTGGTAGGGATGGACATGCTTGCGCGGTAAGCGAGTTGTTGCTTTGCTCTGAACGGAGAAGATGACTCTGCTGGTGACACTGATAAAACCAGAGAAAAGATCGGATAGAAGGATCAAGAGATGGAATGTGGAATCTCAGAGAAGCTTGTGCTGAATTTGAGGAAACTCCCACTGCCCCCTTGGACTTCATCATTCCGGATCCCCAACAGCTCCTCGATCTGTCCGTCTCTCAGGGGGATCATTCATCAATCATACCGTATCTGACCATGTGCTTCTCGAGCTCCTTCCAGAGGGGAGCTAAACTCCTTGACCCCTGGCACACATTTCACATCCTAGTCTGAACCTTCCTTTCTCTACTGTCTTCAGCATCCGAGAGACCGAGACTCAGGTCATGAGAAGCAACGACATTGTCAAGCTGTCCCACTTTGACATGGTCAAGACACCGAGGGGATCTGAACACCCACCATTGCCATCCCAAAGGCAGTTCGTGGGATAGTCCTCTCTGTGTAGGGGCCTCCACGATGAGCCGATGCATGCTCTCGACGAAGGAATCCGTCGACTACTGTACCTCTTATCCTGGAGATTAAGGAACGGGCGACACTAGCTTTGAAGGCGGGAAAGAATCGAAAGGAGGGAAATTGACCCGAAGCTCACCGACCACTTGACGAGGTGGTGACAGTTGTCACTGGATCGATCGATGCATTTCCGCAGTATCGCTAGGCTATACGAGAGAGTGTCGAAAGAGCAGCAGCAGTCGGGAGGCAACGAGTCGCTTTGGGCCCAGGTCCGTCGTCGTCGTTAAGATGGCAGCGTGGCGCTCTAGTTTTCGAAATCAGTCCGCGCAAGCCAACCATCTGACCTGCCTTTTCCCAAACGTCCCTTTCGATCCTGAGACGATCCCGCCGGCATCTACGGTCAGCAGGCCTCTGCGTAAAGAAAATGGGGATTCATCCCGCGGGACGCTAGGATATCTCGGCCTGCTTTTTCTGACGAAGAGCTGCTTCGAGACTGTGGTCTCTTTTGTGCGCAACCTGGACGAATGGGTCTCGCAACAGATATCGTGTTCTGAGAAGAGTCCCCTTAGCAGTCTGACGTTCAGTCACATGTGTCATGTATAACATTTGTGCACAGCAAGAGGTGTCGTTATGTACAAGTGAAGGGCAAGACAAAATTCAAACAAGGTGGACAAGGATAAAGGTGAAGATATGTAGACTTTCCTGAGGTGAACCAGTCGTACACGCCTCGTCGCTCATGCGATGTGTGTAGGGTCAGGACTCGTCAATCTTGCCGTACTATCGTAAGGGAGAGGGCGATGAACGTCATCGAAATCCGACAGTGAGCCAGTCTTCTTGTCGCTAGGTTGGTCGTACTGCAATCAAAGAGGGTCAGCAGAACCTCACACTAGCGGAGCCTAGCCGACTTACATTGATGTACGTCTCAGTCTCGACGGCGACTTCGAGATGATTCGTTGTTTGTCGCTGGGACATGCCAAACACCTGAGGTGGCTGAAGAAGAAAGTGTGTCTGTCAGCGAAAGTGGGAACGTGTCTCTCCTGAGATCGGACTAGGCTCACTGCGCCGGTCAATGTCTTGGCATCTGAAGTCATGGAGATTCTGGCGTTGAGCGAGAACATGAGGCCAACGGTGTAGGCTTTGCATTGAAGTGCTTGGAAGACGGCTCCAAGGAGTGACGAAGGTTGAATGACTGGAAAGCGATGAGCGTAGTGTAGAGTGGCATGTCAGGCGGAGACTTGGCTCACCCCACTCAACGACATAGGCGATGGAAAGGAAGGTAGGTGGAAGTTGAGCTTCGAATGTGAGTCTGATTAAGCGAGTCACGAGCTGAAGCCATGAGCTATAGCACACGGTAGAGGACAGCTCACTCTGTCGGTATGCGCCCATCTTTTGTACATATATACGTCAGCAGATAGCTCAGAATGCAAGATCTTGAGCATGCTCACCCTGATTTCGACTTGAGCAGCCCGTACAAGATACAAACAGCGATCAAGACGTCCGCAGCAGTTGTCGTGGCTGTCCAAGCTGTATTCGCGTCAACCTGGCGTTCGTTGAGGCAGTATCGGCGAACTTACTAATCAAGGTCGGTCCCGATTTGTCTGCACCCAGTAGACTAGGCTGAGAACCAAACACGACTGTGAGAGCGATGGCTGCACCGAATGCGGCGAGGATGAGGCTCTGTGCGTTTGGATGAGCTTTGACGTGGAAGTAGAAAGTTTGCACGAAGCGTACCTCGGCGATGACCAAGACAAACCAGTTTCGCCTAGTCAGAAGGAATGCGCGATAGGCGAAAAAGCTCTGGACAACAGAGACGCATAGGACTGAAGAGATGGAGGGAGAGAGCGATGAGTAATCACGAGGTCTTGGTCCGATCGCGAGGCGGCTCACCGTCGAATGTGGGCATCTTGGCGAGCCATCTGGCCAGAAATGATCAGCTTGGACAATCCTGAGAGACATCGCCCAGCTTACTGAACCTCCAGCCAGGGACTGAGTCGGGGTCAACATGGGATCTTTGAGCGATATACTCAAAACTCACAGCCACTCTCCAAAGTAGGTGACGAACAGGTAGGAGATGTAAGACCCTGTGTCATGTAAGCGGCGCAACTTGATCCCCTTTGGTGTGCATAGTCACCTACAGTAGTAGCATGTTACGAGAATGTTCATGAGGAATGTCCAACCAACGACGCATCTAGTCCATAGCTTGTCGTTCTTCTGGTACCTGCCCCGAGTCGTGAGCGGGTTATTGATATCCTGACTGGGGAGCACTCACGCAAAGTATTGGTGAACCTGCATGACCAGGATACCACTAGATTCCGCATGTCAACGGGAGGGAAAATTGCCAAAGCAGCTTGGACTCACCCTAAGAAGGTGTCTAGAACGAGAGATGCAAATTGACATCCTGTCGCATGTGATGAGCCGAGCCACTGGCACTTAAGGCGAGATGAGACACGTACCAAGCATGAAATTCTGACGCCGGGGAGATCAACGCTTTGCCTTCACAAGTCTGAACTCACAGCTTGTGGAGCAAAGAGGGCTGCAGCTTGAGTTTCGTTGAACCCTCCGATCTCTGTTGGCATCGTGGTGGAGAAAGAGTGCTGCAGGGAACTGAGGGAGGGCACAGAGGAAAGGAGTGTCAAAAGAAAGTAGATCCGTGGGTAGATGTGGTGTGAAAGAACTGGGCAGCGAAGCAGGCTGCACAGTCAAGAATATGTGATGAGGATGGGACGAGGACGGCTCAAGACTGACTTGAGGGTGAGCTTGAGCGTTCAGGAGGAGATGGAGGAATACGATCAGCTGATCACGGGAGAGGAAAAGATGGTCAGACACTGGACCTAAGATCAAAGTACAAGCTAGAGTCCTCCACTGTCTTGATATATCTTCCATCTCCACCTTCACATGTGCCCGCTTCCAATATCTGCTCCTATCTCTTGGCTACCCGTGAGTCAGGTCATCAGCTAATTCAACATCACAAACTTAATCCCGCATCGTTCCTTCCCTTAGACGGACCAGATTGGAAGAGATCTCTAGTCAGGGGCGCGGAGTGACAAAGGGAAGACGTTCAGGCCAGAGGTCAGGATAAGTGAGCAAAGATCCATGCTGGGATTAGACCAACACAGACCACCCAAAGGGATTCAAAGCAAAGGTATGCTGAAGATAGCATCTCGGCGTTTGCAGGATCAGAGGTGAACAAATATCCACATCAGTCGAGGTGCAACATCCAATCATGAGCACGCATCAGTTTTGGTCAGCTGATCCGCTCCCCAGTCTTGCGTACATAATGTCTTCATACCGACTGAGACTCCAAGAAATTGATAGTCACGTTGAAGAGTTTGGGGTCAAGCCGTACCGACATTTCGCTCAGAAACGAATTAAGAACTATTTTCACATCTTTTTCAGTACGTTCACACTAGTGTCAGACGTGAAAAAATTGAATCTGTCAATACCTCGTCACCATGGTCACCATGAATGCGCAAGGCTCGGAGGCGAAATGGTCATGGCATCACTGCCCAAAGACACCTCGTTCAACCAAAGCAAAGAACAGCTCCACCAATGTTCCAGCCAAGAGACCCATACCAGAGTAGACTCCAAATTTCGTCAATACTGCGTAAGGGTGAAAAGGTCAGCAAGTGTACCTCGCTTGGAACTGGGCCTGGAATCCTGGTCGGATGCACATTCAGGTCCCAAGGAGTGGCTTGAAAGGCGTATGTTGCCGTCCTGAGAGACACTTCCCGATGGCCGAGGTGCTCACTCACCCTCTGCGTCGTAGTGTGCCCTTTCCAAGCGACTCTTCCGTTTCCGCTTCGAGATCCAAACGTCGGGCGTCAGACTTCCGACGCTCGAAGCGGAATCTCCACTGCCAGATCGCTTGACACCATTAACATTCTTGCCACGGTGATGCAGGCTGTTGAGAGGCACTTGGAGATTGTTGGAGCCTCGTCGTCCAGTGATAGGCGAGACGGTACCACTGGATAGAGGCGTGTTGTCTGGCGAGTCGAATGCGGGACTGCGATGAAGGTTGACGAAGGAAGGGATGGGTCTGAGGGGGGACGATGGGACTTCATGATAGTCTCTGAAGCCTGGTCAACAGAGTCCGAAAAGCACGGTCACTTAGCACCTACGTCGCAGCAGTATAGAACCGCCGGGTGGGCAGGGTAAAGTCGAACGCGTTGGAAAAGAATCGGAAGATTGGAGGGAGGATCGTCAGAAGGATCGACTTCATGACGATACGCCATGCGAACATGAGACCGATACCTGAGACGAGTCCTATCAGATTTTTCCAATGTCATAAATTGACCCACTCACCAACGGTGATCCGCATCACTGATATAACGCCCTGTTCCAGAGGCGAATAGGTTGTGATATCTCTGATTGGCAACCCGGGCATTTTCCAGGCTCCAAGTGAGACGCCAAGGATGACTGAGATGATAGCGATCGAGTCTTCGAAACATGGGCAATCTTCGACCGGTTCAGGGTGGACGTGAATGAGAAAGAGGGAGAGAGGGATGAGAAACATGGGGACTGTGCCTGTTCTCAGCACGCAAAAATCTCGCGCCGCTGGGAAATGCGGCTCTTACCTGATGAGGATCCCGTGCTGAGCCACGCCTCGTAGTGGTCCCCTGCCAGGAGCCATCCTGCCCAACAGCCTATTCCAAGGACGATACCTCCGAGAATATCGGCTTCGGTGGGTCAGATAGGACACTAAGATCGTGCCCGCCAAACTCACATAATGAATGCATGCCTGTGTAGACTCGTCCGCCAACGATACTGCAGGCATACAGCGCCAGAACTGAGGGCTATATGAGTTGACAGCTAAGAGTATAAGACTCATGGTCACTCACAACACCAGCTGCCCAACACTGCCGGCATTCCGAGCCATGATCTGGATTGATAGATCCACTGTCCAAGTAAGAGAGCGGTACTGACGGAATTCGTGGAGTGTGACGAGGGGAACCCTGAGATACCTCAGCATTGATCCAAGGACCTACGACCCGCAATCTCCGCCAACGTACCGTACTCATGGGCATGAGTACTCATGCCTAAATCAAATATCAGCAATTTGTGGACAAGGGGCTATCGACTGGGACCCACTGATTCGGATTACTGGAGGACTGTATGGTCGAGGCGAACAAACTAGATCTTTGGCAACGGAGGAAAAGTAGATGCCCAGACCGACGACGTGAAGGAGGCTTTGGGACACTATCAGCCCAATGGTCTACATCATCCATTTATAAAAGCGACTCACTCTCTGCCCATTCGCGGCTGTCCAAAGAAAAACAGCATGGGCAGACCCGTCATGAAGAACGTGTGCGCTATAGCGAGTCAGCCACGCGTGTCTAGCTGTAGGCCTTAGCTTCGCCCACTCACTCCCAAACAATGCACTCCAGTAGAAATACTTGTCTCTCTTCTCTGTCCTGACTCTCTTCTGCCAATCCGGCATCCATTTTTGCTCCTCCCTCAGCTGCTTGACCAGATGTCTCCTGATCCACCCTCTCCATTTTGGTAGCAATCGTTCATACACTTCATCGGGTTGACATCCAGGCTCGCGTTCAACCTTTAGTTCTGGAGACGTTGGGGAATGTTGGAAGACCGCTGTGGGGGATGCCGTGTCTGCTTCCGGGGGTAGATCCTCAATCTCCAGTGACATGGACAGCTTGGACCGAGTCGCGACCATTGCGAGATAAATGTGAGGATTCCAAGTCGAATCCAGTCTCACGGTCCCAGCGTCTCCATCGAGTTAGAAGCGCTCAACAGTACGCCTTGACACGGGGATCAAGGTGTTTGGCTTCCCGTGCGCTGGAAGTGATACGTGTCCGAGCGTGGAAGGGTCGGAGCTGGCGATGCAGCGCTGATCTAGCACAATACGTTCCGTCAGACTGACAATAACCCAGCGAGGCCTCTTCAGGGTATCCAGAATGCGAGTGCACAAGGTGTGAAGATACGAGCGAAAATGATCCTCCTGACACTTTGTTTTCGGTTTGCCCGAAGATCCCCGCAATCAAAATTGACCGTCGGACATCTGGTCGATATTTGATCCTTCTCCAGCCGTTGAGCATCTCCATCAGACAGTATCACTATGGACGCTGCTCAAGCTGCGATTGCCGAGGCGGCAGGGACTATTGGATCGAGATTCGAATCGCAGAAGACTGTCGACGAAGCTAGAGAGCGGAAGGATAGAGAATGGAAGGATGCTTACGCAAAGTGAGTCGGTGCGAGGTCGACAGAGGCCAAGAGACAAAGAGGACAGGGGTATAGAGAGCCTCTATGGCGATATGAGGCTCATATCCGCCTGGTCTACTTATCCGAGTCAGAACCGTGCTGATAGCTATCTTCAGAATCGGCCAAGAGCCTCCACCCAAATCAGAAGAACCAGTTCATGATGGTAGAACGCTGTACGAGGTGAGTCATTGTCCCTGTCCTTGCACAGATCAAGCAAACGAACGGCGCTGAATGAAGACTTTCAGAGACTCCAAATCAATAAAGTGAGCTGCCGAGTCCCGCCAACGATAGCATCACAGACTATCGTACAGTCAGCTGTGACTGCTTAAAGCCCCCCACCCCCCGGGTCTCACCGGCGCTGATGATCCTTTGCAACCGTTTTAGGAAGCGAAGAATCAAGAATGGGACGCCAAGATGAAGTTATCAAACCAGTACAGAGGTCTCGATACGGAAGAACAAAAGTTTCTATCTGATAAAGCGGCAGAGAGGAGAGCAGAGGAGAAGAAGAGACAGGACGCAGAGAACGCCGAAGTTATGGAGTACCGAGAGTGAGTCTTCTTCCTTCTTTGCCCTCTGTATCTTCTTTGATCTCTTCTTCTTTTCGCTCTCTCGTCTCGTCTCGTCTCAAACCCTTTGAATCCATTCGCTGACGCTTGCACCTCCTCCTCGCTTGTTCCAGACGCCTGGCAGCTCGTAACGCCACAGAATTATCAGCTCCGGAGTACCAACCTCAACCATCGTCGTCCAAATCCAGTAGCTCAAACCCTCGTATACCACCGAAACCAGCCAAGAAGGATGTGAAAAGTCTCATGAAGGGCGTCGTCGTAAAGAAGAAGCCAAAAGTCGTATCAACTACAAAGGCCGGGGACAAGCCGTCCGAGGAAAAGAGTCAAGAGAGCGCTGGTGTAGAGCCGGCTGCGTGGTTGGACGGTACGAAAGGAAAACGGAAAGTCGAGAGCGAGGAGGCGAGCGATCACGACCCGGGCAAAAAGACAAAGGTGTAGATGACCCCAGGCATGGAAGACCTTTTCTACCTTTTCTCAGTTGTAAAATGTCAAGATCTGCCCTTTGCAACATGCACAGTTTCATTCATGTCCATGACTTTTTCACAATCTTCTTCTTCCTTCGAAATCCCTATGGACATAGTTTTTGGAGACCAGCTACAGACCGGAAGTGTCTATCAACATGGGGTGTATGGATGCTTTCATCGATTCAGATCGGCAGAAGGGGGCGAGGGGTAAATGATTCTAGTAACAAACGCAGAGGGTCAAGACAGTCCTAGTCAAAGTCGTGAGACCCTTATTGATCGTCGGGCACTCGTTCCGCCGCCACATTCCAGATCTGAGATCATCAGCACATGGACTGTCGCCCTTTTACTCAAAGACTCACCCCATCGGCGTAGTCTTGAACGGATCGGTCCGAGCTAAAGTCTCCCATAGAGAAGGAGGTGATGATTGACTTCTTGGTCCACTCGTCTTGATCAGAGCCCCAAAGCTCGTCCACCAAACGCTGAGCTTCGAGGTAAGAGCCAAAGTCGTTGGAAACAAGGTAGTAGTCATGGTCGTAAACCTGAGAAGGGTGTCAGTCAGCCAACTACCTAGCCTCGAAATGGTCGACTCGCCGTCTTGAGCAGTGCCTCGTAAATTTGGCCCTCGCCGAAGGCTCCAGACTCGATGAACTTGAAGACCTCGTACAGTTCAGGCGATCGTTGCTCGAGAGAAGTCGGGTTGTAGCTGTTGTTGTATCGGACGTCTTGAACTTGTTCAGCGAGGTGACCAAACATGAAGCATTGGTCTTCTCCACTGTCCTCGGCGATTTCTACAAAAGTATCAGCAAAATCCATCTTAGAGAGTCTCTGCTCACCAATGTTTGCACCGTCGACAGTACCAAGAAGCAAAGCACCGCTAAGAACGAAAGTCAGCATCTAAACGCTGCGCCATTCCAAGATGACCCACTTGAGGGCGAGTTTCATGTTACTCTGGGCAGATCAGCAAGGTCAATCACGATGGGCTCACCGTTCCGGACGCCTCAGTACCTGCGGTACTGATCTGCACACTGATATCGGCTGCAGGAATGAGTACCTCGGCGATGGAAACACTACGAGAATTAGCCGACCTGACCATCCAGTAGACGAACCTGTAGTCTGGGATGAAGCAGACTCGGAGCAAGTCTCCGACGGCAGGATCGTTGTTCTATGAAATCGTCAAGGAGGCCTAATCCACCACGAGTCGCTACCTACCACAACTTTTGCGACGTTGTTAATGAGACGAATAACGAGCTTGGCAATGTAGTATCCTGATGCGTCAGCATCCCCAGCCGATCGTTTGACTCACCTGGCGCAGCTTTTCCAGCAAAGATAAAGGTCCACGGTTGGATCTTCTTCCTCTCCTCTGGAGAAGCCTTCTTGATGCGGAGATACCGAGCAATGATTCCAAAGACGTTGAGGGTTTGTCGTTTGTACTAGAACGGGATCAGCTTCTCCTACCGAGACAACCATCATAATTCACCTCGTGCAATCGCTTGATTTGGGCCGCAAAGATACTGTTGACGTTGATTGAGACTCCCAGCTCTTTCTCGAGAACCTCTGCCAATCGAGCCTTGTTTTCCTGCTTGATCGATCTGAACGCCTCTCGGAATTTGGGATTATCAGCCATGGGAATGAGCTTGGAAAGCTGCTTGCTCTCCACGAGCCAGTGGTCGCTTCCGAGAGTGTGGGTTGCCAAAGCGGCCAAAGAGGGGTTGCACTGCAGGAGCCATCGTCGAGGCGTAATACCATTGGTGACGTTGGTGAAAAAGTCGCGGCCCTTGAACTCGACAAAGTCGCGGAAGATGGTAGACTGCAAGAGTTGACTGTGCAACTCGGCGACTCCATTGACTTTGAAAGATCCGACAATAGCGAGGTACGCCATTCGCACGTATTTGGGAGTTCCTTCTTCGATGATGGACATTCGTCGCAGTCGGTCCATATCTCCGGGCCATCGCTTGGCGACTTGACCCATGAACTCGTAGTTGATCTTGTAGATAAGTTGCAGGTGTCGGGGCAACAAGTTTTCGAACAGAGAAAGTTCCCACTTTTCGAGAGCTTCGGGCAGGACAGTGTGATTGGTGTACGCAAACACTTTGGTGACAATCTTCCACGCCTGGCTGTAAGGAATGTCTTCCTCGTCAATCAGAATTCGCATCAATTCAGGAATGGCCAAGGTGGGGTGCGTGTCGTTCATCTGGATACAGACGTAGTCGGGAAGCTCGCTCCATGGTCTATCGAGCTTGGAGAATCGTCGGAGGATGTCCTGAAGCGAAGCACTGGTCCAGAGCGCCTGTTGCTTGAGTCGAAGCAATTTACCCTGATACATGTTGTCGTTGGGGTACAGAACTTGGGTAATGTTGCCTACGTCACTACTGGCGGCGACACTGGCTTCGTAGTTTCCGGCGTTGAAGGAGTTGAGATCGAAACCGGCCTGAGGAACAGCTTTCCAGAGACGGATGTTGGCGCAATTCTTAGTTCCATAACCTGGAATGGGGGTATCGTATGCCACGGCGAGACATTCTTGACCACCCGACCAGATGGCTCGGTCCGAGTTTGCAACATTCTCGACGTGACCGTAGAATCGAATAGGGTAAGTGACATCGAGTCGGGGAATCTCCCAGGGCTAGAACGGTCAGCCTTGAGAACAGAAAGACTCGCGTACCGATTCTCGATCTAGCCATGGGTCGGGAGCTTCGAGCTGTTCTCCCGAGTTGGAGAGCAGCTGCTTGAAAATACCGTACTGGTATCGAAGACCATAACCCCATCCGGGAAGGTTGAGCGTGGCCATGGAGTCGATCTGGATGGGTGTCAGCTTATTCGTCATGCGGAGATGATACAGGGAGCTCACATAGCATGCGGCCAATCGTCCGAGACCTCCGTTTCCGAGACCAGCGTCTCTCTCCTCATCGATGAGATCCTCAAAGTTGAAACCGAGCTTTCGAGTGGCATCTTCGTAGGTGTTCTTCATTCCCAAATTGAGGACGGCATTGTCAAGCGAACGACCGAGTAACCACTCGATGGAGAGGTAGTAAATTCGCTTGGGGGCCCGAGCAGTGTGGTAGCTGACATAACGATCAGCAAGGATTTGTGAGCATGGTCTGATCTCACCCAGTAGTCTCGTTCCATCGCTTCAGCAGCTGGTCTCGAACGGACAAGGCGGTAGCCTGATACGCAGCGAGCTAATAGGCGTCAGGGAGGGAACTTCTATAGCTGAGCATACCGTGTCGACGTTGATGGCCTGTCTCGCGAGCGTAGTAGTGACGTGCCTGACAATGCTGTTCGCTACATCTTGTGTGTTCTCCGGGTCTACTTCTTCAGCCTGCATGGCCGTCTGCCAGGTGGTCTTGTCACCGATTGGCCAATCCTCATCGGAGACCTTGTGCGCAGTAGAGGGGAAGTAGGATCCTGAACCGGACATACCGCATCAGATGTGCTATCTGTAGCATCGCCATCATCATCATCACTCACCCGTCAAGCTTCGCTGATGACTCGGTCGCTCCTTTCGAGGGGTGTGAACGGGGATACCAATCTGAGAGATATCGACATCGCGCGTGGGACCTGATGCTTGTCCATGACCAGCCGAGATAGAACTTCGTCGAGACAAGGTAGGCTGGTGCAAAGAAGGTGTTCGATGACCAGGTGGAACGGCTGTCAGGTCGTCATCAGCATACGGACCACAAACGGGATGACAGGCGAAGCCGAGGTAGATCGCTTCAACATACCGTTTGGAAGCTTCTCCAAGTTGTCCTTGGTGAGAGCGCTCATGGTAGTGGATGACCTTGGCGGCGCTGGTATGCAGCTACCTAGTCAACCAGCTACTCTGTGTCCTTGGACCTGAGCTCGATATACACGAGCAGATGTCAATGACAGAAAAGAGAGAGAGAGAGAAGAAGAAGAAGAGGGACGGAGATGGGGAAGAGAAACACGTTCACACGCGCGGAATAGTCTGCAATTCAATTTACGTCACCTGCCCAAGCTGGGGTGCGGGGTCACCACACAAGAATGTGGCAGGACCAATGCGGGACCAACTTGGAGGCTTATCGGGGCTGCTCTGGTCGGCGAGCATGGCCTGCACCGACCAAATAGATGGACTCGACTCAGGTGGGCTCGTGAGGAGCATGCAGAATTGACAGGTATGCAAGGTAACAAGACTTGGAGCGCTGACCGGCCCGATGCCGAGCCGCGTCACAACAATCGCCCAACCTTGTCTCGTAACAGCTGAAGGTAGTCTAGTCCAGAAGCTCTTCGCGTCTTCCACCAAGATACCAGTGTACCCATCCACCAGCGTCGCCAGCCAGACCGCTCCCCGGAGGCGCTATACACTGCAATACCTATACCAAGGACAAGCACACCCGCTGCGAGGGCGGTGCCAAGGCCGAGAGGTGAGCGTCTCCGTGGCGGCAAAAGTGGCTGCTCCTCATCGGGTTCTGTTGCCCCTGGCAGGACGACCTGACTTTCGACCCAGGTCTGGGCAACGGACAAGTCCAACTCATCGGTACCTTCGATCGCATACGTTCTGACGACACTTTGCGGACCCATAATCTCGTGACCACGGATCTTGGGACCGTCCCAGGGGTATCGAGCGAGCAGGTCGTCCGTCATGTCGAAGATACGGCTCAAAGGTATAGGATCGTAGGGATTCGCTTCCTCATGGAGCATATCTAGGCCAGCTTTTTCTGCCTCACCTTTGACGGGAGGATTCGGATGCTCCAGTGTGTCGGGGTATAGCGGTGGAAGGCGGGCGAACAAAGGATGGAGTAGAGAGGGATCTTCTAAGCCCTCCGCGCCCAATTTCTCAGCCAGGGCAAACATTTGCTTCTTCTTGGCCATGAGAATCTGTCATGGTGAGCGAAGAGTATCACAAAACTGAGGAGACCCACAGCGACAGCAAGGTAGATGGCAGATATGGGATTCCTGGCCAACAAGAAATCGAACATTCTTTGAACAGGCTCTAGGGTATCAATATCGTGTGAAAACAGACACAGGATCCAGGAGAGCGCAAAGAATGGTAAAGTGGGTACGGGGGATATAGTGGCGGAGAAATGGTCGAGCTCTGGGTCAGCGACCCTTAAGACTCTTTTCAAAATCCTGGGATAGGAATGAGCGCCAGGCGTACGACTGTCACTAACTTGAGCAGACCCATCATGGGATCCAATCCCTTCCCCATGGCATCTCTCACACGGCACACGCTGATGACCTCTGCGCACTGAAGGAGGACCTGCCATCCCGGCAGGGAAGTGACATATCGTTCGGTCTCCCGTCCACCTAAAGGTCGTGGGCTGTTTGATCTCGACTGGTCGGTCGAACGTGGTGCGTCCCACAGTTGTCCGTCCTGGAGGTGACGCGCAGGCGAAGCATTCCGACTATTTGTTCTGCTCGTATCGCGTGACTGTGCCCGGCTGCGGGCTGAGGTCGACCTGCCACGAGGGTGAGGCCCAGGTGGAAGTGGGATGAAGGTAAGGTACAGAGTAGACATGATATCGTGAAAGCCCTGTCGGTAATCAGTCGCCAAGTCCAGCAGCTTAAACTGACCTGGAAATAGCTCAATGAGGGATACTTCCGAATCACGTGGATGATGAGGTCGTGCAGCTCGGCTTGCATGGTCAATTTACTCTCTTTAGGAATGCCTTACACCCATCAGTGACGCAACTTAGTTTGTCCGACATACCTCTCGGATACGTGACAAAGGACCTCTTAGTGTCCAAGTCCACTTGATTCTCGTCCGGATGAATAGGCGTTTCACATCTTTCTGAGGCATCAGGCTCCTTGGAACGAGGTCGAGAGGGTCCTGCGACTTCATCCTCGCTGAGTGGCCTGGAATCGAAGTGTTTCTCGGTATGAAGTAGTTTTGGCCTAAAAGGCTTCAGCTATACATCCTGCATGGACTCAGCCCTGACTCGCCAGACTTTCTGTCTCATGTCTTGGGACCCAAATCCGCCCGGAAGCGCCGATAGACGCCTGAGCCCCGCTAGGTCGTTGTCCTCCAACGCCTGCTGGACGAGCTTGTCGCGTTTGCCGATCCATTGAGGTTGAGCGGGCTCAGAGCGTCTCTTCACGTCCATATTGCCAGTGATGGCTCACTCTTCTCTCCAAAGCTTCTCTGTGACTTTTGAAGATTCTCTCTACAGCCCTGTGACCTCAGCTTTAAGCCGGTTCAGTGAATGAACGAAGCTTGGAATGTCAAGCCAGTGTCAATCTCCAAAATGACGTTTTAAATGGTCAACCGACACCCGGAAATATCATCGCCCCCCTGCCGAAAGACACGAGGGAGTCTCGGACTGCGTGAAACAGTTTGTCGACCTCTACAGCATTTGACTTGATCTCAAGCAGGTTCCGAAGCGGATCAGGCGCTCAAATAGTACCATGTTCAACGCGCCTAGAAGAGGAGCGGGCAATCTGTCCAGCTCGGCCTTCGTCTCGTCGAATACTCAATCCGAATCATTCGATCCTCTGGCGTCATCTATGCCCACTTCGACGAGTTTTGGCGAGGTAGATCCTTGGTCCTCCATTCCTGCCTCTGCTCAAGGCACACCACAACGAATAGGAAGGGATGATGATCAGCTAAACGCTGAGGAGGTATCCGGTCTCATGGCGAAAGTCGAGGGAGTGTCGGCTCGAGAGGGACTCAATGCGTTTCTCCGTGAGTGACATCGCCCGGGGGATCTTTGCAAAGCGGCTCAAACCAGTCGCGCAGATGACCCACCGCCTGTATATGTGACATTGCTGGACTCTATCATCCCCAACGCAGCTTCCAGTATCCCATTATCATCCGTACATCGACTGCTCGCCTCTTCCAGGCTTCCCGCATCCACCATAGAAAAGATCATCGCTTTGACGTCCCGCGAATCATCCGCATTATCCAGACCCGAATTCTTTTGTGCCCTTGCTCTTGTCGCTTTAGCTCAATCATCTCCTTCATCCCCAGTCTCCATCGAACAGTTGTCATCGTCTCTGCCGAATCTGCCTCTGCCCAGCCTCAGTCCTGCGTCGCCTCCGATCACCAGAGGATACAGCGTCCAGCCAGACAGCGGGTGGGATAGCGTGGAAAGAGACAACCCACCGCAGGTCAATGGATCTGATGGAAATCTGCCTCAGTCCGGTGGTCTAGACTTGGAAGCAGAACGAGGGTACTGGAAGCGATTAGAAAAGATCGAGGTCGGCCTGATAGCGGAGAAGGAAGGATGGTTCCTTCAAAAATACCGTGTAGAATCGGATGTGAGTGGTCGATGACCTGCAGTCTAGAGCTTTCTCTGACCCGTTCGACCCCAGAGACGCTCCACTGAGCCAGTCTCCCGCCGTTACTCAGACTTCGTCTGGCTGCTCGATTGTCTCATCAAGCGATATCCATTCCGCTTATTACCCGCACTGCCACCGAAGAAGATTGGACCCGACGCACACTTTCTCGAACAACGACGCAAAGCTTTGCAGAGGTTTTTAAATATGCTGGTCAATCATCCCGTGACTCGTGATGATGGCGCTCTCAACGTCTTCCTCACCGAGGGGGCTTTTGAAGCCTGGCGAAAACGAACCAAAGTCTCGACCGACGAGGAATCCGCTTCGAAAAGATTGAATCCGGCTCAAGAGATGGGAATCCCCTCAGATCTCGAGCAGCGGCTATCGCGTCTGAGAGACAACTTGCCTACACTGCTCAACTCATACCAAAAGCTAGTGACGATCGCCGAGAGATCACTGGCTAGGTTACAATCTGCTAATGCAGATGCCAGTCGGATCGCGCTGAGTCTCGGCACTGTCGCCGAGTCTCTCCCACGTTGTTGCTATAAAGACGACGAGAGAGGCTGTACTCTCTGTGCAGGAGTTGGTAGAGGTCTGAGCAACGTCGGGGAAAGCTGGACTAAATTGGCAGAAGAGGGGGACAAGAGGGTGAGCGTGACACTTTCCCGATTTGGCGCTGAGTTCGGACGAGGCATCATCGATTGTCATGGGGAATATTGAAGCGCTCAAAACGCAAAGAGATCTCTATCTTGCGTTCCGTGACCTCTTTGGGAGGTACGACAGTGAGTGTTAGCGCAGCCTGGGGGGGCACTGAGCTGATCCTGTGGCCCTCAGAGCTGTCCAAAGACTCGGTAGACTCGCTGGGGAAGAAGATCGAGACTCGTCAAACAAAAATGGATTCCACAAGAAAGGCTCAAAAGCCTGGCTGGGAAGGCGAAGTGGAGAAACTCGTTGCTGGTGAGTTTATCCACGCTTCCGCATCAAGGCTGGCCTGATAGGCCTCACAGCCACTGACAACGACAACACCACCATCCGTAACCTACTTGCGAGACGAGTTTTCATCCGTGCCTGCATGTGGCACGAGATGTCGCTCGTCTTCCATTCTCGCCAAGCCGCTCAGACTACTCTTGGATGGAGACTATTTGCCCAAGAAGAATCCACAGCTAGCCATGTGATCGCAGAAGTCTGGGACGAGATGGCAGAGCGTCTGAAGAGCATGCCTATAGAGTGAGAGACAAGTTGGACTCCAGGCGCTGTGCCTCTTGTGTGATTTGTTCATTCTGTTGTTCGCAGCCAGTCGCTATGCCTTCCTCGGGTGGATCGTTCCCATCAATTTGTATTCGATGCATTCACAAAAGCGTATGATCGATCATGCAAGCTTTTTGAAGAGCTTGGGGGCGGCACAAGCCTACGACATGAGCAATGTCCGGGTTTGATGGCCATGACTTACGTCGACACAGTGCATCATGTGGAACATTTCATCCACGCAGTCCTCGCCTTGCCATCCCTTGCCAGCTTCGACCTTCTCTTGACAAGCTTGGAAGTGGTGGGCATATTTGGCGCATTCGTTGGCCTCGCAGCCTTCCCTGATAGCGGGAGCAATCTATAAGACAAAGATCAGCAGGATCCTTTCGATATGATCGACGGTACTCACGTCCTCAGGCTCTTCTTCTTCCTCCTCCTCTTCCTCCTCGTCCTCTCCAGCCGCTTCTGCGCCATCCTCCTCGCCGTCATCCTTGCCGTCCTTATCGCCGTCATCCGCCTCAGCATGAGCTCTGAACCATCGTCAGCTTCGATCCGGTTGATACCCAAGCCCAAATCGAGCGATATGAAAACGGAATGGGTGACTGTGAAATCCATCTTCGGATCTTTCAAATACTCACGTTGGGAGGACGAAAGACATGAAGGAAGAGAACAGGGAGGACGAGGCTACCTCTGGCTTTTGATCAGTCACCTCGTTCGCCATGGCGGATTAAGGAATCGAGTTGCGATCGAGGACAAAGAATGGAGAGTGCTCTCGATGATTGGACAGATGGACTGGGGCTTGCTTCGAGGGGGAGAGATTCGGAGTTGAGGGGTTTTTATTGACGTGGCTTTTTTCAAAAAGTGTGAAGCTGAAAAGACCGCCGAGCGTCATATCTGTAACGTGCCGCATACCTGGATGCGACTTGTAGCAAGACCAGTCGTGAAACAATGACCACGGAGACGATGTACGCAGTGGCGGATTGTGAGTATCTCTTCCATGGCTATCGCATTCTGTTCTGGCTTGAGCAAAGCGCACATAGTCTCATTTGTTATTATCAGTCTGTCTCATTCCAGTTGGCCTCGGAAGAACGTCTGTCGGTCCAGAGATCGCAGAAGTGCAAAGAGTACTTGCAGCCAGCGGACTAGAATACAAGCTGCATGGGTATGGAACGAACATTGAGGGACCTTGGGATCAAGTGATGAAAGTGATCGGAGATTGTCACGCAGCAGTTCACAAAATGGGTGCTAAGAGGATAGCAGTGAGCAGAGCCAGGCGCCTGTGTAGACTTGTCTGACACCACCGATAGACGGACATCCGCATAGGCACGAGGACAGATCGAGACATCACATCTGGAGGCAACGCTGCCAAGGTGACGAGGGTCGAGAATATCCTTGCTGGCAAGGAGTAGAGGAGACGAGTTGAACGAAGAAGGAGTAGTGATGTCACAATGTGTCTTTGGTCCATTTCCCCTGTATTCTCCATCTCTCCTACGTCTACACCTTACACCACACTGCTCGCCAATCGTCGATGCTCAGATTTACCGCCCTCGCTGTTCCGATCCGTCCTTTCGGCCGGGGAGCATCAGTATCACCGTTATGATGCCCTTTGACAGACACCATCAACAAAATCCCTCAGCAACAATATCGCAGAAACATCGATCATCATTTCAGAGGCAGTGCCAAGCCACAACACTTCACAGACACATGCACATGCTCACACCAATGCGTGACTTTCCCCCCACCGTCCAACTGGAGCTTGTCTGCTTTTCGGCCACTTTGTTTCTGCTCACAATATAATGAACCGACAATTGCCGCCCAAAAAAAAAAACACTGCCACCGCCACCACCACTTGCTGAACATTGCCTAGGTCCCCGGGGATCCAGCCAAGCCTGGGGTCTATTGGTAAGAAGCTGCTTCGAGTCATCCATGAGGCCTTTGAGAAGACTGAAACAGCGGGGCAAACTGAAAGATACCATCTGCCAAAATATAAAGGGGTTCCGTTGATTTCTCATGAAACTTCACCCAAGCTCCTCCCAAGTCCTGACCTGATCTGATCACCTTCACCGACCACCATCCCCTCTCTACCTTCACACATGTCAAACATGACTCTCCTCGCAAACGCCATCCTCGGTCTCATGGCTGCAGGTGCTGCATCGGCAGCTGCTGTGAGTACACATGCTGAGCATATTCTGGCTGCCACCTGACGTTGGCGCAGACCCCGACCCATTTCAAGCCCACTTTGACAGACACATTTATCTATGATCTCGACAATGTCCCCATCCCCGCTCCCGTCGTTACCAGCAAGTATGGAGTAAAGGTCAACGCGCACGTGTACGTCGTAGATGGACAGGAACATACCGCTCAGCAGATGTGAGTCATGTTTATTATCTTTACGCTGATCATCTCCAGTGCCAATTACCACGCCAACGGCAAAAAGGTCATCTGTTATTTTAGTGCTGGCTCGTGGGAACCGGAGCGACCTGATGCACTCAATCTTTCTCCCGAGTGCTACTGTGGTAAAGGCGTATCCTACAACAAGCGTACTGGAGAATGTACCGGCAAGAATGCCAACCAAAACAAGCTCGACGGATGGGATGAATGGTATCTCGACCTTCACAACCCGTCCTGTATCTCTCAAGTCAAGGCATGGCAGAACAAGCGAATCCAGTCGTTTATTGCGAAGGGCTGTGATGGTATCGATCCAGACAATGTGGACGAGGTGAGTTTGGCTGCTATGATATGTGAATCGACGCTCACCCTGTGCAGTTCGCCAACACACAAGCTTTCGGTGTCACTGCCCAGGACGAAGTCAACTATCTCATGTGGCTCTCCCAAACTGCGAAGAAGGGCAACCTCGCAATCGATCTCAAAAACGCGCCGAGTCTCCTGGTCGATGATAACGGAAATCCAACTCAGTGGCAGAAACAGTTGATCGAGGCCTTCGACTTCAGCGTCATTGAGCAATGTGTAAGTCTGATGAAATCTTCGAGGACTTTTCGCTGATGTCTGTACTAGCACGAAGGGGACAATTGCGATCAATTCGATGCCTTCCTCGCCGCTGGTAAACCTCAAATTCAGGTCGAATATAATGGAGACGGTTACGAGATGACCAAGTGTCCTTCACTTGAAGATGGCCAACACTTGTTGGTGTACAATACGCCAGATCTCGATTCGACTTTGATCTCTCTTGAGTGCTCTGACTAGAGTTGAGCTACTGCAGCGCCCGCGCTGAACGACGTCCGCGTTGTGATATGGTCTTCATGCAGAACACACCCATTAGCTCGATTGAGCTCGTAGACGCTTTCCCATAGTAACATTGTATGCGCTTCATCCATGTATGGTTATCATGTATGTGTTGGCAGTAGACGAAATCGAAGACGTGGCAAGCGGATGCAGCGGGCAAAGCCGATGTGCCGCACAGACTTTCGCGTTTTGCCACGGGGGAATCGAAATTGACAAGCGAGCCAAGCTCGTCCGTCAAAATGTCCACGGTTCGGTTGCAAAAAGGAAGAGCTTTGTATAGTCTAGCAATCCCCGTGAGGACTCTAGACTTTGCCAAATATGTAGCGAGTGAACCCTACGAATAGAGCACAAGACTAGGCTCTCCCTTAGGACATATGGGTCGCCGTGCTATGAGCGAGAGCCAGGCCTGACGGGTGGCAGAGTGAGGGCCACACAATCCGTCCAAACAAGGTAAGTATGAAAAGAAGCCGGTGCGGATCACGGAACTATAACCTGATTACAGATTTTCGCCGCCGAAGATCTGGCTGCGTTCCGCCCCCAAGCCCTTCAAAATCCCTACTCCGGATCAAAGATCGACGTCTGATCCCGGGCCCTGGATGTCACCAGGTCCCGCCCTCCAAAGTCCCCTTCTCCTCCACTCCAGCTCTTCTCCCCCTTGCATATCGCGCGTGACATGTGCTAGACCCGCTTGCCCAAGAGCGTCCCGCCGTTCAAACTCCATATCGTCATCTCCGCCCTCGATGTCCCTGACTCGCTTGGCTCTGACTTCCTCTTCGCACTTCTCCAGGCCCTCAGCTAGTCTCCTATCCGACTCCAGGAACCGTTTACGATGCTTCAGGTAGATGCCATATATACGGCTTGCGAGACGGACGGATTCAGAGTGTGCGATACGTCTATCGTTCTGAGTGAGAGGGTCCAACGTCGGAGGGGTATGTCCAAGCCAGAACCTATACTGCGTGTCAGCTCCCCTCTGAAGGAAGAGTCCGGATAGATATCGATCCCAAGCCGCGTGTACAACCTCGTCTTCTCTCGGTTTCCGCCTCAAGGCCTTCGCCTTTGCTTGCTGTCTCTGCTCGCGAAAGAAGGGGCATTGTCGGAAGATGTGGTCCAAGTCTTGCCATACGTCACCACAAAGCCAGCAGGTCGCGTCTGTTACTACCTTGTTCCTCTTGTCAATCGTCGCAACGTTGGCGAGGCCAGTCCGGACCAGGTATTGAACTTTGAGCGTGAACTGAGCCGGCGTGCGATGGTAGTCATAGAACGCGACCGCAGTATCCCGTTCGGCACCATCGGTCAGGCGCATATACATGTTGTCGGAGACCCAAGTCATTTGATGACGAATGAGGCGTTGATCGAACATGTTGAGTATGCTTCATTGGCAAAGGCAGACTATGACCCGGAGTACAGACTACCCTAGGTCTTAGGTTCCAACCTCCGAGGGTCGGGACCTCGTCACCCGTTTACTAATCAAACTAGTATTCTGAAGCCACCAATCGATCCGCCACATTCTCTTCGTTCAAACGATCACACTCTCTAAGCCGTAGCTGCTTCCACCGCAGAGGGAAACGAAATGAATTGCCGTTTTTAGGGCCGGTGCATGGATGATCTCCTCCTCACGTTTCCTCTTGCGACCACGAAGGGCTGTCAATGATTCTGCCTGTTTGACAAGCCTCTGTTCGAGTCGTCGGACTTTGCCTTCCTGGCCCATCTCCATTGCCTCCTCGATCTGATCTTCCAACAGCTCCATCTTCTCCTCAGTAGCTTGGATCTGATCCTCACAACGTTCCACATTCTGATCTGCACGATCAACAGCCCTCTGAGCCCTGTTCTTCTTCTCCATCGTCTGTGTGGATTCAGAATTAGCGAGCATCATCAGGGCCATGTTTTGATCGTTCCGAAGTTCCCGTTCAGCGTTGAGCCGTGTCTGGGTGGCCATGCTCTCTTGGAGGGTCTCCAGAGTGCGACTGACATGATCGGCGGCACCCGTGATCTTAGTGTCGCGTCCCGCTGCTGCGTCGACTGCCGTATCGGACCTCCTCTGCTTGAGCTCTTCGTACCTTGCCAGGCTGTTGAGTCCTCGGCGGTTAATCTCGGTGAGGAGTTCGTAAGGCTTGTTGGTAAAGGATCGATGGTCAAGCAGTGCTTTGATGAGGCGTCGCGAGGAAGGGGTCATCGTGAACACTTTGTTGAGGACCAGTTGATCGTCTGCATAGAAGAAATGCTGATTGTAGGGGTATGAGTCAGGAGAGGGAGGGGGGGGGGGGGGCATGAGGGGGTCTTCTGCACGCTCCATCGCATCGGACTTGAGTTCGTCGTAGATGGTCTCATATAGCAGATCGCGTACGAGGAACATCTCACTCTTGATGGTATCGGATTCCACTCCAGCGATGTCGGTAACGCGAATGGTGCCGCATCGAGTTGGTTGGATGTAGTTGGTTGGCAGTTGAAGCTTCACATTGTACGAGCCTGTAGGAGTAGTGAGCACCCAATGGCCTGCAGAAGGCACCTGTATTTTGGATACCGAGGAGGGGAGGGCGAAGCGGACACTCTTGCTGTTACGATCCCCACCGGATGAGGCGACGATCCGGCCGGTGATTGTAGCGATCTTGAGATGTTGTCTTTCGAAGAGCTTGGTAATCCAGCCGTCGATACCGTGGGCTTTTGGATCAAGTTCATCCTTGCCACCAGCAAGCTCGAAGTTGAGAAAGACGGTTGTGGAACGATCTACGATGCCACCGCTGGGGTAGGCTTCGATGCCGATGAGATTAAGAATGTGAAGGATCTTATGAGGGTGGCAAGGGGACAGAGATCAGGATTTGTAAGGTAGGTGAGATCCTTGAAACGGAGTCGAGCTGAACCGTTGGAGCGATCCGCCATGTTGGGGTCCCCGACGGAGATGTAGACATGCTTTCCGAGGTCGCAGAGGAAGAAGTCGTGATGTTCAGGGATGGATGAGCCATCAGGAAGGGTGGGAAGTGCCGACCTGCAGTGTCAAAAGCACGTTGAGCGATTTCCCTGGCTTCTGAGTGTCCCCATCGATCCATGTCCAAAGGCTGGTTGTTTTTGACGGACAGAGGTCGAGCTTTGCCGAGGGTTGGGAAGAGGTGGAACGAGTCGAGGAAGGCGGCAAGTCGGTGTGTATAAGCGAGTGGTAAACAACAGACGGTGGGATCCAGGATTCACTACGACGTGAGAGGTGGCGAAGGCAGCCAGGAGGACTCACGCCTGGTGACGATCATAAACAAGAGATTGATCGTAGAATGAGACAGAGGAGAGGACAAACGTGAACGATTGGTGTAATCTCAAGGCGATAAGAGGGTCAATCTGACTTGGCTTTCTCCCCCTTCAACCACTTATCCCCACGACTATAACGATTCCCCTCTATACTCCTGCGAAGAGAGAGCGGATAGAGTTTGGTATGGGATGTTGTAGACCGAGTACGATGGATAAGAGAGCTGAAAGGAATGGAAAGGTCAAGTGAGTGATCGTTAAAAACCGAGAGGAGAAGGAAAGAGGAAACGGGGAAGAGAAGGTCCATTAGGTCCTAGCTTATGTATTTTTTCTGACCTCGTCTATCGCCGGTCCCCATCCGTCATTGGGCATCCTTTCGGTGGCTTGGCAGCCCGGACTGATTGATCGGTGAACGCGGAGTCCAGGCTTTCATGTCAGCTCCTCGTCCATTTGACCATGTAAAGATGGCATGTATGATACAGTAATGGTACTGTATCATCCGCCTCGTCTGTTCCCGAATCATCATCCTCCTTCGCTGCCTTCTGGGAGGGTTTCATTATTGCGGTGTTATGCACCTGCTATTCGGGACATCGATCCCAGCGCGAAGTGTGATTTAGGCTATGGTGTCTGCAAGGTGTCAGGCAGAGTCGGCCTGGTGTTATTTCCAGCCAGTGATTCGGGCCGCCTACCGCATCAGACAGTACCGTTGAAGCCGCATGTCTCTGTACGTGTCATCTTTGGGAATGGGGGCATATCACGTGGTATGCCGCATGGTAGAATACGCCATGTGGCTGCGAGAGGGTAGATCTTCGTCGAGCAGCATTTCGTACAATTCTCGTGTGAAGCACCGCAGGAATTCAGCTGGATTGACAGTCTGACGAGTAGCCCGGCAAGTCGGTCTAACAGGATGCGATTACCGGTGGCTGAGCATGTATCCGCCGTTTCCCGGGCAGCTGTACTTTGTTTTGGAGCAAAAAGGTCCCTGCCACATGCGACGTGGTCTTCCTCTCTGTCATTCGAGTCTCTGTCCCCACGCGGGTGAAGGTTTATTTCGTGGTACAATAATTCAGCGTACATACCCATCCTGTGTGCCCAGGAGCGATGACCCAAGACGTACATGCCCCCACACTATGAGATGACTGAAGTACAGATGCGCAATGGATTTTGAGCGCGGGATTTTGCGATTTCTATTGCGTAGGTGACAGCAATTAAGACGAAAACACGAATTTCACTCTCCGCAGGTCGCTCACTGCATGGGCCTCACTGCCAAGTGGGACGTTGTAATGTCGGTTGTTCGACAACCGATCTTTCGCATTTTCAACATCAACAGGAGAGGGTAGTATTGAGCGCGTAGCGCATACCTCAGCTAAAGATTATCCAGATCATCTCACGACTGCGCACCTGAAGAATCCTGATCTTGTTGCTGGTCATGCAGAAAACCGCATAATCCATCGACGGCGACGCAATGGTGGATAGTGAATCGGTCTCACTCAAAACAAGAGCTTGGCATCTTTCACTTGAGGGTTCGACTTGGACATCAGAATGACGTTTCAAGAGCGGGGCGTATTGCATGATGCGGGGGATTCTCTTAGCTTCACCATGTCAGGGATGACGGTTCCTAGCCTTTGGACAAGAGAGGGATGAAGTTGTCGGGATTCGGTAATGTAGTCACATTCCCAAGCTTGGCATTGGCGGGAACACTGTTGAGACAATTACAGCGGAATGGGCTGCTTGCTTGACGATCTTGGAGCATCTGTTGTCCGCCGTGCGAGACAGAGCGGCTATTCTCGATGTAGGAGAGGGGTCCGATGCTCTTTTCAAGCGCGCGAAGGAGAAGAGATGGCGATCTGATCGGTCAGACGTGACTCGATGAGTTTCCTGTCAATTGCCTTTGGTTCTCAATAGTCACGGAATGAGCATGGAGTGAAGCAATGCTAATAATCGATAGGCAGATACGTCCCGTGACCATACTACCGCCCCAGAGTGATTTAGTGTTGACCTTTTTTATGTATTCCGGTCACGCTCCTCGGTCAAGATCGACACACCGCTCATGAATGGATTTTGCCACAACATGGCATCGCCGTCCAGGTCGCTTGATAGCAGTTCAGCTGATGTATGCTTCTCCTCAACTCACCAATCTGCAACAAAAACTGGCCCTATGTCAGCTCGTGCATCCGCAGTCTCTGGGTGCAATCTCACCACCCAGAAATTCGTCCGCCGAAGTTGCCACTCCGTTGATTTCCAATTCACCAGCCATCTGGAATATGCACTGAATACACTGCAGATCAGCGATCCCGATCTATACCAGTCCCACCTCTGCATATTGCTGGGATTTGACCATTTCACAGACACCTGATGCGATGTCAGTCAAAAAAAAACTGGGGGCAAAAAGGAGGACCGACAGTGGAATTCCTCTTCGCCGCTGGACGAGTGGCACTGAGCGAGATTCTGATTGTGACATCCTTGCGAGCAGATCTAGACAGAAGTATCGGGTAAATGACTAAATCATAGGCTGTGTAACATACATCGGGGGCTGTAGGCTGGCTAAACGAGTCTGTGCGTCTCGTAGGTCGGCCAAAAGCCACCGCCGCGTCCGAAAGACAAGCTAAAGGGTATCAGCGGCCGTTCGAAAACCGGAAAGAAGGAGATCCACTCAGAATGAGAAGAGAGATCACAAGCATGTTCCGGATAGCAGGTTGCAGATGAGACGGATAGAAACTTATCAAGTCATTCGGCCATCGCTTCCTCAGGATGAATACATCCTATGGTGAGCCGTCTTCGACCAGTTATGTGGCTCCCGAGGAATAAAGCGAGAAAAAGGGAACTGTGGGTTGCCACGTACAGTTTGTAAAATACTGTACCTTACATGCACAAATTGTAAATCAGGGCAGAGGCCCGAGGAGCTCATGCCCCAAGCCAATAACGCTGCGGCTCAGAAGCTGGAGATTGATTGGGGCCAGACACTTCATGACTTGGCACTGGGAAAAAATAACTACTGCTGAAATGGGCTGCTCAGGGCACTTGGTACTAAGCGGAAATCAGGAGTGCAGCGTGCATCGAGACTTCGTGGAAAAACACCTGCGTGGCTGACGCAGAAATGCTAGGTGGCATTAGAGAGGGTATCGCCTGAACCTAATGACACGACACTGATCTGAAGGTGGAACTCCTGCCACATTTTCAGATCGAGATTGTAAAGAAGCGCCCCCTCTGCGCACGAACTGAATGGACGTCACCTACTTTGTGTGTCGTCGTTTTCTCTCTGTCTAGGACAGAAGGAGGAGAGACCCGAACCGAAAATTCTGTCCGAATGCCCATTTTAGGAGATTGTCAAGAGCGTTGACAACCACAAGGAGAGTCTCGCCGCTTTGAAATGCCCAAGGAACTCATGCATGCATGTACGCAGCGCCTCGTCCGCGCGAATCCAGCCCGTCATCAGTGAAACCCCGTCTGGACGAACGCCACATCTACATACCCTCTCCACAGCTTTCCGGCGGTACATTTCTCCGTCCAATCTTCAGTACCTTCACGATGTCAACTCACCCAAAGGAGGATTATTCCCAGGAATGCGATCGTGCAACGTTACAAATATCCTCTTCATTGTGCTCCTTGCTCCTGGCTTTATGGATCGCGATTTACCTTCCTGTACTTGGTCAATCCTGTATCTTTGGGAATTAACACAGATGAAAAATATGTGCCGCTTGTTTTGATACAGTGTGTCGCAGCCCATGTCATCAGCGTTTGGGGACTGCCCTCACAGTGATCATGATTTGTCCACTTCTGAGGATAGAGAGAAGTCTTGACGTGGACGGGAGCCTTGTGGTCCTGGCAATCTGGCACTTGAATTTATGAGAGTGAGGGCTCGGCATTACGTCTCTTATAGTTCGTTGGAAGGAGTTGGAACGCTCGATCCTCTATCGCTGTGGCAAGATACTGTACTGTATTTATATCACTTGCCTGACGCGCACTCAATGCTGGGCACGTATGGAACATGTGGAAAGATGCACGTGAGGATTATGGGACTATAATCGAATCAAAGGAAAGTACCCTCATGCCTCGTTCAGAGCATATGGAAGACGGCCCCCACTGCGAGTCCCAATAAGACTTGCTTGTAACCAAAGACCGAGGCTGCAGGTGAGCCTGAACTGGATGAAGGTGAAGGTGAAGTTGTATTCGAAGCGGCAGTGACAGCGGTGGCGGACGTGCTTGGCCCATTCTGACCTTGCTGCTGCTGTGTTGTAGTATTCGTAGCGTCTACGAGACCGCAGGGATCCGAGTTGAGAGCTTTACCGGTACAAGAGCAGGACGCGCTGCCAGAGTTGAACGACGAACCACTGGTCCCGCACGAGTCCAAGCCGAATGGTCCGCCTAACGGATTAACGGAATAACTCAGCCAACACCGAACCACTTACTGGTAGCTGAGCACGGGATTACACCGCCATTGTACAGGATATACTCGACCCCGCTTGCATTGGTCTGAGCAAACAGAGGCGAGACGCATGTCGAGGTATCATCTTCCCGGGGATTGTCCGACGATCCATCAATGCATATGGCGGCGTAATTGCAACGAAGGTCTGACGTGACTTTTGACAGCGACGTTTGGCAATTTCTAATAGGTGTCAGGACCAGAAACGGCGACACCTTTGTATCTCACTGTCCGCAGGGGCCTGCACACTCTTCTGGCACACTAGGGGTGGGACCATTGCAGTTGCAGATCTACGGCGCCAAGCGTGAGTCCCACAGTTACATATGTCTTGGATGAGACGATACTCACATACCAGAGCTGAACACTATCCAGGTCCTCACCTGCCTGTTGCACCTGAGGGATGCTGTTACCATTGCTTGCGTCGTGGAAGATGGCATCACAGATCATCGGAGATGGAATGGTGGAACCTTGGTTGCACATGAGACCCGAACAGAGCTTTGGATCGCTTTCTGTCCATGTGCAGACTTGATCCTGACAGCTCGATGACGATTCTGGAATAAGGACCATTGCATCGTACAGACAATTTAGATAACCTGGTGTCCAACCGGTGAAGAAGTTGACAATGCAGAGCCCTTCAGAGGAATCGTAGGCGCTTGAAGAAGCAGTGGTATTGTATGGCGTTGGCGGGAAGAACACCGGGTTGGATGGAGAGGCGCCCCGGGAAGGTGCTTGATTTCCGGCCTTCGCGCTCGCAGCAGCAGTCGTAGAAAATGCGGTCGTAGCCGGGGTCGACGTTGCGGATGCAGGCGAGGTGGTGTAGATCCCTGTCGTGTATGCATCGAAGACAGTTGAGACAATGTCGTAGCCTTCCGCGTCACTTCGCACAACCAATTAGTCGGCAGAAGTATGTATCATTTCGGACTCACCAGTCTGCAAGGAACGCTGACTTCGAGTCAGCACGTACGCAATAGGCGATCAAGTTTAGGCTCACCATCTAGATACTGGTTCGCCGAAGTTGCCGTACCGTTGATTTCCAATGTCCCGCCAGTTTGGTAGATGCACTCGATGCACTGTGGAATGAGCCCCATCTATCTTGTGGACGCACCTCTGCATACTCTTGTAGAATGGCCACTTGACAGATGCCTGACAAACGTCAACCTAGCAACGCGCGGAGACCCATAGACCAACATTTGAATTCCTCCGTTGGGTCCGATGAGGAGCAACCAGCGAGATTCTGATTGTCACATTCCTGTGAACAAGCCTGAAGCAAGGATGTTAGGACTTTGACTATGACAAGTGACGATGCAGCTCACATTCGCGGTATCTGCTAGGCTGAATGAGTCCCCCCGTCTCGTAAGCCGGCCAGAAGCTACCGCAATACCCCAAAGACATGCTAGTGACGATCAGTCTCTGCGGTGGCAGATCGGAGTTCAAAAAGGCCCACCAAGGCTAAGAGAAGAGTATAGTTCCATGTCTATAGTGATGGGTTTCGGGGAGTGAGAAGCAAGGTCATGTGTAGCCCAACGCTTGACGCTGTTCAATACTATATATATTTATCATACCGTCGGACGGCTTTTGGACCGAATGATCTTCGAGCGGGACGCTGCAATTGTAAACCGCCACTTTACAAAGTGTAGATCAGGCACGTCACGTAAAGCGAGTATGAGCCAAGGGCATGGGAGCCGAGCTCGTTTTCTTTTCTCCCCCAGGAAAGGTGCATCGATCCGTTCAGAATCATGCAGAAATGGTCACTCAGGCACTGCTTGTTCTGACTCGAAAAGCGGGCTGCCATGCTCTCACCCGGACAAGATCTGATCATCTTTCAGGAACGCCTTGGGTAGTGGTGGTCGATTCTCGCGGGCTCATAGCTGAAGCGAGGAGAAGAAGTAGTGCAGAGAGAAATGCTGGGGATTCGCTGCATAGCCAACTGTATGCATTCATTCTCGCCGAAAAGTATCGTAGCTGTAACAGGCCTGAAGAGCCTATAACGCGACAAGAAGGGTTTACAGCTCCCATGTTCGGTAGATAGATCTTGAGCTTGTTCATGCACCAAAGTTCAATGGATGGGGGCATACACCCACCCAGCCACCGAGATTAAGTCTGCGTACTTCACAGGCTGGATCATTCGGCAGAAGAGACAGAGGTGCGCCACCTGCTATCGATACATTTAGCTTTTCACCAGCCAGCGGCAGTGACATTAGTGACTGTGAACCTGGTCAAATTTTCATGTCGGAGGGCTCTACTGTGAGCTTTGGGAGGTACTGCAATAGTCGGCTATATCTTGCGAGTCCATACCTACCTGGTTGCATGCATAGCCATGAATCTATGGATCAAGTTTGCCACCTGGAATTAGGGCGCCACTGTCGCTTTTTATGATTGCCATTTTTCTCTTCCGCGCCGCTTTCGGTCTGGTCTCCGCTCGTCGGTTTCTCTTACATTTGTCCATCTTTCGTCATTACCTTCGCGATGCCGAATCATCCAGAGGAAGGCCAATTCGAGGCGGACCCGAGAGTACATATCGACAAGCTCTCTGGGAGGTACCAATACGAGGACGATGAGACAGGTCAGGAGTTTGAGTGGTCCGAGCCTGCAAAAGCTTGGGTACCGGTGGTGAGTCGGCGAACCTCGTCAATGTCAGCGTCATGCTGATCGCGAGTCTCAAGATTGATGAAGACCAATGGAAGCAGCAACAAGCTGCTTACTCTGTCGCTGGAGTCGACGAGTCGGTGAGTCGGCCGTGATCGAGGACATGCAAAAGGTAATGCCCTTTGTCTGACTCTCCTCCCAGACTCCCGCCAATGCTGTTCTTGCTCGAGAGGAGCGGATAGCCAGCAAGCGGAAGAAGGATCCTGCAGCACCTAAGGTCAATGCCCGTGCTTCCTCATCGAAGACTCAGGCGCCTGCTCAACCTTCTGCGCCTAAAAACACTGCTGTCTGGGTCACCAATCTTCCGCCCGATACGACCCCAGAGAAGCTAGCTTCCGTCTTTTCTAAAGCTGGAGTATTGATGATTGGAGACGACGGCGAACCTCGGATCAAGATGTATCACGATGACGATGGGAGATTTCGAGGCGAGGCATTGGTTATGTACTTCAAGGAAGGCAGTGTAAGCCTCGCTATCACGCTTCTGGACGACACAGAGTTGGAGCTTGGGGCTGGACATGGGACCATGAAAGTCAGGGAAGCGCAATACGGATCTGGCGCACAGGATACCACATCATCTGGGGCCGGAGCGTCAGGGTCCAATGGCCAGAACAAAGCCGAGTCTTCCTCAACCTTGGCGCAGAATGGCACGGAGAATGGAGAAGCAAAGAAGAAGAAGAGGGGACCGACAGCAGAGGAGAAACAGAGGATGACCAAGAGGATCCGAAGGATGCAAGAGTGAGTAGAGCGAAAGCTTCTCGTGCCAACACAGTCCGCAAATTAAGTCGGGCCTTCGCTGATACCTTGCGCAGTAAACTCACATGGCATTCCGATTCCGATTCCGACGACGCTGGCGCGCCAGCTGAGGGTGCTCCAAAACCCGGCGCAAATCGGATGAACCGTGTGGTCGTTTTGAAAGGCATGTTTGTGCCTGCAGATTTGGAGAAGAACCCGGCGTTGCTTCTAGAGCTCAAGGAAGACGTGAGGGACGAGGCAGAGACTCTGGGGACGGTCACCGCGGTGACGTTGTACGATGTGAGTCAATGCTCCATCACTGCATTGCTTGCCGACTGGCTGACTCGTGACACAGAAGGAGGAAGATGGAGTCATGACCATCAAGTTCGCAGAAGCAGTCTCTGCTGAAGCTTGCGTCCTCAAGATGAATGGACGATTCTTTGACGGTCGCAAGGTGAGTCTCAGTAGTCGGGATCGGTGATCCAAGTCTGACCCACTCTAGATTTACGCAGGAATATACGGTGGCAGAGAGAGGTATCGAAAATCGGGTGTGGGAGACCTGGATGAGGATTCAGACAAGGAAGCCGAGAGATTAGACAAATTTGCACAGTGGCTAGTGGATGGCGATGAGGATGATGACATCTGATGCGATGCGGCTGCAAGCTGCAAAATAGATGGATGGATCCAAAAATTCATTAGGATGCATGTCATCAGGCTATTATACTTTTCCCCCCAGATTGCGCGGCGAGACGAGCGCCGGCAATCTCCCTTGTGCGGCTGCTCCATCTAGTAATCCCACTCCTCGGTCGTGAACTCGTACTCCAACCAGTTGACGGCAGGTCCAGTCATAGCACCGAAGATCTGTCTGTCGAGCTGGCCCCATTCAGGCTGATTGATACCTGGGAAGCGTGTCAGCGAATCGGACAATATACACAGAATTGGCTACTCACCGTCGATCCATTGCTGTGTCTCAACGACCAAGCATCCGTATTTCTCAATCTTAGGATTTCCTTGAGATGCGTGAGACCTGATGGATCCGTTCTGTCCGTTGCAAGTGTAGATCTGGAGAGATTGCTGGTTGGTCCTGAGCTTGAGGGTGATACCAGTGTCAGGACTCTGCCATTGAAGCTGAACATCGGAAGTCGATTCGGGTCCATCATACGGGGGTCGATCGAGGATAAAGGCATTGTCGATTCCAGTGCAACCCGTTCCACATTGTTGAGAGTATAGCACACCCTCGTAGACTTGCTTGGGATAGGTGAAATTGAGCGGGACACTAGGTGACTGGAAGGGGTATTTGACAGATTGAAGACCACCGGTTGGGACCTCGATACCGTCGATGCTGATGATTCGATTGGCGTTAGGCATCCAGAGCGTATCATTGAGGATGGTTGTCGATTGGAAAGCGCCAAGGTTCCAGTAAATGTGACTGGCCAGCATGACAGGTGTAGGTTGATCCAAAGCGACGGTGACCATTCTACCGGTCAATTTACCCCGAGAATTGGCCGTGGCATCGGAAAGCGAAAAGGTGACGTGCGAGATTTTTGTACCGGGGAACCCACCAGTGCCAGAGCTGTCATAGAGGGTGAATGTGATACTGCTCGTGTTGTATTGGGTCATGGTCCAGTTTCGAGTGTCGTATCCATCGAATCCACCGTGCAGGGTGTCTTCACCATCGTGCTCGTTTTCAGGGACGTGGAAGGTCTCACCGTCAATGTTGAAGGTACCGTTCTTGATTCGGTTGGCATAAGGTCCAACGATGGCTCCAAAGAAGGTCCGGTTGGTCTCAGTGTCGATGAGGTACTGATGGGGGTCATCATAACCGACCACGACTTCTCGAGGAATATTGTTCTTGTCATGAACAAACAGACTCGTCAATCTCGAGCCGTAACCGATAAAGGTCGCGTTGATGCCATAAGCATAGATGGTGTAGGGCTGGAATGGATCTGTACCGTCTACACTACCTTGGTTCCAGGCCTGAGCGACCGAGGGAAAGAGTGTGGAGGCTGAAAGAGCTGCGAACGAGACGAGGTTGGTAAACTTCATGGCGACAAGTGAGCTGATCAAGACAAAGCCAGAGACGACCAGAGTGCCGGGTGAGAACATGAGAGGGGATTATATATATATATCCACACACGGTCGGTTCTGCCCGTGTGAGCGAGAGATCCAGGCGAGAGGTCTCTGCGGAGATCGAGATCAGACGAATGAGGTAAAACTCTAGTAGATCGAATGAACAGAAGAAGATGTGTTAAGGAGAACCTCGTTGGGCTCTTTCGCCCGAAAAAGGTGACAGACGAGAGGAAACTCTCCGAGAGATTGCCTGCCCCGTCCCCCCTTCCTTCGCTCGATCTACGCCACCCGCCAAGTCGCTCCGAGGGCACCGATAGTCATATGGAATGTTGGTATGGATTGACCCATACCACAGCAGCGTCAACCTCTTCTCCTCCTCGCCGTGCTCATGCATTGACAGCGCTGCTGTCAACTGTGATATTCCCGTTTTCTCGAGTTGTTCAATTTATCATATAGAGTTAGACTGGTTTGAAGGTCCCGATATAGAAACAAATGGGGGACCGACATGACGGCGAACCTTCTCGCGGAGGGGTGCAGTTCGGCGAGGGGAACCCGGGAGCGGGGTCTCGGAAAGCAAGCAGAGTGGAGGTCCCATTATCGCAGCAGTGTCATATGAGTCACGCTCTCTCGATTGAGGACCATATGATGATGAAGCAGCTTTCACCCGCCGGAGTGTCCGGCACGAGTCGCCGAGAACCGGGAATGAAGCGTCACGAGGATCTCCCATAACTTTACCTGGAATGATCTCGGTTCGTGGTCAATGCTGCTCAAACGATCTCACCACGGGTCGAAAGATAGTCGTCGAGTGTTGCTGCATTGACTCACACGTCCTGCTTTGGGGGCTACGATTATATCACAAATGGCTTCAAGTCTTTGGCCCATCTGACAAAGGATTCCCCAAATCGCTTGGCGAATCGTGCTATGATGACGTGAATTTTAGAGTTGCAACCCCTTTCCTTTTGGCCCTATCCACTGTACTCTCCATGACCATCGAAGATCACTTCATAACTCTCTGACGACTTTGACTGATCACTTGCGTCGAGACTCAGAAGCTGTCAAGCGTCCGCCCGTCGCTCACGATGAAGCTCAAGAGTCCGCGCTCTGTGCATCTACTGACACTCGCCACCTTGATCCCCACTGCCTTGGGTTTCTCGTTCAACACTTCAACACCGACACAATGTGGAGACATGACGGTCCAATGGTGAGCTGGCCAATTTTGATGAGATATTACAGCTCACATCAGCCAGGGATGGAGGGACCGAGCCTTTCTACCTGATCTTGATACCGGTGAGGCGGCATGACGCCAATACTGGAAGACCTGCTGACAGCTTCACCTGTCAGACCGAGAGCTTGACCGCTGGACGTATCATGAATGTCTCTATCCCTCCTGGACTTCAACCACCCTATTCTCACACCTTTCGACTGGATGAACCGGCAGGTTTGCACTTCCTCGCGACGATGTACGATTCCAAGGGCTTCGGTACAGGTGGAACCACAAGCACATTGCGTGAGTTCTTCAAGCGATCGAAAGATCCCATTCAACTGAGCGTCTTCAGGCGTCGGATCATCTAGTAATACCTCATGTCTCAGCACGTGAGCTCGGCAGCTCAGGCCGAAGTATACTGAGCGTTACTGTAGGGACCTGCGGTACGATTTTTTCTTCTACATTGACCCCCAGAACAACCCTTCACAATGTCAATCCATGCGTATCTCATGGGATAACACCATCACCTACCCGCTCAATCTGTATGGTCTCATCCCATCAGGAACCCCGTTCGACATTCCCATCTCTCAACAGACCGGCAACGTCTCCGTTGACTGGCAGGTCGACATTGACGATGGAACCCAGTTTCTCCTTTTCATGGCAGATGCTGGGGAGTATCAAACCGGGGGCAGCACATCCCTATTCACGGTACAGTCTGGGAATGACAATTGCATGACTTCGTCTTCGCCAAAAATCGCTGGCAATGCATCAGGCGGATCGAACGATACAGGATCATCGGGAGGTTCGGTCGAAGGTGTCGGTGGATCTTCTTCTGGAGGTGATGGGCAAGGAAGCACGAATGGCTCGGGCGGGGGAGGTGGAGCGGGCGCCCACACGGGTGCGATCGTTGGGGGGACCCTCGGAGGCGTCGCCTTTCTAGCTTTGCTCGGGATCCTACTCTGGTTCTGCATCCGTCAGAGAACTCGCGATAAGTCGAACGACAATGTCCGGTCGTACGGTTTCAACAAGGAGAAGGGTCCCAGGGAGTCTCGTGGACACTTGGACTTACTCGGCCCTCAAGGTCCAGAACGACACCACTCAGACGATTCTTCCAATACAGCGGCGCTCGGAGATGGCAGGAGTTACACTCCAATGCCGTTCCGATACCCTTCCCCTGAAGCTCGTGATTCGAACGGCTCGCCCCTTGCATCGGCCGGGTTCGGCGCGCACGACATGCCTGCAACATCTGCTGTACTAGCTGGAACACCGATGAATGAGAAGCGTCGATCAGGCACAACGGTAACGCCAGATGTACATAACGATATAGTGTTGCCTCACCAATTATACGAAGGGTCCGATCGACCGAGCTCAGATGCTCGATACTCGCATGATACCGGTCCGAATCATAGTGGAAGCGGTACGGGGACAGGGACGGGTCTGACACCTTCGACTGACCATCGAGCTCGTCCGCACATTCCTCCTGGCGCTATGGCGCCTGTCGGTCCTTCGGCCTATCATGACAGGCAAGAGACAAGCGAGGGACAGAGTGACTCGGCAACGATAGGTCGGTTACAGAGGAATTCATCGGTACACAAGCCTTCGATCGGAGGTGATCATCCCGCTGGTGATCATCCCGCTCAAGGTGTTCTTGCGGACAACGACACTCCTGACAGTCCAGGTGCCGCTCGACCGCTACCCGAAGTCCCCATGCAGTATGTCCAGCATCAAGATTCTGGCCGCATTGTGTGAGTGACGTGATTCACTAAGGAAAGACATACTAATGACGACTGCTTCAGAGATCTGCCTCCTCGCTACGATCAATTGAGAGCTGCGAACCCGGATCCATGACCCAGACAGTTCTCTCATTATGACCTTTCGTAGATTGTGCTTTACGAAACGTTGGTATAATTATGACCAGATACGACGTCATCATTTCGTTTCATGTATATGCTACAGGGTATGGGAAGCGGGGGAGAATCGTTCCTACCTGACCCGCTGGAAGGGCCGTGAACCACAGAATTGATCTACATTTTGACTTCATATCCCGCCTTGTCTTTCAACGTCTTGACGCTGAGCTCCCAGAGCTGCTTAGCAAGCGCATCATCCTTCGCTTGATCCGATTCCGTGTCCACCTAAGTAAGGTCCAGCTTAGCAATGACCAACTTTTGGAGACTACTCACCTTGCCATCAGCCTCGGAGAAGTACCTGCCTTGTACTTCTTCTCGTCGTTCTGAAGCTGTCTTTCCGGTACCCGCCCAGAGGGCACTTTCGGCACCTTGTTCTTTGCTCATGAACCCCAGCTTGGCGGCGCCTTCCAGCAGCTTACCTGAGAAACATCAGTCTGTATGTCGAAAATCTTATACTCACCAGGAATGAACCCGTAAGCTTGGGTTGCGCCTTGCTGTTGCTCAGTCGCTACTGCTCCGGGATGGACGGAGATTGCCAAGATTGGCTCATCCGACGTAAGAGGAGGAAGATGCTTGGATAGCTCGCGGATGAATAGTGCGCTGCGATGGAGTTTAGCCAAGATACCACAGGCGTGTAACCCACTTGGCCAGCTTGGATCTTCCGTACAGCTTCGTCGGATCCATGTCCTTGCTGTCCTCACTCATTTCGGCCAAGTTCGCAAACTTGGCCTCGGAAGGCGCAGCACGGTGAAGTTCGCTACTCTCACTGACGATCCGAGTGGACCACTTGTCTTCTCCTGTCTTGCCCCTTGCAGTTTCCTTAATCTTGTCCAGCAACCCATCCACAAGCATCATCTGAGAGAGATTGTTGACTGCGAAATGGTTACCGATGCCATCTTCGGTCAATTGGAATGGGGCGACTCCGATCCCGGCGATCAAGTACAACATGTCGATTCGAGGAAGCTTGGCCAATTCGGGAATGACCCCTGCGAGGGATTTGAGCGAGTGAAGATCGATCTGATGGTACTTGAGGAGGGAAGGCGCGGAAGGTGTATCGGCAGAAATGTGTTCTACAGCTTCTTTGAAGTGCTCCTCGGTAGCTGACAGAATGTGCACTGTAAGAGTGGTGATGTCAGCAAGGTCACTAGTACGCGCACAGTGTTGGCCTGACCTTCACAGCCTTTCTGTACCAATGCAGCACTGACTGCTTCCCCGATACCTCTTGTACCACCTGATACGATGGCTACTTGACCACTGAGATCAGGCATGTCCTCGAGCTTGTATCGGTTAGAGAAGAGTCCGGCAGGAGCGACCATCTTGACGAGAGGTTGGAATGGTGTGAATGTGGATAGTCTTCTGAGTGTTGTAGGAGCTGAACGGGTGAGAACAGTGATCAGCATGAGTCTAGGTGGATGAGATACTTAGAAGAGCTTCCTCACGCTTTGTATGATATCCCCTTTGTTGTTGGATGACAAGATGGAGCAATGTCGGCATGTCATCGATCGGGATGGTATCCCTGTGGACCACCTCCACCTCGAAGGGGCTACTTTCTCACGGTTGCTCTCATTGTATCGCGTTTCTGACTTTTGGCTGGGCAGATCGCATAAGACTTTTCGACTCTAGTCTCCAGCTACAGACACTGTATCACTCCCTATTCATTGGTGACCGTCTCATCTCACACAGCTCGTCACTGCAGACAGTGCAGGTCACTTTGGACAAGAGTGACTCTGTACCCGGGATCCAATTCGGCTCTGCGCAAAGCATAAAACATCTCAGTCCGACCCTGCCGCGGAACAGGACTCTAAAGACCATGTCAAGTGGGAGAAGTGTGGTAAGTCGGAACACTCTTGCTGGTCAACTCTCGTCGGCGTAACCGACCTATGGCCTCAATTGCTTCCCCCCTGTACATGCTTGTGGCAGTCTCGCTGACTCTTTACCAGTCTCGCATATACGCGGATGTGAATGAGAAGCAGGGTCGATCATGGTGGGATTATGGTGAGCAGGTCATCACGCCAGCATGCGAGGATTATGATTGACAACGAGCCGCTTCAGATAACTTGGTAGTCTCGTGGGGCAACCAAGATCATTACGAGATTGTGAGGAAAGTTGGCAGGGGGAAGTACTCCGAGGTGAGTTGGGTTCTGCCAAGAGTTATGGATTCTGGCGCTTGCTCTCCCCTTGATACGATTGCTTGCGAGTTTGGATCAAGCTGATCATCTAATCAAATATAGGTCTTTGAATCCGTTCACATACCGACCAGCCAAAAGTGCATTGTCAAAGTCTTGAAACCAGTCAAGAAGAAGAAGATAAAGCGAGAGATCAAGATTTTACAGAATCTAGCTGGGGGACCGAATGTCATCGCACTGTTAGATGTCGTCCGGGATGCTCAGGTGAGAGCGCTAGCAAAGCGTAGCTGTTGAGTTGACCCAAACGTTTTCTTCCTCAGTCCAAGACACCATCCATCATCTCAGAATACGTAAACGTGGGTTGAGCTTGGCCCCTTTATGTTGTGTCACTGACATCAGGCAGAACACCGACTTTAAAACGCTGTATCCCAAATTCACCGATTTCGACGTCCGATTCTACATGCTAGAGTTGCTCAAAGCTCTGGATTTCTGCCATTCAAAAGGGATTATGCACCGCGATGTCAAGCCGCATAACGTCATGATAGACCATGAGAAGCGCAAGGTGGGGCAGAGTGTAGCTCCTGTAGCTGATGGTGACATTCAGCTCCGCCTGATAGATTGGGGATTGGCCGAGTTCTATCATCCTGGAACAGAGTACAATGTTCGAGTCGCTTCCCGTTATTTCAAAGGACCAGAATTGCTCGTTGATTTCCAAGAATATGATTATTCACTGGATATGTGGAGTTTAGGCTGCATGTTTGCGAGCATGGTGAGTTGGCAGGAAGATGAGATCAAGCTCATATCATGTGAGATCTTCCGCAAAGAGCCTTTCTTTCATGGACATGATAATTCTGATCAATTGGTCAAAATTGCCAAAGTCTTAGGGACGGACGAGTTGAATTTGTAGTGAGTAGCGTTGCCGCGCTCGCAAGTCGTTTCGATGACGTCGCTACAGTCTCGAGCGTTACGATATCGAGCTTGATCCTCAATTCGATGAAATACTAGGGAGATATCCTCGCAAACCCTGGTCACGTTTCATTACCTCAGGTGAGAAAGCTTTATAACCTCCGGCGGGCGGCTGACGCTCTTACACAGACAACCAACGGTATATTTCGAATGAAGCCGTCGATTTTCTCGACAAACTATTACGATACGATCATCAGGAGCGCTTGACCGCCAAGGAGAGTCAAGACCATGCCTATTTCGGTGAGCCGTATAGACCCTGCTTATGGACTTTTTTTACTGATAAGGCCACAGCGCCGGTCAAAGAGGCGGCAGCGAAGAAGTAGATGGAGGGATTGTGTCAATCCTTTCCAACCGGCGTACCTTTGCACCTTTACAATCCGCAGAGCGACATGTGACAGACCACTATCGTCTTGTGCCAAAACAATCCATTCATTAGAGCTTCTTGACCGAGGCCCCAGACCGCATCCGCAGCGGGGGGTCATTCGACCACTGAGTCATTCACTGTGTAAAAACATTCCTACCATTCTTTCTCTCCTCTCTACCATACTTTCCCTAGATGCGCCCTTTCGAGGCAATACATATGTATGTGATGAGTCAAAAGTTATCCTCAGCTGGCTCTTATCTGAGCACTGGACGGCTTGCTGTGCTGCTCACTACTACAGAAGAAGCCACTCGGACAATTCTCGTATCCCCGCGCAGCCCGTTTGCATGGCGCGTCAGGATTTTTGACGGCAAAATTGACCCGAACAGAGTCAAAAGGTTTATCAGAAGCAGTGCTGCTGCTTTCTGACCACATCTCAGTGACACAGATATCCTAGTCGTCCTGGCTGCGGATTGATTACTGGGACTGACGCGTCGATTGGAAGCCCTGCGGAGGGCTACATCACATCATCAGGAGAGGAGAGGAGCTCCAGGTCAAGAGTGACGATAGCGTTCAATTACTTAGCTCTTTCTCCCTCGCCAGCGGAAATTGAAATACCTTGTTCGACAGCCGACGCTCCATTGTCCCTTTGTCCATTCGTACTTCTTTGCAGTCACCTCGACAGACTTGCCAGAGACAAGGCCGGAGAGGGGTCATAGAGTAAGACCAAGACACAGCTGGTGGGGAGCCGGTTCTCGCCAATCAGGGGGAATCAACCTCGACCCTTCTACATACCAATCTCAGCATCATGGCCTACGCCTATCCCTCGGATCATCCAAGCGCTTCAAGCATTTCACTGCTTCCTAGAGGAAGTCCCGGGCATGGTCCGGCTCACTCACATGGTCATGCTTCAACACCGCTGAGTCGAGGAAGCAGTAGGAAGGGGTCTGACGATTTTGATGTTCTTAACGAAGTCAAGGTGAGCAAGATGAGTTTGGGCACTGAGATGGGTTGGGGGGGACTGAACAGATGGGTCATTCATAGGTCAAAATCGAAGAAGACGAGACGTATCTCCAATTCTTCCAGGATAGGTTGGTCGGCTTTCGATGCAGTGTTGGAACTCTCAGCTGATCGACCACAACTACAGGATAAAGCTGGAAGAAGAGTACATTCTTGGCCTCAATAGATTGTACAATCGTTTCAAAGCCATCGACACGCTGCATGAGGAGTGAGTTCTTCGACTCAGCTTCATTCATACCGTTGTGTCGCGCTAAGTCTCACCATCAGCGCTTTCAGAAGGGAGGAGAAGGCTACGATTCGACGGGCATGGGACGAAGTGAGAGATTATACGCAGAGGGAGATGCAATCTAGAGAAGCCATGGTCGGTGCTATGAGAGAGGGAGTCGTGAGGGATCTCTTGAGATTGAGGGTGAGTTGTGTTCTAGGACTTCTCACATGCTCTGAGGCCGGAATCCAGCTGATGCTTGAATACAGGACGAGCAATCCCGGATCCGTCAAGGGCTCAAGGATAGTATTAGGAAGTCTAACGAAGTGAGTCATAATCTCGATCTCGTCCCCAATCCAAGGTATCTGACCTGCGCTTTCAGATGTACGACGATTATTCTCGAAACACACTAGCCAAACTCAAACGGAACTACTGGCAAAAGTGTCAAGCTTTAGAGGTGGGCACGACCAGGCGGCGTCCTGAAATCAATCCTGACATCCTGTCCCGTTTAGGACCATAAACGACAAGAGCACGCCATCGCGATGCAAGCAAAACTACTCGCAGATTCTGCAAACACCTCACCGGGAGGTACACCACTTCGCGAACATCCCAATGCCATGTCTTTCCCCATCTCAGCTTTCTCACCCCCTACCCAATCTGCTCCTCTGCCTCCCTCCTCCAACCCCGCCATGCCTGAGGTCTCCTTCGATCCGTCAACCAAGGAGTCTGAACGCGCTGCTCCCGAGAAGCGCTCAGGCCGGCTGCGTGCAGGTTCAGGGTCTGGCCTCACTGGATCCGTTGACATAAAGGGGAAGGAAATGTTGAATGATCTGGCCCAACAGTCGAAAAAGGGATTCAAAGCTATGATGGAGAAATTTGGGGGAGACCGAGATCACCGATCGAACGAAGATGGGTTTGTGGTGATCCCTCCGGGTGGAGAGGATCTCACGACAATCGGCGGAGGAGGAGGAGGTGTGAGTGCATCTGGCGGATCAGGTCTGCAGCGGAGAGGTACTGGCGCTAGAGGAGATCCGACGAGAGGCATGGGGACGCTGAGAGGAGTGAAAGTGAAGCGAGAGGCGGATGAAGCGGGTGAGTGCAAGTCAAAGTTGTCGTGACCTTCCTAACGTCGTTTGTTTCAAAGACAAGGCGTACAGGACTGGAGTGTTCCACCTCGAATCCCTCAGACTGCAGAGGGAGAAAATTCACACGTCCGGCATCAGGGTGAGCTTGAGTCGAGTTTTTCTCTCGACTGACGTTCGCTAGAACCTTGAAGACTTTAATGATGATCTCAACAAACGCCTGTTGAACTCTTTCGAGGCTTATATCGATGCGATTCAAGGGACAGCAGCTACCAACGCACAAGGGACAGAGATCGTCCGACAGACAATCGCAAAGGTCAACTTGGATAGGGACAGTGAGTAGACAGGGCAACAGCAGAACAGACATACTCATGTGGCGGCAGCTTCTCTGTTCAGGACCCGTCTGAAGGCTGTCGATGTACAACGGACCATGCCTGTGCCATATCACAATTACTATGTGGGTGAACCTTACCTACGAGCTAGAGGAAAGGCCACGCTGACGCGGACTTAGGTCGGTGAATGTCGGTCGTTGATCTTTGGAGTCAGCCTCACAGACTACGATTTCGCCCGTGGCGACGGAAGTGATCATGGCAGACCGCCTATCATTGTCGAGAAGTGCATTGCAGCGATTGATGAGCGTGGTCAGTGCAGTGAAGAGTGGGCGAGCGTCGAGCCAAGCTCAGATTAAAACTCAGGTCTGGACGCCGAAGGGATTTACCGGATCAGTGGACGTCATGCTGCTGTGCAAAAGGCAAGGTCTAGTCTCCTGAATCCTTGCTGAAACCCTATAGATGATTCAAGATATCGAGCTGGACGAGAACAAGCATTTCTTTGACGAGCACGAGGACATCTACGCAATCTCCAACGTCCTCAAGCAATGTGGGTCGTGACGCGACACACAATCGACGATCTAGACTAACACGGAGACCTTGCAGATCTAAGAGAACTCCCGGAACCCATATTCCATCTCACTCAATCTGAGCGAATGAAGTATATGGAGAATCGAGACTCTCACATTGCCACCAAGTTTGGCGCTTTCAGGGCCAAGCTCAGACGGATGGCACCTATCCATCAGACCACTTTCCAAGCTTTGATCGAGCATTTAAAGCGTGTAGCGGATAATTCTGCAGAGAACAAGATGGATGCGAAGGTGGGCGCTGAACTTGTTGGGAGTAACACCGTGACTGACGATTTGACAGAACCTCCAAGTGGTCTTCAGTCAGCTCCAGTCCTTTATTTCTCAGGAGCCAGCTGACTCAACTTCAGATACCGTCATCTTTGGTCAGGATCAGCTGCCGCCAGATGGCAATGTCTTGGCTATGCACTTGGAGAAGGTAAGAGAAGCACAAAGGTGAGACGCATGGGTTGACGCCTTACACAGGAGACATTCCTCGAGGATATCATATCCCACGCCGACGTTCTCTTCAGCTCCGAGGAGCCCACCCTACCACCCTCATCGCTCTCTTCTGGCTCGACCATCGCACAGCGCGGCAATGTTCACCAGCCTGCCGATGTTATCAGCGACATTCCCGGTAGCTCGAGAACCAGAATCCAAATTACCAAATCTGGAGGGAAGAGCAAGCCCACCTCGCCTCAGGTCGTGCCTCAATCTCCATTCTTCGAGGGTGAACAACCTGTCATGCCCGAACCGACTTTCACACCGGATGGGGAGCTCGAGTTATTGTTCGACCCAACGCTCATACCTCAGAGTCTGCGAGATGCCATTGGCGATGCTTACCACGTGAGTGGTTCTCCATTGCAGATTCCCGTGACAGTACCTGACGCTACGTGTGCAACCACTCAGGTCAGACCCCTTGCCTCGACTGACCTCATGCGATCCCACTTTGGTCTCTTGCAGACGTTGACGCAGGCCCCTCCACTCGCCCCGAGCGTCTACAAAGCTCTCTTTAAACATCTGGTAGCGTGTCCCGAAACGTACTTTATCATTGTCCTGGTGGACCAAGTGACGGATCAATTGGTCGCTCATGGAACATTGATCTTGGAACGCAAATACATTCATGGAGGTAGTGCGACAGGCCATTTAGAAGATATCGTTGTCAGTCCCAATGTGCGCGGAGGAGGGATCGGGCAAAAATTGGTTGTGGGTTTGAAGGAATTGGCGATGGCTCGCGGGGCATACAGGGTGAACCTGGGTTGCAGCCAGGACAAGATACGTACGTACTGAGGAGATCTTTGGATTCCAGGCTGACGGTCACTTGATTTCAGCCTTCTACGAGAAGTGCGGGTAAGCGAAATCCCAACCTGGCAGAACTCTGTTCTCGGGCGATGCTGACGCCTCAACAGATTCTACCCTCGCTCTACCCAGATGGTGAGCTGGAAGCGCTGGTATGTGAGAACGATGCTGACGACCCCTTCCAGGCTGCTTTTGCCCGAGCATCCGACGCAGAATCCAACGTTTCACCAGGACCACCAGGTGCTGTCCCACAACCATTGACGTCCACTGGCCTTAAAAGCCCCATAATACGCCTCCAGACGACTCAGCCTCACCTCGCTTCTTCCCACCTGGCACCTCACGCCATGCTTGCCGCTGGACCAGTCATTGACTTGTCCATCTCACCTGACCCATCGGTGTTGACGCCTACGGAATTAGGGGGCGATACGGAGCCTTCTGAATTTGGAGGAGCTGGGTCTACATACCTTCGTCCCGAATCCCAGCAGAGCAGTCATAGTCACACGGCTTCGTCGGAGAGCGGTGTGACGGGTGTGACTTATCATTACCCTACGAGTGAGGGGCGGACAGGGACTGGACCGGGAGGCTCAACTGCTGAGGGTGAGGGTGAGGGTAAGGGCGGAGTCGAGGACAAGGTAGAATCCGGTCCGCAAGTAATTCAGCTGTAAGACGGGCCCAAGTGTGCTGGACCCTTTGGGAGAACGGAGAGTGAAAGCTATATTTGGAGAGGCCACGGCGGCAACGATGGCAGATCATAATGATTATAACGCTGCGTCTTGAATGATGTCTATAGATGTGCATCTGTGTTCGAGGCTTCGGTACGCCAAGGAACTGATCGTGGCACGGATCCACGGAGTATACGATGGAGGACTTAGTCCCATTCACTGTATGATGTACAAGGTCATTTGATCCTATGGTGAATCAAAGACTCATACATATATGCCTCGGGAGGATCTCGTTCTCAGACCTAGACCTGAGTATTCGCAGCGAGACCTGTATGTGGCTTGACGCTCTCCTGACCGGAAGGTGGTTCTCCATGTAATTCACGTCCTTGCTGTACTTCCTCTTCGTTATGGAACACTTTCCCAGCAATCTTCTTGGCGAACCCGTTGACCTGGATGGGAAGTGACAAAGGTGAGTCAGTATGCTCCAAGCGGCGTGTAATGAGGTAGGACAAGAAGGTAAGTCAACTTACTTGATCTTTGAAACTGGGTTTATCTCCATGGTGCTCGTGATTCACAACGGATCCTTGACCTGGTCCGGTGGCGCCTAGACACGAAGAGGTCTCACGGGTCAGCAATGTATGACGAGGAAAAGAGGGGAAGATGTCGTCTCATGTCCAATGACCAAAGCTAGACGACAAGAGGGGGGGAAAGGAGGGGGGGCAGTGTACACGTCCCATCTTTCCATTGATGATTCCTCGCCTTCGCCTTCGGTATCCTCAGGCGAACCTCACGCGCCTCCCACTTCGCTTCGCTTCGCTGGGCTATGCTCGAGGAACTCACCCTGCTGAGGTTCCGACGTCTCTGGTACGTTCGGATACACCGTATCGGCTACTTGAGAAGGCGGAGCGACCCCTTGAACGCCAGCTGTAGCAGCTGATGAATCCGCTTCGGATCCAGCGACGGGGGGGAGGGATGGATGATCTCTATCGAGACCAGGGGCATTGTGGCTCGTCGTGCTCGTCGTATGGGAACCGCTTTGAGTGATACCGGTGGGTGAGACGATGGGTTGAGTGGACATGTTTGATACTGTTTGAGAGCTGCCAGGTTTCACGGCCGATATGATGGTAGGGAATGTAAATAATGAGTTGACCGTGTAGGGCTTTTAGACGGAATGTCAATGGTTACATCCCTCTCTGACATCATCAAAATAGATATCTGTCCTTCCTTGTGTGGCGGTTCCAGAGGTTCCAACGGCTATATCGGGCCGGGATGTGGCGCCTTGTCGATCCCATCATGGTTTAGCGGACGCTCTGACCTCGTGTGAATTGGAGACACTGTAGCCACACCACACATATGCACCACCCGTATACCGCCAAGCTCTCAGTTTGGCAAATCATTGCAACAATCCTTGATCTCTGTCGTAGCTTCCAAGTACGGGCGGGTTAATCTGGCTGCGTTTCACATTGTACCCTCGGGCGTTGTGACTCCTCTGAGGATCAGCAACCAGACTGCTAGTGCCAATGATCGACCAGGGAGTTGACAGACTGTACTCCAGCCTCGCGGATGCTGCCACGCTGCCACAGATAGCTAACCATCACCCCACCTTGCCAGGTATACACGTGCTGCATCCTTTCAAAAAAAAATCCCTCATTCCCGATCGCTCGTAATTTGTTCATTTGATTGCCAATATCACCCCAAAGCATTTTTAGGACAGACACCGGGAGAACAGAGGCTGTTGTCTTTAAATGATCACCCCGTTACCGTGTGTGTGTGTGTGAGAGAGAGAGAGAGAGAGAAGCAGGAGACGGTTATATGTGTGTTTTATTATTGGTATAGGGTTCAGTAGAAGGGCTGGCTGGCTGGCTGCTACCTGTAGGCTCATTGTATCTCTCTCTTTCATCTTCATCTCTCGACATTATTCAGCACTGTCAACAGTCCGTTCACTGGTCAGCGCCTTCATAGCGCCCACACAGCTTGGGTCTGCTCAGGCCATAGGCGAATTTCAAGCAGTCCAATTCTCCCATTTTTGGCTCGTATTATTCAGCCCGCGGGTGATCCCAAAAATCCTCCTCCTGCCCATCTCTCTCTCTCTCTCTTTTTCTATTTAGCGACCACACTTGCTGGCATCTGCTAGACTTTACAGCAGATCACGCATACACGCAACGAGAACGTATAATACATCTCAAAGCGTTTACAACATATACTGGCCATTAACTCATCCAGAGATCTCACTTACTGTATCCACTTGGACCCATCGACGTCGCTCTCGCCAGCCAACAGTTTTAAAAATAGTCCCATCCTCTCGTGAGTAAAGTCTCGGACTGGAAACTCTACCGCTCCATACCATCCAATACAATCTCGCCGCTTGGTCATCTCTCTTGACACCGTTGTTTGGAATCCTCGCATTCAGCTCTGGTTGGAGTTTCGTTGACACTCTGCAATATTCTACAGATCACTGCATCTCATACACCACTCCGATCACAGATTCTTCCCCTGTCGATCTGATTATATAGCAGCATCTCCAGCACATCTCGCATACAACGTGAGCATTTGTCTCCTTCCCACCGAAATCGATATCACATCCCACATACTCCCAGCCTCATCCCTACTTTCCCCTGTCCACACAACGATCATCTCAGTGTAAACGTTGATTGCTGACAAAACTTGATTTCGCCACCTTTTTTCCTCTCCCTGCTCTGTTATTGTCCAACATCCCATTCCATATCGATCACTTTGGATATCACCTTCGTCGCCCTTGCTTCCATATTACGGTAACGCACGTTCCATACGCCTGTCGACGTTGGCATCCTCTTCGTATCACCCTTGTTCCTCTCCTCACGCCCACGATCATCACCCCCTCATCTCCCCTTATTCAACTCTTTCCTTTCCATTATACGCACACCTATGTCCTCTACCCGCCACTCGGTTCCTCATCCATTTCTCCATTTGCCATTCGAATAATGCTCGGGCAAACGCATCACTCAGTCACCCAGCAGTGTCGACCATGACAAGATCATTATAACATTCGACCCCTACAGTGCACTGCATCTGTCCTTCTCTCCAATTGTTCACAACACTCCAAGCGCATCTGTGATCTCACCGCACTTCACCCCCCAAATCTACCACCCGCACAATGTCCACCCACGCTCCGAGCTCCTTGGCAGAGGCGCCAGAGGATGAGCCAGTGCCCGATGATAGGAAGAGTGTAAGTGGCCCGCTTCAGCCATGTTTCCTCTGCTGACCAGCTGGCCCTTTAGAAAATCGTCAACGTCAAGGATCTCGCCTACATGAATGGCGACGCTCGTACTCAACCTCATCATCTTGTCGTCCCCGGACTCTCACCGTCTGTCACTCCAGCCGCGACTCCCGAATCAGAAGTAGAACCTTTGTCCCCTCCCTACGCACATCTCGACACCAAATCAGCGCTCTCTCCCATCGGAGAGAATGGTGGAGAGACCACTTCGTTTTCGCTCAACGATTCAACTGCCAAATCAGCAGACTCGCACGGTCTGACGCATGGTTCAGCAGAGGACCACGAATTTCCATCGCACAAGCATGTCGCGGACTCGTCTTACCCTTTCCCAAACTGTGAGTCGTGTTATGCCCTTTGAGGATCGTTCGCTGACTTTTGCCCAGTCCGCCCTCTCAACCACGCTGTATCGGGTCAGAACTCACCCGCCCCCATGAATATCCCTCCACCCACGAGCAACGTCGCATCTGGCGCTGCGACGCCCATGTCGCGCGGCCAGTCCGCCGCCGATATGCGCGATCATAAACCGTTTGACCCCGATCATCCAGATCACGGTGTCGTCAATCGTGCCAACCGATCCGTGTCGACCGGATCCAAGCCCAAAATGGCTGGCGAGAAGAAGAGCTTCTTGTCTAAAATGTTCCATCTGGACGGCAAAGACAAGCACGACAAACAGGACGATGCGCATGACAGATTCTCCTCGGCTCAAGCTAGTCGAGCACACAGTCCCATGCCACATGACAGACACGATGACATGGCTTCTCCACCTGCTACGCCCGGTACGCCCCCAGTGAGCGACAGTGACATGTCTCGACCTCCTTCCCGAGCACCCAGTCTCAAGCGTCGAGGATCGAGCAAGGCCGATAAGCATGAGGTCCACGCGTCATCTACTGACCCTCGCGCTGCGGTTCCTCCGGTCCCCCTTCTCGGCAGGAGAAATTCCGCCAAGTCGGACGCCGGTAAAAAGCCCATCGTCTCGGTAGGAGGTCAGCCCATGACGATTGCGAAAAAGGAGGAAGTCACGGGTGCCAGTGGAAGCAAGTTCACCCTCAAAGATCTCATTGGCATGGGAGGAGGGGACGGTGCACCAAAGCTCGGTCGAAAGACATCCGCTGCGGGCTCTCAGAAGGGCTCTGATCGAGGCTCCACTCGAGGCAGTGAACGCGATTATGGTGACAACACATCGACTGCTTCCTTGTTGAAAAAATACGGAATCTGCGACAAGGCTGCGATCGGCAAAGGTGCCACGGCTGTCGTGCGACTTGCCCACAAATGGGATCGACGAGAAGAAAAGCTTTACGCTGTCAAGGAGTTCCGAAAGAGGCGAAAGAATGAGACTGAAAAGGATTATGTCAAGAAGCTCACTTCGGAATTCTGCATCTCGTCGACATTGCATCATATCAACGTTGTCGAGACTGTTGACTTGGTCCAGGACGAAGCGCATCACTGGTGCGAAGTCATGGAGTACTGTCCCGGTGGAGACCTCTACGCAGCGATCAAAAAGGGTGGAATGTCGAGCGGAGAGGTCGAATGCTCCTTCAAGCAGATCCTTCTTGGTATTCAATACCTCCATTCCATGGGTGTAGCTCATCGCGATATCAAGCCGGAGAACTTGTTGTTGGATGGTCGGGGTCACGTTAAGATTACCGACTTTGGAGTCTCAGACGTCTTTAGAATGTGTTGGGAGAAGAAGACCCATTTCAGTAAAGGCTTGTGTGGGTCTGAACCATACATTGCCCCAGAATTGTTCGAGCAGAAGGGTGAGTGCGGGATTCAGGCTAGATTAGACAGATACTGACATGGTGTTTTGTCTTCAGAGTACGATGCTCGGCTCGTCGACGTCTGGGCTGCTGCAGTCGTCTTCTACTGCATGCAGTTCCAGGAACTTCCCTGGAGAGTCGCCAAATCGACCGACCCGACGTACAAGGACTATGTCACGGCCTATTCTCCTACCAAACCCTTGGCAGAAGGTCAACATCACCCTACACCTCCACCGTTGAACAACCTTGTTCCTAGAGAGTGTCGCTTATTGATCAAACACATGTTGGATCCTGACCCCAAGACACGATGGGGAATCGACGATGTCCTCAAAGACAAATGGATGCAGGGTGTAGAAGTGTGCGAAGAGGGTAAAGAGAATTCCCATTCGCACAGTTCAGCCGGGATGGACATTGTCAAGATTGTCCCTAACTAGGCTGATCATACATAGTCATACTTGGATTCATTGTTTCTGCTTTTTATTTTGTGTGTGTGTGTGTGTTGGGTCTCATTCACGATGATAAGCAGTCGAAAGAGATGTATCAAACGATATTTTGCATTCACATCTGTTATAGTCAGTACACACCACTTCAGAATGTTACACCCGCGAGGGGTGGCTGTCCTTAGCGCTTGATGGGTGCGAGGTATCTCCGGAAATTACCCAATATGGAAATTACAGTGGCGACTGTTTTTTGGGCCTGGGCGGGAGAAGATCAATCGACAGCTTGTGGTGTGCTTTGTCTCTCTCAGCTTATCACCAACTCACTCTGACCTCACCGAGTATATCAGTCATATAATCAAGCATATACGCATCGATATCATCGCCTTTGCTATTGGAGAGTAATCCCTACGACAGTGCCATCAGTGATCTGCTCGACTTTGAAACCCACTACAACGGGGTTGGATCAACGCAGTCCTGTGCCTTTCGTTGTAGTTGCCCCCCGTCTTGGCCCCCTTTTTTCACCGCATTCCTTGCGCCATCCTGCTTTCGACCACTAGCTACACTCCCAACGTCATTCGAAACATTGTCAATAACGACTGCTCCATCATACTTCATACCGCGACATTGGCCTGAACGTCCAGATCAACAAAACAGTCCCCCGCCGCCCCAAACCTAGCCTGAGCTTACTGTCACTTCCAGCACGATGGATCGACTACGCTCACTACGGGCCAAGATGCCTTCATCGCCGTCCATGGCGACATTACCGGGTGGCAAGCTGACCAAGGCGTTCAAATTCAATAAAGAAGCCAAGGTGTTACCGAATAGTCAATCGAGATGGGGGGCGAACCCTTTCAACGAAGGGCCAAATCTAGAAGAGGTGAGTGATCACGATGGTGACACGCAAGCTATCAGCTATGGAGCTATGAGATGCCGATGTGGGAATACCTGACCCATGGGCATGGGCGAGGCCAACCACTATGCCTTGCCTTATCCCGCTAAGCCTTGCTTACTCGGCTGCAGAGGAGCGGAAGCGGGGAAACAACCATCACGATCCCTGAATGAATGTTGAGCTGACCCAAGTCCCGTTCGCCCATTAGCCTTCACTGCCTCGATTCCACCTCGTCTTACATTGCGCAGCGGTAAGTCCAAAAAAACCTCTCTATATCTACACTCACTCCTTCGCATCGATCGATGCCAATCGATCCATGCCTTGTCGCTCGCTGAATATCCACTTACACCATGTTCAGATATTCTTCACCTTTCTCGCCATCTGTATGACTGGGGCAGTGGCAAATTTCCAAGCGACGTGGTTCGCCGTGTGTAAGTGATGGACCTTCATCTGCAAGGGATGAGCATAGCGCTGATCACTGTACCGCAGCTGGAGGCACAGCTTTCACCTTGTTTCTCCTTCTAGTCGCCATTCTACTCAGTGTTGCCCTGTTCATCGTCCCTACAGTATATGATCGGTAGGTCCCGGCACCCTTTCTGATCTGTCTCTCCCGCGGCGTTGACAGTCGCCATCACAGATGGGACAAGCTCAAATCCGCCAACGGGTTCTTATCGGCGCCCAGGACACGGCTCATCATACACGCTTTCGGAGCACTGTTGATGCTCATAGCTGCATTCATCGTCACCGTATCCGGTGAGTCATGGAGCCCCCCCCCCCCCCCCCATCACGTCGACCTATCAGGCTGACCCCACGTCACCAGCTTGGACATCGAAAGGATGCAAGAATCCAGAGGATGACCCTCATCACGATCTCGGTGATGAGTACACCACCAATCTTGGCCAATGGTGTCAGACAAAGAAGGCGTCAGGGATCTTTGAGTGGTGAGTGAGCAATCCCAGTTCTTGTGTACTTTACTGACAGTGTCTCAGGCTCTCGTTCAGTGAGAGCTGAACAAAATGCTAATGGTGAACCAGCTGACACCTGACCCCCAGTCTCTTGGCTCGTTCTTCTCATCCTGACCCTGGTTGAATGGCGTCGCGAACGCCGAGACGAACCCAGGTTTGTCCCGCCTGAGTCCGGTATCTCAAATGTCAACGTTCATGAGCGCCTCGCTCGACGCCGCGATGACGAAGAAGCGACCATTGTGGAGGATCCATACGCTGAGAAAGAGGTCGATGATCCCAAGACAGCCCTGAGATCAGGATACGAATCCTACGGATACTCCCGGACGGCACCTGAGGATGATCTTGAGTCGGAAGCTTTTGGCCGTCCGTCCATGGATACGCATGTTGGCAACTCGACCTTGAACGGGACTACGTTGGGCGGCGGCGGGAGCATGTCCAGAATTGGGGAGTCTGGCGAGGCGTCAAGGACGATGCAGATAGCATACCATGATCCATGTGAGTGCAGCATCGCTGACCTCAAAAGTCAAGCTCATGCTGCCGGCGTAGACGCACACATTCGTCAGAGTCTCCTTGGAGGTTCTTCGAACCCTTATGCTCCAGTGGACGCTCAGCAAACGCCAGTCCAAGCACACACGTATCAGACGGTGCCCGTTCAGCAGGTTCAGCAGGTCCCACAGATTCAACAGGTTCAACCTGTGCAGGCTGTCCAACAAGTTCATCAGACGTACCCTGCGCAACTCTTGTCACCGACACAATATGGCCGAGGTGTCTTACCTCAACCTCCGACCTATCAGACGGGATACGGAGGTTACCAATAGACTTGTAGACCTGAGTGCCATTTAATAATGTGTATCTTGTGTATTCAGGACATTGCGAGAGAGAGAGAGACAGAGACCATGTATGGACAATCGCGTCGAGAACCAGTGTTACATTCATTCATACTTGGTCTTCTGCGCGGGGTCGCTGCCCACTACATGCCTGCCTACCGTCCACCACGCGCCATATTCATGACTAGCTCGCTCGCCCGGGCATCGCTTACATGCTGATGAAGAGACCGAGTCCGACGATGCAGGCTGTGGCAGTGAAGTCAAGGGCGCTGGAGATACCGTGGAGGGTCGAGAATCGCTTGTTAACGCGGGTCATTGCTTCTGAGGGCTGAGGTGATGGTCAGTGGTGGTTCGAGAAAGCAGGCAGGATAACAGGGAGTCGGGGAGATGATCCAGGCAATCACGGAAGGTAGACAGATCACGAGGCTCATAGGACGGACAAGAGAAGCACCTTGTCTCTCTGGACGGTGCGCTCTGTTCCGCTCGATCTGCCCTCTGGCATCTTGTCCGACAGTTGCACTCACGTTTTCAGCATCATACTCCTTGCCCTCCAATCTCTCCAATCTATGTCTCTCAAACATGACGCTGGTGGTCCATGGTCCAACAATGATCCAGTTGATCAAGTTTGCGGTCAGAGAACCGACGATGAACAATCCTTGATGACCTTCTTCACACGATGTCCAATGAGGAGGGACTCGGGGAGATGAGATGAGACCAGGGTGGAACCATAGATGCGTCAGGAGCAAGGTTGAAGTGGTCAATGTCTGGAACGAAAAGTATAAAGGGGTCAATCGAGCTTGAAGCGTTCCAAAGATTTGTCGCGGGAGTGTCTTGTAAGATCGCAGGAGGGCCTAGAGGAACGTCAATAAGTAGTCTTGATGGAAGAGTCATGAGGCCAGTGTGAGAGGCGATGAATGCTAGCAGATTCGGGACTGGCTCTTTCAAGAGCTTCCAGAGACATAGTCACACGTCCATCTCCCAGGGGCCATCATCTCGACCATTGAGATGGGTCTCTTGATCTCTTCGCGTTCTTTTTTTTCTCGATTCCCTCATCCGTACTCACCACGCTGTTCCAGACGTTGGCACCTAGAGAAGTTCCCCACGTCAATAGGTAGAACCCCTTCATAGTGAACGGCGCGAGGGCCGAGTCGAAGAATGTCATGATGCTGTTTGCCGAGGTTGGTGGTCAAAGTATGGGACAGAGAGATAGAGATAGAGATGGATAGTGAGAGGGTAGGTATTTGGATTTGATTCGAGTGAGGTGAGTGAGGTGATCTTTTGGGAAAAGGGTCTTGCCGCCGCTCGATGACACGTTTGCTTTTCAATTAGAAAAATGGGTTAATGAGATTAGGGGGTCAGATTGATGAGATCAGACGGGGGGATTAGGAAAACTCGGAAAGAAACCGTTGAAGAACCCAAAATGACGTCACTCACACCATCTTCCCTCTGCTTTTGATCCCGGGTACTGACCTGTCCCGGTCGACGAACACGCTGGGACTGTTCAAACTCTGAACCTCACTTCTTTACAGCTGCACCTCTTGATCTGACTTTTGACAAAACCCATCAATCGACTCAATTTAGCATGTCCCTCGCACGATTCACTCGAGCTTCCACTGCTCCTCTCAGGACTCTTCAACTCCGGGCCATCTCAACCTCTGCTGTCAGGTCGAAGAGCTTGACCGACAGTGTCAAAGAGACTGCCGACGCGGTATGTAGAATACGTCTTTTCCTTATCGTCCATCTCGATATGTCCATCACGTCGTCAAATCTTACATGTGCTTCCATCTTGCACCTCTTCATGCCTCCAAATGCCTCATCCACTCCCCTCGCCTCAATGACCTTGCTGACACACCCTTTGCCCCTTTCTCCTCAGGTCAACAAGAAAGTCGGACAGACCCTCGCTAGTGGACTCGAAGGAGCTCAGAACGCCGCTGATAGCGTCAAAGAGACCGTCGGCGTGAGAGCTGACCAAGCCAAAGCCAAAGTCGGTGAGTGTCCTTTGTGTGGCCGATGTCTTCCTACATAAGATCCTCGCTGAACCACGAAACTCCCGCTCAGACGCCAACACACCCACCAAGAACCAAGTCAAGGGCGCGGCGGACTACGTCAAGCAGACCGTCAATGAAGCTGCTGCCGATGCCAAAGTAGAGGCCAACAAGGCCAAGCAGGACGCCAAGAGTAAGCTCTGAGCGGGAGTTGTTCAAAGGGGAGAACTAGTAAATCGCCATACAAAAATCGTCTCAGAATGTATACGAAATGACAAATACATGCAATGTGGTAATGATGGTGAATATTACTGAGCCAAACAGGGTGGACGGGAAGAACCAAACAGCAAGTCAAATCTCGCCTCAGAGCTCAGACTCACTCTGTCGCGACTATGAATCCAAGTCCATGGCATCTGATCGACCTGTCGGAGCCGCCGGGACAGTGCCACTCTCCGCGTTCGTACTCGGCGCAGTCGTCGCCGGAGCAGTTGCCGCCGATCCAGATGCTGGACCACTTGACGTCGTCTGCCCAGCGACCGGCTCTTCTCGATCATTGCTCTTCTTGGCTTCCTTGCCATCCACTGGGGTAGAGTTCGACAGTTTCCGCTTAGATCCCTGCTCCTTATGTGACTGTCTATGTCTTCTTCCACCTGACCCTTCGTCCTCGGAATCAGACAGGGATGTGTCGGCGACTTTGGACTTGTCCCATAATCTCGCTGCAGATCGGGCTCAACACGGTGGAATTTGAGGAACCACGGTCCAACTCACTCGGTTTCCTGTCGTCCTTATCCTCCTTGTCTTCGTCCTCATTCTCATCCTCATCGTCGTGCGCGAGCTTTGGTATCTCTGCTCGGAATGTCAGCAAAGTCTCAATGAAGCACGAGAACTACCGACTCACCCTGCATCTGAACACTCGGCGCCGCATTCTTATCCCTCAAGATCTCAAATACCACCTCTCTCAATTTGTCCAGGTACTCTGGCGAATTGTGATCTGTCATGTTGGACGGTCTGACGTCCAGCTCGTAATCTGGTCCATAGTACTCGTAATACTCATTATGCGGTATGGCTTCGGACGCGGTTAGCGACATGGTGCAGAAGCGACTAAACTCACCTCCACCTAGCTCCACACCTGCGGCCAAACCTGTCTCATACGCCCATGTCCTAGATACGGATTTGACTGTGTAGCCTCCTCCTCCAAGTAAGAGTAATGGTAGATTGAACGATTTGACGAATTTGACACATTCCGCGTGACCCCTCATGGACAGGTTGAAAGAACCTATACGATCTCCCGATAGGGAATCTGATCCGCATTGAAGCACAATCGCGCCAGGCTGATACCACTCAATGATCCGACGAATGACCTGAAAGGGACGGATGAGTATCCCCGGTGGCCTTGAATCGACCTTGCTCGGAAAGCTGACTTACGGGCTCGAATATGTTCTTGTAGTTCTCATCATTTATCCCATCCCTCAGAGGTACATTCACAGCGTACCTTCGACACGTTAGCTTCACAGCCAACCAAATGATATACGGCGGCTCACCCCTTGCCCTTGCCTATGCCATTATCCCGGATCTCTCCTGTCCCTGGGAAGAATTCTCCATACTTGTGGAAACTCGCCGTCATAACTCTGTCGGTGAGATAGAAAGCCTCTTCCACTCCATCTCCATGATGAACATCAATGTCGATATACAGGACTCGTTTGTGATACCTAAATCATGTCAGCTGGTCGACGAAACGAAGGGCCACCAAACTGACCGTAATAGCTCCAGAATTCCCAGAACGATGTCTTTGGCAGGTATCAGTAATGCCTCATAGTCACAAGGAGAAGCCCACCATTGACATAGCAGAACCCGCTCGCCTCTGCCTTCTTGGCATGGTGTAAACCTCCAGCCCAGTTGATGGCAATGTCGCATTTATCCCTGGACAATCTCGCTGCGCCCTCTGACAACAGTTTGTTCAGCACTGATCTTCAAGAAGACCCCTGATGCAATCTCACCCATAGATCCTCCAGCAGAGATGGAACAATACTCGAACAACCCATCAAAGATTGGACAATCATCTCCGACGTTGTCTGCCGTGCGTCAGTGATTTCCCGTGCCAAATGAAAAAGATGGGAGAGTGGATTCACATTTCACCTGCTCTTTCGCGAATTGATTGGCGTTATCCGGCGTGATGCGATGTAAGAAGTCGACATATTCATCGGTGTGGAATTGGGACATTTCACGCTTCGTAGCTGGTTTGGCTCGCTATGTCAGGTATCATCAGCATACGGGCAGATAGTCACTCGCGCAGGAGACCCACAAATATCTCCATCTTCTTGTACAAGCCGTAATTCATCACCAGCGAGTGGCACATTCTGATCCTGGTAGGTTTCATGGGATGGCCTAGTCTTCCCGTCAGCCGGAATTCACCACCATAAAGCAAGTGTGGACGGTCGCAGTCGGCACGTAGCTAAGATTCCCGTCCCGTGCATTCAGGCGACACCCACCTGGTCCATAGTGATAATTGCCAATATCCGAATCGAAAAAGTAGCACTGGAGACCGATTAGCGACCGTAAGCTCAGGAAGTCCCGCGTCATTCCGAGAGTATGATGAGCGGATACTCCTATGATGTCTTCGCCCAGAAATCCCTATCTCTCCCTCGCCGCATGCACTGGGCAGATTCCTCTTGACACGCTCGATTGTTTTGTCCACTTACCACTCGCTTCTTGTCCTCCCCAAGAATAGGTGTTGGGCTGCTCATCACGCCAAGCAACAGCTCTGCTCTGGACACACTCTCAAGCGGATCCAGACCTGCTCTATGTTTTTGACTCTGCCAGGTCGATACGCTTTACAAGGGAGGCTCTCTTGCTTCGTGTCTATAATTGATAAACGATTGCAGAGAGGGTTAGGGGGCTCCGAATGACCCGAATGCCCCGTGACCCATCCAGTAGTTAACCGAGAGTGCCACATCACGTTTGTATGGGTTCATATCGCCGAATAACGCCGTCCGGCCGGCAGACTCAGTGTTTTTGTAGCTGGTACAGCTGCTGCTGCTGCTGCTGCTGCTTGCTTCGAGGAATCGACCTATACGGACATATCATGGCGTCCTCGAACATTGACGCACTGCCATACTTTGACAAGCAGTTAGAGGCACCAGGTGAGTGTTGCTAGGTGGCAGTGTTGCCTCGAATGTCATTCAGAGAGCTCAGCACATGACCTCATGCATCCCCCATCCCGTTCAGTCAATCTGACGCTCCTCTAGGTGCAAAGAGCTCTGCTCAGGCTTTGATTGAAGCAGAGCTTCGGAACACACCACAAATCTCGCTTGATGATCCCAGGTTACCGGCGGAAGTAAAGATCTTCGCGGTGAGCTGCACCTCGTGTGACGGTTGTCGAGAGATTAGCTCACTCGTTGTCACATAGAAATCTGAATCCCTGTCCGAATTACTGGATGGATATGCGACGAACCCCATAAGGGGAATCGATACGTCAAAGTACGGTGTTCCGCAAGTCACAGAGGGGTCTAGTATAGATGAGCTCGTAGAGGCGGAGCGGAGAGGAAGGATAGGAGAGGGGCATATGGCTGTTAGGTGAGTTGAACTGCAACCTTTATGCCTTATCAAAGTCGCCGAGTCACTCGTCGCTGAATCTCCCCAACAGGATTGAGAATGCCGATCTTCTCTCCACCTACGGTCCGAACGCATGGTTGATTCGCAACTATCAACTCAACTCTCAACTGACTGAACTCCAATCAACCCTCGAGGCGCTCAAGGAGAAAGTGACGGAAGTAAACAGGAGTAGAAGAGTCTTCCAAGAGGATACAGGAACGCACCTCACTCGTCTGGAGGGTCGGTGGCAGGACTTGGTGGGAAGCACGGTCCAACTGGAAGTGGCTTGTAAAGCTATGGAGGGGCAAGTCAAGACTTTGAGGCGGAAAGAGGAGGATCTGAAGAAGGAAGTTCAACAGTTGGAAGATATAGAGAAGTTATGAAGAGGGAGGGGCAACAGAAGAAAGAGATTGCTCTCCCCTAGACTCGCGTTGACGACACGGCACTGTACATCATGCTGCATTACGGATCAAATTGTTGTACAAAAGTATCTATTGGCACGGCACCCTGATGCAGAATCTTCTGGCAGGAACGATGCCTAGCTGTGCAGACGCTCTAGTCTCCTCTCAGCTTCTGCACGCGCTTAAGGACAGAGTCTTTGGACGGGTCTACAGGTGTGGTCAGCAGAGTCGTTGGATTGTTGATGGTACCGGGTACATACCATAAGGGTGCTCTTTGCTTGGAATTTCCAGAACAGCAGGGAAGGCCGCCTGATATCGGTCAACAGAGGGGCGTATGCGTTCAGCGATCTGATCAGCATTCATCAGCTACACTACGATATCTAATGGGTCTCTCTTTGGCATGGCTCGGCCCAGGCCAGACAAAGGAAGAGCAGGGCGTCACTCACATGCTGGTTGATGAGTAAAATGGCAATGTCTTTTCTCTCTGTAAAGTCCTGGAAGGCAGATTCGATGACGCTAGTCTGAGTTTCTGATCATGAAGAGGCGGTCAGCTTGAGTATACCAGAGCACGAGGCTAGAGACGATGTAGGTTGGTGGTGGTGTCGCATGGTGATGGGCTGGTGACAGACAATAGCCCTTGCGAATGATATGGTTCGACCCTCACTCACTCCCGTCGACGATCAAAAAGTTCTTGTTCTGACTCTGCTTATCAATGTTTCCGATACCAGCTAAGAGTAGACCAGTCACGGAGTCCTAAACGTCGGTGCGAGAAGCGTCAGCGATAGCTCTTGAACCCAACCGGCTCAGCTAGGTCCTCTTGTGGAGGGAGGGGAAAAGACCAAACGCAAGATTCTCACCTCGTCTCCGATGACTGCCAAGAGTGTCCTGTCTTTTGGATTGAAGTTTGTGCCTGACATGGTAGACAGATGTCAAGACCTATCCTGGTGGAATGAAGATCGAATGAAACAAGAGATCAATTGCATCAATTGACTGCTTTCTGGATTTCAGTTGTGTGGCGGCGATGTACCGGGTTCCGCATGCAAGTCTTCGTGAGACTGGCTCAAAGGTCTACTGAGCATCTTGAGGGGACATCGAGCAGTAGCGAAACTCTTCCCGACACAATCAACAATTTGCGCTGCATCATGCATAGCAGAACGAGATGAAAGCATGTGACTTAGGAGACCAGGCTGGCATCCAATCCCCTAAGTGCTGTCCGTGCTTCATCCCAAGACGACGGTCTAAATCCTTCAAGTCAGGAATCCTCGTCCATGCTCTGCCGTGCCCCTGTAGACTTCACGAAATACGGCCTAGACGTAGACGCCAACGGTACAAAACAAGGCAACGATGCCTATTCCAGCGAGTCCAGAAGCAAGCAAACCAGTCCCAAGTTCAGGTAACGGATTCCGTGACTTTGGCAGACTGCGTTCGAATAAAACGGGGGTCAGCTTGACCTTATCATGACGAGCGAAAGGGATAGATAAGAAACGATACTTCAACCTGCGTACCCAAATGGTGAAGGGTATTCTCGAGGATGGTCAATTTGTAGCAAACTCACGTTGAGAATGTGAAAGTGAGGACGAAAAACGCGGATATGCAGATCAGAGCGATGTATGGGAGCATGTCGACCGAAATGAGAGGAGAGAAGGGTGGTAACGAGGCATGCAAGCTCTGGCAGATTTGAGTCAGCTCTCTCGAAGCTTCACGAACAACGCTCGGGCAAGTCTACCTTGACAGAGGCATAGGAGTCGACTTTCGACATTTTGGGCGATGGGACACCGTTGGTGTTGACAGAGGACCGGAATCCAAGTCGTTTGAAGAAGCCAGAGACGGCGGTAAAAGTTCCTTGTGTAGCAGCGCCCGAAGTTGAACACCGAAGCGTAAAGTACACTCACTCCAAGGTTCCAATGGTGAACGTGGAGACGGGTGGGTGTAGATCTCTATGAAATTTGGTTCCGTCGGATTGTCGCAGCTGCAGCAGCCGAAATGCCTTCCTTCTTGTGTGTCTTTGGAATTCGAGACTCGGCGGAGGAGACGCTGTGTTGAAGACATGTCGCGGAGACTGGATCTCTCTCAATTCAGGGGAGATGATTCGGACGACGAGGTTCCGAAAGTGAGTTGATACAGTATCTCTTCTCGCCGATACACGCCGCCCAGCTGACGCGGACGGATGCTGGCGTTAATAGAAACAGCTTGAATTGACTGACCTTAAACGAAATGTATTCACGGTTGGTAATACGAAGAAGAGCAAAAAGGATCTGGAGAAAGAAGCTGAAGAGAAGAAGAGGATAGAAGAGGAGAAGTCAGTGGTATACTTATCACCGCATAGGAGATTCGAGCTGAACCTCTATGATTAGAGCAGCGGCACTCGCTTTGGCTGAGTTTGAGGATGCCTTCGAGAAGCCTGGTTCGTCCTTCGGAACGAGCGGTGTGAGAGGATTTATAGGAGGTGTACGAGGAGGGTTCGTGAGAGCTGGAGGTGTGTCTCTGTACCATTGTGTCCACAGCACTACATTGACGCTTCGCAAGGCGCAGGAAATGCGACACCTTATGAACCTCCCCGCGGACCTTCCATGGCCCAACCTCCCTCTGGACCTTCTGGACCGCCGAAAGGGCCAGCAGCGATGGGATACGCACGGGTCAGTATCACCTATTTTTTCCCCTCGTGTCACACACGCTGAGTCTCATCTCAGCCCACTCCACGAGCCATGTTCAAAGCTCCTTCCCCGCCTCCCTCCGCCGGCCCAAAACCAAAGGGCAAACGAGCAATGGATAGCTTCTTGGAAGAGATCAAATCGTGAGGCATGACACCTGAGTGATACCTGATATATGTCTAGCAATCAAGCTGTCCGGGAACAGCGCTTAGGGAAGAAAGCAAAGAGTTCGTGCATTCAAAATTGCGTGACACAGTACTGATGACCCGATGCTAGTGGAGGGATCTTCCGTTACGGCCCTTGCAGGTCTGCAGCTAGGCTCCACGTGTTCATGTCTTCCGGTATGCTGATCGAGTGTCAACACGGCAGCTTGGGAAGGTACCAGTGGTGGTCGACCCATAGGCGAGGCCGAGGTGGGAGGAGTTTTAGTCTTGACAGTCAGTGTGACCGTGCTGACGATTTGTCGTAGTCTACAAATCTATTTGTGGTGAGAGTGTCGGATTCCGGGATATAGAACATGGCTTGACCAAGTGCGTAGGGCAATCTCCCGTCAAATGTCACAGAAGAGACCCTAGGTCTGTTCTTCGCAAAGATTGGACCCGTCGGAACCGTCAAGATCATGTGGCGTAAGTGTATAGACAGAGGGCGAGACTCGACTGACCAAGTGTCGAAGCTCGAGGCGATATTGACTCATCCATCGGCGGAGTGGTCACCTCTTCTCGATGGGCTAAACCAGGCCTACAGGGTTTTGTGGCGTATATGAAACGGAAAGACGCCGAGACTGCAGTAAATGAACTAGACGGGTTGGACTGGGGTGGAAGCGTCATCAGGGTTGGATGGTCCAAGCCTGTCCCAGTACCTACTCGGGCCATCTATGGTCAGTATACTTAAGTGCTTCGACTCTCCCTTTACTGATGCAAGCCGAAAAGATCTCGGATCCAGCAGAGGACGATCCCCGGAACCCAGCTCATCGCGGCACAAGGCTCGGTCACCTTCTTACTCCATATCTCCTTCTCCTCCGCCTCGATCCAAACGTCGCCAATCCCCATCCGGTCCCAGATCGCCGTCTCCAAGACGAAACGAGTCTCGGCACAATCGCTCAGAGTCATACTCCTCACGTTCTCGCTCCCGTTCGCATTCGCGATCGCGATCACCTCCGCCAAAGAAACTCAGCTCGAGGGAAAAGTGGCTCAAAAAGGTACCTGTAGAGACGGATAAGTTCATCAGGGCTGTTGCTGCCAAAGTCAGACATCACGGCAAAGGCTTCGAACAGGTCTTGAAGACCAAGGAGAAAGACAACGAAAAATTCAACTTCTTCTTCAACTCTGATGTAAGCAGGCAAATTTTGGCGCCCTCGATCCGATAACTGAACGACCGTCTAGCTGCCCGACTATCACCTCTATCGGTCTTTATTGAGTTCATCTTACCGGATCCCGACTCCTCCACCGGATGATTTCGTGGATGAAGTGTGTAGACGAGATCTGCTTCTGACAGGGGCCACTGCTGATCGGTCATCTAAGGGTTACGCATCCATGTACTCGTCTGATTCTGCAGAGGATTCGGAGAGAGAGAGAATAGGCAAGACCAAAGTCGGAAAACTCGCTAGGAAGAGATACGAGGCGATGTTACGGATGATGAGTGGCAAGAGAGCGGAAATCGGGCGTGCTATGGAGTTTGCAGTCAAGCATGCCGAAGCGGCCGACGAGGTAGGCTACAGGGATTGGGAAATTAGGACTGACCTTGACAGGTCGCGGATATCATTTGTCAAAGCCTGAGGATAGACGATACGCCAGTTCCAAGAAAAATTGCTCGGCTTCATCTAGTGTCTGACATCTTGCACAATTCAGTAAGTCGGTTGACTGACAGCATGCCATCGACTCTGGCTCAAGCTCACTCTTCAGGCATCACCTCTGCCCAATGTCTGGAAGTATCGTCTAGCTTTTGAACAGCGACTTCCCAAGGTCTTTGCTCATCTCTCGGACGTGGAAAAGAGCTTGAGGGCGTACTCGGGCATCATCAGTGCGGATGTGTTCAAGACACAAGTCTTGACTGTCCTTGAAATTTGGGATCGATGGTGGGTCGATTTTTGCGGCATTTGATGATGTTTGGTCTGACGAAAGCTTAGGATTGTCTTCACTGGCGAAGTCAGCGAGAGTCTTCGCGAACTGTTCCTCGGCGATCGAACGTTGAATGGGGCGGGGAAGACAGATGAAGCGGAGCACCAGGAGCAACAAGAGAAGAAGGCTAAAGACGACAGTGAGGGGTCACGAGGGGGTTTTAAAACGTCCGGCTTTAAATCATCGTTTAAACCTCTGTCCGCTGTCGCAGCGCCTGCCGAGTCGACACTCGAGGACGGCGGCAACGCTACTGCCGAACAACTAGATGGAGAGGACATGGAGCTGGATGGTGAGCCAATGGAAGAGGAAGATGTGGACGGAGAAGCAATGGACGAGGATCTAGACGGCGAGGCGATGGAGGATCTCGATGGAGAAGCCATGGGAGAAGACGACGTCGATGGCGAGCCAATGTGATTCATCGTGCCTCATGCCGATTCTTGACTACGGTACCGGATAGTTTACTGGATGATACCGATGTCATCATGATGGTATCGACTGTACTGATACTGGATAAGATGCTTGTGATGACACAAATGACTATTCATTCATCAAGTGAAGATCCACAACTCCCTTCCACATCTTGTCATTGATCTTGACCGCCTTATCCAATGAAGCTCTCAACCGTTTATTCTCGTCGAGAATCTCGGCGAGATGCTCATTCGTCTTCTGAATATGGACATCACCGGACCCCCTTGCCATTGATCCTCGAGCGCGAGGAGGTCGCAGCGAAGTCAGGAGTTCGTGCTTCGTACTGGGTCCCAGGGCCATGACGACGTCTTGCGCTTCCCGATTCGACTTGCCCACTCGAAGTCTTTCAAACGCCTTCACTTCGAGAGGAGTCCACCTGTCAGGATTCGAAACGCCAAGATCGGGCGGTCTGAGCATGGTCGAGAGGTGAGTGACGGGTCCCGAGAGGTTGAGTGTTCGGACGAGTTGATGAGAGGGAATACTGAGGATGGATACTTCGCCTGAGTCTGTACCGACCAGAAGATGGCTTGCAGAGATGGAAAGGGTCATCGAAGTGAACGCTGATCTGGACGAGTTATCAGACGGATCCCGAGTTTTTACAATCCAGCTGCTCACTTGCTCTCGAATATTAAGGGCCCGAGCTTGACAGGTGGCTCTCCGAATCCGCCTCCGCCAACAGCCTCAACATTGTTATCAGACCTAGCATCCTCCTTGTGCTTGTATAATGGGACGTGCCAGGCTTGTCCTCTACTCTCGATATTTGCCGCAACGTAAAAAAATCTCTCCATGGGGTCGACCACCACTTGGACGGGTGTAGAGCCAGCTGGCAAGGCGAATGTCGACAAGAGGGTGAAAGGAGGATACAAGTCCCAGAGCTTGACTGTGCCGTCCTCCGAGCATGTAAAAGCTCGTCCGCCGGCTACTGAGCTGGATCGCGAAACACATACGGAGAGGACAGGAAGAGTATGGTCGGAAAAGGAGCCGTACGGTTTCGGCAGAGGGAGAGATGGATCGACAAGTTGCGAAACGAGGAAGACATGGGACGATGCGTCGAGAGAAGAGCTCAGGAGGAGACGAGAATCAGGCGTAAATGTCAATGAGGTGATTTGTCGGTAATGAACTGTGAAGGAGGAATGCAGTGAACCAGAGGAGATCTGGAAAAGAGCGGTGATCAGCGATACATTCTGAACGCCTGCGTCGGCCTGCAGACACACCTCCCAAAGATACATGTGACCAGAGGAGGACCCTCCAGCGGCCCAGCAACCGTTTGGAGACACGGTAAAGCAGCTCAATTTTTCAGGCATGTGCAGTTTGAGTTGCAGTTGATCCTATCGGAAAAAGTTTAGTTACAATGTAGTACCTGGTCTGCTCACCTTTTGCCAGGTCCATACGTTCACGATGGCTTTACCTTCCTGTAGAGCCAGGACTCCACCACCAATTCCGTTCTTTGACTGTATACATCCGAGTGAATGGATAGCACTCACAGACGGTTTCAACGAAGCCGCCTGTGTACAAGTCGATAAGTCGTGCAGGTATATCGAGGGCTGACCGGTGGTTCCAGGCCTGGAAGACGATGATGATGCCTCTGCACAAGCTGAGAGAATCAACTCCTGTGGTTGGGACATGTTCTAAGTCTTATGCTGCTAGCCGTGCTCGCTAACCGCTTGCCTTAGCTTATCCGAGTCTCGTCAGGCATGAGTTGAAATTTATTACGAGGGCAACTGGCCAGCCGCCGTCGCTGTCGCCGTCGCCGCCATCAATAGCATCACGTGATTTCATTATTTTCGGCCCACCCAAAAGAAAAAAAATTCTGGGGGCCGAGCGGAGAAAGAGCTTTTTGAGGCTGGTTCGACCGGGGGAGAGTGTGAGTGAGAGTGGTCTGATCAATTGAACACTCTTATACCATATCGATCCCACCACATCGTCGAGCAGGAAGGAGGAGCTGCGTACCGATTGCTGTCCTGAGTATTCTTTTGCACCTCGCGCCAGCCTCGGTGCTCGTTGAACCACTCGATCGATCGTCCCCTGGACTCTTCTTTTTTTGTTGACAGAATCCTGTGGGAGACGGCCGTCTGCATTTGAGCGTGCTGCCAAGGTATCTTGATCGGAGACTCGGAGACGAACTTTCCCGTACCCATTGGGAGACTTCGGACATCGTGTAAGTCTATCCTACTGGCCATCGTTCAGGCCTGTGAAGGCTGCGCAGGAGCTCGCCTTCAGCGCCGCGCTGAGCACACGGGCAAAACCCTCGTGACTCTCCAGACAGATCGCTGATCAGAGCGTAGGAAGTTTCTGTTGCAAGCCATTGATCATCTCCGGACTTTCAGTTGATACCCAAAATGGAGCGAATGGGCCATGTCTCTCAGATGATCCCTCTCCCCACCTCTCTCCATTTTCGTAATGGTGGAGTCTGGGGACTGGAGTCTCTGAGCAAGACGCGTTTCAACATCTCCTTCGACAAGTGAGTCACTCGCTTCAGTGCATATATATATAATCATGGGCGACTAGTGCTGACGACCTCATTTCTCAGCCGTACGCTCGCCGCTACCATCTTCACGCTCATCATTTCTCTTCTTGTCCTCGAGCAGGCCGTGTACAGGGCCAAAAAGGGCAACTTGCCCGGTGACAAATGGACAATCCCCGTCATTGGCAAATTCACCGACTCTTTACACCCTTCGTTGGTCAAATACAAGAAACAGTGGTATTCGGGAGCTCTGAGTGCCGTTTCCGTATTCAATATGTGGGTTTTAGAGCTTCCAGCTTCCAGCTAATGCCCGTCCAAGTTTTATCGTCCTAGGATCATCCAATGACATGGCTAGAAAGATTCTCAACTCGCCCACCTATGCCGAGCCTTGTCTCGTGCACGCTGCTAAGAAAGTGTTGCTTCCGGAGAATTGGGTGTTCTTGCACGGCAAACCTCACGCGGATTACCGAAAGTCCTTGAACGTCTTGTTCACCAGAAAGGCACTCAGGTGGGCACCTGGAGCATTTGCGATTTGAATCGATTGCTGACAACCCGCGACAGCATGTACCTCCCCGTTCAGGAGCGCATCTACCATGACTATTTCAATAAGTGGATGTCGGACCCATCGCCTGCTCACCCATACATGCGGAAGATGCGAGACCTCAACATGGAAACTTCCTTGTCCGTGTTCCTCGGACCGTATTTGACTCAAGCTCAGAAGCAAGAGATCAATGACAAGTACTGGCTCATCACGCTTGCTCTGGAGCTGGTGAACTTTCCTTTCGCCTTCCCAGGAACCAAAGTCTACAACGCGATCAAGGCTCGAGAGCTCGTTATGAAGTACCTTCGAGCTGCTTCAGCCGCTTCAAAGATTCGCATGGAAGACCCTAACGCTCAATCCGAATGCTTATTGGACGAATGGACCAAGGCTATGATTCAATCACGTCGGGGTGCGAACGGAGACGGCGAAGAGGCCAAGCTGCTTAGTCGAGAGTATTCGGATCACGAGATCGGTATGGTCGTCCTCAGTTTCCTCTTTGCGAGTCAGGACGCTATGAGCTCGGCCATCGTGTATGCTTTCCAGCTTGTTGCCGATCACCCCGAAGTCTTGGCAAAGATCCGGGAGGAACAATACCGCGTCAGAGGAAATGATGTGGATGCTCCTTTGACATTGGATCTCTTGGACGACATGGTCTACACTCAGGCTACGATCAAAGAAGTCATGAGGCTGAGACCGTCCGTCATCATGGTGGGTAGATATTTAGGGTGAAACGATCTGTCTGATAACCCTCCACAGGTGCCATACATGACCACCAAGAAATTCCCAATCACTAAAGATTACACCGTTCCCAAGGGAACCATGCTCATACCCGTATTCTGGAACTCGCTGCATGACGAGACATGTTATCCGGAGCCAGATTCCTTCAATCCAGACCGATGGCTGAAGAACGAGGATGGCTCCGAGCCATTAGCGGAGAGCAAGCCTCAAAACTTCATCGTATTTGGGAGTGGACCACACAAGGTGAGAACCCCGGTATACGCTTTCCGCCATGAAAGACAGTCGTTGATGGAGTGATCCAGTGTATCGGTGGAGCCTATGCCAACATGCACTTGGTTGCTACACTTGGCACAGCCAGTATTCTAATGGACTGGAAACACGAGCGTACACCAGATAGTGATGAGATTCAGGTCATTGCGGGGTGAGTCTTGTGGTATTTTTAATGGAGGACTTCCAGCTCACGTTCTGACCAGTATCTTCCCTAAGGATGATCTGCTAATGCAGTTCACTCCTCGAGCACCTCCCTCATGAGGTGACTGGTAATGTACGGCGTAGGTGGAAATGATGGTGTGGCGGGTTTCCAAGCTGGGATGGATCCCTTGGATTCCGCATGGCGAAATTGACTGTTGGGGACCGACAGTTGCTTTCAAAGTATGGAGATGATATAGCGAATCTGACGTATGCCGTTCTGGATCTGTCCCCCCTTGCTTCTATTAATGTGTTTTTATGCATCCCTGTTCCCGTAGTTGAATGATGATGATGCAGATGATCGTTCGGATGGTTAATTAAAATGTTTATGTATTTTAGTCGATCGCTCAGTCCCGCCGCTTTCGGTCTTGATCATCGCTACTTCTGTCATTACATCTCAAGATTGCCCAATAGGCGTCGAGAACTCGCCATAACTCTAACCGCACATTGCGGAGACGGCTGTTAACCTTGCTTAATCCTGCGTCAAAGGACCTTCCGCCAGTGTCGTGAGAACTACAACTGCTGCCCTTCGGACAACGGCAGAACCACCGACGCGGATCCGAACATACATCTCCTTGTTGTCCGGCCTACCTGACCCTCTGGACAGTGCATCTCTTCTCCCTGTGAGACCATGTCGCTTCGTGGACAATGAATCACCCCACCTCTTGGTGCTAGTTCTGGGTCTGGACACGTCGCAGTCGCTGTGTCGCGGCGGGGGACACACCAGAAGGTCGCTTGGGTCAACATTAACCATATTTTCGACCACCTACGGTTGATTGGACTCCTCGCAGGCTCCGTTCAGTCTCTGACACGATGAACGACGTTCACGTACAAAGGCAGAGAAGTGAGAGCGAAGGTGCAGGACAGGTGCCAGAGACTTACGGCGCAGGTATGTGTTTTTCGTCCTTCGCATCCCATAACTACCGAATTGTGTTGGCTGGCGATTTCGCTACACGATCTCTATGCCATCTTTCCTCTCACATCAATGAAGCTCTCGTTGGAAAAGGCTTGGCTGCTGACACCTTCTTGCTCTCTTCACAGACCTCTCGTTAGGATCATCCAGCTCAAATCGCGCTCAACATTCCGTTGCCTCCTCCACAGCACAGACTTCCATCGACCTTACCCAAACAACAGCTTACTCGTCTTTCGATAGCCACCATGCCTCTGGTGAAGCTGCCAAGCCAGATTCTGACTTCTTGGGTATGGTCATGAATTGGGGAGCCAACGACAATAACAGGCGGTCAGATGTGCGGACAAGTCAGATGCTCAGCGGTAGTGTGTTTGGCCAATCTCCCGTTACCCACGGCCCACCTGGTCCTCCTCGTGAGTGTATCATCTTGCGGTCAAGTCGAGACTGTGTACTTACTAGTGCACGCGTTGAAGCTTCTGCGCCGCCTCCTCCGCCCCCATCTCACCAAAGTCAGGCTCCAAGAGCTTCCCGAATCCCGATCCAAGCCTTTCGTCGGAATACCTCTGGACAAGCTCCACCACCGACCCTCCCGCCGCCAACCAGCGCGCTCCCTGCGCTACCGACTGGAGCTCCTCAGGAGCCTTCAACACCATCGAGGTCCGGGAGCACTGGCTCACATTCCCCTCGAGCTTCCTCTCATCGACAATCCGCAACTCCTCCTCCTCGTTCTACTTCTCTTCTCTCTCCAGCACACCTGGTCGAGGCCGAATCATCCGCTGGACCTTCAACCTTGTCCTCAAATCCCTCACCCTCATCTCCGCTTCGCTCAACCCATTCCAAGTCGTCTCGCACGCCTTCTCGTCATCTATTACAATCTGCCCTGGATCTCGCACAACGTGCAGTGGAAATGGACAAGAATAATGACGTCCTAGGCGCTCTTGATGCGTACAGAGAGGCTGTCGCCCGTCTGAAGAACGTCATGGAGCGTGTTGGAGTGGAACCGGGTAAAGAAGAAGGGCGAAAGCGCAGAAACACTTCCGGCAAGACTGAAGAGGAAGGCCGCACGCTCAAAGGAATTGTGAGTGTTACAACGCACACTCTCTGACAAGCTCGCAGCATGACGCGTACGTCGCTCGCATACAGTTGTTGATCTCGTATGAAAACCGAGATGAAGCAGTAGACAACACGCCACCCGCAACGTCTGTCTTATCGTCGACCAATCCATCCATGTCTACATCAACACTCGTCCCCAAAACTCCCCCATTTGAAGCTTCTCAAGCTGGGGAGAGAACTCCGAGACCGTCCATCGATGTGACGGCACGTGATCTCGGTGCACTATCTTTGAACACTAACGAGGACACCGTTCGCCATGATTCCGCTCATAACGAGCTCGCTTCGCCATTCGCATCTGGTCGACGACCGACAGATTCAGGCTTCCACCGGCAAGACCTTTCAATGGCAGCTGGTGGCGCTCAGGGCCAAGCGCCTTTTGGAACTCCACGGAGCACTTCGCAAAGCCTATCGCGCGAATCTCCGCAATCTTCCCAACAAAGTCCAGATATCATGTCACCCGCGTCGTCGACACGCAGTAGAGGTAGCAGGCGTAAGGTCTCGCGCCCATCTGTCGGCTTGGAGTCAGAATTGGATTTGCAAATCTCGGAGGGAGAGGAAGACATGGAAATCCTGGACAAGACTCCACAAATCGCCAGTTCATCGAGAATGAGCACGAGCGAGACAAGTCAATCGTCGCCCCGGCGATCGTCTGGGGTAGTGGATACTGATCGACCACTGCCGCCTTTGCCACCACCAATGAGTCATTGGGTGGATGGTCAGCCGAAGATCCATGCGCGACAGGCGAGTCTGGGAAGAAGCTCCATGCTCGTTAGCCCTTCTACAGCCTTGGGAACGATCTCGCAACGGCGACAAAAAGGTATCGCTGATCCACCAGCATCGGCGCAGAACTTGCAGCAAGCATCCAGCGAGGGACTGTCAGCATTCAGTGGGACTTCAGCCTTCCCCACCCGTGTACCCTCTGACCGACAATCCTCCGGACTCTCGTCCTTACTCCCCACCCGCCTACGTACGCGCTCACAACCTGGACGTGTGGGTCCGGAGGAGATACCACCGCTGCCCACTGCCACAATCAGGCACCAAGCGTCTTTTAGCTCGCAACACAAGCCATCCATCGCGAGCCTGAACCATGGGGATAAGACTGGTTCAGACACATCCCGATTCGATTCAAATTCATTGGTCCCACCACCTTCTGCGTCACCCATGTCTCTCAGGTCTGTGGGACGCTCACTCAACCCTCCGCCATCCTCTGTCATTTCTGCCTCCGGCGCTCTCATGTCACCATTGCCAGAAAGCCAGCCCAAAGATCTCGTACATCGTCCCTTCCACCTCTTGCGTCTTTTGCAGCGGTCCATGGACCCAAGCAGCTCTGGATCCTACCTCACGGCCAAGATACATATCTCTTCCGCCGTGTGGAAACCTGCCATTTGGCCAAAGACGGCTTCCGGCGTCAAGGCTTTGGGCCCACCAAAGATTGCAGGTCAGGAAGCCAAAGTGAGAATTATGGAAAGTCTCATCATCAACATTGGTATTATCTCTCGGACGGGCTTGATCTTATTAGATGGACCCCGAGACTTTACACCACCGGATGGTACGGAGGGGGTGGGTGATCCTAGCGTCAGCAGGTCCATGAGTGCGATGGCAGATGAGCTTTGCGGAGCCTTTGACGCGCTTGAAGAGGAAATGGACGCCGGACACAAGCTTTTGAGTAAAAATGGTGTGGTCGTTGGCGCTTGGAAGGGCAAAAAATCGGGTGTGAGTACAGACATTGTGCCTGAACGGGCAAGATCGTGCTGACTGCCGTCTTCAGACTGGCATGTCATGGGGCAACAAGCTCTCCAAGACAATGGACAAGATTGCCAACAATAAGGCGTGAGTTGTAACCCCTGACATCTGTGAGTACTGACACTACCGCAGGGTCGAATCGCCAGATCGCTACGTAGATCTGCTGTACAGCTTTTGTGCCCATATTCAGGTCATCAGTGAGTCTTGTTTTTGACAGAGATCAAAACAGCATCGTGTTGACTTTGTGCAAGGCGACCACCTATCATGCGCCCTGGGTCCCTGCACTCAAAACTATTCATCGCTATCCGATAGATCTTTCAACGAGCTCAAAGCTCGACTCTTACGTGCTTCTGATTTTGTCAGTCTTGTCGTTGTACCTTGGATTTTGGACGATTTTAAGCAATTCTTCGTGAGTCGTCTTAAGGACTCGTTTGCAGATGCTGACCAAGCGCAGTTGCGATATCTGAAGGGAGGGGTTAGGTACATGGAGGAATAAAGGCCAGGGTGGATTTGTCACCTGAGCTGGTTGCATCGTATCTTGAACGAGCACACTGTTCCGAGTGTTCATGTAGATGTTGACGGATGATCACAAACGATGCAAACCAGGAGACCGCTGTCTATTTACAAATAAGTGAACGTCTTGAGCCCTTGGCAGCTGCCCTAAGCCTTCTTGTCTTCCTGGGATGTCTCTGCAGGAGCCGCACTTGTTTCCTTTGGTTCGGTAGGCGTCGCGGGTGTCGCGATCGATGGCTTCATGCCCATTCTCGTTGCAACGTACTGCACAGGAGCTTGTCAGCATGTGTAGAGCCAGGATCATCCGCATCATGCTAGACTCACATCTTGAGCGATGATCTCCACTCCGTTCCTGAGCACTTCGACCAGTCTCTCCTCCACCCAGTCACTCTTCTCGTATTCGACATCGAGCCAATCGGCTGGAGCGGGTTGCGAGACGGTCGTGAAGCGGAGGGAGTGTGAAGGGTCTTGAAGCGTCATGAGGAAGTATAGGTGTTTGGGCGGAGTGGGCGCTGAACCAGGCTCAGATTTGCTCTGGGACAGGAGGATAGGCGGTTCAGGTATAGAGAGCGGGGCGAGAACAGGCTGAAGATGAAGGAAGATGGGAACAGTAGTGACAGGTACGGAAGCTGGCGAGATATCGACAGTGAGCGACGAGACACTCTGTCTGCAATCAACTTACGATTCGCTCTGGCTCTGCCCTGAGGATTCTCTTCTTCCCTCTCGCGAACCTTGACAATCTGCTCATTCTGCCTCTTCCAACCGGTTTCAAACCCTTCGACAGGGTTCATGTTTCTTTCCATGTCCTCCTGAGCTGGATCTTCCGCAGACCACATGACGATCAATTCTCCAGACTCCGTCTGCTCGAGGATTTTGGTCCAGGCTCGATAGACTACGCCTTCGACGCCGGCGTATCCTGACATTGGGTGTGCGAGCCATAGCTCGAGGGTCTCATGAGCCGCAATCGGTGGTGCCACGGTGTCGAGGATCGTTGTCAGAGTGGACGAGGTGTGCTTCAGAAGGTCCTCTCCTGTATAAATGTAGAACCTTTAGCAGTCTATAGGTCGAGAAGAATGAGGTCACTCACGCAGCTTCTCGAGATCCACGCCCTTGACGATCCCTCCCAATCTCTCTTCTGCCCCTTGTCTCAACTTGTTCAGATCAACACCCTTGAGCTGCTCAGACACTCCCGCGACACCCTCCGTCCTGACCCTCTTGTATCCTTCATCCGCGATTTTCTGAGCATTCTGCAGGGCCGACGTCGCACTAGACCACCATGAACTTCCCCATCCACTGCTTGCACCCGAAGCAGCACTGGCCGTGGGAACGTTGACAGGTGCGCTCGCCAAAGTAGCGCTGGAGCTCGAACTGGGAGCAGCAGCCGTAGCGGAGCTGGATTGAGGTGTAGCTGCTCGAGGTGCCGATGGTTTAGGGGCAGAAAGAGGAGCACGTTTGGTGTTGATTTGAGCTTGGAGGAACGCTAAAGCTTCATTCGCCTCGTCATTCTCAGCTTCTACAACGGGAGGAGGCGGAGTCGCGGTCTTGCTTCGACCCAAATCTACCGAGTTGGAAAGATCTGTACTGGATTTGATGCTTTTGGGTCGGGCAGAGTCAGTCGATGCCCTTGGGAGCTCTCCCGCAGCGATTGGGGCAGAGGTTGATGGGGCTGTTTCGATACCGGCGGGCGGGGCATCTAGATTGTCAAGGCTTGACAGAAAATCGGCAGCTTCCTCTGCCTTGGTCTTCTTAGACTTGGGAGGCATGATAAGCTTGTGATTATACTAGTTGTCGATGGGGGACAAATATAGGATGAAAGGGGGAATGCTTTTGGCTTGGTTGGTCGCGTACCGGTGGCAAAGGCGGCAAGTGGCGGGCGGCGCAGAAGCGATATGGGTTGGGGACAAGTCAATTTAGGAGAGCTATTGGCCATGCATGCTTCACGAGCATACATCTGCTCCTCGTTCTCCTCAGTATGACTGCTTATGCAAGATCTCGCAGTCAAATGTCCTTTCGCATGTCTGACAAACTCCTCATCTATTCTGTACGAAACCCCTCCATTGGCTTCATCCCGAACCAAGCCACAGCTCTCGCGTAGCCAATCTTGACCATTGGCCCCACGGTAGCCTTCATCTCCTGTTCGTATGCCCGTATGACCTCCTCGGTCCATCCTTCTCCATCCCGTTCTCCTGACGACAGCCTCTCGGCCAAATCCATGCCATCCCCCATGGCACTGTTGGCACCCTGCCCACCCGTCGGAGGCATGCAGTGCAGTGCATCTCCAAGCAATGTGACGTGTCGGTCCGTACTCCAATTCGGAAGCCTCATAGGATCAGAGGTAGTCATGCGCATGACGGCGGTCTCGCTCGTTGATTGCTCCTTGAGGATGACTCGGAGGCTATCTTTCCATTCACTGCTGATCTTCAGCGTCAATTCAGAGACTTCTTCTGGGGACATGGCAAATAACTTGTCATCCGGGACATTGAAAGACACGTTGTCCCCTATCAAGGACCAAAATACGTAGGGATTCGGGGATTCTTGATGAGAAAACTCCATGTTGTCCTTGAGGAGAAAGACCTGATGATGCGGATCGCGGGCGTCCTTGATGAGTTTTGGGCCTTGCCGGATGTTGTCAGACAGCTGTTCAAGGAGATCCGAGGTCAATGGCGTCTTGCCGTACACTAAGCGGACGCCAGTATCGAGAGGAATGCTCGCCTCGCCTATCAATTGACGAGCTACACGTGAGTGAACGCCGTTTGCTCCAACCAGCAAAGACCCTTCCGTGGAGCTGGAACCATCTGAGAAGTGGGCAATGACTCCATCAGCCGTTGCGGTGTATCGTTCAAAAGCTTTGGCATAATGCGGTGACGGCAAATCCTTGAGTAAATCGTTTCGAAGCTCTCGTCTGTCGACTTGGAAGTGATACCTCATTGGAAGTCTCGAGCTGGTTCCAGCATCGTTTTGAGAGGTGTCATTCGCTTGAAACGAGGTAGGACCAATCTTTCCACCTCCTGGACCGGATCCAGGTCCGCCCTTGCCCTTACCGAGCTGTCCACCTCCAGGCACCTTGATTTCGAACATTGAGCCCACCTTCTCGCCAGATAGAGCATCGACGATCGCACCATCAGGCATAGCCTTGAAGGGTTGACCGCTGCGCTGAAGCACGCTCTGCATCGTCGAGTCAGGAAGACACGTCTCAAGTGCAGTGGGCCCTTTGCCCTGCAAAGTGATCCGATATCCTTGAGCGCGAGAGGAATCAGCGACATCCCGTTCATACAGCTCGAATGGGATGTTCCTGCGTCTCAATCCGTGAGCGAGGACCAGACCACCAAGCCCAGCCCCGATGATGAGGACGGGTTTGCGCGGCTGTCTGTAATTGTGTCAGCGTCGCGCATTCCGCCGATGCAACTCACGAAGACATTTGGCGAGCCAAAGTCGGGTCCTTCATCACCGCTGCGCGGTTCAGAACGGTTTTAGCTGCATTGAGCATGACATAAGACTGTTGATGAGCATCACATCTCCATTACTCTGGCTTTCTGAGTTGTATTTGTACTTCATGACCCGTTCATGCAAGTCAACGGCCCATTGACGAGATGATCAGCGAGATATCTCCCGAAGAGTCATCAATGTCCGTCATCGCGGAAAACAGAATCAGCATCTATGGCCCATCAGTTGCTGTGCCAGCTACATCGAGAGACATTCGGTCGCCTGAGCGCCGCAGACCTCAGCATTGCAGCTACCTCTGTCGAATCATGCATGCAGTCTCGTACTGTCGTAAAGTGACACTTCTTGGATTCTGCGTTCTAATTGGCCGGATGGGCGTCAAACTTGGATCGCCTCAACCAGTTCTCGAATGACCCGAATTTGACACCCGAGTATCGCTCGAGACTTGGCTCGAGAGGCAACCCCAGGTAATATCCCTTCTCGTTGAACAGCTTGATGCTATTTGCGAGCTCGGGAAGCGGAACAGCAGAGTATGGCAACGTGCTCTGTTTGACATTCTTTCCGGTAATTTTCTCGAAAGCCGCGGCCATCTCGGGGACGGTGAGGTATTCAGTCGAGGCGAGGATGTCCTGACCTTGGAACTTGTCGGGATGCTCGAAGATAGGAGCGACGAATTTGCCTGAGGATCGAAGTCAGTATTGAGCTGGTCTTGGCTCAAAGTATGCACTTACCAAAGTCCTCCTCAATGTCAATAACGGGTATCTTGGCGTGAGGTTGGACAGCCGTATCCAGGTGAACTTGGCCTTCCTTATCATAGGTGGGTACGCCAAACGGAGGGAAATTGACCCAATTTTGAGCATAGAATCCAGCAAAGACAAAGGCAGCGGGTACATTGAGCGATTTGATGTATTCCTCGACCTTGTATTTCATCGTAAAGTGGGGGACTGGAATCTTGCCATCCGTGGCCTTTTCAATGTCGTGAAGCGATGACCAGACCAGGAACTTCACATTGGCGGCGACGGCGGCATCGACAAGTGCTTTTCCATGGATGAAATCGGTATTGGGGTCGAGTTTCATCGATGGGTCCCAAAAGGACGTCACGAGGAAAGCGCCCCAAGCTCCTTCGAACGCTGATTTAAGAGACGAGGAGTCGTTCGCGTCTCCCTTGACGACTTGGACGCCCTTTTGAGCGAGAGACTTGGCAAAGGCCGAATCGGGATTTCGAGTGACCCCTCTGACGGTGAACTTGCCAGTAGCGAGGAGCGCATCAACGACGCTACCTCCTTGATAGCCGGTAGCGCCGAGCACGGTGACGATGGGTAAAGAGCTCATTGTGAGGTCAGATGACAGGAGTGCAGATTGTGCGATGCAGTGGAATGTGGAATCGATGAATGGAAGAGTGCGATGATCTCAATAGACTCTCGACAAGACCCCCTTTATATACCTTTTCTGACATCCGCCGTCCCCCTATCTTCATCGCTACCTTGTGGTCCTCAGCTTACATGATCCTTCTGGAATGTGATTGATTACCAAGTCGCCGTTAATAAAGCCGAACGCCACTATCGCCGCCACATGGAAATATTGCAGACGGTGCTCGCTTTACCACAAGCGGGTTTTTCGCCGGGATACCTGCTTGGCTGAGTGATCAAAGCCTTTGTAGCAGATAGTAAGCTTCAGCAAAGGGCAGCATAATCTTCGGCTTCGGATTCGGCAGCATGTCTATGAGGTAGTAGTACATCGACAATCCTAGGTGACATGCCGTTGAAATACAATCTTGCCAGCAATGCCTTACTTCCGTCGGAAGCCAAGAATTATGTATCAAATATGGATACATCACAGTCATGGATGCCTGAAAAAAGTCTACAGCTCGAGCTGTTGTACATCAGATTGAGAGATTGAGATTACATTTTCAGTGAACATGCGCATCTCGTCACACGGCCTTGACAGCTGAATCGACAAGCATTCTGCTGCCCTTGACGATGAGAAACTCGCCAGGCTTGCGTGGCAGGGCATGAAAGATGAGTCTGGCAAGGACTTCGCCCTGAGGATCTAAGTAAGCAAAAGGAAGTGTTTGGCGCGACGCATGCGACTCACAAATTCCACAAAGCAAGCGACCACAATCAACCAGATAATGATCCAGGTGATTCGATCCGTAGCTTTTTCTTCAATGTACTCGTGTATCACTTCGAGCTGTAGCTAAATGTCAGCATTATGCGAAAAGCTCAGATAAGAAGGACGTGCCAGATCTCCAGCGACGGCGAGGCGGTCATTGAGAACTTGTGCTCGTGGTCCTATCTCAAGGTATTCCCTGATAGCCTCGTACAGAGGGTACAGGGATGCTTCTGACCAGAACAGCTCGGGCGTGTCTACAATTGTCAGACATGCTCTCCAGGTAAAACTTCACCTAAGATGCCGCCAATAAGGTTGACATCCATTCTCAACCTGAACAACCTGCCGGTCATCTTGAGAGCTTCCCTTCGATTCATCTGCAGATGACCAGTTGTTGACAATTCCTTCGGGAAGGATGAGGTGAGCGATAACGATTCCTGCATAGTCGCTTCGTAGATCGACAACTTGGTGGACTGAGCCAGAGCATGAGCAAGAGATAGCTTGAACAGATGGTTATTGGATTTGAAGGCTGGGAGGGGTCAGCCAAATATTTCCATAGATCGTCCCCGACACCCACTGAACATGTCGTTGTAGATTCGAGGGAATTCTGCAGCTGGGTCGTGCTGGAATGTGAGATCGTGTCATTTTTCAAATTCACTCACGACATAATGAAACTCGTCGACCTCCCAATCTTCTTCATCCAGGCCTTTGACCCATATACCTGCTCGCTCCACATCATCCATGATATCCTTCTCCTCGTCTTCCTGGAATCCATAGAAGACACTGACGCCGTAGCTAAAGAACACTGCCTCGGCGACTTTTCCAGTGAGATTCACAGCAGATCTTCTACGAGCCCTAGCGTTCATGGGCACCGGTTTGGCCCGAGGTGGAGGGATTAAAGCGGGGGCTTGTTCTACCCGATAGTGGTCGTGTTCAACAGCAGGTGCAGCCTCAGGCAGATCATTGGGCGATAGAGCCGGTGCAGGGATATGCTCAAAGTATTTCGGATCTTCTGGGGAGAGTTGAGTACCAAGGGTGACTTGGGTTGTCGCAGCTTGCACACCGACATCGTCGTCTAGACGTAGCTCGAGAGCATCGTCGAAACCATCTCTCCTCTCCATACGCTCCTGCATTATCTCGATAGCTTGCTCCCGTTCTTCTCCTTCGCCTGCGGGGATATCCATCGCGCGGAGAGTGTTCCCACCGATCGGCGGAGATAGCGGCAGGTCGGTAGGTGAAATGGGGGGTGGAGGAGATTCAGATAGGATGTACTCAGAGGGGTTGTGATGGGCTTGAGGGGCGTCCTCAGCCACAGACGGAAAGTAAGAATCATCATAACCCAGATCCTCGGCTAGAGTCATGCGTTCTAGGAGAGAGACGCCTCCAGGTGACTTCATGGCAGGCGACGATCGTACGGTAGTCGAAGCGGCGTATCCCGGAAGCAGGGGGAGCGTGTAAACCTGAACCATGGTCAGTAGTCTGTAAGAGTAGCGGAGCTTGTACTTACAGCGTAGATACAGTCATCGAAGACTCTGACGACTCCAACACCATGTTCTCTCTTGAGAAACGCCTGCAAAAGCTTCAGCCTGTAGGCCTCCGCAGTTGCATAAGCGGTCAGTCGAGGTAGACCATTCTCCTGTCTTTCCCTTTTGGTCATCTTTTCGGCATCGGATCTCTCATCGCCTGGCGGAGCATGTCTAGATGATCCAATCGCAGGAGGAGGTGGTTTAGGCGGAGGGATGAGAGATAAAGAGACTTGTGACCCCATGGGTGATCGAGGAATCGGTGCTAATTGCGCATCTTCAGGTAACAAGACGTGTCTTTCTGTCGTTTTGGAGGTTCTAACAGGTAAGGACTGTTTGACTCCTCTTGCAGGCGTGCCTTTACCGAGAGGTGATGGTATTCGGGGCGTGGACATGTTTCTTAAATGAGCCGGAATGGATGCTAGATTTCCGGTCGTCCGTGATGCTTCTTGGCCTTGACGAAGTGACGATGCAGTCCGGGCGAGTCCTGGGGGGGAAGGTGATCAGCAAACCTCTGAGCATCGGTCGTAATAGTACCAAAACTCACCAGGAAGGGCACCAGCACTACGACGAGGCATAGGATTACTAGAGGACGCAGCTGGCTTCGCGCTGGTCCCTAAGGGCCTCGATGGACCCGCAGGTCCGGGATTACTAGGCCGGGACATGATGCAACGCTCGAGGCTGACGACGGGATTTCTCTAGCCGAATCGGGGCTACTCAAAGCAGCCAGAGTCCTCTTCTTGTTCCTCTATAGTTGCTGAGAACCAGTCCGTGTCGATTGTACCTGTCGGGTGGGATGGAAGAATCACAAAAGGCGATCTGATGATGACCTCTCGTCCTTCCTGATTCTCGGATCCGAAGACTTGGGGGGTTCAAAAAGCGGTAAAATTCCTCAGATCAATGCCTGGGTTTCAGCGAGCTGGTGCTCTCTTGTAAGCTATCACAGCTGCCTCTGACGAGCATCGCAGAGGCTCAAGATGAGGCTCATTGGTCTCCTGGCCACTTTGTTCCTCGTCGGAACGCTTGTTCTGGGGTGAGTTTGGGTCTTCGCTGGCCCCCTTGCTTTCAGCCAAAGTAGACGCGAAATACATTGGCTGAACTTTTTGTCTTGTTCTCGCTCAATAGCTGGACCAAGGAAGACTATGAAATCTTTGATATCGTCAGCGAGCTAGAGGCTGCAGAGGGTGAGAGGGACGGCTGGAAGGCAGTGCCCCCAAACAAACGAAAGAGAACGCTGAGACGATCCTCCCAGGCAAAGGCACCACGTTCTACTCTTGGTTGGAGATTGAACCGTCTGCATCGAAAAATGATATCGTCAAGGCGTACAGAAAGAAATCATTGGAGCTACAGTACGTCTGTGGCATTCAAGGCACACAAGTCTACCCCTTTCAAAAGTCTGACGACCTTTCGCTAGTCCCGACAAGAATGTTGGAGGCAAAGATATCGAAGCTCGATTTGCCAGGCTCGGTCTCATCAATGAGATTCTGAGATCACCAGAACGAAGAGACAGGTACAACGTGGGTTTGAGACTCGCTCCACTCTTCCTTCTCCTTCTTCTTCTTGGAGACTGACCTGAGCGTCTTAGTTCTTCTACAAGAACGGTGTGCCGAAATGGCGGGGAACAGGCTACTACTATTCTCGATACAGACCGACCTTGTCTCATACGCTCATCTTCTTGGTCTTTTTGACATCCCTGTTCCAGTTGTTGGTCTTACGGATGAATTACTCCAGGGATAAGAAGAGAGTCGATTACTTTTACACCACGGCATTGGCGCTCAACAAAAATGGAGCTGGGAAAAGGGAAAAATTTTACGACCCCAACTCGACAGCTGGACCTGAGGAGCAAGATGTCCCTGAGGTCGTCGGGCGCAGAGTCAAAGTGCCAATGGTCCAAGGTCATGATATGGCTGGCGTGCTTGATCTTGCTGTGGTCAATGACCAAGTTTACGTCGTAAGTTGATGAATCTTCAAGCCAAGTATGCCTCGCCCTTACTCTGCCTTCAGCCCCACGAGGACGGTTCTCTTGAACCGCTGTCAGACCTTGCTGTCGCCCCGTCATTCTTTAGCACTTGGCCATTCAGAATTGCTATGCGCCTGGCCAGATCTGCCTTCTCGCACCTTCCTCCCAGTGTCCAATCGTCCCTACCCGTTTCCCTTCGCGCACACCAACAACCTATCGAATCAGAGAGCAACACCGCTGAAGGCTTCGATGTCTCACCTACGAATGGCTCGACATCCCGTAGTAAACAGAAGCCGCGCTCGCAAGGCACAGACACGCCAAACACGGCTACTTCCTTATCAGACTCCGAGGAGGGAGATGAAAACGACGAGACGCCAAACGGCAGTGGGACCGAGGCCAAGCCGAAAAAGAAGCGTGGACCAGGTAAAGCAGCAGGGATGAGGCGGAGAAAGATGGGCATGAAAAAGTAGATGTTCCGGCCTAGACGATAGAGCAAAATACCTGATGATCCTGCATCATAACGCATGAAACTGATAATGTCACACCGAGAGTAGGAATATACAGAGCAAAATTGTCCACAGGGCAAGCACTGACCTTTCAATTGATCGGAAACAGCTAAAGGCTGAAAATCAATTCGACGAGCGATGACCCATCCCTCCCAGCATATCCCGCAGCTGTCTTTCCTCGCCCAATCTCTCTTGCTTCGCTCGGATTTCTGCCCTTCGCTGTGCGGTTTCCATCCCTTTGTTGGCGTTCCCCCTCGCCTTAATACTGCTGACACCGCCTGCCCTCTCGCGGGCCCGCTTGCCAGCTATCGAGGAAGTTTTGCCCGGAGATTTGCCAGGTGATTTGAGATTGACCATCGTACTCGATCTCAAGGGTGCTCTAGGCCCAGCTGGCACAGCTCGTGGACCGGAGAGCACAGAAGTGCTTTTGGTATGGACCAGTCCCTTCTCATGTGGCGGGCTGGACCATGCACTTGGAGGCGGTAGAGAAGGCTTAGGCACATTGAAGCTCGAGTCAAAGGTCGAAGTGTCTCGAGACGATCCCTGTCCGAAAGGCTTTGCTGTCGGGATCTTTGTCTTGGGCACAGAGGGCAGCGGTCTGTCGAAGGACGGCTTGACCGTCGCCTGCATTCTCGCACTGGAAGATGCTGTGGGCTGGAGCAGGGTCGAGGACCGCTTCATCGAAGAGGTGGACGCGGAGAGATTGACGTTGGGTTTCACACAGCCGTTGACGTCCAGCTCAATGCGGTTCAGACTGGCGGCAGGAGGGGCAGGAGCAGGTCGCGCTTTGCGGATCATCTGGGCCTGGCTTTGCTTGCGATCCGACAGTTTCAAGGACAATGTTCCTCCCTGAGGAAGTCCGAGACTGTTGATAGAGCCCGAAGTGGATGATTCACCCCCAAATTCTGGAAGTCGAGGCCGAGATCGCGAGCTCGTGGTGCTACCCTTGGCCACTGAGGTGGTGTGACTACTCGCGCCCGAAACGACTCGCTGCTTCGCGACGCGTTCCGGTAAGTGTGCTCCACTAGACTGTCCGATCGTGGAGATCCCGCTCGCGGCGATGTTCGTTGGGATCGTCTTCCCGATGGAAGCCTTCTTCCGACTGAAGAATCCAAGTCGAGCAGATATTCCCCGACCTAATCGCGTCAGCTATAATCCAATCATTGCCCTCACCTTTGCCAGCGGTAATGCTCGATCGTCTCTTCTTCGCTGCAGCCTTCTTCCGTGATGCACCGGCTCGTTTCGGAGTCCTACCCATGTCACCTATGACATTTACTAGGCTTTTGCCAGCACCACGCAGTGAGCCCATGGTGTTGGGACCGAAAGACAGTCGCTTTCGCTTGGCATCGCGATCGTCTGATGCCTCTAGAGGTAGACCGTTGGGTGCAGATGGGAGATTTGACACTTTTCTCTTCTGACCTGGTGTCGCTGGGATGGTTGGCATTTGAGCAGTCAAGATCTCAAGGTTCCTCGACCCTGAGGCATTGCGGGCTTGTTTGGTGGATCCGCCAGAGGGCTTGCGAATCTGATCGATGGATTGCATCCTTGTCCAATCAGTATGCATCTGGTCGCAGTAACTCACTTCTTGAATTCTCGCGCATGAATCTCGGCGTATCTGTCCTTCTTGGCTTCATTGTTACTGGCAAGACCCCACCCGCCGTGCCTCACGTTCGAATTGACCCTGACGAGATTGCCTAGATCCGCATTCTTACCCTTGAGCAGTTCTTGTCCGAAACTCGTAGCCTTGTCTCCCATATGCGCTTTCATTTTTGCCTCCATCTCGGCCATTACGCGTCTACCAGCATCTTCGAACTGGGCATTGGTGATGGAGATGGAGCTTTCCTTGTGCTGAAGGGTCGGTGCCGGGGTAAACGACCCGGGCATGGGCGGAAGGATGTTCGGGTATGCTGGCGGGCAGCGCCTGAAGAGACGGGTAGACTGAAGGAACCGAGGCTGAGGAGTGTGCGGACAATGCCGGCATAGACCTTCTGTTCAATGCCGTACCTCCTTGCCCTTGCGCCTTGATTGGGGCCATCGAGCGGCGTTCTTTCATCTTGCGAAGGTTCGTCGTTCCAGCGGAGAACGGAAGATTGTCAATGTCTGAAGTTGGTGGAGGAGAGACGAGTCGGAGCGTGCTCGGTCGCTCGAGTAGTGACATGGTGGAGTGGCGTCGTGGGACGCCAACGGCAGACGCAGGGGAGGGCGGTTCGTCGATGATCGTCTCGATGGGCTCAGGGTTGATGACTGGATTGTCCCGTTGCTGCAGGTGAGGAGGAGCTGGAGTGGCAGGCGCGGAGGATGCAGGTGCGGATGGAGCTGAATGAGATCGAGATAAGAGATGGATCGAAGCTCGTCGCGTCATATTGGCAAATGCTCGTAAGGAAGTGGACCTGGAAGATTTCGACTTGGCTTCGCCTTCTTCGACAAAACATCAGCCTCAATCCAGCTTGTGGGAACTCACCTCCAAACTCTGAGAGCGATTCACCGTTCCCTGCACTCTTCCATGAAGAGACACTTGTATGCTTGCTGCTCATCTCCCGATCAGGAGACACGATACTGGCATTGCTCTCTGAGAGGACTTCCCAGCCATCACTTGGTCGAGGTGCATGAGCAGCCCGAGGTGGGTGGACATTGTTGGAATCTGGCGACTCCGCAGGTTGATTTGCAAAGTCGCCCAAGTCATGCTCGAATGAAAGAGGAGGGAGAGAAGGCGGTTTGACCCCTGAAAGAGTAGAAGCGACTTCAACCGTGTTCAGCTTTGCCCAAGGGTTGATGGACATACATTCTTGTAATCGATGGATTAGTTCATCATTCTAGACCCTGATCAGCTTGCGACTGAGTAAGAAGCAGCTCTCACCTTTCCACTGGATCTCAAGCCATATTTCTTCGACAGTGAGACCAGTTGATGCCTTTTCAAGGCATGAAGTGCGGGTGAGCTGCGGTCAAGTCAGTCAGTCTTTACTCTGCCCAATGTTCTGAGACATCTTGTGCTTACTTATGAAGAATATCGTCCGCCATTTTGACCATAGGTAGGTTGTTGACTAGCTCAGTACGCCAGGCGCTGAGTCTGTAGAGTCAACGTGTGATCACAGGACAAGAGTCGTTTGTTGACAGGTCGCAACATGGAAATATACAGATGGGGAATTCGTTGAGTGATTCATATCTACACTGCCTACACCGCTCCCAATACATAAAAAGCAATCGCCACCGACCACTTTCTCACGGTGACCGTTTCCACGTGGGATACACTCTCCGCGGCCCGGCGGGTGGGCAGTCAAGTGAAGTGCTCGAAGATCAGAATGTTATTATCGAACTCATTCGCTGCCAGAGCGGCTACAACGATGGCAAACGAAGACATGGAGCTGCCAGACCTGGTCAGATCAGCTTCCAACAGAGGGTTGTCAGCGCTAAAGGTGAGCCGAGCTCACACAAAGCTGGACTTTTGCTGATCGCCGACAGTTTGTACCTTTAGTCACCTCCTGGTTAGCCAAAAAGGCGCTGGAGGATCAACAAAGTCAAGATGCACTGACAGGTGAGGATGAGGTATCCGACAACAATTACTGACAGATAGACGCTCTGTTGTCGTGCTTGGTATCCCCTCATCCGCCTGCCAACATCCTGGGATACCTAACACAGTGTCTTTTGAAGTCAACCATTACCGCTCGAACATTGGCCATACATCTCCTCATCTACATATACGATGGTCGGAGCCTGTCCGAATCCACTATCATATCCCTCTCTGGACTCGTCATGGGCAGCTTAACGGGTTTAGAGCCGACATCGACGATCCCTTCATCCCTTAACCGACCGATCATTCCTGATATCGGCTCCTCTGACGCTTCTCAATCTATTCCCACTCTCTCTTTACTCTTACCTCTCTTGAGGCAATGTACTCTTCCAGCAGCCCCAGCGATCGTCATCTCCTTCGTTCATCTTCTTCTGAGCATCTTGGAGAAGCACCCCGCTCCACCTTTGGACGTCGGACTGGAGGCAGGTAGCCTACTACAGCTCTTACCTGAGCAATTGGGACTACGACTCAGAGATTGTCTTAGCGGTCTCATGGCGGACCTGACGGATCAAAACCAATTATTGAACACTACGCAGCAAGCCTCTGGACTTCCGATCTCAGCAATTCCACCGCTGGAAACACGAGGTGATATACCCGTTCCAGCCCTACCTTCAGGTCCGCTACAACTGCCTCTCGCCAAAGCCTTACAATTCACCATCATCCATGCCCTATCGGCTTCTCGCTGGACACCTTCCCCCCATTATGCCGCCAGACCCCCGAGACTACCGGAGAATTATTCCAATATTATCCGTCTAGGTCCACAATTGTGCTCGGATCCAGCGACATTTCTCTTGCACCTCTTGCGAACCGCCGTGAACATTCACAATGGCGAGTACGTGGGCTCGACATTCCGAGGCGGTCAGCGATGGATCTTCATGACAGAGCATCTGCCAGCCCTGATCAGATGGTGGAAGGATCAAAATATCCCTGATTGGGCTTGTCCAGTGAGTTATTCGATCCTGACGTCCTGCTAAGTCTGCTCCAGGAGGACATTGTGACGCCCCTATCGACCGTTTTCGAGCTTGAAACCTCGCCTATCGAGCAAAAGAATGGATATGTCTCCGGCGTGATGAAGCAGTACATCTCCGCGGCAGACATGGACGAAGAGGCAGGAAGCTTCGTCCACCCCGAAGGCTGGTGAGTTGATTCCAATCGAGCAACGCTGACCACCAGGATGCTCTGTACCGAGCAGATTACGATACTTCAGAGATACTCCGAGTTCGGACTTCTCAACAGTCAACAGCTGGCTTCTCTTTCTTCCAACATATCCATTCCCTCTCACACTCCTGGGGAGTCTCTCATGGTAGGTAATCATACGCCCCATGAGCTCACCTTGTTCAGCATCGAGTTGCATCGGCATCGAAATCGCACATTAGGCCAATCTCTCATATCGTCATCTACGCTCCAGGAGCAGCCCGATCATTCGCGACCGAGATCATGGAGGTGAGCTCGAGTCAGCACGCATCGGAAATTTGATACTTGCTGAACATCATTTCAGTGCATCTCTGCGTGTCCCAGCGTCCCACCTCCTGAAGGACTGTTTGTGAATCTCGCTTCCGAGCCTGATCTCCTAACTGCCATCTGTGGTTATGTCAATTCAGCTACTATTCTCGAGGCGATCCAACAGCATCTACTCGATGTAGCCGATGATCGAGGAGCTCGAGCTGAAGATCCTCAAGGTGCCTTGACTCGGTTTGGAGAAGCAGTCATTCTTGCCGAGGCGCTCGTCGCGATTGCAGAGCTCGACCCGCCTGAGCTCTTGCGGGACGCTCGACGGTCCCTCAACCTCCCATCTATGGATGAAATGCAAAAATCCTGCGTCAATGGATGGGTCAAGGCGCTGTTTGGTCCGGATGGTATCGATGATCAAGTCCTCCTGGTCACCTCGCCAGCAGACTTTTACCGTCTCGCCCCGTCCCTCATTCAGCAAGCTATCACGGCAACTGCCGCTGGGATGCTTGATCTTCCGACTCTGCACAGTGGTCTGTCTTATTTTTCTCAATCGCTCTTGAGCTGGAGTTTGGGAGGCATCACAGACTGGCTGTGTACCGAGATCGTTCGTAATGGGTAAGTCGAATGCCCATAACCCAGAGGATTGACATCTTTGCAGACATCTGTCTGCTCTGCATCTCAATGTCTTGCAAAATCTTGTTTGCTCCGGAGCATTACCAGTGGCCCTGTTGCGAGTCACGGGACCTGCGATCGCTTCGCTTCTACTGCCTACATCGGGTCTTGCACCCGTCTTTCAGAGCTCCGCATTTGATGCGCGTGGTGTTCAATCAAAGTTGAACGAGCTAAATATCGCACCGCAACGTGAGTTCGACGCCACAGCCGATTTCATGTACTTAGATTGCCTCATAGTGTCATCCGTCAACGCGCTAGAAGACCTTCGTTCAGAGATCCAGATCGTCCGTAACCTTAATCTCGCTCCTGAGTCCTGGGCATCGTCACTTATCAAGGCTATGGAACGAGCTTTGCGGGTCTACCCGACAGCTTCAGTGTCACATCTCATCCTGGAGCAGCTTCTCCAGCCAACTTCCGCCTTGAGCGGCGAGCTGGATCCATTCACCGCTTTTTCGTGCTTACTCTTGGATCTGCGATTCAAGGCGACCAGTCCAATCACCGGATCGCAAAGTTTCATCGACGCATCCATCCCTGCTTTATTCGACGTTGACTCGGCGATAGTCAACGACCAGATTCCTATCTCGAATCTTCTCCTACCCGTAACATCGCTATGCCGAGCGACAAAACACATCTTGCTCTTCGCTTCTGCGCTCAATGCCTCGCAATCGGATACGCTTGCTCATCATCTCATCGATGAGCTCCTCCATCTTCGAGCCCGGATATCCACCGACGGGCAGGAAAAGAATGCCAAGGTTAAGCGGCGCGATCCCGGTATGAACAGTCAGCAAAAGGCAGTGTTAGAAGCTCTGGCTGGGGCTTTAGGAGCTGATGAAGAGCTGAGGGATCGATGGAGTAGGTTTGGTGAGCTCGTAGGGAGTCCGAGGTAGTGTATTGAGCGCTAGCGAGTCGATAGAGGTCCTCTCTCTGCATGCATTATGAGTTGGACCCCCAAGTCGCCGACGGGCCGATTTACAATGATTTGTTTTCGTAAAAATGTCCCGAAGTCCAACAACTTTGTCCATTGTGACCTCTGCCCAGTTGCACAACATTTGTGGTCCCAGAATGGGAGACGGTCTGGAAGTCCCTCAAGAGCTTGTGGGCTCATCGGCCTTATACAATTCTCCTGATCCCCTGTTGAGACGGTGAGTCGAGAGCTAGAGACAGAGGCAGAGGCAGAGCTAGACCTCGACCGAGACCTACTATACCTTGGGCTCCCTTCTTTATCATTGGGAGACCCCCCGTTAGCTGACCCGGTGTCGATGTCTAGATTGCGATTGCAAGATTCCAACGGTCAAGATATACTGGATTTGAATCGATACTTCAGACACAAAGAGGTCTTAGTCTTGTACGCTGGTTCAGAAGGGGGTTCATGTGAGTCAGAGGCGGTCTTGGCCAAGCTGGCATTCAGCATCGCAATCGCCAACACTAGCCATAGCAAATCTCAAAGAACTACATAGGGTGAGTGATACAGTACATTACGAATCAAACCTCGAAGAAGATCCGTTTCTGATTCTGATCGGATACACCAGGACCTGTCGACACTCGCCTTCAAGGAGATAAAGGTACGTCAAGGAATACCCCGCCTGCCTGCACCGCACCCTTGCCTTGTTGAACCTTTTCTGATAAACATCAACCCCTCTCACAAACAGACATGCGCCATCATCTACATTTCAACCGATACCGATGCATCAGCGATGCCACGTATCACCGCCAATGTCCCTTGGACACGAATGATCTTTGCGGACAATTCAGATTTCGCTCCGCCCGTACGGTTCTCTGAAAGCCCAAAGATTGTCGAGATTGAAGACGTGGCTAGGGGAGAGGATTTCATACAGGCGGGGGTGAGTTGAGCGAGAAGAGTGGCGCGCCAGCGAGCGAGCATGAGCGACCTTGCATAGGTCATCATGCCTCTCGTATGTGTGTCACTGACACCCCTTCAGGAGATCGAAGTTGGTGCTGAGAAAATCGAGTTTGGACGAGAAGAATTCCGTGAGTGTCACTATCCTGTCTTCATCCCGCAGACATGCCACCCCCGGATCTGACTCCACCGTCCAGAATTCGACTACGTTCGCCCTTTATCAAGAGCTGCCGTCACTGCTCTCATGCACGCCTATGCGACACCGAGCATTGCCATTTAGTAGGTCATCTCGCCAGTCCTTTTACTCTTCTCAGCCTCAGATCCACTGACACGCTCGCGGCGCCCACTAGCCATATCCCATCACATCAAATTTTATCTCGCAACGTCAGGCCAAGTGCCTTTACACCCTCAAATATCGGCAAGAACTACCATACGTGGCGAAACGGAGGATCTCCGTCGATACGTGTGATAGGTGAGTCTGGGGCCTGGACTCTTCAAGAGCCATCTCTGAAGTGTTTTCGCCAGATATCCTAGCCCGTTTAAAATGGTACTTGTTCATCCTGTTCCTGTCATTATCGTACCGCCTTCTGACCCATTTCGGTGGAGGTAAGTCCTACGTCTATTCCTGACGAACTTCTCGGCGGCTGAACCATTGTCTGGCAGATCAATACAATTTCATACCTCAATTCATGGACATGATCAGCTGGCGAGGTCCGCAAAATGCAGGTGTCATCTTGTAGCCAAACATGTACGATATCGTGTTCATCCGCCTCATCAGAATAGCAGCGGTTGTTTGAACTTGGGTCATTCATTTCATCATTGCAGTAAGGGGGAGCAGCCAGTGTGGAAGGGAGGGAACATGAGAGCCAAATGTATGATGCAGGAGACGAGACGGAGACAGGGCAGAGTAGGTTGGATTACTACATTCAATGGCATCAGCGGGATATCTGGGTCTCCCAGACCGAGTCTATCTCACCAAGCTTTCCATCTGTTGGACGACTTCGTCGAGCTCCCGTTTGGATTGCTGGTATTTCTCGACTGCTTCCTGAGGTGAAAGGGTTAGACAGCCTTGGCGACCAGGAGCATTGTACGCACTCCGTGTTTACGCTCCCATTCGTCTCTCTCTTGCTCTGCACGTTGTACTTGACGTTCAAAGTGTTCAGCTTTGACGTCGACCTGACGCAGTCTGGCACACGGTACGTCAGTTTGGTCTGGAGATTACATCACAAGGGCGCTCGCTCACTTCTCGGTAGTCTCTTTAAGATCCTTTTCGGCCTTATCAAGCTCTTCCTCAAGGAGCTGAACCTTTCTGGCGAGGTTCTCTCCTGCATCCCGGAAAAAAAGAACGTATCAGCTTCTGACAATGTTCGGATGCCCAGGAGGAATGGTAATGGAAACTCACCAGTAGTCTTGTGAGTGTCGCCTTCTTCCGCTGCGGCTTTAAGGTCCTTAACTTTGCCTTCGGCCTTTTCAATATTGTCTTCAGCGACGGATAATTTATGTTGGAGGGAAGAGATCTCTTGATCTTTTTCAAGGATCACTTGGTCTCGCTGGTGAGAGCGTCAGCGACTGCACAGCGCGCGCGAGAGAGACCTGAATGACACGATCCGGAATGGGACTCACCTTCTTCAACTCCTTCTCGGCAGCTTCTGCTCGCTCTTCCAGAGCATCAATCTTTGCGTTTTGCGCGGCGAGTCTCTGGGTGAGAGGAGGTGAGCAAGGGATCTGGAGGAAAGTCTTGGGTCGGGTAAGAGGTGAGGAAACGGGATGGCGTCTAGCAGTGGGCAGATACGCTGGCCACTGTGAAGCGTCCCTTCGACCACTTCGATGAACTCCCTGTGCAAGCTGCTCGACTCACCTCTTTGATCTTGTCCTGTGGGAAAAGGAGGAGGAATGTCAGTGTGATTGATTTTTGGGGAGCTAGCGGCTCGAGCGTGGAAAGCCAGCTGCATGGCCATCACTCACCATGATGCCAGGTGTATGATACGGTCCCCCCTCTTGACTATCTATACAGTGAATGAAAGTCTCCGAAGCTGTAGATGAAAAGGGATCACAACAACAAATCAAATCCACGATTGATGGAGATCAAGGCAGACTATCCATCCGTTGAGCAACTGACGCGGACACGCACCACGCGTGGGGAGAGGGTGATGAGGATTATTATTTTAAATTGGGGTATTATCGCGACCATTTTATCCCAAGTCTAGTCCAGCGACCCCTTAACGAAATTCTGAGAGTTCTCTCCTCTTCTCTTCTCATTCCTACGCCTTCTCACTCCTAGGAAGCACTCGGTGTGATCTTCCACTTGGAAAAAGACAGCTTTCTTTTTCGACACCGTGGTGCAATATTCTCTAGGACTAGAACGGCAAGAATGAGAAGAGAATACCCTCTCATCGATGCCCGCAGGACTGGTCTGCAATTTGATTTAGGTGACTGATCAGTCGTATGGGAGATCGTACACGATGGCAGTCGGGGGAAAATGTCGCCTGCTCGGCCCTTTCAGAACTACATCCAATGCTGCATGGATGACGATGATGTTAGACAAGGATGAGTGATGAAAGTTGCTAAAGGGTCACAAGAGGTCAAGGGAAAGTACTGACGAGACTTAACAAGCTACCTGTCTCACCTCGCACGAATGCCTTTCGTACATCAGCTCTGTCACATGAGTCCCCTCAATTCAAACCACCTCCCACGCCATTCTTATCTTCCTCCCGACCACGTATTTCTACGTCGGTGCAGGATAAACTAAGTGGCAATAGAAAAAATTCCTTGGGCAGAGTCGTATAAAGCAGAACGTGGATAGTCCTTTGTTTCCGTGGCATCTACGTTTTGAACTGTGCTACAGCTCAGAGAGGCAGACGTAGGGAATAATCATGGTGATCAGTGCTTTGTGTAGAATGGTTGGAAGCGTGTATGGAAGCACACCCTCTGATGTGCGCTGCTCATTCGCCCCTGTCCGTTGACCACGCTCCTAAGTGGGGTTGACGATGCGCGTGATAGACAGCCAGCAAGCAAGCGAATAACGGATAGTCCGTCTCGGTAATCGTCTTTCGTCCTCGTCCGATCTACTGTGCTTATGGGAGCATCGGCAACATCGGTCCGGTACCGGTCACGAAGCAAAGATGCATACTTCCTGGTCCGACAGGCGAGCAAAGAAAAGAAGTGGCATAGGGGGATTACATAGATCACCCGGAGACCAAAAAAAAAATTCACTGTCTCGGGCAGCTCTTCGCAAGCTCTGCGTTACCAAGTTGGACTTCTGCCCCATGAACGAAGAGTAGATCGGCCCCCTCTTTTCTGGACCGACGACTTGCCGGAATAGCAAGGCCGATGCACATGGTCCCAGATGTCGAGGAAGACGGGAAGTAAATCAGGTTTTAACGTATAAAAAGGGGATCATCATCATGCGCCAGAGAATTGATTCCATGGGCTGGTATACACCGTACTTCGCATTACATGGTGGCTTACGTCACGGATCATTTATCCAGCGCACTTGGAGAGAGACCCAACAGAACGGTAGAGCATCAGAGGCGGGTACGGGTTCAACGTTTTTTAGACCCCTGGAGCGATTCATAATGTGGCGCTTCTTTTGAGGTGGGGATCTGCGGGCAATTGATGATTCATCAGAGAGGAAAGATCACCGTTGCCGTGAAGATCTACATCTGCACACAACTGGTCTGTCATGCGCGAATGGATGAATACGAGGTGGTCGGACGATCAGTAAGCTATCCAAAATCCCTCGCGGCGCCTGTGTCACATCCCCCTACAGCTTATCCGCTTCCGAGACATGGCAATATTTTTCGCCGTGGAATCGGAGAGTATCCAGTCTCAGGTTGACCAAAAAAAAAGGATTGGAAAACTTTTTTTCCACCGGCAACTTGTAGGCGAGTGAGGGCAAGCAGGCGAGGCGCGGGTCAAGGACACTGAAGCTTTCGTCACTCGGCGGGCATGAGGCATGATCTTCCACGCTGCCTCCCTTGGCTCCCCTTTCTCCCCTCCCTGTTCGCCGCTCGCCCCCGCCCGCGCCGTAATCGCTTGCCAGTAACCATTTGTGCGGCGCGTAGTATCCACATGTCTGGGAATAGGGCCGGTCAAGGTGAACGAGCAGAGGAGGGGGGCAGGGGAAGGAAGGAATAGCTTAAATGTCTACATACTTCTTTGTTCCCAACGATTCTTCAGATCATCGTGGAGCCTTTATAGAGAATTGTCCTATGACTCCCCTTCTCTCCCTCGCTTTGCTGCCCTCTCCCCGAGCATAGCCAACAACAACCCGAAACCCTCCGTGAGATTTTCGTGAGGTTTCCATTTTTTCTCTTCTGCCCTCCCCCTCCTCTTCCATCGGCCCCCTTTCTTTGCTCCCAGAACTAGAGTCATCAAGTCTAAAATACAAAATGGGCGATGCTCATCCAAAATCTTTGTTGATCGACAAATTCATCCCTTTCTGCCATAACTTATAACAACACTTTCGTATCGTGTCATTGATCTGGAGTCGTCCCCTATCAGATAAGCAGATCTCAACGTTGGGAGCTGCTCGGTTCAGAAAGACGCAGAGAGCGCAGTGAAGAAAGAGGGGCCAACCAAAAAAAAAGAAAAGAAAAAGAAAGGGAAACCTTAGATTGGGATAAGCGGGCCACAAGGTAGACCACGACAGACCCAGGCACCCGAACGTGAGGCGACTACGACCAAACTACTGTAATACACCGTTGGCAAACGCTCCAAGGCGTCCCTGCGATACATTGTTCTTGGGCCAAGATTATCATTGAAGACCTTCAGGTCGAGTGTCACTTGACTACTCCATTATCATTATCATCAACATCATCATCATCATCATCTCCTGGTGCACGGACCATTTGTTCCATACATAGAATAATAATAATAGATCAAAGGATAGAATCACTCGAGAGGATTCCAAAAGGGGCGGACACCGGATTCTATACGTGGTGAGTCTTCCGGACCTCACGTCGAGAGAGACATCCAAGCTGATACAAAGATATCATCTCTCAACCTTGATACACCTTCTCTCACTGACCTGGTGCTCGATCGGACACTCCCCCTCGCCTCCTCCCCCTCAACCCTTCCTTTGGTGTCATCACAAAAAAACCTTCCGCCCCTCTTTCCCCCCCCTGTGACGTTTCACGCGATCTCATCATGTCATGATCATGTTTCATACAATCGGTTTCTGGAATATGTCCCAACGGATACCATCTCCGCAAAATAATCCATCCCCTGACGTATGAAACCTCCAACCTATTCATTGCTTGGAACTCACCATGCCCTTTCCATATGGGCAGTTCGTGCGCACACATCCACCCACACACAGTGACCAACCATCACGATACGTGTAGCGACATATAGCCCAAGAAGACGAAGCAATTCTAGGATTTACATCAGGTCCCGCCGCATACACAGCATAACGACCCCACGCTCCTTTCGACGTCGCTCCTTTTGAAGTGTCCTGGGCCTATTGATCATCACATCCGTTCATCGCTGAACAGCCACGCAAGCTCCTTTGACAGTCTCGCAGCCTGCCTGTCTCTGCACCTTGCTGAGCCTTTTCCTCGAGCACCGCAGCAAGTCCGCTCCTTTTGAATTCAAGAGACATCTGGCAGCTGGCATTCACCTCCTTTCAGATCTCCGCACAAATCGCCTCGAAGAACCCTCCGCTCATCCATTCATATCCATTCAATTAGGTCCGGATAGGGTGCAGCACTCCTCGTCGATCTTGGACCCCGGCTCCGTCCCCTTTCCCGCCCACTCCATTCACGCCGACATCATCAATCTATTCGTCCTTTTTCCTTTTGGTCGATAAATCTACCTCGACCCGTCAAAAGTCGGCCTTGATGTGGTCCACCCTGCTCGACCCTTCTGACGGACCATTACTTTTGCCATGAATTTGTCTAGTGTAGACCATGGCGCATTAGGCAGGTAAGCTACACATCATCGACATGCGGTGGAATCTGACAGCTTCGCTCAGGACGTATCGGATAACGCCGATTCAACAGCCTGAACGGTCTGCCGCTTTCCAGGGGGCCTATCTCTCTCGTTTACCACTTTCGCCGCCTTTGATTATCCAGCTTGACGTGTGGAATGAGGCGGGCGAATTGATTATACCGTGAGGTCAACGATCGTGTCGATGAGGATATATTGCTGATGTGCCACTCTGCCAGGTACGAGGAACTCCCGTTCTTAGTGTGCAGTATCTCGCTCGAGACGCCATCCGGGTCGTCCGCCTCGCACATCCAGGACCCGAATTCAGGAGAAGTCGTTTCCTTATTATACGGGACACTGGTGACGACTCCTACCGAGATGCTTGATCAGTCTGGGGCGATGGGTGTCTATTTCGCCTTCCCAGATGTTTCTGTGCGGGTCGAGGGAAACTTTCGTCTAAGTGTCAATCTGCTGCGTATTACAGGGTGAGTCGAAAAAAAAAGACAACGCAAGGCCAGCGCTGATCGAAGGAATGAATAGTGGCAACGCTTTGCATACTTGCTGCACCAATTCATTTGACATAGTCCCCAGTCGAGACTACGTTGCACCACGTGAGCTTCCTCTCTGCAGATGCTTTTCGGATCGTCGCTTACCAACTGATTCACAGCCGTGACGGATCTCACGAGACATTTCGACGCACAAGGCTTGATCCGCTTTGGCCTTCCTCGTGCCGAGTGGTAGATTCGAAGACAGCTCTGCTTCCCTCCCACCATCTCTCCTCTCATCTCCACCATGGAATCGACCTTCATCGAATTCATAACATCGATTAATTCTCGCACATATATGCGCACTCGGAGCGTCATTGTATTGGGTCCGACATTGTTGTATTTTTCTTAGATACCAAGAAAAAAAGCCAGCGTTGAGCTGCCGACGTCCAGTGATTTTCCAAACACTTGTATCAACCGTCAACATATCGTCATCGTCATTGTCATTGTCATCGTCTCCTCACTATCATATTTCTCGCATGTAAAAGCATGGTGATGATTCCCAAAGTTTTGACGAATGTCCATCCACCTTCCGTCGGAGGCAATAGATTACCAGGACGGCGCTCGGCTAGGGGTGTTTTTGAACCTCTTTCGCATTGGTCAAAGACTTCCGACCCGTCTGTTGATATTGACGTTCGTTGATGTCGGGACCTTTCACTTCGTGGAACGTTGCTCGTCATCGACAAGACTCGGCAGACCAGTCGCCGCCCCGCGCAACGGCTCTCAATCTTCAGGATTTGAATCCATGCCGAATACCTCCTTCTGTCGTTCTGTATCGGCCAATCGTCTATCTCTCTGAATATGGGCATTGGTCCGCGCGTATCCCATGGATGACTTTGCGAATGAGACTTAAGATCGGAAGCGAGAGTCAGCGAGCTAATCGTCGAGGGGTATCACATGCCCCTCAGACTTACAGACGATGATGGCCGAGCAAAAGGCAACGAATCTGCAAGCGAAATATGGAAGAGTCAGGAGCCTTGAGATTGGACACCAGACTGAAGCATCGGGTACTCACGGCATAGTGATCTGCTGTGTCCATGGTACTCGAGGCATGCTGCGTGTCTTCGTCGTTGTCGACGATTTTAGAGTATCCAAAACGTCAGACCACGATGGACCGAACGTCGCATATCCGTGGGATCGGATAAGGCTCTCGACTCGCCGGCGGTGATGACCGCCCGATCTTGCATCATCGAGTGGGGGCCAGGGGGGGAAATGGGCCATTATTTTTCTTTTTGGGTGGGCGATCGAAGGTCTGGACGATCACGTTTGTGTCAATATTGACCCTCTTTACTTATCCTCTCGAACAACGTAAGGAGCGGGAGCGTCCACACCCCCTCTGGCGCACGATGGCGGTGACGATGACTTCCAGTGGTCATGAACTGGATTCAAAGAGGCGAGCATGGGTCACTCTGTTGACACTGCCGAGCTATGTTCCAGGTTAGGGAAGAAGACACCTTTTCACTGAACGAAACTTGACTGACTTACGCTTCCTCTTAGCCGTGTTGACCATGTGGAGGACTCTGCAACCGTTGACGATCTATCCCTTGATCATTCTCACCACTTCATCCCTTCCTCAATCTTCTCGGGATATTCTTAAACGATACGATCTGGAGAGTTTGGAGATTGATCATCTTTCTCCGCCTTCCCATAAAGGGTTCGAAGCCAAGTTTGCGCGATTCACGGAGACCTGGACAAAACTCAGAGCCTTTGGATTGGAACAATTTGAAAAACTGGTCATGATCGATTCGGATGTCTTGTTCCTTCGCTCCATGGATGAGATCTTCGATATCGATCTGCCGGAAGGTTGGGTAGGAGCTGCACCAGCATGTGTTTGCAATCCGTTCAAGATCCCATACTATCCGAAAGATTGGTGAGTGGGGAGGGGGGGGGGGGGGCGGGGAAGCTCTAGTCCCAATCTGTCACGATCATTATTGAAGAAATTCTCTGTGTCCGTCCCATCTAGGATTCCCGAAAATTGCGCTATCAACCGTCAATCTCGCTACGCTACACCATCGGATATCCCCATTCCAGATCCAGACGGTCCCTGGCGAGTCCATCAACTCAACTCTGGCGTAGTCCTCTTTGCACCTTCGAAACAACACGCCGAAACCCTCGAAAAATTCATCCAGGAATCTCCCATCGTACCTACCCTTACATTTCCAGACCAAGAGACACTGTGCCATGTTTACAAAGGCAAATGGAAACCTCTGCCTTGGTGGTGCAATGCGCTCAAGACGGAGAGAGCGGTCCATCAGGATCAATGGGCGGATAAAGAGGTCCGTATGATCCATTACATGTGAGTGGATAACACACAGAGGCTATCAGTTGTCTTTCTGACCTGACTGCTGGGTTCGACAGTCTCGACAAACCATGGTCCGCTAGACCTAAAATGGTGGACGAAATCCTTCCTCGTTTACCTCTCACGCCCGTGTCAGCTCTCAATTCTCCGGTCCTCGCCCCAAAGTGGTCTTCATTGCCTCTTGACTTGATGGCTTTCCTGCCAGAAACTCCCGCGCAAAAGGGCGTGACAGAGTATGACGAGGTCCATACATGGTGGTGGCTTGCGTATGAGGAGGTATTGAGTGAGATGAAGTCGGCAGGGGATGCAAGTGGATGGAGAGAGGTGGAAAAGTACGTGACGAGGTGAGAGACAAGGTCGCTGGAGTCTCGGCACCAAGAATCGCTATTCTTCTGGCAGTCAGAGAACAACGGATAGGAGGGTTGAGACCTCGCGAGGCACAAATTGGGTCTCACACCGACTCGGACACATCGTGTCATTGTGAAAGTCGGCAAAGCTGAACCTCATGACTGCGATTCGTGGTCCCCGCTTTGTCACACAGTCAGGCATATACACACATTAGTAATGGCAACTCAGAATCAGTAGATAGAATCATTGGTGTATTCATAGGTGCAAGCATCTGTCATTGCGCTGCGCAAGACGCTGGAACATCAGCACGTTCAGCTGACAGCACCCATATTCCCGCCATATGTCCACTCAATGGGTAGCGCTACATTGTAGTGCTTGGAATACATATTATGTCCGCTATACAAGCGAATGTCACAGCGTGATCTATTATTGGTAGACCGGAAGATGGTCGGCAGAGTGTCCCGTGGGACCTCGTAGATCATTACGGAACGGGACCCGCCTGCGCACGCAGTCTAGGATACCGGGTTCACTTGGTAGGATAGATTTTCAGGCCTTCTGAAAAACTCGAAGGGTGACCTCGATCGATGTCCGGCCGAACCCGAAAGATGTATTTTCAGCAATGTGAACAGATGGAACCCCACGGCATCAATGTGTAGATCTTATGAACACCATCCCATCTTCAAGCTGGAAAGGGTGACATGCATGTTTCCGTCATTCATTTTGTATAAATTCATTATAGGGATATCGATGGGGATTTTCCGACAATTGAAATTCCCACTCCACAGATTTTCTGGGACCGGAATGAACGGAGGGTAAAATCCCTGAATTCTTTCGGAAGTGGAGAAATGGATCAATTATAGACTTGGTAGAGGGCAGCGGGTCTCTCCGACTCCCTGGTCGATCTGTGGGGGCGAAAGGGAACTTGACAGCATCACATGACTGGAGTTACGAGCCATCTAGCTCAAGGGTGGGCGGACAAGTTGGACTTCTGGGTCATGTCTGCTCTGGGAGTCCCGCCATCCGCCACTAAATGTCAAGGTTGGAACTTCCAACGGGACTCTATCAAGTCACGCAGGTCCCAACAAAGTCATCTGACAGAGTGATGTGTGTATGTTCCTCTTCATCGCACGATAGCAATAAAGTATGCCAGTCTCACCTGACCTCTCGTTCGTTGTCTATCCTGTTCCTCCGCCACGAAAGTGGCTTGAAGAACGCTAAAGACCAGGTACCTCGCCTATTTCGTCTCTCCGTTGCCTCGGGGGTGTACTCGCTCGCTTTCGACCCTAGCTAAGCCTTTACGGACCCCGGGGGGGATTTCTTGGTGTGACGTTGGCAGGGATTTACGTTCCAAAAGGCTTGCAGATGAGCATCAGTCTGTCTCTTTAATCTCCAAGCCATGGCACACAATGTCTTTCTTTTGTTTTAATCGTAACCTTTGGACCGCCACGACCAATAGACATAACACCAAAAACTTTGCTTGGTAACTGGCGTCCAGAGTGTTCATTCAGAAGTGTCCCGATGACCAGCGGAGAGGCGTGAATCGGAAAAGCTTAAAAAAACCAAAAATGGGCCCGGACGTGAGACGAGGACATTCTTTGCTTGTCAAGGGGACCGAATAAGAGATGATCCGCGGAATTGCAGTCATAGCACTCGGACTCATGTTCTTGAAAGCTGTATGATCCCGTCATTGCAACGCCTCCTCCATGATACTACTTATGCTCTCTCTTTTTTTTTTGACTCTTGGTTGGCCTGGCGCTTCGTTTGTGGCGCTTCCTCAGACAAGCTTGTTACAGACTGAAAAAGGAGCGACGAGTCTGCGCGAGAGCGAGTGCAAGCGCCACATTCTCTTGTTAGTGGGAAAAAGTCTGACATCGTCTACTTAGCGTCGTGCATGCTTTGCCAACGCGAAAAAGACCCATTCACTCACTGAACGCCCACCAGCATCATCTTCATCGTCATGGCTTAGCATCCTCTCTCAGAGGTCTCGGATATCAGCCACCGACTGTAAAACGTCGCTGTTGTTGTGTGGCGGTGGCGTTTTTACTCGACCGCACGTCTTTGCAAGCAGTCGACAGTAAGTCATGCAGGCAGAACAGGAGAGTTAGACAGGCATGAGACGAGGATATTTAAGATTCAAAAGCGCGCTCATCCGCGGGTGATGCTAGTCAATTACTCTTGAATTTTCCTTCTCCCTCTCGCGCACCCCTCTCCTCTCAGACTACATCTTCTCGGCATCACACGCCTCATCGGCTCTCAAAAACGCTTCTTGACCGCCTCTGAGCCTCATCCCCCGACCGCCTCTGACGATTGGAGTATATGGCGTAAAGTAGCAGATCAGTAATGAAATGTAAAGAAAACGTAATGCTCCAAGCGATTCAAGAGACACTGAGTAATGTCACGCCCGTTGCTTTCTGTAACGCACGCATCCCCATTCCAATCTAAGATTACTCCATCCATTCCTTGCTCATCCATCCGTGGAAAAAATGGAATAATGATGGAGTAAGAAAAGGTCTGCTACTATAGTTCTCCACATTTGGTTAGTGGAACTCATTAGTCTACTATGATGCTATGATGAGCAAGTGACTTCTCTCAGGTGGCACTCTGGTCCCGATCGCATTCAAAAATGAAACCCTGGATCCATAACGACATAATGAGCCAAGATTCATGTCCTCTGAAGGTCTTACGCCCGAAGAGGTGGTGGTGTTTAGTGGTGGTGGCTGAGGCGGGGGCGGCGGAGGCGGCGGGGGGGGGGGGGGGACAGTGTCTACGATGAGATGATCATCTCGGCGGGCGGAGTGTCGAGAGGATATGCGATGGTGGCTGAAAAGGATTAGAGGCTGGCGTTTTCGTCAAAAAGTTTAATTTGTTCACTTTTTTGGAATTTTTCCTCTCTTTTTTTTTTAATGCGCGGGATTGGAATAGTGGGAAAAACTCAGTGGAGGGGGGGGTGGTGGGGTCTACGTCCTCCGAAGAGGCACAGCTGCTGCATCAAAGGAGCGAGATCTAATCGAGGCACAAGTGCGGATCAAGTTCCAGATTGATCAGTCTATGGGATTGCACGTTTTAGAGTTCTGGGAGCCTTTGCCAGCCAGACTTCAGAGGGGGGAGGGGGGGCGTTGCGGCAGAGCCTTTCAAGCCCCTGTGAGAGGTCCCATCGAAAGATGAACAGTCACCGAATAGAGTTTGGTGCGAACTTGGGGAGGGCAAGGAAGAGAGAGTTCTACTTTTCCTCTTTGGCCCCCCCCCCTTGCCTCGCCCCGTCAATTGGCGGATTCCGTTTTGAACATGGGACTTTTTGGGACGTTACTCTGAGCGGTGCCCACCTCCATCCTGCCATCCCCCCCTTCGCACTTCTTCCTAACGTCTCGTCTCGTCTCGTCTCGTCTCGTCTCATAATTCCACATCGTTTTTGGTTGGGTCGAGTTGTTGTGTCCTTCTGGCCATCTCTCTCCTCCTTCTTCGTCTACACGTCGTGTGTCCATTCCTCTAAAGGCAGCCACAGATCTCTTTCATATAGAAAGGTCACAAGATCCTGTTCGTCCACCTAACCTCGAACAACCTCCACCATTCCTGTACATTTCCATCCTCTTCACGCCCTAAACCTGCCCCCCAATTGACTCTACGAGCTTGCTTGTGGAGATTCCAACGTTTGCTCCTTCACATACTACATACATACCTTGGAACCTCTCGACAATCTCCTCTCCCCTTCGAGACATCCTCCCCTCCACCTCCTTTCCTGCCCGCTCTGACGACCACTGCGATATTCGACACGACGAACCTGTCATACTCCCGGAAGCAGCGACCGAGACTTTTGATATCAAACTGTCTCAATCACCTCTAGGGTCGACCACAAACGTCCTGGACAATTTCGTAACGACTTTCTGATCCAAAGAAACTTGCATCATACGACGCACGCACGGACAATCCATCCTGTTTTTTTTTTCTTTTGGACCATAGAATCCGCGAACTTGAATCCGACATCAGCTGAGACAATCATTTTTTCCGGCTCAACTCGGCCATTGGCTCAGATAACACTGGACGAAGTCGGCCTCAAGTTCTCGTGTACGGTGGACCATCTTGGATCTTGTCTCATCCCATTCCATCACACTACCTATTCGTTTGACACGAATTTGGTTAGAAGCATAGACCTTTCCTCGACCCTGCTGTGCCGGGTAGTCCAAGTGTGCACGCGGTGTCCGACCAAAGGATTCCCCTGACGTCGGATCAGATCTTGTCATCTATTTAACCTTGTGGGGCACAAAGTGTGAGAGAGGAATATCCCCGTCTCTCCATCGTCAAAGTCAGTCAGTCCCATCAGCTCAGCCAGCCCGCCTTGAAGCAAAGCATCACACACCTCCCAGCCGTTACATTTTAACCAGATTATCACATTCCCAACCCATTCACTATGCCACACAACACCTTTGCCACTTCTGGAACTTCGCTCGTTGGATACACTCTCGACAATGGTCGATTGGAACTCCTCTCAGTTCTTGGCTTGGGAGCGTACGGAGTCGTCTACCTTGCTGTCGACCTCCACGCGCCTACCCCGGTCTACCTCGCTGTGAAATGCCTGCTTCGCTCTGGACTGGATTCGAGGCAAAAACATTTCCAACGCAGAGAGATTGCACTTCATCAACTGGCCTCGAGGCATCCGAATGTAGTCACTCTGCATAAGATCATCGAGGAAGGCGACTACGTCTTTGTCGTCATGGACTTTTGTGATGAAGGAGATCTCTTCGGTATGATCACAGAGCAACAGCGGGTGAGTTGATTTCCCCGCTAGTTTGAGACTCGTCCACCTCAGAAAGTATAAGGCTAACAACCTCTTGCCCATCAGTACATCGGTCACGACGCTTTGATCAAGAAGGTCTTTTTGCAGATCGTCGATGCCGTCGAGTACTGCCACTCTATGGGGATCTTTCATCGTGATCTCAAGCCTGAGAACATTCTATGTACTCGGGATGGTGAAAAGATTTGCATCGCAGACTTTGGACTCGCGACGTCTGAACGATACTCTACCGACTTTGGATGTGGATCAACATTCTACCTCTCCCCAGAATGTCAAGGTGGTCTCTTTGAACGATTAGAGTCGTACAACACAGCTACGAACGATCTCTGGTCTCTCGGCGTCATTCTCGTCAACTTGACGTGTGGGCGTAATCCATGGCGTCAAGCTTGCCCCTCGGACGAAACCTTTAGAGCCTATGTCCACGATCAAAACTTTCTCAGAACCATCCTCCCCATCTCTCACGCTACCAATCATATCCTCAAGGGATTGTTCTCCCTCGAACCAAAAGACAGGATGACGCTCAAGGATCTCAGAAGAGCAGTCCTCAACGTCGAGACATTCACCATGACCGATGTCGAATTGGAAACTGCTCATTCGGCAGCAAGAGCAGCCGCAGCTGCCTTCCGACCTATCCCACCCGTCAAACCCATCACCATTGCTCCTGCTCCTGCTCCTGTCCCTGCCACCCACCACCACCAGCACCAACAGCAACAACAACACACCCCTCCACATACCCCAACGACGAAGCACAAGAGACGTCATCATCATGCTGTGGTACCTCCCACACCCGTCACGCCCGTCGTCAACGTCGATGTGGAGCATGTCGATGTGGTCGATATCGAAATGGCAGAAAACCCATATCATCCTTCAGACAGATTGGCATCTTGGTCGAAATCTCATTCTCACTTGGACAAGTCGTCCAGTGCCTTTGAAATTGATACCGATATTCTCGATACAATAGATTTCACTCAAAAGCCATCTTCTCATACCGCCCCCACCGCCCCCACCATCACCACCAACACCACCAAAGTGATGGGATTCCGTCGAGTCCCTGCTCCTTTACCTCCAAACCAACCTCTGCCTCAGATCCCCACCGAATCATCCTCTTACGAAGAACCATTCGATATGGATCCACTCAACATGGCTCCCACCTCGTCTCAATCCTCTTCGTCGGAAGACCCTTCTCTCCCTCCCACTCCCGTCTTTGGACCTGCCGACAAGGTCACAGGTCGTCAAAGTCCCTCGACCAGAACTTGCAATTCAGGTTCTAGCACCTCGGTTCCTGATTGGGACCTTGGGCCCAAAGCAAAGACAATCTCGAGACCCAAACTCTTATCCGTCACGGTCGGACGTCGAAACATCCGAATCTTGTAAATGCCCCCACACGATCATCACGTTGTAGCATCTCGTCAGCCCAAGCATCTCCCCTTTTTTTTGTATAGACTCATACACTGTTTTGTCAATCTTTCTTGTCCCGATCATGTCTATTGTCTCCTTCAAGTACACACACACACACAGACACACTCATAGTTGCGGTTCCCATTCCCCGTGGACTGCCAAGATGCATAATAATGACCTAAAATTATGGTATCAATGGAACTCATCCTGCACGTCTCGGTCATGCTTTATCCCGGAAAAGAATCAACACATTGACTGAAGAACACAACTGAGTGTCACTCCGATCAGAACGATCCAGCCGCGCGAGCATGTAGTCCGGTGGGGACGCCACTGGTCTGCCCGGAGAAGGAAGACCGACCTACGTCAAGCTGTTCATCAGATAGGTACAATTTCGAGACCGGGAAGATACTCACCTCCAAGCACCGACGTGGAGGTTTTCGGTGGACTGAGCACAGCGTTCGCCTTTGGCTTGAATGCAAAAAGTCCAAACGTCGGCCCTATCTCGATTTTACGTGTCGTGGAGCCCGTTGAAGCCGTCTGGGCAGACTGCGATGCCCCTTGCCCGCCATTCTGACCTGTCCGTTCTAGGTAATTGGATAGGGACGGGAAACCAAGACCGGTCCATCCAGTCTCGCGCTTGGCGAATCCACTACTGGTCGTGGAGGGTTCATTCGCCAATTGAGGTGCGGCTCCACTAAGCGCGTGTGCAGGCCCAGAAGAAGGATCTTTCGTTCCAACAGAATGGGAATGCCCGTTTGGAACGTATCGGCCTGTCGCAGCTGCGTCCACAGATGATTTGCCCTTCCAAGCGTTAATCGAGTTTGAGGGCGCCCCTTCATGCTCCACTCTATCACGCTTCCTCGGACCACCATCGAACGGATCCGTGGCTGTGGGGACCGTTCGGCCTTCTCGACGAGGCTGAGAAGGACCGGTACTGGCAGTCACTGGCGGACGATCGAGGGTGGCATTCATGGAGGGTGTGACTCGGGCAGCTTGATTCCAGTAAGCGGTAGAAGTTGATGCGTGCTGTGAGGATCCGACAACATGAGCGTTCGTGTTACGGACCGGGTGAATGATGCGTCGATTCTGTCGTCAGTCGACGCTCCAAGTGCGCTGGCTCACCTCCATGATAGCCAGGTCGTTCACAGCCTCTTCGGCACCCAGCTTGGTCGGCATTGCTCCGGCACACCAATCGAATGCTTTGATGACTTTTGGCCCTCCCACTCGCGGTATCGGCCGTTCTATAGCGTATCAGCATATTCGGGGTTTGACCTGCTTACGCTGCCTTGGCGTCTCAATCTCCGTCTTCTCCCTTGCTAGACGTCTCCGCTTGCTCCAAGTCTCTGCGAACTCTTCCCAGTGTATAGCGTCTCGTTGTTCCTGACATACGATCAGCTTTCTCTGGTCTGTACCACTCACGGTCCACCATGTCCACACGTGTTGCTTTTCTGACTCTCGTACTCGTTTGAGCTCATCCACGACAGCTTGGTGTCTCCTAGAAGCGACCTCGTGCAGCTTGACTCGGCGATCGGACAAAGTCTCGTAAATGTATCTGAGGGCGGGGTGCGTTCCTGCGAACGTCAACGAACGATCAGAAGCACGACCTCACCATTGATGAGCATCTCTTCCTCTGCAGCCGCCTCTTCCATCCTCTCAAGGTACAGCTTGTCTCTCAGGGCAGCGAATTTGAGCTCAAGATCGAGCAGTGACCGCATGGCAGCCTGTGGAGGAGGTGGCGCATGAGATGAATGAGGTCGTATGGGTGCTAGTAAAGCCGGCGTAGCTGATGAAGCTCATCAGATGCGGCCCCATTGATCTAGTCTGTGATCACTCACCCGACTCTTCCTGCTCAGCATCACCATTTATATCGGATGCAGCTGCCTCTTCTGCCTCCACGGCGCCATCTTCAACCACAGCCTCCTCCTCGTGAATCTCATCTGGAACGTCCCCTTCTCCCGTAGAAAGATCTTCATCGACCACGCTTGGTGCTAGCAGCGCATCGCCAGCTCGCATCGTCACGTCCCCTTCATCTTCTACGAGCTCCGCATCTTCCTTCTGCTCATCGACATTGCTCGTCTGCAACCTATACTGAATATCGTCTTCATGATCATCTTCCAAGATGTCGTGTTCCGAGTCATCGCGATCGACTTGGATAATTTCAGGAGACTTTGGACGCTCGCTGATCGCTGCTTCCTCTCCTACGGTCGAAGTTGAATGAGACTTTAATCTTGCAGATGAGCGAGTGCCAGGTGTACTAGGGCTCGCTGGGGGTAGTTTGGTGGGTTTAAGGCGTGCTGAATCTGGAGGAGGGGTGAGGGACGGGGAGCGATCACTGACGGGATCGGGCATAGATGCCGGAGATCCAATCCTTCGATTGCTACAGGAAATAGATTAGCACGGTCAGCATGAAGAATTCTTCTTCTGAATCTTCTCACCGATGAGCTGGAAGTGGGATGTTGACTGGCTCCTCATCTCCATTCACACTACTTTCCTCGAAGGCCTGTATTTTTTGGGGCGAACGGGTCACTTCCACCTTTTTCTCCTCTTCTATCTCTTCTTCTTCTTCCTCCTCTGCCTCCTCCTCTTCCTCTTCCTCCTGATCTACTTCTTCTTCCTCTTCCTCCTCTGTTAATTCGCTCTCATCGTCATCATCCGTGAGTAAGGGGTCTGTTGATTCAGTCCGGCTCCTGTTGTCCCTTCCAATGGTGGTGGAAGGACCTGCGTCGACCTGACGGGCCTCAGAAGATGGAGTGGCGGAAGACAGAGGCGATGACGCTCGAGACGAAGAGGCAGAGGGTGATGATGGCATGACCCACGCGGATCCAAGTCCGGTTATGGTTGAGAAGGGAGGAGAGAGAGAGGGCGAGCTGTTCAGCAAAGCGGAGGGGAGGTGGGTTGTCTGCCGTTCTCAGGGTATGTACAAGTATGCTGTTGAGCTGAATCTCTGCCAGCTATAAGAGATCGAGTTGAAAGTGTTACACGGACTTGAGGACAGCACTAGTTGGAAGGATAAGAGGCGTACATGCACGAGGAAGGAGGAGAGCTAGGTCTCAGTGGGTTGGACCGGCTAACGGAATCAAAAACTTGGCATGACGTGGACTTTCATTGACCAGTCGGTGCTACTGCCCAATGCTCCAAGTGAGAAGCAGTGTGCAACCATTTGGTCATAGTATGATCGTCATGCATACATATTATGAGGCTTGTATAGGGACCATCATGTCTTGTCAAAATTATACTGTAGTATTGAATATCTTGGAGTGAGCGATGTTTCCGCCCGTGAGAGGGAAATTGCAACTGTATATGGAGGGTAGGGTACAGACGACGCCAGCGAGAGTCTGTCGTGATGTGTGCTACAGACTGATGACTGGCTCTACTCGGCGTACAAAGTGGCCTTGTGCATGCTGCGGTATGTCAGCCAAAAGTTGTGCTTCACACTGAGGTAAGGACTCACCCATATCCTCGGTGCGCGATGAGTCCCATGACCAAGACGAAGATGATGGAGATGAACACGAAGATCCTGTAGACACACACGGTCAGAACGGAAGTCTGATACATGAAGAAGATGCCACTCACGTATCGATCCAACTTATAATCACCAGTCCCTTGACAATGTTGCAGTGGTCGAATTTGCCCTCACCCTCTCCACAAGTGATGAATCGCGTCAAAGCCGTAAGAGAGGATGATCCGATAATGAAGAGGATGAAGCCAATGACCATAGGGATGAGGTGGGCGAGAATACCGAATGCTCTGTGGTTGCCAAGCATCTGGAATCCGATGAGAAGAATCACTGGTCGCATCGTGTCAGCGCAATTTCGAATGGGGTCGTGGTCACTCGGGCAGCAAGAAGCAGCGCGGACGGTAAGGCCAGTGTGCACTCAGGTCACAGATGACCCCTTCAGCAACGTGTAGTGGTATTTCGGAAAACGCTCCACTCTTGGTCCCCGCCCTTGCGCGCCATTTGTGCCGCTCGAGCCCACATCACTCACATGCAAAGGCCGTCGTCCATACACCTGCTACCAATATAATCCTGATCCTAGCCTCGTAGGCACCGGTGTGGAACCTTGGGTATCCATCGTTATTGTATCTTCCGACCAGAGATCCACTGATGGCGACTACGACGATAGCCGCCAAGAGGGTGAGGATGAAGATGATGGTGTGAGAAATTCGGACTGCACGTTCGGAGACCATCGTGTTGGGTTGAGCTTGCGATCAGACGAAGGGTTGGAATGTCAGTTGTTGTTGAGATTGTTGGTGGCGAAGGTAGGATACTTGTCTCAATCACCTCTATATATCTTGCCAGAGACAATCCATCCCGAAAGAAAAAAAAATGTAGGCAAGTCGGAGATCGACGTCACTGCGGCACGAGGGGTAAATTACCTAATCGAGTATACTATATGACGTATCATCACGTGGCTTGGCTGGTTGTGGGGATACTTGATGCTGCAGTGGCGCCAGTTTAATTAGCATAGACTCCACACTTGGGTGGACGAGGGCTTTGTATAAGCCGTGGCTGTGATCGCGTCAGACAGATGTTAACAGCAATAGTGATGATCCCAGTGGCTGAGTTCCCACAAGGCAGAAGCCGATGGGGGACGAACACAGCCCACTACAGAGACACACAGAGGGACAATTTTTAGATCGCGATGTTATGGGATCTCATGCACAGGGTGGGAGAGGATGATCGTCTTGGGTTTAAGCTCGGCCGTAGATGGAGGAGAAGATCTTCGGATCATATGCTAGGAACGGTGCGATGGCCCATGATCGTCCACTTGCCACATTCAGAGCCCAAACACAGTGGTTTCTTTCGGTAACTGTGTCCTTATCGGAGTTTCGGACTTGTTCCGAATAGCTCTTCAAAGGTGTTTGAGGTGATCCACAAAGCTTATAAGTAGTTGGGGCACGATGGGTCCAACGCGTATCATCCTCGACACAGACCTGGCGATGGGTGCAGGATCAGATATTGATGATGGATTCGCGTTGGCACTGGCACATGCTGATCCCGATATCCAACTGGACATGATAACGACAGTGCATGGAAACACAGACGTCGAAAGTGCGACTATCCTCACCGGGGTGTTGATGAAACGACTCGGAATAGAAGATACACCACTGTACAAAGGAGCAGCCACCCCCATGATACATCCCGACAAGGTCCGCGAGCCTTCGCCACATGTTGAGGCAATGAGACATGATGGATCGAGGATCGCCCCGTCAACGGGTTACGCTCCCGTGACAATCGTCGAACATGTCATGCGGCATCCCGGCGAGATCACTCTGGTGGCTATAGGACCACTGACCAACATTGCTATTGCCATTTTGTTGGAACCTCGAATGGTGACAGCCGTCAAGGAACTCGTCATCATGGGAGGATACTTCATGGGTACCATGTCGACATAGGATGAAGCTGGAGAATTCAACGTTCATTCGGATCCAGAAGCTGCTCGAACGGTATTGAAATCAGGTATAAAACAACGCTGGGTCGGTCTTGACGTCACGCTTCAATGTCATCTATCTATACAAGACGCTGAGCAATTGGCGAGTAGTCGATCCTCTTTCGCTCAATTCGCAGGTCAAGCAACGATTAAATGGATCAATTACCTGGCGGAAACGTATCCTGGTCGAAGCAAATCCACCTCTTGTGCCATGCACGATCCTCTTGCAGTCGCTGTCGTCTCTCATCCGGAAATATGTACCTTCAACGAAATGTACGTCGACATCGTCACTGGGACGGGATTAGCTCGAGGGGTTATGGTCAGCGATCGGTTGAAATCCCGGGATCCACCAAAGGCGAATTGTTCTGTCGCGGTCGAAGTGGATGCGGAAGGATTCAGGAAGCATTTCATGGGCTTGATAGACAGGTTGTAGAGGTTGATTTGGTTACATTTTGGAAGAAGAGAGGATCGGATCGGATCAGGCTCTAACGTCAAGAGGCTCCGGAGCGAGGCTCAGCACAGCCATTACAATGGAGCGCCAAAGGATGCTATGGATTGGGCGGGACCCAACTTGCAAATCATGAGCGATCGGCGCGGATCAAAAGGTGTACGAGAACGTCTGAACATACATTCCATGAAACGAATACAAAGTCATTCGCCGGTCCTTCCTTTGTTCCTCGGCGAGGAGGGGACCATCGACCTGTGCTTCACCTGTTCCTTGGCCGCACACGATCTGGTGCTGAGTCCAAGTCTTGCATCTATCTCCTGTGACTCAGCGCACTTAGGTCCACCAAGTCGCATACCGAGCCAGGAGCATATCTGGCCCCTCCTTTCCCAAGGTTTCGTTCGTTTGTTCACCCTGTCCCACCATGAGCCTAGCCATCACCATTCTCCTCCTCGTTTCCAGCTTGTCTCTCCCCATCACCTGCACACAGATCTGGATCAAGGGCCTCATCAGTCCGAACGGTCCCACTTCAGCTGTATGTACAGATGGCGATCCTCTTCCCGATCCACTCTGCGCACATGGCAATCCTGGCTTCTACCTCGACACGGACAAGAAGGGATGTGTCGATCGAGATTTGACGGTCTACCTTTTGGACGACCTCAAGCCTTCTTCCGGCAAGACGTCATGTAATGTGAAAGGGTGTATCGAGGACGATGTGGATCATTTGACCTTTTATTTTCGAAGTACGTCGGATTACCTGTACCCTTGTGGATCGAATCATGGTGTGACCATCACCTGCTCCAATCCGTTTGCTGCTTGTTTGGACGCTGTACCGAAGGCTGTGTATTCTGGGTAGGACGAGTAAGGTGGACAAGCCGTAGCGTCGGGGTGTATGGTATCAGTGGTGGTCTCTGTAAGGAGCAGAATGCTCGATGACTTTCGACGGATAGAGCCTGCGGTCCACACATTGTTGATGCAGCTTGTGGGGACCAGGGTCAGACATGTGGTCGAGTCGAGACAGGCTCCACTTGCATCAGAGTCTCCAGAACACAAATCTCGGGGCGATTCAAGTCCGAGACCGTCGCTTTTCGACAAGTGCTAGGGTGATATCCGCGGCGAGTTGCTGCGCAAGATCCTTCGCTGTCCTGCTCCCAACATTCACATCGAGCTCCCAATCCGCCTCAGAACCATAATGATAGATTGGCTCTCCAAGGAGTATCTCCCGCAAGATTACCGGATCAACCAGTTTGGTCGTACTTGAGACCGACGCCGCTCGAGAAGTCAACCGCTCGACGTTGGTCTCAGTCGGACAATGCAAGACGAGAGAAAAGAATTGACAACCGATCTTCCGACTGGCTATCAGGTATTCTTGCATGGTCGCACTGCCTTCCGCGTTGATTGTCTGGCATTCTGTAAAGATGATGATCCGGTTCGACGACGTGCCCTTGAGGCCTGAGGCCAGAGAATCCAATATGGTTCGGCGCTAGAAAAACAATGGAACGTCAGCTATACATACATCGGAGGCGAAAGGCTTCAAACGCTTCGACCCACCAGTTCCTTTCGCAGTGGTCGGTAGAAGGCTTCATCTCTGTTGTACAGCGCAGCGGCGGTGTCAATCAAGAGATGATTGCTGAAGACTCTGGCGTCGGGTAAGAGCGCACTGCAAAGATAGGTCGGTGAGCCCTCTGGCGATACGCCAGCACGGAAGCCTTACGCAAGTTCCTTTGCTATAGTCAGCTTGCCAACACCTGGAAAGCCATTCAGCAGTATAAAGGCTGACATGGTCGTATCATCATAGTTGAGCGAGTCGGGAGGACCTGCCGTTATATAACGAGTGATATTCCGCTGAAACTAGATCTGTATCGACTCGAGAAATCTGAGTGGCACAAAGCTGAGATCTGTGTTTCCTCGGTCGCACCGCCCAAAAGGCCCGATCGACTCGCGATGGGAGTCTAATGTGCGCGTGGTGAGATTGAGGGGTACAAAGCTCAAGAGTCAGGAGGTAGTGTTCTCGATTCAGAGGTATCGTTGTCCTCCGATCCTGAGAGGCGAATGTCAAACCCTGTCTGCCACAGACCTACCCAACGGATTCGGTACGATTTCTCCTCTGGGACTACTGTTGTCAATTGGATCTCGGCTGCTTCCTGTGAGCGAGAAGGAGGGAGATCATGATGACCGAGTTACGGTGCAAGTTCAGGGCTGGCTAAGAGCCTCCAAATCCAAAAAGTCTCATACAGAAGGAGTCCCGAACCGGAATACGAACTCTGATGGCTTTGGATGGTGGTTTGGAGGAAACGCTTCAAACTGCGACGACGAAAGTCTGACAAGCTAGGGGAAGTGGCAACCAGCCTATCAAGTGTCCAGGCGAGCTTGGTCATATATTGTCGTTGGACCTGGACAAGACTGAGGACCGAATCATCATAGCTGGCACTGGGCGTGCTAAACCTGCCACTTTCAGGGGGGCCACCCGTGGTTTATATTTTCTGCCAGGCGCGCAACGGTCGGATTGTAGCTGCCAGCGATTTTTCAGGTGACATCCGATGTTTTGTAACTTTTGCTCATAGTCTAGGCATCAGGACGAGAACTGAAAACAGGTACGAGAGTGTGGGGATCAGTCGAGTAGGGTCGACAATTGCAGAGAGCATTTCGGCCATCGTGAAGAAGCGAACCCTGCCATGACTCGTTCTCTCTCCACCGTGGTTCACGTCCTTTCATTGGCTCTCGCCCTGTCCCCTGCGTCGGCTCAACTGGCGAACACGTTCCAGTATGTCGGTCTATCTGGAGCTTCGGCCCAGCAGATGTTTCTAGGAAGGCCCGATAGGGTCTATATAGTCGATAAGACCGGTGAGTCTCTTCTTCTCGTGAATGAAAAGGATACATCGACATTTCTAAATCCTTCTCCTCATAGAGCGAAACAACATCACTGTCGATGGGCATCCGGGTTGGGCGACCGAGTATGACCTTCAGACTAACACTTTCCGTCCCATGGCCGTGTTATCGAACTCATTCTGTGCCGGTGGGACTGTTCTGGGCAACGGGACGTGGTTGAATGTCGGGGGCAACCAAGCCATCGAGATGGGAGGAGTGTCACCTCCTGGAATCAGTCAAACGGGTCAAAATCCATACGGTGATTGGGATGGAGGCAAGGCCTTACGACTGCTCGACCCATGCGATGACGAGACTTGCGAGTGGCTCGATGATCCTGCATTGTACCTTACGTCTAGGCGGTGGTATCCTACACTGGAGACTTTGGAGGATGGGACTGCGATCATCTTCGGAGGTTGTGAATGGGGCGGATACGTCAACTTTGCCAATAATAATCAGAACAATCCAACTGTCGAGGTGAGTCAAGTGTCCACCGAATGGATGAGGCTGATTGGGATCAAAGTTCTGGCCATCACGGGGCGAGCCGTTCACCTTGGACTTTCTGATCAAGACTCTCCCTGTCAATCTCTTCCCTCTTGTTTGGCTCCTTCCTTCAGGCAATATCTTCATACAAGCTGAATTTCAAGCCATGATATTGGACTACAAGAACATGATCGAGTACGACATTGCGGATATACCCGATGCCGTCCGTGTGTATCCTGCCAGTGCGGGAACTGCTGTCTTCCCTCTGACCCCGGAGAACAACTGGACGTCCACCATCATCTTTTGCGGAGGTACAGATCTCGAAGCGGATCAATGGAACCCTGTATGGGCCATCACAAAGTATCCTGCGTCTACAAGCTGCGTCACTATCAGCCCAGATGTCGATCTCACTTGGTATCAAGATGATCCGCTCGATGCTGGTCGGTCCATGGGGAATTTCATCAACCTGCCCGATGGTAGATTGTTGCTTCTCAATGGCGCTGGGAATGGAACTGCAGGATACGGCAACAACAGTTGGGCCGTTGGACAATCTTACGCCGATGAGCCGAGATTGCAAGCGTGGTATTATGATCCCGCACAACCTTCCGGAAGTCGATGGTCCAAAGCTGGTCTGACAACCATTCCGAGAATGTACCACTCGTCGTGTACCTTATTGGCGGACGGCTCTGTCATTGTGTCGGGAAGTAATCCGAATGCCGATTACATATCCCCTGGGACCCCAGGTTATACCTTTGTCACCCAGTATCAGGTTGAAATCTTTTATCCGGATTACTGGGACAAGCAACGTCCAGCTCCCGGTAACATGCCCAGCAATTTCACATACGGTGGGGAGTATATCAATGTCACTCTGACCATGGAGGATCTTAACAACGACGCACTGAACATCAACAAGACGAAAGCAGTCATCATACGCACTGGGTTCTCGACACACACTATGAACATGGGCCAGAGACATGTCGAACTTGAAACGTCCTTCACTTCCAATACGGACGGCTCAGCTACACTACACGTTGCTCAATTACCGCCGAATCCGGCCATCTTAGTCCCTGGTCCAGCGCTCTTCTTTGTCGTCGTCGACGGCGTGCCAAGTAACTCGTCATGGATCATGGTTGGGAATGGCCAGCTGGGTGATCAACCGATCGGCGAAGCGAGCGTCTTGCCACAGTCTACCATCTCCGCACAGCTTGTCGCTCAGTACGGCAAGCGTGATGAGCTGGACATGGAGCAGCGCGGCTTCTGGCATTGGGGCAAGCGGGGCAGTCTACTATGGGATTTTTAAGAGGAAATACTGGGCAAGCTATCGCTTTCCGGGACGACAGGCATGCTGCATTTGCAACCGCTCTTGTTTTAACGACTTTTGTATCTATGACTACATGAATGATGCGATGCCGTTATGCCTTTTAAGGGAAAGGACTACAGTTGTCCCTTCGACCAGTCTGCCACTTGAGCCGATGCCTCGACAGCTGCCAGAGCCCAGTCTTCTCCGTGGTCTAAGGAAGGGAATTAGTATTAGTAAGTACCCGAATAGCGATTGTCCAACCCACTATGCCCCTTGTCGCCTTTTCTCCCTATTCCTGCGCGCTCCAGAGCTTGGTCTTCAGTCATACACGTCAAGACGCCAAAGATGACCGGTGTACCCGAGTCCAGTTGGACTCTCATCAACCCATGCGTCACGGCGTCACAGATGTATTCGAAATGCATGGTCGAGCCTTTGAGCAGACACCCGATAGCGATGATAGCGGAGAAAGGTGCTGTCGAAGGACCAGCCGAAGTTTGAGACTCTTTCGTCTGTGTGGGAGATGTCGCATCTTTGGGTGTAGAACTTCCGACGGAATCGATGAGTGAGAGAAGGTTGGTCGTTGAAGAGAGCATCGAAGAAGCAGATTTAGCGGATTGCGTCTTGCCGCCTTCGATGAGTCTGGAAGATAAGCGGGAAAAGAAATCTCAGCAGTCGATCCGAAAAGGTTACGGAAGCCCATCTACCTCTGACATGCAAAAGGGAGCTCGTATGACCCTGGCACACTCTTGACAACGATGTTGGAATCTTTGACACCGATGGACTTGAGTTTGGCGATACATCCTTGGACGAGAGCCTGAATCACCGTGTCGTTCCATCTGGCGTGGACTATCGCTATTCTGAATGGACTTCCATCGTAAGATGTGGGAGCTGGCCCTAGACCTTTGATCGTTGGATCAGACATTGGTTGCAGGCTGATGCGTGAGCGAACGGTTCATAATTGATGAATGGTCGTCCAATGACATGAGTCGCTGTAATCTAAACGGGTAACTCGAATAAAGACTTTTGGGCTCCCAAGCCCCTGACTCGAGTCGCGCCCAAAAAAATAATGTGGAATTTCAGCCCAAGGAGCGAAAAAAAAGAGAGAGTGGATACAACCTCACTGTCACTATTCAACACCATTCCTTACACCATGTCATTCCAGAGATCATCGGCTAGAGCCCTGAGAGCAGCTACCAAAGCTGCTGCTCAACCCACTTCCCAACATGTGGCCAAGAGGAGCATCTCCATGCTCTCTAGGACCGCTCCTCGAGTCACCATGAACACTCGGGCTACTGTGAGTTGAAATGCATGCCAAGGGGGATGGATATTGCGCTGCGTGACACATTCCCCCGGTACTGCTGGTGTTCCAAGTCATTCAGCGCTGATACTCTGACTCCCCAGGGTGTCCGAGGAATCAAGACGCTCGACTTTGCCGGTACTAAGGAGACTGTGTACGAACGAGGAGATTGGCCTCTTGACAAGCTCCAAGAGTGAGTGTCGGATGATTCGGAAAACCATTTTCCGAAGGGGAGCTTCTGGAGGAGGGGTTTCGAAATGAGCTAATTGGCCTCTACCAGGTATTTCAAAAATGACACTCTTGCCATGATTGGATACGGATCCCAAGGACACGGACAATCCCTCAACGCTCGAGACAACGGACTCAAAGTCATTGTTGGTGTTCGAAAAGGTGGTGAATCTTGGAAACAGGCTCAAGAGGATGGATGGGTCCCTGGAGAGACCTTGTTTGATATCCCGGAAGCTATCAACAAGGGAACCATCATCATGAACCTCTTGTCGGACGCTGCTCAGAGCTCAACTTGGCCCGAAATCGCACCTTTGATCACCAAGGGCAAGACCCTCTACTTTGCCCACGGTTTCTCCGTGGTCTACAAAGAGGACGTGAGTGTTTAGGTGGAAGGCGGATGACGGTGGTGGTGATATCGCTCACAGTTCGGCCTCAGACCAAGGTCGTTCCTCCAAAGGACGTTGATGTCATTCTTGTCGCTCCCAAGGGATCAGGACGTACTGTTCGAACTCTTTACCTCGAGGGCCGAGGAATCAACTCGTCCATTGCCGTCTACCAGGACGTCACTGGCAAGGCCAAGGAGAAGGCCGTGGCGCTCGGTATCGCTGTCGGCTCAGGATACCTCTACGAGACCACCTTTGAGAAGGAAGTCTACTCTGACCTTTACGGAGAGCGAGGTGTCGTGAGTGAAGCTGAATAGGTGTCTCAAATCGTGCTCATGAAATCCAGCTCATGGGAGGTATCCAAGGAATGTTCCTTGCCCAAGTGAGCTAGCTGCTTTGTTGTGGGAAACACCGAGCATTACTGAACCAGCTTGCAGTACGAGGTTCTCCGAAAGAACGGACACACTCCCTCTGAGGCTTTCAACGAGACTGTCGAGGAAGCCACTCAGTCCCTTTTCCCCTTGATTGGCAAGTACGGTATGGATTACATGTACAACGCCTGCTCGACCACTGCCCGACGAGGTGCTCTCGACTGGGCTCCCAAGTTCAAGGAGTAAGTTTTGGCAAGGGGCGAAAATCTCAGACATCGATCTGACGGACCTCCGCTCGCTTCCAGGGCCAACTTGCCTGTATTTGAAGCGCTTTACAAGTCGGTCAGGGACGGAAGCGAGACTCGACGATCGCTCGACTTCAACTCGCGAAAGACTTACCGTCAAGACTTGCAAAAGGAGCTCGACGAGATTGACAACCAGGAGATCTGGCGAGCTGGAAAGACTGTTCGAGGCCTCAGAGTGAGCAATGATGACGGGACGGGAGGTGTTCAAGGTCTGACGCCCCCTTCTTGCTAGCCCGACGCCAACAAGGACGAGCTTTAAATGTCGAAATGTCCACTCCTATCTTGATGAACTTTCAGAAAACCTCCCCCGGCATGCTTTTTTGCCTTGACACGTCAATAGCTACATTCCATTGGGCATGCATACGAAAAAATAGAGATCTCGAAAGATTTGGGCGAGCTAGATTCCGAATGCGTGTTTATCTGCACCTTTCCAGTTGTCTCCCAAGATCTTTCGAATTGCGCTCTTAGGTCCAAAGTCCATTTTGAACAAGTGGCCGGAAGCGGGATAATCTTCGACCTTTTCGCCGACTCGAGAAGCTCGAGCAGTCGCAATGTACATGGTATCGAGATTCTCGCCTGATGTACTGTGTTGTAGCATAGTCCAGAATATCTCGCTATAACTCACCTCCAAAGCACGGAATGGTAGTCAAGAGTGCACCTGGACATTTGACATACGCAAATATCTTTCCCTCCGGTGTATACCCGATGATCCTCCTTTCTCTCCATCTGGCGACCCAGACATTGCCTACACCATCGACACAGAGTCCGTCGAATACACCCCTTGTACCGAGCTCGTCCATAGCCGGAGGCTTTCCGGCGAATGTTCGTCGGTTGGAAGGAGTTCCAGTCTCGAGGTCGTAGTCAAAGACCGAAACCTCAGGTTCGCCAGAATCGATATAGTCTAAAAAGGGGGGAGGAGGAGGAGGTCAGCGCCGTACCGCTGGCGCTGAAAACGCCAAGCTGCCCAAGCGGTCGTTGGAGAACAGATGAGATCAGGGCAACCCACACATCAGTTTACCATCTGGAGACCAGCCTATACCATTACTCGTGCCTACAGTCCCAGGTTCCAAGATCTGGGTCCTTGTACCGTCCGGATCGATCCTACCAGGGCGGAGTCAGTCAGAATACGTATTGCTCTGTGTGGGAAGGGGGGGTGGGGGTGGATCTGAGGAACATACCTCAGTAGCTCTCCCGATCGATTGTCCTTTGCTTCACCGATATTCATTGAACCAGCAAACAATCTCCCCCGGGGATCACATCCTCCATCGTTGAATCGTACTTCCTTTTGAGTGCTGAAAGGTTTGGATAATGGTTGAGCGATAGTTCGAAGAGATTTCTGCACAACGGGCTTAACGTCGGAAGGTTGTCGAGTGGGTTTGGAAGCCGGAAGAATGACGATATCATGTTGGATCGTCGCGACAAGTTCCTAAGAAAACCGACATGAGCTACACAAGGGGACTTGTTCTCGGCACGGTTGGTGGACTTACCTCTGGGTTGGACTTGACGAGCGCAATGTTGGAAAGATGGGCTGATTCGGCATACGCATCGACACTGTATGCACCGGTTGATGGGTCATACCTGGGGATCCGTGAGCTTGTGATGCAGCACAGATTCGCCCTCACGAGTGAACAGCAGGTTCGTCAATATCAATCCAACGGACAACTTGGGCATGAGCGTCCCATAGCACGCCTGGCAAGGGTCAGCGTCTATTCGGAACGATTAGCTTTTACCCTCTCCCAAGTTGTTTCCGCATTCAAGCACCAGCTCTGCTTCGAAGATTGGGATGTCCGACATGGTCGCCGTTCAGTTGTGGATACTCAACCTGTTGGAATGGACCTCGAGTAGGGGACGACAAGTTTGGAGCTCGGCCCGGACTTCCGCCGATGCTTTTTTCCGAGAATTATCCGTGGATGCATTCCAGACTACCATACATTGAGATATAATAGAAAACAAGATCATTACACCTAGCATGACAGGGGCATGTTCGTTGCTCCCCCCTGCACAGCTTATCTATATCCCTGTTGACCATACGGATTGTTATTCTGACCCATGTATCCCATTTGAGGATTATAACCCGTCATCTGAGGCATCATACCGTATCCAGTTTGTTGAGGCATCATACCTGTTTGCTGAGGCATCATCATGCCAGTCTGTTGAGGCATCATGCCGGGTGCGCCGTTGTAGCCTGGTTACAATATTAGCACACAAGGTCCTTCACAGCCAACACTCACCAGTCGTGAGCGGCCTCAAGGCATCATATTTGCCGCTTTCTTGCGGTCTTTGGTCTTCGGGTTTACCAAAGTCCGCCTTTTTCATTGCGGCGAAAATGTTAGAAGGGGCGTACTTGTCGGGGTTAGAAGGAGGCTCGGGCGGTCGCATGCTGGCGATAGTATTGAAGGACGAGTGCTGAGATTGCTGACCATAATTACCAGGATATCCAGTGTAGTCTACGGGTTGGAAAATCAGAAAAGCTGGAGAAGGCCAAATCGCCACACTCACTAGGCTGCAAGCTTGCTTGCTGTCCGCCGTACCCTTGTTGGAAGCCTTGAGCGTATCCAGTCGGCTGCATCATCATTGGTCCTTGCTGGAATCCAGTCTGTTGAGGAGCCATACCTCGGGTCGGGACGAATCCAGTCATGGCAGGCTGGAGCGGTGCCAAAAGACCCTGATTAGCGGGGATAGGCGCGACAGGTCCTCGGGGCATGTTTTGGAGTTGCGCCATACTGTGATTCGATCCTTGTACGCCGAGGTTGTAGGATGGTTGCGGAGGAGCAGATTGGGGCACAGATGCGACGCTGTCAAATGCACTTGAACCTGTTTTGGCTTGTGACAGTTGACTCGTGCTACCTGTGCTGGACGGTCGGAGCGCCTCAATCTGAGCCAAGAGTGATTCCGTGGTGTTGGCCGGAGGCGGCGACTGTCTCTGCGGAGCTGGAGAGGCTGGCGGTGGAGAAGCAGGCTTAGCCGCACTCGGTTTGATGGTCCACGCATCGTCATCGAAACCAGTCGATGGTTTCGTCGCAGCAGGCGCAGCGGGCTTTTCAGGTGATGGAGAAGAGCTGACGGGCGGAGGTGATGGCGTGCTGATGTTCGCTTTTGAAAGACGATCCGAGGCAGCGGCGATAGCAGATGCGTCCACCGAATCCGCCGCAGAGCCCTTCTTTTCAGGTCGACCTCGTCGTGTATTGTTGGACAGTTTACCGTCTGGGCCAGTGAATAATCCAGGAGGAGGCTGAGGAGCTGGTCCCTTCCCTCCAGAGTTTTCGTGTTCCTGCAATTGCCGAGCGTAATCTTCATCCGCCCTGATCTGAGCTGATTCCTCAGGGGTCTTTTTCGCAAATCTAATTTGGAGGGCTTTTCGAACACGAAGGACATCACCCTCCTTGAGACCCAAAGATCGCAGCGTAGACGCATCCAAATCTTCCATGATACTCTCATCGATGTTGTCTCGATCGAAAGCGGCGGCATATCGTGTACAATCGTCCATACCACACCCGGCGTCAAGGAAGAACGCAAACCAGTCGAACCGAGGTTTTCGCGGCTTCTGCTCCTTCATGGCCTCGGCAGGGATGGGTTCGAATTCAGGCTGGCTGCGGACTCTGGTCTCGGTTGATCGCGATGGCTGACCTCGACGACCAAGAGGCACATTGTCCTCTGGGTCTTCTTGCGCCCGAGCCTTTCTCGCCTCGTGTCGTTTAATCATCTGGATATCCTCTTGAGCCATTTTATCAAGGGGTACGTCGATGATGACACCGTTTATTTTGTGAAGACGGATCTTGCCATTGTACAGTCCCAGGTATTCAGCTTCCACCTTGAACTGACCAGTCTTGTCGCTCCACACACGGGTGCGGCCAGGAGTGGGTTCTGCAACGTTAGTATCCCACTGAAGGTGATCCGCTTACTTGGTCTGTTATTCTCAGGTGGTCTCGCAGGAGCAGCTTTGCCACGAGTGGGAAGACTTTTCGCGGCCTGATTGACATCCATGGCTGAGGTTCGCTTGGTGATCTTGGGCGGTTCAAGCTCTCTTGCTGCCTCACGTCTAAGAGATATCAGCATAGCTTACAAAGTCGCGCTCACCGTCTCGCTGCATCGCGCTCTCGTTGAGCTCTCTGCTCTGTTTCTGCCTTTCGAGCCCGCTTCTCCGCCTTGGCCGCCTCCTTAGCTTCGAGCTCGAGCGCGTATTGTCGGTCTTCCTCTTCCTGCTTTTGTCGCTCCCTCGCAGCCTTTTCGATGGCTCTTCGTTGTTCAGCTTTCGATTTGGCTTCCCTCTGCCGCTCTGCCTCAAGCGCAGCCGCCGCGGCCGCCTCCTCCTCGGCACGTCTCGCTTCATCCTCTTCATCGTCCTCCTCCTGTGCTGGTTGGGTACCATCGTTGATCTGCACGTATTGGGCAGGAACGACTCCTTCAGCACCTGATCTGTTACGGACAGTCCACCATTCATCATTCTCCTTGTCGAGCACAGTGACCGTTTCATTCTCCTTAACGGACAGTTCGTCATCGCCTTGAGCATCAAAGTCGTACAGTACAATAGCACTCTCTGTTGATGCGGATTGTGCAGGCGCAGCCCATCTGACACTTTTCGGTTCCGAGGCGGGAGCAGCATCATAACCATTGGCCTCACCATCCGAGGCCAATCTCTCGTCCGCCGCCAGGATCTCCAAAGCTTCACCTGCCGCAGCTTTGCTAGATTCGAGTTTGGAAATGATGGCGCTGGCAACATCTGCTGTTCCACAATGGAAGAGTAAGGGTTCTGAAAGGGTGGAGAAGCTGAGGGATAGATTCTTTGACGATGGCTGAGAAACACCACTGAGTTCGGTGATGGAGTATTGCTTCACCCCGCTCATCTGACTGTCAGCAGGTATTGCCAATGTAGGCGGCTCACCTTGTCGGTATCGGACGCAAAGAACACTGCACCGTTACCCACTCCAAGGGTTCCTTTTTTCTTCTTTTTGCCTTCCATCTCGGATATACTCCACGTCTCAACCTTGTCCTTGAGCTTCAAGAGTCGTTGCTTTTCAGCGGCCTCTCGCTGCCGTTGCGCCTCTTCCTCCTCTTGCCATGCTGCTTGAAGCTCTGCCTCGGCCTCCTCCGGGTCCGCAACGACAGTCGTAGCCTCCATCTCGTCGATAGGTTCACAGTACGTCCTGGGGACGAAACCAAGTTTCGAGCCTTCATCTCCGACCTGAGCAAGGATCCAATCTTCTTCTACGGAATAAACGTGGATCGTTTGGTCCTCTTCCATGGATAACTCCTCTGGAGAGGTTGCTTCATAAGCGTAGATGGATTTTGTTTGATGAACGGGCGGTATCTATCCGTATGAGCATGGTGTTGACCTGAAACAGACCAACCTCCTCGACATATGAAGCCGGTATGAGACCAATAGATCCCTCCGATCCGTGCTCATCTTTAAGTTTCGCTTTCCACCAGCTGAACAATGTCAGATCCAAAGCGTATCAAATTCACTCACTCCTCGTCCTCCTTCTCTATGATATACAACACTTGATCTTCTTTGAGTGACAGTTCCGTGTCTGGATCTTGAGCCGCATAGTCATACAGCGACTTGACGACAGCGACGTACGCCATGGCGAGAGTTGGCGACGCTCAGGGCCGGGGAGGAGCTCGGGCGACAAGCTATGGGCGGAGAGAGCTGCGGGCTAGGTTATCTGTGCAGTCCAACTTGAGCTGCTCTACACTCTTGATTGAGTACGAGGTGAGATGACTATATCAGATTCGGACGAGAGCGACAGACGAAATGAGGAAAGAGAGAAGAGAAGAGGGGGGAATTGCTGAAGGAGGAGGAGGCGCACTGGAACGGGGAGAAAATGGGTGACGTAGTAGACACAATTTGATTCCGTCGATCTGAATCTAGATAGATTCCTAGCAGCTGCATTATTTACAGAGATCTCACGACCACAGACGAGAACGACAACAACGACAACGATTACGGAGAGAGGTCCAGCACTGGTTCGTCCCAGGATCAGGATCCAACGATTATGCGGAAAGGGGTTGGGATCTCTGGTCTGTCACGACATACAGCTACGACTACATCTTACGCTTCATTGTCCAATACCATCTCTACCAATCAACTGGCCTCACTCCAGACTTCCCTAGATGCATTCCGAGATGCCCTCACTTCATTTGCCATAGCTCATCGAGCGGATATTCGACGAGATCCAGCGTTCAGACATCAATTTCAGAAGATGTGTGCCGCGATTGGAGTGGATCCATTAGCTGGGTCGAGAGGAGCCTTGAGATCTGGTGGCAGTAGTAATGGTGGTGGATCATCTAGCAGTTCCGCGAGTGGATGGCGGGCGGAGATGCTGGGATTGGGAGAATGGGATAATGAAGTGGCGCTTCAAGTGGTCGATGTCTGCGTCTCTACAAGAGATAGGAATGGAGGAATGATTGAAGTTGGAGAATTGGTCCGACGGATAGACAAGATGAGAGGCGGGAACAGTTTGATCTCACCAGAAGATGTTTATCGAGCCATCGACCTCCTTAGACCCCTTGGTTCCGGATATTCACTCAAACCAGTGGGAGGCAGTATTTATATACGATCTGTCCCTCGGGAGCTAGATACAGATCAGAGCACACTGTTGGTCATTGCCGCTGCTGCAGGTGGAAGACTTCGAGAAGCAGAAGTCAAACGAAATACAGGATGGACAGAAGTTCGCGTCAGGACAGCACTGGAAGATTGTATCATGCGGGAAGGCATGGGTTGGATAGATGAACAGGCTTATGGAGGTAGAGACGTGTGGTTAATAGCTGCAGTCAACTTTGACGAGACATCATCACCTGCCATGCATCCAGATTAGCACTGCTTCCACTGATGCGGACTGAACACTTTGTATTGAGTACAGAGAGTTGATACAAGAAACATATTGTCCGTGTTGAGAAGTGCAAGAGATGTCTGAAGTGTTCGATCATTTGCTCCACCTGATTCCTCGTGTTCGTAATTCTCCCCAAGACGACTCCTTCTTCTGCTTTGAAAGATACACCAGCCTCGACACAATTTATGCCCGCTCGATTCGTTCACGCTCACGCTCACGCTGCGCAGAAGGTAGCACTGGAGTCCAACTTCTGTCCCTTTCCAATTGTATGGATCGACGTTCCCCGTCAGGTCCCGGGGAGCTCGGCGCCGATCCTCTCGAACTGTTCCTGGAGCCATTGGCACTGCCCTGGAATGGTCCACGCCAGGGGGCCCCACCAGGAGAATTCATGTTTGCGTTGAGGGACTGTTGCGAGCCAGATATCTGGGCCCAGCTAGTAGGTCTGGATGATCCAGCAATAGTCGCATGGGATCGTGAACCGTTGGGATGAGGAGTCGGCTCAATTATCCCTTCATGTCGGCGGAAATCCTCCCGTCCGAATCCTGGTCCGAACATTCGACGATGTTCAGTTCGAGCTTGCATGTATTTTTGGCAATGTCGATGGATCTCTTTCGGCGGGAGGTCGAGCTCTTTCGTAAAAATGTTGAAGATGTTTTCATTGATCACGAACATGAGGTCGTGAGGGACGCGATAGTAGTCGTCTTGGTTCTCGAGTAACTCCTGAACAACCTCAATGGCGATGAAGGACTCGTCCCGCGCAGCGTTGGCGCCTTTGGCGTACAGAATCGAAGGACAGATGACAGTCGCCAAATTTGCCATGTCCATCCGAGATCCAGTCTCCTCGTCGCGGTAAGAGAACGTGCCAACCCATTTGAGAAAGACAAAGAGCACCTCCATGGTATCTCGGTTGTATCGAGGCAGGAGGGTGATTAGCAGGTGCAGGCAACGATGTCGGTCATCTCGATTCTGTAGGGCTGAAGCATTAGCCATGTGCAAGACCTTCCGTCGCTTACATGCTGCTGCACAAAAAAGTCGATGGAGGCGGAATGTAAGCAACGGGTCTGGTAATTCCCTCAGCCAACGCTTGAGCAATGCTGCCAGCTGAACAGGATTCTCCTCGGACAAGTTCACAGTTGCGGGATCCTTGTCGAGCGCATCCGCGACCTGTTGCAGCCGCCGAATATTGCCATTCTTCCGGAAAATACCTTCAATCGCCATATCTGACGCGTGAGCTCGAGATCAATCGCGCCGCACTCACCCATTTGACGCATGGTGGAGATAATATCCTCGATGAACTCTGGTACGCGTAAATGGGCATTTGAAGCACCCTGCTGTGAATCGGACCCAGTCCGCTCCACAAGGATCTCAATCGGAACTCCAAATGTGCCTGGAAGGAAATTAGTCCCGTGCAAATCGGCGCAACTCACCCTTCTTCTTCTGGTCCTTCTTGTTTGGGCCTTTGAAGATCTTGTTCCACCACTGATTCTTCCGCGTATCCAATAGCTCGAGGATCTCGTCAAGCTCCACTAGATGACCTATCGGGGTCTTTTGCAATTGGAGAAGCGCAAAGTGCTTGACAATGAGGCTCTGCACAGGGTTGAGTAAGGACAGTAGTGGCCGGCCATCTTGCGTCGTACCGTCCCTGGTTTGGGTGGCCAAGAGTGGTATGTCGCCTAGGGTGAGCGCATCGTCATCGATGGACGGGAGATGGTCGATTCCAGGCGCATTCTCGTTTATGATCATGATGCTGGTGTTGTTCCGGGCAAATGGCGGTCGGATGACATCGACTGAAGGTCCTGCTGTATCCTCCATGTTCAGTGGCTCGTGCCCATTGGCGGATCCTCGGGCCGAGACAACCTGACCATTCTCATCCGCCATGCGACCCGCAGGCGATTCCACGACCGTAGATCGCTGTGGAAGACGCGCAGTGTAGGACAATTTTCGGTCCAAAGTAACAGACTTGACTCGCTTGACGTCGGCAGCATCGTCAAGGGTATGCCCCCGGACTAAAGATAAGCAAGTGCCCCAAACAGCCGACTCACCACTCGGTAGATCATGGTTGACTCTAAAATGCACGTACAACCTCCGCAAAGCAATATGCAATAAGAATGCGTATTGCTCCAGTCTTGAAACACCTTTGAAGCCGTTCTTTGCTGTCGGTGTGCGATGAATGACACAGAGAATCGTCTCTGGTACGGTCAAAGCGTTGATGTTGTCTGGGAGCTCATAGAAAAAGTCGTCAACTCGAGGAGGTGTTCGCTTCTTGACGACTGGCGCGGCAGCATCTTCAGAGGGTTCTTCAGGCTCCTTGGGTGGAAGAAGAGGAGCCCCGGCCTTGTCACCGCAAATGATACAGATAAGGCAGGCAGGATGCCACCGGGTAAACATGCCAAGTCGAACGCAGTCTTCCTCTACTGGCTGCTTACACAGCCCGCAGCCTTCGGAAGGAATCGTATCTTCGTCCAGTGATCCACGTAAGGTGGACTCGCCAGTGATTTCCAAAGCTAATGATCGATAGCCATAGGCGATGTTTTGCGTGCTCGGGATGTAGCCTTGCGGCTGCCGCGTCAGACTGTCGATATTCCGCTGCAGTTGCTCCTCATCACTTGCAGTGGAAAGGTTCGTCGTTGGCGGATGATTCCCTCGAGTCTGTACGGTGGGATCTCCGTTGTCCATCGCCAGCAGGTTCAGCCGTGCGAGACAATTTGACATGGCGGTGGGGTTGCCCAGATCCCGCTCCAACTTGATTGCTCCGGTGAGGGCAACACGGATGAGAATCTTCAGATAATGTGCAAGCTGAGTGATGAGATTGAAGAGCTCTTCTGTATTCGGCGAGACGGCAGACATGGCGGAGAGGAGGTTGACCAGACGCCTGCACAGATGTTTGGCCTCGCGTGCGTGTGACATGCCTAAGTGGAAGTCAGCGAGGTGTCCGATTTACTTTCAGGCTCGGCTCTAACCCTTGACGCCGGCGAGAGCGAATTGAGCCTCCAGATCGTCGATCGCAGCGAACAACACCTCGACATATAAGATGAAACGTTCCGCCAAGAGGATGATCTCAAGCAGCTGGCGGCCGTTAACAGCTCTCAACATATCTCCGATTAAAGCTGCTGAGCTCTCCTCGTAGCTTGACAGGACATGCCAGATCTGTTGCACCTTGCGTTCCATGACATCTTGCTTTTCTTTCAATTGCTCCGGTGTCAACTCGAGCTCGGATGCCGGCGTAGTGGCGTTGGATGTAGGGGTCATCTCCAGCAGGGAGACTGCTGAGGAAACTGCAGAGTTGGCCGGAGTGTTGAATGATTTAGATGCAAGTCGTACGTTCCAGAACTGGCGGGTTGTCAGCTACTACGGTTGAGGGGTGCCCACCTTAGATATCATGTAGCATTCTGGATGCCAGCATTCGTCACGCCCGTTTCTATTCATCTCCACGAACTGTTTCAGGATAGCCGTCTCGCAACCAACGCACTTGACCGCAAAGCGTGTCGAGTAGTGGAAATGACAATCTGACGTGAGCCGCCAGAACTGTCAGGTAAGACTTACAGACTTTGCCACCATGCTCATAGTATGAATCGTTGGGTCCGAACAGAACATCGCATTCGGAACACGTAAAGTGCTCGACGTGGTATTTGTTGCCTGTTACACTCAGCCCGATATTCAAGGATAGCTTACTCACCACACGCAGTAATGTAGCTCGACCGTAATGCCTGGTCGCACTTGCCGCAGATCAAGCCAAGTCTGGCGAAATAATCCCTCTCACATAACGGGTGCATCCCGTCTGCCTCCTCTATGGGGAAGAATTTCTGTGCAACGACTTTGTCGCAGTCCTGCATGTGTCAGTTGATGCACACCTCCCAGACTCACCTTGCAACGGAAACACTGCAGATGATAGACCTTGCCCATTGCTCGTACAAATTGCCCTCTGACGCCTTGTCCACATTGGCCACAAGCAGTGGGTCCGTCTAATCTGCCGACCTTTGAGTCATCTCGATGAGAACTGCCTGGTCTCTCGCCAGCTGATCCCCCTCGAGGACGAACAGGATGAGGGACGGGCATTGACAGGTTTGGACTTGGTCGCGATGAGGAAGAGTGGTCTTGAAAACCATTTGTCGGGGTCAAGTCGGAGGGTGAATGGGCAGACGATGGATCTCTCGGTTGACCCGTGGCCCTCGGCTCAGGGATACGAGGATCAGGAGATGAAGCGGATCGTGGAGGAGGCGAGCGGACATCTGTGACTCGCAGAGGTGGTGGATGGCTAACGGGTGCACTTCGAGGTGCGTTTGTATCGCGAGCAGTTGACTCCATTGCGAGACGAGGTAGAGGCTTGTTTGCGTTACTAGAGCTCGCCGTCATGGGTCCATTGGAAGATGCGTCCTCCATGTTGCAATCGGAGATACGCCAGAGTAATGTCGTGTGGATAAGTCACGATCAGAGATATCGCGTGGTGTTGATGAGCCCTATATTGAATCGAGAGGTGGGAGATTGGACTGGCTGGAAGACTGTTGAATGGCGCGAAAGAGGTGTATCAGCCCGCGAGGCGGCCATCGAGTTGTGGAACAGCTCCTGGGAATAAGCTCTGTTGACCGTAAGGATGGGGCTCTGAGGCTAGAGGACTGCAAGTGGCCCTTCCACCTGGTCGTATTGGACGGGTCCAAACCCCCAAGTTGGTTCCCGCTACACTCGGTCCCCCTACGCCCTCTCAATGGCACTCAGACTCCTTTGAATATCTCCAATGCAGTCGCTGTGGGCCAAAACAAGTTTGCTGAATCGAGGGCCCGCGCTTGATCGCACTCCAAATGACTTGGTACTAACTTGGGGTTGCGAGTGATGTGTTGATTTAGACGATATCCAAGGGGTGAAGACCTATTCACCTCCGACAACGTCGTAACCCGTTGTGGTCGGGGCGGATGTCTTTGCAGCTGATGGCTACCCCTGTCGAAGTGATACGGCTTGAACGATTGAACAGCAATGGCTAGAGAGGCGAATTAACTTCGTTGCATGTCATGAGGGAGAGCGAGAGGCGGAAAAAGCGCGTATTGTAAATAAGGGGGACCATTTAAAGAACCATCTCATCGCCACCCTTGCTCATGGGCGAGGAGGGTAGGGCACCACATTTTCACGTCAAAGTGCATCCAACCGCGCTGAGTAGCTAGGTAGGATGCTCGGCATGCTTCTCAAACGAGCCCGAGCTCATTGACGCATTCTCGTGTACCTCAGCTAAAAATACAAGTTTAGGGCCGACGTGGCAAGTCGATGCAGAAGACCCGAAAGCCAGGCCCGATGTCCAAGTCTAGACATGTATGATCCACATTCTATGCGTACAACCGATGCCGCGCCCACGACTCAAGGTGACTCCATAAGGATGTTCTGTCCTCAAATTTCCGACTTTGCATCTCCTCATCCATCTTCTCACTGTCCATCACCATTGAGATTTCTCCCAAGAGGGATCTGCAAGTTGCTCAGCATCGTTCCTTTGGATGTTGTTCCCACCTTGAAGGAAAGCACATAATACCTTGCTTCCAGTTTGTAGCAATGGATGACCGGCAACGACTTCCAAAAACCGTTGTAGACCCTCTCGTCGCTGCTCAATCACATCATCGGTAAAGCGGTTGGTGAAGACCTGCTCGTGTCAGCGAGCTGTCAGGTGACTCAGAACCTACCTTGCCTGGAAGCGGCGGAATATTGACCCGTGTGGATTCTCTCTCTAGGATATCTCGGAAGGCCTCGAAATCAGAATACCGACGACGAACGATCGAATGACGCAGTTTGAACGCTGGGATATTGGTCTGCGGTATGAGCATACGATGAGGCAGTCTGTACTCACCCGGCAAGTGATTTCATAATCTGTGTACATCTTCCTGCCCGCACCTGAGACAAGGGGTTCAGCTTAATCGCCGAGATGAGTAGATACACGCACCATGAGTCATCGGTTTCGACACCTCAATCTCGAGAAAGCTTTCCGGGACAGAGTACATTTCGTCGAACTGGGCGACGGGAGTTAGCAGGGATCGACGACAACAACGCCGAACCCACCGTCTGCGGTCGTCCTGCCATTCTAGCCATCTCTGAAAACGTTATGCGTTGCGATGAGTCGGACCGGGCAAAGGGGGAGTGATTGACCTCGACTGGAAGTGTCAATCATAATTGTGCAGTGTTTGACATACTTGGAGGACTAGCAGGACCAGGCGTGTAGAATTCTGCAGGATCGTATCAGCACGCATCCCTTGGCAATGCTAGTAGTAAGATTTACGTGGATTCGGCGCATTCGCCTGTGGCTGTTGATTCGGATTCATAGCCATGATAGTATTCGCAAGCGTTGATCTTACAGTTCAGGCTGCTAATGAGAATAACCTCTCAGCGTCGAACTTTCGATCAAGTCACTTTAGAGTGAGTGGATGGGATGATGTATGAGTTCAAGAAGATTACAGGTATATGACGGCGGCAACATTCAGGAAAATTGATTCCGTCCTTGTGGTGCCCCAGTGTTCAAGTAACGGCGTAGAGGCCAGGTACTCAGTCAGTCATGTTGTTCAATCATATCTCAAGCGATGGGCTGCTCACACGTCGAGAAAGTCACAGCGAGCTTGAAGCCGCCAGGACCATCTCAACAGGTTCACCGGTGAGTCGGCTCATGATCATGACCACGCTCGTGACCTGACCATGTCCAGTGAAGAGTGCACTCTCTGCTTCGACGGTCAGGTAAGCTATGTCGGGGCGGGGCGGGGCAGGGTGGAGCTAATGCATGGCCCAGGATGATACAGAGGGAGTGGTGGTATGTCTGCAATGCTTCAATGGAGGATGTTTCGGAGAGGGCAGACGGCATGCGCTGCTGCATTACGAAAAGACCAAGCATCCTCTAGGCGTGGTCATTAAGCGAACGAGGAAAGAACCCAAGCGGAGGGTGAGCTGCGACCATATGCTCGCTTGGGAGCTCATCCAATCTTAGGACTCTGAAGAACCACCAGTGAAGAAACTAGCAATCGCCGCGCCGAGCGATGAGGAGCTCTACGAATACACCACGTCTTTGCGATGCTTCGGCTGTTCCGCGTACGGCGAACCGATATCGACGGACGACAAGACGGTGGCGAATACCATTGCAGGGATCATGTCGGCTTTGTCGTCTGCTCAGCAGTCCGAAGTGAAAGCCTGGGAAGAGGAGATCCTAGCTTGTGAACATACTTTGACTCTGGACCAGGATATGACCCAGTTCCCAGGATACAGTGAGTACTGGTTCATCACTTGACTCACGAGCAGTCGCTACGAAGTGTGACCACTGCGATCTGACCAACAATTTATGGCTCTGTCTCATCTGTGGGCATGTCAATTGTGGACGACAACAATTTGGAGGTGTCGGTGGCAATGGGCATGCTCTGCAACACTTTGCCGAGACTGGGCATAGTGTGGGTGTCAAGCTGGGGACCATCACACCAGAAGGGATGGGAGGTGAGTTCGACATGTGGGGTTTGACTGACTTCAGATATCTACTGCTACTCTTGTGATGATGCTAAACTCGATCCGTCACTCCCGTTCCACCTCAGCACATTTGGCATGCAGGTCATGGACTTGTCCAAAACTGAAAAATCAATGACGGAGCTGGTGAGTGTTGGCAATATGAAGTGGACTGACCGACCAGCAACTCGAACATAATCTCAAGTTTGACTTTTCAATGACAGGTGAAGATGGACGAGAGCTTGAACCGGTGTTTGGCAAAGGCATGACTGGGTTGAAGAACCTGGGGAATAGGTGAGCGATGACTCGAAATCGGTGCGACACTTATATTTCAAGCTGCTATATGGCATCAGTGATGCAGACGCTCTTCTCCCTCCCCTCGTTCCGCGAACGATACTACACCGATGCAGCGTTCTCACACCTCCAAACATGCGACAACCCTCTGCCCGCCTCCTGTCTCGAATGTCAGATGCTGAAGCTCTCTGATGGACTAATTTCTGGGAGGTACTCTCATCGCGCCACGGCTCCACCCGCCACAGATTTTGAACAGGAGGCGCCTCGGTTTCAGGAAGGTATCCGACCCAGCCAATTCAAAGCGCTCATTGGAAAGGGGCACGAAGAGTTCTCCACGATGAGGCAACAGGATTCGGAGGAGTTCTTACAGCATCTCCTGACGCGCTTAAGGGCGGAGGCCAAACGACAGGGTCGAAACGAAGAGCTTGAATCGACCAACATTGTCAAGTTCGGTATGGAGCAGAGACTGCAGTGTGGGGAATGTAGACGAGTCGGGTACCGAGTCGATGCGGTGGACCTAGCTAGCTTGCCAGTTGAGGCAGAGGAGAACGGAGTGGGCGAGGAGGGGAAGAAGCTTTGGAAGCCGGTAGAGCTGGAGGCATGTCTCAATGCGCTGTGTGCGCCGGAGGAGCTATCAGACTATGCTTGCTCAAATTGTGGGCGCAAAGTACGGGCGGAAAAGTGGGCAACATTGTGGCTTCCGACATGCTGACTCGGTCAGGTCCACCAAATTCAAGACCTTTCCGGATCTCCTGATCTTGCATATGAAAAAGTTCCAGCTCGTCAATTGGGTCCCGACCAAGCTGGGTGGGTCTAAGTGAGGGGCGGGGACTGACGAGTTCAGAAATTCCCGTTCACGTTCCCGAAACCTTATGCCTAGACAAGTATGTGGGCACAGGGCGACAAGCCGGCGAAGAGGATCTTGATCTGGATGCCAATCCAGGTGAGAAGCAACTTGGTCAGAGCTGATGATGAGCCTCTGTGCCAGAGTTTGACCCTGTGGCGCTCTCACAGCTAGAATCCATGGGGTTCCCCTTGATTCGTGCTCAGAAGGCCTTGCTCGCGACAGGCAACAGTGATGCTGAAACTGCCATGACGTGGCTCTTGGAGCATATGGAGGATCCTGGTGGGTTTTGTGTTTCTGAGCATATCTGACGCCAGACATCGACGCTCCTCTGCCTCAGTCTGGAGGATCTGGAGCAGAGCCTTCTGCTGAGCAGATTGCATCAATCGCTGATATGGGCTTCTCAGCTGCGCAAGCGAGAAAGGCGTTGCGGCAGACGGTGAGGCAGTTCCATTGCGCTTGTGTTGATGGTTCAAGGGTGGGAATCCCGAACAAGCCATTGAATGGCTGTTCTCCAACCCCGACGATCCGGGGGAGGAGTCTATGGTGCACCCTCCTGAAGACGCATCTGGATCCGAGGCAAACGTCGGCGGCAGCACCAGACTGCCCGCAAACTATCGCCTCAAAGCGTTCATCTCGCACAAGGGTCCGTCAGTCCATTCAGGTCATTATGTAGCGACGATCAGGCAGCCACAAGCTGGACTGGGGGATCAAGTAGAGGATGAGTGGGTCTTGTTCAATGATGAAAAGGTCGTCAAGACTCCACCTAGAGGAGGGGAGGATATGAGATCGTTGGCTTACTTGTATGTGTACGAGCGGGTGTGAGCGTGTTGCTAGGGTACACTCGGAAACCAAGTGGGCAAGTATTCAACAGTTCAGTCACAGTCGCACATGCATATGAGCCATTTTCGTAAACGCGCCGGATGACCTCCACCTTGTGTCTCCACCTGGCGTTCAATACGTCACAAACAATTTCCTTTCGACGTCGCTCAAGGCCTGTCCATATCACACACCTCGTAACGATGGCGACTGACATACCAAATCAGATGAAGGCGTTGAGGATCCACGGCGTGGGAGAGTGAGCCGTTAAACCGGACAGAGGCTGACCGCCAGAAAATACTACAAGTTGGAGCAAGTTGACGTGCCTTCGCCCAAAGGATACGAAGCCCTGATCAAGGTTGGAGCTGCGGGACTTTGTCACACCGATATGATGTTGTTCACTGGCGAGTTCAAGACTGACAAGTACCCCTTGATTGGGAGTCATGAACCTGCTGGGACGGTCGTCGCCCTAGGGGAGGACGCAAAAGGGACCGTGAAGATTGGTCAAAGAGTCGCCGGGATGCTTCATCGTGACGTCTGTGGTGGGTCCGCTGCCATACTACATACTATGACTCACTGCACCTAGGTGAATGCACAGATTGCAAAGCTGGTCTACCAAAGTAAGAGTGCGTTATGATCTCTGCTGATGCCTCAGATACTGTCCGAACTCTCTCTACACCGGTATCACGACCAACGGAGCCTTTGCAGAGTATGAGATCCTTGATGCAAGGTATCTCGCTCCCATCCCGGACGAAATGTCGTTTGAGCAGGCAAGTCAATTGATCGCACTTGGTGGATTGATCTTTCCCAGGCTGCACCGATGACCTGTGCCGGAATCACCATCTATACAGCTATCAAAAAGGCGAAATTGAAGCCTGGACAGATTCTCGCGATCAGCGGTCTCGGGGCATTGGGTCATCTTGGTGTCCAAATGGCCAAAGCGATGGTGCGCCCAAAACAGGCTCTGTGACGACTCACATTGTAGGGCCTCACTGTCGTCGGCATCGACGCTCGTCCCGAACCAATAGCCATGACTGAGGGTCTCAGACTCGCCCCTGATCTCTGCATAGACGCCACGAGCCTTAAAGCTGAAGAGGCAGTCGAGGAGATTCACAAGCTCAGACCCAAGGGCTACGAAGGGTGGAAAGGAGCTGATGGTAGGTCCAGGCCCCCACGGCATACCTCTCGATTTTGAGCTCATGAAACTCAGCCACAATCCTCACATCCGATCCGCTATCTGCTCAACGCTACGCAATGGATATCACCAGACGTCATGGTACATACGTGGTAGTCTCGCAACCTGACGACCTCCGTTTCACCTATCAAGATATCATCTTTAAAGACCTCACGATCATCGGCTCCCTCCACGGTTGGACCGAAGATTTAAAGGAGTGTCTAGATCTGGCTGCAAAGCATGGCATCAAGTCCGAACTGAGTTGCTACAAGCTTGATAAGCATGAGGAGATGGTAGACAGTGTACATGATTCGAAGAGGAAAGGCAAGAGTGTTTTAGTCTTTTGAGTACAGGAACTTCGGATGAGCAGATGCAAATGCCCAGAGAGCGGAGGGGGGCAAGGGGGGGGGGATGCGACCATCCAAGTTTCCAAGCAGCTGTCTTAGTCGTTCCAATGCTTACAACCCGCCTTTTGTAAGTCAACCGTAGTCGATATGAATGCAACCTCATCTTGAGTCAGCAGCCGCTCGCCTCCTGCTCGCTCATGTCCGAAAAGATCGGTCATTACGTGCTTTTTGGAAAAAAGGAAATCAGCCGAAGGGTCGATCACCGTGCTTGAGTTCATTCATCGACACTTCAGACTGCTTGTGTCGTGGTCATGGCGGACATTCTCAACATTTACACGTAGCAGTCATCGATCCGATACCATGAACCCCGTGTGAGCCCGATCCCATCTCATCGACGACGATATACTGATTCCGGCCAGTTCCCCACTTTCGGGACGGGGGATGATAACCCCGAACCGCATAGACGAGGATGATTCAGAGTCCATGATGGACTTGGAGGTCCCACAGGGGAACGACATGACCTTTAGGGCGATAGTTGTGGGGCTGGGTGTGGGGTGAGCTATACTCACCTCAACCTTGCGCTGAGATGTTGCAGAGTCATTCTCTGCATGACCAATATTTACTTTGGACTCCAGACAGGTGAGCGGATACATCGAAATTAAATGGCTGAGCCTATGCAGGATGGGTGTCCATGATGTCCCTCCAATCCGCACTCCTTGGCTTCGCCATCTTTAGATTCATTCCCAGAATCCTCCCAACCCTCATGATGACCCCTTTTACACCTCAGGAGAATGTCATCCTGCAAACCACCGCAGTGGCAACAGGCACCATGCCCTTGGCCGCTGGACTCGTTGGCATCATCCCCGCGCTTGAGATGATGAAAATGGACGTGGACGGTAGACCTCCAATCGTCCTGGACTACGGTCACTTGGTCATGTGGTGTCTAGCAGTTGCGTTCTTTGGGTGAGGATGCGCCAGATCGCATAATCTGATCACTTTGCAGGGTTTTCCTCGCCTCTCCTCTCAGACGTCAGGTCATCGTGAAGGAAAAGCTAGTCTTTCCGTCAGGAAGTGAGTTATGGACTGAGAGCCGCTGCTGATCAGACCAGCCGCGACGGCCCAGCTCATCGCCCTGTTGCATAAAATCCCTCCACCGTCTCAATCCCTCAAACCCTCCGGCGGAACATATAAGCGTTTACCGAGGTCGTCTGCAGAGACAGACGAAGAATCGTCTCGAGAGTCCGATGCCAGAGCCAAGAACCACCAGGATGAACAAGCCATGGGAGGATCGGGGTGGCGAGCGTTGGGCTGGAGTTTTGCTGCTAGTGGGGCTATGACCGTGAGTAGCTGACTGTACGAGATCATCAGCTGAAACAACCAGGTCTTGAGCTTCCTCTTCCCTGTGTTGTTCTCCATACCCATCTTCGACATCTTCAGCATTCCTTTTGGCACCAGTCTTGCTGCTGGCTGGTTGTGGTAGTGAGTGCAACAGCGTGGGTTTTGTCGGAGTTAATGCCAGGCCAGCTTCACGCCGTCCCTGTCATATGTCGGTCAAGGGATCATCATGGGCTTCCCAGTCACAGTCTCCATGAATGCCGGAATGCTAGTTGGCTGGGCAGTCTTATCTCCCCTTTCGAAACATTTAGGCTGGGCACCTGGTCCTGTAGGTTCGACCACAAACGGAGCTCGCGGCTGGATCGTGAGTCGAACCCCTTGTGGCCGGTGCTGACACACCTAGCTCTGGGTTGCACTGGCCATCATGATCGCGGAGTCCATCATTTCACTGTTGCCTATTACGCTCGATCATCTGAACCGCTGGATCTCCCACTACAGACAACGTAGTGCCCGACCTGGCGTATTTCGTCCGGCCTCGCCGGAAGACCGCACTCGGGACGATTATTTCGATCCAGTACCTGAAGAGGACGACCCGGAGCACGAGCCACCAGAACGTCTCGTCCCTGGATCCTGGGTCTGGTGGGGTTTAGGAGGGAGCGGTATTCTTGGTGTCGTACTCGTGTGGATGGTGTTCGGGGCGGATGGCATTCATCCTTGGGCAACGGCCGTTGGACTAATCCTGGCCAGTATTTTGAGTTTGATAGGGGTCCGCGCACTGGGGGAGACGGATCTCAACCCTGTGAGTCTCCCCACATCGATCATTGTTGACGCCCGATAGGTCTCGGGCATCGGCAAAATCAGCCAGCTTTTATTCGCTGTCCTTCAGCCAGGCAACGTCGTTGCGAATGTCATTGCGGGTGGTGTCGCCGAGGCCGGGGCTCAACAGTGCGTCCTATATCCGCGAGTCTGGGCTGACAAGCAGAGCCGGCGATCTGATGCAAGACCTAAAGACCGGTCATCTACTCAAAGCGTCACCACGATCCCAATTCTACGGCCAAATGATCGGGAGTCTGGCCAGTGTGTTCGTATCTACCGCAGGATACAAGTTTTACACCTCGGTGTATACTATCCCTGGGCCTCAATTCGCCGTTCCGTCTGCGGGTATCTGGTGAGCGGTCTTCACCTGTGATCCATTCCCGGCTGACGCTCCGCTCAGGCTCAATCTCGCCCGACTGCTGAACAATGGTCATCTCCCGGATCACGTCGTGCCCTTTATGATTGCGTTCGGGGCCTTCTTCGCCCTGGCATCGGCTGCCAAATCCTTCCGATCAAGCTTACAGAGTCCCCAGCTTGATCGCATGGTGTCATATCTGCCATCCGGCATAGCGTTCGCCATCGGATTCCTCAACGCTCCCTCCTTCTCACTCGCTCGCTTAATAGGAGGATATATAGCATACAGAACTGCCAAAGCCAGTGGAACAGGCGAGACACCCCTCTTCGCCATCGTGGTCGCGTCCGGTTTCGTCCTTGGCGAAGGTGTACTCAGTATAGCCACCTTGACACTGACTAGTGCGGGATTTGGGGCTCTGAGTTGTTTCGGATGTGCAATACACGGGGGAGGATATTGTGCGGGAACGTGTGCATAGACTTCACTACTAGACATTGCGCTCGAGCGCATAATAATGTACAATCCTACTTCGCCAGGCGTGACCAGACAGACATCTTAGCACATGTCCTTTGCACTTTGTAGCGGTATAAATGACCTAGCTCGGCCACGATATGCCGTTTATAAGGACGACGAGGACTGCCTTCGGGTCTTCATGTCTTGGCAGACTGTCCTGTCTCCACACTGAGCCGACACTGGCGACTGCAGACACCTTTCCAGCTTCCTTCAGATTGCCTTATAAGACGAGCGAGTTGATCTTGTGCTCCTTTGCCAGTCTCATCACATCCCGCTGGCCACCACTGCAATTTTTTCAATCTTTTGAATTCGCCTTGTTCGACAATTATGGTTTTACACGCATACCCATATCCCATCAATCAGCATGCGATTCTCATCTGTTCTCTTTGCACTTCCCCTCGTTGGCTGTGTTCTCGCCGCCCCTTTGCCTCTCAAGGAAGACATTGCCCCGATTGCCAAACGTGACCTCGATGTTGTCTCGATCCTTGCAGATGTCGAGGCCAAAGTGGTGAGAATTGGATCAGGTTTCAAACAGCAAGCTCACGAAGTAACGCAGGCTACAATCGTCCGAGAAGCTGGCCAGGTCTTGGCGGTTACAGATATTGACGCGCATATTGGAGTTGTCGTAGAACCCTTGACGCACTGTCTGGAGCTACTGTCCGTCAATGCCGATATTGCAGCGGATGCAGGTGTTCACTTTCACAAACGAGAAATGGTGCGGCTCGAAGTGTGAGTACTCCCTCGGCTTCGGTTTATCCATTGATGCTCCGTGCAGTCGTGGTCTCGACATCAACAATGTTGCGAACATCCTCGTCCAGATCACTGCCCACGTCAACGTATTCGTCTCTTCCATTCCTGATGACCTTCATCAGGACCCAGCCGTCGTGAGTTGAGGCTTGATTATACATAGCGGTCATGCGTATCACTGATCATGCGGTAAACTAGGGATCCCTGGTTAAGTCTGCCGATTCGCTCCTTGTCAACGTCTGGCATCAAGGTTCTCATTCCCGATCTTCTCATCACCTGCTCTGGAATTCTCGTCTCCCTGCATATCAACATCAACGGTCTCCTCGAAGGCGTCACTGGACTCCTCGGTGAACTTACATGTATCAGTACTTTGACCGTTTGCCCATTGCTGGTCCTCTCGTCGCAGGTCTCGTCGGTAATATCCTTAGATTGTAATGTCCACTTCTAGCTCTCTGCAACTAGGCCATTACATTCCATCGTTCAACTGGCACTACATAGACATACTGTATGCTAAATACATACCTCGTTGCATGCTCCCACAGCTGCCACGCCACGCCACGCCACGCCACGCCACGCGCTGCCACTTATCACACGACCTCAATTGCCGGCGGAAAGCCAGTGTTGCTAATTTTAGAAATTAATTAACCCGTTATCTTTTCGGAACTGATTTTGGTGCGAAGATCCGTCTCTTGAGAAGATTTTCAGTGGGGGAACAACAGTTTCTTGTCTTGTCTTCATACACTATTCAGCAATAATGTGGTCCCAATTTTGGCTGTGTCTGCGCTCGCGAGCTCCCTCCTCGTTCAAGGCGCAGCAATCTCTGAGCGTTACGAAGATGACCACCTAGAGAAGCGATGGTACCCTATCAGACCAAAAGTCATGATTGTCTCGTGAGCAGCATTCCAGATAGGCTAATAGGGCGAATTGTCGCTGATACTTTTGTCTTGAAGGATGTTCGGCCCCGAGTCCATCTGGTCTGAGCCTCTCCAACTTGACCAGAATGTCACCGTCACTGGACTTTCTCCTCTTTATCCCGAAGTGCACTGCGATTCCAACGGTACGATCTGTCAATTCGTGACTGGTGAAGCAGAGATCAATGCTGCATGCTCAATGACTGTGAGCCTGGGACTCATCTTCCGCTCAGGTCAGTCTCTGATAGTCTCGTAGGCTCTGCTCCTATCCCACAAGTTCGACTTCAGAAAAACCTACTTGTGAGTCGGTCCGTCTTGTGCACGACACTGACCCATGCAGCATGATCGCCGGTATCGCCGGTATCAATCCATTTGAGGGAACCCTCGGTTCCGTTGGTCTGGCCCAATTTGCTGTCCAAGTGGCCTTGGCGTGAGTACGGCGGCACTTGCATCGAAGCCACTTGTCCTGACGATCTTCAGCTATGAGCTCGATGCTAGGCAGATTCCCAGCAACTGGACTACTGGCTATTGGCTCCAGGGCACCAACCAGCCTGGAGACCCACCCAACCCTGACGATATCTACGGAACTGAGGTCTTCGAGGTAAGTAGTCATCTGCGACGCCCGGGGCGTGATCTGACAAGTCATAGCTCAACACCAATCTCCGTCAAAAGGCTTTCGAGTTCACCAAGGGTGTCGAGCTGAACGACACTGCCTCGGCCGCTGCTTACCGGTGAGTTCGCAATAGTATCGGCCTTTCTCACACTACAGCGCTCGATTCAACTACGCTCCCGCCAACCAGCCTCCTTCCGTCTTCTTCGGCGGTGAGTCGGACGGGAAGCAAGCTCTGGAGCTCCGCTGATTCTCCCAGACGTCGCTACTTCTGACGTTTACTTTGCCGGATCGGACCTCGCCGAAGCATTCGGCAACATCACCCTCCAGTGGACCAACAACACTGGACACTACGCACTCACTGCTCAGGAGGACAATGCTTCGTTCGAGGCCATGGTCCGGGCTGACAGAGCTGGTCTTATGGACTTCTCTCGAGTCATCTTGATGCGAACAGCATCAGACTTTGACCGAGCTCCTCCAAACTTGACCGAGTGAGTCGACTACGAGCTAGGTCAAGTTATCCTTTGATGACTGTCCGCAGGCTGTACGCCTTCGAGTACAACCAAGGCGGGTTCCCTCCCTCCATTGCGAACATTCTCATCGCTGGCCAACCCATCGTCGAGGGTATCATCGCCAATTGGGACAGCGAGTTTGAGCAAGGTATTGCCCCTCAAGCCAACTGGTCTTACAATGCCGATGACCTCCACACTCTTGCTCAGAAGAAGATGGCAGCTACCAGGCGTAGAATGACCACCGTCCCTCTCTACTAGACTGCATAGCCACAAGCCATCGAGCAAGCGTGTTCCCGGGATCTTGCCAAATTTCATCTATAATGACATCTATCCAGAAAAATGCATCTCATATCCCGCCACGATGAATTTCGCCACTGATCATCCCACGTGGTCAACCCAATGCAATCTCGCAAGGCCCGACATTGAGTCTCAGCTGGTTCATCCCTTTGAGGTATCGAGGGATATCGACTCGACTCGACTCCTTTCACATCTTGGACTACAAAAACTGTCGTCCGTCCACCGAGGTATCTTGACCTCGTATTGAATGCTGGCAGAGAGACTGTACAGCGTTACAAGCATCGCTTCACGTCCAGCCTCGCGTCTCATTCCAAATCGTCTACTTTTAAATCCCAGATCATCCTACCCGCCAACCTGGCAACATCGCTATACAATGTCTGCAGCTTCCAGCAAACCCAATGTCCCCGTGTCTAGCCCTCACCCGTGGCCGAGACGGGAGGACTGGCCCGCTGCCAAGGTCAGATCGACGTTCATCGAATACTTCAGAGACCAACCTGGATTTGAGCATACTTTCTGGCCGTCCAGCGGAGTCATCCCTTTCGAGGATGATACGCTCCTCTTTGCCAATGCTGTGAGTCTGACCGTACTCGAGGATGCTCCAGCTGAGGCGCTCTCAGGGTATGAACCAGTACAAACCGGTCTTCCTTGGCACAGCGGACCCCAAGTCTGACTTGTCGAAATTGATTCGAGCAGTCAACTCGCAGAAGTGTATACGAGCGGGAGGAAAGCACAACGGTGGGTCCAGGCTGGACCAAGCGGATGACTGATCTCCCCCTAGATCTTGACGACGTCGGCAAAGACACCTATCACCACACTTTCTTTGAAATGTTAGGCAATTGGTCATTTGGCAACTACTTCAAGGTATGAAAGAGACCGCGTGGTATGCTCGCATAGCTAACACATCGTCCAGCTCGGCGCTCTGACAATGGCTTGGGATCTTCTAACACGCGTGTATGGTCTGCCAAAAGACAGACTCTACGTTACGTACTTTGAGGGAGATGCGAAACAAGGTCTTGAACCGGATTCAGAGGCTCAGTGAGCTACTTAAGATCTCCTTTAATTTTTTTCCGGTAGCTGACCCCCTCGGAAGACAGATCTGGCGTGATATTGGTGTGCCGGAGAATCATATTCTGCCCGGAAACGCAAAGGACAACTTCTGGGGTGAGTTCATTTCAAGGGCCGTGGGCATGGACACTGAGCGCTTTTGCAGAAATGGGAGCCACTGGACCCTGCGGTCCTTGCAGTGAGATTCACTTTGACCGCATAGGCGGACGTGAGGCTGCACACTTGGTCAACGCGGATGATCCGGACGTTCTCGAGATCTGGAACAACGTTTTTATCCAATACAACCGCGAAGCTTCCGGCTCATTGCGCCCTCTCCCAAGCAAGCACGTGGACACCGGTATGGGATTCGAGCGATTAGTCTCAGTCCTTCATAATGTTCGATCAAATTATGACACTGATGTCTTCACCCCCATCTTTGCCAAGATTTCAGAGCTGACCGGTACACGACCATACACCGGCAAGCTCGGAGCGGATGACAAGGATGGCATCGATACTGCGTACCGAGTCGTCGCGGACCACATTCGAACCTTGACAATCGCAATCTCTGATGGTGGTATACCGGACAAGGACGGTCGAGGATATGTGCTGCGGAGAATTTTGAGACGAGGAGTAAGATATGCAAGTGACAAGCTCGGAGCGAAGCCCGGCAGCTTCTTCTCGTCTCTTATCCCGACTGTCGTCGACACTCTGGTGAGCGATCTCCAATGATCTTAAGGTCCCGACTGACGCGTGTAGTCGGAAATCTTCCCCGAGGTCACCAAGAAGACTGCTGAACTGAAGGAGATTCTCGACGAGGAGGAAGCATCATTCGCCCGAACACTAAGCCGTGGAGAGGCTCTGTTCAGCAAATACGCGGATGCTGCCGCGAAAGAGAACCGGACTGTCCTGCCCGGGAAAGACGCCTGGAAATTATACGATACATACGGATTCCCGGTCGACTTGACTCAAATCATGGCGGGGGAGAGGGGTTTGAGCATCGATCAAGAAGCATTTGAAAAGGCAAGGTTGGACAGTCTGGAAGCGAGTAAAGCTGGTGGCAAGGCCGCAGGTGGTGTCGGTGTCAAGCTCGACGTGCATGACCTTGCGGCTCTGGAAGCTAATGCGGACGTGCCGAAGACGAATGATGAGGCTAAGTACTGTGAGTGCCACCAGATCAGGGCCTCGCTGATGATGTCAGTGCTCTCTGATATCAAAGCCACTGTCAAGACCATTTATCACTCATCGAAATTCTACTCATCCACCTCTGAGCTTCCAAAAGGATCTTCATTTGGTATCATTCTCGATAAGACCAACTTTTATGCCGAGCAAGGAGGTCAAGAGAACGACACTGGAGTGCTTGCTATTGATGGCAAGGCCGAGTTCAAGGTTGAGGATGTCCAAGTTTACAACGGACACGTCCTGCATATCGGCCAACTGGAGGAAGGCGAGATCAAGGTCGGCGATGAAGTTTTCTGCACATATGATGAGGTAAGCAGAGGTTGTACAGAGTGATCTCACGCTCGCAGGACCGCCGATGGCCAATTCGAAACAACCACACTGGAACTCATATTCTCAACTTTGCACTCCGGGAAGTGTTGGGCGACCACATTGACCAGAAAGGATCCCTAGTCGCTCCCAACCGCCTCCGGTTTGACTTTTCTCATAACAAGTCGATCACTACTGCCGATTTGGTCAAGATTGAAATAATCTGCTGCGAATGGATCAAGAAGGCTGTCCCGGTCTACGCCAAAGAAATGTCTCTACAAGAAGCTCACAAGATACCCGGGCTGCGAGCAGTCTTTGGAGAAGCTTACCCCGATCCCGTTCGAGTCGTTTCCATCGGATATCCACTGGAGGATATCCAGCAGAACATCGAAGACTCCAAGTGGCGTTCGACAAGTATCGAATTCTGTGGGGGAACGTGAGTGTGGCAGGTATTAGTGATGTTGATCATCTACACAGGCACGTGGCCAAGACGGACGACATCAAAGACTTCGTCATCACCGAGGAGTCCTCCATCGCCAAAGGGATCCGCCGAGTTGTTGCTGTGACTGGATTCGAGGCCAATGAGGTATCTCGTAAGGCCAAAGATTACGAGAACCGATTGGAGCGGGCGAATGGCCTGCAAGGCAAGGAGAAAGACGCGGCATTGAAGGCGTTCTACACTGTATGTCATCCATCTGCGGATCCTTATTAATCAATTTCAGGAGCTAGTCCAAAGTAACATTTCATTGGTCCGAAAGACTCAACTGAAGGAGAAATACGAGAAGATCCAGGCCGAGATCTTGGCAGTTACTCGAGCGAAGGAGAAGGCTGATCAGAAGCTGGCGAGTGGATCTTGTCGCGGTCCCATGACCAGAGCTAACAGAAGGGGCAGATTTCTGACGAGGTGCAAAAGTACTTCAGCGAAAATCCGAACGAGTCCGTCTACGTCGGCGTCTTTGGACTCGGGGCAAATCCCAAGGTCAGTCTCCATGATGGCCAGGTCTTGTATCTAATGACCGCTTAGATCCTCGCTGCCGCCACGAACCTTGGAAAGACTCTCGGCAAGGCGATCTATGTCTTCAGCACGGAGACTGAGACTGGCAAAGTTGCACACACCAACTACCTGCCGAAAGAAGTCCTGTCGCGCAAGGTGCTGGACGCCAAGGTCTGGCTTGGGGAAGTCACCAAAATTGTCGGGGGAAAGGTATGTCAGATAGCTTCTCAATGTGGTTGCGTCCTTTGCTTATCCGGCTGTATCAGGGCGGCGGAAAGGACGACAATGCTACGGGTCTCGGGACGGAGCTTGACAAGGTCGGAGAGGCAGTCGAGGTCGCCAGAAACGTTTACAGATCCAAGGTTGAGGGCCTTTAGACCTCTCTCATACTTCACTAGCCCTGCATGTACATCCAATAGTACTTGACTTCGCTTCGAACTGAACTCCAATCCTCTCATAAACGCTGAATCTTGCACTTCAGTTCGGATATTCCGACCGGCGTCCCTGCCTTCTCATCGTAGTCGTCCCATCGTCCATCCTCATCCTCCTCATTTAACTCCATCTCGAACGGCGTCCCGGTTTCTGTCCCTTTACACTTCCATTTGCCTGCAATAGCTCGTCAGTATCGCAATGCCTCGAGAGGCACAACCCACCTCTGAAATGCAGTTTCGTGAATTCCAGACCTCTACAGTCCAAAGCGATGAACGGCGCAAACTTGCCATTCTCCTCAGAGAACGGTAATGGGGCTGTCGATTTAGTTGAAGAGGTGGGAGGCACGAAAGAGGCCGAGTGTTCTTTCTGTGCCAAAGAGTCAGAGCTCAGATGCAATTCGTGAATGAAGTTTATGGAGGCTCACCTTACAATTCTGACATCTCCACACGAAGTGTGCTGAACCTCTCGAACCGGATATCTCATGCTCTTCCTGCATATGCATATCAGCGGCAGCGTAACCTCGCACGGAGCAAGACTTGCCGTTTGGTTCAATGAGATGACTTTCGGATGGGGCTCGCGACATGATCCGCACGTCACCTGTGACACGTATCAGCAGGAAGTGAGGCTTCACTCGCTGATCCCATGACACACGTTGAAGAAGTATTCATAATCCTCTTCTGCCGGCTGCACGTCCGTCACGCCTTCGAGCTCCATACTGATGAGAACTTGGAGTTTCTGCGATCGTCAGAGGTGTGGAATGTGCCCTTGAGAAGCTGCAGAGGACTCACAACCATCTTTGAGTTGTAGCTTCCTTCACCTCTGTGAGATGCTGAGAAACAACAACATATATCACGGATCCCGATGCATCGGAATGCACGATTGCAGAGTTGCCGAAATTCCTGGGACCTGAATTCCACCTTCATGTCGATCTGTTACACTTCACAAAGGTCATAGGGCTTGTCCGAATGGCATGTGGGCTACTAGCTCTCGGTCAGGATGGTCAGTTTGGTCCATGGTCAGGCGATATATGGGTCAAGAACCCGTTCCAATCAATGGATCAGATATCTCAGAACAGCTCAGAGGCGTCATGCGCAATGTTCCACAGGTGAGCGGTGCTCGTCCGTTATGACGCCACGCTGCACGGCAAGTTCTGACTACCTCATCAGCCTGTAGCTCTTGCTGTTGCTCGGACACCATCTTCCGCCGGTGAACCATCCAGATACCATGGCGCTACGCTTTCTTCATTCACTTCCTTGACTCTACACCCTGAGCCGCTCGTAGCCTTTTCATTACGTCTACCGTCACGCTTAGCAGACTTCATCCGGCCAGGAGGTAAGGACATTGGACATATCCCTCTATACGATCCATCTAGCGTATCGCCATCCTCGGCAACGCGCTCGATACCTCCTCAAATACCTTTACCTAATAATCCTCCACCTCATCACTCTTACGCATCCCATTCGCTTACCATATCCCTTCTCGCGCAATGTCACGCACACCTGGCCGATCGTTTTGCACGACCTGGTCTAGACATGTCAACTGCGTTTTCCTCGACCGATTTCGACCTGTCGAAGGTGCCTCCCGGTGTGAAGGACGCTTTGGGCATCTTAAACTGCCAAGTGGTCATGTCACTGCCGTTGAGAGACGTGTCTCCCCCGCCCAGCACAGGCAGAATGGCGGAGACGTCTCCGATAGACATTCAGACGGGAGGGGACAAGGTACATGGAAGCGAGCTATTCATATGCCGCGTGATATCTGTCATACAGGGGGATGAGGGACTCGTCATTGATCCATTGTTGTATTGGCGTAGAAAGTATATTAGTGTACAAAATCAATCGGAGCAGCCGTATACGTGGTAAGACTAGAACTGCAGCCTGATGCATCACGCAACGGACAAGGATACCCGCCGACCTCACGCAAAGATAATCTCCCAATCTAGTTCTGCGATGACGTCCAACCAATGGACGGACACTGTCCCCTTTCTGTTCTGTTCCCAGAGTTTCTGGACGATCTGCTTGGAACGAGACATGTTCAGGAATGCGAGCTTCTCGCTATTAGGCGGATCAGCGTGCAACACACCAGGAGAAGAGGTGGGAGGCGGGAGCTCACATGGCCAGGTCGTACAGCTTCACAATCCGTTCTCGATCGCTGCTCTGGCCTTTCTGTTCGACAGAGGGTCCCGCCGAGCACACTGCCACGGTGAAAAGTATCCAATGAGACGATACGAACCCAGGCAGACTCAGCATTTCCATCGTCTCCAGTAGAGATAGCGCCTTTCGGACCAAGTGTTGGACGGTCAGAGTCTGAGGAGGATGGTCCAGGACGAAGCACTTGAGTTGGAGAATACAAGCTATCCGATAGGCGTCGTGAAAATACCGGTGGCTCGTCATATCTGGTAGCCCTGAGCCACACTCAGTGGGTCATCATAATCACGCGCTCTTCAGACGCACGTATGACCAGGTCCTCAAGCCACAATCTCTCGGCCTCTATCTTGTCCTCGACCTCTTGCACCGATGAAGTCAATTCGTCTAACTCTCGATCGCTCCACGGCATATCCTGTTGTGTCCATCTTGTCTTGACCAGTCGCCCTATCAATGGTACAACGCAGTACAGTGGCAGCGCCAGACCCGTCAATGGATGGGGTGTCCCACGTTGGAGATTTGCGTACGCAATCGATGTCTCAGAGGGTAAGACTGAGCCTTGAAGGTAGATTGAGGAGCTCTGAGATTGTGGCATTAGCCAAACACGCATGAGAGCTGACTCACGCAGCTGTCATGATACACGACTTCTTCCAAGCTGCTCGGGAGTCAAAAAGACTTTACCAACCGCATAGACTTACAGAGAGAATTTAGGACTGCTGAGACTTGGTCTTGCCAGTTCCAGGGGGAAAAGAACGGAACACAATCGTCCCAAGTGTGCGATATACTTCCCAAAGCCCCAGACATCGCCCCGACAAATCTGTGCCTTTCAGTCTGTTTATTCGACCTCGGCTCACCTTGTACATGAGGAACATCAACAAGCCCGCCAGCAACGTGATCAGTTCACTTTCCTTGGGCTCCCCGTCATGTTCCAACTCCCTCAGTCGCGTCATGATGATATCTGATCCCTCATCGCCGAGCTGCTCGCTCACTCTCTCCATGGACGATTGACCTTTATTCACCATGTGTCTCGCGGCAAGCGCCAGGATCCCACAATGCAGTGCCCTACCGGCTTGACTTTCGATGTTGGCGCTTGCCGTCATGCTAAACACTTGAAACGCATCTGGAAACATCACGTCGTCGTAAGATACCAGGCTCGTAAGTTGGTCTCGGAAGTAGTCCAGGATCTCAGTCTGTATTTCTCCATCTGGTAGACCACTCGTCGGGTCCACGGGCTGAAGAGTCGATCGGGCGCTCAGTGGAGGGAGCCGCAGAGGAGGGTGAATCTTTGGAGATCTCGTTTGTACCGGTGCGGTAAGAAATGGAGCACAAGTCTCGAGCCAGAGTTGAAGAACAGCCTGTGGTGGTCAGGCCGAATCTCTCAGATCAAAGTGCTCACATCATCAATGGGGTTAGATTGAGGTGGAAAGGCTTGAGAACCGGGAAGAGCCTGATTCCTTGAGCCTATGTCAACATTTTCTGCCAGTTGTCCCGCCATTGGTGTGCGGTGAGCTGTACCGATACCAGCATCATCCGCTTGCGGGTCAAATGAGTAAGTTCTGAACGCTCCTGCTGGTGTAGCAGAATCTCGATGAATTGTTGATCCAGGGCCAGCCAGGGGTCCGCTGGCCTCGTTGACTGGTGGCCGAGAGATATGACTCTCAGGATATGGGGAGCTTGTTTCGGTACTCCGTCCGTTGAGATGGCGTATTGAGGGCCATTCACAGTACTCCAGCGACCTTCAGCATATATCAGGCCTTGTAGAGCGCTCAGCACTCACCAGACTCAACCTCGTGCAAGCTGCACATCGTGGGCGAACGAGATCACATCGTTTCTTCCTTGCTTTACAGGTCAGGCATGCCATTCGCGTCCGTGTGACCTTGACATGCACTCGACGAGATTTCTCAGGAGTGGCATCTCGATCCGAAGATTTAAACGGGCCACCACCCTCAGACATAGCTCATGGTCGAATGTGACGGGTAGATGCAGAGGCTGCTCTGGTTCGAGGACGGAATCTCCGTTGCAACGGGAAAGCAAGGCGGATATTTATGCAATCATTCGAGAAACGCTTGATGCATTCATGATATTCTCGTGATTCGTAACAGATCATGTCGTGTCCTATCTCTCGAGTGATCGCAAGTCCCATGGCTATACCTCAATATACCTTCCGGTCTCAAAGCCCCAGAACAACCACGCGGCAGTGATCAACAACAATCCACCTATTTTCCATCCCACCTCACGAGCAACGGCGTCCCAATCCCACTTCCGATCCCAAGTGAATCTCTCGATCCAGTCAAGATCCTCCGGCGGCAAATTTGGCGAGCGAGGTTTTGTTTTCGGGGTTGTCTCCCCAGTCATGACATTACTGGTGACCCACATCTGAATTGTGCGGGACCAACCAGTCGTCACCCCAATGACTACCCATGCGAGAAGCGGTCGACGCGCACCAAGCACCCAGAGAGTCAGGTATGTAGCTGGCCAACAGAGACACTGTAAGGATAAGAGACGAAGCAAAGTCGATAATAGTGGATAGTAAGATCGCCAACGATGTGTCAAGCCCGTGGTCAGCTCGAAGCAGAAGTGAGCTGTACACAGAGCCTGGGATGAAGTGAGCCGTCGCTTCCCGCAGATTGTGTTTAGCCTACCCAAGCCATGGACAGCACAATGTCTCCTCGATTAACCCTACGCGAAGCTCCGTCTTCCGATATGCTGCCCGCCATGAGCCTCTCCAAAGCCTCTCGAGAGAGGTCTACACCCCACGGCCAAACATCTACCCATAGGACAGCAGAAAACAGAGCATCGATAAGGACACAAATTCCCCATAGACTCGGAAAGACAGCCAAAAGTCGTAAAGATAACAAGCTCGAATCAGAAAATGTCCGCTCGATGATAGCTGGGATGTGTTCGGGCACGTCACGCAGTGTGATCTCTGGGCTAGCTTCGAATGAGAGGCCCAAGCCACTCTTTGAGCGTTCAGGCATGCGATGGCGAAGTCGGCTCTTTCGAGAAGTGAAAGAGAGGGACTCTGACGAAGGCGAGTCCGTGCCCGAAGCTGTATCGTCATCGGCATCCTCACTTCCCGTGACTCCTCCAGTGGGCATTGTCCTGCCGACGGTCATGGGAGTTGATGCCTCCGAGGATGCGGCCGACATGACGGGCGTCATTGGGGTGAGCAAAGGTGGACTCGGATGTGGTGAAGGGGTTTTCTGCAGAGAAGCGAGAGAAGCGTGAGATCTGGTCAGAGGACTAGTGCTGCCAAAGGTTCCAAAGTATGAAGCTGCGGGATTTGGCGACGCCGGAGGAGTGGCTCGTTTCTTGATCACATGTGATCTCTTGTCTCCGCCTGGGTTCTGTCCCCTGGCAACGTCCCCCGCCCATCCTTCGAGCCTGGATCGAAGGGCGACGAGATCAGGTTGTGAGAGAGATTGTTTGTGTCGCGAATTGGTCCTGCGACCAGGGACAAATGTAGAGTCCGAATCGACCTCTGTCTCTGTCTCCGAGGACGAAGAGATACCGTTCTGAGAACGACGTGATCTGCCTCGCGAGCGGAACGTTGAAGGACCAGCCTTTGCATTCGCAACTGTCTTTCCCGACAAAGTCCGCCGGAGCGGGTTTGTCGATCCGTTCGTCCTCGCAGACTGAACATTGACGATTTGAGGGGAGGTCGAACCCCCTTGAACAGGCCGAGATGGATGTCTGGTGTAGAAGGCTGAAGTATACGAGGAGGAACCCTCGGCATTGATCTGTGGCTGGCTTTGCAGGTAAAGGGGCGAGATTTGAGAGAGAGGCGTCAAGCCCGGAGGCAGACGTGGTCGAGACAACGGGCTAGTCGGGGCTGAACGTGAGCTGAAGGTAGGCGATATAGAAGGACTGATGCTTGAGGGTGCTCCTAGTGGTAAGGGAGATGGTCTTGGTCTTGCAATACCCGAATGCTGGCCCTGATGTAAAGTGTCGAAAGATGGATTGAAGTCCAGTTCGAAGTAAGATGCAGACATGTCTGTCGAGGTCCTCGGATGCTATCCAATCCAGCTCTACCACCTCATGACACAGCCATCCAAGATTCCACTTATGTGCCCTTTCACTGGATAGCGACCTGAACGCAGTTCACAAGAGAGTTACCGAGTTACAAACCTCGCCTAAGCAAATGAAACCGGGGATGTGGGCGGGACCTGGCGGCGAGATCCGCCACATCTTCATTGCTCACGTGACGACTACTCGGTCGCGCGTCTGGCCGGTAGCAGCATCTTTGGACGCTGTTTGGCTCGCATCATCATTGTATCAATTGTACTGCTTCATCACTTCCATTATCGTCTGACGACGGCCATCCACATCGGGGTACCCCAAGGGCCCTGAAGAATGGCTCACCGTCAAGATGCCAATTCTCGAATCAGCCGCTGATCAAAAATATCAACACTCTTTGCCGACCGTCTCGTTTAGAATTGTCGAAGATGATAAAGCGTTGCTTGCACCGGCTGGCGTGCACTCGGTAAGCTGCTGATAGCTCTGAGCGACCAGATGCTGATCCGTCATCTTAGGAGCAGAGCCGATCTTATGGCTGTGAGGCGACTCAACGATCCCATTGCCGAAGCGCGACTGACATTCCGTTCAGACAATGACTTTTCAGACTTTGAGAGGCCGGAATTTTACATTCGCTATATAGGTGAGCGGAGAAATGGACCATGAGGACAAGTCGCTCAACCCGTCAGAACCAATCGAAGCCGAGCTGAAGGGTCAAGTCGAGTATGATATGGACGAGCAGGGTGGGAGGAGCGGGCAATCCAGCCCGAGAGCATAGCTCACTCTCTCTGTCAGACCAAGCTTGGCTCGACAACATTAATGCCGAACGCAAGAAAGATCAGTCCGGCCCTATATCCTACGAGGTCTTTGAGATCATGGTCGACAAGCTCGAGAAGGAGTGGTTCGATCTCGTGAGCCGGTCCAGAGAGCTAATGGATCAGCAGCTGATGGAACAATAGATCAAGAGGGTCCCTCAACCAGCTTCGCATCTCCCTGTAGAAGATTCTCGATGCTCCATTTGCGATGATCCTGAAGGCGAGAACTCGAATGCCATCGTGTTTTGCGATGGTTGCAACTTGGCTGTTCATCAAGGTGGGTCGGAACTTTGATCATTGAAAGTTGACCACTCAGATTGCTACGGCGTGCCTTATATTCCGGAGGGCCAGTGGCTGTGTCGGAAGTGCACAGTGGCGCCAGAGAACCCAGTCGTAAGCTCAACGATGTCACAAGAATTTGAGCTTATGACTCAAGTCCTGTTTGTTTTGCCCGAATGAAGGGGGAGCTTTCAAGCAAACTACGACTGGACATTGGGCTCACCTACTGTGCTCGATATGGATCCCCGAAGTAACCGTTAGCAATGCTATCTACATGGAGCCTGTTGATGGAGTGGAAATGGTGCCCAAGAGTAGATGGAAATTGGTGAGCAAGCGCTCGGATGCATGGCTGATATCTCAGATATGCTCCCTCTGCCGCGAGCGGGTCGGTGCCTGTATTCAGTGCGATAACAAAAGCTGCTTCACAGCCTTTCATGTCACTTGTGCGAGACAGATGGGACTGTTGATGAGCATGAAGGCAATGAGCACGGATGGTCAGCTACGAGCCTTTTGTGAAAAGCATCTGCCTGTGAGTCTGCACCGTCACGCCCCAACGTGGCCCTTACTCTTGCTCTCAGGCTGGATCCCAAGACGATTTCGATGAGGACGAGGACGAAGATGGGTCCAACTACTCCGGAACGCCCGTAGCGCAGCCTCCGCCGAAACCCAGGGTGCAGCATCGGCTCCCGAAGCGCAAAATTGGACCTGTGACGACCAAGTCTGCAAGAGCGCACACAAAGTCGTACCGCCCAGGACCGCCGATCGTCCCCCAGGTCATAGTTCAGACGCTGCTCGACTACATTGCTAAATTTCTCATTCGGAAGAAACAGCCGTTCGTGGAGCGATTGTGTCGGTATTGGAGCTTGAAGCGGGAGGCGAGACGAGGAGCGCCATTACTGAAGCGCTTACATCTCGAGGTGAGTTTACGACGTGCAGCAATCGCTCAACACGCCAGCCATGGACAGCTGCCTCTGCTTCGAAGCAGCAGACGGATGCGGAAAAGGCTACGAAGCTCAAGGTGAGATCCGCACGAATGCATTTCTGACATGGTACAGTTTCTCACAATGCTTCGAAACGATCTCGAGAAGGTCAGACTTCTCGCCGAGCTCGTCAGGAAACGAGAAAAGGAGAAGTTACGCCAAACGCAGCTCATCAACGACATGGTGGACCAATTTATCTTTCCATACTATGGACGCTTACGCCTTACACTGGAGAAGATCTCGGCGTGAGTGCTCTGCGGAGATGCCGTAGCTAAATCCCTTGAAGGATGGACCGACAGGAGATATTTCTTCATCCCATCAACGCCATGGAAGTTCCCGATTACTATGACGTGGTAAAGGAACCTATGTGCTGGCTCTACATCGACGATAAGATCGAAAGAAATAGATACCGTAATGTTGAAGAGTTCAAGGTGAGACATACTGCCAGCAACAGCTGACATCTAGCACGATGTCAACCTTGTTCTTGATAATGCCATTCTATACAATGCTCCAGAAACCACTTTCAGCCGGATCGCAAAGCGTATAAAAGCCAACGCAAAGCCGTTATTGGAGGATCTCGACTCGATCTTGGAGTGGTCATCGTTGCGGCCATCACTGGCGGACGGCGATGAGCCGATGACTGCAGACGACGTTGAGCCCTCTGGCGATCTTGAGCCCTCCTTGGTTCTTCTGTCCTCATTGCTAGCAAAGCCAGCAGGAGGTACTGAAGGCTCTGTAGACCACCTCGCTGAATTGTTCCGCTTCGCTCTGGACAAGCCTCGTGCCCCGACTCCGCCGCCGGAACCACCGAAGAAGCGGAATTACATGTCAGCAGAGGACAAGAAGCGAAGATGGGAAGAACGAGAACAGCAAGCAAAGCAGAGGGTGGCTGCTAGATCATCTCGAGCGACTGCGGCAGCAGCAAGAGCGTTTGAAGAAGAGGCAGGCTTGGACACTCAACACACACCAAAAGCTTCTGGGCAGCGAACCCGAGGCAGAGACAAGCACGTAGAGGAGCAGGAAGTTGCCGCTCATGCTAGTCACAGCAATCAAGTAGGAGTGGTTGGCTACGAAACGGTGGCAGTTCTCAGCGACAGAGAACGCAGAGCCCAGGAGAGAACATTGGACCTAGTGACGGAGGATGTTGACAACCAAGACCTGTTCAAGAGATTCAACGTCGGATGGGTGCTCCCTGAAGGTTCAAAGAGGAGAAGACCGGACAAGCCAGAGAGGCCGCCGGATCCACCAAAGACCCAAGTGACTCAAGGTGAGTCTATCCGGTGTGTCCATCGCCGCATTGCTGAACTGGTCATCTCAGCAAAATCGGAACCGAGTCCTGAGCCCGATGAGCCCCTCGAGCACAGACCACTGCCTTCCTCTCGCCCGAGTTCTCTCACGCCCGTGTCGTCATCTTCCTCCAGTGCTACCGAGCCCTTGCCTGAACCTGCGCGGCCGAGACGAGGTGCTCCCGCTGTACAAGCGGAGGACATTTACCGCTCGGGCAGGAAGCGTAAACAGCCTGATAGTCCGGAACCCGTCAATAACACCAAGAAGCGGAAAGCGAAGGAGGTGGAGGAGGATCCTAAGCCGGAAACTCGAGCTTCAGTAACCAGCCATAAACCCCCGTCTCGACCTAGACCGAGGCGGAGTACCGCTGCCCCGCGTTCCGTTTCCGCGAAGCCAGCGGGTGACGAGGAGGAGGATCCTTATCCTCCGTCTACCCTTGGTGAGTGAACTTTGGACCGCATTCGGAGCTCGCTGACTTTAGATTCTCCAGTCTGGGCCAAATGTAAGACTGGATGTATCTATCGATAGGAGGCCCGCTCACAGTCTCTTAGTGACATCATTTCCCTTCTTCCCAGCTGAGATCATCGATCAAGACGACGATGACCCATCCGAGATCCCGCCCTCCGTGTTCAAGAACCGAGCCCAGGCCGAGAAGGACAATGGGGCTACTGGCCAGCGGACCTGGCTCGTGAGATTCTTTGACGCTCAAGCGAGTTATGGGTGGATTCCAGCATCTCGGCTGGACTTGCTAGGCGAGGATAATAGTGAGTAGTAGAACAAACACGAGCTGTCTAGTGCTGACGCGACCGGCAGATCTTGACGAAATGTATCTTGCTGTGAGTCGGTCAGGCGCATTTCAAATCCGAAGCTCACCTGCGTCTACAGGGTAAAGAGAAGTCACGGGTGAAAGGCTTCAAGAGCGCTCATGTCAAGACCGCCTGTCGAAAGGCATACCGGTGAGCAAAGGCTCACTAGATGTTGACACAAACTGATAACATGTCCCAGGGAAGCTCTGGCTCAGATGGAGGTTGAAGAGGACGAGTAGACGGACGATGATCGAGAGAGGCTCATCGAGTACATTCTGCACGCGTACATACATTTGTTGCTATGTATTGATTCGACTATCACAGGCAAGGGATAATTGAATGAGGACACTGCCGATAATACACGAGGCATTTGAGAGGAGTTTGCGGATCGGACTGCGAATACTCGACGAAGTATCGGCGGACCGTTCAATCTCTGCTTGTGTTTGTAAATATTTTCCAGTCTTTCAACCCGATCTAGAATCTATTCGTCACAATCATGGGCCCTGACTGAAGACTTGCTTGGCTGGTCACTCGACCGATCTCATGGGCCCAACATGGCCAGAGCCTTCTTCAGCTGTTCCTTGGCAGTCTCATAATCGTCATAATCGAGTGCAGAGATGGCCCACTTGGCGTGCTTCTGCACTTGGTCGACTTGTTTCCTCGTAAGGGAGACAGGGGCAGAGGAAGCAGGAGGACCAGGGGCAAGTCCTAGTCCACCGCCACTGCCGCCGCTCGGTCCGTTGTTGTGGGACACAGCAGGCTGTGGAGCAGTCGGACTGATAGATGCAAGGGATGGAGGAGGCGGTGGCGGTGTGTCGATCGGATTAAGATGTGGTGAATGTTTCGGACTCGCTCTTTTCACCGATGCATTCCCATTTTGGCCGTTCCCTCGAGCGCCGTCGATTGGTGCCATTGACCTCGGAATGGAATTATTGGAGGCCCCGCTATCTCCTCGAGGTCTTGATGTTGCAGGGGGTAGATTGACGCTAGGCAAGGATGGAGAATCCTCTATGGTGGTGGGAGGCGGAGCAGTTGGATGGGCAACCGAGTCGACAGAGAAGTATGTCTGCGCCGGTGAGAGTGGCGCGCCATCCGGACCCATGAATCGTACATTCTTCCTCTCTCCAGTAGCAGGTGATCGAGGGGGAGACGCGAGACCAGGAGGGGGAGCGGAGGCCGCAGGGAACATCTTCTCATGCTCGTTCTCTTCCGCTAATCCTGGCGTCGCGACGGTGCTCCAAGCTCCACTGCCGCTCGAATGGTCACGTCTAGGTGTCCGGAGATTGTTGCTTCCAGTATCGATATCAGGGAGTTTCGGCCGCGATTCTGAAGGGGAGTCACGAGGATGAGTCGTAGACGGCGCTAGTGACGAGTCTGGTGCTGCTACCAGAGGAGGGGAATCCTTGACAGTAGATGGGCCCGATTCTGGGGAGCCAGAGGGAATCGAAGGAAGCGGGTTCATGTCGAGATCAGGAATGGCTTAGTTGTAGTGAGCATAGGGCAAGCAAATGGTCGCGCGGAAGACCTCACGTGGTCCAGATGCAGGTTCTCTCCCTTCTCGCAAAGCTTTGGCACCGTCTGCAGCTTTCCATCGTGCGTACTGCAGCTTTTGCTCCATCTGAGACTGGTCTTCAGCATCACAATCACTATGAAGTCAGAAGAATCAGACATACCTCTTCCGTCATCCCATTCTCGAAACATCTCAGAACCTCGATGAATTGGCCCGCAACCACGAACTTTCGGATGGTGGCCCTGTAGCTAGTTAGGAGCTGAGACATTGCAGCGTCCACTCACTTTCCGGTCACCCCGTTTCGATCGTCGTTGTCAGCAGACATGAAGACTTTCAGTGCAAAGTTCTCGACATAAGCAGCTCCAGCAGCCTCCGTGATTATCGCATCATTCGAATCCAACAAGGCTTTCATCTATCTCCAGTCAGTAAAACTCGTGATGTCGTGGGTTGCTGGGCTCTCACCTCTTCCAGGCAGTCCAGGAGATTAAGCAGAAACTTCGTCCCTTCTGCTGATCTGTTAGGGATCTTGAGAGCTTTCTGAGCGGCAGAGAAGCAGCCTGCTGGCGTGTCAGCTTACAAAATTCACTTGGAATGTCAAACTGACACCAATATGCAACGATAGGCTCGGCTTTCTTCAACTCCTTGGCCCTCTTGAGGATCTGCTCGCATCCCACTCTTAGCTCTGGCGGTACAGATTCCGATGGAAGGTTGATATTATCCATGACGATGAACAGAGGGAACCCTCGCTGGCTTCGTCTAGTCTTGCGTGGAATAGAGGGAGGTAGGAATCCGTTGAAGCTCTTCGATCCGGGTCGGCCTGGCTCTGGGCTGCTCGGCGGAGTAGGAATGGATAGAGGTCGTTTGATTGGTGTCATTGGGATGAATAGATGGAGTAGAAGTTGTGGTTGATGGGATAGATGGGGTGGCGTAGATGGAAGAGATACAGATATCTGTCAGCTCAGATTGTTGACTTTTTGCCACGGCGAGACAATCCTCCTCTTGGTTGAACGGCAGTGTTTCGACCGACCCGGAGGTCGGTGGACCGGTCAGAGTATAAAGCGACAGATTCTAAGGACCTGGACGAGCAAAGCTTGGCCATGATCCGGCTTCAAACTTATCAAATCACTCTCTGATGTCCAAGGGAAGGGGAGGATTGTGTGTTTCAGAAACACACGAATGACATACAACGGTACACACAGACTCACATTGTCTTACAATGGCGTCAATTTCACTGACCAAGCTCTGATCCTAGACAGCACAGGAGACGTGATCAACGGAGAATAGTGCCAACGGTGCTCAAGTGTTGAAAGGGTTGAAGCGGATGCAAAGGATGGGAGTGAATTTCCGACAAAAGCGTGGTGACTGCGATCACTTGACGAAGCCTTGTCAGTTGTCTTGTGCTGTGTAGTAAGAGCTGTGAACACGTTGAGGACAAGGCTGAGAGACAAGATGGAGAAGACGCTGACGACCAAATAATGTTGATCTCGATGCTTGCTCGTCATGCTCAACGAGCGATCCGTGCGTCGGAATGATTTTACGTCAGCATTATAGTCTGGTTGACGTGAATGATATTGCTGTTCCGCCGACGTTTTTGACTTTGCGCTCCATCCATCCCATCTGCATGAGTCTACAGATTCAATCACACTGCAATGATGAGCTCAAGTATGGCAGATCAGCCTCCTTCTAGATGTAAAGATCTTATTCCGTATCGTCCTCACTTCTTTCCCATCCCTTGGAAGTGTAATCAGAATGGGCACTTTTCGACCGCTCAGCTGCAACCGATTCCTGTGAGCTGACTAGTCAGCTCACAGTTGGGCCTTTCACTGACGAGTCATAGCAGATCTCAGATGGATCTGCTGGTGATAATACCACGCTTCGATACCCTAGACTCATCCTGAATCACAGACTTGCCGAGATGTTATTCCGGAATCGATTCACTTTTCCCGCTCATCCACCGGGTGAACAAGTTGCACGATTTGCTGCAGTGACCAAGAAAAGGCGCTGTGACACTCAAGAATCTCAGAAGGCAGCTTCAAAAGCGATGCAAATTCGTGTCCTGGGTCCCTCACACCCCACTTCCATCTCATCAGATGCACTGCAGAGCAGCCGGCAAATGGGCACTGACGATCCGATAGCTCAAGACAGCTACAATCGACACCCTTCACAGCGAACTCAACACACTCAGCCCGAATCCACTCAAGGCCTCGGCGAAATCCAATCAAGTGTCTCATCAAGGCTACCCGAACAGATAGACCTTGCAACGCAGGGTGATATGACTATAGACCAAGATTGGACAATGGCAGAGCCGGATCAAGGAGACGCTGCTTTCTCGTCTCCGCTCTCACCGCAACAGGACCATACTCTCGAGCACTTCTATGATCCAGATCGGGTGCATCCTGCTCTATTCTCGAGTCCGACGGGCACTCATGAGCAAACGAATCAATGGCGTGTAGGCAAGATGCCAGGACACCAAGGCTCGCACAGCCAGCGGTTCGGCGATGGCGGGGATGGAGGACCAAGAGGGATCAAACGGACCCTTAATGAGGTATGGAGATTCGTGCCAATCCCAGAGTGGCTGCGTATCTACTGACTCGCTTCAGAGCATCACTGATACCGCTCAGCGAGTACTGAAGAGACCATTCATCACTCCAAAGCCCATCGTCAAACTTGCGAGATGTAGAACCCCAACCCCGGAACCTGATGAAACACTGGACGTCGACGGCCAGTCACCGCTCACTTGTATTCCACCGGAAAAATCACGAGTACCAGCTCCCTTCCCTCTTCAACTGACACGACTGGACAAGACGCCAGTAACTCAAAAGCTCAATCCAAAGCTCACAAGACCCTTCAAAACACCCGTACGAGCTACACCGTCTTCGTCTCCTGAGAGCCGGTCGACAGCTCAGCCGACCCCAGGGTCGACGGTGTTTGATCGATCTCAGGCTCCAAGCCCAAACACATATTGGGGATCGAGCACTGATGGAAAGCCTGACACAACAATTGCCACTCGAGCGAGACGATTAGGTCCAAGTGTCTCTCTCCTGCCCTCATCACCTTCAAAGCTTGGCTCTCTGCGACTGGAGAAGAATCGCTTGCTGCAGCTTGAAACTCGGGCCCGACAACTGCGAGAAGCCCTGAGTCACAAAATGAATGGAGAAGGGGAAGAGAAGATCGAGGAATTGACTGAACGATGGCTAGCCGCCGGGCGAGATATCGCAGAAAGACTGTTCGACCGAGCTGTCCGACCGGATACCGATACACCGGTCGCTGCTCCATCCAGGCCTCCTCGGGGCACAAGTCAAGGCCGATGGTCTTCGGGTCAGGACGATGATGCCGTATTTTCATCTGAGGAGAAGGACTGGCTGGACAATGTGGCAAGAGACGAAGATGGTGATCCAGTGGATGAAGAAGGGAACAAGTTGGTCGATGATATCCGGCAAGACGATCTCATCAAGGCACTTAATCATGCAAGCGGAAGAGACGAAGCGAGACAAATTCTGTATGTGCCGAGCTCAGTTGGGTGAGTCAATCAGACTCGTGGTCAATCAGTCTGAGCACTACCTATAGGCCGGGGACTTGGAGCGACCAAAACATCGAGATCAACGATAGGTGAGCCTTGCCAGCGACGATTGGTCTAGTTTCATTCATGTCTCAGTCCGGATCTCGAGAGCTGTCACAATACCAAGTGGTCCATTGGCACGATGCTCGCTCGGTGCGGTGTGGATCCCGACTTACTCGGATGGGACGCGGAGAACGATGCCTGGATCGAGGGTGATTTCTGAAAGCTCCGCATGGTGCCATACGATTTAACCGACTATACCAGACCCAAGCAGTTGCAGACACTTTCAGCGACTTGACCCATGTGACAATATGCATGATACGATGGACAGCGCGCATCCGCTACACTGTTTATGCACACGTGAACACTTGTGACTGCGCTGGATCCCTATGAGAGCCGCAGGAAATCATAGCGCTCTCAATTCTTCTTCTTTCCCTTTGCTTTGACAATTCTGAAGCCAGCGTCCTCTGCCTTCTTCGGTACACTCTTGACGACGTCCGCGAGGGAGCCCGGACCTGAAACAGACTTTGCAGGGTTGGCAGTTCCATTGCTTCCCTGGAATCTGTTCGCGTCGGCCTTGCGACGCGTCATGAACTCTTCTGCGAACCGTCTTCCGTCAAGTGTTGATGAATTGGCGTACACGGAGTCGGAGATGATCTCGAGAACGTCGCCGCGAGAAGAAGCGGGTGGATCGACTGGGAAACTCAGGAGCATTTGGATAAACTCGTCGACTAGTGAGGATGGTTAGCGCCGATCACTACAGGTCATTCTCTGAGCTCTAGACCTACCATTGATTTTGAGTCCCGTCAAGGCCTGCTTTGTCCATTTGATGAACTCGACTGAAGGGCCTTCATCCGCAGCAGAACCATTGGCTTTTGGCTTGGCTGTAGACGTGATGACGGACACAGGCTTGGAAGGGATTGAGGTGACAGGTTTAGGGGGAATGGAAGCTGGTCGAGGAGCAGCAGCGGCGGTAGCGGTCGGAGCAGCAGCGACTCCAGCCGAGGACTTGCCACCTGGTCCGACAGTGGTCCATCCTGGTCCCGTAGACTGGCCGGTCTGAGATGCCTGAATCGGAAATTAGCCGGCAGCAAAAGATACACGCTGGCAACTCACAGCTGCAAGATCCGCATAGCCCCTCTTCACACTCGGAGCGGAAGACCCGTTCGCCGCAGAGGCGGCAGTCCGCCCCTGTCCTTGAGCGAGCTTGGCTTTGCGCTTCTCTTCTTCCTCTTGAATCTGCTTCAACGTCTTTTTGGGTCCAGCATCTCCGCCACCCCAGGCTGGCGCAGCCCCAGCAACAGGAGGAGGAGTCGATACAGACGGGGCAGCACCCTTCTGAGACGTGGGAAGACCCCAGGTCATGCTGGTAATCTTCTCATCTGCACTTGGCGTAGGAATGGGTGAAGCGGTGGCAGCGGCGGCTTTGGCAGCCCGACGAGCCTCAGCTTCCTTGGCCTCGGCTTCCTGTATCTCTCTAAGAGACAATCCGCCCGTTCGGCTACCCTCCTTGTCGGCCCAAGGTGCGGGACGAGCCGAGACTGCGGAAGGTGTGGCCTTGTCGGGAGAAGGTTGAGCAGCTATGGTGGAGATGGCGATGGGTTTGGCGGGGAGCGAAGCTGGAGCTGGAGGCAGGCGACTGGAGGTGCTGCTGGTCGGAGTGGCACCGGCCGCAGAAATGGAAGATTTCCGGCTTGTCTGTTCAACTGTCGCCTTGCGGGAGGGGGTCTTGGCAACCGCAGGAAGAACGTCAGGCTTCGCTTGTGATTCGAGCTCGGGCTCAGGCTCGGTTTCCTCAACTTGGGATTCCTCGACTGCTTCAGGCTGTATGCTGTCGACCGACTCGGGCTCAACATCCGGCACCGTGGGCTCAGGCAGACTTTTTGGCTCCTCCTCTTGGGGAGGAACAGCAATGACCGATTGGTAATCCTCTTGCATCTGTATAGGTGCGGCTTGAAGCTGTTGCCACGCTCCAGAAGCAGGCAGCCCTTGACGTTTATCGAATTGCTGTTGTTGATGATGCTGGGGATGTTCTTGTTGCTGAGGGACATTCCACGTATTTTGGGGAACGGCGCCCACGCCAGCAGACGGAGAGAAGAATTGGGGATACTGCGAGGCGGGTTGAGGTGGGACAGGTTGATGATGGTGTGGAAAGGCTCCTGGACCATGCCCAACAGGCGAAGCCATGCCGACCGAGCCGAAGCTATTGACGCGGTTGATGGGGGCAGGTTGTCCCCATGCGTTGACGGGCGCCTGACCATACGACAGAGGAATTTGTGGCTCGTACACACCTTGATGCACTGGATGACCAGGTGCCACGTTCCTCTCCGGCAGGTATTGTTGGTATGACGTTTGAGGAGCAGGGTCAAGATGAGAAGAGGAACTGAGGTTGAGATTACGAAGCTGGTCGCTTATTCCGTTGGTCGGCTGAGGAGAGACAGTCGGGGATATGCCAAATGGAAGTGGGAGATTTGGAGGCAAGTTGCGAGGGCGGACAGGAGAGAGGAATGGTTGAACGGCATTACCGGTGCTGGTCTTGAGCTCAGCAAGGGTGTGAAATGAGTCTTCTGAGGCTCGTCGAAGTGGCAGGTCGTCGGTAAAGTAGGAATGAGAGTACCAATCATGCATCTGAGTGCCGGTGAAAGGTCCTTGCTCCTGGCCACCAGGATCGCGATAGTACCATTCGACGGCACCTAGATCCTGTTTCGCGGGAGGCCGAGTAGGGATCATGTCGGTTGTTGGGAGGTCTTGCGAAACGGGTTGAGGGGTAGCAGTATCCTCAACCGTAGCATCACGTTCACGGAGCGGTGTACCAGGTGCGGTCGCAGCGACTGATTCAGAGCGGGTCTCAGAGAGGATAGGAATATGCAGCTCCTGCAAAGTGTCAGCACGACGCACCAAGTCGACCCCACCTTTTGACTTTCTGGCGCATTCAAACCAGCAGCGATACGCCACTTTTTCTGACCCGTTCCCCATCCTGGACCTCCTCCCGTGCCAAAATTTGGCTCCGGCTCCTTGTTCGATGCCCCTGGAGCTGCTTCGAAGCCTGCTGTAGTGGTAGGAGTCGCGGGGCTTGCAGAGTTTGATGTCGCAGCAGTCGACTGAGTCGAAGTTCCAGCGGTTCCAAACCCTAAGACACCCTCAAAGCTGCCCGAGACTGTGCGAGTTGGTCTCCATGCCGTGCCCTGCCCAGCATCAACACTATCAGTGCGCCTGCCCGGCCGTTTGACTCCTGCAAATCCACCACCAATGGCTCCGAGGGTTTTGCCTTCGCCGGGCGCACCAGGTGCGCCACCTCCAATCGTGCCTGGTTTTCCCAACGATCCTCCGAACGCGGGTCCCTCTCCACGACCAAAGCCTCCCATTGGACCTGATCGAGATCCTGGGCCGGCTTCGCGAGTCGTCGGTGGACCGATTGGTCGTCGAGACGGCGTGCCGTTCGCACTGGGCTCGGCACCTGGCGCGCGTCGAGTTGGATTGGGAGGATGCACAGAGGTCGCTAAGAGCTAAGAAGTTGTTAGAACACATCGACACAATAACTCACCTTCTTTTCGATATCTGACAAGTCTCTTAAACCAACAGGCTTGACCAGGCTCTTGCTGACCAACACATCACCTCCTATCCCCATGTCTGCCAGCTCGATGGGCCGTTCCCTGACCTTTTCCTCATTCCACAGTGACAAAATGGATTCTTTGCTGTAACGAAATGGATGAGGGTGGGTTCCATTCTGTCCGGCTGGATCTCCCGAAGGGAAATATGAGCCATCGCGGGGAAAAGTCGGAGTGACAGGAGTGTGTGTAGCTCTGGAGTAGCTGAGAACAGGCTGAGCTGGTGTATTTCCAGTAAGACTTGTCGGAGTTGTCCCACCCTGGGACAGAGCTGGGAACGAGACGTTGGATGAGGGTGCAATGGTTGTGGATGGAGATTGGACAGCCGCTGGACGATTAGCCTTGTTCATAGACGTAGTGGTAGCTGGAAATTCGGAAGTCGGGGTTGTGAGCGCGTTGCCGCTGGGTTTGATAGGCTTTGCCCACTGAGGAGCGAAATGCATAGACATCTGGACGGAGAGTCAGCGGACAGTTCTTGGTTCTGATGATACAGGTGCAAGTCAGAGAGACACGATGAGTGCTGCATTCGTCCCTCGACCATTGCTGCTGGAGACCCAGCTGGTCCAGTCGTTCGAAGGAATTTTTTGGGTGACATGGATCCGACGGGGACTCACTGTAGGAGGTGGATGCAATGGGCGTATGTGTCGTGGGAATTGGATCGATTCGTAGCAATGGGTGAGTGTTGGGATCAATGCTACTGAGGAATGCACTAGCTCGCGATCGATGCTGTTTGGACGAGAGAGAAGTCACACACACCGAAAATGGTCGAGTGACCTTCGCTCATGTCCCGAAGATTCGGCGTTTTTGGTGCAGCGATTTTCCAATTGTGGCGGGAGCCGACAACTATGGCGACGATGGGGATGGCGATGGCGTGTATTGGACTCAGTCATGTCATCGTCAGGCTGAAGAGCCATAGCTTTTGCGGCTGAGACCTCTCGCAGATCACTATCCGCTCTCTCTTCATACCAGCTTTAATCTTGCGGCCCCTTCCCCCCCCAAGGTCACGCGATACCGGCGGTGTAGTTTGCTGAACATCGCTTGTCGGCTCGGATCGAGTATCCGGTACCCGTCAATTGCACTTCATCCTCTCTCTCTCTCTCTTCGCATTTGCCTTCTTTTGACCGATATTGTGGATCGGACAACCCAGGACATGAAGATACGTTGAAGGATGAGGATACATGTGGTGAGTCATTGAGCCTCTTCGATCCGAATTTGACCTTTTCCGCCTCCCCTTATGCTCCAGCTCGGATTGGGATCCATTGGGACACTCGTAACTCACCATTTGAGGTTGGCGAATCCTGAATTGCCCATCACTCTCATCTATAAGCGCGGACGCATCTTCAAGGGAGATACCGCTCAGGATCATGAGCTCACGGTTCAGAGGGATGGACAAGAAACTAGGAGCAGAGGTTTCAATCATGAGATTTGGAATAAGACGGGTGAAGAGGCTATGCTCGCGAACAGCAAGAGGGTGCTCGGAGTACCACCCGAAAATGGACCAGCTGTCACGCCGAGGACATCTGACTCTGACATTCCATCGTTGATTGTATGTCTCAAAACACCAGCGACGACCAAAGCTCTGACGGAACTCGCCCCCCGATTATCACCTTCATCCGTCATTACCTTGATTCAAAATGGAATGGGAACGTACGAGGAGCTGTGCCATACCATTTGGCCAAATGTAGCCAAGAGACCTCAATTCATCCTTGGTACTACAACTCACGGTGCAACGACAGCCATCAAGAATAAGGTGGCCATCACGAAGCATACTAGTGCCGCTGGAACTGGAGACATCAAATTCGGCATCGTACCCGACCCAAGAAAGCAACAAGATTTCGAGGCATGGTTGTGGGGGAAGTCATCACTTGATAAACTGTCAGTCCTTGAACAACCGTCATCCCCTCGCCTGCCTCTTCCCCCTGCTCCTAGTTCAGAGTACCGAAACCTAGCGGATACACTTTCTACTTTGCTGTCCCTGGATCAGCTTGGCTCATCACTCATACCCTACGCCCATTTACAACATGAAAAGTTGTTCAAGACAGCTCTGAACAGCTTGATCAATCCCCTCACCGCAGTGTTGGGAGCCGGAGCCCTGCCGAATGGATCCCTGACTCGCTCGAGCCCCGCTTCACGGATCATGACTCAGCTGGCACAAGAGACTTCAGACGCCATCACTGCATCATTGTTGGCGCAGTACGCTCCGGCGCAACCGCCAGCCGATATTCTCCGTCTCTTCAGTGCGGACAGCTTGTCTTCTCGAGCATTAGCTCTGGCACGCGATACTCAGTACAATACGTCTTCGATGGCTGTCGATGTCAGTGCTGGCCGAGAGACAGAAGTGGCGTACATCAATGGACGCATCAAGGCTCTTGGAGACGCCAACGGGATACGTACACCTTGTCATCAGATGATTACAGCCATGGTTGAGCACACTTCATTAATCAATGGAGGCGGATCAGCCGCCACTCCCTCAGCCGTCAGAGCCGTTCGGAAGCTCAAAGATCGGAGAGAGAGGCTGCTGGTCTTTGATTCGCTACCTCGACGATTCTTCCCCAAGCGTATGGAGTTGGAGCAAGAGAGAGTTCGCGCGACTCGACGACAAGCACGAGTCATGGAAGCGCTGCGAGAGGATAAAACCAGGGAACAGATACGGGAAGATAGGAGGAAGAGAAGGCAGGACAAAGCGATACTAATTCGAGAATCTTTCGCCAATCATGTAGCAGAGGGAAACGTCCTTCCGACTCTGAGTGAGTGGAGACTTCTGTCTCGGAAGAGTCAACTCGACATTGTCAGGCGAGCTATCGAGAATAACGACCGGTCAGTGGGCGTGCTGAAGCGCAACACTCGTACCAGCAAAGCCAACTCTGAGTCCTCGGCAACAGCGGAGCCACTCACGTCTGAAGCTGAGGACGCCACCTCCGATCCCAGTGATCCACCGATCGGGGCCTCGGCGGCGGCAGAGCAGCAGCACACGCACAAAGCTGAAACTGTCGCATCCGCTAAGGCCGATGCTACCGCTCGACCTGCCGATTTATCTCCCACAACATCAAGCCTCGACGACGCTATCGCGGCCTCCCAACGCATGTCATCTCCATCTGCATCGCCGCAATCTCCCTTCACACCCTACGTTCATCGCTTGTCCATCGACGACATGATAGCGTCTGCACCACGTCAAGAACGTACGTGGGATGTGCCTGCCTTACCGCCGACGTCCCGAGGTCCCCTTCCTAAGAAACGGGTCCCCTCAGCGCCATTGGCCATATCTCCATCGAGTCCGGAGGAGAAATACCAAATTCCGGGTATACCCACTTCTCGACCCAAAGTCATGGCGGATTGGATGGACTCGATGATCACCTCAGCACCAAGAGCCGAGAGGACGTGGGAGGTACCGAAGACTGCCCCGGGTCAAGCTCCTAGGAGAGACATGAAGCGATCGAGCGTGTCTCAGAGGCAGGGCTCATGACTGTAAGGGCTAGGCGGGAGGAAGATCTGTTTGAAAGGGATTGGCCCTCATCATTATCTCGTGTATCCTGTATGTATTGTAGCAGTCTGTATGGCTTGTATCCTTAAATGCATACAACAACAACATATCTTGCAGATTGGATCTGGCCGTGCCCAGTCACCGAATAAACTCGTGCATCTTGAATTGCTGCGATGTGAAGTCTGACAGTCCATCGTGCCCCAGTTCGAGTAACCGCTTTCCGGCCGCAGTAGCTCTTGTAGGAGTATTAGCCTCGCTAGCATCGAGAGACGACGGGGCATTCGCTTGACTGCAAGACGGTCAGGCTGTCCTCGTCAACCCAAACTTACACTGGCGACCCGAAGACCTTCAGACCTCTGACGTGGGTATCCTTGCCATTCAAATGGTTTGCGAGTATCAAGATACGAAGGTGATGAGCGGGTATCGGCGGGCTGAGCGGAGCAACAAAGTCTCAGAACCGTTTTTTCCTTTCCAGTCGGTTCAAACTCACCCGTCGATCTCTTGGCCTTCTGATGAGGAATCCATCGGTCTCAGAGGGATATGCATCCATCCATTGGGCTTGGAGAATTCGCAGAAGCGGACCTAATCGAGCGTCTCAGACTGAATATTGGATGACGCCGTGTAACTTTGCTTACCTCCTGTAGATCGTGGATGCTGGTGCCTGCCTTGATAGATATTTTGGATGGAGTATACGAGTCATCTCGCGGATGGGATGTATGAAGTGATATGGCCTAGGCTTGTTAGCTGTATCCGAATGTTGAACAGTCTTTAGCCCACTGAGATGAAGACTCGTTTAGGAAATGACAGGTCGATGGTATGTGGCTGGGGTCCTTCTGATCTGGTGTCACAAGTCGTGGGCTTTAGCTGCGATACACCGTGCACATGCAGTGAACCAGATGCCTTATGAACTCGATCAGACTCACTGCCAGAACGTGTTATCGTTCCCATCCCTGAGGTTGTCCACGCCAAAGCCATACTTATGTGTCGAAACGCTCCAGGTAGGCAAGTGACCAAGCTCGGGTCTCTCCACTGGACCGGTGAGTCTACAATGAGACGGGTTGCTCACCGTCAGTGCTCGTGGACTCAAACGTCACATCTTCCATGGCGATGAGAACTCAGACTTTCGTGGAAGCTGATGGTATTGTCACTAACGATACAAAAAATGGTATTTCATCATGTTCTGAATCTACGGCGCGTCTCGAAATCCGCACCGCGTTTACAACCCATGGCAGATTGGACAAGGATTGTGCATGACAACTTCGGGACGACGTAAGATGTGATGCTGTAAGCCAGGTACAAGACTGCGAACGTATGTGGAGATATGTAATGAAGATGTTCGTCTATGATCTTTGTGCGGGTGGAGTCGCCTCGATACTCGCCGGGACTGATTCATCTGGTCCGACCTCACCTTTTCCAAGTCCCGCTGTGGCCTTTTTACAGGCTCCACAGAAGTGCAGCGGACAATAGGCTCTTTCTGGCGCAGGAGTTTTTCGAATGCTTATCACGACATTTGAGAGAGAGTTGATCTGGGACTCCGGGCGAATGAGGACAAGGAACGATGGCATAAGGGTCGGAGGCCACGTTGGGATCGGCGGAGGGGTGCTGGTGAGCCAGGATGAAACCTCGACATGTGGGAGAAGAGACAGCGACAGACATGATGGATGATGGGGTAAGATGCGAAGGACTGATCGGATCCAAAGCAGGAGTATGTGTGACTGAGGATGGATGTAGATAGGCGGTTTGATCAATTATGATCTGAAGAGTTTATATGAGGACTGAAAAGCGCTTGCTCAAAGTTGGGGACCGACACTCCAGCTGAAGACATCAGCTAGACTTTACATGGCGGGACAAAACCGTCGCGGCTGGCAGAGCCGCGCCTGCCCGTGCCCGACCAGGACAAAAGAGCGACCACAAGCGAGACATGCCTACTCCTTTACGATCCTTTCAACCAGAGACCGCGCGAATGGAAGGCCAGAAGTTTGTGGCAAGGTGACGCCCGGCCGAGACTTTGGGTTGGAGGGCGTGGCGCTCTCGATAGGAACCGGGATCAATGGTGAGGGTGGCGAGCTGTTCATTCGATCCAAGAGCGTTGGCGAGCCTCGCGTCCGGGAGACTCCTTGTCCCAATACAGTCTTCGCGGGAAGATCGGCTGTTGAAGGGACTAGTGGGGCAAGCCCAGATTGATCGGCTGAAGCTGATGGGCTGGGAAGCGATTTTGACGTCACGCCCATCTGCTGCAATCTCATCTGCGCCTTCAGTCGTGCAGTTGCTACCACCGCAGCCTTTCTAGCTGTCTCCGCTCGTTCTCGCCTCCGAGCTCCGCTGATCATTTCCAAGACCTCCACTTCATCCACATGTTGGGCGTCAACATGCTTTGCGAACACGTCGTAGTCCGTATCCCGTGGGCCCGGAGGAAAAACAATCAACCGTTCGCGTCCAAAGTCGAGCTTTGTCAAAGGTGAGTCCGAAGGTCTGTGATGAAACGGCCGGCGGAGTATAGGGCTGTCAAGATCTAAAATGCTTGCACCCATCGCTTCTGCTGTTCTCGAAAGATTCCCCGCCGAGGGAGTGTTTCTCGATACAAAGACAATCTGCCAGTGCGCCAAGCACTTCGATGTCGCATCGCACAGCTCATGAATGAGCCACTGGGCCATGCTTTGCTCCATTCGCGAGTTGTGCCCGTGCTCATTGTGAGATTTGGCAGGCGAACTTGGCCTATCTCTTGTGGAAGGTTCGGCGAGAGTCTTCTCAGTGTCCGGCACCCTTGGCGAACCGAGAGCAAGCAGCGGGCTCTGCCAAGCTATTACTCTGTCGCTACTTAGCACTTGGATAATATCCAAGGACTGAGGCGAACTATGCAAATCGGGTACGAAGCCTAGGTCGATGGTAGATTCGGCAGGGGACGAGGGTATCTTCGGAAATTTTGTAGATAGGGGGAGACCAGAGGGAGATATGTTATCGGCATTGACGTTCAACTCCTCAAGCGCTCTCGATGGCTCTGTCAACAGAGACCGGATAGGCGGATTCTGTGATGATGAGTCTGCCGAGCGGCACAGCTTCGACTGGACTGTAATGATTGCTGGCGTCGGACTCATGAGACTTCGTTTGCTAGGCCTGGCGATTTCCTCTTCGGTCGAGATGGGTGATGCGCGCTTCAACGTCGCGGATGACTCTGGAGTGCTCACAGAGGATGAGCGGACCATGGAGCCAGTGTCGATCGGCTCGAACACTTGAGTGAACTCGTCCGAAAGCGGCGGTGTAGGTGGTCGAGATTCCATCTCCGTGTCGTCCGTCTCGTTCATCTTAAGATCTGGCGTAGGCGGTCTAGAGGATTTCGGAGTCTGGCCAGCAGCATCAATGCTGGCTCCAGCAGCGATGTGCTGTACATGAATCCTCGGTGAAGGCTGTGAAGAAATGGGTAAAATCTCCATCTCCGCTTCTCCGTCTTGGTCGTCGGCATCCAAGTCCATTCTGTCAATATCGAGTGGAGGAGTCGGCGGTCTTGAAGTCTCTGCTGATCCTTCACGAAGGTTCTTAGAGGGTGTAAGGCCCACGAGTGAACCAATCTCTGTAAGTTCATCTTCCAGAGGCAGATCTTCTTGCATAGACCCTTCCGCGGGATCTTCTGACCAGCGTAAAGAAGGCACAGGAACCGATGAGAACCCAAAGATATTGGGCAGTTCTGATCCGACGATGATACCTCCCCATATTGAGGATTCAATCATCCAATCTCCCAGGTTCTGGGCCTCGGACGAAGCGGTGGTCATGGAAGGAGTATCATTCGACGAGCTCAAGTGAGCGCTTGAGGTAGGGACTACACCCTCATCCACAGACCTCCCTCTCAGACTTCGGTCCCGAGAATCTCTGTCCGCCAGTGGACTGACCTACCGAAGAGGAACGGATCTAGGCGTAGGTGTAGCGGAGCGTGAGCGTATAGAGGACACTGCGCTGGCCCAGTCGTCGGATTCTTCGTCCGAGTCTTCCTCTTCTAACGTATCCAGGTTCGAGAAAACCGGTTCCGTGGAGGTCGTAGGCCCCACCAACCTGTTCGCCGTCACGGATATGGGCCCGTCGTCTTCTGTGTCTGAGGATGAATGGATAACGATGGGTCGATCTCTGCTCGACCCAGGCAAGTATCGTCGCTTTGGTCCGGACATGATTAGGTGCCAGGTTCGCTGTGGTCCAAGGTGCTCCAAGGCTCGAGATGAGAAGATGTAGAATCTCAAGCAGCAAGATGTTAAAGGCCGAAATGCAGCATCAAGCGCCGCTCTGTCTAACCCTTCAGGGGCTTTTCCAGTCGCACTGACTCCTCGTCAGAGTGAGAACAGGCGGCGGCGGCTCGACACGGGCGATAATGAAGACCTGAGCTCGACGATGAATGACCGCGGGTGACCAAGAGGCTTATAAAATGATCATGACCCTATAGCTGGTCTATATACAAAAGACGACAAGAAGGAGCCTCTTGTTGACCCGATCATCTCAAATTTCACTCGTAGATGCCTCGGCTCGGGACCGCTCAATAGCCGCAGTCCGGAGCAGTTAGCTGTATATATTATGCATGGCTGCATCTATAGGACCCTAAAACACACTGAGGCCAGCATTGACCTGCTCCATGCCCTCTCTGCTCTTCTCCACCCATCCACTCGTGAATGATTTGTCATCTCCTCCGTTGATCTCATCCCCGATAGACGCCCCAATCTCCATAGCATCCGGCTCCTCTCGCCAACCACCTCGAACCCACTTGGCGCCTTGGTCTTTGCTGTTGAGAACACGATCTCGAGCAAGTTCCCGGTCGCTTTGGTTCGGAGAGACCATCCCGAGGTGCAAGACGATTCGCTGAGTTCACGTCAGATACAAGAGTTGTCGAGGAGCCTAATGGTCCACTCACTGGTGGCACGGTCACTCTGCCCTGCTTGAAGCAATACTCGGCAACAGCCAGACAACAGACGATCCCACCGTCCTCCCTTGGCATCCTTGAGCGCAGAGAAGCGGCTTTTCGTACCGCCTCCATGGTGGTTGTTGGTGTTGAGGAGCCATTCGCTTCAGGTGTCGAGTCTCCAGTCGACGAGGGACCGACCAATGTTGGTACGGATGGACCAGCTGGTGTAGGGTCCGGTTTGATAGGTCGCTTGCCTTTACCGCGAGCCGCTTTCTTGGGGTAGATGATATACTCAGTGACGAGGTAGATCCTGAGTCGCTAGTCAGGGTGGTCACGCAGGCAAGAAGGTCAACGTACCACTTCTCATCCCAACCCCCAGCTCTCGTCTCCATGACATACTCTGAGCCGAGCGGTATCTCCTTTACGAAGACATAGTGTGTGGCACCTAGAGCCATGTGGATCCCAGGACGAAAGGCAGGCAAAATGACATCGATTGCCCACTTCATTCTCGCTGCATCAACGTTCTTGGCATAACATCTGAAAAGGCGTGAGCTCGTGGATGCACGGTGAAACACGAAGCTCACGAATTAGAGAGATGAAGATTGTAGTCGCAGTCATCAAACCAGGCGATCCGCTTCAACCTTGTCCTCTCGGTGATACCTCCATGTCGCAAGGACCGTTGTTCGCATTCTCCCAAAAATTTGTCCCGTCCTTTAGTGAATAAATCAAAGTATGCTTTGAGTGGGTACCGCCAGACTCGGATATGCCATTGGAATGGGAGAGAGGGAGAGTTTATGATGATCAGGAGCAGCAGGATGATCTTGACTAGGCAATGGCATCAGCTCCAGTCCACACGAGATCATTCCAGCTCACCAGTTTTTGGGATGAAAGGGAGTAGAGGTTTGGAGGGGTCGGCCAGAGAACTAAGATAACGCCGAAGAGCAACAACAGACAGCGCAGGAAGCTGCAGGAGAGGGAGAGCGGCAATTGACATGATGTGAATGCGCAGAGAAGAGAGCCAGGTGGTGGACAAGTATGATCAGCGACGTCGCTGCCTCCCTCTTATATATCTCACCTGCCTCAATCTTTTCACGTGCTGCAACGTTGGCGCGGTCATTGTTGACCGGCCTTGTTCACGATCCCGCGTGAGACCTCGGACCGGGTAAGGCTATAAGCGTTGAGAAGCTTGGTTGTCGGGGCGCGCTGAAGCCCGGTGTTGAGGGTAGCAATCTGTTGGGGATGTGTTTGCAGCAGGATTGGAGGCGAGGAAGGACAAGAAAGACCTTGTCCAAGAGACATGACAAATAGTGATGACAATTGACCGATAGCGTTAACCGGAGGAAAAAGGATAGGCGCGGAACATCCTCGCATGCCAGAGATAGGCGTTACCGGTCAAGTGGAGGTTTCGGTTTCAGAGAGAACAATACGGTCCATTACACACAAAGTGCCTGCACCATGGCCAGACAGCGACCATGAGTTGTTGGCATCTTCATGTCTCTTTGACATCCCACACCAAGTCATCATGATATCCGCAGGCTATGGAGATGCTTTGCATCGATCCATCTATGATTTGCCCCACATCACCTCCCATTCGGACAATCACCCGTCCGCCACGCTGATTGAGCAAGAGGAGATCGAGGCACTCTTCACAGACTTGTTGAATGGAGTTCCTTCACCTGGAGTGCCGGCCACATCTCAGATAGAAGTCGAGGATTCAGAATCAACGCCAGCTCAAACTACGCTTCGCACGTCCGAGCACGCCAAGTTTCTGGCATCCTCCCTGTTTCGACTTCCAGCTCCTTTCGTCGCGCTAGATGCCAGTCGACCATGGCTGATATACTGGACGTTTCACAGTATGGACATTTTGGGTCTGACATCAGACCAAGAGATCAGGAAAAGGTGATTGGAATGTCGAGGGACTGATCTGACGAAGCTTAGGGCCGTGTCTACCATTGTTCACTTCATGCACCCCTTGGGAGGTTTCGCAGGCGGAGCGTCAAACACACAGCTGCCTCACCTTCTCCCGACATATGCCTCCACATGCTCATTGGCGATAGTGGGTGATGCTGGACAGAATGGTGGATGGCACCAGCTCGCAGCGAATCGACAAGCGACCTATGATTTCTTCATGAGATGCAAGCAGCCCAACGGGGGGTTCGTCGTTTGCCAAGGTGGAGAGGTGGATGTCAGGTGGGCTCTAACCTAGATTATGCGGTGAGACTCACTGCATCATCCGCAGAGGGACGTATTGTCTTCTAGTTGTGGCAACTCTGCTCGATCTCCTGACACCTGAACTTCTACACAATGTGGACCAATTCATCGCCTCGACGCAGACTTACGAAGGAGGATTCGCCAACGCAACTTTCCCCCTCACTGGAATCTCGCCTCCCCGCTCTCCGGCCATGGCTGAGGCGCATGGAGGATATACGTCCTGTTCCCTCAACGCTCATTTCCTTCTTTCCTGCCTCGGTCCACCGGAGAAACCTTCACCCCTCGGCTCAAGCTTCCCAAAAGCGATTGACATAGATAACGCTGTCAGATGGAGTGTGATGATGCAAGGTGAGGCTATTGAGGCTGGTGGATTCAGGGGACGAAGTAACAAACTCGTCGATGGCTGCTATTCGTGGTGGGTCGGAGGCGGGTTCCCAGTCTTGGAGGCCCTGGAGCGGAGGAGAAAGATTGCAAAAGGACAGAGTGTATCGGAGGATGGCCCCAGGTTGTTCAACCACGGTATGTCTGAAGCTTCTCTTGGTTAAGAATCGGCTGAAATGACTCCAGTCGCTTTACAAGAATATACTCTCGTGGCTGCTCAGCGCGAAGCTGGTCTTGGCGGCGGTCTACGTGATAAACCTGGCAAACGACCAGACCTGTATCATACCTGTAATAATCTTTCGGGTCTAGCAACAGCCCAACATCGCATGGTACAATCTCAAACCGTGCTGGAAGAGAAGCGTCAAAACTTCGATGCCTCGAAAGGACTCCCCGCCGTTGTACCTAAGACCAAATCAGGTGGATGGGGATCAGAGGAACAGCGACAGGCTGTCAGGCGAGAAGTGTGGGCGAACGCTCTTGCTTGGGTCGATCAAGAGGAGTCAGTGATAGGCGGAAGGGAGAACAGGGTGGTGAGTGTGGAGCTTACAGCGGCATGAGTTCACAATTGACACCATCTTTAGAACGCCACCACACCCGTCTTCAATCTCACGCCGGATCGATTAAAACCATTTATCGACTTCTTTTACGGTCAATCATCGTAACAATTAGTAGCATCGTCTTTGTTCTTCATCCTACTGTATGCATGCTCCTTCACTGCTTCTTCCCCCAGATCTCGAGCACTCTATCCTCGACGCCATCAGCAGACCAGCGGTAGAGGCCTTCTGCAAGCGCGAGGTTCTCTGTCTCAGCCTTGAACAACTTCTCCATATCGGGTGCCCCAGGCCCAGACAGGGATACGGCTCCAGCACCAGAGAGTTGCGCGAGGGCATTGGCATCTCGACTCTCGACTTGTGCTAGGAATCGATTAGAAAATGCTCTTAGATCACAATGGAGGTTTGCTCACGCCCTGCATCTCCGAGAATGAGCCTGAAAACTCCATTCAGACCAAACAAGTTTAGGAAATACCACGAGAGAGCGCTAGGGAGGGCGACAGTTAGCCTGACCATCTGTAACCCCTAAAGGACTGAACTTACGAGACCCATCTGACGTCGAGATCTGGCGTCATGATGTCCTTTGACATGAGGGATTTGAAGCCCGCAGTGAGAGGAAAGGGGAGTTTAACTGATCAGTCAGCGAGACGCAAGCGAGCTCTTACACTTCACGACTCACTGAGCACGAAGCCGGAGAAGAATATCGAAATGTACTGCATAATGACCATATTGGGTACCCTGCATCGTTAGTGCACAGATCTCAGTGCTGCGACTCACATCATCACAGCCTGCTTCTTCATGCCTTCCATGGCATTCTCCATACCACCTCCCTCGAACGGATTCGGAATTTCACCCTCTTTTGGCTTCGGCTTGATCTTGAGATACTGTCCGGAGGTGAGAACAGTCGAGTGCGCAGCCGAAATGGAGCGGTAAGCAGCTGGAGAGAGAGGAGAGAAGGGTGCCGTCATTCGCAACAATTGAGCTCGGCCAATCGCCCGTCTACGTTGGGAGGTCAGTGTTGTGATTCGTCATACTTGAGAGTCACTCACTGTTCCCGTACAACGTCCACAGCTGCTGGTTTCGGTGGAGATGTGAGAAGCATAGTGACATAGTGTCGCAGAATACCGACAAGCAGCTGACGCAACATGTCAGCAGACGTATGTCGCATCCCTGTGCTCTCTCTCTATTTGTGTCTGTCTCTCACCATAATCAAGGTGATCGGGACCAGGACCCAGTTCTTTGTTGAAATCAGCTCCAGAATTCTCCCGGTTCGATTGTACCCTACTCACCCGAATGGACGGGTCCAGATACAGATCCTGTCTGATGTGAGGGTCAACTTGGTCCGATCATCCAGACATTGGGAAGCTCACGCTGCTTTGACGCCCATCTTCGTGCAATGAGGTCGTGACAACACAAAGTGCGCTGCTCTAGTCTCGACGAGCAATCTCGTGCAATCCTCAGCGGCGATCGCCGACATAGAGGTCAAAAAGTTGGCGAACGGGGCGAACGTCTGTTGGAGAAATACCTACCACTATTTGGAATCTTTCATTGATCACCTTGAATCAGGCTTGGGACCGGAGGTCCAGGCTCGCATAGGCTTCAAATGAGATCTCTGACCCCTACAGAGATTCGGATAGCCGAGATCAGCCATGTGGTACCAGGGACACTGTCGGGTAAAGGAGCTGTTGACCCAGAGAGCGATGCTGTTTTTGTCCCGGTACAGCGGGTCATAGACGGAGTGGTAGAAGTGGACGTCATCCGCATAGACTCTGGACCAGGATACTCAGAGGTGACTAACTCAGGCTCCTTGACTCGAGGCTCGCTCACGTATCGCAGGCCCGTGTAATTGGTTCGTTCCAAGCACCTGGAGAGAAGAGCGAGTTACTGGACCTGCATTACTTTTCCGATGACCGTACGCTTGTTCTCATCTTGAAACATGGGGACATCGCTATCATCGCTACGGAGATGTATGACGACCGTGACAGTCGGACATCTGTGAGCTGAAATGCTCTACCGCCTCGGAAACAGCTTATACCTGAGCAGGCCGCCGAAGTCGTCGGTAGTGTGGAGAGCGGAATTTTGGCAGCCGCTTGGTCACCCGATGAGGAGACACTAGTTCTTGTCACTGGTGAGGGATCTCAAATCATCGCGAAAACTGATTACAACCCAGGCGACGACAATCTCGTGACTATGACGAGGAGCTTTGATCTTCTACATGAGGAGCCTTTACGGCAAGCAGACTTTGGAGAGGGTGTGTACGATGGAGACCAAGAGTGGACGTGCGAGCTGACCGTCCTGCTCCAGACAAATTTGTCAATGTCGGCTGGGGCTCCAAGACCACCCAGTTTCACGGATCCCTGGGCAAAGCGGCGGCCAAAGCTCCCGAGGCATCTTCATCTTCAGCCTCTCGTCCAGCATCACTTTCACATCCTACCGACAGCGGAGAACCTGTCATTTCATTCCGAGGAGACGCTGCGTTCTTCGCCGTCTCGTCTCTTGACCCCTACCCATCTTCTGATCTCGCTCGGAGGCAGATCAGAATATATTCTTCGCCTGCTGGCTCAAAGCCAAACCTATCGGCGACTTCTGAACTATTACCTGGTCTGGAGGGACCCGTCTCATGGCGACCCAGCGGAAATGTCATCAGCAGTCTGATTCGATACGGATACGAAGGCGGAGGCGCGGGTAACGAAGGCAGATGGGAAGTTGCAATGCTGGAGCGAAACGGATTAAGGCATGGCGGGTTCCCCCTGAGAGAGGCAAAGGATACGTGGGAGCAAGGGCGTGTCAAGTGGATGACATGGAACTGCGACTCTGAGGTCTTGGCTATATGCGTCGAACGAATAGATCGCGACGTCGGTGAGTCGCTCTTTGGTCGTCAGGATTCTGGCATTGCTGAGATAGGTCCTCGATCAGTCCAATTATGGACAATGAAGAATTATCACTATTACCTCAAACAGGAGATCTTCTGTCACGAAGGGCCGAATTCTCGGTTGACAGGCGTCTTCTGGCACACTGAGAAGGCTCTGACCCTCTATCTCGTCGGCGAAGGTGAGTTCAGCAAGCCTTGTATACTTCTGTTGCTGACCCAAACCAGCGACATTCTCGACCAGGACATTTGTCTGGGATACCTACGCTTCGCATTTGCCAGCTCCGCGGGACACTGCCGCTGTGGCTGTGGTTGATGGAGGTGAGTGGTGATGACATCCCCACAGGCACCGAAAGCTTACTCCGGAAAGATCGCCTCCTCGTAACGCCTTTCCGAACGCAAAATACTCCGCCCCCGATGTCCTCGTACCAGCTCTCTGTGACTTGCACTCCAGTCCATGTCGCGTTCTCCCCCGAAGAAGATGCTCTGGTCACATTGCATGCCGATGGGACCGTTCAGCGCTGGGATTTAAAAAACAGACTACCTGATACGAAGCAGAAGGGTGGCAAAGCAGCTGACCCGGTTCAAATCGGCACATACAAAGTAGCATTTGATCAGACCGAATGGATCCCAAAGCAGATTGCTTTCGGGAATGCAGAAATCGCCTGTTTGCTGGATTCGACCACCGATGCCCCTCATTCTCGAATTATCAGGCTCGTGAACGGCGCGCAGGAGGATCAAGACGTGCAAGCATCTGTCTTGGAGAGATTACTGTCTACCCGCGATGACAATTACACTGGCCTTCACATCGACGGCCAAGTCGTGAGACTCGGCCAAGATGGCAATCAGACATCGACGGCCATCGAGCTCCCAGCGCATCCCATGGCGATTTCCGTTATCGATACTGACATCGTCCACCTCGCTCAGAATGGAAAGTTGGTCGCTGCTTCTCTGAGCACCGGGACAGTGCATGCTCTCGCCAATGGCGTCACATCTTTCACCCATACACCCGAATACATCATCTACACTACAGCATCTCAATCCTCGCATTACGTACCGACTTCCACGCTGGACCGTATATTGAATGGCGAGGAGGTAAACGAATGGGAGATACAATGGGAGACTCGAGCTATCGAGAGGGGGGCATTGGCCGTGACTGCTTGCCAGAGCAGTATGAGCTTGATACTGCAGATGCCTCGTGGTAATCTGGAGACGGTATATCCCAGACCACTGGTGCTCGCTGTTGTGCGGCGTAATGTTGCTAGGTAGGCTGTGCCGCAGGGGGACAAAGCTGACTCTGACGCAGTGGGCAATATCGGGATGCTTTCATCACTTGCCGTAAACATCGACTGGATCTGAATCTTTTGCATGATCTCGACCCTGAGCAATTCATTCGGCGCCTCGGCGACTTTGTGGATCAGGTCCAAGAAGTCGACTATTTGAACCTTTTCGTGTCTTCGCTCAAGTGGGTCTACCCTGATAGCTGTACCGAAGAAAGAGAGGCTGATGCTTTCAGGGACGACATGACCTCCTTGGAAGCTTTTCCTGACCTCGCCCGTCGATCCGCATCAAGGTCAGCATTTTTTCACGGCTTTTCCCAGGAGGCTTGAGCTGATGGTCGCCAGTCGAGCTACACAGGGCAAGCTCAACAGGATTTGTGATGCAATTCGCGGGGTAGTAGAACGACGCGACTTGGTCAAATACACCGAGACCATTTTATCGACCCATGTCTGCAAACAGCCTCCTGATTACGAAGGCGGCCTGAGCGTGCTATTACGACTGCAGAGTGAGTCGCCACTCTTTAATCATGCCAGGAGCTGATGCGCCACATAGCGGATCATCCAGATATCGTTCAAGATGCTGTCAAGTACATCATTTTCCTGTCGAACGTCAATCAGCTCTATGACGTTGCCCTTGGCATGTATGATTTCCAGCTCGTCCTCATGATAGCTCAATACTCTCAAAAGGTGAGCTCTGAGGTCATTTCTGTGGACGGATCCCCAGTTGATACAAGATAGGATCCCCAAGAATACCTTCCCTTCTTGAAGGAGCTGAGGGCATTGGACGACTGGGAAAGGAAGTACAGAGTCGATGATCACCTTGCTCGACACGAGAAAGCACTAAGGCATCTGCACAGTGCTGGTGAGCTCCCTCTTCACTCTGCTCTTCAGCTCACTCGTTCAGGTCCAAGCAAGTTTCAAGACTCTGTTGATTACCTCGGCAAATACGAGCTGTACGACGTCGCATTCGAGCTTTACAGCAGTGACGCCCAGAGTCTTGCGGTGGGCCGCAGCGTTCCAACGAGATTTGTACAGAATCTGACGGTTGCCACCAGATCATTCAGGAGATGTACGGAGACCACTTGTTTGACCGACGAGATTACAACGACGCTGCATTAGGTGCGTATTCCAGCGGAAGCCGTGCTGATAGCCAGCCTATATGCTCGCAGCGAAGACCGACAAGGCGATGAAGGCTTACGAAAGGGCACATGCCTGGCGTGATCTTCTCGCCCTAGCGGTACAGACTCAGTCTTCGGCACAGACGGTTCTCGGGCTCGTGGATCGGTGTTCTGGTGAGTATATTTATTCCCAGCCTTTCCTGATTGGCACAGATTATCTTGCCACCCATGGAAGGCATGTGGAGGCTGCACAGCTCATGCTGGACTACACGAAGAATGTAGAGGGAGCGGTCAATGTCTTATGCGCCGGACACGACTTTTCGGAGGCTCTGAGAGTGGTGAGGCTCAGTGCGGACCCACAACGTGTGTTCTGACGCTCTCAGATTTCTCTGTATCGTCGAGCAGACTTGATCGAGGCATTCGTTCACCCAGGCCTGGAAGAGGCCCAGGAGAGCTTCCTCGAAGCTATCGAAGAGATGCAAGATCAATTGGATAAAGAGGTGAAGCGACTGTCTGAGCTGAAGATCGTCCGAGAGGACGATCCAGGTGAGCCCTCTTTTTCTGAGAAAGGTTTCCAGCATCGACCTGACTGCGACAGACGCTTTCTACATGGTGGACGCGGAGCCCAATCTGGAAGGAGTGGACGTTGCGACCAATGCTACGACTGTCGCAACTGCCTTCACGCGGTACACCGCTGCTCCGACCACGGCTTTCTCTCAGTCCTCTCGGCGGACAGGGTACGTGACTTTTATTGCTCACAGGATCTTGCTGACCGCATCAGTCGCACCGATAGGAGTAGGAATCGGGCGTCCAGGAAACGACCCGCCGGTCGTAAGGGATCCGTTGACGAGTACGAGTATCTCGTAGCCAGTATCGGCCGTCTCGTCATCCGAGCCGAGGAGAAGAGCAGTGAGTCGGGCGGACTGATCCCAACGGAAGGCACTAATTCTCGTTGTCAGAGGACGCTTTACCCTTGTTACGCCATTTGATCTTGGCATCTCCCGAATTGAGAGAATTGGCGGCTGACTTACAAAATCGCATACTGTCCTTTAGGAGCGGGTTGGCTGACAGCATCGACATCGCTTGGCTCGATCGAAAGGATGTGCTGAAAGAAGCTCAGGAGAGTGGAGGAATGGGCTATGATGAGGGCAGGAAGATGACGGAGGCTTGGAGCTTGGTCAAGCCTGTCATTGGGAAATGGGCAGGTGTCGGAACACTTGCAGCCTGATCGATCATGGCAAGCAATGCCGATATGTGTGTGAGTGCATCGGCAGTTGAATATCAAATGCTGATCCGAGCAGAGCGTACTAGTAGATACCCTGCATTAACGAATCCCTGTCATGCATACCAGGCTAAAGCAGATACAGTCTGCCCTTGTCAGGAACGCTCAGCACCCTTGATGGTTCTTAGCGCGCCACCGGTCACTTGGAGACCAGCGCAGTAGACGACGCTGGGATTTAAGTCTCTGTCGATTCACCAAGACATTGCATCCAAAAATTTTTCCTGCGGTTCCTCTACACTCTATATCGTACACATCGCCTCCGCAAGCAAGAGTGAGTGGAGGATCGCAGAATCTGCTCACACTCGTCAGAGCTCGCCAGTATGAACGATGTTCACCTCATACATCCCACTGTGAGAGCTCCTTCTCCTCGAAGCGAAACGCAAAAAGGTTCTGTACAAACTGTGGATGCGGGTCTTCAAGGCGATTCAATCAAGCATCAATTGGCCGCATTGGAGACGAGACTTTTGACCTCCGGGCACAATCACACGGAGATCTTTACGGCGTTCGCTCAATTCCTTGCTGAACGTATCTCCCACGGCCATTCGAAACCTGCTCTCGAAAAAGCTGCTGAGCTTCATCAAGTCACCAGTCTCAACCATGGCGGTCCCGGCCTCGCGTCTCGATCCGTGCATGATCAGGGTTCTCTCTCCACCGTTGGCGAGTTGGATAACCAGGGAACGCCAGAAGAACCCCTCGCCCACAATCTCGAGTCGGTTTCCTCGGAGCAAAGAGTTCGACAATTCACGAGGTGAGCAAGATGGAGCTGGAGCTGCTCTCTCTACGTAGGATCAGAGCAGAGGCCGAAGTAGAGCTTGAGGCCATCAAGACGGCGCGTGCGTCTTTGAATACGGCTGTCGATGCTCAACAGGACAAGTCGCCTGTCGAAGGATCGTCAACGGAACCCAATCTCCAAGATCTTTACGTGGAACCTCCTCCGCTCATGGACATTGGGGACACCACTGAGACTTTGGCAAGGTCTGATGATTGTCACAAGCCTGCGGATCGTTTGTTCCAGTGGAAAAGTACGAGGGGGAATGGGTACCGAAGTACATGCGAAGATATGTTGAAGACAAGGCCGATCAGATCAACATCGGTTCGAGACCTACCGAGCCGGTCATCATAGTAGACAGCTTTGTCGGTTATTTCCGAGGCAAATATCCAGAAGATTGCCTCGTGTCAAACTATCGTCGACACAGATCATTGGCATGTACTAGTTGTCGTCAGACGAAACGCGACCGTGATAATGAACTTCCTATCTGTCCTCACTTTAGGAACACGCCGGTGGCCCAGGTAGCCCTGCCGCTTTTGGAAGCTAGGAATCTCCGAGCGACCGGTCCACATCAAGACCATCACAAGGAAAAGTATAGTTGTGTAGCCTACAGCGCAAAACGGATTTCATGGTAACGGAGGCGAGAGCCGAAGGGACGAGCCGGAAGAAGCACTGTAGGGATGCTAAGGAGGCAAGGGTCAGGTAGCGTGCCCGGACAATCCAGACACCCTTACAGTATGAATGATGATATACATACACGGGGCATTACACACATAATGTTTACATTTCGCAGCGATCTTCATCCCATGAGCCACTTGATCATCCGGGCACCGAGAAGGACCGAAATGAGGATCTGTCCCGAACCGACATGATCCATGTTCCGGAAAGCAGCACCAGAAGTTTTACTTGGAGCTGCCGATGCCCCGCCTGTTGCTGAATGACTGGATGACGGGGAGGCGGACGATGTGCCGCTACAATTGGTGAAGGGGCACGTCAAAGATTGCTGAATACTGACGGCCGGATACTGGTCAGGCGTGGCGTAGACAAGGTAGTCAAAGTCTGTCATGTTGTCAGTCTCACCATGCACTGCAGACCCGCAAAGGAATGTGTACACTCACCCACAAATGTCCGGTTCACATCGCTCGGTCCAAGATTCTCCAATGTCACATTATGTCTTCCAGGCGGTAGGTTTCCAATGAAACCGATCAATCCATGGAGCTTTTCACAGTATTTCTGATATCCTCCACCACATCCTGATCTTCCATCGTACGTCGCGAACGGTGTTTCAGACCCATTCAGGGAAACGGAGTAGAATCCGTGATCGTTGACTTGATCTCCAATGATCCAGATCGCGGAGCCTGACCGAGACTTATCAGTAGTCTGACCACCCAGACGTACTAGCAGACTTGCCCTCAAATGAGTAGGTCCACGAGTTGCCTGGGCCTTGCGTATAATGGGATGTACCGCCGGAGAAGTTTGGTCCGCTCTGCTCGGTCCAGTTTGCCGAATACTGTATGCCCGGGTCGTTGTCCTGAACAGTGGTATTCGTATAAGATGATCTTGAGTATATCAGTGACAAGGGCAGGCGGGACGGACCATCGCTTTCTGATCTCACCCTTCCGCAGCAAGCTCGACCCCGAACTCGATCATGTCGAGGAGTAGACCCGATCCGTCATTGATGATTTGGACCTGGTGTGCTGCGTAGGCCAACTGGTCCGTAGAATACAGCAAAGTCCTCCCGTTGCCCGTGGCATTGGAGGTGGAGTATGACTGTGAGAAAGGTTGAGGGAGATCAGGATCGATCTTGATGGTGTAATTGGCAGTATCTGGTCCACTGGCACCGTAGATGGCGAGGGATGAACCTGGACCGTATCTTGTCAATCTCGATTGAACGAATGTCTTGGCGCGATATAACTGACCTGTAAAATTGAAGTAGACCGTCGCGCCCTTGACCGTGGTGTAGTGGTAGGTTGCTGTATGTGTTTTTATCAGTACATCCAAGCATGAGAGCAGCAGAGTAGTCTCTGCTCACCTTCATACCACGGTACACCGGTCACGTCGCTCGTCGCATTCCACCATGTTGGATGATCTTGAGGATCGGGGGTGGACCAATCATCATAGTTCGAATACCCGATCAAAGGGTCAAAGTCATCCACTGCAATGATAGACAAGGACATGGCTGTTCAGCATGCGACAGAAAGACAGAGCCGCAAGGTCGATGTGAGAGGTTGCAGAAGTAGGACTCGATCCTTTGTGTTTACCAAAATAGCATAATGCTGGGTTCTGAGGAATTTTCAGGTTCCCGGTTTCAGAACTTTTTGCCCGTCATCCCCGAAAACTCTTTTGAAGCTTTGTGGACAGACAGACGATTTGCTATGCATGTGGGATTGACGGACGTCGACGATGTCCAAAGAGATATGCTAATTTTTGCCTTGTTGCTTGAAGAAGAGGAAGAGGAGGAGGATGGAGACGGAAGCCTACTACGTGATCTACGAGAGAGGGCAATCGAGAACGAACCGGCCTCAACGGGTAGAAAGACGCAACTTCAAAAAGGAAATAACGAGCGAAAAAGCGAAAAGATGTCGGGAGGTATCCAGAAAGGGAGATAGTGAAGGGTCTCGGAGAACAAGAGATCAGGAGGCTACAGAAAGCACAGGGTAGTCAAGTCGTCACGAGGCTCTAGAAACAAAGGGGAACAGTGTCTCGGAAGACCCAATCATGATCCCATTCTCGGCATTCCTTGACCTGACCCTCGAGGGTTCACGGGAGGAGGTCCAACGCCAACTCCGACACCTAAGCCGGTTCCAGCAGGGGCGTTCGTAGTCGGCCATGTGCCAGGTGGCATGGGAGGCATGCCAAAGGCTCCCATGATGGGGCCTCCGACACCTGGTTGACCCAAATGACCGAGATACGTGGGCATGATCCTTCTCCTCGTTCGGACTTTACGATTTCCCTGACCTGGACCCATTGCGCTCGACAGGGCACGGGAAGCCAATGAGATGGAGGGGGATCGGGATCGATCGTGAGGCGTTCGGCTACCCGGTCGAGACATGCCTCCGAGTTTGACTCCACCTCCCAAGACAGTCACATTGCCTCCATCGTAAGGTGTTACGGTGGGAGTAGGTGTCGACCCAGGAGAAGAGACCTCTTCCTTCGGAGTCAAAGGTGAGAAATCTCGACCTCGGGCAGTCCCTGAGTCAATATGATCCCTGTTGACTTCTGGTAGCAGTGTGGGTGGAAAGCCATCCGCTGACGCCGGACGAGCGTCTGGAGTGATGGGCTGAATCGGCCCAGAATTGTCGGACTCGATCGAGCTGGTAGATCCGGAGCCAGAGCCTCGGTGAGATCCTCGCGACGGAGGCTTGGTCATGTCATCAGAGCTGCCCATGCTTGTTTGTGAGGTGCCTTGATGCGAGACGAATCCGTCGCTACGTCCAGTTGACGACGAGTAGCCTGACGAAGCCTCCGAATGCGCCGGGGAAGGGGTGCGAGAGAAATGGGCGGCGGGTAAGAGGTCTGTGCTGAGGGAAACTTGCTGGGAGGTGAATTGGGTAGCCGGTGTTGGAGGGATCGCAAAGACCGAGGGCAGCGGGACAGGAGCGCGGATAGGTATGGCGTGGGAAGTCCGAGTGGGGTTCGGTGTGGACGAGGATTCGGAGGCGGTAGGACGAGGAGCGATGAGCTTTGGAGAAGTGGATGCCTGCCATATGATCTGAAGCGGTTCTGCAAAGAAGGTTGTCAGTTGATGACGCGGCTGATTTCTTCCGACTAAGACTCACCTCGGACCATTCTTACTGGATCATTGGCAGAGTCTTCCCACTCCCAACCACCATATCGCCACATGACAGTCCCAGGATCACACCAAGCTTCCCATTCCCTCGCTCGACGTCTGACGGCCTCGGTAGCCTCTTTGTCGACGGGCTTTGACAGCTGCCTGATCCATATATGCTCCACAACGCCCGACTCCATTGCCGATTCCTTGAGAGGTTTCGGTAGACCATGTTGATTGTCGCAGATCAGAGACCTGAAACCTGAGCCATACTGAGGATGTGCGATATCCCAAGAAGGTGCAAACAGTTCAGTCAAGGAAGAGGTGAGGTGAAGTCTGAGAGCCGAGAGGACCGTAGGCGTATAACATCGGTTGAGAGGTGACAAGAGGTGATCTATCAATGCGGATAAAGCTGACGAGAGGGAGAGATCCAGCTCAAGATTTGAGATACTGAGCGCAGATTTATGTGTTAATGCTGGTGAGGGATCGGTTGTACTTTGAGGTGATTGAGATCGATGGTGTTGTGAACATTGTTGTGAGATATCCAGTGATATCCGCTTCGGATCAGGATCCAAGTTGGGCATTGTGGACGGAGCTCCTAAGGGGATAGTTGTTTACCGCTTCGGATGACTCATAAGGACCAATGAATGTCGAGGACGCCGCTGAGGAGCTGAGAGCGCTGTAATTCGTCTAGTGTTGTTATGCTACCCACAGTACACCTCTTGAAGCAGTCGAATATTCTCGAAGTCCGAATGAGTTTGACAGTCTACCAAAACAACGGAGCTTGGGAAGGGAGGGGAGAGACTGAAGAGAGCTGAGGAGGGGTACCCGCAGGAGTCGATCAAGCCGCTGAGCCACTCTCACACACACTGCTGTGCTGTCTTCCCCAGCTGACGATCGATGAAAGAGGGTGGTTTTCTGAGAAGGTTTCGAATGAAAGAGCTGAAGGGGGGAATGAGAATGGGTTCGTCGGTTGTGACAGAAGGAAGCTGCTGCTGGCTGTTGTGGACCAAACACTCGAAAGCGGAAACAAAAAATCAAAAATTGCCAATCTGGGAGATTTTGACGTGTGACCTGTTTTCTTGGTGGGGTGGGTGGCAATGTGGCCACGATCATCCTGGACTCTTGACGATACATCCATGAGCAGGCTTGAGCATGAACCAGGTATGTGAGAGCTGTGTCATTGATACACTACTACGATGACTCGGGAACCAGATGTTGCATAGGCTACAACTTCTAGCTCTATGCTGGAGGCTAGGCCAAATGATGCTCAGGCGGTGACTGTTTCACGCTTCGGTGTCCCCTGATCATTGTTCACTAGAGATTTAGGGGCCAGACCCAGAAGCTGCACCACATCCGTCAGGTAGACTTCGGTGTGGACAATCCGATCCATGCAATGTGCCATAATCAGAGCTAGGAGATGTTTGCACTACAGTGGAGTATCAGCAGCAGATTTTGTCGGTGTGTTTTTACAGCATCATTTTATGACTCACGAGGAAGTTTCTGTCCCCCGCCAGCGTGTTGTATCCGTAACCTGCGCATGGACAGTACATACCCTGCATGGACCGGTTCAGAGCACGGATGTAAGAATGTCGGACGAGGTCGGCAGAGTATCGGGAGGGTTCAGCCATTGTCTGAACACTCTGCTCTGCGCTCGTATCGTTGTCTGGTTGAGGCTCGGGCGATGCTTTCGCCTTCTCAGGAACCGTCGACTCGTCATCATCGGGTGAAAGGCTCGAATCTTGCTTGGATGAATGGACTGCCGGAACTGAAGGACGAGCGGGAAGCTCTGCATACAGGGTGTAAGGTGATCCGGTAGCCGAGGTGATCTGAGGAGCAGATCAGTAGCCTCCCCGGCATCGAGACACTCACTTGATATATGTGTCGTCCAGCGGGCAAGACGACTCTCACGACTGTGCTGAAGTTAGCTTGAGTGATACAGCAGCTGACCTTCTCGACGATCAATGAGCTGGACAGCGGATCCCAGCATGGGTCCAAAGAAAGCATGAAGCTGCATGAGGACCTCATCGTCGACTGCAGATGATGCCATCAGCAAGATGGTCACTAAATTTGTGACTCACTAGGCGAGCCATCGCTGGGCAGGGCCTCGAACAGCTTCGACACTACATTGATGAACTCTGGCGAGAGCTTCTTGACCATTCTACATCATCCATCCAGACCTCGCACCTGATTAGAGTCGTGTTGCAGGAGCTGAAACAGACGACCCACCGATCTGCGCCGCTTGAAACATGTCAATCCTGGAGATCCATTCGATCTCCGTCACCACGTGGGTTGTCGCTTGCGTCTCGGTTCGCCGCTTGACGTGTGTCCTATTCAGCTTGAGCTCTAACCGATTCTCTTGCTGTATCTTGACGTCGTTCTAGCGGGGCACAGGAGCGGACTCTTGAGCCTTGAGAGCTCGTAATATAAAGTAGGACCTTCAATCGTCGTGTCCGCTACACCCATCTCGTCGCTTCCAGCGAGCTTCTCCCTGCAACCACCTTCGATCACCTCGTCGTTCGAGTCGTGCATACAGTCCGACGACCTGTCCGGCCTCTCTCCCCTTTGATTCTGTAACCCTCTTCCACCCACCTATCACAATGAACAGAGTGAGCTGCTCGTTCTCTTCCCGGACAAAAGCTTACAGACTGCTCAGATATTCGGCTCAAACAAGGGAAAGCCCAAGCCGAACCTCAACGATGCTATCAGCTCTGTGAGTGATGCCGGCTGGCATGTGAAAGTCGAAAACGTGGGACTGATGGTGCAGACTGATGCACGTGTCGGGAACATGGAGGTGAAGATCAAGAAGCTGGACGCGGAGCTCGGCGCATTCAAAGCTCAAATGTCAAAATTGCGAGAAGGCCCAGGCAAGGTCAAGCTCGACGTCCCGGTTTTCCCGGAAAAGCCAGCTGACACGCCGTAGGCTGCCATTCAACAACGCGCTTTGAGGACGTTGAAACAGAAGCGGATGTATGAGGCTCAGCTTATGCAGCTTCAACAGCAGACTTGGAATATGGAGCAGGCTCAAATGACGACCGAGAATTTGAAGAACACGGTGAGTGGGAGTGTCTTAAGAATCCAGCTCATACTGCTCAGATGGCTACGGTAGACGCTATGCGGATAGCGAACAAGGAGATGAAGAAGCAGTACAAAGGGATCAACATTGACAAGATTGAGGTGAGGACGAGCTCCCGCAGCGCTAGCCGCGGAGGACAACAGATGACTGACCCCCTCGTTCAGAGTATTCACTTTGACATGGAGGACCTGATCGAGCAAGCAAATGAAGTGCAAGAATCTCTCGGACGAAGTTATGGAGTTCCAGATGAAGTCGATGAAGCAGATCTACAAGCGGGTGAGGGGATCTGAGACACCTCCAGCGCGACCACCTAATGATAATCTGCCCAGAACTCGATGCGCTAGGTCTGGACGACGAGCTTATTGGAGAAGGAGAGACCCCAAGTTATCTGCAAGACTCGCAAGCTCTTCCCGACTTTGTAGACGCCGCTCCGATCGAGGAATCACATGTGAGTAGCTCATGGGCTGAAGTCGGCGTGGGATCCCGCTGAAACCATTCACAGGAGACAGACAAGCCCACAGCAGAAGTAGCGAGGTAGAGATGGCATCCTTGGATCTGACCAGAGCAAGCTTGAAAGCGATTCATCGAGAGCCATGTATTTCGTCTCTAGATCTGTGTATGCATCATGACATGTTGTAGATTCGTACCTCAATATGCACCGCCTTATTGAAGACCCGACGACAAAAAGGACAGACTGGCACTAGACGAAGGAGGGTTTCCACAAGATGCTCTTGATCATTTCTGGGATGGGTCAGGCAGGTCATGATAGGACTCTATGGCTGTCATTTTCCGCATGGCGACTCGAAAGTGTTGAATAAGCCCGGCCGGAATTTGAGGGTCGATTGAGGAATCTGATCATGCGGTATGCTGCCAGTACAGGCTTCGTGTTCTGATGGGTCGCTCATGACGTTGGGATGTTCTAGGTCGAAATCCTCGCGTTGCTGCTTCTGACGTCGTGGTTGGAAGTGACAGTGGAGGAATGTGAAACTCCTCGGCTGGATTCGATCCGTAGCGATACTTTCACACTCCCTTTACAAGATTATGCTGTCCCCGGCTGGGTTCTCCCAAGATCGTTCACGGGACGTTGTCAACTCCTATACAGAGCGTGAGGAATATTTTGAGGGCTTCGTCGATTGGGGTAAGATAGGTACAATCGCTTTAAGCGGACCCCTATTCAATCGACTGCTCCGATTCCGTTGGCCCCGCCCGCCCGCCACAGCGCCGAGGTCACCCATCCATTGACGGCGGATCCTGCTGGATGGCTCGACGAGTCGGGTGTAGGCTGTTTACGTTGCACTCCTTGCGGTGCGATCGTGGACTGGAGTAGAACAAGACCCCGTCTTTTGGATGAGGGCGGACTGCCAGGTGCGTTATTGACCCCTAAAAGCGCAGCTTGGAGGTGTCGACACCCTTCATTGGCCCTTCTATGCCTTCCACTTGCATTTCCGCGGAATCAAAGGGTGGATCCTCCTCCGCTCCCTCGGAACGCGACCGGATACTTGCTGATCCAGCGACGAGTCGAGGTCGAATGCCCAGAGAAGCGCAGAGCAGCCTGTATTTAGCTCTGATGGCGGAGACTAAAGAAGGGAGGTCAAAGTCGCCCCCCTGATCCGCAACTGTGACGGCCGAGTCCACGTTCGCCGAAGCGTCCATGTCGGTTTCTGCGGCCGACGGCGGATTCCCGGATTCTGGCGACGGATTGCTGGTTGGTAATCCCTGTATCATCTCGTACAGCGTCTTGGCGTGGGTCAAAGCTCTTAGAAGGTCATCAGTCGTTCATCATGTCCCCTCGAACCAAGGTATGTACCCACCTCGCCTCCTTGCTCTTGCTTCCATTGCTTTTGTCTCCTCCGCCTCCCAACCGCTTCATCCAGAACATGGCTGAGCCTTCATAAAATCCTACTTCTTCCCATAACTCGAAAGCCTTCTCCTTTCCCAATTGCCGGCCTTCAAACAATCCATGGAGACGCCCATGAGCGTGTCCGTCGTCGTAGCCTTGCGCGTAGAATCTGCAAAAAAAATGGGTAATAATCAATGTGACATACTTGGATCACCGACAACTCACCTTGCTTCTACGTCTGCAGCCTCTTGCAGTGGATCTTCATCCATCTCAAATGGATCATCAGATCTCATCGAGGCGTGCTCTGCCATTCTCGATGCTGTTCGGGCCACTGTCCAGCTCGCTGATTGCAGTCTTCTCCGAGTTTTCAAAATGATCCATGGTCGGGCAGTCCAATTTTTCTTTGATCCCGCCGCCGGCTCACTTGGCCAACTCCGTGCATCGGCTTTCTCGGTCATTGGACCATGAGTCATCATCGCGTCTCACAGATTCCCTTCGCTCTCGCAAGGCTCATCGCAGATCTGAGAGGCTCGGAAGGGTCTGCTCGACCATTGGGAGGAATGACTGACTTCAGCAAGTTCCCACATGAGCCGACCATTTCTATCAAGCCATTCACCGCTCACTGCTCGGATGAAGTCTTGGCGGATCTGAAGCATCGAGTAAACGATAGTGAGAGCCCGAGAAAGACGTACGAGAACACGACGGCGACGGACAGAGGTCTGGGGCTCGCTAGAGATTGGTTGGTGAAGGCAATTGATGAATGGAAGACGTTTGACTGGTCAGTCCACACCTAGATTGTAATCCAATCTGATAGCAGAATCTATCTACAGGCGCGGTATTGAAGACGAGGTCAATGGATTCCCCAACTTCAAAGCTCATCTCTATCACGAGAAGCACGAATACGATATACACTTCATGGCGTTGTTCTCTCACAAGGAAGATGCCATACCCGTCGTTATGATGCACGGCTGGCCAGGTGAGAGACACTTCCACGCCTTCCCGCTGAACTTCTCCAGGGTGCTTCCTAGAGTTCGTTCCCATGCTCAGACTTCTCTCCTCAAGATACAGCCCGTCTACTCTTCCCATCCATTTGATCGTCCCTTCACTTATAGGATTCGGATACTCGTCTCCTCCGCCTATCGATGTAGACTTTGGCACTAGGGACAATGCGCCTCTCATCGATCAACTCATGGCCGGGATGGGACTCACCGGATATGTAGCTCAAGGTGGCGATATCGGATCTTTCGTAGCTCGCTTCATTGCGCAGACATCGACAATATGCAAGGGTCAGTACTTGGCCCAAGGTTTGTGGTCCTACTGACGATACATCCAGCCGTTCACTTGGATTTCGTCCCGTCTCTGCCACCGGACACCTTTGATGAGTCAACGTTAGATTTAGTCGACCAGGCGTGTGTGAAAAAGCTCAAAGAGTGGAACTCCTGGGAGAGAGCATATGTCCAAGAGCACGCGACCAAGACAGCTACGATAGCCGCTGTCGTCGAGAGCAGCAGTGGCTCTGCTCGCTTGGTGAGCGAGCCACCAATCTTGTCGAAGAGTGGCACTCATAATGCCCTCTCAGGATCGGCGAAAAGTTTATTGGATGGAGTGACGAAACACCTTCGATCCACACCATCTTATCTATGGTCACTATGTACTGGATTACCAATACGTTCCCGACATCCATCTACCACTATAGAGTTTCTTACGGTCGAGATGTACAGGACAAAGACAAGATGCCTCCGGTGTCAAGCAAAGCACTAGGATACAGTCAGTTCACACATGAGATCATGCCATCGCCGAGAGTCCTGGTAGAACAAGCGGGGAACAACGTCGTTTGGCACAGACGACATGAGCGCGTGAGTCCTGCTTGCAGAGCTGAAGGAACGCAGAGCTGAAGGAACGATCTGACGGAATCAGGCTGGTCACTTTTCTGCTCTCGAAGATGCGGAGACTTTGTGGGACGATGTTCATGACTTCATCGAGAAGGTCGTCAGGAAGTTGTGATCAGTCTCCCAGACGTTGACAGCCTACCGCCACACGTCGCATTCCTGCTTACCTAATCATGCAGTCGTGCCTGAAATTTCAAGCTCAAATGCTTCATGTCGCCTATTGTCCTCTTGCAGCCTCAGCTGCGGCCGCTTTCGAGCCGTCCTACCTCGGAATCCGGGATCGATGGGCTCTTAGAGTGTCAGATTGAGGGGGAGATGCCAGAGGAAGCAATTGAGCGTCAGGGAGCGGAAATTGACGGAAATCCTAACGCTTCAAATGGGTTTATTGTTCTGAGTGTCTGGTAGGCGTCAAGGATTCTGATGCCTGTGCTGTGTGTGTGCGATGGTTTGTCTCTTTGTCCTTGCATTGTCTCTTTGTCTTTACAGACGCACAGACCACTTTTGATACTCACACGCTTCCCCTACAAACACACGGCCGTTCTCCGTTCCACAGACAGGATCATGGTGCAGAAGATTGGCAGCTCGTGGCGTCGCTCTCAATCTCCCCGTCCCGTTTCTCCGTCCCCATTGCTGAAGGTCGATGGACTGACTGATAGCCTGCCAAGTCCTGTTCCCATTGTTCTCGATGAGTCTGATCAAGCATCAGCCCATCTGAACTCTCTAGAGATCGACATCAACTCACCTCGCTCAGTCCCGTCTTCTCCGGATCAAAGCGTGATCGGGTGAGTTGAACCCGCCCCCTTTCCTTTACCTCTTCTTGCTCGCATGGCTCTGTATGATTCCGTGCTGATAATGACAAATGCCTGATCAGCTTGAGCATCTCAAACGAAGCAGTGACAGAGAGAGACTACCGTTTATCGCCGGAGACACGCTCAGACAATTTTCTTCCTCCCAGCCAATCCCTCATTTCCATCTTACCGCCAGACTCCATAGTCACCCCGTCGGTATCGCTCGAGCGTTCCGAGACCGACGATAGGTCATTTCGCGGATACCCAGAGTCAAACCTCTGGCACCGATTCCGCTCCATGTCGTATTCTGTTATGGATCCTGGTGTGACTCGAATCACGAGATCATTTTCATTATCTGAATCACGGAACATGCCTCGATACGACGCTAGTGATCATATCCGCTCAGGATCCCGTAGGCAGGGTCAAATATCACTTGACGATCTAGATGGACCAGTAGGGTGGAGCGGTTCGTCCAGTCTCGAGACCCAGGAGGACCAGACTCAACATCGCGGACGACGACGACTCCTGCATCGACGATTAGCTCGTGAAGCTTCCGTGACCGTTCGAGATGGATCAGATTGTATACCTGTGTTATTGTCCTCGAGTCCTCTCGCTTCGCCTGTACTGGTATCACCTTGGTCGCCTTGTTCGACTAGTGAAGGTGGCGTGATGGTCAACAAGAACAGCAATTGCAGCGGGTCAAATACGGGAGTTCATCCAAAGCTGGTGCCACACTACGCACGGGACGCTTCTCTGAAACGGTCCCTGTCCTTTGGCACGCGATCAATGCACATTGGACTCGACGACGAGGATGATGACCGCAAAGACAAGCACGACGACGAGGACTATGAATGGAATGATAGCATCGAGAGACGATTGGATCGTGGCCGACTAGCTTGGATTCCAAGCAGCGCTGGACCTACTTTACCATTGTTCCACGATGCATCAGGTCGTCCTCGCCGCTTGAGGAGGAGTCAGAGCGTGTGTGGACTGGGCTTTGATGTCGAGAAGACGCTATTGGTGCCTCAGCCAAGGTCATCGATAATATCAACAACAACAACACCATCAACACCACTGCAAGCGACCGGTCTATCGAGATCATTATCCACTTCAGGAGTTCCATTGAAAACTCATCATTCTACACCTCCTCGTCGACAGACGCGGCATACCACACTACCTCTTACTCACTGGTCGTCGCCCAAACTGGATCATTCTCCGACGCTACCTCCTGTACATACATCGAGTGAGGCGAACACTGTCCCCAATACTCCTTCCAGCACAGCGACACCAGACTCACCTGTTCTCGTCACGCCTGATTCCAAAGATATAGTTGACACCCCACGCCCAATCCTTTCCTCTCGCACATCTCCTCGAGTGTCTCTCCTTCACACGCGTGGTTGTCCTCGTCCTCCTCCTTCATCACCACCTCCCATCGCTCCACTCCCATCCACACCTTTAACGGATCCTCTCGGACCAGTCGCTCCGCAAAGGCAGTCGAGAGCTTCAACTGTCAACACATCCTTTGAGCTGACGACAACGACGGCGGCAGCACCACTTTCTAACGCTGAAGAGAACGAAGAAAAAGGCCATTCGGAAAACAATAGTGACCAATCGCCTCGCGACATCACCGATACTGGTAACGAGAAATCACTCATGTCGTTGGAACAGGTTCAACGTGTTCAAGCACATGGTAAGTGCGCGACGAATGGGGTTGAGGTCCGTTCGCCCGCAATGTATACTGACTGAAAATTCAATGAACCCTCAGACCACTTGAACACTTCACTTCATCATCCATTCTTACACCACAAATCCAATCCCTCTGTCCCATTCTCTACACGAAGTGTATCGACATTCTCCACCACCAACCCGAGCTCTCATCCCTCATCCATAAACGTTATAACATCCCCTCAAACCCCTTTCATTGCACCGTCGTCCAACCGGCATTCCAAGATCACTGCATTCTCCGGTTCATCCTCCGCCTCGAGCACGTACTCAGCCTCTGACACTTCATCTATCGCCGGGAAATTCAGCAACTTCAGTCACGGAAGTCATCACTGGGGATTCGGAGAAAAGCCCGACATCTCAACAGTCTTTGAAGAGGAAGGCCTCTACGAAGGGGAAGGAGGCTGCGGCGACGACGCCGAAGTCAATGTCGATTTTTCAAACGGTCACAAGTCTTCCTCCATCATCCAAGACCACCTCGATAACCAAAGGATCAAGCAGATCGCTTTGGGTCCAGCTCTCAACTTATCAAAGGACCTGGACAAGGCGGCTCCACGAGGTACCAGCGGGAGATTGCTAGAGTCCCCATTTAGGCAGAACGTTATCCCTCTTTCACCTGCTCCTGCTTCCTTACCTTCTCAGCAGCAGAACGGACATCAACATATACCCAGTGAGAACTCAACCACCTTGTTCATACAGTCCGGTCGACCTGGTCGCTCAGGAACCATCTCATCTCAGGCATCCGCATACTCTGGCAGATCGACCAAGTCTGTTCACCCCTTTGCCTCGGCTATCAATCGTGCGGCCTCGCCTCCCCCTTTGCCTCGAGTGACAAAGCAATCGCATCACATATCGTCTAGAGGACAGACAGCTACGAAAGATTCTTTCAGCATGCAGAGTCAAGTTCATCTGGCGCCGGCCCCGGCTCACCAGGTGACTCTGTCATCGTCAGAGGACAAGGATGATGAGGACATTTGCCCCGTCTGCTGCGAGAGCCTTAGCTTCACCTTCAGACTACCTGGCGAGAAGCCTCATATTGTGCCAGAATGCGGTCACGCACTTCACGAGGTGAGTTTGATAGTGGTCATACCGAGAACCTTGCTGACAATCTGATTGCCCAGGAATGCTTCAGTACAGTATACGGTGATGTCAAACCTGGGGAGACCAAGCGCAACCTTGGCGTTTGCGGAGTCTGTCGTCAGCCAATGAGAATATCCGAGGGTGCGAGCTACAAGAGGCGAGGCAAAGATAGTGAGTCTTTGAGTTGAAAGTGGCTCTTCGCCCTCCGATTCTCTCCCCCGCTCATCAGCCCTTCCTTTGATTCGGCCTCGCTGGTATGACGACTGACCACTTCTTTGTTCTCAGAAATGGCCAAGTTGATGGGACAGAACACCGACAGCTCTAGAGGCGCACCACCGACACTAGCTTCACCAGCCGACATTGCGAGTCCGTCTTCAGGCTCGCAACCTGAAGAGATCGATCTGAACGCCGACGACCCATTGACCGACCCATACGGAATGAACAGCTCGTCCTCGAGGTCTTTACTCGGTGGCGATGGGCAGCCCTCTGTCGTCATCCCATCGATCTCGATCAAAGCGGAGCATTCGTACATCTCTCGCACCTATCGAAAGGGCAAACATGCGATCACGGCAGTCATCAGCGTCAAGGTTCCTTCAGCGGGAGATCGAGGGAGATATGCAGCGCGGACCCGACCCGACTTTGCCATGTCGAGATCGGGTTCGGCCGAAGACGGTCCACAATTGCCTCCTTCCCCACGATCAGCTTCATCTCATCCGACTGATATCTCCTCGGTGCCCGCTTCCGCAAGATCTTTGCCACCTCTTCAAGGGCCAGACCCATTTGCGCACGTCCTGGTCGACCTGCAAAATCGCGTGGTCAGCTATCATACGTCTGGTCTTGACGCTCTTGGTCAACTCCGCTTATTCGACCTCCTGGCAGTTCGTAAGGGCACGCTGGTCCGAGAATTCCACGTATATCTCTTCCAAGACGCGATCATCTGCATTGTGGAGGAACGCAAGTCAACTATGCGAAAGATATTTTCATCTTCGTCGTCTGTTCGCTCCAGCGACTCCAGCCATTCGACTCACGGCAAGGGAATCCTTAAGATGAAAGGCAGAATCTACGTGAAGCACGTTCAGCGAATCACGGATTCCTCTGTACCTGGCGAGCTCAGTCTCACAATCGAGATGGAGGACCCGACCATGGAGTCTTTCATCCTGGTTTTCCGTGACAGAGGGTCCCATGAGACGTGGAAGCGAAACCTGAACAGCATACTGGAAGAAGCAAAGTCTGGTCGACCTCCTCCTCTTCTCAACCGAGAGGAGTCCAATGCAAAGGTCGCCAAGTTGATGGGCATCGGAGCGCCGCCTGCGCCAAAATCAGCGAGCTCTTCCAGAGGCTTTGCTAGCCCCGTTTCCCAGCCTTCACCGAATGCGATGGGAGGCATCAATTTCGACCTCACTCCACAACCCTCTGCAACATCCTACGACCGATCTGCCCTCACGCCCAAATCGCCTTTTGCCACGAGTCCCTTGGCCGAGTTGGCTTTCAGTGCTCCGCTGGCGCCGGTACATACCCCTCTGGATCTTGTCATCATTCTTTCGCTGCCCGCACCATCTCAGACTGGAACTTTGCCACTCAAGGTTCGGTTGATGCGACAATCGCTGCAGTTCATACTCGCCGTCATGGGCATAAGAGACCGAGTCGCCCTTGTCGTTTGCGAGATGGGTTCCAATGGCGTGGTGCGGAAGACGCCATTCCTGAACACTACGCGTGCCGACTCGCGTCACCGACTGGAGACGTTTGTGGATCTGCTTGGGTCAGGCCAGCGGGACAGCGATGAATTTGCGGTCCCTGTGGGAAGGGAAGAGAAGCAAGACGTTGTGACTGCGGTCAACACGGCATTGGACGTGGTTCTCCAGCGCAAAGTCAAGAATCCCCTTTCTGGTATGATTCTCATCAGCGACACATCAGAAAACATCAAGCGAGCGCAAATGGAGCTTGTGACCGCTCGGTTGGACGCTGCCAACATTCCTGTCCACGCAATTGGCTACGGCAAAGGTCATGATCCTTCACCTTTGTGGATGATCTCAAACCACACTCATGGGACATACACCTATGTGCGCGAATGGTACCACCTTCGCGACTCGCTGGCTGGCATCGTCGGAAGTATGATGTCTGTCGCCATGACCAATATGAAACTTCACATCAACTGTCAAGACAACGAGTTCAAAGTACTCAAAGTCTCCGGCGCTAGTCAGGCCATCGTCAGTACAGGTGGAAAGTACGCTGATGTCGAGTTGCGCGAATTGCGACATGGAGAAACGCGTGAATTGTTGGTCGAGATGGACTTTGTGGATGGAATGGATGAGCACAGATATTCTGGAGATGGATCCGACGAATCTGGTGGGCCCCCAATCGGAGGAGGCAGCGCTCGTGGCGGTCAGCTGTCGGTCCAAGGGTCGATTCACAAGTCTACTTCGATCGGGAATCTCGGTTTGGCACTGGACAATTTATCTGTTGCAGATGCCAACAACATGATGTACGAAGACGCCTTGATCGACGAGATACCAGTCACCGAAGTTGATTGCTCGTATCATGATCCTGCTGCCAATCGGTCGGTCACTCGTTTGGCCCACCCTATCCTTCTCACCACTGCTATTCTTCCCTCCAATGCTCCGCCCTCATCGGCACCTGCAGAGTCTCTGGTCGTCCGAAGGCGGATGGAGTTGTTGGCGAGCGATATGATCACCCGAGCTCTGCTCATCGCATCGAGGAAGAACTTTGAGCATGCTATCAAGATTCTCAAAGAGACCAAGAACATTATTGAGAAGATTTCCGAGAATTTGCAGACCCAACTGTCGAGAGCTGGAGGATCAAAAAGTAGACGCGAGGGACAAAATTTGCAGGCTGTTCATGGCTTATCGGCCGTCGGCTCAGACTTGGACACGCTGATAGATGCTTTGGAGGAACATCAGGACATGTTCGAGAGGGACATGCGTAATTTTGCCGCACAGCAGGTGAGCAGTCTTAGAAACACTTACGGCCTTACGCTGACACTCTCATTCAGGCCGTGGTACTCCGTACGCAAAAGAGCTGGACGACTAGGACACCGAGTGAGAGGATGTACTGCACACCTGAGGTTCAGCACTTTGTCCAGATGAGCGGGGACTGGCAGGGTGGAAAGTGAGCCAGGGGAAAGTCAGCGCTTCAGTGGTCAAATGTACATGTAGCGTCAAATGTCTTGGGCATGTGAGAGTGCATATGTGAATCGGCCGCCCTTCAGTCTGAGGTCATCGCGATGGGACTAGCTAGATCTAAGAAGCGCAATCATACCCCAGCCTGCTATCCAAGCGACCCCCAATGAGATCATGAACCACTCTACACCCTTTCTCACCACCCACTGCCATCTTCCTTCTCGATGCTGTCGAAGACGGCTCGAATGTCTTGTCGACAGATAATCATCGTCATCGCCTGAATCGTCGGACGAATCAAAGTCTGACCCTGCACGCCCAGCTTCCAGGTCCCCTTGTCCGACCATCCCTGGTCTATCCAAGCCGTCTCTGGTCTGAACTGCAGCGCGAGAGCGAGCTGAATTACTCGTCAAGGAGGTTTCGTGCAGCCGCGCTGTGAGAGGCAGGTCGAGATCACCACCTCCATTGGCGTGCGCCGAATGTCTGTTTCCGCGTTGGGAAAACAGCTCCAGCAGGCAGGTGAGGAGATGCGCTCCATCAGTCCCTGGCAAAGGCAACAGATTGAAGAAAAATAGCGACAGTGAAATAGTCGACACATAGCTGGTGAGTGTGTGTGAGCTTGATCCGCCAGCACAGAAGCAGCTCACTTGAAGAACATGACAAGCCAGTACATGAGAGATGGGAATAGACGAGGAAAAGCAGTGCCGACTTTGATGTTCTGCAAGACATCTCGTCTGTCGCCAGACCAGAGAACAGTCCTGGTGGTGCCTATAGAAGCAAGTGCCTGAGTCGGCGATCTGAGGAGCCGAGGGGCGCCTCTAAGACTTGCGACTTGAATGCGAAGTACGCGCTCCTTTGGAGATGGTCTGACGCACGTAAAGCCTTCTGTACACGGACAAGCCACCGAGGGGGAATCGAGAATCGGATGAGGTGAAAGGCAGCGAATGGAGGTCATTTGATCCCCGGCCATGCCTTCGAAAGCTATCTCTCCTTGGACGGAACAAGGCGTGGTGTGCAGTGCTATGTGAGGGTCAGCGTGTATCTTGCTCAGAAACAAAAGTGAATGATACTTGCCTCTCCATTCTGTGTCTGGCACACACCATCCCCGGTCAAGGTCTCCTATCTCATTGCTCGTCAAATACCTTGCCCAAGCATTATGCTCGTGGGTTGAAGATGTACCGCCGACAAAAAGGTCATCAAGATGTGTAATGAGATCTCCAGGTCGGATGTGTGCGTAAAGTGCCGACATCTGGCGAAGGAGATATACATCAGTGAGCCGTCCTGTTCGGAGAAGTCTCGACTGACAGGCTCTACGGAGTCCACAACTAGGCCTTTCTCGCCGACATCTGCCCAGAGAGGTTTCCAGAAACCGGTCAATGATGCAATGCCGAGCAGCAGGTAAATAGCGAGATTGTGCCAAGGCCCAGAGGAAGCTAGACGTATCCGGGCCGACCTGAGAGAGAGAAGAGAATCAGCACGGCACGGACACATAGGCGGTCAACTTGCGTGGGGATCCGATCGACCGACGAAGAAAAGGACACCATCATGCTCGGCATCCCGTAGTGGAGATTCAAGCTGAGCTTTGCTGGAGAAACACCATCTCTGGGGCAAGATCAGCACATTCTGCTCAAAAGGGATTCGGTAACGGCTCACAAGTAAGCGGAAAGAGCATGGCCCAGCTCGTGAAACAGTTGGCTAGTGACCAAGACCAAAACCAGCGTAGGTAGGTGAGAAAAAGGCATGGTGATACCTGGGATCTACGAAGCACATCAGATACCATGCCAATAGTCTTTCGACCGACCAAGGGGGATAAACTGTTCGCCTGGAACGTTCTCAGCCCAGCTTCCACCTCAAGTATCGGAGCAACGACACCGAATGCCCTTTTGCTCAAGACATTCTCCGCAACGTTCCTTCCAGCGCCCACCAGGCCTCGTTTCGACATCCCTCCTGTAGGTATCGAGGGTACAGAATGAGCAGCGAGTTCCTGCCAGACCATTTGCCAAACTTGGACTGCAGCCACAACGGCCGCAAGTACGCTGCCCGCTAATCCAAGCGGACCGGCTATAGATCCCCAGAAGTAGAACCGCTTGAGAGCTCCATGCAGCCGTCTGGACCGTTCAGTGATGATCCTAGGCACCGAATTGTAGTCTTTCGTTTCGATGGACAGCTGTCCGGCCGTCCAATCGATCCGCCATCCTCGGACAACAGGTATAGGTCGCGTGAGACGGTGAGAACCTAATGTTGGCAGGAATTGAGTACTACGAAAGGAAAGATAGTGGGGCAGCCGATAGAAGAAGACTGCAAAAGCACCGAGGAGCCATAATGGGAGTAAGACGTCCAGCATCTACCCGGCCCCCAGTCGGCGCCATGCACGTAGAACGAAGAGTAGTAAAAGCAAAGAACACCCTCGCGACTTTGCGACACACCGGCCGCGGCCGAATCCGTGGCAGTGTGGCGTTGAGTGACAAATGAACATTCAAGGCGCGCACATGGCTATGCTAACATTTCATAGGGCTGAGCAAGAGCAATTCCCGCCTTCACCAGCACCAAAGATCTGGTCTGGTCCGAAAAGATGATCCCAGTGTTTGAAATGCTGGGCAGAAGCGATGTCCCCATCAATGTCGCTGATGTTGTAATCTTTCTCTTCTCCTGAATAAGGTTCCTGGAGCTTTACTCTACGCAGTGCGTCGCGTCAGTGGGAGCTTCAGAATGAACTAGTTTGCTCACTTGAATCTCCCATTGTCCTCCCAGGCCTTCAGAGCGACGTAGGCGTGTTGTTTCTTTAGTGTGTCAGCATCGGATGTCGTTTGGATGGTGACCGCGCTCGCTTCCGCCTTCTGAAAAATGTCGTCTGAAAAGAGACATGTCAGATTCCGTGAAGGTGAGAGGTCTCACAAAGATCAGAAAAGTCCCCGTTCACGGTGTGCAAGCTGTCCCGGTTTGCCAAGATGGTCAATAGCTGGATGTCTTGAACCGTTATATTACCCTCAGGTGACTCTCCTGAAGGTGTTGGGAGCTGTTCAAGGGCTTCTTGAAAGCCGTACGCCCACCTGTGAGATTTTCGTCATTTAAAGCTTGTATCCGACCCAATGGACTCACCAGGAGCCTGTGGCGTTTTCGCCCTGCTGTGCGATCGGCTGTTCAATCCGGTGCCAATTGTTCGAGCCGTGCGACTGGTAGGTCACGTAGATCTTAGCAGCGGTATCGGTCTTTCCGTCTTCGTGGGTGTTCTGAGGAGTAAACAAATTGAATTCTGCGCCCGAGTTGTCCAAGTTTCGTGTGGCAGAGCGTAGCCAATCCGGTCCCGTCCTCGCCACGGCGCATAAGGCTACGAGCACATTGCAGTGAGAAGCTGGACAGGCAGAAGATGATACAGTACACAAACTCACTTGCTGCCCAATAAACGTTAGGGACGGCCACTGTCGATCTCGTCAGTCACACGTCACTCTACAAGTGAATACGGTAACGCACCTTGATCTATATCATTGCACGAAATGCCGTCAACTGGCCAGAGAGGCAAAGCCATCGGCTTTATGATCGTCCGATCTGGTGCTTGCTCTCGGACGAGGTGTCGTCTGTGTTGAAGACTGCGGCGCGCAGAAGTGCACAGCGCTACTGTAGCTGCTGTCAGTCGATTGAGTGTGAGAGCTGATTTGACACTCACACAGGGTAAAGAGCAATACTCTGGCAATCATGTAAGAAACCCAAGATGAATGCAAACTCGCAGAGAGACTTCGACGGAGGGTAGAAGACAGGTCTGAGAGATTAACGAGGAGCCCAAGCTGTCAGTCACCGGATCGCTCTTCCTGCAGTACCACAGCATGGTGGACAAGCTTGGCAGGCAGAGACTTGGGAAAAGGAGATCTCAGATGGTGGGGTTACATGTCCATTCAGCAGGCACGATCCTTTGAGTTATGAATGAGTGACACGTAGGGCGTTGGAAGGAGGCATTTCATTGCATTCATCTCATGTTCGAAAATCGTGACACTTGCTTGTAGCCCCTTTGTGGTGGACCTCCTGTGATGCGGGGTCTCGGTGCCTTGTCTTGACACCTCCCAACCAAGGGGTCTATATCACACATCAATTATTAGCCATCTTTTCAACATGTGTGCCTCGCATCCAGGTCGCCACGAAAGGAGCGTCTCCAGTCCCTTCAGTATCAGGTCCCTCAAGACATATGAAAGCACCTTGCCGAGGCCACTGCTCACCGCTACAGTTTGTCAGGTCGATGATCAGCATCTCGCAATAGTAGTATAGCTGTGCAAGCCGGTCCAAGCTGATTATCTCTGTCCTGAAGTCACTGCAGAGCGAGAGGTCCAATATCAAAGTATGTAGATCGATCGGCTTCAGCCGAAATAATCTCATCGGAGAAACTCAAATTCACCCCAAAAAGTCCGAAAGATGACAACATTTCTAGACGCTGTTTGACTCTACCAAAGGAGTTCAAGCACGATCACGAGGAGCAACATGCCTGTACAGCCGGCATACAAGACGAGAGCTGATGAAGTTGATGATGTGAGCCGCGATAGAGACAATGGCAATTAACTCGTTGCTCTGAGTACGAGCTGATTGTATAAAGCTCGTAGAAACGGTGAAGAACCTGATCATTCCATTCATTCGATCGGCCGAACCTTCTTCTTCGACGTCCGGCTCGAGCAAGCAGTATGCAGCTGGAGATGGAGTCAATGGGGATCAGGGTCAACATCCAATGACACTTGTCGATTATCATGCCCCAAAAGAGCTGCAGTCCATCCTCGACCTAGACTTACCAAGCAAAGGTCAAGGCAAGGACGGTCTCGTTAATATGACTGAGAAGGTCTTACGGTATTCTGTGAACACCTGGGACCAGGGATTCATGGATAAGCTATATGCGTCTACCAATGCCGTAAGTGACCACCAGCCCGCGTGTGCCCTTGCTCATGGACCGCAAAGGTCGGAGTCGCAGCGGAGCTGCTAACTGCTGCTTTGAATACCAATGTGAGCGACATCAGTCCATGAGGACCGAAAGAACGGGTCTGATTGATGTAAAGGTCCATGTCTATCAGGTGTCCCCGGTGCTCACACTGATCGAGAAGCACGTCGCGAAAACTCTGGCACGCATGTACGGATTCACCGATCCCCATTCCGGAGGCATGTCACAGCCAGGAGGCTCAGCCGGAAACTCCTCCTCCATCGTCATTGCTCGAAACACACTATATCCTCATACCAAGACTCGAGGTATTGGGTCAGACAAATATGTCCTCTTCACCTCCCAACATGGTCATTACTCGCTCGAGAAGGCTGCTCAAATGTTCGGCTTTGGGTCAGACAATGTACGTTCTGTACCTGTCGACAAAACTGGACGCATGGACGTATCAGCTTTGCGGAAAATGGTAGTGAAATCAAAAGAGGATGGCGAAGTTCCCTTCTACGTGAATGCAACAGCCGGCACGACCGTTCTTGGATCGTTCGACCCTTTCGACGAAATTGCAGAGGTCTGCAAGGAACACCATCTGTGGATGCACGTCGATGGCTCTTGGGGTGGTAGTGTAATCTTCAACAAGGGTATCGCAGAGGAGAGGTTAAGAGGAGTGGAGAAAGCAGACAGTATAGTCATGTCACCTCACAAGATGTTAGGTGTGCCAGTGACTTGCAGCTTCCTGCTGGCCAAGGACATGAGGAAAGTCTGGAAGGCGATGACCTTGCCAGCGGGTTAGTGAGTAACCGCAGGGCAGACATGACCCTCTTATCTGACCCTTCTCCAGCCTATTTCACACTTCTGACTCCGAGGAGATCTTTGACCTGGCCGATCTGACACCACAGTGCGGGCGGCGGGGAGACGCGTTGAAGTTCTTCCTATCCTGGGTGTACTATGGCGAAGAAGGTCTTTCGGAGAAAATTGAGAGGGCATTCGAGCTTGCAACTCGAATGCAAGAACAGCTATCGCGCTCAGAAAACGTAGTCATGCTGTCGACAATGCCCCCTCCCTGCCTCCAAGTGAGCCCTCCGTCATTATCCAATCTCGCGCCTGACTTTGCTTTTTCAGGTATGTTTCTACTACGCACCGGAACGTCAACTCGGAGATCCTACTGCCACAAGTCGGCGGACGGAGATCATGACAGAGAGGCTCATGCGCAGAGGCTTCATGGTGGACTATGCACCTGGAGAGAATGGCAAATTCTTCCGCATAGTCATCAACATCAGCACAACGGAGGAGACTGTGACACGATTGGTGGAAATGATAGAAGAAGTTGGTAGAGAGAACACGACTTAGCCAATTGGACCGGCTCATGCAGCGCGTCGACTCCTCAATCGGTCATCTATGCAGACAATGCTCGTATTGACCAGACTAGAAATAATTCTTGTCCAAATCCTCCAACAGCCCAATGTGGCTCGGTTGCCATCCCGTCGCAGCCATAGTCTTCTCCTTAGTGACAGGATTGTCGAGGCTCAGGGCCAACCCAATGAAACCGAGTTGCGATAGCGCTTCCTCTGCAGACACCGATTTTGTTGGCACCCCGAGTTTGCGCCCGATCATCTCTGCGATGTCCTTTGTCTTCACGTGCCCATCGATCCCGTGTAGTACTGTCCCTGCTGGAAGTGGCTGCTCGATGGCCATCCTGTACAGCGTGACCGCGTCTTTGACATTGACCGTCGGCCAATGACTTTCTCCACTCCCGACGTACTGAGAGTATCCGAGCCGTTTCGCCGTGGCAATCATGATCGCAACGAAATTGACGTCACCAACTCCATGCACAGTCGGAGGAAGTCGAATGAGGATGGCTCGTGTACCTTGACGACCGAGCTCGGCAACAAGATCCTCAGGAGGTTTTCGATAGTTCCCATCTTCTTTAGGTGTATCTTCTGTCAATGTGGCACCTACGGCAGCTCCAAGAGTTCCATTTGTGCTAATGATAGGCTTGTCTGTTCCCTTGATAGCCTCAGCCATGGCTCGAAAAGCCGCGACATCGACAGCGGCATTCCTATGGATGTCGAAATTTGGGTTGTCGAAATCGTGAATGAATGCGCAATGAATGACAGCATCTGCTTCTCTGGCACCTGATGCCAGAATCTCGAGATCGTTCAGGTCGCCTCGAAGCGGTGTGGCACCGTTGACTTGGACTTTGCGCGCAGATGCATCCGACCTAGCGAGCCCAATGACTGTGTGTCCGTGAGCGATGAGCTCTTTGGTGAGATATGAGCCGATGAAGCCAGAGGCACCAGTGAGGAAGATACGCATAGTGGCAGATGGACAAGTGGATATGAGTGCAATGTCAATGTGGCGAGAGGCAATCGGTGAACGAGAGATAGATATGCTTGATAGTCACAGATGATGCGAATGGGAGGTGGAACTCAAGAGGTCTGACTCTGCTTTACACAAGCACGAAGACTACTCAGAGCACAATATCCTCCTCTATTTAACCTGTGCTTGCCCTCGGGTACACTACGGCTTACCGTGACACAGACGTTTAGACCGAGAAATGCGGAGATGGAATGCGGACGTGGATCCGATCTCCGCCTCGGTCATGGCGGCGACGTGCACCGGGACTTCGTGCGAAAAGACAGCTAGCTGTCTTAGCTGTCTTAGAAGGCAGTAAGGACAGTTGACATGCCCTGTTACTATGTTATCACTGGCTCCGACATGTGTATATTGTACTCCGTCATCACGACTTGTTGGACGGCATGACCAATGATCCCAGAGCCGCTTGTGTATGGACCTTTGCCCTGTGCTCGATTTCAATATGCTTTCCTCCATCTCTTTCTGCATTCGCTTGTGTTTGAGTGGTCACCAGGATGAGTGTGTTCGCAGACGGACAGAACGCACTGCTAGCTGTGGTTTGGATCTCGGATCTTAGTTTACACGAATTTAATAATTTAATGAGAGGTGTGACCAAGACGTCGATGCTAACAATCTAATACCTTTGATCGTGAAACGCCGTAGGCTCGTGCACCATTGGAAGGTGTGCACTGATCTCTCCTCATATTGACACTATAAAACGTTGAATTTGACGCTGCTGATCGTTGCTCATCTTCTCAACTTACCACGGGTCATTCTCCGATCCCCAAGATGGCTTCGTCGGTGAGTGAGGGTCCCGCTTGTGTGCCGTCTTAGCTAACATGCTTCACAGTCGTCACCTCCCAAAGTCATTGTGAAGTAAGCTCGAAGGGTTACCTGTCAGCATCTGACCCATTCATCTGACGCGTGATCTCACTCAGATGGAAGACAGAAGATGAAGAGGAGTTGTTGCGGCTCATTAAGACGCGTACAGAGTGGATTTGCCTCTTTGCTGAGGGGCAGCAGCAGCTCTCACAGAAGTGGATATATCATAGGGATATAGCCATAGCGTTGTGGCCACACGATCAAGCGAGAGAGAGGAGGTTCCTCTGGATCCTGCAGGCCAAATTGCGTGGCCTTGTCGTTGTCAAAGATGGCAAGTGGGAGCCGACTGATCTGTGGGACCATCGAGTCAGCAATCCGATAAGGAACAAGATCTCACAGTGAGATCCGCTTGTTGAAATTGGGTCATAGCTCAGACGACTTAGTTTTATCTGCAAGTATCGCGACATCAGCGCGATTATCCGGTGAATCCTGGCTGGACATCGTTCGCCGACATGCCTGCGAAGGACAGAGGTGCGCACACGTAGGCACATTCAGCTGATCTATCCAGTTATTCTTCAGGCAAACTTTCCAATGTTTTTCGAAATCCGAAACTTGATCAATCACCCGTTACAAGATGACTTGCCCGACTGCCCAGCACCCCTCCGATCGGTTCACCGCTCGACTCAAATCAGTGTTGCGCCAGTGCGCTCTGTGTCTGGTATTAAGAGATCGAGATCATTTGACACCGACGAACTGGAGGAGGACAATGACGCACCTCGCTCACAGTATATTAAGACCGAACCCAGGGATAGACCCCCTTCAATCGAACTCCTCACTCCAGCATCAGCGTACGACATGGCCCATCAAGTCCCGCAATCGATCGTGACCATCCATGAGACCGCTGGGCATCGATCCATACCCTCTCCGTCCTTGACCCCGTCTTCTTCAAATGGCAATCAACTTGCCTCCACCTCCGCGGAGCCAAAGCCAACCATCATTGGTTGCAGCCAAGGAGAGATGACCTTGCAGGCCATTCCAAAGGCCGCGCTTTCTGGTGCTAGCATTCCGCCTGTTTATGTCCCAAGACAAAAGGAGGCGCTCCCAATACGGGCGAGGGTTGATGTCCCACGCCCAATCGTCATCCCGGTCGACCCAAGGCGACGTCCTGTCGAGACCTACCGTTCCACGCAAAGTCAAAATGCGTCACCAGTCCCCGGGTCATCCTATTCGCAAATGACACCCTCGTGCTCAGTGACATAGTCGAGTACTACTAGGGGCGTAGCCTCGTACTCAACTCAAACCTCCAAGAATTCAGGCAGCTCTGCAGCCTCGGAAACTCCTGCGTCTTTCCACGTTCATTCATCCCCAGATCTGAGCAGACCGGACACCCCTCCACTTCCGGAGCCGGCGTTGGCCCGACCATCGCATCCAACCCCGGTGCTAGGCAGACCGGACACCCCTCCGCTCCCGGAGGAGGCGTTGGCCGGACCCTCGCATCCATTCTCAGAGTTGGGCAGACCAGACACCCCCGCTTCAGTGCACCGATGTCCTCCCGACAAAAGATGCACGAGCTGCCTACACAAATTCGCGACGGATGAAATACTTGATGCCACGCGAAGACCTCTTCTTGACCGGAAATGGTATGACTTCAGATCACGAAAGTCGTGTGAAAGAGCGCACACTGCGCTATCACTAGTAAACATCATGAAGACTCGACAACTGGATCTCTTGGTCTATGCCTATTGTCGGATATCTCGCGAAGAGGATCCGCCTCAACTGTTGCAGGGATGGCAGTTGTGGCTTGAGATCCGACCCGATGTCTACCCTGAGATTGAAGAATGTCTCAGGAGGTTTGGAGCGTGAGTTCTTCTCAACTTCTGACCGCCGAGTAACCGAGCCGCCAGCTAATGAAATGTGTGCAGAACTACTCACAATCGTCTTGAGAGTACAAGAGGTTACAAGCGCAGTTGTATAATCCGCATCTCTTCGTTTATCGATCGCAAAACGCCACGCTCTGAGAAGCCGGGAATGAAAACGGTCCACCTCAAGTCATGTCTACAGTGGCTGGATCGCAAATACGAGAAGTGGAGACTAGATGGGACGATCGATAGACAAGGTCCGGCCTGACGCGAGAAGGGCGAGGCGAGGAAGACAGAGCATCAGATGCGTCATATCATGAGATCAATCAGAAGCTCATCGCCTGGTCAGGTGACCGGTTGTATCTATAGATATATATTTTGGGCTCCTACAGAACGTACAGATCAGGATGAATGGGGTTTGAGGTGCAGGTGCGGAGAGTGTGTCCGAAGTTCCTTTGATGTTGATCCCCTCCTTGCCTCCTTCGAGCTGGTACTGTAAATGGAGATCTTACATCAGCATTCCATATCGATCTCATTTCCTTCAATCGCATTCGATTCAGTGGGCGCCATCTCAGGAAATGCCAGATGCTACAGTTGAAATCAAAGTGAAAGAAGTCCACCATATCCAGATAGCTCGTCCAACGGAATCGCTCGAGGCTAAATCCAAGAGATTTTGGCAAGAGATTATCGCATTGATCCTCTTTGCATCGGGGCTTTCCTTAATCTTCATCAGTCAGTTCTCGCAAGAAGGTCAGTGCATGGGCAGACAGATCAGTATTGCTGCATGTCCTGCTAAAAGGAAGCTTTATTTAGGTGCTGGAGGCGAGACCAGCTTGATCGACCATCATCTCGCCACAGAGCTTCAATGGGCAGGCCTGGGTATTGGAGGTCTTGGCGTTGTTTGGGGAATCATCCTAGTCACCCGTTACTGCCTTCATCGCGGACCTCATTCGGCAGCTTCAAGCAGCCAGGTATGACCTTGGCCCGAAGTCGTCAGCTTGTGGTCGTCAGCCAGAGTGTCTGACGGTCTGAAGGCATCCGCGGTGAGTAGGCCGAAAACACGTTGATTCGAATCAATGCATTTGAAGGCTTTTTGTTCTTCCCCCTCGAGCTAACCTTAGCTCTCTAGCAGCAGCTTCGAAGAGTTTGCGGAACAGTCTCTCTAAGCAGTGAAGTCGTCGATGTGGGACTTGATGATTCCCTTCATCTCCTCCTCAACCTCCTTGGGCAACTCTCCACCACGCAGCTTCTCGAGGAGACCAGAGTGAGTAGACTTCAAGCTCTCGGTGCTGCGTAAAAGTGTCAGCTGATCCTTTCACCATGATGGACTTCAAAGCTCACAAGGACTTCTCCCAAGCACCGATCTTGGAGACGTCGACTTTGTCGAGCATACCGTTGACACCGGCGTAGATGAGAGGAGCCATAATCTCAGTGGGCATGCTATGCGTATGTTAGATATGATACAGCGAGGTCGTTGTTGACGTACGGAGTGTACTGGGGTTGCTTGAGCAACTCGGTGAGACGAGCTCCTCGGGCCAAGAGGTATCGAGTGGATGCATCACTGTGGTTATCAGTCGACTTCTTTGTGACAAGGACGGGGGAAATCTCACAGATCGGAACCGAATTGGGCGAAGGCAGCGACTTCTCGGTATTGGGCAAGGTAAAGTTTGAGCGAACCAGCAACTTTCTTCATGAGTTTGGACTGGGCAGCGGATCCGACACGAGAGACAGAGACTGGGTTGATCGTGAGCATGAAGAAGCACCCAGCCGCGGAACAACTCACGACCGACGTTGATGGCAGGTCGAACACCCTTGAAGAAGAGTTCGGCTTCCAAGAAGATTTGTCCGTCTAGATGGCTCATGAGGATCTGATCTGCAAACTAACACCTGACCACTCACCAGTGATGGAAATGACGTTGGTGGGAATGTAAGCAGACACATCTCCTCCCTGGGTCTCAATGATAGGAAGGGCAGTGAGGGATCCGGCACCGTGGTTCTTGTTCAACTTGGCGGCACGCTCGAGGAGACGAGAGTGGAGGTAGAAGACCTGATGGCTTTGTAAGCTTTTTGAGGACATTGCGATCCTTGAAACTCACATCACCAGGGTAAGCCTCACGACCGGGAGGACGACGAAGAAGCAAAGACATTTGTCGGTAAGCAACGGCTTGCTTGGACAAGTCGTCGTAGATGATCAAAGCGTGTCGTCCGTTGTCTCGGAACCACTCTCCCATGGCACATCCGGAGAAGGGGGCCAAGAATTGCAGAGGAGCGGCTTCGGAAGCAGTGGCAGCGACAACGATGGAGTACTTCATGGCATCGTTCTCCTCAAGGGTTTTGACGAGCTGAGCGACGGTAGATCGCTTCTGTCCGACGGCGACGTAGACACAGTAAAGCTTCTTGTTCTCGTCGCTTCCGTCGTTCCACTTCTTCTGATTAAGGATGGTGTCGACGGCAACGGCGGACTTTCCTGTTTGACGATCACCAATGATCAATTCTCGTTGTCCTCGACCGATCTGGCGAGTGTTAGAACTGATTCTAATTCGAACAAGGCTCGACTTACGGGGACCAACGAGTCGACGGCCTTGAGACCAGTCTGCATGGGCTCGTGGACGGATCGTCGGGGCAAGATACCGGGGGCCTTGACCTGAGCCTTGGTCCTCTCCTTGGCGTTGATAGGTCCCTTTCCATCGATAGGGTTTCCGAGAGCATCAACGACACGGCCCAAAAGCTCGGGTCCGACGGGAACTTCGACAATTTGTCCAGTTCGCTTGACAGTGTCTCCCTCCTTGATGAGTCGATCGTTACCAAAGACGGTGACACCGACGTTGTCGGCTTCCAAGTTGAGGCACATTCCACGGACTCCCGAGGAGAATTCAACCATTTCTTCGGCTTGGACATTTCGAAGACCGTATACACGAGCGATACCGTCACCAATGGCTGAGGGACATCAGATGGGAAAGCATTGGCGGTGCTTATAGTGATGACTCACTCAAGACTCGACCAGTCTCCTGAACATCTCCGCCTTCCGATGATCCGGCAATTCGTCCCTCGAGGATGGAGGAAACTTCCGAAGCCGCTATTCAAGGTAGCGTAGAAAAAGGGAAGACAGGGAAAGAAAGGAGAGAGGCACATGTCAGCAGTGTCTCCGTCACAAACGATCTAAAGACCGACCTGGCTTGGCAGTAGCGTATGTTCGGAAAGAGTTGACGGCGAGGGGAGCGAAACGTGCTCGGGGCTAGTCGGAAAAACTTGTCAGCGATGGTCATTTTGTTGCTGTCTGAGGTTGATGATGCCATTATCCTCCTGTCGCTGGTCCCTGCTGCAGATCGCTGGAGAATCTGTTGCAGGTCTTCCAGCGATGCTGCCCTATGGGGACCATCCCATGCCATGACCACACATTTCTTTCACAGTCGATATAATAGTCTCCTCATCGTCCGAATTCGAATCTCTATTGAAGGCAGTGAACACTCACAGTTTGGACAGCGGCCGCTCTCGAGGCAGTCCTCAAACCACGGATGGCGGACTGCATGATGCGAAAGAGTGTAGAGTGTAGGTGTCTACAGGAAGGGAGAGAGGTGGTGAGTAAACGGAGGGGGAGATGCAATTGGGGGGGGAAGCAGGGGGAGGGAGCTGGAAAAGGTGGTGGGAGGGTTGATGATTTTCGGCGTTTTGGAATGGCACAAGTGTGGCACTAACGGAAGCAAAAATATCAAAAGGCATCGAAAGGCGAATTCAGTCGTCGAGTGAGTGAGTGATGCTGAATGAATACATTGTTATCGACGAGGCGAGTCAGTCAGTCTTCAGCTACGATGTCGTTGAGAACATCACTGCGTCCAGGTTAGTGGAAGTGACCACGTATTATCATGAAGATTCCCCGCTGATGGTCCCTCTACAGCGCTCAGAGCTCAGCTGTCCCGCGCATTCATTCATACTTCCCCAGCACTGGATCCAGCACCTGGACCGCCTTTGCCTGATATTGCAGCGACGTCGGTGACCGCATCTCCACCATCTACGATCGGTGAATCATCTGTCGACGCTCAAGCCTCGTCGTGTTCTTCTTCTGCTTCTTCCTCGTCCACTGTCTCGTCTGCAACGGCAGCAGCTCGCAAACCACGCTTGACACAATTCAGAGCTGATCCCAAATACGCCAAATTATTATCCACTCCTCCTAAACCTATCGCTTCACTCCCTTCCCATTTACCTCCGTTGATCTCTGAATCTTCATCACCCTCTCCCTCCTCCTCCTCCTCCTCCTCCTCCTCCTCCTCCTCCTCCTCCTCGTCACACACCTCTTCGACTGCTCTGCCAAAGAGCATCCCATCAGCCATCTCACTTCTCAAGTCCCAATCAACGCCTTCCACCGGAATCTACGTCCTGGCTCGTCTACACACTCGAACGTACCTCCTTCACCCCCGAGACATCCTCACTTTACCAACACTCAAGCCGGTCAAGAGACCAGGAACAACCCTATCATTGACTCGTATATTGGAAGTCGGTTCGAGAGATTACGCCATACGATCTCCATCGGCAGATGCAAAAGTCTTGAGGAAATACATGGATTACGATGCTAGAAGCTTGGAGACTGTCCCCATGTCAATCGCCAAAGTCCAAGTCACCGTATTGGAGCACACGCGAGGCGTCATGATGACTAGATTCAAGTATAAGCGAAGAGGTGGATTTAGAAAGACAATCAGGCGGAAACCAGGTTGGACGAGGTTACGAGTGGGAGATATCATCCTCGGTGATGGGGGACAGGCGTAGAAGACATTAGTTGATCATTCGTATTCGCAAGCATGGATGCACAGAGTCACCGTGACACGCTGATAGGACCCTTGCCGATCCCCGACGAGGAAAGAAGCAGTACGAGCAAGAATGTCCCTCCTAGTATATTGTACACAAGCTTATCTACGTCTCATTATCCCTTGAGGATCTGCTTTTGTACCTTGCCAACCACAGTGCTGTTGACCTTTGTGGCGAATCTCAAACTGCAGAGCGTTTCTCCAACGTGAGCTTGCAGTGGTGAGATGTTGCACATCATGAGCGTCTTGCTCGAGCCTATGTAACTCGTCAATCTCTGCTGCATCGTTACTCGCAGACTCGACCCACCCGACAAGCTCGTTTGAAGTAATCGCGTCAAAGTCGAATTGCGGTAAGGCACATGACCTCCTTGTTGACCTTGTCCGAGGGCACCAATGACATCCGCAAGCGCGGACAAAGACTTGTTGATGTTGATAGTTTCTTTCAGACGGTCTTTGTTCTCGCCAGCACCAGAGCTCGCAAGTCGTTCACTTCCAGCCAGATCGACTGGTGCATGCGTCAGCTCGGATTTCAGCAAGGAAGCGTTAAACGGACCAAGATTCAGCATTGCTTCGCATTGCTCGCTTGTGCTAGGGTTGACTCCACGAACTTTGAGGGTAAAGACCGAGTGTGAACGAGATGATCGTTCGTTCATCAACGTAGCAGCAACGGCACGGCGGGATCTGGCGCGCTCAAGCAGCGTAGCGACTTGCCGTGCATTGCTCAGTGGCACTGTGCCAGCCATCAGCAGCGCTCAGACACGCCATGATTGACATTCTGCTCACCGCTGACAACATCGCTGACGCTCATCTTGCCATCTTTGTCGAGCTTGATCTCATGCTTCTTGGTATCGAACTGGCCAGTTCCAAGCAAGTCGTTGATCTTCAGGAGCGATGAGCCCGCGATCCACAGACGAGAGTCTATTACCACTCACGACCTCGTTGTACACTTCCAGATATTGTCCCTCCATGTGATATTTCCAACCTCTATCCTTAAGCTGACCAGAGACTCTGAAAATCATTTCAATGGCTCGAGGGATCATTCCCACGTTCGCCTCATCCTTAAAAAAAGCATGAGTTTCAACCGGGAGCAAGATTGGGGTTACAGCTTACCAGGCCTCCTTCCATGGTCCAACTCTTACCGGACCCAGTCTGTCCGTAGGCGAAGATGCAAACATTGTACCCATCCAGAACGCTCTGGGCAAAGGTAGAAATCTCCTCAAAGACTTCTTGTTGCCCAGCTGAGGGCTGGAAGACCTGAAAAACAGTCAGCCTGCTCCGAATCCTAGACGGCACAGCTTACTTTATCGAAGGTAAAGTCGTTGACCTGCTCTCGCTCCTTTCCAGTGGCAGATTCGCCGCGATTGATTACGCTCAACTGGGAGCAACCCATCTCCTTGTCGAGCTTTTCGTCTGAGAAGGTGAGAGTTGCGAGATCGTCGCGCGTAGCCTCGTGTGCTTTTGGTGGTGACCTCAGCTGACGTTCGCGCAGCGCCCCCGTCAAGCGACTCACGAAGAGCTGGTCTCACTCTGGCAAACACTCTAATGTTTCCCTTGAGCTCTTGCACTTGATTGTGCAGTTTTCGACGTATGGTCTCTGCTTCTCTGAGTTCCGTCTCGATATCCGCGATCCTCTCGTTCGCCCTCTCTTCCGCAGCGCGTTCTCTACTTGCAGCGCGTTCCTCCGACTCGAGGACCTTTTGCTGGCTGATGTCGACTTCGGCCTTTAGCGAGGAGATCATAAAGGTAGCTCGTTCAATTTCCGCCTGTAAAGCCGTTTGCTGAGCTTGCGACGCGGCCAACTGGGCGTTCAAGGTCATGTGTTGGGTTGACTGCTCGGCAAGTGTGCGCTGTAATGCTGTCAGCTTAGTTCGCAGTTGAGGACGCAATTTGCAGCTTACTTTCATACTTCTCACTGCTTCCCTCTCATCAGACAACTTTTGTCGAACCTCTTGAATCTCCTCTTCGAGATTTCTGTTGTCTCGCTCTCTCTTCCGCAGTTGCGCATCAATTTCCTCGATCTCTTTCGCGTGCTTATTCTGAAGAATCGCAATCTCCTCTGAAGCATTTGAGAGCTCTCTGCGAGCTTCACGTTCGGGATCATGAATCGATTTGAGAAGGTTCTGAAAATCGGCTTTGGAGACGGCTTGCGTCTCGACTTTGGGGTGACAGGAGATCAGCGGATGCAAAGGGGAACTTTGCATTACGCACTGTTCGCTTGCCTGGTAGGATGTTAGCTTGGCCTAGACGATTTGCGGTCCTGCTCACTCTTTTTCAAACATGGCTTTGAGCATCTTTTCCATGTTCTCAAGTCGCACTTCCGCTCCACCCTACATGCATAATTTAGTCACTCAACGCTGGGCGGGAGAAGCCAAACCCACCTTCGACTGTATGTTGGTTGTCGTAGATGCCGACAAAACACCCCTTCTTCCCGGCAATGCTGTCGTGCCGGCTCTCGATCCTGCGCCCGAGACTGTAGCCACAGCAGGCCGCCTGATACCGGCAGATTCGCTGACAGAGTTTGATCTGGTAGTCCTTGCTCCTGGGACGCCAGGTCGACTTCCAGATACTGATCGTGTGGAGCTTTTCAGATCTGACGTGGATGCTTTTCGCGCCATGGGCAAAGCTGGCTTGGAGGATGATGATACAGATCGTATGGTAGTCGCTGCTGGCGGTGGCATGCTGGATCCAGCTGTTGCTTTCCGACTCGTAGGTACGAATCCGCCCGATGGTTTTCGGGGACCACCATTAGGAGCGCCAAGAGTCGATGAGACGAGTGATGAAGACGATGCTTTCCTGCTCATCATAGGTTTTGGGGACGAGGTCGCTTTACGCTTATGATTGAGCTCTTCGGTGTCAGTCAATTGCGTGGAGACGGTCGTCGTGTTTTGAGGAGGTAGACCTAATGATTTCAATGTTGATCCGACTGGAGTGGGAGAAGCCAATCTGGGCAAACGGGAGGATGCTTCCTGCTTAGATACGTGAGCTGAGATGGACTGATTTTCATGAGAAACAGACTCACTGTAGATGCCATGATCACAGCTACCTGGTCAGCTGATGAATGAATGACTCTTGCTCTGTAGGGTTCATTTCAACAACAACACCGCCTGTTTATCGACCTCTAATAACTCCCGAGAGAACGGAAACAAAAATCAATCGCGTTGAACATGACGTGTCACACTGTTGCTCCCTTATCAGCTTATCACTCCGTCTCACTTAGCGGATGCTTTGCTGCCATTGGACATTCCGACTCGAACACACTTGCTGCTGCTGCTCTCCTTGTGTATCATATCGATCATCATACACCATGAGGCATCTGACAAGTCTATCACGCTCAGCTGTAAGACTGGGCGGCGCTAGACATGCTGTCAGGTCATTCGCTTCGACTCCCCTCTCTAGCTCGTCCTCACTCTCTCGCTCTGATATCGTATTCGAGGCGGATGCTAGTAAAGTAGCAAAGGAAGTGAGGAAGAGAGGGATGGCGACAGAAATTTCCTCGGCGGGTAGCATGGATCGGGTGAGCTTCCACCACACATGCCCCCATGTGTCTCATCTCACTCGCTCGTACAGGACACCATCATTCGCCTGCTGTACTCTCTCGGCTCGAGACAAGAAGTCGAGCGATACCTGCGCATATTCACCTCGTCCTCGAAGGGTGCTTCGGGAGGTGTCTTGCCAGAAGCAAAATTCGCAGTCTTGAAGTGAGTCATTCTCAATCTTTAGTTCCTGCCAGCTCACGAAGGATCAGGGTCGGGGGTGCCATTCTGACCAACGAATTGGACGATCTCGCGTTGTCTCTATCCTTCTTGAATCGATTGGGTCTATTCCCGATTGTTTTGCATGGAGCTGGACCACAGCTGTGAGAGTGTCTCACCTATCATCTATGAGCTGCAACTGAATAGGGCAGGAACGATATCCTCGAGGCGGAAGGAGTGGTTCCAGACTATGAGGACGGAATTAGGATTACCGGTGAGTCACTGCAGTAATGCAACTCCATAAGTCATTAATGAATGTGCTTAGATGCAAAGACCCTCCAAGTTGCCCGCGTGAGTCACAGCACACTTCTGAAAGGCTCCAGCTCACAAATTTGCAGCGAGTGTTCCTCCAGGAGAACCTCAAACTCACTACCGCTCTTGAACGTCTCGGCACCCGCGCTCGGCCGATACCAACTGGAGTGTTCACTGCGGATTATCTCGACAAGAACAAGTACGGCCTCGTCGGGCGCATTACTCGTGTCGACAAGGCACCTATTGAAGCTGCTATTCGAGCTGGATGCTTGCCAATCTTGACGAGTTTGGCTGAGAATGCCGATGGACAGATTCTTAATGTCAATGCAGACGTCGCCGCAGGCGAGCTGGCGAGAGTTTTGGAGGTGAGCTTTTTTTTTTCGCGCTTTTGAGGAGATCAAGCTCAATTTTCGCCCAGCCCATGAAGATTGTCTATTTGAACGAGAAGGGTGGTCTCTTCCACGGGGTCACAGGCAAGAAGCTGTCGACTATCAACCTGGACGAGGAGTACGATTCACTGATGAAGGAATCTTGGGTCAAATTTGGAACCAAGCTCAAGCTTCGTGAGATCAAGGAACTCCTTGACACTCTTCCTCGGTCGTCATCTGTTGCTATCATCTCCACCGACATGTTGCAAAAGGAGTTGTTCACCGATGCGGGAGCAGGAACCTTGATCCGACGAGGCTACAAGCTCTACAAGCAAGACGCGACGGACGCCGTTGGATCTACTCAACTCCGTCAAGTATTCCAAGAACGTGACCCGGACGTCATCTCAGGCAAGAAGTCTGTCGCTGAGATCTTCGGAGATTTCAAAGCTACGCCTCATACGATCTACGGCGATGAACCTCTTGATGTCGTCGCTGTCGTGTCTCACCCGCCTGGCGAGACTCCCGTCATGACCAAATTCTTGCCTTCGCGACCTGGAATTCTCAACAAGATTGTCGACAACGTCTTTGACGCGGTCAAAAAGGATCACAAACGGTTGTTCTGGACAGCCAATGCAGACGACGAGAACCGGGCGTGGCACTTTGAGCGTGCGGACGGAAGCTTTACTCGTGCTGGTCGAAGTCTCTTTTGGTACGGTGTTCCCAATGTCAAGGAGGTCGAGGGCATTATCGATAAATTCGAGACGACTGGACGTATCGAGCGTGTCTTCCTTCCTGTTGGACCTAGTGTTCCTCCTCATCGACAGGCAGGAGCTGAGAGCGCGCGTGCATCCTCCACACTGTCGGGCCAACGCAGGCAATTTTCGACTTGCCCCGGACCGCAGGATTTTCGACGAGGGTACGCCACCGCGACGGACGTACCGCGTAAACGAGTCGCGTTGATCGGTGCAAGAGGCTACACCGGTCAGAATTTGGTCTCTTTGATCAACTCACATCCTCACCTCGATCTTACCCATGTCTCGTCTCGTGAGCTTGCCGGACTGCCTCTGAAAGGGTACTCCAAATCCGACGTCAAATACTCCAATCTCTCCGTTGAAGACGTAAAAAAGATGGAAGAGGACAATGTCGTTGATGCTTGGATTATGGCGCTCCCAAATGGGATCTGCAAACCATTCGTGGATGCTATTGAAGGTGCCAAAGAGAAGGGAGGCAAGGGTGTGATTATCGACCTGAGTGCCGACTATAGATTCGAGAAGGATTGGACGTATGGTCTACCGGGTGAGGCTCCGTTCCCTTGAAGATGCGAGACTGTGGAGTCCCTTGTAGACTGGAATGAAAGCTGAAATATGTCTCTTGCATCAGAAATCTACGGTCGAGATGTCGTCAAGGGCAGTTTGAGAATTTCCAACCCTGGATGCTACGCTACCAACATGCAGCTCTTGCTGGCACCGCTCATGCCCCACTTAGACCCCTCTCAAGCACCAACAGTGTATGGAGTCTCAGGATACTCTGGTGCAGGGACGAAGAGCGGGGAGAAGGATGTAGATGGGCACCCAAAGACCATGCCAAAAATTGTGAGTGAATATACTGCCCTTGATTTGGTCTCGCTGACCGTCCTTGCTCTAGGGTCCTTCCGATCTACGAGGCGGGATCCGACCCTACTCGCTCACGGACCACATTCACGAACGTGAATCTTCGACTCATCTCTCTACCCTTCTGGGCCAAGGATCAAATTTTCATCTCAGCTTTATTCCGACCGTCGCGCCTTGGTTCGCAGGAATCATATCGACCGTCTCTGCACCTCTGGCAAAATCCATGCGAGCGAGCGAGATCAATGAGTTATATCGGGAAAAATACGAACATGAGAGAATGTGTCACATCGCCAAAGAGGTCCCAGACGTTATTGACATTGAGGGGAAACACGGTTGGAAGATGGGCGGTGTGCAAGTTCACAGTTCTGGAAAGAGGGTAGTTGTAGTCGTGAGTCGGCCCCCAACACACATTATTTTGCCGCGAGGCATTGACAGAGCTTCCTTTAGGGAGTTTTGGATAACCTTTTGAAAGGCGCCGCAACGCAATGTCTGCAGGTGAGTTGAGATCGATCTGATCAGACCACTTTGAGATCTGCTGACATCACTCGCCTCGCGTCAGAACCTGAACTTGGCACTCGGTTACGATGAATTAGACGGCATCCCTCTGGACCAAATTTGACCTAAATGATGCATAGAATATAGTCAAAATGAGTCTCTCGAAGAAATCGGGACTCATCCCGACTTCCGAATCCCGAAAGGGGTTCAAATGCCAAACAGATGTACCAAAGTCGTCTCTGTGCGAAGCGATGTTAGCGAAGAGGTCAAGTTGTGAGCTGATAATCTGCACATCAGGTGAAACACCTCATCTGAAACCCATCCATGGGAGAATTTTGATTGACCGGGAGATAATGCATGTCTCGGCCGCTATGTATATTACCGCGTCCGCTTGAGCGCTCACGATGTCCTGTCGGAATGTTTCGTATGCTTTCGGGCTGCAAGACATCCCACAGCCTCCTCGTATCCGAATGCGATATGGCCATACTGTCATGAATCCCTCTGGCATACTCGACAGGTCACCGTCTTGGCCAGTATCTTCATACGGATCCGTCCTTGTCAACTGCGTTGAGCGCATACATTGATAAGACGAGACTTCTTCCGCAGGTCGGTCGAGATTTATTCTCCCCAAGTCCTTGACTCTTCCAGAGAAGGTCACAACATACAAGTCTGCCTAACGCTCGTCGGAACACCATGAACCGTGACCATCTTCAAGTTCACCTGAACGCCAAATCCACGACTTACGCCCTTGAGGCATCTCTTCCTTCTTGCGAAAGTGGCACTCCTCGCACTGAGCGCAATGCCCTGGCTTCAACATTTGCTGTCAAACCACACGCCGCCCGAATCGTTGTAGAAGGCGCCCCACCAATCCCGACGAGACGCTGCCGACCCCTTCCGCCAGTCCCTTCTGATACGCCTAGACCCACACTGGGCCGTATGCCAGTATGGCATGGGTTACATATGACACCTTACGATGGATCCCGTGAATCAGCCAAGAGAGACTTTGGATCAAGCCTCATGCAGGTCCCGCAATCTTCCCCTGTCGACATCTCGCTCAAGACCCGATTAGAATTTGATCTTGGACAACTCTTCCAGAGACTCGAATGCGAGAATAGATCCATCGATTCCACTTCATCTGCCCTTCAGCTGGATCTGGGGCCGCGATGTGGCGCACCTGAAGAAGAACCACCTGTCCAAGCGCCGGACGCTGCGCTGGGATCAGACCTCTCCTCGCCTCTTACGAATGACAACGTGCTCCGCTTCGATACGATTGATGCGATCAACTGTGATGAGGTGGAGTCTCCCCTCTGCGCATTGGACATCTTCTCGCCCCGACTTCCACCCGCTCCGGTTCTACGCAGTTTGACGGATCCTCATCCGATCTCTCCCTTGGCTCTGCCCTCCACTTTGGGAGTGGACCGAAAGGGTGAGAGGAGTTACTTCACGGTTACATCGTCTCAGGATCCTACATCCAGCGAAGGCGATAACAAGGTAGTCTCGAAGGCGCCCTTATCGAGTCTCGGTGCTCCTGGCTTGACGGCCAATCAGTCGACCCTGACCACAGGTTCATCTTGGGACCTGAGTTCCACGCAGTCTTCGTTCTCGATGGGACTCGGGGCCTCTATGACCTCCTGTTCGAGTCGATTCCTGAGTCTCAAGGAGAGAGATCATGAGGCTCAATCTCATACCACTCTGAGCGAGATCGTTTCGCGGACACAATCCGCCACGAGCCAGGACGAGCTGTCGACCCGAAGAGACTGGGACGATTTTGGCTTTCCTGTGCCAAGTCGATCATTTGACGCACTCTTCGAGCCATCTTTCCGAGTCCGGGCCGGCGAGCAGACTAAGCCGGTCAGAGACCTCCTCGACAAAGGCGATAAAGCGGAAGAACCCTGGCATTCCGGCTACACCTCCAGCGAGCTCGCTTTCGACATCGATGGTCTGCCACATATCTCACTGCCCGAAACGCTACTTGAAGATCCTCCAGACCCTCCAAAGACGTACCAGCTCCTTCCACGAGCATCCATCGCCACGGATACCTACATTGAAGTCGGAGCTTGGTGGAATGCGGCGGGTCTGAGAGGGCAGAACCGTTCTGAGCGGAGAAAATCAGCCATGGACTATGATTCGCTTCTTGAGCCGAGATAGCTTCGATTTATAAGAGCCTTCACCGGCAAGTCCTCGATTCACTGCGGGTCAGTGAACGGGGTAAAGTTGAGAGATTCCCATTTTTATGCCATCTGTATCGAAGAAATGCATACCTTGCCTGTCATACCGTAAGATTTCGGCATTATACAACTTGTGTACCTCTTCCTATTTGATACAGGGGTGTCTAGTCCGAGGGTTCGACCAAGGCACGACGCTCGTCATTTGTCTCCGGGCCATTGATAGAATTCCCGAAGTCATCGATTCCGAGCTCTCGCTGTCTCTTTTTCCAAAGCAGGCAGATAACCTAAAAGGCGGATCAGCAATTGCGTGCCGACTCGATCGTCGTGTGTTGAGACACTGACCAACAGCATCCCCTGCATCAAGCCTGTGATAGCATACGCCAACCAGCTTGTCCAGTCAGTCCCTGGTCGCAGGACCAAGCTGACAACGAATAGGACACTGCCGGGCACTTGGATAGCCATCGTACCGAGGCTCAGGGCACCGACGAGACCCGATTGGTACGTCCTGTAAATCTGCGGCGCGTATTGCAAGACAGCTAGAATAGTTGCTGAGACGCCTAGAAATGTAGCGAGGTACTGGAGGAGCGGATGAGGAGGGATAGTAGTTGGGAGAGTGTAGAGCAAAGCTAGGGAGAGGAGCAAGAGGAGGGATCTGGGGAAGGGTCAGGGGGTTTGCAGAGGTCGGGGGAACAAATGCGGACAGACATACACGTGCAGAACGATGACTAAACCCAGGGTCATTGCGAGCCTCCACTCTGGCGTCGTAGTGACTTTGAGCTTGTCCGTGTCTCCATCGGCGCCAGCATCGATAGTGTGGACGCTAGCTTGATCCGCCGTCGAGCCGTAAGCCTGAGGTGCGATAGGAAGGGTTCGCTGATACTTGAGATGCGGAGGGAAGTAGATCATGTACAAGACATGTCTAGTGCCCCATGAGCTGGTGATCCTGAGAGATACAGAGATGCTCACATGATGGAGAACAAAAGCCATTGAAGGAAGACTTGGAAGAATCCCAAAAGTGATTCGGCACAGCCCCATGGACTCTGTTATCGTCAGCTCGTGTTCGACCAAGACATCGTGAACTGACCTCGACTTTACAGCATCGTATCAGGGACCATTGGACGATCAAGAGGTTGAGCATCCCCGATGCTGAGGATGTCGCGCCAAGTAAGAGGTACCACTGCACCGGTTATCAGCCATGCAGAAAGAGAAGCGAATGAAATATCTGACCGGTGAGAATCCCTCGGATGTTTTCTTTCGGATGATACGAATATGCTGAGCCGATGTTGGTCAGTTGCAAGTCAAGCTACGCTCGGTACGCGAGGTTCACCTGTGGAAGATAGCTGACGACTAGGCCTGAGCACAAGCATATTGAGAGAGCTAGGGTCCACGGGTCGTGAGTCTGACTAGAAGTAAGCTAAGACAGCATTGTTTAGAGTTTCAGCTGACCTCTCTGCACTGTGCAAGATCCAGTCTCTCGCGTATCATCTCGTGTCCTGTCTGCTCATGAAATGGATAGAAACATGGGAATGATGGAATGAACGGTCTCGCCATTCTGTAACACGCGGGGTCCCCATCGTTGCCACTCGCAGACAAGAAGGGTGCCACTTTGAGCATTTCAGTAAACGCCGAAAAACTCCGAGTGCGCAGAAACCCCTTCGATCATCTGAATTGACCTTGAAATTCTCGCGACGATAGTGCCAGATTGAACTTGCTCATCAACCCCCTTCGATTCAAAATGGTCAGTGGGAACGTCTGATGGATGCTGCATTAGCTGATACTGTCTTCTCTTCAGGCTCCCAAGAAGGCAAGAGTTCAGCAGGAAACCGCCGTCTCCCTCGGTCCCCAGGTCCAGGAGGGTGAGAATGTCTTTGGTGTTGCCCACATTTTCGCTTCGTGAGTCTGCCTTGAAGCTAACGAAGACAGGGGATTCTTTGCTTACACTGCCTTGTGCAGGTTCAACGACACTTTCGTTCACGTCACCGATTTGACTGGAAAGGAAACTATCTCCCGAGTCACTGGAGGAATGAAGGTTAAGGCTGACCGAGATGAGTCTGGAGTGAGTTACAGCCTTCAGCTCCGCTCTATTGAATCAGGGAATGATTTGCTGACTTTTCAACCTTCAGCCTTACGCTGCCATGTTGGCCGCTCAGGACGTCGCTGCCAAATGCAAGGAAGTCGGAATCACTGCTCTCCACATCAAGCTCCGAGCTACCGGTGGAACTGGAACCAAGCAACCTGGACCAGGTGGTCAGGCCGCTCTCCGAGCTCTCGCTCGTGCAGGCATGAAGATTGGACGTATCGAGGATGTCACTCCTATTCCTTCCGACTGCACCAGGAGAAAGGGTGGTCGACGAGGAAGAAGATTGTAGGCTGGCAGCGTGGATCCGTGGCAATTGTGCTTGGTCCAGATGGAGCCCAAGGACAATGGGTTCACGGACGTCAGTCTTCGTCGCTTGACAGCACGCGTTCTGGTCATTCTTTTCTATCTGTACTCTCCTTTGTAGATTACTCTTGAAAGATGCTAGAATCCGTGGCTCGCTGAAATGGCGTGATTGACGTTACATGATGAAGACAGTCGTCTCGCGTGACTATAGATATACAGGCCTAGGGGTACAACAAGCATGGGCGGCGTCTAATGTGAACTGATTGAGATCTTCGGCTAATCATCCTCCTCCATCTCCTCTACAAGCGAGAGATTAGCGCCATAACAGGAGAAAAGTTGACACTCACCATCCTTGTCATCCTCGTCCATATCGTCCTCCTTCTCATCATCCTTTTCGTCGTCATCAAACGACTGCAACGAAGTAACTTCGTCCTTGGCCAATCCGAGGTTCTGCAAAACCGAGTAATTGAGACGGGAAGAAAACTTTTTGGTAGACGCAAACGTGTCGATAGCTTCTTTGGTCGAAGTGAAGGGACCTTGACGGGGTACACGCTTCTTGCGTTTCTGTTATTCCGAATCTCAGCACTCCATTCTATGGCATTTCCTCAGCTCAAACTCACCTTTGGCTTGTTTGGATCCAGGCCTCGAGCTTTGGCGTAAGCGGCTTTCTTAGCTTGTCGCTCTGGTCAAAATGTCAGACTCGGAGCACGCCAGGATACACTCTGCTCACCCTTGTCCTCCTCGAGCCATTTAGCATTATGATTGAGCCAGATCCTAGCCCTCAACTTCATCTCCTCGTCCTCCAGCACATAGTACCCCTCCAGCTCTAGATCATCTATATCCGGGAAATGAGTCTCTGGTCTCTGCTTCGCGTCCGACTCTCGCTTCGCTCTGGCGCGTTCACAGCACTCCAGCTCTAGCAATACTTCCTTCGGATCACGACCTGCCATCCAGCCTTTAACTCGTTCTCTCAGCTGTAAATCGTTCAGGTCGAGCAATCGCTTCTCCTCGGCAAAGATACGTTCTCCAAGGTAATTCAGGGTCGCGTCCTGGTCGTCCCACTTGTCGAAAGCGTTGAAGATTGCCTCGGAAGACATGCCTCCTGCGAATTCTCCCATGTGTTCATCAGGTTTCTCAGCATGGTGTTGAAAGGTGTCTGCAAGGGAGTCCAGTTGTGTCGATTCACCAACCAATGAATCGTCGATGCCAGACAAATCTGCAGAAGCAGCTGCCGTGGCCGCCCTGTTCCTCGCTTTGAATGCCCTGGCCTCTCGACGTCTCTCCGCTTCGACCTCTTCAGGATTATCACGGGCTGCAGACACCTCCGCCATGTAATCCTCCTGCTCCATCGCCTCGAGGTCGTGTTCGTCTCCTTCTGCGCCTTCATCCATCTGACCTATCTCTGCTGCCGCTGCTTGGATCGCATCTTGAACATCGTCGATTGTAGAGGGATTGGTCCTTTCCTTGCCTTTGCCTCTGCGGCCTCTCGACGCTCTTGTATTCTCATCATCGGAATCTTCAGCTTCATCACCCGCCGAGCCTCGCCTACTGCCCTCCGCTTCTGCTTCATCATCGAGCTCTCCATCTCGTTTCCGCTGTTCCTGGGCCAGAGCCTCCTTCAGCTTCTGGATCCTCTCGTCTTTCTTTTTCCGCTGTTTGACAGAAGGCGGGCGCTCCCCGAGTCCCTCGTCCAAAGCTGTCTCTTCCATCTTACTAAACTGATCTACCGTCTTCGTGGCGCTTGACGTCTGTGCGAATTCCAGAAGACGGCGCTTGATAGTCCACGGAGAGACTTTGACGACTTGGGCCACTTCTTCCGGTGTCCGGAGATATCCGTTCATCCTTGAAGCAATGACGAGACAGGCACCGCAGACTCCGGCCGGCCGACGACCCTGAGTCATCCAATCTGCTCTGAATCGTCGAACAAGTCGTGAAGCATCAGTAGCGATCTTGGATTCAATTGCTGTTTCTGGGAAATCGAGATGTTTGGCGAAACGGATGTTGTAGATTGCGGGGTCAACCTCAGGCAATAATTCCGGGAGGTTCAAAGTGGATCGAAGCCGGAGATAAGTTGCACCGAGCTCGTAGACGTTCACCTGAAGCAAAATGAGCACATGGTGCGGATATCTATCCTCTCGACTCACTGCCAATCTCTCGCTGAAGTCGATGAGCATGACATTCTCCTTGACCAACCTGCATTGTAGGTAAATGCAAGCCGCGAGTATGTATTCCGTCCGTCGACCTCGAGTGAATTTGTGATCGACGGCCAATCCAAACCATCTTGCAGCCATATGGGCAGTCTTGGTTTCGATCCGCATATCTTCCGCTATCATTTTGATCCGTTGTGTACCTAGCAAGAAGAGGTCATGGAGATGTGAGCATCCAAACCTGCAGGCCGGCAACGATGCTCACCTTGCGTCTTAACCTGGTGTGCCGTCTCCTCCTTAGCTCGTCCTCTAAATCCAGGAATACCAGCTGTCACAGGCGAGTGAGCATTGGAAAGAGGATCTGATCTGTCATCTACTCACTCGAAAAGTTGGACACAAATGTTCCTTGAACGTGAACTCTTCCTCCTGCTCCCTCGCTGAATCCCACCTCGGACATCAAGATGCCCTCCTCGACGATTCGACCACATTCTTGGCATCTGAGCGATGTGAGCACGAGCAACATCCTCCATCACCTGGGCTGCCCCTGACTCACACTACATTTCCAGCTCCATAGTCAGTCTCTAGGTTCGTTGACCCACACCCTCTACATGATTTCTGTTTCGCGCAGGATCAACCTGTCAGTCTCTAGTCGAATGGGCCGCCAAAAAAGGTCTAGGACGGATAGAACTCACAGCGGGCATGGCGACGGCAAAATGAGCCAGCCAGGAGCTGGGCGCGTGGTATAGCTTCCACTTGACGAGATTAGATCTGACCTCAGGTGTCGAACGATTCCAGCTTGGACCGCTTCGACATTGAAGTCGGTGGTCAAAGTGCAATGAAGGATGATGACCACCACCGATGAATATTTTTGCTGCTTTTCTTATTGACAGACTCGAACGCAGCATCCCCAAATTTTTGATTCCGTGAACTCGCTTCTTTTCATACTATCGACTACACCAATCCAGCTGATTTATGATTTTCCCCTCTTAATCGCTCCCGCGCCTCCGATAGTATCCAACGGCGCATTCCGCCAAAATGGGAACACAAGAACCATATCCATCGTCCACCTCGACGACCACTATTCTGCATTCCATCTCTGGCAGCTACCGGTCGCCAGCATGACGCGTCTTCGTCAGACTGAAGCTCTATTAGGGAGCAAGGTGTTTCAAAAAGTCAGAGATACCCCAGTGTTGGTCGTAGGTGCAGGAGGTATCGGCTGCGAGCTACGTGAGTGCCAGTATGTTGGAGATGGGTATGGACACAAAAATAACATGGCATAGTCAAAAATCTGGTCTTGGTTGGCTTCTCGAACATCGAGATCGTGAGTGACCAGCTATCGTGAGAGCTGCTATAGGCAGTCATTGAGTTCACTGCATGACGTTCCAAGGATGCTAATTAGACGTTTGCTGACGAGATACTCCAGATTGACCTCGACATCATCGACCTATCCAACCTCAATCGTCAATTCCTCTTTCGCAAACCTGACATCTCGAAATCGAAAGCCATCACTGCAGCAGCAGCTGCTAGGCATTTCAATCCCTCCTCCGGGATCAAAATCCATCCAAGACATGGTAACGTCAAGGAAGGTCAAAACGATATTGAGTGGATCAAGGGCTTTGGACTGGTCATGAACGCGTTGGATAACATGGGTGAGTTCAATCGTTTTTTGAGGTATCGGACCTTTTTGAACATCCTCCTCAGATGCCCGCCGACATGTCAACAAGTTATGTCAGGCCGCTGGGGTCCCCCTCATCGAATCAGGCACAGCTGGATACCTCGGTCAGGTGACGCCGTTCTGGCGGGTGGGTCACTTCACAGGAAAAGAAGGCGATGAAGCTCATAAGGCGAACAGGACCGAACTGAATGCTTTGACTGCGTCACGAAGCCGACGCCGAAGACATTTCCCGTCTGTACGATCAGAGCGACTCCCAGCGAACCCATACATTGTATCGTATGGGCGAAGAGCTACCTTTTTGGGTGATTTTAATCCCTCGACATCGGCTGGAGGGCAGCTAGCTGACTTCCACACAGCAAGCTATTCGGCGAGGATGACGAGGCTTTGGATACGGAAGAGCTGGATAAGGCCCAAGCGGCTGGCGAGAATGGTGAGTATGCCTACAGCACGGAGAATTTCTTGGCTGAGCCTGTTTTAGCGGAGGAGATCGAGCAATTGAAACATGAAGCGGCGGCTTTCAGACAAGTCAGAGCACAGCTTGGAGAAGAGGATGGCCCAAAGCGGGTGTTTGAAAAGGTCAGCTCGATTCATTGGTATGGTCTGTAGCTGACATGTACATCAGGTCTTCCATGAGGACATTAGCAAGCTTCTAGCGATGGAGGATATGTGGAAGGTGCCTGGTCGGGTCAAGCCAGTCCCCTTGGGCTACGACGCGATTGTCCTCGGTGACTTTGTCGCTCCTCCTCTGCGTTCGGGTCCGGTCGCCCAGACGAATGGTAGACCTGTGCCAGAGAGAAATGGCGAGAGCAGTACGAGTGCGCTCAATGCCAACTCGAAGCAGCTCAAGGATCAGAGGGAATTGACAGTGAAGGAGAACCTGGACATGTTCATCGATAGGTCAGAGATAGCGGATCTCCGTGCGACATTGTATTAACGGGAGTCGCAGTTGTCGCCGGTTATCCGCACGAATGATCTCTCAACCTGACATTGTACTTTCTTTCGACAAGGATGACGATGACACGCTCGACTTCGTTCTTGCCACTGCTAACCTCCGAGCTATCGCATACGGAATCCCTACCAAAACCCGTTTTCAAGTCAAAGGTGAGCTGGCGAATACCCGCGTCAAATTTCGGTCGTTGACTCTATGAAGAAATGGCCGGTAACATCATTCCCGCTATCGCCACGACTAACGCTATCATTGCCGGGCTTATCGTCATGCAAGCCATAAATCTCCTCTCCTCTAATATTGACAAGGCTACAAATGTCTTTCTCCGGTCAGACCCTGCGAAACCGTTGGGCATTTACAAGCTGCAACCCCCGAATCCCGCTTGTGCCGTTTGTCGAGATATCTACGTTCCCTTCAAAGTGGATGTTAGCAAATGTACGCTCGGTACATTTGTGGACAAGGTCGTCAAAGAGTGGTTACCCAAGGGTCTCGGGGCTTCCAACGGGAATGCAAATGGTCACGCAGAGGAAGATGAAGAGATCAACACTGAAGAAGTCGAATGGAGCGTCTACGAGTCGACCAGGATACTGGCTGACCCAGATTTCAACGATAATTATGAAAAGACTCTCGAGGAGCTCGAAGTGGTCAGGGGAAAGATGCTGACAGTGAGGGATGAAGACGATCAATTTAGAGCAGTCCATTTCTGTATCGTCGCGCCGTGAGTCTCTGCGCCGCCAGATAAGCCGAGTGCTGACCTATGTCACGCGCAGTGACCCAAACGCTACGAATACTTATACTCTGCCTCCATCACCTCCTGGCATCCCTCGAAAGCCCAAAAAAGCTATCGCCCCCGCCGACGATAGCGATTCCTCGCCTCCACCTCAAGCTATGGATGCCCCGGCAGCTAGAAGGACAGGCCTGACCCCTAGCGAGGCAGTTTCGAAAAAACGGGCAGCAGGAGATGACGATGATGATGGTGTCGTCACAGTCGCGTCTGACGGTCAAGATAGTCGAAAGAAGCGCAAGGTGGACGCTGTGGTGGATATGACGGGCGACGATGATGATATCGAGTTGATAGAATGAATCATCGGAGTCTCATAATGGTTGAGAAAAGTCAGACGGGGAGGATGAGATTGGAGTAATATGGCGAGACGTCTTGTGTTCATAATGCATGCTGCTGGACCAGTCTCGATCCCATGCATCAGATGCAATGCGGCCTTACACTCGGGGCGGACGACTCTCTACTGATCTATTTTCCGCATCTAACGGGATTGCCTCGTACTCTGTAGCTGATGGCCTCCGTGAGGACGATCCCCGTACCCAATTCACCAGGTATCGCACAATTCCTGTCGTTCGGATGTCATATGAGATGGATCGAATCCCTGTATATAGCTCCGAGAGGCCGACACGCAATCCTCCAGGAGTATACGGTTCGCCAGGCATAATGGAGGATCTTGGGCGTCGCCACCACTATAGGCTCAGTCAATTACAGTTTCTCGCTGATCAAAGACATGCTTGACCCACCTTCAAAGTCAAGGACGACAAGACCACCGAGACGCTCGAGAAGGCCATCGCCATCGCTGCCATCATGGGATGCAAGTGGATACCCCAAGGGAGGAATATACCCATAGCAAGCGGTATCATGAGCAGATTGTAACAGCAGGCCCAAACGAGATTGGCCTTGATCTTGCTGAATATCGTTCGGCCAAGATGTAAGGCCGCAACGACGTCGAGCAAGTCTGATCGGACGAGCACGAGATCAGCAGCTTCGATCGCTACTGATGCACCGGATGAGAGCGCTATACCGAGGGACGCAGCGGCCAAAGCGGGTGAATCGTTGATCCCATCTCCGACCATTGCGACGCCTCCAGCAGTCCGTTGCATGATGTCTAGAATGACTTTGGCTTTGCCCTTTGGGGATACACCTGCATAAATCTCCGATTCGTCGATACCGACTTGACGGGCAACGGCACGAGCGGTTGATTCCGCATCACCAGTGAGGAGGGACACTTGGATGCCCATCTTTCGAAGGCTTGCGATTGCGTGCGCGGATGAGGCTTTTGGCCGGTCAGACAGAGCCAGAGCGAGGACGGGGATAGGGGAAGAGGATGGTCGGATGATCGAGACGTAGACTATGGTGCGGAGTGAATCGGAGTGCAAGTCTGAGAAAGCAGCGAGGCTCCTAGGCAAGGCTGCTTGACCGGTCGCTTCAGCGGATTTGGAGGACGAAGTCAGGACGAATTCTGCCTTGCCGACCCTCAGACGTTCCTTGATTTGACTGTTCGGGAGTTGAATCAACGCCTCAACGCCTTCACCGGGGACGGTTTCGAAGTCCAGAACCTCGCCTAGAGGAGGAGGCAATCCAGCGTTCGAAAGGACCTCACGGCCATGAGCAGCGACGGCGACTGCTAAAGGATGCTCTGATCGACTTTCAGCGAGTGACAGAAGAGCAAGCAGTGTATGACGTTGTAGAGGCGGGGCAAGGGTGGTTCGCGATAGGTCTCGGTTCTCGTTTGACGAATCAACGAGCTCGTGGACCAACTCGTTCGACGTGGCCCAAACGATTTCACTGACTTGAACTTTGCCTTCCGTCACCGTTCCAGTCTTATCCAGAATGACTCGTTTGATGTTCCTGCAAGCTTCCAGCGCTTTGCCACCCTTGATCAAGATTCCATTCTGAGCTCCAACCCCCGTTCCCACCATGACGGCTGTCGGCGTGCTGAGACCCAGAGCGCATGGGCAAGCAACGACCACGACCGAGATACAGAGTTTGAGACAGACTCCAAATTTACTGACTCCTGGCGAGCTAAAGATGGAGGGTAGGGAAGAAGTCGAATCCATTTCTGATATTGCCAGCCACGCAATCAAAGTCAACAGTGCCAGAGATAGGACAATGGGGACGAATATACCAGCGACACGGTCTGCGAACTGCTGGACAGGTGCTTTTGAAGTCTGAGCATCCTCGACGAGCTTGACAATCTGTGACAGGGCCGTATCTTTGCCAGCGCGAGTGACTCGAAAAGTGACGGTTCCAAGGCCGTTGACCGTCCCGCCGATGACTTGCGAATCGACGATTTTGGCCACCGGGATTGATTCGCCAGTGACCATTGACTCGTCAACTGAGGTCGATCCAGTGAGAACAATGCCATCCGCGGGAATTTTTTCGCCAGGAATGAGCAGGACGACGTCTCCGACTTGCACTAGCTCCGTTGGGATCTTGCGAGTCTCAGTAGATGGGTCAAATGCTGCGCCTTCTGCGGGAGGCGTGACGAAAATGGTGGCGGAGGACGGAGTCAACGCCATCAGGTCGGTCAGCGCAGCGGAGGTCTTTCCTTTCGCCAAATTTTCAATATATCGTCCAAGCGAGACAAAGGTGATGAGCATAGTGGATGTGTCAAAGTAGGTCTGGGGGTGATAACTTGGATCTGTGTTGAAGAGAGCGAGGAAAAGTGCTCCTACAGAGTACCCAAAGGCCAGCGAGGTACCGATGACAACGAGGACATCCCTAAGCATGGCTGTCAGTCGGTCCTAGGCTAGGCTCAAGATTGGGCTTATGGTACTCACATCGTGGCCGACTTGTGCTTCAGAGCTTTCCAGGCATTGACATAGAATCGCCTGGCGAGTCTAGTCTGTACCGGGATCGTCAAGGCGAGACAGACAAGCTCGCCGAGGTAAACGCCGTGATAGACTCGGAGCATTGTCCAGCCCATCAACCAGTGAGGAAGGTACATGCTCATCATGCCGATGATGAAGTTGGGAATGGCAAAGCACGCCGAGAGGAGGAAAATGCGCTTCCATCGTGCTGTGTCTTTATGCTTGCGTAAAGAGTCAAGTTGCGAGTCGTTAGTTGTTGAAGTCGGGAGGAAAGAAAGGTTTGGAAAGGCTTCTGCGAGTGAGTCGACCAGCGTCCGCAAGGAGATAAGCAATGGGGAATGAGAGATGTAGAAGGTGTCTGGAGGGCTTGAGAAAGCAGCATTGTGTACCCCAGCGTACGATTGGGCGGCAGCGACGATGTCCGCTTGTTGAGTCTCGTCTTCGAGCCTATTGATTGTTAGCATGGAGCCACCGAGTCTCTCGAGTCGCTCACCCGTATATCCTGAGCTGGACATCGTCTACTTCGCTTTGCTCCACCACTTCAGCTTCGAAGCCTATATCCTCTATCTCCTCGGCGATCTTCGCATCTGTCCAGCATTCTCCAGACTCCCTGACATAGCTCTCGTCGTATTCCACCACTCCGCGCTCTGCGAGCAGGGAAATTTGAACAGATTTGATACCAGGTTGAAGAAGCTGAGACTCAATGGAGGCGACACAAGCACCACACTAAGCGTCTCAGCAAGCAGTAGCCCTTCGGTGCGACTCACGGTCATTCCTCCGATTCTCATCTCAATCTTATTCAGGTTTGCCGAGGACGATGGGCCAGCCTTGGCGAGACTACTCGGACCAGCCTTGTAATCTTCCTCGGTATATAGTGGATGTCCATTCTCCTCATCGTCATCTGTGCCCGAGAACAAGTTTGAGAATGTGGAGAAGAATCGAGCCGAGGGGGATGACGGGGACGAAGGGGAGGAGAGATTGCCAGTTCGGAGTATGCGAGGTGTACTGGGTGCCGACATGTTGCAGGTCTGACTCGATTGCACTGTTTACAAGGCGGTTCGATAGCAAGTTTCAGCCTTCAGGATTCGGCCCTCTTCCCAGGTGTGGAAGTCGTTGCAGCGCAGGCCTTGTTGTGCAAGAAGTAATAAGGTGGTTGCCGTGGAAGCGGTGTACGTGTTGATGATATTCTGAGCGCCTCTTTCGCTGAGTAATAATGATAATAATAGTCAAAGGAGATGAGAAATAGAGGACGTGGGCGTGGACAACAAACGTCTCGAGGGACGGTGGTCGATCCGCCCCAGAAAGTCGTCTAGATACCGGATCCAATTGCCGTCGCCGCCCCTGTCGTCTTTGAGCTCAGAACCTTGTTATAGACGCTGCTGCTGCTGCTGCTGTTGCTGCTGCTCCTCCTTCATTGTCTCAGGTCGCGCGAAGGCGCACTTTCCTCCACTTTCCATTTTTTGAGACGGAAGCAAAAACTCTGATAAAAAACTACGGCGAAGTGAGGCGGCGGCTCGTCGGCCGAAGCGAAATGCCACCAGGTGCGAGGCAGAGGTGCTGGTGAAATAATACAACAGTCAGGGGCCGTGAGTGTGAGTGTTCGTAGGATCCGCTGTTGGTCGAAGAGGGTCATAGAGAAATGCAGCGTCGCTCCTGCTAGAAGCTTGCAGCAAAAAAGGGAGCTGCCGAGAAGATGTGGCTCCTCAGCCTGAAACGTAGCGAGAGGCTAACGCTTGGAACTCCATGACACGCCAGGTAACGAGTAGGAGTATCTACGAAACACCGGCATCTTGCCAGCATGCATGAAGTCCCGATGCCCGGGCGACACTGAAGCAGGACAACTGAATCGCATAGCAGCCTTAAGAGGAGATGGCACACCCTCTTGACTCGCAGAATGTGACATAAATTACAACAATGTGCCCAAAAGTCTAAATATAAGGAGACGGATGGCTCAAAATACAACAAAGCATACAACGAGCGTGATCTTCTTCGTTCCCATGAATGTGTGTGCGGCAGGCCATCTAGAACCTGAAATTGTAACCCTGACCTGATCCGTAAAGGTCGACATAAGTGTGCTGGGTAGAGCGAGCTGAAATGGGCTTCGTAACTTTTAATGCTTTGGGCTTGGGTTTGGGTTTGTTCGCGTTGACAGCTGATGTGAGTGGTTGAGGCTCTGTTTCCGCTTTGAACGCGCTCGCGTCCGAGACAGTCTTGGCTCGCTGAGCTTCGACATATCTGCGGATGTTTTCGTGGTTCAGACCTTGGCCTTGATTCAACGCACTCGGTGCCAGAGCCGTTTGGACAGATTTGGCCTCTAATATCACCTCGGGCTCGGCCGAATGGGTCTCGACCGTCCATTTCTCCAGTTTCTCCGCGCCAATACAGGGAGGGGTTGTGGGCCCGTTGAGCGTGGAGGCCGAAGCAGAAGTTGACATACTTGATTCGAGTGGAGGAACAACTGGTGTTCTCAGAGGGGGAGTGGGCCACAACCAAGTTTCCGCCTCTCTCAAAGCGGCTCGGGCTTCCTCGAGCTCCTCTAAAACTGAACGAGCCCATTCATCGGTTTGCGCCTCCACTGGGACATCCATAATGGATTGAGAGGCCGACATGACAGATTCGGGTCGACGAGTATTAGCGACAAACTTGAGTGTCCTGGGCGGAAGAGGAGACACAATGTCCTCGCTGTGCATAGAAGGAAGGAAGGAAACCTCGGGGGAGGTCGGTACCGAGGGCGCTCGACGAGTCGGGACGAATCTCGCGTCTGTGAGATTGTATTGTCCCGGCCCGAATGAGCTCTGCTGCTCATACAATGCATCAAGGCGAGCAGAACCCTGGCTCAAGGAACGTTGATGAGCAGATGTGTCGGTAGGCGTGCTGTGACTGAACCAGTTCGAGGGCAAGGCTGAGAGCGCGGGCCTGCTTTTCTCGCCAATGGCTCGGGTAGACACTTTGTCTCGTTTGTGAGTGCCGAATCGCGAATGGAGTTTCTGGCCAAAGCTCTGGCTTTCAGGGAGAACCGTCTGCTCAGGGATTTTCGCCTTGGAAGACATCGTGCCCATGAGAGGATGCACAGAGGTACCGTCGTCCGCTGGTCGTGAGACCGATCGGGATCGCTTCGTCCTGAACCTGAATGGAATTTGCATGCTGTCGTCGCTCCTGATGTGTCGTGTGAGCTCGGGTGAAGATCGCACGCGTCGGAGTGAGGTCCCTGGTGCCCGAGGTAAGGGAACGAATTTCGGTCTGGTTCGAGGCCTGCTTCTGGACGATGAGCCACCTTGAAGAGTAGTCAATAGACAGTCGACGGACTGAGCTGGGTAGTCGTCCACGAAAGGTTGAGAAGGGGCTCGACGCGAATCAGAAGACTGCGTCCGGCGCTCCAAGGGTTTCGAAGCACGCCGATTGTCTATCAGGTCTGAGACAGGTAGCGATGTCTGTCTGAAAGCAAGGGGCGAGCTCTCGGGCGATGTCAGTCTATCCAGGTGCACTCGGGACGAGTTTCTCGGTGGTGGGAGAATTCCAGTCCGTCTTGACGAGACACGACTTGGGATGGAAGGTGTGTTATTTGATCTTTTCCCAGACGACCAAGAAGAAGAAGTGATAATGGAAGGTGTCCGCTTGTGTCGAAGGGAAGATGTGGCACCTGTAGGACCATGAAACAGTCAGCTGTGTGGACGAGGGATGACATTCCACGATTCGTGCTAGTGTCGGGATTGAGCAAACAAGGAGAAGTAGTAAGAGGGGCACTAGGGGTAAAGAAGGGAAAAGGCGAGTCACACGAGTAGGGTGAAGGGGTAGACATGACGATAGATGTCTCGGAACCCATTGGTAGACACGCGCAGCACGTGCCAAAATGGTTCACATGAGACAGGAGAACGAGAACTAAGGGGAAGGAGCTTGGGATGTACGCACTGTCTGATGCAACGTATCCATGTGTGAGTCTCGCTTGCAGTTCCAAGAATGGGTCGTCTACACTCTCTCTGCAGGGCGTGACGAGTGACTCGTGACTTCGATTCATGGGCGTATCGAGAATGATCGATTGAAGTCCACACGAAGAAGATCCTTTTCCGCTGGAACTCCATTCGCCAGATGAAGACGCACTATGAGTAGCACGTGAAGACTTCATTTGTAGAGGAGGCAGAGTCGGTGAGTCGTCCACAACGACGCGGCTGTCCCTCTTTGGGGTGCGTGGTCGTTTCACCTGGTCGCAAGATCAGCTCTCAAGTTCCCACTGGCGGCGCGCGCGTGTGCCAAAACGGCGAAGAAGAAAAAGGTCTCACCTCTGCGACCACGTCTCCTTCCAGGTGCGGGCTAGGCCTGGTCTTGTCTTGTTCGTTCTTCGAAGCCGAGATCCTATAATCTGTGGCGAAGAGAGCCCCTCTGGGTTGAGCGTGGTTGCTCCTGGGCGTGCTATCGATCGCATGGTTTTCATGATAGACCCTCTCCGGGGCTTCAAACGAGTCTTCTGATTCATTCCTGAGAAGCGATTCGACAGGTGTGGCTAGTGAAACGCTAGACTGAGACGATTTGTGAGTCAACGAGACACTTGTCGTAGATCCGATCGATGATCGAACAGGCGGGATGGAAGGGACAACCCTCGTAGCGGCTACGGTGGGTCCTTGTAGGTCGGAAGGGTTTGGCGGCGAATTTGGAAGGCCAAGCGATACGGCGGAAGCGACTGAATCATTTGACCAGAAAGTACTAAACTTGAATCTCGACTTCTTGTCGCTCTTGATTGACTTTGCAGACGATCCAGAGGATCGTATAGAGGCACCATTGGCAGTTGAGGGGCGTCTATCGAGATTGGCGGTGCTCCTGTTGCCACTCGTCCTGCTGCTGCCGCCACCAATACCACTACCACCGCTTCCGCTTCCACTCAACGGGGTATACTGCTTTGATAGACTTGTCACCGGTCGACTCAAGGCTGACAATGTTCCAAACGCATTGCTAGCGTAGTCGATATTGTGAGCAGGGAACATGATAGATTTCTTCTTTTTTTTCCCCACTGCGCCGGTGAGATTGCGCGGGTACCTAGGGAGAAACGCGGGCGGAGCTATGAGGACCCGAACTGTTGGGTCTGTCAACTTTAAGAGCGCGGATAAGATGATCGCCTCTTAGACGACGGCTCAAATGAGATGTAAGTTAGAAGTAAGAAATGAACAAGATCCTCTTTCGTTCACAGACAGAGAGAGAGAGAGAGATCACGAACATGAGAAGCTGATATTAAGAAAGAGGGGCCACCACCACCACCACCACCACCACCATGTAACGCCTCTCGGGGAGGTTCAGGACGCGCCTCTTCGCGTCCTGATTTTTTTCTCTCAATGCCCAAAAAATTTTTCCTTTTTTGGGTGCCAAAAGGCAGCGAGCAGAGCAGGCAAGCAGGCAAACAGCAGGCAAGCAGGCAGAGTGACATGTCGGCAGAACCTGACTACCCACGTCCAGGCTTCGGATTAGGATGACAGGGTCAGCAATCATGTCAGTCACGCCTCTAGGGATCCAGACTTGGTGATCGTGTCATCTATAAATGCATTTGGTCTACCCTGTGGCGCAACAATCGAGAGCAGATCCCGATAGCCACCATGTCACCACAAAATGATTTATTAGTAGAGAGTGACAGTTCACGTGGTCGACATCATCCACCCACCCTGAGGATCTGTCAATATGATGGTGGGGAGACATTGCGGATGGGTTCATTGAGAACATGATGATCAGAGCCAACAATGACAGGCAGAAAAGTCGCGATCGATGTTGCAACACAAGGAGATGGACCCGGATCCGAAGCTGACATCGAAGAGCAGACTCGATGCCTGACTGAGCATTTACTCACTCACTCATTCAAGCGTTCAGGTCTTTCCCGACATGCCTATGGAGAAACCAGAATGGAAGGAGGTCGGTGGGCCGGACAGTTGGAATATACCCCCAGGGGAATTCACAGTGTTTGGAACGGTGAGCAGCGTGGCTTAGGCTTAACTGTATACAGTAGATGTTGCTTTGACACTTGCTTCATCAGGTCTGGGTCTGGCCCGAGCACGCCGAACACGTCAACATACTCTACTCCAAGATCACTAGCGTCGCCCTAGCAGATCCGGGGACAGTCTACTACTGCATTTCGAGGGATCAAGATGATCCTGCCGTCTTTCACTTTTTCGAACGATACCAGGACAGGGCGTCCTTCGATGCACATAATGAACATCCTTTGGTCAAGGAATTGCTCGCGAGCGGTTGGACCAAAGACATCAAGGCGGTGTTCGCGAAGGCAGTAGAGGGACAATGAGGAATCAGAGCCCTGATTTCGTATTGAATGGAGATCAGACGAAACAACGAGGGAGGACGCGTTGTCGCGAATCTCAACCTAGAAAACCTAGAATGTGGGCGTCGTCACATGACCAGTGCTGTAGACGGGATGCATGTGTAGCTTTCCTTCCTCAAGAGCGAGCTCATAGGTCTCCAAGAAGTGCGTATAATGCTCGGAACGGCATACATACTCATCATCGGGTCCTCCGGGACCCTTGATTTCATCCTCCGGATGATCTTCGGTGGACAAATGAATTCCGAAAAATCAACATTCAACCTCTACAATCTTCATTGGTCAGCCCCCGATTACTTTGACGCACAGGGCGAGCCGCCCACTCCTGCCAACTATCATGGCGTCTCCAGCTGCCCAAGCTCCACTCATGCCCTCCCTATATGCCATCCTCTCTCCGTCTTTCCACCAAACACTCGTTTCTCAATTATCTCTCATGGCCATCCATTCTGAGCCCTATCATATTCAGGACGACATGTTCATCTCGACGCTTGGTCAAGGCTCGACAGAACGGACTCTGAGATTCAGGACCCAGACTGAGTCGCCACCCAATGTTACACCACGGCAATCCCGGATAAACGGCGAGATCGAGATGAATGGGGATCTTAAAGGAAAAGGGAAAGGCAAAGCTCTGGATGAGTTCCCCAAGTACTCCTTAGCCTACGTCAGTCCGGCGCTCAGTGGAAGGGAATACGGAGAGATGAATGTCAGGGCAGTATTGGGGATGGACGTCACGGGAATGAGCGATAGAGATGAGATTTGGGACTTCGTTGAGTGTCTAGGACTCAGGTGAGTTACAAAAGAGTGCCGAAAATTGTTTGAGCATGCTCCGTTCGCTAACACAGAAGCACAGACATTCCCACAGCTACACGCGTTCTGGGCTCTTATTCTATATCCCTCTTCCTCATCCTGCGTTCACACTTCGTCTCACCATCACGCACCTCATCCCAGTGGACAATCCCTCTCCGAAAACAGCACCCAGTGAATCCGAGTTGGGCCGTGCTCCACCAGCTCAGGCGGAATTCAGTACCAAGTCCTCCAAACCATACATTGTCCAGCTCTCACCCTCTCGCAGCGTCCAGACGGTCCCGCCGAGAGGTGAACCAAGCCTGGTAGACATCATGAATATGATGAGGGATGTAGCGGGACGAGTGGACATGCTGGACTGGGGAACAGGGAGAGAGTGATGGATCCACTAGCGATGCAAGACAGAATGCATACATGAGAGGGATGCTAGTAACCAGAAAGTGAAGTTGGACCTTTTGATCAATGCGTACAGACGCATGAGCTATCCGTGCCGGATGGTTCCCCCGCGACCCCATTTCTCTTCAATGTAGCTCGTCATCCAGATATACAACTCCTTGTACGCTTCCCTCTTGTTCATCGAATGGTCACTGCGATCCGTCAACTGAGAGCTATCGACGCCGGTGCGAACAACTCACGAGTCAGTAAACATTCTGAACCTCCATCCTCGGACGTGCTCTTGGGTCAATTTGTCGAGCAGTTCAGCCGTATGACCATAGTGCACATTGTCATCTCCACTGCCATGGGCCCATGCCAGATCAACACTGCCGAAAGCAGTGACGTTATTCACGCTGGAACTGATGTAACCCGCAGCGTTGGATGAAGGCGTCGACATGTATCGCTCAGTGTAGATCGAGTCGTACAGCATCCAATCTGTCACTGGTGCGACCGCCACTGTCACGTCATCAACAAAACAGCGCTCTTGTATACTGCGAAGATACTCACCACCTAAGCTGAATGCACCGGACGCAGCTTCGAGCGTCTTAAGCGTGATATATCCTCCGTACGACTACAGGGACCTGATCAGCCTCCTCACGACTGAGCGACCACGCCCGCCTACTCACCCAGCCCCAGATCCCGATCCTCTTCGAATCAACATAGCTTCGCTGGCTCAGTTCTCCCGCAGTCTTGATAAAGTCCAGAACCTCATAGTGTCCAAGATTGTCCCTGACGGGATTTCTGTGGTTTCTTCCCTTAAATCCGGTACCTCGAGGGTCGATCACCACGATGATATACTTCTTCTCGCAGGCAAGATAATGCACCCAATCTCGTTTGAACACGTTGTTGACTTGCTGAGAGCCTGGACCACCATATACCGAGAGGAGCACAGGGTATCGCTTGCGACCAGATGTGTCAAGGCCAGTTGGTCGGATCTCCATCATATTGAGGTCTGCAGAGTCAAGCGTCAGCAGTGCCATATGTTAGGCTCTCAGAAATGAACACGCACCATAGCCATCATTAGAGATGGTCGAATGAACAATAACTGGCCGCATGAATTCGCTCAATGTCGTGTTGAGAGCTTGGTTATCATTGATCATGACGTCGAGGCCTTAGCGCTGCGAGTCGGCGTGTGATACTTTATGAGTCAGATACGCGCTTACCACCGTGATCAACCTCCTTCAGTCTCTGGTATGGCACCTCTGGCCCCTTGTAGGAAAGCAGGTAGTATCCTGCCCCTGGCGACATGGAAACGTCGTACACGCCAGGATTAGAGGTATCAGTCAAGGCTACCATATCTTGAGTGTAGTCGGCGAAGTTCGATGATGTTGGCAACGGTACAGAATAGAGGTGCCGATCAATCGACGGGTTGGCAGCAACGAAGTATCTGCGGAGGATGGTAAATTCCGAAAGTCCTGCAATTTTTTACCAGAAGTGACTCACACCTGTCCCGTGGTTGTGTTCAAGCCCACCACTCTTTCGACTTCCCATTCTCCAGAAGTCAGCCAGATGGGCTCACTTGCGTCCAAAGGAGAGAAAAGGGCAATATGGTCATAGCCTTGGTTCGGGATGATATCGAGATATCCATCAGTCGTCCATCCAGGCACGGCTCGCACTTCGAGTCGCTGTGATAAGGTACTCAGTACGTGGACAAAAGACGTTCTGTTGCATAACGCACCTGGTCGACCCATCCGTCATCTCCTTGCTCACCGTCCTTGCCCAACTTTCGCACAATCTTGCCCTCATTTGCGCCGTCGGTGAATAGGATCACGTTTCCTCTCTTCGATGCTCTATCAACTTCCTTGACGAGCAAGCTCTTCTGACCAACCCAAGACACTTCCGTGATGACTTGGTCGTCTTGATCTAGCTGCTCGGGCCATGAGAGGGATCTCTTGGCTTCGTCAATGATATGTGATTGAGCGTATGATTGTAGAGAAAATGTGTGAACCGAGACGTATGGATTCGGCGTTCCGGGCTTGGGGTATCTACAGGGCGTTTAAGAATCGGCGCGGTACAGCTACGGCTCCTCGACTCACTTCATGTCTAGTTCTGTGGGGTACTGGTTCGACGAAAAGGCATCATTCGTCGGATTCCAGTATTCTAGCTTGTATTCCCTGACCTTGTCCTCGTCCATCCGCAAGTACGCGACGGTGTCTGCATCCGGAGACCACCACAGAGTGAAATCGGAAGTATAGACTTCCTCTTCATACACCCAATCTGGGACACCATTGAAGATTACTGATGATCCATCGTCGGTCACTTGAATAGCCATCGGATCCGATCCAGCGAGCTGATCTTCAGGAACCACGTACAGGTTGTTGTTCATGACATAGGACAGAGCATGGCCCAGCGGTGCCCAAACGACCTTAGAAATGACGGGAGGGTGCTGAGGTGGATTGAGGGGGAACGTTACATGGTCTGATAGTCGATGAAGATAGTAGTTGGCATGAGATGAGTGTCTCCATTGCTTGACATAGTCTACTTGGAAGAGGACATATTGCATATCTGCTGAAAGTGACCATGATGACCAGTGAAGTTGAGAGCCTTGACCATCGAGAACGAGCGACGAATCCACGAGAATGGTGGTATCTGATGTGTTGTGAACGGAGCTGAGGAGGATGTTGTGGTCTGAGTCGATAGTTGAGAACGTCCCGTCAGATGCTGTGAGAGGAGATGAGGCAATCAGCGTCCCGGATTTCAGAGCAGTCATGGTCCAGCACACACCTTCCTTCACCCAGTTGATTGTAGTAGTCTTTGCGGCAAAGGTGCCATTGATGATATGATCCAGTGTGATGTGCTTGTTGCCTGACTTTGCGGAATATGACGGCGCAGAGTATCCCCATCCAGCGAGCACACCTACCATCGCTGATGAAAGGACGATGGCTAACAACGCAGCGAGAACTCGTCTAGACTTTTTGCGTGGACGTAGCTGTGAGTCATCATCAGCATCAACATCAAATCTATCGTAACTGGAGCATGCCCACCCTCCTCGATTCCGCGCTAAACCCTTCCTCGCCATATTCCATTGTCGGTTCATCTTGAAACCGGTTATCCACGCGAGCTTGCTTTTCATCACTGAATGGTTCTACGTCCAAGTTGTCCCGGTAGACGATATCTGAATCACTGTCCGAGCTACCGTCTCCATCCTCATCCAATCTCCGTCTCTCTTCCTCGTGACCGAGAGGAGGTTCACCGGCTGAGCCCGAAACCGATGATAGTCTAGGAAGGTCGAAAGGCGCATCCGCTTCGGGTACGGAGGTGTACTTGGGACCTGGCATAGTCCCGCGAGCTTATATAGAGACGAGCCCTTTAGTCTCCCGCAGCTGCGCCTCAGCTTCTTGCCTGAACTGATACGATGATCGAACGCAGACACGACAATCACAGATGATCACAAGACCCAGACGGAACGGGTTAACGGGACTCTCATGAGGAGCGGCGATCGCCGACAAATATATACACCGCGACAAACCTCGTCGACGGTCTCATTCATGCTAGATATTAGACAAGGGGGACAGCGGCGGCCAAGAGTCTTTGTCAGACAGCTATCCCCGCGACTAGGATTGTATACACTCCTGCTGTCGCTCTCATTTTAGCGACCTTGTTCTCAGGCGAGGAGACTGGCGAGGTGATCGCCTGTCTCTGATCTTGCAGGCGCGATGATCAAGTTCATCTTGGTACAGGTGGGTCATAGTTGCCAGGAGATGACCAGCACTCATGCTTGACACAGAATAGACAAGGCAAAACCCGTCTCTCGAAATGGTATGCCCCTTATGACGACGAAGAGAAGGTGGGTTAGAAGATCCTCCAACATTTATGTCGCCTCTGTAGTGCTCACAGCTTCTTGCTCACTTCACAGGTGCGACTTCGAGGCGAAGTCCATCGTCTGATAGCTCCGCGTGATCAGAAGTATCAATCAAACTTCGTCGAAGTGGGTGCCGATCATTCTTTTTGACCATTGCAATACATCGCATCCGTACCTGTCCCGTTCCCCCTTCCTCTCAATTACTCCGCGCTGATCTTTGAGCAGTTCCGGAATGACAAAATCGTCTACCGACGATACGCCGGCTTATTCTTCTGCGTTTGTGTGGACTCGAACGATAATGAACTGGCGTACCTGGAGGCTATTCACCTGTTCGTCGAGGTCTTAGGTAAGTGCATGGCCTGTCACCGAAGAATCTCGTGTGTCTGACGGCCGATGAAGACGCATTCTTCCAGAACGTCTGTGAATTGGACTTGGTATTCTCTTTCTACAAGGTACACACATCTGTGCCACTCCGAGTCAGAGGCTGACACTTTCCAGGTTTATGCCATCCTGGACGAAGTGTTCCTTGCCGGAGAGATCGAGGAGACCTCCAAACAGGTCGTACTGGATAGATTAGATTATCTCGAGAAGCTGGAATGACGCTTTGCTCCTTCGCGACAGCTCCAAACTCAGGGCCATTCCATCTATTACGAGTTTCCCACTGTACCTTACTTCTCTCGTGTATCATAGCTTTTTCTGTGGATGCATCTGTCGAATGCCGCATCTAGTCTCGTGCAAACCCCAAGAGAAAGCTATGCATGAATAGTGAATTGTGTTACTATACAGTGAGCGGCGCATGTGTCCTGTTGGCTGCGTACACACATCTCCCTCCCGGCAGATAAAGTGATCCCCAGCACCCTGTTTATTCTTTCTTCTTTTGCTCCTTCGCCAGCTTCTCCTCCTCAGCCCTTTTCTGACTGTCCTCTGCCCTATCTGCTCTGACTTGCTCAAACTAGTGGCAGGATCGATCAGCCGATCGATCAGAATTGAAATGGGAGACATCTCCACCTACCCATCTCTTTTTGCACTCCTTGTAGGCGTGAAAGAATTCGGTACACTGTAGACGTTGCATCAGCTGTACACCGAAGTAAGCTTCCAGTGACTGACCTCCTTCTTATTGTAGAAAGCCCGTTCTAAGCATTGCATTGAGGCTTTGTTGGCATGTTGACAGGGATCGGCAAACTAGAGGAAGTGTCAATTGCTGACCGTAGAAGAGTACGAAACCAGGCATCGGCCGACCTTTGATGGAGTGTACTTGCCCTGACTCGCGCGTCAGCCATCACAAGTCATACTTGACCAACACATCGACATACCGCCAAAGCAACCTTATAATCTTCGGGATAGTAAAGATCTGGCCAAGGTGCAATCTTCTTGGACGCCGGTATCTTCTGTGTCGATGGTGGGACTTGAGTGCCCATCGCGGTTCGGACCAAGACTCGCTCTCTTCTCTAGCCTGCACAAGCTCCGACTCCGCTCGCTTCAGCTGACCTTGTATAGGCCGTGGTGTGGAAGGCGATACCAGTGTGGACAGTTCGAGAAGCCAAAAGCCAAAATAACCGGGACATCGAGATGTGGGGACCCCGGACAATTGTCCAAGTCCTGAACGCCCAAGAGCACTTGCCATCCACTACAGACTCTTCGATGGGCAGCGGACACGATGATCATGCGGGCATAGCGTAACTCCAAACACCAAGGGTCATGTCTGTGATATCTTCCCTTGCCTCTGTGGGCATGGCGATTGGGTGAGGCATTTAGCTTCAGAGGAGACGACTTTTCTGACATCATTATTCCTCTAGACCACCTCTGGTCTATGCTGATCAGGTATGCATTACCGCAGCGGGCGGTCCGGTGCTGACGATGTGCAAAGGCTTATAGTATTGTGAAGAAGAAGTGAGCAAGCTATTGCCGATCCAGCACATGGAGCTGATACGTCTTCCCCTCCCCCCCCCCCCCCCCCCCCTCCCCCCCTCCTCAAGAGACTCATCCGGCTTCTCGCATGGTGAGCGCCGCCCTTTGGGAGATGAAGCCGCTGCAGTGCTAATTGTGTCAAGACGTCTGTGGGGTGGTCATCATAGCAAACATTACCAGGATATTCTTCTGGCTCGGTAACAGATTTGAAACTCGTGAGCGCTCTGAACTCGATTCATCCCGTCGTGACCTTACCCTCTCAGCTCTTCTCGTCCAGTCCATCCTCCTCATCGTCTCCCAGCTCTTTCTCCTCGCTCTCTGCCTCCACTACGCCCCATTGGATCCGGAATCAGTACAAGATTACGCCCCATTATCGCCGTTACCTGACTCAGGTCATTTCGACGCTACGGAATCTCATGAAGACGCAGACTATCTCGACAGACCACTACATACTGGTCCAGCCAAGTCTTTGACCGTGGGCACAAAGCGGCCTTTCGACTTCTGGCAATGGGAGTCTCTGGGAAGCTATCTGGAGTTCCTAGCTGCCCTCATTGTGGTGCTAGGAATCGCTCAAATTATATTCGGAAGATGGATGTGGTGAGTTGCCAGTTCATGGAAATGCACCTGAACTAACGTCAAGCCGATAGGTACATAGATGCGTAAGTCATAAGATGCGGACATGTGAGCTCAAGATCGCGTAGGCTCGGTTTCATCGCTCTCTTCATAGGTGAGGCTCGCTCATCGAGCAACGGGAAGATTTAGATTTCTGACGTATACCACAGAATCTACACTCCCCATTCCACAATTCATCGCCAACTATAGACTCAAATCGACATATGGCTTGAGAGCCAGTACACTTGCAGGCTGGTTCTTCGGAGACTCCTTCAAGTGAGGATTGATTGCATTTTGCGTCATTGACATTGTTAAGAACGGGATACTTTTTCCTGCGTCAATCTCCCATTCAGTTCAAGGTGACGGCCATCATGACTGTGTGCTGGGACACAGGTGAGCCACCATCGTGTACTGACGAAGCGAAGAGCTGAAGTCGTGCAGCGGTTTTCGCACAGAGGATGATCTATGGGGCTGAGCCACCCAGAGATCAGCTTGCCGGTAGAGCTAATGCTGAAGATTGATGTAACTGCTTTCGACGGTGAACCCCACATCCATCAATATCAGCATGGCAAAACTTCGCGATGATGAGACCGGATACATGAGTGTCGTGCATCTACTTCTTCGACTTGAGCTTCTCGACCTTGACAGAGTCCCACTCTGCTCTCTCCTTGTTCTCCCTGACAACCGACTGGATGTGCGGACTAAGGTACCGTCGGTCCTGTCAAGTGCATTAATTCTTTGCTCATGGATGGCAGAGAGAGCACAACGCTCACCTCCTCAGGAGTGATCCACTCGTTCTTTGGCAACTCTTTGTGCAAGATCGCCTGCTGATGGGCCCTCCTCATCCTGTACACCCGGTCGTAGCTCTCTCGCGGTGTTAATCGGGTCAGTGCCTGACAAGGATATTCAGTTCGTCGTTCCCGTAAAGGAGATGCCATGGACACTATCGCACCTTTTGCACATCCTCTCTTTCCTCCAAAAGCAAATCATCGTACTTCAATCCCATCTGTCTCCATCCGGCAATGTGACAGTACCAGTTGGCGACTGGCTTGAGACGTCCATAAAGTCCCGGCATGTTGGCCTTGAGCCATGGGGCAAAGCTGCATAGGTAGTCAGCGAAGGTTCCATGTGATCGTGCCGACGCTCCAAATTGGACGAGCGGAGTCCATGACTGGTCACCCATAGCACAGAGTCTGAGAAGCGTATTCCTCGAGATTCATACCGATCTTCGAGAGGTGACATGGACCTCTTTCGCTCGGTAGCCTTGAGACACACTCACGAGATGCCCAATGGGCCACCTGGAACTTTTGCGACCATGATGTTCCTCGTTATACACCTAGCTGGATCGATGTATACTTTATATGGACACTTGCATCGGAGACGATCGCCTCAAGTAGGAGGTAAGGAGACGGCGATTTTTGCGATAATGCCGAGTGTGGCACTTGATTTCATGGGACATGATTGGTGTGGCACATCAAAACAGAGGAGCCGCCTCTCCTACATCTGGAGCGCTGCTTGCTGTCGGCCCGTAAGATGCATCAGTCCGTCATTACAGAAGTTGCCATTCTCATCCAGCTCCTGAAGTTCATTTACTGAGCATGATAGCGAGATAATCATGGAATACACAGCAGAACACCCGCATAGCCTGACAGCAGCGCGGCGGGGCTTTGCTCGAGATGTGAATTCGATCAGGAGTCGCTTCATCCCTTGAGCTAGGTCATTTAACGCCCACGCAATGAGGAGCTCTTCCCGTGATGACGTAGCACACGATTCGCCAAGTTTCGGGGGAAGGATACTGAATGATCATTCCCAACCCTTGTCCCTGGATCCTTTCTTCTGCGGAGATAGGATGCGACAGTGTTTAGTCTGGATCATACAAATACGCGAGCTCTTTCCCCAGGAAGGTGGCAACGAACACCGCCAGTCCCGCAATGTCTACCGCAGCAACGACGAATGAAACGAGCTCTGAGAGAGCTTCCTCAGTGCAGGTCATCAGTGATCCTCACCGCGCCTCCGCGAGTTCTTGCAACCTCGAAGAGCAACAATACCTGGCGAAGGAGCGCAAGGGAGATTTATATCCAGATGGATGGACCAATGAGGATGAGGTAGTCTTTCAGGACTGGGACGGCCCTCCCGCAACAGAGTCGAAATCGTGACCCACAGTCAGCATATTGACTGACAGGACTGTCTTTAGCTGCCTCGTCTGTTGTCCGCCCTGCCCAGCTTCATGCATTTCTGATTTCAAACCCTCGTCAGTGTTCGCTGCAGAGCCAAGCGGTCATCCAAGTCGTATGTTTTCGCAATTCAGCAGGTCCTTGAGTTTGGATTCAGAACACCATCACTACATCCCCTCGCCGCATGTATGCTTCTTCGAGTTGGCCATACGTGTCCTTGGACGACCGCGTCGTGTAAGTGATCGGCGCCTCGATTGCTCCTTTCACTGTGATCCTTTGAATGCTCGAGACTCCTAGCGACAACCGCGGTTCAGTCGCGAAAGTATCCATGTCCTGGATTTCGTCCAAGTAGCCTCGGCCCCAAACCAGGAATCTACCTTCCCATTAACCATGACGAATCCCGACACCAGCGTGCGATACTTCCTGAGTCCGCAAACACTCCGAATCGAGGCATGCCGATGTCTGAACCCGCGTGACCCACCGCAGACTGCACCAGCCACTATCGATTACATGTTGAGACGCTTGGACAAGTTGTGGTCCCGAATGAGAGGGTGGAGACTGGATCCAAAAGTCCGGCTGGCTGCTGAAAGACTCTTGATCCAACTTCGACGTCAAGGCATGGAGCTGTTCCATCTTGTCGGGGTGAACAAGGGGACACATGCTCAGGGCTCAAAGACCCGAGGCGGAATGGCCATCCTCCTGCTGTTTCCTGATTGGGGAGAGGTCTATGCGGACCCAGTCGAGGAGGATGCAGAAGCGCAGCGTAGAAAGGCATTTTTCGAATCCAATCCGGACGGAGAAGACCGGACTGTCATTGCCTGTGGATATGGTCATCGGATCGTCGCCGAGATAAATGTCTTGCTTCACAAAGAAATTCGGTCCGACGGCATTGTGGACCGAATTGATACCCGCCTAGCGCACGATTGGTCAGATACTATCAGCGTAGCCGACTATGAGTACTATCGGGAGGAAGGAGCGCCACCTGCCAGTCAGTTGCTTGTGACGGGTGGAGAGGATGATGAGAAGATGATCCGAATGGTTTGGCAACAGGTGAATGTCAGGATGAGCAACAAATGGACAAGATACGAGAAAGATTTCGGGAAGAGTTTGAAGAGAGTCGCTGTGGAGCTCTTGACGGATGGCTTCCGGACCCACGCCTACGAAGTTGAGCGGGTGATCAAAGCCTTGCGGATGGAAGTCGGTGTCCATCTATCAGAGTAGCAATTGTTGGTTCTTACAGAGGAGGCGATGGTGAGGAAGAAGGGAACGAAGTTGAGGCAGTTCCGGCGATCACTGGTGCTGTCATCCTACTCGACAGCCGAGGGGAGAATGCCTTTGGAATCAAGCACATGGTGACGGTCTATGAAGGGGACTGGCCAGTGATTCACAAATATCGAGAAAAGTACGAGGTTCCGGCACTACCAGGGTTGGAGGAGATGATTACGGTCTAAGCCTGAGACTCTGGTGGTGTATAGCCGTTGACCAGATGGAATGATGCGGGTCGATGCATAGTAGTACATTACCAGGGCATGGCTGGTGTGCTTCTCCTCTTCTCCTCTGCCTTCGCCTGAGGGGAACATGGTCAGCAATTGCTATGGCAGCTTTTGGCTCATGACTCACCTCTCTCCATTTTCGTACACGCTCGTCCATACCGGCAACCCTCTCCGCAATCTCCTGCCTTCTGACCTCCCGTATCCTCTCTCTCTTGTGTCCTTTGAAAATGATGGCTCTGCCAGCATACATTCCCTTCTTGATCTCGGGGAACAGTTTCCAATCTGGACCATACCGTATATACCTCACACCCAGTCCTTCAATGTCCATCTTTATCGGAGGGGGTGTTACTGGATTACGAACGGAGGGAGGAAGTAGGAGTGCAGGATATTTTCTGACCAGTCGGACCTGTTTTCGTCGAGCTATCGGAGATACAACCTTGGACTCCGGTCTCAGATCTTCGCCAAATTTCTCAGTCTCGAGTTGACGACGATGTCGAAGGAAAGGATTCGGCACTCGGATATTGATGTTGCTCTCATAGTACGCAGCATCCTTCTTCATCCATGGGAACTTGTGCAGTTTCACTGTCTCCTCATCCGCGCGACTGATCAATCGCTCCTCCACGAATCGTTTGATCCAATGTTGAATAGGCGGTGGGATTCGGTGAAATGAGACGACGTCTGAGATTGGAGCATCGTTAGGGTTAGGCTTGATGATTCTGGGTAGTTTGGCAAGTCTGAGCTGCCCTTTGAAGCCATGTGACAGACTCATCTTGCGGTGAGATAGTTGATGCAAGACCAGTCCCGGTGTGCGTGCATCAAGTCAACCCATCATTCATTCACGGTAGGGATAGGGGAATTTCAGCTACAGCCAAAAAGTGCCACACTGGGGATCTGACAAAACGCCGAACCTTTGCTGCTCCCTCTCTCCCCTCCGATTCTTTCCTCGTCGTCCCCCCTCCCCCCTTCTCCTCACCGTCTTCCTTATCCACCTCTTCATCCTCTTGTCGAGCTCGATAGAACGACAATGACTCTCGTCTCACGCTCGGCTATCCGTCTCTCTAGACGTGGTGGTCAAGCCCTCCGAAACGCTAGGGCCAACGCAGCTTTCTTCAACACTGCTGCTTCCCAGGCACAAAATGTTCTGCCAAAAGTCGCTGCTCAGAGCAGTCGAATGGCCTTCCAGCCCGCATCTGGTGAGTGAGAGAGCGTGTGGAAGATACGAGGGAGGATGCGTGCTCGCAGCAGACAGTCTAGGACGTGGACGATCGGTCGGCGAGAATGGTGTTCATGATCGCTGACATTTCAAACCCTTTTTTCTCCTCCCTCCCACATGATAGTTCCCCAATCTCGATCCTACGCCACTCCTTCCAACCTCCAGACTGGATCCATCAAGACCGTCATTGGTGCCGTCGTCGATGTTCACTTTGACTCGGACAACTTGCCGCCCATCTTGAACGCTCTCGATGTCCAATTCTCCGAGGGTCAGACCAAGCCTTCCGGTGGACGATTGGTTCTTGAGGTCTCCCAACACCTGGGAGAGAACACCGTCCGATGCATCGCTATGGACGGTACCGATGGTCTTGTCCGAGGACAGAAGGTTGTCGACACTGGTGCCCCCATCACCATCCCTGTCGGTCCCCAGACTCTTGGGTAGGTGATATACCTGCACGTGCATCCCGTAGCTTATGCTTGAACAATTAGACGTATCATGAACGTTATTGGTCAACCCATTGACGAGCGTGGACCCATCAAAGGAGCCAAGGAGTCTCCTATCCACACCAACCCTCCCGAGTTTGTTGACCAGTCCACCCAGGCCGAAGTCTTGGAGACCGGTATTAAAGTCGTCGACTTGCTCGCTCCTTACGCTCGTGGAGGAAAGATTGGTCTCTTCGGTGGTGCCGGTGTCGGAAAGACTGTGTTCATTCAAGAACTCATTAACAACATTGCCAAGGCACACGGAGGTTACTCTGTCTTCACCGGTGTCGGAGAACGAACTCGAGAGGGTAACGATCTTTACCACGAAATGATTGAGACTGGTGTCATCAACCTCGATGGTGACTCCAAGGTCGCCTTAGGTGTGTTCCCTTCTACGCAACGTTTCAGTCATGCTGATCATCTTCCAGTGTTCGGACAGATGAACGAACCCCCTGGTGCCCGAGCCCGTGTTGCTCTTACTGGTTTGACCGTTGCCGAATACTTCCGAGACGAGGAGGGACAGGATGTGTTGCTTTTCATTGACAACATTTTCCGATTCACCCAAGCCGGTTCCGAAGTGTCCGCCTTGCTCGGTCGTATCCCCTCTGCCGTCGGATACCAACCTACGCTCTCCACCGATATGGGTGGTATGCAAGAGCGAATGTAAGCTCATCCTTCCGCTTGTCGTCCCTCAGCTGACAATCGCTTAGTACCACCACCAAGAAGGGTTCCATTACCTCCGTCCAGGCCGTCTACGTCCCTGCCGATGATTTGACCGATCCCGCTCCTGCCACTACCTTCGCCCATTTGGACGCCACCACTGTGTTGTCTCGATCTATCTCTGAGTTGGGTATTTACCCCGCTGTCGACCCTCTCGACTCCAACTCTCGTATGCTTGACCCTCGAGTCGTCGGAGAGGTGAGTTGCGTTGTGCTTCGGATGTATTTTTCAACTGACGACCGCCGAAGCGACACTACTCTGTTGCTACCCGAACTCAACAAATCCTCCAGTCTTACAAATCTCTCCAGGATATCATTGCCATTTGTGAGCATTATGAAGCCCCTTATCGGTGAACAAAGCTAAGACGTCGCAGTGGGAATGGATGAATTGTCAGAAGAGGACAAGTTGACTGTCGAGCGTGCCCGAAAGATTCAGCGATTCATGTCTCAACCTTTCGCTGTCGCTCAGGTCTTCACCGGTATCGAGGGACGTCTCGTTCCCCTGAAGGACGTGAGTCGACATAAGTCTCGTGGCCTGGGCTCTCACTGACCACGCCACAGACTGTCACTGCATTCGAGGAGATCCTCGAGGGCAAGCACGACCACATTTCTGAGAGCTCCTTCTACAGTGAGTTTTATTGAGGCGTTGATGGAGTCTGCAAGCGCTAAACTTCTTGCAGTGGTTGGAGGTATCGAAGACGTCAAGGCCAAGCACGAGAAGGCCCTCAAGGACCACGGTAACTAGGCGATAACGGGTTGTGGTTGAAAAGGCACATGCTCGTTTCTATTCAAAACTTAGAAGAACCGTGTTGATCCTAGCTATCGATACTTCGTAAATGAAGAATGAATTGCATCAGCATCACTGCGTGACTCCTCGGCTGTCGATCTCACAGTCGTACTCTTTGACCTCGCGTGCATACGACTGCGTATATCTATGGTGTTGAATGCTACATGTGACTTGCTGGAAAGAAAAACCCTCTACCTCATGATCAAAATACTGCTCATTCTACCAATGTCAATTCCTTCGTCCTGTGTCGAGCATACACGTCCTTGTATTTGTCCCATATCCTAATTAGGAATCAGTCATTGCTCGAGCAACCGCTTCTGTCATCGCACCTCATCAATTGATCGATGTAAACCTTCTGCATCTGCTGTACCTCTTCATCTGTCGGATTGAGATTCTTCTCAACCCGGATCGGCGTGCCAACTAAAAGTGATCAGCACAGAATCCGTGTCCGAGCCGAAACAGAACCTACCAACGGTGACTATGGGGTGACGGAATGGCTAGTAGGATAGAAAGTAAGTACTTATTCACAAGTACTGCTGAAGCACGCACCATCAAGCCGTAATTGTCTAAGTAGGGAATAGATTAACAGGGATATCCGATTAATGAGCCTGACTCACAGTTGAAGATGCTGCAAAGAACGTCGATCAGCATAACAGATTGGAGATTTTTTGACATCTATCACTCACCCTCGACCATAGAATAGAGGTAATGTAAAGCCGAAGACCTTCTGAAAGTTCTTTTGGATCTTGTACACGACCGTGTCCTTATCGTTGGGACTGAGATCAAGGTCAGTACGAACGGCATATCGAGGACCTCATCTTGCGCGCTTACAGTTGGTCATAAATCTGCAAGTCTATTAGCGGGCACTTTCACGATTGACGCTCGGCCTCACATCATTCTCTCCGAATCCGAAAACAGGTACCAGATCTGCACCCTCTCTGATCGCAATCTTGATGAATCCAAACCGTCGCCTCAGAGTCAGGTCTGCAGTACCAGGATGCGCAGACAGAGACTCCGTAGCTCCACCGACAACAATGGCAATCGCATGCCCGGGTCCTCGGGACAAGATATTCTTGCAAGATTGCTTCGAGACGGAGGCGATACCGAGTGACATGATGAGGTCACGGTAGAAAGGCATCATGAAGTTGGATTCTGACAAGGCTTCAGCGTCTTTCCGATGGTATCATGCCCACCAAGCGTCAAGAGGTGAGGTTGTATGCCGGGGAACTTCTCCGAGAAATGAGACCCCTCGGTCGCGAAAGTAGCAAGAGCTCCCCTGGAAGCTGTCAGCGAAAAATGAATGCTGCGCAAGGAACCCACATGCCGATGATACCGTGCGGGTGGTATCCGAACAAGTATGGCCTATCAGGAGGAAGATCTCCCTCCTACAAACCAGCAGTCAGTGACCTGTAGCTTGACCATACCAGCGACGCCCTGCTCACCTTGACGATGCTGTTCGAGAACAGAAAAGTTAGCTACATAGCTGATGTACAAAACTTCACGGACCTGCAAGGGTAGTATTCTGTCCCACGTCAGCTCCTGCATCTATAGCATATGACTCACCAGCAAAGTATTTCCATATGAAGCTTCGTCTGGCCCATTCTCGCGGTCGACCTCCCCATTCCGGAGCCTTATCGAATCGAGTCCAGATAAGATACGGTATCAGTACGACCCAAGTCGGCGGCAGAGACCTTGAGAGTCTATCAGCTCAAGGTAGCACTTTGTATACATACATGAGGAGGAGGAAGACGAAGAGGCAGAAAGGAAGAAGGAGAGCCCAAAAGGCCACTGCAGCGGTCTGTAATCTGCGATGTGGTGGGATGTTCAACGGGGCGAATCTGCGGCGACCATCAGTATGCAAACCATAATCGCAGGAGGAGCTGCTTCCGTTAGCCTTCTCGCCCGAACTCACTGGATCTCTACGCCTTTCGAGATGTTCTCTCTTAGGTCATCCAGACTCTCCAATAATGGCGATTGCATCCTCTTCATCTTCCGCCTTGCTTCGGCCAAAGCACTTCTCCTTCCGCTTGACTTCTTTTCCCTCTTCGACTCGTCTACTGATAGATAGTCCCCTTTGGCATCTCCATTCTCGCTCAGGGTGGAAGGAGGCGGAGCTTCGTCATCCGTTCCGGCTGGCGAGGGGTCTAGAGATGAGTTATTGGATTTGGAAGTATGTCTGTGTCGAAGCGAGTCATCTGGAGATGTTGAGTATGGCATGATAGGAGGCTCGAGCTACCTATAAAGTGGAGCTTTTGCGTCTAGCTGGCCGGGATGAGCCTAGCGCCTTCAGACGAAGCACACAGCGCCAACGACGAGTATTGACGGCAGAATGAGCCCGGATGACTATATGATCCAGAGGCTCTGCGGAGGACCGCTGGTATTTGAACTGCCGAGAGCGTTATTTGACCGTTCCTCTGGCCGATCAGTCGCTGCTTTGAAGGTACATGCTCAAACAAAGTCTCTATCGATGATATTATGGCAGCGAGAAGTGATTCACAAATCATCGACGCAATCGATGTGACTGGTGTGTGGCACGTGTCAATCAATGGTCGGCGGCATCCACCTGAGGCCACGGCTCCTTCACAATAGTATTATGCACAAGGACAAGACATAAGTAGATCACCTCCCGATGTATCTCCTCTCTAAATATCTAGTCACGACAAAGATGATGGATACAACAATGATAGTGATTTCCCAAGCCACATCTCCGCTAAAAGGAACGTCAGATACAGTCTCGTTTCGGCAGCCGCAGCTCGGTGACTCACTGGCCGCCGGGGATCTTACGAGCTATCCAGCCCGTCCACCATGTTGTAGACATACCAGCGGCTATCAACGGAATACCCTGTGACTCGTTGTTAGCAGTTGTACGCATGAAGAGTCTGAACGAACACTTACACAGATCAAGGAGATGATCGCGGCGATGCCTAAAGGCAATTGACTTGGCTGGTCCCAAATTTCGAGAGGGTACGTCTTGCGAGATACAGGAGTGCGGAAGATCAGAGGCTCGAGTGCGACGGGGGGAATATAGATTGCTGTCCAGTACGCCAAAATGGACAAAAAATTAGACAGGGCAGTATAGAAGTGATGGGCGCCGACTATGGCGATCGGTAGGTAGATGGCGGAGACAACAATGGCAAGGAAGTACCGAGGGACTGTGATACTGTCAGCATGCAGATCTCGGCGCACTGCTATGAATGTCACTCACTTCTCACAAGCCAAGGGATGACGACTTGTCCGCTCAATCCACACGAATAGATAGTGGGTGCGGTGTTTGCACAGACCCCCAAACACAGCAAAGCCATGACTGCTCTCGCGGCTTTTCCACTACCAGTCATGGCAAACAAGAGATTTGGTACGCCAACGAGAGATGCCTCGTTCCAAGATGGAATGCTGAATGCTGCGAGCTGGGCGACAGCGCCAAAAATCTGGACGATCGCGATAGGGATGAAATATCCCAGAAAGATGACGATGAACAGTGTCGAGCGAGGAGTGTGAGCCGGAAGACTCGTTGTCTATACATTATTAGTCAACAACCTCCCTCTTTGCAAGCCCGTCGCTCACGAAATCACTGGCCAGACTTGAGTAGCTGACGGTGAAGCCTATCAAGCTTGCCCCGTAGCCTAGGACGCCACCGGTGGTGACCTTGGTGAAAGCGCTGGTCCATTCAGGTCGAGCGTAGCTCAGATCGTGACCAGTAACAGCGGCGATGATGATGAAAAGTACAAGAACGATAGGGAAGGAAGTGAGGGAGAGGAGGTGGAGTGCTCTGAGACCGATAAATGATAACTAATGGATGAGGTGACCTTTAGCTAAAGTCCTCAAATTCGGGATTGACGTACCAGAAGTGAAATGATAGCCACAACGACTATACCAACATTCCATGACATGGATGAGGAACTGGCCAAGGACAGACATTGACCGCCGAGGATGACGGTGAGCGCCATGAAACCGATGAAGGACAAGCAATTGAAGAGACCGAATAGCACTGCAGGGAAATATCTGGGAGAATCAAGCTGTAAGCTCGTACACCAACGCTCATAATCGTACTTACCCAAGCGCGTAACGAGCCTGGACCATTTGCCTCATGCCCGTTTTGGGTCCATTGGTGGCGAGATATGCTGGGGGTATACAAGATATCGCCGTGAAGAGAATGATACAGAGTATGGAGGCTTTGAGGTCAAGACCAAAGTAAGCAGGCCCAAGAACACCTTCTGAGAACTACGCATGATCTCAGTGACTGCTCAACGATCGATGCGACATGGTCTCAACTCACTGTGAGGATGTTCGTATTCCAAGCTGCCCACATCGTAAATTGAGGTAGATACCTCCAAGCAGTCAATGTCTCTCTTTCATCCTCGGGACGAGGCACGATTCCCCTCTCCTCGATACCCTTATCCACCAGGAAGGCCTTTAATCTATCCCATTTACCGGGTCTCGCCTCATCCCTTCTATCCTCTAAGGAAGATACACCATACTCGACTTCGGGACTTGGAGCGGCATAAGCTGATTCGAGTTCTTTGTCCTGAAGATGAGACTGGCTCTGCTGGGTTGAGCCATCTGCGGCAATGTCACGAGCCTTTGGATCCTCGTAGCCCATCTTGAGCTTTGCTGATGAGAGCTTCAATGTCGATGGATGGGTAATGCCGACTCGATCTGCATTCGTGTGTCTTTGAAAATATTGAAATCTATTTTTCGGATCGGAACTCCCGTCAGGAAAATGGGCAGCCGCGTGCCTTTTGCCGATCGATCACGAGCCACGCTCACGGCTCATTCATAATGCACTCAGGACTGATTGGGGGCATGCTGCTGTGGACAGAGCGAATTTCGAGAGTCGCAGGCAGGTCAGGCCACAATGAACCGTATTGCTCGAGTACCTGGAGCCTGTAGCTTGAGCAAGGCATTCAAAACCGTAGATCGAGCTGGCGGCATTGACCGGTCCTTGGATTTTACAATTATTTTACCACTTTATTCTCTACCGACTCTGCTCGCATCAGATGCCTTCAGCTGATGCGCTCTCTCGTAGACACATCCAAGACACATACAAGTTGCAAAAGCAACAAATGATGGGCATGTGCTGAATCTGTCTGGGTGGAATGATAAACACAGAGAGAATTTTGTGATAATCTTTGCAATCCATTGATGCTATTGACAATGTTGGGCACCATAGTGACTCTCATGATACATCTGGGGACATCTGGAGGCACATCAGCTTAACAGAACCGAGACATAAAAGCAGAATGAAGCTAGATCTTGTAAGCCAGAGAGGAATTAGATTTTAGGGGTGATGGAGATGGTTATTGAACACAGATCTATGCCAGGGGTTATGGCTGCTGGAATCTGGACCACATCTGATTTTGCCTGACTATGGCTTGACCAAACATATTCTGCAGGAAACCATGACTCACCAATAATTGCTTCCGCTTTACACAGTGCCACTGAAAACGGCGGAAAAGTCTTCCGCTGCGACAAATTCAACCTGGAACGTTGTGAGCACAAGCTCTCTACTTTTCGACTCACCGATGCACCGAGTTTTTCCTTGTCTGCTCTAGACAGAGACGCCTCGCCCACATATAGATACCTTCTGTAAGGTAGCAGATGGGGTCGCATCCGCATGGCGGTCAAGTCCGCCAATTGGGCCTGCTCAATATCCACAAGATTGAGCTTCGAGGTCGACGCTGGTGCCGTCGGATTTGTCACAAAGGTTTGCGTGCTAATCCCTTGACAAATCGCGGCAATCTCATCTAAAGTGCTCTGCGCACTGAGTTTCACAAGCCAAGAGTGCCACGCCAGACAACCCTGGGTATCATGTATACAGGGAGGCGCACAGCTCACTGCCAATCCACCCCCTGAATCTGCAAGTGAACCGGACATGCGAAGAACGGCTTCGTCCAGGAAGAGGGCGGTAGTCAGAGCATCGAAAGCGGCGGCGGGGTCGCGACAGCGTCTAGACATTAGTCGCTCAAACTTTTCGATGTGCCTACGTCTTAATCGTCCAAGATTGCTGGCACCATTCTATGATAGATGGCAGCACGTAAGCTGCCCAAGTCCCGGAAATCCGAATGAGGGACATGATTGCCGCGAATTTTTCCGGTGAATGGAGTATGAAGGTCGGGGAGAACGTTATCAGACCGCCAGTTTGCCAAACCCTTCTAAGACCATATTGCGACGGGTACAGTGATAACGAAGGACCCACAACGTACAGATCAGTTTCTCTGGGTACGGCATCACGTAAACTGCCGGACCGGATGGTCTTGCCGAACTTTTGATTCAACAGGATGACGAAGCTAGGCAACGTGTTCGGCTTGATACCGGAGATGTCGCACCTCTTGAAGGCCGCCACAAGTTGACTATCGACCAGATCTCGTCTCGATTCTCCGCCCGGATACTTGAGCACGGTCCTGTTGCGGTACTGACCCAGAAACTCGTCGGAGATCCCGTAGCTGGCCAAGAGACTCGCAGGATGCAGGACTGCGGGAAGCACCGGCTTGGTGTCCATGATCATGTTGGCTCGCACAGGGTTCGGCAGCTCCGGTGGCGCGACTGAAGTGAGAGGGATCTGAAGCACAAAGATGGCCGCACTGATCTCTGGGAGCGACCATTGACCGGTGCCGATGTGGTTTATGTCGATAGAAGATGGCAGACCAAGCAGGATAGCATAGTGGTGCTGTGGGCTGCTCACTGTGAGCTCGACATAGCTGACGTAAATCTGATGAAGATATCAGCCAACTGCAATCGCCATACCAACCCACTTTTCCGTCCTTGATGACATCCTTGAGATATTCCCAGGCCTCTTTGCTTCCTGGCTCCTTATTGTCGATACGAGCCGCTCGTACCCATTCAACGACCTTTGCCCCGAGGCGGATATTGCCTGTCACCGCGATTGGATCGACCTCCTCAAATATAATGCTCATTTTGCCTTGATCAGCAGTCAAGAGTCGCTGACACAGAGTAGGACTGGCAATGCTGGTCGCAGCACCTGGCAATAAGTGCAGCTCCAAGAAGGTCAGATCAGACATGTCGCGCAAAGGAATAGCACAGGCAATTTCCAACGGGACAGCAAACTCGGGGCGAGATCCCGAATGGGGAATCTTTGGATCACTGGAAGGATGTGTAGGCGTCCTGCCCCCTTTTGAATCAGCTGAGCCTAGGGGTGAAGGCATGGAGGGAAGGACTGGCGACGGCATTGTCGAGCCTTTCCGACGAGGATCGGCGGCTGCGTTGTATGCCGAAGACACGGCGGGCACAGCAGGTTGAGGCGCCAGTGCTGTCCGAGGAGGGGATGCCAAGTTGGCTCTATGTAAAGGTGGCAGGTACGGAGTAGACGTGATAGGTCGTGGTGCTCGAAAGTTCTTAGGCTGCGTCGGCACATGCGTAGGTCGGAACGAGGTCAGAGATGGTGCAGCCGGCATTGGCGCAGGCGGGTAGGCGGGTGCCAATGAAGAACCCAAGGATCCAGGCGGTGTACGACCGCCCTCAACACCATGTGGTGATTTCATGGTAGTCGGATTCGGCGGGCTGTAGCGCGCAGGCTGGACGCTGGTGGAATTCCCACTGAGTTTGCGAGGAGCAGTCGGTGCAGACTGCGGGGGACCCTTCCTAGGGATAGGCATGTCATCAATCTTCTTGATTCGGACAGGTTGTTGATATTTGGGTCGTTCAGTTGTAGGTACTTTGACTGATTGAGGCGGGTGAGGAGCAGAAGAGCTGATCGGCGCCGAGGGAGCGATGACGAGATCACTCTCTTTCGATGGTGACGGGGGGGACGGCTTGGATCCAATAATCGGCCGGGGTTTCTGCGGGCCATCATCCTCAGCATCCATGAACAACCTAGATTCATCGACAGCCGGACCTGACCTGGATGGCAGAGTCGGAGTGAAGGAGGTAGCGGCAGAATTAGCAGGCGGATTCGCTAAACTGACATTTCCCTTCGCTGAGCTGTCCGCCCCAGCGTCCAAGTCCACTTCGTCGAAGATGCCCGGCTGAAGGTCCCCGAAAGAAGGCTGAGGAATGGGCAAAACCTCGCTCGACTTCTTCGCGATTTTGCCCATTTCAGCCATTCGAGAAGGAGCGGAGCTTTGGATTCTTAGAGGGATCGAAGGAGGTGGGGCGGGAAGAGTCGCGGGGGTGACGGATGAAAGGGGCTCAGCGACCTTGGGGCTCTTGCGAGTTGGCCCGGGATCCGGACTGTTAACCACTTTGCGTTTCTTGCCATTGCCGATGGCAGGCGGCTTATCCACAGTGGATGACGACATGGGCTGATCCGTTCGGGTATTGGATGCAGACGGCTCTTCATCTTCGAAAAGTGAGTCCAAAGCCTCGGATACAGGCGCAGGCGGTCTCGCCGTCACTCGGACAGGTTTGGCCGCTGGCTTGGGTGCGAGATCACTCGAGGGATTGACCACGGCTGGAGTTGTCGAAGGGGGCGACGGAGCAGCTGCGGATGTTTTTGATTGGAGTTTGTGGGGAATAGGCAGGGAAGGACCGGCTTCCTCTGGTCCCGGTCGGCGCTCGCTTTCTAGCGGCACTGCACCGTTCGAATCAGTCGTGGAGTTCTTCCCTGCGAGCTGCTGCCTTTCTTTCTCCTTGTGCCTTTCAATCTTGATCTTCTTCCAATGGTAATAGTCTGAGAAGCGTTTGGGCACCTTGACGAAGACTGGAACCGGCTCGCGCATTCCATGATCCTTGATCCATTTCTGGCGGGCTGCGAAGACTGAATAGCGCCTTTTGCCTTTGTTGTCCTTTGACTTTGCTATCCGGCGAGCTGGCAAAGAGGCATCAGTCTGTTCGGCACCTTGCAACCTACAAATCCATTACTCACAGATGAGATCTGGAGGTGCTTCAATGTGTTTGTTGAACATCGAGCTGGGAGGTTTGAGAGGTTCTCTCTGTTCTCGCCTCCTGAGAACGGCCCAAGGGTACTTGTCCTTGTCCAGACTGTTCCAAAATCTGCGACTGGTTGGCGTGCACAACAGAAATGCGGATTCAAGGCGTCCTCTACACTCACTCGACCAAGATGTCGGTTGATCCCGATTCCTTTGGTCTGGTGAAACAATGCTTCGGCTCCTCGCTTAACACACAGTCAGCGACAATGATGACAGAGCAACACACGTTTCTGACGCGGCCTTGAGATAGTCCTGCCACTGCGGTGCACCTCAGCTTGCTGTATGACGATGATGATGCTAGGTCACCAATCTCTTCAACTCACCATGACACCGTAGTGCTGGAGAACGATCAGCCTGGAATCCACGGCACAATAGCTTCACGTACCCAACCTACAAAGCCGTCCCCTCTGTCCCTGCGGGAGTCTCGCCATATGGCCCATTTGATAGCCTCTGCATGGACGCGTTGTCAACACGCAAACGCTCTCTGTGTTCTGCAAGCGAGGAGGTTTACCGACGTCATAGGTCGCATCAGCTTCCTGTTCCTCGTCTGCATCTGTCACGTCGCTCTCGAGCTCGCTGTCAAGTTGACGGCTGCCCCCATCATCGGACCCCTCTCCATCATCCTCTAAACGGACTTTCGCCAGCTCAGATGCCGCATACTCGGCTGCCATTTGCGGCAAATGCCATGACACAAGTTCTTTTCAAGCAATTTACGAGAGGCAGACTCGCAAGATGAACAGGACGCGTCTGGATGGACTTCTGTAGCCTGACAGGGCAGCTGAAAACTTGTAGGAGATGATTGGTGTAGTGTGACTTGACAGGTCAAGGAGGAGTGCAAAGAGGAGATCTGGTGCTTTGCAGAGAAGGGTTGTATTTGTAAGCTCTATATTGGGAGAAAATAAGGGAAAGTGGTTCATTGTAATATTCAGAATATTACCGGAAGAGGCGATTCTCCTGGGGCGTAGGATGATGCACAGAAATGGCAACTGCTCATGACATCATCAGCTTCATTTGCTGACTGTTAAGTGCGGAGCTTACCAAGTAGAAGAAGGATAAGTACCGTTTGTAAGGAGCGCACCTTCTATGAGAAAGGGATAGCTTTGGTGTATCGACCGCAGGGTCTTGCAGCTGGGTGCAAAGTATGGTTGCAAGAGTAGTTGGGAGTGGTAGTGGTTGGGGATGCAACAAGGTTGTGAAAGAGGTGTAACAAAGCTGAGAATTGTTCTCTGATGAGAAAAGAAGAACTACAAACTACCTCCTTATATAGTTTCTGGTAGGTCCTATGCACCCACTATGCAGACACTACAAGATCTGCGCGCAAGTTGCACGCTGGGAAAGATCTAACTGGGATCTGCGCGCAGGTTGCACGAAGATCTTCTTTTTCTAGTTTAGGAATATTGGGGAGCATTGGGATCTGCGTGTCAGAACGCCACAAGGTCATAACCTAGAAATACCGATATCTCGCCTCAACTTAACGGCTCGTCAAGATATTCGCCGAGGCTCGCCTTCACTTCACTATCTAATCAAAAAGCTCGGCGAGAAAAGCAGAGTGGATCACCGAAAGACAGGATCTTGGCATGAGTATTGATTGACAGGTGAAGGATCGGCGAAGGATATATATAGCAGCCGCAGATAGCCTTAGATAGACCAGCGATCCAAGATTGAAGTTCTCTACTACTAGATCTTGCATCCCATTGCCGCCCTTGCCTTCAGTCGCCTTAGCTCGCCTTAGCTCACCTCTGTCAGAACGCCACAAGGTCATAACCCCGAAATACCGATATCTCGCCAACGCCACAAGGTCATAACCCCGAAATACCGATATCTCGCCTCAACTTCAACGGCTCGTCAAGATATTTGCCGAGGCTCGCCTTCACTTCACTATCTAATCAAAAAGATCGGCGAGAAAAGCAGAGTGGATCACCGAAAGACAGGATCTTAGCATGAGTATTGATTGACAGGTGAAGGATCGGCGAAGGATATATATAGCAGCCGCAGTTAGCCTTAGATAGACCAGCGATCCAAGATTGAAGTTCAATACTACTAGATCTTGCATCCCCTTGCCGCCCTTTTGCCTTCAGTCGCCTTAGCTCGCCTTAGCTCGCCTCCAGTTGCCTTTGATAGCCTTGAGTCCGCCGAACCACGCCTCGATTACCTTTCGCAGCCAACCTCTCTCTGGTCCTTCGACACTAGCCTTCGCCCTACCTTTTATTCGAGTATCCTAGCCGAATATCCGAAGCCCTCGCCTCGTCTCGCCTGCCTTCGTCAAGAATAATCCTATTCTGCCTTCCTCAGCCAACGAAACCTGACAACCTCCAGTTGCCTTTGATAGCCTTGAGTTTGCCAAACTACGCCTCGATTACCTTTCGCAGCCAACCTCTCTCTGGTCCTTCAACACTAGCCTTCGTCCTACCTTTATTCGAGTATCCTCGCCGAATATCAGTAACTCTAGCCTCGTCTCGCCTGCCTTCGTCAAGAATTATCCTATTCCTCATTCCTCAGCCAACGAAATCTGACAAATACAAGTTAAGTGGTTGTGGCTCTTCAACCTGCAACCCAAGCTTGCTCGTACGACCTTCGTCTTCCATCTCGTCACCGGCCCATAGGCCTCTGGGAACGAGTCGTAACACACTTTCGAAAATAGATAGGTCTTATTTTGCAGCCTTGATGACATGACGAAGCTTTCTTCCCCAAGGATCCATTTGTCCGTCAGTCACATCTCCGAGACCTGCAACTCAATCAGGAGTTCTGGCTCGTCATCCCATTTTTGACACGGACACCGTCTGAGACACGCCTCATTGGCTACACACTGTCTCTCCGTCGACCAGTATGCAAGATTCAGAGGCCCGTCGGACTCACAAGCCTGTAAAACTTCACCTTCCGCCTGTCTCTGCATTCGAGGATCACGTTCTGAGGATTACAAAAGCCCTCCATAAGCCATCTGGACCAGTCCTTGCCAGTCCCACTCCTGCGGCTTCTCTCTGAAATCCCGAAGCGTCTGAACGCGCTTCAGCCGCGTCTCGCGACTTTGCGCAGACTCGAGTGTCTGCTGTAGACCAGCGCAGTAGAATTTCTGCAGAGCCAAAGCCAGCAGCTGCGCTCGGGATTGCGATAGGAGGTATTGACTTCCTCCAGGGCTGGTCTCAGCGTATGTGGAGATCTCTCCTCGCATCAGTACCAGATCGTGCGAGTTGGCGAGCTCGGGATAATGAGTGATCACCAGCTGAGGATGAGCCCATTCGCCAGCATTCTTGAACTCTTCCAAGGGGGTGAATATGACCGAGGACGTGTGAGGTGGTCGAGTTGGCTTGCCATCGGCTGATGCTGACGGCGGAACGGAAGTCACTGGTGTAGGGTGAAAGAGCCACTGCAGGTAGAACATGTCGTATTCGTCCGTCTTGATCGCACCTTTGTCTGCGCCTGAGCTCGTCTCTCTAGGTAAGGGTAGGACGAAGAATGGATTCTCCATTGCCAGCATGAGCATAGACTTATACGTCGAGGATGGCAAGAAGGCTGACAGGAATGAGGCGGAGAGTGTGGGATGGGTCGTGTGATGGGCAGTCCATATCTTCGCAATATCGTCCGCTATGTGGGTCTTGTCCCGTAGGATATCCAGATTCAGTATAGATGCCAAAGGCTGTCACACATCAGCATCATGGACCATAGGGTAATGTGAGATCTTTTCTCACTTTGACGCCGGCTCGATCTCCTTTGGCTTGGTCCCGCCGAGTCGCATCTCCTTCATCCTGTAGCTTTGTCGCTGTCACTGTCACCTCTGGATTTGTAGATTGCTCCACGCTGGCTTTCTTCGCTGAGTAGTCACGAGCTGATCGCTTCGCCAACAGAGCACGTTTTACAGAAGGAGCCATAACTTTCTCCTTGAGTGACTCAAGATCTCGAACACCCTCGCTGTGGGATGTAAGACTCGTGACTGCTGCATACCAGCGTTGTACTCACGCCTCTGCTTTCTTTTTGAGCTTGGCCCCATATTTCTCCTCAAAGGCCTTGCGTTGCTGTTCAACAAGTTCTCGGTGACTGAGAGGAGATTTATTGGGCTCTGAGGCAACTTCTAGCAGGTGTGAGGAGCTCGACAGACATCGCGCGCTCGAAAGACGCGAGCGGGAAGAGGACGCTATAGCGTTCGCGAGCTGACGCACGGGCAGACTCATGGTAGTTCCTGGTGCCTCTGCTGTAGATTGAACGCAAAGTGTCAATCGATTCCCGCTGAATGCAGCTGGTCTCGCATGTCGATCATGCATGGATTTTGCGGCGACGTCCACCAAAATTTCGGTGAGAGTCGTCGTGTGCTTCACTTCAGGTCTTGCTTGAGCATTGTACACTGGCAGAGCTATAAAGCAATCTGGGGCTATAACGTAGCTAAGTATCAGTCATGAATGTTGCTGTGAGTCAGATCTCCCACCAATTCATACTGCTGCAGCTGATCGACCGCTGCTCCAGATCTACGTTCCCCCGGAGGAACAGGATCTCACGGATCAAGCATGGATGCGCGAGGCCTTGGTCATGGTCAGTGGCAGTATCTCCCTTGCATTCCAGGCCTCTCTGACAGTGAATCTAGGCCGAGGAGGCTCTTGCGTCAGACGAGGTTCCTGTCGGATGTGTCTTCGTGAAGGATGGTCAAGCTATCGCTAGAGCTCGAAACAGGACGAATGAATGGAGAAATGTAAGACAGCCTTCTGAAGCGATGGGATACAGCTGAGTGCCTACAGGCGACTCTTCATGCGGAGCTCGAAGCTATTGACCACTTGATTCCCCATCACCCCCCTCCGCTGTCCACGATCACCCTATACGTCACTGTCGAGCCGTGCGTGATGTGCGCTTCGGCACTGCGACAGATTGGAATCGGCAGAGTGGTGTATGGATGTGGGAACGATAGATTTGGAGGCTGCGGTAGCGTCATTGACGTCAATTCGTCGTGAGCACTGAGTTTCCCGGGTCACAGACCATCAAGCTCACATGCATTTCACAGTGACAGCTTGAACACTCATCCGGCCTTTGTGGCAGAAGGAGGCTATTACCGCGAAGAGGCAATCATGCTCCTAAGGCGGTTCTACATGTCCGAGAACCAGAATGGTACGTCTTGGGACCATCTGCTATGGAACAAATCTGACATGTTGTAGCTCCGAATCCGAAGAAGAAGGCGACTCGTGTACTCAAAACGGACATTCCTCCGCCGCCATCTTCCACCACACCGCGACCTTCGAGAACGGCATCGGCGAGATCTTCACCAAATGGCGCAAAAGAGGCTGCAGCTTTGAGCGCGAGCTGAGCCGGTGGTCCACCCTGTGGTCGTGACTACTGTTTCGGCAACATGTCAGGGATGAAGGAAAGTCACCAGCTGATGGACGTCAGCGAAATCACCCAAGGCCGCTGCGGTCACCTCACATCGTCTTTAAAAAGTGTGAGGATCTTCTCCAATTCCCTCTTCGCCAGACCGGTCCGGTACGAAATTTCCTCAAACGTTGCGACACCGTCGAAGTGCTGGACGCATCTGCCAGTTGATCAGCTCTGACAGGCCATCGACGACTCACAGATCAAACTTGCTGGCCCAAACCTCGTCCGCACCTTCTCGAATGACTCGCAGCCACCTAGCTTCATCCTTCTGAGCTCTTGCTGGTCGGAAGATGAATGACTCTTCGAAGTGTGGGACGTCTGTCGGTTCTTCTTGGTCCTCGGAAAATTTCATCCCGTGGATTTCTGCTGCGTCACTGGTCTCTGCGCCATCCTCGTTATCCGAGTCCATCTCCAGATCTGGATCGTACTCGAGGTCGTTCGAGTTGTCCTTCCTCAGAGGCGGGACACTGGCATCGAGTGGATCAATAGCATCATCTCTTGCTCTCGGTGTCCCCAAATCGTCATCTGCAGATTTGATTTTACGCTCCCGTTTACGCCTCAGCCATTTTCCCCTCCGCCTGGCCCATAGTCGTCGCCATGCGATCTCTTTGACTTCAGGTCGGGCGAAAACTCGACACCGGATCCTCACTTGGACGACCAAATCTTGCTTCAGTAGCCAGACAAGTGCATCGAGATAATTCTCGCGTATCGCTGCGTCTCCAGCTTGTGACTTTGGCACCAGCTCTCGGAACTGAACAGGCGAAGCGGAAATGGCCGCGAGGAATTGTGGTAGAGGAGGTAGTCGTGGGAATCTCTGATGAAACCGATGAGAGTAGTCATAGATTGTCAACCTGTGCGCAGGAGTCAGCTGAACCGGCTCTTCAAGAGACACTAACGTATGATCAGCAAGGGTGGTGGGCATGACTACTGTTCTAAGTCGAGTGTTCATAACATCAACCAGGATGGCTTTCTTGTTCTGAACCAATTCCCTGGCAAGCGGGATGACAATGCCTTCAAGATGATAGCGAAGCTGATGGGCGATTTCCAGTAGGCTGTCGAGAAGAGATATTTCAGTTTTCCGCTTGCTTTAGCAGGTCTCACCGCTTGCTGACATCGCATGCCCCGATCAGGCTCTTCATCAAGTGTCCTTCGTCTTCCTCTTCCTTGCTGCCACGACGACCAAATACAGCGGTTGGGGGCGCCTCATCTTGTCCTGGGTCGCCAACGCCAATGCCAAGGCCGACCAGTGACCTGGAAATCTCCTGCGCTTGCTCGACAGCATCGTCATCGATCAACAAGAGTGTATTCCAAGGTTCGACACGAAGATCCCGAGACCTGATGTCGTCTCCATGGCCTGCATCCGAATCTTCCGATGAAACATCTGAGACATCATCGATTTCGCCCCAATGAGCCCACGCTTCGTCAACTTCTTTTGTACGAGATGAGAGGATCATGGAGATGGGTACGCTGCCTAGAGATACCGTGATTGTCGTAGGCAGCGAGGAGTAGAGGGGATTTTTGGGTCGCCTTTGATATTGATAAATGGAGGCGAACAACTGGTTCAAAGCACGGTCGAGCGACGACCTTTCATACAACATGCGACAGCATTCGAGAATTGGCATGTCTGGGAACCACATCAGCTCCATCATCATCCGAGATTAGGCCGACGTACTCTCATTGATGCCTTTGTCGCGCACCTTGGCCATCTCCCACGCTTCCTTCGCGACGTAGTTGTCCGAGACCTGCAGGGAATACGCTGCTGCCGTCCACTTGAACACGATTTCCCTGTACACCTCGTCATACAAAGTAGTGGCCACAAGACCTTCAGCGGCATCATGAGATATCCTCGGATCAGGCTTGTCTAGGATCAGGACGAGATTGAACATAGTCAGAGATGGCGGTCCATCCTCCTCCCCTGCTTTTATGCCTTCGCCATCTTTTCCATCCTTGACACGAGCCTTGGACTCATCAGCATCGGGAGAGCTAAATTCTTTGGCTTCGACGACAGTCCCAAGATGACCGAGGCCTTCTTTACGTCTGCCTCTGGCCGTTGGTCGAAGGTCAACCTCGTCGTCATCCGCTGCGAAAGTCCATTTGCCATCTGCTCCGACCGATACGGGATATCCGACAAAGACCAGTTCGTCCACGCAGATCTCGAACTTTCGATTCCGAGCAGCAGGAGGTGGAGTCAACATGTCTCCAAGAAAGTCCAGGGTGTAAGATAGTGCAAAGTTGTATTGGCTCTCTATGAACTGTTCATGTACACTGCCCTTGCGTTGTCTCTCCGGAAGAGGGGCGGGAATCGGGGGTGCTGGAGAGGACAGAGGCTTGATCTCCGGGATCGGCCTGATATCCGCTATTGAGCCTCGTGAGCCTCTTGAGCCTCTCGAAGCTCGGTTTGCGGTATCGAAAGTGACTGCGCCGGGCTCAGAATCGAACGATTCCTTCTCTGGAACAGGCACAGGCAACTTTGGAGGAGGTTCGACAGAGGGTCGTTTGGCTTTAGCTGATGCCGTCCATGTGTATTCGGGTTCCTCGCCAGATGACGCGCTCGAATCACTACTAGTGCCATCTCCTATATCTCTGTCGGTGTGATCGTGATTCGAGGTCCCGGTTCGGGATGTCTCGCTGCCTAGCATCTTGGACAGCCGAACATGACTCCCTCTTGTCGACGTGCCATTGCTCCGACGACCCTCAAGGCTGTCAAAAGTTGGTTTGGGTCTGTTCTTTCGGATCGCTTCTGATGCAGTGAACGTAGCGGATGGGTAGATAGGCTGTGTGAGACGTGTGTGCGGGGACAATGGATCAGGGGGGTACCGAAAGACATTTCGACCCCGAGACGAGGATGTCACGAAGAGAATCCCGAGGATGTTCTCCGCCATGTCTGCAGGAATATGCTGTAAGCTGCACGTACACGCCAGTGTAGGCCTGTACTATCAAAGGCGTCACCTGTCCATCTATCACGGTGTGGATCGCGGGGTCCGAATGTACAGAGAAGAAAGGCAAGCTCCCTGAGCATTTCAGCGAGAATGACTTTTGAATCGGAATTCGGATCTCGCACCCCGATCATGTTGTTGTCGTTCGTCTACCGCATGTCCAAGTCAACACCGTCAACAACGCGTCTTGCCCTCTGTTAGGATATCAATCATGGCTACATCGAACTCTGGCATGTCCCTACCCGCGTTGGACCCTCCTACGTCTTTCGCCTTCTACCCCTACGGCCTGTCATCTCAGAGGCAGACCCATTCTTCCATTCGAGGTCTCTCATTGCCCTCTACTACCCCCGATTCCCTGACAGGCGCAGGTCCCGGTCCCAAGACTGAGGAGATAGTCCGAGAAAAGCTTGCGAGGGCTCGCGCTGAGCGAAGAGCTCTGATGGGTCGTCGACCTCCGGGTGTCGCACTGGGACGCGAGGCTGAAGAGTTGAGTGATGAGGAGGCAGCTATGGAGGACGAAAAGGTGGGTCATAGGTGTCCTGACAGATCCTCATCCGCTAGCAAAACATCAACCTATTTGGTCATCGGTTCTTGCTCCCGTTCGGACGTCGCTTAACTCAGATGGAGATGGAAGCCGCTCCTGTAAGTGCTGTGTCCAGGAACTTCAAACCACGGGCTCATATGCCCTCAGTCGCCTTCACCCTCTGAGCCGGACCAAGAAAGACGTCAAGAGGACCGCGATGCGGGGTCGCCTGTGTCTCCATCAACGAATCAGGTGCAACAGCAAGATGGTGCAGAGGATCAGGAAGAAGCTGTGGATCTAGATGCAAGCATAGAGGACATGGACGCCTCGATGGAGGTCGATGTCATTAACGAGGAGGGGACGAGCGGAGAGATGGAGGACACATGAGCAAAGTCCATGCATGAGAAGCCTATCCCGGTGGCAGCATGTACGACGTTTGCCTATTACTTGGCAAACCAAAAGTCGATACTTTGTGGGGCTGTTGTGTTGTCAGCGAAAGTGATTGGAATACCTTGAACTCGCCTAAGCTGGAAGACACCTTCTCCGGCAGCTCGATGCCGTCTCCGGTGATGTCAAGCAAGTGAATCTTGAGCGCGAGTTCTCCCAAGACCTGTCTGCGTGAGATTCGCGCCAGATAGCGCAAGCCCTGTACACTCACATGGACATATTCAGACGTCTCCCTCGATGCCATGCCACTCTCCCCTCGCAGGACACGCAGCCCATCTGTCCACTCCGCTAGTTGAGCTGCATGGATAGCGTCCAGATCCAGCAAGGAGTATTCAGGCCCAGACATGAGAGAGAAGGAAAGCTTTGAGATAATATTGGGAGATCGAGATCCGACCGCACATCCAGTCTGCATCCTCACGTCCGTGACATTGGCAATGTCAACTAATTGTGAGCATGAAGCCCAAGATTCGTCGACCTACTGCGCTCTTTGAGACTCTCGAAGGGAGGGTTGACTGGCTCACGGTGAGCATATTCTCCCCAGCCTAGGCTGCGCTTGTTTGGCGACTGTGATTCGTCAACTGCATGTAATGACGATTGCTGTGCGACTCACAAGCCGAACAAAACGTAAAGGTAAAGCTGGCTTTGCTTTCACAACGGGCGTCACACTTGGCTCGATGACGGCGGAAGAATTGAACCAATTGCCTTGCAGCATGCAGCTGACTCTGAGTCAAGGTGAGCTCACGATCATTGGTGTTTCTGGCACCGACCTCTGATCCGCGAGCACATCATATGCAGCCCTTCCGACCTTCTCCCGCAATGCTCTCACAGTCGGACGCGTCAGCATTCCATCCTCCTTTTCCAGCAATTCCATCTGACGATCTCGAATTGAGCGGTATTCCGTTTCCAAAAAGTCTTGCTCAAGATTCAGCCAGGTCTTTGCGACTTCGTCTGCCAAAGATAGATACACGTGCGATCTTACAAGGAGTGAGAGCCGACCAAAGTCCGGCAGGCGAGATTCAGACTCCGACCACATGCTACGCGCTTCAGCTTGAAAGGTTGCATGAGCTCCGTCTCACCGAAGGAAGAAGCGCAGGACAAGGAAGTGCAGTCTGGGGAAATGCAGGAGGAATAGCTGGAAAGAATGTGGGGGATGATGACCCGCTTGAGATATCTTGTAGTGTTCGCACAGGATCTTGACGCATTCCGCGCTGAGAAAAGTCAGTCTCATCATGATCAACTCGCCTCACCTTGCCCTTCCAATCGGACACCTCCTAGCCTCCTCGCGTACTTCCTGCTCAATAACGATCTGCACAAATCTCAGGGACTGATTCGACTCATCCTAACGGTGCACTCACGTTCCTGAAATTGTCTTCGTGAGTAACATAGAAGTGCTGAGCGACTCAGTCAGCCATATTGTCGGATATGAGCAAGGGAAAACCGCTGACAAGACACTCCAGCCCCAGATCTCCCACGTCTCTGAACAGTTCGACTTCAAGCAGCGGGTCACTCTCCTCCCCTAGTCCACTTTCTTCGTCAACCCAGAGACCGATTCTCTTCCAGCCTGCCCAGTTCCGGTTCTGCGATGCTGCTTCACTGACTGTCACCGCATCATTACCCGAACCCTGACCTAGCTGACCGGTCGTCCAGATCTCATTAAGCATGCGTTCCTGTGTAGCACTCTGAGCTGGGCGAACAGGAGTATGACGGCGGAATTGGAGTATGCCAGCGTATCGGGCCTGGAAGTTGAGTATTTGAGGCTCGACGATGTTGTTTGCACAGCTAGGCATGAGACGCTAATGTAGGTTCAGCGACGTCGCCTGGAGGCCTCGGATACTCACTGATACATGTTTGCGGACGTTCAGTACCTCGAGAATATCTACCAGACCAGGATAATTGGGACTGTTATCTTGTTGTGCGGAACGCAGAGAGACATTCACGAGGCCAAGACTGATTCTGTGAGCATAGAGAGGGTAATCTACTCACCTCTGAGCCACCAATTCCAGGTCACCTGTTCCTTCGAGTCTTTTGACTACCACTCTGAAGACTCCCATAGCGCCATCAGTTGATTCTACCCCTTCCATGCGGAGGAAGACCTTATCAAACCCATATTGGATCAGTGGAGAAGTAGGAGGTTCCGGCGTCTCCTTTTCTTTGCCCTTGCCCTTGGATCTGGCTCTCAAATGAGCCCTCTGGCGCGCTATGTCGACTTGAGGAGAGGATATGATTAATTTGCGGACAATGGCTGTGGTCGGGCGCAGAATATTGGGTTGTGTTCCAGAGATCAAGAGGTGCAGCACCCGGTTGATGAATTCGTCCGTGAGGTCTTCCCATCCCGATTCAAACTCCAGTATGCCTCTCACGCCTTGTGAGGCGTACTGAGGAAGGGCTAAACATTGGAGTATAGAACTAGACTCACAGCAAGGCTGTTTCCGGTAAGCCCACCGTCTTTCTGCTCGAGCAGTTGAACCAAAAGCTTTACCCCTCCTCGAATCATGAATTCCACAGAGAACTCCTCCTCTCTGACGTACTTCGATAGATTGAAGAGCGCCAACTTCAAAGGAATATTGTTCTTCTCAGGAGAGGAGGCGTCCGCTCCATCGGGGCCCATATTCTCAGCAGAGAGTCGCAGGGAGTTCACAACGGTAAGAGCTTCTGTCATGGGTGAAGGCACGAGCCTGAAGTATGGCGTTAGCTTTCCAGCCCTCAGAGAGCCATACAACCCACTTGAGAGCCGCATGATCAGCCACTTTGGTGGCCAAGTTTCCTTGAGTGACCAATCTATCCGCCTCGTCCCGCAAGCAGAGCGTAATATGATGCTCACTCGCACCGAAGGTGGTTGTCATGACCTCGATGACTTTGGCGACCCGCTGAACATGGCAAGTGAGCCGACGTCCATACAATCTCAAGCGACTCACAGCCTCGGGATCGATGCGAGCCGGCATCTGCTTGCCTAAGATCGCGCGAAGAGTTAGCCTCGGATACAGGACGACTGGGGACGATTCACCCTTGTAGGAAATCATATTGGTAGGGATCGCATTTGGCCTCCTCAGACTGGCATGAGAATGGTCCGACGACATGACGCAATGAGGTCGAAGGCTTTGTTGTCCGTTTATGTCCGCCAGGAGGCCTCTACCTGCTGAGATCAATGAGCATGAACCAGGAATGTACAGGGAGAAGGCATTTGGTCCGCTTGCCCGGACCGACTTTTTTTTTTGGATGAACTCGGGAATTGTGGCGAGCGGCACTGACATGTATGACTACAACTACTACAGCGAATTGGGTGGACATTCTACGCCATGTTCTTTGCTCATAGCTCAGCTTTGGAGTAATGGTGATGTCTCAGTCTCCCTCTCTTCCGCGAAGCCCATCTCTTCCCGTCGCAGAACTAAAACGGAGACAGGTCAGGGTGCCATTTCAGAGTAACACAGAGGTGGTCAGGATGAGCTTACATTCTGCATTATCTATCTTGGCTTGATCAGTGTCGACACATGACAAGAAGTACACCCCCAATAAGCCGACTCCGGTCAAAAACACGAAGGCCACGTTGGTGTTGCCACCAGCGGCTTCAATGATGTATGATGTGACGAGAGGTCCGATGAACCCGCTTGTCTTCCCTACTGCGCTGAACAGCGCAAAGAAGAGGAACATTTTAGGCGCTGGTACGACCTCTGTGATCATTGAGATATTATACGAGCCCCATGCTGCCGTATGGAAGTTCCAGAAAGGTAGTATCCAAAACTCCCAAGCTGAAAAGAAGGTCAGCGGGTTTCGGCTTTTGTGATGTGTGATTGCACTTCACTGTTGTGAAATCCGATCTTGCTCGTGTATAGTCCTATGGCTCCCCACATGATCCTGCGATAGGAAATGAGCTCAATAACTGAACGAGCACAAGTACACCAACGGGAGACAAGCCATAAAAGCCCCGTAGCAGACGCCTTGTTTAATGGTGAAACGCCATCGTTTCTGAGCAAGGAGGCAGGCGAATGTGCCGGTACCACCAGAGATGTTACTAAGCATGGCGAGTGTATTGATCGCTCCAGGAGAATAGTCAAGAACCCTGTAGTAGATCAGAGCCGTCGACACTCGTGGCCTGGCCTTCTCACTCGTTCTGAACAATGGAGACAAGGCCACCCGAGGTGCCGAAAGCTAGTCGTCAGTCACTGAGTCGAACAGCACTGATCACCTTCGCAGAGCAGAAAGTATGCCAGAAGATACAAGAAGCATTGACGGAGGTATCTCAGGTGTTTGGCAGCCAGATAGATCTGCCTGCTCTGCGTGATCAGTGCCGATCACTTGAGGAAATTCAGATTGTAACCCACTTTGGACCGAGTGACCACCATCTGGACCCTTTAGGCATCTTCGCTCCTGGCCTTCTTTTGGACGTCACCAGGTATGGAAGACTGAACAGCAGAGTCATCGCTGCAAAATAGGCCAATAAGACGCGATACGTCGTGATGAGTTGTTCTTTGCCGGTGCCAAGTGCCTGAGATAAGCAGACTGCGATGCTGGATGCGGTGACGACTGATGCTGAGCCGATCGTGTTGACCCAGTTGTACAGCTTCTCCAGGGTCAGATGGACGGTGCGTAGCTTTCTGACCGAGTCTTACTGTGGCTCTTTCTAGCATGTCCATCTCCGCGTGATCCTCTGGACTGTGGAGTCAGCAGGGACTCGGAGGACCTTGCCTACCTCTTCTGGCCTGATCTAACAGCATTCTCAGAGGCTTGCACCCGAGGCAGATTCCGAACCAGCTCGGGGAACGACGCGTTGAAGAATGTTCCGAGAATGTTACTGGCTGGGATTGGTTGGCGGATGTCTTGTGAGTAGTGCTCACACAGGCAGCCTATCATCCAGAGGAGCTGAGCTATCCTCCAGCTCGCCGCCTGCTTAAGGGTACTCAAACCTAGCATGCAGCAGATGAGAACTGCGTCAAAGCCTGTGAGAAGAATCAGACAACAGGATGCTGTGTCTGTGACATGACTCGCTCATCAACAGCCAATATCTCCACCTTCCGTAATCAGCGTATGACCCGAGCACCAACAAAACGATCATCTGTATGAGGTACAGTAGCCCGTTGAGGTCAAGAAGAAACACATTCACTTTTGGCTCAGTATTGGCCATCCGTGTGGGGGCTCACAGGGGATCTCATGCCGACCCCAGCGGATAGTTCCGGTGGGCCAAGCGAGGCTCGTCAGAGCTTGACGTAGCGCACCACCGTCCGTGCCTATGCCTGCGAGGACTCAGACGTTTCTAAAGTAAGGGTGAGTGAGCAACACACCTGTTCCAAGTTGCGCGAAACCTAGTCGTGTGAGCTAGCCGGACATGCGAAATACGTACAGAAGACGCAGTAGCACCAATACTCCTTACTAGACGTAGGAACTCGTTTGGCTTCTGATTCGATCAGGTCATTTTGAACGATTACAGCCTTGGCAGCATCCGAGCTGATATCTTGCTCTCCACACCGACGATCTTCGTCCCTCTCGGCAATCTCCGTCTGCTCTTCTGCCACGTCTTCAAGATGCACAAGACTGGTTGTCTTTCGGATCGCTCCATCGTGATTGTGCTGACTACCCATTGACAGAGAGGATCAGACCCTGACGAGACACGGCAGCTGTGGTATCTGTTAAATGATGCCAATGTCAGTTGTGCCTCCAATATAACCAGGCATGTGACCTCGACATGCTCCCCCACTTTACGGTGCCAATGCCGAATTGGATTGTCGCGTGGGGGACACATGTTGAATCGGGATAAGGGAACGAGATGCGTTGGGTCCCTCTGTACGCTCCACTTTCCAACGCAATGCACGAGAACGCGCCAAAACGACAGACTGGCATCTTGTCTCTCAGCTTTCCTTCAGCCATTTGGGCCATAGAAGACTTTTCTTATGCCATCCATGCCCCCGATGCCCTACAGAAAGACTCCGAACTCATTTCATTCATGCCAGAGCCGAGAGGCCGATGAGTGCTGCACCTTCTCGAGACAGTGACTGGGGAATGACGCGAGAGCTCATCTCGACCTTTGACATTCATCAAAGGCCAAGATGCCGCGCAACATCTTTCTCGATGCCACTTGACTGCTATCATGCCCTGTCTTTTCGTATTCCGCAACATTCTCAAACGTCTTCTAACTCCATAGGTTATTGAGGCCTCAAAGGGTGTTCTGACAGCTGAGTAATCTGGAGCGACATTCACAGAGAGCAGGCTGTGGTCAAAGCCGGATAGAGAGGTATCACGGCATCTAATCAAGCTGTCAACGACATCAAGCCGATTGTACAGTTCCGTCTCAGCTTCTTTGAAACTGTGCCAGAACTCCGTCCCACATCGCTGATCATGAACCGGACTCATTGTGGTCGTGAACTATGCAGTAGTAGAGCATCTGCCTTGCCGGCAATTTAAGGACAGCATCGACAGAGCGGTACAGAAAATCATCCAAGCGGGCACTCGACCGGTGCCATACACATGTACCCTTGGAAGCGAGGTCGAAAGACATCCTGATGCTGTTGGCCAATGGGACGCGATGGGTCTTATGAAATTTCTTCAAATGTCGCAACCCTGCTGGAGGATCGATGGGCACCTGCCGGAGCTTATACTACGCACCCTGCCTGTATGACGGGACTGAACGCTGTTAGCATTGGTGTTGCCCTTGCTTTTTGCCAGAGCAAGCAGCGACCGTCTGCACACAGGTACGCAAGTGCTTCGTGCTCAATTGGAGTCAGCGATACCACGCAATTGAAAGGCCAGAACTGTGATGATCGACCTTCGATGACGCTCCGTCTTTTAGTAACCGACACACTCACATCCATGCTAAGTTTGTTAGTGACGATGTATGTACGATGATGGCTCCTGAGGCCTTCCGTTGCTGCTCAGAGGGGCATGTTCTACACGTCTAAGGCAGATGAGGAGGGTTGGAGAACCTTCAGCAAAAAGAAGCCGGTATGCGCCACATTCGATGACGATCCCAAAAATTACTGGTTCCAGGTCGTCGTCCAACTCTTTCACCAACCTGGGGCGAAGACAACGCACCATTTACTCGCCGTAGATCGAGAAGTCAGGCAAGGCCCTGCTAGTTTGCCATCATAGCTCTCAGGCTGTCGTCGTACAGAGCCACCGCATGGATGGAGCGCCACTGCGACCCGTACTCTCACCCATGAGTTCAAATGTTTTCGAATCGGGGCACCATCCGCCTCACCCGGATCCAGAGGAGTATGATGAACAGGAGGTCGATGGGTTCATAGCATGTGAGCGTATAGCCACCAAGGCGCGATGAAGGAGCTCAATGAGCATGAAACAGCTCATGATGCCCCTTCGGCCTGGCAGAGGGCGGCTTGGACAAGACTCTTCGTCTCATTCATGACGTTTGGCCTTCTCAACAACGGTAGGTGACAATAGTTGTGTTCGGTACAGATATTGACGAGTCCCGCTTAGTTTTATACGTGATCATTCTCTCTGCTGCGCTAGACCTGGTACCCTCTACGACTCCGAAAGGCGTAGTAGCGTTCTTCAACATCTTCCCGGCACTCTTGGCTAAGGTTTTTTGGCCCATCTTGTCTCGGGGAACCATCCGGTATGCTCGGAGAGTTTGCCTGTGCACCGTGTGCAGCTGGCTGGGAATAGCAGTGAGAATTGATGCCTCAGCATGATCTTCTCCCAACTCATCAATATGCCAACCAGATCATTGCCTTTTCATCAAGCGTCAAACCGCGTCTATTTGGAATATCCCTCGCTTCGCTCTCGTCCGGTTTGGGAGAGCTGACTTTCCTTCAACTCTCCACCACGTTACCCACACCTTCATCCTCACGTACAGCTCTTGGTGCTTGGTCTAGCGGGACAGGGTTCGCAGGCATCGCCGGAGCCGGACTGTGGTGGCTGCTCCGTGGGCTCGGTGTCAAAGGCGGTCTAGGCTTGTCAAGCGTGAGTCCACTCCTGGACGACCTGGACACTGACAATTCGTTTAGCTCTTACCGCTCTTCTTCCCGTTGACGTACTTCGTGCTCCTGCCTTCGTTCAGCTTGTTGGACGAAGACGCAGGCGCAGTGTACCAACCTGTACCAACGGATGTTGGCGATTCTGAATCGACCGTCTCGACCTATCAGCCAAGTGAACATCCCGCCACGTCAAGCAGCAAAAAGCACAAGATTCAGCTCACCACGATGGACAAAATCAACTTGATCAAGCCTCTTGTCTTGCGATTCATGCTCCCGTTATGTATCGTCTACATTGAGGAATACGTCATCAACTCTGTGAGTTGGAATGGGCTATTCAACGTATGGACAAAGCTGACGTATCTTCAGGGAGTCGCTCCCACTTTGGTCTTTCCCCTTCCCACCACTGGTCTTTGGTCTATCCTATTCAAATCAGCAAGAGATTACTATCCCTTTTGGTCACTTACCTGTGAGATGACACGTCCCCGCGTTTTGATGTGTAGACCGATTGACCTGCCCCTTTAGATCAAACTTTCGTCTTCATATCCCGATCATCCTTATCCCTGGGCTTGCCGCCACTACCGAGGCGTCTCCTTCCTCTCCCGGCTATCGTCCAGTGCGGAGTTCTCTCTTTGCTCTCGCTGCAAGCTTCAAAGTTTGTCTTCTCGTCCCCAGAATACACGCCTCCTGCTGTCCCTCCGCTTCAGGGATCGGATCGGACAATCTCATTTGTGTTTGTCCTAATCTGCCTCGAAGGTCTCTGTGGTGGAGCTGCATACGTCAATACGTTCTACCATGTGGGTAGAGAGGGTGAAGATGGAGGTGAGGGACTACAAGGGATCAGACAGAAGATGGAAAAAGAATTCAGGATCGGGGCCACGGGTGCTTCTGATTCTCTAGGTGAGTCACACTAGCACGCCGCGCATGGTAGACATCCACCAACGATCGCAGGTATACTGTTCGCCTCGCTCATCTCCATGCCGTTCGAGCTGGCCCTATGTGATGCTCAAGTTGCTCGAGGCAGAACAACCTGCAGGGATCTATGAGAGCGGAAGGACATTCTTGTATGAGGGAAAAGGGTATTGTCATACATGCAGATGTATCTCTAGGAACGAAACGCCGGTATCTGTCGTCTACTCGGGATGAATGGGATCGACAATGTACATTTTGACGCTGCTCGTATCTGTCGGCTTGTCCTCGCCACTGGATGATTATGTCAACTTGATTCTATCCGCTACACAGTGTTGTACTCACTACACCTTGTCGACTTCGTACATTGTGGAGGTCGAAGTCGAAGTTGCTTTCGGCTTGGCTGGGGTCTTGCCCCAACTTCCTTTAGGTCCACCGGTCTTAACGGTCTCCTTTGCGGGAGCCGCCTTAAGCTGTACAGTGACCGCACGACCACTGAGTAGATCATCAGGACACTCATGTCTCTCCTTTTCAGAATGTGAATCGCTCACTCTGGGATGAAACCGAATTCCATACGACCCTCTGAGTCCTTTGTACCTTGACAGATGTAGAATCCTTTCCGCTCGAATTGGATGATATCCCATTTCTTTAGGTTGACGACTTCCGGACTGGCCAAAGCTTGAACACGATACTCTGTCTTCTTGTTCAGCACGTCGTCGAGATTATCGTCCTCTTCAAGCTTCTTTTTGGTGATGAGGTAGTCGTATTCGATCAAAGTGACTGGAACGAGCTTGTAGCTGTCGGACGGAGCAGACAACCAAGTGACCTTCTTCGATGTCTTCTTGAAGTCACCCTCAAGGTGCAGCTTGATGTCCAAGTGAGTGACTGATCCAGAAGCATCGGAATCCTTTTTGGTGATGAACACATTGCCCCAGTCCATGAAGGTCACCTGTAGGTCCATTAGCTGTGCACGAGGCTGTCCCTCACCTCCTCATTGTCCCCGAATGATGCGGCATCTTCCTGCTCAACTATCAACTTGTTGGAGTAGACCACTTGTTTCGTTCCAACCGAGGCATCCTTCTTGTGCAAAGGCTTGCTCTCGACAGTCTCGCCAGCCTCGTCCCTACCTGTGACATCGACAGTGACCCTTGTTATTGTGAGCTGTGAGTTTCAAAAATGATCCGAAAGGTCTCTCACATCTTGTCCTCGGCGATCGCCCAGTATCTCGGAGCGATAGGATCAATGACTCGTTTGTTGGCTGTCCAGATACTGTCCCATTCCAACTGCATCTGCTGTTGGGAGGCACCTTGTCCGATGATGTAATCCTTCAGGCCTTTCACGGTCATACCTCGTGATCGGATACCTGGGCAAGATGAGCTGAGCAGTACGTGGGGCTCAATCAGCTCACCTCGAACAGTTGGGAATCGTGGATCATCCCATCCTTTCACAGCCCCCTGCTCGACCAGATACTTGAGTTTTCGTTTGGAAAGCACAGTGTACACAAAGTCGATTCGACTGTCAGTCTGTCAGTTCCTCCCTAGCTGCGCTCGGAAGCTGACCTAAAGTCAAAGATTTCGATCTTGGGGAACTTGAGTCTGTCCAAGAACCATTGGTACTGCTCGTGTCGAGCAAAGTACTCGTTGGCACGCAAAGCATGTGTCACACCGTCAATGTGGTCGATGATCGGGCAGGCGAGGTCATAGGTCGGATAAGCTTTGTATTTATCTCTGCAGAGACATGAGCATTGCAGAGGGCTACAGAGAAAGCATTCTCACCCGGTGATGTGATGGGGGGCCTCGACGTATCGGAAGACGACGGGATCTCTCATGGAACCATTCTTGTGTTGATAATCGATCTTAGCACGTCCACTCCATTTACGTCCCTCCTCAGAGCCCTTCAGGAGTTCTCTAAATCTGGCGAGATTATCCTCGATCGAAGCATCGCGATTCTTCGAGGGGATAACAGCCCGTCGTTGCTCTTTGACCTGGGACGAGGTTAGCGGTCTTCCACTGCTTTTCGTCTCACGGTCTCGCCATCCGTGTCGTCCATGAACATGTCTCCTTGCTTGATGAGCTGCTCGGTATAAGCCGTGATCTTGTCAAAGTGATCTGAGGTGTGGACAATCGTATCATAGGTGATGTCGATCATCTTCAAGTCTTCTTGGATAGCCTCCTCGAACGCGCCCTGACACGGAAGCTTCAGCATGAGACGCAACCATTGCCGACCAGCCAGAAGGACACACCTCCTCTTTCATTGGATTGGTATCATCGAAACGCAGGATAAATTTGCCCTGGTATTGGTCCGCCAAGAATCGATTCAAGATGGCGGCTTTCAAATGACCAATGTGCAAGAAACCAGATGGCTCGGGAGCTGATACTTTGTAAGCTCACGCGGTCAGAGGAGAGACTTGGCTCACCAAATCTGACGACAACCTTTCCAGGGACAGCATTCGGCAAGACGACCTCGACAGATTCGGTCCTCTTCACTCGCTTGCCCTTCTCCATCTCCTTTCTAGCCTCTTCATGCATCTGGTGAACCTGCTTAGGAATCGGTAGCGCGTTGACGTGGTTGTACCATCTGAGCAGATGAGGTCTACCGGGCTTCCTGATAGCTCCAAGAGCGGGGTTGTTGCCTGATTGGTACTTGTCAGCGATGTCTCTATATATAGTTCTATAGAAGGGACGAACATACTTTTGATCGTTCCCCAGATGATGCAGTCTCCGAAACCGAACCTGGGTCCAGCAAAGTATGTTCTACGAGATTCAGCTGGAATCTATGCCATCTAGTGTGTGATGGCTGACCTGTACGCTAGGTAGTCATCCAGAGCATCCAGGATTCCCTGAACGTCTTTGAAAGGGGTATTCGACTCGAACAAGGTAGGGAGGGGAGGCAGGGGAATCTGATTCGATCATCAGCTTGATGAAGGATCAGAGCGAGGCCTCGCTCACCTCTTTTCCCGGTACATCTTTCTCCAGCTCCGCTCGCACTGCTTGTAGACCAATCGCAGACGAGTACTTCACTTCTCCCTTGTCTCCCGACTCGAGGTCCCACTCCACCGGGACATTCTTCAGGATGGCCAGGGCCATGAGGGTGTATGGAGGACTGAGAACCGTACAAGGGACGTTGAGAGATGCCATAGCTGGATGGAAGTCTCACAGTCCTGTGCTCTGAAGGCGGTTTTTGACTATCGATATGGTGTGGATCTCAACGATGGACCCGACAGAATCGAATGCATTTGTCGGTGTGCTTCGAACGTTTCGAGTTTCAACTTTTCCATCGGAATTCCGAATGGTCGGCTCATTCACAGGCAAGGAGATATACTGTTTGTGGATGACACACTGTGGAGGGTCGGGTCTTCTAGCTTGGACATACATGGTACACGCAACGGATGGGACTGCTCAGCCTCCATTACCTCTGGATCTATCACTATCAACCCAATAATCCCCTGGTATGCGGCCGACATCAGGAACGAGCGATGCAGCTCCCCGAGGGGACCGCCCCAGTTGAGTGGGCGATTCGTCTCCTTGCTCGTCCTCGGTTTCCTCGCCGTCTGGTTCCTCATTGGACCCTCGTGGTCGAGCAGGAGGAGTGACAGGAGATGCACCTGCACCTAGTGTGCGGGTTGAGCTCGCAGGCTGAGGGGCGGAGGTGGACAATGATCTCAATGATCTTGTGGCCGTGCGGGGACTGGGAGCAGGCGTACCGCCTGCAAATGATGGACGGGGTTGAGGTGGTGGGGGTAGGCGAAAGACGAGATTGAGAATATGCGGGAGAGTCAAGGAGAATATGAGCGGTGGTTCGCGGATTCTTGAGGCAGATGAAGAAGGGGACGATGTAGAGGATAAGAGTCGTTTCCGGTCTGACACTGGAGGGGTTCGAGAAGTACCGATAAGCCGATGACTCTGAGAATATAGGAGATGAAACACTCACTTGTGTGCTCGTCGTTCGCATCATCTCCATCGTCTAGCCATATCTCTTCAGCACCGTCCCTTTGGCCTTTACGTCGTTTCCGTAAGCCGCTTTCAAGGTCGAATTCGGGTTCGTCGAGATCCATGGCTTGGGCATTTGGCAGTAGCAGATCATCATACGGTAATGCCGTGATCTTCATCTCGTCTGGATGAGCGTGGATCTGGTGGTTGACGTAGGAGACGACGAGAGCGGATAATTGCAGGATATAGAGAGTAAGATCCATGAGAAGGATTCGAGTGAAAGACGCTTGGCGAGCTTATCGTCACGTCAGTGTGGACTTTGCTATTACATCCATTTGACTCACCTTGGCCGACAAAATCGAGGAGCATCCCTTTCGTACCGTTGCCTCCACTGGCGAAATCCAACATGTGCAAGAGTATCGCTGCCATGTTCAACAAAGTGACCACGAAGAAGAGACTAAGGAGAGATCTGGTCGGATGTATGACCGAGGCAGCTGCGATCTGGCCTTGGACTAAGAGTCGAGCCACGAGAATAAGGATACTAGGGGTGAGCAGGTGTTGAGCTAAGCTTATGGTCTGTATGGCGCTACCCAGCTGAAGTAGGTAGAAAGTGATTCTGTCAGCGAGGGGAGCGGAGCAAGGCGACGATGGCATCCGTCAGCTCACCGAGGCCACCGCATGCCTTCGCTGAGGCCCGTAGACCATCGATGATCCACAATAACGTCCCTCCGTCAACACTCGATGCAGATTACAGACAAAGGGTGGTGGAGGATCTGAGCCAATGCTCTGTCTGAGCTTTTGAGAAATCGACAGGTTGGCGGCAGCTTGAATGGCGCATCCCCTGAGCGCTGTTGTGGGACAAGCGCTGGCACTCGTGTAAAGCTGTTTCCCCGGCCCTTCTGTCCTGAGATGATGCTGCCAGCTTCACCGACCCATTCAGAGATACAGCCAGCCAGCAGCAGCCGCCCAGGTAGCTGAAGCTAAGCTGAGCTGGATGCTGCTTCCCTTCCAAACGAGACGCGGTTTTTGAGTTTCTCCCCAATTGGGCAATTTTGATTTTCCTTGTGCCCGCGCCAGGGGGAACATTATAATGGCCCATCCCATTGACCATTCATTCATCATCTCTCTCATATACTTACCTCACAGCGAACCATCGATCTCTCTTGTAGCTTGTGCTTTATGGGCAAACCGACGCTGCAACGACGTTCAATTATGCCTTGTCAAAAGGTCTGATAGTACTTAGTCATCCCTCAGGTGGACTGCGCCACCAGCTAACTTACTCGGTATCACGATGGATCCGCTCGATTGCCTTTCTCAGCCACCTCACTCTGAATCTTCTTCTTCTTCCGCATCCTCTTCCTTCTTCCCTCAACCATTCAAGATTGACTCGTACAGACCTCCGGCTGAACATTATTCATCTCGAGCCAATACACCCTCATTTGCCACTCCTTCTCGGACGTTTAGTCGGTCATCCTCCGTCTTCAGTACCAGCAATAACTCTTACGCGACGAGAGTGGAAAAATACAAGTCTGAGAAACTGGAAAAGGAGCGATACGAATCTGCTCTGAAGCTCAAGTCTACATGGGAGACCATCTATGAAAAGTACGGCTCGGTCAACCCGGATGAAGATGATGAGATTGATATCAACACTGGCAAGATTGTCATCGACAGAGGTAGGTTGAGGTCAATGTCGGCCAGAGCGTTCGGAGAATTGGAAGACGAGGATACGAGGTCTAGTCTAGGGCCGGACGATTGGGTCTTTGAAAGTGATGAGGATGAACTTGGAGCTTGGGATGAGAGATCAGGATTGGATGATCAATTTCCAGACCCGGCGGTGACTCGAGCGATGAGACCTGGGTGGACAAGGGAAGATCAAGAGGATTTGGACTCGTTCCTAAGGGCAGAATCCGTCAGGCGGACGACGCAAGAAGAGGATAATGATGAAGAAGTTGCGCCTGCAAGGATCAGTCGTAAGACAGCCCCTCAGGAAGACCTCAGCGATGGAGATGTCGAGGAGAGTGAAGAGGAAATGGAAGAGGTAGAAGAAGTTGAAGAAGTGGAGGAGTCTGACGAGGTTGAGGAGTCTGAAGAAGTCGAAGAGGTGGAGGAGAGATGGGAATATGAGTCTTCTCCGGATATGTCACCGCCAATTAATGTCTCGAGATCGGTATCGAGGAGTTCTTTGGCCCCGACATCTGTAAAACGACAAAGTGTTAGACCGGCAGTGGTACTCCGTGACCGCTCTACATCAGACGACGAGATGCTGTCAAACCTTTTGCCGATGCCGTTGACTGGCACTTCTGTACGGGCAACGGGCCGTACCAATGTAAGTTGGACACCCGCCACGCCCATGAAATGAAATGCTAACCCGCTTTCTAGGCTCGTCCTTCACCGCCAGCATCAACAACCCGAAATGCATTCGAGGTGGTCATTCCCGCTCGATCTTCGACCAACAAGCCATCTCCAACTAGGCGAGCCAGAGCTCTGACCGAATCGCGTCAACTCCTCCTCGACCTCTTTACACCGCCACCGTCCTCCCCACCACCCGGTTCAGCCTCCTCATCAAAGAAATTAAAAGGCAGGACAAGCTCGAAAAGCGTTCCCCCAGCGCCGACTCTCAGGGACTTGTTCTCTCCCAATTCGCCTGAACCTCCCTCCAAGCCAGTACGGCGCGTCATCTCTACTGGCAACGTATCGACCAGAGAGAAGAACAGCGACAGCGACCCCGCTACATCGCCTCAGAGATGCCTCCAATGCCTCCTCGCTGGGGGCGACAGACTTAAGTGGGCGGGACGCTGTCCTGGCCGATTGGTGGGACGGGATTGTCCGTTGACTGGACCAGTGGACACCGTTCCCACGAGGAACGAAACCCCAATTCGGCCCACTGAAATCACGGGAGACTTCCGTGCGCCCCAAAGCGGTGTCCTCTCACCTCCAACCCCAGACCTCATACATGCTGACGCCGAGGAGACATCTCAAGTATATCACGACGTCGGTCTCACGACTCTTGCAGATGGCAGCTCGACCGACGGTGTTACCAGAAATCTCTCCCAGACTCCCCGAAGCGGTCTCATGACCCCTACTCCGGAAGGCTCGAAGCGTCAGGCTCGACATTGCGTTCTCTGCCGTGAGGCTGGAGGTGACAGAGCGCTTGGATCGGCCGAATGTCCTGGCAGGCGACGGCGAAGAAGGTGCAAGTTTTCAGACGAACATCAAGTATCCGAGCTTCGATCGAGCTCCTCCATGCCAGAGCTTCGGCTCAGAACACCTCGCAGTCAGTCCGAGGTTTCTCCCAAACCACAGTCACTGTCTGCGCAGAGGGTTTCTCATCGGATCATGAGTTCCGAGGAGCAAGATCAGCTCTCGCCAGTTGGTCTACCTAGACAGCAGCAGGTTGAAGCCGCTGAGTCACCTAAAGATAATGCGTTCGTACGCCGAGGCTCAGTCAAGGGTTCGGAACGGTCCTACACACCATTGACGGGATACAACTTCCAACGCGGTACAACACCTCTGCCTCGGGGTGCCACACCCTTGTCCACACGCCGACAACTGTTCACGCCTAAGGGGACCAATCCGAGACGATGCAAATACTGTCACCGGGCCGGTGGAGAGCGAGCTGAAACGGCTTCATGGTGTCGCGGCAGGACTTGGGCGAAGAATTGTCCATTCTACATGGATGGGCGGGATACGCCTTGCCCCACACCATTCCGAATGACCGTGACGCCTGATCGATCCGTCTCAAGGGAACCGTGGCACCATGGACACCCAGAGGATCCGAGCGAATACCGATCAGGGCTACCACAGGAGACGCGATCGTTCTGGCACCCTGCGAACGCTCGTTCCACGATTGATCTGTCTCAGCCAGCGTCTTCGCCCCATGCGTCGAGCACGCGTTTCGCTCCACGATCGTTGCTGACGCCCATGTCCTCCACGAGTGAGCGTGGATCCTCGATAGCCACCGGATCTCAGCCTCGAAAAAGCATTCTGCGGCGTCCTTCAGAGGCGGCGGATGTATCTCGCGAGTCTCCCGCGCCGAAACGCACTCGATTTTCGCTTGGACCAGATCTTCCAGATGCTTCCACCGTGCTGTACTGTCGACCGGGAGAGGACGTCCTCGGATTGGAGCGTGTCCCATCACGCCCTATGCCGTCCTATGGATCCAGTCCGTATTCGAAAGAGATGTTGGTCCGGGCTGCCGACGCTGGCGTGGATCTCTCCGCGAGATTGACCGGACGACTTCCACCGAATCTGCTCAAGAGCATCGGCTTACTAGGTAATACTGGCAGATCCTCACCCGTGGCAAGTATGAAGAAGTCTTTTTCGATGCCCTCAGTCAGGCACGTAACGCATAGCTCGCCAACAGCGTCTTGGTCACCTCTACCTTCAAAAACCGCCAGGACGTCCCTCGATCGAGCGCGGCGCATGCTTCCTCCACCCTTACCCGACAAATGTTATCAACCTACACCGCCCTTATCGACCGGTTCCACCTCTTCAGCTTCATCTAGACCCCGCAGTCGATCAATGTCTCTTGGGACGCCTACCCCTCGCACTAACAAGGCTCAAGCTCGAGCTCACCCTCATTCCCCCCCTCGCCCGATTGCGCAAACCCATTCCGGCAAGCGCGAAGGACCAGCCTCTGCCGAGCGAGAGGATCTTGGCGGCGTCGACGGCGTTGCTGAATCCATCTCCTGGGGATTGGATGAGGATGCAGGAGGATCTGCCGATCTTTGCGAGGGAGGGAGCAGCTTGATTAGACTGGTTTGAAATCTATGTCATGCATGTGTGTATATGCTAATTAAAATGCCAAGCCTCTTTTGAAACTGCCACATATCCTGACATCATTCAACGGGGGTCCAGGCCTCAGGCCTTAGGCAATGGGGACTCATTGAGCGTCGTTGCAGCGACGAGCACTGCGAGCACTGCAAGGGCTATGCATGAGATAGTCTCCATCGTCGTGGAAAGATCATGCATTGCATCTGCTACGCATCTGGACATGCATGATGATGATGACAAGGGGTACAGGCTCCAGCTCTTGATACAGTTGGTGGGAGACTAATAAAACGCGCGCACGAAAGCGGAATCAAAATTCGCCAACACGTCGTTAAAGAATTGGGTGTTGCATGCCAAACGCAACGGTTCCAAGGCTATTGTGACATTTTGAACTCGATTTGTTCAGTCTCACCTCAAGCGTCGGACTCCAGCAAAGGATTGTCGGACAGGAGAGCCGATCCATCAGTCTCATCTCCAGCCTTTTGCTGGCCCGCGTTCAAAGTCTATACGTCGTCGTCGAATCCCCCTTTGGGCCGTCGGCAGTCGACCGCTAGCAATCAAGGAGGAGGAGACAATAGGACGAAACGTGTTGCAAAGACATTTCCGGAAGGAACAGCATCAAGGTCGATACTGGTTGTGCCCCTTCGTTTGTGAGATCAGCGACTCTCATCCAAGTGACGTAGAGCTACAAGGAGGTCGTATTCGATTTGACGGATTGGCCCATTCTCAACCGCTCAATAACAAAAACGCACATTCCCTCCCATTGCCCCTTCTCATCTAAGACACTTTAGGCACACTCAGTCAATCGCCTCTCGGTTCATTGAAAGTGGAGAGCAAAGGTATCTTGCAGATTGAGCTCGATATCTGAGACGACAGACATCGGTACATCGTCCCTCTCGCCAGTCAGCAAGATTCTCGAAGACCCCCCAAATTCTAGACTGCTTATTCGTTCACCGCTTGATCATCGGTCGTCAAGTGGAAGGAGAAAGGAGTAGGACAAATTACGATCATTTCTTGCATCGACCGCTAAGATTCGTCCATCTCGCGCACACACGCTCTCTCTCTCCTCATCACCTCACAGACATCAGCTAGATCGGCTCCCGACTCCCGTTGCCCGCGAAACGACCCTCGATATCCCGTTTTCACATCAATCGCATCGACCCTGACCACCTTGGAGTTCGATCTATGCACCGTTCAAGATGACGGCCAGTAATGTCAGTCCAAAGAAACAAATCCGTCATCCGCAAGCAAGCTGTGAGTGGTCCCCGTAGCTAGCTTTTCACGGCAGACAGCTAAACCCATCACAAATTAGACACCGGCGCAACTCCCATGTCATCAAACGAAGATATTCCCCCTCCAGGCAGTCGCACTGTAGAGTATCACCGACCGTCTCGTAATTCTACACACTACACTTCCGCCACTGATATGGCTCTCAATATGATTTCCTCCAATACGTCCTCGTCAGTCACATCCAGTCCTCGTATCGGAGCATCATCCGGATCCAGTCAACATGGTCACGGTGGCCCCGCACCTTCTGCATTCCGCTCTCCAAATTATGAACAGGCCATGCTACCTTCTCGTGCTGCTCCCATCCCTCCTGGATCATCGCGTCGCGACTCCTCTTCGGGTCTGCCCACAACGCCTCTCACGGCTGGGGCAGGCTCGCACATCGGACCCTACTCCAAATCCGCGACCAACACTCCGAACCCTAATCGATATTCTGCTGGATCATTACCTGGTTCAGGACAAGGTCTAGGCATGTCGAGCGCTAGCGGAGGAGGTGCGGGTTTACCACCTCCCCGTCCCACTCGAGCAGGGACCATGCCATTCAATGAGCCGTCCAACGCCGCGAATGGCGTTCCTCCCCCTCTTAACGCTTTACGCGATATCCCGCCAACACCTGCAACAAATCGCATGGGACCTACACCGACGAGCGGGTCTGGTTTCGTACAGCATACACCTCCCCCTCTCGCCCATCATCCGTACTCTGCCCCGGGCAACCCCCATATCGCCACGTCGCTCGAAAAGAACTTTGAAGATAAACTCGGGATATCCGGTGGAATCCCTATGGGCTTGAACGACAGCAAAGATAAGGACTTGCCAAAAGAGCCCAGTGGTGGGCGTAGTCGGAGTGGTACAGGGAAGAGTACAAACAATAAGAAGAGCATGTTTGGGGTATTGAGTGGTGAGACAGCTTGATGCGAGCACCTTCAAACAAAGCTGAACTCAGCCTCCTGTAGATCTCTTGACCACAAACAAAGCCCCCGTAATCTCTACGCCGTATGATCCGATCCACCTGACACATGTCGGATTTGACTACAACACTGGCCAATGTGAGTGTTTTGGCCAATTGCAGCTATTCATTCGCTGACCCCTCTCTTAAACAGATACCGGCATGCCGGCAGAATGGCAAAAGATGCTTGATGACAATGGCATCACACGCGCTGAACAGGAGGAAAACCCTGACAAGGTAAGCTTGACTGTTCTTCTCGAGTCTCGAGAGGCGGACGACAGCTGACGCATGTTCAGGTACTCGCAGTCGTCCAGTATTATCAGAACCGGGATGTCACCGACGATCAGGAGGAGCAAGTATGGTCAAAGATGCGCAATGCCGAGCCACAGGATGTACCGCCGTCTCCGGTAATTGCTTCCACGTCACGAGATATGTCGAGGGAGAATAGTCGCGAGGCATCGTCGGGATCAGGTCGACACTTTGCCAACCCCGTGAGTTGTGGGGCGAAATGCAAGGTCGGCGCCGCAGACTGACGGGATGTAGCGAGCAGCACCGCCTCCACCTGGAACATCTGGCGGTAGCGTGAGGACAGTAGTGAGTCGAGCCTCTCATTCCTAGTCGCTGTGCTGATCTTCGATCCTCGTAGAGCGACAAGACCTCGTCTGGCCCACCTCGTCATACACCCGCCGAGCTGACAAGGCCCGCTCGACTCGCTGGACCCGGCGGATCGTCTGGCGCTCTCGATCGCTCAGCTTCGCATAGGACACCTCCTACACAGTCCACAGCCAATTTCAGGCCGTTGGATCGAGCCAATACCACTCGAGCTCCCGCAAGCCGGATCTCTCCACCCGGTCAGAACGGCGCTGTCCCTGGCGCCTCACATCAGCAACCGCCATCTTCACGCGCACCTCCTCAATCTGCTGGGGTCCAACCTCGACAACCACCTGCGAACAACAATGGAGTTACACCGAGACGGAGAGAGAAGGATCTCACCAGTCAACAAGTCGTTCGGCAATTACGACAAATCTGCTCGCCTGGTGATCCAAATCTGGTCTACCGGAATCTCGTTAAGATAGGACAAGGGTGAGCAGAATGAGCTAGGGTGGAAAGGTGCTGACTTTCCGCAGTGCTTCCGGTGGTGTCTACACTGCTCATGACAAGTCTGGTCAACCAGTTGCTATCAAGCAGATGAACCTGGAGAAGCAGCCCAAACAAGATCTCATCATCAACGAGATCCTCGTAATGAGAGAGGCAAAACATCAAAACATTGTCAATTACAGAGACTCGTACCTCATCAAGGGGGACCTTTGGGTCGTCATGGAGTACATGGAAGGAGGACCCTTGACGGACGTGGTGGTCGGCCATTGTTTCAGCGAAGCCCAGATTGCAGCTGTCAGTCGGGAGGTCTGCGAAGGTCTAAGACATTTGCACTCCATGGGCGTCATTCATCGGGACATCAAGTCGGACAATGTGTTATTGTCTTTGAACGGGGACGTGAAATTGAGTAGGTTGATGTGCAATCTTGGCCTGGTGCAGTGCTGACGCGCCGCAGCCGACTTTGGTTTCTGTGCAAGAATATCAGATCCGCTCCAGGCCAAACGGACGACCATGGTTGGTACACCATACTGGATGGCACCGGAGATTGTCATGCGTAAGGAGTACGGCCCAAAGGTTGACATCTGGTCCTTGGGTATCATGGCTATCGGTGAGATCATCACGCTGTGTCGATGCAGACGAAATCCTGACCGCAGCACAGAAATGCTCGAAGGACAACCGCCGTATCTAAACGACAACCCCGTCAGAGCGTTATACCTAATCGCTACGACCGGCACACCGAAGATTGAGGATTGGGATCGTTTATCCGAGGTGTTCAGAGATTGGTTGACTTGTTGCTTGACGGTGGATCAGCAAAAACGACCACATGCGGATCAATTATTAAGGGTGAGCTGATGAGCTGGGTGATCTTCAGCGTGAAAGATAGCTGACGGAGTCGGACAGCACGAGTTCTTCCGGAACCCCGCGCCTCTTATTTCGTTATCAAATATGATCAGAGCGGCTAAAGCGGGGAACAAGTAGAGCGACCCTATGGCTGTTAAAGAAACTGCAAGCCGACTCTTCCGTCGTCTTGACCGCGTCGCTTCCTGCCTATGCCGACAACCTGGTCCTTCATCCAGCATCTCCCGGGACGTTCCGCGCTACACTTTCCGACAACCCCGACTCGAAAGACATCACGTCCTGCCTCATCAGATTGCATGTCCCATTTTTGTTTTCGCCCAATCCAACAGCACGCCAATGTACGATAATGTGTGTATAGACCCAGCAGATCAAAGTTCGTGGATCGCTCCTTTCTCTCTCTCCTCTCCCGATCTCACTCAGACCCCTCAAACCTCCAAGACTCAAAACGAAGGAAAGAAATGACAGCCGCGTTGACGTTTTGACGAAAAGACCTTGATGGACCATTCTCGAGTATCCTCTCCCCACCCTTTTCAACTTTTACGTTTGGTCATGCAGTCTCAAATTCTCCAAAAAGTGTCCATGCAGAAAACCTGTGATTGTTCGAGTTGTAACGCAGTACGCGAGATGCAGAACACTCAAGCGAGCATCTGGGACATAGGGCCAATCTATCGTTCTAGTGTCTAGTTTCTACGTGCCAGGTTACAAGACGATTCGAGATCAGCACCTTCATTTCCATACGAAGAAGCCATGTCCCGCGGGGTGTCTGTCCATGAGCTCAACTATGGCTCTTTCGCCAGAAGGGATGACGTGAATGTCACCGTCCGCGCAGACATAGTGTGATGCCTGGTGGCTCGTGTCCTTTCTCTATGGATCAGCATCGTGGACTGCGCAGGGACATTCCCAGCCTACCGTCGGGATCCAGTCAAATCCCTGCGCTCGGAAAACTTCGACTGCAACCTCGCCTTCTCCCCCATGCTCCAACGATCCAGACTCATCTCTCGCAAAGGTCAGATTGACATGACTTCCGTTCTTGTAAATGTTACCCGCGATTTCGCCAAGTCGCTTCGCTCGCATTTTTCCTGTGGCTTCTTCTCCCTGATCTTGAGCTGCGATGACACTTGGATCTCTCCCTGGTCGAATGATGATAATGTCCATGGATGGTCCGCCGTCCTCAGACCCAGGCGGCAAGAGGGATAATGTCGGAGCAACCACGAAGGCTTGTTCGAGGCGATTAGCCGTAGTTGTACTGAGGAAGTAACTAAAAGGACCGGGGACGACCCATTCTTTCGTACTGGAAGAGGACGAGGAAGAGGAGGATGAAGCAGATATTGATGCGTCTGAAATGGTAAATGGCTCGATGAACGACTTTGTTTTGGGCGAGTATTGTCGAACACGGGTTCCTCTGAGTACAGCATCGGCTTTGAACGCCACTGACATGTTCTGACTGGCAGCGACTTTGAATCGCTCTATGCCTGGCATTGTTTCGCGCAGAGCCTCGCTGTCGTGTAATATTGAAGCGTGAAGCGATGTTGACAGGACAATGTGGGTTGGTATTCGCTTTTGGGAGGCGATGGTGGTGAGCGTGATGGGGAGAGGTAAGACATTCGTCTGGGGCGCCTTGAGAGACTCAATGGCGGAGGTAAGGGATGACAGTTGATGTTCGTCCTCGTTCGTGAGAGTTGCCAAATGCTGACCCAGCTCTCCAACAGAGTCATGGCGATGTGAATCTGGAAAGAGAGAGTGAAAGAGAGCGTTCGCCTTTGAGATTGATTAGCAAAGCCTGGCCTCATAATGCTGTGCACGAACCGTTCCACAAGGCAGAATAGCAAGTCTCCAGGTGCCTATACCCTGATCATCGCCAGCTGAAGACTGATCCAGTATCCCCTCGATCAACTCATGAGCCGTTCCATCCCCCCCAGCCACAATGACCAATCGAGGTTCTTCGAGAGGTATAGAGTTCTGGATCTCTTGACCTATTCGACCAGCATCTTTCACCCCGCTTGTTTGATGAATTTTGTACGCGATTTGACAGTGCTTGAGCAAAGGCTCAACTTTAGCTCGCACGACTGAGGATCCGAAGGCACACGACTCGTCAGTGCTGGTCGACTCCACATTGCCGAATTGGCTTCAACTCACAATCTGCAGCCTGTCCATGTCCAGCCGCCGGGTTGACGATGACGTGGAAGACGGGTGCCATATTGTCTCAACGAGAAGTGTTCCAGAGCCGCACCCTGCTCTGCTCGTCGCCCGAGATGATGATATTCAAAGCTGTGTTCTCAAGGGCGTGATCTCCATATGACCGGGAAGTGTGGGGTCTCCAAGATTTAAACGGAGATCCAGCATATGTCCGCGCTCAGAGTCACCTATCCTCTCGAGTCGTCCCTATGCATTCACAATCTCACAACGTCGAGTATCCTGGCAAGGTATGGACCGACTCTGAGGCCTCTGTCGTCGCCAAGCTTGACAGGTTAGCTTGGAGGAGCGGTGCTCGAGTTGAAGAGGTTCAATGACCAGCAATCGATAACGCGACGCGACTGATTGATTTTTCTGGTACCACAAACGGCAGCGCGGTTCTGCTTAGCAGCATGCCCCGACTCGAAGATGTCGCTTGTGCGATATGTATGGACTCTCTATTCTGTGGAAAGAATGATTTGGATGAAGTGCTGCCGATCTCTACGACATCATGTGGTGGGTCTCTGATTTTCGCACCCGGAAGTGCTTTGTATCTAATTGCTTACTCTCACCAGGCCACGTCTTTCACGATCTGTGTATAAGAAACTGGTTCGCGACTCAAACAGAGGGACGAAGGGAAGCGGCACAACGAACTGGTCGAGCCTCCTCTGCTCGCGAACCTGGACCTGTTTGCCCAACATGTAGGACTCCCTGTAGCGAGAACCTAGACACGGCGCCGGAAATCCAGAAATTATACATAAATACGGAAGGAGATGCGGATCGCCATATAGGCTCCTCCTCAAGTCGATCACAGGGGACATTGTCTCAGATGACTCCGAGGAAGAGCGAAAAGGATCGACAGGTCATATCTATGGCTAGGAGGGCGAGGGATCTACAAGACGAACTAACGAATCACAGCTCAGAGAGCGAGTTGACTCATGTGAACAACTCGCTTGTCAAAGTTGAGGCTCTAGTGGAGGAAGTCGCTTCAGAGCAAGCATTCCACACTATGAAGGTGAGCCGATGCTTACGTCTCTAAACCAAGCTGAAACTTTCTAGACGTACCTCGGAGGCCTGACGAAAGCTATCAATACCTTTCGCGCGACGCTCGAGACCAGTCCCCTCAACTCGACAACGAGAGAGAAACTAAGCGAATTTGCTCTGGTTCAAGATCAGCTTCGTGAACGGTTGAAACATTTCGATACGGTCCTCATACCTCGAGCTGTCCAAAAGGCTCGATCGGAGGAACGTCTCGCCGCGCAAAGGCTTCTTAATGACGAGGTGAAAGCGAGAGAGAGGATCCAGGCAGAATACGAAAAGGAAAAAGTGGCTAGGCGTTTGGCTAGAACTGCAAAGGCGGATCTCGAAGCCGCTTTTGAGAAGGAAAGAGCGACTCTCAAGGCGTGAGCACAGCTGTCACCCCCCTATGACTCAGCGCTGATCCATGTGCAGAGAGTTGAAACGCGGGGAAGAAGAGAGGGCAGCATTGAACACAACTCTGGCAGAACGCACAAAGCTATTGAAATTCTCTCAGGCCAAGGTAGGCAGTTTCGTCTTCGATCCATCTGACGGCGATGTCAGGCAGAGGATCGGCGGAATCTTAAGGGCAGAGTCAAAGAGCTCGAGGCGGAAGTCGCTCGGCTGCGAAGCGAAGCTGCTCAGAATGTTAGAGCGCCGGCAGCGGAGCAGCCTTCTCGTACCATCAATCCATCATCCACCTCTGGCAATGTTACGTCGAGTGATCCACTATACGATTTCCCCGCAGATCCCCCGGTCTCTGACGATATGGATTTTGTCAGTCAACACGCGCAATCTCGTAGACGCCGAGCCGACCCCGATGAATCGCTTCAAATCGATATGCCCTCGTTGGATGAAGAATCCTTCCGTCGATCGAAAAAGCCTTCTACGACCGCTCGAACATACGCCTTCACTTTGGATTCACCAAGGCGTCAGAAAAAGTCCACTGCGATAGATCTCACATCACCAGACGACGCAGCCTTGCCTCCCATGGTACGGTCAGGGCTGCAACAGGATAGCTCTTCACCCGCTGGAATCATTCGGACGAATCCTTTCCGGGCTACAGAAGATATAGCAGGTCGTCGGATGTTGAAGTCGTCCTCTACTTCTGCCATACACCTGGGGCAAAGCACAGGACACCATCAGATCCACTCTCTTCGTCGGCCTTTACAGCCAAAAGCAACTGGCCTCTCGGATGAAACCAGGCTTGAGAATGGGTCCAAGTCGAACAAGTTCAAGGCTTATTTCGATCTTGCAGATGCGAATGGACGTCCAAAGAAGGGTGTTGTGGGAGGAGCCAAGGTCCGGAGATTAGCGTGAAGGAGGAGATTTGGTTAGACATTGAGCGGTTTTACGACTAATGGCATCTGAGGACGTGGGGTCATCGCATTCGACGACGAATTCATGTTTGTTGTATTCACCCTAGCTCCATCGCATCGTACATATGCACTTTCCGAAAGTAGACAACGGCGCTGGCGCAGCCATCCATTATGCCTTCCCTGAAGGATTACTGTCGCACCTATATGGTCTTTCCAGAATGAGATTGCCGAGGTCTACGTATTCTGACGCTGCTTCTCGATCCCCCGCTTGCTCTTTGGCGTACAGTGTTTCGCTTCTGACGCCGATGCGGACGGGCTCTGCTCCCAAGCTCCGAGGTGTTGTCCGCCAGTCTGCCAGTGATGATGCCCATTACCACCGTGATGATTTCCATTCCCCCATCCTCCCCAGCCAGTTTCAGACGACACCGGGACAGGCGGTTGATAGACTGTCGTCGATAGGCTCGGCAATGGATCGGCCTGTGAGGTCATTGAGAACCCGACTTGATGATTCGAGCTTGATGGGCTGGGTGCAGGGAAGGGACCCCCAGAAGTCGAAATACCGCCCCCCCCTCCCATCGCGGAAGAGCCTTTTGACGCACCTCCTCCGCCTCCACCCGAACCGGATCCATCACCGATATTGATCTCCCCGCCTGGATCCTGAGTTACAGCTTCGGAAGATGAAGGTGGATCGGTGATACCGCTCTTGATGCCGCCTGCGCATAGTTCGAGCGTGTACTGATGGGGAAAAGGGTTCAACCTATTCAGCTCGTTACGCCAGGCTGAATGGAGACTCTCACACTGGCGCCACTTGGGCAATTGAGAACTGCAGTTTGGTTCGGTACCACATCGCTAGGTGTAAGTATCAGTTTATCTGTCTATCTGCGACCAGGAAGGACTCACTCTTTGGCAAATACGTATCCCATCTTGCACATTGGCTTGTAAACGTCGTAAAACGCTGAGAGGTCATGAGCTACTTGGAACCACGGCGAGCCTCACGGAAATTTGACGCAGGGCAGTTGTACAAGTACGCTCCGTTACAGCACGAAGGGCAATCCTGCCAATCAAAGGTCGTCACACCTTGGCCGACTGCACCACTGTCAGGGAGGGCGAGGCGCGATCAGAGCAGCTTACGGTAAAAGATGCCTGCTGAGCACGCTGCAGCGCATCCCCCTTGATGTCGGAGTCAATAATACTCACATACCTAGTCCCCTGCAAAGGACGCCAACTCACAAATCTGATCTGAGCCCTTTGGCCAGACGAGCCTTGGATCGCACTGTCTCAATATATCTGTCTCTGCCCCACAAGAGGCTACAGTGCATGATGACGTGGAGGGTGTGATGCTCATGGACACGGTAAATCCTAGGCGAAGTTCAGTATGTATGAAACCTTCCCATCAAAAGTCGAAGACTTACCCTCTACCATCGATACTGGAATGGACGAGTTAGCTCAGCGTCCAAGTCTGCTTGACCAGTCTTACCATCATAGAAATCGCCGTATTCTGCCCCGCCCATCCCAAACTCCGCGATGGTCGCACCTAACGATCCGTACGCTTTGCCATCACTGTCTCCGCAAATACAGTGTCAGCGAAGCCGCGGAGTCGCTGAAACCCCGCTCGCCCTATAACTGACCAATTGTTGCCTCCACCGACACAGGCTCCGATCTTGCATTTCTCGACGTTTCCGTTACATTCGCCTGAACGAAGCCAAATACGTCCACTCTCCCCTACGTCAGGCGAGAGGGCAGGGTCAGCGAATCACGTATCTGACGTTTAAAGGTCGCATGAACCGGCACTCACAATTGTCCGGGACGATCAAGTCCGTGGTTCCTCCTGCTGCTAGTTCCCAAGCTGGAGGGGCTACACCTCCTGAGCTCAATGTGACCTGATCGCCTTTACCCGCGTATGCTGGATAGACGTTAGACCCGCAGGAGTTCACGACGTGGATTGTCCGGCCCCCCGACACCTGCGTCTGGAGGGCTGGGAGGATCAACAGGGCGAGAACGAGTGTGGTGAGCATCTTAACGGAGCGACGGCGGCCATTCGCCCGCACAACGAGCCTTTATGCTTGCAGAAGGGACGGATTGATCAGTGGACTGTCTTGTGTACCCGCACTGCAGGGCGACGAATCAGTTGGCGTGGCGCGTAAACGAGCGTCTTGTAAGTCAGTCGCAGGTTTGCTTCGTCTTGAATTTCGAGAGGTTATACACACAGAGGTCAGAATGTTGCTCTAGATCACTAGCCCGGGGATCAAGAGTCCAAGTAGAGTCTAGACCTAGCAAGATCAATGGGACGCGTTGTGTCCTGAAACGAGGCCCCGGTCGTCAAGGTTTCAGGATAAGAGGGAAGAGCATCACACCTTGTAGGTGGACAGTATCTAGGATCTCCTGATGCCGCCATGTCTCGTTGGATCACACATAGATAGAAGGGAGGCGCATGCTTGGCTGTTTGTCACATACGCCATGTAGGGGATCATATCTCAAGGGATGGGTCTCGTGGACATTTGCTCTGCCCTGTGTGGCAGATTTTGCGTTTCGAACGCTGCCTTTTTCTCGTGGCGAGTGTGGTGAGGCGTTTCAGTATGAAGATCCTTTGGTGAAATGAAACCTGGATTCGAGTGTCAAAGGAGAGTCAGATGGGTGCGAGATTCGAGGATGGGGCGTAGATATGGGGCAGGGTCACTTTGGAAAGACCGCTCGACAAGTGCGGGATCTGCACAAGGACGAAGCGGACCAAAAGTGGTGGAAATTACTATGCCAGGTGCCACAAACCTGAACTGAACTGAAGTGGATCATTGTAAGGTCTCTATCAAGAGGCCACAATCTGTCTGTGACCATCTGCGGGCTGGCAGTACCGAGGACTAGCTTGAGGGTTAGCCAAAAGGCACCATCGTTCCGACATGTCATCCGCAGACTTTGCAGACCCTCTAAAAGGTCCAAATGGCGTGTAAGTAAACATCCGTGCGAGTCAAGCGGCTGGCGATGGGCATGAATCATTGACTGACTTATGGATACGCGCTCTGAACAGCACTCTTACCCTCTTCCACCTCATCACATTCCTCTTTGGGGCTTTATCCATCGCAACATCTCAACTTGATCTTCCGCCAGCATTGGAGGCTATGGCTGGAATGTGGCGCCGTGCCATGATGCTCTTGGTCCTGTGAGTCTGGCGTTCGCACGGCCATCTCGACCTCCACTCACGAGGGTTACGCTGGAGATCAGTGTCCTTATCGGCCATGGGATAGTCTCGAACCAAATACTTCTGTATCAGGAACGAACAAAGAGGATGGCAGCCAAGATCGAAGAGGGGAGGCTGGGGAAGAGGAAGAAATTGCCGAAAGACGAGAATGCCTGGGTGAGTGAGCGTCAGCGTGCGTCCTTACGAGCGGAACTTACACATATCCATCGACGCTTTGACGCTTTATTGCTCTGTACCATTGTCATCGACTTCTAGGACAACCTCTCTTCGCACCCATCCGCCTTCCTGACTACCAAAGATGGTAAACCCAGACTGTTTCCCTTCCCTCTAGGTAAAGCAGGAGGCAGTCAAGGTCTCAGAGGGGAATTGTGGTGGGAAGCAGGCAACGCAGCACATGTGTCAGTGTGGTCATCATCGCCTATCGCGCGCTAGAAGCATGTCGATCCGGGCTGACGCACGAGTTCAGAGGTCACTTTAATCAATGTGAAACCCCCGAAGCGAGGGAAGCCCAGCGCGAAGAGATACAAGAGAAAGAATCGGCGAGAGCTAAGGTGGCGAAGAAGGCGATCAAAGAGTACGAGAAGAGTAGGAAGAAGCAAGTCACCCGTTCCCATCGGCATTCCGCTGACTTAGACTCAGATGGGCAAAGAGACTGTCCAATATCAAATTACTCATGGGCATTATCGTCGTCGGCTTGTGTAGGTCTCTGGCCGCCCTCATGACAGATTTCCACGCTGAAGCTATGCACGGTACAGTCCACAGAAAAGCAGCCGTGGTTGCTCTGGCCGGACTGATCTACTACGTCTTCGCGACGGAACTGGCTGGGATGCTGAAACCAAAGGAGAAGGATCCAGACGACGACCCGCCGACCAGAAGACGCAAGGTACCCACGGTGAGTTGTGTGACCTTTTCTCGCTGGGTTTCGCTTCTGATCTTGACACCCTCCCAGACCCCCGGAATGGCCATGACGTACCTGTACGAACCTACTGGTAATGGAGGCGTCAGGGAAGCAGGGTCAATACCAGTCAATGCGCCGAGCAACCGATTAATGACCAGCACAGATTCGAGATATGCTTCGTGAAAGGTGGACTAGTGCTCAGCGTATCGATCGCAGGGCGACAAGGTCTTGCCACGTCGGCAATCTGGAGAGGTAAATTGCATGCATTAAATTTGAGGAGGCATGCACTTTGCCTCCAGCATTCCCTGAATCACGGGGATGAACCGAGGTTGGAGCAGTCGCCAGCGGATTGCTCGGAAGGGCCTCGCAAGATAGACATGTGACAGAGATTACTGGCAAAGAGAGCGTCCAGTCGAGAAGGTAGGTAGGATGTCGTGATAGGGGATAAATTTATGTGATGCACATTGCACATGAGGGGGTCGTGAGTCGTCCGAATCGAGGGGTATCAAAGCGAGAAAGGTATCCCCATGCCAGGATGGGAAGCAGTATCCAGCACTACTTGCCTATACCGAATCGCTTTTTCTGGTGCCCTGTCAGCTCCGAACACCTAAGTCGACAGCTGACTCACCGTGCCCTTCTCAGGCGTCAACGGTCGACCGCTCTCGACCCTCCTCTTCTTATCCTCTAGGTCCAGTCTTTGCTTCTCCAACGCCTCCTTCATTTCTCGATGGCGAGCATACAGCTCTTCTTCAGATTGCTTGAGCTTTTGCTCCTTTTCTTGGACTTTTTGTTGGAAAACCATCTTCATCTCAGCTTCCATCTTGGCGAGTTTAGCCTGGAGCTGGGGTCAGTCACAAAAATCAAATGGTGGACGGCGGCCGACTCGCCTCGTGTAGGGCTCGCTCCTCCGCTTGTTTGGCAGCAGGACTGAGCCGTATCAGCTGATGAGGTACGGTTTCGAGCGACTAATTCAGCTCACTTGGTCTCCTTGAATACGCTCTCGTCCTGAGACACACCCATCGCCTTGAGTTTATCGGTTCGATAATTCTCATAAAGAATGTCATTGGTGTGTTCTCTCAATTCCTCCATATGGGTCCGAACGAGCATCTGACGTAGCTTGACAAAGTCGCAGTGCTCCTCATTGTCCACCTCGATCACACCCCATGGGTAGGCTCGCCCACGAACCTCGCGACCGTTAGGTGAGCGAACAATGTTGTCGGATCCAACAACGGCGAATGGCACTTTGCTCTGCGCGGTGTCAGCTTGAAACCCCTTGAAAAATCACTAGCTCACGATGATCTCTTCGTTCTCCTGGATTGTCTCTTCGTCCTCATTCTCGTACTGCGGAGGTTGAAAGATTCGGATGCCATGGTGAGCGATATCAGCAAGGACCTGGGAGAAAGCATGTCAGCAGTGCGCCAAGTCAGATGCTGAAGATTGCACCCACCCGTCGCTTGGACAGAACAACTTCTTCCTCGGTCAGAGTATCCGCCTTGGCGATCACAGGGATGAGATTGACTTTGGTGTGCAGTCTACGCATGAATTCAATGTCGATGGGTTTGAGGCTGCGAAGAAAGGTCAATTCGAAGGCTTGATTCAGTTCATGGAACTGGTAGCTCACGAGTGACCGGTGGGCTGAATGAAGTAGATGCAAGCGTGGACACGGTTGTCGACAAGTTTCAGCCTGTTGACTCGATTCTCCTGCTCGAGATAGGCGTCGAATCGAGCCTCAATATTGTCAACGATAGGTCTCCAGCTGAGGGGGCGTCAGCTAGAGGGTTTGAAGAAGGGAGCTGACCTCTCATCGTTGTTGACAAAGTCTCCAAATCCAGGGGTATCGACAACGGTCAATTTGAGTCTGACTCCGTTCTCCTCGATATCTGTGGATCAAAAGTGGAAATTGAGTGCTGAATGGCATTCCGCAGTTTAACAACAAGACTCACCCGCACTGATACTCTCAATTTGGACTGTCCTTCCTCTATCGACACCGGGAGCTGGGATCTGTTTCGGCTCATACAGCTTCGTCTCGAACAATGTGTTGATAAGTGTAGACTTTCCAAGGCCTGATTCACCTATTGTAGCATCAGCATCAGCGTATGAACGCGAGAAGCGGTCCGAGCGGCCGAAAGGATGGATGGGGGTCGGTGCACTCACCAACGACCATGGCTGTGAAGTTGAAGCCGCGTCTGAGAAGGAATGGAGAATCAGCACATTAAATGATATGGGGGGGGTTGCAGATTGGATATGCAGCCTGCCCTAGAACCCACCTCATGCTTCGCCTGTGGACTTGATTGGGCAGATTGGAGAACCCGACCCAGCTCGCTAGCTTTTTCCTATTGATAGGGTTGACAGGTTGAGTACCGGAATGTCCATTGACACCGCTCGTACCACCCGAAGTACCGAGACCATCTTCAACAGGCTGTGGTTGTTGCTGTTGGTATTGCATTTCGGATCTCGCTGAAGTCGCGGATTGGGGTTCGTAGTATGAATCCGCGATGGTGCGGAAGATGAAGTGTGAGGTATGTGCGGGACCAGGTAGAGGATGGCCGTCACTGGGACGTCTGGAACGAGGATTGTAGAGAGTTCAGACAAGATACACTCTGGGTCCAAGCTGCCAAGAGGCAGGTATGAAGAGAAGTATGTATAGAGAGAAGGATGGATGGAAAGGGTATGCAGCAGCAGCAGGTGCGGGTCTACACGAACCACGCCCCCGTCGCGCGGCACCGCCGCTGTAATCGAAGTGCCACATGTCGATTTGTATGGGCCCGGCGTTATATATAACGCCGCTCAGTTATGATTGAGCCACGAGAGAGCCACTGTATTTTTCCAACCGAAGTGCGTTCTGCATGATCATTGATTTACTGAACACATTGAACATTGGTACTGGGCAGAGAGACTTGGATCAAGGCTCAGTCTCACCATTGGGCGCGTCTACAGCAGACTCATTCGCGAACTCATTTGGACGAGTACTATCAGGCCGGCCTCATAGCTGAGTCCGAACCATGCGTCTGACACCCGATGTGGTGTCCAAAACACCTTCAGTACGTTGACTTGCGAAGTATGGTGTACAGAGCACGGTGCTGAACGAGACCCCGCCAGCATTTGAACGCGTTGAAGGAAAGAGAATTGGATCTGAGAGGTGCTCACCTTTCCCTCTTGCAACCGAGAACTGGTCGAGCTCACACACCTCCCAGGTCTCCAAATACCCGTCATTGAAAACCTTGCATCTCATCAAGGGACGTACGACACGCTCAACTTGACGGATAACTCGTTGACTGTCCTGGGGAATATCCCGCTGTGTATGTCAGCTTGAATCGAGATCATGCAAAACTTTGCTGACGGTGAACATAAGCTACACGTCTTCAGGCTTTACATGTTGGCAGAAATCAAATCTCCTCCATATCTGTATCTTTACCCGCCAACGTGAGTGATTGGGGACCTTTCTGGAGGCACGAGACGTCACTTCCTTAGTCTGGTGTCCGAAGGGCATACTCCAGACCTAGAAATGTTACGTGGGCTTTCTTTTGCTGATCATTCCCTGTTTCCAGATCCCCAATCTCGTCACTCTTGGTGAGCTGATTGCGACCCTTGAATGTCGGGCACCCATCTGACTCTCGTCGTCTTCTAGTCCTGTCTGACAATGTCATCTCCTCTCTCGCCACTCTCGCTCCTTTAGAATCCCTGACACACCTCCAACATCTGTCTCTGACCGGTAATCCGATAACACAACATGAGCACTACCGTTTATTTGTCATATGGAAGGTAAGTCTGACATCTCCCATTCTGTCCCGAGCTCATCCTGCTTGCCAGGTCGGTCGAGGAAGCCTGCGGACATTAGATTTCAAACGTATAAAAGATTCTGAAAGAGCGGCTGCCAAGAAGCTTTTCGTTGACTCCACAACTTCCCTTCCCAATGCCTTGGCCAATAGACTATCAACATCTACAGCGGCTGTGTCGGGATCAACGGGTCTGACAAAGGGATCAGCGGGAGGCGCTGGAGCTGCTGGAGGAGGTCCGCTGAAAGGAGGCAAAGGAAGATTGATGACGCCTGAGGAGAAGAAAAAGGTGGTCGAGGCTTTGACGAGGGCAAAGACGGCGGATCAAGTGAGGAAATTGGAGAGAATGTTGGCAGAGGGTTTGATACCGGAAGGCGAGGAGGGTGTACCGGTGAATGGATCATGAAGATGCACGAGTCTTTGGACATGGAGAGGAAAAATGAGGTGGTCAGTCGTGCCACACGGTCAATGCATGTGCAATAGTTGTATCCTAACACGAGATGATCTGAGGAGATCCTTGCCAACCCTACTTGAGGGCCGCCTCGAGCCACAGTTTGATATCCTCAATTTCTCTCTGGTTCGTTCCATGTCCAATGTGCTCATATGTTTGGAATCGCAATCCTGGACGAGCAAAGATGCTCCCAGCGGGAACGCGAGGGAACCCAAGTTGACGAGTGAGCAGGTCGACGGATCGTTCACCGACTGTAGCACGAGACGACAAGCGTCAGCGAGGTGAGGTGACTCGGAGCAAAGACACGAAGGAGTATTCCAAGGGGGTGGGGAAGGAGGGGGAGTTGAGCCTGCAGATCCAAATCCACACCTCTCTCTAACTCACATTCATACGCTACGACCGGATCGTCTTTGCCGTGTCCCCAGAAGATGGGAATGTCTCTCGAGTGTGTCGTCAAGGTCTGGATCGCACGCGGATCAGCGACATGAGTTTCGGAGGCAATGACCTGAGCCGAGCCTTGCCTTGCCTTGCAGCCACAAGTCAAGGAGCAAGGGCATTGATTGATCTCGTACACTCGCCCCGCCTCGCATCGCCTCGAGCTCACCTGTGGAACCTTGTGATTCAATGGAATCCAAGTACTCAACGCCAACAATCCTCCGAGCCTTCGTTTACCCGTTAAACCACTATACATGGCCACTGCGCCTCCTTGTGAGAATCCTCCGAGGAAGATCTTGGATTCGGGGATTCCAGCATCTACTTCAGCTTGAATGAGCGCATCGACAGATGCTATGGATGCCAAGAGTCCACGTTCATCGTCGTATTTCGAGTCAGTCAATTTGTCCAGGGTCGATAGATCGAACCAGGATGGCATGCGCATACCTGGAGAAGCAATGAGTGCGTCGCGTCAGCCCGAGGTCATAAAGTGTAGAGAGAGAAAGGGAGAGAGGGGAGGGATGACCAAAGGATTGAGACAGGAGCAGGAGGCAAAGAAGTGTGCGGCGCCGCCAGCTATGAATGAAGACGTTCAAGTACAGCGGTCACGTCGACGGTCAATCTCCCTCGAACTCTCCTATCTGATACTCTTGCCATACGTTTGTGCATAGGATCATGTGGCACCAACACGCCTCCTCCCACTCACCCTGATTGATAGTGACGGGTTGCAGCGGCGCATGGGGTAAAATCCACTTGAGTCCTGGGAAATTGCTCCAGAGAGCCTTGGCCACAGGTAACCAACCTTGACCTGGATAGCCACGATGGGAATATCAGCTGAAACCTTCCTTATCATGTCTAGTCGGAGAGCAGAGAGCATGCAACCAAAGTCGGCCTCGCTTTCGCCAGCCAGCCAGTCGGCCCGCTCGCTTGCTGGCCCTCCTACTCACCGCTATCGCCTAAACCATGTAAGAATATGATGGTTGCTGTATGAGCTTCCTTCGGAGACACTTTGAGATGTTTCAGAGAGCTCATCGTGGATGTCGACGACGATGATGATGATGATGAGGGCGGAGCGATAGCTGTGTCTAGATTCGAAGGATGTGGTACAGGGGCCAGAGGGAGGATGCTGTATACGGTTTGTGGAAAGCCAAAGAGATAGATTGCCAGGAATACAGCCAGAGCCAGTAATGGAAGCAGGGGTTTGAGCAGACGTGAGGTCGGAAGCGACAGCTTGACGAGATGCTTATGAGATGATCGAGGCAGTGTGCGGATACCCAGCTGGGGATTAGTCAAGGAGAGTATACAGGTGAGGACAAAATCATTATCCCACCCAGACTGATTGGCTCAAGGCTCAGTTCGGAACTGGATCATCCGAAGCATCCGACCGAGTCTGGCGTCATCACAGTATAGCATTAATAATCGCGCGTAACTGGCACGAGCATGCATTATATGCACATCATGCTTTCTACACACAGAAGAGAGGTATATAGAAAGGGTCTCTATAGAGAAGAGAAGAAGCCTGGTGGTATAGAACGTCCGTACTTTTCCCTTCCCTTTCCACCCAGAAAAGCAGACAAGGATTGATTGTCCAAGATTTTTGGTAAAGCCAGACCCGTGTCGACGGTGTGATGTTTCCCCGACCACGACGAGCCAAGCAGAAGATTAAAAATACACTGTAGAATGAAATGCCGAACAAGTGTGACGGTAAACGCTCTAGAAGAGCAAAGCGACGGATCCAGCAAGGACAGCGAGACCCATACCGAGACCTGGGATGGTGGACAAAGTACCCGCGGCGGCTCCGATACCCGAGCTGGCAAAGTTGCCGGACCCAACTTCAGAAATGATAGACTCGACGTACCCAGCACCACAAGTAGCATTGACGGATCTCCACAATTGGTTTTGACCTCCAAGGATAGGAGATTGAGAGAGGCCCAAAGCGTAGGGCATCTGAGATTCCCACTTGATGTATGCAACAAATACTTCCCGAGTGCAAGGTGTGCACAACTGAGAGGAAGTCATGTCGTCTTGCAAGAACAAGAATGGCAAGTTTGTGTTTCGGTAAGTGGTCGTGTTAGGTTTGATGATTGAGAACGGCGATTGTTCACCACGGGGAGAAAAGTACTCAAGCATGCGCTTGGTCATTTGAGAAACGGTCTGAGGAATGGTGATGTAAAGGTTGGCAGCTGCGAATTCGACCGGTGACCACTTTGTGAACAGACTGCCGGACGCGACTCCAGAAGCAGATGCCGAAGCGGAAGCAGAAGAAGAAGCAGCAGAAGAAGAAGTCGACGAGTTGCCAGACTTCTCCGAGGTACTGATATCCTTGATACAGTAGTCCTGATTCGCAGAGTTGACGGAACAGACGGCGGCTTTGAGAGGGTTGGCAACGTAGAGAACGTCGTATAGTTCCCTGACATCGGAGCTGTACGTGCTCTGTCCGGTGAGTTCAGCCTGGCAATTGGCATAGAATTCACTGAGCCATTGTCGGATAGTCGAATCGGCGCATCCAGCGTTGGTGTTGCAGATGGCTCCGAGAGTCGTGTTAATGTCATCTTCGTTGAGGGTGACATTGCTGACAGGGGAGAATTGGACAGTGGCGTTGAGCAATGGTTGAATGCAGTTGGAGAGCGAGTCATCGTTGTTCAGTTGGGTCAAAAAGGTGTTGCAGGTGGAGGAGATGTTGGCAGGGATGAGTGACGAATTCTGAGATGAGGTCAGTGTGCTGTTCTTAATCCCCAAAATCGAGGTCCAAGCGGCGTGCGGAAGGTTATAGGCTAGAGGTATCCGGAGGATACAGGTGACAAGACATCCTGCGACGGTACACAGACCAGTCAAGGGCTGAGATGACGACGATGCACCTTGCACGACATGGCCTTGCCAATCCGATCCCTTTTTCCCTCCACCCCCGGGCCATCTCTTGCACTCACCTGAGCAGCAGCCAGACCCGCCACCGCGAGACCCAAAGCGATGTATTTCATGGTGGTCGTAGTGAGGGTTCAGTCAAACGTGAGAGTTGAACAGATCTAAATGACTCGAGCGAGGACCAATGTCGTGGACCGATGTCGTGGTCCCACAGTCGAATATCAATGCAGTAGGACGGAGACGAGGTAGATGAGATGTGAACTCCTTTCCTTTGACCAACTAGAGTCGATGATCCAGGGGGTTGGAGATTGGTGGGGATGGAGGACGATTGAGACGGCCTTGTGACTAAAGAGTGTCGGTGTGACGAGTGATGGGTCCCAGAGTTGACCACGGGATGTGCTACTGAGTGAGTGTGAGGTCCTTCAACGACGACGACGAGCTGAATGAGTGAATGAATGAACAAGTGCTGAAAGATGATGGTGGCTGGTGGCTGGTGAGTGAGTGCGGGTTCAGGGGGAAAAAACAGAGAGAAACCCATCCCATTGTTTTGAAAGAGAGAGCGGAATCAAATGTGAGAAAAATCTTCAAGGAGGGCCAGACCCGCCGAGGGACGGAATCAAAAATTACCCTTTTCTGAAACACTACCCTCAAAAAAAGGGGGTTCTTGTAGCCAGATAAGCTTAAAAAATGTCTGTTTTATCCGCGGTCTGGATCTTTATTGAACCCGAACAACTTTTCGTGGGGGGATGCGTTGGGGAGGTTAGGTCTCCTTTTGCATGGACTACAGTCTCGGCATTGCATACGCATATAGCTACACATCTCATCTGTGACGACCCGACACCTATCCATTGACAATAGCACCTCCGTTGACGTGGATCTAAGACGTGGCGTCAAACGACACATTCTTCTTCCCCCGCGCAGACGACTTACCGATTGACCCGAAATGAAACTTCCATCCTGACTAGCGAGGAACACATACGCAGGGCCAAGCTCAGAAGGTTGACCAATTCGACCGATCGGCGCCTAGAGCGTCATCGGATATCAGCAAGTGTAACCAAGACCAAGCCGCGTTTCGACACCGGCGCTCACCGGCGAGTTGTGCCACTCCTTCATCTGATCCTTGTCCATTGCAGCGGGCTGCAAAGGCGTCCAAACGGGTCCAGGGCAGACAGCGTTGACTCGGATACCCTTGGAGAGAAGCTGGTTGGATAGACATCGGACCATGGCGACTTGAGCTCCTTTGGTCATACTGTAGTCGACGAGCATAGGAGGGCCAGCGTACGCGACTTGAGAGGCCGTGACAATGATACTGCCTCCTTTGGGAATGTGAGGGACGGCGGCTCGGGTGAGGAAGAATGTGCCATACTGTCGGAGTGTCAGTCTGCCCATGCTAGACGACTGAGAGATGCTCACGATGTTTGTCTTGATGGTTCTGTCGAATTGGGCAGTCGTGATACTGTCCGAGGAGTGGATCAGTTCGACCACACGATCAAAAGCGCTTGGGTCGAGCACTTACTCGGTAATGTCAGGAATCGAGTACTGGTCGATTGCGTCAGATTTCGCCATCTTGAAATCTGTCCCGCTTCGGTGAACTCACCATCACACTGGCGTTGTTGACCAGTACGTCGATCCGTCCCCAAGCCTGGACGACAGTCTCGATGATTCGGTTACATCCCTGCTCATCTCGAATGTCCTGAGGGATCAAGAGACACTGCTGACCAGTCTGGACAATGAGTTGCTTGGTCTTTTCCGCGTCGACCTGTTCCTCGGGAAGGTAGACGATGGCGACCTGAAAACGAGATCATGACTTCAGTCATACGATTACACCTGGGGAAGAACTCCCACTCACATCGGCACCCTCCATGGCGTACATGACAGCGGCAGCACGACCCTTGACCGATCAGAACTGAGAGGAATCATCAGACTTACGATACCGGAATCACCACCCGTGACGATCGTTTTCATGCCTCTCATCTAGAGTATCGGATCAGCATGACATGGTTAAAGGGGGAAACATATATCTCGCCAGACTCGCTGACTCACCTTTCCAGCAGGTTTGTAGTGATCAAAGCTATCTTGACCCTCTTGAACCGTAGCTCCCTCTGGCTTCTTCTCCATGTCATCCTGTACACCGACCGCGCGATCGACTTGAGATTCCACGGGGAACTCATTGGGACCGGGGAATTTACCCGGAGTAGATTGGGTCTATGAACGGTGTCAGCAACGCTTTGTCCGAAGAATAGCAGATCGATGAGCCAAACGCATACGCCACCTCCCCCGGCTGCCCCCTCCCCTCCCCTCCCCTCTCCTCAAGTCGATCGGTCTGACTCACGGTGGTAGACTTTTCCTTGTCTCCAAAGGTTTGTTGAGCGAGTTCTTTGACTTTCTCCATGGTGAATGATGGTTTTGACGTGGTTCAGGGTGGTGGTGAAGTGAGAGGAGGAGAAGATGATGGATGAGAAGAAGAAGAGGTGAGTATATATATCCCAAGGGAGAGACTAGTCCAGCCCCCGCGTGCTTTGTTCCCAACGGTCATCCTCCAAGAGATGACGATACCATAACGCCCCTCGAAGGTTGTAGTGTGACGTCACTATGATTCCAGTGAAAGGATCAGTGGGAATCATCGGGAACCTCCACTTTATCACTTGTGGGCGTGGCGGACACTCTACTGGAAGTGGCACTGCAAATGCAACCGCAACTGCAACACTGGGAAGAGATGAAGCTGGCGAGAGGAGGCTGGAGGGGCATATCGGTCATTCATGGCTCGAGAAAAGGGGAGAGCGAGCACTACGGGCTAGAAGCGTGAGGCGGATTGATGGACTGCGAGGCACTAGGTCGGGTCCCAGCGCCCGCATCAGTCATCGACTTTAGATACAATGGATCGAAGGGATTATCTCAGGCTCGTATACCTGTCAATGTGCTTGAGCACCTCCGATCAGACTCTTACTAGATGCCCGCTTCAGTCGCCGTTGAAATGACTGGCTTGTCTCAATGTCGTTGACCATGGACGCAGTGAGCATCAACTTAGTCAGCGAGTGGTCGTCCGTCGTGTTGGTATACATTGCAAGGGCGATAGATACCTTGTGGCCGGATGACTGCCCTCATACGGAGTCTCGCCATCTAAGATATTGTCCTCCTCCGTGCGCTTCTGCTCAGCAGGGATCCCTTTCGTGCGATTCAAGTCTGAACGTGTCATTAGCGGGATCAAAAGTCTCGGATTAGTAATGGGTCGCATCATTAGTGTGGCGATCTTCATTAATGTCGTCACGACCCCTTTTGGGCACACGAAATGCATTGACATAGTAAAGACTAAGCATATACTGATCTATCTGCATAACAGCCCCCTCCCATTCAATATGGTCAAGAAACGTATGCCTCGAGTCTATCTGATTCGTCATGGTGGGTCTGACTCCTGTCCGCGGAATCAACTCCTGGCATCGCTCGTTCCAAGAATTCGAGACTGATGGGTGAATAACAGGTGAGACTGAATGGTCGTTGAATGGACGGCATGTGAGTTATCGAGTCAAGAGGGGGGGGGGGGGGGGGGGGGAGGTACCGGTCGCTCCTCGGTCCCCGTAAATTACCTCTTGGGAATAGTCAACAGACTGACACTGCATACTCGTCACTAATAGACGGGAAGTACCGATATACCCTTGACGGAGAACGGTGAACGGATAGTGAAAGAGATGGGACCGAGGATCTTTGGACCAAACAGTGAGTTTAGCAGCAGTTGTTAAAGCGGGCACTGTGGCAATTCTCACACAAGACTGGTCATTATGCTGACTCTGCTGACTACCGCCAGACCTCATCAACCCTGAGCATATCCGACATGTGATCATTTCGCCTAGACAACGTGCTCAAAAGACTGCAGAGCTGGTGAGTAAAAAATGCGACATGCTCTCCAAATATGCCCACACTCCTCCATTCACGGAGAAATATGCTCACTTCTCCCACTTAGCTATTCGGCTCTCACCCACCCCCTTCCTGTTCGTTTACCACGGATCCTGACGTCCAAGAATGGGATTACGGCAAATACGAAGGGATGTTGACCAAGGATATCCGGAAAGAAAAGCCAGATTGGAGTATTTGGGATGACGGTTGTCCGCCTGGGTCCGAGACTCCAGGAGAAACTCCACAACAAATGAGCGATAGAGTAGACAAGGTGATTGAAAAAGTCCGCAAGATTCATCGCGAGGTGAGGTGGTTCCCCCTTTCCATCTCTCTTCGATAAGACCAAAGCGCTCAATATCTAATCTCTCTCTCTCTCTCTTGGGGACAGGCCGAGCAAAACGCATCGGGTCCCGATGATGTAGATCACTCGGACGTGATCATCGTCTCCCACGGCCATTTCTCTAGGTCGTTCATTGCTAGGTGGTGTGATTTCCCCATTCAAGCGGGGTATCATTTTGCAGCGGATGCCGGCGGGGTGAGAAGGAACACGTCATGACAAAGAGTCACTGACCGAATCTTTTAGCTCGCAGTGCTAGGATACCAGCATATGACTCTCAAGGAGCCGTGTGAGTCTCAACGACCTATGCGCCAGGCTGGAGAGCTGACTCTTGGACCGTGATGTCAGCACTGATGGGGCTCAATTGGTACACCGAAGACAGTCTACAAAAGCGATGAGCAGTAACACGATATCAGCATAGCCCTGTCGTATCCTTGGCAGATGTGCTATTCCCCTATCGTGTCCACATATGCATTGTAGCACCTTCCAGCTGGCCAGAACCACTCTCGGATACAAAAACTGAAAAAACGGCCAAGCCCAATCGGAAATGTCCGAGATTCAAGGAATTGAAGATTAGATAGTTATCTCTACAAGAGCATCACACGATTGATCATCATTGACTCTGGCAAGACTAAGGCGACTGTGCCGGAAACATTGCGCTGAACGCAGAACTCGCCTCTCAAGTCTGACCTGCCGGCCACACCACGTCGCTCGAGCTCTCCAACACCCGTGTGCAGCGGGCTCGTCAATCACCCTCGAGATGCCTACCGCCGACCGTCGCCCACTAACGAGCAATCTTGAACCCGACAGCTCACGGTCTTACGGTGCGACTGGGCCGACACATGATGATGCAGCAGCAACCTCACCGCTATCTGGTGGATTGAACACACCGACGGATGAGAATACCGCTTTGGTACCGGGCAAGACGCCAGAAAAGGTGCATAAGCAATTTCGTGAGATATGGCCATTATGTCTGGGTTTGTGGACAGCGTAAGTAGGATCTGTTGAAGCTAGTGGTCCTGCTGCACCAGCTCGTAAAAGAAGAAGAGACGTACTAATATCCACTTACAGAGTATTCTGCTCTGCTCTCGGGGCGACGGTCGTGGCCAACCTACAAATCGAGATTGGTTCTTACTTTAATGCTGGATCTCTCGCCGCGTGGCTCGGTACAAGTTATCTACTGGGCCTGACAGCCATGACACCATTATATGGTCGTCTGGCCCAAGTGTTGGGGAGGAAAGGGTGCATGATGTTGGCATTGTCCTTCTTCTTCAGTGAGTCTGAAAACGAAATGTTGTGAACAGCGACTTCGGAATGATGCACGGCGTACGGCGCTGCGCTGACGAGTCTGCTCTCCCCAGCTGGTACTTTGATGTGCGCCATTGCCCCGTCGATGAACTTCATTCTCGTGGCTCGTTGTATTGCTGGAGCAGGAAGTGGAGGGCTCTTGACCGTCACGGTGGGTCTCGGTGGCTCGTTCTTGGCTGAATAGTCATAGGCTATCATCATCTCCGACTTGGTCTCTCTCGCAGACAGAGGAATGTATCAATCAGGTGTCAACGTTCTCTTTGGAGCGGTGAGCGAGCCAAGCTCGTTGATGGAGAGAGATGCTTGATAGCTCAATTCCAGTTTTGTCTCTCAGGGCGCTGCTTCAGGCGCCTTTGTTGGGGGAGTCATCGCAGATCGATTCGGATGGAGAATGGCATTTTGGATCCAGCTTGCTCCTATCCTCATCGCGACGATACTGGTCATTACACAAGTTCACGTCCCGCATATCAAGGATGAGTCGAGCGCCTGGGACAAGTTGAAGAAGATAGATTGGCTGGGCAGCTTTGTATTGATGGTATCGGTGAGTGATCCGGTCCTCTTTACGGCACGACGCCTTAGACTGACCGTCCGCTTTCCTGACATAGATCTCCTCCCTTTCATTCGCTTCTAGCCTTATGACTGCTTCTGGATATCCGTTACGACATCCACTCGTGTGGGGGCTCTATGCTCTCTGCATCGTCTCTTTACCCCTCTTTGCTATCATCGAACGCAGAGCGAAGGAGCCTATCCTTCCTATGACTTTTCTCACTCGGATTCAGCCCTCTCTGGTACTGTTCGGACTGTTCCTATGTACAGCTTCAGCCTTTTCCCGAGTAAGCGGATCTATCCCCCTCCCGGTGGTGCATGTCGAGTATCGGCTCATCCCACCCAGCTCTACATGCAACCGGTGTATCTTCACGTTACACGAGGCCTGGACGGCTCGCATACAGGTCTATTGCTCTTGCCGTCGTCTATCGCTGGCTCAGCATCATCGCTCTATGCGGGTTGGCACATGCGCGTGAGTGTGTCAGGTGTCGAAGGTCGCATCGACTGATTGCATCGACAGCACTACAAAGAGTACAAGTGGTGTCAAACGGTCTTCTCTATCATCCCCTGGATTCAAGCATTGTCGATCATCGTCTTATGGGGTCCGACGACCAACGTGCATGAATTATGGATCGAAATGGCCATTGCTGCCATAGGTGGAGGATGTATCATCACGACCTTGTTGAGTGAGTGGTTTGTGCCGATCGTGCGATGAGCTCCTTTGAGTCAAGTCAAGTCATCTAATTCGCTTCCCTCAGCCGCTCTGATAGCCTCGGTGGACCCTTCCGAAATGTCTCTGGCAGTATCCGCCTGTTACCTCTTTCGAGCAGTCGGCCAAGTCGTCGGCGTAGCTGTCGCTGCTGCCATTCAACAATCTGTCCTATCTACTCAGTTGTATTCTCGTCTCTCGGGATACCCAAACGACTTGACCCGCTCGATCGTCCAGGATCCAGCGGGAGTCGTGGAGCACCTTGACCCCTGGGTCAGGATGCAAGCCAAGCTGGCTTATCTCGGCAGTGTACAGGCTGTATTTGGATTCGTAGTTGCCACTGGGGTGCTCTTGACGGCGGTTTCGCTAGGTGTCAAGGCATATCCATTATGAGGCTGAGGCTGCAGGTACTCCCGGATCGCAGCAGAGCATGTATCCGACATTGATCTACTGTATGTATCATGCATTGATGTCATCTCTAACGTGAGGTTGGGCACTCATATGGCGTTATTTTCGCCCGTTTCAAAATTCCGCCTAACGTTCACCTCTTCTCAAATAGGTACCTCGCCACACCCCACGTCTCTCCCTTGTCGAGCCCGAAGAACTCTGCACAAGCCATGAAGAAGACTCTGAATCTGTAAAACGTCTTGCTTCCCTCTTCCGCACCCATCGCCTCTTGGAGTATCCTCATACCTTCCTTACTATTCTTGTCCTGGAGTTTGAGCCATGCCTCGAGCGTCTTGGCGTAATGCGTGCCGTTGAGGTACGAGGAATGGACGACTTTGAGATCATCCTGGAAGTACGTGAACAAGTCGAGGGAAGGCATCGTACCGCCTGAGAAGAAGGTCTGAGCCATCCAACCGTCGTCTTCCTCAAAGTGATAAGGCGTATCCTTGTGGCAGAAAAAGTGGATGAATAGGTATCCGGAAGGAGCGAGCCAGGTAGAGATTTTCCGAAGGAGAGCAGGGTACGCTTTCATATGTTCAAACATTTCAATGGAGAGGATATGGGTGAACCTGGGGGGGTTTCAAAAGGTCATCGGTCAGACGGGGTGGGTTCTAGTCACTCATTCGGGCTCACTGTTCTTTCTCCTCGAAGTCGTATACATTGACATCTCCCGTGATGACTTTGACATTTTTGAACCCCTTGGACTCGGCCACTCCATCGATATGAAGCTTTTGTGTGCGAGAGTTGGACAACATGGTGATGGATGCGGCGGGGTAGTGCTGATGAATAGGGATAGCGACAACGGTCAGAAACTTGCTCGTGGCGTGGGTTTTGGAGATTGAACTCCACCCACCTCAGCCAAGAAAAGACCCAATGAGCCCCAACCGCATCCCAAGTCCAATATCCTCAGGCCTTCCCCTTCCTTGCCAGCTTCCCATTCTTTGACCTGTGATTGACTCTTTCCCTCGACTTTAGGACCAGGCAGGGAGACGGAGGATGTGCTTCCTCCTACGCCTCTCAAGCCCTTTCCAAGTCTCGCATCGACGCAATAGCTGGACAGGATAGCATCTTCAGCATCTCCCAGCGAGCTCTTGTCGTTTTCAAAGATGCAAGAAGAATATTTCATCCGAGGTCCAAGGCATAGCTTCAAAAATTCCGTAGGAACTTCATAGTGCTGTTCGTTGGCTTTCTCCTGCTCGATAGCGATAGGTCTAGAGTAGAGATCAGAGATAAATTCAAGCTTTGCAGCGTGCTGAGCGGTGAGTGAGCCTAAAGAACACAAGGTAGTCAGTGTTGCTGCTTTTGAATGTGTGTCAGACACTTGACTTGCCTCGATCGATTTCTCGCTGTCGCTTTCGACACAAGCTTCTGATAGTGGGTCGGAGCACTGAATCCGGGATATACCCTCTGTCCAACAAGGCATAAGCGTAGTCCATGATGAGTCCGAGAGGGTTCTATCTCAAGTATTCCTAAACCAACCAGTAATATCATGTACCATTCGCAGGGCCATTCGGGATCAATGACCTATCCGCGGCGATCGGAAGCCGATTCAGGCACCGAAATGACGTGTTAATAGTACGCGTCACTTTTGTGTTAATGTCTCAACTGATAAGATCTTGAGCGTCCGTTGTATATTTCACATTTTGCAGCTGAAATGCTGGCCCCTGCTGTGGCATCGGATGGGGGGGGGTGGTGGTGGTGGATGGTGGTGCTGCTGCTGGAGATCATGAGATGCATCACGACGAATGTCGGCACGATCACTCTAATCTCCTTGAGATCTTCACTTTGTGTGTTCATTCCTAGTCCGACTCAACACATCGACTCAATTGCTCCTTGACGGAACGACTCATCGTTCTCTCACCCGATCGACAGATTGATTCAATTCAGGATTCAAGTGGCTGGCTCCCTTTAGTCGGCAGGAGAGATTGCACGCGGATCTACGAGTCCAGGACGACCCGGATCAGACCGCTCCATTGTCTGGAACGTGCTTCTTTCTGATATATCGTCTCTCTTGATTCTTCATTCCTCCCCTTCATCATGGCTCCTCATGAGGGCCACAGTGTAGACATGGATATGTCAGGCGGAGACATGAGTGGCATGGACAACAGTGAGTAGGCAGTCGCGCGCACGATCGGTAGCGCCTCTTAACTCATATTCGCGTGTCTGTCTAGTGCCAGGCAGTAGCATGGGCAATATGATGATGAAGATGTACTTCCATGGATCGATAGGAGATGACTATTTCCTGTTCAAATCATGGGTACCCACTTCACCGGGGGCCATCGTCGGAATCTGTATTGCAGTGTTCATTCTGGCCATTTTTGACCGATACCTGGCGGCTATGAGAAGGGCCTGTGATATGTATTGGAGGAGAGGGTGAGTCATCAGGCGATGACCTTATTTAAGAGTTTCCCCGTGCTGACGGCAGCCAGGCGAGTCGGTTTCACTGTTCCACGCTCTGGAGGTACGCATGCCTACGCTCACCCATCCCTACAAAACGCCTCGAATGAAGGGAATAGAGCAACGGGCCATTCTTCGACCAATGGCGAAGGTTGCTCTTCGACGAACGTGGATACCGATCAAATCGATTCATTGGCAGCAGATTATTCAGGGCTGGACGAAAAGCTTGATCCTTCCACGGCCCATTTACCTCGAGCCGCTCGACTCGTAGAGGATCCCATGAGGACAGCTAGGTGGTCTAGACCATTCCAATGGGGTGTGGATATCCCTCGAGGACTCCTTCAGTCTTTACAGACTCTGATTCATTACGTTCTCATGTGAGTCATCCGCCCGGTCGTTGAACGTCCGCATGTTCTGACTGTTGTGTTCATAGGCTCACAGTCATGACATTCCAATTATGGTTCATCATCGCCATCATAGTCGGGTCAGGCGTAGGCGAAGTGCTATTCGGACGTTTCGGATCAGGTCTTCCTGGCTGTCCTTGAATCATGATCGCGCGATAGGCTCCACATTCAAACATTGTAGCTTGTAGACGCCGGGCATGCTGGAAAGAAATCCGCCCGCGGCATGTGAAACGAATGACAAGAGAATCCCATAGGGGACCGCGGACCGCCAGCGAGATCTGATTCGGCAGAAATTGATGATGAGCATCGATCGACCCCGTCGCTTGGCGGTGCGTTGCCGCTCGCAAGCCTTAGTTGCATCTTTATGTTCAGGCTTCGAGTCTGCCTCACATCGGAGACGGGATCGGAAAGACCTTTGAAAGATCGAGCCTCATTGTTCAAACGCGACGGATGGTCGCCACTAAGTCACAGGGCAATTTGATCGAAGCGAGTCACCAGTCGATTTCCACTCATGCTCATGAGAGGTCGTACTGAGCCGAATCGGACGGCGTGCGTTGCAGGAAAATACATCACGCCCATTATCGCAATTAAGTCCTCACTCTGAGTCCGAGTCCGAGTTGACAAACACCCTCTTCATCTTCCTCTTCCGGCTCTGTGTTGTAGCATTCTCGCTCGCAGGACTGTCGCTACCCGACGCGTGTGAAGATGCTCGTTTTCGACTTACTGGTGGCGAGCTATCGCGATCATTGAAGCGTTCTGGGGATGAACGGTCACTGTCAGACCCCGTAGAGCTCCTGATAGCCCTCATGACCATCTCGTCGTTGACCGAGCCGATATCTGACTCGGCGTCGTCTTCCTCCGCAATGATCTCTTTGCTTCGCTTTTGTCGTCCGGCACCAGGGTCTTCGATGGTTTGGGTAGATGATAACGCATGATGCCCTTGCCGCCTTGCTAGTTCGTCCATCTCGGCCCGCAAGGCCTTTTCACGTTCAAAGAATGCGCGATCGGCCTCTTCATCATCATCCGAATCCTCGATGAACGCGGCAGACTTGTAATTTTGCACCTCCGCCGCCCGTTTCCGGTGTCGATGAGGTTGCTCATCATCGCCGTGTGCAGGCGCACGCCGCTTCCTGACTTTCTGCAGCAGATCCTTGTGGTCATCAGCGAGCGAAGGCGGATCAGCGAGATATTGCCGTAGGGCACCGAACGAGGTAGCCAGGTTGGAAGGCGGGATAGTTGACGGAATGAACCATTGTTGATCCAGAGCTAGCAAACTAAGCAGATGCTCATGAAAGGCATGCTCACCTTTCTCGGCATCGGAATGATCAAAAGAAAGCAATTTTAGCATCAGCCGGAAATGAGCATCTTTCGCCAGTGCATTCCGTCGCTCTTGGTCCTCTCCGGAGTCGATGTCTGCTAGAATGAGCGCGAGATCTGGTCGATCGTCGATGCACCCACCGTATTGCGCAAATTTGGCCAGGGCATCCTTGCTTGGACCGCCGAAGTTTCTGGCGCTCGTCTCATCTCCCAGCAATTCGTCCTCGACCGCTGATATTTGCGGCCCATCTACCGTTAGGACAATCTCGGTCCTAGCTGCATGGACGATTTCCAAGGTCTGTAAGACCGGTCAGACATGGAGGTGTGGACGGGCGGACCGTCTGGAACTCACGTCTGCGATCCACTCGATCCAGGACTTGTGCCCGGCCTGAATGAGAAGCGCGACCGTGGTGCCCATCTGCTGACTCCAGGACATTTTCTTGTTCTTCTTGTACTCGAGCTCCGCTGGCGCCCTCTCCAGCTGCATAAAGTCAGCGTGCACAGCGACCCCAGCCGCTTACTTTCTCCCTGATCCTATCTCGCTGGCCTCCCATACCATCGTCACTCTCGTCATCGCTCTTGTAGCTAGACAGCTCTTTCCAATGGCCACGGGTCTTGGGACCAAAGGCTTGGACGATCAGGAATGGATCCTCTGCGACGCGCTTGAAGAATTTGCGAAGAATGAACTTTATGAGCTGTACCGCATCCCTGGATGAGTCCGCACGCGGTAACGATGGAGCATCGTCCAGAAGTTGGCGGAAAAGCTGCAATGTCGTAACCTGACTGTATGAGCGAGGCTCACACTGAGAAACGCACCTTGAAGTATAGGCCCTCGGCCTGGGTCTTGACCACTTGGCGGTGCATGAGGGAGACTATGCGCTTCATCTGATCTGGATCTTCAAAGGTCTTGTAACGGCTAAGATATGACAACAGGGTATTGACCACCGCCTCGTTTGCAAAGCGCTGAGATCTTCAGTTTAGGTCTCGCCATCATAAACTCACCTTCTCAAAAGCTTGAAACGTGAACGTGTGCTCAGCATAGCTCGGCGTGTCCTTTTCTGCTCCATCGTCTTCGCCCTCCTCATCACCAGCATATTCTTCGGCCGTAGGTCCAGGAGCCTGAGTGGCTTCCCCCGCCTTTCTCTTCCGCCGCGCTGCTTTACGCTTGCGAACGAACATGAATGACTTATTTTTCGAATATCGCTCCAACATCTTCAGAAGGACATAGGCAAAGTCCACAACAGTTTCGAGGTATCTGGTGGGTGATGAGAGGGTTCATGTTGGGTGAACTCACGCGACAGATTGATCTTTGTACTGTGAAATCACCTGTAAGGACGAGTCCAGGATGTCCCCGTTGTAGTAGAGTCTATTCTGCAGGATCTCTGCAACCTCCACATCTTCCTCTTCAGGCGAGAGTGACATCGCGTCGATCAGGAGGAGCTGATCGATTTCAGCACATACCAGACTCATGGCTTACGATCTGGGTGAAGCAGCTCAGACACGCTTGAAGTTCTCTGTAGGATGGTGGCTGAGAGCGATTAGTCCAGAAGAAATGACGCTCCTCACCTTCTCCTCCATTGTGGATTTCATTCTCATTACCACCCATCTGACCGTGTCGATTTCCGCCATCTCCGCTACGAGACCGAGACTAAGGTCTGCACCTAATTTCACCGGCACAATCACCTCGACACTCGCAGATGAGCTTGAACCTGCTTTAGCCGCTTTGGCGGACTGCTCTGCCGTGGCCTTATCCCTCCGCAGCAAGAGATAGTCGACAAAGAATCTGGAAAGGAAGAAAGTCCGCAAGTTGTCGGTGACCCGAACTTTGCTCCGCTCCATGCGGATGTCCTTGAGGATGGAAGAGAAGAAGGCTAGCAAGATCAATACAAAGTCCAAGATTATGCTCTCACTGTTGAAGCAGGATTCAAGAAAAGTCTTCGCGAGACTTTGCAAAGTCTTCATCGCCTCAGGACTCAGCTCTGTCGGCTGCGCCAGCTCATCCTGCCCATCAGTGTTGAAATGACTCAGAACGTACAAATCTCTTTAGTCTCCCGGCACGAATTCGCTTGACGTCGTCCAGCATCTTGCCCGCGTCAACTGTGATGGCGTTCTGCTTGTGCAACACGAGCTTTTGGTCTCCCTGAACGACGAGTTGAATCAGCATGGCCTGCAGGCTCAGCGATCTCTGAGAACTCACTGCCCTGACAGCGATGGTAGTACCGAATCGAGAATGCCTGGTCATGCCTACTCTGTGGTGCATAGCCTTGTCTCGCCTTTCCTTCTCTAGCAGCTTGGTCAAACCATTCAGCGGAGCCTTGATCTACATCAGCCAAATCGACAAAATACACAGGCTGAGACACACCCTATCTTGATCCAAGACCAGCTCCTTGGCTTTGACAGGCCGGAAGATGAGATGGAGAATGTCCAGCACGATGACATTGTAGTGGTTGAATTCAGGTCTATCCGCGCAAGAAGCGAGGGTCAGGAACAATTGGAAGTATGTGAGGGAGTTGAGCTGGATCAGGAGTCGAGACTGTGATCGTCAGATCGAGATGTCTATCAAATCTTCTCACCTGGAGATGAGAAAACTCAAGTTTGTCTCCGGTCGATAAGCCATCGGGGACAAGATCCTTGATAGCGAGCAAGTTTCGCACCACATGTAAACCTAGAGATATAACCTGCTGGTCCTTCTCGTTCCTGATACGGTCAGCGTCAGGCGAGGCTTAGAGCCTTGAAGCACTTGCTTTTGCGGACTGGCCAAGCTCGGCAACATGAGCGCCAGAAGACAACGAAGGGTGCCATTGGTGTGCAGGATCATCGCCTGCACCGTCAGTGATAATCCGTGATGACCGGCGCACTTTGTACTCCATCTGGGCTCTCAAAAGTGACTGATAGTCCGTGACCAAGTCTGGCTCGTCGTCCATCTCCTTCAATTCCGCTTGCACATCTATAGGCCAAGTCAAAGCGGCGATTAAATCACCTGGGACGGATGAGCGTCAAAGCTGACCGACTCTTGAACTCACAAGCCACCAAACCGACTTTTCGACCCCAATCCCCTCGCTCTGTACATTCTGTCACCAGAGCAATGAGTTCCTTCATCAGGCCCGCTCTCGCCATGCATCTCGCGACTGTCCGCTCATCATCTCCATCATCCTTTCGCCATAATCTCTTGAGATCCTTCATAACGGCCAGTACGGAATCTCCAGGTCGGTATATGGTTTGGAATCCACCTTGTGGACTCCTGACTTCTTCATACCCTCCCAAGGCATTGACGAGAGACTGCACAGCTGGCATGAAGATGGCGAACCTATCTGTCTCGGGTTCGTCTACGCCCAGGACGGATGACGGAGCGTCATAACCCATGTCGTCCATCTCCATGTCAAACGAATCGTGCAAAGGGGCGATGGACGTCATGATGGCCGGCAAGATACCAGAGTAAGCACAATTGTCCCTTGGCGGGTCCCTTCGTTCGACTGAACCAGGTTTGCGATGTACACCGTCACTCAGAACTTCAATAATGTTCTCTGATTTCCGGCTTGTCGCGACGCGTCTTTCTCGGATCCGAGAAAATCAAAAAGAGAAAATCGTGCGTGGCAGAGGGTGGATGCATGCTTTTAGGTATGGATACAAATGCAATGTGTTACAACATATTTTCCCAGAATATGCTATCGATCGGACCAGCTCCTCTTCAACGAGCCAGAATGAAGTGTACTTTGCGCCCGATTGGTCGGAGAAGTAGCTCTCTGGGGCTGAGCAGGCTTTCTTCGTTCTTGTTTTGATTTCTTGGACGACCCATTCAGGGGGATCGGCGGAGGAGTGAATCGTGAAGGTGACGATTGGCGCTTTCTCGCTGCGCGAGATACGCTTTGGTCCTCTCCTCCATCGACATCGCCGCTCTCAGCCTCTTGCTCAGGCGGGAAGAGTGTGTCGAACGCATCGGTATAGTATTGCATTCGCCACATGTCCCGGATCTTGATACTCATGAGGTCAAAAGCAATGGCGAGTTCTGGGCCGTCTCCTGGTTTTTGATCGCCCTTCAGTCGAGCGACTCGAGGGTATCGTTGAGAGAAATGTGTGAGAAGTAGATTCTGAGCCTTCGCTTGATACCCGACGGAGAGAGCTTGCGAAAACGTTGAGTGGCCCTTCTCTAATGCGTCCTGCTTATGTTCATCATCCAGTGTCGCTTCGTGGATCATCAGGGTCGATCCGTACGCCGAAGTGATAAAATCGTGACAAGGCATCGTGTCACCAGAATAACTATATCGCAATGAGTCTATGAACGGCTTTTGAGTACTCACGAGATCTTCCAACCGGATTCATGTTCCAACACCAAACCCCATGCCCAGCCTCGATGTCGCATTTTCGGTGACCGGAATCCGACAAACCCCAGATCCTTCATCATAAGAGCTGCTGAATGCTGGGAAAGTATGGTGCTGCCCGGTGAGCGTGGCCCAGAAATTTAATACCCACCTCAGTGCATTAGCTTCAAGAATATCGTGCTGGGGCCAACGATGATGCCCCGTTAGGAAGGCCTCAGAGATTGGGAATTTATCCGTTTGGAGCCCGGTTGGGGCCCACTCCGAGACGTCATTACCTGCTTCTGTCTTGTCAAGCGTCTTGATCAATGGTCCTGCAATCATGTCGAAGTTGTTGATGAAGATTATATTGTCCAGTGCTCCCTGTGGTATTCCTTGCTGCCAACCACTCGATCCAGCTAAGGAATTGGCCAGGTAGAGTGGGCCAATGATGTACAGCTTGGAGTTTATCCCAAGCTACAGAACACAAGAGTCAGTGATGAGATCGTTTACGCAGGGTCGGCGTACCTGAAAACGCTCGCGCAGGACCGATTGGATGCCAAGATGATGGTCGCCATGCATGTGACTGATGAAGATGGCCTTGAGATTCTCGTAGACTGTGGCAAGCTCCGTGCCAAAACGTCGATATAGCTGACCGGTCGTGCCTTCTCCGGCATCCAAGAGGATCCCTCCGACATCAGGGATGTCTAGATGAGTGGCAGACACATTTCTCAGTTTGGATGGCACAGCGCTACCAGTTCCGAGCGTTGTCACTGTTATGTCCTCGCCTGCGAATGACGGCGGTGACGAATGCCTCGAATCTCGTTGAACAGCCTGTTTAGCGCGCCGACAAACATTTGCTATGTAATGCTGATTGCTGTACAATGCCTTGGCATGTTCAATTCCCTGCCGAGTCGTGGGGAAAGGCCGATCTCGTTCCGCAGATGGCGGGAGAGGCGCGCCACGGGGATGTATGCGGAAGGAGGCGCCATGTGTAAGGTAAGTCGTATTTGGTGGAAGATTGTCAGCCCGTTGTGGGTCGGGCGGTCCATAAGGAAGGGGGAAAATCTGCTCGTCCAACAACGACAATTTCAGCATCGCCCAAGCCGAGCCCCGCATAACAACCTCATTCGACAGATTGGTAGTATCGGCGATGAGGTGCTAAATGTATCAGCATGGACCCCGGACAATGTCCTCACCTGAGTCTTTGCGCCAAACTTGGTCATCCATTGCCGGTAATGTGGATTAGAGAGTACCTCGGCAGGTATCTGGTGAATCACATAGACGACCTCATGGACGGCAGCGTCTCCCTGATACTTGTCGAAAGCAGGCGATACCAAGAGGCGGTCCAAATTTTCAGCCGAGCAGGTGACTATGATAACGGCCTGGATGTAAGCCTGGATAGCCCTTGGCCTCTCTCACTGGACCGGGTACAGTCTCGCCGACAACGTCCTCTGCCTTGACGTTCAAGATCTTCCCTGGCTCATCGGGATCCTCGAACTCGATCGCTTCTCCAGCCACCAGCTTGGCACGTATCGGACCGAAAGGAACTTTGAGTTCTTTCGCTTTGGCATTATCAAACTTTCCGATGATATCGATACCTTGGAGTATGTAGACCATATCGGTGAGAGTCTCATCCTGTGGTGGCAGTGGGAGCGGAGAGCTCGGACTATGTTTCGAGAGATTCGCTTTTGCTGGAAACATTTGATCGACGATAGACTTTGCCCATTCCTCTAAGTATGATCGAGGGATCCGTGACGCGCTGCTGGACTCGCCTCCCGATCCCGAGTCCATTTCGGCCGCAGGTTTAAGTGCGATCGACTTGATGTGGAGGTGGTCTCCGGTATAGATGACATGAGCCTCACCTGAAGGTAACTGGTACGGATGGGGCACGACTTTGAGCTTGCACTCGGCTCTATGTAGTGTCAGACTCGATTGTCATCGAAAAGCCGCCGAACTCACCGTGTGACCGATGCTTTGTACGTGGCCATGAAGTGTCGCATATCCGGTGGACCAATGAGGTCCAGCTCGTCTGCACCATCGTCCAATCTCTTCATGGTGAGACCTAGTTGATTAGATTGGAGTGGACTCTCGGGCTCACCAGGCAATCCGCCTCGACTATCGAGCTTCGCATCACCAACCATGACGACTCTCGTTCTGCCGACCTGAGCAGAAGTCTGCGCCAGAGCCCGCTGTGCATTTTCGCCAGCCCCAAAAATGTACCGTTCGGAATCGGTAGAAAATACCATTGTCAGTGCTCCATCTTTGCTGGGGACTGCAGCCACTAGGACATCCCATGCGTAATGGACACTCGGCTTGGTTCGTCGAATCATCCTCGGAGTCGGCAGTCGGCGAAAATTGATCACCTCACTTGCTAATCGAGAGCCAGGCGGGGTAACACTGACTATAGCTCTACGAGCAAAGCCCAAGCAGGCTGATCTGATCGGCAGCTTGCTAGGATTCGTTTGAGCTAGAGGTATGCCTAGCTCGCCGAGATAGATGCCTACTGAAGATCAATAGCCATCGCACAGTGGACTCGATCATTCCAACTTTTTGAAACCGAAAAGCGGACACTCCTCAGATCTCCGTCACCGGCGGCGGCACACCAAATTCTGCTCGACCTCGGTCTCTTGCTTCTCTACAGCTGGTCTCCTTATAGGTGAGTGTGGTGATGACTCGCGCAGCCGAGTCTACGCTGATCATGTCTGACCTAACAGAGTCGCTTGAATGATCGCATGCCTAGACGACTTTCAGGTGCTCGGAGGCCTGAAGATTGACGCTCCCCTTCCTCCCACATTTCACCGGGACGTTGGGTCATCCAGCTCCCTCACGCGGTCAGATCTAGCCCAAGTGCATCTGATCCGAGAGTTGGTTTGATACAGTCGAATACAATAAAGCTTTGTGTACTCTCTCATCAAAGACAGACACGCTCTCCATCCGACCGTCTACCTGAGTGCATAAGCTGTCTGACTCATTTCTGATTCGATGGCTTTCATGCATAGTTTATTGTCGATGCGCTTCATTGAAGAAGTACAGGTCCTGATGGAAGTCCAACTGCGGGGTATCGATGCTTAGTCTTTTCTTGTTATCATCATATGTGCATGATAACAAATCACGCGTCTTGCAAGGGCTTAGCTTGAGAAGTTCCCATAGTACTCACAGTAAGAGTTTCCAGCTTGAGCATAATTCATGGCGGACAAATCGTCTTCACTGAATTTGTCTTGATACTTCTCGTGCGTTCGCTTGAATGACTGAGACGGATCAGGGTCGGTTGTGAAAGGGAGAACTTACAGCAACGCAACTCCTTATCGTTGTGGAGATCGGGGCGGGCTCCGAGACACGGGGCGCGAGAACATCGGCCAAGAGTTTGGCTTTAGAAGTCAGCAAAGTGCGAGAGGGCATGGCTCACGAACGAATTTTGGGACAGTGTATGGGAATGCTTCCACTCTGTGCAGCTCATGAGCTTTGCTCTCTCTCTGCATCGTCTGATCACACTTACAGAGCCGTGGCGCCAAGAATCGCACCATGGAGCTCGACCAATCTGGACTGATACTCAGGGTTCACTTGCCCAGGTTGACCGCCCTTCCGTCGCGGCAATTGAATCGCGTCAATCTCTCGAGTAAAGCGATCCTGTCAAAGTCAGACCCGTCGCTGGTTGAATACTCACTTTGAGGACTACAACCATGGCTCGCTGCGAACAGCGCAAGAATCCACTGAGTGTCCTGGTTTTCGTTAGCTAAAAAACGCGCTCGGTCTGCCTAAGCTCACGAGGATGCCATCTCACGGACTTCTTGATTTGGATCTCGCAAGCATGCAGAGACGACCTGATAATCGTCAGTGAGACGCTGAATGGAACGAACTCACATCTAAGCATTTGGCTTTGCACGACTCCGAAAGCAGAGAGAGGTTGCGGAAGTACACCAAACTCAATACAGGCATACTGTTCATTTTCGTCCTCCAGGACTGGCGATATCAGTGGAGACATGTCAGGACAGACTCACCGATGAGTCCTGTAAGATGGAAATGAGTTTGGACATGAGTGGTTCAATAAGGTCGAAGGGCGGCGTGATCGACGTAATCATGGCCAGGAGACGCCCGGCAACGCGCTGCAGGTCGGGATTGTCGTTGAGTTCCCGGAGTTCGAAAATTTGCGGTCTATCGCATCAGCACAAGCTTTCCGATCACAACCTCACAAGAAAGGGATGATGTATGGGAAGCTTCCGACAGCATGAACATCCGAAAGCTCAACCGTGATCCAGCTGAGCGCTAGGAGAGTCAGCAAAGTTGAGACTGCGCTGCTCACTCGTGACTGCCGAGGTATCATGGGGTGACAAGACAGCCTTTGGACCATGTGGTCTGTCTTTCCTCAAAACTTCCAGCTCCTGCATGATACCCTTGAGCTGAGGCATGAAAGGGCCAGATTTGAGACGCATGATGTCTATCTCCGAACTGGTATCTGAAAGGACATCTTGGGTCAGAGCAGAGGCCGAGGGATATGAGGGATGGAACTGGTCTTTAGCTGTAGTCGATTAGCACTTCTCACCTTGAGCTGATCCACTGCATTCAGTACAGAGGCCAACAAGTTTCGAACCTCGGCATATGGGCAAGCAATGGCTTTGAAATAAAGGTCCACCGTTTCGTCTGCCCAGGCATTGAATCGCCATTGCAGGCAACGAATGACTGAGCGAACAATCTGGACCCTGCGAGATACTACATTGTCAGATATGAGCCCTCGTTTATTCACTCACGGTCGAACGCCGATCCTCCGTTGAAGTCTGCGTTCAAAGCGGTGTCCATGCAGAAATCGATGAGTGGTTTGTTGCGTCTCGGGTCACGCTCATTGAGAATGTACTCGATGCTAATGTCCCAGCATTTCGTCGTGTCGTGTCGGATGTTGCTGAATAATTCGGCGAGCTTTGACGAGAACCAGTTCCAGACCGCTGCTCGATCTCTGCCAGGCCAATCTTCGCATCCTCGAATCAGACCAGCCAGGAACTCCCACATGGCTCTGGTCTTGTGACGGTCATAGACTTTGGTAGCGTCCATTTCCTGTAAGAAGGTTTCGACGATGGGCTGAACGAAATCGAAGACTGGTTTACCGAAAAGCTGGGCAGAGGCAACAATGAAGTCGATATGACCGGCGGACGGGTAGTTTCTCTGGTCCTCTCTCGCCCAATGATCGGCGAGGCTTTGCCACCATCCAGCCTGACCAACAACCTCACGCAAGACATCCACGGCGGGACCGCATTTTGGGTTAAGGGAGAATGGCTCCTCATCCCAGCCAGTCATGCGGCAGACCTCCAATTTTGTGCCCCATGCCAACCATCCCGTGCTTAGTCGATCCTGAAGTTGCACAGTAGTCACGTCCTCCGGAAGGGGTTCTCGGAAAGCGGCGAGGTATTTGGCAGTAAAGGCAGACGAAGTATCAGTCAGAATAACTTCAGAGGACAAAGGATCATCGGGCTCCTCCAGGAAGATCTTCTCTTCGGACCCTTGACAGAAAGATCGCAAAGCAATCGTGAAGAGTAGCTTGGTGAAGCCAATCATGCTAAAGTCCCGGATTCGAGGATGAGGGTTCTGAGCATTCTCGCCAAAGTACTTGGCCAGGCGAACATCCGTTGGGATGTCGCGTCTCACACAGACGAGCAAGAACCGCGAGGCGGAGATGACGTATCGCCAGTTGAGAGACGGGTCCGAGGCAATCGTGATGAGCTTGTCGACAAACCTGTCGTACTGAGCATCTTGAAACTGGCGGCTCTCCACTAGTGCATTATGTAATTCCTCGACCACTTTCGGACTTGTCTTGCGCGTCAAATATTCGTCAAGCGATCCGACAGCCGCATCCACCTCTTGAACCCGCACGTTCACCTCATACGTTGTGGTCGTTCGCAAGCTCCCGAGAAGCTCCTCTGTAGCCTTGGAGATCAGGGTCTGGATTGAAGCCTTGTTCTCGTGATGCGCGCTGAGCAAGCATTCGACCAATCGCGGTAGCTGTCGCCAATCCCGTGCGATACGGGCGATTCCCAGAGTGTTGTAACGCAAGACGTATAAAGCTCCTTTCATGGTGTCGGGATCAGTTCCAGGTTGAAGAGCCTCAAACAGCTTGGGGAAAGCAAGCACCCAGGTGCCGCGATAGAGCCGGGCGACAGTTTCAAGCACATGTTGGGCCGATCTTCTGATGCGCGTAAATGGCGACAGGCAAAAGTCGAGCAAGTTAACAATGAGTCGATCATCCAGACCTGAACGGACGCGATTGTATGCCAAGGTGGTCAAACGATTCTGGTGGTGAACCGAAGCAGCAGCGAGGAAGATTGATCTGTGGAACTTGCGCTGGCCCTCATACAATTTCTTCGTCGCCATGATACCATTGAGTGCAGCTTGAGCGGTGGAGAACTGCTTGGCTCGGATGCCGTACGCAGTCAAGAGGGTGCCCATGGTAGTGACGAGCAGCTTGACAGCCTCTACCGAGTTGTCAGATTGGCCTGCGTCACGCATAGCGGTCGCGGCTCGTGTAAGTGTCTCCCCAATATGACGTCGAATCTCCAGCACCTCTTGGTACTTCGGATCGTTGGCGTTCTGTAGAACAACCCCACATTTGTATGGCGCCGGCAAGTTGATCAAGTCCGGAGGTAGATAGCTTTCCGCTTTCTTTCCGCCCTCTTTGAGCGCGTCAATCTCCAAGATGAGATTGTATGACCCTCGAAGCGTCTTGTCAATGACGTTGAGCGCTCGGCAGAACTCGTTGCTCCACATCTGATCTCCAACCGCACGTTGTTCGAGCAATTTGTCGACCTTGTCGGTTGTTTGCTTGGCAAGCTGAAGAATGTCAAAGGCCATGGCGATATCGGCATCAGTCGGGACTTTCCAGTCGATCTTGATTTCGGGGGCACGGTAGAGTTTGCCCCAGTACAAGTGATGATTGAGTCGGAAGTCTGATGTCAGCGAAGTTCTAAATACTGACTCACCATCGCTCTTCAGCTCATCTGGGTTCACCATCCGCAGCTCGCGATGATAGATTGATGCCAAACAGCTCATTGACTTTTCAACAATCTTCCCAGTCCACGTCCATCCTCGTTCAGAGTACGTCGAGTCGATCATGACCTGAAGGAGTTCAACGAATTCTTCCCGATACTCGGTCAGATCGACCCGCCCTGGCATGAGCATGCCAAGAAGGATAGACTGCCACCAGTGAAGGGCTGCGTCTCCAGGTAAGGGAATGGAGGTGGTTTGCGTTCTGGTGGAAGATGCGCCCGCTTTGAGCTCGGAGACGATTCGCTGCTTGGCGACTGGGAAGAATTTGGAGAAGACTTTCGGTGCGTTCACCGCTGCCAAATTACGCACCAGTTCCCCGACCGCATCCACAGCATTGGACCGACAGGTAGTTGTGGCGTATTCAAACACGCTTTCAAGTACTGAGTCAAAGAGCTTGTCGTCCAGAGCTGCGAACACGCCTCCACAGGTATGCAGTACGCTGCTGAGTGTCAAGGCCTCCGTCTTGCCGCCTGCCTTTCCACTCTTGCCGCCTTCCTCTGGCAGATTACTGAACAGCAGCATGACCCGACTTAGGAATTCGGGGACCCAGTCTCGGAAGATCGCTGTCGACATTCGGATCCTAGCGTTGGCATCCTCGAGAGTCAAGTCCTTCATCTCATTCTCAACCGGATCGTCAGGATCGTCATCGACCGTCGGCCTCGGGGCAACGCGAAGAGCTCGGGGACCTGGGGTCACATTATCACCTTCTTCGACCTCGGAAATGTCAGAGAGACGAATGTAGTCGACCATGTTGGAGATGGCCATACAACTCAGACCGGTCTTTGCGGGGTCGTTCAGATCGATTCCGGGGATGAGGAGCGTGAAAATATCGCCAACGTACATGCCGCCCACTCGCCACAATTTGCGGACTGTTAACGGTTGCGCAAGCGTAGCAAGAGCGTAAGTGACAGCGGGCGTACGTTGTGTCTGATGATGAGTATGGACTCGAGACGGAGGCTTACCTCTTCTAGACCTTGCAGCGATGGCGTGGCCCGTTCCATGAGAGCTGGCATGATCAGGTCAGGCTCTAACAAAGCCAGTTTCTTGAGCGCTGAGACAGCCGGGGTCACGGATTCCATGTCCTATAGGTCAGCAGGTAGGTCAGGGGGGCTGCTCCCACCTTGTTGAACATCGAAGTCAAGGCGAGTGGACGAAGGCATAGGACGAACTGTCGCTTGATCTCTGGTGTCAATCGCCACGCGACGGGTGTCTTGCAATTGCGGTCCTCCTCGGCCTTCCATCTCTCAACGAAATTGCCGGCGAGATGAGACAGGAACACTGTGAGGAAAGCAGACCACGGACCAGAGTTGCTCGGATGAAAGAAAGTTTCGCAACTGGTGAGTAAGCGAGAGAGGTGATCCAGAGCTTTACAGCCGGCCAAGTACCGTCGATTGGCATCACTTGATTTTCCAGCTTGCGCCAAACTGTCTGTACTGTCGCCTCGCTTCATACTGGCACCATTCTGGAGCCTGCTGACTGCTGCGTGTACACTGTTCGACGGCGTGGCATGTCCGGACTGTTCAGGGGCATCGTGCGACATGCAGAAGATGATGGTCTCTGCTAGCGATTGCACTCTGTCGATCGGCTTCTTGGCGTCGAGAATTTTCCGACTGGCTCTTGCATCTGCTGTTGTGACGGACATAGCGTTAGACGAAGCTAGGTTGCCTCCAACCGGAACATTGAGTGATCTGAGACACTTTGACATGAGGAATTCGAATTCCTGTTCGGAGAAGATTCCGACGTCTTTCCTGATGCCCGACCAATTCGGATCGGACATTCGTACCTCCTCTGGCATCTTGTTGGGATCAGACCAGTATGTGAGACCATCGTCGTCCTCAATGACCTCGCCGGCCACGCTGAGAAGTCTAGCTTTGTGAGCCCGCTCTGATCGAGCATGATTCGGGTTTTGTGCCTCCTCTTGAGCCGTGTTGAACACTCCTCGCGGGATCTTGTCGATGAGCGAAGGATCGGATCTACCAGGGTCGACGTGAGCGATGGCCAATTGCCCGATAAGATCCGACGCTTGATCGTCCCAAAGACCACTATTGAAGCCGTACCACAGTCGGAACACGAGAGGTAGCCATCTGGAGCAATGGGAGACAGGCAAGAAATGGACGAGGAATGTCTGGGAAGCAAGAATTGAGTCCATGGTGGGTTGGAAGGGTGGTAGAATGACATTCAGCATCTCGTCGACTTCACCTGGATGGAAGAATCGTTGAGCAGCCTCGGCCACATTGAGGTACATTGGCGCAAGGTTGACCCGATGTCGGGATAAACGCTGGGGATGCGGGAACAGCTCGTTATACAGCGCGTCGTATAGCTTGCGCCAGGGGATTCTAAAGTCCCAGATGTTCAGATTGCGATCGCTGACGAGACCGATGAATTGATTCCCAGCATCTTCGATGAAGCTCGAGCTGAGACCGGGAACGACTGAAAGTCAGCCGAGTCACATAGGGCCACGTACATATGATCTCGTAGAAGACAAATATCAGCTTGATCTTCATTTCCTTCTTCATGGGGTATCCCATTGACATCCATCTGATGATCAGCAAAGTTCCCTGCGGCCTCTCACATCGACAGTTGAGAATCCCAAAGACGGAAACCAAGACCCCATTCTCTCGCCTTGACACATTCTGCCAGCTTGCAGACAATCTGCTCGAGGCGATCGTCCATCTCTGCCAGCGTCTCGACCTCGTATGGGAGACACAAGGGTAATCCGAGACATGACGAACGATGATCATCGGACTGAAGGGCGGACGCGGGCCAGAACCAGTATTCCATGATCGGTTGAGACGCAAATGTGAGAGATGCATGTGGTGGACGGATAAGGTGGAGGCAAGAGGGGGACCCGAGAGGTTCTGTCAGTTCGAGGGGTTTGTTTGGGACCACGCGACGAGACGGCCCTATAATGAACCTACACCCACCGTAACAGCATCCTCAGACGGTCCTTCTCCGCCTGTTAGTCGATTCGGCGAGGCGGATGGCCAAGAATCCATGGTTTCGTCAATTGACTCAAAATCTGGTGAATCTTTAGTAAGGAGCAGCGGAATGGGTCGTCATCGGTCACCGAACCGTCATCAGGGGCCAAAATCATGGTACAACCATATCCGGTGTAACAGAGGAAGATGTGAGAGGGGTGAAAGTGAGGTGTGATGTATCTGCCTTGTTGAGATACTTCGCTTGGCAATCTCCAGGAGGCACATCATCCACTTACCGTCGTCGAAGAGATCCTCCAGTCTGACGTTGTCGTCTTCGACCTCCCAAGCACCCTCTTCTTCGTCGTAATACTCGTCCTCGATGTCTGCCCCAGACTCTAGAGCTGCCGCACTGCCGTAGTTGGGGCGAGTGACGGGCTGATGCGCTACTAAGGAGCGATGTGCGTCAGCGGAGGAGCTCATGGCGATAAGGGAAAAGACGAAGAATGCAGAAATGGAAAGAGGAGAGATGGTGCAACTGCCAAATCGCGGCAGAGAAGAAGCGAGGCAGCTTACGAGGCAGATGAGGTGTCGCCTGGGTCGGATGAGTAATGGCCACAGATGCCTCGGCTAACGACATAAGTTTGGGACTTGTAGCGATTTTCGATGCGACTCTTGCTCTGTCTTTGTGTTACAGGTATCTATCTCATACGCATGAGTATATCTTGGTCATGCGAGCCGAGGCGAGCCTTGCAATGCAATCTATACGATGTTGCTGTAGTGATCGATAGAACAAGGTAGAAGGAAGTTGGACTGGGCGATTGCGTGGCCCCGCAAAATTGACCACGCGACTGGGCCAAGGTGTGGCGAAGCCTGTTGTTCTAGGATGTGATGATATGAGGGTATGAAGGGGAGGCATCGGCGAGCGGTGGGATGCATCGTGATGCGCGAGGACTATCTGAGGCGGAGAAGGCCCGGTTACAGCTCAATTCTGCTGGAGTTGAAGGCCTGTAGAGCCGAGACCTGGCATTGTGCCCGGGTTTAACGCCAAAACTAGAGCATAAACACCATTGGCGAGGTGCATTCACTCGATCCATCTCATGGAGGCCTCCGTGAGGCAGATCCCATCGACGACTTGCAGCTTCTTCAACTCCTCAACCGTGTCAAGCTGCTCGACGCTGGTGGTCCCATACATGTAATGCAAGATGATACACCGATGACGGTTCGATGACATCAGCGCGTCTTTTGTGGACTGATGGTCAGACCGAGAGATTCTAGAATCACATTCTCACTTCACTTCACTATATCCATTCACATCCAAAAGCACCATGAGCTTAGTCTTATCTCCAACCACCATCAAAGTCGTGTCATTTCTGGCACCCACGCTATCCCTCACAACCTCTGCGTCGATCCTCGGCTACACATTCTTCATCTCCCCACTCATCATCTCAACGACCTCTGATTCCGCTTCCAAGGGTCTTGCTCAGCTACGACCGTTCTTCGAAGGAGGCAAGTACATTTTCCCTCCTTCTTCTGTAATCTGTACCGCGCTATGGTCGGTCCTGGCATACTCGTCCCCACTCCATCGAACTGCTTACTCTATCGCCGCTGCTGGAGCTTTCGGTATCCTCCCATTCACGAGTCTCTATATGATCCCCGTCACAAACAACAAGCTCTTGGACCTGGATGATGCTGCGAAGAGGGGAGACGTGACTGTAGACGCGAAGAAGGAGCAGGTACAAGCGCTCATGGAGACATTTGGCAAACAGAACCTTGTCCGAGGCGGCATGTTTCTCGTTGGAGGATTGGTGGGACTCTGGAGTCTATTAGGTTGAAAGACTCAAGGTGACCGACACTCAACGAGTCTGCTATTCTGTAAACCAATACTATTACCCGTGTCCATGAGATGCGCTTGATGCATTACTGTGCTCCCCACTCTGTTGACCGAAGAGCGGAATCAAGTTACGCCGAATGCCCGTGGATTGGTGCACTTCCTCGGCACACTTTACTTACAGATCCAACCCGCCAACATGTCAGAGACGAAACAGCAATGTAAGCTAGCATGAGATGAATGTACTGATCATCAGTGACGCCCTGGCATACTGCCCCATTGCCGCTTGGCCAGATCAAACCACATGGCTGGCTTGCCAAAGAGCTTCGGGTGTTTGCAGATGGTCTCGCAGGCAATCTATACGACTTCTGGCCATACGTCAACGACTCGAAATGGCTTCATCCTCGTGGGTCAGGCAAAGGGACAGACTATAGCGCATTGAATGAGCCTCTACCGTATTGGTTCAATGGCCTCGTCCCGCTGGCGTACCTCCTAGATGACGACCGGTTGAAATCGCAAGTTCACGCGGTGGCCGAGACGGTGCTCGCTTATCAAGCGGAAGACGGATGGCTTGGACCCGAACTGGAGGATCGCAATTTCTGGGGTCGAACGCCATTGACCTTAGGTTTGATCCAACTTGCCGAGGCGGACCCGTACTGGTGCAAGCCTGTCGTGGATGCACTCAGACGATACTACAGGCTCATGAATGCCATGTTGAAGGACGGCGGAAAAGGCTTTTTGGATGGTTCCCAACCGCAGTGGGGCCAGCTCAGAGTATATGATACGATCCTCGGAATACAGTGGCTCTTGGAGCATCAACCTAGTGGAGACGACGACATGTTGTGGGAGACGATGTGGCTTCTTGAACATCTCAATCCATTGAAATGGGAGGACTGGTACAAAGCGAAGGGTTATCCGAGATCCCTGGACGACCCAGAAAAGGAACTCCCACACGATGTCATGTCTCTGCACGGAGTAAATGTCGGTCAAGGTGAGTCAGTCCTCCTGCACAAGAACTCACCTTATCAGGATTGAAGGCGCCAGCCGTTTCATACCGAAATCGAGCTAATCCATCTCGGATCGCCGACATAGCCCAGGCTGTGACCCTCGCATTCGGTTACCATGGCGCTCCATCCGGTACGATGCTAGCAGATGAATTTCAGCGCAATCTCGCCCCCTGGATGGGCTCAGAACTCTGCATGCACATCGAGACCGCCTACAGCATGTCGTACGCGTACCATACGTTAGGCATCAACGACTACGCGGATCGAGCCGAGTTGGCGACCTATAACGCTCTTCCCGCTGCATTCACAGATGAATACTTTGCCCATCAATACATGACACAGCCGAATCAACCTTGGGCGAAAGTCAACAAGGCAGACTATGAAGACGGGAAGAAGAAGTTGTTCACTACCGCTCATAGTGGTGTGGCCACTGTCTTTGGTCTGGAACCACAGTATCCGTGCTGTACGTCTAATCTGCCTCAAGGTTGGCCAAAGTTTATCACTTCAACGTGGGGCAAAATCGGCGAAAAGGGTCTGGCACACGTCTTGTTGGGTCCGACAGAAATCTTGACCAAGATCCTAAGCAAGACCGTGAAAGTCGTCTGCGATACGTCTTACCCGTTCAGCGGCAAGTTGCGATACCAGATTACAGCAGATACAGATTTTGATCTGTTCATCCGGATCCCAGGGTGGACTGTGCTGAACAAGAGCACTCTGTCGATCAAGGACACGGCTCTCGGTCTCGCGCCCGACGCTTCTGGCCTCCAGAAAATCTCCATTCCTCGAGGATCTACCGTTGTTCAGCTTCAACTCGTCGCAGAGATCCGAGTTGTAGAAAGGACTCACGGCGTCTCCATTTACTACGGCCCCTTGTTGTACGCTTTAGAGATCAAGACTTCTCTCGAAACTACTCTTCCTCACCGATACGATGACCCTCAAGGTCCGGGACAGAGCCAAATCGGTCATCCACGGATAAAGGATCATTTCCTCACGAATGCGACGCCATGGAACATTGCCATCGACCCAAAAACTATCGAATTCCATGACACGTACGATCTTCAATCGCCAGTGTTTGAACAGGGGTCCAAGACGACATACATGAACGTCAAAGGCTGCGAGATCGAATGGCCATTGTACCTTGATTGTACGCCAGACGTACCGCCAAAAGACCCAAAACGTATTGGTCGAGTCAAAGAGTATCGCCTGATTCCGTACGGCTCTGCAAAGTTGCACATGAGCGAATTCCCGCGTATCAGTGTTGAGTAGAATCACGCCTCTGTATTATCTGAGATATATGCATACAGTCACAAGAGGGGAGGCCCCGCTCTCCGACGTCAAAAAGATCCGAACCGGCATTACACACACACAAGCACCCTCACACTCAAGCCTCAGAGTCCCGCTTCTTCTTTTTCTTCTTCTTCTCGCCGTCCACCGGTGCATCAGCGTCACCGTTCATCTCCACTGCTGAGCGTTTCTTAGTCACTGTGGCGTCTCCGTTGGTGGCCTCCTTAGCAGCGCGTTTGGCCTCTTTAGCCTGAGGACTAGTCAGCGCCGGCACCGATGATGATGTGCATTTGCTCACCGCCTTTTTGGCCTCTTTTCTCGCTCTTCGCTCCTCCTTAGTCTCTCCCGCAATGCTCGTATCGCCATCGCCATTCTCATCCACGTCCATCGCACTTTCGCTCTTCCGCTTGTTCTTCTTATCCTTCTTACTCTCCTTCTCCTTCTCCGCCCGCTTTTCCTCCTTGACCTCCAGAACAGCCTTCACGGCTTGTTTGATAGCGGGTTGAGGCTGTGTTGGTAACAAGCCTTGGGCACTGCCCAACTGGATAGAATCTGTAGCATTGTTGTATGATCCACCTCCGGCACCCATCTCAAATCTCGGCTGCTGCCTTCCGGCTCCAGCAGTGACCCGGCGAACGGACTGAATGCCAGCTTGGTGTTCGAGCGCCCTCAAACGAGATTCCAGCTTGACTCGGTTGGTAACTCCTACTTCGGCAGCTGATGGATCGGATCGTGAATCGGCATCGGATAAAGCGTCCACACGGATAGACAGAGCGGCCTTGGTAGCGACCATACGGGCCATCTTTCCCTTGAGTTTCTGAGGGGCCTGGCCGACAAGTGAAGCCTGAAAGATCAGCAGACGTTGAATGTGTGTACGCTCACGTGATAGATCAGACCGTACTTTGGGGTGTCGTGTTTCGTTTTGAGAGCTCGGAAAAGGGCCTTCTCCGCACCGAGGATCTGAACGGTGGATGCTGGGTGCTTTGCCAAGTTCATCAAACTTCCAGCATGACTGATCAACCTCGCACCGACCAGCTCTCCGACCAACGACGTGAGATTCGGTGCGATGGCTTGCATTCGATTCCTCAAGTACTCGGAAAGCTGGGTTCGGTAATCTGAAATGGAGATGACTTGATCGCAGAGAGAGTTGATGTGGGCGATATCAGTGTCGGAGATTTCGGTACCCATGGAAAGCTCCGCTGCGGCCTTGACGGCTGCTTCGAGATCCTCCGGGAGAATCATCTCGAACGAGGTGGTGGAGGCGTTTGTGCGGAATCCTGAGTATGTCAGTCACGGCCTCAAGATCATGTGGCTCACCCATTGCCTTGACGACTCTGGCATAGGCGATATTGTCCACGATTATTTTGCCCAACTCTGGGAAATGCCAGCCATACCATTCCTTCACTCGCATAGAATAAATGTTGATCTCCTTGTCCAAGTCGTCCAGCAGAGCAATGGCCTGAATGACCATCGTATCGACTTTGTCGGTCGAGAACTTGAGCTTGAATCGCGACATTGAGTGACCTAAACCGAGAGACATGGTGTTGAGGTCCTTTTGATCCAAACCGCCAAGTAATGAAGCCAATTGTTGTCGGATACCACGGTACAGATCCTGGGTTGTAGAGTCGGAAAGGACAGGAATGGAGAGTGTCTTTTGGATTGTCGAAGCGAGCTTTGGATCAGACACCACGAGCATTTCCTCAGTCTTGGAACTTTTCTTCTTCTTGTCTTTGGATCCACCGTTGACAGTGTCCACTAGGAATTTCGACAAGGAATCGGTCAATCTACCATCTTGGAGTGCGCTAAGATCCTCGACGGCAGTAGCAGTGGACGTGAATCGTTGGATAGCCTCGACAGAGAGACTGGGTGAACGAGTCAGGTCAAAATGATTTCATGCGACACAACGACAAGCACTCACGCCTTGTTGGCCTTTTCTGGTGTCTCGAACTCTTTCCACAAATTCTTGTTATCTATCTTTGCGTCATTGCTGAGCTTGAAGACCACGAACCCGATGGCAGTCTCCGCGAGGACGAGCATGGTGGGCGAGGTGAACGTTACTCTAGATTGGATAGGATAGCAGTCCGGACAGAACTTCTCAAAGGAACACACCATCCTCGGAGCAAATTTCTGATGATCCATGACGTGGCATTTGAGTGATGGAGCTTTCAACGAATTTCCTGAGTCTCTCGATGGCATCAAGTAGTGGTAGTGTATAGCTGAATCGATTGACCTTGTCAAGGGATACAGACGATCACCATGGCTGTGAGTCGCTCTCACGATAACAGCTCAAAGCTGATATGCCCTAGATGAGATCACAAATCCTCCGACTGGCCGAGCGACAGGCGAGCTCCTCCAGGTTAGCACATAGACCAGAGCGGTCTTCAAGATCGCATATGCTCACGTACCTATTCACTTAGAGCCATCGCTTCGTCTTCCCTGCGCCCAGCTTTCATGCCTAAATACTTTTCATCATCTTCAACTCTTTTAGACACCCCGCCTCCCGCTGCGCAACCTGGTCCGTCTTCAGCTTCCCCAAAGATCGCCCAAATAGTCGACACAATCTCTCAATTGACATTGCTCGAGGTGTCAGAGTTGGTCACTGAGCTCAAGGTGAGTTAAGAGCGAAGAGTCCATCGATCGCTCTGTCGATGCATTTCCGATGTCCCATCTGCTGTTTGCTCCCTGCTGATCCTCGCTATATAGACACGACTCAATATCACCGAAATCGCCATGCCAGCAGCATCAGCCGCACCTGCTGCTGCACCCGCTGCCGCTGCTGCTGAAGCGCCAGCAGAGGAGAAGCCAAAGGAGAAGACAATGTTCACAGTCAAATTGGAAGCCATCGATGCTGCTCAAAAAGCAAAGATCATCAGGGAGGTCAAGGCAATGATGCCAAATATGAACTTGGTTGAGGTGGGTCAAGCTGGTTCAGGTTCGCCGCTGCTAGATCCTCACTGAATGCCCTACCTTCGTTTCAGGCCAAGAAATTCGTCGAGTCTACACCGCAAACACTCAAAGAGAACATGCCAAAGGAGGAAGCAGAGAAGCTACAAAAGACACTGCAGGCCATCGGAGCCACCGTTACATTGTCATGAGGCGGCCATCCCAATCCATGCATTTAATCTGTCCTGCCCGTAACGCTCGCTGCTCCGACTATGTGCGACCGCAATTTCAGGCGGTCTTGGCCTTTTCATCGTGGAAATGGGCAACCCATTCAGAGATAAAGTTCTTCTCCAGCTCGTGAATGTCGCGAATCCTGGCGGGCTCCTTGTCGTGGTCCGACAAGCCGTTCTATACAGGGTCAGCAGATGATCCGTCATGCAGCAACAAACCTCATCGTAGTGGTGGATACCGTCTGAGGCTGGTCAGCTAGCACGTTGACCCTCTCACTCACTGTAAATCAAATGCACAGGCTTGTTCACGGTCGATTTACGCTTCGGCGCTAGATCGCTTCCGGGAGTCTGTGTACAGTAAGCAAAGGCGTCGCAGAACTTGGAGCCCACCGCTGGTCTCCATGGGTCCCTGTCTCCATCAATGAAAGCCAATCGATCCATTTCGATGGCGAAGTCGCCCCTTGCATTCACACTTTCGACATCGGGCGCAGCGGGGACAGTGAAGTGCTCCCCGGGAGGATAAGCAAGACGGCAAGGCTTGGAAGCGTATTCAAGATCGACTCTGACTCGTCAGAGCTGAGTTGAAGTAGTCACATACCTCTTGGAAACGATTCTGGGTCCTTCGGCGGGAGCAAATTGGAAGTATCCCCATTGAGTGCAGACTGGGCCTGTCAATGGGAATGTCATGCCAAGCACCTACCCTGGAATTCCCACAATCTCCACTCTTGATCCAGATCAGTGTTGAGGTATTTCGTCGCATTCTGAGTACCAAAGCACTTTCTCATCAGTCATGCGGACAGCTCCCAGCTTACCTCTTCGATGTCCGATGCCGGGTTTCCGGGCGTTCGTGGACATCTCGAAACGATGTTCTCGCGAATGTATTTCGCAAGGTTGACTACAGCGGAGGGGCTGGGCATCAGTTATCTTTCATTGTCCTTCTCACATTCTGCCATATTTGCCAAGGATGGGAAGACTCGGTTCCAGGAGAGCAGCACAGAAATTTTCAAAACCGTCAGTCCCGACTTGCAAAGTTAGCATAGTTCGGACAGCCACACACACCCTTAGGGTCCCAGTTCTGGCCCTGCCAGAAGCCTTTTGCGTGAGCATGGACACCCATGTCAATAGCTTACCCAGCGGAGTTGACAAGAGACTTGCGAAATCTTGATCATCACTCAATTCGGCCAAACCGAAGAGGGACTTGAGCGCATGAGCAGCAGGCCCGCCAATGTCCAAAATAGAATCGACAGCGGTAATGGCATCGGACAAGGCCGAAATGCAATCGACGGGTCCATACTTCTGGATCGGTTGGAAGTATTCCGAGTATTCGACCTGGGCATGGGTCACACCTAGGAAGTGTCATGAATTTCAAAGCCTGACGGGACCTGGTACAACGTACCGCTACTGGCAATAGCACCCCAAACCAAATGAGGGTATTGGACTCTCATATGAGCCGCTCTGGCTCCGGCGTAGGACCCGCCATAGTAGATCCAGGGGGTCTTCTTCGGGCTGAGTGCATCTGCTTCCACGTCGAGAACGCTCTTGGGCAGCTTGAAGTTTTCGATGAAATATGCCGAGTCTTCGAGAGCTTCTTCGTTGTTTAGCCACCGTAAGTTGTCGGTTGTGAGCGAGTCGACAAAGATGGATTCTCCGTAGTATCGATGTTCAAGGACGATGGACAACCCTCCCGTGGCATTGGCGAGAATCTGCAAGATTCCCTTTTCGAGGAATGGGATTCTGTTCGCCCCGTCCGTCTCTCCGCCGTCAAGCACAAAGACAGGACCCCCTTCTTTATAGTTGCTAGCGTCCACCCAGTATCGCTGGCAGAAGGTCGACTTGTCCTCGTCATTGAAATGCGTCTTGAGCTGAGGGAAGCAATGAGCCTCGTACGTTGGTTTGACCACCTGTAGAGGCTTCTGCGCCGAGTTCTGATGCAAGGCGACGCGAGCATCGTCCTCGGTCTGCTGGGCCAACAATGCTTGGAATAGACCGATTTGGGGAGGACCAGATCGCAAGAGTTGTTCGCTGACGCGTCCGTCCAGACGACTGATAGCGTTCACAGAGGTTCCAAGGAGACCAATGACTCCCAGGCTAACTGTTGAGGCCCTCATCTTGGCTGAGTCGTGTGAGGTAGATAACGAAACTGTCGGGGATCTTGGTTGACGACTCTTTCGGTCGTATGGCTATACGGGAACCGGGAACGATGCCGAAAGCGGCTATCGAGCGGCGACCGCCGCCTTCGGGAGCTATACGAGTCCAAAGGCATGCACGGTGCGCTTTGTGACGTGTGTTGACCTCCCTTTTCCAGATGCTGCAGCGACCATGCATCGTACAACATCAACCCTACTGAGCCTGAGGTATGGCTCATCATGACATTCCACTGGATGATCTGCCGCCAGCAGTGGAGAGACAGCCGAAACAGTTGATAAAAGAGGAAATGAAATCGGCCAATCGGCACGTCCTGTCATGGTATTCCTATGCCGCAGCTGCAGAGGTCTTTGCTGCTTGCGGCATGGCCATCTTCTTGCCTATCACATTGGAGAAAATGGCCAGAGACGTTGGAAACGTCTGGCCGGAGCTGAGAGTCCCGTGTACGGGGGTTCAGGCACCAGACGGAGCAGTGTGCAAGGCTCGGATCCTTGGCAAATGGGTAGACACGGCATCTTTCAGGTGGGTTGGAGCGCGGACATGTGACTGATAGTGTCAGTATGTACGTCAAGTCTATCGCGGTGGCCGTACAGGCTCTGGCAATCATCTCCATCGGACCTCTGGCAGACTCTCGTAAGGTGTCGATGGGGTTTCACCGTTGACATTTTCAGCGTACTGGCGAAAGCGACTGCTCATTACCTTTGCTCTCGCCGGGTCGGCCTCTGCTATAGCTTTCTTCTTGTTCCCGAGCGACATTCGCGGCTGGGTTCCTGTAATCGCCGCATGCTTGACGGTCGTGGGCAACACCGGATATGGGACCAGTATCGTGTGTGCCAATGCTTTTCTGCCTTCACTGGCGAGAGGAGTCGCCCGGGACGATGGGCGTGAGAATGCCGCCGAGACCGAGTCGCTACTCCCTGATCCCATCAACGATGCTATCTTATCCACGTCAGCCGCAGATCTAGCCGCTGCCGAGGTCTCGGTGCCCAGGCTGCCGATATCTCTGGCCACCTCTCGAATATCGTCTCTCGGAGTGGCAATCGGTTGTTTCACGAGTTTTGCAGTCCTCGCTCTCCTTACTATACCAGTGACTGTCGGTCAAGGCTCTGTCAAATCACTCAGCCTCGCCATCGGTATCAGTGGAACTTGGTGGGCCGTGTTTACTCTGCCAGCGTGGATCGGGCTCCCCGGCAGACCAACAGAAGATGATGTTCAGAATACCACACAAACCGGCCGGTGGCTATCGATCGCTTGGCGTCGAGTTGGTAACATGATTCGCTGGAGAGAGGTCAAACGTTTACCAAACCTCTACTTTTTGCTATTCGCTTGGGTGTTCCTAGCAGATGGTGAGAGACTCATGATGGACGAGGCTGAAGTACAGGCTTTCACACCACGACATACACCGCTATCCTGTATGCCTCTTCCTCGCTTCGTATGTCACCGTCTCAAATCATTATCATCGGTCTTGCCGTCCAATTCTTCGCCGTCATCTCCTCCGTCCTCGCTCCTCGATTTCAGAAACGCATCGGCTACTCCAATCTCCGTCTCCTCATCGTCATTGTCATTCTTGCTCAGATCTTACCTCTATACGCCTGTCTTGGGCTGCTCATACCCTATGGCGGCCTTCGTAGCCCTGCAGAGATGTACGTGGCAGCCGCTTGGTTTGGATTTGTGAGTCATCCCATCCTGAGCCCAACTGAAGCTTCCAAGCTCTATGGCCCTTTCAACAGCTACTCTCGAGCAGTATACGCCGAGCTCATCCCGCCAGGGCACGAATCATCTTTTTTCTCCCTCTTCTCACTGACCGATAAGTCAGCCTCTTTTGCAGGACCTTTTGTCGTCGGGCTTATAGCTGATAAGACGGGGAACATAAGGCTTGGTTTTTTATTCCTTGCTGCCATGCTGGCTGTACCTATACCGCTTCTACTTGGGGTGGATGTAGAGGACGGAATAGCAGAAGGTCGTTCTTGGTCCGGTGTAGATGCAGTCGAGCATACAGAATCAGTAGAAGCGGATGTGTAGTATAGCTGTTGGTTGTATGTATAATTCACGCCACGAACCGGGAGTGAACGAAAATCATTCACGTCGACTGATTGCATCCATCAGTCATGTCCACGTCTATCCAACGTCCACGTCTATCCAACGAGGGAGGTCCTATCCACTTACATGGTCATGAATGCCGCATGATACCAAACATAGCATTGACATGCTCCCAAGAAGCAGTACAGAGGGCTACACTGATCAGCGAGGAGACCCTCCTTTAGGCAAGGAATGAAGGCTTCTCGGGCCTCATGGCCCCGGCTAAGCGAAGGAAGCGAGTTGCGAAGATCGCCAGAGACACTTCCGAAGCTCGAGGATGCGGCCTTGAGAACACTCTCCTCGTCGAGTCGATCGATGCCAGTGCTCATTCTACCGGTCTCACGTCTAATCGTCATTTCAAGTGCCCGGGTTGAGGCATACCATCTACGCAACAATCAAGCCCCCAAACTTTGCAAACCATTGATTCCTTTGAATCCTGTCTGTGTCTACTCGACCTTGATCTTGCTATCTGACGTGCTGTACCATTCTCAGTAGCGCATTCGCTGCGATGGCCACGAAGCTGCGGAAGAGTCGGATCCACCCAAGTCGACAGGCTGGCAATGATTCAGATGGCAGACTTGGTGAGTGAAAAATCCCTTCTTCCCCACGTCCTTCCAACGACCACCCCTTCGCATTGGGCACACAGTGTGAAGCCATGCTGGCATGTCCTTCGCCATAACGTCGACTCATGCTGCCTTTATGTCAACGAAAGACATGCTCCTGATACCTTTACTCAACGGGATGGCAGCGTTGCTGGTCATCCTGGGGACGGGTCAAATATCTGATGCTGTTTATCGTGCTTCCTCACAATCTTTTGATTGACCTCTGTCACCATGCGCCATGTCGCTGACGTTGACTCGACCTTTCACCATCTCCACCTATGATCCTCCATCGACCCCAATCGCACTACAAGCACAAAGCACAGGCGGTGGACTCGGCCACAGACTCGGCGAAAAAAGTCAACGATCCACCCCTCCACGGGCGGACACAGACCTCGCAGAGATACTGAGACAGCAATCTCAGACACCGCCGTGAGTACTTCACCAAGGGCATGCTGACATCTCAGAGCAAAAGCCAAAAGTGAGCATCCCGAGAAAACGTTTTCCCTGATTCCTAGTCCTTCCTTGGGTCATCGGCGTGGAGACTGAAGGATACCAGCCTCCAGAGGGCATGTTTGGACCCTACGACTCTCGTGGGTGCTACTTTGGTCGACGAAGCGCTCATGTCCTTGTCAGAACCGCCTACTCGCGTTCAGAGCTTCCACGAAAGTCAAGGCCCTCAGCGGTCCATCCATCCTTTTGCGTATAAGCCAGCACTGCCCTTTTCTGCTATCGCTGGCGAGTCAGCTGAAGTCATGGCTGAACAGTCACAACCTCGACCAGAGAGCGAAGTGCTGAGCCGAGGTGCCGGATTGCGCTACTTTTCGAGACCGAAAGACGCTACCCCAGGTGCCGGCTTGGTAGGAGGGGGAGAAGGTGGTCAGGAAACGCCAATGACGGACCTCAGCCCAGACATGGGCACATTTGGAATTCAACCAAGTCAGGATAACTTGCCCTTGCCTCAAGTCAACGCTGCTACTGCGAGAAAGCCTGTACCAGCTTTGGGGATCACCGAATTTTTAGGGCCGAAAGCCCCGTCAGAGACCATCCCTGTGGCTGGTGCTGCTCCCACGGGTTCATACGCCAAGGCACCTTCGGAGGGTGCAGCTGCCTCGGGGACTGCAGCACCTCCACATCCTACTCCTCATCTTCACCGCTCCCACCCCGAGTTCCCCTTCAGTCCCCTTGATGCGGCTCGAAAGCAGGACGAAGCGATGCGACAAGCTCGAGCGGAAGCTCTTGCTTCGCTAGAGAGCATGAACGAATATCCAAGGGGAGCGACTAGTCCAGGCGGATCCAAGGGGCCTCGAGGGACCATGGAGACAATGACCAGTGATCCGAGCTTCGGTCACATTTTCCACAAAGATGGCGTGCCAATGTCGAGGCACATCTCGACGCAAGGACCGCCACTACCATTTCCCAACATGTCCTCAGGTGGTGCGCTCGGGGGCAGCTTTTACCGAATCCCTTTCGGCGTGCCCATGTCCATGTCCCTCCCAAGACCCCTGCTGATGTCTCGAGATTCAGCCGGTTTAGGGATAGGCGTCAGCTTACCACCTCAATTGACCAAGCTCTTCACACCTCCACTCAGTCGTGTGGCGGAAAGCCCGGAAGGTAGACAAAGGAAGGATGACCGTAGTGCTTATGTCGAGACTGTACATGATGTGAGCTGGCTCTTGCTTTCCGAATTCTGATGTCTCAGGAGCAGGAGCCTGTCGATCCGACCGTAACTGCGAGACAAGTTCGCTCTGGAGGTCCATCTCGAAGCGACGAGTCTGCTGCCTTGGCAGAATCCGGGATCCAGCCTCAAGAACAGGTTAGTCTGTCCACAAGCCTTGCTTAACGTGTCGTTCAAAGCTGATCTGAACTCGTCAGCCGTCCCCTGACGAAGCACCCCCACTTCCTCCAAAGAGCCCTACATTTGACACACCTCGTCCACTTGCAAGTGCACTTGCGCACCCCCCGCAAGAGGTACCAGCTCAAACCTCGCATATGGCGACTCAAGGGAGCGTCACTCCTGGCCTGCCCCCTTCACCTAGACCTGGGCCCCGGCTCTCGACAACGCCAATCCCAGCTCTCGGCACCGCCTTCACCTCGAGAACGGAACCTGGTCGAAACGTTTCGTACGCTTCGCAAATGCCGACCATGGGGACTGCCTCGCCTGGTCCGCTCAAACAGGATCTGCAGGCCGAAAGTCCAGCTGAGTCTGTCGCGCCGACCAATGCGAGCAACGAACAAGATCTCGTCAAAGAGAGCAAGTTCCATGATGAAACGCTGTGTCAGCTGCTTGATGCGGCCAGACTCAATCTCATCGGGAGTGAGGCGAAGAAGGCTCTGAACCGAGCCGCACGAGACCGGGTCACGGAGTTACGAGCACTTCGCGATAGTGGACAGGTGAGTCGAAGTTGGCGGCTGAACTGACCAAAGCAGCTGGAGGATGTGATCATTCCTGTTCAGAGCATGAAAAATCGAGAGAGAAAGTCGAAACATTCTCATGGGAAGCAGGCAAGAGGCCGCAGCAGCTCCAATCGACACACAAGATACTCTTCTGAGGATGTAGGTCGAGCTATTGTCAAATTCGCTGATCATTAGGCCAATTCGCCCCCGCCTTGGGCTGAAGAAGTGAGCAAAGAGGGCAGCCACACGCTGATTTTAGATTCTTAAACGGCTGGCTGCATTCGAGAATCGCTTCGCCGCGCTGGAGCAGCAATCAAACGAAAAGCTGGTCAGTCAAGACCTTGCGGGTGATCTGATCGACGATCTCCTCTTCAACGACGTTGCAGGCATGACGACCTTACCTGCCAATCTCCAAGCGGTTCTGGGCTTCCCTGGAGCCAATTTCACTCCCGCCCAGTCACGAACTGCCACACCCCGTGGTGCTCGGATCAGTACGCTCTCGCCTGAGAAGTCGAATACCGGACATCAAGGCGAGCTCATCTCATGGGGATCAGAGGTCGAGCTCCCACCGCCAGAGGAGCGCGTGACACCTCCCAAGACACCTCTAGCGCCCGTGATCAACATTCAAGCTCCGACTGAGAGCAATGTGGAGAAATCTCAGCGTGCTGTCAGCGCGACCCAAGCCAGTCAGCCCCGCTCGGTTCGTTCTCCCAGCATGGCTCCAGATCACGACGACGACCACCCTATCGCGCTGCCCGATCCCACCGAGCGAGACTTGCCTGCTACTCCGACTGAAAGCATCAGGTCTCATCGAGCGTCACCGGCGTTGCCGAACAAGGTTCCACTGCCACCTTCGATCCCTTCTACTGGTCAAGCAGTCAGCCCTCAAGCATTCTCACACGCAGTACTGCAAAGTCGCGCAACGATTCCTCCGCCTCAATCGAGTCGAATCCCACAGGTGCTACCTCCTGGTGTACATGCACCGTCCGGCTTCCCGTTTCGCGCACCAAGTGGACAAGAGCCTCCTAAGCTTCCTACTCCTGTGGATGGCACGGATGTGGATCAGCGGGAAACGGTTTATAGGACCGCATACGAAGGGTCCCCAAAGGTCCCTGAGCGATCTCTTGCGCGTGATAGGGTACAAGTCCATGATCAGAGTCCCTTGGAGGATCTGACGCCTTGGGACCTGGTTACTCAACGGCTATACTCCTGGGCTCTGGTCTGGGAGGAGCGAAGCTTGGTTTCTGCTCTGAAAGAGATCAGCTTGGGTCGGCAAGTGGATGAGTTCGCCCTCAGCATCTTCGTGATGATAACGTTGAAAAGGTGAGCATGAGTACTTTTGGCTACTTGCTGAGAAGCTAGGATGCTCCGTCGCAACCTGTCAGAAACGCCACAACGGGTATGCGACAAGCTGCTTATCCCGCCTACCATTGCCAATGCCATCAATCAGGCAGTCCATTCCAAGAATTTTAAAGCGGCTCAGCAGATGATGGAGGACTTGTGGTATCCTTTCTCCTTCAAGGAGCCGCCTAGGATCATCATCGCATTAGCGAGGCACAGGAGCGAACCTGACTCATGGACGGCTCATCGATTCGATCTTTCCACTGGCTCGCTTCGCAGCTACTCAGTGACGCATGAGGACAAGCAGTTGAAGGATGGCAGACCATTCATGTGGTGGCATGCCATCCGTTTGGCTTGGCCACAGTACAAGATCCCTGATCCCGATGCGTTGAGTCAGAGGCTCGAGAAGGTCCATACATTGCCTGAGAACAAAGATGATAATTCGCTCGAGGCGTTGAATTACGCTCGCAACCTATTTGTGTGAGTGTGGGGTGTCAGCAGAAACATCCAAGTCTGACGATCGCAGCGGATATCGACCGGAGCGATCTACGGATCTGACAAAGTTGAGAGAGAGCGTCTGGTCCGAAGTGAGCCCGAACAATTTGGCTTCGGCTCACAGCCCCAGGTCAAGCGCTTGTTGCAGAAGAAGCGAGGAGGACAGCTTGTGGTGGACATGCACTCGCCTCCTCATGTTGATGATCTGTGAAGAACGATCTAGCGACACCTGTAGACTAAAATCTCGATGCATCATGTACTCCTGTAGACAATGATGACGTATCCAACAGACCACCTAGTCCCTCATCGGAGTTGTAGATCGACTACTGCCCCGCTGAGCGAGTCCCAACTCGCTTAAATTGACACGGGAAGATTGTCTCGACATCGGTCGAGAATTGACATCGAGCCCTCGTGCATTCGCCATCGGTGTCAGGACGCCACTGGTACTGCCGGTCGGACTGACTTCTTCTGGATCCACAGCGTAGGTCGCTCCATTTAGCATACTGGTTGGAGGATCATTCCACCCATTGTTGGTGTCAGGGACATGGAGAGCCAAATTTGAAGGTAAACTGGGTCTAGCTTTGCCGCGGAACGATTTAGATCGCGGCGGTGAAGCAGTGACTGGAGACGCAGCGCCAGATTTCGATCCTATAGCCGTGCTTGTGGAAGAGGAAGTAGTTTGCGAAGACGTTGGGTCATTGGGCACCCCATAACCCGGCGTGAAGAATTGTCCACCGCCTCTCGGAGAAGGGAGGGGAGGCGTCCAGTCTCCCGAAGCGAGCGTAGCGGTGAGTGGCATGGAAACCGATCGACCGAAAGGCGCGCGGGCGTTGCGCTCATTCGGTCCGAAGGGGTTGTTCCGCCGAAGGATCGAACCCAAACGCATGGTCCAGAGGTGAAATCGACCGATAGAGCCTCGAAAAGACGATTTAGACGGGGTCAAATCGATGCCTTCTTCTTCGACATTGCCTCGCCATGGCCAAACGCTACGACCATCCGATATACTCGGTTTGCGGAATCGAGCTGACCTAGTCGAAGAGAGAGACCAACGTAATCGCCTTCTGAGCATGTTGAATATGCAGATGACCAGCAAAAACGTCATAAATGTGTATGCCCAGACTGTTTGGATGCCGAGACGATTCAATCGGTTCTCCAATTCTGATAGATGGATTTGGGGTAATCGAGATGTCCAAGCAGCTTCCACTGCCGCAGAGCGCGGCGGTACCTGTTTGCTAGCTTCAATGACCATCTTGCCCAGGGTCCAGGAAATGGCAGTCTCGCCAACTTCGTCCATCGATTGAAAGTGATGCTTGCCCTTGACCTTCTCTGCCAGACCCTTTTCCCTCGCTCTCCGTTCAGCCTCAGCATTCGTGTCACCGACGGAGCCTCCGGTCAGCGTGTCGTTGCCCCCAGCATCGACAAGTCGAGGTATGCCGATACCCTCGTGAAGGACATTCGAGATCCATGCACCCTTGAAGCATTGCATCTGCAATCGCGAAAGCTCCACCTAGGAGAGATCAGCACGCTTTTCGGTTTTAGCCCGACTCACCGCTGCGCCTCCCCATCCTTTTTCTGACTCGACCTGCTTCTCGATGCTACTCCACTCTCTCGAACAGAACTCGCCCATCCCCTTTTCCCATTCACCCCAGTCAAAGACACCTCCGAGGCCGAGAACCTGCTGCGTAGTGTACCAATACTCGCTGATACCGATGAATCCACGTTGGTCTTCGCGCTCAAAATCGATGAATGGGGTGGAAACCCCGCCGAAAAGGCAATGCCGCGTCGGGCACGGCAGATCATGCTGGAGCAATGGGCGCAGGTCGGTGAGACAAGTAGCAAATTGCCCAGTGCCCTTGAAAGACACTTCTGACATGGTGTCAACGAAATCCTTCGGCAGGCATGGGTCCGGAATTGGCTTGTCGAGCGCTCCGTCAGATCGGGCGCGTGCCAATAAATTATCGAGATAACGATCGCGGACCTTGTTTGTGCCGTATCCCAACCATGAAGCAACGAACAGGGGCCAGTGGACGTCTTCTCCAGACAATAGACGCAATGAGATGTCGTGGAGATCAGATGCCGGGAATCCCGATCTAGCCAGCTCGATCGAAGAAGGAGAAAAGGCAAGCTGAGTGGACGCCCCGCCCATATCGAGGAACCCAAAAGTCGGAGACTGATGTGAGACGTCAACAGGAGTGACCGAGGCTGTCGATGATCGAGGAGGCGGCTCAGCGAGGGGAGCCAAGGGTAAGAGACCTGAAGTGCTGCTAGATGAAGCTCCAAGGGTATGGGTCGGTTCCGGTGCGTGACCGAACCCGTCCATCAGATAGTTGACTGCTACCCAGCCCCACATGCCTTCTTCCTCGCCAGTGATGACCCGGACGTTCTCCCTACACGTGGTGCTATCAAGTTTGAATGGATACTTTGACCGCAGGGTCTGACAAGTCGCTTCTAAGATGGCATCACGAGCCGAGTCACTCAGCAAACGCATACCTGCTGTTGCCAGAACGTAGATCGGGGTGGCCGAATGTTGGGAAGGTGGAATCTGTTGGAGTGCATGAGAGAGTAATGGAGCGAGATACGAAGGTATATCTTCCGGCGGTATGGTCGAGATACCTTTGACCATCAGCACGCACTCGGCGCACTCAGACTCACCCGGCTCGACTTTCTTGACCCAAGCATCTCCTTCGACACCTTTGCCGACTCTGACCAGTCGTCTCAACGCTGTCGTTTCGACTTGATCTTCTCTAGCCTTTCCTTTGCCTTTCCACGTACTTGGCAAACTGTCGAACCACCATTTCTTGCCGCCTTTGCCCTTCCTAGCTAATTGGACCTCTTGCAGTATCTCAGCTCGCTCGAGATCTGGGTCCCGCCAGGAATATATCTGTAGTCGGGATCCGGATGAGCCAGCATCGACCACCAAGGCATAGTGGGTATGCTTTGGCGTGACTGAAGGAGCCATGTCTCACGTAGTGATTGGCGAGGATCAAGAGAAAGGTGTTATGCACATGAACAACAGGGAGCCTGCCCACTTGCCAAATTCGGCGTCCGAAGCTGCTGGCAGTGATGGTGCAAGTGGGAAAAGATCGAGTACGAGATGTCTATGGCATCCAGCGGACAGACCGGGATGAGCGTGATGTGACTTGAGCGGAGATGAACAGGTCGGAGGACGCAGTATGGACAAGAGAGTGGTTCATGAACGATATACGAGACGGAGAATCCGCAGCAGTCAACAGGGAGCGACATTGCAAGGAATCAAGGATTAATCCACCATTTCCTAATAAGAAGCAAGTTCATTAGAAATTGGGTCAAGCGACATTAGAAAATGTTCATAACCTGCGGAATGACGGGCGAGGCGAGAGTCCGCGCAGTGTCTACGGCGATGTCTGAGCAGCGAGCAAGCGTGATCTCATGTCCTGGCACGTCAGATGCTTTGACTAATGCCCTGTCAAGTCTGTAGTTTCTTATCACAATTGATCATGACTCTGGATCTTGCAGCACTACCAACAGATATCGATCATCTGCAAGGAATCAGCTCGAACACACCTCATTAGACAAACTCACTCGGCGTGATGATGAGCTCGTGTCGTTTCGTCCGTATGCGCATGAGCTTTGCCTCATCCTAGATAGTCAGCTCAGACCTTCGACGTCCCACTCACTCCCTCCTCGCAGCTCGCGACCGCCTTGCCCACTCTCAGAACGATATCCTCAACGGCGCTCGCGTATTTCTCCCCTCCGTTCCCTTCAAATACGGATCCCGTCCGGCGTAAGATCCCTGACTGAGATGCTTCTCCAGCACTAGCTTGACCATCTGCTCGTTGAGTCGTCGATGCTCCCCGAGAGAGAATCATGACGCCTCGGACTTTACGGTATGCAGACAGCCGAGCGAGAGTCGCTTCGAGTTCCGGGGGAGCGTCGATGATCTGGTCATCTTGAGGAGTTGACTGACCATTGGGACGGTCCAAGGCTTCTGTCATGACGCTGGGACGATGCACGCTGAATGAAGCGCGTGAGCATGATGAGACATGAGGTGAATCGAGTTGAAACTTGCGTCTTGGAGGGCGTGCGGAGCCCCAGAATATCGAAGATGCTGGAATTGAAATGTTCGAGATGCCCTCTGCAATCTTGACCTCTAGCACTGAGCTCAGGATGACAGACTACTGCTACTTCGATATCACGATTGCAGGTCAGCCAGCCGGACGAATCACGTTCGAGCTCTATTCCGCTTATTTGCCCAAGGCAAGGTGATATGCTGGGATGCCGCTGATTTCGTTGTAGACTACCGAGAACTTTAAAGCCCTCTGCATTGGCGACAAGACGAATGATGCGGGTGTGAAGCTCGCGTATGCCGGCTCGAGCTTTCACAGATGTATCAAGGGGTGAGTAGGCGATACGGTCCTTCTACTCTGCCCTCACTCACAACTCTAGCTTTATGCTCCAAGCTGGAGATTTCACCCGAGGAGATGGAACGGGTGGTCTTTCGATTTACGGAGAGAAGGTGAGCTCTTGCAGGCGGGAATCATGCTGATGATGCAGTTCGAAGGTATGCCAACGAATCAGAGTTTTCACTGACTTGTCCAGACGAAGCCTTCATCCACGAGCATGACAAGCCGATGCTGCTCTCTATGGCCAACGCTGGACCCAACACCAACGGCAGTCAATTCTTTATCACCACGTAGGGAGAGATGTTGAGGAAGCATGCTGAAGAGTCGCAGTGTTCCCACTCCTCATCTTGACGGCAAGCACGTCGTCTTTGGTCAAGTCGTCACTGGCAAGGCTCTTGTCAGACGAATCGAGAACATTCCAACAACCTCTGACAAGCCTAACGAGCCAGTCACAATCGCGGCTGCTGGTGTCTTGAGCAAGGAAGATATTGAAGCAGAGCGAAAGAAAATTCAAGATTCGAAAGGCGAAGATCCCTACGAGGAGTACCCGGTAGACGAGGAATCTATCAATGTAGACAAGCCGGAAGAATGTGCCACCGCTGCCGAAAAGCTCAAGGAAGTCGGAACGACGTGAGTGGGATACCGCGAGCTTGCCTGACGTGGATCCAAGGGCGTTCAAAGCTGGTGACTTTGCCAAAGCACTTGGCAAATATCAAAAGGCTTTGAGATATCTTGACCAGAATCCTGTGCTCCCTGATGGAACAGACAAGGCAGTAGCAGAGACCCAACGCAAATTGTAAGTGTATTTCACGAGAACGTTCCTCACTCTCAGGCGCATCCCCCTCCTCACCAACTCGGCTTTGGCGGCTCTCAAGTCTGATCCTCCAGCCAACTCGCTCGCCGTCACCCTCGCCAGCAAAGCGTTAGCCGTGTCCGACCTCACGCCAGAAGAAAAGGGCAAAGCATTGTATCGTCGAGCTCTTGCCAAGACGGCCCTCAAAGATGAGGATGGTGCGACAAAAGACTTGAAAGAGGCCTTAGAAGCTGTGCCGGGTGATGCGAACATTAGCAGAGCGTTGAAGAACGTCGAGGTGGCCAAGAAAGCCAGGCTCGAGAAAGAGCGGAAAGCATACAGCAAAATGTTTGCCTAAACCATGCATCATACTTCGTCAACGCAGAGATTCATCCGTTTCCACAGATCTCGACTCTTTCCTCCTCGTGCTACGTGGTGGAGTCTCAAGAGTCGGCGTCGCTCTCGCCGAATTGGTATCTGACGCCATGCGCCGCCGAGGAGATCTAGGGTTAAGGGACAGAGGTGCAGTTGTACCGGTCAATGGTGGTTCTTCATATTCGTCATCGGGTGAGAAAGCTGCGTTGAAAGACTGTTCGAGTTCCTCGAGAGAGATCATTGTGTGCGGAGCCGGGGTTGGTGCAGTGAATGAAGGATGAGGCCGGGTCTCGTCACCCAGAGCTGCGAGCAGGAAAGTGAAATCAAGACCAACATCACGAAGAAGCTGTCGTCAGCATTGCTGAAGGGGTGCATTATCCCACCTTGCGATTAGTCGTCGCCGTCACCTTCAGACACTCATCTGCAGTCTTTGCGTCGACGGTCGGAATGTACACTTGGCGTCGGAACAAATCCACAAAAGTCCCAATCTGCTCCTTAGCCCACGTAACGAAAGCTGGCGTAAGCGATTTGAAGCAGCATTGCGCTTACCAGAAGCCAAAGCCTGCTCATGAAATGCCGTCATGAACCAATCACCAGTGTGTCGAATGACGGTGAAGCACACAATGGCCAGCTCATTGATGTAAATACTGATATCCCCTTCGCTTCGGATATCCCGTATGTGCTTCATCATCACTTGGTGTCTTGCCTTGAGGAAAGTATCTTTGGCCTCTTCCGCCGAGCCGATGCGCGCAAGCAGCCCGATGAGACGTACAGCTCCACTTTTGCGAATTTCCAGCGATGCGAGCTGATGAAGCATTTGAGAAGACAACCGGGATGTAAGGTGGTCGAGTCGGGACGAGAGCATCTCTTTAGCAACCTCATTGGGGGCCGCTACTTCCAAGAGACCATTACCTGTACGTCAGCAGGCGTCGAGAAGTCTGGGCCCACCCTTTTCCACCTGCTGCACCGCCTCTTCCCAGTCTCGCGTTGCAATGGCCATGGTGAGCTCGTCTCCAAAGTCTTCGATCCATCGCATGTCCTTTGAATCCGCCATGGTCATGATCATGGATGACGGTCGACTGCCTAGTAGACTGGGAGAAGCGGGAGTCTGAAAGGTGGGCACAGGTGAGCACAAGCTGGACCAGGCGCTCACTTCCTGCCACATGCTCTTGCGCTTCTGCTGTTCCTTTTCACTCTCCTTGCGCTTTTTCTCAGACAGCTCCTGTGAGACTTGACGGAAGGCAGATAATAGCGCCTTTTTGTCCTCCATTTTGGCAGTACGGTAGACGCTGCTCTCTTTTCCTCGTCGGATCTTGAGAGCGTTTGTGAGGTCTGCCTTTTAAGCTTATATCAAGTATAGCTGCGTACCTCCACTATCCTTCACGTCCACTACTACTAGGTCTGCTAGGACCCAGCACTTCTCAGCCACCATACGACCCCTAGCCCCCTCTCCCGTTTTGCTGCGCCTTCTGCCGGCTATAAGGAGCAGGTCGTTCAGCAGGAACAAGCTAACGCTCTGCTTGGCCTTGTATGTGGCAGGGTTGAGCTCCACGAACTGATGCGTCTCAAACACCAGATGCCGCCCTGGTACCAGCGGCAGATACTTCTGAGACCCTTCGACCGTCGACCAGAGATTGCTGAGTTGGGCTTTGTACATTTGCTGCAGGTCTGCAATAGAATTGCGTTGGGTCCGACGACGTTGCACTGATGCGTCAATGAGGCACAGTGAGACGACGACATACCCTTTCCGTCCTTGTCCAAGGTCGGCGCCAGACTGTCCTCCATCCCCATGAGTTGGGGCAGATCCTTCCATTGACCGAGGAGCTCTTTCAGCTCAAGCATGTCGTTCTCCAGTGTGGCGATCTCCTTTGACATGTTTACAAATTCGGCATAGCTGAGAGGTGAGAGACGGAATTGATTGGGACAACTCACTTCTTGAATACATTGATCTGAAGCTCTTTGGCCGTCCCCTGCTTGTACCTCTGCAGAGCAGCTTCAAATCGCTGCTTCTCGTCGGCGTCCGCGCCCATCAACATCTTCTTGACAAATGCACCGACATCCACTCCGTCCTTCCCGAGCTCCTCAAAGTCCCACTCATCAGCCGATTCCTCGTCTCTACGCCTCCCTATCCTCTCATCTTGACGGCCTCGCGTCATTTGATCATAATTGACTGATTCCCGAACTCCTCCGTAAGGGTCTTCATCCTCGTCAAGCGTAGGCATGCGCGTGCTCGGCCCAGGCATGTCGACTTCAAGCACATTTTGGTAACCTCCAAAGGGATACAAAGACCCAGGTTGGACTGGAAGACCCGGAACTGGTGGTGCGATGGTTGGCGTGTAATCCTCGGAGCCACCTGCATAACGCATGGACATGCGCTTCTTGATCTTGTCCCCGACACGGGATTTGCGAGCATCTCGGTTGGACGGGGCATTTGACGGGCGTCGAGGATCTATCGCTTGGGATTCTGGTCGTCCCACAGCCGCGGAGGGCCGTCGTAAGGAAGTCATGGTGCGCTTATGGATGCAACGTCGTGATTGATGATCGGAGAAGAGCGGCCGCGGTCACGGCCATACTCAGCGCGGAGATGGAAGGGATGTCCCGCCACGTGTTCGTCGTGATTCATAGCCGTACAGCCAGAAGTTGTGACCTCAGACTTGTGCTCATCGTGGGGAGCTTGTTGGCATGGCCGACGTAATAATGGAGGCTGCCCCCATCGCAGAAGCTGGACCGTCAAGGCGCGACCAGTTAGTTGATACTTTTACATCTTATCGACAGCAGCTGGATTTAGAGGTGATTTCTCGGGGACCAACCAGCCGGTATTGACGCTTGCAGAATGAAAGACGTGAACGCTTGATCATTCTCTCTCGAAGCATCACACAACAGTCCAAAAAGGTCATTTTTCACTTGCACCGCTGTGCTACTCTGCCTGGAACACCAGCATTTGACAAGAATATCCAGACAGCCAGGACGATGGTCCAAAAAATCGTCGAGTCATTTGCTCAAGTATCTGCGGAATTGCGAGATACCTCAGACGCAGAAAGCTATTGGAGGTGGTACAGGAACATGTAAGCTGTGAGGCTGGGGCGTGACTGATATCAGATCCCCCGGGCTGGAAGAATTCATTGAGAGCATTTCCTTCTTGCATTATCTCGAACATAGGCAGTTGATCACTTGTCAAGAAATTCAAAATACCTTGAAAGAAGAGGGACCCGACGATACAGTGCGTCCGCTCGATTCAAGTCGCTGATATGTAGTTAGTCGTTGTGACTCCCGACGACTTTATCCTTGGAATATCTGATCTGACTGGCGAGTTGATGAGATTTGCTACAAACGGTAAGCTTGCCGTCCTCTCCCATTGGACTGAGAAATCGACAGCCCTCAGCACTGGGGATGCCGAGACGCCACAGGAGATCTGTGCCTTCGTTCGGAACATCAAGACTTGTGAGTGACAGATCCCGCCCTGAGTTGACCCGCTGGAGACTTTGATGGGATTCCGACGCATCACCTACGTCAATTGAGTAAGAAGCAAGAGGAAACTACAAGATCTCTGATGAAGATTGAGAAACGTGAGAGCTATTCTGTGGGATCTCACTGAATCCTCAGTATGTTATGAGACTCAATTGCGATCTATAGAATACGATGGTCGTCGAGATGTGTTGGCTCAAATGAGTCGACGTGATGTTGAGGGCTATAGAGATCAGCCAATAGAGGTCTGAGACATACATGTAGTGCATAAATCGGTTGTACGGATATCCTCCGCGCGCCACTTGGCCTCAACGTTTTTCCTCCACTACTCATCAACTAGAACCTTCACAACACGACACTCCCAACACCATGACCATCGTCGACAAGCTCAAAGAGAAGCTGCACCTTGGAGGTAACTCCAAGTCAGTTGCCTCGGAGTCTCCCGCCGTTCCCCCCAAATCATCAGCCAGCTCCAATCCCGCTGTGCCCCCAAAAGATGCCTCCCCCGTTGCGACCAAGGACTCGCTGCCTGATCTTCCTGAGACGGAAGTTTTTGACCATGAGAAGGTCACTGTGATCTTTGTTCTCGGTGGACCTGGCGCTGGTGAGTTGAATTGTACCATGTCCAACTGATGAAATAGGCAAGGGCACGCAGTGTGAGAATCTCGTGAGGGACTATGGGTTCAAGCACCTCTCTGGTAGGTGATGTCAATGATGCTAAGGCTGACAACCGCAGCTGGAGACCTTTTACGAGCAGAGCAGACTCGTGAAGGCTCAGAATACGGAGATATGATCAAGCAATGTATTGTCGAAGGACAGATTGTCCCCATGGAAGTCACCGTCAAAGTAGGCTTTCTGCCTGCGAAATCCTCCTAACCTGTTAGCTCCTCGAGAATGCGATGCGAGACACGCTGGCCAAACCTCCAAGCGTCAGCAGCGAGCTTTCCTCAGCCTGGGAGGGAGGCAAAGGTCGATTCTTGATCGACGGGTTCCCAAGAAAGATGGATCAGGCTATCAAGTTTGACGAAGCCGTCTGTCAATCTTCCTTCGTTTTGTTCATTGCGACTACCGAAGAGGTCATGCTTGAGCGACTACTTGAGCGAGGCAAAACGTCTGGAAGAAGCGACGACAATGAAGAGAGTATCAAAAAGCGATTCAGTGCGTCCCTCCTCCCGTAGCTCATGGCTAATCCCACAGAAACGTTCGAGGAGACATCGATGCCTGTGGTTGACTACTACCGCAGCAAGGACAAGGTCGTCGAGGCAAGTGTTGACATCCTGACAAGGCTGACGGCAGATCGACTCGTCTCCTCCCGTTCAAGAGGTCTACCAAGCCGTTCGAGCTGCCATCGATCCTCGTCTTGGCGTCACCGCTCCCCAGCCTGTTAGCGGAATACCCGAACCTGTTGCTGCCGTTGAACCAGTCCATGACGAGCCGGCTGTGCTTGGCAAGCCACTATAAATATGCATGCTATAGATGACCGTATAATACTTGGCCGTCCTTGAACGACGACTCGAACAAGAGATTCTTCCTCCGCGCGATGAGCGGTGCCGGGGTGATGATTGAGGCCCTGGTCATCAGCAATAAACCCCGCAAGCAGCACATACAGCGAGGTTCCACAGCCAGGAGCAGGTGTTCCCATGATGATACATTCTGAAACCCCTTGAATCTCATCACGTTTGGAAAAGAGCGAGGCGTCAAACTGCCGTTAGCTTATGTTTCAATCCCCCTCTCACCAAGTGATCGGTCGTCTTTTCGAAACTCGCCAGCATGAGGACTGAATCCTTCATCTTCTGTACACCAAATCGAGTGATACCTAGAACCTCGCCCTTGTACGTCATGACATCTCCCAGCAACATGACGTGACGTGGGTCGATAGACATTCCGTGAGATTGCATGGTGTGCTGGATCTCGTCGTAGATGGTTTGGCGGGCAGCTTCGATACCCAAGACCTCCGCGGTTTCCATGACGTGGTTGGTTCGAGTCCGAAGAGCATCGACTCCGTCCGTCCCCATGACTTCGGCGAGACCATACCCCGTGACCAACAACTTGCATCGGGAGTTGTCCTTCTCATCTCGAGTGATGACTCCTCGGTCGACCTGGGGCAGTCCCTTGATCTGCACATCGACAACGGCCCGTTTCAGTGCTTTGATTCGTTCATAGATGCCCTCTTTGTCTTTGCCAGCTTCGTCGACATAGATCCTGAGTCGAGCAGCAGAATCGTCCAGGAGGAAGCTCTGACATCAGCAGCGTGACTCATGATTGCTCACCTTTTCCGAAATCTTGAGCTTCGTGTTGCATAGGCATTCCTTTATGGAGTCCAGAGTGATCTCCAGCTGGAGTCGGCGTACCGCCTCCATGTCTATACGTATGTCGAGGAAACCGTTGACATCGGTATACGACTCTCCTATCGTAGAAGCGATCTGGTGTGTCAGCTGAGTTTAGAACAATCGCTCACATCCCCCAGGACAGTTTTCTCCACCCGGCCCTTGACGATACGCGCGGCATACTCGCTATGCGGGTTGACCAATTCAGCAGTGATGATGGGTGTACTGATGACTTTTGAAGCATTGATGATCTCCTTGATACGAGGTACACCGAGAGTGACGTTCATGGAGGCGACACCGGCAAAATGAAAAGTCTTCAGTGTCATCTGAGTTCCAGGTTCACCGATGGATTGCGCGCCGACTGCGCCGACCGTGGACCCAGGTTCGACTTTGGCCCTCAAGTACTTGACCCGACAGATGTCGAGGAACAGCTCGAGCTGACCTTGCGTGACCTTGCTGTTCTCAAGAGTGCGAGTAACGGCAGCTTGCGACGATCAGCTAAAATGCTGCAACGAGGGCTCTCACCATCGTCGGAGACCAGCTTGTCCTTGTGCTTCTCCGCCTGGCCTTTAGTCGTAGCATCATTCAATCCGTATCGCTTTCGCTGAGACGCCAACGGTCCTGCGATATGATCCGCGATAAATTTGTACGTATCCGCGCGGTACTTTTCATGACACCCAGCCCATGCAGGGTCTACGACTGGTCTGCCGCTACCAGAAGCCTCCGGTGGATAGACCCTGCCAGCGATGCGCAGAATCTCCCAAGGCAACAAAGCGGGACCGGAAGAAGGTGCTGTTCGACGTGCGTGCGACCAACTTCGGACGTATTCGATAGGAGTTGCATCACCTTCCAGGCAAGCCGGATCCAACATGTCGTCTCCGTATTGGAACTGAACGATACCTCCGACAGAGTTTCTGACACTCAGATCGTAATGCGTACAGAGATCTTCGAGAGCCTTCATCAATCGACGCGCCATGTATCCCGTTTCAGCAGTCTTGACTGCCGTATCGACCAATCCTTCACGACCAGAGATAGCGTGGAAGAGGAATTCCGTTGGAGTGAGACCAGAGTAGAAACTGTTTCTGACGAAACCTTTCGACGGAGGGTTCTTTGACTTCTTTCTGAAATGGGGTAAAGAACGATCCTGGAAGCCGTTGGGGATACGATTACCAGAAATAATCTGTTGTCCGACACAAGCCACCATTTGTGCCACGTTGATGGTCGACCCCTTGGATCCGCACGTCGCCATGATCAGCGGGGCATTGTGGCGACTCAAATCTTTCATACACAAGTCTCCGACCTGCCCACGAACGCCAGACAGTTTTCCGGAGATGTTCTGCTCCAGGGTCGTCTCCTGATCACATCCAGCGGCGTTGTCGAGCTTGCCTCGTTTTGCCTTTTCGATAAACTCGTCACAATCTGCGTACGCTGCCTCGACAAGGCTGTCTTTGTTGTTTTGAAGCATGGGACCAGGAATGACATCGTTGATACCCAGTGAAAATCCAAAATTCGCAAGCCAACGAGCACTGAGTCGGGCAAGCTTGTTCATAGCCGCAGAAGCGGCTTCTGCTCCATAGTCACGGAGGATGACTCCGAAGACCGAGTTCTTCTTGCCATCTCCTACAGTGTTCTTGTCAAACACACCACACATGATCTCGCTGTTGCGGATGACCAGGTAACCATCGTTTGTAGACATGTCAGGCAGATATCCCGCCGGTGGACTGTGCATCGTACGGCATTTCGCTTCGAGATTGACCAGGATATTGCTCGACTTGTTCGGCCGCATAAGAAGATTGAACACTTGCTTGCCAGTCCACATACGAACCGGCTTCCAAATCGTAGGCGGCGGAAGGTCTATCCGCTCCTCTCCTAGATACGAGCATATCTGCGTGAACTGCTGTCGGTCGTAGAATCGATCGCGACGGGAGAGCAAGAAAGCGGCTGTGATGAAATCTTGAATGGCTGCGACAATCGGTTCACCATTTCGCGGGGTGACCAGATTCTTCTTCACAGACATGAGCTCGAGTGCTTCTGTTCTCGCCTCTTCCGTCTGAGGCACGTGCAGATTCATCTCATCTCCGTCAAAATCGGCGTTGTACGGATTGCAAACACATTCGTTCAGTCGGAATGTCCGCCACGGTCTGACCTTGACCCGGTGACACATGATCGAGATCTTGTGTAAACTCGGCTGACGGTTGAAGAGCACGATACTGCTGTCAGCTAAAGGTCTGCAAGATGGACTCACTCTCCGTCTCGGACGTGTCGATGTATCACGTCGCCGATTTTGAGCCGCTGCGCAATGGCTTTGCGCTTCTCTGGATCCCTGACCACGAACAGACTCAATCGATCCCCCTCCTGGTTCTGCACGATGTTGGCTCCTGGGTGCATCCGAGCACCATGGACAACCAATTGCCGCATGAGGCCGATGTTATGATCCGTAACTCTCTCAGGGTAGGACAGCTTGATCGCTATACGTTCGGGAACAGCGACCTTAATATCAGCACTACTAGACGTGAAAGCTCACCTCATCGATACGCAAATTGGGATCAGGTCCAATGACGGTACGGGCGGAGAAATCTACACGTTTTCCCGACAGGTTGCCTCGAAATCGACCTTGCTTTCCCTTGAGACGCTGGACGAGTCCACGAATGGGTTTGCCACCTAGTGCGGAGACACCTGGCGCCTGCGAATTGATATACAACGCAACCGCTTGACCAAGAACTTCCCAATTGGCGAGAGTCATCTCGATACCCTGACCACGCTCCATCGTCACCTTGAGCATCTTGTTGTGATGTACAATCTCGGCGAGCTTGGCTGTCAAATCGTCCTCATTGCTTTGCCATCAGCGCTATCACCCGACCCGGAACTCACTTGCCAGACTCTGAAGCGACTGATGGACGAATACACGGAGGAGGGACTGAGATGTATTGCCATATGTAGTCTTCTGGTCGGCCCACCTCTGGATGCAAGGCGAGCAGTTCCGCATCCTCAGCCGAGACCCGCTTAAACAGCTCCAAAACTTTCAATGGGTTCAAGTCATCTGACTTCTTCTGGAGCGCTTCCATCCTGATGTTCGACTCGGCCAGGAGTGTGGCGTATTTGGCCATCGCCTCGGCCTTCATATCGGCTGTCTTGTTCGAACGAAATGGCTCGTGACTGATCCGCAAGGCCCCCGACTTTTTCACGATGCCGTTTGCTTGGCCACAGTAAGGGCAAATGACCTTCTTCTTGCAGATGGCTATCACTTGCTTCGATGCTGCTTGACGTTGCAGTGCTTCTAAGCGAGGCCGACGGAATCGCTGTAGGTATAATGTGCGTTCGGCAGGTGTCAGGAGGATTCGGGAGCATGTCTGGGCGTGAGCGTTGTGAAGGGTGGAAGAACACTCACTTTACAGATACATGAAAGCATGTTGATGGTAGGACGAAAGTATCCGATGTGGAATACTGGCAAGGCAAGCTTGATATACCCATAGTGGCCAACACATTTCGTCGCCTCTTCGCCACAAGTATGGCAGTGGGTAGTCTTGTCGTTGGGTCCCTGGCGATTTGAGCTTGATTCTCGACACATATCCTTACCATTCGGGCGTCAAGGGGACCATCCTTGGCCGTCGTTCTGGTTCCATCCTCATGATTCGTGTATAGTTCATTCGAGGTCACTTCGACTTCGGATATTCGGACAATGTCTTTAGGTGTGAATGGTTGGAATTGAATGTGTTTGCTGGAAGGGTCAACGACAATTCCGCCTCTGGCACTCACATTCGTTTTGGTACACTTTGAGAGACATAATGTTTGTCGTTATAGTCAACTGGGGCCATGAACGGCCCCGCGACTGCCATCGTGACTGTTATACAAGTTGAGAAGAGCAAATGCGGACTCAACTTTTGAACAGACTCGGGGATATCGGACAAATTCAATGCCACGTCATTGGTCTCTCATCACGGTCTGTCATTGCGCTGCTGGAATGACACTCACTTGCAACCGTTGATCACATAGCTACAAAACAGGATGACCAGGCCGACACTGCTACAATCGCAGGTCGACTCCTTGCTGACTATCCTCAACTTGAATCAGCCATCCACTTCGGCCGCTCCCGTTCGTCCAGCTTCTCCTGCTGTCGACGAGCAACCATCCGGACCGTTGATATGGAAGGTACTCATTCTGGATGAGCAGAGCAAGGATATCTTGGCGACGAGTCTGAGAGTACAGGATCTCAGGGATCAAGGTGTGACACTGCATATGCAATTGCATTCGCCGAGACCACCGTTGTCCGACGTGCCGGCAGTGTATTTCGTTTCGCCAACCTTGGAAAACATCCGAAGAATAGCCAAGGTTAGTGTGATGTGGGCACCCACGTCAAAGATTTCAGCCTCGACCTTGCTGACATGCGGTGTCAGGACCTTGACCCACCACTTTACTCCTCATATCACCTCTCTTTCACCTCTGCGCTTCCTCGATCTCTACTGGAGGAGCTAGCGTCGCTGATCCTAGCAAGTGACCCGACTGGCGCTACTGGCCAACTAGTGACTTCCGTCCATGACCAATTCCTAGACTTTGTGGTACCTTCACCGAACCTGTTTTCGCTTCTGCAGAGGGAGAAGGGTCGGTCCAGTTATGTTGTACTCAACGATCCGAAAGCCGGCGAGGTCGACATCGAAGCTGAAGTGGATAGAATAGCCAAGGGCTTACTGAGCGTGATCATCACCATGGGTAGGTGTCAAAGGCAGATTGTCCTAATATTAGGCGTCGTTCCTATCATCCGGTGTCCCAGAGGCAATGCGGCGGAGATGGTTGCTCGGCAGTTGGAGAAAAAACTCAGAGATCACTTGGCATCCTCTCAACGTAGAGAAGCTGACCTGATGCAACGACCTCGTAAGTTAGCCAGGCGAGTCCCAAAGCCGACTCTTAGTTCTCGTTATACTGGACCGGAACGTGGATCTTATACCAATGCTCTCTCATTCTTGGACATACCAAGCTCTGGTGCACGATGTTCTAGATATGAAGCTGAACAGGGTGACGGTCGAGGTTAGTCAAGCGGCCATTCTCAGCTGATTTGCAGTCGCCCGAGAACGGTCGTTTACAGAAAAAATCTTACGATATTGACTCTAAAGACTTTTTCTGGGACAAGAACGCACCGAACCCATTCCCTCAGGTCGCAGAGGACATTGACACAGAGTTGGGAAGGTACAAGAGTGACGCTGCAGAGATCACCAGATCGACAGGAATCAGTGATGTGAATGACGTGTCCCAAATGTGCGTGTCCTGTTCAATGCCAAAAGCTGACAGTACACAGCGACTTCTCGTCCAACACAGCCAATCTCAAAACGGCTATCACCGCGCTTCCGGAATTGACGGCACGGAAACAGACTCTTGACACTCACATGAACATTGCGACTGCCTTGCTCCAAGCCATCAAGGAGCGAGGCCTGGACAATCTGTTCCAGGTCGAGGAGAACGCATCAAGACAGCCAAAGACGACAGTAGTGGCGACACTGAAGGGTCAAACAGACGAGCCTGGGCAGACAGCGAAGCCAACTCCTGAAGATCAACTCCGACTAGTCATCATCTACTACCTATCTCTCGCCACACTGTCCAAAGAGGATCTTGCCGAGCTTACGAGCATTCTGAAAGAGCATGGAGCCAACACTGCGGCACTAGAATACGTTAAAAAGGTCAGAGAAGTGACCAGAATGACCATGATGGCGAGTCAGCCGGTCGCCCCGCCAACCCAGGGCAGAGAGTGGACCAAGGGTCTGAGCTCGCTCGGTAGCTCGGTGAGTCGCTACGACATTGCATTCGGGGTGGAAAGTTGCTTACTGTGATACCAGATCACTGACCGTCTTCGCGAAGGAGGCATCTCGGGAGTCGGCTTTGACAATCTCATTTCTGGAGTCAAAAACTTCTTGCCAGCCAGGAAGGAGCTGACCGTTACACGGCTCGTTGAAGCCCTCATGGAGCCCTCGACTGCCGCAGCCCAGGCTTTGCAGGATACAGACGACTATCTGATGTTCGACCCAAAAGCGACAAGGTCAAGAGCGCCCCAGGGGAGAACTAGATCGCAATATGGCGAAGCGATAGTCTTCGTCGTTGGAGGTGGCGGATATGTCGAATATGGCAACTTGATAGAATGGGCTAATAGGAGCTCTAAAGAGGGAGGAGGCGGAGGCAAGAGGATCACATATGGAAGTACAGAGATCATGAACCCAAAGTCATTTGTAGAGGCTTTAGGTGAGCTTGGTCAAGCATAGATAGATGTATGGGGGGATGTATGAGGTGCAACGAGGGATTCTGAAACGATTTGCCGCTTTTGATTTCGCCACGCGCGTCGCGACCATATTCATTCCGTTTCAACGTTTGACCATCACCACCTACTCTGATCACCTAGCGGGGAGCGACAAACGTCAACGTCGCCAGCGCGCGCATCCGAAGCCATGACCTCATCTCTGCTTGCAGAGGATGGGGTCATTCCCCAACCCTCCACTAACGGCACTCTAAGTTTTGATACCAGTGTCTTTCGCACATACCTCGAAGCTTTGCTTCAGCCAGGTGAGAAGGATGTACTTGCTCTGCTGACTGAACAGTCATGTCTGCATCCCTAGACAACTTATCGAGCTTATTCGCTGACCCAAGCTTTGACGAAAAAGCCCTGCGATTCGCTACGGACCCCGCATGTCAGGTGGTCTATATCACGAAACGATACATTGACGGTGATGGTGGGTGATGTAGATGGGTACTGCTCACGAGATAGCATCTCTCACGTATCAGCTGCATCTGCCTCCGACCCCTGCCCATTCCACTGCCACCCAGTCCACACTTGCTTTGATCAAATCATCTCCAACGCTGGATTCTCTCTCCCCCCTAGGCTCCCAACTACATTTCGTGCTACTCTCCTCGTCGGCAGCTCCTCCTTTAGTCCAGGATGATATCCCGTCCGGACCTTCTACAGCAGTCACCACGCCATCCGTATCTACTCCTTACGACGGTCTTCACAGTCTCGTTCACTGGGGAGTCGCCCCGTGGTTTGACAGCTATGTTTCCTCCAAGCAGATTTTGGAGGGGCCTCAGGTCAGCAAGAAGACCGGCGACGCCGGAATGGGTGGGTCACAAACTTCCAGCGTAGCTCACCATCAGGTATCCCCGTAACGAAGAAAAAGTTCGCGGAACTCGAACTCTCCCTCCTTCACCTCAAGCAGAATGTGGAGATTCCAGAAGCTCATCTCTCCGTTCACCCTACTATCCGCAAAGCGGTCGCGCAATGTCACTCCTCCGGTACCAGGGTTTCCGTCGATGCTGTGCCCAATTCTGAGGATCCTACGCTCCTCAACAAGCTCCAGTCCGACGTCAATTCCTGGATCAAAGAGGTACAAGCAGTCACGCGACTCTCTCGCGACGTCTCCTCTGGCACTGCCTCGCAGGAGATCAATTTTTGGCTCTCCATGGAGCACGCTTTAGAGGGTATCGAAACCCAACTGCGAGGCGAGGAAGTCACTCTGGCTCTTGATGTTCTCAAACATGCCAAACGATTCCACGCCACGGTCAGTTTCATCGCGGACACTGGTCTCAAGGAGGCTGCCGACGTGGTCCACAAATACAACGTCTTGATGAAAGATTTTCCCCTCGACGAGCTCCTCGCAGCGACAGACCTCGAAAAGGTCCGAGATGCCGTCTCGCTCATCTTTGCGCACCTGAACAAGAAGCTCAAGCTCTCGCCGTATCCTATCCGAAGGACTTTACCCCTCGTCGAAGCTATCTCGCGCGATTTCAATGATCAGCTCTTGCGCGTGCTTTCTGGCCAGCGCCTCATGTACATGGAGTATCAGAAGTTTGAGCAAGTCATCGCCTCCGTTACCGAGGTCTTTGCCACTTGGGACGAGAACATGAAGGACTTTACCAATGTCGCGCGAGAGGTGTCACGCAAGCGAGCTGAGAAATTCATCTCCATCAAGATCAATCCCGCGCACGCTCAACTTCAGGAAAGGATAGCATACCTTGGGCAGTTCCGACGATCACACGAGCAGCTCCAGCGAATGACGACGGATCAGGATCTCTTGGACTCCGAGGAAGTCCGCTTGAGCTATGAGAATGTCAAGAATGTCGATGTCCTCGATGTGTCTGAGCCAACGATCTGGAACGCCGCAGAGAGCGCTTACAACGATCGCGTGGCACGTATCGAGAACCAGATTATCTCTCGCTTGAGAGACAAGTTGGCGACAGCTCGTAATGCCCAGGAGATGTTTAGAGTGTTCTCCAAGTTCAACTCACTGTTTGTGCGACCCAAAGTGAGCACTATTCACATTGCCTCGCTGATTTCAGATCCGCGGCGCTATACAAGAGTATCAGACGCGACTGATCGATTCGGTCAAAGACGACATCCTCCGCCTCCGTCAAAAGTTTACCGCCAATTATCGCACATCTCAAGCATGCCACATGTCTCAATTGCGCGACTTCCCATCCGTATCCAGCGCCATCATCTGGGCTCGTCAGATCGAAAGGCAGCTGCTGACATACATGAAGCGGGTCGAGGACGTTCTCGGCAAAGGCTGGGAGAGCTATGCTGAGGGTCACAAGCTCCAGGTTGAGAGTGCTGCTTTCAGAGCCAAATTGGACACACGCCCTTTGTACGACGCTTGGATCAATGAGATCACTCGACGAGGCAACCTGACCATTAATGGCCGCCTTTTTGATGTCACTCGTAGGGGCCACCTCCAGCTTGTGGTGCAATTCGATCCGCAAGTCATCGCTCTGTTTAAAGAGGTCCGTGGCTTGATTTGGCTCGGCTTCCCTGTGCCGTTGACTATCAGTCATCGAGCTAAGGACGCCAAACGGATCTACCCTCACGCAGTAAGCTTGATGGAATCGGTCCGGACGTATACTCAGACCATCGATCTCATCGAGGCGAACCCCGATCTTGGCATTCTTCTGGCCAGCTACCGCAATCACGCGCAGCAAATGATCTCTCGAGGTATCAACATGCAATGGGACTACCTCACGCATGGTGGAGGCGAATCTCGTCACTTCTTATTTGTTCGGGAATTCGCCAGCTCAGTGTCTCTGCTCCAGGACAAGACAATGGCCCTCATTGAGATCTCGGCTGAGATCTCAAGCACTATACAGGAGCTCGAGACTTGCGGGCACGAGGCGTTCCCCGCTCACCTCAACTCTATCCAGAAGACCATTGATCACCTAAACTTGGAGAATTACAGCAATCTAGACGCCTGGGTAGCATCGCTCAATGAACGGATCGATGTCGTTCTGAAGACCCGCTTGATGCAGGCCATTGAGGCATGGTGCGAAGACTTCTCCAACAGCACGTCTCCGGTCGTCCATTCGATCCAGATTCGCAATCAAGTCATCTATCTAGACCCACCCATCGAGTTTGCGCGTCAAGATTGGCTGGCGCAGTTCCAGCAGTCGCTCGGAGTGATCTGCTGTCTTGATCGGATCCGAAGCTCGCGATATGAGATTAGTCTGCAGGACGATCAAACGGATACGTATCTCAACCTACTCGACTCGCTTGACATCCTCGAGAAGCCATTAGCCTTGATCGAGGACAAGGTGCAAGAAATCAGCAAGTACGTCGATAAGTGGCTTCAATTTCAGTCCCTGTGGGACCTCGAAGCGGAGGCTGTCTACCAGGTGAGTGAACATCGAACTGCAAGCTGACAATAGCGCCTCGGTGATTCGCTTCCGCAATGGGACCGACTATTGTCCGACATTCGTCAAGCTCGGTCTACGTTCGACACCACGGATACTCGGAGAGACTTTGGCATCTGTGTGATCGATTACGCCAACGCTCAGAACAAGGTCAACGCCAAGTATGACTCTTGGCAGCGTGATCTTCTCACCCGTTATGGAAGCAGACTTGGAGTATCGATGAAGGAATCTTACGCGGCGTTGCTCAAGGCTCGGACAGATCTAGAGGGACTCGCCATCGAGGGTAGTTCGACTGCCCAAGCCGTCTCCTTCATCACCTTCGTCCAGGATCTCAAGCGCAAGTCATGGCCCATCGACCAATTCCATGCTGGTCAGAAGACACTCGAACGCCAACGATACGCTTTTCCCACAGATTGGCTCCATGTCGATCAGATTCAAGGCGAATGGAGCGCGTTCAATGACATTCTTAAGCGCAAAGATGATTCGATAAAGGACCAGGTAGCCGGACTGCAGCTCAAGATCGTCGCCGAGGACAAGGTGGTGGATCAACGAATCAATGACTTTTGCACCGAATGGGAGGTGAACAAGCCTCTCCAGGGAAGCATCAAAGCAGAAACCGCTATCAACACTCTGAACGTCTTTGATGGCCGTCTGACACGCCTCTCCGAGGAGTATGAGCTCGTCTGTCGAGCCAAGGAGGCTCTTGATCTCGAGCATGCCAAGCATGATAGGCTGCAGCCGGTCACCGAGGAACTTCGTGACTTGAAAGCCGTCTGGACAGCCTTGTCAGGCATCTGGGGACGCTTGGCTCAACTCCGTGAGACGCCCTGGTCGACCGTCCAGCCTCGCAAGGTGAGGCAGGAACTCGACGCGATTCTCGCTTCCACGCGTGAAATGCCCAGCCGCATGCGTCAGTACGCCGCTTTCGAGTACGTTCAAGATGCTCTTCGAACCCTGCTCAAGGTCAACGTACTTGTCTCCGAGCTCAAGTCAGAAGCCCTGCGCGAGAGACACTGGAACAAGCTGTACAAGGCGTTGTCAAGCGGACATCAATCTGGCATGACGCTCGGACAAGTCTATGATCTCGATCTAAGGAAGAACGAGTCCTTGATCAAAGAAGTGGTTGGGCAGGCTCAAGGCGAAATGGCTTTGGAGGAGTTCTTGAAACAGGTCCGGGAGACCTGGACTTCTTATTCTCTCGATCTCACAAATTATCAGAACAAGTGCCGACTGATCAGAGGATGGGACGAGCTCTTTACCAAGTGCGGCGAGCATCTCAATTCCTTCTCTGCGATGAAGTTGTCTCCGTACTACAGAGGTGAGCAGCGATCGAGGCGCGGGCTGACCAAGAGTCTTCGAGGATGATGCTGCGTCTTGGGAGGACAAACTGAATCGCATTCATGTTCTCTTCGACGTATGGATTGATGTTCAGCGTCAATGGGTATATCTCGAAGGCATCTTCGCTGGCAGCGCCGACATCAAACACCTGCTGCCGGTGGAAAGCTCTCGATTTCAGAACATCAACACCGAGTTCTTGACGGTCATGAAGAAAGTCAACAAGTCACCTTTCGTCCTCGATATTCTCAACATTCCTGGTATTCAGAAGAACCTCGAACGTCTGGCGGACCTCCTCACCAAGATTCAGAAAGCACTCGGCGAGTACCTCGAGAAGGAGCGATCATCCTTTCCTCGATTCTACTTTGTCGGAGATGAAGATTTGTTGGAAATAATAGGTAACAGCAAGGACATCGTGCGAATCATGAAGCATTTCAAGAAGATGTTCGCAGGTATCGCTCTTTTGCAGCTGGACGAGTCGGAGTCGCAGATTCTCGGCTTTGCTTCAAAAGAAGGTGAACAGGTCAGCTTCCGCTCGCCCATCAACCTCAAGGACTATGCCAAGATCAACGATTGGCTTGCCAAGGTCGAGTCCGAGATGCGCCTGTCACTTGCTGCTCTCCTGTCACAAGCCGTGAAAGACTTTAGCTTCTTCGATCCCGATAGCAATCTCGACCGATTCCTTCCTTGGATCGAATCGTATCCAGCTCAGCTCGTCGTACTTGCTGCGCAGATCGCGTGGACTAGGCTTGTGGAGGCCCACTTGGACAGCTTGGATACTGTGCTGGCGATAATCACACGCTCGCTCGATCTTCTGGCGGATACGGTGCTACAGGATATCCCCACTCTGCAACGCCAAAAGTGCGAACACCTTATCACAGAGCTCGTACACCAGCGAGATGTTGTACGTTCTCTTATTAACAGCGGTATGCGCGATCCATTTGAGTGGTTGTATCACATGCGTTTCTACCTCAACGAATCAATTGCCGATCCCCTCGCTCAGCTCGAAGTCAAGATGGCCGACGCCGTCTTCCCATATGGCTACGAGTATCTGGGCATTCCCGATCGGCTCGTACAAACTCCGCTCACAGACCGGTGTTATTTGACCTTGACCCAGGCACTCCATTCGCAATTAGGAGGATCGCCCTTCGGTCCCGCTGGAACCGGCAAGACGGAGTCTGTAAAAGCCTTGGGCGTTCAATTGGGCCGCTTTGTCCTAGTCTTTTGTTGTGACGAGACATTTGACTTTCACGCCATGGGTCGCATCTTCGTCGGCCTCTGCCAAGTCGGCGCATGGGGATGCTTTGACGAGTTCAACCGCTTGGAAGAGCGTATCTTATCCGCGGTCTCGCAACAAGTACAGACCATTCAACAGGGCTTACAATCTGGGAGTGGCGAGGTGGAGCTCGTCGGCAAAAAGCTGATCATCAACCAACGCACTGGTATATTCATCACCATGAACCCTGGCTATGCTGGTCGATCCAATCTCCCGGACAACTTGAAAAAGCTGTTCCGAAGCATGTCTATGACTCGACCCGACCAAGAATTGATCGCGCAAGTTTTGCTCTTCTCAAGAGGTTTCCGAACAGCAGAGACTCTCGCGTCAAAGATTGTGCCATTCTTCAATCTTTGTCTTGAGCAGCTTTCTGGCCAACCTCACTATGATTTCGGCCTCCGGGCACTCAAAGCCGTGCTCGCGAGCGCTGGAGTATTGAAGCGAGATCAGCCGGAAAGGATGGAGCAACAGATCATGATCCAGTCTGTGACTGAAACAATCGTGCCCAAGCTGGTGGCGGAAGATGTGCCTCTGCTTCGAGCGTAAGTTCTTTGGGGTCTTTCCGAACTGATCGGTAGGCTGCTTGAAGATGTTTTCCCGGGCGTCGAGTATGTTCCCATTAATCTCGACAAGCTCAAGGAAAAGATCGTCGAGGTCTGCACGGAGCGCAATCTCGTTGCCGGTCCGGCTTGGATCGAAAAGGTCATTCAACTGTACCAGATCCAAAAGATCTCCCATGGTTTGATGATGGTCGGACCATCTGGTTCGGGAAAAACTCAGGCTTGGCAGGTCCTTCTCGCAGCGCTCGAGCGCTTTGATGGCATTGAGGGTGCGCCTTATGTCATTGACCCCAAGGCTATCGACAAGGAAGCTCTGTACGGGACGCTGGATCCAACCACGCGCGAATGGAATGATGGTCTGTTTACCCATATACTGCGAAAAATCGTGGACAATGTGCGAGGGGAGACGACAAAACGCCACTGGATCATCTTTGATGGAGATGTTGATCCTGAGTGGGTCGAAAATCTCAACAGGTGAGTCGCGCGTAAATCCTCTACTAATCTCAAGTGTGCTTGATGACAATAAGCTACTGACTCTCCCGAACGGCGAGCGGCTCAATCTGCCGCCCAACGTGAGAGTCATGTTCGAAGTCGAACACCTCCGATTTGCCACTCTTGCCACAGTCTCTCGGTGTGGTATGGTGTGGTTCAGTGACCAAGTGATTGAAACCGGTATGATTTGCCGTCACCATCTGAACAAGCTCGCAACGGCATCCGTGGAGACCGAAGAAGATTACAGCGACCTTGTGACTCAAAAGCGGGTGGTAGACATCCTCGAGCCATTCTTCGAGGATGATGGCCTAGTTGCCGTTGCTTTGGATTTTGCAATGTCGAGGGCACACATTATGGATTTTACAGTCATCCGGGCGCTCAACACTCTGTTTTCACTTTTGGGCGCTACGATTCGCAATGTCGTCGAGTACAATGCTCGACACCCAGACTTTCCACTTCCTCTGGACCGTATCGAGGCATACGTGCAGCGTCGTTTACTTCTAAACATCGTCTGGTCGTTCTGTGGAGACTCGCAGCTGGACATACGGGCTGAGCTGGGAGAACGTCTGCGTCAACAATCCGGGGTAGAGACGCCGCAAGGCTCGCTGATCGACTTTGATGTCGACGTAGCGTCTGCATCTTGGGTCGCGTGGCAGTCAAGAGTTCCTACAATTGATGTCGAAACCCACGCAATCACGTCCGCCGACATAGTGATTCCGACGATCGACACGGTCCGTCATGAAGAAGTACTTTACAGTTGGTTAGCGGAGCACAGGCCTCTGATCCTATGTGGACCGCCTGGATCCGGAAAAACCATGACCCTGTTCTCAGCATTGAGAAAGCTATCCGATCTGGAAGTCGTCGGTCTCAACTTTTCGAGCGCCACAACACCTGAGCTCATTCTTAAGACCTTTGAGCAATATTGCGAGTATCGAAAGACACCAAATGGCGTGGTCTTGTCACCTATTCAGATGGGTCGATGGTTGGTTGTGTTTTGCGATGAGATCAATCTTCCCGCAACCGACAAGTATGGAACGCAGCGAGTCATCTCGTTCATGCGACAACTTCTGGAATGCAATGGGTTCTGGAGGACATCGGATCTCGCTTGGGTCAAACTCGAGCGCATTCAATTCGTCGGCGCTTGTAACCCTCCTACAGACCCTGGACGAGTGCCTCTTTCTCATCGATTCTTGCGACATGCGCCCGTCGTCATGGTCGATTACCCTGGCGATATTTCGCTCAAGCAGATTTACGGGACCTTTAACAGGGGTCTACTCAAAGTCATTCCCAACCTCCGTGGCTATTCAGAAGCTCTCACGGACGCAATGGTCGCATTCTACGGCGCTTCTCAGAAAAAGTTCACCGCGGATGAGCAAGCGCATTACATCTATTCGCCGCGAGAGTTGACACGATGGAGTCGCGGTATCTACGAGGCCATCAAGCCGCTCGAAACACTATCCGTCGAAGGCTTGGTACGGATCTGGGCGCATGAAGCATTACGCCTCTTTGGTGATCGTCTCGTGACCGAAGTGGAGAAGACCTGGACAGACGAGAGAATCGACGCGATTGCTGCAGAGTATTTCCCACAGATCAATCGAGAAGAGGCTTTGGTTCGACCCATTTTGTTTTCTAATTGGACCTCGAGGCATTACATACCCGTCGATCGAGACCAGCTGCGCGAATACACCAAGGCGAGACTCAAGGTTTTCCACGAGGAGGAGCTCGATGTTCAGCTGGTTCTCTTCAACGACGTCCTTGATCATGTCCTCAGAATTGACAGAGTTTTCCGCCAGGTGCAAGGTCATGTGCTCCTGATCGGAGTCAGTGGCGGCGGCAAGGTGAGCGTTTCTGACAATTTTGCTGACCTCAGACCACACTATCGCGCTTTGTCGCGTGGATGAATGGTTTGAGCATCTTCCAGATCAAGGTGTCGAACAAGTATACTGGAGCGGACTTTGACGAAGATTTACGGACTGTTCTTCGCAGAGCTGGCTGCAAAGGCGAGAAGATCTGCTTCATCATGGACGAATCCAACGTGCTCGACTCAGGCTTCCTCGAACGCATGAACACTCTGCTTGCCAACGCCGAGGTCCCCGGTCTCTTTGAGGGAGATGAGCACGCCGCACTCATGACCGCTTGCAAGGAAGGTTCGCAACGAGATGGTCTCATGCTCGACTCGCCTGAAGAGCTGCACCGCTGGTTCACGCAACAAGTTGCGCGCAATCTTCACGTTGTGTTCACTATGAATCCCCCGGCCAATGGTTTAGCTTCGCGCGCCGCCACCTCGCCCGCTCTCTTCAACAGATGTGTCTTGGACTGGTTTGGTGATTGGTCCGATCAAGCACTTTATCAAGTAGCACTGGAGTTCACTGCGACCTTGGATTTGGATGGGGGCCTATGGTCTGCTCCAGCTCCATTCCCCATCGCCTATCGGGAACTGCCGATGCCTCCCACTCATCGTCAGGCGGTGGTCAACGCCATGGTATATGTACATCAGTGCATGCAGAGCACGACTCTGCGCTTGGCAAAACGTCAGGGCAAGTATAACCATGTCACACCGAGACATTTCCTCGACTTGTGAGTGCTGAATGTCTGCGCCGTCGCTGACATCAGTATCAACCACTATGTCCGCCTTTTCAACGAGAAAAAGAGCGAGCTGGAAGATCAACAGCGTCATCTCAATGTCGGTCTCGACAAGCTTCGCGAGACAGTCAGCCAGGTAGAAGAACTCCGTAAAAGTCTCGCCGTGAAGAATCAGCAGCTTGAGACCAAGAACCACGAGGCGAATCAGAAGCTGAGACAGATGGTGTCTGATCAGCAAGAAGCCGAGGCGAAGAAGGTGGCTTCGATCCAAATCCAGGCTGCGCTAGCGGAGCAGGAGGAGTTCATCCGCCTGCGATCCGATATTGTCAAGGCCGACCTTGCAGAGGCCGAGCCGGCGGTCTTGGAGGCACTCGCTGCGGTTGGAAACATCAAGAAGCAACATCTGTCCGAAGTACGATCCATGGCCAACCCTCCTGAAGCCGTGAAGCTCGCCATGGAATCCGCCTGCACAGTCTTGGGTCACCAGATTGATAGCTGGCGAGCTGTTCAAAGCGTTATCAGGCGAGAAGATTTCATCTCAAGTATTCAAAACTTTGACACCGGACGTATGTCCAAGAGTGTTCGGGATAGAATGATGCGTGATTATATTGGCAAACCTGCATTCAACTACGAGACGGTCAATCGTGCCTCACGAGCTTGTGGGCCTCTGGTACAGTGGGTCATTTCCCAAATACGATACTCGGACATTCTCGACAAGGTGGCGCCACTTCGGGAGGAGGTTGCATCTCTTGAAGCTCAATCGGAGACTACCAAGCAGCAAGCCCAGATTGTCATGGAGACGGTCGCCGAGCTAGAAGAGTCGATCGCGCAGTACAAGGAGGAATACGCCCTACTCATCAGCGAGACACAGGCCATCAAGAACGAAATGGATAGGGTGCAAAGTAAAGTTGATCGCAGTATGACCCTGCTCGAGTCGCTCTCCTCAGAGCAGGAGCGATGGGATGCTGGTAGCAAGACCTTCGATGTCGAGATGGGCACCATCGTGGGCGACGTCATGATCTCCGCCGCATTCCTGGCCTATAGTGGTTACTTTGATCAACACTACCGAGAGACAATGAAACGCGAATGGCTGGATCATCTCACCGAAGCTGGCATTTCGTTCAAGCTTGATCTCGCAATCTCCGAATTCTTGTCGACAGCAGACGAACGAGCTCATTGGCAGGCCAACAGCCTTCCCGCGGACAGTCTCTGCGTTGAGAATGCTGTCATGCTCAAGCAGTACAATCGATACCCGCTCATCATTGATCCGACTGGTCAGGCTACCGCTTTCCTAGCCAATGAATACAAAGACCGAAAGATCACCGTCACGAGTTTCCTGGACGAATCGTTCGTGAAGAATCTCGAGAGTGCCTTGCGTTTCGGGAATCCACTGCTGATCCAAGATGTGGAGAATTTGGATCCTATTCTCAATTCCGTGCTGAACAAGGAACTCAGGCGGACAGGCGGACGAGTCCTCATTCGCATTGGCAACCAAGATATCGACTTTTCCCCTGCTTTCAACATGTTCTTAACTACACGGGATCCTTCTGTCGAGTTTTCGCCCGATATCTGCAGTCGAGTTACGTTTGTCAATTTCACCATGACCCGAAGCAGTCTGCAAACGCAGGCTTTGGACAAGGTGTTGAAGGTGGAGCGACCAGAAATCGATCAGCGCCGTAAAGATCTTGTCAATGCTCAAGGCGAGTTCCGCCTGAGACTACGCTATCTCGAGCGTTCTCTACTACAAGCTCTCAATGAATCATCCGGCAGTATTCTGGACGACGACAAGGTCATTGAAACGCTGGAAGTGCTGAAACGCGAGGCATTCGAGATTACCAAGAAGGTCGAGATTACAGATATGGTCATGAGGGAGGTCGAATCGGTCACGGCAGAGTACATGCCCCTCGCTCAGGCCTGCAGTGGTATCTACTTCACACTCGAGCAGCTCGCGACCGTCAATCATTTCTACCAATTCTCTCTGGCGTACTTTCTGGAGATCTTCGACCACATTCTGTTGCAAAACCCCCGTTTGAATGGAGTCAGGGACCCCAACGAGCGGAAACAGATCCTGTTGGACGACATATTCCTTGAAACGTACAAAAGAGCCTCACGGACGCTTCTCCATGCCGACCACCTTGTCCTCGCGATCACGCTCGCCAAACTGAGACTCAAAGGTGACAGTGGCGAAGCTGTGTTGGACGAACTCGATGCTATTCTGCAATTGCCTCCGGGGACAGGGCAAGATGATTTCCATCTTAGCCAGGATCAGCAGAGGAGCTTAACAGCTTCCCTCGGCCCAGAGATGTTCAAGACGCTCCAGGCGAATCTATCGCAGTCGGAATGGGAGAGTTTCCCCGGGGAGATGCCTTGGCCTTGGTTGCCAGCGGACGGTGAGTGAGCAAGCGTGACTCAAACTGATGTGCAGATCTCGTCAAGGCGGCCCGCAAGGTCACTCTTGTCCGTCTCTTCCGACCCGATAAGGTCATGTCTGCCTTATCTACTCTCGCGGACAAATCATTCCAAACGGACCTCATCAGTCAAGCAGCGTACGACCTCGAATCGATCGTCAACAACGAGGTTGGCGTGCACCCTGTTGCGCTGGCCTCTGTCCCAGGATACGATGCGAGTTACCGTGTCGACAATATGGTGCGGTCGATGGGGGTTACATGTGCTTCCGTTGCGATGGGATCTGCGGAAGGTTTCACACTCGCCGAACAAGCCATTGCCAATGCCGCTCGGACTGGTACCTGGGTCTTGCTCAAGAATGTCCATCTTGCTCCTGGTTGGCTGGGTCAACTCGAGAAGCGACTGCAGAGTCTCTCGCCGAATCGCAATTTCCGCCTGTTCCTCACTATGGAGACGAACCCATCTGTACCTGTCAACCTCCTACGTCACTCACGTATCATTATGAACGAGCCGCCTCCTGGTGTCAGGGCCAACTTGCTTGACACGCTGCGCGGACTTCCTCAATCCAAGCTCGTCACTGGACCGGCCGAGAAGCCTCGGTTGCTGTTCCTTCTGTCTTGGTTCCACGCGGTCGTCCAGGAGCGTCTCCGATACCTCCCTCTCGGATGGAGCAAAGGCTACGAGTTCAATGATTCTGACTTCGATGCGGCACTGGGGACAATCGATTCTTGGCTCACGACACTGGCGAAGGGCAAGGCGAATGTCGACCCGGCTCAGATTCCATGGGTCGCCATTCGGACGCTTATCAAACAAGCCGTCTACGGGGGTCGTGTAGACTCTGACTATGATCAGCGTGTCGTTGACGCGTTTGTGGATCGAGTGTTCAGTCCACGAGCTTACGAGTCGGAATATATCCTCGCACCTGGCGTCACTGTGCCCGAAGGTACCCAAGTGTCTCAATTCATCGAATGGGCAAGTCGTCTACCTGAGCGAGAGCCCCCGAGCTGGTTGTGCCTGCCACTGTCGGCAGAGTCGGTGGTTGCAGCCGCTGAAGGTGGGCAAATCGATGCGTGACTTGGCTGACAATCAGGCGACAACGTGATGGTGAAACTGCGCAAGATGCGGAGTGCGGAGGACGACGGCGACGACGCGGCGACTGGAATCGCCACAGAGGGACCACCGGCATGGATGGCCTCGCTGAAAGCTCATGCCGAAGGATGGCTCACTGCGATACCCAAAACTCTCAGCACACCACCTGCAGAGGCCTCCCCTCTGGGTAGATTCTTCGCTCGCGAGGCGTCGACTGGACAACGATTGTTGCAGAGGATCCGCGCGGATCTATCGGACTTGGTGTTGGTCTGCGGTGGTCAAATGAGACAAACCAATGAGCTCCGGTCGCTCATATCCGAGCTTGTCAAAGGTGAATTGCCGGAGTGGGCAGATCAAGCTGATACAAATCAGGCTCCATTCCTTCGCACTGGCGCAGGTACAAGACTCCAAATGGACTGGACGTCGGTCAATTTGTGTCGAATCTGATCGAACGACTCACTCAACTGGAAAGTATCGCTTCGCGACCCGAAGCCAAGCGTAGCATCTGGCTCGGCGGTTTGTTCCAGCCCGAAGCATATGTCACTGCCACCCGACAGACTGTGGCACATCAAAAGGGATGGTCGTTGGAACAGTTAATTCTGAGTCTGGACGTGGAGGAAGACGGCGACCCAGATGCCTTTACTGTGCAGGGTAAGCCGGGCTGAGCGTTTCCATACGACGTGTCTGACATGGACTCAAGGACTCAAGCTTGAAGCTGCTGCGTGGCAAGATGGTCTTCTCCGTCTCAACGACGGTCAATCGGTGCTCTTGGGTCCTTCCCAACTGACTTGGGTTCGAAAAGATGTCATGCCTGCCCGTAAACATGCCGTCAATGTTCCTGTCTACCTCAACGGAGATCGAGCGGCTGTCTTGTTCAGCGTGGACTTGGAGACTGAAGGGTTGGATCAAGCTGTGGTCGCTCAGAGCGGAGTGTGTCTGACGGCTTGATTGGGTGCGAGGCGAGATCCTAATCGTAGTCGATTCCAAAATGTAATCAAATGTTAATCTGGAATTTCTAATGACGTGCTTTTCCATTGTAGATCCATTTTTTGCATCAACATCAAGAGGTCTCTCTCTAATTATCTTCGTCGAGACGACTTTTGACTTTGGGGCTGGGCGTTCTGATAGTCACCATCGCCTGTGGCGAGAAGCGACAGCTGAGTGTCAACGCATCCTTGTGATTTTGGTGTCATGGCCAGCAAGAACGGCAATGGGCTACATCCAGCCCCTGTGCTCCCAGCCATGGGCCTCCACTCTTTCCACAATGACTCGTGAGTATAATTGATCAAAATTGACCACAAAGTATTGAATCCCAAAAGCCCTCCATTCGCAGCTGCGTCCGAGTTCCCCATCCCCTCACCTGAACATCTATCCCTAGATGCCGTGGTTTCTTCCGCTCGGTCTTCCGTTTCTCCACCCATGGGACAGCACGGCCAATCTTCAAGCTCGGCGACTCCCCCGGCTATGCCGATACCGACGAGAGGGTTTGATGTGCCTTCCGTCGCTCAACGACAGAATGGAATGACCGGCGCTCATTCTCGTATACCCACTGATCCTTCCGATGAAGCATTATCGACATCACGTAGCAGACGTCTGATGTCAGGTTATATTTTCGGTAATCCCCCTTCACCAGATAACACCACCCGACACGCAATGTACAGCAATCTGGTGAACGAGCGACATCCAACACCCCCGTTGAGAGATCTCCAAGGGCGTGACTCTCCTCCTTTATCTGAATTCACGGCTCCTTCTTCACCTACGACGGCTGGGGAAGGCATGGACTCTGCGGCAGCAGCAGCGAGTCTGGCCAAATTGAAAATGTCGACTGAAGCTCCTGGTGGAGGAGATGATGGATTGCCGAGGACCGATACGTACGACCCGTTGACGGGTTTGAACGATGGAGAGGCGGATCTGGACGAGAGTGCACCGCAAGCGGCATTCACCACGGCTGAATACATGAAAGGGGAAGATACCGAGGCTGGGAAATATCGTTTTCCAAGGCACAGATTAAGGAAGACTATGAAGGGTGAGTCTAAGGGGCTGATAGTACAAGCTGATACGGCAGATGAGACAAAGATACCACTGGTCATCGGTAGGCAGTATCTAAAGATGACTCGCTGACGTTTTCCTAAAGTCGCATGTGGCTCTTTCTCCCCTCCCACATATCTTCACTTGAGAATGTTCGAAATGGCCAAGGATGAGATTGTCGAATCACAGACCTTTGAGATTATGGGTGGTTATTACTCGCCAGTGTAGGTGTTCCACCAAAATAAGTCACACTCACTCGTCAGCTCTTCGAAGTACAAGAAAGCTGGACTGGCAGCAGCGCAGGACCGGGTTCGAATGTGTGAATTGGCAGTCGAACATACGTCCACATGGCTCATGGTGGATCCGTGGGAGGCCGGTCAACCAGAATATCAACGTACAGCTGTGGTCCTTGAGCACTTTGACGAAGAGCTCAATGCTCGAAGTGGAGGTGTGACGATGAGTGATGGGAAAAAGAGACGATACAAGGTCATGCTGTTGGCAGGAGGCGATTTGATCGAGAGTTTCGGTGAACCCGGAGTCTGGAGTGAACCAGACGTAGGTGGAGCGAGGTACGAGATATGCTGATATACAGTTACACATCATCTTGGGACGATTTGGGTGCCTCATCGTGGAGCGGGCCGGATCAGACGTTTGGGCTTTTTTGCTTTCTCATGATATACTGTATTCTCATCGGTGAGATCAGTCACGCGAGCGCTTGAGCTGACTCTCTAGGCGCAACGTCATTGTCATCAAGCAGCTGATCTACAATGACATTTCGTCCACCAAAGTTCGATTGTTCGTGCGCAGGGGCATGAGCATAAAGTGAGTTTTCTGTGCGTATCGCATCTGACAATCTAGGTACCTTTTGCCGAATAGCGTTATCCAGTATATATACGATAATCAGCTGTATCGGGGTTCTGATGCGAGACTCATCCAATAGTCATCAAGCGGCATGTTGTACCTCTATGCATCTATATTAGACTATTTCTTGTCCTGTCCCAGGCCAGAGGCACTGCAAGTCAGCAATCCGTACGACGTGCGCCACCCACTGGTTCGTAGCCACTTGAATAGCTCGTGCCATCGTTGATCTGACTCGCCCGTCCTCCAGTGTCAGTAGACCAGCGATGGTGCATCCTCCCGGGGCTGGACGTGAGCGACGACTCTTTGGTTATGCTACTCACTCGTCACGCTATCTTTGAGTTGAGCAGGATGTAATCCAGCATACAGTGCCATCCTCCCTGTTCCCTGCATAGCTGGTTTCACTTGAGCATGGGGTCTGTTTGCCCTCTCACTTACTCTGCGCTGCCAGCTCCAAAGCCTCTGGACGCGGTAAACCCATCATGACTCCACCGTCTGTCATTGCCTCGAGGACCAGCGCGGAGAATGCTGGTCCACTCCCCGCTAGAGCCGTACAGGCGTCAAAGTGCTTCTCATCGAGGAATCGACAGCGTCCACACGAGGTGAAGATGGCCAAAAGGATAGATCGATGAGTTGCCGATGACAGCGGAGTGACGACTGTCATTCCTTCTCGGATCTGCACGTGTAGAGAGAGTCTTCAGCTGAAGGGGATTTGCGTGTGGGAGGCTCACCTTGCATGGCGTATTTGGCATGGCCCTGACGACTGTGACACTTTGAGGGACCCAAGATTGTAATTGAGCTATGGTGACACCTGCGCAGATGGACACGACAAGTTTCCCTTGGAGAGCTTCTGCGATGCCCGGTTCAGATAAGATGACACGAGCGATCTGAGGTTTGGAGCTAGAACGATGATTCAGCATGTCCGCATTTGATGATGATGATGATGGTATACAGATAAGCGACCACCCACCAGACCAAGATGACATCCGAGTCTTTGACTGCGCTGACGTTGCCTTCTCCGGCTCTAATCTCAACATTCCCACCTAGACCTCCCATGGAATCGAAAACCTTTCTCAATTTTCGTCCCGTTTCTATACGTCCAACGGTAGCTATAAAGTTTGAAGGTAGAGCCTCATCAGGTGCTTCGAGGAATTGATTGGCAGTCGGTGTAGAGATTCCACTGGGCGGTTCGAGGCCTTGTTGAGCTGATCCATTGGGGAATGATCTTATGCGGGATTCCAGAGAGGATAGAACGCCAGAGAGGATGGCGATGCCCATGGTCCCGCATCCTGAATGCTGTCAGTCCTATCAGAAAGGGATAGTACAGAGCATATATCACCTAGCACCGCGAGGTTATACCCCATGTTGCACTCGCTATGCAGTATGAATGAAAGATAACAGAATCTTGAACACAAGACAGTAGAATATTTCCGACTCGACGCATTTCGGAAAAGGCTTGGCTCAATAATAGATCAATATCCGGTCGATCGCTATTTGTTCTTTTTACCAGACCGTATACAACGCTGACAGAAGACAGTAGTGGTGAAGTGTGCAATGTCGTCGGCCGAAGCATCGAGCAGCAAGGTGAGTCTCAGGATTGATACTCGGTGCTGACCGGGTCTATCTCAGCTCCCTCCGATTCAGAAGGGAGCTTCCCTCATGATCGCCTATCGTTTAGAAGATCGCCCGGTCCTACTCATAGGAGGTGGAGTCGTGGCGGCTGGGAGACTTTTCTTCTTGCTCGAGGCTGGAGCTCGTGTGACGCTCGTATCCCCTCCTCCACTTCACCCAGACATATCCGAACGGCTATCGACCAACCCCCACGATATCACTTGGCATTCCAGGTCGTTTGACCCTGTAAACGATGACATTCACGTCCAGGATTTCGCCATGGTCCTCACTGCCATTGATGAAGTTGAGATTTCCAGACAGATCTGTGATCTTTGTCGGGAGCATCGTGTCCCGGTGAACGTCGCGGACATTCCACCCTCCTGTGATTTTTACTTTGGTGCTCAACTTCGACGAGGTCCACTTCAAATCATGGTTTCCACGGGCGGCTCTGGACCTAAAATCGGAGCCATGGTCAGAGATATAGTGGATCGAGCATTACCTGAGAATCTTGAAGAAGCCATAGAAGGGGTAGGTCTGCTCAGAGGGGATCTGAGAGTCAGAGCACAAGGTGTAGGTGGGAGCATTGGAAGACGGAGAATGCAGTGGATGATAGGGATTTGCGATGCGTGGGGGCTCGAGTCCATGGCAAAGTTGAGGGATGAAACGGTAAGGAAAGCAGTATTGGATCATGGATGGGAAGGAGACAGAGTTGTCAGGCCTTCCGATGTGGGACTGAGAGAGGAGAAGAACAGAAGGAGGAGATTGATAGATTGGTCCTATGCCGGTTGGTATGCGGCAGGTCTGGGCGGAATGGTCACTGGAATGACTTTAGGCATGGTCGGCACCATATGGATGCTCAAGAGGCCCTCACGGTAGGAAAGGGGTATGATATCATGCATTGACATGGACAATCTAATCACGCCAGAAGCACCATTGTGACCCATCATGGAGGCGACCTTCATTGGATCAACACTTGTATATTGAACTTGACCGAACCCTTCGTTTCAGAATAATCACCATTTTCCTGCCTTTTGAGTAGGATCGCTCCACCGTTGAGACACCATTGTTGTTACCGTATTACTATTCTCTTGCTCTATACGAGCGACGCGGGCTTTGCCTCTCTCTGACACTCGTCACAGTTCTGTCAAGTCACTCTAGGCACTGCTTGCGTAGTCAGCGTGTCCTCGGTCTAGCAGGCAGCCTATTCCAGACCGCGCATCCCATCCCACACCGCTCCTTTTGAAAAATTGCGCGCTGAGCCTCAGCAGCTAGTAAGTAGTCATTACGTCTTTGTCATATACCGCACGCAGGCTCAAGAAAAAAAAACGGTTGAGGTTCCACCATACACTTATACCTACATCTTGGCGTCGAGGAGCTCATCTGGAGATCGACATCCATCAGGCGTCGAGCAGCATGGGCTTCAATTCTCCAATCCCAGGCAAGTCCGATCACCTGTTCCCAATCCTGAAACGTTTTCATTATATTATTGCTCTTCTCCTCGGCAACCTTGCTAATTTTAGACTTCTTTCTCCAGTGAGATTACAAGACGAGACGAGAAAGGCGGCAAAGATATGTAAGTAGGATGTAGCGAGCGAGCGAGCGAGCGAGCGAGCGAAATCTGATCGACCGTCATCCAGTGAGAAGCTTCACAAGTGGGAAAGATGTGGATCTTGACAAGGTGAGGCAGGCAGGCCGGCAGGCAAGGACACCAACCAGGGTTGAGATGAAAGTTCTCGCTCATAAGTCTTTTCCCCCCAGATCATTCCCAGAGGTATCCTTGAACGAGCGGCTGGATTCGCCATCTTCACCGTGGTCAAGGCTGGGTTTGTCATTTCGGCGAGAGCGGGATCAGGGATCGTGATTGCCAGGACGAGCGATGGAGGCGAGTAGGCGAAGCTTGCTGGCGAATCTTATGCTGAAGAAATCGCCCACAGGTTGGTCACCGCCAAGTGCTATCGGTCTGGGAGGATTTGGGTTTGGAGGACAGCTAGGTGCAGAGTTAGTTTTCCCTTCCTCATCAGCTTGCGAGTCAGCTGACACGAGCAGAGTCACCGATTTTCTCATCATCCTTAATGTGAGCTTCATTCCCCTACGCTGGAATGCCACTGACACCGCTCGCAGAACCGAGCAGCCGTCACTACTTTTATGTCTGCTGGATCTCTCACCCTCGGCGGCAATCTTTCCGTCGCTGTCGGTCCGCTAGGTCGAAACGCCGAAGGATCAGGCGCCGTGAACTCGAAGGGCAACATGGCCGCCATGTACTCTTACTCCAAGACCAAGGGTCTATTTGGAGGTGTATCCGTCGAAGGATCTGTGATCGTAGAACGCCAAGATGCCAATCGACTGGCATACGGTGGCAACGTCAGCGTCACTCAAATTCTGACCGGTCAATTCGATGCTCCACCATGGGCAAATGTCTTGATGGAAGAGATCGGCAGAGTCACAGGTCACAGACAAGGCAAACGAGGGGAGTTTGATGATCTGAGGAACCCAGCTTCCAGATCAAAGTGGGAAGACGAGGAGGATGACGATGATGATGAGCCTTGGTCGACACCGCCAAAAGTTGTCGCGAATCGGGACCGTAGTGGGAGCAACGCCAGTGGATACGCCTTTGGAGATGGGAGAGGTGGTCTGGGGAATACACCCTCCACTCCGCCTAATCGCAGTCGAGCGAGTTCAATCCTTCGGAAGAATCCTGACCCTGGTCCTGGTTCCCTTAATGGATACGAACCGAACGACCGTTCGAGCCCGCGACCTGGTCTGGCGAAACGAGCCAGCTCGTTGATCGGTTTTGGAAGCGGATCAAATTCCCCGAAGCGTCAGGGTCTGCCACCATCGAGCGAGTCTTATAACGCCGGATTGACCTGGGACTCGGATGGACCTGTAGGCTATGGAGGACGATCACGGAGCAGCTCCAATGCAGCCCCGATAGGTGAGGACGATGCTGGTGATTGGGGAAAAGGCACGCTTTCAAGCAACGGAGGAACAACGGCAAGAGGCGACACTACACGCCGGAATGATGCTCGGTTCGTCGAAGAGCGCTTGACCAGCTCTTTCGGGGCCCTGAGTGTGGGCAATGGAAGCAGGAATGGGACTTCGTCAGGCACTCGATCTCGAAGTAATTCGAAGCCGCCTGCATTCAACAACATAGCGGAGGATGAGTATATCCCTCACGAGACTGAATCTCGATTCGCCAAATTCGGTTCTCCGCCCGTACCAACCTCCACCAAACCAGGCCGAAATTCGCGTCCTACAGCTACACATGTATCCGATGGTGGACCATTCGGCTCCGACAGTATCGAACGGAGACCATTTGATGATTATTTCAACAATGACACTCCGGAACCGGATCCGTTCAACGGACCTAGTAGTACTCATCGGACGTCAACGTCCGCGCCCCCTAAACCTAACCTTGGACTGAAAGCTGGTCTAGGCGAGGCGAATGATGGGTACGCGAGAGCCGTAGCGCTGTACGAGTTCAAAGCTCAGCAAAGTGGTGATTTGGGATTCGTCAAGGGAGATGTGATCATCCTCAAGGACAAGGTTGGGAATGGAGAGTGGTGGAAAGGTATCAAGGTGACTTCAGGAGGAGGCAAAGAAGGCATGTTCCCGAAGAGTTATGTCGAAGTGGTGGATCTGCCCAAGGACGTTAGGGGTGGATTGACCAGATCGGAGCTTAAATCGAGGGTCGCCTCGCCTTTCGAGTGAGAGTGAGAGTGGACTGGAATGGGTGGTTCGTGTGCGCTTTTTTCTGTACCCACTTGTCATTGTGTAGCGTACGTACCATTTTTCCTGTTTATCGTCACTTTTGCGAGATTGATTGATGTCCACATGTGTCGTGCATACAACGAACCTACAAGAAAAGATTATCTACTCCACTATTATTCTTCCTTCACCTGTTTATCTAGAATAGGCAGGCTCCCAGATCGAAACACAGTAATCCAGCACATAGGGCAGCTGTAGCCCCATCGGTAAATCAGCTCAACAGATTCCTCGTCTGATTTCCCTTGAAACGTGGCTCGCCACCATACCATGGTCTCACTCACCTAGACATCCACCGCCCGCCGCTGCGCCTGCTCCTCCTCCTCCGTACCCCGGTCTAGACTGTACGTAGACTGGTTGACCACTGCCATAAGCTTGTTGACCATAAGCTGGTTGACCGTAAGTTTGTTGACCGAATCCTTGTGGACCTCCGTAACCCATAGGTTGTTGTTGATTGCTAGGAAAAGGAAGCACGATGGTTTAGCGTCATGGGTTACTGGAATGGCGATGAATGGAGGTATTCTCACTAGTATCCTCTGTTCTCGCTCTGGCCTTGGTTCTGTTGCCAGTTCTGAGGCATCTGTGCGGTCGGGCTGAAAGGACGATAGGTATCAGTACAGTTCCCAGGTGGATGCGATGGAGCAAAAGAGAGCGAGAGAGAGTGAGTGAGAGGAACCACTCACTACCACTTGCCATCGGAGGCTTGGTACATCTGTTGACCATTCTGATTGGACTAGTCATTCAACGCGACACGAGAAGCGATCAGAGGTGGCGGTAAGAAAGGAATGAAGTAGTTGACGTGGGCAGGGCGTCAAGCGATTGAACACAGAAGTCGCAGTCGAATGATGGCAACATGAGGCAAACGAGGCAGTGAGATCGCAGAACGTCAGCACGATCCACTGAGGATTGAGAAGCGGGGATACTCACCTCTGGATATGGTTTACTCATGATGATGGTTGATTGAGCTCGTGTGTGAGTGTCTTGTATGGGTTGGTGGTAAAGTCCTGCAAGGTATGTATTTATATATCTGCGCTGGAGCTGTACAAGTCATGTGGAAAATCACTCGGTGAATGATCGTCATCAAATATCAGTCAATTGACGATTTTTATTTGATTCCGTTCGCCACCCGGAAATCACCGCAGGGCGGCGGGGCGACACAGCCACAGAAGGGGGGGGAGACTGAGTGGTCGGTGGAATCAGCCCCGGATCGCAGCAGCATCAGCAGCGTCAGCAGCAGCAGGAGGGCTGTGGAGGATGCCTTGAGCGTGAGGACACTGTCGTGTGGCGTGATTTACGAATCCCATCCAGAGCTCACTGGACGCTGAATCGTGATGATATTGGAGGACGCAGCGCTATCAGCTCCGACTCGGATCACACAAAGCACTGATAGGCAAAGCGTTGTGAGAAGCTGAAGGGGCTGAGCATTCGCTCCTTCCATCTTTTGGTCCTCGGTGTGCTATCATCTCTCAGAAGGTGCGAGCAGCCCTTATCACCAGAAGCCATGATTCACCCGAATTCGCCACATTCAGGCCTACTCCTTCTTACAAGAACAATAAGCGTGTGCCAGTCCATCAATCTTTTGGGAAAGATATGTCACCCGCTCCCAATTGAGTCGTGAAGAACGGGGGGCAGAAAGAATTTGGTCTTGTGTATAGTCTTGAATCGAAAGTCAGGCTGGTAGAGCGCCGACCGCAAAGCACGTCGAACCTCTCACTCGGATCGGTACGCGTCTACACATCATACCACACTTGCGCCATCATTCCTGACTCGGACCCCGCAGTCCACCTAACAGAAAGTTCAAGTGAAAAAAACTCGCACGGGGCCTCTAGCGAACTGTCGACATCTACTCGAATTGACCTGTTCGAGCCATCAGGGAGGTAGTCATTCATCGCTTGAGGACATTCTCTCTCTTTCACGACACGCATTCTCCTCCCTCATCTCGATACATTCTCAACCCTCTTGCCATCTCCCTAGTCCGACAATGTTCCCCTCCCGACCTCATAAACAAACCATGGCGGAGCTCAAGCTCCGTCGACTGACGGAACATAATCAGAGACTCCGTGAGGACTTGGCGAGACCGAGAGCGAGAGTCAGTGAGGCGAGTCTGAGGTGAGTTTTTGGGGTCTCACCACAAAGACGAGATTGGCCCCTCCCCTGCTAGTCCGAGTCGAGGTCTGACGGATGATCACAAGTCTTATTCAATACGCTCGAAGCAAGAAAGATCCAATGGTATGTATGCTCTGTTGGTCATCAAGTGCGTACTGACGCCTATCAGTTGCCGTCCGTCTGGGGTGCACCTGGTAAAGGAGAAGACCCATATGCTCCACCTGAAGAGTCAGGCTGTTGCTCCAGTGAGTCTGTGGTCGACTGCGCTGGCAGAGATCAAGCTAAAACGCTCGCAGTCATGTAATGGTTGTATATCGACGCTTTTCTTCCATCACGTTCGTTCCACACTCGAACACCTCTTATACACTTCGGATCGTTTACATGGACACGCTACATCCGTCTCCTGTGGGCCTCCAGCTCGAACTCTATGCATTGATTCGTACATGATCTCTCTCATATGGTGTGTGTTTTCCCCTTACGCCGGCAGACCATACTTTCGCCTTGCACTCGGCTCGAGATACAGCCATCCCAGCACCGTATCCCTCATTAGTACGAATGCCATCCTGTACTGCCACGGTAGGAACACGAGGGGTTTCGGTGGCACTCTGAGGGAAGGGACAAGGGATAATGGCCAGATGGGTATCAGTGGGAACGGCGATGGGTTCAGAGACAAGTGATATAGGATAGTCTCGACCACTGGTGGAAGGGTTGTCAATAGGCTGACTCGAGATGCCTTTTTCCCGCCGCTCACCTTTCTTCGGGTCGAGCAATAGCTTTTCCCAATCGTGTTTGATCCCTTGCTGGACCTCGCAATTCCCCTTCGAGCCCGATACAGCAGATTTCGTCCGGAAATCGTTATCAATCGTTCCCGGCAGTATAGCTGAATGAAGGATAAGCTTCGGTTCACCGCTGACGACCAGTATGACCTACACAAGAATCTGACACCCGATCCCTCGCATTCGACTCTACACGTTTCGACCAACATCAACGCAGCCGCCTTGGTCGATGCGTAGACGGCTCGACGTGGCGCGGGGATCATAGCGCCAACACTTGACAGGTGATGCATCGCAGGCGATCGAGAGGACGAAGCCAGTGTAGGAAGCTGGAGGCGAGTGAGTGGGAGACTGTTGTGAAGAGCCCAAGTGACAGGCGACTCACAAACGCCGCGAGGGCCAAAGTCGTACCTATGTAATTCACCTCCACGGACACCCTTGCATCTTCTGCCAGCCTGTCCAAGCCCTCTTTCGTCGGACCATCAGACTGGAACGCCCTTTTACCATGCGACGAAGTGGATGATGAAGACAAAGGTACGCCTGCGATATCCAAGAGCGTAGAGGTGGAGGGCACTCCAGCGAGAATATGTAATGTGTCAAGACCCTTCCACGCTGAGCGGATCAAATTCCCTTGATGAGCGCTCTGCTGCTTGAGCTGCTCAGATAGTGTACTCTCACCCTTGACAACCTCTTCTCTTATCCTTATGACGTCCTCTGTACTGGTCAGATCCCCGACGATAACCAATACTCTATCTTCCGCTGCGCCCAAAGCCAAACATTCCTTCTTGACCGATTCAAGTGCGTCCCTTCGTCTCGCCACGAGGCATCTAGCGTATGGTCGTCATCAGCGGTCTTGGCCAAAATCAAATGATAATTTTTCCCCTCTCTTCTTTTTCATATGTATACGCACATCCTCGCACCTCGTCCAGCGTAGACCAGTGCCAGATCTCTACCTATCCCACTACTTGCACCTAACAATACGACCCTCTCCTCCGATGGACGGATGATCGTCTCCCTTGAAGGCAGGGGCCGGGTTTTGAGGAGTCGAAGGAGGATAGGGAGGGACAAGAGGATGGTCCATGGTGAGACAGATGGCATAGTGAGTCTTGCTGGAGTGGAGTGGAATGTGATGTCGCTGAAGATCCGCACTGCTTGACAGCGTCCGTTGTCTATGTATGGGTCACTGGCAGCTCTCGGACTCAAAATTATTCCTGTCCGACGCAACTTGATGGGTCATTAGCTATCGTTTCTAATCGACTGCCTATAATGAGCCGAATCCTAATGATCATTAATCCAAGATGGTAAAGGGCCGATGGGGTTGCTGTGAATGCTGTGATGACGCGCCACGCGTGACTGCTTCCGGCATGCTCAGTTGGGACCCCCCTTCTCTGCCCCTTCGCCCCCGTTTCGACGTCATGGCGGTTTATGAATTTAACGTCTAAAATGGTAATGCCATTAGGATTTGTCACCCTTATTGATGTAATAAATGTAATAACCCCCTTTACCCCCCCCCCCCAAACTTTTACGCTTTGACCCGCATTTGAGTGACCTTGGCAAGAAGAAAGTACACAGCTCTTGGGTGTTCACTCTTTCTTCAACTGGCTTGGACAGCAGATTGAGATCATCGACTCTTGACCATCATCACCACCACCACCAGCACCAGCACCAACAACTCTCTCATTGTATCCAACAGACTCCTAGACTCCACAGTCAAACACCCGATCTCACTCCCTCTTCCGCGCCCCCCTCCTCCCCCCGGCTGGGTCTCACAACGAGAGACGAAACTCGGATTAGCCTCCTTTATTTTCTCCGCCTCTCCGTCGACACGCCTACCATCACAAAAACGCACTGTTCCCGGTAGAACAACCTCATTATCATCATCATCATCATCCCCCTCGTCCTCCTCCTCTTTTGACATATCACCATCGTCTGTAGCCTCTATACATCTCCATCCCACATCCATCTACAGTGAGTCAAGTCGACCTTTTCCCGCTTCTTTTCAAAATCAACAAAACGTTTCTCCTCTCTCTCTCTCTCTGCTCTCTTTTTTTTTTGGTGTGTTGACCCACCAGGAATAGAATACATCCTTTTATCGAGTGTGATCCCTTGTCATAGATCGACTTCTAAAGAAGCACAGCTCAAGCCAGCCAGCCCTTCTTTGACTGCTCCTTTCATCGCGTGCTTCACTCATCCCGTTTCTACATAAGTCCCTTCGATCAACAACCACAACCAAGACATCATCCACCATGACATCCGCCGTTCTGACTCCCGCCGCCAATGGCCTCGGTATCAAGCAGAAACCCTACGGTACGCCTAACGGATTCGCTGATCTAGACAAGGCAGCCTCACACCTTCGAGCCCTCTACACCTCCGCAGGGCAAGAACACGTCTTCCACTTCTACGATTCCCTTTCGCCGCCTGAGCAAGCTGCTCTCTTGACTCAACTTGGAAGCATCGATATCAACCGAGTCAATCGGATTTATCGCAATGCCGTTGCGGCCGACCAAGCCATCACACCTCCTACGCATACCATCCCTCTTGACGATACCTTGGCTGTAGGTGGCAACATGATTGGTCGCTCGAGATCACCTTCACCGACCGGTTCATCCCCCCTCGACGAAGCTCAACCGCTTCCCCAAGCTGCAGTGGCCAGTATCATCGACAGCCCCGCCGAAGCCAGCAGATGGCGAGGAATCGGTCTGCAGGCAGTCGCTGACAATCAAGTCGCCGTTCTGCTCATGGCTGGAGGTCAGGGTACCCGATTAGGTTCCGCCCTTCCCAAGGGAATGTACGACATTTCATTGCCATCCGGAATGAGTCTGTTCGAGATTCAAGCGACTCGAATTAGACGACTTCAATCCGTCGCCGAGAAGGAATGTGGCAAACCCGTCGGAAGCGTCAAGATCAAGTGGTATGTCATGACCAGTGGTCCGACGCGAGAGGCCACCGTAGACTTTTTCGAAAAGCGCAACTTTTTCGGTCTGAGCAGAGACAATGTCATCTTCTTTGAGCAAGGTGAGCATGCAGAAAGATGGGATATCACTGACAATAAAAAGGCACCCTTCCCGCTCTTTCTGACGACGGCAAGCTCCTCCTCTCCTCCAAATCGTCTGTCGCCGTGGCTCCCGATGGCAATGGCGGTCTCTACGCCGCTCTTCGTCGACCGTACTCCCCTCACTCTAGCCGCACCGTCCTCTCCGACATCAAGGACAACAACATTCAATACATTCACGCATACTGCGTCGACAACTGCCTCGTCAAGGTAGCCGATCCAGTCTTCATTGGCGCATGCATCGCTCGACATGCCGCTGCCGGAGCGAAAGTGGTACGCAAACTCGAGCCCACAGAGTCCGTCGGCGTCTTGGCGAAAAAGGGCGATGCGTATGCCGTCGTCGAATACTCTGAACTGAGCAAGGAGAAAGCAGCCATGAGGACCGACGATGGCAATCTGGCGTTCTGGGCGGCCAACATTGTCAGTCATTTCTGGACCACTTCATTCCTGGAGACCGTCGAAGCTATGGAAGCAAAGATGCCATTCCACATTGCGAGGAAAAAGATCCCTACCATTGATCTCGACACTGGAGCGCCTATCAAGCCAGACTCGCCCAATGGCATGAAGCTGGAAATGTTCGTCTTTGACGTCTTCCCCTATACCAGATCCCTCTGCGCGTTGGAGGTCCTTCGAGCGGAAGAATTCTCTCCGTTGAAGAACGCCCCAGGTTCTAAGGCCGATTGCCCAGAGACGTCACGCAGAGATATCCTGGCTCAACAGAAACGATGGTTGATCGCTGCTGGTGCAGAGGTCCCCGATGGAGTCGAGATTGAGGTGACTCCCAATGTCACGTATGCCGGAGAAGGACTGGATTTCGTCAAGGGCAAGAAGCTAAAGTCGGGAGTTTTGAACTCAGAATCAGACTTGGCGAGCGTATTGGCGTGAAAGGGGAAGAACAAGCATGGACAATCAAGAACCCCTGGGCCCCTGCGCCTTTTGCAATGATTAACGACCTACATGTGACGAAATCCTTTCCCCCCCCCTGCTTTTGACACTGCTGTCAACTCCTCTGTCCCTCATTCTCGTCCTCCCTCTTTAATATACATACTTCTGCATATCGCTCTCTGAGACTCCCCTATTACTGTACATAGCCGTAGACTTGTTATGTGTGTGATTATCTTTGCATGGACATTTTGGTATCGACGCGACGGATTTTCTGAAATCTTCAATGTTTAACGCGCGCTCGTTTGGGCTGTGCGATGTATTAACCAGCGATGGACGACTGGGTCAAGTCCTCTGTGGGTGGTGAAAAGACTGACCAGTCATTCAGGTGGGTAGTGTACATCTCCGATAACATGTGTACTGACCTGTATGCAGCGGCAAGCCCCTCAACCCCAGCTGGGTGTACCAACCTCTGCCCCTGTCGCAGGTATCTCCCGATTGCAGTTCGCTACCTGGTCCTCCTGGTCATTTACGATCCCTTCAATCATGTTGTCTATCTAGTATCTCTTCAAACGTCCATCTGTTCAGCCCAGAATCATTCAGTACCTTGCCTACAACGCTCAAACGGAAGATCTTGCATCGAGTAATATCTGATAGAGGTTACGACTTCAGGCCTACGCCGAGGGATACAGATACAGAGACTGACGAGAGTATAGTGGAAGACGATGGACCAAGTCATGATGCGAGACCAGACGCCGCTACCTTGTGGTCTTACTCCGTCACTGTGGACCCAGAACTTCATCTCCCTAATGCGCAAATTCACAACCTTTCAACAGACCATATCCTATCAACTCGGATCGACAACCTCCTAGCCGATATCTCGCGTGCAGGGCACACTCAAAGTCATCAGCATCCTCTGATTGAAGTTCCAAAGATGTTCCGATTCCTCTCCCGGGGCCATTTTTCGCTCCTCACCACGCTGCACATCGATGGCGTTCAAGCCAAAATGGATGACTCGACCCTTCAGCATCTTCGTTGGTGTCCTCATTTAACGTTACTTTGGACCAAGAACTGCGATATCTCAGATTACGGCCTGAGGCTTCTCGCTAGCTCGCTCGAGCTGTCTAAAGAGACTGATCGTGGTCCTAGACGACTTCGCGGGTGGTTCATGCAGGGATGTCGAAAGGTTTCCGACGCTGCGCTCAAGACATTGGCAAGGTGGCCCGGGCTGGTCGTATTGGGTAAGCATATCGCTGAGAATCCAGTGCTGATCATCATCCTCGCAGACGTCCGAGATACATCCTGTACCTCTGCGTCTCGTCAAATTGTCAACACACAATACCGTCGATTCTTCCCTCAACACGCTCGCGATTTTCAACCTTGTACACCTGGACTCAAAGCCATCTTCTCATCACGCTCCGATCCGGCTCAGATCCTTGACGCTCTTTGCTCGACACTGGTCAAGCCGTCTGTCACGGATCCCTCGAGCTGCTCCCGCTGGTGGCTCGGTCTCCACGTCGTCTCATCCTCTCAACCTCTTAGACCCGAATGGTTACCGGATCCACGCGTGGATGAACACGTCCCGACGGCGAGCTCTTCTCAATCACGTACTTACAGAGGGGACGGTATCGGTCAAATATATGGTAAACATGTCTACCACGTCGAAGACAAGGCTCAGACTTATCGAGCCAATCTTCAAACGGCCATGCGGCTCCAATACGAGGACGAGGGTCTCAGTAAGCGTGAGAAACCGTGGTGGGAAGTTTTAGCCGGTGCGAAGCGGAAAAGCAAATGGGAGCAATGGGACGATAAGAAGAAGCCTCAGAAACTTTTGAAAGGCTTCAAAATGCCCAAAGGTGGCAGAGCATGGGACGAAGCGAGTCGTGTAGCCATTGCCAGAGGTCAGATACCAGGTGGTTTGGCCGCCAACTCGGATGACAAGAGCCGAGCGTTCGTCACGGGCAACGGTAGCGCCACTTGGAAGCGAGATCATGATCCTGAACTCATTGAGGGAGACGAAGCATTGATGCTTGTCAGGATGGTCGATGACTCTTGGGAGAGTCTAGAATGGACAAAGGCGAGGGTGAGCAGTGTCGCCGGACCCTCAACGCCCGCATTGAGAACGAAGCGGATGGAAGCGGACTCATCGATAGTGTACACTGGATCGCAGGTCTCGTCTGGACCTCCTTCGGCTCAACCTCTTCGAACGGGTTTCTTTGCTCCGTCTCAGAGTCAATCACCGCGGATCTCTTGCTCGCAAATGCCTACGCAGTATTCATCTGCCGGTGCCGTCAACCCTTTCCGCAAGGCACCAAAGGACCACCCCGGTATTCGGCCGATGACTGAAGCCCGCAAGTTCACCGACTACACCGTCCAACTCATGTCCAGCTCTGACCTCTCAAGCGATCCGATCGGTCCACTCTCCTCATCTCCACCCAATATCAAGTTGGATCCTGACGACCTGTCATTCGGCAACGCCCCTGTCAAACGTTGTTTTGGAGGCGCCAACAGCCTAGACGAACCTAAAAAACGTCGAGGAATGAAGATGTTTAGCGGACGAGTTGTTTGATGAAAGACGCCGTGCATGTATCTTGATGCCCTTATTCGATGACCTCTTCATCTTCACTATCTTCCCCATTCAACGCCTTCACCTCCTCATCTCCCCAATTTCCACCATCCAATTTCTCAGCGAACAATGCACCTCCAGCCGCTGTAACATTGTTCCAAATCGCTTCACCACCTTCTTCGACTCTTTCGATCTCTTTTCGAGGATACGCTGTGACAATTCGAAAGTCGAACGAAGGTTCGTATCCTTCCGGCGGGCTCTCTGGATCTTCTTCTGGCACGTCTGAAGGCGGGATGAGTAGCGTCTCCGCGAGGATGAACAAGGGCATAGTCGAAGGACCGGGTTGGAATTGTCGAATGACCCTCTCAGACGATATAGGTGTGCGGAGAGCGACTCGGATGGACCCCTCGGATCGTGGTAACAGGTGTTTCCTAGCGTATCTCCTCCACTGTCTCCTCTTCTCGACCTGCGAAGCTTTTTCAGCTAGTTCTCTCGCTTCGCGCTCCTTTGTCAAGCGTTCAGCTTGTTCTGCCTGTCTCTGAGCCTGGAGCCTTTCCCGATCCTTCCGTTCGGCCGCTTTGAATGCTCGATCCTGCTCTTCTCTCAAATGTCGAGCTTCCTCGAGCGTCAGCCGCTCGCGTTTCAGTCGAGCGAGGAAAGGACCGGTACGCGGGAGAATGGAATTGGTGAGCGTCTGAACGATTGACGAGGCGGATGTGGTGGTACTAGGTGGACCTGACAATGTCGAAAGTACGGATAGGCGAGGCGAGGCTGTAGAATTAGACGTGGGTGATGCAGGTAATAGGGAAACGTATGTGAGAGAGGGATACGTCGTAACGAGGAGCGTTTGAGACACTAGATAAAGGTATCAGTATGACCTCTGCTGAAATCTAGCTCACCCTGATATCCCTCTCTTGATCTAATATCCGCCGCCCAGACCATGATGTCTTTATCTTTCAGCGTCCTGACCAGATCCGAATCAATCAAAACATCCCTCTTAAATTCTTCATCATCTTCGTGTTCTCCACACATCAACACCACCAGTCCGACTTTGCCTTGTTTCCTCACTTGCGAGAGGAATTCACGGTACGGTCCAGCGTAGAAATCGGGCAACGTGCGATTCGCAGCTGAAGCGCCAGTATACACTTCAAGATCGCGGATGAATGCGAGACTTTCAGCTGTCGGATCAAGAGCTCGATGAGTTGTCGATCCTGTAGGTCGAGCAGGCGGTAAGAGAGCTCTCGGGAAATGCGGTAGGAAAGAGAGCGGTATGAAAGTACGGACTGATACGAGAGAGAGAGAGAGAGAGACAAAGAGAGAGTGTCAGGTCGACTTTCCGTATCCCATGGATCAGTGTCATGAGACTCACTGAAAAAGTACCATGTTCCAGTGAATACAGACCACACTAGACGTATAGGAAAGGTTATGAATCCCCAAAGACCTACTCCGCTCGTCCCGCTCCCCGAGAGAGATCGGCTTGCAGGTCGACGCCTGGATCTAGGTTGAAGATCAGGGTATGCCATAGAATCATCCACTTCCATAGGCTCGTATGTCGGCGGGGAAGGTCGAGACGGACCAGCAGAAGAGCCTTGATCATCTGCAGAAGCGAATATGAGCTCGACAGTGCGCTGAAAATAAGCCAATGCAAAACATTCAGCTGCGATGATGACAGACGAGAGTCCAAAATTGTGCAGCTCACCTGCACGTCCCATCCGTTTTCTCTTAAAAGTCGCTCGTCTCGCTCGCGAGAAGGGGCCGATTGAGAATCCGTCACCGCCCATAGTTGCTCTAGAGCATCCTGCTGACTAGCCGAGAGCGACATCGGAGCTCTATAACGCCTGAGAAGACGGCTCAGCGGCTCGGTCGAACGACCAAAATAGGAAGAAGAAATGTGGACAAAGGGTAAGGGTGGTCCGTGTTGTCATCCGGTATCGGGCATTTCAAAGCAACCGGGGCACAATTGCTTCGACGTGGCATTGCCACCCTGGCATTTCTGCATTCATTCATATGTACCCTTCACCGCCTCTACGGACCATGGATCTCTCCCTCCTCCATCCAATCTCGTCTGCCAGTCCAATCATTCCGAGCCATCTGCATTCGACCTCGAGCGCTTCTCTCTGCTCGTCTGACGCCTCGAATGTGCCCCCCACTAATCTCGCCACGAGCAAATGGTATACATTGGCATCGCGCATCAACAATACGGTCAATTGAGTGATCGTGCCACCGCCGTCCAGAAGCTTCGCTTCGATTTTGAGATTCTGTCCCTTTCGTCTTGCGCCAAGGGACGTTTGGGGAGACAATAGGGCGGATGAAGGTGATGGGTAAGGGTCGAGCTGAGTGTACTGATTCTTGACAGCTCTCTTTTTCTCTCCTGGGAGCGTGACTATTTTTGGGGTCGGACGGCTCTGAGAGAGCTTCTTTGCCAGGTCGGGAGGGAGATTCGGCAGAGGTGGCAGCGGAGGGAACTCGTATTCTGACATTTGACGATTGACAGATAGAGGCAGAGGAAGATCCATGAAATGAGCTTGAGACGGTGACATGTAGATTGACTTCATGTACTCGTCCCTGATCATTAGCGAGGCACCCTTCCCTAGAGGCTCACCTCAAGAGGGTATCTAAATCAAACTCCGATTCCAGATCGCTCTCTGAAGCACTACTGCCATCCGTCATACTTGGCTTATCGGACATGCCACTTTCTCTCCGGGTGTCCACATAGTCCGAAACAAACTCCGCCAGTTGGCCTCCGGCTTCCCTCAAGATATGCCACGGTAGCGTCACATGAGTGTTTCTCGGCGGCATGCTCGAGAATCCAAATTGGAGCGTGATCAGTATCTCAGACTTTGCCGTAGGAGCTGGTCGGACAAACTTGGAGATGAGACTCGCTTTGAAAGGCGTAGATGGTGAACGTCGAGGAGGCTTGACTGTGGACCGTCTAGCATCTCTCATCTGCTTCTCCGAGAAACACTGGCTCTGTCGGCGGTTCTCAAATCCTGTGGCTGGTCCGACTGCATCAGACCTCCGATCCGGAGAGTCGAAAGGCTCCATGCCTTGTGGATACCATCCGCCAAGGCTAGGCTGCGATCGGAGATGTTTCAACTCGGGTAATTTCGGGGTTGAGGCCTTTGTACTCATCGAGTGAAGGCTCAACTTTGCCTTGAGAGTTTGCCGCCTGTCGGAAGGGCTCGGGTCTTCCGATGACGACTGCGACCACCTCGACTGAGAGTGGGAGATCTGAGCAAGACTTTTGCTCGAAGTCTTGTTTCGCAGGGGTGGTCGTAGGTCCCGCATTGCATCTAGAGGCGTCTTGACTATTTGAGCACCATTGCCTAGACTGCTTGTACTGGAAGACTGGCTAAGCGTCGGTGTATGGCCTTTCCGATAGTGTGATAGTGGAGGAGAGGTTGGATCAAAGGTGTCTGACGAGGGGATTGTGACTGGAAGACAGGGAACCGGTGGCGCAGTGTCAAAGTGGTGGAAGAGTTTGGTCGGAGTGAAAGACGCAAACAGTCTCCGAGGGGACTTTGGAGCTTTCATATCGGGCAGGACGGAGAGACCCTGCTGCATGATAGCGATAGAAGCGGGAGTGAAATGCCAGAGTGTTTTCTGGTCAGAAGGTGAGCGTTAGATGTCAAACAGAGACTACATTGAGTGGCCTATCAGTAGAGCATTACTCCTTTGATGAGCCAGAGCTGGACCAAAGCAGCGAGACGAGTCTTTAAGGGGTCGACAGTAGATGATTCGTGTTTCATGATGACGGCGGCGTGGAGCTTGAGCAAGAAAGGAGTTTCTGACCCCAGTGAATGATGGCGTTAGAGAACAAAGGAGCAAAGGTAACCTTGTTGGCCTACCTAAAGTTTGGGTGAGATCAACAGGTACCTTTGGACATCAGTATTAACTCAGAAGGGGTCTCTAGATCGGAAAGCTGTGTGATGATATGTGGTTCATGCCTGTCGCAACTCCTGCCCTCCCTCCTAGAATGAAAATTGTATGTCGGGCTTGTAGAGGTATCAAATCCTGCTTCCAAGGATATAGCTCTCCAGGGCTACATCACTTGCGTTGTTTGGCTAGTTTGGCGAGATCAAGCGGTGGGAATTCTGAAAACTCGGGAGGTTGAGGTTGTTTACGGTTCGCAGGAGATGCCATGTCGCTTCATATCAGCTCTGGATGTATCGTTCAAGCTCACCGTCGCAACTCTACCAAGACTGTCTCTAGGGTAAAGTCTCGCTTCCAGGAACTGATAGATGCGACTCGAGAAAAGTTGACCTGGTCACGCGAGTCAGCCTTGCGAAATCGCCTCCCTTGACTCACCAGTCCGTTGGTCTGATCAACACATGGAAGGTTAATCTTGCTTTCAAACTTGACGATAGGAGGGGTGTCTGGTTATATGAGTTGAAATATCAAGTCACGGGGCTCACCAGGATACGTATCGCCGCAGTAGATGCTCAAGCTGAATATACGGTTCTCGTAGGCGGAATGGGGTGGTCCCAGAATCGTCCCGTTCCACCCGTACATGGCAATATCATCGGGATCCTGTAATGTAGATCAGCCCAGAGTTCGTTTTGACTCTCGCGATGGAGGTCCTCTGACTCGCGTTTCGCCTCCCATCGTGAAGATCAACGCACCTTCAAACCATAACTGCAACTTCCATCACCGATACCTTTCTCGCCATGCTCCAACTCAGACAGAAGCCGGAAGCTCCTTGGGACTGCCCAGTGATTCAGTACAGCCTATTCGACCGGATTGCTCCATTCATGACCAGACTCACTCTTGGCCATGGCTAACCCGCAGATGAAGATAGGTGCGATAGACAGATGAAAGGATGAACGCATGCCGCAAGGCTTGAAGGCGTAGTGATAAGCTAATAAATTGCAAGGTTGCGTCATTACGTCAACTTTTACAAAATCCACGTCAATCAGTTGATCGTCCATCTGGCCAACTGGCCAACTGCCTTCACGGAATTCTGGCGAGTAATTTTTTGGCCAGACCTCGTACCCACGATGGACGGACTACTCGCGGAGATCAACAACAAGCGCAAGACTTTAGAGGTAGATGTAGGAGAATCCAGTGCGGATGGTGCGCGAAAGTACATGCGTCGAGCCGAGGTGGAAGCAGCTCGAGAAGCAGAGGCGAGGAGAAAACGCGAAGAGGCAGCCAAAGCGAAGGAAAATGCAAAGAGCGCTAACCGAGCAGCGAGGATGCGCGAAGAGGTGAGTGACAGGTCTGGGCAGTAGCTCATTGTACGTCAGGCCGAGGGAGCCAAGAAAGCATCGCTGGCTCGGCTAGCGTCCCCTGGATCTGGTCGTGATACACCCAATGCGAGAGATTCGCCGGCGCCGGGGACAGAGAAAGAAGGATTCAACATCTCTCCAGAGGAAGCTGTGAGGCGTCTGCGAGCCAAAGGTCAACCGATACGGCTATTTGGAGAGACAGACAAGGATAGAAGATTAAGATTGAGAGCTTTGGAACTGTTGGAAGAACGAGGCGAACATCCTGGTTTGAACGACTTTCGCAAAACCTTTGCGGACCTCGAGAGCGCAGCGGATGAGAAGGAGGCGGGTCGATTGGCGCGAGAGAGTCATCGTAAAGCTCAGGATGGAGGCAAGGAGGATGAAGCACCTGTTGAGGAGAAGAAGAGCAAGAGTGAACGAGTGGACGTTGGCGTTTTGGATCTGTCACTGGTCAAGACGGATCCCAATAAGCTATATCCCATCATATACCACGCTATCAAGAATGTCTTGAAGGAGTGGGAGGAGTGGATGGATGCCAGGCCAGGTGAGCGATTCTTCGTGAACTGGAGCTAATTCATACCAGATGAGGTAAAACAGACAATGCAAGGCAAACTTGCGGCGGCAACTCAAGTATCATCAGCTCAAAACCTCAAGCCGCTGTTCCGACAGCTCCGGTCGAGAGTGAGCTCGTCGACATGAATCCGTCTGACCCACCTAGGATATGGCAGCCGACGTCTTGAGGAATCTGTCCGAAATCGTCCACTTCATGCAGACTCGACAATACTCGAAAGCAAACGACGCATATTTGCGCATGTCCATCGGCAACGCAGCCTGGCCCATTGGAGTTACGTCCGTTGGTATTCACGAGCGTTCGGCGCGAGAAAAGATTGGTCAGGACAATATTGCCCACGTTCTGAACGATGAAGTGTCAAGAAAGTGGATTCAGGCGATCAAGCGGTGCGTCCCGGTGCCGGCACGTCAAGACTGACGAGCACAGCTTACTGACATTCTCTCAAACGGTCCGGCCGCCGGATCTCGCTGCCCAGCTCATGGGTTAGATAAAGCGCCGGGCTCTGCCTCAGGAGCTTGGACGACCTTCGATGAAAGTCGCAAAGAGGACTCATGCATCTCCGGCGTCCGAGATTTTGATACGCTCAAGAAGCTGGGGTCTGATATCTGACTGCTGCCGCTAACGTATCTGCCGATATCGTGCGCAGCTTCTGCTTAATATCATACTCACCCCTAGGCCTGGAGAGTACCCAAATCGCATCAATCCCACCAGGACCAACCGAGACTTCAGCACTGGCAAGCCAGGGCTCCTCGGGCAGCGGGTATGCCTGGCTCATCCTGCTGAATCGATCTACAAGTGCATCGATGTCCGTCGAGACGAGGCTGATGTAAGCCTCCAATTCTGAAGGAGTTCGCGCTTGGAGTGATCGACCGGTGAGGTATCCAAGCCGCGCGATCAGTGAAAGGACCTGTTGCTCAGAGTTTGCTGCAGTAGCTGTCGGAAACGCTTTCGAATCTTTCTGATCGCTGAAGAGGACCTTTTCAAAAGAGGGAAATCTCATGCAGAGCCATACTGCACGCGCGTCCAAACCGCTCTTACAGGAATTCTTTGTTGCGTCAGACGAGTCGACTTGTTGGCTGTCCATGACTGCCTAGTGGCGAGGATGATGCCATGCGAAGGCTTCGCAGTTATGTCTTATGAGGGAATGGGGAAATGAACCCACTCAATCAGTACATCTTAATGATCCTTTGTCATCTAGCGGGATTGCATGAGCGTTATGGACTCCTGCATGGGGTAATCGATTGGGATGGGATTAGTGCCGCATCTCTTGTCTCGGAAGAACACCCTCTCCAGTCATTGCTCCACCGTGATTCTCGGACAGTCTCGTTGTCCAGGTATAGGCTTCACTCCTACGCCGTCTGCTGAATCGAACGTCTCGAGACTCAGATTCCTGATTGATTTTGCGTACTACCTTCACTCGCCGAGGTCGCCTGTCGGACCTCTGCATCGGGTACAGTGCGGAATCTCTGCTTGAAGCTCGTCTTGCCTTTAGACAATGTCCACTCGACGTCGATGTTGCCACCTTCCTGATTTACAGAGACCTTCGGAGCTCCCCAATCGCCCTGCTCCCTGCAGAGTGATCCATTCGAATTGGTGACCTGTCGAACAGCTGCAAATATATCATCTACCACAAGGCTCATATACGCCTGAGCGTACGAATCGTTCTTGCCCAGGGACTCTGCTGTTTGAATGATGTACGGGATGATGACGGACTCTGCCCTGCTCCAGATCTCATCGGCGGATTCGGATAAGGATCCTCCAGAGAGGACAGAGCCGATGGAAGGGATACTTGTATTTCTGAGCCATTCAGCGCGAGCGTCCCTCATTCTAGCTGTAGTGTCAGAAGGACTCTGATCGCAGTTGATGTTGCTGGAGGTTTGCATGTAGTATCCGCTGATAAACGTTCATCCTCTTTATACAAGACGGCTCCAGTGAAGAAGGCCGCAGGGTTGATCAGTGAAGGCGAAAGCTCGTACAATCTTCTTGACCTTCCTTTCTTGACGCTTTGCTTTCTCTGGAGTTAGCATTGATGAGCGTTATCAATCCCGCCCCAAGATTGCAGGAGGAAGATCCGACGGGAGTGTGAGCCCAAGATCTTCAACTTGATTGTCTTTTGCCCGACCATGCGAATTGCAACTGGTTTCTCACTCCATTCATACAACTTTACACTCCCATGGCGGCGAGCCAACGCCGCGGCCCATCGCCTGGACCGCTCCCACGACCGGGTCTTGAACCCGGAGCGGAGAGCAAAGTGGGAATGATTGGATTGGCCGAAGCCGCCGAGGCCTTTCGATTGCTCGCTCCGGACCGGACTGGGTGCAGGTCCTCAGCCGCGCACGAGAAGGTGTCCCCTCAAGACTCACCGCATAGCGAAATCTCGTTGATGTTCGTCTCGAGTACCAGTCCACCTTGTATGATCTCTGACAGAACGTGATGCACCTGCTGTCAGCAACCCTTCCACCTGTGAGCGGCCCACCTCGTCAAAGTGGAAAATGAGATCAAGTTCACAGACGCTCTCGAATGATCTGTCTAGAGACTCGACAAAGACCTAGGTGCACGTCAGAGCGAATCAAAACATGAGAGCTCACCTGTATCAAGTCAAGAATCCCCAGCTCTGACTCCGCGCCGTCCACAACAAATCTAACAGGTCAGGAAGAGTTCCTGAAATGGAGAACTCACACAAAGTAGAGCGTTGCATAGTGCCTATAGATGACTCGGGTGTCATCATCCTCTGCTCTGTCTTTGCCCTTCCATCGGTCATTGGTCGATGTTGCTTTAGGCCTCAGATTCGTAGGGAGGGGAAAGACGAGATCAGGTGCGTCGAGAAAGTTGCAGACTCCGGCTGGTCTGTCCGAGATGAGGGAAAAGATCTGAGCGATTAGGGATTGCTGTACGAGCGGAGGGATAGGGGTATAGAATATAGACAGCCGAGGCTTGCCTACAAGGGATGAGCGAGATCACCCCGAAGGACCTCACCATGCGTATTGAAGATGAGCACTGCGTGAATCATGGTCGGTCAAGTGTCAATGGAGAAATGACGATCTCCCCCCCCCCCCCCCCCTGCGTCACTAATTTTATGATTACCGGGAAAACAACAAGAATGCATTTATTACATGTCTACCAGAAGCCTCCTATGGCTTGTAGATCACTATCCACAGTCAACTCGTCCGTACCAATCTGGCGCAGCATCTCCTGTTGTCGCTTCACTGGCTGTAATGCGAAATGACTCAGCAGATTACCATCGAGAATGCCTTTCGTAAGGGGCTTGGGCACCAGGTCATTCTTGACCGTCCTGAGCGGTCAGAGGCGTTGCAGAAGAACCTCCTCACCTGAACGTCCTCGGATTGAGTCCGGCAACATGCAGTGCATTCCTCACCAGCTGATCTGATACCAGCTGAAGTCGCTTGTATCGAGCCTCCTTGACCGAAACGACCGTTGTCAAGCTCCCATCGGCCGTGGCTGTTGTCAGCCAGTGATGGAAAGGGCAAGCCTCACCATAGACGATCTGCGTCTGCGGCGCGAACATCTCTTCGGGCGACTTGCGCCTAGCTATGGATTTTGACGCAGTGATCGGCGATCCGACGTGATATTCCGTTCTGAGTAGCAGTTTCTCCCCGTTCAATGACTCCGAATCTAACCATCAGCTTGACCAACAAAAGAGGACGCACCGTTCGGGTCGAACTCGAGCATTCGCATGTTGCCCTGTCGATCAACAGTGACGAATGCCATCCGACGCTCATGCACCAGGAACTCAGAGGAAACAAGTGAGACGTCCGACAGGTCTTTCGAGATGTGCGTAAAGCGATATGGATCTTCCTGCATGATTAGTAATGAATGCGACAATGACCTACGTTCAGCGAGACGAGCCAGACTGATTTGACGAGATCGCTGATGAGGATGAAATTCTTGAAGACTCTGATCGATGTGACGTAAAAGTTGACGTCAAGGAAGGCCAAACCCATAAGCTGTCGATCATAGTCGAGACCCTTGGCGTACATCTGGAGTCAGCCGAGTCGCAAGAGGATCTCACTTTCGGCCCGTTAGAATTCAGCAGATAGCCGTTGATGTTGTTGATGGAGCTGACGGGGTTGCGAGCTGGGTCCTTGGCCCTTTTCACGAGCTGCCAAGAGGTCTTGCCCCCTTCAGAGACAATTTCGACGACTTCAAAGACGTAGAGCTGATGTCAGCCATGGTCAAATGAACAGTGCCTACATTGCCCCTAGTGGCTCTGTCCTCGCCAAAGTCAAAGCCTGTACCAACAGCGATGAAGTCTCGGTATCCAGTAGGGACACTGCTAGATTCGAGAATGACGCTCTGCATACAGAGCACCTGCTCGTTCTGGTCAAAGTCGTGGCTAGGCATCAGCTTGGGCATGTGTTGGGATCCTACCCGTCAATGACGCGCCATGGATCAGAGCCCGCTGAGAAGAGCTCGAGAGTGGATCTCTCGTTAGTGGGCGGGAGCAGTCTCTCGTCGGAATCTATCATCAGCCAAGAGTCAATTGCTGGGCACCCACTTTCTGGTCCGACCTGAATCTCTCCCTCCTCGTCATAAGCTTGGAATGGGACGGCGATGGCGGCCGACGCCACGTAATGGGCGGATAGCGGATCAAATGCGATATTGGTGTAATTGCGTTCCATGACGTGTCGGTCGCAGGGGATAGTGAAGTCGGTATTGAGTGTAGGGGGAAAGTAGCAGATGAAAGACCCCTGAATTTAGTTCTTGGCGTAAGGGTACACTCACATCCTCGATGCGCATGAAGTATTCTCCCGTTCCGCCTAGGTGAGTTGTTTTGCCAAACGCCACAGCGGCCTGTTTCAGACCGAACGAGCGTATGGGATGAGCATCCGATGACAAGACCCAATGAGGCTTTTCGCCAGTGATGAAGAGACCGGTGTAGCCCTCAATATTGGTGAACGGGACGAGGGTGGAAGTGGGTGGCAGGACCTGAGTATGGACGCGGCGGAACCGGACGGCTAGAGATCGCCTGGATTGTAATGAGGAGTCGACGGTGAATCGAGGTTGGGCTTCATAGATGTTCAGTTTACCAGAGGAGAAGAGGATGGTGACGTGTGGGCGGGGATTTTCTTTGCCGATAGGATGGAACAGGAACTGCCTCACGGTGTCCGGAAGGTCGGACGGTGTGCCAGTGTAGTCATCCGTGAAGCTCGGTTCAGAATTGCAGACGCCTTCAGATTCAAGCACGACTTGAAGGTCGGGCAGAGACCGAATCTGCGGGTCAGTGATGGTCATTCTACAGTGCTTACCTGGACGACACCATTGGCGATGGAAGCCAACCATTTCGTTCCCTTCATTTGCTCCATGCTTGAGTCCTCGGCGATTGCCGGCTTCTCCTGCTGGAGCTCTTTGATCTGTTGCTGCGTAAGCTGCATCCGGGTTGCTCGTATTCGGTTCGGAGCGCTAGCACCGGCTTCGAAAGTACGGTAGATCCCAGATACGTCTGAAAAGACTTCGACACCTTGACAAGGGTCAAGGGGAGTCTCGGAAACCTGGCGCGTTGTCCCGTCGCCAACGAATAGTGAGGATGTGCCGTCTGTCTGGCGAACGACAATATAGGGGTCCGATATACTGGCTGAGGCAAAGGCACCTTGAGATACCACTTGCTGCAGTTTACCATCCGAGTCGAGAAGGGTGACTTGCGACGGCGAGACATGTACGACACATGATCTTCCGAAGAACGGAGCCGCGGCAAGGGTGATGCTTCCAATTCGCCCGATCTGCTCGGGAGTTGCTCTAGTGGATAGAGCGAATATCTGACCGTCAGTAATGTGTCCCTTTTCTCAACTCACTCTCGTTTGGGTCGCTTCAGAACTGAAAAGAAGTGTCGTTCGCTCGGCATCGGGTATATCCTTGAGTTTCTGCACAGACTGCCGTTGGATTGGAAGGAACCAGGCCGCTTCCGTATTGACTAGTTCGTTGAACCGGCGACGTTTGGTGATGGGAATACCGCGACGAAAGACATTAAATGTGGATCGCTTGGTCCCACCGCCGATGGTCACCAGCTGAGGATACGTCCGGACCTTTCATCAGCAACGCGGCGGAAGAGTACCTACCCCTTGATCTGTCACGGCTATGCCGAATTCCATGTCGATGATCTTACCAACCCCCGCAAGAACATCGTACGTAGATACATGTATTCGAGCCGGGCCGGACGGCACTTCCTTGACGGAGTCGGTCATTTCACCATAGAGATCTATTGTCAGCGTAAGCGCCGTAGTACCTCACCTTCATCCCAATCGACATCCATGTCGGTCTTGGTCTCTTCCACTCGAATCATCTTCCGGATCGCCTCGACCTTTGCCAAGAGAGAATCACCTTCCGCACAACCGACAAAGACTGCCTTGTCTCCAGCGACCACGATGCTCGACGGTGGAGGCACCTCGCTGCATTGTTCGTCGACTTTGATCGTACCTACAGCCCTTCCATCCATCTCGAATCGGACTTGATGGGCATCACCATTATGCAGCACCAGCAACATGTCATGGTCAGTGACGAAGACGCATTTTGATCCTTCGAGGCTGAGTTTTCTCTCCTCGCTCGATCTGTCCGCCTTGAGCGCTGTCGTATAGCTCCACCAAGCATTGACACCAGCGCTGGTGATCCTTCCAGATTGATCAATGTGGATGATTCCCGTGCAAGTGACAAGAACGACACCCCCGATTGGACAGGCAACCAGGTAAAGACTGTCGGCAGGTAGGCCAGTGACAGAAGTCAAGAGAGGATAGGATGAGCCGGAGGAAAGGTCGATGGTGCGGATTTCAAGTACGAATGTATCTCTGGCCGTCTTATAACGACCCGACCAGGTCTGAACTGGAGAGTAAAGGAGGGCGAGGGTTGGAGAGTGGAATCCAGGAAGGAAGAGGAGGTCCTGAAGATTCTTGAGAGAAGGCGATACGTCCCGCAGGGATAGAACGAAGGATGGGAAATATGGCACGTCCCTAATCATCAGCTGTATGGCTCCTCTTGATGACTCACCTTGTGTCTAACGGGTCGAGATCTGATTGTTCCTGGGTAAGGGGGAGTACCGCCAGGGAATCTTCCGGCAGGGTTAAGACCGCCAACCGAGATAAAGGGTCGCTTCGAAGAAGGGGCACGTAACTTTGAAGATCCCCATTGACCATCTGCGAGCATCGCTCGTACGTATGCAACGAGACTGTGGCTATGTCCCCACGAGACCATTCCAGCAATACCATTTTGGCGTCCTTGAACGAGACGAGCAATCTGTCCAATCCGTCGGCACTAGATTCAATGGTTCGCAAGGCAGCCAGACCTGTGACGGTTCCATGGACCTGATGTCGAGTGAGGAGGTGTAACTTTCGCGTCGTCTCATACTGCACAGGCGCTCTCTGAACAACATAATGAGCATGCATAAAAATATACCTTTGATTCTCACTTCAGAAGGACCAGTGTCAAAGTAATCTTCGTCCTCAACTTTGAGCTCTCCCGGCTCAGCTTCATCATGCACTCCATTGACCGCCGGTAGCGGTCTCTGGCTCTCTCTGATCTCGAAAACTCGCAAGTCTTCTCCTCCAGCTACTATGAGATTACCGACTACCTTGATTTCAGGTGCGGAGGAGTCATGAGAGGCGGGTAGCGGGTAGATGGTAGAAGGGGTAAAATTGGGAAGATAGAGTGAGTGATGGACAGCAGATGGAGGCAGCAGGGTCGAGTGAAGGGCGTGCATGATGAAATACCTGAGACTCGCCAGCAGCGTCCCACCACTGACCGCTGATGATGATAATGCTGCCTAGCTGATTCTGTCAAAGAATTCAGTCGCGGCTGCGCTGAGAGTCCACCAAAAAGGTGCCACATTCAATGTCGCCGGAAAATCCCGATGGCTCTCACCTCTTTGCCCATCAGCCAGTGAGATGCAAGCTATTTCCTCACTGGCAAAGGGGACAGCGATCCAACGATCTAAGTCTCTCATCGTCTCCAGCCATGTTGACCCAATCATTCGCCAGGATAGCGGCGAGGTCACTGAAGAGTGCTCCTCAGGTAAGCGAGGTCCGATCCGACAAGTCGCTGAGACCCTTTTCCCCCCTCCCCCAGGCCCGATCCTTCTCCCAATCCACACCTTCATTCGCATCCCGGACTGCTCTTTACGGTTCATCCCTTGTCTTTGCCGGGACACTGGGATTGTACACACACCTCTATGGTCTACCGAGCTTTTTGCCAGAAGCCAGTGCAAACACAGCCGCGGAAGAAGGCTTACATCCCACCCATTACCCTTGGCCTCACAGTGGACCATTCGAGACATATGACCACGGTTCGATCAGAAGAGGATACCAGGTCTACCGAGAAGTCTGCTCGGCTTGTCACTCCCTCAACCGAATCGCTTGGCGTAATCTTGTCGGTGTTTCTCACACCGTAGATGAGGTCAAGGCGATGGCAGAGGAGGTCGAATACACCGATGGACCCAACGACGAGGGTGAAATGTTCCAGAGACCGTGAGTAGGGCGTAGCGCCTCGAAACTCACAAGAGCGCAGTGGAAAGCTCGCCGACTACATGCCCCCGCCATACCCCAACGACGAAGCCGCCCGAGCAGGGAATGGAGGGTGAGTTTTGGTGGACTGAACTGGGTGCTGATGGCAGTGGTTTGCCCCCCGACCTTTCCCTCATGATCAAGGCTCGACATGGAGGTGCCGACTACATCTACTCGCTGTTGACTGGATATGTTGACCCGCCTGCTGGGGTCAAGCTCGCTGAAGGAATGAACTACAACCCGTGAGTCAATGAGGAGCAGCCCAAACCTGACCTTTTAGCTACTTCCCCGGTGGTGGAATCGCCATGGCCCGTGTCCTCTTCGACGGTTTGGTCGAGTACGATGACAGTGAGTCAGACATCTTCGGCAATCGCTGACTGGACCAGAAACACCTGCGACCACTTCCCAAATGGCCAAGGACGTGACTACTTTCCTTTCTTGGGCTGCCGAGCCAGAACACGATGAGCGAAAGAAGATGGGAATGCAGGTGAGCTAAACATGAGGTTATGTTGGCTCATATACCAGGCCGTCATTATTCTCTCTGCCATGTTCGCCATCTCTATCTACGTCAAAAAGTTCAAGTGGGCGCCCATCAAGAACAGAAAGATTGTATACAACCCACCAAAGGAGTAGGGCGAGACGCAAAGGGTATCGCCGGTTCTTTTGTGCTCGCATGCATGCACTCTTAGATCTAGGCGAGGCGCGAGATCACACACATCCAGCATTGAGGTCTTGCCTTGCTCTCAGAATCTTGGCTCAAAGTGGATACAAGGACAACATTGGCATCCTGCGAAGCCGATACAGAGTATCGCTTTGTCGTCAGCCGAGGTCCATCCAGCTACTCACCTATGTAATTCACTAAGCTCTGCCCTGGGCTCCTAGGGCAGGGGCCATGAAAGCAGCCCAGACATTTGACTGTATCCACCGTGATGTCGAGGGGAGGTTTGGCAGGTTGAGATGATCTATAGTACCTGTCAGTCTCAAAGAGGGATCCACGAACTCGCAGATCGGATCTGCTCGAACTTGTTGGACTAGTCCAAGGAGCGATCTGGGTGTCTTCAGCGGGATCATCGACTGCAAAGACATACCAAAGGTGGAGCGCACGTCTGAGGGGTAAGAGCGCGAGGTTGACAGTGCCATTCGGCCGGCGAGGTCCAATCGATGGGCCGATCACTCATTTTCCTCTACTCAAGTCAGACATCGACAGCGACATGATGAGTAGAGTGAGGTATGCAAGATGATCGAGGACAAGATATTGAACCTCCATCGACGGAATGATGACACCGTATGGTACGATGATGGAAGTTCACCAGTCCAAAGGACCTCTGAGAACATCAGTGGCATTGTGGCACGTCTATTCAACTTTTTAGGAAAGGACCCTGACTTGTCATCTTCGAGCCTATACAGATTGTTCAGCTCCGAACAATAGAGGGTCGACACCGTGTAAAGTCTTCGATGTTCGAACGGGGCCTTCTGAATAGTGTCCATGTGCTACAGGATAGCTTATCTTCAGCCAAGACCGGCAACTCTGAAACATCGGGAAAACATGTTTCGGATTTTTCTTCGTGTCAACTCAAAAGCTCAATCATTGGAAGCGTCCTGAATTGTGAGCAGATCGATGCCCAGGACAATCTATTGCTGGGGGGGCGCTTATGAAGACTCAGTTGCGTGTCGGAGGCCAGACACACCGCTTGACGCGTTCGACCTAAGCCACAGGAAGTACTGCATGGAAGAAATACCGCTCAGTCTCACCTAAAAGCAGAAGTCAACACCTTCCAGCCGACCCAAGGTCTCATTCGTATATTGTCGAAATCTGAACCTAGTCAATCTTCTCGCAGTCACATACTGACAAGACATCGAATAAAGATGGAGATGGCGGGTAATACCTACGAGACCAAGTCTCAGTGGACGTTCTTCAATAAGTGGTGGTCTGTGGAGACTTAAGCATGCAGTCGAGTGGGCTTCTTTTACCCACCCTCGACTTTCCATCCTCTTCGCTCTCGAAACCCTCTGTACATTTCTTGCTGTGCAAGTCTTGTCTTCCTCCTTCTTCTTCTCTCCTCCGTCTTCAGTCAGGCAGGTCCTGATTTTCACCTCTTCTCCGCTCCGCCCTCCTCCCATCACATTCCTTTACAGGTCTACCGTCCCCCGACTCTCTTCCCCCACCCGTCTCCGGCAAACGACAGCGTTCACGATGGTGCACCTCAACCCTCTCTCTCTGTTGATCGGCGCAGCTGGACTATCCGCTGCTGTTGCTCTTCCTGCTGGTCAGGCTCGAGTCCATCAATCATCACGTCCCAGTACGACTTCAACTGCAGACCTGGTCAGGGCCACTGTGGATTTGAACCCTCTGCACATTCAAGTGAGTCGCTTCTATGGGTGTCCTTCGACTAATGCTGCTCTAGGCCGTCATTGCACGAGATGAAGGACTTGAAGCTAGACATAGCAACAAAAAGCACCATGGTAAAGGTAGAAAGCATGGGAAACACGGCAAGAATCGTCGTGAGGAACAAGGGGCCGACAAGCGAGACTTTGTCGGAAAACTCGGACGACGTGCGAGGAATCGAATGCCTCAGGGACAATCCCAACCTCATCGCGCTGCTGAAGACAACCAAGGTAGTGGAGATGCCCAAGCGGGTGATGGTCAATCTAAATCGGACATGATCAACGTCGATTTGGGAGATGGACCGCATGATCATGTGAGTGCGGACACTGAGAGGATCACCTGACAATGATCACAGCACGGCTCCCTGGTCAACGTACAGGCCCGAGACCCCCGTCATCGTCACTACTATGACGATGATGACTGGGAACATGACCATGACCATGACCACGACCACGGACACCACCATGGACACCATCATCATCACAGGTCCTTGGATGTCGAAGACGGGCAGCTGGAGAAACGTCACTCGGGACACAACGTCGTGATCGTTGATGACAGGCACCGACACCGACACCACGGCCATGGTTATCGACACGGCGATACTATTGTCAAGATTCATAACCGAGATGGACTCGAAGCTAGGAAGCCTCGTCACCCCGTTGTGATTGTCGAGGACGGCCACGGACGACATGGGCATCACAGACACCACACAACTGTCGTTGAGGCCAGAGATGGCGATCTCGAAGCACGTCGTCACCGAGATAACGACTATGATCACCGACACCACCATGGACACCATCATCACCACCACCACAAGAGGGACGACTCTGGGATCCCTGATGGATCGCCAGGCTACATTGACGTTACAGTGGGTGTCCACGTTGCCTTGCAGCACTTGCTAACGCCTGCGCTCCCCCCGCCCAGAGCCCCTCCTACAACTCGACCTCCCCCATCACCATCGCCTCGTTGGTCCTCTCCACTGACAATTCGACCGACTCTAACTCGACATTCGTTCTCAATGCATCGACCAACATGCGAACTCGAATGTACCTATCACCGGTTCACCCGTCTAAACCTTCTACGGACGGTATCGAAGTCAATCTCAAGATCCCAGTCTTTGTTGCTTCGACAGCCACCACTGAGCAGTATTGCGCCACGTTCGATGGGGCTCCCTCTGCACCAGCTCCCTTGACAGTCACGCCATGCCACAATGCCACTGACCCTCATGAGAGCCAAATCTTCCTGTATGACTCCAAGACAGGCGTCATCTCCCCCATGTGGCAGGCTACTCAAGCGACTCTTGCAAGTCTACCTAGTATGAGTGGGGATGATGTAGCCGATAGTGGCGATATGAGCTCTGGCAATATGACCGCAATGGCTGGCGGTGACTCCTATGACGACGACGATGAGAGTGCAGATTACGACGAAGATGACCTCGCAACTCCGTCGGCTTCTGCCTCACCATTCTACGCCAGCGCCAGCCCCTCTCCCACCGTCATGGACTACTCCACCTTCACCTACACGTCTTACTCTGCCTCGATCACCTATTCGGCCATCCCATCCGCCAGTGCCATCGCCAGCGCCAGTGCCAGTGCCAGTGCTTTCCCGAACGACGACATCGAGGCCGCAGCGGTACCCAGTCCCTCGGCATTCAGCTCTGGAAATGCTTCCAACGTCACTCTTGTCTTCACTCCCGCATCTGCCTCCGCCACCGACCCTGAGTCAGAAGAGGCTACCGAGATGGGATTGAATCCTTACCCCGAGGGTGACGCCGTCAGGACCGATCCAAGCGCTAGTACAAGTGCCACGGCCACCGCCACTTCATCCTGGCTCTTCCACTCGCCTACCCCTGAGACCGCCTCCACCTCCGCCTCGAGCTCTCTGCCTTCCTCATCTGCCGCTCTGAGTCGACGAGCCGCTGAGCAAAAGCTCTTGCAATCGCCTGACAACGTACGTGGCGAGTTCACTCTCTGCTGACGATGGAATCAGGACGCAGCAGCTCCCTACACGTGAGCATCTTGATCCCCGACGCTTGTCCTGACTTGCTTATCAGCTGATAGACATTAGCTGGCGTTGGAATCCGGCGACGTAGTACAAGCATGCATCATACATGACAACAGGCAAAATGATCACAACGTACACATAGATGATCAGTGTATTTCTCATGGTTTCCAGTACCAGACTGGACCATTTGGCGAATGCTCCTCTTTAAGCGCGTCTGTCCAGATCTGAGATGGGTCAGCTTAGGACACATCATATACACACCCCAAAGAAACCTCTCTTGGAGCCGCGTCCGCCGACTTGTACACACTCCAGCCTCCAACGATCTTCCCCACCATAGCGTATGACCAATGTCCATCTGACCTGTGGTGGATCATCCGCCGTGAGTTGCACGACACCACGGACAAAGCTTGCCGACGAGTTTGAAGCAAAAGTGATGGCACTGCTCTGCTGGACAGATGATCCGTGAAAGTATATGGGAGGGAGGAGTGATGACGTCGGTAGATTGGTCTCTATTCGAGGCATCGGCTCCGGCTTATAGCCCTCCCTATCGATGACGAGTTCCAGTCGCATAAGGTCCCCCACGGCCTCGTGGTATCGTGTTAAGTCCAATGTATTCAGCGATCGTCTCAGTTGGATCAGTCCCGGTTCGTTGAGTGTGATCCAATCGGTATAGCTGAGGTCAGCCAAGCTTTGGAACACCTCACTCACTCTAAGAATGCATATGAACCGCACCAGACGCCTTCGACACCAGCCCAATCCTCGACATTTGACAAATCGTTAAAACCCCAGCCCCGCGTCGGCTCTATACCATATGACATTGGAGGCAGAGCTTGTCGCCAGGTATCTTCACCCATGAACAGGACGTCCTTGGCGTTGCCCACTGCTATTCAGCCATGGAACTTTGTCAGCTACTCACTCATGACAGAACCGACTGCATCTACTAATGTCCAGTCTACGGTCCCGTCCGGATTGAACGGGCCCCAATCATTCTCCACCGAATAGTTTGACGCGCCGTATACCATCTCCCTGAGCCATCCCCGCTGTTGCCTGTGGACTTCCTCGTCGCTGAAATCAGGGCTGAGAAGGACATGCAGACGCATCAGGTCGGCATTGACAGCACGTCGCTGTACCTGTCTATTCGGATTACCAGGTTGAGCACGCAGCGGTCTCAAGAGCGGTTTGGTTTCCGTTGTCGAGTGTTCAAAGTAAAGATCCCGAAAACCTTCGGACTGGAGCAACGACGATAGCAGTATGCCATTCGGACTTTCATCCGTTTCCAGTGGATCCTCGTCTGATGAAGAAGGCGCCGTGGTCGCTGGCAAGTCGAGATACAAATCCAGAAGAGTCGAAGCGATTAAATCGAGATGTGAGACCTGACATCAGCGTCTGTCTCTGAGGCGAAGCGCTAACTAGATCGTCCTTGTCCCAGGTTCTCAGCATACGACTGACGAGCTCTCTATCTTGAACCTGTTTGCGCCAGTTTGGCGGTGGTCTAGGAGAGCAGAATGCACCTGCCCGTTTGGGATCGTCGTATCGCTGGAGATAGATGTCACGCCATAAAGCAGAGTCGGGATTCTAGGGTTTCAGCGTCGCTTGTCCCCATTTGCTCACATCGTAAATGAAAGATCTCAGCTGGGAGCAAGTTTTGGCAGCTTGAGCGATCGCAAAAGGGTCGTCCGCACCAGAAGTGCATAGCACGCGATGTAGAATCTAGACGAATTTGAGCTACATCCTTTGGGTAGGAACTTGTCACTTACCTCGGATGGTGATTTGAGTAACCGGCTCTCTGACTCAATGGACATTGGACTGAGAATGATACTATCGGCGGAAGACTGAGAGAGGCTCGAAGACAGCGAACCATCCTCGCTCATCTTCTCTGTCATGACTGTAATCCCCTCACGGTCGCTATCGCAGGTCGCCGTGGTCTAGATGGACGACCTCGGGGTCGCGGATCTCAAAGTGGAGGTTGTGAGACGGTGGCAAATGTGGCGGAAGCAAATGATGCATGCAAAGACTATGGATACAACAACAGACGCATTGAATGGGTTTGGGTTTCAGGACTCTGTATGATTGACGTCTACTCGTCTCGAATCAGATCTACCAGGCCTTGATCTATCAAGTCCATGCTTGAGTATGCTCGTACGCGAGCACAAAAGTCTTCAAATCGTCAGTGGTGGATCTAGCGCCCCCGACTCACGTTTGATCTGCTCAACAGTGGTCTCGTCGTTTAAATCGACAGTGAATGCCGAGCTCGCCTCGGAGTTTGACTTGATAGCGGAAGAGATAGACATGTCGTCCATTGCAGCGAGAAGAATCACGAAAACTCCAAAGGCCAGGATGTGAGGATGGGTCGTGACGACCAGAGGCGTTTGCGCACTAGGCTCAGCCCGGGTGGACGAAATCCTGCTCACATGACGTTGAACAACCCCCAGCCCAGTTCCAGTCCATTTACTTTCATCCATTTTGGTACAGCTTCGCCATTGAGATTGAGTATGGCGCGTCGAAATATTGTCCAGTGGTTGATTATAGCCATATCGAAGCACAGCGCTTCAAGGGCCAGCTCCTCGACGATCAAGATTTCTCTCTCCCATCGCTTGTACTCCAGAGATTGTGGAGGGTAGGTCTGATACGGGATGAGTGTGTTTCCCCCATTCCACGTACATCCTTGTTGTTGGGGTCTGGTTCCCAAGGTAGCGCCCCTGGTTCCCACTTGCTCAGACACGCATTGACAATGTACCTGAGCTTGAGAGAATCCTCGGCAATCTTCGATGCGAGGAAAAGCATGGCAGGTGCCACGAGCTGGTCAGATGAGCGGGAGCATGGTAGTTAGGAACCCACCTCTTCTGGGAAATCCTTGAGTGATCTTCTCATGTAAAATCGATGCACTAGCATCGCAGCAGGAGCCATTACGCCTCTTGCAGAGGGCGAATTGGCTTCTCGACCCCCTCTGGGATCGTGTTAGCAACGCGTGGGTCCCGTATGAAATTTCACCCACAACCCCGCCCTCAATCCTATACTCCGTACATACTCGATCGCTTTCTTCCTCCGCCGGAGCTCATCTTCCGAGGTAATCCCATCAAGTCGCGATGGTGTACGGTCCAAGTCTGCGTCGGTGAATAGCCATTGAGACTCTGCGGGTCCCAAGTCTTTCATCGAAGCGGAGCCAAGAGGCGAGATGAGGCGTGAAGCAAGTGGTTCTTGCTGTAGATGCTTATTCCCTCGTTGGACCGGCACCCGCCGCTCATGTAGAGGTTCGTTTGCTGTCACGTGATCCGACATGCCCCGCACCCGATGACGCCACGTGTGTCTCGCCAAAAAAAAAAGCCCTTCTCCCCCCAACGTTTTGTCCCCACAGAAAAAAGTGGGTGGGTGGTTTGGTGGTGCCCCCCCGGTTTCGGTTTTGACCTGGCGCTGCTGATGCGGCACTATACTAGAGCCACGTCTCTCTCTCTCTCTTTCATCCTCATCCTCTCACCTCCTCCTTTTCACGACTTGAGAAACATCCTTGGATAGGACCGACGCATCCCAACATTCCTGTTGACAACTGGCTGTCTTCTCTCCGACACACGGACCTCGTATCCCCAAGGATATTATATTATACTATCTACAACCCAAGAGATCGACTTGTCTCGCGTGACCATTCGTGCCACAGCTCGATCCCCCTTCACCCGAGACGGATAGGAAGTGTCTCTCATCTCTTGGCTGGCCATCCTTTGATCAGTCACTCCCTTGCTTCTACGCTACTTCTGGCCTCGCTAGGCTACTCGCTAGGCTACTCACTCACTTTCACCTGAAGAGCATGTCCCTCGACTTGGTCTCTTATCCTCGTCAAATCGACGATCACGACATGGACAACGACGAGGCTCGCAGCTCAGAGGAATCTGGATCCTCTCCCCTCTCTTCATCACCCGAGATGGAATCACCCGCCACGCTGCCCTCGCCTTCAAACTCACTACTCCCTGCCCCTCCTCACGCCTCGACCTCGCGGACAGCATCCAAACTCTCCGCATCCTCCGTGACCCGTCTTTCACCCTCGATCTACGCTCGACCCTGTGCTCACTCCACGACCACCATGCAAGCACCTACGCAACCTCGTACGCGTCCTCGAGGGCTCTCACCCCTCACTCCCAGCACCAACACCTGCAGTCCTTTCCCACCCCTAGGCGTTGGAGCTCTACCCAAAGCGCAACCTCTCGCTCGCGCCCTGTTTGCAAAGATGGCCAATGGTACAGATGTCCCTCATGCGGGCATGGGCAAGAAAAAGGGAGGTCAAAAGTTGATCGTCCCGTCCAAGTCATTTAAGACCAGTTTCGAACTCAAACTCACCTCGAGCGAGCTCGCGAGGCAGTAGGGCATGCCGTTTCTGTCTAGGGCTGTCCCAGATACTTGGTAGATGCTGTCTCTGAGGCAGCAAAGACGAGAGGGCTGGCCCGATCACGACCTACAACCCTGAACATACCGAGCATTTGATATTCATTCGATTTCGGACCTCACTTCCTTGTAAATACCACGACATTTGCCGCATATGTTCACCATCCTTCACATTGTGGATATTCATCTCCAGCAGACAAAGCAACCCAACCCCAGCCATCAACTGTAGATGTATGTAGGAGTAGACAAACAAGACATATCAATACGAGAGCACACACCGTATGCATTTCATTCCACATTGTGCCACTCTGTGAGTGCAGTGCTGCCACTCTTGCCTGTATTAACCGGCAAAAACTCAAATCCGCGGCACGACGTCCACTCGCTGCTTTCTTCTCAGACGCTTTCACTCTGTTCACCACAATACATCGCCTAAGGCAGCCACTGCGCGGTCAGTGAGGGATCGCATACGAGTGATTCCCTCTCCATTCTCACTTCCCTCTCATCTCATCCTTGACGTCTCATCATGTTCGCCCATCGCCCACCATCAGCGTCTCCGACGCTTGAAAACCCCGACGCATGGGGTCATCATCAATACACTTCATCCACTTCCTCGATCGGTCAATCACTTGCTCCTCCCAATTCGTCCGGCTATATGTATCATGACCAATCAACTGGTCCTCATCAAGGATCATCTAAACCCTCACATGGGCACGGAGCATCACAATCTCATGCCCTTGGAGGCCAACAACAACAGCAGCAGCAGCAATCCCGAAGAGCGCCTTCTCGTGATGGCAATCTAGGGTCTTCAAATCCGAACCCATATGGATCTGGACCTGGAGCCTCCCCATTCCTCTCCACCTCTTCCGCTCTTGGATCTGGTGGACCGACTCCGGGTGGTCTAAGACCTCCAGGGAAAAGTACAACGCCTCAACCTGGTCAATCGAATTTGTTGTTGAACAATCTCGCTCAGCACCTGAACAATCCACCCGCGCCGACACCCTATGGAGGCGATAGGAATGGGTCTGGTGGTGCTGGGGGCAATGTCAATCCAGGCGGGATCAATATGTCTAGTGTACTTGGACAAGGGAGCGGTGCGCCTGGAGGTGCTGGCAAGTTGCTCTTGCTGCCATCAGGATCGGCACCCCCTGCTGGATCTGAAGAGGAAAAAATATACATGCTCATCACAGAGCTTTTGGATCCAGAGACGAGAGAGACGGCGTTGCTGGAGCTGAGTAAGAAGAGGGAAATGTATGAGGATCTGGCTCTGGTCCTTTGGGGTGGTTTCGGTGAGTGATCCGCCGATACCTCTGTACTCACCCCTTCAGGTATCATGTCGTCGCTTCTGCTAGAGATCGTCAACGTTTACCCAGCTCTGTCGCCGCCTAGTCTCACGGCCCATGCTTCGAATCGCGTCTGTAACGCTTTGGCCCTGCTCCAATGCGTCGCCAGTCATTCAGAGACCAGGAGTCTATTCCTAAACGGTGCGATACCCTCCTCTGCATCTCAACTGACGAATCCCAGCTCACATCCCCCTGTTCCTGTATCCTTTCCTTAACACAACTTCCAAGACCAGACCGTTTGAGTACCTCAGACTCACCTCACTCGGCGTCATTGGTGCACTGGTCAAGGTGAGCGAGCCCATGGGGTATCAGGCTGACGAATTAGCAAAACGAGAACTCCGATGTCATCAACTTTCTCCTCTCGACCGAGATCATTCCTCTGTGCCTCCGAATCATGGAGACTGGATCGGAGCTCTCCAAGACAGTAGCCATCTTCATTGTGCAGAAGATCCTCCTCGACGATCTGGGTCTGCAGTACATCTGCCAGACTTATGAACGATTCTATGCGGTCGGGGCCGTCCTGGCCAATATGGTCCAAGCTCTAGTGGAGAGTCAAGCGGTCAGGCTGCTAAAGCACGTCGTGAGGTGTTATCTGAGGATGAGTGATAATCCGAGGTGAGTCACACAGGGGTAGGCGAGGACGCAGTTTGGCTTACTGGCGGAGCAGAGCCCGTGAAGCCCTCCGCGCTTGCTTGCCCGAGGCTCTCAAAGATAACACGTTTGCTGGACTGCTCAAAGGCGATATGGTCACCCGCAGATGTCTTTCGACACTCCTACATAATCTTAACGAGAGGCCCACGCAAGAATAGGCAATGTATCAACATTTCTTGCTTGGGCAGCCTCGAGGTCGCGTCTGCCGAGCGACAATGCGCAAATGTGCGTGCCGCGACGCACGATCCCGCTTCCAAGCCTGACTTGGCTCAACTAAATCAATCGACCCATGACTCTTCGAACGCTCATTTTGGCAAAGACACTGTCTCATCTCGGTCTACCTGGCATATATCCCCATCCCGACGTTGTGTGGCATTACAGCGGTTTTTTTAGGCGATCGCTGGGAAGAATGTACATTATGTATCAATGTTGAAAGAGCGAACCCGTGTGGAGCATCATTCGGTACAACAGATTCTTGACCAAGTCGTGGTCAAAATGCTGAGGGGGGGGGGGCATCGACGGGACCAAAAAAAAAAGAGTTACCCCAGGTCAACGAGACTCTACGTTTCAGAGTTGAAATTTCGAGTCGGGCGCATCTGGCATCAACCCTCTTACATGAGGATAAGACCGTATTCATCTCTTGTCCGTCCATTCTCAAGAACATTCAGTATCATGTCTTCTGCCGCAGCAGCTTCAAATTCGAGTCCCAATGATTTCACTCAGCCGTTGAACAAGACGGCTCACGCGTTTGACAAGAATGACTTTGACGCCATTCTATCTCGACGATTCTTCTTCATTCCTTCTTTTGAAATCTATGGCGGTGTCGCTGGACTATACGACTATGGTCCACCTGGATCTGCTCTGCAGGCAAACATTCTGGACGTCTGGCGAAAACACTATATCATCGAAGAGGATATGCTGGAGCTCGATACGACCATCATGACGTTGTCTGATGTTCTCAAGACTTCAGGTCACGTTGACAAGTGAGTAAAGCAGGAAGAGTGGACATTCCACTGACTCGGCATCAGGTTCGCCGACTGGATGGTCAAAGACTCCAAGACTGGGGAGATTTTCCGAGCGGATCACCTCGTCGAAGCAGTCATTGAAGCGAGGTTGAAAGGCGACAAAGAGGCTCGAGGTGTCACGGAACAACCTGCGGAAGAGGAAGGCGACAAAAAGAAGAAGAAGAAAAAGGTCAAGCACGTCGCTATCAAACTTGAAGATTCTGTCGTCGAGGAATACGAGAGTCTCTTGGCTCAGATTGATAACTATACTGGACCAGAGCTTGGCGAATTGATGAAAAAGCACAAGATTGTGAACCCAGAGACTGGGAATGACATGACAGAGCCAGTCGAATTCAACTTGATGTTTGAGAGTAACATTGGTCCCACTGGTCAAGTCAAGGGGTGAGTTGTGAAAAGACTTGTCATTTGCCTGACCTCCTAGCTATCTTCGCCCTGAGACTGCCCAAGGTCACTTTGTCAACTTTGCTCGTCTTCTCGAGTTCAACAATGGTCGAGTTCCCTTCGCCTCTGCTCAGATCGGTAAATCGTTTAGGAACGAGATCGCCCCGAGACAAGGTCTTTTGCGAGTCAGAGAATTCACCATGGCGGAAATTGAGCACTATGTCGACCCTACCGATAAGCGTCATGCGAGATTCAATGAAGTCAAGAGTGTCAAATTAGCGCTGCTGCCGAAAGATGTTCAGCAGGAAGGCAAGACCGACTTGACCTCCATGACCGTTGGTGATGCCGTCGGACAGGTAGGATCAGATACTGAGCGAGTTATTGACGGGTAGAAAATCATCGACAACGAGACGCTTGGTTACTTCCTTGCGAGGACACAACTGTTCCTCGAAAAGATCGGTATCGACCCGACTAGACTGAGATGCCGTCAACACATGGCCAATGAAATGGCACACTACGCTGCAGTGAGTCTGATTGGTACCGCTCTTTGCTGATCCCTCCAGGATTGCTGGGACTTTGAAATCCAATCATCTTTCGGATGGATCGAATGTGTAGGATGTGCCGACAGATCAGCGTACGACTTGACAGTTCACTCCAAGAAGACAAAGCAGCCACTTCGTGTGCAACAGAGCTTGCCCGAACCTCGCGTCGTCGACAAGCTCGAATGCGTGTTTGAGGCCAAAGCATTCGGATTGCAATTCCGGAAAGACGCTGGAATGCTCAAGGAGCACCTGTCGACCATGGAGAAGGAGCAACTTCAGGTCGTCAAAGACGACTTGGAGAAGAACGGGTGGGCGGTGATTTATTCTGGACCAGGCTAACATTTCAGCTCGGCCAAGGTTCAGGGTCCCGATGGCAAGACTTATGAAGTCACTTCCGACCTTCTCTCGATCAACCCGATCACCGTTACAGAGCATAGTGAGTCTGTCTTATATGAATATCACTCAAACTTCAGTCCGTGAATTCATTCCCAACGTCATTGAGCCTTCCTTCGGAATCGGTCGAATCCTTTACTCCCTGCTCGAGCACTCATTCTGGGCTCGTGAGCAGGACAAGGCACGAGGTGTAAGTCACTATCTGCGTGTCACACTCACGCCAAGGTCCTCTCCCTTCCCTCTGTCGTGGCGCCGATCAAATGCTTGATTGTGTGTCTGAGTCAAGATCCTCAGCTTCGAGTTCTTATCCATGATATCTGTGAGTCTGCGCCCCGCCGTGACGCTGGTTGACGACAGCCCGCAAACTCCGTCGAATCGGTGTCTCGAGCCGTGTCGACGACTCGAGCGCCTCCATCGGCAAGAAGTACGCTCGAAACGATGAACTCGGTACACCGTTCGGGTGCACAGTGGACTTTGCCTGTGAGTCGTGTGTTCACTTTCCGAGACTGACGTATAGCGCTCAAAAATGGCACAATTACTTTGCGCGAACGAGACTCTACGGCTCAACTCATCGGTCCCATCGACACTGTCATCTCCGTCGTCGATCAATTGGTCAAGGGCACCATTGACTGGCAAGGTGCCACCGAGCAATTGGACACTTACAGTGGGGTCCAGGACGTCGATTAGATGTTATGCATATAGACATGATCATGAGAGGCTGGCACCGACCAATGAAGGAGCTCTGCACACGCCGTCCTTTGTCCTGATCTTGTGCACAGATTTGGTCTCGGGATCGATCCAAGCTGCTTCTCGGGTGTCGAGCGTGGTAAAGCCCTGAATGACCCATCAGCTCGAATGTTGAGTTGTGACTCACGGGTTGAATAGTCTCAAAGATCTTCTTCTTCGGGTTGAGCTGTTCCTCTGGCTTTTCATCTGCGCGTCAGCTTGTGCCTATCGGCTCATGTCTCACTCTCATATTTCTCTCCTTCGAAGTAAATCCTCTCTCCAGGTTGACTGCCCTCTGGCGGCAGAACGAATTCCATTCCACCTTCGTCTTTACCGTCCTTGGACGACGCGCACAAGAGCATGGCGTACGATTTGACTCCACGCATAGTGACTGGTTTCAAGTTGCACTGAGTCACGGTTCAGGACAGTCCTCACATAAGATGGCGGGCCAGCTCACAATGACAATGATGGTCGCGCCTTGGATTTGCTCCTCCTTCATGTACTTGACAAGACCTGAGCATACAGTCCTCGGTTCTGCCTCTCCAACATCAATCTGCTCAACATACAGCGACTCGGCATCCGGGTGCTTTTTGACTACCAATTATCAGCATAATTACCCCCGCCTTGACTCGTCTCACCGTCCAAAACCTTGCCGACTCGCATGTCAATCATACTGGGCATAGGGGCCAAAGGTTCAGCTTTGGCAGGTTGAACCTTTGCAGGCTTCTCCTTCTTCTCCTTTTTCTCTTTTTTCTTGCTGTTTCCATCCTCTACACCCGCTGCACTCTTGACGGTCTCGACTGCTGAACCGACGACCGCAGCGGCGGTCGCAGCCACTGAAGAAGCGGCAGCAACGGCAGCACCGAACACACCTTCTTGCGCTGAAGCCGCCGCAGATGCATCCGCCTTGGGCTTCTTCTCCTTCTTGACCGCTTCTACGACTTGACGAGGCGGTATGGGAAGTTTGGAGATATCGATGTCGAGAGGAGGGAAAGAGTTCGGGAATTGCTTGTGGGCTGACTCGGTTGGAGGAAGGGATTGAATCTGGAGAAAGTATCGAAGCACAGAGGGTATGGAGCTGAATTCGGGATTGGAAGACTGATTCAACGGTCAGTCGAGTCTATAAGGGACAAGGTATGAAAGACCCACGATAGGTTGGTGGAGATGGCAGTAGAGCGAAACGTCTGCTGATGATGGAGCGTTTTCATAGAGGTACGTCAAAGGCGTAAGCTTGTCGTTCAGAGACTGTTCCGTCAGCTCTTCGGCCTTGTCATATACTCTCACCTTGAGATCCGCTGCCATGCTCTCCGTCTGAGATTCCAACTTTGAGATCTCTGCTTTGGCCTTGTCGTTCTCGCCAGCTAGGGATGGCTCTGCCTTTGTGGCGGCAGCAACGAATTCAGCGACTGACATGGTGCGACAGGAACGAGTGGTCAGTTGGGGTGAAATAAGCGCTCTTCTGTAGACCAAAGAAGCCAGAGCCCGCATACAAATGTTGGAGGCAAGTAAGTCTCTTGGAGTCTCCCCCGGTCGTCGAGCAGCTCGTCACGATCACTCGCTACTTCACTCGGTACGTACCGAAACTTGAGATCATGACGTGTCAATTTTTCTGACTCGGGACTGAGATTTTGCGAGTTTCAACTCAACTCTGCTTTGCTGCTGCTACAAAGAGGTCAAGACGTTGCCACTGAAGAGCCTTGCTCACCCTTGTACACCTTGGACAGTATTCACTTCTATACACAATGTCAGGTGGCCAACCGCCTTTCAACCCTGGAGCTTTCGAGTTCCGACCAGGTCAACAAGCCTTCATTCCTCGCAATCAGCAGCAACAGCAGCAGCAGCAGCAGCAGCAGCAGCAGCAACAGCAACAGGGACAGTATGACCCTTATGCAATGTACGGTCAACAGCCTCAGCAATACTATGGTCAACAACAGCAATCTTATGGGACATATCAACAGTACGGTCAAGGTCAGCAGGGCGGATATTACCAAGGACAGCAACCTCAACAACAGGCTTATGTCCCTCCATCGCGAGCCTATCAACCTCCTGCTCGCCAAGTCCAAGGCTTTCAACCCCCCAACCTTGGTACTTCCAATGCTGCGCCGTCAAGTTCTGTTCCTGCTGGAAAACCAGTCTCATTCAGCATTGGAGGTGGTGGTGCGCCAAAAGCAGCTCCATCACTGAGCATTGGAGGTGGCGCACCGAAAGCAGCCCCGTCACTGAGCATTGGCGGTGGAGCTCCCAAAGCTGCGCCATCATTAAGCATCGGAGGGGGAGCTCCTAAAGCTGCCCCCTCGCTCAGCATAGGAGGTGCTCCGAAAGCTGCCCCGTCACTGAGCATTGGGTCGAAGACTGAGTCGAAGGATCCTGCGGAGCCGAAGAAGGAGGCCAACGAGACGAAGAAGGAGAAGGCAGAGCCAACAGGCGAGGACAAGGACGAGGATGATTGGGCGGAACCCTCCGCACCGGTCAAGGCAGAAGCTGTACCTGACTCTGCCCCTGCCCCTACCCCTACCCCTGCTCCAGCTTCTGGACCCTCTTCCACTGTGGCCGAGTCTGCATCAGCAGCGCCTCGTGCGGCCGCTGCTGCCGATGCTTCCGGGTCCGATGCACCCTCGAAATCCGGCGCCAAAATCTCCGGGACTGCTACACCAACAAACTACACCCGAGCAGCTGCAAAGAATGACGCGGATGCGGTGTACAAGGAGCAGGCTGCAGCCGGAGCAGAAGCCATGAGGGATCTGTATGGAGATGATGCCAAGGACCCCAACGTCAAATCACACCTCAATATTATCTTCACTGGTCACGTCGATGCTGGAAAGAGTACAATGGGTGGACAGTTACTGTATTTGACTGGAGCAGTGGACAAACGGACAATGGAAAAGTACGAGCAGGAGGCCAAAGCTGCCGGAAGAGAGACCTGGTATCTGTCTTGGGCACTCGATTCCAACAAGGAAGAGCGAGCAAAGGGAAAGACTGTCGAAGTTGGACGAGCCTACTTTGAATCTGACAAGAGAAGATACACCATTCTGGACGCACCAGGTCACAAGACATATGTGCCTAGTATGATCAGTGGTGCCGCTCAAGCAGACGTGGCGTTGCTGGTGAGTCGATCAGGTGCGATTTGAGAGCTGACATTTTCAGGTACTTTCCGCACGTAAAGGTGAATTCGAGACCGGTTTCGACCGAGATGGTCAGACGCGTGAACACGCCGTTCTGATCAAGAACAATGGTATCAATAAGCTCATTGTCGTCGTGAATAAGATGGACGATGTGACGGTCAAGTGGGATCAGGCGAGGTGAGTCAACTTCTCTGCGACTTGTATGCTAAAATGTAGATACGACGAGATCAAGGACAAGATCACTCCGTTCTTAAAGAAGACTGGTTTCAACCCCAAGACTGACCTCACCTTCATTCCCGTATCGGCGCAGATCGGTGAGAATATGAAGGATAAGGTGGACAAGAAGATTGCACCGTGGTATGAGTGAGTAGTTACGAGCGTCAGTGCACCAGGCACTTATAATTCACCATCAGGGGACCGTCTCTGCTCGGCTATCTGGACGAGATGCAGATCATGGACCGAAATATTGATGCTCCATTCATGTTGCCTATTTCTGAGAAATACAACGAAATGGGTACAATGGTCATGGGCAAGATCGAATCTGGAAGGGTCAAGCGTGGCGACACGCTCATGCTCATGCCTAACAAGGTGAGTACGAACAATCGCTGCTGCGACTGACATTCCAGGCATCTGTCGAAGTTGCAGGTATCTTCAACGAGCAGGCTGAAGAGATGGACAACGCCTTTTGTGGAGACAACATTCGTCTGCGTATCCGAGGTATCTCGGATGAGGACATCACTCCTGGTTTCGTCCTCACATCCCCTCAAAGACCCGTCAAGACGGTCACTGCTTTCAAAGCCGATCTCAGTATCATCGAAACCAAGAACATCATCTGCTCCGGATACTCTTGTGTGCTGCACGTCCACACATTGGCTGAAGAGGTTACCTTGACCGTGAGTGCATGAGATCGGGGACGCTCGCTCAAGTGTCAGTCTCTGCTGCACTATTATGACAAGAAGACTAAACGCAAGTCTAAAAAGCCACCTCAATTCGCCAAAGTCGGCATGCTGGTGTCTGCTTTGATCGAGACTTCTGCTCCAATCTGTATCGAAAAGTGGGAAGACTACAAAATGCTCGGAAGATTTACCTTGCGTGATGAGGGTACGTTCATCCTGGTGGTTATTGTCACTGATCCGTTCGCAGGCAAAACAGTTGCTATTGGTAAAGTCACCAAGCTCATCGAAAAGACCGACGAGATGCCAGATGTAGCTGGATTAAAGGTCGGAGCGTAAACATATTCTTGTTGATCTGGATTTCATCATGCATTCTCCCTGTGTACAAGTACAGTGTCGTCGTTCATCGTTCAAGCAATGTCCTCCTCGTACAGTCGCCTCATATGCCCAAGCAAGCTCCTCATGCGCTCTCCTGTTCCGGTTCTTGAGCCTCCGCATCATATGCCGCTTGAACTCGCTCCTTTTCCTTCTCGAGGTCCACATCGAGTATCCGAGATACAGCCATGAATCTGGGGTGGGGGAGAAGAAGATATGTCAGCCATTGAAGTGACCATTTCCATGCCAGCTCACTGTGCCGCGTGATTCGCTCCCAGATGTCGCATCTTATCCAAGTGTCTAGCGAGTGCATCCATTTGAACTTCAGATTCTGCCAAATTTGTCTTCAGAGCCCGTAATCGCGAGGCAAGCGCCGCATAATGTCGTTGCTTTGCAGTTGACATGGCTTATCAAACTGGAAGGATAACTTCAGCTCTTTCGTCACTCGTCGTCTCTTCCCCGGGGGGGTAATGACCACTCACTCCAGCTCATCAGTGAGTGACAAGATGTTGGTGGATGTCCAAAATGTGTTGGACGCGTCTCGAAAGATTAGCCAACTGAAAGGTCTTGTTACGTCATCAAAGAGGGCTTCCGAATTTTTCCTAAGCGAGATCCTTATGAAAGATTTTTCAGACCATGCAAAGCGATCGTCAATCAGTATACCATACTATCAGCTCGCCAACATGCACTTCAACATTGGTTCATCCTCCTCTGCATCCTCATCTAAGATCGAGGTCCCCTCGCTGCCCGCCGACCATCCACCCGTCCCATCCTCTTCTCGTCGCCCTCCGCCATCATGCCCTATGCACTCTGAACCTTCTTCCGCTGCTCCCGCCAACTTTTTGACCGGTCAAGCCAGAGCTACGGGTGCCAAATGTCCAGTCCAACACGATACCAAAGCTAGTCTGAACCCGCTCAACTCGATCCCTCTGAACCTCTCAACTGCCCGTCAACCGGGACAGAAGATGGCTCTTCCGACCGATAGGGAAGCCTCAACTATTCCTCGTCCGCAGTCTAACGAAGATGGAGGTGACGCCTTCGGCGGAATCGGAGGAGCAACAAACGAGGAGAGTACCGTCTGGGAGTACCCTTCACCCCAGCAATTTTACAACGCCCTCGTGAGAAAGGGCTGGGAAACCCCTGAAGAGAGTATCGAGATGGTAGTGGCGATCCACAACTTTTTGAATGAAGAAGCTTGGCAAGAGGTCATGAAGTGGGAGAAGAGATTTCCAGGGTGAGCTAGCTTCACCTCTCTCAAGTCTTGCGAGAGAGAAGTCTCCCTAGCTTACCCAGAGAGCAGTGGTGAGCAAGCAAAATTGGAGCGATTCCAAGGTAGACCTGGAGAACTATCACCCAAAGCTCAGCTTCACTTGTGGGCTGGCAAAATCTTCCCGTCAAAGTTCAAGTGAGTCCTCCCTTTCTCTCGCTGTTGCTGATCATCGCAGTACCGAGCCGCCGTTCGATCGACATGATTGGATAGTCACTCGACCGGCGGTCCCGACCTCACCTAACGACAAGAACACCCCCCCAAAACTCATCACTACACGTTATGTCATTGACTATTACTCTGCTCCCCCGGACGAAGAGGGCAACCCCGTGTTCTCACTGGACGTCAGACCCGCACTGGATAATCTCGAAAGTATCAACCAGCGCATACGGGTGGGCCTTGAGGAGTGGAGGAAGGGCGAGGCGGCATAGTTGTACGGTTGCATCTCACTGCTCAAATGTATCTCATTCGCGGCAAACATCTCACATGATCCTACTCTATCGCGGTCTGACAGAGCTATAAAATTCTTCAAATGGTATAAGTCCAGAATCAGGTCTAGCGCCGGACATTGTGGTCCCTATACTCGTCCCTGATCTCGAAGACGCGATCGTACCGCTTCTATTTCTCCCACCACCCCGCCACGAGCTCGGTCCCTGAGCGGCCGCTTGATGCCTCTCCTCGGACACTGCGAGCTGCAAGTCCAGATCATGTTCTAGATTGACATCGTACAATGTTCCAGGGACGTCACAGAGCCTATCGTGCCGGCTCAAAAGAGGCACAGCGCTATTCGCAGCTCCCGAGGATAGAGATGAGGGTGGCTCTCCTTGATCTCTTCGTCTGTCGGCTCGACTATCACTCAGATCAGTAATGACCCTAGGTGTAGGCCGTGACATGCTGGGTCTGAGTGCCAAAGGAGTACGTATCCCTGGATCCAATTGCATCGTGAAGCTCGTCATATTGCTCTCTCGTCGTTCGGAAGGTGGCTGTCCATAGACTGACATGACCTCGCTAGGTGGCAAAGAGCTCATCCTGTCGATCCCAGACCATGGTGCCATGGAAAACCGAGCGTCATCAGTAAGCGCACAAGATGAGGGTTGTACCGATGCGTGGACAGTGGAAGGACCATGAATTTGAACGTGAGCCGGTGGACTCCTGTTGCTGGTGTTTGACGATCCATCCGCCACTGCCAGCATCCTTCTGAAATGCTCCATCTTTTCGTCTGACGCAGTGGGGAGAAGAGTCGCTGCTCCCGTGAATTGGATTCGCCCTTCTGAACCTTGCTCGATCGTCCCGAGACCGGCGCTATAAGGTGGCAGATTCGTCTGGCGTTTCATATCACCCGTGTCGGACCGAGCATAGCTCGAGCCGAGCAGAGATCGGAGAGGTCTCTGCCATCCTTCTGGTCTGTCATCCTTCAATGCTGCTGCTTGAGCTTGAACATTAGCCAAGAGGACGGCAGGAGGAGCACGGTGTGCAGGAGTCATCGGAGAATCATCCGTCGTACTCTCTCGATCAGATCTCGACCTGTGAGATTGACTCGAATCGCTGCTGGTGCTTGTACTTGTGTTTGTGCTTGCACTTGTACCTGAGGGGACGCGTCGCCATTCGGACGAATCCGTCGACTGTTGCGTGTGATGACTCGTGGTCGTCCGATGCGACCGATATGAGCGACCACTTGACGTGCTCTTTTGACTTCGATGGCTCCTACCGCTCCTACCACTAGTGGCTGAACTGGCTTTGGAGGGCGTCCTGAAGTACCCAGTATGGCCATGCTCGTAAGAGACAAACATCTCTATACTTGGATTGGACCAGTTCTTGTCGAATTCCATGATGGCAGGTGGCTTCTCATTCGATGGAGAAGGATGAAGCCAGATTCCAGATTGAGAGCTCGAATCAGAACCTCGAACGGAGTCTTGACGATCTCTTCGGCGGACGAAGAACCACCACAGGACAAGAGCCACCGCCACGAGCATAATGAGCGGAGCGAGAAGAAAGCAGATGAGTTTGCCTGCCGTTGTCGAGATGAATTCGGTGGATCCAGGTGCGGTCGTTGAGCTATGCCAATCAGCACTTTGCGCGCCTGCCTCGTGATCTCACATTCGAGAAAGGGTCACGGGATCTGCAGACAAGAGGAAAAAGTCGATGGCCATCTTCTGCTCCGACAAGCTCGTCATGGTGACGGTATGCGTCTGATTGGGGTTCAAGCCAGTAGTGAACCACAAAAGCTGGTATGGCATCGGCCAGGGTGCCTGGTAGCAAAGTCAGATCGGGTCCAATTGAACCTGACCTACTGTGAGATTCAGGCTCGGCATGACCATTTCATTGTCCAAAGCTACCGAAGCTGACCCATACCCTGGCCCGACCAGGCCATAAATGTAGAATGCAGAGCCTGATGATGAGCTCCATCGTCTCAAGCCGAACTCACCTGCGCCTGAAAAGGTCACTGACGCGCCCGTCTTTGAGGTAACTGAGATGGTCTTGTTGAAATCACTACCCAGCCCGTTCTGCTCCTCCAAGCTGGTATCGCTCTCCGAATCGATATGATTCCAAGCACCTTGCCAAGTTATACCGACCGGCCCAGCATCAGCAGACGAGTACGTGTCATCGACGGTCACATTAGTCATTTGAGCCGTGTCGGGAGGTCGAATACCATCGATCCCCCAGAAAATGACTCGTTGACCGGGCTCGATGTGACCAGTATCGTACTTGACATTGTGGACCCCGAGAGGCAGATTGAACAATGTGAATGGCTCATCACCTGTATCAGACGACTTGGTACAAGCTGGGACAGTGGCAGAATCATTGATGGAGACGGTGGCTTGGCAATTGTAGAAGGACGGAATGAGAAAAGTCATGGAAGAGGCTGGACGCTTAGTTGGACGGAGCCCAAGAGACCGCTCACCAGTCATATTGAACATGATGGTTGACTGAGAGATGGTTGTCAGGTGTAACGTCTCATCATAGCCATCGGACTGCATGGCATAGCCTGCTGTCCATGATGAGGATGAGGTGCCATTAGCGTAGGAGAAAATAGGTGAGCTGGTGTATCGGTGTCGTTAATGACCGTGCCTGGTCTCCAGGATCAGAAATCAGAACTCACCTGTCCGAGACGAAATACGAATCTTCGCCAGATCCCTCGGGAGCTTGGTCTTCACGACGTCGAATGGAGTTGGTCCCGGTGATGAATACCATGGAGACCTTGGAGCTGGGGTTTGCGTCCCCTTGTCCCATTCAATATTATCTCGAAAAACCCTGATGAAAGACCCCTGACGACCCGGGGTGGTTGGTTCTTTACTCTTGACGATCTGATTCGAAGTCCGTAGGCCGGTTCGGATTAGCCTCACAGAAGACTCTCTGAAGTCATTCAAGTATATCAGTACACTCGTGTCATTCCAACAACCCCCGCCCCCCCTTCCATTCGCTCTTCCTTACAGGCCCATACCGCTCATCCCCAGGGGATTTCCCCCATCAAGTCTCCTTTGGGGTGAGCGCTTTTTTCTCCCAGCACGACGCTGCCCCCCACCCCCTTCCCTTGGATCATCGTTCATGCTCTACCGAAAGTCTTTGAACGTCCCATTGTCCTAGTCCTCTGATTCAAAAGCTTCCTTTGATAGACTTGCGTTGGAAGAAAGGGGGTTCCCGGGGCATCAGCAGAGTAGACACAGCCTTTTGAGCTGATCTGATCTTCCCAAGCTCATTTCGTATCGACCGCATCCTATAGCGTCAATTTCCTATCGCAGCGATCTTCAGTTTCCGGCGGTACATGAGACGATTCTTATGCACACGTTTTTTAAAAAGAAGGATGTGTCAAACCAGGGACCGAGTGCATCTCCCTTGGTCACCTTGAACTCCTTCGGCTGGGTGGATTCAGTCTTATTCAGCAATGCAGGTAGGTGGTTGGGCCAATTGCACGATGGTCGAAGTCACCCCCTCTTTCGGATATTGCGCCGGGAAAAAGGATCAGTCTCTGCGAGAATACCCCGTGCCGCCACGTCAGCGTTCCTGTCGATCAGGTCATTTTGGATCTGTTTCTTTTCCGGGCTCAGTGTGAAAGCATTTTCCTCGGGGAGCCTTGAACATGTCTGCACAAGAGGCTGCGGGAGCAATGTCAGAACCACGCTTGGCCCACCTGGCAGCTGAGATCAGCGAGCTGTTTCAAGCCGACCAGAAGCAGATGGCAGAATTCAATGCGGCCACTTCAGATGACTCGGAGCTTCAGGCGCCTTACGCAAAGTACAAGGCAGAAGTACTTCAGACGCGTGATTGTTTCTACGACCCCTTCATTGTGGATCTCTGGGTCGCCTCGGAAGAGCATCCACCAGCCGCCATTACGACCGCACATGCGTTTAGGGAACGAGTCAACCGACGTGTGAGGGAGATTGTTGACGAACACGGATGGCCGAGACGGAAAGATGTCGGAGATACTGCTGGTATCATGTTTTTCTTCCTCTTTGGCCACGGAGACAATGATAACGAGTGGCGACACACCCAGCTGTCAAATATAGATCACGTCAACCAGGAGGACAAGCTCAATCCTAGACTCTACGGACACATGGTCGACAGACTAAGGGCAGTGGCCCTCAAACCTCAGCTCTACGGGACGATCATGGGTCCAGGGATGGAAAAGGGGACTGCGAAGCTATACGTCAAGACTGAATTCGATGAAGAGACGACAAACGAGAAGCGGAAAGCTATTGGGTTGGCTAGCATCGAGGAAGATCTCGAGAAATTCCGATCAGGCGCACAGATTGGGCCATATATGACCCCGATGATGGGTCAGCCATGGGATTTATCGGATGGTTATAGGACAACCGTATAATGTATGATTGAGACAGAGAATGACGGGGCAGTCTTTGGGCTCACGGAGAACTTCCAGCTTGTGCTGCACCGTCTATCAAAACAGCCGGATCAGGCCATGACATGGCAGACCCCATGCAGACACGATGCGGTTGCTTCTCCTGCGCGGAACGTAGATCCGCACCTCAACCGTTGAGGGCAGCTCTCACCCTCGTGATTGCAGTGCCGCTTGGTGTCTCGGTTCTCTCGTCATCTTGTGAGCTAATACATCGAGCTAATACATCGACCTCGACCGTCTTCCATCGAGTGGATCCAGAACGTCTCATGGGTCGTGCCGTCCCCCACCTTGGCAAAGGCTATCAAACCTTGATGGGTTAATGATCTTCCGAAGACCAATTTTGCTCAGAGTGGAGGCCATGCGGGGCTGGTGGGAGATGTACAATAAAGGTCTCCTTCCAGGTCATTGGCAGCTGCTCCCAAACGCCGACTTGAGCCAACGACAGTCACACACACATAAGAGGATCAATTTCGCGACAGCTGGCCCCCCCCCTTACCATGGTTTTCTCCCCTCTTCCAGCGCAACTAGTTGTCAAACCCGGCTTCGCAAGGGAGAGGTTCGAATCTACGGGTGTTGTTCTCGTCCCTGGTCTTTTGCAACACGACGAGATTGAGAAGATCAAAAAGACATTTACAGAGCACGTTGAACATTATACAGACCTGAACTTTGATGACCACATTGAGAAGGATGACATTCTCTCCCGGTATCCTCGGTTTGTTCATCCTCATCGACATCCAGAGACTGCGCCTGGAGAGATCGCAAGACGTATGATCATCGACAAGCGGATCCTTCAAATCGTCAAGGAGCTCTTTGATGGAGGGGAAGCATATGGCGCTCAATCCATGTTTTACTTTAAACCTCCGACGGCTAGGGGACAGGCGATGCACCAGGATAATCGATCCCTTCAAGCTCATCCAGAGACATGTCTAGCCTGTTGGATAGCGATAGATGATGCAGATGGAGAGAACGGCGGGTTGCTAGTCATTCCAGGGACTCATCGATCAGAGATCCTATGCCACGATGAGGATGCTCCCGCAGATACCTTTGACAGGCGACAGATCAAATTACCGCCAGGTTTGACACCCATTCAAACCGAGCTAAGAGCCGGAGATGCCCTGTTCTTCAACGGCAGTCTAGTCCATGGTTCCAGAGGGAACACGACAACCGACAGGTTCAGGAGGGCCTTGATATTTCACTATGTACCTCAGGTGAGTAAGACAGGGCCAGAGAGATATGACGATACACTGACGTGCTTGAACAAAGACCGCCACACAGATCAAACCTTTCTACCATCCTCTCATGACTCCCGATGGGAAGGAAGTAACCATCGAAGAATCTCCAGAGGGCGGACCATGCGGAGGTCCATGAACTAATGACATCTGAATCAACGAGCAGTCAACAATCGATAGAACATACTCCAAACAATGCACTAGTTATGAAGTTGAGGGTGTACTGGCACCGAATGCAGCGGTCGGTTCAGAAACATATCTACAGACAATGTCCACCGCTTTGCCCTGTTATCATGAAACGAACGAATCATTCATCACAAAGCACATTTGAACCGGAACAACATATACACTATCTGTACGCCCAAAAGCGAGCAGATCTTCAAACTAGTTTCTTCTCACTCGTATAGATACAATAAGCAGTCTCGCAGTATCCGGCGAAGAGACCCAAGACTGCTATGAGAACAAGATACCAATTAAGTCGTGATTCGCGCTTGCCAAGCCTGAGAGCCAAGAAACGGACGTCTAAAAGATGTGACAGGCGACAGATCGGGGTCACTAAGATTGCGCACAGAGATAAAAACGATCGAATCTGCTGACCTCGCTAGCGCTGAAATGCAAACGTCTGGCCAAATTGGGTTCCAGCAGGCATCGGACTAGTCAAGGTCTGGAAGAAGGTCGTATCTGCTCGGTCGGCATACGGGTTCTGCTGTGTAGGCGTCGGGTGATCTCCGTGTGGGAGCTGACTCTGAGCAGTCGGTCCGGGAGGTAGAGCCATGTGAGAAGGCACTGACGCCCTCCGGTTCACAGGTACAGCGTTGAGCATGCTGTGATTGTACCCTTGGACGAATTGTCTACCGTCCGCCGTTGAAGCGACCGAGCTTGACGTATTGGGTCGAGATGAATCTGCCGGTGGCCAAGAGTAGTTTGGGTACGACAATGAACCACGATGCGTGTCGTATTCTGATGCAGAGGAAAAGATGGATGCCACGGAATCCCGGCGGTCAAAGTCTGATTCGTTCGCGATGGATGGTCGGCCATTGGCTTGCCAACTTGGATTGGCAGACATGTACTGCGCGTTGGCGACGGCGGCAGCTTGATCCCTCTTCTTTTTGCGCCATTGTTTTCGCATGTCTTTGAATTCTTAAAAGAAGGGTGTGTTAGTGGAGGGTCCGAAAAGCGTCATGCAATGCACTCACCTGACGGCAGACGCTTCTCTCCATGTTTCTGCATGGCCACATGGGCGTTCAGATGATTCAACGTCCCGTAAGACTTTTCGCAACCATTCCAACCACAGAGGTACAATCGCTCAATTTCGTCGTACCTTCGTCTAGGTCGCTTCTTCGGGGTCGGTCCACCCAGGGGAACAAAGGTGAGTTCTTGATGTGCCGAGTCTTTGGCAACGTATCCCGCACGAGGCCTCTCCGTCGCGATTGAATAGTGCCTTTGTGAAAAGTGCGGCGCGGCGTATGGTTGAGACATGTCGCTGAGTGAGGCAGCTCTCGCATCCCTGAATGGCATCATGTTGCTAGTCTGAGGTGTGAAGAATTGCTGAGTGAACGCTCCTGAGGGATCTATCTGACTGACGATCGTCCTGGCGGAAGGGAGTGATACGCCTCCAGCGTTCAATGCGCCATAACTTGGAATGCCATCCGACGTCTGAGGTCTCGCACCAAAGTTGACGGTCTGTGGTCGCTGCATTTGCATTTGCTGTTGAGGAGGTCCGTTGAGAAAGCTGAACTGAGTGACATTGGGAGGGGCGGATGTCAGAGGGAACTGATTGTGTGGGGACGATTGGTTTCCTTGAGGCTGTTCGGGCGTTTCAAGGAGACCGCTGGTATTGGCATTATCCCATGAAGTCTGTATGCTCAATGGATGGAATTGAGGCTCGGTAGCACGTCTGACATCTGCGGTGAAAGCAGAAAGGTCAAGGTCGTTTGAAGCCATCCTGCTCAAATCTTCCGTCTTGTCTGGTGATCCGAATGGATTGGCGAATATGGACTCGGCGCCCTCATCGATGGTCTCTGGTTTGTTATCCTCAATTGCTGCAGTCGCACTTCGTCCCCTATCGTGCGTATCCGTTGTCATGAAACCGCCAAAGGGACTGCGAGATTGCAGTGCTCCACCGGCTGTTGCTGGCCGACGAGTTTCATTTTCACTGGGTCTGACAAAGTCTCGCGAGATGGCGGGAAGAGCATCGGCAGAGGAGAATGATGCGCTGCCTATGGATCCAGAACCAGACGAGAAGGAAGAAGCTGAATTGGCGGAATACGTGTAGGTCGGTACGCCCGGGTAAGTCTGACTGGTGAGGAAAGAAGAAGCTGAAGACGGAGTAAAGGCTGAAGCGAATGAATTGCCATTCGTTGCATACCCTGGCGTTTTGAGGGCATCGTGCTTGAACGAATGCTCGGAGAACACTTCCATGGACGGTGGCTCGAAAGCGAAATCGGTCGGAGACGATTCCTCAGAGTTGGCAGCCATGGTGAGGTGGTAGCGATTTGTTGAGCTTTAGGTGAGAGTGTTGAGTGGGTGGACTACTGATGGTCGGCAGTGGCGAGGGCATGGACGGAATGTGGAAGAGGGTGAAGGACGGGGAGAGATCGAAATATCGAGGGTAAGAGTGAGACATGGTGCGCAGGGCGAGGAGGAAATGGGTGAACAAGTCAAGGGGGAGAGAGACAGGGGCGAGGAGGGAAAAAAAAACTTCAGCGACTTTGATCTGATGCAGGAGGAGAAGGTCATCTGAGATCACTCACCTAGCAACAGGTCCGTACAGGGGGGTAGGAGGTTGAATCGCTTAGGTGAGTAGGTTTCACTCTCGAATGCAGAGGAGCCAGAGCGGGGAAGGTATGTGATTCTTTTGCTGAGGTGTCCAGCTGACCAAAGATAGCCAATCGCAGAGGCTGAATCAAAAAGGAACGAGAGAGAGAAGAAATAAAGAGCAAGAGTTAAGAGAGTAAGCAGCAGGTAGAGATTATAGTGGATGGTCTTTTGGGTTGCGCCTCCTTCTCTCTTTCTTGTTCGTTCGTTGTCTCGTCTGTCGTTTTGTCGTCGTTGCCGATGTATTGTTGGGGTTCGCAAGGGACGTTTTGTTGTGTGTGATTTGTTTCTTCCCTCCCCGAGATTATGCGTCACGATGAAAGCCTCAAAAGTGGTGGGTGGTGTGCGCGGGTCCGGACCAGAGAGAGAGAGAGAGAGAGGGGGAGGAAAGCAAGAGGAGAGCAGTGACGATGGTGAATGAGATGAAGAGTTGAGAGGTACAACCCCTTCTGTTCCGTGAATCCTTTTCGGGCCCTGTCTCGCTTTCCTGCTTGCCGCTGTCCAGAGATCCTCAATCCGAGGAAATCTACTACCCGGTGTTGACTGATGCTGACCTCTGACCTGGATGTCAACAATGCGGATGCTTGGTGATCGTTTAGGAGGGGGGTTTATTGCGCAAGTGCGGGTCTGGGTGCAGGACACCACGCCCACAAAGGGGTAGAGCGGAGAGACAAGACAGCGAGCGAGCGAGAGAGAGAGATTCAGAAAAGGGATATCCCTTTCAGTTATCCGACCCGCTCCTCCCTTCCTCCGTCCTCCTTTTTTTTTCTTTCCGTAGCGTAACTCAATTCAAGAAGCAGCAGCAGCAGGAGCGACGGCGGCGGAGTGTCAATGTTTGGATCGTTTGCAGACTTGCACTAGGCGGCGATGTTGGAAGAGGGAGAGATGATTGCTGAGATCGAGTTCACCCTCCCCAGACGACCACCAGGGATGCCATTATAGATGAGAGGAAGGGGGGGAGGCCATGAGGCGTGAGAGCAGAGACAAAAGTTCCCCGGGACAATGTTAAATAGAAATCCCCATTTTTATTACTGGAAATGGTAATTATCTTGGGGGGTGTATCATCCACGGGGGCATGGGGAGTCTGTGGTAACGGGTACTGTCATGCGTTATCCGCTCTCTCTCTCTCGCTCTCTCTCGCTCTCTCTCTCTCTCTCTCTGTCCACATCGTCTGCCATTCCACCTTCATTTTTTCCAATTAGTTTTCTTGATTAGAAAGGCCTGAGAAGGGGGGGGTCCGCTAAGGAGGGAAGCGAGATACACAGAGAGAGAGTGAGGCGGAGATTGAAGCCGTAGCGTGTTAGGTCCGAACACGAGGGCGTGTAATCCATAAACAAACGGGGTCTCGTCTCGTCTGACCAGGCCAGCTGTTGCATGATCGATCATTTCGGAGCTCGCTTCTCGCGATCATCCACCGCAACGGGTGACATGCGAGACTTGAATCCCCCACGACTCAAAAGGGTCTCTTGGAGGGTGGAGCCCAAAAAAATGGTCCCAATGTTCTGATCTCTTATAGAGTGTGGCGCTACGTCAGCAGCTTTGGTGCTCCTCGCAAGGACAATTTATCCGATCACACAGAGTATCCAATCTCTCTCCAGACTCGCCCGCGGCCGCTGCCGCTGCCCTTCGTCCCTTGACCTTCGTGTGCAGAGCTCCCGAGTGAATGCCGACGCCGGTGCTGCCACTCCTCTCGATGTGTTTTTTTCTTCTTCTTCTCCCCTGAAGGCACTCTGTGTCATGCTCGTCTTGTCATCATCCATAGGGGTTCTTCTCGTCGTGAGGGGTTTTCTCCCGTGGCGCTGGATCCTCGGCGCATCGATACTGTGGCACGACCTGAAATGTGAGATCAGAAACATACGCATGGCATGAGTGCGGCGGTGTCACTTCGAGTCAATCAAGCAGTAGACAGCAAGGGGTCTCTGACTTCTGTCTCCTTCATGTCACGGATCGGCCAACAGCCCAGAAACGGGGATCATGAGATGAGACCGCCACGAGCGCCTCGGAACGTCCTTGCAGCTTTTCTTCGTGGGAGCAGACGATCCCATTGCAGGGACATGGCAGAGTTCAAGGAGTTGGCCCAGGACCCACCTGACTTGCCAGCGTGGCCATTCCATGGAAGATGTGTCATGCATGCCGAGTCAAAGCGGCTGCAAGAGTGGCACCACAGACTGTCAAAGAGATACGACATCAGGCGGAAGTCACCGACTCGAGGTCGTCATCACAATGGGAACCGGCTGATGATTTGACGAGAAGACAGTCACGAAGACGCTAGTTATGTCATTCGCTTGTACTTACTATGTACCTCAGCAGCCTAGATGAATCATGACGATCATATCATGTCGACCTCCTCGACTCGTCTCGCATCGCGATTGGCAAGCTATGCTTTCAGTCCGAGTCGGGACGCTACACAGTCCTCCACCGCGGGTCCAAGTCGGCCAATACAACAAGTGGAAGTGATCCTTGACAAGCGGCGTCGGGAGCGGGGACCTGAGGCTGAGGACGAATGTGAAGACTCTGAGATCAAGTCAGAGCCAGACTCAGATGAAGAATGGACTCCAGTCGGATCCAATGGCAAGCCTCGGTCGAGCTCCGAGCTCTCTGCACCCTTTAAGACACCCACGAAGCGGCTTCGGCTCCGATCAGATAGAGGTGATCGAAGTCCTCCCCAGCTGGTGGAAGTCAAGGCTGAGACTGGTTCGACGGCGACGACAATCAGTCCTACGAAACGAACGGCAGGAACACCTGCCAAAGACAGGTCGACACCTAAGAAAGCGCCAAAAGTTCCAAGACCCTATGCTGGGCCGGAGGTCTATGCTCATTTACACCAAGTTCCAGATCATATCAAGCCGGGTCTGAAGAGTGAGTTGGCGTCGAGGTTTAACAATATCCCATACCAGGCTGACTCGTCACAACCCTCAGTATTGTTCTGCGGTATAAAGTGAGCGAGCGTTGTCGATTGTTCTAAATCTTATCATAAAACCTCATTCAGTCCGGGGAAGAAATCATCCATTGATGGACATCATTTCGCTCATCCAAGCAACAAGTTTTGGGTAGAGTCACAAGTCGTACCAGTACAGAGGAACTTGGTCTGACTATCAGGCTAGAAAGCCCTCTATCTATCTGGTATCACGGACCGTCGAGTGGCACCCAGCGAAGATGCCAGTATGCCAGAATTGTTCAACTTTGGCTTGGTGAGATTCCATGAACATCTACTCATTACGATTAAACCTTTGCTCACTTTACATACACCAGACGAATCTGTGCGATCGTCCCACTTCAGAAGTGAGAGCAAGCATGGACCATGCACGACCCGTCATTCTGACACATGATACCCCACACTCTCCTTCCACCAGATGTCAGAACTCTCCACACTCGAGATGAAGCTTTCTGTACCTTTGCTCACGCGCAAGATTATGGCATTTACACCACTGGTCGTCTGCATGGTTGGAAAAAAGATTTGGGACGTATACCAAGCCCAAGTGTCTCCTACAGCGGGACCACCTGGCTCGCTTAAACCTCCTCAATCGCCAGTACCTGAACGCATCCGATCGGAGAGAATCATCCAAAACCCATATGCAAAGGACCATTCGCCGAACGGTGATATCCTCACCACCTCGTACATCGACTCTGCGACTTCCGGCGCATCAGATCCCCCGGACCATACTTTGACACTATACAGACTGCCATCTTCAGTCCCAAAAGCAGAGACAACCCCGTCCCCCGCTAAGACTCTACGCAAAGGCGAACGCAAAGCCCCAGCCCACAAGGAACCATTCGACTGGCACGCTCCCAGACCGTTCAGGTTACCACACGAGAACAAGGAGGCATACACTTATTTCTGGGTCACACCAAATACGTCAGGTCTCGAGCGGACCCCGGTGAGTGATCCGAAGTCCGAGAGCAAGGACGTGGCTGCCACGGACGACTAATGCCTCGTGCTAGCTCGCAGACGTTGTTGGAATGTTTCGGTCGCTCAATAGCTTTGCTCAGTCCCTTGAACGTGGTGAGGAGCCTTTGGGCTCATATAGAGATATAGACATCATCGGCGTCAAGTCAACAGCTCAAAAGGTCAGACGGGATGCGATGGAGAAAGGTCATGATGTGGATCACATTCTCACATCTTGAACTGCTAGACCTAACTCTTCGAGGAAAGATCAGACTATGCATCATTATGTGTTGTCGACAAAAGAAAAGAAAAGAGAGGGGTATCTAAAGCGTATCAACGTATGATGTGATGTGATGCGCATGATATAAGGTATATGGTCTCTCTCTACCTGTCTCTATGTACATCATCTCACCTAATCTACAATCCCGCTTGAGCGACCTTGTCCGGTACCTGTGTTCTCAAATGCTCGACCAGAGCTCTCAATTCATTCTTTGTCTCGTCTGTCGTATCGTCATCATGGGCGGTATCAAGATTATACGCGAAAGCTTTGAGCAAGTGATCGATATGCGGCATCAGCAATTCGGATCGTGTCCTGAAAAGTGAAAAGATGGCCGCGTATACAGCCTTGTTCTCCAATGGATCGAACTGTAGAGGCATGACGGAGACAATGACCGGCAAGACTTGATCCAAAGGGAGAGCATTCGGATTCTTGACGATCATTCGAGAGATGGCTCCTGCTGCGTTATCCCTGGCATTGTACACTGCCGGTGCCGAATGCTCCGGAGCTGAAAAGTACGGTTGGAGAGCAGTGAGGAGGGGGACGAATTGAGATGAGAGATCTTGGGATGATTCTTGAATCAACACTCCAGAAGCGAAAGCCGCGTTGGATCGAACGTCGGGTTCCTCATCGCGCAGACCACGAGAGATGATCTCGAGCAATGGTTGAGTGAATTGTGTGACACCATCTTTTAATCCGACAATGATTTCTCCAAGACAGCCCACAGCCATGGATCTTTCTGAGCTGATCCGTTTGGGTTCCTGAAGATATAGAGGTCAGGAGGGTGGTCGATGGATGCCTCGACTTCCGAAACTCACAGAGTATCTGGAAATCAGCGGCAGGACCTTGCCAAAGGCCTGAGCAAAGTCTGGTCCAAGAATGGACGCCATGGCACCAAAGACATCCGAGGCGTTGGAGATGAGGGCTGATTCATATTCGGACGAGTCGGCATCCTCGACGTTCTCATCATCACCGTCAGGGTCTTGCTGACACAGCGACTTCTTCTCGAGGATCTCGATAGCGTTGGTGGCGATCAAGTCGAGGTCTGGAATGATTCAGTTCGGAGTCTCCATGACCTCATCTACACTCACATCCCTCAACGAGAGCTGGTCCACACTTGTTCATAGTCTCGGCCAGCTCGGAGCAGACGAGAATGACGACGGATCTGGAGATCGTCAGCGAAACGCACAAAGCATTGGTTGGAGGGGGAAAGGGAATCAGATATGGTTGGAAATAAATGGCTCGTTCATGAAATGTTCAGAGTGAGCTGAGAAATAGGATCATCCGGCGAGAGAGAGAGAGAGAGAGAGAGAGAGAGAGAGAGAGAGGAGGACAGACGGTGCGCAAACCCACTTGTCATCCTCAGTTTGCCACAACTCAAAGATCTTTGGCAAAATGTGATCGACCAATTTCTTGACGTCGACATGCAATGGCACGCGCTGGGTACAGAATGAGCTAGCAACAAATGTTCGACTCACGACCACAGCTCCAGGAATCCACTCTTGGGGATCAGACAGGTCATAGATAGTCTTGATGAATGCGAACAGGGATCCAACAGCACTCTTCCTGATTCCTTCGTAATAGTGGTCCAAAAGATCAATGAGGATCTGAACAGTCTCCTCGATGTAAGGCATGAAGGCCTCTTTGGTCGCTGTGAACAGTTCGCCAATCGTATCCGTAGCGACTTCCTTTTCGATCGCAACGGCACTGTTGACTTTTGCGAACATGGCATCAAGGGCGTTGATATCCGTTTCACCGTCGTCTTCTCCCGTGATATCCTCGTCGAGGATTCGACTGGATCCACTGGCGAATGCCTCAGCGATGGCGGCCCCTGACGATTCTCCATCCTCGAGTAGCTCGTCGGTGGACTCGCTCTGTTGACAACTGGCCACCAAGGCGGGAACACATTGAGGAAGGTATCCTGCGAACTCGCCTTCAAAGACTTGAGCCATGACGCCGAAGAAGATGAAGCTGGATTCTCTAAGTCGAGTGTTGTCCATGGTCAAAGCCTCGAATGCAGACTTCATCAGATCGTGGAAGTAGGGTCTGAAGATGTCCGCGCCGACCGCATCAGCGATGGTACCTATGGTATCCGTCGCCACACCACGGAGATCAGATTGCTCGTCGGATCCTTGAAGCGTGAGGAAAGGGACAAGTCGTTTGATGGTTTGGTCAAAGTAGGGTGTGAATCGCTCCTTGGCGGCGTGGGCAGCAGATCCAATCGCTCCGGTGACGGTGATCTTGACGGGGATGGCACCACCTTCAAGCAAGACCAACAAGCGCTCCATGAGCAGGGTGAGGTAGTTGACGATGTCTTCGCCAAGAATCTCGAGGTACGAGTCCAAGCACGTACAGGCATTCTTTTGGGTCGATTCGTCGACAATGAGGTTGAAGAGGATGGGAACGATGGTGGCATGGCGAGTGGCGCACTCCTCTGGAAGCCATTCGCACAGGCATCCGAGAGCAATACAGGCTGCTCGACGGACGATGACTTCGGCGTCCTGGAGACCACCTTCAATAGCTGGCCACAATTGATCAACATGGGGCCTGATGAATTCACTGCAGCCTTCCACAGAGACACCGAAAGCCATCAGGGCCGACTTCCTCATGCGCGCATCACCAGACATGTAGACTTGGAGTTGGGCAGTGAGGACGGGGAAGACTTGCTGAGGAGGTAGAGCCTGGGACAGAGCATCGAGACATCGGAATGCGAGCTGCCGTCAGCAAGATGCACGGATAAACATCAACTCACGCGCGATGGAGAGTCCTCGTCGACGTCTTCTGGGTCATCCTCACAACCGATTGGCAAAAGGCCTTCGATGATGGGTTTGGCGAGTCCCAAAGCTTGGACTTTGCTCTTCTTACTGCGAGCATCAGCAGTGTTCTTTGAAATTGTGTTCTCACTATCTGACGATCCAAGCCAAAACGTTCAGAGCCCCTCCTCGCATAGTCTCATCGACGTCCTTGTTGGCGGCATTGGTCAGGAAAAACTGAGTGAGTTCGCCGACGTGTTTGGAGACGAGCGGTGTGTCGAGGATCATCAATGTTTCAAACACATCATAGGCATGCTTGACACCCTCATCGTCTTCATCATTGATAGCTTGTTGAGTGACCTTCAACATGGGCATCACAAGTTCCTGGAAAGCCTTGATATCATGTTTGTCGTCTGTCGAAATGTACTCTGCGACCTTGGCCAAACCTCGAAGGGTAGTCATGCGGACGGCGTTGCTCTCGGGATCAAGAAGGGTGGTAGCGAATAATTGGAAGAGATTCTTGAGCTCCGTTTCGAATGAGTCGGCGACAGTGTCCAAGATAGCAAAGAGGACATAGACTGCTATCTCACGATGAGACGCATCTTGCGAACGTGCAGCGGCATAGAGACCGGGTAATAGACTTGGCCACTGGACAGGCTGAGTAGTGAGTTCAATGTCGGCAATGGCAGAGACTATTCGGGCGAGGGCATGACGAGCGGGAGCGCTGTCGGGCGGATCAGCCGACGGGTCGCCCTGCTGTGCAAAAAGGTTTGACTGTCTCTCTCACCTTGGCTCCTGGGTCAGACGCTGAAGCAGAGCTTCTTTGATTTGCGTCCGTGTACTCTGATCTGTCTTCTTCCAAAGCTTGCCTTCGCCGCTGGCGATTCTCTTTCTCAGCTCGACACCAGCCAGTTGACGGATCTACCCCGAGCGTTAGTTGGGCATTCCATATCTTTTACAGCTTTCTCGACTTACAGCTTGGTTGGAGCTAGTCACGGCGATCTCGAACAAAGCAGGGATACATTGAGGGGATTTGTAGTATTGAGTGTTGAGTTGGGTGGTGGCCTAAGATTTCAGATCAGGTCAGCTCGCAAGTCTAGTAGGACAGCCGCAGGGACTCGACATACTGCTCGCAAGACATTGGTATCTGGGTTCAGCGTCGCCTCGAGGAGCTGATGAAGGTTTTGGACGTAGGAGGGCTGGGAACAATATCAGCATACAGATCATTGTTGAGAGGTAAAAAACGGCTCACATCCATCTTGTGAGCTCTCTTCTCCAGATCTCACGGATGTGTGGACCGTTCTAGTGATCCGTGGAAAGATGAGCTTGGATCAAGGTCGGACAGTGGTTGCAACTCGAGGGGCGTCCTGGCTGGTCAACTTTTTTAGAAAAAAATGGTTCCAGAGCTGTAGCAAAAAAAAAGTGTTGATGAACACGCGACGGAGCGGAAATTTTGGAGGGGCAGTCTAATAACACGTCAGGCGCTGGGCGATCGTTATCAAATTTGGAGGGCTAAGCAGCAATTTTGACCATCTCTTCTGCTCGCCAGCTCTTCTTAAAGCGTGCATCTGCTCAAGCGCTGTACATGTCCTCATTCAATCCTCCGGGACCTCACAGCTCATCACATGAATGGACCACATCGGAACCTCCAACGTGCATAGTACTGACTAGCTGTGACCGCTTCCCACCCCCCGCCCCCCCCCCCGCCCTCCTTCCCATCCCCCGGTCAAGGTCGAGCAGTATTGCATCTCTCGCCTCCCCTGCTCCTCTCTTTCTTCTATAGAGGTTGCGGTACCCTGATCCACACAAATGGGGGAAAATCGAGTCTCTTTCACGAAGACTGACCTTGATATAAGCCGGAGATGTTTCAGCCTACGTTTCGTTCCTCCAAGAGGGCGTGGACGCGTGGAAACAACTTGACTCGGGCTCAGTACATTACACTATATATGTAGACGGCATGTATATTCACTGGCTCGGCGGTCGCGTCCGAGTTGAACTTGAACTTGCGTTACGTGTACGTTTCCGATCGACCTGGTCGATCAAATGACTCAACATGTCTTCCATTCGCTTTTGCCTCTGGTCCATCTGCTCTAGCTTTTGCTCCAGGACCCCGCCTGCCTCTTCAATCCGATCAACGTCGGATGCCTTGGCAACTATATCGCTGGCTTTACCCCCTGCCGAGGGGAACGGGACGCCGAGAGAGCCAGGTGCCCGTTTGGGAGACGCCGCAGGGGTGGAAGGATTGGACTCTTGAATGGTGGGGATAGAAGGAGGGGGAGGACCGACCCGCGAGGGGCCGAGAGACGATGCGAGATGGGGTCCGTGGGGCACGTGGAGATGCGCGGTCTGTGGCGCTTGCTGAGCCTGCTGCTGTTGGCGCCGCGACATGCCACCAGATTGCGACGGCGAGATAGAGTAGGAGGTGACCATGGCGGCGCTGCTTGTATTCGGAAGCGAGCCGACTGCTGGCGCCCGCATACTCTGCCGACGAGGTCGAATATCCTGAGCGCCATCCGGCGCTGCAACGAACAATCGCGCAAGAGGCGATGGCTCATAGATGGACGAATTGCGTCGACGATGTGACGGGCCAGCCATAGCGACAGGAGAGAGAGGCGCGACTGGACCAGCGGAGGGAGGCTTAGCAGGTGAGAATGAGGTCTTACTTGGAGAGGCGGTGAAGGGAGCATGATCGATGATGTTGCCCGCTTGAGCTTCATCATCTGAGAAGGCGGGCGGGAGTTGCACGTCGTCTCCTTCGTCCTCTTCAGAATCCCGGTAGAACGTGCCAACTTCGCGCTCAATCTCAAACAAGAGACTGATGTCGTGCCTGGATCCAAAGTTTTCAAATCCAGCAGCCTGTTTGATCCGTCGAGGAATACTACCGACATATTTTTCGATAAAGTCGGTGACGGTTTCCATCAGTGTCGTTTCGCGATATTGTTGCCGCTCGTACAGTGCAATGACGATAAGGACGGGGAAATTGGACAGGCGAATCATAGCCACTGAGTCGTAAGCACGAGAGAGAGCCGTTCTCGCTCACCATTCAGCTTGTGAAACCATCTAGGATTGAGGATATAGCTCATTGGCCACATGAAGACGACAGCTACGAGGTTGAAGGGTAGTTGGTAACTGAATACGGCATCCGCCTTGACGCCCTCAAGTGTAGAGACAGCCTTACGGAACATGGACTGGGGATCGTTAGCCCGGGTGTGGGATGAGATCTCACCTCTGCGGCGGCGTCTTGATTGATGGTTGCGAAAGTGTTCCCCAGGATGGCCACAAGGACCGTTAAAAGCAGCGTATTGGATAGCAAGGCATAGGTGACCATGAGCACTGGACCAAGGAACGGATGCAAGTCATGTGAGGTCTCGAATCCAGAAGCATCTAGACCAAAGTAGACTTCCAAGAGCCACCAGCCGATCTGGGACAGCTCGAATCTAGGTCGATTAAGCCATCTCATCCCAGGGACGAGCTCACCTTCCTTGTCCAAGCGTGAACAAGGCATATAAGAACCCAAGGAAGCAAAAGATTCCTATGGCCATGAGGACTGAGGTCAGTAGAATCATTCCTTGGTACTCGCTCACAGAAGAACTCGACTAGCATGGACCGGATGCTCAGGACCATGAGATTGTTGGCGAGGGTGACAAAGGCGAGACGAGGAAAGATCATGACTGCGCCAATAGCCAGCCAATCTTGACCGAGGGTGAGAGCTTCGGCGTTATGGTAATGAAAGCCGTACATTCTAGCTCCGAGATAGATGGCGTAAATGAGCATGAGGACGAGATCGAAACCATTGACCAGGGAGCTGCTGAACACTGCAGGGGGTGAGTAGAGGTCGGATTTTGGCTGGCACACCTCCCAAGCCGTGTTCTCTGATCGTCGCGAGCTTGTCAAGCGAGTATGCTGGTGACTTTAAGGCGAGGCCGTTTGGGGATGTTGCTCACCAAGCGCATAAATGATGAATATCGCCTCTTTCTTGTTCATCCGGTCCTCTTCTAGTCCCTCGACAGCGACGACATACAGGATGAAGAGGATCAAGAAATTTGTGTACTCGAGAAACGATCGGACCTTGGGGACTTTGAGCCTGAACGACGTCAGCTAGTCTGTAACAGCGAGGCGGCTCACCGATAGTGATCGAGTAGCGGAGCTTTATGGGGGTTGTACATTTGGATCGGCTTCTTCTTGTAATTCTGATGGCGTCAGTCATCACGATCGACACCGACACTCACGTCCGCGATCAGGGCATGCGAGTTGACACCGGAGTATATGATTCTCCCGGACCAGATTCCCTCTAGGTGCTTGAGCGAGAGTCTCGGAGCATCAGCGACCCACCAATGACTTTCTGGCATGATGGACTCCGGATGAACCGCTTAGAATAGCTAATGATCGCCATCTGAATCGGAGTGAATCTATGGCGATGATGCCGTACTGACCTCGAGTGCAGCTCCATTTTGATTCAGTATATCATCGTCTCCTTCTTCTTTGGCTCTCGCAATGACTTCGGGCGAGGCACCTTGATATAGTGCCCAAGGTGTCAGCAGGACTGTCGCGAGAGGCAGAGTTCGTTCCGACCATCCACCTTGTCAGGTCAGCAACATGCCATAGCCACCAGACTTACGCAACACCCGTATGGCCAGCACTTCACATAGAGTCGCACGAGAGGTGGAGAGCGTACTGATTGACAGTTGGGCGGAATCGCGAGTGAATTGTATCTTGTTGAGGAGTAGGCAGAAGACTGGGGCGGGAGGGCCGTATCAGGGAGGAGGCCCCCGAATGGGTCAGACATACTGATTGATTGGTTCTGTAGTTCGAGATACTTCTCCGTCAGAGGTCTGGTCCCCATTAGCGAGGTCGCGCGGCTCCTTGCCTCACCTGACGATGGTGTATGTCGAATCAGGCGCATGAAGTTGCTCATAGGTCAATGGCGTGTCTGACAAGCTCAGCGTCACTTGGGGTTGAGTTCGGCTCACCGATATGCGAGATGATGTCTGTCCTTATGAGGTGTATCAACGGATACACTTTGGTCTGTTGACAAGAATTCCGAGAGGATCAGCTTTCACGTAGCATGTTGTTGTCACGGCTCACCTCGATCAGCTGTTTTGAGGAGATGGCAGATTGTGGACCGAGTAATGGCGTCTGTTCGCCTGTCCCCAGATAGGGGAAGGTGGACATGCTATCATGTATAGTGGACGCAGTGGGTCAAATCAACGAGGTCCAAAACCCAGCTGCAGTAGGTTGAAAACATGTCTATCTTTTGTTTCCGATCATTCCGCCCCTCAAGCGGAGCTGAGCGAGACAAACCTTATATCCTCGTGTGTCGGTCATGCATGTTCGTGGTCAAATGTTGACCTTTTGTTTGAATATGGCTCCAAGCATTACAGGGCAGCCCCTGTGAAACCCCTCTCATGCTACGTCGTCTGTCTACGAATACAGTTTTGCCGAACGCACCACCTCTATACCTTCTAAGCGTTTCTTGCGACCAGATCACGGATCAATCTTTCTTCCCAGTTCATCCAATTGTCGCTTGTCTTCACTCGGGCTCGTCCCGTCTGCACCTCCCAATCCCGCACCATTCGTAACGACATCCGCGCCGCCATCGCCTTCAATGGCCGCGCGTAGAGGTGGAAGGGTGACTTCACGGTGGTTGAGCGAATTGCCAATGGACATTTTAGGAGACGAATGACGGTTTGTCATACCGAACTCGTCTGCCGCTGCAGCTGCTGCGACGGCCACGACGGGTTGCGGAACTCCCTGTGAGACCAAGGGTGCTGATTCTTGCCTCGAGTGCGACTGATATGTTCTCCGATCGGGAGATCTGGAATGATGCCTGTAGTCCTCGTAGCCGACTGCGGCAGGACCTCGTGGAGGATATTCAGGATAGACATATCCTCTATCTTGAACCCATCCGTCGGTCGGCAACGGTGGTGGTACGGCGACACTGGCTATTTGAGCCTGTTGAAAGGGAGATCGGGGACCACGTGCATCATGATACGGGTGATACCTTTCCTGTGGTCTGGGCGGAGGTTGTTGAGGGTATTCGTAAGGGCTAGGCTGAGGATATGATTGAGGAGGGGCACCTCGACGAGAGGTGGAGGCAGTGGGCGAAGCTTCGTCTCGACGATGCTCCCATTCGGGCCAGATGCCAGGTGTGATGGTGAGTGAAGCGAGGAGTGGGAGTTGATGTGGCAGGGGCAGAGGGTTGTGAGCGTCCCCTTGAGGATTGTGCTGAGGTGAGGTCAGCAGCACACTGCGACTCGACATGCATTTCTCACCTTTGACGAGTACGCGACCACATGGAATTTCTTCTGCTTTCTCGTCGCTGGATTCGACATGGTCGTCGAATACGTCTGCTTGATCAATGGCTCTCTCGCGCTCCGTCGATAATCGCCATACATGTCGTGAGATGTGGGCGGTGACATGTTTTCGTTTGTTCTGAGAGCGGGGTCAGCGGACAATCCTTCACTCGGAACCGCCATTCAAGACCCACTCGGTATACACCAAGAATCCACCGCCGCCAACTCTGGACGCTCCCCATCGTCTGCCGTCAGTCCACCGTCTCATGTTGGTCTCCTCTAGAAAGAGATTTTAGCCTAAAACCTGACGATGAACACATGATCGACTCACCTTCTTCCCATACCCAGACGGTCCCTGGTCTTATCATGGACCTCTCTTGCCCTGTGAGACGGCGAGTGACTCTAGGGACCAATCCGACCCGAACAGCTTCCAGGATGTGAATTCTGAACGGATGGAATGAGCCACATGACAGACCCCAACCCAAATAAAATAAAATAAAAGGTTGCCCCCGTTGCTGGAAAAAAGACTCACGCATCGGCTGGAGATTTGAGCGCACAGATAGCTGCTGGCTGCTGGGTCGATGCGGATGCATAGGACATAGTGAAGGAGGAGGGGAGGAGAGGGGGAGAGTGAGGTGGAGCAGGGTGGAGGAGGGAACGAGGTGTGTTGTTCAATCCACTGCTGTTTTACTGAGATGTCCCAAAGTCAGAATAACCAAAAATTCCCCTCCACGGGTATCGGATAACAAAGTGAGGGGAGTGCAGGTGGGTGGGTGGGTGAGTGGGTGGGTGGTTGAGAGAATGACTGTGCTATAAAAAGAGAAAACACGCCCCCGGAGGAGTTGTGAGCGAGAGAGCAGCGAACAGAGTGGTGAGCAATAATCAAAATTTCTGGGAGGAAAATCAAGGTTCTATGCATGCTTGTGGCTTTTAAACGTATTTTCACGTTTTCACCAGCTCTTCGACTTGAGCAGCAGGGAGGAGCAGGAGGATCAGCTGAGATGGGGGAGTAGTCTGGTGCAGTAGCACCGTCAGCGACAGCAGCAGCAGCAGCAGCGGCGGTGGTGGCGGCGGCGGCGACGACACGCAGCTTCTGCCCTGATACCACACCTTTTTTTTCCCTCCCTCTCTCTCTCTCTCGTGGAGTGAATGGAGGAGTATGTAGATCTGAAAATGTAAATTAAAAAGAAAAAAAAAACTTGGATTTCTGGCTCTACTTCGGCGAGGCGCGACTTCCGGTTATGTAGGTGCTGCACCTCAAGGAGGGATGGATTTGCTCGATCGAAGATAGTTCAGCCGAGCAGCAGCGGGTTGACAATGGCGTGCTAAGCATATTCAGGGTATGTGTCGTGGTTCGATCGGGTGCGCACACGGATGAGTACAGCTCAGCATGCCCTTCGGGATCAGATGTGCTTTTGTGGATACTTTGGAGGAAACACGGGATCGATACGGACCCGCAGGGAGAGGGAGGGGGGGGGGGGGGGGGGGGGGGATCTGTGATAGATCGGAAGGGGGGGCAAAAGCCAGCAACTGGTGGTAGACGAGCGCCGAACCAGCTCGCCGCGCGCGCCCCGCCACGCCCTTCTCATCGTACAAAGAGACATGGCGTCCGAAGCAGATCTGATGTCGTGCCGAGCCACAGATTGATCCATCCCCAGAGCAAATCCATCTCCAGAGCAATGACAGAGCCAGATTTCATGATCCAATAACACTCACCCCCTCTCGAAAATAACCACAGCAAATATCATTGTCAACCACGTACATGCTGGTCGGTTATGCATGTCAACGTCTTCAGGCTTACATATGGATTGTCTGAGTACACAGCATGTCCTTCCGTCGGCGAGCGAGAGGGTAGCATGCTAGCTCGCCCGTTCAATTGTATCGTTAACTAACGTAAAGCATTTGGACCCTTGCCGCCACTCCACTGACCAACCCTCTGTCTGCACCCCGGTTAAGCTCGCATTGCACATGATGCCCCCCGTCCTCATGCCCCTCCCTCTCCCTCAGTGATATCCGAGGCTGGGCAGTGGATCGGTGGGGCCAGATGATTGACGATTCAAAAGCCTCTTCAAAACTGGCTTTCACGGTACACCCGTGTTTAATGAGTTTTGACGCCTCGTCCCGCCCTTGCCCTGGCCCTGCAACAGCAGCAGCAGCAGCTACAGCATCATAAGTGTATGCTAATTTGGGGGACATCATGCGTGTCATTCTGAGCTATGCCGTGATGATGAAAACGAACACAACGGCCGGAACACGCTCTCACCACCATGACCGCGTATGTGATTCATCGGCGAAGCCGCTCGCCGGACAGGACGGAAAACTACATTACCGATGCAAATGCGTATCCAATCGCCGAATATTCCTTGTGCAATCTGGCCCCTCATACCTCACCACATCCCATCAAATTGGCCCCGTGCGTTCGTGCACCTCACAACTGATCCCGCAACACGACAACGCCTCTTGGGCCGAGCTGACGTCCGTGTCCCGTGGTTGAGATGACCAAATCACCTTTTAATTCTCCCAGGTCTATAGCTTCTTCCGTCCTGTTGATGAGGAACGTCCAAGACTTGTCCTCCGTGGCCCGAATGACGTGCTCGATTTTGCCGAGGAGGCTTGAAGGCAGTGGGCTTTTGATGTCGACTTTGTGGAATAGTGCATCCAGTAGCCCCGTCTTGCCATCGACGTCCAGACAGGTCGAAATGTAGCTCGCAGTGCCCTTGTCCACAGGCCGCATCGTACTCGCTGGCATGCCCTTGAAGTCTCCCTCGGCATAGGTTTGAACGACACTGACGTCCTTGGCGATCAGGTCGATAGGTTCAGTCCACAAGGTCCCTCTGGTCCCATTGTCCAGTTTGACACTTTGATCCCTGAGTAGAGGCGCGAATTCCTCGACACGGATACCCAAGAGCTCCCTCCAAGCTCCGGGGTATCCGCCCAATCGAGCATGATCGTTCTCATCGACGATACCCGAAAAGTAAGTCGTGAGGAAGTGTCCACCATGTCGAACGTACTTGTCGACCTTGGCGATCGTGGCGTCAGACACGCTGTACAACATCGGTGCAATGACGAATTTGTGCTTGGCCAGGTCGGCGCTGTGGAGTGGTAGGACATCGGCTCGGATGCCGAGGTTCATCAGGGCGACGAACCAACCGAACGCTTCGGACTGGTAGTCGATCAGCGACGACGGGTGAGAGTCGAGTGAGCTTCCCATCCAGGCTTCGGTATCCAAGATGATGGCGACCGGGGCCGAGACATGTTCTGATCCTCTGATCTCCTTCAAATCTACCAGGTGTTGTCCCAACGCTACGACGTCTTTGAACAGTCTTGAATCAGGTCCAGCATGAGGAACCATGGAGGAGTGGAACTTTTCCGCTCCACCCTTGGATTGACGCCATTGGAAGTAACAGATGGCATCGGCACCGTAGGCCAGATGAGTGAGAGAATCTCTAGCCATCTCACCGGGTCGCTTGGCAATGTTGACCTGTTGCCAATTGACGGCGGATGTGGAGTGTTCCATCAGCCACCAAGGTTGTCCCTTTGCCATACCGGATGAGATCGATGCGGCGAACGACAAGTCTTCGCGTTCGTAGGGGATCGATTGCATTCGGTAATGGTCGTTCGAGACGAAATCGATCTGATCGGCCCATTTCGCGTAGTCCATCTTGTGAGCAGCTCCGGCGAGCATAAAATTGGTCGTGATAGGTCTAGAGCTGTGCTTTCGAATAGTCTCCACCTCGAACACCAACCAATCTTCCAGAGCGGCCGAACAGAATCGTCGCCAATCCAGCTGCTGAGTAGGGTTTGCAAATGTAGCGGCTGATTGAGGAGATCTAGGAGGGAGGATCTCCTCGAATGTACTGTATCGTTGAGACCAGAAAGCGGTGGCCCAAGCTTCGTTGAGTTTACCCAGAGATCCGTATCTCTTCTTCAAGAAGATTCTGAAAGCTCTCGCGGCGTCGTCGGAAAAGTCGAGCAAGTTGTGACATCCAAGCTCGTTGTTGATATGCCAGGCGATCACGGCTGGGTGATCACCGTACCGTTGAGCGAGCTTCGTGATGAGTTTTTCGGCATATTGACGATAGATGGGAGAAGTAGGTCGCCAATGTTGTCTGGCTCCGGGGACTTGTACACCAAACTGTTCAGTCTGAGGGAGAATCTCTGGATGTTTAGTCGTCAACCAAGGTGGTGGTGAAGCGGTGGCCGTCGCTAGATCCACCGCGATCCCATTCTTATGACATAGCTCGATGATCTCGTCCAGCCATTCAAACTCCCATTGACCTTCGGTAGGTTCGAGAACAGCCCAAGAAAAAATGGCCAAGGACACCACATTGACGTGAGCCTCCTTCATCAACTTGATATCTTCGTCCCAGACATGTCGAGGCCACTGCTCAGGGTTGTAGTCGGCTCCGTAGAAGAGCTTGTCGTTGAATTCGGGGAACTTCATGGTGTTAGTCTCGCAATGGTAGGCTTCTTTTCCTCGCAGATGAATGGAGTGACAACAATTGACGGCCAGGAAGATGCTGGAGCCCGCTGGCGCCGAGACTGTGGAGGAGGAGAGGGGGAAAAGGAAAAGACCCGATAAACGTCCGACGGATGTCGAATCGAAATCTCCGCTCGTTACACCCTTCCCGCTTGTTTTGCTTCGACGCCGAGGTATCGCGATCTAGATGGAATGCGTGAATCGAGCTGTCCAAATACCTCGCGGATGGACAAGCTAAGCATTGGCGAGAGATTGCTTGTCGAGGTCGTCGAGCTCTAGGTATGCCGAATCAGACCGCCTATTCCCGTTTGTTACTGCACAGCCGGACAAATCGCCGGGAATACACTCGGCGAGACTCTATTGCATCTCACGGTCCCCGGTGTCGGAGGCCGATCTCGGTGCCCGAATAATCATACAATTGCAGCCCTCTATTGTGAATGAATATTTACCATCTGGATGAGTAACCACCACCACCTCCGCCGCCTCCGTAAGCGTTAGCGCCAGAGCCACCATAGCCGCCACCACCACCACCGTATCCTCCATGACCTCGTCCGCCACCTCGTCCTCGTCCACCCCCACCACCACCACTGTAAGCAGCCATCTCTTGCAGCTCAGGTGGCACAACATTCTTACTCTCTACGAGAAGCTTGATGAGTTCTCGAGCAGACTTGGCATTGTCAGTGGTGAAAAAGGTGATGGCTGTTCCCTTGGCACCGGCTCGACCAGTTCGGCCCACTCGGTGGACATAGTTTTCGAGGTCCTAAATGGAGTTTTAGCAAAGCGAACAGATGTCATGCACATAGATCACTCACGTTGGGGAAGTCATAGTTGATGACATCTGACACTGTCAGCTCACCTTTGAGCCTGGTTCACTCACAAGAGATATCCTTGACGTCTTCAGGTTGAAGGTTTTGTTTCAAGCATGGTCAACAGGTAACAGACAAAGGGGAAGGAGAGAAAAGCAATGCGTACGCGTAAGCTAAACAATTCTTTTCGGATGTTGGCGCTCGCTTGACGGCTTTCGGTTCCTCCGACTGGTCAATCGCTCGATCCCGCAACAGAAGAGCTGTAGGATCGCTGTTGGTCGCACAAGTCAATGGCGCGGCAAGATGGTCTGCCGCACGCAAGTGCGTACGAGGCGAGATGCTTCAGATTCACACTGTGCGACAGTGCTAGTCTGATTCGCCAGGGCGTCAACAAGGTCTCCTGGAGAAACCCTCTGTGACGCCAGTGATTGCCAGTGGTGATCCTATGCCGTCGCGAGGGCCGAGGTGAAGAACATACCGAGACCACGAGAAGCAACGTCCGTGGCAAGCATAATGGGCGATCGGCCAGCCTTGAATTCGGCCAATACCCAGTCTCGTTCTCCCTGTTGCCTAAAAACGTAAGCGTGGATCTCCCGCCTTCACCCACTTGTCACCGTGGATAGCCAAAGCGGGCCAGCCGTCCTGTCGGAGATACTTGGTCAGATCGTCCGCCGTCCTCTTGGTACCGGTGAAGATGAGGACTTTGGCGTTCTGCTGAGAAGCAGTTTCCAAGTGTTTGAGAAGCTTGGTTCGCTTGTCAAACTCGGTGCAAACGTCGATGATCTGAGTGACGTTCTGATTGGCCGACAGTTCAAGAGAACCAATGTTGACCTGGATGAAATCGTTCAAAAAGTCCATGGCCAATCGCTGTACTTCCTTGGGCCAGGTGGCCGAGAACAGTAGGGTCTGTCTGTCAGGTCGGATCTGCGAGACAATCTTTCGGATCTGAGGTTCGAAACCCATATCCAACATCCGATCGGCCTCATCCATGACCAGATAGGTGACTCGCTTGAGATTGGTCTTGCCACTTTCCAGCATGTCGATCAAACGACCCGGGGTAGCGACGCAAATCTCTACCCCTCGAGACAAGTCTCGGATCTGAGGTCCCTTGGGAGCACCTCCGTAGATGGCTGTATTGCGGATCCGAGAGGATTTGCCAAACTTGGTGCATTCGGCTTGAATCTGAACAGCAAGTTCACGCGTGGGAGCGAGGATCAAAACGATGGGTCCATCACCGGGAGCGAGGAGAGGTTGAGCGTTGATGTGAACCATGGCAGGAAGAGCAAAAGAGATGGTCTTACCGGATCCAGTCTCAGCGATGGCAACGAGATCTCGACCCGATGAAGCCATTGGCCAGGCTTGACACTGAATGGCAGTTGGCGCAGCGAAACCCATAGCTCGGATCTCGCTCATAATGTACTCGGGAAATCCAGCTTCGTCAAACGATGTGATGGGTCGGGGGACGTCCTTGCCTTGAATCTGAAGCGTCAGGATGTTGTTTTATGATCCACACTCACGGTCATCTGCTTGGCGGATCTAAACTCTGCGATCTCTCGATCGGATCGAGCCGTCACACGAGGGTCCTGGACGTAGAAGCTGCCAGGGGTCAGCGTGAGGTTGGAACCCTATGCACTCACTTCTTCTCAAACTTGGTGAGCTGCTGCCTGCCCCAATCGATGTTACCAAGGCCGGATCCAAGCGCGGACATTCGGTCTCCGCCACCACCTCCGTATCCACCACCGCCGCCTGAGGAGCAAGTCAGCGAGCAGGTCACGACTCGACAGGCGTAGGCACTGACCGTAGCCTCCACCACCACTACCATAGCCACCACCTCCTCCTCCACCGTATCCGTTACTGCCTCCATAGCCGTTGCTTCCTCCACCGTATCCACCACCACCGCCGTTGCCATAGCCGTAAGACTGGAAGCGTGTCAGTATATCTTGATCCAATCAGACTGCCTCACCATTCTGTCAAGTGTCTTGTAGTGAGATGATGCGATGTGTGACCTGTGTCAGAGGATCACGATGAATGATCTGTTGTTGTTGAAAGTAAGAGAGAGAGAACAAAGGTCACTTGCTTTCAACAAACTTTTCGACCGTGAAAAAAATTGCTCCAAAAACATCTGCACGTCCGAGACGGAAGCAAATTGGTGGCACACGTCAGAAGAACGGGTTCAAAGTGGCGATTGAGGCTCAACGTGGCATTTTTGGGCTCAAAGATGTCATGGACAGAGAACAATAAGCCCCCCCGGTCGTGCATCGTGACAGTGCTGCGAGGTTCGCATATGTCCGATAGAGTCTGCTCGTAGGATAAAGCATGACTCGGAAGAAAAAGCTGTGTGTGTGTTCAAAGGAACATCTATGCACATTGCCACAACCCCTTGGCGAAACCCACAAAGGCTCCCCTGTAGGGTCGCTGAGGCGTCCGTTCATCTCTATCTCCGTCTTCGCCGCGAGACCGTAGATACTATGTCATGAAGCGGAATATTCTCCACAAACCGCTTTCCAACTTGACCTCGCAGCTGGATAGCTGGAAACCTCACACCCAGGATCGGTCATGATCCGGTCTCCATCTATATCTCTGCCGTTCTTGTCGAAACGCGAGGGACTACCCCTTGCTTCAGGTGGAGTGGATTATACGAGACAAGCGAGAGCCTTAAGATTTTACCACATCGTCTTGATAGTCTTCGTCTGTCTGGGCGTGTTGGGCATATCTCGGGCAGGATATCCTTCGAGAGAACATGGACCTGGGGATGTACTCAAAAATGGCCAGCAGATGACCTTATCCGACCAATGGGGATGGCACGAGCGGATGGGTTGGAAAGAGGATCGGACAGCTCTGGCTGATCTTGGAGAGCTCGCAGAGCAAAGGTATCGATTAGGGTTCGAGAACACCCAAGAGGGCAAGACGCAGTGAGCTTCCGTGAGAGCGATGAGTAAGCTGACATCAGATATTTTGAACGACTGCGAACGTTCGCAGCACATCTTCCGAGCGACAAGTCTCCACATCTGAGTGCTTCCATCGAGGCGCATCTCCCACCGTTCATGAAGCCGACCTATCTCTCTCCTGCCGATTCGTCATTCCGTCCTCCGGCCATGATTTCATACAAGAAAATCCATCAGACAGACAAGAAGGACAACCATCAAAAAGCCACGGAAGAATGGATTGGAATGAATGAGGTTGATGGCTGGAAGCTCAACTTTCTAGACGACGATCGAGCTTCAGCCTGGGTCGAGGAACAATTCCGAGACAGTGATGTCTCCTGGGCTTGGCAGTACATGCACCGAGGGGTACTGAGGGCGGACTTCCTCAGATACCTCCTCCCATTGCTTGAAGGAGGAGTCTACTCTGACGTCGATGTAAGTCGTCCATTGACCCCCCTCAAACTAACCGTCAGACCACTCCGTTGAGACCGATCGAGCAATGGGGCCGTGTCAACGTGGAAAATCTCGATATTTCCAACACGGACGGACCGGATTGGGAGGCCTCCATATCAACATTCCCTTCTGTTGTCGTCGCTGTGGATGTCGACGTTCACAAACACCCGACTTGGATGGATGGCTGGCCAAGACCGTTAGGCATCTGTCAGTGGACACTGTCCTCAGCTCCGTATCATCCAATATTCATCGATGCCGCAAGACGAGTGGTCAATGCTACTCGCGTGATCGAGTCATGGGAGACGTGGAGATCTCACGAAATCTCCCGTTTGGAATCTACACAGACACCAGATGACTGGCAAGAGAGGGTTTCAAAACTACGAGACATGGGCTGTAGCAACGTCATGTCTGTCATGGAATGGACGGGACCAGGTCTTTTTTCAGATTCGGTCTTGAGGTGAGATCAGCTGGTACCGGCGACCTCCGCATGATTTTTTCCGCCTCAAAGGGGCGTGCTGACGCGGGATTTTGCCTCTTTGGTAGCTACCTGCTTGCCCGATACGATGTCAGCTGGCACAGACTCCGCGGACTCAATCATCCGCTGCGGATAGGCGACGTCATGATCCTACCCATAACCGCCTTTTCGCCAGGAGGTCAACCTGATTTTGGCGCAGAGGGAACAGATTCAGTCCAGGCTAATGTGGTGCACAACTGTGAGCGAACTTGGTTGGATCTTACTGCGCTGATACGATCATCTTTTGCCGTTCAATCAGTCCGCGGAAGTTGGAAAGGAGATGGAGCCTGAAAGCAGATTATCTATCTAACTAGCATGCCATCGTCTCATTGAGACTTGCTCATGTCACGCATTTATCGATCCCTAGAATCTCACCGCCTAATCGGCTGGAATCTCGCGACGCTACGCCCGCCTCGGCTGCGTATTTCCCAAGTTTTTGGTGCCCCCGCCCTTTGAGAGCGCAACTCGGCGGTGGCTGTAAAATGTGATCGATCCCGCATACTACTCTCCAAGTTAACCCTAAATGTGCAAGGTCAGTCATCGTCTGTCGAGGCCCACCGGCACAGGGACAGTCGCTTCATTTGGCAATGTGGGTCCACTTAACGGAGCCTCACTCGTACGACTGACTTGACCGATCTTTTTTTTTTTCCTTCCTCTTTTCGCCTTTTCGAGCAACATTCCAATGGAAATTTTGCCACTGACATCTGTCGCTACTGCTATGCCCCCGCGGCATGACGACAAGACGTTCGGTTTTAGACGCCTCATTTAATGTTCCATACATAGCACCCTGTCTTGCGGCCAATGCTTTCCTCGCGCTTCAATGCAGATCGAATCACTCGTGCTTAGGCGGGGCAGCTGAACGGTTTTCGGTAACGGCATGATGGCTAAATACAGAGCTCGTGGCACCCTTGCATCATACCCCTCAGGTCTTTTGAAGAATGTATGGGACGACCCAACCGCTTCTCAATCTAGTTAGGAGGCACCCTCGAATCTCAGTCGTACCACGATCAATCCGGAAACACTCCGATCCCCAAGTAGACAGACCAGATTGAGATGTAGATTCCCAAATGCGAATATAAAGAGAAGGACCAGTACCTTCTTCCGGTCATCCAACCAAGAGTTCTCTCTCACCCATCTCAATACTCCATAGCACTTCCCGCCACTCAACCAATTCAACGCAAAAATGTTCAAGGCTCTTTTCGCCCTTGCCAGCGTCCTCGGCGCCATGGCTTCCCCTACCGGATACAGCGAGTACAAGAAGCTCCCTGTTGAGCGAGCCATGTCCTCCAACATGTCTGCTCCTACCGGAACCGACATTCTCCAGTACGCTTTGACCCTTGAGCACCTCGAGGCTACTTTCTAGTGAGTGGCACTTTGGACTCCCGGAACGTGTTCGCGCTAATCATCATCTCTCAGCGCCGAAGCTTTGGCCAAGTACTCTGCCGATGACTTCTGCAACGCCGGATACCCCGACTGGGTCCGAGCCCGATTCATGCAGATCGCGGGACACGAGATGGACCACGTCAACTTGCTCTCTAGCGTCCTCGGAAGCTCCGCCAATGCTGCCTGCAACTACACCTTGTAAGTGCCGCTTCCATCCTTGTCTAGTCACGATGCTCACCTCGCTTTCCAGCCCTTACACCGATGTCACCTCGTTCATCAACCTCGCCACTGTCATTGAGAGCGTAGGAGTCAGCGCCTACGCCGGCGCCGCTCAATACATCGTCGGAGCTCCTGCCTACCTCACCGCCGCGGCCTCCATCCTCTCCACTGAGTCTCGACACCAAGCTTGGGAGCAATCCGCTGCCTTGACTGGAGCTCCTTGGTCTGGACCTTTCGACACTCCCGTCGGACTCGACATGATCTACACCATTGCTGCTCAATTCATCACTGGATGCCCCAGCTCGAACATGGCCCTTCCCGTCATGGCCTTCCCCTCTTTGACCCTTTCCAAGGCCAACGGAGAGAACCCATGTGCCGGATACAACGCCACTTTCACCTACACCGGCTCTATGAACAGTACTGAGCCATGCTACGCCGTCTTCTACAGCGGTCTCGGAATGACCTCTGTTGAGATCATGGACGGATCTGCCACCGTCCCCTCCACCCTCCAGGGATACGTCTACGTTGTCGTTTCTTCCGAATCCAACACTACCATGGTCGGAACCGACAACATCGTTGCCGGCCCAGCTCTGATCGACCTCGGCCTCTCGGCGTACGTTAACAACACCGACAATGCCTGAGCTTAGAGGTGCGAAAAGGATAGGATCCAGACGATATATAATAGTAGTGACTAGCAGCTGTATCACGTTCGACATGCACACCGATGCATTTTCTAGCATTCTGACCTTGTCATCTGTACATTTAGCCGTCGTAGGCGACGAACTCTATCTCGACGTCTGTCCCACCAGCGGGCAGCTGAGCAACACCAACGCAAGTTCGAGCAGGTTTGGGGTCAGGCATCATTTTTTCGTAAACCTTGAGAGGCGCATCAGCCAGTACTCAAACGGTTCCATGCTCACCTCGTTCATCGACTCGAAGTCTTCAGAGAGCTTAGAGAGGTAAATGTTGGCCTTGACCACGTTCTTGAGGGTCATACCGGCAGCCTTGAGAACTTCCTCGAGGTTCTGCAGTCAAGTCAGCCGATTGCGCCAATAATTCACAGGGACTCACATTGATGACCTGACGGGTTCGGTCTTGCACCTGGCGGATGATGAGACGCGTTCTGAGCTAACTACTCACGGTGCCCTCGACCATCTGCTTGTCCTTGGTCATGCCCACTGATCCGCTGGTGTAGACATAGTTTCCAGCGCGGACTGCTTGGGAGTACTGTCTCGGGTCAAGACTGAGGAGGACGGGGCAGGACTCTACTCACAACTGGGAGAGGAGGTGGAGCCTCCTTGGTAAGGATGTATTCAGCAGGCATCGTTGATAATGAGTGAGTGAAGTCACAGATGGAAGTGAAAGAGACGAAGAGAGACCTAGGTTGCTCTAAAGTGGGCGGGTGGGGGAAAAGGAAGGCCACTGGAAAATTCTTCCGAGAACATGAAGGACCGAACGCACGCACTGAGCGAGCGCGTGGGACTCGACACAGCTGATCCGTCACGCTATGCATTCAAAACAAAGATACAGCTACGGCTACAGATGTAGACAAGACTGATTAGTCCCTGATCCAGTGGAAGCAAGATCGGATAGAGACATGCCCAGTCAAGACATGATCGTTCTTCGCTTTGTTATATTGGTATAAAACCTCGCCTCAAGCATGACTCTCGAAAGGTCGAGGCCAGACGCCAGGACGAGGGACTGACAAGCGGCAAGGAAGGCAGGAGGCTGAGGGAGGGAGGTTTCAGTCCAGTCTGGCGAAACTCCCGTTCAGGATCCTCAAGTGAGCTACACGCTTCGAGAGCTTTCACGCTCGACCTTTGAGCAGAGTGCATCGAACTTTGAATCACCCATTCTTACAACACCATCTGATGATTGTCAGCATGAGGCAGTCCACCAGATCAAGTAGGGTGAATGCGTGTCAGAACTAAGAGCAAAAGGTTATACGCCTCCAGAGAGGGATTGAAATCCACCCTCCGTCGTCCTGACGTGCAAATGTCGATGAATAGATTCGTCCTTCAAGGTAGAGGGGACAGAAGACATTGAGGTGGACACTCACACATAGCGTTCAGGCGTTTCTAAGGCAACACTCGTAGGAGAGTACACAGTGGATTCTGGTGTGCTCCTGCGCAGAGTTTCGTCCCCCCCCCTTAACGGAAGCAAAAATCCTTTCAGTCGTATTTTTCCGCTCAACGGAGCTCAACATATTTTCAGTCGACAGACTGTATGAGCCGTGTGAACGGTCCGACTTGTCAGCCAAGTGCACGTTGGACTAGCTGCAACTAGGCTAACCGAGGGGTATGATTACAGCTGACTGCCCGATATGATTGTCAGAGGGATCGTGGAGAGACCCAGCGGCTCGGCGCCGCCCGCTCCGCCCTCGTTGCCCAAAACATCAGTCACAGGTTTTCCTCAAGCTCGACATCGATCTCTGGCGTCGTCAAAGACGGACGCCCTAGCTCGCCATGGTGAGAACGATTCAAGCACTCGAGCATCCTCTAGGTTGTATGAGCCAGCAACGGCCTTGGACTACACAAGCATCCCCAGCTCTGGGCTGGATCCAGCGGCTTCGGACGTAACGAGACGAGAGATTGAAGCAGAGAATGAAGCTCGCATCCAGGCCATGACTGCAGAAGAGAGGGAGCAGGAAGCTCAAGAGCTGATTGAACGCTTCGGACCTGGTCTTGTGGACATCATGCGTCGGCGGAGGGATGAGAGACAGGCTGCGACTGCTAGTACCTTGGAGTCAAGACCAACCCCTATGAGTAAGTTCTGCCGGGTCATGTATCGTACCTGAAATCATCCAGCCAGATCCCAGACTGAATCTTCGGCGCCTCATGGATCCGGATCATTGGATCGACTCGCCGAAATTCGCGCTGAGTTGCCTGGAGTGTCTGTCGAATCTCACAAACTCGCATGGCTCCAAGATCCATCACCCTCAGATGATAAGTCAATCCGCTTCGATCTCTCAGGAGGAGTCTTGACATCAGAGGAGCTCCAGAGCCTACCGACTAGTCACGGCTTGCATCATCATGGTGACTCTCCGGAATTGGCGGGGTATACGATCCAAAATATCCTCACGCTGTGCCGGTCGAGCATTCTGGGCCAGAGAACGAAGATGCTCCATCTTCTCGGGACGATCATAAGTCGCTGGAAGCGATGTGAAGAGGAGGCGATGACGAAGACATTCACAGATGCGCAAGTCGTCCAGAAAGCTGTGGACATGGCTGTGGAGATCGTGGGCAACACGCCACGAGCCATCGGTCTGACCGTGGCAGGTATCGATCTCCTCTGTCATTGTCAAATGGACAATACGAGTCTCGATATGGATACACGGCCTACAGCACAGCCGGTCATAGCCTGGGAGCTTGTGCTTCCAGGAGCACAGAGACTGCTGGCGGAAGACAGTGGCATTCCTCAAGCTTCTTTGGACCGCTTGATGAATTGCCTTCAATTCGCCGCCATGCAGTCGTCAGAAACGGCAGAGCTGATATGCACTATCCTGCCGGAAGTCGTGAGATATCAGGTTCTCGCTAGGCCGTGGCCGATAAACCCCAAATATCCACCTTCTACACAAGCGATCGCACTGGTGACGGGTCTCATCGAATCCGCCAGGAATTGCGCGGTCTCAATCGCTCAGACCGACTTACCTGTCTCTGTCCTCCGCTTCCTAATTCCTTCGACCTGGCCAGATGACTCGGCTCCGATCATCTGTAAGGAGGCACTGCAGCTGCTGTTCTCATTGGCCCGCTATGGCCTTGGAGCGGAGGTCGTCCGGACTTCGATGGAGATATTCGATACTCTCGGTATGGCCACACGGGCAGACCCCGAGGCATCGGCTATCTACTTCAAACTCCTCGCGGCATGGCTCACTTGTGCCATAGATCCTCATCGGACTACACCAGAACATAGTCTCACTTGGGCTCAGGTCTCTAGCATGGGCTGGGTTGATGCTGCATTGAAATATATCGGAGACTCGGGACCGTGGACCTCATCGGCTCTCGAAGCCGCTCTCGAGCTGATCATCTCCTGGATCCTGGGACTGGCGGTCAATTCACCCGACAAGGGCGTGGTCGAGAAGCGAGCTTTGGCACAGACGTTGCGAAATCTCACGCTGCCGATTGAGACAGAGCCGATTTTATCCCGTTTGGTGCAGCTTGACCTACTTCTCACTGTCTCCGATATAGACGGGATCCTGCATCCGCAACGGCGCCAGGACCTCATCTCTAGACTGGACTCCACCTCTCCCGTGGCGCTGCAATACTACCTCCTGTATCTCGGGGCAGCTCACAGCCTCATCGACAAAGACGAACAAGCATCATTAATGCTGAGATTGTTCCCTCGATTTTCGGCAGGCGAAGAGCATCTAGCTCTGGACCTCTTGGATGAGCTCCTGAAAGGCGATGTATCCCGATCCCTCGACGGGCAAAGTCATCCAGACCTTGAGATCCTCCGACCACTCCTACAATATGCTATTCTGCCCTCAGCGGATTCAGTCATTGGCCCTTCACCACCAGTCCATACATACCTCAAAGCCACGACTTCTCTCCTTCGTCCTGCTACACCCGGCCCAGGTCTACCTTTGCCAGCCGACTGGCTCTTCTCGCCATTGGGCGAACTATTGCGCTCCGCCACGTCGAATGCCCTTGCTCAGACCCCACCAGACTGGAACCCTAGCGAGACTGAGATTGTCCGTGCTGTCTTGTTTCTCGGTCAATGTCAGGTACAATTCGGTAGCCCCTCCCGGTCTCAGCTCTTGTTCAATTTAATGAAGGTCTTCATGCTGGAAAATGAACAACATTCCGGGACATCAGACGGTGATGTCTTCCGGGACGATGTGGTCTCGAGCCGTATCTCTGCCCTTTTATTGAAGATCATCACGCCAGAAACCTCGATGGATCGCAATGTCAACCTCGAGTCCGTGTCCAAGGCTTTCCTAGGGGACGACACCCCCTTCTATCAATTCTACACCGATTATTTGTCACTCTTCGAAGCTATATCATATTCCGATACGTCGTTCGCTCAGACGATTATGGCCCCTCTCGCCATGTCCTATCCCACCGACTATCGTCGACTACTATGGCTCGATCATCCTCCGGTGCCGCGGATCATCCATCTCAAGATATCTCAGACGCCCTTGGAGCATGGATCTTTCTCAGACTATCTGCGGCCGTACGAGAAGGATAGGGACTTGCTGAATGCATACGCTCAGCAATTGGCGCGAGGATGGATCACTCGTGAGCGAAATCAGCTCTTATGGACAATCGCCTCGAGCCATCTGTCCCATGCTCTGTGGACCGAACAGGATACCAATCTATTGAAGTCGATAGGAGATACGTCTGGAAAGACCCTGGCAGACCTCGCAGGGGTCGATGTGCAGCTGAATGGAGCGATATCAACCATTTCAGTCAATCTGGAAAAGCGCCTGGACTGTATACGTAGAGTCTGCGGAGATAATGTTCTCGCCAAAGTGAAAGCCCTGTTGTAACCATCGCATGCATTTCGTCTTGGAGACCTTGAAGGGGACCGCCTCTTTGACGGCTCAGTCGAGTATCCGCCCTGTTTGCGGCAGTGACTGTCCTCTGACGCCTCGACGCGCGGTTCAAGGTTCTCGAGATGATTCCGAGGATCCACGCAGGGTCGAGCAAGGCTCGCAAGTTGACACATTGCGCCTGTTGTCAGACTCAAGGAGGTACAAATCGTAGCTTGATACCTCTGGATCGCATATCCTGCTCCATCGCTGCCGTCGTCAGTATACGTAAACTTTCCGATCCTCACCTGATCTCTCTTGGTTGTCTTGTCTTCGTTCATTCTGCAAAACCAAACGCTTGAGTTGTTCCTGCTCGGCCTTGTTCTGCTGTTGCTGAGATCTGACATTCACGGCGATGGACGAGTCCAGTGGGATATCGAGATTACGCAGCTGTTGTCGATTGCCGCGCTTCGACAAGAGGGTAAAAGCCATGCGATCGCTTCCCAGGGGTCCGGAATCGTCTTGTCGTTTCCGGACATACGGCACAGCAGTATCAAATATGGGCGCGCCGGTCTTACGATCCCGTCTGATGTCGGTCGTATCGGTCAATATTTTGGCAAACTCTCGATCAAAATCGTCCCGAGCATCTTGATCAATCTCGGCATGTTTGCGGCTGCGTAGGACAACGACGTCGTCCTGTTCATCTGAGCTGTCTTGATCTTGGAGCTCGACGTCCGGTTCGACGGCATCCTCGGGCTCGTCATGAACAACAGGTCGTTCATCCTCACTGCCTTCGGACTCGCTGTCCTCTTCTGCCTTTCAGCAGGAGATTCTCTCGGATCACTCACCCTGAACTTGTGTAGCCAACAGCTCATCCATAGCTGCTGCTGCCTCGGTGAAGTTTCTCAGATGAGGCACTTTTGGCCGCACAACCTAGCTCAATCAGCGCCGTTTCTTTTTGCGTCTCTCACGTCAAGGGTGTCCGACACCATAAAGTCCACATCAACCGGCGGATCCCTCTTGCAGAAGACGTACAGTTGGAAGACGACCAGAAAAGTATCGAGCTTTCGCTTCTGCGAACCCCTGTCGAAGCAAGCACCGCAAGAGTCCAGCAAGGTGCAGACGAGGCGCACGCGGAAAAAGTCGTCCACAGCATCGATTGGGCTGTCCCGTCCCGGGACAGGCAGCCCTTCAGCGTGACCAAAGGAGATGAGGGACCATAGTGTGTCAAAAATGACAGCAGCATTGATCACACGGTACATGTAGAGCTCGCCAAGGTATCGGACCGTGGAAATCCGGCGTTGATTGTATTTAAAGACATTGTCCTGTAAACTCAGCTCAACTGGGTGTCTTTTTTGACTCACCTCCATCCCAGACCGTATGTCCTCCATGACTTGATCCACCACAGCTGAGCTGAAGTCCGGGTGATATCGTTGTAGATCGTAGACGAGCGCCGCGACATGGGGGATATTGCCGTAATTCACCTCCCAGATCTCCGTGAACGAGGAGAGTATAAAGTTGTATATCTGACCTTAGCTGGGTCACACTGGTATCGACGGACCTTTGGATCATCCCAATGCAATTTCCGGACCAACTTGAGCACCTTGTCCAGCGTACGTTTCATCAAAACATCGTGTAGCAGATGCTGGATGAAGGATTGCATGGGGGGCAACTGGACGACTTCTCGAGCGACGCGCTCTGGTGGATTACACTGGCCATCAGATTTTTCCGCCCACAAAATCCCAGCTCACCATGTAGAAAGCATTCTCAAGCATTACATTCTGGCGCTGGTCAAGATGCATCGCACTTTGTTTTCTTCGCATCAGTTCCACCATACTTTTCGATGTGGCCGCGGTAGCTTCGTTTCGTAAGAGAAATCGACCGCAGGTCTCCAGCAAATTAGCCATGTTTTCGACGTTGTTCTTCATGTCATCGAGGAAGACCTTGAAGACGTGAAGTATCGTGTATGGTCTGGCGACTTTGAATTTGGCCAATTCGCCATAAAATCGAACGTTTTTGAGCCGCAAAGAGTCAAGCTCTCTGACATGCCGCTTGCGTTGCAGATACCGCATTTCCTCGTCAAGCTGGCCGGTAAGTAAACATTTGGCGTCTCAAACTCACGGTCTCTAAGACTCCAGCGCCCACATCGGGCATATACGGATCCAGCGTGGCGATAAAACGAGCATAATGAGGCAGAAGATCCGTTCGAGTCTTGGGAACTTCGCCAAAGAACTTGAATGTCAACTATGTCACTCTCAGAGAGTCAATCACCTTGATGAGTCTCTTCCTGGCTGCCTTCGAATTCAGGCTGGCAAATTCCACCACGAGTCGGTCAACCATGTCCCGACTGACAGCATCTGGCAAAGAGGCGAGAATGACTGAGAGGCGAGCGGCTGGACCAGACTGCAGATCGTCCTCGACGATGGTCTCTTCAGGTACATCATCATCCGCCATCTGCGCTGGTTCCGGGACTGGTGACGCTACAGGCGAACGTGAGGTCTCTTTTGCCATCTCTGACGAGCCGTTCGCATTGTCCAAGGTCAATTGCTCCAGCTGTCTTTTGACATCGGCCTCATCTGCTTCTTGTTGCTCGACCGTCGGCTCAGGCTTTGTCTCCTTGATTCCTAAAAGACCAGCAGGAACCACATCCCTGAGAACTACCAAGTCTTCATAGAACCTCTTCTCCTCCTCATCATCCCAAATTCCTCCTGGCACTGGTCCGTCATCTCGTACGTTGAAAGTCGATTGCGACTCAACGATCTGAAGGCCCGTATGGCTCAAAGAAGCAGCCGTGGGAAGTGTCGGAGGCTCCAGGCCGAGAAGATCTGCGAGGGACTGCACGCCAGTCGTGAGCCTCTCCACGGCTTTAGTCATTCGCTCGTAGGCTTGTTGCCGGTCTTCGAAGATTTCTCCAGATTTGATATACGCCTCGTGATTACGCTTGTCCTGTTCGAGGAGCTTCTGTTACGGTCAGTAAGGGGCCCAAGATGACTGGACTTACGACTTGGCCCTTGACGAGTGTCTTACTGGCCTGGTTGAAATACCCAACGAACATTTCACGAATCTTGGGCTGTGCTTCTATGGGTACGAGATCGTCGATACTTTCAGGGAGACTTGAATCGGTAGCACCAAGGTATGCCCTGCTAAAGTGCTTGAGGAAAGCCGCCAGCAGAGGGAGATTTGTGAACTGCAGATCATTCGCCATCTGTCGTTAGCCTCCCCATATAAGGCGGTTCCTCACCAAGCCTTTCAGCACCTTGACTACTTCTGCAACGCCTTTAACTGGCGTTGTCCAAGCAGAGGCCATGGCAAGCTCCGCAATGATCCTCAGCACGGGTCTCTGCTTTGCGATCCTCTCTTTATCCTCCTTCTCTCGGTCCTTGTCGGCGGCAATGGCGGCGGTAGGTGATAGTGTAGCCAGCAGCGACGTGAGCAACATGGGCAGGAAGTCTGGCGTAAGGCGAGTGTGCAAGTGAACAATGATCTGAAAGGTCAGATGGTATCGGCGTCGGCTCTCATCTCACATCCACAGCAGCCTCTGGATCCCCCTTTCCCCTGCTGGCTCCTTCCACTACCGCCGCAACTATCTCTTCGAGGTATTTGGTCAGGGTTAACGCATCGATTTCCTTGATCAGAGCCTCTGGAGGTCCTATCATCAACGAGGTCTTGAGCCGGTTCAGGAGGGTCGTGTGCTTCTTGAGAGATGAATCAAGTGTCCCAGCGGGTCCTAGAGATGGTCAGCGTTATGACGAGACTCGAAGACAAACGCTTTGGCTCGTCAATCCAGTATGTCTCGACCTGCTCCTTGAGTGCCCGTCGCCGGTGGTATTTGGCGACATAGTCTGCACTAGACATTCCGTCCCGTCAGCCGGGACGCCCTTGGACTTTGTCTAGAGCTCAAAGACCGAGTCAGAACGGTTCAGAACATCAAGGTTGAAATGCGATCGAGCTTCCGAGATGCCACGTGGTGAACTCCCTTTTGCCGTCGGAGCGTCGGCGCGCACCAATCTGTCCGATTCGTGTCTTGCATAGCGACGACGAGCTCGAAAACGAGGGAACATTGGCCAATGAAACAGGCTAGCTGACCACAATGGCGTCGTCGCGCCTCTTACAGTACGGTGCGCAATGTGAGTGAGACGTCAGACACTGCCGCTCACCTCACTAGATCCACTGTACGGTGTCGGGTATTCTCATTCCACGAGCAATCCGCTCCGCACAGCCCTCACGACATTGGTCACTGGCCCCACCAACAAACTTCTAGTGGTTGATCCGACTCAGCAGGCTGGCCAAGACTTTCGTCAGATCGCTTCAGTCGGTATCGGATTTCCAGCTACTAAAGTCGGGTGGGAGCCTGCTGGTCTCTCTGGATACTCAGATAGCGGAGCGGAGCTGCTAGCCACGACGGGAGACGTGCTGAGGATCTGGGACTTGTCAAAAGACTGGGAGTCTAATGGGAAAGGCTTTGTGGGACGGAACGGTTGGACAGAGGAAGATCATGTACTGAGAGCAAGGAGCGTGTTGACAAATGTCAGTTGACCTTGGGCCAACGGAGCTGATTTGGGCAGAGCAAATCTCCACAGATGAGTTTACCTCCCATCACATCGTTCTCTTGGAACCCAGTCAAGCCTTCAACCATCGTCACCTGTTCCATTGATACCACAGCCACGCTATGGGATATCAACACGTCCCAGGCGTTGACACAGCTTATCGCTCATGACAGAGCAGTGTACGACCTGTGAGCTAGTGCACGCCACATTGGAGGCTGATGCCAGGGCATGGCTCCCCCAATCTCCAGACATTTTCGTGTCCGTTGGTGCAGACGGATCACTGAGAGCGTTTGATCTCCGACAATTAGAGCACTCGACCATCTTGTACGAATCATCTCACGATACACCTTTGGCCAGGATAGCATTCAGCAACAGTGAACAGTAAGTCGCATGCCCACAAACGTCATTGACCTCACCAGGCACATGCTGGCTTGCTTTGGCATGGACGACAACAAAACCCTGATCTTGGATATGAGGAGTCCCGGATCACCGGTAGCTGAACTTGGAGGTCATCAAGGCGCCCTGAGCGCTATCGGTTGGGGCGCTCCGGGTGATTCACCGGGCGCGTCGAGCGGTGGATGGATAGCCAGTTGTGGTGAGACTTGCAATGGTAGACTCTGTGCTGAATGTCAGGCGACGACTGTCAAGTTCTCATGTACGATTTATGCTCCACTCTTCCCACTCCCAGAGCACCTTCTAGAAATCCCAGCTCGCGCAATTCATATACCCTTTCTCCGCCTGCGACGCCATCACGACGATCTACGCCCAGTCCCGCTCCTTCCGTCGACATTCGACCCGTCAAAGCTTGGACAGCCGATGCTCAAGTGAACAACCTAGCCTTTTCAGATGCTGGCGATTGGCTCAGTTGTGTCAGCGGATCGAAGCTGACCATGTTGAGAGTGTAAAACATATGCATCCTAGAAATCGTCTGCAGCCACAAATCGTATCCTCGTTCCATTAGCAGTGCGCATGAGCACGCCCATGTTTTCGTACTGACATAAGCAATCCACCTCGTTGATTCGCTCACCTCTAGTACAACGTCCATAAGTTGAGTCTCTGTAAAGCCCTTGGCCAAGACACGAGCACGAACATCGAGCATAGTGAGGTCGTCTTCTTCGTCCTTTGACATGTCTTTGATGATGCGGAAGATTTTCGAGGTGTCCGTCTGATCCTCGCCTGTCCGTTGTGATTCGTAAAGGGACGATTTGGAAACATCCATCAAACGGAGAGCCTCGTCTACATCACCCTGGCCGACGGTCTCGTCCATTCTCAGGCGAGCAAGCGCTTGTGAGAGACGCAGAACAGCCAAGAGAGTACGTGCAGAGACATAGGTGTACGACTTGTCCTCGGCTTCGTCCTCCTTTTGCTGTTTCCGCATCTGGACATAGGAGGAGACGATGTATTCGGACATGGCGGGTGGGACAATGGGACGAATCTTGCGGCATTCGGCAATGTAGTGTCGCATGAGGGTGGGCTCAATGGGGTCAAAGTCGAGCTCAGGAGGTTCGCTGTGCATGTGAACGTAGGTGACGTGTTGAGCCAGGCGCTCATCATCATCACGGGTGGGAGTGTCGAGGATTAGGAAGAGGACATCGAATCGGGAGAGAAGGGCAGCTGGAAGGTTGATGTTTTCGACGGGCGAGACTTTGGGGTTGTATCGTCCATACAAAGGATTAGCGGCGGCAAGGATCGAAGTCCGGGCGTTGAGTGTTGTAGTGATACCAGCCTTGGAGATCGAGATGGTCTGCTGCTCCATGACCTCGTGGATAGCTGTACGATCTGATTCGTCCATCTTGTCAAACTCGTCGATGCAGCAGATACCGTTGTCGGCAAGGACAAGCGCTCCTCCCTCTGAGAAAGGAAAGGCCGCATTAGATCGAACCTCGTTGTCGGGCGCAGGACTCACCTAGCACCATCTCATCCGTCACGGGATCCCTCATGACGGCCGCAGTGAGACCGACACCAGATGATCCCCGACCAGTCGTGTACACTCCCCTTGGAGCCACTTTGGTGATGTATTTGAGAAGCTGAGACTTGGCCACACCAGGATCACCCATGAGACAGACATTGATATCACCTCGGATCTTCATACCATCTCCCACGGTCTTGGTCACACCTCCAACGAGCAACAATAGCAATGCCTTTTTGACGTCCTCGTGCCCATAGATCTCAGGGGCGATTGAATTGGCGAGGCGAGAGTACAGATTCGAATCGTCCTGCAGATCGTGAATGGCAGCGCTGATCTCTGGTGTGAGCTCCATGGCGTGATACTGCTTCTTGAGCTGGTGCACATGCATAGCCTCGAGGAAAGTGTCCTGTAGAAGGCCCGCACGCATACCACGGAATCCAGTGTAGGGAGTAGGCAGGAAGATGCCGCTGATATGGACCACATCTCCCGGATTGACTGATCGCGCCAAGGTGCCATACAAGTGAACAGTCATGGATCTGGGAATATGGCCGACAGGTACTTGATCGGCCATTTCTTGAATCTTGACTTCTTGGAACGGTCTGAATCGGGAAGCGCGAGTCTGCATATGCAGTCGACCATTTGTTTGGTTCTTGACGCACTGTTCAGATGGGCAAGAGGCGAGGGGAGTGAAGGATTTGGAGGCGATTTCTTGGAAGATCTCATTTCCACACACATCGCAAGTGTAGGCATTGACGAGAAGGAGAGGTTTGACTTCTGATACTCGAGTGACGATGCCTCGGACAGTGATAAGGTGCCCGAGATGAGACGCGCGAACAGCGCGGACAGCGAGAGCCTCTTGATGCGGCCTAAAGTAGACATTGCTAAAGACAGTGTCAGCTGTCTGTGGGAGCTGCATTGACTCACTATCTGCGCATCAGCTCTGGAGGGAACATGCCACCTTCCCTCTCTCCATTCTCCATCTGTTCGTTTATCTGCCGTCTCTGCTGCATGATAAGGTCCAGAACGTCGTCCGTGTGGTCGAGGTCCGCATCAGGCTCTGGCAGGAGCTTGTCGATCGCTTCAGAGAAGAGTTGAATGTACCGGCGAGTATTGCTCATGATGTTGTGGAGAAGCGTGTGATCAGATTTGAACTAGACAGACACTCAGCACAGACCACAGAGACGAAAATCCCAGGACCTCACCTCTTTCAAATCGGCCAGGTCGATGACTATCTCAGAGGTCTGACGGTTGGCAATCTTGCGCAAGATCTTCATGTACTTGGCTTTACTCCTCCCAGGCTGAACGTCCAGATCTTCCACTTCGTCCGCGAGAGACTCTGCCTCGTCATCGTCATCAGAGGGCAGCTCCTGAGTCTCCTCTTGACGTCTTCTCCGTCTGGTCCGAGAAGACCTATCACGAACGTAACGCGACAGGAAATCCTCGATTCCCTCGAGTTCACTATTGTAATCGATGTTGAAGTTTGCGACTGGCAGTACGCCTACTGGAGCAGCAGTGGCCATCTTGGCGACTGATACGAGACTGTCGATGCTTGTAGAAGAAGAACAAGGCAGAAGAGCGACGCGAGAGTGAAGATATGTATCAGAGTATGGATGAACATTACACAAAAAAAAGGTAACGCGTCCGTCTCGAGTGTGATCAGCCACGCGACGCCTCTTCCACAACGCGTAGACAGATTTGATTCCGTGACAATTCGTATATTTTGCATATGGTTGCTGTAAAACGTCTATGAAATGAAACCCTCGGACACGCTCATGATACTAGTGTGTGATCTCCACAGTGAGGTCACCCTGGGCAATCGAGTCACTCTCCTTGACGAGGACGCGCTTGACTTTTCCAGACACAGGAGAAGAGACAACAGACTCCATCTGGCGACAGGGTCAGAGAGAGGCGCCTTCAACGGTTGCAAATTTACCTTCATGGCCGACAAGACGCAAAGAGGATCTCCAGCCTTGACGTCTTGACCTTCCTTGACCCTGACATCAATGACCACTCCAGACTGAAACACGTCAGCTATGCATCGTGCTGTCACTCACCATTGGAGATCCAACGCTGCCTGGATCGCTCGTGGCCTTTTCTCTGCTGACTTGCTCGATAGCAGCGTTCTTGTCGTCAATGACAACCGCACGAGTCTGTCGTCAGTTCCAGATCATCCGTGTCTTGCTCACCTCTCCGTTGAGCTCAAAGAAACATTCCCGAGTACCCTTCTCAGTGTTCAGAGGTCCCACAGCCAATAATTTGATGGTCAATGTTTTTCCCTTCTCAATCGAGATGGGCATCTCCTCATTGATCTGAGGCTTGCCAAGGAAGTGACGAGTAGGCACGACACTGCAATTAGCTGCTTTCGTCGGCCACGACCCACCTCAGATCTCCATACTTCTCCAAAAATCCTTGGAACTCTTCAAAGACCTTGGGGTACATGCAATAACTGTTGACATCGTAGTCGCTAATGTGATTCCCATACTTTTGTTTGAGCTCAGCCTTGATCTTTGCAAAGTCCAGTGGCTTCATGCCGAGACCGGGACGTTGATCAATCTTCTCCTTGCCTCGGATGATGTTGGATCGGAGAGGTTCTGGGAAGCCCCCGTACGGCTGACCAAGGTATCCTTGGAAAAATTCGACGACCGAGCTGGGGAAATCGAGTTTCGCAGCCTGATCAATGACATCCTGCTTGGTGAGGTTGTTCGATACCATAAACTGGGCAAAGTCTCCGACGACTTTCGACGAAGGAGTGACCTTGATGATGTCTCCACATAGCTGGTTGGCTTCAATGTACTTCTTCTTGACCTCGAGCCATTGAGTACCCAAGCCGAGCTGCGTGGCCTGGAATTGCAAGTTGGTGTATTGACTGTAGATTAGCTTAGTCGGGGATGCTGAAGCCTCACCCTCCGGGCATCTCGTGATCGAAGACTCCCGAATCAGAAGCCCTGACGTTGGCTTCGAAGCAACCGTAAAGCATACGGATCTGAGACCAGTACATGTTGAGGGCGGTGATGTTCTCGTGAGAAATACCAGTTCCCAAGTCGGTCTGCTCAAGAGCTGCGCAGACGGCTCCCATTGCAGGCTGGGAGGTCAGACCGGAGAGGTCTACTCGTCAGCCATACTCACAGAATATACTCACCATCGATAGCGACGTCTACGACATCGGCTCCTGCCTTGGCACAGGCAAGCATGGACGCAGCGGCAATACCCGCAGTGTCATGCGAGTGGACGTGAATAGGGAGATCAGGGTGGGCCTTTCGGATCGCTCCGATGAGCATGGTCGCAGCTTCGGGCTTGAGGAGACCTGCCATGTCCTTGATACCAAGCACATGGATCCCTTCGCCAACGAGCTGGTCGACGAGATCAAGGTAGTATTGCAGAGTGTACTTTGTACGTTTGGGGTTCGCAACATCTCCAGAGTAGCAGACGGTACCCTCGACCACACCACCAGCCTTCTTCGCAGCGTCGATACCGAGTTTCAAATTTTCAAAGTAGTTGAGCGAATCAAAGACTCTGAAAATGTCCAGACCAGCCTCGACTGCTTTTTTGGAAAACTCGTAGATAGCGTTATCAGGGTAAGACGTGTATCCGACAGCGTTGGCACCCCGAACCAAAGCCTGCAGGGGAATGTTAGGTACCAGCTTTCGCAATGTTCGGAGACGGTCCCAGGGGTCCTCATACAGGAATCGCATGGCCACGTCAAAGGTCGCTCCACCCCAGCATTCCAGGGAGTAGGCGTTCTGCAGGGCCCAACTGGTCTCCTTGGCGATATTGGCCATGTCGACGGTACGCATACGGGTGGCAAGGAGGGACTGATGAGCGTCTCGCCACGTCGTGTCCATGATGAGCTTTGGGGTCAGTGACGAAGAGTTTGTATCACTCACACAGCCCTTGTAGCTTCTGATAGCCTTAGCAAACGCCTCTGGTCCCTCGTTCACGATGATGTTTCTCCAACCCTTTTGACAAGAGACGGAGGTGTCGACGACGTTGCCAGCATCATCCCTGATTTGCGGGATGATGGCCTCAGTCTTGAGTCCCGGCTCGCCCATCTGACCCTTGATAGAGGATCCGTTGACAGCCAAGTCTCCCAGATAGGCAAGCAGTTTTTGCGCTCGGTTTTGCGATTTGACCAATTTGAAGAGCTCGGGAGTGTCATCGATGAAGGTGGTCCATGTCTTGCCGGACTCGAAGACAGGGTGAGTGAGCAATCGGAACAGGAAGGGGATATTGGTCTGCAGGTCAGCTTGGCGCGACTGGATCTACTGACCTTGACTCCACGAATTCGGAACTCGACGAGAGCACGCAGCATCTTTCGTCGTGCGACTTCATACGTCGCTCCGGAGACTGAGCATTTGACGAGAAGTGAGTCGTAATGAGGCGTGATCTGAGCCCCTGCGTAACCAGAGCTGGCGTCCAATCGGACACCGTTTCCACCTGCAGATCTGTAAACTTCAATCTTTCCAGTATCAGGCTGGAATCCAGCGGCAGCATCTTCCGTGGTGATACGACACTGAATAGCGAATCCTCGACGGTGGATATTCTCCTGTGTCAGGCCCAATTGCTCGAGCGTAGCTCCGGCGGCGACCTGAATTTGTGCAGCCACAATGTCGATTCCGGTGATTTCCTCTGCCCCGGTCAGCCGTTTATCGTCCAATACTGCTCACCTGTGATTGTGTGCTCGACCTGGATTCGTGGGTTGATCTCGATGAAGTAGTGACGGCCTTGTTGGTCGACCAAGAACTCGCACGTTCCAGCGTTTCGGTACTTGACCTCTTTGGCGAGCTTGAGCGCATCGGCCAGAATGCCATCACGGATCTCTTGCGCAAGGTGAGGGGCAGGAGCGACTTCAACAACCTATCGTGAGCCCCAACTCCCCCAGGGCGGATCTCACCTTTTGGTGCCTTCGCTGCACTGAGCAATCTCGCTCGAACAAGTGAACACAGTTGCCGGTCTGATCGGCCAGAAGCTGGACTTCAATGTGGCGAGGTTTGTCGAGGAAACCTGATTTTCAGCTTGGGTCTATACGGGATCACTCACGTTCAATGAAGACTGTTCCATCTCCAAAAGCACTCTTTGCCTCACTGACAGCTCGCTCAAAGCTCTCCTTGAAGTCTTTCTCGTGCCTGACAACTCGCATTCCTCGTCCTCCACCTCCCATGGCTGCTTTGATGATGACTGGGAAGCCATACTCTTTGATGAAGGATTCAGCCTTGTCGTAGGATTCGACAGGACCAGGAGTACCGGGGACGACTGGGACGCCGACCTTCATAGCCAATGTCCTGGCCTTGGTCTTGTCTCCGAGGGAGTCGATAGTCTCTGGATGAGGTCCGACGAATATGATGCCAGCGTCCTCAACTTTCTTCGCAAACGACGCGTTCTCAGACAGGAAACCGTATCTGGGTCATTTAGGAGTGTCCCGGCAGATTTCAACTCACCCAGGGTGAATCATGTCTACACCATGCTCGAGCGCAATCCTTACGATGTCATCCTGGGCAAGGTAGGCGGCAACTGGGGTCATGCCCTTGCCAACAAGGTAAGATTCATCGGATTTGTACCTGTGAGCACCCATGCGATCTTCGAAGGAGTAGATGGCGACGGAGGACATGGCGAGCTCGTGTACGGTTCTGAAGACTCGAATGGCGATTTCGCCTCGATTGGCAACAAGCACCTTCCTGAGCGGACCTTCATGACCAGCCTGTTTCTCTCGAAGTCCAGAGATTCTGGCAAGTCAATGAAGGAAGCGATGAATCTAGCTCACGTTTGGGCTGGTCCTAGCCCAGGGCTTTCAAGGGGAGCATTGCTGCGTGCCCATGCCTCGATCTGCGAGTGCGTAGAAGGGGACATGGTCAGCGCAAGCTCTGAATGTCAAAGAGGTAGAAACCAAAGACAAAGCCTAGCATCTGCGAGTCTTCGGAAGCAACTTCGGCATGTTTACACCATGCCCGAGGGACACAAACGTGTGTGAGGGGAAACAAAAGGGGCGATAACGAAAGGGAAAGGAAGATATTACGACTCACAGGAGGCTGAGCTGGATGGGTCATTCCGTCTTGCCGTGCTGTCTATCTATCGCTATGCTAGTTCGAGGAGACAAACGTAATGACGATAGATGGAATACTCGCTTGGCGAAGCGTTGCGAGCTGATGCAGGGGAGGCCTGGTGACCAAAAGGTAGCAGATGAGGGCCAAGAGTACCCTCTAGACTGTCTCTATGTCTACCTAGGACAGCTATGCCGTGCTCTTGCTGTTCACTTGACAAGAGCGATTTTCGGATATGTGAATACTTGACTCGTCACAACTTGTCAAGGACACGGCGGGGGAAAGGGAGAGAGGGGGGCAGGGAAGACGAGTGTGGCAGTTTAATTAGGCAGCAACTGATAATACGCTTTAATGTGATTGGGTGAGCAAGTGCGATGAACCGAGATGATGACCAGAATCCAGCGATGGGTCTGATCAATGACTTCTGAACCGATTGGTATACTAGCCTGTCGCGTGAGATGTCCTCGTCCGGATCATCTTCAAGCCGGTCAAGCATGAGACTAAGAATGGCACACGACCGATAAAGCCGAGAAGAGGGGAGTCGTGGTCATTTTTGTACCTGCTTGCTGGTCAGCAGCGCCGTCGGATGGCCGTGGCATAGTATTGATCACGGCCCGGAGCTCAGGCTGTGAGTCAGGAGGGGCTGCAGTGGCTTTTCCGAGTCACTCGCAGGTATGGGACCGAGCAAAGAGACCCCGTGAAATCGAAATGCAGGTCGAACTCGAATTGCATGATAATATCCTCGTAATTGATCCAGCCAAGCAATCTCCGACAGGAGGCTCATCCCCTAAAGTTCTTCGGAAAGAGTCAATTGTGAATGGAGACAGTGTATCAAACGGATGACATTGATACAGCCAAGCAATATCATAGCCATATATGGGCTTGAGGGGACTTGAGACAATCTCCGGGTATCCGGGTATGAATAATAATATTGCACAGCATAGTGGAGTGCTTGACTTCTACTCCCTTCTGCCAGGTATCTCATCTGACTACCTGTAATATTCACTATGTCGAACCCTCCGAAGTACGAGACGCTACATCGTGATAGCCTTGAAGAGACTTCCCTGCTCTCCTCCGATGCCGCAGAAAGGGGCCTATCGACTTCGGCGGATCCATCGCTCGCTTACCCACCTCGTCATGGAGAGTCATCTACACGCAAAATCAGTGTGACCTACACCTTCACGCCGAGATACCCTGTCCCGGGATCCGAGGAGCATGCTCTGGCCGTCCTGGGAGAGACACGAGAGGTGAGTGGTACGCATCGACGACGTGGTGCAAGGATTGAATGATCGATTCCTCCTGTATAGGAATCCGCACGAATCTGTCAACGAGCGTTCCCCACCCTAGCCGACTATCCTATCGATCGGATTGAGTTCTCCGTTGCGCTTAAGCAGACGACAGACAATGGCAAACCCATTGGATGGGGCAAGATCACTGAAGATGCTTGGGAATCCTTGCTATATTCTCCGCCCGAGCGAATGATGGTCAGGGTCATCGACGCTCCGGGTGACGCAGAGCGACGTGAGTCCTGCAGCACGGTATCAAGAGAATGCCCTCTGACGCCGGACAGGAGACAGACAAGAATGCAAGACATGCCTCTCAGTCTTTGGCCTTCTCATCGTAGTCGTCCTACTGTTCTTTGGCGCGTACTTTCTGATCAGTTTTGTTGTCAAGAAATGGCAGGGAACGGGATGATGTGCCTGTACGATTGCCCAGCCTACACCGATAGTATCCACACAACACATCACCGCCTCGTGATTGTTTCCTCCCTGTAGCATAGGCTCCTCCCCCTTACACGACGTCGAGATATTACCGTGCGCACCGTGCCCCTGAACTCCCTTGAACTTGACGCTGCTGTACAGTCCTGTACATAGTGTCATCATCATGAATTATCCAGTTGATGTCCATGCGCTGTCGAGTACCCATCGCCAGCACCTGTACCTCACAGTCCTCCATCTGCAAGATTCAAATGACCACAGCAGGCCCTCGTCCTTCTGTGCCACCTTGATCAATTTGCCGTGATTCGCCGAAAGAGAAGCTGGACAACGGAAGCAATTCTCGCACAACGTGGTCGGGGTGTTGGATTTCCGAACCAGCATGGAATTTTGGGACAACTCTTCAGTGTCAACCTCGAGGAGGGTCGCAAGGAGTCTGCAATATGGACTCAGGATACGGTGAGGCTGGCAATCATTTGGATGATAGACATGCTAATTTATTCAGACGCTCTTGAGGCCGCTGCGTCTTCGTACGCGAAAGCAGAACGGGACGAAGAGGGCGAGTCTAGCGAAGGAACTCTACATATATTCATGTTGATGACTGTCTTTAGGCCGAAGTCACGGTTCGCATCACCGAGAACATCGCCACTCAGACCGTGACAGAGATGGCGACCGGGACCATCGAGATCGCGAGCGGCGACATCGTGATAGAGACGATCGAGAAGACAGGTATCGAGAACGAGACCATGACAGGGAAAGAGGTGGTGGTCGAGATTATGGACGAAATGACAGGTACGATCGAGGAGATGAGGATCGTTTCAGGAGACCACCACCTAGAAGGAGAGATGACATGCCTTCCGAGTTTATTGCAGAACCTATGGGAGGGCATAGAAGAGGTCCACCGCGGTACGAAGAGGAACCATTTGCTGCTCCGATGAGAGGGTATGATCGGGGAGGAGATAGAGGTGGAGATAGAGGTGGAGATAGGTATGGGGGAGGTGGAGGTGGTGGGAGGAGGGATGATTGGCGTGGTGGTGGAGGTGGTGGAGGAAGAAGAGATTCAGGTCGAGATGGACGTGGTCGCCGAGGCAGTCCCGGCAGAAGCCCAACGCCTCCGGGGACCCTACCGTTGGAGGAACGCGTCGTCGAGCCGACCTTGTGGGACATGGCACCTGCTCAATTCGACGGAGTCGGAGCCATGGAGGCTAAGATGACAGGTGGGAGGTCGCTTTGTTGCCGTACTGATGTGTAGGTCTCTTCACGTACGGACCTGGTCGAATTCCCCCTCCGGCTCACCTTGGCGTACCTTCGTCCATGATCGCCGGCGCTTTCCCTCCCGGTAACGTCGCGACCGTCTCTCTCGTACGACAGAGCAAGCGATTATATATCGGAGGGGTGCCCGATGGAACCACAGAGGATCAGCTCAAAGAGTTCTTCAACAAGATTTTGGTGGAGCAGAAGCTGGCAGCCGACATGCCCGGAGAGCCTGTGGCTCAAGCCCAAATAAACACGGAGAAGTCCTTTGCTTTCATCGAGGTAGGTTTCAACTCTTGATCGTGGACTGACTAGTCCAGCTACGTACCTCAGACGAGGCTACCGCTGCCATGGCTCTCGATGGCACGATGTATGAAGGTAGTCCATTACGCGTCAAGCGACCTAAGGACTACATCGGAATCGACCCTTCTCTCGGACCCATCGGTGGCATTGCGATTCCCGATACGCCCAACAAATTGTTCGTTGGGGGTCTACCAACTTACCTCAACGACGAGCAGGTCATGGAGCTGCTCAAAGCGTTTGGAGAGCTGCGAAGCTTCAACCTCGTCAAGGAAGGTACCGCGGCCGGCGGTGTCTCCAAGGGTTTCGCGTTTTGTGAATACCTTGACCCTGCCAATACGGACCTGGCTATTCAGGGCTTGCACAACTTCCAACTGGGCGACAGAACCTTGATTGTTCAGCGGGCAGCTGTGGGTAGAAACACTGGTGTACAGGCTGCTCTGCCTGGATCCGCAGGATACATGGCTTCAAGCAGTGAGTGGAGATCGTACCTCAGACAATGAAGGTCCCAGCAGCTGACGACAATCCAGTGACCAACATTCTCCAATCCGCCATTGGAGGCGAAGAGCTCGAGACTCGATGCATGCTACTCCTCAACATGGTCACTGCCGACGAGCTGTACGACGAACAAGATTACAAGGAGATTCTCGAGGACATTACAGACGAATGTGGCAAGTATGGGGAAGTCGAAGGAGTCAGAGTTCCGAGACCTGTTCCCAAGTCGAAGAAATGGGAGCCCTCCGATTCGGCAGCTGCGACCGCGGAGAAGAATCGAAAGGCAGACGAAGAGGCCGGAGTTGGACGAGTGTATGTCATGTACAAGGAAGTTGAACAAGCTCAAAAGGCTATGAAAGCCATCGGAGGGAGACAATTCGCTGGGAGGACGATCCTCGTCGCGAGTGTGCCAGAAGTGAGTCGAAAATCAAATGACAAACCTAACGAAATTAGGACGAGTTCCTCGGTCCTGCTCCGCCTCCGCCGCCGCCAGAGGATCTCGATGCCGCTGCTGCAGATGCAGTCAAGGACATCATGGCGGGACTATAGTTTCTGACTACCGGTGTTTTTAACCGAAGAAGCACACATGCATCTAAGCACATGCGTCCTCCTATTCATTGTCTATTCTTTGTCTGCTCCCATATAGCCCTCTGTCGGGACGTGGACTTTATCAGTCGGAATGTTCTCGTCCTCCGCCTCTTCCTCCGAGATCAGCCTCTCCGCTTCAAGAGCCGCCATACAGCCTGATCCTGCGCTGGTGATGGCTTGTCTATAACGCTTGTCCTGGACGTCCCCAGCTGCGAAAACACCCTTGATGGAGGTCTGGGCAGTTCCGGGAACAGTCTGGATGTAGCCATCTTCATCAACTTGGACCTGAGTCTTCACCAGAGCCGTGGCGGGTTCATGGCCTTAGAGGAAAATTTCAGCTAGATCCGCTACACTCGGGGACTGTATGGCTCACCGATAGCGTAGAACAGCCCATTGACAGGGAGATCCTTGGTCTCACCAGTCTTGACATTCTTGACGACGAGACTTTGTAAGAGGTCTCCGTCACCTTTGGTCTCGACAGCCACGGTCTGCGCGATCTCAGCAATGACAGTGTGCACGAGACGCGGAGTGACTCACGTTCCACAAGACTGTGACTTTCGGATGGGTCGTCACTCGCTTAGCCATGATTTTACTCGCTCTCAATTCGTCTCTCCTGACGAGCACATAAACATGAGAACCATACTTTGTCAAATCTTCGCAGCATGTCAGATCCCGTTCACTAGTCCCAGCATCACACTCACAAGTCGCTTCCTCAGCTGCAGAGTCACCGCCTCCAATCACGGCGATGGGCTTGTTCCTAAATATCGGGGCAGCTCCATCACAGACCGCACACGCGGAGATACCAGAGTTCCAGTAAGTGTCTTCTCCAGGAAGGTTGAGGCGCTTAGCAGAAGCTCCTGTTGCGAGAATAATCCTATGCACAAGTCAGTGATCCTCATGAGTGCAAGCGGGGGTGGATTCTAAACATACGTATCGGCAGTCATAAAGTCCTGTTCCTCCTCTTCACCCTCTGTCCAGTATTTGAACGGTCTTTGAGAGAGATCGACGCGGACGATGGTCTCTGTGATGATCTTTGTGCCAAAACGTTCGCTGTGAGGAGTGAGCAAAGAGCCGCATCGGAATCTCGTTTGGGTCGCGCTGACCTCTGCAACCTGAACTTGTCCATCATTTCAGGCCCACGGACACCATCGGGGAATCCAGGAAAGTTCTCGACCTACATACAGTCAGATCTGGCTCTCAAACTTCACTTGGCATAGCTCACATCCGTGGTGGTGGTCAGTTGACCTCCCGGAGCGAACCTATCACCAGCACGTTAGTAAGCAGAACCTGAGAGATGCCATGACATGCGATCTCACCCATTCGCCAGCATACCCTGATGGTTCAAGTCAGCTCGAACCCTGCGCGTATGCTCCGCCTCGCTTACCTCATACAGAACCGGGTTCAGATTCGCTCGAGCCAAGTAGATGGCAGCAGTATGCCCGGCAGGTCCTGAGCCAATGATCACAACCTGAGAATGCATCTTCTTGCTCTTCTCGCCTCCAGCTTTGGGCTCCTTAACTTCCACATGAACAGGCACGTGTGTCATCTTGGAGTTCTTGCTGTCGTTGTAAGTATCAGAGGAAGAAGGCAGAGGAAGAGGGGTCGTGTAGATGGATCTGGTTTGAGAGGGTGGAGGAGGACTAGAGGTATGAATCGTCCTTTTGAATGGAAACTTTGAGCTCGGAGATCTGGTCGGTCTCAAAGATGAGGAACTTGAGCAGAGAGCTCTATATCCTAGTCGGAGTGACAGTTTGGAAACGAAACGTCTAGCTATACGAAGAAGAGTCGGCAGCGAAGAGCTGAATAATACGCCGGTGATTGCAAAGACAAAATGGAAGTTTCTGTGCGCGATTCCTTAATTTGTCGGATACGACACCCATCCGAACATGTTGGGTGGTCCACCGCGGCCAGACTCGGATGCAGACATTCAGCCGCGCCTGAGCGCCTTGGGAACGATATGCATCTCATGCTGTGAGACCGTCCAGATAACTCCAAGAACAGCGACTCGCTTTGTGACTGTACCGTCGTCTCAACTAAATTTCCATCGGTTGCCACAATTCTAAAGGGGGTCAGCGTCGACAATTAACGGGATGCGAAAGGTCCTCACTGTGCAGCTGAAGAGGGGAACCGAGAAGATCATATCAGCAAACGAAGCAATCATGGGTGAAGAAAACATACGTCACAAATGTCTGCGACAAGATCAGCGCTCGCTCTCCTGACACCCCAAAGCACACTCACAGTCATCGGCTCATCGGCACTCCTCGTCTGCATCTGATAATATGTGCATTTTCTCTGCTGACATCGACTGCATTTGAATGCATCGGTCTCAGCCTGAGCAGGATGAGCTGGAAGATCCGATGGTGAAGCATGATGGAGCTGACCTGAGTCTCTCCTACGGCCTTGGCTTTGAATAGATTGTCACTAGCCAGCTTTTCGTTCAGAGCTCGAACGCTTTCGGACGCCATTTCCTGTGGCATATGAGCGACAGATCCGACAATCCATCCGTTCTGCCCACCTCTTTGCTCATAGCTGCCACCTTGGCAGCCTCAATGTACCCAAGAACAATCTCATTCCTCAGAGCAGGATTCTGCTTGTCTTTGAGATTGAGGAAGAGTGATCTCATCTCTGCTGGCCGTCAGCCAAAGCCTCTCATAAGCCAGTACAACAGACTTACTGGCACGATATTCGTTTCCTGTATTTCGTACCAAGTCGTAGGCTGCTTTTTCGATACCTCTCGCCCGCTCAGTCAAGATCTTTTTGTCTAAGAGATTATGAGCCAAGATCTAAGGGTCGATTGCATTCTCTCACCTGCTGTGCTATCTCCTGCCAGTGCGTTATACATCATGACGACGCATTTGTCTCTGACATCTTCTCCTTCCGCTTCCTCTGCTCTGAGCGTCTTCTCCACTCCATCCGAGGCGGCTGTACGTGGATCTTTACGGGATGAATCAATGGTAGATAGAGGCGGACGACGAGGGGGAGAGGAGCCAGACGCTTCGGTTTTGACCTCTGACTTCACCGCTTCGGTTCTTGGCTTGCGATCCGGAGATGCACCAGAGGGAGAGGCAGCCGCCGGGGACGCGGCAGCGGAGGAACCTGAGCCACGCGTCAATTCACCTGGCATATTGGTAGCCTAATCGACCTACCCTCTCCTTTGACCCGTTTCACGGCATCGTCCTTATCGCCATCTTCTCGCTTTCGTTTCCGTTTGGATTCTTCAATAGCGTCCTTCCATAACTTGACGATCTCTTTCGCCAGAGTCGAGACGCCAGGGGTGGAGTGATTGCGGAGCTTGCCAATGGCGACACCAGCTTTTGAGGACTAAAAGGGAGTCAGCTCGGCGTCCACATGCTTCTTGAAGGAGATTGGAGAAATGTCGAGCTACGTAAAGGATTTCGTCCGCTTCTCAACGTCCGCTTCTCAAGTCCAGGTGATGCGATGAGAGAAGGAGGCAAAGATATCGTATAGAGCTGTATGGCCAAACTTACCCGTAATAACTCCTCAGTGGGCTGGACATCCTTTCTGAGCTTCTCCAACAGCCTCGTTACATCCTATAAGCCATGAGTCAGCTCGTTCCCAATCTCTTTCGACGATTGCTGTCCGCCAATCTCAGCTGCGTTGGATGCGAGCAGACGCAGGGAGCCCCTGTCTCGCTCATGTCCAAGCGAGGTAGTCGACAAAGTAACCAGAAGGAATTCTCCTTATAATAGAGACTCGCCTCTGTCTTTCCCGCGGTGTTCGCCTCATTCAGCTCCTTCACTGCGTCGGAGAGAGCCTTGCTGTCCATCTTCAGAAACCGAGGACCGGGAGACAGGCCGAAGCAGGGAGGATAAATAGCAGTGAAAGTAGGGTAAGATACAGACGAATATGGAATCTCGAGCCAAATAGAGGATTCTCTGCGTGGCGGATCTGCAGGGAAAAAATAGGAAAGATGCATGGCATGACGAGCCGGTCAGCCAGATATTTCTATACCGATAGGATGTAGACCTTCAAGACGCTCCTAGTCGTCGCCCTCCTCCTCAAAGAGATCCAGTCCGACATCCTCTTTGACCTCCCTCGCCGCTTCTTCTACCCAGACCCTCAATAACCCACCCAACATTTCTTCCCATCCTTCGCCGCGTTTGGCGACAGTGACGGGGTCAAAATCTACACGAGCGGCATTCTCCTTGATCCTGGAGTCTTTGCGCTTCGCAGGACCGAATCGTGGTTCCGGAGGGAGAGGGGATCCAAACATGCTGGGTGAAAGTGTGGGCGAGGGTGATTCCGCGGAACGAGGTTGAGGGAGGGAAGGGGGAACGGTCAGGTATGTCGAACTTGATGCCGGCATGTGGATGGGAAGGTTGTAGCGGTGCTTGAGGGCCCTAGGGGGTGAGTTGCGGACTGTGGGAGCTCGACTTACGCAGCCCAACATGTCAGATTTCCTATCCGCATAAAGGTCCAGCTCTTCTCCTTCTTATCTTCGACAACGTCGGGTATCGTCGAGCCGCTCAGCGTGGAGTCCGACTTGAGGGTGTCGTGTATATCTTCTTCGGAAATGAAGCCCCATGGCTTAGATGACGTCAAAAGAACAATATTCAGTGCTTGGGCGAGTAGGTAACCATCACTGAGAGAGTTAGCCGAAAGACGTTGCAACAGTCCTACGATAGTCTAGCCAAAAATGCCTGCCTGAACTCTGGAGTTCTGGTATTGGGTATCACGAGCTGAAGATTGAGAGGCAAGTTGGCAAGCAGGAACGCATGCGCTCGTTCTTCATATTAGCAAGCCAACTGAGCCAGACTCACCCATCGACCAGCCTTTCCACATATCCTCCTTCACCCAAGTCTCAAGTTCCTCGACGCCACCCCGATCTCTCACACCAAATAAGCCTTCAACGACACCGACCCATCGCCTGATCGAGTCCCTCACGGTTCCAACTCGAGCTTCTTCCTCTTCCCAGCTCTTGTACATCCTGTTCTCTTGGACGAGCCTCTCTTCCCAAGTCAACGCGTGCTCCTTCTCATCTTGGGCGAAATCGTTCAGATTGTATTCCTCCTCCTCCAAATCATAGGACTCAGGTTCAGTGAAAGAGCTGGCGGTACCGTTGGTGTCGGGGACAGAGGATCCTGAGCTTTCGTCCGCAGCGCCAGGTGACATGGCTCGTCGAGGCGACTGGCCGGCATTTGGAATGTCCACTGGTCCACTTACAGGCTCGATCCGGAGCCTCTCTTCCAGGTGGCGCAGACCGTGAAGGATTTCAATGGCTACTTTGCGAAGCTGTGCCAATTCGTCAGGTCTCTGGTCAGGGCCTACACTACTCTTCCTCTCGGTCACACCAGAGCTGACAGCCCGAGGTGGCGCATTCGGTCGAGAGGGAGTCGACAGTGATGCTCTAGGTTTGCTTTTGGGAGGGAGCAAGGCAGCTGGACCAGAATGGCGACGGCCGCCAATGCTTGGATGAGACACCGACAAGGCGAGCTGCCGGACCCGCCTGATAGCTTCAACGGTACTGACTAGCGTTGTTCTGGTATCCTGTTGGTGTTTCGGATTGGCGGGAGAGACGGGCGACAACGGGGATAATGAGAAGGCCATGGACGGTGATGAAGGCATCCCCAAGCCCCAGAGACTCCTGACATTGCCAACTTGACTCCTCGCCTCTCTCATAGCTTCTTTTGGATCTATGCGAGGTGTTTCCACCTCTTTCCATGGTCTGGGGGGTACTGTCTTTCGCATTTCGCCGGGCGGATGATTCTCCTCGTCGCCTTCCTCGACCGGTCCAAACCCCCTGACGCCAGCTCCAACACCATCACGATGTTCCAGTCCGGCGCGCGAGAAGTGGAGTTGAAGGTCCTTGATAGATCCTAGCATCTGTACGGATTCTCGCTTTGCAGCGGATCGAGCAATATGACGGTATTTAGGATTCTTGAGGGGAGGTATGGGAGCAGCTCCGGGTGGTGACCCGGCGAGGTTGTCGACCTTGTCCATGACGCCAGATGTCGAGTGGTGGGTAGTCAGAAAGATAGAAGTTCAATGACTGAACTCCGATACCAGCTTATTAGGCCACTGCCCTGTTCCCCTGACCGATGACGAGACTAACGTGTTGATAAGGAAGGGCGTAAATCGTGACCGGTCGTCAAGTGTCGTGAAGCAAGGGGCCTCGTCTCGTCAATGTTCTATATCGTGTCACTTTGCGCGTTCAAAGTCGTTCCCAGTCGTTGTTGTGAGATCGTCAAATTGAGCGAGATGTCAACAAGTATGCGTGTATACCCGCCTCGCCTGGCCCCCTCGGTACACACAGTGGTGAAAGGAAACAAAGCGTTCCGCCCGGCGGGTGAAACCGACTTTTGGGCTGTGGAGTCCCCAGAGCTGACACGTGGCTCGAGTGTGGCATGGTGGCAGAATACCGATGTACTGTACCAAAGTGTTCATTGAATGCCCCCTATCACAGAGGTACCGTCGGGCAGGATGTGTCATGGCTCCGAACACGGAGCAATGGTAAGCCTCACAGGGTCCGAGCTCAGAGCAAAGTATGCGGCTGCCACCGCGGCGATAAGTATGACTTGGACCTCGCACCTCCATGACCTCCACCAATCAAAGGTATCCCGATGGATGTCAGTGGGGCGTTAGCACAAGAATTGACTAGGGTTCTGCCATGATGTCGATAGTTTAAATAGACCTTCAGCACTGCTTGTTACCTGGATCACCTCAAAGTATATTGTCACTGTAAAGATCTCTCTCTTGTCAGTATGGTGTTCGGCGGTGACATTTCCGGTGTTCTACCCCTCCTTGAGGCTGCCAAGAGTCGTATCGAGTCAGACCATGGTACTCCATTGCTGTCACCGGTGTCAGAACCCACTGTCGTTCTTACCGGGGCTACAGGAGGCATCGGGGTGCACGTTCTTCACTCCCTGGTCCAACGTGGCACTGCCCAAAAGATCATCTGTCCATCTCGAGCCCTAACACCTGATGCGGCCAGGGGCAAGCTGGACGAGGCGCTTCAGAGCCGTCTCCTGCCGTCTATTGCCGACCTCGAGGAAAGTAGAATATCCATCATATGCCCCGCCATCAGCTATGGGTCGGACGCCTGGCTCGACTGTCTTCCTTTAGAACCATTGACTATCCTTCATTTCGCTTGGCCGGTCAATTTCGTTCGACCTTTGGGTCATTTTGAGGATGCCATCGATAATGCTGTAGACTTGATCAACTTTGCTCTGTCCACTGAATCCAGACTCTTTTTTGCCTCCTCAGTAGGGGCATACTTTTTCTCCACGACGGGCACGGTGACCGAAGGCATCAACCATGATCTAAACATGATCATCCCTCCCTCCTACGCCAAAGCCAAGTGGATCGTGGACCACCTCATGGCTTATGCTAGGGCATATGGGCTAATAGGAGGCATCTTTCGCATTGGTCAGATTTGTGGCGATTCGCAGCATGGCATCTGGAATCAGCGCGAGGCAATCCCCCTTCTCATTCAAGCGGCTTCTGTCCTTGGCGTCGTCCCGTATGCGTATGTTGATGGGAAGGATCAGGTCAGTTGGATGCCAGTCGATCATTTCGCAGAAGGACTTGTGGCCGCAGTGGTGCATCACGAGGACACTGGTGGCAACATCCCCGTTTGGAACTTTTCAAACCCTCACCCGACCCCGTGGAGGCGAATTGTTCGAGCGACTCAGCGAGCACTACCAGGTGGAGCTAGAGCGGTGCCGTATGACCAATGGCTGGACATCCTCAAAGCGCATAGGAAAGACTCAAGGGTCCTGGCGCCCAAGCTTCTGCCCTATTATTCTTCTGGTTTGTTCCCAGCGCAACCGTTCGAGCATGTGGCGGTGGCAGCCACACTTGCCAAAGATCGCCTTGAAGGCCGGGGCAGCTGGGAGTTCTGCGAGATTGACGAGGCACTCATCATCAAGATGATCATCAGGTGGATGGAGGAGGGTTTCATAGCTTCAGCTGGTCCTCGACTCGCGCATCTTCACACCTCGCATCGTGACGCCAAGCTGTGAATCCTGTCTGTGATATCTTTCGGCTATTCCAATGCATCCTTTATTCCGAGTCTCCATAAAAAGTTTGCTCGGCCGCCGAGAGCCGAGAATAACATGCAGTGCGGTCAGCGCTCATCTCGAGACCGCATGTGAACACGTTGACACGAATAGTCTTTGTCTATGTCATACTTGGTCGCCTCAACACGCATATCAGAGTTCTAGACAGTAGCTCAGCATCATGGACCATCTTTCAGAACTGGCCACTGCGGCGATCGAGTTCGCCAGGCATCGCCCAGTCCTGACGATCATCGGGATCATCATCACTTCGCTGGCCTCTCTCTGGTTCTATTACTGGCCATGGGCGGAGTGGACCCTGTCATTCCGAAATGTGCCAGGTGAGCGAAGTCTCATGACCGTGCTGAGGCTTCAGGTCCGCCTTCTGACAACTGGCTATTCGGTAACCTACGTGCGATCATCAAAGCCGGACCGATGGAGCTGCACAGGGAGTGGGCAAAGGAATATGGCCCAACCTATCGATACAGAATCATCTTTGCCCAGCATCGATTCTATACTCTCGATCCTAAAGCTATCGCGCATGTCCTGTCTCATCCAGATACATTCCCTAAGCCTGATCGGGCGAGGCAACAGCTGGCCAAGACACTTGGAAATGGACTGCTCACTGCGGAAGGAGCGGATCACAGACGGCAGCGAAAGGCTTTAAACCCTTCATTCTCTCCTCTAGCCGTGAAGAACATGCAAGACATCTTTTTCGACAAGGCGTACGAGCTCCGAGAGAAGCTGGTCGACATCATCGCCGATGATACAATCCAGGCTTCACCCACGCCTGCCAAACCGGAAGATACAGTCAGTGGAGGTAAGAAGATCGACGTGGCGAAGTACCTTGGCCAAACCACTCTCGACGTTATCGGCCTCGCGGGATTCAACTACGACTTCCAGTCTCTAAGTCAAAAGGACAATGAACTCGCAGAGGCATACAGATCCATGTTTGCGGCATCGTCGCAGCTCACACTCATGCTCTTCCTCGCGGCGTTCGTGCCAGGTTTCGATAAAATCGTTGGTGCGAACTTTGAACAGAGCTGACGTCAGCCAACGAAGCAGCAGAGAACGGTCAGGGCCAGTCAGGAGGTCACGAGGAGGATCGGAAACGTGAGTCTGAAGCATCGATTCTTCTGAAAATGTAGAGACTTTTGGAGGAGAAGAAGCGGGCCGTGAAGGCGGCCTACAGCGACGGCTTTGAGAAAGGCTCAGATATTGGCAAGGACCTGTTGTCAATCTTAGGTGGGTCTCCTCACTTGGACAAAGCTGAAGTTCAGTCAAGGCGAACATGGCGTCCGACGTTCCACCAGACCAGCGCATGTCGGATGACGAGGTTCTCGCTCAAATCACCACCTTCGTGGGTACCGCTTTAGAATGTCCTTGACGCCAGATGCTCGCCGGCAACGAGACGTCCAGTACATCCTTGACTTGGATACTGTATCTGCTCTGCCAACATCCAGAGATTCAAACCAAGCTCCGGGAGGAGCTCGCCGCCGTTGAATCTGAGCGACCATCACAGTACGTGGATCTTCACGCGCCGCGCTGACGACAAGTGAGGAGATCGCGGCGTTGCCGTACCTTGATGCGGTCGTCCGAGAAGGTCTCAGACTCTTACCCCCGGCCACGTCCACTATTCGTGAGGCGAAGCAGACCACTGTTGTCCCTCTTGGCACCCCAATCAGAGGACGCGATGGTAAGATGATGGACACAGTCACGCTGCAAGCGGGCACGACTGTCTTTCTGCGTGAGTCGTCGCTGGAGACCCAGACTGATGCGCAGCCATCATGCCCGTCAACACCTCTCAGGATCGTTGGGGGTCAGATGCGGAGGATTTCAATCCTGATCGCTTCCTCTCACCACCGCCCGAATCCACGAAAGAAGTTCCAGGTGTCTGGGGCAATATGTTGACTTTCCTGGGTGGCACACGCAGCTGCATTGGCTACCGATTTGCGTTAGCGGAAATGAAGGCTATCTTGTTTGTACTGATGAGAAACTTCGAGTTCGAGGAGTTGAAAAGCAAACCCCAGATTGAGAAGCGGTCTGCGTGCGTGTCCCTCTCTTTTCACGGAGCTGACGGAGTTATTAGGATCGTGATGCGGTCCAAGGTTGTGGGAGAAGAGACTCAAGGATACCAGATGCCGCTCATGGTGAAGCCCATCTCAGCCTAGTTGAAAACAAGAGTGATGTATGCTACATGCTGTGAATTGTATAGTCTAGTCTCGTTCAATGCAGTTGATTTCTCTGTTGCTTGACCTCGTTCAAGATGTAGAAGCTGGTATCGAGGAAGCGATCGACACAGTTTTCGAGACATGACACCTCGTTCCTGAGTATAGTGAGCTTGATGTTGAAATCTGATAGTATCGACTTGCCTGGAGAACTTGCTGCTGATAGAGCCGGTCACGCACTTTTTCCAGCCTGAGGCGACAAATCAGAAGTATTTCATCTTCTCCACTGAGCGAACTTACATGTGTCTGTCAGCTCGTGCACTGTAGCCGCCATCTTGGCCTTCGCTTGTCTACAGATGTATCAGCTACGAAGGGTTGGCAGACGAAAAGGCAGCTGACTCTTGGTCGATGAATTCTTGAAGCTCTCTCTGGGTCCTCGTTAGCTCACAGGACAATGCAATTAATTGATCTAACTGGCTCACCTGAGTAGCAGCATCAAATTGAGCCTGAGGCACCTGGGCTCCAGCAGTCGCAGACATTATTATGCTGGGTCGAGCAGTGGTCGTAGGATGTACTCAATCCTCGGCATAACATGAGTCTGCGAGGTGATCTTCGGAAATTTCAGGAAGCTCTGACGTGTATTTTTCGCCACCCGGCAATTGATCTCTCTCGGTATCACCGAGCTTCGAGACTATCTAGAGCCAGCCTTCAAGTCGGCATTCACGACCACGACCACGCTTCTGCAGGGGGCTGGACCGAGATGAGCGACTATGCTCATCGTCCCGGAGGCAAGTTGAAGCTGAAGGGCGAAGGCGAAAAGTGAGTCAACCCATCGCGCTGCGTCAACTTGGAGAGTGCCATCCTTAAGGAACAGGACATCGTCTGCCCCGTACTGCACCGACACCACTTGTCAGCTGTGAAACGACAAAATACTGATATCCAGGTTCAGGAAGAAGAAGAAGAAGTCTCATTCCTCGAGTGATAGAGCAAAGGTGGACGCTGAGATCTCACAAAAGGAGAAGGAGAGAGAGAGGGAGACTCAGGAAGTTGAAGAGAGACCAACAGGTCGGAAGATGACTGATGCGGAGAGGCGTTTCGAGGAGATCCAAAGGAAGAGGGTGGGTCGTAAGGTCTTCACCCCGACCTCAGCCCTTCAATCAATCAGAGGGATCGTCGTGCTGACTGGCGACGCAGCGGGAGGAGAGAGCGTTGAAGAACGCCAAGATGTCGCACAAGGACAGGGTGCAGGAGTTTAACCAGAGGTTGGACTCGTTGAGGTGCGTGGTTATCTCTCATCATTCGAGCCGTATGCTGACGCGTCCCAAGTGAGCACCATGATATGCCAAGAGTGAGTCGTGATGTTCAGTGGCGGCATCGAGAGCGGTTTTGCAACACAATGGAATTCAGAGGCTCACTTTTCCTCTACAGATTGGACCTGGATAAGATGCAAACCAGTGTCATGAGCCCCTTAATATTTACCATACGGGATTGTACAGGTGTGTTGCAGTGTACCGGTATGTATGCAGTAGCAAAGATGCCTTGCTCAAAGCCAATCCCGCGAAGCGAACTGCTTCTCTGGAGATGGGAAGAGCGGATCGATATTCTTTTTCTCGAACCGCACGCACATCGCAGACGGTTCCGTAGCGCTTTCTACCTCTCGGTTGGCATGCTTGATGGCAGCTCACAGACCTGAGTGTCCCGACTCTGCTCGATCTCCAATCAATTTCCAGTCCGGAAATCTGACACCTGACTCCGCGTTCGCGCAGTGTCTGATGAAATTCTCCGTGTGAAATGCCATTGTTGCGCGTTCGATCTGTATCTTGTCAGAAATCGTTTTCGCAAGGCAGCAAGGTCTAGGAGGGCAGTCGGAGCTCTAGGCCACCGTCCGGATGCCTAACCCTAAGAGTCTGCCCGATCTACCGGAAGACTATACCTCAAAGGCAAGCCGGATGGTCTTAATGGAGTCAGCGCTGACAAAGTAATACAGTTCTTTTTCAATGATGTAGTCACCAAGCTCGTTGACGACAATTTTAGAGGGCACGTCTTGGTGAGTGTAGATCTCAATCAGTCGTCCAAATTCGAGTGAGTTTACGAATGACACAGCGATGCTGGGCGGATGAGGACGATATGATGGGTATGGGCTCGGATCCAACGAATCCCATCGAGCGGCCACTTTTAAGAGGGGAAGTCGGCATCCGGTGAGTAGAGCATGGCTATCTCCTCTCGTAAGGCTGCTGATCATCACTACTCTACAGGAACATGAGGACCCAGGAGCTGCTGATCTGCCCTGAGTCCTCAGTGGTCCTCTTTCACCGTGCTTTCATCAATGGCGACATCGTCAAGCGATCTCTGACGTCTCACGACTCGGCAGTGATCATCGATCAATCTTCTGAAGTTCTGTTGGAACACTTGGGAACGAAGAAGCGGCTGAACCAATGGATCCAGCAAGATAAATTAAGGTCCCACTTCCTCGTTGAAGTAGGAGACAAGGTTGTATCTGATAATTGGCTGGGAAGCGTCGAGAGTGTAAGTGAGCTCACTGTACGATGGCCATCGTTGTTGACACTGTAACCTACAGGTGATTCGTCGGGCTGTGGTCAAGCGACATGATGCCGACACAGCGTACCGAGTCTTTGACCTGGCTACATCGATGGATCCTGGTCGAGCCCTTCACGTAGGTCCGCCGATCCATCTGCACCCCTTTTCTGACATCTTCGCAGGAACTCATGCCCCGATCGGACGAGCGTGGCGAGGAGCTCTTGTTCGATAAAGGGGACCTGAAAGATATCGTCTTGTCAAGTGAAATAGTTAGCATCCGGGTAGCATGGCACGTCCTCAACCAAAAGGTATTAGCGGACTCGGACTCTGGGTCGCCTCTCTTGCTGACCCGCTGCAGCTGCCGATATCGGCTCAAGATGACTATCCCGAACCTCCAAAGCAATGGACAGGCGATAAGGTTTGGGAACTGATACATTTCGCAATGGATGATCGCCGCCCGGTTCAGCTTGGAGATGGAATGTTTATCACTGATAGGGCCTTGAGAGATTGTGCGTGGTGCCGACTGACTTGCGTCTGATATCTTCTCTAGCATTAGAAATTGAAGACTCGGTGTATACGACGAGAACTGATTTTCGCCCACGGCCGGTCAAGAGCACAATCTCTTCCCTCAAGATCGTCGGTGCAAGGTCGAAATTGACTCTGAGATGGCAAAATGGTTCGGTGACAACCGATTGGGCTAGCGACGTGGTCCCGTACCAGAATGTCGATGAGTGAGTAGAGTTTTGCGAGGCAGTCCTGACCCATAGGTATGAGACGTGGCCTGGCGATTGTGTCATATGGAAAGGAGACTCAGGTCAACGCATCCCGGCAGTCGTGCAAACTTTCGACGCGCACAATCGAGTCGCCGATGTATTCTGTCTTGATGGAAGAGAGAAGCCACGCGAGATCATTTCTGCACTCGAGCTAGACCCTGGTCTATCTCAAGTATACGGAGTTGGTATCGGAAGCATTGTTCTCCTCTGTGATGACAACGGGGCGCCCCTACCCGAGGTCCCCAGTCTTGGTCAGGGTGACTATTCTCGTGACCTGACTTGGGAGACCGAGGTATTGGAAGAATGCCGGAAACATCCACCCACAATGGGGCTCGACAACGAAGTGACGAGCACTGAGCCTATCGGCGACCCGTCGGCTATCGACTGGTGGGGGGAAGTCAAGGCACTCAAACTCGATGGGACCGTCGAGGTCAGACTAGCTAATGGATCTTCTAAAACAGTCGGACTCAAGAATATCTATCTGCTTAGAGGGACGCTGGAAGACGAAATCATGGACCCACTAGAGGACATGCCAGGGGGAGAAGGCATGATGATGAACGGAATGCCCCCTATGATGATCAGTCCCACGGGCCATATGGCAATGATGATACCAAATGGCATGGTCATGGGTGGTTTCCCACCCTTAGATGATTTACACGACTATGACGACGATGGATTCGACGACGGACATCCCGAGGAGGAGGACGATAGCATGGGTTCCGACCTGCATTCAGGCTCCGAAACGTTCTCTGAGCAGATGGAGATTTACCAGAGGGCAGATTTGCATGATGATGATTGCCCGAGCATTGAGAGAGACGCTGAGCTACTGGAAAACCTTGGGATGGAAGTGGAGGATGAGGAGACTAGGGATGCCGAGGAAGCTGAAAAGCTCGCTCTGGGTACGACATCTGAATCTCCTCAAGCGACGCCCAGCACCTTACCGCCTGCCAATGGCGACGCCGGACCATCGAAACCGAGGCGAGTCCTCAACGAAGACTGGCAGAGATTTGATATATCGGAGGAAGCCCCTGCCGATCACCACTTCATCAAGGAGACTGTCTCGACACCGGAACGATCCTATCTTTCTCGAGTGAACAGAGAACTTACAGCTCTTCGATCTTCTCTACCTGAAAATATCCTCGTCCGAACATATGAAAACCGAACCGATCTTGTCCGGTGTCTCATCATTGGACCCGAAGGGACACCCTACGCCAATGCGCCGTTCGTCTTTGATGTGTTTATGGATCCGACAAAATTTCCAAGAGAACCTCCCAAAGTCCATTTTCACTCTCATACAAACGGTCAGGGACGGTGCAATCCAAACTTGTATGAAGATGGAAAAGTGTGCCTTTCCGTGCTTGGTACGTGGTCAGGCGATAAGTCGGAATCCTGGAAGTGAGTCAAATGGTGCGGAAGATTGCTTACGGTCTCAGTCCTCGCACGTCTTCCCTGCTCCAGGTTTTTGTGTCCATTTCTGGACTCGTCCTCGTGCGCTCGCCGTATCATTGCGAACCGGCTTTTGCAAAGCTTGAAGGCACGCGAGAGGGACGAGTCAACTCGTGAGAAGAGATACAATCTGGTCAAGGCATCGCTGACACGCGTTGCAGCCGACATTACTCTGAGAAAGCTTATGTCCTTTCCCGTTCCTTCGTCCGAACAGCTTTGCAACGCCCACCGACTGGCTTTGAAGATGCGTTGCGGACATTCTACTATGACAAGGGTAGACTGAAAGATGTCATCGATCATGCCAAGCGCTTGATCGACAAAACTGAGGCGTCCGCTGCCAAGGGAGCCAGTGTAGAGGAAGAAGACGAGAACGCAGAAATGTGGAATGCGGACGCTATCGGGAGCTTGACAGTGGGTGCAAGTCTGACCTTGAAGGTGAGTCCGGAGACGGCTCCTGTGGCTTGCAAGGCTGATCAACTCAGCGCACGATTAGTTCTTTGCAAACATTGTGGGAGGATCATCTTGCCAAAGCATAGTGCTTGCCTTTGTCCGAACTTATCACTACCATGCATCATACTCTCTCTCGACTTATTGCCCACTTGTAGACCCAAGCCGCACTATGCTGCACCATTTCTGGAGTGACAGTGTGCTCGATGCCAGGCAGAATGACGATCTCTACGTCGCCTGGCTGCGCCTTCTTCTGCATACCCGTGATGATTTCTTTGCCGACAGCATAAGGGACCACATCGTCTGCTCCGCCGTGGATAGTCAAGATCTTTTTGCCCCAGTATGCTGAGTCAGACACTGGGCTTTCCAGTATCGGCAACAGAGTCGGAGGACATAGTGGCGGCTCGAATGCCAGGTTCATACCGAGAGCTCTTGCTTTGAGGTATGGAAGATGGCATTCCAATGGGAGTCCTTGAATTGGAATGGCCACGTTGACCCGTGGATCTGTCTTGCATCAACCGGACCGTCCACTAGACCCACTAAAGGAGAACGTACCATCTCTCAGGACTCTCCAAGTAACGTTGCCTGACACAGCGAGCGTCAGACGTTGATCTTGCCGTTCGTGTATCTGTCCAACCATGACGCTCACCGCCCAAAGAATGTCCAGCGACGACCCATTCGGTGATCTTTCGATCACCATTTGGGAACAGGTAGGAAGGCAGCATGGAGATCACAAATGAGACATCTTGAGATCCTCCAACTGGCTCTAGAATTCAGCTCTCTGTCGAGATGAGATTAACAAACAGGGGTCACCTCACGGATGCAGGCCGTCATGTCAATGAGGTGATTTGGGTTCTTGTCATAACTGAGATTCGGAATCTTCTCCTTCAACCGAGTTCCATGATTTCGTTGATCCTAAAGCCAGCACCGTTCATCCTTCGATCGATTTGACGAGAGACACCCGTCCACCGAGACGTACCATGGTGACTGCAATAATATCCCTCTCCTTCTGTTTACCTTTCGATAATCGTTCGATCTCTCCTAGGAGACCATGTGTATAGTCTGCCATGCCTTTTTGATTATCCGTGCGGCCATGTAGAACCAGCTGCAGAATCATTTCAGCGGGGTGCGAAGGCGGATCCGAGTCCAATGTACAGGGGCGCGGGGGGGGGCCACTCACGACAACAGCAACGGGAAGCTCGCTGTCCTTGATTTCCTCCAGCCCGAACACTTTGGTCTGAAGACCCATCAGAAACAGATCTTTGATCGAATACTCGGCATGTCCAAGCCTTAGATGAGTCTTATCTTGAGCTGGCATGTCGCTGGTGCGCTGACGAGGCTCAGCAGTCTCTCTCTTTCTCTCTCTCTCGGGCTATCCAACCTGATTCAACTTTCTCCGCTAGACCGGAATCCGTGACTTGCGCCGAATTTGATTCCGCCGTTTCGCGTCGCCTCCTACCAGCGCCGCCAATTAATTAAAAAGATCATTTTCATGACGACGGGACATCCCATCGAGCCTTTCAGTCTCATCAGAGCCAAGTTTGTTGTGACGACGTGAGGCCGTGTGGTGACCTGCGCACTTTCTAGCGCTTGTGGCGTTGCGTTTAAGCCTCATTGCGGCTTGGTAAACCTAATCATTGAACATTCCGTGCTTCGCCAACACGCTCCACCTCTCGAAAGACTCAGCTCCTCGTCAACACCAATCCCATGTCGGACTCGGCTCTTCAGAGGGACCTCACGGGGTCCACACTGGTGGAAACCAAAGCCATTATCAAGAATGTAGACAGTCAGTAGCCATTTGCACACGCTCGTTCTTCACTGCTCATCGCATTGACATTTGATTTTTGCCCTCCACCAGTGTCCGAAGACATGTCGCAACGAGCGATTGAACTTGCGATGCAGGCTCTCGAAGCATACCCTGTGGAGAAAGATACAGCGATGTATATGAAGAAGGAGTTCGACAGGATATACGGGACCACATGGCACTGTGTTGTCGGGAAGCAGTGAGTCCGCTTTCTTCCCCAGAGCGTTGTTTTCGTCTCTCTATACTGACGGTGGCTCCTCTCTGCGTCCGCCTTAGATTCGGAAGCTTTGTGACGCATGGTGAGTCAGAAGCGGTAGCTGTTCTGCGCATTGTTCTTGCGAGCTGACTCATGACGCGTCCACGCAGAGACCAAAAACTTTATCTACTTTTACCTCGGACCCGTGGCTTTCCTCCTCTGGAAGACCTCATAGAGCGTGTCATCGAGGCTCGTGTTGAGCCGCAAGATTCGTGGCTCGGACTCCAGCTTTTTCGATTACCCCAAAGTCTCATGTGGAAAGAACAAGGCCGAATCGCTCTATACCATGCCTGTCCAAACATCAAGCGACAATAACGAACGATCAAATCATGACCTGAATTAATATAGCGGATATGAAGGAGTGCTAGGAGGGAGGAGAGCCTGCGAATGGGCAGTCGGAGAGGCAATGTAGACAAGTCTCGATTTGCTGAGTCCCGGGGATGCGAAGTAGCTGCGTACGACATCAAGAGGGTAATTTGAAACACCCTGTGCTATGTGCAGACTTGCGTGCTTGCAAATGGTATTTACATTTCAAGACCACTGTATGAACCCCAAGGTGAACGGAAGAATACACCACCCTCCTGTCCGAAAGTGGGATCCAGAGACCCCACTCATTTCGACCTCCGCCATCACAGGCTCAGACCATATATACAGTCTCTCAGGCAGACGATCAATGCCCGTCTCCGCGACCAGACCCCTCGCCTCGCGGTCCTCCAGCGCCCGGCGGGGCTCTCTCCCTGCTATGTCCGTGACAGACTTTGATACTGTGTCGTCGTCGTCTCGTAGTCTTTCACAAACAGTCTCTTCTGCTCTTTGATCATCCACCTGGCGTGACATGTGAGCAAGGGGCGAGACACTGGAGAGCCGGCCCGACCCACTTCATAATGTCATTGATGTATTCTCGCAAAATATTCAATGACTCCGTGTCGATATTGGTATAGGCGATGAACGGTCCAAAGTTGACTGTCAAGTCATTAGCCACGAGCAACACCCTCACTTGCGTCGCTCGCTTACCGAATAATCTCAACAAATGCTCCGCTCCGTAAATCTCGGACATGCCCTTGTCTGGGTTCAATCGCTTCTGTTCGACATACTGCGCCCTCTCGAATCTGTACAGGAGATTGTTTCCCAACGCCTTATCGAAGTAGAGGGTGACCCCAGCAATGATTTCGGAGAGGAGTGATGTGGCGCGACTGCAGATAGACCGTCAGGATGGGTGTTAATCAGGCAAGAATGGCATCGCCATAAGACTCACGACGATCGATCCAGAGACCTTTTCGTCGCTAACACGTAATTCCTGTACTCCTCGAGAAGATCACGGACGTTCGGCTTGCGCGGTAATATAACGAGCTGGCAAGCGATGTGAGTTTCGCATGCCCTCTGAGATGAGATGCCAGCTCACCTGATTGTTCTTGGTGACGTTTTCCCAATCATCAACCAGCTGTAATTTCAAAATGTCCGGAATGACAATCTTGACCTCGGGGCGTTTGAGGTAGTCTGCCTCCTATGGGACGAGTCAGACCGAGGTCAGATCCTACGTCGTGGCATCCAACGCACAGTGTCGATACCAGATTCTCTGGTCCTCTTCTTCCCCTGCTCGACTTTTTTCGGGACCTTTTCTTTGCCTTTGATACTGCTCGCGGCGGGACTGGCAGCCGTTATCGGACGAGTTTTCCGAGTCTGCTGCTCGAGTAATTGACGACGTTTTGCGAATCCCTCTTCGTTCAATTTCAGTAAACGCTGTTCAGGCACCCATTCGTCCCATCTAAGATCGCACGCATGAGTTTTGATGAGTGGGGAGGGGTGACAGAGGTCCAAACACTCACGTTTGCTTCCATCCTTTATAGTGGATGAAATAGTGAGGCCCAGTGGTTCCTAGGAGAGTATTGGACTCTGTCCAATTCTCGGCGAGCAGGATCTACAGGCGGACGGAATGGCAGGGAAGATTGGAGGAGGAGAAGTAGGCATGTGGTAACCATGCAGCGGAACGTGGCGAATATGGAGGTGGAATGGAAGGAGATGCACGAAAATGATGATAATGTCAGCTCGTTGGAGTTATAGCAGAGCGCGAGCCACAGGGACAATGGAAGATCGAGTACGACCTCCATCGCATCCTTTTCCACACTTCCACACTTACACGAGCTTCGTACAGTAATGGTCCGTGGTAAGCGAGAACATACTCGTCGGTTGTGAATTGGTTGGATGAGGTGGTCATGGTGAATGAAGCGGATGATCAAGGGGGGATTGGGGCGGAGGTGAAGGGAGCCTGAAGGTGCGGGCAATGTTCTGTCAGCTTTGAGTGTAACTATCTACATCTCGTAAGACCAGACTCACGGCGCAGGTCGACTTGAAGAGTACTATTGCCTCGTTCAGGAACGCGCCGGGACGACACGGCTTTGAGAGATCCAGGATCAGTGTATAGCTCTGTTCGATCGCTGATCACTTCGAATGCCCCTCAGAGTGAGCGCAGGAGGCTCGTGGGGAATGAAGAGAAAGGTCGCACCCCCTTGGCCGACCAATCTGGAGACGCGACGAATATTTATCCTGCCGACGACCGAGGATGCAATCCTAAGATCAAGCCTCAAGTCAGTCTCTGCGGTGCAAATCAGTTGTTGGACCCACCTGATGTCAGTGCGCGAGAAGGATCAGTAGAGACGACCTCGTCCAATCTTCAACTGTCAGATTGAGCCGGGGAGACCGAACTCCAGGCGAGTCGAAGGTAGTCGAGTGAAATGTCAGTCCCAAGGTGCCCTTCGCTTCGGTTGTTGTTAAGCTCTAAACGGTGGGATCCAATAAGATTTGTTTGATTCACAAATATGGCCCCTTTTCTTTCCTCTTTCACTCATTTTCTCATCTGTACTTCATCCCCAGTCTTCTGTCTCTTCATTTTCACTCTACTGTTATTCGCATCGATCTTGCAGTTCGACACCCATCCTCTCATTTACTTGTGTAGGAGCTTCAGAACGGGTGGCAACGAGCACATCGACGATACAGTGTGAAAACAAAAAGTCTGAGCTGGGGATCGAAAGAGAGAGAAAAAAAAACACCACAAAAGACGCTGGCTAGGTCTTTGGTGGCGACGACCTACCTGGTGAGTTTGCTAAGCCTTGAGCGAAGCCATCCCAGGAGTGTATAGGAAGTGGGGCACCGTCGAGCGCTCGAGACGAGCTCAGCGTGGTATGCATGGAAGGAAGGGAACAAAGTCCTTGACATATTTCTCATTATCTCAATCTTCTCGTACGAGGATTGCTAACGCAAATAAGAATCACCCTCGCGTACCGAGTTTTTCCTTCTCGACGGCGTGAGTGGGGCCGTCGAAAGGCGACGAGACGTCGTTTGAGCAACGATCCACCTCCGAGGGTTCGTCTACTGGTCTGCTGAGAAGTTTGGGACGATATTGAAAATCCGGGTGGCGAGGACCTCAGGATCACAGCTAGGGGCTGTCAGATTGCGCTTTCTCCCATCAGCGTCACCTTGAGCGACCCGCTCTCTTTTTGGCGAGACCACTTGGGGCCCTCCTGCTAGAGTCAAAAATGATCGCAGCTAGCGCGGGACCAAGGCCACCTGTTGTGGGTATAAACCACTGTGTGGAGTGATGATGCCTTGCGCTGACCAATTTCTGTTCCTGTCCTTTTGATTCATCTCGTCTTCTCAGCCAAAGTACGGCCAAGCAATTCCACCTAATCTCAATGTCCGACAGTTGTGTCCAAACTGTCGTACCGATCCTCCGAATATCGTTGAAGAATATTCCAAGGGTGATTTGGTGTGTGGTGATTGCGGGACGATTCTAGGTGACAGGATAGTAGATACGCGGAGCGAATGTGAGCGCAGTGGTGATGCCTGTATTGTGCTGACCTGTAACAGGGAGAGTATGTATCTTTTTTGCTGATCGTTCACTGACCTGGACAGACGTTCGCCGGTGATGAAGGCGGAGACGATCCATCACGTGTCGGAGATGCTGGTAACGCTCTCCTTGGAAACCTCCTGGAGACCTCGATCTCGTCTCACGACGGCCGAACAGGCATGGCCCGTGATCTTCAACGGGCTCAAGCTCGGGTGGCAGCGCAAAGCAATGGCTCTACGTCAGCCGTGGCTATGCAAGCGATTTTTGGACGGATCGCTGAAATGTGCGATCACATGAGTCTCCCTCGGAACGTTATTTCCCGCGCTCAACACGTCTACAAAATCGCGGATGATAACAAATTGATTCGTGGACCTCGAAACGAAATGGCATTCATCGCTGCGTCTATCATTATCGCCGGTCGCAACGTCGGCGCCGAACGATCCTTTCCCGAGGTGTGTAAAGTCACTCGGGTGGGCAAGAAAGATCTGTTTCACGCTGTCAATGTGGTCAAACGAGTGGTCACCAAGGAAGTGGCCGCTACAAATGGTCAAGGCGTCGCTGGTCTGAGCAGCACGGAGAAATCTGCCGAAGGTCTCTTGACTCGATTCATCAACTACTTGGACCTCGGTAATGTTATTCACAATGCCTCCAAGTACATTGTTGGTCAAGCGGCTGCCAAGGCAAAGATTGACGGGCGAAACCCGGTTTCTATCGCCGCGGGCGTCTTGTACTTTACGTGCGTACTGTTCGAAAGGAGCACTACGGCCAAGGAGATTGCAGAGGTCGCAGAAATCACCGATGGGACGATCAAGTTGTGAGCGATGCCCCGCTCGAGACTGATCTGATCATGTGTCAACAGGATCTGCAAATTAGTGTGTGACAAGCTCGACGACGTGATCAAGCCTGAATGGGTCAGTCGAGATAGCAGGAGCAGAAGGATATTGTGTGCTGATGCCCTGTTTCCTTCTTCTTGCAGAAGATGGAACACACTGACGGATACGCCAATCTTGCTTCCATGACCTCCAATGGTCCCGATACGGCGAGCGTACAAGCTTCTCGAGCGGGTACGCCAGACGCAGGGACACCCCAGGGGGCTTCGCCGCCAAAGGTAGAGGAGGACGATGCCTTAGTAGAGATCAAGCCTGAAGAGATTGTAGCGACGGAGCCCACCACGGGACAGTCGTGATTTTGATCTCGCGCAGCAGAGTCGAGTTTCTTCGAGTCACTCCAGTGGTGACATGTTATGAACATGTATCCTTTTTTGAGGTTGGTCAAAACCTTGACCTCGCTTCACTCCGCTCCGGCGCGCTGCTCCGCGCATCAACCCCGCCTCTGTCTCTGTCCCTGTCGCTGATCGTCCCATTAATGTACCTTGCCGGTTTCCCGAACGTGCCTCTAACAGGTTTTAGAACATGAGAAGGGGGAATCCTCGGACTGTATGTCCGGCCCTTCTTGCCGAGCTCATAGATCCCATCGCCACTCATCACGGCGTGCTGACTCTTCTTTGAGTTGGCTTGATATATATGGAAGAGCTCACACGCCTTGGACGCGAGAGAGGGGAGATAGATAGATAGTCTTGCGCCTGTGGCACACTTGTGGTTGAGTTACCACTTGCCTACGACCCTAATCAGATCTCAGTGGCCTTAGGAACAAGCTCACAAACGATTCTCATCAGAAATGGCCACGTGGATTCTCGGGCTGATCGGTATTCCTCACTCCTCCTCTCTCCCCTTTTTTCGTCCCTGAAATAAATGCCGTATTGATGATGATGATGATGATGGACAAAAAGTGTAGTCAAACGTCATCATACCAGCTCATACCACTACGTCATACCCTCATTTCTCTCTCTCGCCTCTCTCCTCTCTCGCCCTACCGGGTGATTCACACTGAATTTTTTTTGGATTCTAAATTTGATCCCGTTTTCGGTTCTCTGTTCACTTCGTCAGAGGCATCATCACTCTGAGAGCGCAGGGCCAACAGTGTCTGTGTGTGTGTGGGTGTGGGTGGGTGAATGTGACAGACCACTCGACGCCCTCGACGCCCTCTCACGCACATTCGTACATCCCATCTCCTTTTCATCTCGAACTGTTGACAACCAGCAGCAGCAGCAGCAGCAGCAACAGCGACCACACACACACACTCTGGACCAAAGGAGCCTTCCAAACACATCACACACCGGGAGGATTCGCTTCTTTTGAATTCTCGTTTCTTCTTCTCATCATCCTCTGGGATAACTGCCAAAAGACAGGCAGACGCTTCCCTCTTCAAAGACCACACATTCCGTCTTGTACGACTCGTCGAATTTCATTGCTTGCGTTGAAACCACTCTGGAACCCACCTCCTAGGCCCACGCCCATTCATGACCATGGCGTCTTGCTAGTCATCACTCTGTCCCTCGACTGAACATATACACGAAACCCAGTCTCCCTTTTTTGCTTCATTTCCCGGAATCGACCATCAAGCCTGTCATCATCAGCGCCGAGCGACTCGAGCCTCGTAGCTCTAATCACCCACCAGTCTTCCCTATAGCGAGCCCAAAACTACCGCCACATTCCCACCCAAAGCACACTCAGCAACGCCCCGCTCAAGCATCACCATGGGAGGGGATCACAAATGCCCTGTGAGTCTTTTATTTCCGCCGACAGTAGACACGTGAACGCTTTCCGAGATCCGCACAGTATCCCATAGGGCATGCACTTGCTGACGCCATTTCGGCCTCTTTTGAAAGCTCTGCGAAGCCACTTTCACTCGTCCTCAACATGTCGGTAGACACTTGCGAGCACATACGGGTGATAGACCGTACGAATGTAAAGAATGTCCTTTGAGATTTGCCAGAAGGTGAGTTGGCAGCAGACCTCGACAATGACCCTCGCTCACCCTCTTGCCACCTTCAAGTGACCTTCTCTCTCGTCATGTCAACAAAGCTCATCGAGCCCCCGAAGAAGGTGGAGGCAAACCAATGGCATCGAAGAAAGGAAGGAGGAAATCCATGCCCACTACTGCTCATCCACGTCAGAACAATACCGATCCTGTCCTGGATGATCCAAATAAGCTCAAGAAACCTACAATGACCAGGAATCGTAGTCATTCACTGGTAGACGCTGCCAACGTGTTTTCCACCCCCGGTACAGACGTCTCAGAACCTCACCCGGCTCTGCAAGCTCAGAGAATGTACCCACATCATCCCCTATTGGCCAATCCGGATCTCCAAACGACCGGTCCTCTACAGAACACGACTCAATGGAGCAACTTTACCTCGTTGGATGGCCTGAACAGCGCACCGCTCACGACTGCCGTCCCGCTCACAAATGTCTCGCCTATTCAAGGCATTGACACTTCGGCGTATACAGGACAAATGAAATTCCCCATGCAATTCTCGACTTCGGATCACGGCATCGGATCCAGCTCGATGGGTAGGAATTCCAGCAGCTCATCCTCAATCAGCTATGACTATGTCAAAAAGCGAGCGTGTGACCAGTGCAGCCACTCCAAGGTCCGCTGCGATTTTGCAGAGCCATGTCGTGAGTTCTGCCAATCCTGAACACCAGCTCACATTCTCAGAACGTTGCTCGACCCGTAATATCGCCTGCAGCTATACCAAGACCCCCAAGTCTCGTGTACTATCCTCCTTCCCAGCTCAAAGACAGAGCTATCCGGGTTCACCTTTCCGGTCAAGTACATTGCCCGGATTGTCCATCTCGCCTGTGGCATTCACACCATCACCTTTGGGTGGTGGTACCCTGATGGCGCCGAACTCGATTACCGGGACCAGCGTGTCTCCCACCTCGATCCCATCGACCCTCCTTCCGAACCTGCAACAGACCCCAAGCACCATGGTCTGGTCTCCCAACAGTCTCTCTGATGGGCAACCGACACCGATCAACCCGCAAATGCTCCAAGCTGGCAACTCTCTGTCGGCACCTCAACCTCTGCACATGGGCGCGAACACTGTTCAGATGAGCAATCTCTCACCTGCCAATCTGCCACTCAACACCTTTGCCCCGACGCCTTCTTTGACGAGTCTCACGACGAGCCCGTCAGGATCCGAGGAACCAGTCGAGAGGCGAGGTAGCCAGACGAGCAGCCTGACATTTACGAACCCCCTGCTCACCACCACTAATCTGAAGCATCAGAATGCAACTCTTGGTGTCGATGGGACGCAGATGAACCCTTCACTTGGCATGGGGTACAACTCGGGAATGCAGACTGATCTCAATAATTTTCGATTCGGCGGCATGCAAGATGGAACCATTGATCCCCGTATACAGTTTCGCAATCAGGCACTAATCGAAGATGACGAGGAGACCGCATCAAATCCTAAGACGGCTCCTCCTACCGCTCATGGGAACGCACCGGTATCTGCCGTCAAGGCGCTGAACGAGCTCGACTTTGACAAGATGAAGGAGGATCTGAACCAACGTCGTCGGTCGAGTATCGGATTGTGGGGATTCAACAACATGTCGCTTCGGGATGGTAATGGAGAAAACACAATTCCTGATCCATTCACAGCCAGCATGATGGCCCAGGAGCACCAACGAAATATCGAACAGCTTCATCGGCACATTGCAGCTGCAGCGTCGGGCCAGAAGGATCAGAATACTCAAGGGCAGACCAACAACTGGAACACTGTACCCCGAGTAGCTCCCGGCGGTGCGGCAATTAACACCAATGACGCCAAAGATATCTGGAAGACATTCATGGCGGATCCGAGCGGATCTCAAGGAGTCCAAGGCAGTAGTAGCAATGTCAATCGACCAGACATGTCTGCGCGAAGCTTGTCGAAATCTAGTTCCATGCCCGATCTTCAATCGCCATTCGAGGAGCCAGCCCAGATTCCCCATCCTCCCGTGAACCATGCACCAAAGGTGCAAGACGATACGGATGCCATGAAAAGGTGGCGTAATGAGATCCGAAATCGTCAATCTCAAACGACGTTTGCACTCGCCCCTGGAAGCACAACCACCGGTGGAAACAAGATGAAGCTTGATCCCGCGGCATTCCTGGAAGGTCTCGCTGGACAGTTTGGCAACGGAATGTCGCGCCCCGTCGCCTCTGTCTTTCAATCTTCGGCCTTGCAACAGACTCTAGCACCCGAACGAACGCCGTCATTCGGGTTGGAGAACCTTCCGACCCCGTTCCGAGCGGCCTTTGCGTTCCCTGGTATGAGCTCTTCTGTCGGTACGAGACCGGGTCTAGGCTCCAACCTGTCAAATCAGAGCAATACTGGCGCTTGGCCATGGAAAGCGACGAGTGTATCTGCTAGACCTGGAGCCAAACGACTTGCGAGTCAGACGCTGGTGGCCGATGCACCGAAAGTCGGTCGTTTGGGTGGAGGAGGCGGGGCAACATTCACTTTTTGGGATGATGATGATGGTGCTGGGGGAGCTGGAGGTATGGATGGATTAGACATGGTCGGTTCAATGGGTTCAGGTCTGACTCCGACCATTGCTGGAGATGTGAAAGTGGGTTAGTAGCTGGTGTACAAAGGAGTGGGATGTCCAGGAGGATCGTTGCGAGTTCAACTTGGGACATGAGAAACGGGACGAACGGACATGTTCTGGGAACAGAAGTGGGAAAAAGAGGACCTTTTTTGGCTTCTTCAAACGTTGTAGCGATAGTAAAAGAGACAGGAACATTTCAATCAAAGACATAGTGTAGCTTTTGTTTGGGTATCAAGAACAAGAAGAGAGAAGATGATCACGGATGAATGGGTTCATCTCTTGAACGGGTAGGGTGTGGCATGGCCAATGTCTTTTTTTATTGTTTTGCATGATCGTGAATCTCGTGTCGGTTCTAGTCGTCAATTGAAAGAGGGAAAGGAAGATACGATGTTTGATATGATACAGCAGGTGAGAAAGATGTGCAAGCGCCAGAGACAGTCTCGTGATACCGCAGTATGAATCTGATCTCACCTGATACCGGCGACGACGGGACTATTGGTGGTGGTGGCATTTGTCGTCGTCTGAAGATCCTTCTTCAACAATCCACTTTTACCTTGCGTAGAGACTGTCCCATTGGTCCCGCCGCCCATAGGTCCCGCAAATGCATGACCTGCACTGAGTCTTCTGACTTCTCTGATGGGTGCACCAAGTTTCGACTGACCGAACCCAGACGTGGGGGAACGAGGCATAGCAGGTGAAGACGTTCGACTTGGGATCCCACCAGGAAGATTATGGTGACCTGTATTGGATAATGCTGATAACGTTGGAGATTTTGGAACGGCAGGTAAAGATGAATGACCTGTCAGTGGACTGGTGGGCGTTCCTAGCCTCGATGGCGTAGGCGGAGCATGTAGAGAAGTTTGGATACCCAAGTTGGAGCCTCCTGAGAATGACGCTGAGCGAGGCCCCGCGAAGGGGATGTGAAAGAAGAGGTTCGGAGGAGGATTAGGATTGGAAATGTTGTACTGTGACCGGTTGGGATATTTCAGCCTCAGTCTCACCCCCAACCAAGGCTTGAAGACGACTCACTTGGAATTCCATCGACATGACTTCCATCTCCTTGCCATCCAACGATAGGGTGTCGACGATTCGCTGACCCAATCTATTGAGTCTGTCTACATTCTTTCGATCTCTCGTCCAAATTTGGATCCTGTCGACTTTAGGTTTCGTCGAAGCGACCACGCCGCAGACTTCATCATCCGGATCCAAGATCTCACCGACTAGCCCCATGGTCAAGTTGGCCCATGAATGATCAAGTAACGCCGGAGCATTCTTCAACAGGATCACCCATTTACCTCCATTCGCATTGGCAGGATCTTCCCACATGGGCCGAATACCATCTTTAAACAGGTGGTAGTTGGAGTTCTTGGAAAGGCTCGAAGGCAATCTGACATTGTTGACATGTCGGGCAAACCCTTCGACCGTATCGAATCGACCGACTGTAACGAGCGACTTTTCATAGTCCCCCAAGAGACTTTGACCCTCCTTGGTACCGCCGTTTGAGAGACCGGGCGGTGGTTTGAATGACTTGGCATCAAAGTAGAGCGTCCTGCGAGGTTATGTGTCAGATCGGCACATTGAGTATACAGACACACATTGCTCACCAAGCGTGCTCCAATGGATGCTCTTGTGCCTTGGCTGTTTTGGGTTTACCGGGTGACGAAAGCGCAGGGGAAATCGTGGGATTCACATTCTCCTTATCTTGAGGGACCCCCGCGTTGACTCCTGGATCACTCTTCAACGCTTCGCCTGCAATCTTCCCCGAGGCTTTACTGAAAGAGACTCGTTCTCGTATCGCAGCGAGAGAAGGGACATCCTTGTACCCTTTGATGTATCCTTCGACGCTCGGTCCTCGTGACATGGACGTGTCAGAAGGCGACATGGAGGGAGCGGGGACCGGTCCAAAAAGATCCGTATTCTTTTCCAATGGTGTCAGAGGTTTATCACCTGTCTTGTCGATTTTGGTCCCAAATGGAGGGATGGGAGGCAGAGGGTGGTGAAGCAAGTGAGAGGCGGAAGAAGTGGAAGACGAAGAATGCGTCCGGGTCATGGCGCTTATAGGGAGTTTTAATCGACCCGAAGGTGATGCTGTGAAGGAAGGAGAGGAAGAGGATGTCGTTGTCGTTGTCGTGGGAGGAATGGCAGAAGGATTGATGGCCACTTTGAGTTTGGGGGGAGTCTGTTCGACACGAGGTCGAGACAGGTCCGGGGTGGCTGAATTTGTCGTGCAAGCGAGATTCTTGTCGACAAGTTGGCTTGGTGTACCGGAAGTAGGTGTCTCCGTCAAGGAGGTAGCGGACGAGGAGGAGGAGTACAGAGGGGATGGGGAATGTGAGAGGTGGTCTGAGAGCTGTCTGAGAGAGGGCAACCGGGTAGATTTGGGTCTGACAACAGGGGTGGGGGCAAGAGGGGGAAAAACAGGATCAGTCATCTTGTTCTGGTAAAGCTTTCTTGGCTCACGGTGTAGGGCTGACGATATTGACGTCTAGGTGAGGAGGAAGGGGAAGGACAGCTTTTGTGATGATAGGCTTGTTGGAAGATGACTCTGTGTTGGACTCGCCATTGTCTTTCTTCAGCAAGTCTTTTTGCTCTCCATCGCTCATGCCGACCTGCGAGACGACGGGTGTGACGAGGTGTTGAGATTCCAAACTCGAACTAGTGGACATGTCGATACTGCTCACTTGAAGAGTCATGGTTGAGCGGTCGTCGGCGTAGAGTGTGAGTCTTGCTGGAATGTTGGAGAGTAGATAGCAGTTGAAGTGTCTAAAGCCTTGTTACAGGTGAGACACGTCCAGCCAAGTCACCAAATGGAAGAGCAGTTGGTTGATAGTGAAGAAGAGGAAGAAGGGGGTTGTTCCAGAGACAAAAGACCCTAGCTAAGCCTGGAATAGATCATGTGCCTGACAATAGGTGATATCCTGTATCCCAGCGATGTGAAGGAGTGAATAGTATAGGGCGTGATGATCCAATGAGCTGCAGATCGCCGTGCCAAACAGGATGGAGTATCGACCTTCCTTGACGGACTTGGTATCGTAGAAGGTGCCCTGCCAAAACACACAATGCTGAGAAAAAAAAACCCACACCAAAGCTAGCGAGCAACTCTCTTGGTTCCAAATAAAAACAGTCACCAAAACAACACCACCACCGCCTTTTACTGTTCCCGCCGCCGCCGTCCCGCGGATTGTCAAGGTTTAGGAGACTAAATGGAGAGATACAGTCTGATAACCGTCCAGTAGTCTTGATGTCAGTTCAAGAAGAAGAAGAAGAAGAAGAAGAACAAGAGTTCGCTGTTGATCATCGACTACGCATGGACTGCGAGAGTTGAGCCCATTTGCAGCTGTTTTATTATCATTATTATTACTCGGCTGTCAGTCAAACGCCTCTTTTGATCTGAAACAACCACCCCCCATGGCGTTTTGTGTGGCTGCTCCCTTTTCCAAGCTCTTTTCAACCTCCAGACCATGAAACGCGTCCCGGCTGCCCATCCATTGGGTAGACGGTCTTGTGAGGCAACGCAGTGAGAGAGAGAGAGAGAGAGAGAGAGAGAGCAATCTGGTGATAAGGGTGGAGATGAGGATGCTGCATGATAGATGAAATGAGTTCTGCAAAGTGCCCATTGCTTGCACTTAGCCGTCCCATCCTTAGAGATCGTGGCCCACGCCAGTGGCGCGCGAGAGCAGATACCGCCGTCAAGGCCATGAGAGACACGATGACCTTTCCCTTGGCCACATATCGCCCCCATACCGAAAGCTCAGACACGACAACTCTACTCTAGTCTTCGATCGTCACTGTCCTTCCAGCTGGTGTCACTATAAACCTGTCCACTGGAAACATCAACTTTCTCTTTGCAATTTCCAGATCTTTCGGCGGTTGATTGTCTGCTCCATACGTATCAGATCTGTATCATTCTGCGCGCCCGGCTCAGCTGCAGGTACTTACACGCCTCATCACTCATCAACCACGTGCCCCAGTGTACGCCTATGCTCTTTTTGACTCCCAACTGCATAGCCATGCGGACGGCTCCCTCAGGATCGGTGTGTTGCAGGTGCAGATGCCACCGGGGCTCGTACGCACCTATAGGGATAGCAGCGAGATCTATGGGTCCTAGGACTCGGCCGATAGCGGAGAACAATGTTGGAGAATGACTAAAGTCAGGTTCGCATCCACCGAGATCATGGCTCACCCAGTATCGCCAAGATGAATGAACGAGCGTGATGGTCTGTTGTCAGGAGGGTGAGATCGGATATGGAAGCCGGACCACATTGTGGCGTTGGTATCGAGGGGTGATCGAGCGGACCAGTGCTACGTACTGTCAGTCCGTCCGATACAGGACAGACTACCCACCATCAGAGGTACGCAGGTGATTGTGAACGAGCAAATATCCTTGTCCTTCGTTTCCAAAACATGAGATGTCTCCTCCCACCAGCTGACGTATCGTATGAGTTTTCGCACGATCTAGTCCGCTTCGCTTACTCTAATTCTTTCACGCGAGTGACTCCATGTTTGCGGATAAACGGTCCAACGCCGACGGGTACAATCCACTCGCAGCTGTCTCCAAGGGTTTTGATGGCCTCCGGATCAAGATGGTCAAAGTGACTGAGATGTAGTGAGCCCTGAACAAGTCTTAAGACGGGAAATTCGCCCCACTTATGGGACACCAACACCACATCCACCTTTTGCAGCTCATCCAGCGTACATGGGGACGGCCGCAAACGATGCGGCGCAAGCATGGAATTGAGCGGTTGATCGGACAACGCAGGATCAGTCAATATTCCTAGATTGTCCATTGTGACATAAGAAGTAGATTGGCCAAGCTGCGAGGAGAGCATATGAGTGAGATTGGCAAGTTTCGTCGTTCGTACGAACCCAAGTGATGGTCAGATCGTCTGTCAAGTCCACTTTGGACTTTGTCATCCCCAGACCCTTCTCCTCACGCGACAGAGGGGTAGATCGGCCGGACGATACGCCGAATAAATGAGCAAAGTCAGGTCGCTCGATGGGTAAGTCGGGTATGGGTCGTTCGTCTGGAACACCGCTGAGAGTGTCAGCTCAATGAGGGAGGGGTTCGGCGCGACGCTCACCCATTATAGAATAGTTTCAACGTGACTGTAGACAGAATGACCTTCCAGAATGCCCATTCCCTGTTGGATGTTCAGCTCGTGATTGCAAGTTTCTTCAGAACGCTCACCAAGCACCTTGTTCTCTCCATTCAACGTACGGATTCCAATAACGTCCGGCAAATTTAAGACTGGCGAATCTGGAGAACGGGCACTCAGGACTCTCCCTCGTGGCGCGCACACACACTCACCTCTTCCTGAGCGCATCCTTCTCGATATCCGTTGCTGGTTTGGTGTAATCAATCTCTCCATTTGGAAGTCCCGCTATTGTTTCGTTGAATTCTCGTTGACGTCTCCGGATGTGAGCTCGGCGCAGGGTGTCGGTATAGGCTGAAGCGTATTGTCAACGACGGCCTCACTTGGTTCGAATCCAGCGATAGACAGTGTCAAAATCGCTGCTACGCTGCTGAGCATGGACGTACCGTAATAACCCAGCCATGCTCCTGTATATGCCAGAGGCAGGACGATCGCTATTCGCCTCAGTCCGACCGGCATGCTATAGAGGGGGGAGGGGGGGGGGGGGGGGGTGGAGGTCGGCAGGTGAACTGTTCAAGTCAAGAGCCACGGGATGGACACAAAGTCTGAGACTGTCAGTCCTGTCACAAGCCTCTCAGTAGCTCATCGTCCGCTATCTTGTACTTGAACAAAGGAGAGAGAGGATCGGCTTCCTTTTTTCTTTTCCTGGAAAGTCAGTTTCGTCAAGCGTGGCACAAAGGTGGCAATAATAACTTGCGTCTGGTCCGGACGACAGGCTACCAGATGTGCGCATTAGACGATAGGAGTATCATTCGGAATAAGGTCCCTTGGCTGCCCCTTTTCCAGTGAACCCCATGCCGGATGTTACCTCCAATGAGTCCAGCTGCTCCCCGGTAAGTCCCCAAGATTGGATACAACACCCTCAAGCACCAATACCGGTCCACATTCAGTAGCGGGACCTCGTTACACATGACGTAATCCTTTTCTGCTTTTGTGTTTTTGGGCAAACGTGCGCCCCAATTTGTCTCTGAAAGCTCCAATAACCAAAATCTGCGACCACGACTCGCCATGTTGATAACCATGGTCTACATCATGGGCAGGTGTCCATAAGACTGACTACTCTGTATCAAACTGGAAGAAAAGACCGCTCGTATCCTATTGGACGGTCAGTATCACCACGCTATGTACGATCAATCGTCGTCAGGACGAGAGGAGACCCGGCCTTCTAAGCATGCGACAATTCCAACTCCCCTACACAGACGCAAGTCATCTCTCATAGATGAGTTGTTGCCACTACCCACATCTACCCCGACTCGACAATCTCTCAGCCTCGGTCAGATTGCACGTCGGACTACATCTGTGGGCATCATCTTCATTTTTCTCCTGTGTATCTCTTTCTTGGCAATCACCACGCATGGGTCACCCTCTCAGAGTTCACATAGTCTCAAAGCGATCTTTGGACTAGGCTATCAAGATGGGATAGTCAGTTGGATCGCAGGAGATCTGGAATCGGAACAACACAAGACCGCCAAGATCGGTGAGCAAGCCCGTTTTAAGGACCCCAGCCTGATAACGATCAGACTTTGAGCAGTACAAAATGATACTCTCATTAAAGGCCAAGGATCTGGACATAACGACGCCGGGAAAACGGCTCGTCTTCATTGGAGATATTCATGGATCTTTCGATCCTCTACAGTGAGGCTGTGTACTAGTCTGAAAGAACTGACCATCCAGGCGCCTTCTCTCTCAGCTGAAATACAATTCTGACCATGACAAGATCATTCACGTGGGCGACCTGGTGGCGAAGGGAGACAAGAATACACAAGTCCTTGAGTGGATGAGACTGCACGAGATCACGGGCGTGCGTGGCAATCATGATCAACCTGTGAGTCAGGCTTTCAGTTTTCAAGCTGAGGCCCAGGTGCTCGAATGGAGGGCGTGGATGGAATGGGCAGGCGGGGACGCCTGGGAAGACTTTGTGGATAGCTTCCAGAGTGATGATGAGCAGGATTTGAGAGCGGACGAGCAGGATCGACTTGAAGCTATGCGAAAAGGATTCCCGAAACATTGGAAGTGGAAGAGTCAGCATTGGAAGATTGCAAGGTGAGGCAGGTGTGCCGAACAAACTTGCTTTGGACGGTACTGATCGACCCCTCAGGGAAATGACTAAAGCCCAATATAAATACCTCGTGGACCTCCCTTTGGCACTTCACATGCCATCTCTCCATTCTATCGTCGTCCACGCTGGAATGCTCCCTCACGATACATACAAATCGACCGAAGATCCATCTCAACCTTTAGTCTCCGCCGCCGAGACGAGTTCGGCGTCTGGGAACGCTGGACGATTAAAGGAAGAACTGGCCTTGCTGTTGAATATTCCGCAGAACAAAGATCCTTGGACGTTGATCAACCTTCGATCCATCTATACCAAGGGCAAAAAGAAGGGCAAGTTGACCAAGAGTACAAAGAAGGGAACTCCTTGGAGCGAAGTGTGGCAAGAGGAAATGAGTCGATGCACGGGAGATGGCGCAAAGGCTCTTCTGAGATCCAAGTTGCCGAACATTGAATGTTCGCCCGTAACGGTGCTGTACGGTCATGCTGGTGAGTTGACACGCCAGGGGCTATTACCTAATCGAATATTAGCCGCTCGTGGTCTCGACATCAAGGACTTCAGCAAGGGCATCGACACAGGATGTGTCGTGAGTTGACAGACACGGACTCGCGGCTTATTCGACTCACAGTACGGACATTCTCTCACCGCGTTGGTCCTGGGCGACACATCTGGACTCGACGGCGAGCCAGTCACTGTCGGTGACCATCAAGGCGTCTTGATCAGTACAGAGTGTAAGAAGGGCGGTATCTAGATCGTAGATCATTTGACATTTGTGTCCATTAATACTTGTAGTTGTGTTGTTGTATCCCCTACTGTCCTTCCCGCTCCTTCGCTGCAATCTCATCCAACTCCCTCTGTCTAGCTTCCAACACCCGCCTGGTCTCCTCTTCTTCTTCTCTCCTACGCTTCATGGCCAACTCTTGTCTCGCTCTAGCCTCCCGTTTCCTCTGCTCCTTCTTCTCATCCTTGCTTCTGGCCTTGTTATCCTCTTGTTCCAATACCTTGTTTTTGAGGGCCGCAGCGACGGTCTTCAGAGGCTGCCAGTGACTCGTGACCACCCTGCCTTTGAACTCGTCGTCTTTCCATTTCTCAGCTGTATCTTCCAATCCCTTATCAAAGAGTCCGACGATGTGTTCCATTCGTTCCGGTAAAGCACGTTTCTTTGACCCCTGTCTCGGTGCAAAGATCAACAAGACTCTGTCCCCTTTCGCCAGGTGATTCTTGGCCTGTGATAATTTCGTTTGTATATCGCCATCGGCAGCACTCCAAGATATTTGAACTTCCTTCTCTTGGATCTGGAGCTTCTTAGCCGTTTTGAGGTCCGCCTCTCGTCTCCTCTCGAAAGCTTGTAAATCAGTTTTGGCAATGACTTTGACGACTGGCGGGTCCTCAGACACGAGTACGACATGGTGTGTCTGTAGGTTCACTGCGGCTCGAATACGATGTAACGGCACCAATCCGTTCAGTCTCCCATCATCATTCACAGTGTGAACTTCGCTATAGGGAATCTCATCGTCTTTGGGTTGGTCGTGCCGGGGCGAAGAGGAAGAAAAAGGTCGCAGACGGAGTGAGCGAGTCGAAGGTCCAGCTTGGGGCGGCGGGAGTACTGGCCGAGGTCCGACGATCCGAGGCGTGATACGGCGGTAGGATAGGTACAGTGCTGATTCGATGAGTCTAGCGGTCGCCATCGTAACAGAGGAAAAGCAGGGGGGCGAACAGATGGGCCAGAGTGTGGTGCTGTAACTCTCGCGCATCATTTCGTCGCTTCCTTCCTGCCATTCGACGTTTCAAAATTCCTCAAGATTTGATTCCGTCGCAGCTGGGCTGGTATACACATATCTGCATCTAATATACCAACCACCACCTCCTTCTAAAGGGCTCTGACAGCTCGGCCGGGTCTCGACTCCTGCTTCTTGCCACTGTGATAGGTACTGAAGACCCGCAACACCATGGAGCACGAAGAGTATGCTCCAAGATCGGGGTCGAGCGAAGACTTTGACCAAATCGCTGGAGCTCGAGAAGAAGGTGAGCGGGAATTATTAGATGTGCTCTCCCCTGAGTCACAGTGGATTCCCTCTTCAGCGTTCACACCAAAGCTGATGCATATCGACTCGACGATACAGACCATACCGTACCCGTCAATGCTTCTGCCTCTTCATCTTCCGCATACCTCTCCACGAACCTCTCTAACCCGGGTCTAGAGAGATCTGGATCGTCCCACTCGGATCAACTATCCTTACAACAACAAGCTCAAAGGCCCGGGCTAGCGGAACAACGGAGGTTCTCATCAGGTATCAGTGGGAATGGCGCAATGAGTGGTGGAGATGGGGGAGGGTATAGCGGATCAATACATGATGGGAAAGATGAGGCGGTTCCAGTCGGCTTTGACGAGGGTGTTTTGAGAGCTCTATGCGACATGGACGTGAGTTCTTTTTGGTGGTGGTGGAGAATCAAAGGACCATTGCCTGATGTTGTCAGGGATCCCTATCACTTTTGGCAGATAGAATAAAGCAGTCCATTGCCTCGTGCAAGGTACGGAGACCAAGTGCGAGTCTATCATTGACGTGGTGCAGCAAGTCGCAGTCTTCTTTCGATCAAGAGCTGAGATTGAGGAAAAATATGCACGGTCGCTTCAAGAACTGTACAGAACGACCGGCGACGTCTACTCCCGGGCAGACTGCAAGGCGGGGTGAGCAGTATGGTGTCGCGTCGCCTGTGACAGCAGCTGATGTTCTCGCCCAGCACATTCGTATCGGCTTACCATTCTGGATTGAGATTGCAAAGTCAAGTCGCGGAGAACAAACTGCGCTTCGCTCAACGTCTGAATGAGATGAGTGATGAGCTACTAGGTCTGGCTAGAGAGGGAGAACGTCTGAGGAAAATGGTGAGTGGTACTATGACATATATAGCTGACATCTGCAGCACAAGGAAAATGGCATGCGGTATCAGGGCATCCTCCAGGAGAGCGAAATGGTCATGGACAAGGTGAGTCGGATTTCCGACATGCAGCTCGCTGAACCTTTAGGCCAAAAGCCGCTTCGACTCCACTGCTGAAGAGCTGGAGCGCGTTCTCGTCGCTAAAGAAGGCGAATCCATGAAAGATTCTGGCATGCGTTCCTCTCCCTCTTCATCATCCACCAATACATCTGGATCTGGAAATCCATCAGGTTCAGGAGGAGGCAAACGGGGACTTGGTAAAGCCATGAAGGGTGGCTTGTTGTTCAAGGGCAAGGGAGCCGGAGCCATGGCGAAGCAAGAAGACGATGTTCGGAGTCGGATGGCCCAGGCCAGCGAGACATTTAGAAAGGCTGTTTTGGAAAGCCAAGCTCTGCGGCAGGAGTATTTCAACTTTCAACAGCCAAAAATTTTGAGGGTGGGTGAAGCCATGCGAGTCACCTTTTGACGATTCAGTTGCTCAAAGAATGTGCCGATGAACTGGATATGGGAACCCAGTACCATCTCACTCGGTTCGCGTTCATGTTCGAATCGTCTATGGTAGCCGAGGCATCCATCATGAGCCCCATGAACGAAGAGGGTGAGAATCACAGGGTGTGTAGTGCTCATTTCGCAGGCTCTGGTCTCAAGGGACTCTACGAGAACATTGACAATCGGACGGATTTCAAGCAGTATATGCAAAACTACGCCGTGGCCAGAGGAAGCAGTCGCGGCCCGAGACGAGACGGACCGTACGAAGAGGGATTCGTGAGTCCTTTTCGAAAGGGTTCACCTGACAGGCGAAGCTTCCAAGGATGCCACCGCATGCTGAGCGTGGATCAACGGACGGCGGTGTACCGGTATCCTCTCAAGCATCCCAGATCACTTCGAATGGGGGCAATCCGAGCACGGAAGGATACCCCGCGTCTGGATTACCTGCGGCTTCCGGAGCGACCTTTGGGGTCGACCTCGGTGAACAACTTGCGCGTGATGGAACCGAGGTGCCGAAAGTGGTCGAAAAGTGTGCCGCTGCCATTGAGGCGTACGGTGAGCGGGTTGATGGGGCGACTAGAGGCTGAGAAAGCCAGGGCTCGACAGTGTGGGCATATACAGATTATCGGGAACAACATCGCGCGTGCAGGCGCTCAAGGCTGCACTGGACAAAGGTAAGCCGACGCGTGAGACGCAATGTAGCTGATAGATCCAGATGTCGGCTCTGTGGATATCATGTCGGATTTATGGTCTGCCGATATCAATGTTGTGTCCGGTGCTCTCAAGCTTTGGTTCAGAGAATTGCCAGAGCCCCTCCTCACGTACGCACTATATCACCAATTTATCGACGCAGCGAGTGAGTAGGACCCTCATATCGAGAGTCTGACGCAGGTAGGGTACGAGAATGATAGACTGAGGCATATCCGATTACACGAGCAAGTCAACGAATTGCCGGATCCAAACTACGCAACGCTCAAGTTTTTCATGGGGCATTTAGACAAGTGAGTCGGGCTACCTCCACTTCATGGACTGAGACCATTGCAGGATACGCAAACAAGGCACTGTGAATCAGATGAGTGCTTCAAACCTTTCCATCGTCTTTGGACCAACGTTGCTCGGTGCTCCGCCACACGAAGGCGGATTGAACCTTGAGCACATGTCCTTCCAGTGCAAGGTGAGCCCTGTGTGATATTTGGCGTTTGATGAACTGACAGTCGTTAGGCTATTGAGACGATCTTGGAAAAATACGCAGAGATCTTTGTAGAAGAAGACGATGGGGTTCCGGCGAGTTCATGAGGGGGACTATTGGGCGGCGCGCATTGGGGGGTTTTTGAAGAGTATTTCTCACATCATGGGTTTTTAAAGAAAGAGATTTGGGCTTCCTATGCATGCACTGTCCACGCTTTAAGGCTTCAAGGAGGCTGGGAAAATGTCATTCTCGATCTGTTCGTCCCACTTTTCGACCTAATAAGGAGTGTCAGGAGATCGTGAAAGGCAACGATCATTGGATCTCACCCATGAAACTGAGTAGAGAATCAGCATATGCAGTCATTGACAAATCTCGGAAGATCGACTCACCGGGACACAGCGAATTGTAGGCCTTCTTGAACTGTTTGCAAGGAGGGAAGTCTTCACCTCGAGCGTTGACACACTTGTGGTAGTCGACAAAGTTTTGCCAGCTTATTGAGTTAGTTGAGCGATAACATATAGGAACTCTGGAAAGGTCCCGATAAACGTACCAATGCTTGGTCTGGTTCTGGTTAGGGAACCGAGCGCTAGAGATGAGAGGTCAGTATCGTGCACGACAAGAGGGGGTTTCGATGGACATGACTCACTCGAATCCGGCGGTCTCGAGCTTTTTTGAAATGTCCCATGTCAATACGATCTTATCCCTCCTCTCGCCAGATCGCGGCAAATACTCACCACGAACTTCCTGCCGATAGGCATCAGTCACCATTCTGAAGCAAGACTTGAGACTTACTTCTTTCCCTCGTCGTCAGACATGGTCGCTTGAATCGAGTATATGCGCAAAGATGAGAGATTGGAGAAGGAGAATTCGAGGCTAGGAGGCCCCGATGATTCCCAGTCCAGTAGTCCGTCACAGGCGAAAAGCTAATCGGTGGGGTCATATAAAAAGAACGGGTGACACCTTATAGTGGCGATCTCTCTCGCCCTGCACCTCATTATTAACCCATACCTGATCCCTTACGATGAGCTCTTCACGACCACTGGACAACGTCAACCCTACGATCTTTGCTCCCACTAGTGCATCATCATCATCTCGTAGACCCAAAAATGCCAGAGCACTGCTATGGAACGACGCCCTGGACAACTACGAGTTGGATTCGAGCGAAGAGGAGAGAGAGGAGATTGACTCGCAAGAGATTTTCGGTGCGCCTCGCTTCTCAGTCAGCAATGTATGGCTTACCGGTACCAGATCTCCTGAGGTCAATCACTGATCCTGAACATCCTGTATCATTGGAGCAATTACGAGTCGTGAATCCGGAGGACATCCATGTCGCTGGTAACAGGGTTCTCGTATGGTTGACACCGACAATCCCGCATTGTTCCATGTCCACGTTGATTGGTGGGGGGGGGGACTTTCAGCCAGTCGAGTTGTGTACTGATCATTCCCCAGGTCTCTCACTCCGAGTACGCCTTTTGCGCGCACTTCCGCCCCGTTTCCGAGTCGACATCCGGATCAAACCTGGTACTCACCAGTCTGAACACGCGGTGAACAAGCAGTTGAATGACAAGGAACGAGTTCAAGCAGCATTAGAGAATCAACACCTTTTACAAGTAGTCGAAGGATGCCTCGCTACGGCTTCACAGCGTGGTATGCCGAGCTTGGAAGTCAAAGCGGAGGAAGAGCAAGGATCAAAACCTGCTGCGAGGGGTACCATGCCGTGGGTCGCATGAAAGTTGGGCCGGGCCCCTTCTCTCGTTTCCGAAATTTGTTGCCGGAATGAATCTGTGTATTTCGTGGTGACAATATTGGTTTTGCTCCCTTCATCTTCCATCCATCATATAGATACGCCATGCGAGGCTCCAATCTCCTGAGAGCCGTTAGCTCTTCCTCCTCGAGTCGCGTCATCGCCACTGAAGGTGCAGGTAGCTCTCGTCCACCGCGACAAGCAGAAGCGAGGAAGAATACATTGGAGAGTGGAAGAAGTACTCGAAACTTGCTTGTCGGGATGCCTAGGACGTCCAAACGTTGTGATGTGCTTAGGACCTTGAAGGATTTAGGCGCTGTGGACAAGAACTTTCCCCTGACCAAGAGTGAGGTTCTCTCTCTGGTTCCCACTGTGCAATCGTCCGTCCAAAAAAAATGGGTGTGCTGACAGACCTTAACCAGTCACTTCCCCGCCGGCTTCCCTCCCTCGTCATGTCAAACCGTTCAAAGGTTTCCACGTTGAATTCCCCAGCGGCGGTGAAGCCTTCAAAGCATTCGACATTCTATCCAAGAATCCCACATTCTCCTCTCGCTCGGCAGACCTTCAATTGCTCGATAGTAATGCCTCCATCTACTTTGGACAGATGATGACCTCGACTCAGGTAGAGATTCGTAAAATCAATTTGAGATTAGATACCTCTTCGCCCACGTTCTATTTCAACAAGGAATGGATGACTAAACCGGGATGCGAAGGCAGACGAGTCACGATCACTGGAATGCCTACTGGTGTGCCTTTCAGATTCGTCAGGGATATCGTCTTGGATAGATACTTTGCGCTCGGGACTTCGAGGGATTTCAATGACGATACCATTGCTCAAAGGGTGGTTAAGAATCAAAGAGAATTCGAAGATCCTATGGAGGGGGGCTCAGATGGAGTGCAGCAGGTACCATCGTGCGTTCCTTTTGTTTTTTGTTGGCCTCTCATTTGGAAAATAACCCTGTACAGGTCACTGGTATGCTCCCGCTTCGTGGTATCCTTCAAATCCGTCGAAAGCGCTTCTCGGGCAGCCCGACAGCTCAACATGACCAGATACACCAACAGAAGTGGTGCTCGATACCTTATCAGAGCCTCTGTGGTATGGTAATCGCCAACAACCAACTATGCATGAAAGCCATCGAGCCAGAGATGAACTGGACAACTTCATACACTCAGGTGGTGGCTTTTCTGCAACATGATATCAAGCTTTCTTTTTTTTGGCCTTTTTGGCCCCAAACTCTTGTTGCTTGATCTTGAGCACTCGCTCTGCGTCGAAATCTCTTCCCAGCCACCGAGCGACAATCAGCGGCTTGGGATCATCGCCCCGGTCCGGTCGATTGAGGTCTGGATGGAGACCCCGAGGTCGAGCATTGACTGCGTGAATGAATTCCGGGTGTCGGGTGAGGTATTCCTCGATCGGAACAAACGATCGCTTCTTGATGAGCACGTCGGCGACTCGTTCTCGAACCAGCGGCATGGTTCCCTAGGCATCAGCCGCTGCTTCTAATACAATGACTCACGCCGGAGACGACCCAGAGATGCTCGCATTGAGGCAACTTCTGCCCTTCGTCGTTCATTTTATTCCGAAGATATTGAACTTTGGTGATCATCTCGCCTACGGACAGAGCTGTGCTGTCTTCGCCGTCCGCGCCTTCGAACGGTACCAAGGTGGAAATGAGGAGTGATCCCTCTATCCGTCAGTCGGCGCTGAGCGAGTCGACCCACGTTCCATATCCCATTCTCCTCCCCACATGCCAATGAGATCCGATCCAGGCGGAATGACAACGTCCGCTGCGAGTGTCAGAAGATTCCGAGCTCAACTGGTCGACTCACTGTGCGTCACGTTGGCCAAGACTGTACTGTGGTCGGACCGATCTTCTTTCGCGTACTCTTCTTCCAGATCTACCGTCTTGACGCTCCGTCGAGGCTTGGCATGCGCCCACTGCAAGTGAGCTAAGCAGCCTATGACATGGACTCACAATGAGACTGAGGACCCGCTTGAATCTTTTCTCGTCGGCCCCCTGAGCGCGGATCATGGCTTCTCTAGAAGGCCAGTTCCGGGCGATCACAGCTTCCACATCGCTATAGCTCTGCAAAGGATTGACCACACCTGGTGGCAGATCGATCCTAGAAATGAGTAAGCTCCGACGAAGTTGACTCACTCGAGCATCTCTGGCACAGCCAGCCTTGCAAGAGTCTTCTCGTTCCACATGCTCTGGCATCGATTAAGCACTTCTTTCAACAGCTCAGGTGTGAAGTCTGTGGGTGTGACGTGCACGCCGATCTCTCGATGCCGATCTCCGACCCTGCAAGTCAGCAGCCTGTAGACGAAGTTCATGCTCACCGATTGTGGGATAGGCTGCATGTCTTGCGCCCGGGTTGGAAGACTTGCTTCATCCTCCATTTGCCAATACCAATGCGAGAGCCTCCGCCTCCGCCGCACTGGATTATCAGCCTGTCGAAGCGATCTACAACTTACGTCGGTACACCTGAAGCGGAGAGTCAGCCTCGAATCATCGGACTTTTGCTCACCTTTGATATTTTGCATCGCATGATGCACAAACAATTTCTAGCATGCCGAGCATGGATTCTCCATCCCGGGTCATTTGGCCTGTGGCGATGGATCTTTGACAGACGTCGCAAAACACCCTTCGATCGATCGCCTTGTGTTCTTCGTCATCAACTTCGAGAGAGACTCTGAACCTTTTGCGTATATCCAAGGTGACGAGACCCGTCTTATCTGTGGAATCAGCCGAAGCGATGGGTTGACAAGTTGCACATTTGAGCAAGAATGTGATTGGGTTCGGGACGTCTGATACGGAGGTACGTAGGATGGCTCTGAGGATTGGCTTGAAGCATACGGAGCAAGTGGTAGAATCCTCGATGATTGCCTTGCGAGCAGATTTTTTAGGTCGTTTTGAGGGTTCGTCTTGGTTATCTGAGCCCGCAGGTGAGGAGAACCGCCGCTTAATGGGAGAAGATTGCACAGGGGGAGGTTGCACAGCGGGGAAGACCATCTGTGTTGGGTCCATAGTCTGTAGTGATGGTTCCTGAGATCCAGGTAGCATGGCCAGGAAATTATCGAGATGGAACTCTTGCAATAGGCTGTCCACGTCGAATTGGACGTCTGGAATCGGAGCTACTGTATCTTCTTCTAGCGGTCGAGCATGATTGACGAACGGATAAGATCCCGATACAAAGGTTGGGTGACCAGGCTCAGCGACTGTAGGGGCAGGCAGACGAGCCTCGAGAGGAGTAGGACCCGCTGTAGATCCTGTGACAGACCTAAATCTTGCAAGTTCAAGTTCAGCTTCCTTTTCCTTCCGTCTTGCATTGGCGATCTCCAATTCCAGCTCCTTGGTACGAAGTTTTACCAACTCAGTAAAGACGGTCACCTGTCCAGGGTCATTATGCGGTAGAGTCTGTAACATTTGGCGAATACGGGCGCCCAGGGATACCTCGGAGAAGGTCGATTTATCTGTCGAATGAGAAGGCTCAATCACATTCGGTGCGACCCCAGGGTCAGCCGTCGGTGGTATCGTCAAGCCGGGCTGATTGCCGTTCACCACTTGCGGCTCGATAATCCTAGCTCTATGCGTCTGTCGCGAGTTTGGCATCGAGTACACGCCAACATTAGGCCCATGAAATTCGGTATCCGGTGCGAACCATGTTGAAGATTGCTGATGGCGCCGAAGCTCCTCCGCACTCATGGATGCCAGGGTGGGATTCATGGTGGATTCGAAGAGACCTTACCACGATCAAGTCATGTGAGGTATATGCAGAATATGGAGCACGGCATGGAAAGCATCAGATAGCTAGCTCAAGGCATATCGAGCACGGTCTCGAATCGTTCATTATTCTCGGTTAATCATGACTCTCACTGTGGAGCCCCACGCTGGGTTTGGCATACAAAGCGAAGCAAGGTATTCTGACATTCTCGCTCCGAGCCTTCGAATTGTGCATGCAAAACGGTCAGCAGCCACACGTAGTCGCCCATCAGCACCCATGTCATCAGGGATGGTCACACGAAAGCATTTCTACTGATGAGTACCTGAGTCTGACCTGGACTTCCCGTCCAAAAACGTCCACGCTTTGATGACTCGTCTAGCCCTGGACTTTGAGACTAGGGCGGATTGTGCACTTGGAACGGTACAAGGCACAGTCTACCTGAGTCGCTACTAGACAACGGAAGGCGCAAATGGCAAATCTGTCGGACGCTCGACTCGATTGTTAACCGGATCAAGGTCAGCATTCGCCACCCGGTACCCCGTCAGACAATCCAGTCAGACATTCAAAAATTTGGTAAGCACAACACGCAGCAGCAGTCTCGGAACAGCCGACCATTCCACTTGAGTCAGTCACCCTCGAAATTTTGATCCGATCCTCGCCTTCATGACCCCGTCTCCGCCCCGGACCTTTATCGGACCTGTTGTGCTCCAAGAGGAAAAGGCCTCATTATTTAGAATGTTCTGATAACCCTCATGACATATACCATATGCTCCACAACGGCTAATTAAACCTTCTCATTGGACAAACAACCCTTCTCAGACGTCGTCGTCGGTCTGAGCTGTCTCTCTTATCTCCTCAGAGTCTGAGGGATGTCTGAGAGAAATTCAACCAAAAAAAAAAATCAAAGCTCGATTTTCATTTTTCGTGCTTTGTGAGAGTTTCTTGACCAATTGAATAATGGCCTCTGAGGGGTTCCCGAGTAACCCATGCCCGATACATGTGTTCCACTTGGTAAAAGTGCTGCCGCCTTCCCTTCTGGCCGCCGCCTCCCCGGATCATAGGCGTCAAAGTGGCGCCCCTCAACCCTTGCACAATTTCTCAATGACAGAGCAAAATTTTTCATGCCCGCAACAGCCGAAATGCTCCATTAGGAAAGAAAGACCGAGTTCACAAAGATGTACGCAAGCGGGCAAGGTGTTCAAAATAGAAGATGAAAGACAATTATAGCACCCTCGTATCAGCCCGTTCAGGTTTCCAGGTTTCCAAAGTCCTCTGCTCGAGACCCGACGATCAAAGTTAAGAGGCATATCAACTGAGAGAAACCAACCTATGGGTCCGGCGGTGGAGGGGCAAGGTTGACTCCTGCCGGATTACCCAATCTGGGCAGACCCGACTGGACCGATAGCAAGGGAAAGAAATCGTACATATATTCAGGACTCGAATGCCCCCCTTGTCCCAACTTTTTCGTCCCCTCCACCGTTGAACAACACAGGCAATCGATTTCAAGATGTCTGCTCAAGAGCTTGAACCGGCTCATGATGAGAAAAACAACTACGACGAAAAGGCTTTGACTGCCACCAATGCCAATGTTGTGGCAGGTGGCGAGATCGATGTCCTCTCCGAAGCAGAGGAAGTCGATGTCAAGCAGTGAGTCACGAGACGGGGACAAGTAAGGGGGCCACGATGACTGACAAGGTTCCAAGGGAGCTCGAAATCTTCGACTATGAAATCGCAGATCTCGAGGAGAAGCTTTCGTCCATGACTATGGAACATGCTCACGCTGTAAGTTTTTTCTTATCCGAGATCCCATCATCATCACAACAAGGGATTCTTGTTGACGACGCCTCTTTTTTTCCTCCAGATCGCCCTGGAGCTGTACAAGATGCACAAGCACGATCAGCTTTTCCCTCAGGATGCTCTCGACAAGCTCGAGGATTTCTGCAACAGCTACGATGAAATCGCCGCCAACCCTCGACAGAATGCTCGACTTATCAGGGAGATCAAGATCGAGTGTCTCCTCTCGACAGAGAACTCGCCATATCTAGAAGTGCGAGCCAACGTCGAACCGACCGACGACCCTACCCTTCCAGCCCTCACTTTCCGAGTGATGGTGATTGGAACTATCTTTGCCGTCGCCGGTTCGTTCATCGACACCTTGTTCGCTTTCCGAAACCCCCCAATTTACGTAGGAACCAGTGTCGGTCAATTGCTCGCCTACCCCATGGGCAAGTTCCTCGCTCGAGTCCTCCCCCGAGGCGAGTTCTCTGCCTTTGGACGAAAGTGGGGCTTCAACCCCGGTCCTTTCAACCGAAAAGAACACATGCTTATCACCATCATGTGCAATGTGTCCATGACCTCACCCTACACTGTCGATATCGTTCCAGTCCAATACTTGCCTCAATTCTTCGACCAGTCATTCGCCTACTCGCGAGGCTACCAGTACTTGAACACCCTCGGAACCAATATGGTCGGATATGGATTTGCCGGTCTGACCCGTCGATTCTTGGTCTGGCCTGCGTTCGCTGTCTGGCCCGGTACTATGAACAACTTGGCGCTTATTCGAGCTTTCCACACTGAGACCAACGAGCCTGTTCGAGGACCGTTTGGCCGAATGTACACCTGGTCTCGAGAGAAGTTCTTCCTCATCGCCGCACTCGCCATGGCCGTCTATTTCTGGTTCCCCGGTTACATTTGGCAATCCTTGTCTTACTTCTCTTGGATCACTTGGATCGCGCCCAAGAACGTCAACCTCGACGCTGTTTGTGGATTTGCAGGTGGAATGGGTTTCAACCCATGGCCTTCATGGGACTGGAACATTGCTCAGACTTGGTTGACTCCGTTGACCATCCCAATGTTCACTGCCGGAAACATTGCCATTTCCACCATCATTGCCAACCTTATGGTCCTCGGATTCTGGTACGGCAACGCTTGGGACACTGGATATTTGCAGATCAATCAGCCCGACACATTCGACAACACTGGAGGACTGTACAACGTCACTAGAATTCTGCGTGATGCCAAACTTGACCCCGCCGCCATGGAGGAGTATTCTCAACCCTACATGTCTGCCGGTACTATCGGTGCCTACATCGGTTACTTTATCATGTACGCTGCCACTGTTGTCTACGTTCCCCTTTTCCACCGACATCAAGTCGCTCGTGCCTTCAAGGGATTCTGGAAGGCAGTCAGATCCTCCTTCCGACGTGGCGCCTCTGATGAGGATGACGCTCTGGATGAGGATGTGCACGCCCGATTGATGAAGAAGTACCGTGATGTTCCTGAATGGGTCTACATGTGTGTCCTCTTGATCTTTGCCGCTATCGGTATGGTTGGTGTCGGTATCTACCCGGACAACACCTCTCCCGTCGTCATGGTGTTCGGAATCATTATGTGAGTTCGCAGCAGTTGAGCAATGTAGACCCCCAAGAAACTGACCAAGATATTCCAGGTGTTTGATCACCATTCTGCCAGTCGGTCTTGTCCAATGCGTGACCGGATTGCCCGTCCCAACCAACGTCATCTCCGAATTCATCGGTGGTGCTCTCGTATCTGGAAACGCCAACTCGCTCATGTACTTCAAGACTTACGGATACATCTCATGTTACCAGGCTTTGTCATTCTCCAATGACTTGAAGCTTGCCCACTACTCCAAGATTCCCCCTTGGCACACCTTCATTGCTCAGATGTGGGCAACCTTCCTCTACTGTATCGTTTCGGCCTCCATCTTCAACTTTGCCATGAGCTTCAAGGGTATTTGCACCCGAGATGCCGACTTCAACTTCACTTGCCCTGGACAAGAACAATACTTCACTGCCTCCGTCTTCTGGGGTACCCTCGGACCCCACAACTTGTTTGGAAAGGGCAAGAGATACAACATGATGTTGCTTGGATTCCCAGTCGGTGTCGCCTTGGTTTTGGGTGAGTTTCTTTGCAGCGCCATAGCGCCACAAAAAGGTACCCAACTGACCCATATCTTTAGTCTACTGGGCTCTTCGAAAGAAGTTTCCCCGATGGGCTTCTCTCCGACAGATCCACCCTATCATGTTGACTCAAGGTCCCGTCTACTTCCTTGCACCTTACAACGTGTCATACATGCTTCCCTTCTTCTACGTCACCTACGCATCGTTCAAGCTCATCCGACCTCGATACACTCAGTTCTGGGCCAAGTGAGTCATCGGAACGTGCTTCTCAATTCGATTCATGCGCTGATTGTCCATCAGGTACAATTATGTCCTTGCCGCCGCTTTCCCAACTGGTATCGCCTTCACTGGTGTGATCATCTTCTTTGCCCTTGAAGTTCCCAAGGGAGGAATCTCGCTCAACTGGTGGGGTAACCTTGTGGAATTCAACAACCCTGTGTCGTGTGAATCGGCTGGTGGATGCCCACGATTGGACATCCCTGCTGACCCCGGATACTTTGGACCTCCTCTTGGCACGTTCAGTGTCTCTGCTTAGATTCTCTGTAGTCTTAGTGCATCGTACCGGAGACCAATTCAAACTGTTTTATAGTTGGGTGGCGAATGCAACCGTCGTCTTCCATAATCGACCCGAGAGAATCAGTCCGTTTCTGAGGTGGACATTGAAACTTGTCATTCAACCGAAGTGAGGCACCTCTACGCCCGCTGGACCATCAGCAATGGAGTGGACGTTTCTCACCAATGACCTCCACCAGTCTCTGTCCTTCGCCCCAATCCTGCTTGTAAACATTCGACTTTCCGACCTTGGCGACGCGAGCTCTTGAGAATTCTCTCGCCGTGATGGTCTTGTCGTGCTCAAAGTGTGCCTTCACACCTGCATCGCGAAGGACCGGTGATTGAGTTAACAGATTTGGGCGGACTTGGTCATTGGGTATGGAGAAGTAGAATACGCCGCATCGGATATGATTCCTTTGGTCTGCAGGAGGAGCGACCACGCGATGATTGGCCGCTTTGAAGTATCCACCAGTCCACCATTCCATCATGATTCCACAGTTAATCTGAGGTCAGTCAGCGTGTATCGCTGTAAAAGGGAAATTCACGATGATCCCGCCTGGGGTATGGCGAGTATATCGCCAGACACCTTGGTCGTCTCGGACCTGGAGAGACGCCATAGGCTGAGAGAAGACCATCGTGACGGCTGACGATTCAGCGAACAATCTGTCAGGGAAGGCCACACATACATACCACCATGGTCTTGATGACCTTTTAGCCAAACACCACCGATCTTCTTCTCGTCTTCGGGATCATGCTCGTCATAGAATGTCATATCTGCATGATTCAGCCATCATCGAATGTGCACATTCTCACATCTGAACCACGCATCATCGAGCGCTTCATACCTGTGCATGGCGACAAATGTGTCGCTGGGTATTGCCAGTGCGAGAGCAAAGACTCAAAACGGTCAATATCCAGTCAATATGCTTGGAACTCACGCCGAAAGACCTTGAACAAGATGTTCTCGTGGACGATCCTGCAGAACTCCTTTGTTTCTTCGAGGAACGGCTGCATGACTGCTGGGAATTCTTGCGTCTTCATGTCCCTCTGCCAGTTAAACTGTTCAATCTGATCCTTGACGCCATTTTGCATCCTGACCATTGTTAGCTTTTGTCCATTGAACCTTTTCTTACTCGTAATACTGCCTCAGCTTGAAACCCCTATATACCCCATCCTTGTCCATATGACCTTGAAGTCGGCATTTCTCCTCGAGCGACGTTTCTTCAATGACGGTCTAAAAGAGACCACTTCAGAATGTCAAGCGATGGAAATCACGTACGTAGCCGATGTCGACCTGTCTCGAAATGTCCGCTTCTGAGAGAGCGTGACCTGTCAGAACGAGGAATCCATCTGTCGTCATCGCGTCTCTGAGCTCTTCTGCGAGTCTAGCCTGCTCCTCTGGCCCATCATCCCATCGCGAGATGTTGATCTCTGTCAGATCGGCATAGGGCTGGCGAAAGGTAGTCAAAAACACCACCTCTTCCCCCTATTGTGACTGTTCGACTTACTATGTCGAGCTTGGACTCTGCTACGGGAGTGAAGTGGGTTGGCTCCAACTTCATAGCGCTGCTTGGCCGTCTGACAACGTTTCAGGAGAGATGGCACAGTTACCGGTTTTCAGCCGATATCGCGGAACTGAGACTCATCCGGAAATGATCGGACAGATCCGACGAGGCTATGTTCGTTGGCGATCAAATCATTCATGCAAGATATACATGTCGACGTGACGGACAGCAGCGACAATTGGATGGCGAATGGCTGTACAAGACAAAAATAACATGCGGATTTCGTGCGCAGTGAACCTGAATCTAGATCTCGGTATGTGCCTCATGGAGTTCGAGTCCTTCCAAACAGTCGTTTCCAAACACCCTTCTTCTTACCCACGGACCCGTTGGACTGGGTCGTAGTGGTGTCATCACCATCTCCGACCACTTTGACAGGCTGTACGGCATTTTCCGTCGTTGTCTCAGTGTTCTCGGCGGATCCTGAGGTGCTCGAACTCGAGGACATGGCCGCATGGTCGAGTTCAGGCGTTTCGAGACCAACCTCCCGCTGTTGAGAGCTATAACCAGATGGACTGGTGGGCTGCGTGATAGTGTACAATGCTGGTCCCTTTGAGCTGAATCGTGAAGCTGCAGACGATGGGCGTTGCAGTCTTGGTCGAGCATCTTCTAATGGTGGCATCGAAACGTCGGCACAGGATTTCCACCTCGATACCAGAGCTGAAGCACGCAAGGGCGAGAGACCATTGAACATGAGTACATTGGCTCCTGAGAAATTTTGAGCGATGGGTCCAGATGCCAATTCGACCACTGGTGTGCGCCAAATTGAAGAATGCACAGCAAGCGCTCGAAGATCTCTCCTGGCTCCATGGGCGATATTCGAGGAGAAGGATATGAGGTAGTCTTCGATCACGTGTGGGACAGCTCCAGTGACACCAGATGGCATGACGTGAAGCAAGAGAGTCGGCAGATCCGACATTGAGTCTGGATTCGCCATGAGAATGGGCCAGATACCAGTGGTGATCACCATGGTCTGATGCAGCATTTCCTGCATGGCTCTTTGCTGGCCGAGCGAAGGCGAGTGGAGGAAATTGATGACTGCGTCGAAGAGGACGGGTGTTGATAGGACGGCCAGAGGTGGTCTACTGTCAGACTTGGTCTGTCGACGACCTGGAATGGACACGTCTGAGCCTGATCGAGGCAAGGTTGACGCAGACCCAGAGTAGAGAGACATGCGCTTGAACGATGGTGATGGCGAATCGGCTCGACCAAGAGACAATGAAGACATCCTACGGTTCGATTTTGCCCTCCTGTTACGATAGCTTTGTGCAATGTTCTGTGCTTCTTTGAGGAGGGCGGCAGTCACATTGCCATCTGTGTTAGGACTGAATGTTCGAACGATGGGTCGTATTGGCTTGGCATCGGAGCCCTTGAGAAGAGCTTGGATATTCGGATCAGGTGTTGGGGTACCAATGAGTAGCAATGTATCTTGGTAAATGTCGTCGTAGAGAAGAGGTGAAAGCGATTCAGGAGTTGGTTCTAAGTAGGTCAAAGGTCAGGTCGCCTGATCAACCCCCACAAGCTCCAATGAAATGCTGATCCACTCACGACCTAGAATCAAGACTATGCGGTCCCTCGATTTCCATTCATCAGCTCCTTCACGAGTTGTCACAGCATTGACTGTCCATTCGTGACTGATCATCGAAACAGGTCGACCGTCTGACGCATCTCTCGATTTTCCTTTGTAACTTGAATGTCTTGGTTGAAGCGAAGGAGGCAACTTCCAGATGGGACTGATGGTTCCATCTTCTGACACTGCGTCCAATGGTGGAGGTGTCGTGGTGAGCGTCGGAAGCGGTGAGCGCTGCCTCACGCTAGTCATGTTGCGAAGGAAAGGAAGGAACAGGGAGCAACAGATAGCCCTCTGTTGCTGGAGTGAAGATTGAAGAACTGGGGTGGTGATACTCGGGAAACCCCTTTGCCAGGTGATATATTTTTTTTGGGATCGAACGGCGGCGGATTAAAGGGGAAAAATACGTCACGGGGCACGGGGGCAAAGTAAGTGAGTGGTTGTCACCGCCAACCGGTTATGCAGCTCGAAGTGTATGTATGCAGGATGATGATGGTGGTGGTGGTAGTAGTTTCGTTGTTCGACAAGAGGTGTGTGGATGCCCCTTCTTGGATGATCAGGTATGAAGAAAGCGGGGGAAGATGTGCTCTCTATCTGATCACCGAAGCCGTCTTCCTTTTTTGCTAGAACGTCGCACCATCCCCCATATATCCAATTCCCTATTCCCTATTCCCTCCCCTTGTGTCTCGTTAATGATATCGGCAAATGGGGGCATTCAAAAAAGAAGAATTCCCTTGAACTTTCTCTCTCTCTCTGTCCATGTCCAGATGTCTATAAATAAAGTGTAGCGAACAGAGAAAGAGATAGCGACGTCGCTGATTTGCACGAATGCCCCTGTCCCGAGACGAGAGCGGCAGGATCTTGAGACGGGTGGCGTTGCGAACGAAGCCTGGTTCCCAGATATCAGGGATGAGCAAGCAATAAGGGCACCGACGGGGAGGGAAAGGGGCTCGCTCGCTCGATTGCATTTCAGATGTCACCATCTTACATACATCATTACCTAATAGTGTTCATAGAATCATTCCTTCGGTCGTCAGTTGTACATGGGCTGTGCTAAGCTAGAACATGTGGCAATGATCACAGTGTTGAAGCTTAAAAAAAGGGATCTAGATCTACGAGAAAGAAAAACCGGTTGGGACTCCGCATCGTTCATCATTCATCTCACCCTCCATGATGGCGGACATTGAGTGGGAATACCAAGATACTGGATCCAACCTGTGCTGATGGCGGAACCGTTCGGTGGTGGCTGGAGAGGCTGAATGCCCACAACTGCACCCTTGCAGAACAGTCTCCCAGGCTCAATTGGCTGAATCCGGCCTCACAGCAAGCGTGAGTGAAGGATATAAATAGGGTTTCCCTGTGGTGGGTCGAAGGCGGGCGATTGAACAATATCTATCCCTTTTCCCTGTATTCATGACGCGGCACATTCTAAGATCTCTATGCTCTAAGGTGTGCATCAAGCAGTGAGGAAAGCCAATTCCTTCATCGCTTGAGCACTGCCTCCGGTCCGACGGTCCACTTCCAACAGGTCCCCGACTTCCTCCACACGCTGTCTGAGTGCTGAGATGAGATCTTGACCCTCCTCCCCAAAGACGCTATGCAGCTCTTTCTTCAGCGCTTCTGTCGTACCTTCGACAATGACGCCATTTCTAGCGACTGGCTTGCCGATGTTGTATCCTGACATATGAGCCTAGTTGATAGGAACCGCTCACCGTCTCGGATCTGCAATAGCTCTCGTGCCACGCCGAGCTTGTCGACTTCATTCGCAATGTACGGCTGATCGTATCCGCATGGCCATTGGACTGAGAATGTCAGTCAGTCAGTCAGTCTTATCTTCAGCTGGCACCCACTCATTGGCACTTTGAACAACATTGCCTCCATTGCACTGTTACTTCCTCCATGGGTCACGAACAACTTGGTGGCCTGCACAACTGTCAGTCTTCTTATCGTTGCGCTGTCCTATACCTTGTGACTGAGGATGGCCCTTTGAGGAGCCCAAGTGACAAACAGACCCTTATCTAAACCCTGTCCGACCCGCGATCGAAGCATAGTCTTGATCTCGGCCGGGGCATTCCCTTCCGCGATGATATACCTTGAGCCAATTTCTTCGAATACATCGAGCAGAGTTCCGATCTGGTCAAGGCTGGGCGCGTATAGCACCGAGCCAAAGCTACAGCGGGGTATCGGATAAATGTTGCCATGGTGTAAAAGGCCAAGAGTGGCTCACCTGATGTAAATGACACTGCGCTCTGGGGACGAGTCCAGATACTCTTTGCACTCGCCCTGCTTCGCCTCGACAGACCATTCATCCCGTACAACGGGAGGCAGCTGAGGTCCAACTTGGTAGACGTGCTTAAACTGCAGCTGTCAGCCGCATGTATTCCTTACGTCTGACTCACGTGTCGGTCGAGATCCGCTTGTGCCTCTTCGCCAAGTCCTTTTGGCCACGATACGATAAAGGCGTCCGTGTATGAATGAAAGAGTCCGATCATCCTGGCGACCATGGGGCCAAAATTGAGCATCGACTCTGGGTACAATGAGTTCAAGAGTGCCGGCACAAGCCCACCTTTGGCCACAGGGCACGTCTCGTAGAAGTCTGAGCACAGAACTCAATGGGCGGACCGACAACAGTCTCGTGTAACTCACGAACCGGCCACAGCCCAGGTACATCGTCCTTGATATCTGAGTTGTTGAGGATATGCTGCAGGGTCAGCTCGTTATACACGGATCCAATTACCTCCGCCGCAAGCTCTTGGAACTTTTTGCTATCACCTGCAGCTCCGTCTGCGGCCAAAGCGAGTCGTCGATGATAGTCGCCGTTGAGCGGGAGAAAGCTGGGCTAGCTGAGCGAGAATTGCTGCCAGAAGGGGGACAAGGGGAGGGGGGGGGGGGGGAATCGACCTACAATAAGAGAAACGCCGAATCATAAGGGCAGGAATTGATCAATCTTGGTGCCTTCCCAGTCAACTCGCTGACCTGTTGCTTGACCTTGTTGGACCAAATGATGAGCGTCACATCGCTGATGATGATATCGTATGGCAAGTCATGAGGAATGACCTGCTCGCCGGTGATGGGATCCGTCATGCTCTCCCGCTACACCTTGGTTAGCTATAGAGGACACTCGTCAAGTCGAACTCACTTTGACGATAGCATCTGTGAAAGGGTATAGCTGAGCTTGACATTCTTCTCTGAATCCCCCGTGTGGGTTCCACATGCCTCCCACTTCGACCTGTTCATCGGTACCGTAATGAATGGTTCGAAGTCTATCGCCAGACACGGCGTCGTATTGAGCCATCTCCAGAGCCACCGCCTTGGATCGTTTAGCAGGAATGAGCATCGTCACATGAAGGTCTGGGTTCAGTTGAAGGAGCGAGTTGGTCAATGCGATCTGAGTCCGGACATGAGCCCATCTGAAGATGGGGTCTGTCAGAGCCCAGTACCGTATGGAGGGAAGGGAATCTCACGATGGGTAGGTCACTACGAGGTAGTGGGTGGCCTTGGTCATCTCAGCGTTTAGAAGACGGTAGCGTATGAAGCAGAGATCTCATCGCTTGAACTCGCCCTTTCCCTCCTATGTTACGGTGTTGTCATGGTCCAATACCTTTGCACTAGTAGATCTCGGCCATGGAAAAAATCCCGTCGACCGATCGACCGAGAAACCCGACGATGTCGTTTTGCCGCTATGGCTGTGATAGCCTAGACAAGAATGGCTGGGAAGCACTGAGAAGGGCAACGAAGACGCGTCTCGAGACTCGGCCATCCGGTTCATACATTGCATGCTGCTTTCTTAATCTCTCTTCAAGGGCAGAGAGACTAAAAACGTTCTCTCACTCCCTCCTTCACCCAACGCTCCGAGCTCTTGAACCTGCATATTTTTGATGAGGTTGTCTGACCCCACCAAATCATCCGTTGTCCTTCCCTTCTTCATGACGACGTATAGCTCGAGACCATCACCTACGGCGATCTCTCGCTCAGTGGCAGACGTGAAGGAATCAATGACGAGTCCCAGGACAGTGGAGAGGGGTAAACGGCCTGGGACAAAAGGTTCAGCGCCTGGTGCTGGAGTCTGATTGCGGAAATAAATCTAGATGCAGAGCATTCAGCAAACCTGGCTCGTCGAGAAGCCTGTGGGACTACCCACTTGGTTGTCGAGGAAAGGCTGGATCAGAGATTGAGCCGCTCCTGCCGCTCGACACGCTTCTCGCTCATAACTGCCAATGGGGTCGAATGAATAAACCGCGCCGGTCCCTAGACCATTCAGCTGCGTCCAGATGGCAGAACTCACCGTCCTCGTCTATTCCACCGAGAATGACATAGGCAAAGTAAGGGAAGAATCGATTGCCATAGAGCATAGTCTGAGTCAATCTAGCGATCGCCTTGATCGACATTTGCTTTTGATGAGCGTGCTCGTACCACTGGGCAAAAGTCAGCGAGACTTCACATCAGATAGTGTCCCACCTCTAGCCTCTGCTTGATACGTTTGACAAAATTGTTCCCGTCCGCTGCAAATCCATTGGTAGCGATGACACATCTGTCAGTGCTATGTGGTGTATCAGCGATCGAGCAGATGGAGGGTTTGATCCGGTATCAGATCTGGCAGACGCCATCTCGACGACTCACAGCTGCCAGACCTTTCTCGCGTATCGTGTCTGGATACTGTATCCTTCAGACTGTCTCGTGTCACCAGCAATGACCGTAAAGTCTGCACCCGCAATGGCAAGGATGCTACCTCCATTCTCAGAGTACGGGTTGAATGCGCTGACATGGAGTGAGCACTCGGGGGTCTCGTCATACAAGCTCACTGTTGTTTATCCGCAGCCATTGTTGGATCTGCATACATCGGTGGAGGGGCAAACAAAGCCATGGTGTCGTGATAGTCGTTCAACGAGCAAGCACACCCCGACTGGATGATTCAAAGCATCAGTCGCGCAACGCAAGCGATTGTATAGCCACGTGGCTCAATTTATTGGCTCCCCCCCCCCTTTTTTGAGAACCCCCTCGCGTTTCATCCGAGGCAAACAATTGTTGTGTTTTGGACAATGTTGACCTCGAGCACGCTTGACGGACGACGGAGGACAAACAATGAAGCATCCTCGACACAGGACGAAACGTCTTCTTCAAGCTCTCCAACGCTTTCACAGCATGATGCATGGGATTGGGGTGTTTGCCACTGACTGGCTACGTTCTTTCTTTCTGTCTCTCCCTCTCTTACATCCTTGACCTTGTTCATTCATACTCACCGGTTGAGCAGTTTCTCACACACATCTTCTTCGCAGGACAGAGTCCTCCTTGCTTCCCACATGTCATCCCATCTAGCCCCAAAGCCATGGATCGAGCCGTTCTCACCTGACCATCGACCCCCGTTTGATCGGTATCACTCTTCAAACACTCTCCCTGCAACACCTCGAACGCCATTTGAACGGTCCGCCAGCAGCTCCAACCCTGCTCAGATACATTACTCCACGACCCGACTCAGACCCTACCTCACTCTACCAGCACGGCTTTTCTTACTGTTCCTCACACCTGGTGTTCTCCCTCTCATCTTGACCATTTGTCACTTGTTTCAAAACCGCTCGTCTACGGCTTCTTTGGCGGACAATCTCCGATCTTCCCTCTTATCAGCCTGTGATGGGATAGCACGGGGTGCCGCCTCGCTTCAGTCGATGCCGAGGTACCTCGCCCTGCAGACGAACCAGGAGGTCGTTAGGGCCGCTCAAGCGAGTATACTCGGAGTAGGACTTATGCTGGTGTACAGCGTGACGATCATCGAGACCGTCGTGACGTTCATGGTGGATACGTATCGAAGTATGTTACTGTGTACGATCGAGCTGGCAGTCAGGGGATCATTGGAGCTCCTCATAGGGACAGTCAAGACTGTGAGTCATCGAATACTTGAACTCAAGCTGACATCAGATTTCCGATGGGATCACCTCGTCATTGAATAGCATCCGAACGAACATTCAGAACGACATTTCATCGGCCAATGCAGTCATTCAATCGGCAGCAGACAAAATCAACGTGAGCTTCTTGACGCGCCAGGCGTGAGCTAATACATGTAGAGCGTGACCAGCAAGCTTAACATCAACATCAACGTGCCTCAATTCTCTGTGCCCTCGCTCGACGCCATTCAGAATGTACAGGTTCCAACGACCTTTGAAGATTCATTGATCAAGCTCAACTCCTCTTTACCAAGTCTAGTCGAGCTCAAGCAAAAGCTCGACGACATCATCTCGGTGCCTTTCGAAGCGCTCAAGAATGAGATCAACGAGACTCGGATCGAGATTGCAGCCTCCTTCAACGCCTCTGCGCTCCCTGTGCCTTCATTACGACAACTCTCCGCAGATGGGACCGCTAGCTTGAGAGAACAGCTCTGTGGGGATCTTGATACGTCTCTCATCGACGAAACTGCCAATGCGCTGCACAAGCTGTCGACTGTGGCCATCGGTCTCATGTTTCTGTTCCTCGTCCTCATCTGGGCGCTGTTATTTTTTTGGGAATGGCGAAAATGGACAGCGCTCAAGGATACTGTCGAGACATTGGAATACGAATGGCAAAGGGATAAGAGAGATCCTTGGCGTGCCGTTGCGATCGTCGAACACCCTATGCTGGAGCGATACGGTGGTAGAGTCTTTGACAGATTCAGAACGGGAAGAACGGCAGAGACCAATCTCAGATGGTATCGTGAGTCCGAAAAGTATGGGAAAGCCCTCCGCTGACACCAAGTGAAAGTTGCGTGGCTCGCCCATCCGACATGTCTTGCTCTCCTTCTCGTGTCATTGTTCGGCTTTCTCACCATACAATTCCAACTTCTCGCCTTGGATGCTATCAAATCCCACGCAAGGGACAATGCCAACTCGACCGTGGCAGCGTCGACCCAATCGCTCGCATCAAAGCTCAATTCGTACGCCCTCGAGTCGTCCCAAGAGTACGCCGATAACTTCAATACGGCCATCTTGGCTCATCAAGACAGGATCAACAATGAACTCTTTGGCGCTTGGCTCAATACGACTGCAGTCACGCTCAATTCGACCCTCGTCGAATTTTACAGTGACGTGGAGAATGTACTCAACGTCACGTTCGGCGGGACGATCATCTACGGACCGATCAATACGTTCATGTACTGTATTCTCGGATCGAAAATCACAAACTTGGAAAAAGGTCTCACTTGGATCTCTGAACATGCTTATATCACCCTCCCGACCCTGCCTCCCGACGTGCTGCTCCTCTCCAATTCTTCAATGAACGAAATGGCTCAGCCTATCGCTGCTGCGGCAGTCGGGTCAGGAGGCGATGGATCAGATCAAGGACTGGTCGGATCATTGATCCAACATTTTGAAACTGCCCTCATCTACGAGCGAAACTTTTACGCCATCCTCCTAGGTTTATGGCTGGGCTTTGTCCTTGTCGGTCTAGTCGTCGTTCTGTGGAATTGTGGCGCGAGAGAAAGTTATCACGAAGCGACATCTGGAATAAGTTGGTGGCCTAATGGGCGATCGCCATCGAACACACCAAGAGCTGCCCACACGGTCCCTCGAATCGTAGAGCCAAGGGAGGAAAAATCATTCTTCCACCCTGACAGGCCTTCCGCACCTTCACGAAGTGCCACGTCAAGGCTGTGCTCGCTTGTAGCACCTGGTCAAGCCTTCCTCAGCTTATCTCGATGGAATTCGACCGATCACGTCCAGTTGCCGAGCAACAAGACCGCCAATATGGTCCATACCCCTTTCGAGAAGAACGCCCATGACAAGCCGGCGGATGGAGATCAAGAGGACTTCACCAATCCTCCTCAGTTCTGGCTATCCAAGTGGAATCGAGCGAGGCAGAGTGCCATGTCATTTTTACCGAGTCGTGGTCAAAGACATGGCGAAGCAATAGCTAGGGCCGCAGCGACGCGGAATCCCGCTTTCAGTCCGAGCCATCATCCCAACCACAGTGGGCAGACGGACGAATACGGCGAATCTGCATCCTGGAGTATGCTGGACTCTCCGACGCGAGGTCGGGCTTTGGACGGAGTAGAAGGTGATGGTGGAAGATACCCCGTCATTCGATCTTTGACGCGACCTACCGACTCTGACCACATGACCTATCCTCGTCGTTTATCTCGCGCACCGACCGTCCAAGGAGGTGATCTGGCCCCATTCGACAGGGATCCTCTGCCTCCCGTGCCAAAGCACGATTCTATCGATTATCTGGACAGCGATGATGAGGATGAAGAAGAGCGATTCAACGACAGAAGCCCCTTACGCGAGTCTTACCCTTCTTACATGTACTCGTTGGATCATGATGATAAAAGGCAAGAGTTCTTATCACCAGGGTCGAGCTCCGTTGCGTCCTTACCAAACGATGCGCAGGTGGAAAGCGTGAGCAAAGTTCATACTGGGACTGCTGCCCTGGCATCTATCATAGAGTCGATGAAGGAGAAACAGCGAGGTGATCCATTCAGAACACCTTTTGATGATCCGATGAGAGGCGGAAGAATATAGTCAGCGCGGAATACCTTGTACAAATGCCAAGTTTCGAATGCAGAGATTGTAATAACACTCTATATATTTGCTCAGCATTTCCTATCTATACCTTTCCTCAACTCTTCCTCCCTGTATTCGAACATGACTTGCACCGCAATGAAGAGGCAGCACGATGCAAAGATGGTAAAGATGATCCCTGTCTCCAGTTAGCACCGATACAATCACACACACAGAGACTGCTCGTACTCACCTGCCGGAGTCGCCAGCTCCGTCAACAAGTGCCTCAGTCCCTCTAGGCCCAGAACGAAGCCAACCAAATTGGCCGACATCATCATGAGAATGTTACAGACTCCTCCTAGAGCCGCTACGTGACGATACCACCATCGATCGCCATATTGTTTGGAGGAGACTAGTCGTCTTCCAAGCAGTTCCGGTAAAATGAATAAGCTGACTAGCCACCCCCATGCCAATAGCTTGAAGCTGAGGTCATGCCACAAAGCGACGAAGGTGAAGACTAGGAGTGTCGAGGGAATAACGTTTCGAGATCCACCGAGGGGAACGTAGATATACCTCACGATCCATAGGTTGTAGGATCTATGCCAGGATCGCCAGAACCCAAGTGTCGAGTAATTATTAGCCACGCATCGAATCATGTTTTCGGGCGGATCTATACCGTCCAGCAGGGCCCAAAGGCGGAAGAACCGCCAGGGAATGAGGAGCTGTTGTTCGTCAGCATGGTCGATGGGTCTTTGATCTCACCTTGAGCCACACCACAACGAGATTCCAAAATCCAATCATGCACAATTGAGCTGGTCCAGCTCCATTCCACGCTGACGAGTCTTTGATAGCCACGACGTACATTGTGTGGAGTATCAATTCCATGGTCAAGAGACAGGACGCAAAGCGAATTGCATAGGAGAGCTTTTCTCGAGGTGTGATGGTGACGGGTTGACGTTGCTATGTATGAGTGTGTCATCTCGTGAACTGCTCCCACCTGCCAGATAAAGTCATTAAAGGTCATAATTGGACCAGCGATGTATAGCGGAGGGTAAAGACAATACGCAAGATATCCTGCCGGGCTGTACGCATCGTCTTCCAGTAACGAAGTCACTCGACTACGGTAGTCCATCGGTGGCGTCGTTGTCGTATTGGCCTGTCGCCTCCAATGGTAGTCTAGGCTGAACGACACCAATCGCAACATGGTGATATTGAAGTTGATATGCCACCGTGGTAAGACGCCAGAGACTTGATCCTACTCCTTGCGCCAATCAGCGAGGGGGGGGGGGGGGGTCCCACGAGGAAGTTTAAGACTTACGAGCCAGGTCAGAGCTGGATGTATACGGGCAAGTGGGTATCCCTCAAATCTCTCATTCAAGAACAAGATTCCCATGTTGCCTACGACGACCATCCCTGGCCAGAACTTGTCCAAAGTCTCAGGCTTTGTCCACTTGGCAGCTGCATAGTTTCCAGCTAAGATGATGAGGATCTTTATAGTGGATAGACCATGTAAGATGAACAGAATACCAATGGAGAGACCTGCGCCTATTCTGATTTTTGTTTCTGAGGTCGAGCTGAATCGCCTTGCGAGACTGGACGAGGCCAAGTGGAGGGCAGCGAGGAGGACGAGGGAAGGTAGACCCGAGCGGAAAGTATGGTATTGATGGTCGCTATTGTCGACTTTCCATCCGAATATCCAGCCCGGGGACAGCCTCCAAGCATACAACATATAATTGAGGTTGGTTTCTGGGAAGAGAGGAAGTAAAGAGTGCTTAGGAGTGCAGATACAAAGGTGCACTCACGCGAGCTATAGCGCATCGGGATGTACACCATCATGGGGACCACTAGGGCAAAGGCCACAGCGTAGAATCTGAACTCTGTACTCCTCCATCTTGATGCTTGTGCGGACACTGAAGGTTTTGAAAAGCTGACGGAGATGGTCAAGTCGGTGATACTGCGCCGGTCCTCCTGTTGCACCTTACTGGTACCTGGACCAGTATGAGTAGGCATCATTGTCCGTGTCCTCCTCGCCTTCTAGGTCAGCATCGATACGAGCAGCTACCGAACGCACTCGAGCACGCAGACCCCCTTCACTGGTCATATGATGTTGATGTGCTGCTCCGTCACGGTCATGATGGCCCCATTGACAGTGAATGATCGGCCTTTCGTTACAGACCCGGAGGAGGAGGATTCCATGCAATCGCGCGCGCGCCTCGAGAGCCATGCGTCGTATTGGCGAATGAAACATCAGGAACATTTACTAATCCCAAACGTCATATTGTAATGACATTTTTACTAATCCCTGGCCCGCCCCCGGCTCTTTCCAGCACTCAAAAAAGTGAACAGCGTGGAATTTGGGAGATCACACATTCTCCTCCCAATACCCTCTACACACTCCTCTTGCTCCAGCGTCAGCGTTCAGATGCAGCAGGTGTTGATGGACAAGGAGGTGAGCTCTCGCGCCAAGATGATGATGATGCTATCTTGATCGCCCTGAAATCCCCCTTCCCTATCTTTGATCGGCCGAAAAACGCTGGCAAAATGCCTCGGCTGGAAATCTCGAGTCTTGAGCCGACTTTGATGATCCCTTCTCGGACAACCACCTCCTAACCCGCCTTGAGCCCATCGCTGACGCGAGCATTATTCAGCTCGAGCTCGAGCTTGCCTCGTCTTCGTCCTCTTCCATGATGGCCCCTTCTTCTCCTCCTTCGTCCATTGATACACCCTCATTCGAGCCTAATATCCCACCATGGAATCTACCACCTGAATACGTATCGATGAAATCTGTACTGGCTTCGTTATCTCGCAAGATGAAGCGTCCTCCGACACTGGACGACATCATTATCCCTGAGCTGGACTTTTCCTCACCCATTTCGTCCCTCATGAAAGTGGGAACGTCTCGATCTCACGTTCAAGCCGAGCATTCGGATGGTGCGAAAGCTCTGGTCAAGGGAGAATTGGGTCTACAAGAGTATATCCGATGGCTGGCCATCCTATGGCGAGTCTACAGGTGAGCCTAGTCCTCAGAAGCTTTATGGCTCACATGATAAGCGCCCTTGAGCTCTCTCTGTCTGAACACGCCACCAATCCCGTCCTCGCGCCAACTTATGCACCAGAGGCTCTTGATCGAGCCCCAGCTCTAGCAAGAGATATCATCTTCCTTCTGGATCTCCTCCCTTCCAAACCGAAACAGACGATCGAACTCCAACCTCCGGAAGATGCCCCGCTACCGCCATTCCCCATTCCCGACTTCATGATGCCGGTCTTCACCCTGACACCACCACCTCTCGCGACTTACATTACACATTTACGAGACCTCGCTTTGACAAGCGAGGATGCCCCGCTCTTGCTCGCGCACAGCTATGTGCGATACCTGGGAGACCTCAGCGGAGGGCAAATCATCGCTTCGAGGATACGGAAAGCTTATGACCTCCATGGTGACCAGGGACTGGCATTCTACAAATTCGAGATGATGGGTGATTATGAGCCTATGAAGATACATCAGATGAAAGAGTGGTTTAGGGAAGCTATGAACAGTGGCGTGCAGAACGACGAGGTGCTGAAGGGTGAGCGGCCCTTTTCAAGTTCTCACTGACATTCAGAACGTCTCGTCAAAGAGGCTAATCTCGCATTCGCATTGAATGTTCATCTCTTTGCCCTCATCCAGACTTCCAATAACGCTCTCGTCCTTTCTTCCCCTGGCACCTCTGCCGTTGCCATACCCAAGGTGAACGCTCAAGGCCAGCCGCTGAGATACTACGAGATTCAACAGATGGAACGAGATGCCAAGTTTAGGGCGAAAAAGGAGAAGGAAGCGCTCCTCCCTCCAATTACGTGGAAAGACCGGATCGAAAGGTTCTCTCTATTCATGCTTGCGGTCGGCGTGACGCTAGGTTTCTCAAAGTACGGTTGGCCATGGATGTTGAGGGAAATTGTACCTCGAGTCAGGGATATCGCCGACGAACGAGGTTGGATGGATCATACCTTGGTCGCCAAGCTGCTTGCGGAGGATGGTCTTCTGGCGGCTCCCGTGCCTGGCATTGGAGAGGACAGTGCGATCAATTCTGCAGGCGCATTTGCAAAGGATGGAGTCAAGAGATACTATGACAAGGCGGCGTCATATGTCGATCAATTGCGAAGAACGGCTGGAAGTACAGCGTCAAGCGTGACATCCGCGGCCAGCGAGACGTACAGCCAAGCGTCGACATCTATCTCTCAAGTCGTTCAGGAAGCCACTCGGGCAATTGAGGAATCATTACCGACTGCCTCGGAGGAAGTTGACGATGACATTTTCGCCGAATTCCATGGCGCCTACACCCAAGTTTCCCAGGCCGTCGACTCGGCCACTGAGGTCGTCAAATCCGCTACGGAATCCGTCAAGGAGGCCATCCCTACCATGCCACCAAAAGAGGAGATCGTTGAAAATCTGATGACACACATGGAACCGGTCGAGGAAGCTATTTCCACCGTTGCTGTACCGCCCGCCCAAGAGATTTTTGATCAAGTCAGAACCCCAGTCGAAGCTGTCAAAACAGCCATTCCGACACCGTCTATACCGCCAGTCGAGCGGATTGTTGAGCAAGTGACTACACAGGTCGAATCCGTCATCGAGGCCATTCCGACACCATCGATACCGCCAGTCGAGCAGATCATTCAGCAAGTGACTACACCGGTCGAATCCGTCATGGATGCCATTCCGACACCATCTATACCGCCAGTCGAGCAGATCATTGAGCAAGTGACTACACCGGTCGAATCCGTCATTGATGCCATTCCAACACTGTCTGTCCCGCCATTCGATCAGATCGTTGAGCAAATGTCTACACAGGTCGAATCTGTCAAAGAAGCGATCCCAACTTCCTCCTCCATTCCATCCGCCGAGGAGATCGTTGATCAAGCGACGACCTGGGTCGAAGCAGTCAAAGAGGCTATCCCTACGCCGTCAATCTCTGAAGTCAAAGAGATGGTGGAGCCGGTCACATCGCAATACTCATCAGTCACCGAAGCCGTCAAAGATTATGCCACTGGCGTTGTCACGGGGGCCAGTGAGGTCATACAAACGACAGCTGCAACAGTTGATGCAGCAGAGCCAGTAGCCGAATCAGTGCACACAGAGGACGCGGCGGCAGAACCAGAAGAGACACCGATTGTTTCGACGACCGCAGACTCCACACCGATCGAGCCATCTATTCCTCCCACTACGCTCGCGCCCGGTTCCGATGCCACTGCTATCACTTCGCAGGATGCAACGGATCAACCTGACAAGGCAGGTGTTCCTCATCCAGTACCCGTTGTCGAGGTTGAAGAACACAGGACGGATCGAGATCCTATCGAAACGGGCTCTAGAGCCCAGGAGCCAGTGATCATGAGGGATGAGTTATAGATCCAACATCTTGTATCCATTCTCTCTTGCATTACATTTTGGGATGAGTCAGATGTGCAATCAGCTACCACCAATGAGCTCTGCAGACCACAAGTTGAGACCATACTTTCGTACTCGATGTACACGATCATATGTCTTCGCAGAGAATCAAAGCCGATTCAAAAATCATCACTAGACCCTATGCAAGAGGAACGAAGGAAAGAGAAACGTGACTAAATATGCTCAATGAACAAAATATGCTTGGGCGAATGTGTGTCGCCAGAGGAATCATGCTTGGTCAAGGCGAGAGAGGGGGTTTACAGCTTTTGGGAGGAGGCATGCGCGGATGGTGGATCGTTTCGACATGCAGTCGTCCGCAGTCGAGAGGGGGCCAGATCAATTTTTGCCCACATTGACGAGTCGAGCTGCGCCTACTGCTGAGAATGGGGGATGGATCAAGTCGTAGTTTTTCGGTCGGCGGAAGAGGAGGACGTGCTGAGATAACAAGTGAGTCTGGCATGATAATTGGGGAGTGTGCGTGACATACAGGTTCCTGAGAGGAAAGTATCAGCGTCGAGAAGCAGATGAATACTTCAGTAACACTCACTGGATCGTGACGCATGTACATTTCCCAACCTGGAGACTGTCTTATGCCCAGACCACGCCAGACGTCTTCTGGACAGACGCCAGGAGGTGTGAATCGGAGCAATGGTTTGGGGATCTGGTTCACGTTAGACAAAGTGGATGTCGACCAGTAGTGCAATGCACTCACAATGACGTGCCTACACGGAGATAAGGAGAGAATCGCATCTGTTAGTGTATGCGAGACACGAGAACCGCAGCACCTCATCGTCTCACCTGTATTCCCATTCGTCATCTGAGAGAGAGAGAGAAGGTCAGTATTGCTATCGCTGTGAGCTTTGATCGTGTCCACTCACTAGAGTATCTCGCGCTGTACTGGATCTTCTCAGAGTATTGTTCAATGGCCTTGCGTTTCTCCTCCTGAGTGAATGGTTTCTGATTATACTTGGACATGATGCTGGAGTGGAGAGGTGAGGGTGAGAGGATAAGAGACGCAGCGAGCTTGTGAGGCGATACGTGTCGTCAAGTACTGGCGTATGGATTGATCAATCGTTAAATGCGTCCGGGAATCTAGTTGAAACAAAAAGTCAACACGATCGTTCCCGAAAGAAGGAGCAATGGATGGTGCTAGTGTGAACGGATGGGCGAGGCTGGCGGGACAATCTCTTTCTTCCCTGCCTACCAAATGTCATGAAGACGATCCCCGATCGATCTGCAATGACTCGGTTCCCAAACTCACTGTGACCTGTCCTCGTGACTTGCGGCCTCTTCAGAGTGTGTTTGTCTTTCAACTTGTTTCTTTTTACTTTGCCTTTCTAACTAGTTATTTTGAAGAATCGAACAGAGAGATGCCTTCTTTATCGTCACTGAGGTCGTCAAGTCTGATTATGCTAGGAGCAGGAGGAGAACTGAATGCGATGTCGAGACGAGAAAGTATGAGACGTGTTGGAAAAGAAAGAGATCTCTATTTGGGACTTTTGTGTTTTGAATGTAAACCTCAGCCAAAATGTGACCGGTGGATGGACCTTGACCCTGACGACAGGGTTTCACAGTAAAAAGGTAAAGATTACGTTAGCATTGAGAGAGTGTTGGGTCACGCGACTGGGGTTTCATGCATGGTATATGCATGCATGCATAATGATCTATCTAGGTCATGCTTTCATGGTGTAGCTGCGATTGTCGATCATCATCAAGGCAGGGGCGAAGATCCTTCTCTGAAGCATGTACGTCTCAGCGGGTATCGACGAACCAGAAATTCATGAAATTCTAGACCAATCTAGCTGGAAAATCAGTCGCGTGACGATGAGGATTGGCGAGGAACTCACAGACGACTGACTGGTCTGAGTGGTCCAACCTCAGGCGATCAACTCGATCTACGACAGACGCGATATCTCAGGCCATCGGTAGGATTCACGTCGCCAGACGGTACAGGCACACATCCACCAAAACCACCCACCCTCCCCTTGGTCCAGTGGCGTGAACGCCAGGGACCATCCCAAGAGAATGGGAGCAAAAAAAAAAAGAGGTCCCGCCAGCGTTTGGATTGCGGGAGATAACATGTACATTATTATTATACAACACCATGCACTCCTTCACTCGTCCACATCTTGAATGTCATCGGGATACACCTCACCATCTCATCGCGCTTGAGACTCCGTTGTTGAATCACAGGACATGGACCCACTTTGAACCAGTTACACAGTTACATAAAGGAGACCGTCACAAAAGGGGGGGGCCGAGGGGGGGGCCGAGGGGGGGGCCGAGGGGGGAGGGGGGGCCAGCGTTTCAAATGTAGACCATCCAATTCCAGACTCTATAAGTCCAAAGGGACTACTACTGAACTGGGATATGGCCATTGACGCAGCTGATAAATACCTTCAACGTCTGACCTATCTCCTCTTCAACCCCCCGTCCATCTCTTCTGCAGTCTTGACGACTTGAACGACCCTTCCCCTCGCCCCCCCAACTCACCACCCATCTCACAGCCCCTACGGCAATATCACGATCCTTACGAAAAAGACAACGAATAGTTCACGAAAGGCGTCTCGGACTGACCTCAACAGACAATTCACACGAGAGTACTAGACCCGTCTGCTGGCTCCAGTCTCCCCCCATAAGGATGGTCCGATCATCATGCTCAACCTTCCTCATCCCTCTTCTCGGGACTCTCCTCATCTCCCCTTGGACGACAATGGCCGCACCTGATCACTTTATCCTCACTCAAGTGGCTTCCCTCGCTTGGGCAAGGATCGATCCCATCATCAACCCCGGATCGTTCAGTGGGCATGTGCACAACATCATGGGTGGAAGCTGCTTCGGAGGTGAGCAAGACTTGGAGTTGGCGCTTCTTTGCTGATTCTTCCCAGCGACGCTCAACACGCCAGAACAGCAACAAGCGTGCGATTGTACGACTGCGATCGTAGGTGCGGATAAGTCAAACTATTGGTCACCGTGAGTCAAACGTCCTTCTCTTAGGTGTCAGGCTGACCCTTCACAGGTCCGTCTTCTATCACGCTCAAAACGGATCGTTTTGGCCGATACTCAACCAGAATCGGATCTACTACTATACCAAGACTGACAAGGTCCAACCTTTCCCACCTGGTCTGCGAATGATATCTGGACTTGCTACGAGCAGAGACCAGAACAGTACCAAGTCACTTGGTGTACGCATTTCCTGCGATCACCAGGCACAGACGAAATTCTTGCCGAATGGCACGAGCCACCCTGGAGGATGCAGTGTCATTTCGATGGGAGTCTTCTTCCCAAGCTGTGGTCTTGCAGATGGGACTCTAGATTCGGAAGATCACTTGTGGGTCTTACGACGGGAGACGCTTCTGACGCTTCCCAGCTCTCACATGGCGTGGCCGCAAAGCTACGACGGACCCACTCTCATCGATGACCCGAATGGCAAGTACTGTCCAGACTCTCATCCCATCAAATATCCCGCCATTTTCATGGACGCGAGCTACTATCTCGACTCGACCACTCCATGGTACGACGGGAACCCGTTGATCCTCTCGTCTGGAGATGAATCGGGACTGGCTTACCATGCCGATTTCAACGATGGCTGGGATCAACAAGTGCTCAAAGATACCATCACGCAGTGTGGAGATGGACACGGTGTGGGCGATCAGCTCAGCAAGTGTGCTGCTCTAGCAAAGTCGGTGGATCAAGATGCAATTTGGAAGTGCCGATTCCAGGGCAAGATTCCCGACGAGTGAGTCGTGATCTGCCATCACAACTGATCACATTCCATAGAGAGATCGGTCTTCCTCGACCGCTCGACAAGCTACCCGGGTGCAATAAAGTTTGGAAGACCTCGGATCCAGATACGAAGCCGACTTGTGTCGAAGAGACAAAACCCGCTTTCGTCTACCCCAACTCGATGTTTGAGAATCTCAAGGTGAGTATGAGATCGTGACATGTCAAGTTGACATCTCCCAGTTCCGTATCCACGTCCCTCTAGCCCTTCATACCGTCATCGATGTGGGCATCCAGACTCTGCAGAATATCGTACCCGTTCTGGGACAGACCGGCGCTTCGCATATCCGACAATGGGGAAATGCCTCAGTCGATGATGCTGTCAATGTCAAAAATCTCCAAGTGTCGACGATGGAAGAGGTGCAGGCCGGTCTGGCAGGGAACAACAAGTCAGAAGCCAGTGTGTCTTCTTCTTCATCAGCCTCGGCCGCTACGTCTTCCTTTGCTGCTGCGTCCGCCTCTGCGTCGATCCTAAGCGGAGTGGCGGAACACTTTGTGGAGCCAAGCTCGAGCGCCATCCCTTCCTCGGCAGCTTCAACCTCGATCTCGGCACAGAAGTGCAAGTGAGTGAACGCGTCTCTCTCCCAAGATGTTCATCCACTGACGAATGGCATCTAGAGCGAAGAAGAGGACCGTCTTGAGCAGAGAGATGCAAGGCAAAGGGAGACATGAGGCCAGACGTCGATCGTCCAATCGCCATTAATAGTTTGTTGTTGTACATAGCTTGAAGCTCAGCGAGACTTGGACTCTGGTAGTCCCTTGTCACTTTTCACTACAGAGTACATTTCGAGTATGAACATGTACAGGGAACGACAGACTACAGTGACCAAACTCCAATTAGTCCTGCTCAGATGGACGGCCAGGGTCCTGCGAACGGTTTTGGCGGTAAACCTAAGGGGGCAATCAGCAATGTTCCCACGCCGATTCAAGTGACTCACGTCCTGTGTGCAACACGGTAGACGACGGCCCCGGGCGCGAGACAGTGTTGGTCTCCATGAAGCTGCTCGATCCCGATCCACTTCCAGAGCCGTCTCCTGATCCCGAACCAGATGCTACAGGTTCCGTCGAGTTATTCACTGTCAGGAGTGAGCTGATACAGGCTATTCAGTATTCGGAGCTCACAATTCTGCAAAGCGCTGTGCTGGCAATCACAGTCGACCACAGGGCGGAGATCCTTGCCACACCCAGAGCAAGCGTGGCGGAAGATACAGAGAGGTCCGGGGCACTCTTGTCTGAGATTGTAGCGATGGCAGATATCGTCGCTTGTCAATGATCCATATTGTTCTGCTCGCCAAGGTAGATTGGGACGTTGAAAGGTCCGATTCGTCTGCGGCACAGGCGTTTCCGGCGTGACAGGTAGACGTTGGGGAGAAGGCGCGTAATTGGTGACATATCGATTGATCGCCTCGGGGTCTGGTCGAATCCAGACTCTCTCGTCAAAGTTGTCGTCTCCGTGATTCAACCTTTCTTCCACGACTTTGAAATGCCAATTGAGGATCGACGCGAATTTATGAGGACCAGCCCGAGTAGATTCGACCACGCGTAAGATTTCGTACAGGTGCATGATGAGGTATCGGCCTTGACCAGAGACGAGGCAATCTCGTACCAAGGCGTAGATAAGCCATGGTCGAAGGATGTCACCAAATGTTCTGTACCGGGTTCTGGCGGCGTCGAAACTCTGTTCTTGATCCTGCTCGGGGTCGTATGGGCGTGCCTTCTGAACCACCGTCACCTTCTCAGGATCCAATCTCCAGAATTCCCAGACTGGTAACCTCCTTGACGCTATCAGGCGGACGAGATCCTGTGATACGTGAGGAGCCAATTCCATGACAGCTTCGAGAGTCGTGGCACCAATACCACTGAGAGCAGCCCCAAAAGCGTCCATCATGACCCTTGGGTCCAGGGGTCGAGTATCAGTCGGAGCGATCTGAGACAATCGGTCAGCGAGTCCTTGAATGACCGTTTCCAAAGCAGCAACGCGAGAAGCCATGGCGTGCATGCCGTCCTGGTCAATGTGATCAGGCTGAGGAGGAGCGGGGCCTTGAGAATCTAATAAAGAGATCTCAGTAAAGTTGGGCTCTGACTGCTTACTACGAGGCGCGGGCTCGATTGCCACTGCTTCAGGAGCATCTATCACTCGTCAGTTCCTGTTGAATCGAAGCGAGGACAGACTCACCCTCTGTATGCGATTCGAGAAACTGAATAAGCCCGATTTTTTTGGCCTTGTGCGCGTTGGCCATTCCCCTGTCAATGGCCATGCGTCGCAGCGTGGAGCAAAGGTAATTGTCGAGATTGACCATAATTACGGGAGCTACAGGTCTCAGTACAGGATAGAAGTTAGACAGTGGTCAGATTGCGGAGGAGGAGGATGGGGTTGAGGGAAGCGAACCGAATGACCAAGACGGCCGCTCTACATTTTGGGAGTTGAAGAGCAACTACAAGGCACACGACCAGAGGCCACCAAACAAAGAGGAGTTATGAAGTTTTTGAAGTTCGACCAACCACCTGACCAAGGACAGCCAATCCTACGTACGTTGTTGGTGACGAAACCTACAACGGGCTGACCAAGACACCGCTACAAAGCAACGACCAGATGCTGTATATACCAATGAGGTCACAATGGAGTGTAAAGTTTGGAGGGAGATTGCGAGATGTCGAGGAAAGGGGGGGAAGATGTTAGTGATGACGCGTTGAGGTAAGAGTGTCGAGATATCGATCGATTGACGAAGGTGAGTGGATCGAATCGGGATCAAATCGAGTCGAGATGGCGAAGGGTGACTGGTTCAGCGTTGAGTGATACTTCGCCGGGCGCGTCAAGTCAGTGAGGGACCTCTTCTGTTCGAGTTCGATGTCGCAAATTTGAAAAAGTCGCGCGAAGGTCGGGAAAATCGTGAGATTCCGAATGATCGATTTCTTGCTTTCGAGTTTGATGAAGTTGAAGTCGAACAGAAGAGGTGAAGAATGAAGAAGACGAGAACTGCAGGTTTATATATCTTTGAAGAGGGGTCCTCCTCGGCAACCAGAGAGTAAGCGGTGAGAAAGTATAACCAGGTTTAACATGGAATGGTGCAGCTGACCGACCTTGTCCTGCGTTACATAGTGTGACTGCCCAAGCAGTGAAGGAAAGTTGTCGGACGGGGGAGAGTCCAGGAGGAGAGGGAGAGAGGGTAGCGTACGAAGGGGAAGGAGAAACCTGTTTTTTTCTTTTACAAATCGCAGCAGTCGCGTCGAGTCGATAAGGTGAGGGATAAAAGGCATCGAAGCTGAGGATTGAGCGTTTTATGGGTGGAGCTGAGCTAGATAAAGGTGTTTCAGTGAGTCAACCTCGGTCCACCTCCGGGGGGGCTGAATGGAATGGTTAACATGGGTCGACAAGAGAGGATGATGATAGCCGGCTCGGGCACGCTGAGCGCAATAGGTGAAACAGTCACACACAAAGGTCAGGAGATACCTAGGCGACCTCGACTCCCTCGGGCGCGGATAAGACGATTAACAAGGTCAACAGGAGAGGATGTTAATAGCCGGCTCGGGCACACTGAGCGTAGTGGGTAACAGCAAGTCACATACAGAGTCACGAGATAGCCTGCATGACCTCCGGAAGAGGGAAGTTAGTCCAAAGACAAGCGGGGAAGATAGCACTAGGCCCAAAGTTCTAGATCGAAGGGCTCGTCAATCGAGCTGGAAGAGCTCTGCGGGTGCTGTGTGTCAAGGAGAGACTCGCTCACGGAGAGAGCAAGGGTGGCGATACTGCCACACAAATGCAAGAGATAATCTGCATCACCTCGGACACGCGAATGACAAACTGGGGAAGAGAGGCAAGAGATGAAGGGGAAGGAAGGAGGAAGAGGGAGGACGGAGGAAGGAGGAAGGAGAGCAAGAGAAGGACCATCTCGGTGCAGCGGTGAAGGCTGTCCTGATAGATGGGACTGAAGTCGAGAGTGAGTGAGAATGAAGTCGAAGGTTTTGGACGAAGAGAGGTGAAGAGCGCTACAGAGCGACAAGCTACAAGGGATGAAGAAGAAGAAGCAGAACAAGAGGAAGAAGAAGACGGATAGTGAGGGGTGAAAACAGCTAAATCAGCTCTCGGACCCTCGATCGCATGTTTCTCGATAGTCTATTCCACGTGGGATGGCGCAGGGACCGCCATCCATATGCCAGCTTGAATGCACTTCTATACAGGCATGTACCCATGGGCATTCTTGGTTAGTCTGGTCGCATGCGTAAAAGGCATGAACCTTCAGATGCCAGCAATCAGCCGGTCAAGGATGGTTCTGCTGGACGAGCCTCTGCCACTGATAGACCCCTGAGAGCTCACCCGAATTTCTGTGTTGTCCGTCAACCTTCTGCGGATGCCTTGGTCGAATACCGAGTCTATAACGTGAGGTACCATCCTAGTGGCCGCGTTGTACGAGGTGATGGATGGGGACTGTTAGACCTGATCGTCCTGAGCGGTCTGGTATACGCGGCGAGCAGGACTCAATGGACCTCCTACATCGCTCAAGAGGAACGGTTGGACTTTTGGCATCTTTGGCAATCTCCAATCACCTTACTGCTCGTCTTCCTCGCGTGGTCTTTTGTCAAAACTCAGACTGTTCTGTATCGTAAGCTTACAGCATCCTCCCGTTCAGATGAGCTTACGCTCAGCTACAGAGTCAATCACAGTGAATGCCGACTACACTTTGGCATTGAAGACAGTCCGAGGGATATCTATACCGACGATTCGTCCTGACGGTCTGCGTTCCGTTGACAGACACCATATCCCTTTACGGATCACAAGACACCTGGTCGCTCTGTCAGAGGTCTCGACAATCGTCATCAACGAATGTCTCACGCGATGGAATGCAAGATACTACCTCGCCGTGCTCTGTCTGGGAGGAAACATTATCGTCCCATTCGACGTCAGTTCATCAGAATATCTGCCGAATCCAGCTGATGCTCTTCAGATTGTGTCCCCGGTGCACGCTATCCTCGTCGAGATCTACCATGAGCTTCACGAGGTGCTGGCGAAGTACGATGATGAGACCGGAAAGGCGAGTCACAAGGAGGATTCGGCAGAAGGAGAACCAATGGCATAGATTCATCATCGTAGATCATACAAACAGGCTGCTCAAGCTATAGGACGGCTCATTACTCATTCCATCTCATCCGGCTTGTCAAACTGCTTCCTGAGCTCCTGGAACATGGACGGCAGCTCTTCCCTCTTGACCGTGAATTCCTGTGCAAAGACCCCGAGTCGAGAGACGAAAGACCTATCAATTTCTTGATCCATGACACCTGGATGATATCGTATGCGTTGAACCCATGGATTGTCGCCTTTAGACTTTGCGATCTCGGGATCCAATTGATTGTAAGCACGGAGCTTGTAGTTGATACCTAAAGAAACTGTGTGAGTCACAATGCCTCGTGTTAACCGACTCACTCTTCCCCTCCCTCGTCTGAATGCAATTGTAGATGATCTCTTTCCCTCCCTTGCCCCCATGCTCGACCTTGACATTGACAATCGCCATCTCCGTCATATCCTCGTAAAGTCGCAGAGAAGCCGCGTCCTTCTCGGCTTCGTCAGGTGTGGTACTGACTGAATGCGACAATTTTGTGCCAGATTTGGCAGCTTGCAGCTGAGCTTGTAGAGAGCGCGAGTGATCCTGCTCCGCCTTGTAATCCTTGTCAAGGGAAGTGACTGTGGAAATCAGTATATTGTCCTCACAAAGCTTCACTCACGTCTTTCCTCCTTGCGTTTGAGAGACGCTGCCGCCGCTGATAGTTGTTCCTTCAATGCTTTGATCTCTTTCGGATCAGGAGGTCCGGATGACGTCGATTCTACCTTCTCAGATTGCCTCATCTCCATCAGGGCTGTTTCCAGGGAAGAGACCTTGGCCTGCAGTTTATCGTTCAGAGCGGTCAGATTGCTGATGATGTCGTTCTGGGCTTTGAGAATGTCAGTGCTCATCCCAAGCCTGGACTCACCTTGGGATTGTATCGCAGCCTTCTCCTTGTATTTCTCAAATACACTTTCCGCCTCGGTCTTTCGAATTTTGGACAGCTCCTCGAATTGCTTAGACATAGTCCCGTGCTGTGTCTTCATCCTGTCACGTTCTGCCGTCATCTGCTCGAGCTGTCAACCCTGGTGTATCACAGTTCCAAAAGCAATTCGCCTCACAGCTGTCAACCGCCTCTGCAACTCCGCGACTCTCTTGTCGGTCTTGGATTTCTGTGCGTCTTCAGAGCTCATACTGTTATCCATGGACAGCTCTGTAGGATGATATGAGTACTTTCCCCCTGAAACTGTGACAACGATCGCCCCACCCAGCTCATCATCCTCCTCGACATCCTTTGGGGCTTTGACAGTCCGCTTCGGCGGCGCGTTCTCCTTACCGACCTATTGTTGTATCAGCACGCACATAAACAGAGTGTTACACGTAAGAGCTCACCCTCTTGACCGTTGACGATGAGCTTGCTGCTGGCATGACAATGGTGTTTCCGGTATGCTGGTATGTTGAACAACTACAAGGTAACTCAACAGATCCTCAATCCCTCGCGCGAATGACTTTTATTTTGTTTACGTTTTTGAGACATCGTGAGGCAGCTCTTACGTAATACCTCAAATGGTCATTCGGATCCTGGCGGCGCCCATGATTGGACTTCAAGACGATAGATATCGCAAAGTTGATCGACAACGAGCAGTGCGGCAACGACAGAGGTTGGTGGTGCAATGGATCCACCATTAGGACCTTCAAATGGTCAGTCGTCATCGTATGCAGGTTCGCCAAGCTCTACTGGGAAGTCTATCCCCCCTTTTCAATCCGCTTCGGCCGTTCTCATAGCATCAGGAGCATCACTCCGTAATGCGAGTGGTGGTCAAACACCGCTACCGAAACCGGTCGAGGCACCTGGCACCGGTACATCCTCGAACGGATCTACATCATCATCTGGACCTTCGGCTCAATCAGCGAGAGCGAAGCCCATCAACCGACCTGCATCGAGCAAGAATGCGATCGTTTACAATGCTGTCCAGGTGAGTCGGATGAAGCAAGCCGGAAGGCGTTTGACGGTGAATCAGAGGCGGAACCCTGTACTTCAGAGTATCAAGAACGTGGGCATTGAGATTGGAGATATTGTTGCGGATTATCAAGTGGGAACGCACAATGGGGTCTTGTTTCTCAGGTGTGTGTGTATGGATTTCTTCAAGGTGTTCAGACATTGACCTATGATCCAGTTTGAAGTATCATCGACTCCACCCAGAATATATTCATCAACGGATCGAAAAGATGAAAAACATGTACAACGTAAGGATACTCTTGATCCTGTGTGATGTGGTGAGCTTCATACGTTTGACCGAGGAGTGATCTCTGACTGATCTGTCCCAGAACGAACATCAACAATCCATCCGGGATCTATCAAAGATAGCCATAGTCAATAACCTCACCACGATTGTGGCATGGTCGTGAGTCCACACATCCTTCATGCTTTGACCTCCTTTCAGAAACGACGAGGTGGCCCAATACTTAACGACATTCAAAGCTTACGAACACAAATCCGATGACTCCCTCAAGGAAAAAGTTCATCAAGAATATCACGATCAACTGCAGCATGTCTTGACTAGCGGAAAGAAAGTCAACAAGACGGACGCGGACAATCTCGCATCGCAATTTGGGGTGAGCCTTATATCGAGGGCATTCGCTCATCAACCCATAGTCTTTTGCGGATATCGTTAAGCAGCCTTCCAAGCTTCTCTCCAACGTCAAAGGCTTGGGCGCAACCAAAGTCACTTCACTCCTCGATGCATTCAACAAGCCATTCTTGGTGGGAGGTCTCAAGCGGAAAGCTGAGGATTCGGCACCAGAGATCATCACCTCTTCAAATGTCCGACACTCGAATGACGAGCGAATAGAGGATATTCACAGCCCGGATTGGCCTATGGATGATATGGATGCCGAGGACGCGCTGAGAGATACAGAGATAGAAAGGCAAAGAGGAAGAGCACCGAGTCGTTCGCCGGACATTGGTCCAGGGGATGAATCTGGCGACGACGAAGTTCGGGGGCCGCCGGCAGATGTGTGGAAAGATCCGCTGGACGATGAAGACGACGAAGATGACGACGATGAGCTTGGCAGTGGATCAAGCAGCAAGAGAGCTAGGGTCGAGAAATAATGTTCGGGTCATCATGCTCCAAGATGGATGCCACTTGCGCACATTTCATGGGTGCTTCGGCGGATTCGATACAAACGGACCGATACCACTTCCTTTGGCATTCCGTTCTCCGCCAAGACACGCATCCTTCTTTCCATCGGAGCCGACCGCGGCCGTTGTCGGATCAGCTCCGTCATAAACTGCATTCATACGGTTGACAAGTCTCGCTGTGTTGCGAGCAGTTTCAAATCTTAGGCCAACTAGTGACGGGGCAAATGGCAGAGCGGACCGGGTTTCAGATTTTGATTCCGTAAGTGAATTCAGAAAAGATCGGTTGAAATGCTGAAAGCGTTCATGGCAATAACAGAGCTGCATGAGGATGCATCTCCACTCGATGCATGCCATCGGAGATAGCCAGACTCAACTGCCATCGTCGATGTCGTGCTCATCGGGAATTATCGTCCGAAGCACATCACCGCCTGGTCTCAAAGGAATCGTCGCTCAAGGCCGATCAATTGATATCGAAGGTTTCCCTTCCTTTGACAATGCAGACCTCGAGGTGGACGAGGAGAGAAAGAGAGAGATACTCTCGGGATAGCAAGTGCATGGCCATCATTCACACACAGACTCGCGCTGGAACCCTTTCCCTTCCGCTGGATCGATACCTCGATAAAGGACGGTCTACGTTGGAAATGCTTGACGAGGTCCTGACAGGTGCATTGTTTGACTCAAACTTCTGACGCCAGATGCTCTTGCAATCCGCCGCTACACACGCACACAATGAAGATACAAACTTACACTGTCCCTTGCACACATCAAGAAACATCCTCAACACCACGAGGCACAAGCGTACATCGTGGCCGAAAGGAATGTCACCGGCAGCAAAGTGGTTGACAAGAGGAAAAGAGTCCCTTTGAACCAGGTCCAATCGAAAGCATCGAAAATTGAGCCTTATCAACAGGTACCACTGCTGGGCTCTTTAGACTCAGAGTCCGACAAAACGATCAAATGCTTGTCGCCCTCGTCCGGCACCGTATATTCCACCAAGTGGAACGGGATCACTTGTTCCTGCTGTGGTACAATAGTGCCTAAGAAGAAATGACCGATTCTTCATGATCTTGATCATGAGGGGCATAGAATGGACCCTTAGAAGGATTGATCGCTATTGTTTACTCGCCTCTTTCCCCGGACTTGCAGTATTCTCCCCCCGCCTCCACTATCTATGGCGATTCATCGCTTTGTCTGAGGACAGTGTTTGTGTTATTCTACACATGTCCTCGAGAGGACAATTTTGACTTCGGATCATAACCACAAGGCTGTGTGTGATTCCCATAGACACAGTCTGTCTTGGTGGTATCGGGCGACCGGGACAAGTGACCCGATGCCGATACACGTTGTTTTGAGCCAAGCTTAACATCGGAGGAGAAGTACAGTCAACACATTGCACATATACATACGTCCATTCCTCGTTTTGTACCACCATCCGTCCTCCACCACGCATCCCATTTCTGACATCTTCACAACTTCGAGTCTGCTCTGCTCTGCTGCCTCTTCCTCCGTCTAATCTGTGAAACTTGTGTCACGAGGCCAACTCATCTTCATTGACTCAACACTTTCCCCCCGCCACACATCTTCCTCTATACACGATTTCGCACCACTATCCACTCTGTGTGCAAGATGCTCGACACGTCCACTACCCCGATCGCTATTCCTTCGACTCCACTGGCGCAAACAAGGAGTGGAACTTGGCCGAGGTATATGGGTGGAGCTCTTTCAGTTGGAAACATGTCTTTTTCCTCATCTCCTCCCACCACTTGCTGCCCTCTCCAAGACAGCGCTCTCTCGTATTCTCTTCTCGATAGACGAAATCTCTACACACAACCAAGATCGACGCCGACGACCACGTCCACGAGCCAGCATACGCTTCCATCACACTCGCGATCGTCATCTACAGCTTCAGACTTATTGTCTCCAGTGACACCAGGTTATCGTTTTGAAACCATTTCTACGCCGTTATTGACCCCCACTCGATCACGTCCTTGTGTCCTGTCAACCAGTGTCAACAATACTGTCCAGTGTCCTCCATCGGCTACATCTACTGTCTTCGGTACCTCATTGTCTACTGTCTGCTTATCAGATCCTCTTCCATCTCCAAGTCCTATCCGATCCAACATGACTTCCTTTCCCGATTCGCCATCTCCGCCTCACTCGTACGGTATAAATGCAAGTCTTATTGTCCCGGGTCAGACCATGCTGTGAGTTCCTCCATCTTCCATCTCCTTCGGGTAGAACCGGGTTCTGCAATCCCCATTGGGAGGTCGCTCGCTTGTCGACCTACATGCTGACGACTGTCATGCTTCTTATTATACTTTCATCTCACTCGCTTGTGACCGACCCCCATTCTCCCTGGCTCCCTTTCACTGTTACCTCGTGGTATCTCGTCACCCCTCATCTCATTCGCCACATTGTTCTTTTTATTCGCCACTCTCTATAGACCTCATCCTCATGATCAACAGCTTCCAGACGTCTTCTCTCTATCCAAACCACCGACATCTTCATCACTCCAACCATCTATCAACACTGCTGCACACCATCATCATTATCCATCCCGACCGGCTCTGCGAACTGCCAATTCGTATAATGCCCCTTGCACTTCGACGCCCACTCCTACTCATTGGCCGAGAAAAGTAATGTCGTCGACTTGCGCCAACATCGCCACTTCAAACACGGCTCATCCTCATCCTCATCCTTCCCCTTCTTCTCATCTCTCATCAGCCTCGAACAACAACAACAACAACAACAACAGCAACGTCCCTCGTCACCGAGCAACACTGTCAAACTCACACACAAGTGACGAGAGGACACGGCCAATGACCACGGGGACTGTCCTCTTGGCGTCTGTGCACCCGAGCACCTTTCCCTCGTCAGCTTCGTCTGTCACTTCTCCCTCGATATCAAACGCCACGGGCCCACCTCAGTCTTCTGGCAATTCAAAGTCGGGTCCTTCAACCACTGCACCGGTGAACATTCCTGGTTCTGGGAACGGTACCGGATCTCAGCAATCGATCGCCGCTCCGGCTTTCAGCTCGCTGACTTCATCTTCGCTTCCCGCCTCCGCTCCCGCTCCGCCATTCGACACGACCTCCAGCAACAATAGTGGTCCCGAATCATCTGTTCAAAATCAGTCCCTCAGCCATTCGGGGTCATACAACAACGAATTATCTTTCCACACCACTACATCTTACCCTGGATCATACGAGAGTGCTTTCTCCTCAGCCGATTCACCTTGGATTCAAGCTGCTTCGTATCCTCCTCAATCCTGGGCAGGTCAAGCCCAACATCCTCCCTATCAGATCATCTATCAACCGTTTCCACCTCGAGGCAAAGATATGGAACCGATTCTCGAACCTGGCGAGCTCCCGGCTCCTCGGCCTCAAACGTCTTACGCCGCCCTCATCGGCGAGGCACTGTTGATGGCTCCTCCGCCACATCAATTGTACGTTTCTGAAATCTCAGACTCTATCAAGAAGCGGTATCCATGTGAGTGATCCGCGGATGTTCACTGTCCATCAGCTCACATTGGCCTCAGACTATAGACAGAACCCTTCAAAAATCTACAACGGCGTTCGACATCAGACATCCATGTGCAAAGCCTTTGTCAAACTCCCTCGACCATTCGGTGACCAGTCGGGTGGCGCTCGCAAATGGGCTATACGAGCGGGTTGTGAGACTTGGTTCCATGGTGGTGGCTACCATCCTCCTGGTCCTGCATCGCCTGCACTCGGTAACAAGAAGCCTATGGGTGGCAAAGCCAAAGCAACTGCTCGAGCCAAGCAATTGGTCATCGGTACCGGTTCGCCAGATCGCAAAGGGTATATCGATCCAGCACCTTGGTCTGCAGGTGGTCCGTCAAATGGTCCAGCATACGACGGCACTTCTCGACCACTGATGCCATACGCTCAACCTCCTGCCTATCCATACCACGCTGCTGGGTATCACTATGTTCCGGTGCAGCAACCCGGACCTCAGCACACGAACATGCCAAGCAGTGACAACAACGCCGCCAACAACAGCTCGTACCCTGCTCACGTCGTCAACTCTGGATCACATGGAAGAGGTGCTCACCCTCATGCTGCTCACCAACCTGTCTACGTTCCAGTTTGGGGACCTTACGGCGCGCAACCCCCACCTTCTTTGTCCAACTCTTCCACCGCCACTTCTGCTGCTCCTTACTGGTCTCGAACTACCCCTCAGGATATCTCCAGCCCTGAGCACGATCAATGGCGAGATGAGAGGGGTGGGATGGCGCCGAGCGAGCATGGAAGCTACGATGAGAAGACGGCGGAGATGGGTCATCACAGCTCGCCAACATCGATCCACTCTTCCCCCTTGAGGCGATAGACCGCCGATCACCTCAAAATCTTCTCGTTCTCCACCTTTCTCGTCGCCTATACCCATACTCGCCTCACTTATCTGATTTTCTCTTGACGAATGCCGCAACGACCATGTGAATACCGACTCCTGTCGACTTTCTCGCTCTGCTGGTTCGGAGCAACGTATATACGGATCTCGTTTCTTCTGGCTGGGAACAAGTAGAATAAGAGACTTATACGACCGGCGGTCCTCTGAGCCGGATGGTTGTAGACGCACGCGTTCAACGATACGACAGGGCTATACCCCTTTTCTATGATGACCGTTTCATGATTATTCTTCTTTGCTGATCTTCTCATTTGATCTCGTGACATTTCGTGTATGCAAACATCTTGGCCCCTGCAGCCTTACTTTTTGCGACGTTGCATGCAAGATACAGACACTTTGTGATATAGCCGTCGGCTGAACTTGGCTCAATAACGGAGATACCCTACAGCACTGCTTGTCATCAGCTCCAGATCCATCTCAATGGTTTCGTCTTTCACTCACAGTAACGGAAATCCGCACATTAGTCCCACCCAAAAGACTATATTCCCCAGCGTCTTATTCCTCTTAATGGCAGGCACTTTACCAAGGTAAATCATTGGTAATTGAGCCATCTGCATGAGGAACAAGTAGGGTCGTATCTTCTTCGTCACTACTGCCATGACGAGTTCATGGCAAAGTGCGGAAAGTAGGAACGTGACGAATGTCGCAGACGTCTTTGAGAGCTGGAAACCGTCAATCGTAGAGGCATAGACGTGACGCAGGAGGAAAGTCTGGACGTGGCCATAAGTCCGGGTCTAGTGCGCGTCAATGGTACACTTACGTGGACCGGCTTATTCCACTTCCGCGAGAACTGATCCCAGGAAGTCGAGTTCCACCAGTCTTGATAGAACTCTCTGTCCGCGAAGCTGGACCTCAGCACACGTCCGTATCTGGGCAGACCTACTATGAGAGCTCGGCAAATCCCGCGCAGACACACTCAAAGATGATGCTGGGATACGTCAGTAAGTCACAGTGTCCAATAGTTTAAAGCTCACTAGAAGATCCTGGAGATACAATGAGCTCAGGTCTGACCAAACGGACGCGTCACTCACAAGAGGTAGTTGACCATCATGGGTAGCGCGAGATTGATGAAGCTCCGGAAAAGCGGCTCGTCGGGCCTCGGCGTGTAAGGCAGGATGTAATGCTCCGTGATGAGGTAGATGAGCGAAAAGGTGCCAAAAGTCGCAATGACCTTTTCAATGACGACTAACGGGCGCATCCTTCATGTCAATGTTATTCAGAGGATGTGCGACTCACTCATTCGTCCTGGGATATTCTAGCTGATAGACTAATGTCGGGAAGCTCATGTATTCAAAGAAATGCTTGAAGGTGACATTCTGCGGCCAGACAAGTCCCAAGGCGCCATTACTCTTCAATTCATCTTCCATGGCGTCAATATTTCTTGCAAGGATGGCAATTTGTTGATCGGGATGCCAAGATAGCGGCGAAGGAGCTTTGGCTTCGTGTGTTCGTGTTCTTCGAGAGGGCTCGAGGGATGTACCTGCTGGCAATCCGCTGGAGACCTTTGGCAGAGCTTCGATAGCTGTGCCTGTACGTTTACTGGGTGGTCGAGGTGATTGCTGTTGGTGAGAGATAGAGGCCACGCGGCGGCGCAGCTCGTTTGAATCGACGCTTTTACTTTGCCCAGTCCCTTTTGGGACCTCTAGGTCAATGGTGGTGTTTGATCCCTCGCGCAGAGGCAGATTCTGACTGGACGAAGAGTCCACGGGCTGAAGGCTTGGACTAATGGGTGAAGGTGTCCCAATGGGAGTGGCTGCTTCTTGGGCTTCTAGATCCGCTTTGTGAGCTGCCGCTTCAGCGTAAGCTGCCTCTCTTCCTCCCGGATGAGCGTTGACTAGAGCCGAGAGTTGCTTTCGCTCGAGACCTAGACGGAGGAAGACGGTCGCTAACATTCCGTTATGAGCCATGTACGAGTGCATCTAGGCGTCTTGGTCAGGTTCGGTCCGCAAAGCAAAAAATAAAATCCTGCTCACTTTCATCAGGTTTGAGAGACAGTGCAAGACCAAGAATCCAGCTTGGACCCAATACCATTGCCTGTGATATCCCCACCAGATTGCTGTGAAGAGGTAAGCTGTCTGAAGGATATGCTGGATGATGACTCCAGTGTAGTAATACGGGAACCATTGCTTCTGAAGGCACTTGACAAAGATGACGCAGACGAACATGGTGGAAGACATGACGGCGTCGGAGATAGCCAAGACGATAGCATCTCTAGTGATGAGCCTGCCAAAAGTCCATGATAGAGGTGTATGATTCTCTTCCCAAGACTGGAAGGATGTTCGGAGGAATAAAAGTGCGAGACCTTGTGGATCTGGTCAGCGGGATCACCAATGGGGGATTCAAGGACTTGCCTATCCAGAAGAGAGTGAAGAACCCTCTAAACTCGTCTCGTTGACTTCTGACATTCTCTCTATCTAGACTCGAGACTCGAGGTTCGAAACTGAGTACAGCCTTGAGTTGAGCGTTGGAAGATGAACGATAAGGTCGGACCAGGATCTCTCCGCCCGGGACAGGGATATGAGAGGGAGACGTATGTGATATCGAGGAGGGACTGATGGTAGCCATCGCTGTCGAATCCGATGACATGTCGGTCGAAGTGTTGTCCTCGGGAGTGGCGATGGACCTAGGTACAGAGCTAGAGCTGGTTGATACGTCAGCGTGTACTGGTCCGCCTTGGCAAAGGCACAATTGCATACGCACCGGGTGGCTACCATACTATACGCAGTGAGCCGATTGGTGCTGGGACACAGGTGAAGGGCGGACTTAGAAAGGCTCGAATGAGCTCGGTGCAGAGCCTTGCACGTCTAATCTCGACTAGACCTGGAATGGAGACGGATCCGTGCAGCGGCACAGACGTGGGCCGAAGTGTCTTCTGTCTGTCTGTGTACCTGCGGTCGTGGTGCCAGCTGGGTGAGTCTTCGGCACTGTTATGAACCCCCTGTGAGCTGCGTATAGACCTAGTCAGAGATATAGCAGTCTTTTCCCAATCGTCAAAATGTCGTCGCCGGTCGTCGTGGTTCATGAAAGTGTTCAATGAGCTGATGACGATTTGTCGACCGAAAGTTGGTGGTGTTCCGCGGAAAAAAATGCCGCTCACTGCTCCGAATATAAATCCTCCTGGCCAACGTTCATTGCCTCTCTCATCGCCAACCTCTATCCTGGCGTAGCAGTGTAGACGTCGGACGTGAAGACGGTCATATCCGTCTGGACCTCAAGCAGGATTCTGAGCCTGCTGGTCTCGTCGAACCCGAGGTCCAAGGCTCCATCACAAGGATCGCAGATCAAAACTAAATTTAGGAGGTTCATCATCGACTTGGACGAAATCTGAGTACCCATTTTCCAGTTCGATCTCCACAATCACTGCACCGAGCCGCCTTAACCCCATCCCCGGATACTTAGCCACCATGCCGCGCGTATACCTCCTCTCTCGGACTCTGGACCCGCTCTTTGGGGTATTTTCCGGTCTGCTAGCCTATCACCTATCCGAATCTCACCCTCGATCCAACATTCCTCCTGGTCATACACTCAGGGAGCTCGTACCGTGGCAATTCAACCGCTGGCGAGCTGCAAGACATGCGGGCTCAGAAGGGGAGGAAGAGATGTTTGAGCGGACCTTGAGAGAATTGCAAGAGGACAAGGTGGTTGCGAAATAGGCCTCTCGTGAAGGACTCGACTTGTGACGAATTTTCAGATTTGGGCGGTCGGCGTGTCGAGCCTTGGGAGATGCGCAAGAAGCATCACGACATGAAAGAAACCACGCTTTGGGCTTTGAACGATCGCGAATATGGTTATACATGGCATGCCGATGACCTCTGTTTCTAGGCTGCGGGCTTCATTCCTAAACCCCGGACCCTTACACCCTTTTGGATCGATGGACCCCATCTGTTGTAGTATACGGAGTATGTATAATGTAGGGTCGTGTGACAATGGACAGCAGGTACAACGGTGATAGCAACAAATCCAACAGGGAGCAATGCGATGCGGTGCGATGTCACGAAGCCATTAAGGACAAAGTCGTTTTTGAGTGGTGTTTGTGTGAAGTTTCCAAGTGAACAGATAGTAGACAAGGTTGTGGACGATAGAAGATCAGTGCAGTGTCGATAAGGCCAGAAGAGAAAGAGGCGAGAACATTCGGACGTCAGCATAATCCTACACTCTGCCTCGTCGATAATGAGACTCACCCTCGGAAGGTCTTTGTCTTTTTCGTCCGCAAGAACTCGCTAGGAGCTTTGTTCTTGGAGTAGGCATTGAAGCAATGCAACTGAATGGGGTATGAGCCAGAGTGACAAGGCAGGCGGGCAATCTATGAATCTCACAATGTATCTGTGAGCAACAATTAGCACCTATCGCAAAGGCATCCCGGACAGGCAGGAGAAAGAACTCACCTTCTCTCTGATGGTGACATTCCCCCAATGTCCTCCAGCTTGGCTGACCCCTTGAGCCAAACTCTCGTCAGATCCTCCCAGGATTTGGCCGAATCTGCCAAAGCCTTGTCTGCATTGTGACCTATCATCGTTAAGAGCTCCATGGGCTCCGTGGCATGGGCTATTGATATTGGAAGGCGAGACCGCGGGCAAGGATGGTTCAGAATGGTCGAAGAAGTATCCAGATCATATTGTGGAGCAAGGGATTGGATCGAAACAGACACTAGCCGTCAGGTGCTGGAATCGAATACTTTGTCCGCTTAGAAACTCACCAGAAGGCAGCAAAGGCTTCTTAGCCTGTGATATTGGCGAGGTCGAAATGGGCCGAGCAGCCGGAACAGCGAGTCGGGAGACTGTGGTGGCGAGTCGTGGAAGCCGTGAAGAAGAGGCGTAGAGATTGAGCATCATATTGATGACGTCCAGAGCTGGAACCTGTAGGGCAGTTGAACTGATTGATGTTCAGCTGCTGCCAGCAAACATTTTGGCCCATCGATATTGATTACATAATCATCCCGTATGACGAGCTTCGCTTCTACGATCAGGATTCATCGACGTTCATGCGTCGTGCATTTGTACGACCATGATGACTATATGATTATTCGCTATTATTCAGTCCACTCCAACAGAGCAGCAGAAGGTTCAAGTGCTCCGTCATGTCCAGAATGGGGCCTACGAAGGGCGTGGCGATGCGCGTGCCGAAGAATCCACCAGGTATGAGGAAACCTACAACGGCGAGTGGGCGGTATGGTGGTAGCAATCGACCTGGAGGAGATGATGGGTATCTGTACGTCGCGGGGATAAGAGATCCATCCCACAAAGTCACAGAGTTCAAAGTAAGCCACTTTGCGAAGTCTAGCCCTGCTTCAGTTACGTCTCATTCACGCGCTCTCGCGCTAACTCAATGCTCAGACTGAATCAGATGTTTGTCCCGTTTGTCATACCGATCGTCAGTTCAACAAGAATCTCCGACTTCTCATCTCTCCATGCTATCACAAGATGTGTGAATCATGTATCGACAGGCTGTTCACTCTTGGTCCTGAGCCTTGTCCGCAGTGTGGAAGGATATTACGAAAGGTCAACTTTGCCCACCAGACGTTTGAGGATCTCAAAGTGGAGAAAGAAGTGTCAGTCAGGAGACGCATGGCAAAGTAGTAAGTCTTCACGCTGGAATACCTTCTCGTGCCCCAATACTGACCATTGGCCCAGCTACAACAAGAACGAGAAAGACTTTGCGACAAAACGCGAATACAACGACTACCTGGAGGAGGCGGAAGATATCAGTGAGCGCAGCCCATGACAACTTGAGCCCAATCACTTAACCATGCTCAGCATTCAACCTTCTAAATGACATCGATGTGGAAGCTACAGAGGCTAGGATCACCGAGTTTGCAAGGAAGAACGCCGAGATAATCGCTGCAAACGAAAAGAAGCGGGCCTTGGAGATGATAAATGAAGGAGAGCGGGAAGAGGTCTTGAGGAAGGCGAAAGAGGAGCGGGCGAGGATGGTGGCGGAATACGACAGAAAGGAAGAGATAGAGTCGGAGAGGATACAGCAGGAGGTTTTGGAGGCAGTGGTGAGCGCAGGAAGAGCATTTGACCGCGGCTTCACCCCCCCCAACTGACTCATCTCCAGGCTCGAGGAGATCACAAATTGGCTCAGGATATCGAATCTCGAGGGAAACGCGAAGCAGCAGTACGAGCCGAAGCACTCGCAGCGGCTATTCCGCCCTCGATCGCGTCGCTCCTGACGGATCCAAGGGCGAGGTCTCTCCAGGCTTCAGCCGGATCAAACGGGGAACACACACAACATCAACCTGGTTCACCATCCTACAGTGGCCGATTCGTCGCTTATCCTTATTCTGATCCTTCAGAGGCTCCTGCACTGCGTTGGTTCAACCTCATGGATGATTACGTCGATTATAGACCTGGGGTCATAGATGCAAAGAGGAACAAGGATGGCAAATACCGAGGTGGTGGATTTGATTTGGGTCAGTTCTGGGAGATGGAAATTAGGACAGCTGTGGAGGCTCTTGGCATAGAGCCGCTGGTGTAGCATACAAGGGGAAGGGTCGTGGAATCGGAGCAGATAGTCTCATTATTGTTGTACTCGTACTCATTTGCATTGAAACGGGCATATCTCCGGTCCATCGGCGATGAAAGTCTTGGCTTCAGATTTCGGATCTGTCAGGTCGAGTCTGACATATGTACACCGCTAAATGACATCGACATTCTCATCAGTGTTGGTTCGACCTCGTAAGGACTGAGCATGGCTTCAGTTGACACGAGCAAGGTCATGCCACTCTCAGCGTTTCATCGCCTACCTCACGAAGTTTGTCTCCGAATACTAAGTCATCTGGACCCAAATCAGTCCAATCTCGAACGAGCGGCTCTAGCGACCTGTCTGAGGCTTTTTCCAGGACAATCCGAAGCCATTCACAAGAGCCTATACGCCACGCTGGACCTTGACGACCTGTACGAAGAGTACGAACCGGAAGAAACCTTCGACGATTGGCTTGAGCGATATGGCGAGACGAGTGCAGTGTTCAACGAGAAAGATTGGCGACGACGGCAAAGACCTATCGACCGTAGATTGCTGGCATACTGTACGCGGCTCATTGTCCCTCGATATCTATCTGGATTCAAACGTGGAGATTGGACAGCTGAGGAGTTTTCAAATCTCCAAGTCTTGCAGATCAAGGACAACCTACGTCCAACCCTTCAAGGATATACTGGACCCAGTTCCCATATAGCCACAATGGGGACGATGATCTTCCCTTGTCGGATCCATATTTCGAAGCACATCGACCAGTGCTTCATGTGCGAGTTTTTGAGGGACCTAAGACCGTCCATGTTGGTGCTTGACACTTATGAAATTGGTGACATGTGGACACCGACACTCATGTTCTCACCAGGGGACAATGGAGAAGATATTACGCCATTGGGCATAGCGGTCAAAACCCTGGTGATCACTCCGAGGCACGTAACACCTCGCACGCTGACACGATACATCCACCTCATGACTCCGTTCCCGGCCTTACTCTATCTATTCAAAGAGTTGATCGTCATATTCTCGCCTGATACCTTTTTCAACAATGGTCTCACCACTGCTGAGGAAAGCAAAGGGACTGAAGGACGATACGAGACGCTCGTTTACGATCTCGTATCTCTCATGTCCGCGGATACACCATCTATGGCTCAGCACCTCAAGTTGACCATCGTCGGCATAGGAAGATTCCCTCAAGTCACAGGCTGTGGCAGTTCTACCACTGGTACTTCCACACCGTTAGACATTCAGACGCAATTTGAATCGGATATCACGTCGGGGACATGCTTCGACTTTCACGTTCCCCAAGCGAAGAAGGAGTTTGAAAAGTGTTCCAGACCGACTCGATTCGTGGACCTGCCAGACTTCGCAGAGGAAGTGCGTGGCACTCATCTGGAGTTCCTTGCGCCAATTGCGCCAAAGGATTGTACGTAGCAGGATCACTTTGACAGACATCTGTATCAAAGTCTCCGTTGTATTGTTCCGCGGTCAGACCTCCGATAACTTCCTTCACGACATGAGACGACATGAAATGCATTCATTTCGTCTGCCTAGACTCGCCCTGTCACAACTCTCCAGTAAGAGCTGACCCCGCGGCGAGAGTCAACTTTTTATGCAGCTCTTCTCTCCTTTTCGCCTTGCGCTGCTCTGAAGCCTCTTCTTCTCGACGACGACGTTGCACTCGATTCCCTCCTGCCCCAGCAGCATCCTCATCATCTTCATCGGCGTGTCTCACCACGTCATCCTCGTCAGTCTTCTCGAACCTGGATTTGGACCTCGCCGTCAGCGTGCTAAATTACGCCGCCAGCGCCCGCCCTGAACTGGTGCAGCTTGCCAACTCACACTCTCTGAATGAAGTCTGCCGCTGCGACCTCTGAGAACTCTAGGTCCGCTCGACTTCCCCATCGCCATTCTGCACTTTCACCTTCTCCCGGCTGACCATTCGGAGATGGGATCTTGGTCTTCTCGAGGTACCCCTGTCGAGACATCAAGTCGAGGTATTTGTCCAAGGTCATGGGTGGTTCTCTATGATCGCTCGAGCGGTACGGAAGGATAGTCTCGCGATAGAGATTGAGTCGACGTAGTAGAGCGTGAAGCTCGTCTGGTGGACATATCAGTAAGGAAAAACTCGCAGCAGATTTCGTGACGCTCACCATCCGTAATTAGTCGACCGTATACGAGGACGATACAGAGGATGACTGTGCGTATTCCAAGCAGACCTATATTCCCTGATGCGGTCCCATCGCCCTTGTCAAGACGTAGGAGTGCACCTGAGTCCATTTGATCCTCGATCCCCCGTCCATTCGCTACATCCTCTTCATCGTCCTCCATGTCCGGTAGAGCTCGAGGTTTAGATAAGGCATGTACAAGTTTCACAGGCAGAATGGATCTCATCGCATACGTCTTTGAGCCAGCGACTAAGCATACAGATCAAGTCAGTAACACAAACACACGCATGGCTTTCACGTGCTGGCTGACTCGTCTCACTCACCCTTCTTTCTCGCTGGAGCTTGAGTTTCGCCCGATTCACCTGGAGCCTCTTCCTCCTCCTCGTCATCTCCATTTGCCTCTTGTGCTCTCTTTTTCCCCTTTCCTGCCGAGCTCCCGTTCGCAATTTCATCTCCCGCTCTGTACTTGGCTCTCAGCTCCACAATGTCCATCCCGAAATCTTTACGAGCCAATTTCCTGGCCCGTTCAAGGACCGTGTTGAAGGATCGGGCGTGGTTAGGGAAAGCTAAGGGTTTTAGGTATAGCGTGAGCACGGATGGGGCAGCGACGGAATTCATCCTGACTCACCGACTCGAACTATGTCTGCTCTGACCATTGATCTCCGTTTATATTCTTGGAACATGGCGAATCGAACTACTTGTGCAGCGGCAGCATTGATTTGCTGCAGGGGGGGTTAGGCGTCAGCCCGGAGACAATTCGCTTAGAGAAGCTGCTGCAGATGATGATGATGGAAAAGGAAGCAGAGGCTCACCTCCTCCGTCATGCCTGATCCAGAAGATTGCGTCGCTTCTTCCCCTTCCCCTTCATCCCTTTGCTCCTCCCCTTCATCACCTCCATTGGCCTGTCCGTCCTCCTCCGCTTCTTCAGGCTCGGACGGTGGATCAGGTGCTCGAGGTCGCCGAGAGGAGCTCGCCTGTTGACTTCGGTACGTTCGTAGAGGCATGATGAGTACCCTGTTGGCGTGACCAAGCTAGACGATGCCTCGTACTGCGATCGCTTGCAATGTAAGTACGATGTAACCAAAAATCCTGCTTCTCGGCCAGCGCGCAATGTCCCAACGCGTGAAGCATACACTTTCCCACGGTCGTGCAAGAGTTTTTTGGAAACGATCGGGTTACGGGCAGCTGAAATGCTTTCATCCTTGGCTGTCATACAAGTCTTACTTCATACACCTGCGAGCTCGAAGCATCCGGAGAAAGGAGTGGAAGGCCAGAGTTCCGAGAGTCAATCCACCTTCTTCCCCGCGATGGCCACTCTTTCCCCCGCCGAACGATCCTACATTATCTCTGGTCTGTCCTCATCCACTCCTACCCGACTAGATGGCCGATCGCTTCATTCCCCGAGAGCCATCACCATTTCTTATGGGGACGCTCCGCAAGCTAATGGAAGTGCTAGAGTCTGTGTAGAAGGAGGTACCGAGATCATTGCGGGGATACGGCTGGAAGTTGGGGATGTGGTCCCCAGGACATCCGATATCAACGGTACGGGTAATGGGAAAGGGAAAGGAAGAGCGACAGGAGGTGAAGGTTGGCAGACTCAAGTAGAAGTGGATGTGTGAGTGGGGGAAAACAAAAGTTTTCTGAGTGTTGGTGTGTCGTCACTCATGCTTGTGGTCTGAATAGAACACCACAAGCCTATCCTCAGCTCTCACAACAAGCTCTGAGTCTTCTCTCGGCTCAATATGAATCCCTACTGAGTGATCATTTCGTGCCATCTATTCCACCACTTCCGATCCTTCCTCCGACCAAGTGAGTGATCGTGATCGTCTACTATCTCAGAACGATCGTATCCTTTCTTACGGTGTTCTTTGACCCTTGTCTGACATCTACCAGATACTTTATTCCCCATCTTCAACTCACCATTATCTCCGCTTCATCCGGATCTATCCCTTCCACCCTGTTTATCGCAGCTCGAGCAGCATTCTCTGATCTCAAAATCCCAAAGACCAAACGGATAGGCTGGGAAGGAGCTACGAAAGGCCACAATGGGGATCGTGAGACAGACGACGGCGGTATGGATATGGAAGAATCCGATCTAAGCGGGATCAAAGCTGCCGTGAGAGGTGGACGTAAAGGTCCAGGGGGCAAAAGTGGAAGAGCAAGAGTAGGAGGAGATGAATGGGATTTAGATCCCAGTGGAGATGGTTTAGAGGTATTGCAAGAGAGAGAAAAGTTGCCAGTGTTGATCATTTTGAATTTGGTGAGTGTGGCGTGGCACCTCGACAGAAGACAGACGTTAGACTCCCGTCAGGCCAGGCCAGGGACAGTGCAGAGCTGATTACAGCCTTGTGTTTTTCTCAGATACCTTCTTCGAATGCTTTCTTTCTCGACGCAACGTTGGCAGAAGAAGCCGCTTGCTCTGATCGACTGCATCTATGTTTCGCAAATTTCAATGCAGAGACCATCTGTGGGATGAGGATGGAAGGAGAATCAGGAATACCCACAGGAAGGATAAAGCCCTTGATCGTGGTCAGTGGACTTTTTCTCTTCACTCTGTCTAGGCCTCAAAACTCATCAATGCTTTTGTTTGTTTGTTTTTCACAGGAGGGCCAAAGGATCGCAAAGCAATTAATGCAGAGTCTCAATGAGCAGATCCCAACAGGCGCTTCAGGTATAACGGCTGCAGCGCACCGTTAAGCAGATGGTATTCATCCTCCGTGGTCTGGTTCATCCAAAAGGGTGGATTTGTACAGTCTCTGCATATCGCCAGACAATGAAAAATATGCATACTCCGACACGAGGAATGATACATTGGGCAGATAATAGTCGTGACGAGTCGGCAACCAGTGACCAACTGCGAGGCTTCATGATGGTGAAGACAATGATAATAGAAATATGGGTCGTTAACACAAGGACATTAAAAATATGACATGATTCGTAACAGGAGCGTTCCCCAGAACGCCATGGTGGACGCCGTTCTTCGCTGAGCGCTTTGAGACTCGCCCTTCCCTCGATCGCACCACTGCGTGCTTGTAGCCCGTAGCTCGTGGCTTGTGATTCTACCTTCCCGAAGCTTCCAAAATCAACAAGCTAGCCTGAGCCGGTTGACCACCACCAAGTATCATGGCCGTCGCGCTATCCCCTACTGTCTTTCTCAATTCCGCGCCTACACTTGGGTTCTGACCCTTTTCAACGAGCGACTTGTTCAATTCGACACTGTGATTGATCTTTGCGCCTCGTCTCCCTCGACCCGTGATGATCATCATGGGCCGCCAGAGAGAATCTGAAGCCATGGCTCGAGCGGAAGATTCAGCGGTGGAGAGAGCATAAGAGAGGGGAGAAGAGGTCGTTTGTGTCCAGAATGCTGTTCTGCTTAGAGCTTCAGTGAGCGAGGCAGATCGAGCAGAGGCGGGGAGTGGAGCAGTGTAGTAGGCCCAAGCCACATCGTCTGCAGTTTCAGAAGCCAATCGTGCAGAAGATTCTCCAATGGGCTGAACGGCGGCGGTCAGTGAATGACTCTGACTCGATCTAAACGCTCCACTCACCCCGGCGGCTGATGGTCCAACCGTAAGTTGATTCGACAACAGAGCGTTCTGGTGGACCTGCATCGACTCTGACATGCCATTCTTGCCCGCCTTGACCAAGGCCGATTCGTCATCGTCATCCACAGTGACGTCTTCGATGATGCGCACAATCGTCGCCGTCACACTGCTATGGTGACACAACTGAACCGCGAATCGAAGTGCTAATCGATCATCAGGGCCACCGTAAAATGGCATGAAAATGTGCTGTCCGGCTCCGGGGGAAAATGTTCCGGAAGAGAAACCTCGGTCGATGAACAATGCAGTATCGGTGGTGCATTCCGTAAAGACACGTCGGAGAAAGTGAGTGTAAATGGGCGATCCAGCAGTTTCCACGCCAAAAATTTTTTCAAAGGACGACAGTGTAGCTGATGGATTGGCAGCAGCTGGAGTCGCCTCCTTGTCACTGTCCGAGAGCGATAGCGTTCCGGGGGCATTGCCGCTCAGGGGAGGAATGGTCCAAGGGAGAATGGTCAACTCTGTACCTAGATTATCGGCATAGTCGGCCACGGCATTTGGGTACGAGTCCTGTCCGACGATGGAGATATGGGGCGTCACTTCGAGGCCTCGTAATCGACCGAATTGTCGGAACAGTTGGAGAGCGTCATCCGTCAGGAGCAATTGATCCTTCTCAGCGGACTGCATAACGGAAAAAGTTCGACCAGTCAATTCAATGAGCTTGAGTGCGTCGATCTGGACAGCAGAAAGATTGGGCCCGGTGGTACGAGCGACGGTCATCGGTGCCTGATCGCCACTCTTTGACAAGCGGCCGCCGGTATCGTCTCGCAGGCTCTCGACAGACTCTTCGGAGATGTCGCCTCCACCGACTGTGCTACTGCCTTTGCTGGCGCTCTTCGTCATGAGACCAGATCCGGACCAAGGTTGCCGAGCCTTGATATGTTGAGGTTCGAGCATCTGAGCGAGGAGCATGACGGGCGAGAGGTGTTCAATCTTTTGAAGGACGACGAGTAGCCTCGTGGTGGTCTCTCTGCCTCCTGCACCGACGCCGAATCTCAGACCGCCGGCCATTCCCTCCTTCTCAACATCCCGAGTAGGTCGTTTCTCCAAAGCAGATCCACGCGAACGGTGTCTTTCAGGGTAAATAAGGACGGTCAAGGGCGTCGTGATGAATGTCAGGACGACCGCCTCAACGACAAACATGGAGAAAAGTCGTTGGTCAATGATACCGACTTGTAGGCCGACGTTGAGGACGATGAGCTCGACAAGCCTGTGACGCGGTCAGCTAGAATCCCCCTCTTTTTTTGGGTCTCACTCACCCTTTGCAAGACATCAACATGCCAATGGCACCACTCTCTCGGGTGCTGTACTTGAGCAATTTGGCAGTACCTGCGCATCCGACGAATTTACCGATCCAAGCCACGACACAGAGAAGAATGACGAATCCCCAGTCTTTCCCAGTGTTGATGAGACCGAGGTTTGTCGAAAGGCCAGAGAGAACGAAATACTGCGAGTCGTCAGTACTGCAAGCGATCGATGCGTAGAGAACAAAAAGCTTACGATTGGCAAGAACAGCATCGACACGAGATCATCAATCTTCTCTACGAGGGCAATGGCGAAACCGCCTTCGTGGGGGATTATCAGACCCGCAATGAAGCCGCCAAAGATGGGGTGGACGCCTGTGACAAGGTCAGATTGATGCCTCTGATATTTTGTTTTTGAAACCCGTGACACTCACCGATAATGTCCGTGACGAATGCCGAGCTGAACACCACCAGGAGGGTCAGAACCATCATAAAGGGCGTAGGCGATCCTTGATCTATCGAGCCTGACTTTCTCGCCATCCATCTAAAGCCCCACTTGATGGGAAACAGTAAAATCAACGCCCATCCGACAGCACAGAGCAAGACGTAGACCGCCGTGACACCCGCCCTGGCATTAACCAACGCAAGGGTCAAAGCGAGCAAGATCCATCCGACGACATCGTTGCCTACGCCAGCAGCGAGGACGATGACACCGACTTTAGTGTCGAGAAGTTTGGTGGAAGTCAAGATTCGACAGAGGACGGGGAAAGCGGTGATGGCCATGGCGACTCCGACGAAGAGTAGGAAATGGCCAAAGGTGGTCGAAGGGTCGACAAAGTTGTGGTAGACCGGTACAGCGACTGCTGCTCCTAGTCCGAAGGGAAGGAGCATACCTGCTGCTGAGATGATCGCGCTGTTCCGCCCATTCTTCTTCATGACGCTCACGTCCACTTCTAGACCGACCAGGAATAGGAAGAGGATCAAACCGATGGTAGAGACGAGGTTGAGGAATGGTAGAGAGTCATGGGGGAAGATTCGACGTGAAAAGTTTGGGATTCGACCAAAGACTGTGGGACCGAGAATGACGCCTCCGATGACTTCCGCAATGACTCGCGGCTGCTTGATGAATGAGAAGGCCCATCCTAGGCAAGAAGTGAAGGATATGATGATGACGAGCTGGATGATGAAGAGGGTGATTGGCTGAAGAGGAAGAAGGTTGGGGCATCAGCATTTCGCATGCAGGTCAGAAGTGTCGTCGAGACGACTCACATTGGCGGGATCATAAGCCGATGGGTTATCGCCAGCGAGAACACTCGACTGATGAGCGAACGAGAGTCAGTCAGATTTCTCCACAACACTCTCCAGTCCCGTGCTCACCGAGATGGAACGCGATGTCAGACTCAAGAAATGAGTCGGATCGCCAAAGATGTTACGGTCAAACATGGCGATGACGGAGTGGCGGGGAGAAGGGAGAGGGATAAGAATGGAGAGAAACGAGAGTTGACCTTTGGAGCTATATAAAGAGGATGATCGCTTGAAACCGCTCGGAAGATAGGCGATCCCTACACAAAGGGACTGATTGATGCGGTTACAGTCGCGCGAAGCCTCACTAACCCCCGGACAGACGAAATGTCAACGGGGTACAAAGGGACGTCGTGTGGTGAGCGAGTGTAGGAGGGGTGGAGGAGGAGGAGGAAAGAAGAGCCAACAAACGCGTATATTCCTTTACTATCGACGATGGTATGATCAGATGATGATGGGTAGTAGGTCGTCGGTGTCCCCTTGGCGTGTAGGTAGATCAGGATAGATGATCGAAATGTGACTGGTGGTGTCGGGCGGCAAAGGTACGTACGAATGGGAAGGGGAGTGAGGGACGCGGCTGCACAACACGAGATGAAGGAAAGAGATCCAGTGATCGTTTGTCCTTGTAAGAGTTGAGTCCACCCTATGGAAGTCCCTTGCGCTGGATGCCAAGGGTGAAGCAGGTGGCGAAAAGGAGCGATCCTAGCTAGCTCCTCTGTTGGAGATATGAACAACGAGGTCGGCGGCGGCGAATTGATGGGGAGCGGGTAAAATCTCAGAGCCATCCATACGTTTCAGATGGTGGAAATGTCAGGATGAAGACCACATGATCCCTTCAAGGTCTCATGATAGGTAGGTAGAATCGGTGAAGATAATGTACGAACATGAACGTGACCGGCGGGAGAGAGTCTGTTAGATTTATTATTTCTCGTGTGGAGTTGGGAGACGAGAAAGAGTCCAAAATTGGGTGGGTTGCTTGGCACAAAAATTCCCCGATTCAGTAAATAGCAATAATGGACGATCCCATCTGGCCCGGGTGGGCATACGTTTGCTTGTTAGCGGAGCGGGTGGCTCAGCCTCAGCTGACACATAGTACAAGCGCGGCAGCAGACAATCGAACGCGTCGACATGTCATGGGCCGTGTGTTAGGCTTACTTTCATCCCATCCCTCCCAAGTCCATCAAGTTCATGCTTTGGAGATATTGCAGTCAGTCGATGAATGCTGCGAACGTGATGCATTCATGGTGACTGGGAGTGGAACGCTCCCCTTCTTCTCTCTTTCCTTCCCCGCACATTAAACAGGCTAGATCCACAAACACTTCTCTCTCCCTCTTAAAGTGAATCTATCATGGATCTCCCTTCCCCTCTTTCACTTTGCAAGGAGGAAAGGGGGCCGGGACGTGACTACAACAGACATTGAATCAATAGCTACATCTCGTTTCTCTTCAAACATCCAGGGACGGCGCCGTGGCCTATAGTAGACCCACAAAGGCCGAGGCAATGACAGCGACAAAGGCGGATCCGAATCCAGTGGCGATCGCCCCTCGTCCTGCGCTACCACTGTTCTTGGTACTGCCACTGCCACTGCCGTTCGTGCTGGTACTGTTGGAACCACTCGTTCCTCCACCAGTGGTGCTACCTCCCGAGACGGATGTTCCGTTCGAAACAGATTGAGCGCTACCACTGAGTTGAGCGAATCCAATGGCTGGAGGGTCGTATTGGAAAACAGAGTAGACATTCTTGAGGAATGAGGCACCGACAATCCAGTCAACAGGTGAGTTTTGGCCCCTTAAAAACACAGCAAGTTCAGTCTCGTCCCAGATCGATGCTTGGGGAGGTACTCACAGGTCCATTTCGAAGAACGCTCCGGTACACATGCTACTGTCCCGAGTGAACGAACCAAGATTGAAATCGGCGTTGCTCATCGAGTAGGCGAGGCCTCCAAATTGGAGGGTTACGTTGACGGTGGTGCTGCAAGGGTACTGGTAGTATCCTTCGAATCCAGAGTCTTGAGACATGGCTTCTGAGTTGGGGATCTGGGCATAGATGGCTTGGACATCGGATGGTGATCCAGAGATCAAGGTGGTACCAGTGTCGATGGCGGACATTCGGTCAGTCTAGGGCAGAGTAAGCGAAAAAGAAATCTCGACCAACACGCGTAACTCACCACACCAGAGACTTGAGACCCTTGAACAGTGATGACCTGCATTGGGATACGCCAATAGTCCTCTTCAGAAGAAGGGAAAGTGATGTAGTTGACATTGCCAGTGTACTTTGACGAGTCGAGACCACTGTCAGGATACGTGAGCACGAATGCGCAGACAGTGTAAAGAGGTAACGACGACTCACCCCATGGTCAATTCTCCACCTTGTGATTCCACTTCTGTCGCGTAGGGATCACCTCTGTATCGTTGAAGGAAGAAACCCATTCTGGATTCAGACCATTGACCGGTCGAAGCGAGCTCTTCCCAGAATGGTGTGGCCCCAGTCTGAGCGATACTTTCCCATGCGAATCCGAGAATGCCCGAGATGGGGTTATCGATCACGCCTTGGGATGTCTGGTTGACGGTACCTATGTCACCATCAGGGTCAGCATTGTGAATTCCGCTTGCTTTCAACAGCTCGTCTACTGACCAAAGACCTGGTCGATGGTGAATCCAGCGATTGTCACTGTGTCCTTGCCGATTCCTCCCAAGGCATCTCCAGACCCATAAGTGATATCGAACGCTGTGTTCTCGTTGGTGAAAGTGGAGGATTTGGCGGGGTTGAACAGGTCTGCTTGTTGACAATCTTGACTTGTACATTGGGTCGTGGCGACCCACATGTCGGAAGAACCAGTGTCGAAGATGAGGAGGAAGTCTTGAGACGGGGTGCTGCAAGACATCAATCAAAGGTCAGGATCGAGTGCTGCTCGAGGCATGCTGGGTATGATCCAGAGACTTACCCTATGGCTACCTGACCCGAATACGAAGCGTCGATACCGGAGTCTGTGAGGCTGAAGGGGCTTGTCAGTAACGACGTGCATTGTCCAAATATGATGAGTACCCCACTCACGTCACCGATCCTGTCGCTCGCTTCTCCATCTTTCTCCTGGCAAGATCTTCATCATGCTTATCCCTCGCTTCCGGAGACAGATGTTGACGATACTTTGTCTTTGCATTGGCGGCTTGAGCCTTGAGCCAATTTTGTCTATCTGACAGATCTGAAGAGAATTGCCTCGTACGATGCGCTTTCAATGGCATCCTGTACGGTTCAGGGGTTGGGGATCGAGAGGATAATTGTTGAGCTGAGGACGGAGCTCTGACACCGAGAGGGGGAGCTGCCAGAGCTGGGAGAGCGGGGAGAAGGAGGAGGGAAAGGGGGACGTAGGTGTACATGATGCTGGTGATGGGATCGACCGGGATGCCAATGGTAAGATTTCGGTCGCTATATGCTTTCCTGATGTGACTGACAGGTGGGACTGTTCTATGGCACAGAAGCGTTATCCCAGGGCTGCTCTGCTATAGGTCTCCCGATGGTGTGATGAGATGGTGAGAGGCAAGAGTGTGATGGATATCCAGACTTGGTTGATTTCTATTCCAACTGCCAAGGTGGTCGGTCACTGTCAGCGATGAGACGTTCCCTTTTTTCTCGCAGCCGCAGCCAACTCCTCCCTATGATCATAAACTCACCGCCACCTCTGATTGCCTTTCGTTCTATGCCGAAGGGGGGTTCTGGGCAGGGGTATGGGTATGGTACGAGAGCAAGAGGATGAAGAGAGAGAGCCAAGAACAAGAGGATTTAACAGAGCCAGACACTGTGTTCAACAGATTTATGAATCAAACGATGATGATGATGATGATGTCGATGGAACTCCGGTATATGGAGCTGGCAGTGACCTGTCTCTGACGACGCAATCGGCCTTGTGCTGTGAAGGATTGCTGCTGCTGCTGCGTCACCACTGTGATCTCATCCTCATCATCGCTCAGGTCAGCCCCTCTCCGCCGCCGCAAGCAGCAGCACTGCTATTCAGAAAAAAAAGGGAAATAGAAATAAAATCCAGCTGCGGTTAGACTGCGGGCCGCGGGCGCGTGGGAGGGCGATTAGAAAAAAATGCTAATACACCGAACATTAGACATTTTATCAAACGCCGGGGGGAGGGCCACGCGGCGTGCAAATCACCCACGTGGAGTCAAGGTGTGGTGGCGATGGGCCAATCAGGCGGGCGCTTCGAAAGGTCGAGGTGGCACCAAGGTGGACCAGTCAACTGGCAACGAGGGACCTCGTCTGGGATGAAAGACATGGTTCAAGCAAGATACACATACTCCGCTATCCCAGCCTATGTGCAAAAGTCCATCATATGCATTGGCGTTTTCATTCCGTGCACCTAGACACTATCGGTGGCGTGCCTCGCCGGTTTAGGTACAGATCAGATCTACTAGATCTGCCCAAAAATCGTGACGTGTTGAGATCTCCGACGACCCACGGAATTTTAAGATGATCAAACCTCCACCTCGGTGATCCACCAGGAATCTGGGCTGGGTTGAGAGGTCCATTCGAATAAAACCTGGTCATGGAGGGGTATGTCTTTGGGGCTGGGATTCACCATCCTGATCCCACCATTTGACAAGCCAAGTCATGTCTTCCTACGACGGACAAACGAAAGCGAGTGATCTCGTACGCGAGCTCGCCCCTCACATCCATGGCAAGACCATCCTCATCACTGGCGCGTCCAGTGGACTAGGAGCGACCTATGTAGAGACAGTGATCAAGTCGCCTCGACCGCCCGCTCGGATCATCCTCACAGTCAGGGATCAATCGAAAGGTCAAGCCCAAGTGAAAAAGTGGTCTTACATCAACTCGGATGTAAACCTCCAAGTCATCTCGCTCGACTTGGCACGTTTCAAATCTGTCCGAGAGGCGGCCAAGCGAGTCAATGAACTGGAATTCGCCATCGATGTACTGGTCAACAATGCCGGCGTGATGGCTATACCGTATGAGAAGACCGAAGATGGGAATGAGATGCAGTTCCAGGCGAATCATTTAGGACATTTCTTATTCACCAACCTGATCTTGAACAAGGTCCTAGAGTCAAAATCCGGAGGGAGGATCATCAACGTGTCAAGTGACGGTTACAGGCTAGGACATGTCAGATACTCAGATCATGATTTCCATGTGAGCACGGAAAACCAAATCCCCAAGCTCCGGCGTTGCGTCCCTCCACATTCCTTCCTCTCTGATCAATCTGCATCTCAGAACGGCAAGTCATACGACAAGTGGATGGCCTACGGTCAAAGCAAAACGGCTCAACTATTATTCTCTGAAGAGCTTGCCAGACGATACGGCTCGAAGGGGCTCCAAGCGTTCGCCGTCCATCCAGGTGTCAATATGGGGACCAGTTTGAGCAGACACGTCAATGAGAAAGAGGCAGAAACGTTTTTCGGCTCGTTGAGTGCGTCAATGTCGCTTCCATTCTTCACCCACTCTCCTGGCTGATGCTATTCGTCCCCAGCCGCTATAGACCAACTGCAAGGTCATCCACAAGCCTGGGCAGGATTAAAGCCTGTCAGCCCGGACCAAGGTGTCGCCACGCAGGTCTTGTTATCCTTCTCACAGGATTTCAAAGGTGAGTCAGGGAGCCAGTGGTGTAGATCAAGAACTCTTGAGCTGACGACGCTCGACAGACTACAACGGTGACTACTTTGAGGGGTGTCAACCTTTGCCGAAGGACGAGGTGTACCCTTGGGCTCTGGGCGAGAGAGAAAGTCGCAAATGCTGGGCATTGAGCGAGAAGCTGGTCGGTGAGAGGTTTTAGAACGAGCAGGCGGTCTCTTTTTAGACATGTTTGAGTATCGCGGATGGTGAGGCAACCTGGCAGGGGTCAATGGAGGGTTGGTCAGAGCTCATCACGGATGTCTCCTCTCGACATCCTTCGCGCCCCAGACTATACATACATGTCATCATCTGTCGTGTCGTATTTCCTCGTGTGGCCTGCTTCTAGCTTACATGTCTCGCTCGTGCTCCTACTCTCCAGTCCACAGCTGAATGACTTGCGCTGGCTGGCTCAGTATCTTCCCGCATCGATAATTGCCTTCTGCGCCTCCGTCACCTTGCCTTCCTTCTCCATTTCCTTCCAGAACTCATCTCTGAGTTTCTCTCCATCCTTCGCGACGAGTAAAGAAGTGTACACCATACCCCGTTTGATCCCATCCGCCAATTCACACTCGTACCTCATGAGCCATTTCAACTGTTTCTTGTTCCTCAAATCTCTGTATGGATGAGCACTGAGGATCTGCTTGATGGTGACATCGGAAGGCGGTACACGAGGAGCCGAGGGATGATGGTTAGAAGAAGCTTTCTTCTTCTTGCTCAGGATGGATTGAATATCGGTGCTGTGGGTTGAGGTGGACGCAGTTGCAGATGCTCGTGAAGGCCTTTTACCACTTTGTCGAGTGGATGATGGAGTGTTCATCAGGCAAAAGAGTCCTATATCAGCCCCTGTTGAGTCATGACGGGATACTCGTCCCGGCACAGTGTCAGAACGCACTCATGGTAGGGGAGGTATGATGACGCCAATGGAGATCCGTCTGTGATGTGATGTGAAGTGGACTGTTGTTTTGGCCCTGTTGCGGTGAGCTGTATCAGCAACGTCCAGGCTTGAGATGACAGAGACGATCTCACCTATCATGTAGATCTGGTATGTAGCTTCCCACCCTTCAGTAACACTGCTGAGCGGTCGTAGTCACATCAACATGTAATTTCCAAGACGCGCTCGCGCTCGACCAATTTTATGGATGCATGCGCTCGGACCACCTAATGACATCTGACCGATGCACGTTTGTATACATGTCATACTCAAGCGAGTGAACGGATACGAAGACCATGGCCTGCCTATCGGGGTTCATGTTCTGCATGATTCGATGTCATCCTCCTTAAGGCCGAACAGATGCGCACCTGACAAAGACTCACTCACTCACACAGCGATACGGTTCCGCCTACTGTTCACTCTCCCACGGTCGTTGCTCTTCGCCCCCCCTCCCCCAATCCGCAGCGGGTACTCCTTTTTTTTTCCTGGTGTGTTGTGTCCGCGTCTAAACCGCCATTCAGCAGCTCGTAAATAGAAGTAGCTGATCATCAACATCCTCGACACAGTCCTCAAAGGCTTGATCCTGTGTACTCGATAGCGTAGAGTGTGGTGTGTCTTGCAGTAGTGCGATACTCACACGGTCATTCGACGAAGATCAGCTTCATCAAAGCTATCTCTTTTGAAGCATTCCGAAGACGCTCCTCCCCCTTCCCGTACCTATCCTTGAGGTCACCTTCTGCTCGACCCGATCAATCGCTGCTACATGTCTAAACCTAATTTGTTCGCCCCTACGCCCGTGGGCTCTCGACCTGCATCTCCACCACCGGGATACCCTATGGAGTCTGAAACCGATAGAGATAGACGGGACGCCCAGTCGTTGTTGATGAGTCAATTAGGGGGAGCCGATAGAGCCAAGGAGAATGCACAAGGCAGGAACGATGTCGGGCCACCGAGTACGAGAGATCAGGGTGAGTCGATGGATAATCCATGACCCCTGGCACAGCACAAGCGTCTGGTGCCCAGATGCTATGGGATCTGTTTCCGGTGGGACAACCAAGCTGACCCGGAGCGTCGCCTAGCTTTGCCAATTTTGTCGTATTGTGCCGCAAGTATCATGATGACGGTCGTCAATAAGGTGAGCAGAGACATGGTCGTCACAGATCTTTTCCTGCTGCTGATTATCTTAATCCCGCTACAGTACGTCGTCTCCGGAGCCAATTTCACCATGACATTCCTCCTGTTGGCCATTCAATCCAGCGTCTGTGTCCTGGCCGTGTGGTCAGTCAAGCGGATGGGCATGATCAATTGTGAGCTGAAATCTATGTGTCGATGTAACCTGACTCCTCCTGTCAGTCAGAGATTTCGATAAGAACGATGCGAAAGTCTGGCTGCCCGTTTCATCCCTTCTCGTCGCTGTCATATACACTGGATCAAAGTCTCTGGTGAGCTGCAATTTCTTACTGAGATTCCAGCTGACTTTTGCTGCCTAGCAATTCCTGTCTATCCCTGTTTACACGTGAGCGCAGCTTGTACTTTCGGCTCGAGCACCCGCTAAAGTTCCGTAGGATCTTCAAGAACCTGACCATCATCCTCATTGCATATGGCGAGGTATTCATGTTCAACGGTATGGTCACTGGCTTGACACTCGTGTCGTTTGCCCTTATGGTCAGTTAACTCCTGGGATATGAGCGCGCTAGCTCGCTCGCTCGCTAACTTTCGCTCGCCTTCAGGTCGGCTCCTCCATCATCGCCGCGTGGGCCGATATCTCCTCAGCGTTCCGATCTCCCGCGCCTATTGACCCATACACTGGTCTCGAGACGCCCGCTCTCCGAGCGACCATTGGATCCATCAACGCGGGATACATTTGGATGGCCCTGAACTGTCTTGCTTCGGCCGGATACGTCCTGTTCATGCGAAAACGAATCAAGTTGACAGGATTCAAAGATTGGGATTCCATGTTCTACAACAATCTCTTGTCGATCCCAATCTTGGTCGTGGCGAGTATCATCATTGAAGATTGGGGGACGGAATCGTTGGCGAAGAATTTCCCAGCTTCCAATAGGGTCCTCTTACTTTCCGCCATGGCTTTCTCTGGCGCAGCGGCAGTCTTCATCTCGTACTCGACCGCGTGGTGCGTTCGAGTCTGTGGATCAACGACCTATTCAATGGTTGGAGCTTTGAACAAGTTGCCAGTCGCTGCATCTGGCATGCTGTTCTTTGGCGATCCAGTCTCATTCGGGAACGTCTCGGCGATCGGCGTGGGTGGCTTGGCGGGGATAGTGTATGCCGTCGCGAAAACCAATCAAGCTAGAGTCGATGCGGCCAATAGGTCAAGAGTGTTGCCTGGAGGTGGAAGATAGGTGCGAGGGAGAGATTTCTGAAGCGAACGAAGCACAGCAGGTGAAAACCACGGGAGAAGGAACATTGGATCTCACTTCTGCGATTCACTGCTGTCTGCTGTTCGGGAGCCAACGTAACGTAATGCGCTTTCCGGATCCATATTTTAGATGCACATGTGGGTGTTTTGATCAACGCGTCTTTCCCAAATCTTGCGGCAGGTGTCGCATCCCCTACGTACATGACGATGTCCATGAACATCCATCCTTATACGCTATTCCGACTGCATCGTGTCCTGCCGTGATTCAATGCAAGCATTGACCTGACCAACCCAAACCTTGCTGTTCTGGTCAGTGCCTCCTTCGAACACGAAGTAAGTCGCGGCTTGCTACGTCTCTCCCACAATGATCCTTACTCTAGACGACAGTCCTGGACTCCTGGTTACAGACGAAAATCAATCCATTGGCAGCCACAAGGATGTCCTGGCTGATACGTCTGACGTAATACTTCCAGGGCATGACGTGGACTCAATTCGCAGCAATCCGTCGTTATCAATGAACGATTGCCTCATCGCCTCAGGAGACGCATCTAATTGTGCGATCTTCAATTCCATTCATTCAGTCATATCTGTCATTGAACACCGTCTCTCATTATCGCATTTGCGCGAATACCGTTCATCTCAACGAGAGCCCGTCTACCTGAATTGCCGTCACCTAGAGGAAGGAGAGGAAGCGCTCAGAAGCTCCCAAGTCAACTGCTTATCCAGCATGTTTTCAACGGCGACAAACCCCTACGATGATCTCATCAGTGAGTTCCGAATTCCATTTTGGTAGTCGCGAGTGTGTGCGTGCGTGCGTGTTGAAGCCACATCTGCAGCCAAAGCGACCAACGAGAATCTCGCTTCGGAGGACTGGGCACTGAATATGGAAGTTTGCGACAAAGTATCGGGTGATGGCTCCACTGGGTAAAGCTCATCACGTCCCCTCTCCTCATTCATTGCCACTGACTTTTTCGACTTTCAGCGCTCGCAATGCCGTCGGAGCATTGACCAAGCGGTTGACACACCGCAATCCTAGTGTCCAGCTTTACGCTCTCGAGGTGGGCTTTCGCGGTTCGAAATGCCTTTCCCTCTAGCCTCTTGCTCACCCCATTTTGCTTGCGCAGCTTGCCAACACCCTCGCTCAAAACTGCGGAAAGCCATTGATGGAGGAGATGTCTTCACGCAATTGGACAGGTGCATTGGATAGACTCGTAAATGACAGAGTGAGTCGGTTTTCCCCCACGAGCCAGCTGTAGATGCCCCCCTGGAGACTCATCTGTGCCGTGTCAGACGACTGCCAAACCGGTCCAGAAGAAGGCTCTTGGATACATTAAATCATGGGCAAAGCAATTTGAGGATACTGGCGACCGCAATGTGGGAATGATGGGAGAGCTTTATGATCAACTCAGACGTAAGGGTGAGCTAGTGTAGTCGATTCGACGGATCATAGCCTCACACCTCGCAGATCTTCAATTCGACGAACCCGAACCGACCCCGGAATCGCCCGAAGAAGCGCGGAGACGTCAGGAGGACGAAGAGTTGAAGCGAGTCCTGGAGCTCTCCAAGCAAGACAAAGGTGGACGTTCGTCATCTTCGGCTGCCCCCGCCGCAGGTTCCGGCTCCTCATCCTCCTCTGCGAGACCTAACGGCAACGCTTACGCATCGACGTCACGGGTCGAATCTAGCCCACCTCGCCGGATCGAAAGCGAGCTTCCACCCATTCCCGACCTTGAGACCGCGACCCGGGTACGAGCACTGTACACCTTCACGTCGAACGAGATCGGGGAGCTGAATTTCGAAAGGGGAGATGTGATCAAAGTCTTGGATAGAGGATTCAAGGAGTGGTGGAGAGGGGCATGCAACGGGAAGATTGGGGTGAGTTTCTGTACATCTACTGTCATTTTACAGCTCACACGACCCCAGATATTCCCAACCACATATGTCGAGGCTGTTGCGGAGCCATCTGCCAAAGAGTTACAGGACGAAGCGAGAGACGAGGCCCGTGTGTTCGCCTCACTCGGTGAGCCGGGCCGATTGTCACCTATCAGAGGACTGCTGATCCTCGACAGGCCTTGTCGATCAGCTGCTGCAGACCTTGAAATCTGTCGATCCCGCCCGAGGTGACAGGATAGACAACAGGCCTGATATCGAAGTGAGTCTTTCTCGTGAAATTCTGTCTCCCTCGCTCACGGCCTCAGGAAATGTACCAGGCCAGCGTGGCATTGCAAGGACAGATCAATACCCTCATCAAGAAGTACTCGGATCAAAAAGGTCAGTCAGGAGCGTTTGAACCTAATGTCGGCGTTGATGTAGTACAGCCGAACTCGAACACATGAATGCTAACTTTGTGCGAGCTATGCGACAGTACGAGGAGTTGCGAAACGGTTCTCAGCCAGCTCAGCCTCGTGCGTAATATATCCGTGAGCCATGTCAAGCTGACACAGTTCAGAGTATGGCTACCATCCTCCGGCTGGGTACCCACAGCAACCTCAGACGAATCAGTATGCTCAGAATCCCGCACAATCTGCAATCCCAAACCCATGGCAGCAGTCTCAACCTGGACCACACTCGTACGAAAGCGCACCAGATCCTCGCGTGTATCCGGCGGAAGCTCAGCAGTATCAGCAGCAGCCGCCGCCTCAGGAGTATCAGCAATCTCATATCCCGATGCCCATGCCTACTGGCGTATCTGGCGTTGGCGCAGATGTGTCACGTCAATCATCGTACACCTCGCCCACGCGTGAGACCGGACCTCAATACGGTGCTGCTCATCAACCTGCCCCCGGATCTGCACCGCCGCAGAATGGTCAACCCGGACAACCTTTCTACCACCAATACTCTGCTTCGAATTCTTCCTTACATCGAGCCCCGACTGGCGCGCCTGATCTCCCGCCTACCTCTCCTCAACGCCAACCGACACAGACTCGACCTGGAGCAGCCGGTGTTGGATCAGGTATCGCCGCATCTGGTGGGACTGAAGCGGAGAACAAGGCTGCATGGGATGCATATTACGCTCAACAAGCGCAACAGCAGAATTACGGCCAGCAGTCTCATCAACCTGGATATCAGGGCTATCCTGTCGGGCAAGGTCACCCTGGTGGACACGAGGGTCAACAGGGAGCTGGCAACAGAGCTTCGTCGTACGGCGGTCCAGGACTCCAAGCGGGCGGAGTAGATCGTGTGACTTCGGGTATGAACCGGATGTCTGTGCATGGGCAGTGAGGATGAGGGACGCTGTGCCATGAGTACGAACTTGAAGCATCTCGGTCTGCGATGTCTCGCTACCACTTGGTTGTATCGCGAAATGAATATCATGTAGATTTGGAGGAATTGAGATGAGCTCATAGAGATGCATTGGCTTGTACCAAGATGGTGGCCATCATTCATCGCTGATGCCCACGCACACCACAAAGATCGCCGCCTATGACCAGATGGCCATTCGAGGGTCAACCTTGCCGGGATCATTGAACCTGAAATCTTGATCGAGGGCGGTGATGTCCTTGGTAATCGTTGTCAGGTCCTGACCCTCGATTCATTTGTCGTCACCGAGACCCACTTTTAATTCTTTCTCAGTCAGGTCAAAGTCACAGCAAGCGAGATTCTCTGCCAATCGTTCTGAGTGGTTCGACTTTGGGATGACGGCGATGTCTCGTTGGGTCGACCATCGGAGCAGGACTTGCGCTGGAGTCTTCTTGTGAGCTTTACCAGCCGCGACAATGTGCTCTTCCTCGAACAAAGAGCCAATTTTGCTGAAGCAGGTGTGTGTGTCAAGAATATGTCAAAAGTGTGCCACGGCAGGCAAGGGCTCACGGTTGAGGTCCATAAGACGGACCCCCGAAAGAGCTGTAGGCCGTGATGTGGATCTTGTAGGCTTTACAGAGTTGAATCAGTTGCTCTTGTACGAGGAGCCTTGTGAATTAGGACACAGCACTCAGCATCAAGCGATACACACCACCTAGCACTCACGGATGCATCTCGACCTGCAGGACCGCAGGAGGAATCCGCGCATAAGTCATCAAATCGGAAATGAGGACTCCTCGGAAGTTTGAGATTCCAATGTTTCTAGCCTTCTTCTTGTCAACCAGAGATTCCATCACTGCCCAGGTCTTGTAAATCGGTGCGTCCTCCAGGATAATGGTTCCTTTTCCATCATAAGACCATCCGGGAGGATAACGGACTTTCGGATCGACTGGACAGTGTGCCGAGCGGGTCAGCCAGAAGAAGAGAAAGAAGTGGGTTTCGAAAGCAAAACACTTGCCATATTTGACGGCGATCGGGAAATGGATATGGTATAGATCAAAGTAGTCTAAACCCCATAAATCAAGAGACATTTGGCATGCGGGTTCGACCTTATCTTCGGCGTGCTGGTGGTGAGGGGAGAAAAGAAAGAAGAGGAATGAGTGTCCGTCTCAAAGCTGTCTGACGTACGAAATTTGACCACAGCTTGGAAGTGATGAAGAGGTCTTCTCGTTTGACAAGTCCTTCGTCGATAGCTTTCTGGACACCTTGACCAGCTTCTCGCTCATTCCCATAATCTCCAGCACCTAACATCCAGTCAGACACAAGCGCAAACCTTGGCCCAAGGTAAAAGGCCGACTCGCCATCTAACAACCTGTATCCCGCTTTAATCGCTTCGTAAACGGCATCCGCACATCGGTCTTTGGGAATCTGCCATAATCCCAATCCAACCAAGGGCATCTGTTGGCCTGTAGGCTCGAGCTTGACCAAAGGAGTCTTGACCATTCTGCCAGAAGTCGATCAAAGTCAAAAACAAGCTGGATGAGAGAAAGGATGATCGAGTGAAGGGTCCTCGAGGAGAAGCGGTCAGAGTGGAGGATAGAGAGATCTTCTTGTTGAAGGCGGGTGGAGGCGGTTACAGGTGGGGGAAACCACGTGGGAGACCCATAATTCGGGTCCGAAAGATGTCTATTGTGCTTAAAAGGTGTGAGGGAGCTTGCCATACAGACAGTGTCAGTGTTCAGCTCAACGGGATGGCGAGCTCATCCTTTCCATCGTCTATGCAGGCTCAAGAGTATGATCCGGCTCAACATTCGTCCTCGGCTGACCCTTCTGGGACGGTCTCGCCGGCTTCTCTCACTGGGCTGACTGGGATAGAGTCGGCGACAGGTTTGAACACTGAAAAGCTAGGAGAGACCAGTCGACCACAACGGACGACACGCGGACAGCAGAATATGGTCGGTGCAGATTCAGATCAGTCGAAAAAGTCTGTGTCTATGGACGATGCGAACGCTGTGGCCTCGGGAAGCGGGAGTAGGTCCTCTCATTCGACATCGACAAAGCGATCTGCGAAAGCAGCTGCCAGAAAGGAAGCTGCACACCTGCAATCCCAGGATGATCTGAACGAGTTCTTGGAAGAGTTTTGGACGAAGCAAATAACATTGATGGAAGAGGAGGACGTTAGCGCGGGCTATGCTCTGCCTTTGGCGAGGATAAAAAAAGTCATGAAGAGTGATGAGGATGTCAAGGTGAGTGAGTTCCTAACCGGGGGAGAGGTGGGAAAAAGGTTAATGGAGGTCTTCTGTTCTCTCTCAGATGATCTCGGCAGAAGTACCTATCATGTTTTCAAAGGCATGTGAGAGTAAGGCATTCACCCATATCGCCGTGAAACTTGTGCTCAAACGCCGACCTCAGTATTCATCGCGGAACTCACTTGTCGCGCTTGGCTCGTTGCGGAATCACAAAAACGACGAACACTGCAAAAGTCAGACGTGGCCGCTGCGATAGCTTGCTCAGACATGTTCGACTTCTTGATCGATATTGTTCCTCGGGACGACGTTGAAGGGGCAGGAGGCGGCACAGGTGGAGCGGGCACGACCGGTACAGCCAACGGAGCAGATGAGGGCGATGATGGCGACGACGGTGGCGGCGAGGACGAGGATGAGTTGTTGTAAAGGGGCTCATCGTCAGGCTTCTCTTTGCACCAGTCAGTGTCGACAATCATGCATGTTGTATGTGTCTTGATGAATCATTCTACGTCGGGCAAAGTGACTGCCCCCCCAGAACGCGCCAAGGGCACTCTATGCTCTCTTCTTTGCTCTATCAACATTCCTCAATAGACAGTACTCTCCCCATTGCCTGCCAGCTTCCAGCAGGTCTCCCGGTACCCAATATAGTCTAGCCCACCATTGCGAGCCTTCTGCATCGAGGAAAGGCGTACAGAACTCCTTTTGCCATTCAGGAGAAGCTGCCCAATCAGGCTCGAGAGTAGTATGACGTGTGGAAGGCATGTGCGAGGCGACGATATAATCGCATTGCTGAGGTTGGACCTGAATCATACTTGCGTCAATGACCCACAAGAGCAGGGGAAAGGAAACACTCACATAGGTGCCGGGCTCAGCGGATGCCTTGTTCTCGCCATTGAACCTCCCTGGTCTGGAGACTCTTGTTTCGGACCTCGGCCAAACACTGCTGGAGATCGCACTGGCTTCCCATTTACGAGGCATCATGCCGTCGAAATCTGTTCTGACCCACTGGACATTGACGCCTTCAGGAATGAAGTAGCTCGAAGGGTAGCGGTACCATTCTGTACCGTAGCAGAGAGTTATCGGATCATCCATCTTGGCCAGTGGTGAATAATCCCAATCGGGGGTTATCTTCTCCCTTGGTTTCGGCTTGTATCGCAGCGGAATAGGCGAATAGCCGAGGGACGAGAGGATGCCGGGGATAGTGCTGTATTGGAAATGTCGGACAATCTCAAATGGACCGTGATAGAAGTGGTGAAGGGCGAGGACGCGCGAAATGGACAGGAGGGAAGGGATGACAATGCAAAAGAGGGAGAAATTGGAGAACCAGGTGGATTTGGAGGCCTGTAAAAGGGGACTGGTTCAGTTTCTGGCCTCACCGGATCAAGAGCGCACTCACCTGGTAAGGAGATTTTGTGACTTTAATGTATGCGACCTCGGCCCATCCCTTGATCAGATATATCCCTACGGCGGCATTGAAGCACAGTAGAGGATACAAGGGGAACATGAAGCGCTCCTCCTTGTGAGGCTGCAAGCTCATAATCACCAGCCAGAGGTAGAAAGGAGCCAATCGCGTAGCCAGCAAGGTGTACGGGCTGGTCTCCCCTGCCTTTGGAGACATTTGGCTTTTGCCAAGTCGACGATTGTCGACAAAATACGTCACCAGCAGGCCTGGGAGAGAGACAAGTGCAAACGGTAACAGATAGTTGAAGTTGAGGAACAGGTTGGCGAGGTAGTACCACCATGGGGAGATCCCGTACAGATCCGGTCCATTACTCGAGAAGATGTTGTAGAGAACAATGTTGAGCGTCGGGAACGTTTGACGACCATAGGCCCAAGAGTCGATCAAGTACACCGCCGGCTAACGTTCAAATTAGCATCGAGGAGCCGTCAAGTCACAAAGCTACTGACGACGATAGATAGAGAGATGACCACCGCTGAGATCATACTCTGCCAGCGTTTGGCCGTCAAGGTTGACCGGGCACCACCAACGGCAACATCACCGCCAGTCAAGAAAAGATATTCGAAGACCAGCGGAATTCCAATTGCGGCGCTGAATGGCCATCCAACAATCGCTCCAAGAGCAACGAAGAACGTGGCTTTGCGGATCCTGCTGATACCGATGGAGTCTGAAGTCGCGGGGTGGAATGAGTACGAACAAGCCAAGAGAGTAGTGTACATCGTAAATGAGGACGGCAGGAATGCTGGGACGCTTGGTCAGTACGTATGCGATGCAGCTCGTGATATGAGCCACTCGCCTACGCTTGCGCTCCACATGCCAGCAGAGAAGGCCATGGCGAATAAAGTATACCGTCCGACATGCTCGTTGACTGCCTCGACGACTGCGCGGTAGAACTTGGCTTCGCACAGTGACGACACGAGGCCGAGCGATAATCGCAGTGCGAAGAATTGTTGGCGCTGACGAGGAAAGAGTTCAGCAAACGACCGCGTCAGGAAAACGCGGTCGGGGCACTCACCTTGCCGACGCGCAAAATCATCGGAGCCAGATGAGCCAGGGGCCAGTGTAATAAAACGTATGCCCAGCTTCGAATCGCGTACTCAGGCAAGAGCTCCCACGTTTGGAAACCTGAATTATGTCTGAAGTAGTGAAGAGGTTCGAGAAAGTTGAATACTGTTGGAGATTTGAAGTCAGTACAAATGAATGTCAACAGATCGTGTAGCTCACCCTCATCGCAGTCTGATATCAGACTGTACATCGCTCCAGCTGATCTGATCAATAGAAGCATCCTCACAGCAACGGAGAAGGACGGCACGAGCGGGCCTGCTCCGGTCCTGGAAAGGCGGACATAGTTTCAGCAAAAGAAATATGTAGATAAGGTGGCCTCTCACCTGCCCAGCTTATCCTGTAGCAGCCCCTGATGCCTCCTCTTCCAGCTCTGTGGACCTTGAGACCCAAAAACATCCTTCTTGGCGACCTTGCCAGATGGATCCGCTTCGGCGGTAGTCACGGATTGAGGATGGCGTTGACGCAACCCATCTTCAGGAGCTGTGGACATCTTGAAGGGGTAGTTCTCTGTGGTCCTCCTTTTAGTGTGAGCTGGGCGCTCGACGAGATTTTCCGGTGGACAAGAGGCTTGCTTCCCTGTGCACAACAAGCTTGGGGTCAAACGCAAAGAGTGCTCGTGACCAGGTGACCAACAGTAGGAACCTCTTCCTCGGTGGTCCCTCGAGTTGCCGATGTTTCGGCTCATACAGCTTACGAAATTTGAACGATCAATGAAAATCCCTCATACATGGCCTTTGAGGATTTTGACTTTGACTCATCTTCTCGCAAATCGGCCATAACAATGGGGTGGAATCCATTCGGAGGGTCCTCAGAAGCTGGACCATCGAATACCGGATCGTCGTCGAGCGCCGCAACTACCGCTCCCGATCCACCCCGGCCGCTGGACTGGGATACAGTCTACAGGGACGAACTGAGGAATCAAGAGGCGCAGATCCCTACTGTGGATGATGTACCGACCTGTATGAGCCTATTGTGGGTCCGACATTATCAGCTGAGCTCGATATCGAGGCTGATCGATCTCTCGCAGTGACTCATTCTTCAAGTGTTATGGTGATTTGTCTGCCGAGACCTTGTGCCCGAGCGCTTCTGACCCTCTCCAGCTCTGTTTCCCGCTGTGCGAGGCTACTACCGGTATGGCTATGTCAGATCCTGTTCCCACAAATGGGATGACTACAAGTATTGCCTATCCATCAAATCTGAGGATGCAGAGGAGAGGAGACGGCTGTGGATCAAGCGAGTCGCAGAGGGATGGACCAAGCGAAGATTAGAGGGCAGTAGTGAGGACGTGTGGGAGGCAAGGAGGTGCGTGGACGGTCTTATCTCAAGAACCAAATGCTAATTAAAGCGTAGGACCCCGCCGGAAAACTTTCCTCCTCCTTGGCCTGAGGATCTAGGTAATGAACAGGTCACGACGTAGACCCATAGGCGATTCATGTATCATCCACACTCTCACCTTCCAGCATGCTCATCTCGAACAAGGCCCCCTCTCGATTCACTCTTAGTAATTCCTCTCTTGAGCATGGTCGCTTCTCCCAAGTACTATGTTCATTTCTTCCCCTCTGCGGCATCACCGTTCGCGTCAACATGCTCGTTCACATTCTCCTTGCCTCCACCGGTTCCCTGCTTTTTCTTTGATCCCTTACCGTGCTGACCGTTCTCATTCGCAAGCTGTTCTTGCCTCTTGGCCTCCTTCTTATCCTTCTTGGACATGTGTTGCGTCTAGTAACTGTCAGGACATGCTATGAAACACAAGACTCCAACGCGTTCTTTTCCCCCAGACTTACGCTTTCTCTGCCCATGATGATGCCACGACCGGAGAGGGAGTGAACGAAGAGTGGATGTTGAAGACAATGATATGGGTGATAAAACGCCCGGTGGCGACGGGACTGAATAGTGAAGAGGCAGCCTGGACCTGCTTAGTCTTATATACGCGTTATGGCTCCATTGAGAATGTTCTGGGAGTAAAAAGGATCGATAAAGGCTCCACTGCAGCGCATATGAGAGAAGGGAGGGCAGAGAGCTTGAAAGCAGCGACATGAAGCGCCTTCGATTGAGACACATCTCTGAGGTCGGGGCATGGGACAGGTCAATGTCAGATGGTTTGTCCTCATTCATCGTGACCGCCAGCCAAGAAATGACCAATTTCATATATGACGACACCTACGGATCCTCATCGGAAATGGAGCAAAATGCTCATGAATCTACATGGACAGTCCGCTCATTTTGCCTGCGAGACCCCCGGCCTTGCCAGCTCCACTGATTGGCCAAACGACCAACTTGCCATCTTTGCCCGCTGTCGAGACCTTTGTGACTTCTCCTCCTTGACCCCATTCATAAGGTTCGACCCAAGTGATCGAGTTCTGATGGACGGTCTTGAGAAGTCCATCCGCACCTACAGGAGTGAGTCCAGCAACGTTGGAAGCAGTCGAAGATTTAGACTGTCCCTTTGTGTCTGCAGATCGGAAGTGGGCAAATGCTTCGTTGTTGAGTCTTCCGACACCTCCCGAAGAGACTCGGTTGCCAGTCGAGGAGGGAGTCAACTTTGAGGCATTGTTGGGATCGTCGAGAGATTGAGAGAGAGTCCATCCGTCGCTTGAGCCAGAGTAGACAACAGGCTGGCAGTCGTGTCCCGCAGCGATGAGAGACGATTCAGAAACGAACGACAAGGCCAGGTATGGGAGTGAAGGGCATCGGACCGAGATGTGCGCGGCAGGTGGCTCGCCAGGTGCAGATGGGTACACGATGCTGATCGTCGAGTCGTGGCCTAGGTGAGGGATTCAGTAACGATCCTGCTCGCAGGTGTACGGCATTACTCACTAACATAAGCCAACACGTCTCCCGAAGGTGAGAACGCCACGTCGTGAATCCATCCTCCGCTAGGACTGGAGAACTCTCCACAAATGGTTCCGAAGGGCAATCGATCACCCCAGACTGTGGGCTCAGGTCTGAAACGTGAGCGGACTGCTGGCGCCATCTAGCTCACTTGGCATCAACACCCTTGATGAACGCCGAAAAGACGTAGGCTTTAGCGTCGGCCGCTCCGGCTGCGAGCAGGACATTGTTGGGGTGCCAGTCCAATGACAAGACGGTGGAACGAAGGGGCTTCTTGATGTGTTTTGAGACCCACCAATTGTTCTCCTCGTCAAAAGAGCAGATAGCAATAGTTCTGATTCAAGACGTCAGGGCTTCAAACCAGTTGCAAAAAAGCTGGACACACCTCGCACCGCTGCCAACCGCAAACTTGTCTTCCTTTGGACTCCACTTGACGCAAGTCGCAGCTCGGTTGATACGCAGCAAAACCAGCATGGGTTTCCAGATGCCATCGGTCAATGTCCATACATAAGCATTTCGGTCCTGAGAGCAAGTGACGATCTGATTCGTCTGAGGTGCCCAAGAGATAGCAGTAATGAGCTTGTCGTGCTGCGGGGAGAATATCGTGATTAGCCTCGGAAATGGCAGTTGGGAGGGTAAACCCACCTCGGCCAACGTTGTCTCAAGATTCCATGAGTCTCCTGATCGCTTATAGATCTGAGCTTCGTTATTGTTTGGACTGACAGCGACCTCTGCAGATGGGGATCAGCTAGGCTTTCAACGGACCACCCCGGGCTTATGACCTACGAGTCCTGTCTGGACCGAAAGCCACTCCGGTCAAGGGAGAAAAGGAGAGTTGGAATTGTTCCGCGGACATGGTGGCAATGATGAGCTTCCAAGAGGACTCTAGCAGTCTACTCTCAGTGGTAGAATGATTGAGGGGGTGGATGATAGGAACCAGCAACCAACGGGCGACACTCAATCAGTGCAATGACGTTGCTAACCCTCCCCTTTTATTCGCCTATTTTCCCAAGTAGGCCCGCGAGATCTCCCGTGGCACTTCGCTCAAAGACACGCGGATGCGAGACACAAGCAAGACTCATTGGCAGCAACGGTCATATGACACGAGGTAGCAGTATGAAGCAAGACGGGAGTGGAGCGAGAGACGAGTTATGAGTCTGGGGTCAAAATGCTGTGGGCTGCTTCTCTCACTGTCTTGCTAATCGGACCGCATCAGCATCACTCTGACGCGAGCGAAAGGGACCGGGGTGCTTCCGTACCCCTTTCATAACCCAGAATTTTTGACGTTTTCTTCATTCACGTCCCTAGAACACACCCTACTCACTATGCTCTGGGTCATATCATCCAGCTAGACATAGATTCCCTCAGGTCTCCGGCAATGCTGTCCGGTATAGACGAACTCTTCGACGCGGTGTCTGATCCTCCGAGATCAGGACATGACGCGTTTCCTCGCCACCAAATACATTGGACCTTTGGCAATGCCGACGAAGTGGATGATGATGTTCCGATTGGATCAAGCTCCAGATCTCTCAATGTCCTTCCCTCCTCATCTACGCCTTCACGCCAACGCCAGCCGTCGTTTCGCCGGCCGACACTACCTTCTTGTGCTGGGAAAAAGTCCCCTGCCCGCATCATAAATTCACCCAACCAACGCGATAGGAATCCACTGGACTTGTCTTTTGGAGCATCGCCATCAAAGGCTGAGATAGAGCAACGAAGTGGAGTAATTCCTGCCAGGCCGAAACGAGCGTCAAAGTCAGCAGAGCAGACTCTGTCCAAGTGTGAGCTGGCTGTCCTCGCCCTTTGCCAAGCGAAAGAGATCCAGATGTTTACAATGAACGGTGGCTTCAGTGTATTTGGCCAACGAAAGGATGGCTTCGCGTCGCAGTGAGCAGGACGCAGTTGCAGCCGGACAGAGCTGGCATGCTCCCGTGACGAGCGCTTTGGTGAACACGGGTGTTTACAGCGCGGCTTTGGGCTTGTGAGTCACTGCAGGGCACATGAGACGGGTATTCATCTGACCCTTCACGTCTATAGGACCGCGTATCGTCTCATTCGGGGCGATCTGGGTTCGTCCGACCGTGATAAAGACGCAGTCTCGGCTCGAAAAGGTGCTAATCCCTTCGACAACCCTCATCAAGATAGTGCCGATTCTAGAGCGACGACCTCTTTGCCCGTAGAGTCTTCACAGGATTGTGTTCGAATACGACCACTCAGTACCTCTTCTGATCGGCCACCGCCTTATGAAGTGCTAAACGGACGCCAGAGGGAAGAGACTGTGAAGGTGGATGAGGATGAGGATGAGGATGAGGATGAGGATGAGGATGAGGATGAGGATGAGGATGAGGATGAGGATGAGGATGAGGATGAGGATGAGGATGGGGTTGTCACAGGAGATGAAGACCGTGAGATTGGTATGGAGGCAGACGAGGATAGTGAGAGTCTCTTTGAGGCAGTGACAGTGAGGCCAACTGAAGCTCGCGGGGCCGAATGCTAATTGTCTCAGCCAAAGATCCTCACTCCTCACCAATCTCAGCATTCTACACTTCGGTACAGATCCCCACGTTTCTCTCACCACCACAGTGGCACTCGCAAGACGCGTTATCGTGTCCACATGTCATCTCTCTCTGCATCTTCCTCCTTCTCGCGTTCCGTTGACGTCTCTCCGCGCGACAGCCGTCAATCTGATCAGCAGTCGTCGCTCATCCTGGGAAGTCCGGACGAGTCATCGGATGAGGAAGCACTTGAACCAGCACAAGAATCGATCAATCGCAGACTCGACCTGATGGCTTTCAAACTTCAGGATCTAGTAATTGAAGGTCAGGCTGCGCTTGCCTCACGAGTCTACGTCCTAGATTCACGGTCAGAGCCACGGAGGACGAGGCGGGAACATGCCAAGGTTAATTCAGAAGAGCTCGATGTCCGGTTGGACCGATTATCCAACCCGCGCCATCGTCGCCGCGAAGTTCAGACTACCGCCGAGCTGAGTAGTCCGATTAGATAGTGCGAGATACTTCCGCGTTGTATGTCCTTCGTCGTTCACTTTGTATGCCTTGATCGCATAATGTCTGCCATGGTCCATGTCACGGGAGCGACACTTCCGACTCTCCGCTCGATGCATATGATTACAGGTTACAACATGAAGACACTCAATGGATTGATCATAGATCTGAGATCCGTCATCAACCGAACACCCTTGATGGCCTGAGAAATAGCTTACAATAGTCTGGCTTCTTCGCATTGACACCGTGTTCGGCCAGGGCTAAGCTGAGGTCATCCATCGTCAAGACGACTCTATTACGGTCCTACAGCACATAGAGGGTTCAGCGCGATGGCTTGAGAGAGATCTTCCAAGGTAGCTCACCTGACCCGCGGCTGGTCTACCTCGACCTGCTGCAGTTCCATTGACTCGAAGCTTTGCAAAGTGGAACGCATCTCGCGATAGGTCCGATATGAATTTTTGAGCTGAAAGAGACAAGAGACGTTTTCTGATGTACCCTTTAGCGCAAAAACAAACCGACTCAAACATCAGCTCGAGCTCACAACCGCGGGTCTGAACAGTCGAAACCTGCTCGTTGAAGATAGTACTCTGTCACTTCCTCCGGGATCTGTAGCCGATCAGATCAGTCCACAAGCCTGCGAGCGCGCTCAAAGCACAATATCAACTCACCAACGGCTTGTACCCGTCCAACATCACTAAGAATTCGGCCAGACTCCTGTCTCTCCTAGCTAGCTCTTCCGCTCTTCTCTCTGCGAACAGTTGAGCATTATCGACCTGTCCTTCGGCTGGCCCAGACCCTTCTCCTCCTTCTGCTGTCCCATTGACGGGCGGCGCGGTCCCGTTGGCCGTTCCGTTCATCTGCACATCGCCGTCTCCCGCTGGCTTATTCACCGGTGTGGACGGTTCGGTGTGAGAGGTGCCACTTGGTACTTGACTGGATCCAATTGCAGGACCACTCATGACGATGGATGCCCTCTCCGGCAAAGAAACTGACTGTATCAGGAGACAAGCGTTCAGATATAAAGAGATATGGAAACGGTCCGTCCACGCCGAAAGGTAGAGACGCCACTAAGCCACCGTGGAAAAGTGACGTTGTTGCGGGGTGCAAGTCGTCTCGGTCCACCCTCAGTGTGATGCCTTTGTCTCATTCCTAGTTCCATCCACCAAAGCACACGTCGAGCCAGTATCTGTTGCTCGAGAAAGGCTTCTGGAAGGGATCTTATTCTGATCGCAAGGCCTACATGGTCAGCAGGAAGCGCAGGAACTACTCGTCTGGCAGCGGAAGGACTATAAATCGCTCGAGATCTGCGTCACCCACGGTATGACCAACGATCCCGACCTACCTGTACAACACCTGGAGCAGAAGTAGACCCAGCAGCAGAGCTTTCCGAAGCAAAGGACATTGATATATTCCTCATTCGATAACAGCATAGCGCCACCATGTCATCCTCAGAGAAGACTACAGGCTCACCCTCGGCGTCTCAGTCGTCCGTCCTCGGCACGTATCCCCACTTGGCGCACTACATCTTTCAGCTTCTCTCTTCAGCTACTCCTTCGCCTACAAGGGCGACTCTTCATCCTCTCAGTATATCTAGCTCCGGAGAATCAGATGAAGAGGACACTGGAGCGAGCACAACAGCCGATCAAGACGAACAACAAGACGATCGCACAGCCGTCACCCAGAAAGAAAAGGTTGAGCTCACGACGCCAAAGAAGAAGATCAGTAATGGTGATATGGACACGCCAAATAATCTCGACAGAGAAGCACTTGTCAAGCGAGTTGTTGATCTGCTTGACAACGATGAAGAAGACCAAGTCAAGACGGTGCTTAAAGCATACCTGGGGGAGCTTGGCAAGGTGAGTCGCACCACCCAGGGGCGTGACGGAAATGTTTCAGCTGACCGGACTCTGTACAGGATGAGATCCTGATGGATCAAGTCTGCTTAGACTGTATGCATAGACGCAGAGGCAAGTGTTCGCCAGCACTGCCGTCACTAACCTCTTTCGTCTCTCAGATGACAAGGAAAACGTGCCTTATAATCCGTCTCTTACACCCGCTCGGATGCGCGGGTCACCGGCCACTACAGCGGTACCTCTTCGACCTTATACGCCAAGTCGAGTTCCTTCTTTTAGGGCGCTCACCCCCCTTGGTCGACCTCAGTCACCATCGTCGGCGAGCTTCCTCCCGGGATCAGGTGCGAACACGCCCACGATTCCTCACACCGCATCGAGCCTGTCGCGGCCTGCCGAAGCCGGCCTGTCACCAAGTACCTCTAGCAGTGCCTTGCCTTCTTCGTCCTCGGCAGGGTCGCCTGGTCTGTCCCCTCGGATGCTCAATGCCAAGGCTGCTTCCTTTAGTCCATCGCCCAGAGTCGTTTCTGCCACAACTCTGTCAAAGACTGCCATGCCGTCGCCCAGTGATCCATGGAAAGATATCCCGACCGAACCCGTCCGATCCGCTTCGCCATTCGGAGCCGTTGGGCCTCCCATGATGACGCGTAGCTCTTCCAACTTGGCAATTGCTGCGCCATTGTTCAGTGATCAGTCTAGCCCGTTCCACTCGCCGCTCGGGACGCCGAACAGGGGCAACATCAAGATACCAGACGTCTTTGCTTCACCGGCACTGCTTCAGCGAACTTCCAGTCGTAACCTGATTCCGGACGACGATGACGACGACGAGTTCTCACCGTTCGGCTCGAGTCTCCCGAAGCTGCATCACCACGACTCGCAGAATCACGGTCTCAATCACGGAGCTAAGCCTTTCGAGCCATTTGGCAATTTACAGACGCCAGCAGGCACGCCAGGTCTGTCGGATAACGGGGCGCCTTTCGACTCGCCATCCCTGGTGGACGCTGGAGACGGGTCCGAACCATATGATGATGCTGGATCTGGTATGACCCCACTGGACGTATTGGCTTCAGTCTTTTCGTCGGTGCCTCGGTCAGAGCTCGAAGATGCCCTTCATCGCTCAGGTTATGACTTTGAAAGTGCCATGGCGATGCTGGTAGCGGCACATACGCTACCCCGAAGCGGGTCTTCGACACCGCAGCGTGTTGCTTCTCCTCGACCATTGTTAGGAATCGGTGGCCGTGGTGCCATGCCGCTTAATCAGCATGCGCCTAGAGAAGGATACTTCAATCAAGGTGGTCGCAGCTATTCTGGTAACATGAGTCCCGGTCTCAGTGGAACTCGAAGCCCCGGAGTAGGTCCTACGAGAATGTGTCGGTACTTCCTCGCAGGCGAATGTCGGCGCTCAGATTGCCGATTTAGCCATGATCTGGACCGAGCACTATGTCGATTCTGGCTGCGAGGGCATTGTGCCAAAGGTCCGAATTGCGAGTTCCTCCACCAACTGCCCAACGGTTTGGACCCAAATGCTCTGTCTAGCGCCATGTCCCGCTTGGAAATGAGCAACGACGGTCCAGAGCAATTCTCTCCCAACTCCCATCACCCTCCAGACGAGTTCCCAGATCTCCACAAAGGTCGCGGTGGAGGTGGTACACGCGGTGGCCGCTTCGATCCTACCCGGAACAGATTTGCCAACGCCGTCAAACGCAACCCCGTTCCTTTACATTCCCCTTCTCTACAGATCACTGGCGCCAGACATTCACCACTGCATCATCCTGCGTACTCCCCATCTACGATTTCGGAACCTCGCTTGGCCCCTGTAGCCGTCCCTCGACCCTCACATCGCATCAAATTACGTCCTCCGACGCTACTTCCTACCCTGCGGACTGGATCCTCGACGAACGAACAGTACCTGACTGCCCGAGCCACTGCGATCCGCCTAGGTCAAGCTCGAAATGCATGTCTAGCCCGCGCAGCCGATGCATTCCGACGAGGGGACGGAGCGGCTGCCAAACGATTCTCGCGTGAAGGCAAGACACTCAACGAGCGAATGTTACAGGAATCAGCTAGCGCTGCTGAAGCTCTTATCCGTGAGAGGATGATAGAGGTGCAGAAAACAGTTCGAGAGCGCGATCCGATGTGGAGCGATGATCCGCTCGACAGATTGGTAAGAGGTCGAGAATGTGGTGGTGGACTAGGTGTCATTCTCGGCGTCGCATCAACCAAAGTGGCCGTTGGTCAACCGCTTTCTGCCGAAGAGAGGACTGAATGTATCGTCGACCTGCACACTTTGCATGGAAATGAAGGAGCTGATCTAGCTGGCAATTTCCTGGCCGAGGTAGGTCTCTCTCTCGTCGTGCTTTGAATGTGTGACTGATGTTATGGATTTCAGCTCGAACGTGAAAATTATCATGGCTTGGCGTACCTCGTGGTCGGCGAAGAAAAACATGTTGCAAGCCAGGACCCCTTGCGTGGGGCTTCCAAGATCCGCCTCGCCTCATCGGTCAAACAATTCTTAGCTGAATGGAGTTATCCATGGAACGAGAGCGGAGGTGTTATCTGTGTCGATCCTTGCAGATCATGAGTGAGTTCAGTGTTGTGTTTCAGACAGCGCTGATCCCACTCTCTCAGTATCCATACTATATACCCATTTTAGCACTCCCAATCCCGCACACATTACGATCCTCACGAATCAAGCTACTGCCACTTCTCCCAAGTTACATGTCATCACAACATATGTCTCAACGTCCCCCAAAGCCCCCTGTTTCCCCTTGATCACAAAATCCGTGTCGATATTGGACATTTCCAGTCTTTCCTACCCCCCTCAATATACAAGCTTGTACCTTGGACAGCGGACGGAGGTCACCGAGGGATGAACAGAGCTGGCCGGCAATCTTCCGCTTGGCGACGCCCGGCCGCATCGCTAGATAGTAGAGAAGTCCGAAGAAAAGAAAAGAAGAAGAACGAAGTTTCGAAGAGTTGCAGGCGAGACACTTAAGCAGAGTAAAAATTATGCAATGCTTCCTTTTATTGCGAGTCTTTGACACACTCCTCATTCCTGCCACTTCAGGTCCGCCAGCTCCTCATGCTCCAGGCGATTTTCAACTGCAACGGCGGGGTTGTCTTGTTTCGTCGCGATTACTCTGCACCGGAGAACTTTGTAAAGAGCTTTGAGCAAACGGGCATTACGTTGATGAAACGGACATCGCGAACATTGCTCATGGGTTCTCTCGCCTCCTAAACTTGAGAGCAGTTCGCACTTCGGCAGACTGCTTCATGAACTGCTTATCTATTCCAATCGTTCAAAATCTCCTTGCGGTCGTAGACAATTCTCAATTCGCAGGCTGGACGAAGAAGTTGCATCCAGAGTCTTCGGCTCTTATCACGCACTTCACCGACGCATTCTCTAGCCCTTTCTCGATCGCTTCTTGCCCTTAAATCTGGGCCCACCGCTTACCTTCGCTGAACCTCTAGCTATCTCCCTCTGACTCAGACTCAACATCCCGTTCCTAAACTTGCCGATCCCCATTGTCAACCCTCTATCTCTCTCACCATCCTTCCTACTCTCCATTCCCTTCTTCTTGCCGACTTCCACCCCGACTCCAGCACGTCGTTGTCGGCCCGTCTCAGTAGTCTTCTTCTTTCCCGACACGGTGCCTATCCCTCTGACCCAGCTGGCGGCTTCAGCTTCCTTACGGGCCTCTTCTTCTCGCTTGTCCCGAGCGTGTATAATTCCCGTTCGGATCTTTGCAGAGTGAGTCGAGAAGGACGCTTTGGACAACGATGAGGAACCTTGACCCGGAAGCTCATACTTTGCTAGCTCTAAAAGACGACCACTGATGGCTTTTTGCTTGTCGATGGGGCGGCGGGCGGTGGATAATGTAGATGAAGGGAGAAGATTGGTCAAAAGCATTTCGTGGAGCGTCTTATCGAGCTTCCGATTGGATCTGAGGTTTCTAGTCAGCTCTTACAGCTCTAAAGCCCAGTCCTTAGAGCTCACTGATCGTCTTCGTCGTCATCGTCCTCATCTGCATCTCGCCGCCGTTTCCTGCCCGAGTCTGTGGAAGTCTCTCCGCTTGCAAATCCTAAGAGTTTTGAGGACTTGCCGTTCTGCAGGAGCGCCCTGCCTTAGCGATCGCCCAAGGAGCACGGATACACTTACGAGAAAGGCTCTTCTCTCGTTTTTTGACAATGAAGCGTCGTCCCTCCCTCTGCTTGTCCCAGCAAAGACGACCTCCTGTACGGCAGATGAATGCCCCTCGACTTCACTCTCATCCGACTCGTCTGCCGCTCCTCCTTCCGAGCTCCCCTCGCCATCACCCTCACTATCCTCATCTACACTGCCCTGATCGTCGGAGCTCGTGGCCATCCTCAAGGCACCTTGAGCACTACTCTCCCCGTTGAGAGGTTCATTGAAACCGAACATTACTCGTCCATGAGCTTGAAGCGCCGCGAGCATAGCAGCCTTGTCGTCGTAGTCGTCGTCATCGTCCGAAAGTGCAGCACTCGCCTTGGATATCTTCTGTACACTTGATATTCCATGTACCTTTCTAACCTTGTCCGACTTGGCCATGTCTGTGAGAGATAGCTTCAGTTCGATGTACGATGCAGCGAATCTGGGACGACCAGAGCTGAAAATTATTGTCCGGCTTCGTTTCAGGTGGCGGAAGCAAATCTGAGCGTGGCACTGTTTTATGGCCGGGGAAGAAGCAGGTGGCATTGCTTGGATCGCTTGGAACTCGTTCGCCACAGGCTCCATAGAGAGAGGATGCTCTAGAATGATGACACCGGCCTCAAAGACAAGCTACAGCAGGTCCGTGGCTGTGCATGCGTGTACTACAGTGTAGTTACGATATAGGTAACAGTTGGGAGCACATCAAGATGACGGATACATTGCCCGAACTCGACGATGTTGGTATCTCGCTCCCAGTCCTTCAAGGCAGTCTTGAAATGTGCTCAACTAAGGTCTAGATAGAGGACCATGACTTGTGAGATCAGCTGTGTACCTAGCAGTAGCCCCGCCTGGACCCGCCACACTGGTTCTGTTTACTAGCCAATAGAATAGGCTTGTGCGACCTATTCCGCCTAAATATAAATTTGATTCCGCTCCCCGCCCGCTGTTACCCGTTGCAGCCTTGTTGCCACCCTCTTTCCCCACTCACCACCTTTGTACGATCCACGTTGCATCCTCCTTACCTCATCTCACTTGATCCTCTCGAGTGCCTCGGCTACCTGTGGTGAGTTGAGCTGGTCGACAGCGGCTTGTCAGCTGACAAGCTTTCTCTCCATCACCGTCACCTATCACTCTCCTTAATTGCCACCGCTCTAACACACACTTCCGACGCGCACGCGAACCCCCGCCCTACACTTGACTACAGTGATACCTTTTTATTGGACAGCTCAGTAGGTACTCAGTCACTGCAACGACGTCGGAATCTAGACTTATGGCTCCGAAGTAGCTACTAACACCTTCACCATGGTCCGATCCAAATTCAAGGATGAGCACCCATTCGGTCAGTCTGGATCTATTGAAAGACGGCTGTGTAAGCTGACAATCTGGTTCTCACCTGCTTCATCTGGTCCCTCGAAACATCCTTTCGTCATCACATCAATTCTGTCAACATTTTTCCTCGCGCTGATTCCCTCGTCTTTCCATCGTTGAACCCCAATGAGCCCACAGAGAAGCGAAAGCAGGAAGCCGAGCGGATCCGTCAAAAATATGCCGATAGGATCCCGGTGGGTTGAGATCGTTCCATCAAGCCTAGACCCTCGCTCATGGAGCCTATAGGTGATTTGCGAGAAAGCCGAGAAAAGCGATATACCAACTATCGACAAGAAGAAGTATCTGGTCCCTGCGGTATGTCGAGGCCGCTTGGAGCGGATCGAGCGAAGGACTGATCGCCCGTCTAGGATCTCACAGTTGGTCAATTTGTCTATGTCATAAGGTGCCTATCGGTCTCATTTTAATCCTTCCTGCTCTGACGGCATCTACAGGAAACGGATCAAGTTGTCCGCCCAAAAGGCAATCTTCATTTTCGTCGATGACATTCTACCGCCCACTGCGGCTCTCATGAGCTCGATCTATGAGGAGCACAAGTGAGTCTCCAGGGAATCTTTGAAGTTTCAAGCTGATTGATGAACTTTGCAGGGATGAAGATGGTTAGCTGGATTTGCCGATTTTCCCACTGGCATCGCTGACTTGCCGCAGGTTTCCTTTACGTCCTTTACGCCTCTGAGAACACATTTGGAGAATTCGAGACAGTGGAGGAGTCGGAATCTGCCTGAATATTCCGGCATTCTGGCACACATCACGCTTGAGAGATCTGGGGGTTTGCTGGATAAAGCTTTAATCAAGTAGTCTGTCGCCTCAAGAATCGGCTTTGGAACATTGCCTTGAGGACATGCGATTCCCTTCTCATCTCATATCGGATTCGATGAATAACTGTACATTGTGGAGCAAATCGGGTTTCGCTGTAAATCCAGGTCTTTCTCAGCCATAATAATACATGTGATGTCGCAGCGGACGCATCTAATCCTCCTGCACCTTTGCACTTCCCTTGCCTGTTTTGAAAGCCTTGACTTTGCGACTCTGCAGTTTGCCAAGATCTTGCTTTTCCAGATGTATCCTTCCGACCTTGTCACCCATCTCATCCGTTTCGATGTTCTTTCTCTTCTTCCCGAGACCCTTTTCAACATCTTTCTTTGCGACCTTGGGTCGTTTCGTAGCCATCTTCCAGGTGTCCTCGTTTGCTTCCTGAACTCGACGAACACTGAGGTCCAAAGACGGTCCCATCTCCACAAGCTCCGCCCGGGGTTTGCCTCCGCCAGACGGTAAAGCTTTCATGGTGTAGACTCTGAAATGGACGTGGGGGAGAGAAGCGGAATCAGAAGCAGAAGAGGAGGAAGCGAGTGGACCGGCGGTGATGGATATGACATGCTCTACTGCTGTGACTGGAACTTCGGAGACGGCCTTCCCACCGAAAAAGTCCAGAAGAATCGACTTGAGCAGTTGATATGTGGGATGTGTGTCAAAGAGGTCCGAGTGGAATACCACCAACGGTCGTGCGCCGACAGATGATTTGGGGCTCTAAAAGATGGCATTGAGCGAGGGTCCGGCAGGGATGAAATTGATTGAACCTACCTCGAACTCTTTGATCGACTTGATCTCCTCTATACCCAGCTCAATCATATCCAGGACTTTCCCATCGAACATTCGCGTGAAAATGAGATCATGTGGTCGTTTCTTTGAATGGAGCCCAGTCAAGAACAAGCTAGCATCGTTCTTTCCAGAGAAGAATTCAAGCGAAGAGGCATCCTCAAAAGGGTGGATATCGTTCTTCCGAGAAAATGATATAGCATGAGGTCGTTTGAGAGCGTACTGAGAGAGTCAAGTCAGCTTGAATTCCACGACTGAGCTATAGCCAACTCACCAGATCCTGCATGGCCAATCTCACTCGCTCAGAGGTCGAGTTGCCCCGGACAAAGATTGCAGTCTTGTCTCCTTCTTCAATTTGAGGTTCTCGCTTCTCAAGAGCTCGCTTGACCCGAGCATTTTTGGGCTTACTGTGGAAGAGGCTTAGCTGGATCCAAGCTGAATGATGGCTATAGGAACCACTCACATTGTCCTAAGCATCGACATTTTGACGGATGGTCACGCAATGGTGTATCGAGAACAAGCAAATTTTGTGAACTTCTCTCTCTCTCTCTCACAAACGTCCAAAAAGTTTAAATTCGTATGCCGGCATTATTGTCGGTCATGAATGCTTTTCCGATTTTGACCATCTGTCTGTCCATGCCATAGCATACACTATCCATGCCTAATTATGGGCCTCGGGTCTATATTCAAGAGGTCACTTTCAGTGACCCAGCCGGACGATGATGGCATCACCGTCAAGCTCATGATGCCGAATAATGGACAGGTCATTGTCGCTCCGCATTCAACCTCGGTGTACAAGGAGGATGCCCAGGGATGTCACAATGAGGCATACTCGGAAATGACCACGTTCCATGGCGAAGCTGAGATCACGTTGCCTCCTGGAACGGGCAAGAGGCTAGTCAAGGGGATCAGAGCAGTCATGAGAGCCTTCTCTACGATTGACTTTGGAGGAGACCGAGGCGTAGAAACGGATCTGTTTTACGAAAACGAGGTGAGGCCAGACATACCGAGTGAAAATCTGGTATTAGAGGAAGGAGTGAATCAGTGAGTGCTGCGTGTCGTCCGCGCCTCTCCGATCTGGCTGGTTGAGTTTCTGACATCGTCCAGTGCGTTCCTTACATTTGAATACTGTGCCTTGTTCCCCGCTACCGACACCTTTGTCCAATGCCCATCCGTGACATGGGTGCTTTACGTCCAATTCATCGGGATACGTCCCACAGATGAGCAACTGGATCTGCCTAGTCACCTGTCTCTGAATGCCTATGGGCAGATCGACCGTACGACCCCTTTCCCAGCTGTCGATGAAGCGGTCGCGCCTTTGGCCAGGACAGTTACCGGCATGGCATACATTGAATTCATTCATCATCCAAGTTTGGACGGCACGGGGAACAGATTAGACGACCGGGGGACAGCTTTTGCCCCCGAGATTGGCGTAGTTGAGACCATGTGCGCATCCAACGACGTGAGTGTCTCGTGTGCAGTGACCAAAAGCTCATTGCCATCCAGTTTACCGTTGCTGGTCCTTTCACCGCCAAAATACAAGTGACAGGCGCCTCTGATAAGGTCAGTTTCTATGCGGCACGTTTGTCTGTACTACAGACCGTGGTCTGTCATTCCCCGAAGGATCAGGAAAAAGTCAAGTCGGAGCAGATTGTGCGCTTCGCCGAACATGGCGAAACAGACTCGGAACAGCCTCTATGGAAGGGTACAGAAGCGAAGGATGATGTTGACCGCAATTGGTCTCTTGAGATGAGCGGGAGATTCCCCCATTCATCCCAAATTCGACCATCCACGTTACCAGGGTCAGCCAATGAGAATATGACAGCGCGTCGACGCTGACTCTTCCAGAATATCTACACCTGTCAGCGTGGTTCACTACCTCGTATACGACTTGTTCTTCACTGTCATCGGACGCGACGGATATGGCAAGCCGTATGATGGACCGGGTAAGATGCAAAGGTTTCGACGAAGATCCCGTGTCGTCATACCGCACGTGAGTATTGTAGATCGAGGCGAATGTGAAGAAGCCAAGGGGGATCCCGCTGACGACTCTCAGTGCGCTCTCACGTCCGGCCGAGACTCTCTTCCTACCTGTGAGTACCGTATTTCTGGATAGGGTGCAAGTCTAAATAACCGCTCAATTAGACGAAGATCTCACATCGCAAACCATTCTCTCAACCTATCGGGACGAAGTTTGTCCCTCATGCCATCGTCTTGCATCCCAGGTCATCTGCAGGACTTGCGAGGGAAGGGTCATACCTCACACGAAGCTGGAAGCTGGAACTGGCCCTGATGACCCCTGTCCAGACTGTAGAGATAAGAAGCTCAAGCCGAAGCCCGCAACGGACCATTATTCTCAAGGACATTGTGCCTGTACCGAGTGGTGCAAGAAGTACCGTAATCCGGATCAAAATGACGTCCGGGAGTTCACTGAGCAGGTGACGGATGTGGAGGAGAAGAAGGATCGAACCTTTGCCTCCAAGATCCAGGACGAATGGGACTCAACGATGCCTAATGGCAAGCGAAATTAAGGGGGACTGTGTCATTCATGCCACCTTCGCCTCGCTGTATGTACTACTACAATGGTCGATTGTTCTTGCTGTGTGTGTGTGCTCAACTCGAGGCTTGATGGAGCTCCCTCAAAACCTCGTCAGCACTTGTAGATCTACGTTGTTGTATAGTTGCCCCGCATGCATTGCATTGTTGCTGTCCAAAGATGCAGTGCAGCTGTGCATCATCCCGTCCTCCGCCACCTGAATGATTTTTTTCTGCTCCGGCGCCACGGAATCTCGACGAAGAGGCCCTCTCCCCCCTCCTCTCCTCTTTGCCACCCGCCCCTGTCGTCGTCCATGGGTGAAGACGATTGATCCTCTTCGGAACCGAGATGAGCCTTCTTCTTGTCGACTCAGAGTCGAGTCGATGTAGTAGTGGCTATACACAGCCATCAAGTCATAGCTTGCAAAAAGAGTCCAGTGGCAGCGTCAGCGATCAGTGCGTCAAGGCTAACGGTGTGTGTGAGTGTGTATAGGAGCACATTTCACATCAAGGAACTCTTGACATTCTGCTTTCAACAGCCCGCTCAGCAGCTCATTTTGATTTCTCCAGCAACAGTGCATTACAACTTCATACAGATACCCCTGTCATTCTCTAGCTCACTGAGCTCATTTGAACATGGCTGCGAAGCGACCTCACTCGTCTACGGCGATGGAAGGCGGTGATGGCCATGTGCCTCACAAGCGAACCTCGTTCGACTACTCGCTTCCAACTCAAGTCAATGACAAGTTGACCCTGCCCATCGAAGAAGTGGTGCGACAATGTCTCCCTGACAGCGCTGCACACCCAGCCATGACACAGCTCAGCGGTCGTTTCAAAGCTGCCATTGATCTCAACGCCAACACCAGATCCACCTCCTCGCCACTCAACCCCAAAAGCCATCCATTCGTCAATGCCATGAACAAGCTGCCTGATGTGAGGACTGAAAATGGTGCATTCGCCTACTCCACAACCAACTCAGCTCTCCTCGACCTCTTCGACGACTTCAAGCCCGGTGTTCATCCTCCGGTATTGTTCAAGGGACTCGAAGCGGCATGGAATGTTGACCCTGAGATGTGAGTCTCAGCAGTTGACTCGTTTCAGTTGACACTCTTGCTAATGTCCTCCCGTAGGACGCTTCGCATCATCTTCCACGCTCGGTCCATTCACGAAGGCAAAGGCTTCAAGGAAGGCTTCTATAGAGCCATGGCGTGGCTCTACGAGAACCACTTCCTGACGCTGTTGATCAAGTGAGTGGCCTCCTGACCTGTCTGTTCCTCTCTCGCCTCAGCACCCCTTTACTCACTCTCCGTGCCACCGCTTTCCCCCATTTCAGCGGCTGACTTCCTCTGTCCAGCCTTCATATGATCACCGACCTCACCTGTATTCGACACCGCTCAACGAAGCGTGACAAGGCAAAGGTCGAGAAGGATGTCGCTACGAAGCTCGAGGAGGATCTTGGCGTTGCGGAACTCGACGAGGACGGCGAGATGATCATTGAAGTCAATTGTCAAGCTGAATATCCACCTCGACCCCACGGTTGCTTCAAGGAGTGAGTCTGTCCCCCTTTAAGCGAATGCACTAGCTCACACCTCTTCCCAGCCTCATGGATATGCTCATGCTCGTCCTGCACGACCAATTCTCCACCTCTTTCACCAAAGCACTGACCGCTCTCAACGAGTCTCTTGCTCCCGCCAGTCAGGCCGCAATCTTCAAAAAGGCTCGACTGGAACCGCTAACTGGCACGGTTGCCGCAAAGAAAAAGCGCGAGGCGTATCACCATCTACTCATGGCGTCCACTGGCCGCAACATCCCAAAGCAAATGCGAGTGCCAGTCGATGTCAATTCTGAGGAAGCAGCCATGAACGCGCCGGACCTGAAGACTCAAATGGTCACCGGTGGAGCCAGTGAGTTGATGGTAACCTATCCGTCATAAAGCTCACGTAAAGCAGAGCGCCAGAAGCATGAGATCCTCCGAGGGCGATTGCTCGAGCGATTTCAGAAGGACGCCAAGTTCACTGTCTTCTACATCGCGGCGGTCGATCTTTTTGTCAAGACTATCAGAGAAGATCTCGTCCACCTGGAGAAGCACCAGGCGTTCGTTAAATTACCCGAAGCTGAGCGAGGAGTCTTCAAGGGCAAATCCTCACCGCACCTCTTTGGCATGACCTACGCTGCCAAATGGGTCCCAACCCCTGCTCATGGAGCCGACCGACAACTCTTTTTCGCTTCAGCCATTGCGACCCGTCTCTTCCCTGAGATGGACCGTGTCAACGTCAACGCCGCGCGAGAGCGACTCCAACGCAGCGTCCTGTCTCCTCTCCGTGCTGCACTTAGGGTACCCGAGACGAAGATGGGGCAGGGAGTCTGGCATGTCGATTACACAAAGGTGAGCCCTGCATGATCTCATCGACGACTCCTGTCTGACTCGGTGTAGGTCCCTTCTCGAGCCATGAATCGCAATGCTGCGAACTTCCTGGAACACGATCCTGTTGGGTACGACAAGTATCTGACCGCCGTGGCAACAGGGTCAGTCCTATCTCACTGTACGTAATGACATCAGCTGATGCCGCCACAGGATGAAGACGATCTCGGGAGCCTCCTTGATGCCGCATGAACCCATCTTCGATGGTGAGTCATATTGGCTCAATTCAACGAGGAACCAAATTGACTTATACGTAGCGACGAGCAATGTCCCGGTCAGACGACGTCTTGGCGACCTTCAATGGAATGCACTCGTGGATTCTATCGCATCGTCCTCCGATGTCAAGTTGTCAAACTGCCTCGCGATCGCCGACGTGTCTGGATCCATGGGCTCATTCTCAGGTAGCAAGAAAGATCCCTCGCCGCTGGTAGTCTGCATCGCGCTCACCCTGCTGCTTGGAGAATTGTCGGAGTCACCTTGGAACGGCAGTTTCTTCACTTTCTCCGAGGACCCAAAGTGGGAAAAGATAGATCCCTCTCTCGAGCTCTCCAAACGAGTGGAGACCCTGCATCAAGCGGACTGGGGCGGTGCGACCAATTTCTACAAGGTGTTTGAGCTTATTCTCGATGTCGCCCAAACACACCAATTGACCAAGGACCAAATGATCAAGAAGTTGTTCTGCTTCTCCGACATGCAATTCGATCAGGCCGCTGCTCATGGATCTGAGTACCATCTTAACAATGCTGGGACGTACGGCGTGACCGAATACCAGAGGATCAAAGCTAGGTTCGAATCGGCGGGATACGAAATGCCAGAAATGGTCTTCTGGAATTTGTCTGCTAGGGAAGAAGACGACGATCAACCCACGAACAAGGTCGTTCAGCACGACGAACGTGGTGTCGCGATGATGTCGGGATTCTCTGGTGCCCTGATGAAATACTTCTTGCAAGGCGCTTCGGGGCCGTTGACACCGGGCACAGAAAGCCCTGCAGCGGAAGCCAAGACGAAGGATTCCTCCGCAGGGTCCACCAAAAAGGATGGAGGCGTGACAACCCAAATGAACGCCCATGAGCACATGATGGCTATTCTCGACAAGGCTTGTTTCGAAGGTCTACAGGTGGTCGATTAGGGTCGTCGCTGTAGTCGCCAAGAGGCTGTGGGAAGCCGGGGGAAGAAGAGTGAGCATAGACATGAGAAAAGGACGAGGAGGCGGAAGATCCCCAATGTGGATGATATCTCTGTTACGAAATCTCTTACGATCAAACGCCATTTCTTACCTGTTGCATTTTGTATCAACTGTATCCTATAGAAGACAAGTCATCTTTATAGAACGTGATTGTATGCATCGTTGTACAGCGAGCGATCTGGGAATGGCTGCCATAGACTGCGTCATCAGTTAAGTAGTTAAGTGAGCGAATCTGTAGCTTTCTCATGTCCCATTGCCCGCCGCCCTCGTCCGCTTGCTAGGGTCCGATGCAGCTGGAGCAGCAGCGTTCACAGTGGGTGTTTGAGCTTTCGATGGAGTAGTATTTGTCGAAGTCTTGGCACCTGCCGAGGCCGCACTCGCTGAAATTGTCGTAGCAGGAGCTTTGGCTGGAGTGGCGTTCTTGGACATCGATGGACTGCCTGTAGCTGCAGACGCGGCTCTCGAAGCATTGGCACTGGACTGAATGACGTCCAGTCTGATCTTGAGAACCTTGGCGAGAATAAGGTGCTGATGCGGCGTGCATTTCGATAGATCGCTAAGCGGAGCATATTAGCCGACCGCTTTCACCCAAACCGTCTCAGACCCGACTGACAGTGATAAAGTTGATGTGCTCCCATCTGCTGACTTTGAGATCACAACGGCTGGAGGATTAGCCTGACCCTTGGCAGCGACAAAGTTTTCTCCGGCGTTGACGATCCCAAGCTTTGCCAAATGGCTTATTGCACCGCTATCGGAGAGGCAAAAGAGATCTGATCAGTGCGAGCTCGAAATCTGCAGCGCAATGGTCGACCCAGACTTACCCAGCCACAGTGACTTTCAACGGTTGACCAGGTTTCAGTGCACTGACTACCGCATTTGGATCTTTGGTTCTTGACGATCCCTCTCCGGGTGTCGTGCTAGCTTTTGACGCCGCAGAGACCGGCATTGCGCCCGTCTTTGGCGCTGCGGCCGATGGCGTAGTCGATGATGTAGATGCGGCGGTAACAGATGGCGTGCCAGTGATGGCACTGGGAGTAGACGGTGTTGGTGCAGGAGTTTTGCCGGTAGCTTGCACGGCTGGGCGAGATTGAGTTGGAGTGGACAGATGACTGGTAACTGGCTCTCTGTGACCTCCACGACCAGACCCTCTCGGTCGACCTCTTCCTCGGCCCCTTTCAGGCGTAGAGGATGTGGATGTGGCTGTAGATACAGAGGGAGGTATAGCGGTGGGAGCCGCTGTCGTGGTGGAGAAGGAGGAGGAGGAGGAGGTGGTGGTGGTGGTGTTGGTCAATGGTCCTGCGGGCGTGGACATGGGTCGTGCAGAGGTCGAAGCCGGTGCAACAGGTAAGGAAATGTTTGGTGCGTGAAAGCTGGATGAAGTGAGACGTTCTCTTGACCGACGTGCAGTCTCGAGGACATCGTACTCCATTTTAACCATTCTCAAGGAAGATTGCACAGCGTCTAATTCTTCGCGAATTTGGCTCGTAGAGGATTTGATGAGGTTGATCACAGAAGGCAAGTCTGAGGGAAACTACGAAGGAAAGTCAGTCATGAGTCTCGTGGGTCTATCGACACTCACCATGCCCTCGCGCCGCTTGACCCGGGTGAAACGATCACGAGCCTTGTTCATCACCCCCGTCAGAACTCGAGCGTCGAATATATCTGCAGATTTAGATCAGTGATCCGATGCAACTTCGAGAACATGCTGCAGATTACCTCTTTGAACCCTTTGTTTATCTTTTGCTGAGGTGGAGGGATCCCCACCATCTAGCTCCTCATCTGGTATCTGCCAAATATGATACGGAATCAAGCGGTCCACAACGTCATGGTATGATGTGAAGGCAGTCGGCGCCGAAGGAAAGAGAGTAGCCTGTTGATCTTGTAGCAGGGCGAGCTGGTAGCTGAGCACGAGTCAACAGGGGCCCTCAATCAATCCTTTCTCTTTGCGGGAGCACTTGAACAATCTTGCCAGCATGTTGGATTCGCCAGCTGATCCTACCCCAAAGGTATTGTTTGCTCATCCAGCTCACCTCAAAACAGCCTTTTCCCTCGTCCGGATCTCTTCTGCTGTATAACCCAACTCCGACCATTTCCTCTTCCTCCGCACACTCTCATCCTCTATCACTCGATCAATATTCCCACTGTCCGTCTCCACCTTGACCCGGGGTTCGACATTAGGTTTCTGGACGTCACCATTCGACTCTAAGTTAAAGGATGACTCGGCTTGCGGAGCATGGGTCGATGAGATTGAGGAGCCGGTGACAGATGGTTTGACATCCATAATGGCCTGGATTCCTGCGATATACCGCACGCTGCCCTCATCTACCAGCGTCGGGTCGTGTAGCTAAACCTAAGGAACGAGTCGATGTTCAGAAAGCCAGGGAACGCCTTCAATCGCAAAGAGCGCCAGCCGAGCCTGTCCGCCTTAACGGACACCCTCGACCTGGCTCAACAGAGCCTTGATACGATGTCGTGTGACCCGTCAATGAGTCTCGAGCCTGTGACGCTGCTCGAACGGACTTTTGGACCTTTTGTAATCAACGGCAAAATGAAAACATCCAAGAAAATGAGTTCAAAATATCAGAAGACTGATCGAGGGACGGAATCAAAATGTTTCTGGGCCGTGGCAACGACGACGACGCATATAGAGGGGACAGGATGCAAGACATTGCTGCATTCTAGTACGTCGGTTATGCTTATGATGTATCCTGTGGGTAGTATACAGAGTCGAATCCGATAGTCTATAAGCATCTAGCGTCGCTATCCGCCGACGAATCCATTCGAAGCGTGAAATGTGATGATACACAAGTCTTCTCCCTTCTCCGCCATGCACGCATCTGGGAAATCGCATAGGTTGGCGCATGCCAGCTCAATATCTCCCCTCTCTATGATACAGCTTGAGTGTTGCAAAGCGTCTCACGGCGCTACTTTGATGCCAAGTTCCTTCTGCTTGTCCTTGATGGCAGCTGCGAACCTGGCAATGCCTTCCTCGGCATCTGTGTCCAGGTCAATGACGGAGAAACTGAGACGCATGTAGCTAGAGATCCGCTTGTTGGGGTAGAATCTAGAGGCGTAGGGTGAGCTTCAATCCTCTGAAATCTGCTCACGAGGCACCGGGGACGCCTAGGACGCCATGTACCTTTGCTGCATTCAAGACAAAGTCGAAACTGTCTTCAATGCCCGACGGGGAGAGATCCATCCAGAGAAACATGCCAGCGACGGGCGAGACCCAAGTAGCTAGCCCTGAAAGGTGTTTCTTGACGATCGTTTCGAACGTTTCTCGTCTCCTTGCGTAGAGTTCAGCGACGTGATGTGCGTGATTACGAAAACCATCCAGGCCCCCTGGTGGCATGCAGATAAGTCGTGAAGCACTGCGAAACGATCGACAGACGCTCACAATGCTCCAAGAGGCAGTACGTAATGCCTTGAGATACTGTACTGGCGTGAAGAATGGTGCCCGAGTTGATTGTATCAATGGCTCGGAGGATGTTACCGGGCCCGGTCGCGAAGCCCTGAGAATAGGTCAAATCCCAGCGCAAGGCGCCACAATCATTGGTTTACAACTCACCAGGCGCAAGCCTGCTGACAGCAGTTTCGAGAAAGAGTCGAACCGGACGACTCTACCACCTTGAGGAAAGACTCGCTTTTCCAATTCGAAGTAGCTTGGGATGGTGGTCTCGGCGAGATAGTCTAGATAGGAGTGTTGGTCAACGAGGCTCTCTGGCTTAGGACTGAGGGAGAAATTCACAATATGGGTCATCTATAACGACGTATGGTCAGCTTCCACGATTCCATAGTGAGACACTACACACCTTCGAGGATCAAGAGGCCATACTTCTTACACAGCTTAAGGACTTCCAGGCGTCTCTCCAGGCTATGCGAGCAACCAGATGGATTACAGCCAATAGGGTTGACACTGCGCACCAGTCAATTTGGTCGTCGCATTCCTTTCAGCGGCATGGTGACCTACTAAAGCAGTTTGGGACGTTTCTGATCAGGCGTCAAGCTGGACATGACTTGCTCCAAAGCAGCGGGAGATAGTCCACCTTCATCAACGTCGACCTCTGATGCCCCGAATCAGCACAGATACCAAACATTGTGCTTGCGTCCGACGCACCGATCATCTCTGCGTTCTTCTTTCGTAATGGGGCCAAGATTCCAGGGTATACAGGGGTCTCGATGAGGATCGAGTCTCCTTCATTCATCAAGGCATCAACTGCCTGACGAAGGACGTCAGCGCTTGAGCTCATGACAGGTCCTCTTGTACTTCACACTCACAGCGTTCAAGAGATTCTGACAGCCTGCGCCGACGGTCGTTCCCCAAGTGCCGTCATCCTCTCGATGGTGAACCTCCTGTTGAAGTTGGTAAAGCAAGGATCGAAGCTTGGGCAAGCCTCCACTTGGGCCGTATTGTAGCGCATCAGCGAGATCAGCCCCATTCAACGAGAGGTTCTGGGTGGAGGTCGAGGTGGACCCGAGAGGCGGCTTGAGATTCAAGGTGATGGATTCGAAGGGGAACGAATCAGAATTGGGCCTTCCAGCCCTGTTGTGAGCAGGTCCGTCAGCAAGGACACTTCCAGTACCGATCCAACAAGACGGTCCCCTCACAGCTGTGATGACGAGATAAGCTTTGCAGTCTCGCGAGCAAAAGGCAACCTACGAATGACACAACGCCTGGCTTTTCATACTTCCACAGAGCTCGGACTAGTGAGTGATCAGCCCCTGACTGAGCTCCAAGACCACGCTCACTCACTGCCATCCTCTGAAGAGGTCTTCGCCGATTCCGTCAAAAAGTACATGCCATCACCGCCAATGACGTCGTCCTCGGTCCCATTCGTCCCAATAGAGCCATTCGCAGAATGCTTCGTCCCGTCGACAGTGAGAAGCCCTTGGTCGATAGCCATGGTCACTAGAGGGCCTACACGATCGGTCTGACTGATCAGGATGATTGTGTGTTATTGGATCTTCCCTCCCAAATCGACTCGATAGGATCTGTTGATATAGTATTTTTCGGGTTGCCAAGGCCACGGCCGAGATCCGCCCAAAAGTCTAATGGCGTGGTTCCGAGATTCGCGGGATGGGATCGGGGGGAGGCGACGATGGACGGTGATGATGGATTACCACAATGATGAGTGATGAATAAGCCCGCCAGCTTGGTCTATATAGACTCTTTCAGGCTCACGTCAACTCGATGCGTGCCTCACGCCGTTGCATGGTCGTCTGGTTTCATCAAGACTAGATTGAATGCATAGATCAACAGGTACCAAAGGTAGCTCCGTCTACCTTTGAAGCAGGCACTACTGGAGGCCTCGTGTAGGCGATGCTTGTGTACCTCGCTTACTCTCCAGCATTCGTCCACTCCTCTCGCTTATCGAGTCTTCCCTTTCTACATCTCCACAGCCCCTCTGTTACACCCAATCCACGCCTCGCACGCCGGATGCTCCATCCGACATGCTCCGCTCTCAGACCTTTGGCGCAGTGAGTGTTGCGAGCTTGATGTCTTTCTTGTCCTTTCGATTCCTGCTCCAACGATGGAAGAAGAAATAAATGAGACCCGCGACGCCGAGGGCAGCCACTGGCAAGCACATGGTCGTCAGTTCCTGAACTGAGGTATCCTGTGACCGGTCGAAGACACAACTCACGTATGAGAGCTGCGATCGCTAATTTATTACTCATGACTGCATCTTGGCAGTTCTTGGACGAATACCCAGTGCTGTCGCATGTCTGCTGAATCTCATCGTACGTCTGTTGACTTGCTGTTGGCTTGGCAGCTGTACCCGTTGAAGTCTCTGCAAGCTGGATAGGACCCAAGCCCCCAAGTCCTGTGCTGGTGACATCAGCAGTATCGGTGGCTGTGGAGGTCGCTGTCGCAGCCGAGACGATAGGAGGGCTCCCACCTGCAGTCGATGATGAGTCGCCGAGGATAACCATGAGGAAGGAGCCTGTGAGGTCGGATCAGGGAAGACTGGGTTTTGTCCGGCCCACGGCGAATCGAGCTATGGTCGATTTTGTCCCTTTGGGGCACACGGCCCTTTTGCTTGTCTTGTCTAGCGATACCAGCGCTGAATATTCATATAGATGATGATGATGGTCTATATCCAAGCCAGGTCGTTTGCCCGTCAGGGAAGGGGCAGGGAACCTCCTTTGCTGCTTGAATCTGACACGCGTTGGATCTCCTGAAGCTCAAAGGATGCGACACCGGCAGTGAATTGACAAGGTCGGCGCTCGCTGCTGTTTGTCTCCGTTTCAGCATGGGGGGCAGTCACTGATCTAGACGGAGTCGCCCGGAAGACATGCACGAGTCTGACCCATCGTGCGAGATTACGACCGTGTCATGCGCCAGCGGACAAAATCCTCCTTTAGCACGCCTCCCCATCGGCCGTGGGCAGTCTTGACCGTACCAACTTTGTACAGCTCGCAACCTCTTCTGGGCACAAAGCTGAACCTCCACACCATGGCGTCGGGCAGGGGTTCGTGCTCCTGAAGTGGCCGTTTTGGCGTAGGATCCGTCGGCAAGACATGTGTCAGCACGAGATTCAACACGGCGTGTAGGAAGTGAAAGCAGGGCGCCGGGCTCCAAGGAGGCTGTGGTATTGCTGCGACTCTGCATGACGTGAGCATCGACCTGCTTGGCCGTAACATCGAGATGGCTTACAATCGGGGAATCTTGACCGTCTCAAACGAAGTTTGAGATCTCAAGATCCCGTCATCGTCCCGGAATCCAACCTCGACAGTCTGTCGGAGCAGTGAGCATACGCAACGATCCGCAGAATTCAGTCGACGTACGGGAACACCAAGGAGGAAAGACTGGGCCCAATGCTTGAGTAGCTTTCTGACGGCGAATCAATGACGAGTCTTTAGGAGATGCATCTTGCTTACTTGTTGAAGATTATGTCTTGCTTTTGGTTTTCAATGACCTTGTTCGTTTTGAGCTCCATGCAGCCTAACAGACCTGGATGAGGCGATCCTGGTGGTACTGAGTTGCATCATGAGCTTTCATGAAAAAGATCCCGAAGAGCTCACCGTTGACACAATCGACCTCCCCACCGAGGCATAAGGGGATATCTCCGATCGCAGACCTGACTATACTGCGCTCATTAGCCTGGAACGATGTTTGACAGGGACACAGACACACTTGCACCACTAAAGGTCAGCCAATGTCAGCTTTTCCGCTGCGCTCCTGGCTTTGCTCGCAGACCCACTTGGATATTTTGATTGACATCTCCGGACCAACCTTGTGGCCAGTCTGGAGACTGAGCTTCGCCAGCCGGAGGGAAAGTGGAGAAGGACTCAAACGAATAGCCCATATAGCTCTGCCATGCCCACGAGCTCTGTTCCTTCCGTCTGTTCTCTTATGAGATTGTGTCTTTCCATACCTTTCGGAAGGCTTCCTCACCTCCTTTGCCTGACATCTGGAGGGTCATGTAATTCAACATAGATTGAGCCTCCCAAGGGTATCGCTGTCATTTCCCATCCATCTCTTTCCTCGAAAGGGGCCGTCATAATTCTACCATTACCTCAGTCCGGGACTCTCGCTCATGGACACAGCACGTACCTCGTTATCATCCCTCTCCAAGTGATGAAGGACCCCTGTCGTAGAGCAGGCCTCCCATTCCGCTGTTCGATCTCCATCAAGCTCTCGCACAGCCCGTCCAAGTGTTCTTCCAAATCCTCATCCCTCTCTATCCGCCTCTCGAACCCGTAATTCAGGTCACAGCCAACAGGAGCCTTTCGGTAGTAAGGCATGGAAGTGTCATCATGTACTATTGTCCTGTCTGATAGATGGGAGTAAGTCCCGATGAGCGTGGGAAGATGATACGGCGGAGGTGGAGCTGTCAGTGATCTTGGAGGCAAGGGGAGAAAGGTGTGGACGTTTGCTTCAGGATAAGCCTGGTTCATTTTGGGGTAGATACGAGAGGGCTGGAAGCAGCGTCTGCAGCAATAATGTTCAAAAGGGTGCAGTCTCGGCTGGACATTTGAAAATAACCTGGTAATATTGTATTAGAATCAACGGGGGGATTACAAAGAGATAACGTTCATTACGATGAGGGATCACCTGGCAATGCATCTTTCTGTTGATATTGGGTATCTTGGAACAATCGCTCAAGCTCGCCAATGACCGAGAAGTGACGCCCGAGAGAGAGAGAGAGAGAGCGAGAGATCAGACTGGCTGTCCTTCAGCACTCGAGCTGCCCTTAAGGGCTCTCACCGAGTTGTCACCCTGGATACGTCTTGAAAGGATGGTAACACAACGCTTCTCACAGAAGGCTCAAAATGGACCATGACGAGCTCGTGAGAACAACGCTCCAGCAGTCTCAACTCGTCGATCCCTCCATATGAACAGCACCACAATGGCCTTGTCATTCTGGCTGATGGCAGCTTTAGCGGCAGCTGTCTCGTACTATTGCTTCACACCTGTACCCAAGAATCGACGTCTTCCAATTCCGAAATCTCAACATCTCCCCTCGGCAGTCATACCTTCGTACACCTCTCACGCACGACTCCTTCCGAAACCAGCGAGACATGCGTTCTCTTACTCCCTCATCTACCTCGGTCTGGACGTCGACGCTCTTGATTCTGGAGCTCTCGACTTGCCAAATCGGTTATTGGTCTATGGCGGATCACCATGGACCAAGATCCTGGGTTTGAGATCTGACGGGTATCTCGTACCAGGACAAGGAAGCTTTCGCAGCAAACTCGATGCCTTGTTGATCGGAAATGGTATCGACAAGGAGCATATCGGCAAAGCTTGGCTCCTCACCATGCCTAGTTTCCTAGGATTCGAAGGTATTAACCCTTTGTCCGTGTGGTATGTGTATGACCGGCAAGGAGGTCTCCTGTGTTGTGTTCTAGAGGTCCACAACACATTTGAGGAGAAGTGAGTACGCCCCAGGGATACACAGAAGCGGCCTCTGCTGACAGGCGACAGGCATGCCTATGTCCTCATGACCGATTCCGAGTTCCGCCACGATCCCAAACCAGGGTGAATTAGCTTACACGATTGCCGATCCTCGAGCTGACTCTGAACGCAGGCACCACTTCGCATGGACGTTTCCCCGTACGTTCCACGTCTCACCCTTCAACTCTAGAAACGGTTACTATCGACTGGATCTCGTCGACCCTTTCCCTAAGGATGTTATTCCCTCTGATCATCCGCATATGAAGATCTCGCTGCGCCTCTTGACACCAGACAGAGAGACCAAGCTGACCGCCATTCTGGCCTCGGATCCCATGCATCCATCCGTTCCACTGGATTACGAACACATTGGACACATCGTACGGTGCCTCATCCGGTGGCCCTTGGCCTTGTTCTTATCTACCCCGCGGATCCTCTTCCACGCTTGGATTCTCCACTACGAGAAGAAGCTCGCCGTCTTTCCACGGCCTGAACCTCGAATGTCAGGTCAAGATGGTGTATGGAACCCTCCTCAGAATTACTCAGATACTGTTGGCAAGCCTGTCCGATGGCAGCCCACAGGTCTGACCGAAAAGATGGCTCGTTCCATCGTTTCTGCTTGGGCCAAGTCTCGAGCTTTAGAGACCAGCATTCAACTAGAGATCAGGAACCATGGTAGTGATAGCAGTGCAGTCTTTCCGACGACCACCGGTCACGACTCTTTCAGCAAGCTCGTCATCACCACGTCCTGTCCGAAGATATTTTCGCATCTCGTCATTTGTCCTAGCCCAGACCACTTTCTCATCCTCGCTCCAGAGATTCTCACCTCGATATCCGATCCTGCGCTGTTCAGGCACTTCTTCAATGCTTCTCCTTCCACTGTTCCAAATCCGATTCTGGACCGTCGGATCCAGGCTCAGCAGCGGGATTATTTTATCTGGATGTCTTCTTGTTCAAACATCGCACCGACACCTGACCTCGTGAGATCGCCTGAGCGGCATTTCACCTCATCCGGATTGTCAATCAGCCACAAGGTTGGCGTCATATTTGTAGTCTGGTCCGCTTTTGTAGCTGATTGGCTTGAAGAGGGCATCATGGGCCTCATGAAGGCTCGTTGGGTACCTGGTGGCGATCCTCAGAGGATATGGGAACGTGCATTCCGCAGACTATATATTCAATATGGAGGGGGATTTCTAGCAAAGCAGTCAGAAGGCTGGGAAGAGGTTGGAAGCTTGTTGTACAATTAGAAATTGTCTTGGTGAGTTGACAAGCACCAGCTTGAAGATGCATGCATCCAGTCGAATTATGGAAAACCTTCAGTGAAGGGATACGTGGGTACGCGTGATGAACGAAGGATGGAAAGAATCCCCTGAGTGCTGGGGATGGCTGTGGAATCTCAGCTGACGCGTGGTCTCGGAAATGTGCATCAGGGGACGTGTTGTAGATCTTCGACAGAGCAGCATCTGAGATCTGCGGATGCCCTCGCGTATCGGAGATTCACGCTGATACAGTCTCAGTGAAAGCAGTCCTGACAGGATTCACTCCAGCTTCTGCCTTGCAGGATCATTGAGCCGTGGCCAAAGTGGAGGTGAATAAGCTGCCTGTCGGGGCGTCTGCGGTCATCCTCTCATTCCTCTGACAGAGTTCCAACAGTCTCTCTGCTCAGAACGGAAACCGCAACAACGAGACCAGCCGCTATGGCAGAATGTGGCGCCACAAAGATTCATGCGACGTCGTTTTCGGATTACGAAACCTGTTTCACCTTCTCGCCACATTCGAGGCGAGGCATACTGCTTTGTCGGGATGGAGATAACAAGTGCGGATCACATTATGACTGAGATATTCGGCTCTAAAGACATGTCCGCTTCTAAGTCAAGGCTGATCAGAAGCCTTCGTAAGAGGCAAAGCAATGGATGAATTCAACAGCCCAGCTTTCGAGGCCGAAGCTCCCATATGAGCTTCTCTTCTATGTCTCGACGGGATCTAAGACCAGCATGCCGATGCAGCTTTCGCCTGTCTCTCTTCCTATGACAGGACATTACGTATCAAACTCGTTACTACTTACCTCAACACGATTCACGAAAAGTTCGGTTCCTTTTTAGAGCCGGCGGCATCGGCCATGGAGAAATACCTTGACCTCGGCACGGAATGCTATAGCGGCCTCTAAGGGTCGAGACGTTGGCTCATAACAAATCAGAGTCTCGATACCAAGCTCAACAAGGATAACTTTGGGTTTGATTTCGAATGGTCGAAGAAGATGCAGAGGCGCTGGGACAAAGTGAAAAAGAAATCCGTTTGGGAATAGACTCATGACCGAGGTCGACGCCCGCGGGAATGCCCAGAGTCGTGATAGAATAAGGCGATGCTAAAGTTCATGCAATATCGTACGTAGTCGTTACTCTTACAGAGCCCAGATCGTCAAGTCCTATGAACAACGGACAACGTAGAGTGGCACCTAAGCCTCATGTGTCATACCCAGTCTTTGCTCCGCTACTCCAGATAACCATCTGATTAATTCGTTGCCGTCCTCCAACCCACTCAATGTCCCCAAGAGGTCTCTGATCAATTCTGCCTGGATGTTTTCCGCGCGATCACCCGATCCAGCGTTGGCCATCGAGATGCGTCTCCTCACAGACTCCTTGTCAAAGCTCGAATCCGCATTGTTCATGTCGATGTCTTCGTGATGCTGCTGCATCTGAGGCTGGTCGAGATGTCTCAAGACCATTTGCGAGGTGGAGAGCAGCGCTATGCTCTCCTCAAGCTGGTTCAAGAGAGACCTCGCTGCAAGCACCTCGGGTTCTGATGACGAGAGAGGAAGGGCATCAACAAATTTGCTGACCTGAGTCAACAGATCGTTTAACACCCCAACGGGATCGTCCGCGGCTGTCGAGGGATCTTCCTGAGGAGGTCGTCAGTCCGGTCACACAAGGAATGACTTCACTCACATCGTAGGAAAGAATGAGATCCTCCTGCGACTCCTCAGAGTCACTCTGTAGCGTCGCCCACCCTTGTGTGAGGGTCAGCAGGGCCATGACGGACGATCTCGTCGCCCCGAGCAATTTGAGTGTCCGAGCTGCGAGAGCAGGAGCAGCAGTAACATCGAGAATCTTTGGCTCTTGATCGTCAGATAAACTTGATAATTCTTTCTCCAGTTTCATCCGCTCTTCTTCAGACGAGGGGCTCATCAGAGTGGAGAACAAACGCGGGTGCGAAAGGCTGTAACGAACACTTTTCAGGAAGGACAACAGCGGGACCGAGAGTTCGTCCAGGAGACCATCATTGGATCCAATAACTTGAACCAGCGCATAGATGACATTGGTAACTTGGGACAGCTCGTCGAGGATAGGAAGACTGAGAGTCGTCTCACCATTCCAGGAGAGAGCACGAAGGATTTGGTTCGTGCAGACTCGGAGGAACGGTATGACATCGGATCGTGCCAGTGCTCCAGCGTCGATGTGTGGTAGAGACGTGAGAATACCATGGACGACCCATAACATAGTGCACCACGCGCCATGGACTGAATTCGGCTGCGGTGAAGGTGAGGAGGGGATTATTTTGGCTTGCTCAGCCAACAGAATGATAGCGTTGTCGGAGTATGTGGGGAGGATACCGCTGACTGCAAGCTTCTCTGCACTCGAGGGATTCCCAGCTAGAGCGAGATGAAGAAGGAGGATGGAAGCGATGTGAGGTTGAATATGGTCATCTGAAATGCGTAGGCGAGAGGTCAATTCCAGGCTGCGCGGTATGAGATCGTGTTCCGACAGCTTGTCCATCCAAAGATGTGTCATCGGCGACCGGACGATCTCGCAAATGATACCAACCACTTGCTCAAGATCAGCGGTCAGGGATAAGTCACCCGCCGAATCCCGAACCAGACTGTCAAGAACAGTGTCGGCGGCGTCAAGCGTGAAAGACATTGCCGTTTCCAAGATCGGCTCAAGGACCGAGGGCGAAGACTCCAATGCAGGGAATGCTTGCACGATTGAGTGAACGATCCGAAGCAGGGGTTTATGAATTGCTGGTAGATCTGGGTGCCGCAATCCAATCATCGGCGGGAATGCCTGACTCTCTAGTATTTGTCGGACGCTAGAGCAGAGCTCTGCCAGGATTTTATGACTAGGCGCCGCATTTTCGCTTGCCAGGGCAGTCTCCAGCAATGCGCTCAGACCCACAAGTCGGTCATTCTGTATCGCTAGCATGACGTCTCCTCCCCGATCTTCGTTGGCTAGCAGCTCAGCGATGGAGGTTCCAGCCCTCAAGGAAGCGGCCGAAGCAAGCGCGTCGCCTTCGGTGATGCTGTATGCCGAGTCTGCGAGACGATTGAACGCTTTGGTGAGGTTCAGATCTGCCTCCAGCATTGACCAATTCAGATTGAGCATGTCAAGAGCTAGATTGACTGCTGCCTGCCTCGATTCGTCACCAGAAACTCTGATTTCACCATCTTTGCTTGTCAGCTAGTTATTCCTGATGGCTTACTCACCGTAAAGGTAGAGAGGACCAAATTCTCTCTCGGACGGCAGCAAAAGCGTCCTGATGCTTGCTAGATGGAGTCCCTCCGATTGCAGCGCGGCTTCGTGCTCTTCGTGCAGTTGAGGAAGGCAGCTGCTGTGCGCTGCGGACAAAGCCAGCTCGGTCAGGGCAGTTGTGTTCCTGAACAATCCAGTGATCAGACTCTGGCCTTTAGTCTCAGGGCCATCATCATCCTCCTGCAAACTCAGAGCCAGCTCCGATGCTAGCAAAGAGACAGCTCCTGATTTGGCTCGGACTGCAAAGGCATAGGCTTGAATCCGATTGGCAAAAGTCTCCGAGTGCATCGACAGCGTGAACGTTGGGGGGGCGGGTACAGTCCGAATTGCAATGTCGTATACCTCTGACCAGACTTGAGTATGTCTCCGCAGCGCGGCAACAGCCTTTGTAGCGCCCGGACACAGCAGAACAGCGTTCAGGTAGGCGAGCACAGCAGAGATCGATCTTGGAGAAGTGAATATGACTGCCTGCCAGTCAAGTATCTGATTGACAGCGATAAGAAGTACGCCGTCTACGTTATCTCCTTGGGATCCTGTACAGAAATGAGCACATCCTGGTTGATGCGTAAGGACGGTCGACAAGAGATTCCAAACTGCCGATCGTAGCTCAGGAGATTCATCCGTCGCAAGTTCTGCGAGCGCCCTGAAGGATGTTTCAGCATCGTGAAGGAGGCCAGCTAATGAGGGGCGAGTCGCATCTGTCGATGACGTCTCCAGATACGTTCGGACTGTCGCTAAAGCATTTAATCGGGTCAAATTCGGCAGTATCGCAGAGTTTGCGAGACCGAAGATGATCTGAATGGCTTGGACCTTGTTGCCAGAGGCCGATACAACAGGCGCCGCGAAGAGGCTTTTGGGAAGCGAGCTAGCGGTTGCTTCGACATTATTTGCAACCCGAAGCAATGTCGACATGAGAGTGAGTGAACAGTCTAGAGTCTGAACCACTGCTCGAGCTTCTTCCGTGCGGTACGATGTGAGAAGGGAGGTGGCAAGGGTCGGTGCTTGGGAAAGCACTTCGAGGGTTGGACGGTATGTGAGCATAGAGGAAGACGTGACAAAGGTATCGAGGAGGTATTGAGCGGCTAGAGTTGGTCGAGAAGTCGAGCCGTCCAATGGGTGTTGAAGAATCATGGTGAAAATGGTGGAGAGAATGGAGATGATTCGGTATTTTCCAGATACACTTTGAAATCTCCAGCCGGATGAAGGAAGCCAGACGGATGAGACCACTAGCTGAAGTGCACTGCGAACAACGGTATCGTCTGGTTTCACAGTATTGTTGGTACTGGCAGCGAGAGCGGCGACAAGCCGAAGAACCGCAAGAGTCAGACTATGGTCTCCTCTGATCGAATCAGCATCAATGATGTCCGCGGCGATTGACCGTCGTTTGCCTAAAGCACCGAAGAAGGAAGAGTGGTGAAGAGCAGTCCAAACAACGGGTCCAGCATCGTACAGGAGAGATTGAATGATACTCAATGCGGCTTTGGCGATAGGGTAGTCAGTGGGTTGAATGCCGTTTCTTCGGACCCCGTCCAGGACTGTGATGGCCAATTCCAAGATGTGCACCGAAGCGGGCTGATCTCCTGATCGAATTTGCCCAAGGAGTGACGAGGATAAGCGAAGTGATGGGTGTAGGATAACCCTCAAGAGCTGAAGGTTGCTGGCCAGGATCTCTCTGGAGTCGCCCTCAAGGCCAAGGTCACCGATGGTCAAATGCGCGAAATTGGCATCCTCAGGGGTGAAACCGTCTTTCTGGTCCATCGGTCGGATCCCAGCTGCCGCGCGTGTGATCTCAACAAGCAGGCCCCAAGCGGCGAATGGCCCATCCCATCGAACGATCACAGTCTTCGAGTCTTCTGGACTCATCACCTCCCCTCGTGATCCAGCTCGAATCTTTAGCACACCGGGAAGAATAGAGTCTTTTCTCGCCTCGACGATCCTCCGATCCGAGTTTTCACCACCCAGAAAAGAGCAGTGTGATGGGTCCGTCCGAATGGTCAATGTCGGCAACTGAAGGAGATAGTCGAACACCGATATTGCCGGACTTGTTCCTGCAGTAGTTTGACGCAGAGGTGAGGGGCTTTGCGCACCAGAGAGCGCGGAGAGCAACAACGGTAGACGAGCCGCGTTGACGGGAAACTGTGCATCATCGAGAGGGGCCGATCGATTCGCATACGAATGATCGGCTTCCCAATAATCCTCCGCCACTGCTAGAGAGGTGCTGGGTGAACCACCACCGAACAGTAAATCCCAGACTCGGTACAAACCTGTCCGATCCACTATATGTTGAATTTGCACGAGGTCCGAGAGGCCCATGAGGAGATCTAGAATTCATCAGCTCTCGACACTTGAGAAGGAGCGTACCTTTGACAACTTTTCGTCGCCAGATGGACAGCTCTCGGTCCAGGGGAGTCTCCTCGTCTTCCTCCGCGAAGGTCAACAGCGGTCCAGACAGAATCTCCTCGAGCCAGGGGAACAGACCCGACGGTAAGCGGAGAGCTCTGACTGCGAATTCTTCGAAAATCGGACGCTCGTAACCTAGCGGCGGCGGCTGTAGGTCGTTGGGAAGATTGCGCAGGACGATAGACCAGGCTAAACACAAGACCGGCATCGGCCATGATGGAAAAGACATTGAAGACAAGTCTGGTTCCGGGGACTGGGGTACCAGATTCTGCGATTCAGTGTTGAGCAGGACATCGATAGAAATGATAGCGTCTCTTGACCTCAATAGAGTTCCCTCAGCTTGAACGACTGGCGCATCCATGTCATCCTTGTTGAGAGGTGTAACGATGGTAGAGAGACACATGGCTTCCAGAGCGATGATGAGGGTCCGGTCTCGAATGCGCTGTTGAAGCATCTGAGATTCATCGTCGGTGTTCCATATCTCTCGGTTGCCTTGAAGTGTGCCAAAAGCTGACGCCACGACTCCTCTGAGAAGTCCGAGGGATATACTGGCTGGTCTATCGGGATAATCATACAGTACAAGAAAGAGCAGATCCAGAAGCTCATTTTGAAGACGGAGTTGGAGTGTGCCCCTGATCACAGAGCATCGGCGTCATTCAGAAGTATCATGGCTCACCAGAACAGTGCTTGATCTGACCGTTGGACACCCTCCAGCGGTTTTTGAGCGACGCTTGACCAAGCCCGGAATATGGTCTCAATATATTTGGCTTCGTCCGTGATGATGTTGGTCAAGACGTCTCCCGCTATGCGAGACCATTCATCCAGACCTCTTTGGCTAAGTCTCTGCAGCGCCATGACCAGCCTTGGAGCAGCAAGCGCCTCCTCAGCGTACCACAGTGTGAGCCTGTCCAAAGTAGATTCTTCATCGTTACATCTGCGAAGGAATCAGCACACACCAGCGGATCTCTCCTCTCAAAGCAAACGCACGTTCTGTACAGTATCAGGGCCTCGACTTCATCTATGTCCGCGCGTTGGGACAACTGATACGCCAGCTTGCGGTTCTTCTCGCTGACATCCAGAGAAACCGAGGTGTGTGGAACATTGACGGTGTTGGATTTCAATGCTTGCCGAGAGCTGGTCGAAGGGGATGAGAACGGTCGTGTAGGTGAGTTGAGCTTGTTCAGATGATGTATGAGCAATGCCTGAAGCTTTGAAGGTGTAAATTGTGTTTGCTGTTCGGGGTCCAGCAGAATGTCGTAGATTGAAGTGAGGGGTCTGACAGACGGAGTCAGTCATCACCCTGTAAGGCTGAGAACAGACTCACGTGAGGTATTCCTCATCAGTCAGAGCTGAGACCTGCACCATCTCTGTACCTCCGTTGTGGTCTTGACGCCCTCGATAGCTGCCAGACTTTGTGAATGGTTGAGCCGAAATCACACCTTTCTACGAAGCGTGGTTGATTTTCGGGATCGCGCGAGATCATTAGGAATTGGGATTTCTAATCCATTAGAAAAGCCATTTCCTAATCAACCCCTGAAACGTAATGACGTCGGCAAATCCTTCTTCTGACCAGTCCCAAAAGTCCAAATTGTCAACTCCTAGATCGTCGTCCGCCATACAGCTCAGGATACCATGAGCTTCCTCGCGCGAGCAACACCTGCTTCGTCTTCAAAGATCAGTCTGAGGAGATCATTCGCCGCCACTGTCAGGGATGTGCCTCTTCGCCCCACGACTCGCCCGCCGACGGCGATCGTCATGATGAACATGGGAGGACCATCCACGATCCCCGAAGTCCACGGTTTCCTGTCGAGACTCTTCCACGATCATGACCTGATACCTCTTCCCATGCAGAGAATATTGGCGCCTATCATCGCCTCACGAAGGACGCCGTCTATAGAAGAGCAATATACCGCGATCGGAGGTGGATCACCGATCCTTCGATGGACTAGGATCCAAGGCGAGGGAATGTGCCAGTTGTTGGACGAGTTGAACCCCGAGACTGCCCCCCACAAATCCTATGTCGCTTTCAGATACGCGGAGCCCTTGACCGAGACTTGTTTGGAGGAGATGAAAGCGGACGGCGTGACGCGAGCCGTTGCTTTCAGTCAATATCCTCAGTACAGCTGCTCAACCACGGGCAGTAGTTTGAACGAATTGCACAAGGTCACAAGGAGCAAGGGTGGATGGGGTGGATCAGGAGAGGTACAATGGAGTGTATTGGATCGTTGGCCGACTCAGGAGGGACTTGTTGACGTGAGTGTTCGACTTAGTCCTCAAATCTCGGGCTGATTATGTTTCCGTTAGGCCGTCGCTACGAATGTTCAGGCTGCTCTGAACAAGTACCCCGAAGACAAACGATCCGACGTTGTCCTTCTCTTCTCGGCTCACTCTTTGCCAATTGAAATCGTCAAGTAAATCACTGCTCTGTCTACAGGTGGTCATTCCGCTGAAGCGCGCCTACGTAGCCGCGGCGACCCGTATACTGCCGAGGTAGCAGCGACAGTGCATGCCGTGATGAAGAAGCTAAACTTCTCCAACCCGTACGTAAAGATCTCACGGGGTGGGGTTGAAGCTGATCCAACTCGTAGGTGGAGACTCACGTGGCAGTCTCAAGTCGGCCCAAAAGCTTGGCAGGGACCACAGACTGTAGATGCCATAGGAGGATATGCCAAGCTCGGTAAGAAGGATATCTGTTTGGTTCCCATCGCCTTCACGTCGGACCACATCGAGACGCTCTTCGAACTCGACATCGAGGTGGCTCATCAAGCCAAGAACGTGGGTGATCACGAAGATCTATGTACAATTGGCGCTAACAGACAACTCAGCTCGGAGTCAACCTTTCTCGAGCCGAAAGTCTGAATGACTCTCCAATTTTCGTCAGAGCGCTCGCAGATCTCGTCTCGGGACACTTGAAAGATTTTGATGCGGGCAAAATTGGGCCCACTAGCACACAGCTGTCGTTAAGGTGCCCAAAGTGCACCAACCCAAAATGTGGCCGGACGAAAGAGTGGCTGGCTGCTGGAGGAGTAGGACCTACCGTCTCTGCTTGAACATCAGTCGAATTGAACTCTCTAGTGCTTCTTCCAGAATGTAGCATAATGCATTTCGCTCCGGGAAAATGACACTTGACTAGACTGATACAACTTGCAACGCCGGTCGATCAGTTTGTTTGTCCTGTTCTATGTCTGAATCTACTTCGGCTCTCAGCTTCTGCACTTCTACCCGGATTTCCTTCTCTAACTCGAGCCAATCTGCCCGCAGCAATTGCCCGAGGGATGCAATGTAAAATAACAGTTTTCGTGGGGCAGCGGCACCTGGCTTCGGGATGACAAATAATCGATACAGATCGCAACACACCAGCGTCACTTTGTTCGGTTCGTCTAGCGATAGAGATGGGTGTATGAGGCCAGACATGTGCTCCAACAACCGTACCAGATTCTCCGTTGATGTCCCCTCTACCTATCCAAAACGTCAGCGTCAGTCCCATTTTTCAGCAGGGTCAAGCTACTGACCCCCGCCTGTTCGATAATATCCCAGACTGCTGACCAAGCGTCTCTGACAGTCTCGAAGCGGGTAGTCGATTTGGAATCGGTCAAGAAGGGGACAAAAGCGCTGACCTCTGCCTTGATTTCAGGGCCAGACACTCCACCTTCTGCTAGGGAATTCGGCGAGAGAGATGTTATACGGTAGGATAGAAGGATGTGGACGTAGGAGATGCTGGGACAGAGTATCAGTGGAAGTTCCTTGACTTATGATACTCTGATGGCTCACCAGACCGCGAGAACATTATAAAACAGCTTACGGCCGGTCCCCTCGGGTGGACGAACCGAGCTGAGAAGCTCGGCGGGGACCATCTCCGGAGGGATGGCATATTCTCCCTCGTCCAAGGGGTCTTCATCCCCAAATCTCAGGCCATTCTCCCACCACGGGAGCTGAGCCGGGGCATCCTCATCCTCAGCTACGGCAGCGTCGAGAATTCGCCGCGTCGTTTCTGAATCTGGATTCTGAAGTAATGCGATGAAAGCCTCTCGATCAGACTCAGGCAGAATCTTGAGTAAATCGTTCGAGCTGATAGTATCTGTCTCCATGTTAGCAAGAAAGCGGTCCAGCCTGCGCCAACATACCGAGATCAACGCCTTTCAAAGCAGACAATAGCTGATCGTCCGCGTATTCCTCTTCCTGTCTTTTGAGCTGCTCGAAAGCTTCCTCTCCCTCGATCTGAGCGTCCTCGAAACGCTTAAGCATCTCCATCATCTTCCTCTTCTCGTCATTGTCCACTTTCGGATCAGTGGCGATCTCAGAAAAAATAGTGGACCTATAAAATGGCTCGGAGCATTGGCCGTGGGACTAAGGATAGTGTCATCGACCATGGACTGGTGTGAGGTATCAGACAGTCTTACCTCTGCTCTGAAGCATTCTAACGAGCAGTAAGCGATGTTGCATCGCGGGCAAGTGTAATTGCTATCTTTCTTCCGACATCTAGAGGGTATGTAAGTTGAGCCGAGATCCCAATTCTGAGTGAGCTCACATTCCGCACACACGAGTGAGCGCTGTTGTAAGGCCTGGCTTTGGAACTGAGAATGGGAATCTGATCTGTTTCTGTTTTGGATGCTTGATAGACATCTGCAGCTGGCACAGGGTCAAAAGGCGAAAAGACTTGATGCGAGCATCGGACTTCAAGATATTGAAGGAGCGGCGATCGCCGCTGCAGGTTGAGATTTTCTGGACGCTCCTATTCCCGCACTCATTGTCTGTGGAATTCTTTTCCTACTTGCGGCTCACTGATCAGTGCGAGATGCCTGCCCAACCACCAGTAGCTTATGCTACCCTATGTCATCAGCTACCTTCAAAGCAGTACATCCTCGGAATCACCCCTTCTTCCGCTTCGCCTCACCTTATCCTTCGGCACCCGACACCCGAATTGACCATTGCCGATAATCAAAGCTTGCAGCCTGTCGACGTGCTCAAGGGCGGACACAAAGGCAATGTGACTAGCGTGTGCAGTGATGGAGGTGCTCTTTGGAGTTCTGCGAAGGACGGCTCGGTCGTCAGGTGGGATGAGAGGAGCCGACAACCTGGGAGCACTATCAAAGGTGGGCCTTTATACATTGGGTTGAGCTGAGCATACGATAGCGTTCCTGAGGGCACCTCTGCCCATTACTGCCCTCGCGGTCTCCGAACGGGGCCACCTAGTGATAGCTGGCACTGAACTGCTGTCCGCTGAGGCTCATATAGTGTTTTGGTGAGCAGATTGGATCGCCCCGGGGACATCAAGCTCACTTTTTCGCTTCAGGGATACTAGAAATACCAAAGACGCATTATACAGGCACTCTTCGACTCATTCCGACGACATCACCCACCTGTCACTCTTACCATCTACATCGACATATCTCGCTTCCTCAGGCTCATCACCGAGCCCACTCCTTCTCTCCGCCTCGACGGATGGTCTCGTAGCATTGTCCAACGTCAAAGAGAGCGACGAGGATGAAGCGGTAGTAGCTGAGGAGAATTGGGGTCAGAGCATAGCGGCTGCGGGTGCATATCCTGTACATGGCAGCAAGTCTATGGGAGTATGGGCAAGAAGCGACATGGATGGCATCTCAACGTGGCAGATCGGGATTGGCGAGGAAGGCGAGGTTGAGGCGAGTCGCTTCTACTCGAGAGAACTCCTTATTAACTCAGTCGCAGCTGCAAAACCACCTCGAATACCCTATGGAATCTCTCAAATTTCAAAAGTATCCCTTGCCAAGAGATGGCCCATCAATCACTCAAACCGCAGAGGCAGAATCGTCTCAGAAATCTAAGCAGGTCGTATCGGACTACATAGTGGACGCTATACCATCCCTTGGATTGAGCAAGAATAGGACTCCGATGCTGGCGGTCGGAAGTAACGAGTAAGGGCCGAATGGACTCACTTATAGTGTACGACTGACTCGATGGATCAGGGGAGATATTGTCCTGTTACACGGTTCCGGCAGTTCGAGCTCATTCGCTCCTTCAGCCTACTTCCTCTCTGGACCGAAATCAAGGGGTCACAAAGACGTCGTACGGTGTATATATCACGACGTGGAGAACGAAGCTTTATATTCCGGTTCGGAAGATGGAGTGCTATCCGGATGGTCCTTGGCTTCACTCCCTCAGCGACTAATGGTAGGAGACCCCTCGATAGACGATGATGGAGGAGATGGTCGAGAAGATGTGCAGAACGAAGATGAAGAGAGTGAAATCGAAACCGAAGAAGAAGAAGAAGAAGATGATGATGACAGTGGGATGGACGTGGACGATAGCGAAGAGAGTGAGGAGGGACCGAGGCACGGACCAGTGCTTGGAGGGGGAGGTGGCGGTAAAGATGTCGGTCGCAAACAGAGTAGATCAAAGAAGCGGAGTCATCCTTATCGTTAGCTCGGGCATATTTCCGACCTCGTGATGTCCATTGATGATGCAAGATGATGCGATATATGAGATACGAGCACGATCTATAAGACGTAAATGTCGTCGCGGAGGTAAATCTGAAGAAAGATGTTTCTGTAGATGGGTACTTATTGATACAGTATGAGAGTATGATGTGTCAAGACTGAGATGGAGCCTCACATGGGCGGAGCAGCACAGATAGAACGAATCAACAAGTGTCGATGAGACGATTTTTAGGTCTAGTGTAGTTCGGAATTTGATCTTGGGTTGTCTGGGAGTCATCAGTAAAATAGAATTTTTACGGCTGACCGAGATCAAACTCACAATGTTGGGATCAGCATAAGCTTCAGCATATCTGGGATACGTCAGATGCAGAGTCAATGACCTGCAGGCCTGGACTCACAATGCGATATAATCTCCAGTCGGCATGTTGGGCGGATCACAACCAATGTTCTTGTTGTTCGGATCCTCTGCAGTTCTCGTCAGCCGATATTTTCTCTCATCGTTCCGCAGAATAATCGCTTACGATAGACACGAATGTAGTCGACAAGCATACTGGCGTTGTCAATATCGATCTCGGCCTCGACGCAGGCGGAATACTCACGTCACAGGCCACAAACTCGCAAGACCGTCATAGCTGAGACTGGTCAGTATGCTCCCCAGACTGCATTGTATCAATCACCACTTACTCGACAGCGCCAAAGTTTTCCGATATACCCAAATTGATAATCAAGTACATTGGTTCTTCTGATACTGGTCTCTGACCGACCTTGGCGGCGGCATTGGGAGCCATGGCTGTTCAGGTGTCAGCCAAATTTTCCGTCACAGTCAACGCTGGCAACTGACCCGAAGCCATGATCTTCCAAGCGGTCTTGTTATCATTCACCCAGGAAATGTATCCGTCGCTGAATTAACATGAGTACTAATCCGCTGGACGTCGGCGTTCACTGTACCCACTTTCCAGGAAGATATTCGAAGCCATAGACGGAGAAGCAGCCGGTATCAGCGGTGCTGAAGTGGTGTGAGTAATGATCTTTAGTGGCAGATCTTGAGACACATACTAGCATTTCTTAGATAATGTCAGCACAAATCGTCCAAGGGATAGGTGGTCCACTCACTTGGTCTGTTTCTGAGAGAGCTGAGGTCGCTTGTTGGTACACACTCCCTGCGCAGGTGTTAATCCATGTGCACGTCATTCAAAGCTGGTGACTGACCTTGATACGAGTTGAGCTGGGTGATATCTGGCGAGTAAATCTCATACGTGTTGGAGTTGTTGATGAACTGAATTCCGTCTTAAGCGGGCGTATCCCAAAGCTGACGTATATCTCACCTCATAATACGGGTTGAATGGCGCCCACTGGCCTGATTGAGAAACTTGACCTTTGAGTGTCGTCGGATCAGTCTGTATGAAGAGACTCAGTATTGCGACCATCCAGGACCGATTCCATGAGCTCACCGTAGCCTCAAACATGTCGATCTCTGGGGCGGCACGTCCGACAAATGCTCCACTCGAGTCTTTTGGTCCAGGATGCGTCGGATCGTCCGGACAAGTACAACTTGAAAGACGTTGACCCGGTAAGAAGGACAATGGACCGCCGTAAGCAGGGTCACCAGATGTAGTCGAGATGGCGGGCAGGTCGTTCAACGTCTGATTCGGCAGTGTCCCCACGTCACACGAATCGTAAGAATAAGGCCAGATCCCATCGAGGGAGCCACCGTAGCCGGCTCTACCGAGATTACCCATGGACCATATGGCCGGCCATAATCTGAGGAGACAATGAGCGCGTACTTCTGAACGGTACGGGTGACTCACCCGTAAACTGAGGACTTCCCAGGTAGAGAGACAGACGCCTCGACATATCCTCCAGTAAAGCAGAATTGGTTCCAGCTGGTCATCACTGAAAATCGATCAGTCTTCCAGAAGTCACTAACAGCCGAGGCAGCTCAACTCACTTCCCCCGACATAGTTCAAATCGTGCGAGACGATATTGTCCAACGTGACTACGAGAGAGCCACCCTGGGTCGTGAGCATGACAGGATCGTACCAATTCAAGTTATTCGTTTGCCAGTAATGCAGATCGACAGCTTCCCAATAGGGGTCGTCACCTGCGTGCACGTCAGTCAAAGGAGAGTATTGACCTGAATCAGGGCTCACCAGGGTAGAAAGTCCTCCCATCGACGTTGAACTCGTCTGAAAAGACCAATTCAAACGTTTCACCAGTATCAGCACTGGTGATGGTGTACGCGGACGCTGGTGTGTCTTTATCTATGAGGGAGAACAGACCAATCGTGGGGATTTGACCAGTCGAGTTGATGCCGCCCAAGTTGTAGCCACCATCGTCGGTCTCTACCGGGGTCAGGTAATAGGACAAGATGGGGTATCCGGCAAACATGAGAATGAGGAGCATGAACAGGATGATGAGACAACCGACGTTGGCTATTCCTCTCAGGGTGAAGACTGCGTTCTTAATGCGGGAAGATCGAGTGCCACGGTAATCCGGGTCATGGAAATCGTCATCAGCCTCTGGGCCGAGATATGACCAGGATCCAGGATCTGCGGGGAGATGGAACTGTCGGGTTGTCAGCGTTGTGTAATGCAAGTTATCACAGGCACTGACCATCTCGGAAAGGTGCCGCCTGCCACTTTTGATGAACGAGTTGTACTCCTCCTTCAGGGCATCATGCTGTTTCAATCCTGACATGCTGTCATAGCTGGCACCACTGGCCACGGAGAAGGTACTTCCCGCTATTGAACGTTCACGCTTCAATTGCGGTGTGGTATCGTAGGGTGAGTCTGAGTAGTAGCCCATCGGCGGAGGATATCCGTGGCCGTTTGAGCGTGGAGCATGATGACGCCTGTCATCGTCTACTTGACCATAACCTGCCAGCGTCGCAGAGCTACCAGAGAGGAGGGAGTCACGGGATTCCGAGGATGGGATATAAGATCCATTCTGGGCGTAAAAGTAGTCGGAGTGAGATTGCGAAGAGTGTGAGGAATTTCCACCGTATCCTCCAAGCGAGACGCCTCGTCCACCCATATCTCCAATGGGTGACCGATCTCGGATAGGGTATCCTCTGGCATCGAAGCGGGGAACCTGAAGACCTGATCCATTTGCGTATCCATTACTATAGTTTCCACCACTACCACCGTGTCCAGTACTACTGCTGCTCGCTGAACTTGGTTGTTGATACGTGTCTTTTGTTGGTGATTCCGTATCTATTCTCAACCATCCTTTCCCATTCTGACTTTTCGACTTTTTCTTGCCTACGAGACTGATCAACCTGTTTTTCGCTGCGGAGGTAGGGGATGGATAGTGGGAAGTGTCGTTCGTGAACCCGATCGGGTTCCGAGGTGAAGGGATACGAGACCGTAGATTTGATAGTGGTCCTCCTTGTAACCTGTCTCCTGGGGACATGGGGTTAACACCGGAAGCAGAGACAACAATGGGTCGATCATTTTGTTGTTGTTGTGATTGTTGTTGTGAACTTGAAGCTGCGGTCGATGGGTGATGTCGAGCAAAAGGATACTGAGGAGCCATTATGAGAGCCAAATATTAATGGACGTCGTCACAGTCACAGTCGTCCAGAATATGTCACGAGTGAGACAAGCAAGGTCTCGGAAACCACCGTGATGTCGATCGACTCCCATGCAATGTTGATTATCCTGATCTCCTAAGACCTGCTCGCGTCTCCAAATGAGTCGTAGACGATTTCGACCAAGCTCGTCGCTATCATCCATAAGACTGTTGAACAATGTCACACTGAAAGGGAAACGGTGACGAGAGACAAAGAAACAGCTCCCCGAAGTGTCAGACCACTGGAAGAATGTCGCGCCGGGGTCGTCGAGAGTGGTAATAGCTCTCAAGCGGGAGTCATGAAACAGCCGTCTTTCCTGAACAGTTGGGAGAATGCAGAACTTCGTACCACCGACCAGCGGGCAAGAGTTCGTTTATGCCTTTCCTTGTTGTGATGCGATATCAACAGAACCAAGTGACGATAGAAAGACTTAGCGTCGGAAATGATTTTGCAAGGTGAGCGACCAGTGGGATGATCCGTTTGCTTCTATTAGACTCTAGTACGGAAGGGAGGGAAAAAAAAGCGACACTCTGACTTATTGCCTCGACCACCCCACAGGGTCGTCAGCAGAGGCGGAGGAGCAGGGGGAGGAGGAGGAGGTTGTACATCAATAGTAGGTTCATTCTCCCTTTTTCCCTTTGACGACACCACCACCACCACCCAAAACCCCTGCGCCTCTTCTTTTCTATATGTAATCAAAGCTATTCTCCGGTAACTGAAGCCTCTCTCTCTCCCCCGCCACTTCCCAGACCCCCTCATGCACTTCCTATTGTATATAGCATAATCGCAGCCCTTCGTTTCTCAGGAAAAAGCTCATTATATCCCGACGGATTGCTGCTTCGAGCATTGTGATAAGAATCAAGTTCCATAGAACGCGTCGATGCTCCTATTTTTTTCTCTCGGTCCCCTAAACTCGCTCTCGACGCGTCAAACGCCATCGAAGGGGGCAGTGGTCCAGAGAAGAGCTGCTATCCATCTCGTCGTGCATGTCTTCGCTTTTATGCCCGTGTTTCGGCATCTATGGCTGATGCCTTGGATCATGTCATATACAGGAGAAAAGGATGTCAATAGTTAAGAATGATGATCGACCTAGGTCCCGGTTTCACATGGTCACACAAATAATACACGCTCAGGTGACTAACCATGTCCCTGGTATCGGCCGAGTCTGTGCGGCTTGACAGACCATGTGTTGGGTTCATTGCAATCTAAGCAGAGATGTGTCTGATTGCGCTGGTGTCAGTCTAGGCTCGCCTGCTATCCAGCGTGGAGCGAGGTGCTCTCGGTCTTGCGGGCTGGAATGCATGTCGTCAGGTCATCCTATGCATGATCGTTTGCTGATGGACGCGGTGGGGGGGGGGGGAAGGGGGGTGCCACACTCGGCGTTTTGTCGAATTTCTCATTTTTCGGCGTTTTCGAATTTCGTTGAAATTGTCACTGGCAGTGAAGGGGATCGTTCCTTCAACGCTTCTTCGATAGCATTGAGGAAGACATAGTGAGTTTTATGGGAGGGGTCATGAACGTGTAACTGATGGCTGTCTGCTCCTCATTGCTGCCTCTTCTTAGGCCGAAGGTGAGCTTGAACAATCTTATTCATTTCACCTGCACTGCTCATCATCCTTTGCAGTCAGCGGCATTTTCAAGCACAAAAGCATCAATCAAAATCTCACTCGACCTCTTGCATAACCACAAGTGAATCGGAAACAACATGCTTATCTCCAAACAACACCGACGAACTGTGAGCGAGAAATCATCAATCTACATAACCAAGTCTTGACGGCCTTCATTCTAGATCTACGAGAACCTCTTCAAGGAAGGTGTCTTGGTTGCTCCCAAGGACTACAACCGAGCCACTCACCCCAACATTGCGGACGTTTCCAACCTCGAGGTGATCAAGCTCATGCAGTCCCTCACCTCCAAGGGATACGTCAAGACTCAGTTCTCTTGGCAATGGTACTACTACTCGCTCACCGATGAGGGTCTCGCCTACCTCCGAGAGTACCTTCACCTCCCCAGCGAGATCGTCCCTCAGACTCACATGAAACCCGCTCGACCTGCTGGCCGACCTGGTCTCGGAGGACGACCCGGTGGAGATGGTGCTTACCGTGCCCCTCGTGGAGACCGAGAATACCGACGACGAGACGACGCCGGCGGTGAGGACAAGGAGGGACCTGGTGCTGGATACAGGCCCGTGAGTGGACCTCAGATTGATGTTGGATGCAGAAGCTCATCTTCCATTAGCGATTCGGTGGTGTTGGCCGTGGTGCTCCCGCTTCTTAGAGAGTGGGCAGCCTTTGGTCGCGCTGGTCAAAAGGGTGCAGGATGCTGGATGGATCACTGTAAGGGATCAGGTCTTGTCTGTATCCCATGCATGTCCATCTGTGTTTGACAAGGTCGAACGAAACGCTGTCATCCATTGAGATCTCGTGCCTGAATACACTGCGCTTGAGAACCATGATCTGGTACTGTCTACAGATGGCACGGACCGCCACCTCCTGTACGAGCTTCCAGTAGCGAGCTTCACCAGTTGTCAATGCACTGACGCAGTGGGAGAGCTTTGAGAATGAGCCCGAATGCCGTCAGCTGACATTTGGCGGGCGGCGGTCTGTATCGGTTCTTTCGTCTTGTGGTGGTGCCCATACTGCATTTTTCTATCAGAACAGATTGCGGGAGGTACGCATAGGGGTAGACTGAATACTCACACGGTCTACTACACACTGCGCTCGCATCGATAGTCCCTCCATGTATCATATCACACTTTGACTTTATCCAACGCCTCCTTCAACCCCTCCGCCCTTGCCCTTACTTGATCAATTCGAACTCCGAGTCGTTCACTCTCAGAGCCATCCATTGCCAAGACGTCCTTCCTCATGTCACGGACGTAGGCTCCAATAAGCTTCTGAGAAGCTTCCAAGTCGGCCGCTGCTAAGTTGTAATCTTCTAGGAGTTGAAGAGCAGGTAATGATTGGGCGGCAGTAGTTGGAGAGGATGAGGAAGGTGAACTAGTCTGTCCGTACAGATGTTCGAGCTTCTCCTTTGATAATGCTAATATACTGTCAAGGTCTCTGCTGAGATCATGTCTCGCCACTTTGATCTGCGCTTGCGGTGTGGACATGATATCGATATGGATGTGGCCACTAGTGACGACAATGGACGTTGACAGCGAATTTGGCGGATTAGCAATAAATAGTTCTCGTGAGAAACGGGTGGCATAAAATTGCGGGTCGCGCTGCAATTGGAAACATCGTTTCTACCTCTCAGATGCAATCCTTTGAAGGGTCTTCAAGTCGGTGACCAAGCAGCCGGATTCAAGGAGTGACCGTTCTCCTTCACGTAGTCTTACTGCAGTGGATCGAAGAGCGCGGCGATCTGACTCCAATCCTGAACAAAGACCTTGTCATCGACAGATCTGTACCTTTGGATGGGCCTTATAATCCCTATGTCGTGACTGAAAGCGCGCCCCTCTACTTTGCACATGGTCCAAGACTTGACATCTATTCCACATTGCACAGCTTCTCAAGTTAGGGTGACGCAATCATACTGAGAAGCCAGCCTGCATAACTATCATGGACCATGGTGAATCCAAAGGGGACAATAGGGATCGAGAAGCGCGAATATCTGAATGTTATTAGACGTACTCGCCGACAGCTTGAAGAAGCTCTGGTGGGCTTTTGAACGCTAAGAGTAGCTCGACTCGAGAGGTCGAGCGCTGCTGATATACATACATCGCAGGGATACAGCGCAGCCACGATCTTTCTTTGATGCGAATGGGTGCCGCGAGGGAAGATTACTTTACGTTAGGTCGTATGTTGAAGCTGAGACCAGGCACCTTTGCTCCCTTAACAACGGGCACAGATATACCGATGCTGCAGCTATTAGCCTAGGTCCTGTCGCTAATCACTCACGCTCCCTGTCTGACGACATCACTCTGACCAGGTACCGCATTGATGGTGAATCCCCTGAGGAGGACGAAAATGACGACCTTGATCTCAATCATTGCAAAGCGGTACCCTCTGTGGCGCATCAGCTCAATGGCTCTGGGCTCATTCTGACAGCGACTTACAGGCAGGCATGGGAGCCGTTCGTAAAGGTCGTGATGTTACCGTAGATACCAGGGACCGATGACCAGGATTGCCCTTCCTTTGACCTGTCTAAAAACCTTTCCGGACGAAAGGTATCGGCATCTTGGCCGAAGAATTCGGTCGAAGTATTGATATTGAGGAGCGCTGAGGGATCAGAATGATTGACCATTCCATTGGCTCACGTAAAAGCACAGTCGTTCCCTTGTTTATGCGGAGCGTATCAATCGTCTTTCCGCTTCGACCCTTGATCGGTCGAGACAAGGAAATAGTCGTCGCTTTGGTGGCTTGTCTAACATTCATCGGCACGAGCGTATACAGTCGCAGGAGCTCGCGGACGAAGGCCTCGAGGTATGGGAGTTCGTTGAGCTCATCTCTGTAACTCGTCAGCCGGGCTCAGAGCCATTCGACACCGCTCACAATTCCAACTCATCCAAGGGGACTCGCGATAGCTCGGTACGTAAATTGTCCTGGACGTCTTGTCTCGTGGATAAGACATGGAGCGCCCACACCAGCGTCCTCGATGTTGTGACATTGCCGGCGAGAATCTGTGGGAAGATCAGCGATATCTCTTCAGGAGCGTTCCGGCCCACGCACAAATGCAAACATGTTACCAATGATCTCCTCGGCCGACATCTTCTGCTCGGAACGGACGTCAGACGCCATGTTTGACTTGACTATTCGGTGAGTTAGACAAGCAGGATCAAGCGCGGCCAAGAGAGCTCACTGAGCACCGAGATGAGATCCGACTCCACAATATCCCCCTTTGATATCTTCGCGTCAGTGTCCCCGGCCACAGCTTGGACACTCCTGTCGTAGATCTCCTGCAGGAAAATGAGCACTCGCCGTTCTTCGTAGCTTCGTGCTGACTTTTGAAAGCTTGTAAGATAGCCTCTTTGCCTCCTGAGACTCCCGCTGCGTCTTGTTGGGCTTTTGCGAATGTTTAGCCACTGTGACTGTAGCAGCGGTGACGAACTCACAAACAGACGACCGACCGGTACCCCGGTGAATTGCAACATCCTTACCATCCCGCTGACAGTGTTCGCTACTTGCCTCCTCTGAAATGCTTTCAAGAGCTCGTCTTGACCATCGCCGAGCGAATTAAATTCGTGATTGAAGCCTGCACGACCGATGATGTCGATTGTCAATTGATCCAACAGCTTGACAGGATTTATATCCTTTCCGTGCTCTCCAATTTGCTGTGCCAACTTGTCCTTGAACTGGTAGGCTTTCTTCCAGAATATCGGAAGATTGTTCCTCATCTGAGCGACGCTAAAGGCAGGAAGCAGGGCCCTCCTCATTCGCTTATGCTCGTCGCCGGCTGAACTGAGGACAGATGGCCCGATGAGTTCTTTGAATTGCGTGAGACTCGATTGAGCTCTGTCAAACGTGTCAGGATGCGACCAGACGTAAGAAGCGACGGCAGGATCCAGAGAGATGATCTCAGGTCGACGAAAGATGGACGTCCAGCGAAAAGTCGTGCCATATTGTTTTGTCCATTTGTCAACCATCGCCCCGCTAGGACTGGCCATGAGCGTCTTGAAACTGCCATAGAACCAGTGATCGGGGGCCGGACCTGACAGAGTAAGCTCCAGCATCGGGAGATATCTCAGAGTTCGAAGTCCCACCTGGAAGATCTCTGAAAGGGACCAAAGCTCCTCGCAAAAAGAGGAAGAGACCGGCAGACACAATCGCTAGAAATACCAGCACGATTGCCAGTGCGCTGACGCCCATCCATCCTTGACGGGGCTGAGCGATCGCCCAACGGGCCATCCCGAATACTGTGTCCATGCTGGTATGTTATCAGTTGCAAGATATCAGTCGAGCATGAGTGTTGCTCCAAATGTCATTCGAAAGATCTGATTTACTAGATCCTGCTTTTTGCCGATAGCCGCATCCCCGCCGGTCACCACGTGGCAGATACATCTCCCTCAGCCGACTCATTATTGTGATGGCTGAGTCCATCGTTCTCATCTCGCAGCGAGAGAGCCTCCCCAGCCGAAAGATCACAGAGCGGAACCACTTCACAGCTCGTAGCTGATCTAAGCTTGCAAACAGCAAGTCCAGTCAAGCGACCCCCAGGAGAAAGCGTCTGCAATGGGGATTGCCGATTTACCTCCTTGGAACACATTTGTCCATCACACGATGTATAACTTGCAGGGGTCGACTGGTCGAGGCGTACTTCAACGGTTCAGGTCTTATCTCCACATGAGTAGTTCATGAGCGTACCTTGAGTCGGCGAAAGGCCACAGTCACGAGGCCGTAATCCCCATCGCGGCAGAAGCTATGGTGGCCAATCATGCAGGAACGACTTTATGATGGATTCACAACGTGCTTTGAGCTCTCCGGATATCTTTCAACCTGACACCTCCTCCATGCTCGCCATGCTGAGCGTCTTCATCGCTGCCTCGAATGGTCATTCCCGATTTATCCGGTCCTTACGTAACTTCCCCCCCAAGCCTGAGGGGGTTTCATTTTTGGGGATGATTTTTAGCCGGGGCGAGGGGGATGAGCGCATGGCCTCTGCGTCCCAAAAGTTAATGAAGATGGAGCATACTTTTGTTTGACATCCCCATCTGACCTCTTATCATTCCAATCTTGACATCGTCGTATCAAGTATACCCAGCGACGATTGAAGGAGGGTGCGCTCCTTCTCTCTATCTTCTGCTCAGCGGGTTCAGAAAAAAACACCTACTGGTACCGAACGACATTACAGGCGACAACAAGCACCTGGACTCTTTCGTTGCCTCGCCCCATCACTGGATATCTCCCACTTTCTATCCTCACCTCAGTCTGAATTCTGCGCAGACTGCGCTCTAGCCAATCATGGCTTCCTCTTCCACTCCCAACGGCTCTTCTCAAGCTGGTCATGCCGAGATGTACGACCACAGCAGAATAGCTCATTTCATCGGTGAGTGTAATGTTCTTTGGTCGTCCAATCTGCCGGATCTCAGGTGTGCTGAGGATTTGGCGTGCACATTTGCCAAGAGGTCGCGATGGATAGTAGAGGACCTGCGGCACCTCTGCTGACCCTTCACTCCACCTCCACTAGTGTCCGCAGCCGCCGTCCAGCTTAGATACTGATCATCCATCATCAGGCGCCAACTCGCTCGAAGTGGCCCCATCCGGCAGAGTCACAGACTTTGTCAAAGCTCAAGGCGGTCACACCGTCATCACAAAGGTGAGCACTTTTATTCGCATGCCCCCTCACTCACCCTACGCTCTACCATTAGGTCCTGATCGCCAATAACGGTATCGGTGCCGTCAAGGAGATCAGGTCGATCCGAAAATGGTCATACGAAACATTCGGATCTGATCGTCAGATTGAATTCACAGTCATGGCTACGCCAGATGACTTGAGAATCAATGCGGAATACATCCGAATGGCTGATCGCTATGTTGAAGTACCAGGAGGAACCAACAACAACAACTATGCCAACGTCGACCTCATTGTCGACGTTGCGGAACGAGCCGGCGTTCATGCCGTCTGGGCCGGATGGTGAGTTCTCCTGTTGTGTGCAAATTCTGAGTTCATCCCAGGGGACACGCCTCTGAGAATCCTCGACTCCCCGAGACTCTTGCCAAGTCCAAGATTGTCTTCATTGGTCCTCCCGGATCCGCCATGAGATCCTTGGGAGACAAGATCTCTTCCACTATCGTCGCTCAACACGCCAATGTCCCTTGTATGGCTTGGTCCGGTACTGGCATTTCGGAGACCACTCTCTCGGACCAAGGTTTCGTCACTGTCCCCGACAAGGCTTACGACGATGCCTGCATCCACAACTGGGAGGAAGGTCTTGCTCGAGCCGATAAGATCGGGTACCCCGTCATGATCAAGGCAAGTGAAGGTGGAGGAGGAAAGGGTATCCGAAAAGTCGATGATCCAGAAAAATTCAGAGGTGCCTTCCAAGCTGTCGCTAGTGAAGTGCCGGGTGAGCAAGGATTTCCTGTCATTCTCAGCGCTTCGTTGACGTGATCCAGGATCACCCATCTTTGTCATGAAGGTTGCTGGCTCTGCCCGGCATCTCGAAGTCCAGCTCATTGCCGATCAATACGGTAATGCCATCTCCCTCTTCGGTCGAGACTGTTCCGTTCAACGACGACATCAAAAGATTATTGAGGAAGCCCCGGTCACCATTGCTCGACCTGAAACATTTGAAGAGATGGAAAAGGCTGCCGTACGATTGGGAAAACTCGTCGGATACGTCTCGGCAGGAACTGTCGAATACCTTTACTCCCACTCTGACGACTCCTTCTACTTCCTCGAGCTCAACCCTCGTCTGCAAGTCGAGCATCCCACCACTGAGATGGTCAGTGGATGCAATATCCCCGCCATCCAACTCCAAATCGCTATGGGTGTGCCCCTACACCGCATTCGGGACATTCGAATTCTCTACGGAATGGATCCTCACTCCAACACGGAGATCGACTTTGACGGTACCAACCCTGAATCCGTCAACAAGCAGCGTAAACCTCAACCCAAAGGTCACGTTGTCGCCTGCCGTATCACGGGTGAAAACCCTGATGCTGGTTTCAAGCCTTCCTCAGGTGCCCTGACAGAGCTGAACTTCAGATCGAATTCAAACGTCTGGGGTTACTTCTCCGTCTCATCAGCCGGAGGTTTGCACGAATATGCCGATTCCCAATTCGGTCACATCTTTGCCTACGGTATGGAGAGATCTGAAGCCCGAAAGTCAATGGTCGTTGCACTGAAGGAACTGAGCATTCGAGGTGAATTCCGAACGACTGTCGAATACCTCATCAAGTTGCTCGAAAAGCCCGAGTTCGAAAACAACACCTTGACCACTCAATGGCTCGACTCGTTGATTGCCGAGGGAATGACGTCCGAGCGACCGGATGCTACTGTCGCCGTCATTTGCGGTGCCGTCGTCAAGGCTCACATTGCCTACGAAGCTTCATTGGCCAAGTACAAGTCTGTTTTGGACAAGGGTCAAGTTCCCCCAAAGGATACTCTTCAAACCTTCTTCAAGAGCGAGTTCATCTACGAAGGTGTCCGGTACTCTTTCGCCATGGCCAAGTCGTCCCTGAACTCGTTCACCCTGTACCTCAACGGAGGACGTATTTTCGTCGGAAGCCGTACTTTGAGCGACGGTGGATTGCTTGTCTCCCTCGAAGGTGCCTCCCACACTGTCTACTGGCGAGAAGAAGTCGGAGCCATGGTCCTCTCCATCGACTCCAAGACCTGTATGATTGAAGATGAGCAGGATCCCACTCAGCTGAGATCTCCGAGTCCTGGAAAGCTCGTCCGATACCTAATCGACTCCGGTGATCACATTGATGCCGGAGATGCCTTTGCCGAAATCGAAGTAATGAAGATGATCATGGCGGTCAATGCCAACGAATCTGGTATCGCTCAATTCATGAAGCAACCGGGTCAAACTCTGGCTCAGGGAGAGCTTCTCGGAATCTTGACTCTTGATGACCCCTCCAAGGTCAAGTTCGCCAAGCCTTTCGAGGGCATGCTCCCAACCTTTGAGCTCAAGAACGGTCGATACGGTACAAAGCCTCACCAACTTCTCCGAGAACACCTCGAGGTCTTGTACGACAATCTGTCTGGATACGACAATAGCGCTGCTGTCATTCCCTCGCTGCGAATCGTTGAAGGCGCTCTTCGAAACCCCGACTTGCCCTACGCTCATGCGCAAGACGTCCTCTCCGCCATCAGCAGTCGAATTCCTGCCAAGCTAGACGAGGAGGTCCGAAGCATCATCGACAGCGGCCGAGCTAAGAAGCTCGAATTCCCATCGACCAAGCTCAAGCGATCCATCGACTACTTCATCGAAGAGAGTGTGCAGGCCAAGGAGCGAGCCCAAGTCCGCGCTGCCATTACCCCCCTTCAATCTCTCATCGATGCCTTTGCCCACGGACTCAAAGTTCACGAGTGGCAGACTTGGGCCGACCTGCTCAACTTCTTCACCGATGTGGAGGAGCCGTTCGCCGACTCAGTCCGCACTCAGGAGAATGTTGTGCTCAAATTGCGAGAAGATAACAAGGATCTTGACTCTGTCGTCAAACTTGTTCTATCACACTCCAAGATTGCACTCAAGACCAAGCTGATTCTCGCTCTTCTGGACATCATCCGTGCTGCATCCCCTGAAGCCTCCATGACTCCTGAATCGCGGATCAATAATGCTCTCAGCCGAATGGCTGCTCTCGACAGTCGACCCACTTCCAAGGTCGCTCTCAAGGCAAAGGAAGTTATGATTGTTGGTAGCTTGCCAAGCTACGAAGAGCGTCTAGGCCAACTGGAGCAGCTCCTCAAGTCCTCCGTCACTACCAGCTACTATGGTGAAAGCGGTCAAGGCCACCGATTGCCCTCCAGCGATCTCCTGAAGGAAGTCACCGATTCTCGCTACACCGTCTTCGATGTTCTCACCACTTTCTTCGACCACAAGGACCCTTGGGTCTGCCTTGCCGCACTCGAAGTTTACGTGCGACGTGCCTACCGTGTGTACAACGTTATGCACCTCGACTACGAGCCCGGTCAGGAGGAGGGCGACCCTCACATCATCACTTGGCGATTCAAGCTCGGCAGCACCTCGGCTGAACCCGTCACCCCCAGAATCGATTCAGTCAAGGACATGACACGAATCGCCAGTATGAGTGACCTGAACTATGTCGTGCACTCCAAGGCTGAACCCGTCCGATTCGGTCTCATGACTTCGTACAATCACCTCGCAGATCTCGAGGCTGGTTTCCCCAAGCTGCTCGCCATGTACCCTGCTTTCAACCACAACGAATTCACCGACCGACATGGCAAAGAAGCTCGTCACCCACACGTCTTGAACGTCGCCCTTCGTCTACACGATGGAGAGGAACACACTGATGCTGAGCTGAGTCAGCGCTTCCACGATCTTTCCAACAAATACGGAAGCAAGATCAATGGCAAGGGTATCCGACGAGTCACCTTTGTCATGTGCCGGAAGGACCAGTATCCTTCGTACGTCACTCTCCGAGAGGGTGAGACTGGGACTTGGAAAGAAGAGGAGGCAATTCGAAACATTGAGCCTGCCTTGGCTTACCAGCTCGAATTGGGACGTTTGTCCAACTTCAAGATCACGCCTCAACCTTCTTCCAACCGGCAGATTCACGTCTACCATGCCGTTGGCAGAGAAAACACTTCGGACGTGCGATTCTTCGTCCGAGCCCTGCTTCGACCTGGTCGATTCACCGGAAGCATGAAGCAGACTGAATACTTGATCTCGGAGACAGACCGGTTGGTCGGTGACATTCTCGACACACTCGAGGTCGTCTCATCTCAACACCGTCAAGCGGATTGCAACCACATCAGCGTCAACTGCGTCTACTCGCTGAATGTCAGCTTTGACGATGTCCAAGAGGCTCTTGCTGGATTCATCGAGCGTCACGGAAAGCGACTATGGAGATTGCGAGTTACTCAGGCTGAGATCCGAGTCGTTATCGAGGATGAAGAGGGCAACGCTCTGCCCATCCGAGCCTTCATCGAAAACGTCTCTGGATTCGTTGTCAAATACGAAGCCTACCAAGAGGTGACCAATGAGAAGGGCGTCGCAATCCTCAAATCTATCGGAGACCAAGGTCAATTCCACTTGCAACCCGTCAACTTCCCATACACCACCAAAGAGTCTCTCCAGCCAAAGCGATACCAAGCTCATATTACTGGCACGACTTATGTTTACGATTTCCCAGACCTCTTCCGTCAAGCTGTCGAGAAGGCGTGGCGATCGCTCACTGCCTACTTGCCGCATATAAAGATGCCATCTGATCTCCTCACTGCCTCCGAGTTGGTCCTGGATGAGCGGAATGAGTTGACCGAAGTCAACCGACCTCCTGGTCTCAACACTTGTGGTATGGTCGCGTGGGTCTTCACCATGAAGACTCCCGAGTACAGCAAAGGTCGACGAGTCGTGGTCATCTCCAACGATATCACTTATAATATCGGATCGTTTGGACCTCTGGAAGACGAGTACTTCTACAAAGCTACTCAGTATGCCCGTCAGCATGGTCTGCCCAGAATTTATCTGTCTGCCAACTCAGGAGCTCGAATTGGTCTCGCTGAGGAAGTCATGTCGCTCTTTGATGTCGGTTGGAGAGACCCTTCCAAGCCTGAAAAAGGATTCGATTACCTCTACCTCACGCCTGACAACTTTGACAAGTTGAACCAGCTCGGAGCCGGCAGCGTCATCACGACGGAAATCGAAGTCGAAGGACAACGCAGACACAAGCTCACTGACATCATCGGTGTCAAAGATGGACTTGGGGTCGAGTGTCTTCGAGGATCCGCACTTATTGCGGGTGAAACGTCTCGTGCCTACGATGATATTTTCACCATCTCAATGGTCACTGCTCGATCAGTCGGTATCGGAGCGTATCTTGTCCGTTTGGGACAACGTGTTGTCCAAGTTGAGGGACAACCGATTATCCTCACCGGAGCTCAGGCCATCAACAAGGTCCTTGGAAAAGAGGTCTACACGAGCAACATCCAATTGGGAGGACCTCAGGTGAGCTACCTTTGATATATTGCGAAACCCAACTTACGCACTACAGATCATGTACAAGAACGGTATTTCTCACCTCGTCGCGGCAAGCGACTTAGACGGTGCCCTGCAGATTGTCAACTACCTTATGTTCATCCCGGGTGAGTCGGGTCTCTCAATCAGAGAGTCTCGTCTGACTTGTCTCAGATCGCCGCGGACGAGCAATCCCTATTCTTCCCACAGGAGACTCTTGGGACAGAGACGTCGACTTCAAACCTCCTAAGGGACCTTATGACCCTCGTCAATTCTTGGCTGGTTGCAATGTCGATGTCGATGGTCACCAGACCTGGAAATCTGGTTTCCTTGATCACGGCAGTTTCTTCGAGACCATGGGTGAGTAGCGACACCACTTGCATTAAGCTAATTTTCCAGGCGGATGGGCTCAGACTATTGTCACAGGTCGAGGTCGTCTGCACGGTATCCCTGTGGCTGTCATTGCTGCTGAGACTCGAAGTATCGAACGTGTGGACCCAGCGGACCCAGCAAACGAAAGTTCGACTGAGAGCAAAGTCTCGTTGGCCGGTACCGTTTGGTTCCCTGACAGCTCGCGAAAGACTGCCACTGCGATTGAGGATGCCAACCGTGAAGGATTGCCCTTGGTCATCTTTGCAAACTTCCGTGGATTTTCTGGTGGAATGTCCGACATGGCTCAAGCTATCCTCAAGGAAGGATCAAAAATTGTTGATGGTCTCAGCAGCTACAGGCATCCTGTCATCGTGTACATTGTGCCAAATGGAGAGTTGCGAGGAGGTGCTTGGGTCGTCTTGGACCCGAGTATCAACCCGGAATACATGAGCATGTTCGTGGACAACGAGTCTAGAGGAGGTGTCTTGGAGCCAGAGGGTATCGTTGAGGGTGAGTCGACGACGATACCATATCCAGCTGTGTCGCTCATCATTTTACAGTCAAATACAGGAAACCCAAGGTTCAAGCCACCATGGCCCGATTGGACCCAGAGTATGCTCAGCTGAAGGCTGCCGCTGAGGGATCAAATGCGACACCGGAGGAGAAGGCGGCGGCGGATGCCAAGTTGGCCGCTAGGGAGAAGCACCTGTGGCCCGCTTATCAGTCGATCGCTCTCGAGTTCGCCGATCTGCGTGAGTAAAGCAAGGCTGCGAAGGGTCACCGCTCACCTTCATGTCTAGACGACCGAAGCGGACGCATGAAGGCCAAGGCAAACTGTGTTCCTTGTGATTGGGAGAACTCGCGACGATCAGTGTACTGGTCTCTGAGGCGCAAGTTGTCGGAAGTGGTGAGTATTGCCCTGACTCGTGTTGTTATCACAGCTAATGTGTCTTTAGCGCATCATGAAACGTCTCGCCGTTGCGAACCCGAATCTCACATACCCCGAGCGCAAAACTCTCTTGGCAGAATTCATTCCTTCGGACCTCTCAGCCGACAACGAAGTGGCGGCGTACATTGAGAAATCGGGCGACGCCATCGAATCATATGTTCAAAGCGTCAAGGACGAGTACTGTTCGGACACCATCTTGTCATGGGCGTGAGTATCTGGATATCTTGTCTTGGGGACTGGAGCTGATTCTTGTCTGTCCAGCTCAACGAATCAAGCTGGAGTCTTCGAAGGATTCACCAGGATCCTCAACACACTTTCGGCTCAAGAAAAGGCTTCTATCTTGGAGCAATTGTCCTCTAACCAGGCCCAATAAGTGCTCCGTTCTTTTCCATATCCGTCCTCGCTATTACTTTGCTATTTCTAAGCATAGACACAGCCAGCTCCCCTGTATATTTTCCCACTTCTTCTCTCATAAACATATAGCTCTTGGCCAATTTACGATTGGCTGAAACACATGCATAGGATTCTCGAGACATTGCTCCAAGCTGGCTATCAGCAGAAGACAGGCGGAAGGAGGCTCCTTGCGTTGTGGCTCCTACAAGAGAGGGGGGGGGGGATCAGTAGTAATCAACTAGTCATGACAGAATAATGGTCCGACGACACAGGCGAGCATCTCAAGATACGCGCGCAGGACAGATAGTTATTCCACAATGTGGGGAGGGGGTGATGCGGTACGACAGGAGCATCGCACCCGCAGCCAAATGAGCTGTACAATACAGCAGAACGAAGCGGATGTCTCATTAGTAATGATACACTGAACATGGACCATGGAATCTCTACTTCTTCCCCTTCTTCTTCTTCTTTCCTCCTCCTCCTCCACCAGCTCCGCCTCCTGTGCTACCAGCTGTGCCCTTCTTACTCGGCGTGGCGGCAGCCCCTCCACTCGCTTTGTCCGTTGATGCTGGTTCTGGTGGTTGGCTCCCTGCACCAGTCATCGGATCGTCACCTTCCAATCCTGGACTCGTAGCTCTCTCTGCTCCACCCGCTGTGCCTGATAGAGTAGACTGCTGTATCCTCGGACGAGAGTTGGTCATTTGTGATAGAAGTCGGAGGTTGAGGGATTCGAATCGGTTCAGAATGATCGAGGAGAATGTCTTGTATTTTATACACTGCGAAGGCTTTAATGCCAAATTGCGCTGGTGAAGGCAGGACAGCTCACGGTCGTATCATCTGTTAGCTTTAGAGCTAGCTGCCCAGTCTTTGGTAGGAATTTGACCAGATAGCGGACCTGTAGAGACGATTTTGTCAATATGAGCTCGGTTTAAAGAGAGCGTATCCTGGTCTACCTTGGTTGGTCCTTTGGCATAGAGGTCTGTGGCCGCCTGTCAAAGAGAGTGAGTCAGCCTCAGGACTAAGCAAGGAGCATGCAAGCTCACCGTCTCGAAATCTGTCCAGCTTTTTATGTACACCATAGTGTCTGTCGTCGATGTATCAGTCCTCAATCTACAGCCAGCATCTCGGATCTCTCAACAACATTCGAGGACTTATCTGATAAAGATTCTGCCGGGTATGCCACGTCACGCAATTCCTTCGATCACTCATCGGTCGCGTCTAAGGCGCGAAAGGTGGTGAGTATATGGTCCTTGATAGCGGTGAAGCTCGATACGACTTTACCAGTGCAGCGGGAGGACTGCATAGCTTTCATAAGACCCCTTGACGAATATTTGACGACAAACCAGCAGCTCTGGAAAGCTATACGACCCTCTCACGACCACTCAATCACTCGCCTCGCTCCGACCCTCCAATCCGCTCCGACTCAATGTCCTCCTTCCTCAACTCCATAGGGTAAGCTCGCACTCATGTGGATGCCATAATCTCTTTATTGACCCGGTGTCATCCATCAGAAGGCTCAGAGCTCCCAAGCGATCACCTAATCAAACACCTACAGCCGGAAATGGATTCTTTGACCCTCCATCACCCGGTGCCGAGCTGACTGGTTCACCTCCATCTCCATCTTCCGCTCCTAAACCATTGTATCTCTGCCAGCCATTCGTCAAAGCTGCATTAGTGAAAGGATCCTTCAAGACCATTGTCGCGCCTCCGAAATACGTCGACGTTAACGAATGGGTAGCTGTGAACCGTGCGTCAATTCTCCTCGCTCACGCTAGCTTTGGCTGATCGTCAACTAGTATTCGACTTCTATCACAATCTCAACCACTTTTATGGCGTCTTGACAGAGTTCTGCACCCTCAATAACTGTCCGACCATGTCGGCTGGACCGACGTGAGCTGGGTCGGCGTCGGTCTGACAATTGCATCAGCTGACGCAAGGCAGACTCAACTTCTTATGGCCTGACCAAAATCAACGTCTGGTCTCCTTACCAGCACCGACGTACATTGACTTCGTCATGTCCTGGCTTCAAAAGCTGCTAGATGACGAGACAGTCTTTCCTACAAAGTCGGGTACGTCGGGTACCGTTCGCACAACAACACCGATCGATCTCTGATGTCTCTTCCTAAAGGCCGAGAATTCCCATCTTCCTTTGCATATACTGCAAAACACATCTACAAACACCTCTTCAGGATATTTGCCCATCTCTACCACGCTCACTTCGAGCAAATCATTCATCTTTCCATTGAAGCACACTTCAATTCGTTGTTTGCTCATTTCCTCGCGTTCGGCAAAGAGTTTGATCTGTTGGTCATGCAGGATTTGATGACACAGCAAGGAATGGGACAGGGCGTAGCTGAATTGGGGGAGAAGTGGAGAGACATGGGTATCTTGGAGACTTGATGGGCGGATGTGGAACAGTTCCCGCTCCTAGGGTTCTGGAGGTGGACTTTAGTTATCCTATTGTAGTATCAGTCATCTGCGTGTGTGTGTGTGTGATTTCCAACCGATGCATCGTAAGAGTAGTTCGTCTACAGGCAACACAAATGCGTGTCTAGTCGTATTCTAAGTCGTTGCCATGCCATTCAAGATTCGTTCCCTCGGCGCGAATTCCATACACAGCGTCGTTGGATCCGGGCATTCGTTAATTGCTTGGTAATTAATGATTACAGGGGTTGGGCGACTTGGACATTTATCCAAGGTTACTCAATCAGGCCAGGAACGCATCGATAAGTGCCGAAACACATTTGGCCAAAGATGCGACCCTGGTATGGCCATTAGTACTCAAGGATGACACTGCTTTTGCTCTTCGTCACACTTACTGGTCCAATTTCATAGCCGGAAACGTCAATTCGGCAATGCCTCTCATGCCTAGATCCTCCAAAACTTGATCCCGAGGGGATTGACCGACACTAGGTGCACTGCTTATACTCTGCGCATAGCTCTTTGCCTGAAGTTGTAAGGATGATGTCGATTCAGAAGCATTGAGGGTAGGCGGAAATGTGTAATTCGGGTCCGCCATTGCTCTTTCCAGGATGAGGGTGATGGCATTTATGATTGGTACAGATGATGTCGTGGCGAGAGCAGCTGTCATTCGAGGAATGAGACTATCGTAGCTGATCACGACGGGTGAGTCCCCAAACCTCCAGCCCGGAAGCCGCTCACATCATCGCCATCACTTCTGGCGTTTCCATAGCTGCCTCGACCAGTATCCGGTAGAGGACCAACTTTTCCGTCTCAGAGCTTGAGAAATTCAATATCGAGACGGTCAGAGACGCAAGGAGCAGGGCTGTCGAGTTGTTCCTACGCCGGTCGTGAGCTATGTCACTCGCATACGAGCTCTGTGACTCACGGTAAGCTCAGAAGGTCCAGCACAGCGATATCGCCAGGCTCCGATGAAGCAGGCTGATCGACTTTTGCGGCCTGCCACAGAGCCTTGATGTCTCCAGACGAGCAGGATAAGACCGGATACAGAGCCATGAAGAAAGGCACACCATTCTCGTTGATCAATCCTTTGGCTTCTTGGATTTGAAACGCTGATGCAAGCCGCAGGAGCGACATCATTGCTTCGACCGTGAGCTTCCTGGTCGAAGGATGCCTGATCCCCTTGAAAATGACAGCGACGAGCGAGAATGAGACGTCGGTGGTAAATGAGATTCCTGAGAACTGGTCCAATCTTCTGGCCGCCTCTTCGCCACCGTATCGTCCTTGCATCAAAAGCTCTGTGATTGGGCATGCTGAGGCTGCTTCAGACATCGTTGAAAGAGCACTGAGTAGCAGCTCCAAGGCAGGGTCAAAGAGTGGTACGTGCCCCAGTTGCAACACCCCAATGGCAATCCAAAACAGGCTGAGAGGATAACGACTGCCTGACGACAAACCAGGAATAATTCGCGCCAGACAACGAAGCATGCTGGTGACGAGCTTGTCGTCGTTCTCTGTCAAGTGCGAGAGAGTCGATCCAAGTGCTACTAGAATCTGGTACACCAGATCATCATCCACATCGTCAGAAGCCAAGCATCCCAAGACCGTGATCGCTTGTGGCTGCGTGGCAGGATTGTGTTGGAAGCAAGTAGAAGCTACCAAGCTCATCCAGCGAGCCCTCCACACGTTAGCAGTATCTGTATCATTATCAGAAGGAGACTCATGGCGGCGACCCACCAATGGAGGGAGCTGCAGCGACTAGAATATCGGTGAAGAAGTTCGCGATCGTCTCGACCGAATCAAGAGATGCCGCCGTTACATCCTTCTCCAATATGCCTTCTAGAGCCAGCGAACTTGGACTGGACTCTAGCCCAAACGCTTTCATCGTCTCAGGTCGAGACAAGTGGGCGAGTAATCCCTGCAGGGCCCCTGGGTCCATGTCTCCGGTCGGCGCAGACGCGACCAGTGACATTAGCGTATTCGTTGTAATGCTGAAGATCGTCTGCCGCATGACCAACGGTCCAGATCCTAGCAGCATAGTGACAACATGTAAGACTTCGGGCAGGAAGAGCTGCGTTGAGATGTAAAACTTGCTATCGAATGACAGCATTTGGAGGACCCGAGCTAAGGAGGATATCTCTGGCCATGACACGTGATCGATCAAGTTCACAGTAGGTTTGAGGTATGTCCGCGCAATCGCCTGACGTGAATGATTAGTATTTGACTTGACTCAGGTAGTCGTCACTCACTTTCCGCAGTCTCGCAATGACCTTGCCCCGCACGATCGTAGACTCGATAGAGACAAGGATGTCCGCCGCGCAATCGAGCTTCTCGGAACCCAAACCAGCGTCGACAGCCATATGCAGAAGCTCAGAAACGATGATGTCAATCAGAGCCTCGTGACTGTCCTTGAATGACAGCCATACATTGCTCTGTATAGCAAGATGCAGCCGCTGACATAAATCAGCGGCTGATCTCAAAGAAGTTTTGCTGGCTCACCCTTCGTTCAGAGACCGTGATTGCAGCTAATGACCGAATAATGTGTTCCACTTGTTTGATGGAGTCAACTCCGTCATCTCTGGACGGCCGAGCAAAGCGGTCGAGATTTGCAAGCCAAGGCTGCACGTAGTGCAGAGCTGCAATCTTCTGGGACGCTTCCGCTTTGGTGAATCCGATGGACCATTCTTTGAGTAGCTCCAAGGTCAGATGCGGTGCGGACAAAGCGAGGGACGAGCTTAGATCGAGTATCAAATTCAAACAATTTCCAGGAATGATAAGACCGGCTGCATTTCGTCAGCATTGTCAGTCCAGATCTCATTACTGAGCCGCATCGACGCACCTGTGGCTCTCAAATGCCGAGACGCCATTTCCCACTTGTAGAATGAGCTCAGCTCGCCGGCCAGCTCAAAGGCTCTGAGTCGAAGCAACTCGTCATTCGAGGCAAGATTCAGCAATGCCACATTAAGAAGAGTTCCAGGGGCATCGCTCGAGCGAAGCGTCCGAGTGCTGGATACAGTCTCACGAAGACGACTTCGAGCAGTCCGAATAATCTGAGCCATTTCGATGCGCTCTGGTGCTCGTCAGCGTAGCTCTGGTCGTCAAACACAGATCTCGCCTTACTCCTTGAGATGAAGGTAAAGGATTGCGTCTGCGAGTACTTTATGATGAGGTAGTCCGCGGGTAGGTTGCCACCCGTACCAATGTCGTCGATGTCCTTCAGGCGAATCACGTCGATGATGTACGACTTGACGCCTGGGGTGAGATCCTGCTTTCGCCACTATTTGTAGGCGTCAGCCACAGCCGACAAGAAGGGTTCAAACTCACCGAAGCCACTTGCATACAGTCATGCCCGAGCTTGACGACCACAGGCACTTGCTTCTCGTGATCCAACAAGCATAAGAGATTCGTAAAGACGTGTTCAGCCTCGTATGCGAGAATCATGGTAGTTTCCGGCAATGCCAGACTGGTGAAAGGGATGACTTCGGCCAGCTCAGCGGGACTGCTGACTGCCACCACATTCTTGCCAGCAGCAGGAACGACAAGCAAGAGTTCCGAAATCAGTCGCTTTATGCGATCACGAGCGTATGTGTTTGGATTGTAGAGAGCGAGGGTATGGATGCAAGGGAAGATGCCCGGTGGACACAACTGGATGGTCCGCTTCAGCCAGAGTATGGGAAGTTCGCTAGCTTGATTGTAATCTGTCAAGTCAATGACCAAGTCGAAAAAGTCTGTGATATTGTCCAAAACCTGAAAGACATGATATGCCAGTAAATCATAGTCCATGACGCTGACACGGGATAAGACAAAATAGAATATTCGCCGACCATTTTGACTCGCTGGCCCTTCGTAAAAGGCGTTTGACACCGTCTCTGTATTCCGACCGGCATGATGACTCATAAAGTCGTCGAAGCCCTGGGTCCGGGCAGTACTTGAGATCATAGTGGCGTGAGCCGGAGCGCCAGTCTCATCCAATATCTGCCGCAGGAGACTAAGCGTGGCTTTGCCCTCGAGTTCTGCGCGCGCTGACAACGGCTTGTCAGATGAAGGGCGAGCAAAGGACGTAGGCATGGCATCAAGGCTGGATTCCAGTTTTGTGTGGTGCTTGAAGACATACCGATGTCTGGAGGATTGTCAGCCCGGGCCAGTCCGAACAATCTCAAGCTCACAGAATCGCCTCGTCACCTTCTGGATCGATCGCTCGGCTGGCCTCCTCCTGTGATGCCTTTACAGCTAGTGAGATCTCATACGATCTCGGCCGCACAGCGATGTTTGACAAAAATTTGGTGACCTCGTGAATGTTTCTCTCCAGGAAAGGATTCAGAACTTTCATGTGTGGCTCCTTGTTCCCAAACATGACGTTACTCGCGAGGTTCTGGATAACCTTGGTGACGAGTAGCAGGGCCCTTCGTACCTCTTTAGCGTCAGGACTGACATCCAGGTCTATTTGATCCGGAGCAACGATGGCAGGGCAGAAGAAACGCAAGAAGATGAAGGATCCAACGACGGAATGGCGCGAATCCGGGAATTTTTCTTCGACCGCGGACCACAGGTAGTGACAGAGGACCCTGAAGATTGTCGGCGCCTTTGGTACGGAGTTACAAATGAGATGAAGCAGGGCTTGACAGACTGCTTGCAAATGATCAGCATTGCGCTCGATATCCTCATTTGGCGCGATTTTCGCCGGGTCCAGCTCGAACGATGTCTCATCAGGTTTCTCCAGGAGAGAATGTATCAGAGGTTGAATAGTTGCTCGGACATAGTTGTAGCCGTATGTCTTGGCAAAGATGGTAAGAATACGTGTTGTGATGGAGTTGGCCCGAAACAGGTCCGGTTCGTGATTGGTCAAGGCCACTTCACGCTCTGTAAGGACCTTGAGTAGCGCCAAAATCGTCCCCTTCGCTTCGAATACTCGAAACAGCAGCAGCGACATTTCGTCAATCTCACTTGGGGGACAGGTCTCGCAGATCGCAACCGCCAAAGCTAGATTCGTACTGTTTCCTGCCAAAGCTCCGAGATATGCCTTGGGTATGGAGGAAGGCCGTTTCGAATTTGTTCCGCCAAAGTTGCCAGATTTGAGAATGCTAGTCATAATGCGCATGAAGACAACCCGGAGAGAGATCTCATCGTGATAGCCCAGACTGAGACAATGCTTTAGCCCGACGTCCATGTTCGCGGCGAGTAAGTTGGAGATGGTCGAGATGACCAGGGAGTAGATGTCCTCAGATGAAGATCCTGCGATAGGTCTGGACGCCGTGGATGGTGGCGACATCGAGTCCGTGAGATCTGGAGCTTGGGAACGTTCGAGGATTCTCACTAGGTGGTGAAAATACTTGTGGAACAGTCGAGAATGGAGGGCACTCTGCGTCTTCTCAGCATCTTCGGCTGTTTTGATGGACAATCGATCGGTGATGGGAACCATTGCCTTGAGAGAGGCTCGTTCCAGATCACGTTGGATTTTCCCAATTTCTGAAATATCTCTTCGATGCGCATCGCGATCCTGGTTGTATCAGCTAGAACCATCGATTAGACGGAACGACTCACAACGCCTCCCTCGCCTGTCCAGTCCATAAAGATATCCAGTACAGTATTTCGTATGCTGGTGGCGTTCGACAGTAATGTGTTATCCGACTTGAGTACGATGGCCTCGACAAGTTGGCAGAAGCGTATTTTTATGCGCATTGAGTCGACATCCCTGCCCAGTCTGGGAAGATACTGTGACAGTAATGCCAGCAAGGATGACATGTCAAGTTGTGTTGGAGCTGCAGTCTCTTGGTGAAGACGATCAAGCGTCATTCTGACAATCACAAGGATCTGGTCGACGAAAGTGGTATACGACTCGGAGATCAATGACCCGTTGGCACTGAGACTCAAGGAGAGTACTCTGACAAGGCATCAGCCGAGATCGTTCGCACGAATACTTTGCAAGGCTCACTTGACCATTTGTGAGACCATGACCTTCGCCCAGTAGAGTGGTAGTTCAGTCCCAAGTCCCTCTTTCAAGATCTCTCTGACATGAACCGAGGGACTGGCGATTAAGTCCACGCAATCCCTGATAAATTGCTCGCACAGTTCTCTTGGATCGGGCGGGTCGTCATAAATCCTCGGTAAAACTCCTTTGCCTACAGTGTCGACCAGTGCTGGAGGAGGTGTCCCATCGTATACACACAGTCCACAGGTCGAAAGGAGAAACAAGATGACATTCTGCCAAAGTTTGGATTGTCCTTCATCAAGACCTTCGATGTCCAGTGCAAGACCCCGACAACGGCCGCCGTATGGTACCGTCGAGTCTGCATATGCCGCCACGATCTTGGACGTCAAGACTTTTGCCACTTGCGCCCAACCTGTCCAGATGGCAATACCACCTGTAGAGGGAACACAGTATGGGCGATAAATCTTCCTCAGCTGTCTCTGTTGTTGTTGACGACCTTTGGGGTGGGTCAGCCTCAGGATTACCAAGCAGGTCCAATTCTCACCAAGCGATGGGGGTAGACTGCTCAGATCTCTCAGCATCGTCATTCTCGCTTGAACACGTTTCTCGGGGTCACCCCAATTTGTTTGACCGGGTGATGAAGAAGGCAGCTTGACCTGGTAGGCGATTTGGGTAATCTTGATAATGGTCTTCATCACACTCGTAGTTGCTGCAATGTGCTCAAAATCCGGCGAGCAGAGCTGTCCAACGGTCGAAACGATAGCGACGAGGGACGCAGCGTCTCCAGCGACGGAGGACGAGAAGGCCTTGAGACACATCAGGCATGTAACTCGAAATGAGACGATCTAACCCACCTCTGGATGTGGCTCGGCTGCTTTGACGAATGCTTCCGATATGTGTCTTACCGCGTCGAAGGCGTCATTGATATCGATCAAGTCTACGCTCTGAATCGCGTATAGCAATTGACGATGCGCATCAAGACCCATCCTCCACCTATGGTAGTTGTTAATCTGGGGCCCGGCCTTCAAGGAGGCTCACAATGAATCTGCCCACTGGGTGACAAGTTGCGAATTGCAACCTAGCTCACTCTCCATGGATCCGATCGCCTCTAGAATGGAGCTGCAGGCTTTTGATGCCTCGAGTCGCAGGAGGGCTGGGCTTGGGCTTACCAAGAGAGCCGCAATGGCGCCCAGAGTCTGATTCTGAGTCTCTGGAGTGAGCGACTTCCGGTCCAGGATGTACCCAGGATCATTCGAGAACAGCCTCAAGATCTCAGCTATAATGTCGGTTTGACTAGACGGGAGCTCAGGGCTAGCGCGAGGCCTGCGAGATGTCGAGTCACCAAAAATGTGCTTGGAGAGAGTCTGATAATATCAGCTCCGTCCGAGTCCGGACCGGTGCTACATACCAACAGCAACTTCTGGATGGTCAGAGCCGTACTAGCCCTTAGAACATCGCATTGTGGAGTCCAGGGCAGCTGCCGACTGTCCGAAGCAGTCAACTGCATGGCTCTGAGAGCTATGAGCTGATTGAGCTCGTTTTTGTCTGCGAGCAGCCGTGGCAATACCGAAGAGGAAATAGCATTTGGGTCGATATTGAACAGAGCAGTGAGTCCGTCGATGAAAATTGAGGAGCTTCCAATCTCGTCCTTGTATTGAGAGTTCAGGATGGCGTTCTGGCGCCTGGCTCAGTGTGGGTCGCGACATGAATCAGGACTGACCTTGAGATCACCCTGAATGTCTGGAATCAGTGTCCGCACTCCGCAACTCTCCAACTTTGGGGATACCCGATGAGCTGCGCTGACAAAGTCGACATAACAAACAATGCAGGCTTCGATGCCCTTGCTCGTGTTGAGACCCTTCCTCAAACTTTCCATAAAGTTGCGCTTCTTCGTCAGCCCCGGAGCTGATTTTGACCCCAGATCTCCCATGGCAATCCGCTTGAGAATGTCCGGACAAAGCACCATTAGCATGGCCATCAGAGGGTAGAAGACCTTGGTACGCCGCGCAGCGGATGAAGAGGAGATATCCGACATTGATTGAAGTATGTCGAACAAAACGTCGGCTCCGCCCTCAATCTTACGCTCAGACTGGATTAATGCCTCAAACTCGGCAGGATGCGGTTCAATAAAGTTCCATATAGCTTTACGCAAGACTGCGGCGACGGTGATCTGCGCCGGCCGCTTGATGTGCATGAAAGTGGTGGATATCTCCTGCAATATCTGACTTAGGCGGACACGGCTAATATTCGACCATTCAAGGAGCCGTATCTCGGTTTGGTCGGGATGCTCTTCGATTGTAGTCGTCAGATGCGCGATCCGAGATCGGATTCGAGTGAAGAGCACTGGCCAATTGGATGAAGATAGGTGGAAGACGATCCGAGCGATGACGGAAGTCATCTGAGCAGCACAAGTGAGCGGTGTGTCGCATAAGCCGGCCAATCTGGTCTCTTTTGGTCCGTTCGGCCGGGTATCCCCGGACGGTATCGAGTGATCCCTCAAAAAGTTGGTTCCAATGCCACCGGTTTCAGCCCCTGTCGACAGAGACCGATTCCATGAGACCACTGAGCTGATGCCAATATTCCTCGTCTCGCGACTCGGAGCAGGACTGGACGTTCCAGGATTAGAAGCCTGATCCGCGTTCAACCGTTGGCGTATGTAGACCAGAATGATTGATAAAAGGTACTTCGCGAGGCTCTCATCGAGAGGGGCAGGGTCGGTCCAGAGTCTTGGAAGATCGCTGACAGGCTGGGTTTGCCGCTGTGTTTGAAGATACCATTGATGGGATAGACAGCGAGAAAGAATGTCCAAGATATATATCTGAGATTGCAAGATTTCAAGAGCGACATCATGGGTGTTCAAGCCCGCATTGAGATACTGACGAAGCTCAGAATCAGTTGAGGAATCTTCACCGTGAACCTTTCCTCGCCTACCTTTGAAAGATTCTCCAGCGCCATCACCAAAGCATGCACGACGCCCCCAAGCTGAGTACTCGATATTTGGAGTAGAGCCTGCACAGTTGCTGTGACGGTCCGGTCAATCTCCATCACACCGAGCCTCGTGCCAGAGTTGCAAGGTAGCTGGAATAATGGATTCAGTCTTGTGTCGCTTGAACACGGTCGGATCGAAGTGACCCACCTTGTTCACTAATCTCCCAACCAACGTTGCGATGACCCTAAGCTCTCCCCCAACACCTCCCTCAGGTCTGCCCAGCACGCTGTTGACATCGCTGTTGCTGTACAATTCAAGTGACTGGTCCATCCTGTGCTTGCTAGACGATGCTGAGGACATTGTCGGAGCAGTCGAGCTAGATATAGATTTTGAAGCTGGTCTGACCGGCATGACGCACGGTTCTGCACTTGGAAGTCCACCCGCGCAATGTGGAGGGGGATCAGGTGCTTGAGCTGGGCATGAAGTTGAGGCCGTGGACAAGAAAGGCTACAGAGCCCACAGTCTAGTCTCTGGATCCTTAAGCTATCATGGACGATGCTGTGAATCCGTAGTTGACTGCTCCATTCCTCACTCCAAAATTGGAGGATTCACGTCTCGTTCATTCAACCTGAAACACACTATTTCCCCCGTGCCGCGTCACAAATCCTTATCACTGCACCCGATGACAATGCCACATCATCACTCCGAAGAACGGACAATTGATGGCGAGGAGGATCACCTTGTCGAGCTGCAACTTTACAATAACTGACATCGCGAGTGTGAAGCCAGCAGTATGGCTCCCTCCAGAGGCACCACAGAGAATTTGGAATATCCGACTAAGCAGATACAGCTGTACGTCTTCGCTGCTAGTTGTCCTCCCATCGCTGACGTCGCCTCAAGACTAGACGCCCATACTGGCCCAGTCAATGTGGTCAAATACAATAACGGAGCAAAGTACTGTCTATCAGGATCAAGAGACAGGAGTATAAGATTGTGGAACCCTTCCGCAGGGAAAGAGATCAAATGCTATCAGGGACACGCTCAAGAGGTCCTAGCTCTAGACATGTAGGTGTTCTATGCGGCCAAGTCATAGGCGATTGACGTAAATTCTAGAGCACACGACAATGCGAAATTCGCTTCTTGCGGAGGGGACAAGATGGTCTTCGTCTGGGACGTAGCCGCTGGGACAATTATCCGCCGACTGCAAGGTCATTTCGGTAAGATCAATGCTGTAGCGTTCAACCAGGATTCTCAAGTCCTGGCGAGCGGTGAGTGAGACACTAATCTTCCAACGATTATCACTGAATCTCAATGACAGGCGGCTTCGATGCAAAAGTCATGCTCTGGGACATGAGGTGATTGAAAATCGCTAATAAGGGAAGCCTTGGCTGACCTGAAACAGAGCCGTATCACGCGATCCTATTCAGACGCTCAAGGAAGCGACTTCATCCATTACATCCTTAACTATCCCAGCCAAGATCCCTGAGATCATCACTGGCTCTCTTGATGGCTGTATTCGATCTTACGATCTTCGCATGGGTAAAATGACCGACGATGTCGTGGGAGCACCAGTGTCCAGCGTCACTCCATCTCCTACGTCGCCAAAAGATACTTTACTTGTATCCTCCATGGATGGCAAGCTGAGGATCTTTGATCGTGCCAATGGTGCCGTCCTCCAGACATTCTCCGGACACAAAGTCGGCGATATGAGGAGCAAAGCTGCATGGGGATATGGTGAAGGGCTCGTCATGACAGGAGACGAGGAGGGAAGACTTTGGGCATATAGCGTCTTGGATGTGAGTGATAACAAGCTGCGTCGAGCAAAATGACAGCTAATCGTGCTCAGGCTAAACCGATCGAGTCCTCGCCCAAGCCAATTCATAAAAGAGGGATCACCTGGATAGAGAGTAAGCCGAATGGTAAGGAGATGATAACCGCGGGTAACGGTATGTCTCACGGACCGTCCTTACGAACACTGAATTGACGTATTACGTCTCAGACGGCATGATCAAAGTTTGGGCAAAGCCAGACACTGCCTAATTTGGCCGCAATATCTGAGGGGGCATCCAAGGCGACGATCATGAACTCGTCGCCGTCGATCTGCAAGCGGCTCGCAGCTAGCCTTCAAGCTCATTAGACGCATGTTTGGGTGTTCATTGCGAACGTACGGACAGGATTTGAGCCTGATGAGGCCACGTGCCCGCGGTGCGGGTACCGCGGAAGACCCGCCGCCGCATACAACGGCCATAGCCGATGAATTGAGATCCGATTCATCCGGCAATACTACCAGACGATGTATGAATCATCTTGCATCGCATTTCAGACATGGTCCCAGCTATAGATAGGACAGAGCAGGGTGCAGAGACTGTGACGGAGGTTGTGAGAAATGAACAGAGACCTATACGTGTCCTGGTCACTGGATTCGGAGTAAAGCATCATCTCCACTCAAACTGTGATCACCCGCTAACATACGGTGCACCCTAGCCATGGGCTTCCAATACTGTCAATCCCTCCAACAGCGTTGCGTCAAAGCTGCCTTCGCATCTACCCGGGACGTCAGGTCGTCCACCCATCGAAGTGATCGTCAAGTCTCCCATCCCGGTCTCGTATCACAAGATCCACGAGTCGATCCCCAAGTTGTTGGAAGATGTTCAAGCAGACTATGTCCTGCATATGGGATTACATGGTGGTCGACCGACATTTGATCTAGAGCTTAGCGCTCCACGGACAGGCTTCGTTCATCCTGATGTCGACACGAAATGCTGGACCCTAGAAGAAGGTGATAAAGTCGTCCCCGGTCAATCAGTCTTGCCTTATCAGCTGGACAAGAACGCCAAAGATGATGACGGTTCCAACGTTGGAGCAGAGCCCAGTGAAGATGGAGAACAAAGCTGGCCTGATCGACTGGAGACACAATTGAAGCGCGATAAGGTTGTGGAAATCTGGCAGGAGCGATGCAAAGAGGTGCCGAATTCCCAAGTGACGGGTAACGATGGGGTCGGTACTTTCTGCTGTGGATTCATATACTACACCTCCCTCGCATGGTACAAAAAGCAAAACGTCAAGGGGGAGGGTCAAAAAACAGGACCAGTTCTGTTCTTACATATGCCAAATCTACAAGAGGAACACGAAGTGGAGATGGGCAAACAAGTCGTGATCCGACTGATAGAGGCCATCGTCGAGGCGTCAACCTGAGTACCACCATTCAAGCCGATCGACCCTCGTCCATCTTTACACCTTTATATGTATGATGCAAATGCCTAGAGTACACAATGCTACAAGAACATGTCGGATACAATCTGATTGGTCAAATAATCTCCATGACAGTTTGAGGATGATCGCCAAAATTTGATGGATGCTCCAAGAATGAAAGGCGAAAACTTATAAGAGCTCAGCTCAATATCGTCTTGAAGGGGGAGGCGGCGGTGGCGCTCGGGAGTGAGCATAGGGGTTGTGACCTCCGCCTTGTCCACCATAGGATCCACCACCCCCGTTAGGAGGTCCACGACTAGGCGCAGCACCGCCATACCCTCCATAACCGTTCTGTGGTGGGTATCCTCCATTGCCTCCATATGTGCCATATGATCCACCATATGATGGGGCAGGAGCGCCGCCATATGGATGTGCAGGAGCAGGCGGAGGCGCGTAGGGATTGCGCGAGGGCGGGGGAGGGGCATAACCTAGTATCATTCAGCACGGTACGGACTCGTCAATGCGTTCCACTTACCGCCATAAGCCGATTGAGGGGGTGGTCCACGATAATCTCTATCTCTGCCGTGACTGGGGTACCCCTGTCCGGCAGCATACGGTGCGCTGGATCCATAACCGTAACCGCCATATCCTCCACCTCCGCCATATCCACCGCCGTACCCGGGTCCGCCAGTAGCGGGGGCAGGCGGGGCATGATATGGTGCGCCTGAACCTGAAGGATATCTCTGACCATCTCTGGGACCGCCAGCACCACCATAGCCGTCTCTTCGTGGACCGCCGTGATTCGCATGAGACATTCCGGGTCCACCATTGGAGTAACCGCCTCGTCCACCGCCTCGGTTGCCTCCTGGTCCACCTCGTCGGTCAGGTCCTGGTCCACCTCTTCTAGTCCAATCTCGGTCGCTCTCGGTGAGCACAGCTGCTTGAGGGCGATATCCTCTTAGGATGACCGAGCGATGCTTATGTTTCTGTCGAGGAAAGTAGTATCGGACGGCCAACGAGTTGTTGGTGGTCAAATCTGGGCACTCCGATATGGACGGCAATGGTGAGTCCAAGGCAGAGTTCGGAACGACGAGTGGATCAGCGAGCACCTGACCATTTGTCCCTTGAGACAGGCGAGAATCGATAGGCATTGGCTTTGATGGTCAGATACATTAGAGGAGGCCGTAACTCACCGACGATCCAGCTTTGAGAGTATAAAGCTTGCAAAAAGCATCGAAAAGCGCATGACCATCCGAGATGAACATGCGCGCCTCCCCCCATCTATTCCGACGTTGTTCGTCTGGTGTGAGTTGATCGACCTTTGAAGCCAGTGCCGCTAACAATCTCGTTTGATCGATGAAGGGAAGCAGGGCAACACCTTGCCAGGCCATCTTCTTGCCATTCATGTCGATATCGAAATCATCAGGGTAGAAATCGATAATGGGCGAATCTTCGTCCGTCATTAGGGGCTGGAGAGGCTCAGGTAGATGAATTCGACTGGGTTCGTCAGCAGCCAACCTCACTTTAGATTCAGATAAGACTCACCTGGCGGCGGGGAAGACACCCAAGAGCTGCGCGAAGGGAGTGAAGGGCGCTGCAGTCTCGAATGTGATATTGAGGGCTCCAACATTTTGGAAATCTTGAGCAAAAGGCGCGTAATGATAAGGATAGAACCAATCCCAGGCTGGAACACCTTGGTAATAGTATTCCAGAACCCAGCAGAGACCTTCCATGTATGCACGGGTGATCCTACAGGTACATCAGCATGAATGCTCATATGAAGTGAAAAACAGGGCTCGACTTACTCTGACACAAAGGCAGTGTCTGACAAGGACACGCCAAATTTTTTCTCATAATACCTCTCCCTGTATCCTGGCTCCCACAGCCTCACATCGTCCTCGTAACCTTCGACGGTGCCATCAGGATTTACCTTGAGCTTCTTCTTCGATACGACCTGGTTGGATTCCTCGTCTGGAGGGGCTTCAATGTCGCTGCCTTCTTCAGCGCCATCTGCTGCATCATCCTCAACCTCCTCCGCTTTACGCTTGCGGCCGGCCCCGGTACGCTCCACAGACTGCTCCTCGTCTCCTTCCGTCCGCTCATCTGTTGGCGGGACAACGTTTTGAGGCTCGTCTCCTGGTAGATCGATGATCGCCTCGCCTTCTTCTCCATTCGCCTCCACGGCGGGCGGCAAAATTGTCTGATCGACTCCGTCGTCCTCGGCCTGCTCTTCCAAAGCCTCTTCAGCATCCCCGAGCGTCATCTCTTCTTTCTCATCGTCTTCTGTCTTTTCCACTGTGACAGGCTGATCACCTGCTGCGCCGTCTGGGTTTGTCTCTTCCTCATCGCTGTCCAAATCGCCTGCTAATTCCGCTTTGAGCCTCTCAGCGGCCGACATATTGGCTATGCGAACAGCTTTACGACTCTGTATAGCCTCTTGATTGGATCCCTGCATCGCTGAGATAGCATCTGGGCCCGCTCGAAGCGCAGCAGCTTCACGCTGATCCGCAGTCATTCGTTTCGAGCCATTGGCCGCTTCCGTCGGCACGGTATCAAAGCCTGTTCGGGTAGGAAGGGAAGGGTGGAGCGGTCCGCCTCGAGCCGTAGCGGAAGGTGTCACCTGAACGTATTCTGTGCCATTCAATTGCATCGATCCTGGTTCAGAATGACCATTGGCCTTGGCCTCCTGAGCCATATCTTGCCGACGGTGATCCTCGATTCTGCGTCGTTTCTCACGCTCGCCTTGCCGATCTTCGTCTTTGGGGCAAGTCAGAGAAAGTTCGTCATATTGCTCAGCTGAACTTGCCTTCCTTCCTGCGCTGAAAAATCTCATCCTCATTTTTCGCCACTCCTTCCAAGATAACCTGAGCCCTCGCCATGTTGACCTTCCCGTGATTGGTCAAATACCCTCCCATTCTCGGCAACTCGGCTTTCCAAATCTTCAGTAAAGCATCGATCGCACCCTCTCGAATCTCCAACGACGGTAAATGGGGCAGGAAATCATTGCCCACGAAGAAGATCATGAAGATCCAATCGTCTATGGAGAGCTCCAGATCGAAGGGGAAAGGGACACCTGGCACGTTTAACTCAATGGCGAGGTATTCGCGCAAGACAGAGATGTCTAGGAAGATAAACGGTTTAGGGTCGACAGGCTTAGCCTTTTCCACGATGTTCGGATCTTTTAACAATTTTTCGCCTAAGCAGGGTCAGGAAATGGCTGGTGCATGCCTTTACTCACTCTTGCAGTTCGCGGCCAGATGTCCTGGCTGACCGCAGTTCTTGCATGTCTGAGGGCCTTTCGACCCTTGAAAGAAAACGTCTTCTCTCAAAACCCTGAAATGTGGTTCGTGTGTCGCGAGTGATAGCATGATGAGATCGGCGTCCAATCCGTACATGACGTGTGATGTATTCGGATCCCAATCAGAATAGGACCGCTGCCTCCTGATCCAATCGACAATCTTGTGCTCTCCTTCTCCAGGGACGGAAGAATCGGAAATGATTACTTTGAGATCTTTCCATCCTGGATCGTTGGTCAATTTGTACGATATCCAGTATTTTAGGGAATTTGACAACAAGTCCATGAATGGTGTTCCTGTGAATGATGTGAGCCACGCTATGGAGAGAGAGTGAGCTTGAAACGGACCTGGTGTGATGGCATTCGTATCCCATCCCTTTTGATTCCTCGTTTCCTCGGAGACTGGATGTCCCATCGCTTCGAACATCTTGATCGCCTCTCGCCTCTCCTCTTCCTTGTCAGCAGCTTCCTGTGCCGCTCTGAATCGTCTAGACCGCTGCTGGTTCATTTTAGCTCGAGGCGCAACTCCATCTGTACCAGCTATAAGTCCCAAACCTGCCAGTTGAAAACGGTCACCCACCAATAGCCATCATCAAGACCTTTCTCGGTCTAGCCATATTGACGACTCGCTCAGTATATTTGAAGATTTCCACCATCATCTCTTCTTCAGTCTCCGGAGCAGGCTTGCCTTCAGGGTGCGTACATGGATGTACGATACCATTCATATCGACTGAGCCATTCGTCAGCTTGGGCTACTGGATGGAGAGCTGTGACATACGATACAGGTTATCCACTTCGAATCCGTTGGGATTGGCGCTCTCGTAGCGTATTGGCACTTCGACAACCTCTCCGTCGCCATCTCTAACTTTGGCAGGCGTATCCTCCACAACTTGGGATACGATCTTGGGGTATTTCCTGGACAACCATCGGAAGAGTGCGGGAACTCCCTATCAGAAGAGAGTTCGATTAGTTACGGATCAGAATGAACTCGATCTGACAAGACTCACCATGTTGTCGTTCTAGGAAGAGATCTCGAGATCCAATAAGACCGGACTAGCTATCGCTTCACTGTCCCAATCAATCAATCAATCAATCAATCTTTTTGGTATCTCTCAAGCTCTTAGCAACTGCTCCTCGCACCACGGAGCGGCCTGATGGTATACAGTGGAATTGGTTCTACTGGATGGCACAGACTGGTGATAAGGTAGAGGTGGAGGTGCCACGTCATGTTGTCTCTCGGATCCGAGTGGCGAAAGCTGAGTTTGTTCTTGTATGGTAGCTAACAGCAGCTCAAGCCATCATCGATGCATGCAACTGGTTGAGGTGCGGGTTAGACATACGCTATAGCCTGGTGCTGCCCCGCTTCGTGCCTCTTTCAATATCCTCAAGACTCCACCCACCCATGTCGTGTCCCGGGTCCCATCCTCGCAGCTGCAATTCTCTATCTTCGGCGAGCTCCGGCTCGGCTGAAACTGGGAGGCGCGATGACATGCAGGACGTACCACTGGACTGCTCTTTCTTGTACCCTGCTTTCATCGTCTGGGGAGTCAAAGTAGAAAGAGGGTATCACCTTAGTTCGACACAAGTCAACAGTCTCGTGCTCCCTGTAGGTATCAATGAGAGGTCTACAATCAGATTCGAACGGTGAAATGTCACGCATGTCTCCGGCAACGGTTTGGAAACAGGTGACGGGCGCTGGTCGGAACGTGGTACATCGTTACAATAGGCTTAGCGTCAAAGGCAAGGTGAGATCATATCTGCTGTGCTAGTGAGCCTGAGCTGACTTTATCAGACCGCATTGGTGTGAGTGCAAATTCATATACACAGAGAGTGATCGGCTGAACGCCGATCGACAGGTCTGTCTCATTGATCAATGTCGGTCTTCTGATCGCCGTCATTATCATCACTCCTACACGTATAGGTAACTGGTTCAACCATCTCGCTGAGAGCCTAAGAGCTATGGGCGTCGGAGGCATGTTCATCTGTGCTCTATTTGTCGGTATGTCTATCGTCCTCCAAAGTTGTTTGATTTTGGCGGACTGATCACCTCCTACAGTCATCGCGTCTCATCCCCCCCTATTTGGCTTCATGGGTTCAATGACGCTAATAGGGTTCACATATGGAGTCTGGCCCGGGTTCCTAGTGGCTTCTTTAGCTGCTCTATCAGGCGCAGCCATCGCGTTCATCTCTGTTAGAGTAGGTCGCTCTCAAGAGGGACTGTTCTTCAAGTTGACAATCTCAGACTTTCTTCCTCGGTTGGATACGAAAACGGTCAAATGACAAATGGGAAGCATTCGGTCATGTCATGCGGAATAAAGGCTTGCCATTGGTCGTCATGATACGTTATTGTCCTCTCCCTTGGGCCATGGGCAATGGTTTATTTGCAGTGAGCTCTCCTTCCTCCCGCTGGAACCCAAGAAATTGACTTACATCCAGTCGATTGAGAGCGTCAAGCTGTGGCAGTACATGATTGCGAATCTGTGAGCTATCTCAGAGATTACATTCTGCTCAGCTGACATTGACAAGCGCCATTTTGCCCAAACTCCTCATTCCTGTCTTCATTGGCTCCCGCCTTACTTCTTTGACCCACGATCGACCATCTCATGATCCTCTTCAATTCTGGCTTAACATTGGATCCATCCTCCTCTCATGTTCCATCTCCATTTTGACGGGCATTTGGATATATCGGTTGACTCTGGAACAGATGCGGAAACTCAACGACGGGGGGGACGAGGGAGAGCTGGCGGCTGATGCGCTAGAGCGTGGCGCCTTACTTGGCGATTACACCGATGACGAAGAGGCTGCTGATGAGCCTCTGACTCTGGGCCATTCTATGCGTCCGAGCGACAGCATGCTGAGAAGGACATCAAGTTCTAGCGATAGTAGATGAGCCCCGGGTTTCCAATAGACAAAGACAGTCATCATTATGAGTCCGCGGATGTAACAGTAGATGCGCGATCACGGCTGCATGCCATTGAGCTCATGCGTACCAATCTAGGAACAACAAGGCCATGCTCGCACCGAAGAGGAATACTAGCAAGAACAATCTACCCTCTTGATTTCTTTGTCTAGCCTTTTTCAGCTGCTCGTTGGCTTTTCCTACATCGCCTACACTTCCAACAGCTTCGTCATAGAGCCTATCTGTGATCTCTGTCTGGGTCATCAAGTGCTTGACAAGCTCAGTCTGAAGTGCAGAGATCTCCAAGAGGGATTTCTCGGCTGACAAAACTGAATCGAGTTGAGACTGCATGTGCTCCAAGAGGGTGTTATTTTCGTTGGAGAATAGCTGAAGTTGTTCTGGCGTCAATTGAGATTCTATGGGCGGTTCGTCATCCGGTATGACGCCTTTCAGAACGTCTGGTAGAGCGGGACCGTTGGAGAGGGAGGACGACGAAGGCACAGATGTCGGAGCGAAGAGTGAGAATTTGGACTTGGCTTCTATCGCTGCTGCTTCTTTCGCAGCTTGTCCACCCAAAGTCCTAGTCCGTTCTTCCCTTCGTTTCGACCTCTCTTCTTGCAAATCAGTCAATCCTGCGCTGAGTTTGGCAAGGAGATCGTTCAGCGTCCATATAATGTTGGCGCGATGAGCCGTAACCAGATTCTGGATGATGGCAGAATCCCCGTCGGCAGGTGCCAAAGATGGAAGGAGAGTATAAAGCGAGGAAACGGGTTTGGGCAGGATGGCTTTTTGTCGTGCTGTTGAAAGGCAATCAGCGAGAATCATCCTCAAGCTGCATCTCGACATGACATGCCGTCAAACAAGCCGACTGACCCTTCTCCATATCTTCCAGCGCGACCACTCTATCCTTGCATCTTCGGAGAATCATCCTACCCCGAAGATCAATCTCGTCTCTCTCTCTGTCCGTCAAATGTTTGCTATCTCTCCATTTGTCCAGACTGTTAAGCTCTGATGATTCAGATACGTCCTGTCGCGAAGCGCGATTCAGACGACTTGGTGCAGAGGAAATAGAGAGGTATGGCTTTCGAATCGTTTTGAGTAAGGTGGACAAGGACCCAAGGTGTGTGTGCTAACGAGTTGCGGCGATGAGCATATATTATACTAGGGCATAGGGGAAGAGGATTGCTTGAGATCCCTTGCACCTACTCACTATCCGGTATGCCTCCTTCAGGAACTCTTCATCCTCTTCCACCTGTTTACCCTTGCCCTTTCTATTTGGACTCTTGCTTCTGAATGGCGACTTGGACCTCTTGCTTGGGGGATAACTTGTTTTACGTTCTGCTACCAAGTCCTTGAAGGACTGTGTTAGGTCTACAGACACCATTCGATGTGAGAGTCAAAGAGATCCGATGCTAAAGTCAATGTGGACCCATCAGGTCAATCTCACTGGATGTTGATGACGATTTTGACTTGGTCCCGAGTTCCGGATGGTAAATGCCTCGTGGCGAGAATGTCTCAATGAATACAAAGGTCTGGTGTATCTCTATTCCACAAACTCAAAATGTGGGCATCTGCGATGAGCTCGTACATGATGATCACGTCTACAAATGTGCAACAAAGAATGGAAAGTAAGAAAACAGCCGACAGAATACCCCTATTATCGTCCTTATCACGCGCCAGCGGCCGCACCATCCCCTCTATTCCGACGTCCTCGGCCTGTCGAGCCTTGGATCCTGGCCCAGTCACTGTCAATCTCCAACTGACTAGCACTCTCCATCCTCTTCAACTCTGCCAAACTTTTTCCAAGCACCCATTGGCCCGTTGCGGCTGCGCCTGCTCCTCTGCTTCCTCGGGCTGGTGCAGGAGCCTGTTGACCACTGGCGATGGCCAAAGCAGTCAAAGTACCCGGAGCGGCTGGTGTCTCTTTGGAGTCGCCATTCGCGGCGTCCGGCATCTTCCCCCTCGGTCCACGTTTACCAGCATTGGTGAAGGCCATGGGACCCGATGGAGGAGGATTCACAGCGAGGGAAGAAGCGTTAGAAGAGATTATATCGTCCACTGAAATTTGAGCGAGAGCAGGAGCCAAGAGGGTGTGAAGGAGAAGATCGTCTCGCTGAATCCCATTCGGTGTCGGTGCGCTAGAGCTGCCGTTGAGGTTGATGAGATTAGTAGGCGCAGACGTTCCGCCTAGAGCCGGAGTGGATGCGCGTGAATAGGGTGAGAGAAGACGATTTCGGAACGGCATACGTCGAGAAGGGCGAGGGCGGATCTGAGCCTCGAGCAAAGTTTCTGCAGAATACTGTCAGTATCGGGACCTTAGCATGTATGGTTCCTACCAGATACCACATCTCCGCCTTCTTTCTCCTCCCTCAACTTCCGCCGACGTTCCTCGATAGCCTGTAATAGTCTTTGCCTGACTTGATCCCTCGCATCCCAATACTGCCGTTCAATGGTCTCCCGTTCAGATTCATACATCCGCTTGGCCTGCCCAGCTCTGGCGACGGGTGGGTCAGTCTTGCACAAGCGCGCCACAGGTTGGAGTGACTGACTTGTACTGGTAATCTACCTCTGCAGACTCTAATAGTGCATCTCTCTCAACTGTGCGTGGGTATAATCGAAGGTAGTATTGGGATGAAGTCGGCGGTTGACTGTTCACTGCCCGGTTTTCATTGTGGTAGTCTTTATACAGGGTCGCGAATTTCCTGCCAAGCGAGAATGTCAGCTCAGCAAATGCTCACACCAGCAGCATGCCATGAAGAGTCGCCCGTTCTCCAAACATGCACTCACTCATCTCTGTTCCTCCAGCTCTCATCATGCAACATTTCAATCTTGTTGATGGTCTCTCTTCTCTTTCGGTCTCGTTTAGACTCTGCATATTGTGGTGGAATAATCGTGGGACCGGGTCCAGTCCCCGGAGGTAGATATTTCGCCATGATGCTCAAGCACTGGTCTAGATGTCGTCCGCAAGACTGAGTACTGGCTCAATGCTGGAGGTGAAAGTGACACTCAGAGAGGGAAGATCGTCCATGAGCAGGAAGCGGCGATTAGCGGAGTAATGATAACAAATGATGTGCCGGACAAATGACGTGGCATTTCTAAACAGCCGCGCGTTCCGACGCCCGATTGCTGATGCTGCAGCCTTGCATTGCAACTCTCGTCCATTCAGTGCTCATCAGCCAGTGAAAGACAATCGTGCAGGGCACTAAACGAACTGCTGGTAACATCTCCACCTAGACTGAAGAGGATACCTTGTTAGAGAGATTCGCTTTTCCTTGCATCCTACGGTTGTTGTCAAGCCGGCGGACCAGTCACACATTGTTTCAACATGGTAAGCTGGATTGTGTGAGCCGAAACCCGCTGCTGACCCGTATTCCAGGCTCGAAGATATGACAGTGAGCCGGGAATTCTAATCAAAGTACGCACCAGACGCGCTGACACCGCCTTTTGCAGGTCGGACAACCATCTTCTCGCCGGAAGGTGAAATCTTTGCTCAGACCCATTGAATGCGTCCGCTGACACATATCTCCAGGGCGGTTGTTCCAAGGTACATCTCATGGTTCTAAGCACATGTACCGATGAACAACTGACGCTCCTTTTCAGTCGAGTATGCGATGGAAGCCATCTCACATGCTGGTACGGTGCTCGCAGTGCTGTCAAAGGAGGGAATAGCCCTGGCCGCCGAGAAGGTGAGCAATGCCTTTCTTACGAAGGTACCCTTTGAGCTGAATACCTCTTCAGAAAGTCACAGGAAAGCTTCTGGATCTCTCTTTGGCTCCTGGTGGACAGATGGGCGGCGAAGGGAACCAGGCATGGTTGGGAGGAGGAGGAGAAAAGATCTTCTTGCTTAATAAGTGGGCGGAACATTCCAGCTTGGCGATTAGGCTGATGCAGCACAGCAACATTCTCGCTGGTCTCGCTGGTATAACTTCCGATGCCAACTCTCTCGTCAACTTCTCCCGAAATGCTGCTCAACAACACTTGTTCACATATGACGAGGATATACCGGTGGAGATGCTCGTTCAGAGACTGTGCGACATGAAGCAGGGATATACCCAGTTTGGAGGTGAGTTGATGCTGTGTGTCTCGTCGACGCCTCAGCTCATTAAACACGAGGTCTTCGACCATTCGGTGTCGCTCTTCTCTACGTCGGATGGGATTCTCTACACGGCTTCCAGCTGTATCAATCTGATCCCTCTGGAAACTACTCAGGATGGAAAGCGACATGTATCGGCGCCAATCATTCCTCCGCGACGTCTCTTCTGAAGCAGGACTACAAGGACGACCTGACGTTGGAAGAAGCCAGGAGTTTATGCCTCAAAACGATGAGCAAGACCATGGACTCTACGAAGCTGGGCAGTGAAAAACGTAAGCTGAAGATCCTTGAGGATGCCATAGTCAGCTTACTTTCACACCAGTGGAGTTTGCCACGATGACCCTCGATCCCAAAACGAAGCAGCCGCTGGCCAAGATTTATCGACCGAACGAGTTGGACGCCTTGTTGCGTCAATTAGAGCTCGGTGGGACGTCTGATGACCAGGTCGGTGTGGGTGAGGCCACAGGCGGAGGTGGCGGGGACGAAGGCAACGTGGCTATGAGCACATGATACGAGTTTGAACATATGCATGAATGTATATCATTGGAATTCTAAGGGGGTCACAGAAACGGTTGCATCGCGATTGATTTTTGGCAAAGACGCCTCCTGAATTCCTCTCTTCACTCCTTACATGGACGCTCACATCATAGATCCTCGACGATGACCAGCACTTCTGCGGCGTGATCTCGAAATAAATGGCGGGGATGGGTGTCAACATCATGGCCGATACGGGCCTCCTCGACATCGGTATCCTCAGATCCATCCTGCTTCCCAACCTAGCCTTTTCATCATCTCTCATCTTGCCATCCTATCTTCTTCAACGTTTTCAGGTCCCAATCTCGCCCAGTTCCTTCTGGACAGCGGCGACTCTTGGAAACACGTACTGGCTAGCAGTTGCACCAGGCCTGAGAACCCAAACCCTCCACACAGCATTACGCCATATCCCTAGATCAAGATGGCTCTTCTTAGCTGGATTAACAATCTCCTCACTCCGGCTGATCTGGAGCGATCTATCAGAACGCGAATACAGCAGTCTCACGTCCAAACCAGCCAGTGACCAACTCTTTATGCATGGTGCAGGTCACTCTAATGACAGCTGGACTCGATACCTTCAAGATTGGGGAGGACGAATCCTTGTTCACGCCTTGATCACTTTACCTCTTCTGACGCCTTTCAGACCGATATCCTACCCCATCTTTGGATGTCCCGTGGAGGACATCTCGTCCATCAGAATCGCGGCCGCTGCTTTGTGGTCTCTGAGCCAGGTCATAGGTATTCTCGGCTCGCTGCCTGGACATAGCCTGGGTCTGCATGACAGCGTCAGACATCCAGAGTGAGTCTGGCGCATCATTGCACCGAGTAATACTGAAACGCTCCCGCAGGTCCTTGGCCAACGTTCTCGAAAGCACTGCATACGCGATCTTCCTCTTTTCCGAGAACCTCCTCAATCCGTTCTTCCTCCTCTCTCCCATCGTCACATATCTCGGGGCAAGGTACCGAGACTCCGAGGCAGATCAAGAGTTACAGGACAAGCTTGCAAGGGACGATCCAGCAGAGTATCTGCACTTGAAGGACAAGTGGAATGATTCCAACTCATTCTGGCCAGGGCTCAGCAGCTTGAAGCAAAGATGGACCTGGCTAGCCACGGGTGTAGGGGCCGCAATGGCGGTATTGGCGAGCTCGGGCGTCCTGAGAATGGAATAGGATCTAGCCAAACTCGGGGGTTGGAGAAGATCCAGGTTCATGCAAAAACCCAAATGCGCTGCTACTCAGAAGCCAATGCTGCATACAAAGGTCAATGGTAGACCAAGTGGTTCTATGTTTGGAGGACCATTCATCAGGGCCATTCTGATCCCTGGAACGAATCCTCACGTTGCACCTTTCACCTCCGGGAGAGTCCTAAGCTTGCACCTTTTTCAAGTTCTGGTGCATCTTGGGATCACTCTTCAGGACTCTGTCCACGATGGACTTGACGACTCGATCGCTGTGAGACTTGACATCTGAATCAATCTTTTCAAGCTGCTGCTTTGTTGAGCTATCGATGGAGGTTTGGGATGTGTTGACGTCGGAAGAATGCTGTGGACAAAGGGGATCAGATGAAGTAGAGGGGCCGATTGATGTCCTCTCACGCTAGATTCAAACTTCTTGAATTCTTCCTCCTTCTTCGCCTTGTAGGCCTCAATCTCCTTGGCCGCTTCCGAACGAGCGTCTTTGAGCTTTTGAACACGATCTGCGAAAGAAGAGGCGAGCGCATCAGAAGGGTTCCGCTCAGACGTGTACAATTCCGAGCAGCTGGACATAGGTCCCTCGTACTCAAGATAGACTCACACTGCCTGGCCTTCTGAACGACCTTGGCTGCCTCCTTCTCCGCTTCTAACAGGGTCTGAATACCTTGCGAATTGGCGGCCTGAGAGCGGAACGAGTGGGGGTGAAGTAGGAGGCAGTGAGGGATACATAGATCATGGGCGATGATGGGTTGAGAATCACGAGGCACGGCATGATAACGGGCGAGTCATTGTCAGCATTCCCCTCTCGTGTACACGACCATCTCTCTAACCCACCATGATGACTAGTTGATTTGAACGTCCAGAGTACAAGAGAGCTGAAGGATCATCCCGAGGTCGAATGCAGCTTGGCTTCCTTCGAGGGGAAAATTGCTTCCGTTTCAAGATTGGCGCGGGCGTGCATAACTTTGAATGAGAGACTCATCTTGCAAAACCTATCTGATCTGACGCCAGACTCGACTCGTTGCCGCCGTCAAAGAGGCTCTCGGTCATGTCGCTCTACGCAGATGAGGATCTGGGCCTGGTCAACGATGTTCAAGATGTCGACATCGTCAGGTCTTCAGCCCTGGCAGGGCCCGCGGATCCCGTTCAAGCTCTCACAGCTGCTCTGGCGTTACCTTCCGAATCGGCAGCTCAAGCCGAAGCGCTTTTCGTAGCTGGAAGGAGATTTGAAGAGCACCCAGAAAAGCTGCCAGACTTGTGTGGAAGATTACTGCCCATGGTCGTGGATGGAGGAGAAACATTGTTGAGATCATGGACATTGGACATGATTGCACTTGCTGTTGGCCGAAGCAGTCTGCAAGTAGATGCAAAGTCACAAGGTGGGTTGGCAAGGCAAGGCATTATCTATGGAGGCTGAATAACTCATCTCGATACCTCTGTAGTCGCTCAGGCTTGTCTCGAAGCGCTCGTCAGGCTGCTCTCTAGCGAATCCACCCGAACTATCAAATCTGTCATTCCAATCTTTTCGACCATTCATCCAATACTATTCAAGCTATTGTGAGTGCTCGGGTCCGTTAGCTCCTGCCAGGATAATCTGACCCGCGCAATTCGATTAGAGCAACCGGAAGACCTCCCCAAATCATTCACGATCTCTTCATCGCGTCCAAAGCTCGAATACTTTCTTTCGCTTTGGATCCAAATGCCCGACCTCAAAATGCCGGCGTACGCGCAGCTGCCTGGAAATTCGTTCAGAAAGTCCTTGTTGCAGGGACGAGAGGGCCCGTAGCTGATCCACGAGTACGTTCCTATGCGTTTTCAAGTCACTCTCCATTGGTCGCTGACGATGTGTAGTTGAGGAATCAGGTTCAGGGAGCCTCAGATCCAAGTATAGCTATCATCTCCAGGGACAGCTTGCTGAACGCTGCTGAGCTCGAGGAAGAGGCTAAAATGCTTCAGACTCAACTGGTAACGCAACTCTATTCCTCCAGGTGATTAATTCTCCGAACGTTCAAACAACACACAAGCTGACGATAGCCGTCAGCGACCCAACAGTTCTTCACCCCATCATCCAGACCTTCCCGGCTCTGTGTAAAGCGCGACCCATGTTGACACCATTGCTCGTTGGCTCCATGACTTCATGGACACCGGCGATGATGGAGGCCGCGGCCAAACCAGCGATTCACATTCGGGCTGTGGAAAAGACCCTCAAAATGGTCATGGAGCATCTGAGAAAGTAAGTCAAAGACCCTCGCTGTCCGGCTGACCAATAATTCAATAGGGTTCCATCTGTCATTGCCTTTGCAGCTCAGCTCAACGATGCTCTGATACGACAGAAACAGAGAATGGAGTTGGCGTTTGTGGCGGAGCAGGAGGCTCGAAAGCAGCGTCGTGAAGAAGCTAAAATCAAGCAAGAAGCCAACAAGCATTCCATGGAGGCGGAAAGTAGTGAACAGGCCGCCAAGAGGGCGCGTATGGAGAGCAGAGCGGGTTCAGGAATGGGAAAAGGACCAGAAGTCGATGTCTCAGTGTATCCCCTCGAAGCGGTTGTCGATGCTGTTATGGCAGGCTTGCATGGGATCCCTCCTGAAACATTGAAGATGTCCTTTGAGGTGAGTTTGAGACGGGTTAAGAGAACTCACACCGGCAGGTTGCAAGGCAAGCTTTGGCGGAAAATTCGCCCGACGCCATACGTTTATTAGCGCCGGCTCTCGGAGCGAAAGAGGATGATAAAGACGGCGACGATGAGATTTTGAATCCCTTAGAAATGGACATGGATGATGAAGATTTACTGGTGAGTCGTTCGGCCTCCAGGAACTGTGCTAACTGCTCAGCTCGCGGGTGACTTGGATGAGGCCGAAGACGAGGAACCGACTACGTTTGTCGAATTCCGCTTACCACCCCCCGAACCGCTGGATCCTAGTGAACGGACTCGCTTAGCTGATTCGGCTCTGCAAAGAATATATCAATATGCCTCGGATCTCTCCGCTTTGCCGGACCCGAAGGAAAACGACGGCATCAAACTGGCAGTTTCACCGAAAGATATGTGGATGCTCCTTGTGGCTAGGATGGCTTCCCGAGGACCTGAAGACCGGCGGAAAGCGTTAACTGAGTACGTCTCCGCCGATTTTGCTTCCAGAGCCAAGTTTGCATCCATATGGATCAACGAAGAGTGGTACAATGATTCGCTCAACGGGACCAATCACTATACAGCCATCGTTGAATCACTCGTCACGCCTTATCTCAAGAATGTTGATCCGAAAGACAAGGCTTTCTCTTCTTTCCTCAACGCCCTGCCGTCCATCCCTAAAGGTGTGATTGCATCTATCGAGGGAGTCTGCGAGGATCAGTCGCGAGGTATAGTTGGTTTCATGGCGCTGCGTGATCTGCTAGAGACGCGTCCGCCCGTGCGATCGCAAGCTCTACGAGTATTATTAGACCTCTGTACGCATTCCGATCGGAAAACACGAGTGATGGCTATCCAAACGATCAGACGATGGGTACCGGATTCATCCATGGCTCCGACGATTATAGACTACGCGATGGGCGTTCTTCGTCGCTTGATTCCCACTGCGAAGTCTGAAGGAGGCATGGACGAGGACCTGCCTTCTGTAACCGAGAACCGCTTCCTCGGCGATGTCAACGAGGAGACTGTGCAACAGCATGTCGAGCTTGCTTTCGCTATCACTAGGCGGCAGCAGGACTTGCTCCAGAATGTCTTTGACATATATGCGAAGCTCGAGAAGCCGATAGCCGATCAATTCGAGTCGCTCCTGACGCCTCTTATACAATCCCTTGGTGCAACTACCAAGCTTCTCGATACCTTGCGGTCTTTCCCCCTTGGTGCGGAGAAGTTGGCTCTACGGGTCGTCACCATCCTCAGTGCAGAGGGCGCCAGTCCAGTGCTGGTCTCACTGGTCAAAGGTCTGATGGCAGAGAGAGAACTCGACCCGGGCTTCATTATCCCTATTATTGGCGAGCTGGACAAGGTGAATCCGTTGAGATACCAAAATTGCCGTTTGCTGAAAGCCTTTTCAGGCCGAGATCGAGAAGCAGCTTCCGAGGATCGTCTCCCTGCTGAGCAAGCCGGACTCAAGAGATACTGTCCGGACGGCGTTTGCTTCGATCCTGCAGAAACTTACGCCTGCCGATTTGCTGGTATCATTGCACGGCGAAGAAGCCGGCAGGAAGCTCGCCATGGAAGGTGAGTGTAATTCCAGCTGCATCCAGCATTGCTGACGATTCCGCCTAGCTATCGGATTATGCTTCTCGATGACTTCGGTCTTCCGGTCCGATGTTCTCGCTACTGCCCTTGCCCGCATCACTGAATTGCCCACTTTACCCGTGGTCTTTCTACGTACGACTATTCAAACGGTCACAACGTACAAGTCTCTCATTCCGTTCATCGCCAACAGCATATTGCCAAAATTGGTCGCCAAAAAGATTTGGGAACAAGGGCCATTGTGGGATGGTTTCGTCAAGTTGTCCAAGATGATCGCTCCTGCAAGCTTTGGCAGCCTCCTTCAACTGCCAAAAGAATGGCTCAAAGATGTGCTGGACAAAGAGCCAAAGCTGAAGACCGGACTAAAGGGATACTTAGCGGGCAAGGGACAGCAAAGGGCTCTGTTGGAGGTGGGTCACATTTGATTCTCAGATTGGTCTACAGAATTGACATCCTCCTAGATTCTAGGCGAAGATGCTTGATAGTCAAGATAGAGCTTCCGTTCGTCAGAAGAGAGTCGCTACACAGACTACACCTCTTGCACCATTGCATGTATTCATTCTTCCTGGGTGATGAGACTAGACAGATCACCTTAGAACGGATAAACTAATTGGCGAGCATGCGCTCGGTGTAATGATCTGGCGAAATGTCAAAGGGAATGAATTGATCGTAGATCGAGATTACATAGAAGCTAACCTGAGCGGTATTGAACATCGTTTGGGAGCATTCCTCACTCCCAGCTCATCGGACTTCCCTGAGCTGCAATGATATCCATCGATTTCAGATCCAAAACAGCCATCGTTACCGGCGGTGGACGAGGTATCGGTCTAGGTATCACAGAAGCCCTTGCAGGGGGTGAGTGGACGTCTTAACCATACAGGACTCGTCTGGCTGAGGTGCTATATTCCGAGTAGCCGGGGCCAATGTCATCATTACATATACTTCTACGGATCCCACAGAGCTCGCTCAAACTCTAGGTGCCAAATACGGCGTGAAGATTCATGTGTATCGGTGCAGAGCGGAGGACAGTACTCAAGTGAATGAAATGGTGGAAAGAATAAGCAAAGAGATCGGCGAGGTAGACTTCGTCATTGCGAATGCAGGTGGATAGCATATGTCCCGTAAGGAACATAGAGAGCACGGCTGATGAATGATCACAGGGGTTAGCTTGTGGAGAGATACGATCGATATGACCGATGGTGAGTTAAGAAGGATGCAATACAGCTGACCAGAACTATCAGAGGAGCTCGAACATATCATGAAGATAAATCTCTTTGCTCCTGTATATCTCGCTCGAGCGTTCACCCGACACTGGCTAGGTCTACCAGCGACAGTACAATCAGATCACCAAGTAGGGAAGCTCGACACAATCAATCTAAAGAAGAAGATTCTTTTCGTATCTAGTATCAGTGGGATTGTCAATATGACACCCCAGCGACAGATGGCATACAACGCTTCGAAAGGAGGATTGACGATGGCCGCAAGGGTATGTCCTGTATCTACGTTCCTTCTGAACCAAAGTGCTCACCTGTCACTGCTAGAGTCTTGCGGGCGAATGGGCTCGGTATGGAATCACAGTCAACACCATCTCACCAGGATACGTATCGACAGATATGATCGCCAATCCGCCTTCAGGCGAAGCTTCAGCCTGGGTTCAAACGTGGAAGTCCATGACACCAGTGGACAGATTCGCCAAAGCTTCTGAGGAGGGGCAAATGGTAGCTTTGATGATGTCGGATCACGCATCAACCTTTATGACTGGTCATGATCTGGTAATGGATGGGGGTGAGCAAAGCACTACCAACAAGACCCTGACACTCGTCCAGGTTACACCACATATTGAGGGAATCGTGAATACATCTTGCATACATGTCATCTTGACGATGGAGAATGAAGCGAGGCCCGGGAGCGAAGGTTGTGTCCGCCTCGCGAGCGGTGACCGACCTCTGAGATCAGAAGGACAGACTCCACTCCATCATCTATATCTGAGCGGTCATCTGCCGGCGCACTGCTTTGACGGCTTTCTCGATCGCCCTGGGATCTCTCGAAGATCGAGGCACTCTCTTGATCGTTGACGTTCTTGGAGTTCTGGTCATCCATGCTATCTTCAGGCATCTCTGAATTGAGACTCGTCGAGACAGCTGGAGCCTCCTTCTGACTCTTCTGTGTCTTCCGCCTCTTTCTCCAGGCTAGGAGCTCCCGAAGGATCGCGACGATCATAGGAACGGCAATAGGAGCGAACAGAGGGGTGTACACGGCGAACTTGTGCTCATCAGGCTAGACGATTTCAGCGGACGTGAGGGCATGGAAACCTACGAAATACAACAGCCCCATCATCGATGGATCAAAGAAGGCTTGGCTGGCAAGCGCAGCTGCGTCTCGAGACAAGATGAAAGCCTGTCGTGTGTCTCGCGTTTTGTCCATCTGGGAGCGATGGGTCAGAAAAGAATGACAGAAACAATCACGACCCACTTTCTCCAGTCTTTCGACAGCTCCCTGAACCTTGTCGCGGACACCCTTGCCGACTTTCATTTCCTTGATTTTACTGACAAGTCTGGAGATCCCGGAAAGCGTCCGCCTCGCTTCCAGAGAATTCTCTCTCGCTCTGACGCGCATTATGTGCTCCACTTGCCATGGGGTGAGCGGCTGCGCAAAGGGCCGCTCTGGTACGAGGTGTGACGATGGTGGACTTGGCGCAATGCCTGAGGGTATCGACGGAAGGTCGAGCAAGGAGTAGAGGTGTTGCGTGAACAGATGAAAAGGGGCGTGTAGCGCAGCCAGAGGCAAATGAAGATTGGTGAATGTGGACGAGGGGGGATTGAGAAGCACTACAGCTCCATATTGAGGAATGAGAAAGGATCGAGCATCTGCGATGAGGTTATGATAGCTCGATTGCGGTTCTGCTGACCTGAGACAGAGGTTCGCATCGGTCGGTGTTTCACATTCGGAACGTATAGCAGCATGCGCAACACTGGGTTGTTTGTACTCCCCGAGTCTGGGTCATCTGTCAGCTTGGCTCTCGAAATCAGTCTCTCACCGAGGCTCCAGGATTCTGAATTAATGAAGATCTTCATCTCCTCTTCCCCAATGTACCAGTAGGGATTATGGATGTCCTCATTGCGGACAGTCGCCAGGTCTACAATACCTTCCTCATCTGGCATCACACCACCAACGGAAGGATGGGTGTCGGCGGAATGGGCACCCAAATGAGGCTCGAATGTCAGGGGTGCGTGGTACAATATCTGTGATTCAATGTCAAACTTGAAAATATCCTTGAGAGGTTCCAAATGAGGTAGGATATGGTCTTGCACGGTTAGAACAGCGGACAGACCGAGAAACCCACCGTTGATGGCGCTCGAGATGTCCCAGCTTTGGACAAAGCTGCCCTCGGTCGAATCCTCATTCAAAACAACAAAACTGAGCGTAATGTTCGGAGCGTATTTCAAGGCTCGGAGGGGAACGGTAGGCGGCGTTCTATAAGGTGGTAGCAGGGCAACGAGAGCATCACTGATGGCCATCTTGTAGTGGACTGGATCTTTGTCAGTGGATGTTCAATTCCAAGTAGCATACTCGGTAGATGTCGATCGCCGACTTGAGAGGGATGAACAGGAACCACAAGTGTCCCTGGTCTGGGGTTGTCGCCAAAACTCCCCACCTCTGCAGCCTGGACATATGGGCGCAGAGGGAAGCTCGTGTTAGCCCTATTGGACACTTTGATGTGTACTCGAAGTGGGGAGCGACTGCCTTTATTTGATCAACGATGCACCAAGCGGATTCTTACTCACTTTTCCCCTGCCCGACTAATAGGTCCCAATGTCTCCTTCTCCTCGTTGCGGGACCAGCTTGTCCAAGAAGTCCGTCTACGCTTTTTGTCACCTCTTCTGCTAGATGCAGGAGGATGTCCTTCGAAGAGTGCTTCGGACGGCCAGCCGCTGGAGCGGGGAAAGCTTCATTATCTGCCGTGAAGACAATGTTGGATCTAGAGTCAACGGGCTGTCGCATTGTCAGCGTATGACATGACGAAGAGGTAGAGAGCTTACTATTGCTGACTCTAGAGCAGCTATGCGCTCCCTCGGCAGAGGCAATCGCTCTATTGAGGTCGTGTACCACCATATGGGTGCCCCCAGCAGAAGGATCAATGGGAAAGCTAGAATGACGAGCAGCCGCCGAGTGTGAGAGGGATTGAAGGCATTCGTAATCTCAGAGGGCAGAGGATGACGCTGCTCGAGCCCATTCTCCTCTTCACCCTTCACCTTCATCCTCAGGCGTAGAAGCCGGAGAGATGGAACGCGGTCGTAATAAAGTCAACTGCTAGGAGCATTCGACGCGTTTTTGAGAATACTCGATGATGAATACATGATATAGATATACACAGTCTACTTGAGAAGTCATCCAAAATCGTTATATGCAGATGTGTTCGCAACTCTACTCAGTCTCCGGAGCCTCTGGTCGATCATCTATGGCCTCTTCTGGTGGAATCATGTCGGCCGTGAAACCCAATATACTTTGGGTGAGGACGGGCCGCTGTTGACCATCTCTCAGACCACCGCCTCCTCCTAGTCCTGTGCCTGGCCCAGTCTCAGCTTCGTTAGATATCAGACGCCTTGATTCTTCGGGCTCCAGCTCGCCAGCTTCCACCGCTCTTTGTCTCTCTTCCAATTCCGCGGCCTCCTGCTCCGCGCTTGCTTCCAGCTCTTCCACAGTCAATGAACTCTTCCGAGAGATATCCTTCGGCTCGAATGCTTTCTCCTCCAACTCGAGATCTTCTTCCACAGCTGCACTTGCTGATGACTCTTCTGAGATGGCCAGCATCTCTCTCAATGCTCTATTCTCCTCTTCCAGCCGCTGAATTTCCATCTCTCGCTCCATCGCCCAGTCTTTCTGACCATCTGTTCCAGCATAGCCTCCTGTCGATCCTGGTTGGAAGCCAGCAAATGGCGTTATGCGACTGCGACCAAATATTCTCGAACTGGATGCTTTCTGTCCGCTCGAAGATGATGCTGACGGCGGCGGACTGTCATCCGATGACGATATGATAGAGCCGTTGTGAATACGTAGCGACAGCAATGCCTCGGCCGCGCTGTCCGCCTCTTCACCGCCCATGGACCGGAGCGCAGAGCGAAGGAGTGTGGACAAACGTGCGAGTAGGAGCGAGAGGGAAGTGTCATCGTGCAGTTGAGCGGAAGAGTGGGCTGTCTGAAGACTCTGAAGAAGAGAGCTGTAGTAGGAATGAAGTGATAGGTCGTGTTGTTGAGAAGCGTGCTATAGAATCAGCACGCCTGCTCTTCTCATGGTTCGCTCACAGCTACACCTCTGAATTTGCCCATGACCGTTTCGAGGGTCATCTCATACTCCTTGAGCAGATTGTTGACCTGTTTATTCTCATGTTGCAGCTGTTGGTTCTCGAGGATCAGATGGGACGCAAACTTTTCGAGCTCGGATTGGAACTCCTCTGTAGGGCAATCAACGTCATTTCTACGGTCACATACCATCAGCGATGTCGAGATTGAATCGACGTAACGGGAAGCCTGTTCCGACATGCGCTGCTTGACCTTTAACGTTGTCAGAACGGGTGGTGAGTTGAGTGACAAGCGCTCGGTTGTTGGACAATTGCTCTGAATGGCGTTGTCAGCGACACAATAAGTCTCACAAGACCAACCGCACCTGACAGCTCTCCAACTAACGCCCAAATTCGGGACAGCTCATCCTCGAGGTCTACCATTTGTCGAGCCATCCTCTGCTCGGTTCGAGGTCCGCACCCTCCACCGAATGTTGTACGCTTGACGCGATCCGGCAATGGACGTGCTAGGATAGGAATGAAATCACAGCCAGAACTGGAATTGCGTCGACGATTTTAGGATGGCAAGCGCAAATGTGGCAGAGATTCGTCAGGTTTCAGGTCTGGAGTGCGACCAATGTATACAATTACATGAGCCAGGAGACTTCCCGCCGCCCTCTGCTCAGCTACATACAGCTTGACCCAATGACGTTCATGCATCTACCAATAAGGCAGCCATCCCAGAACGTAGCCTGTAAGGGTCAGCGAGAGAGGTCCCGTACGAGAAAGCCATACCTTGGGCCAAATTCTCTACACTCGTGGCCTCTTCGATCAATCCCTGGACCTGATGCTTAACAGACAAGATGGTGTCTTTGTGGTCTTTGTCAGGTCCATATCCAGCGAGTTTGCGTTCAATCTGCGTCAATACCTAAGTCCGGCAGTCAGTAAGCTTTATGGTGCCAGCAGGCTGACTGACATGCAAAGCTTTCGAGTTGGTGATTCCTGTGGATGCTTTGGCCATGTAGCTGTCCGTGTCCAGGTACATCGAAATGAGCGAGTTGTCGATGTGATTGTATATGTCTTCATTACTTCCTACATAGCCCATGACAGGCGCCACACTCTGGGGCACCGCGTGGGTCGTAGGTTTCCGGCTCTGAGCAGGTCGGAAACCAGAATGATTGGCATCTGCGAGCTCAGCCGAGTTGCATCATAGAGCTTACCTGTGATCTGCTCTGATGGCATTGCATTGACCTGGCGCAGTCAACACCGAGTCATGAAGATGACTCACCGTCCACGATAGGAGCGGATCGTACAGAAATGCCTCGAGCATGGCAAGCAAGGTACTGCGGCTTTCTCTCAGGACACCCATACAGATGGTCGATGCTTGTTTGAAGGAGCCCCTTGACCCTGGAACGACGTGCCCTTGGGAGCAGGCAAGCTCCATAGCATTCGTCATCATCCTTGTGAGACGGAAGGGGACTTTCTCTGGCAGGAATGAACGCTCTTGAGCCACGCCGAAGAGCTAAAGGTGTGAGCTTCGTCGGACCAGACACTTACATCTCCAAAGTCGATATGAAGCGCGCCCCAAGTCAATTGATTGACGAGGATATTGGAGCCATGTCTGTCACCAAGCCCGATGACATAGCCGACGAAACCTGTCTCATCAGAATTGGCCTGAGCTTGAAACTCACTTCCGATGCCAATCGTACGGGCAAAGTTGGTTCTACGGTGAATCCAGATCTCTGCAGAGGGACTGCGTGACCAGAGTACCTCCTTGAGATCGGCTGCAACTGTCAGTGAAAGCCACTTACGCGACTCACTCTGCTTGGAGTGAGACAGTGCTGCCTTCAGCCTCTCAACCTTGGTCGGCAGCGGCAACTTGTCGTATCGATCCATTTCGGCCGGAGGGTCCAGCTTTGGTCGGTCATGCTTGGTGTCAAAATTCTCAGGATCATACTGACAGGTGTCAGAGCACAGCAACCTCCGTTCTCTCACTCCTAAGATTGAAGCGAGCTCCTTGTTGGACAGATTGCTCGCCTTGCACTTCTCTCTGTTCGACAGGATGATCGCTTGCAACCTGTTCGCGTGGGCAACGAACCCGCAGGTTGACTCACTGTTGAGTGTTTTCGACCCATGAGACCAGCCCAGCTGACGGCGAGAGTGGGATGACTTCATAGGGAAGCAGATGAAGATTTCGTCCAAAGGCCTCCGAGTTGTGGTTGAGCAGAGTATTGATGAGCGTGAATAGCTGCATGATCCGTTCGTCGCCACGAAGATCCTCATTGCCTGCAAAATCAGCACTCCTCACGCTCCGGCTCACCCTTCAATAGGAAAGTATAATCTTTTCTCAGCGAAGTGATAATGAGCTTTCGAGGAATTTGTTTGGTGGCCAGTACATCGACCACCGGCATAAACGCCTCAATGAATGCTTGATCATCGAGATTGACATTGGGATCATATTGCCCTGATCTCAGAATCGACTCAACTCGAGTACTCACCTGGTACTGTCAGGATACATTCCCGGATGGCAAGTAGCCTCGGAGCCGTGCTCGCAAGCTGCAACTTGGACCCCGGCTGTCTCCACTGGTTGACTTGCGCATCAAGCTCGCCGTATAGCTTATTGTCAATATCAGCAAATGGCCATAGCTCTCTACTGTTAAGAAAGCATACCTTTTACAGATCGCTATAGGCGGTATTGACAAGCGACAGCTGTTTCGTCTGCTGGTATTTCAGAAGGACCTTGTAAATCGAATGTAATTGCGGCCCGAAAGACTGCACGAAATGCTCCTCATCTGGTGTCTCTGGCTCCTGAATGATTGAGCGGATTGCCACTTGGTGGACAGCTCACTGCAAGTCTCTGTATCTCGGCTTCCCAGGCTTGAGGCACTTCGTGCCAGGCGATTTCCATCAGATCCTGTCGGGGCAAGGACCGATCAATGAGATTCCGCCACCTGTGTTCCATTAGCAAGGCTTGAAATGAACTTCTCACTTTTCCATCCACGAGATTGATGTCCTGATGAGTTCGCGGCCAACGAGCTCAGCTTGATTGACCAGTGTAGTGCCATCCTGCATTTGACAGATATGATCCATGATCATCCGAGCTGCCCGTTCATGCTCGACCTTCTGGGTCTGACTCGCAGTCAAGAGCGGCCAGATAGCAGCGTGGGGGAATTGTCTCGCTATGTCTTTGAGAAGATCGATGAGGAGAGCCTGCAGCTCCGGATGCAGAGTGCCCAGCCGAGCGATCAGTTGGGGAATGGCCATGAGCCAAGCTGAGATTGCTGTGGCAGACAGCTGATGCTGAACCTCTGCCAATACCGATTCTGATTCGCCATATCGGAACCAAAGTGTGACGAGACGGAGGAGTGCTTTGATCATCTTCTCAGGTGTCTCGCGAGACCGCACAGCTTGGAACAAGCCACGAATGGCGGGGACGACTTAAAATTAGGTCGGCAAGTAAGTGCAATGAAGGCTCACCATAACTATTTATTGCTATTCTATCCTTCTGTGAATGCGAACCAGTCTCAAAGATGTTCATGGCTGCTTGGGCCAAGGAGTAGGCACCATTGAACCACAAGTCGTCCAATTTGTACGCCAAGGAATAGTAATTGTACACCTCAGATGTGGGATCCTGTCTGTCAGCCTCATATTCTGCTCTTGAACGCCTTACAGTCAGCCAAAAGCCACCTTGGCTGAGCTCTGTCCATTGCGCGAGCCGGTAGTAGCGCCTGGCCAATATGTTTCGAATGGAAGCGTCAACGTCCTGGACCGATGCGAGCGGTCTGAGACCCAGGCCTTCGCTTTCCAATTCTTCACGATTTATTGCAACCGACTCGAGGTAGCGGGCCGTATGGTTGTGCAGTCGACTGACAATGTCTTTCATTCTGGTCAGGTCCTGTTTCTCTGCCGCCTCTTTCCAGCTAAGGTATTTATCAGTATTGACGAGTCCGGGCACCCACTCGAAGCGCATCTGGGTGTATTGTACCTTGCATCCCTAACGTATTATTAGCATGAAGGATATTGGCATCCCCTCACCGGTGGATGGGTTTCGGGCTTGACCCATTCCAGAAGCTTTTGAGCCGCTTCGTGCATGCCACTACTCTCGCACAATTTCGCTGCGTCAAGATAGCATCTTTGCAAACCGATCTCGGTAGGAGGACAGGCCATCTTCCAGATCTGTAATCGCTTGAGCCAAGTGTTGGCTTCGGCATGGCTCCTCTTGAAACGATTTTTCCACACACTTTGCAGATGTTTTTGGATGCCTGGTTGCGACTTGTATTGTATGACTTCTTGCAATTCAACGAGGCATTCCGTTTTCGCAAGTGTTTTAATCGCGATTTGCGGTCCTACTTCAAGCTGTGCCTGTAGCTCGTCATACGAAAGAGACTGACTTTTGGAGATATGGTGAAATGCGGAAGCGTACTGGCCATGATGGACGTCTATAATCGCTTTATACAGCGACTTGGATGTTCCCTTTGGATGGAAGGCATTGAAATCGGCCATCGCCTCATAATCCCCCTGAGACGTATCAAGAGGGCTCTGTCTCGAGATCTTACCATGTGCCACGCAGCTGCGCATGCCCAATGGGAGACTCTTCTCCTCTGGGAGTCAGTCAAGCCTTCGAAGAGTCGCTGAGCAAGATTGTAGCCTTTTTCGAATTGGCCTAGAGCGTGATCTGGGTCGTCAGTCACGCCCGCACTAGGGACTTACGGCAAATGAGGCGGGTATTGAAGGAGTCGAATGAGCTGACGGCGTCAGACGTCCCATCGATGCGGTCCTGCTCATCCAACGCGGTCTGCCAATGACTGAGCTGAGTGATCCAAAATGGCTTGGGCTGCTCGCCGTATTCATCACGCCTCCATAGGAGCGACGACCAGGCTGAGTCGTAGCCTAAGTGATTTTAGTGAAGCCAGACAAAGGACAAAGTCACCTGAAGAACCGATCCTGGGCGATCACGTTAGACAATGGGTACCTTTTCCAGCTGAGTAGCTCACCGTATATTAGCCTCGACGAGATTAGCAATGTTTTCACTCGACAGATCTCCCTCGGCCTGCTGTTCCGCATACCATCTATGATTCGTCAAACGTTGTGCGGATTTATACAGGTACCTACACGCAGATTGCGGGCAGAGGATTTTCGAGGTCTCCGCCAAATCCTTTCAAAGCGCTACCTTTGGCCGCGTCCAGTATGGCTTGAGGTAGAGGTTTCCGTTCCTTGTCAAAGAAGGCTACCAGGTCGAGAAAGACACAAGCGATCTCTTGCGTCTGTACTGGATCGGACAGAAGAGATACCAGAGTGGTATCGACGACATCCTGAGTTTCAGTCATAATACGCCTAGAGGACTTACCTTGAACGGGTCATTCTCTATCTGGGCATAGCACATATAAAATGCCGTCTGGAATACTTCGCCGTGAACGAGTGGTCCCAGCTTCAGCCGTCAGCCTTATCCAGCGTCTCCTCATACCTTTGCAGTGATCAAGATCTCGGGTACAGCACTGGCCTCCAAGGTAGCCTGATAAAGCTGATGTAGCCACACGGAGGGATTATCGTGTGGTGAAGTCATAAGAGTGTGTGTCCAGGCGTACTGCACTGATCGCGTCTTTACCTGTAGGTTTCTTGCCAATATCTCGGCGATGAGTGGGTGATCTCGAGGGACATTAGGGGCTCCCACTGCTGGTGTAACGGGGGGAAGAGGGGTTGGTGCTGTAGATCCCGCTGTGGACTGACAGGTCAGCATTCGCTTCGAAGGTCCACACACTCCAGTACGTCCTATCTGTCGTTCTTGCATATCTAATATCACTAGTCCCAGCCTCTCGACCGCAGAGATCAGCTCCTCCGACTCGGACAGCTGGCCATCCTTGGCCAACGCCTTCAAAGGCTTCACGAGACAGCTCTTCAGGGGCTGCACTGTCTCTGTAAGACTGTTCAGGAGTTTCAAAGCGATTCGGATAACGTTGCTTGGTTTAGAGGGCTCCAGGCCTTTGAGCAATAGAGGAAGCCAAATGGAGGAGGTGAGCGACATTGCTGTTCGAAGCTTGGGATCGCAAAGAAGGCGAAGGCCCTCGAGCCACACCTGCTCGTCCTCTGAAGACTTCGTAAGGGCTTGACAAATAAGAGGCACCATACGGCGCAGGATCTGATGGGAAGAATGAGCAGACATGGTCATGCGAGCTGAAGATGTTAGAGATAGCTAGGTTGAATGTAAGTGCTGGTGGGTCAGCGGCGAAACCACACTCTCAGTCCTCCATCGTCAAGTTGAAACCTTCCTTTGTGTACCATCGTCAGTGTCAGAACCCTCCATTGACTGATTGCTGCACCAAATGATCGGTTTGAACCGATCCGCAAGACTGTCTCCATGGGTTGGAAGGTGAACAAAAGGTGACCGGGTGACCGGTATTTTGAACCGCAATTTCGGAGGTCGAAATGTAGCTTCTCTACATGCGACTCTAGATCCTCATGAAGGACCTCGAGGTAGCCGCCAGACATCACAGCAACCTAGTACGAGTCGGTTGTCGGCTCCCATCCTTCGAACCGCACGTGGATGGCTAAGACATTACATATGTCGTCTTCTCACTCATGAACACGCTGCGTTCATTATCGTCATGTCCGTGCCTGCAGTTAGCGGGCTGCAGGGGGCACTCAAGTTGTATGGCTCAGACAAAGTCAAGGAACGTGCAGATGGACACACAAGGATACGAGGGATCTTCTCAGATCGAGAGAATCTTCGAGTCTTCCAAGAATCTGCTCGTAGAGACGGCGGAGCTGGATGGGTAGCGCTCTTTCAATGCCTGTTCCAGACCGTGATAATGGAGAAACGGGTCTTCCTACGCAGTGCTACAGCTCAAGGTAAATCAAGAAGCTTCACTGGTTCGCAAAGCTGACTGTCCAGCGGAGAAACGTCTAGCCGACGCCATCTCACTGGTACGATGGATGACAGAACGCTCAGTTCATTTGTTGTCAGGAAAACCATTCATGGCCTTATTCACGCACATGGTACACCTGCTTGTTCACGCGTCGCGGATCTTCAAGCCTGCGTCTTTAGACTACGCTAAAGCCCTCAGATGCCTGTTGCGCTATCCACCTCACTTGGCTAATCTGGATGAGACAGGATGGCGCTTGCTGATGAGCATCTGCTGGTCGGACGTTTTGGGGGATACAGTAACGCTGGAGGATGAATGGGACGAGACGAGCAGACTTGAGGAAGAGGACATAGGTGACGAAATCGATTCGAAAGACGGTCTCGTTGGTCACGGCTCTGGTGGTATCGCCAAAGTCCAAGCTTCAAGCGTCGAACTTGCCACATTGATACCCACTCTGATGTCCAGTCCCGCCGCACCTCTCATCCCGGCTCTGCCAGCTGCGAATGATCTGGTATATCATCACCAAGCGTCTTTGGGTTATAGGATTTGCGAGAAGATACACAGATTCCTGTCACAACGTCGGACAAACGAATCTGTTGAGCTGAATATCCTGCGATCGCTCAACATGATTCTGGAGACCCTCGAGCTCAACTGTCGTCATGATTTTGTTATGGCGGGGAGGATTCTCCTCCCGCAGTTAGCAGGTCTATGGGAAACAGGAAGCCGCGCCATCCGCGAGCAAGCTTTGATTGCCTTGCGATTCTTCCTTAATTTCTGCGAATCAACTACTGGTGGAGCATCTGATGAACACTGGATCACGGACTCATCATTTCTACCTTTGTATCAAGTTATCGTAGATCATTTACCACGAGAAGCCGGTGCAAGATGGGGAATTGGGGTGCTAGACCTACATAGTATTCGGCTGCGTCTGTTGCCTATCTCTGTGGCCCTCAAGCCTTTTGAGACAGATTCCATAACCGTAAGTCAAAGGCGATGTGCGATTCTCGTATTGATATACGTAGGCTGGACTAGGATTCACGCACGATGCCGCGATGGCGTGGACATCTCTTCAGTTCTACGCACATGTATATTTCAAAGTCAGTTGGTCCTCAGATACGTCCCTGACAAAAATTCAGGTCGCTACTTGTTCGCCATCCTCATTGACATCGCATCGAGACGCAGAAGGCGATGAAAAGCCCCTTAAACGGCAAAAGAGATCAGATCCCCTGCAGGTCTTGCTTCGCGGTTGCGAAACGGGTACCCAACGAGGCCGCCTCCACCATCTGCAAGTGTGTTTCTTCCTCGTCGATCAACACTGGCAGCAACTGCCTCATGATATTCAAGAAAGGCTTTCTGAGCTGCTCTTGTCCCTGTTGGACGATGAAGACATCGCCATACAAGACTGGGCTTTTCTCACGCTGGCGCAATTAGCCACAAACCAGCACGAGAAGCGCTCTCTGCCAACTTTGCCCCCTTTTGGGCAAGTGGAGACAGATCTGTGGAAGAGGGCATGGGCGCACTCTGTGAGGAAGGCTTTCGGTGTTCACGCCCGATCGGCCAGTCATCTTGGGTGTACAATCCTCTCTTCACGGCTTGTCCCTCAGGCAAGCACTATTGACGATGTGGAGGATCTCATGCGCAGTGTCGATATACAAGGGCCTTTGATACCCGCCGATTCAGTCTGTGCTTTCATGCGACTGGCTCTTGCCGATATCCGCAACGATGTCAGACTGTATTCAGTGGGCATGGAAGGCAAACTCATGACCTGGATCGGCAAATGGACCATCGTCGATTCTTTCCTTGGCAGATCGAGGCTCAATCAGCATACACCCTCAGACTTGTTGAGTGTTATCAGCGATGTCTGCGGGTTGGAATCGCATCCTATGCCGGCCCCACTGACATTGGATTATTTGCCAGAATGTGCGGTAGTCAGCCGACTTATCGCCGAGTATGACACTCAGCCCATCAGAGCTTTTGGATTGAGAGGGGCGATCCCGCCAGTAAGAGCGTCCGACCTTGAAGCCGCACCGGGGGAGATTCAGGATCTCGTGCACCATGAAGATGAGATGCACTCAATGGGTCAAACAGCTCGAGCCGCGGCGCAGATTCTCGCTCAGCAGGTCGAGCGTGTGCTCAGCGAGTTGGCCTCAACAACCAAATCAAGTTTGGATCTCAAAGAGTCAGGACCGATAATATCCCCAGATAAGGTCAAGAAAGGGATAGACATCCTGCTCACAGCCATCGCTTTTCAATCTTTGCTTATCCTTAATGGTGTCAGATCAGATGCCGCTTGTTTGGACAACGCATCGGAGGCACTTACCAGGCTGGCACATCTTCTTCAGTCAACAGCGTACAATGTATCGTCCTCAGCCTCCCTTTGGAGTGGCCTGAGATACATCTTGCCCCTCGCCGGTCAAGCCGAATCCGTATGGCCAGTCATGCTCAGGCCCGACGTGAGTTGTGGAATTCGAATAGACCTGTTCCAGAATTGGGTCGATGCCAAAAACCCAGGAACTGCTCCCTCTATCACTCTGCAGAAGGCAATCTGGAGGTCACAAGAGGCAAGTGTTAAAGGCTTTCAATACAATGCTAACCGTCTCTAGCTCGCGGCGGCAATGAAGAGCTTAACATCAGCTGCTCTTGTGGTCCTGTCGAGGAAGAATTTGGATACATCTACCTCGGAGAATGCTGTCCATCTCCTGCAGAACGACGAAGAGGATGACGATTTTGGCGAAATCCGCACGACAGAGACCGATCTAATGCCTCACTCGAGGGAGATGACCGAGTACCGTCGCACGAAACCGGAATTCATCGATCTCCTTGTAGCCTTCCGCATCGAGGGCTTACTCCTCTCTTCCTCGCAGCCATCCATTCGGGATGCTCAGCTGGTGAATACCTTCCTCACCGCGGAAGGCGAGACTCTGGTGACTATCGGAATGTCTATCTGCCGTCAGATCAAGGCTGGCAGTCTCAGGCTTTCGGTCTCAGCATTTGATCTTATGTTGGAGAGTCTGGAGGAGATGATGAACTCTTATGCTTATTCTCAGGACGAAGGGATGATACGGCTGATAGCAACCTTTCTCGGCGTCACAGCGCCTCTTTGGATCAGTGATCAAGCCAATGATGGGGAGATTGGATCTCGAGCCACTTTTCTATCCCGAAGTCTGGTCCGAAAAAGCATGACAAATGAGATTGTCTCTTGGCGGGCCCGTCTGTCCGTTGTCTTGTTTATTGACGAGTATCTGGACTATGACCCCGATATGGAGGCTTGGCACAAATCGCAGAGGACGCAAGACATGGATGTCGATGATCCGTCAGGTCCTACTGATGTTATCGCCACTTCCCTGGTCGACAAGGACCTGCGAGTCCGGTTCCGAGGAGCAACCTCGACCGCCGGTTTGCTGTACCTTTCCAGCATACCCGCATCTCAGCATTCACCTTTCTACCACGAGACTGTGAACACTTTGCCTAGGGAGCCCAAACACTGGGACTCGTTCATCACGGATCTCCTCTGGAAGCTCAATTGTTGCGTGGCCAGCACACAATTGAGAGCCGCCGCAATCTATCATCTTTACGAGATACCCTCCTCAACCGACGCGTACAATGTTCACCTTCACCTCGGACTCGCAGAAGCAGCCAAGCGGCTCGGATTGGCTGGAATATCTCCTCTGTATCTCGCCCATGCGCCTTTGATCGTGTCGAGTCAGATCTCCTCCAAGCAGGACCCACTACTGGTACCCTCTCTATTGTGCGGATTCGAGTCAGAGCAAGCATACGCTCTGGCGCTGCTGGATTCATCCGCGGCAATGATCGTACTCGCCGCAATTCAGGAGAAAGCTTCGAAGCACCCCTCCGCGGGAGGGCCCAGAGCATCATACGACAGAATATGCAGTGCTGCAGAGATGTCGACTGAGTCCGCAACAATTCGCTATCTTGGCTCTATCATCGCCAGAGCTCTCACTGACAGGTACAGTGGCCTGACGTCTGAGGACGAATTCCACCCGAGGGATGCATTCAAGCGGCTGCAACATCTCCCCGGTTTGACGGCCTCGGCTCTGACAAAAACCCTCGCTCCAATTGCAGAGGAAATTCTCGGCCACATCCTCCGGTTGTTGGAGAGCTCTTCGACAAACTGGATGCTCGAGGTACTCGGCGAACGAAACGATGTTGTCGCAACTGTCTTCTCGGATATTGTTCAAGACGCTGCAACTCCGCCCGACGAACTGTCCAACCTCCCTCCTTGCTCCTCTATCCAGGATGTACTAGCAGGCATAGACTTTCTCAAGCTGCAAGTAACCGTCGATAGCTCCAAAGCCGTCTTCCTGACCTTAAATCGACTGTTTCGCGACATACATGAGGCATTCCTCGTATCTGAGCAGTTTCGACGGGTTCAAGCTATTGCTCTACTCCTCGCTCTCCACTCAGACCAATGTACCAATCCTGTGATATTGGAGACAATTCTGCTGGAAACTACACAGCTGCTGCTGATGCCAGACTTGGCCAGAGCCGCTCTCTCTATGCTCAAATGGGGCTTCAAGTCGGTCCGTAACGTCACTATACCAACCATATCACTGCTCGCCATTTTCAGACGCCTTGGTGCGGCTTATGCTATCCTCTCCGAAGGCAGTGATAGCATGATTCCGGTTGCGGATGCGCTGAAGATTTGGCTGCTGGATCAGTCTCCTGTGTGGACAGAGTGTGACAACATACGCACCGCATATCAGGACGCACGTATTGTCTGGAAATCGGAACTACGAGCGGGAAATGATTCAGACATGCCTCCCGCTTTCGATTCCATTATTGGCCAGATCCCGGAAGCGGACGCTGCCCACCGCTCGGAACTGATACATCCTCTGACATCGGCGATGCGCCAGGAGTGCGAGCTGACTGCTCAAACCCGAAACCTTGACAAGGTGCAGCACGACACCTTCTGGACCCTGAAAGACGCTCTAGGGCCCGAGGCCCCCGAGGATGGAGTACACGCTTTCCTTGACCTTCTGCATCTCATCAAAGGTGAAATACATCCTCCTTCACTCAATGATCAGCGGCAGGTGAAGCCTTTTGCTCCTAGTCAAACGAAGTCGACCTCAAAGATAGTCAAACCGGATGCGTCTATGCCAGTTCGCGCTGCCGTCGTCAAAGCGCTCGTCAAACTTGCCTCGCACGTGGATCACACACTACGTTTTGCCGCTATCGACGCTTTGCGCTCTATTGGATCATACGTGGCGCCTATGATCCAAGCCGGGCATCTTCAGGGATCTGCTGAATATGTGAAGCTCTTCGCCTCGGATCCAGGGTTCTCGGAGGTAGGGCCAAAGACCCCGATCGTTGATCTCGCCGATATTTGGGCATGGCTCCAGCTGGCACAAGAACCTGTCGCTTGGATCTCAAAGCTTTCTGTCGCCATCGCTTCCAGTGTGCAATTCTGTGCCGAGTTCTACCAGGCAATCAGACCTTATCTCATGCAGAATCCAACGATAGCAAGGACGATTCTGCCTCATATGGTACATGCTATCCTTCTGGACCCCTATAACGGCGCGCGGATTGGCAGCAATCCTCGTGAGGTTCTCTCTAGCCTTTTCTCTGCAATGTTAGAGAGCCCTTCTACCGACGAGGAGATCACTCAGGTTGTCATCAGTATCGTTCTTCATCTTCGAGAGCATCGTCCTCCAAGCTCTAACGGCCGACTGAATGAAATGATCTTCGAATCCTGGTTAGATATCGACAATCTCCTGCTGTCCGAAGCTTCAATCAGCGGTCAGGCATATGCAACAGCGATGATGTTTCTCGAACTCATGACGTCTGGAGAGGGTGCCAATCTGGCTGTCAATATGTATGACCCTCGGGTTCAAAGAGTGAGCCCGGTTGACCGTCCTGAGCTGATCAACCCAGATTATGTACGAAGCCTACAGCAATCTCGAAGACCCGGATGGGTTCTACGCTGTCAAGACGCGCGATGTGGCCTCGGCCCTTAATCGTCGACTGATCCATGAGGGCGATCATTGGCGAGCGTTTGGTCTCCATGGCGCGGACATCGAGGCGCAAACGAAGGAATCGTCTTGCGCTCCTATTCTCGCCGCCAGCAAGGACTTGCACCGCTTGGGTCTGAATCGTATCTCGGCGCTCCTGATCGCCAGTCTTCGAGATAAAAACGCGTTGGACGATGCTAGCTCAGATTCATTGATGTTCGACCTGGCGTGGCGGATTGGTGATTGGGATCTGCCCACGCCATCTGCGTCAACGACCTCTTCTCATGTGCTTCTTTACTCCGCACTGAGGGCAGTGCATCGATCGCGGGACTTGCAGACGGCTGTACTTTTGGTTACCAAAGCCATCGTCGCGGAGTCCCGGCGCTTGCCAGGCTTGGGGCCACAACGCATTACCCAGGTGCAGAAGGCCGTTGAAGATCTTCTGTGCCTCCGCGAAATCCGTCAGTGGCTCTCATCTAGGGTGCAGAGCGTTCTAGATGGTACAGTCGAAGATGCCTCCATCATCAACGATCTAAAATCTCTAGATTCGTCTTTCTCGTGAGTTTGGCCAGCTAAGCGCATATCGGGAGCTAATGAGCGACAGATTCTCTCTGACACAGCGCTTACTGGCAGTCCGTCGATCGATGATCGTAGGAGGCGAAGACCGCGAGAAGCATAATGTTATCGGAGACATCACCACCACCAGACTGGATGTTTTGCGCTCGATCGACAGAAGCTGCCTCCTGCATCAAAGCCGAATGGCTCGAGAAAATGGCGACATTCAAGCTGCGAATAATGCCGTCACCGCCGCGAGGCTCGTCGAGGGAGATCATCGCACAGACCTGCTGGAGGACGAATTTGGGCAAGTGCTTTGGGCGCAAAAGGAGCATGCTTTGAGCATTCAGCACCTGGAGCAGAGACTGAACGTTGAAGGGATCTCAGGCATTCAGCGTGCAACACTGACCGGCCGTTTAGTACGTTAAAATTACGTTTTTGACATTGACGCTGTAATCAGGCGCAATGGACCTCGGTCGCCAAATACCGCACACCTGACGAAATAAGGTCGATGTTTGACGAGGCCAGGCTGCTCGCTGAGGTGCACAACATGACAGCAGATGATCAAGGACAGATCTGTCACGACTTTGCAGCCTTCGCCGACTCCCATCAGCGGATCTTGTCACGAGCCCCAGAACTCGAACAGCTGTCCATGTACATAGGGCGCAAAGGAGCCGAGCTGCAATCCTCGACATCTGCAACCATGACGTCGAAAAAATCAAAACCCAGTTCGAATTCCAAATCCGACGCAGTTGAACGGATCGAGAGAGAGATCAAGGAGGACGAAGAAACCATGCAAGAGCTCATCGATGCCCGAAATCTCTACGTCAAGATTGCCTTGCAAATGTACGCTCGCTCACTTACCCTTTCCGATCGCCACGATGACCTCACAACCCAAATGCTGTCCCTGTGGCTGGAACATGACCGGGACCAGGAGATAAGCAAGGCCTTCGCAGAGTCTCTGAGACGTGTTCCCTCCCACAAGTTCATCTTCCTCGGCCCTCAACTAGCGGCTCGTCTCGATCGGCCGAAAGTCATCGACAACTTCAATACGCTTCTCTCCGCATTAATGCTGAGACTCAGTCGAGAGCATCCATATCACATTCTATACCAAATCATCACTCTTGCTGAAGGCTTCGCACTTCCGGCGAAGAATCGACGAGTATCTGACGGAGGCGCAGAGGGGAGGGCACCAGCTGCCGCTGCTATCTTGTCGGAGCTGAATAATGGCGAGGTCTCGATTGCTAAGACTGCTGTCAGGCAAATGAAAGCTTTTGCCGATCGGGCAATTCAGTGGTGTCTTTTACACACGAAGGAGGAGGAGAATGCGGCTGTGGGTGGCAGGCTCAATTTGCCTCCTAATTTCCCACTCGCGAAGCTGGTGAACTTGGACATTCCGATTCCCACATCGCCACCGACCATCGATGCCACTTGCCAGTATGCAGGCATCCCGACCTTCGTACGCTTTCGGACTCAATATCAAATATTAGGAGGTCTGCATAGGCCCAAGAAGATGGCGGCATATGACTCTCGGTCTGTCTCCCACTTCCAGCTCGTAAGCGGTGATCAACCCATACACGGCTGACAGTTCCAGTATAAAGGAGAGGACGAGGTTAGACAGGATGCGGTCATGGAGCAGGTCTTTGAGATGTCAAATGCTCTGCTCTCTCGCGATCGCAAGACACGAGAGCGAAGCCTGCGCTTCCGAACCTACGTGGTGATCCCTCTGGCACGCAGTACCGGGATCATGGAGTTCGTGGGAGATAGTGTCGGTATTGGAGATTGGTTGAAGCCAGCGCATCATAGGTCTGTCCGCTATGTCTCCGACCGCTAACTCTTCCCAGATACGGACAGATCACCAAGGATATCCCAGCAGATGACTTCCGTCGAGTACTCAAGCCGTTACAGGAGAACGAAAAGACGTGGTCGAAACTACCAGCCAAGTTCACCGAGATGCTTCAAGGGTTTCATCCAGTCATGCGCTACTTTTTCACCGAGAAGCACCGTGATCCACTCGCGTGGTTTACTATGCGGCTGAACTACACGAGGAGCGCCGCCGTGACGTCTATTATCGGATGGATGCTTGGAATTGGTGATCGACATTGTTCGAATATTCTCATAGATCAAGTCACTGGCGAATTGGTTCATATTGATTTTGGTATCGTGTTCGAAGACGTAAGCGAAGGCGGATGGTGGATGTCGCGTTGTGTCTGACGTTCCGCAGGGTCAGAGGCTACGTATACCGGAAAAAGTACCCTTCCGTTTGACGAATGACATGGTCGACGGTTTCGGGATCACCGGCGTGGATGGGACGTTCCGACGATGCTCTGAGCAGACACTTCGGGTTCTGCGCGGATCCTCAGCTCTCATCATGACGGTCCTCGAGGTATTCAAGCATGATCCGCTCTATGCCTGGTGAGACGCACACCGTATATCCCGTATACTAATCGAACTTTAGGGATGCGGACCCTGACAAGATGCAAAGGGCTCAAGGTGGAGGGCGAGTCAACATCACTTACTCTGCTTCAGCTTTGGAACGAGCCGATCGCATCCTCGCCAAGATACGACAGAAACTACGTGATGACATTAGCATAGAATATAGAGTAAACGAACTCATACAAGAGGCTCGGAGTACGGAAAATCTCGCCAAGATCTTCATTGGATGGCAGCCATGGTTCTGAAATGTCCCTTCGTTTTGTGCATATCACCAGACGTTGTACAAACAGCATGCGATCGCGATCATCATTCCTCAATCACAGCCACCCAAGCGCATGAGGTCTCAGAGATACTAGCCTCGGTGCTGGAAGAACATATACACGGCACACCGGCAATCTCAAATTCTCGCTCGTTTCTGGCGCCAAATTCGCATAGCATTCCGATCGTAGAGCTTGCCGACGACCAATTCCGAGCCTGGAGGAGACGCTGGAACCTTGTATAATTGTTCCTCAGGTGTCTCTGTATCAACTTGTGGCGTCGTGGATGAACATGTTGAGTACAGGGACACCGCTGAGAAGCCAGTCGAGCCCGCGGACCTTGGTCGAGTATAGGCAGTCTTTGGTATATGCAGGTGAAAAGAAGAAGATAGACCGGACGATAGAGGAGCAGGGCTGGTCGACCTAGGATGCCCGGTCTCGATATTTGGGGGACGGTTGACTAGGCCCGCCCGGCGGCCTCTCAGATATGGACGAGGAAGGTTGTATGACAAGATGGATGGCGAGGAGACTCGCTTCTTGATAGGGTCCTTGAGCGTGGCTTGCGATGGAGGTGGCAGTCTTGACAGTTCATGGAGATTACCCGAAGGTTCCCTTTCGCCCGTGAAATTGATCGTTGGCGACAAGGCTTGTGGAGAGAGCTCGTCCTGATCCGACACCTCCTCAGAAAAGGCGAAAGGCGGAGAGCGAGGCACACTGCTTCCAACGAAAGGGTTCTGCTGTAGCTTTTCATCGGCTTGTAGAGATTGCTGCCGCTTCGTCTCCGAATCGTGGATCCCTCGACTTCTGGCCACCCTGCTGGATGGCTTTCTGCTGAATGGACTCCAGGTTCGACGTTGTTCAGCCCGTAAATGGGGCTGTGGATGTGGCGGTGGAATGTAGAAGCTGCTTCGACTGGAGTGCACCGATGTGGCTAGTCGGCCCGAACCAGGTGAGAGCCATTTGGAGAAGGAGGCAGTCTCGATGTCGTCAATTAGAAGACACTCGGGCTTTGGCGGACGCCTGAGACGAAGCCAGTGAGAGTATGCCCGCCAGATGTTGGCATTGCTTGCGAATGCGAGCCACACGATCGGTCCAATGGCATCTGTGGCGTTGATACAATCAGCGTCAATTTAATGACCGATAGCATCCATTACTTTCTGCCACTCTTGGGCTCCAGTCAAAGTTCCAACCGTTGGTCTGTTCGAATACTGAATATACCAACAGGCCTAGAGCACAGAGGAACCAGTAGGCCACTTGTAGGCATTCCATTCTCCTAACTCGGACTCTTGGAGACGGGTCACCGTGGCATGACCAAAGTGATAGGATCATAATGACACAGAGGACGAAGGTGATCAATGCGGGGATCATCAAAGAGATAGCTCGCACTGTTGTCGCATCAGTACGGTTCAAGCTCTGGAAGTCTTGCGACTCGCCTATCCTCCACCACGGCTCCCTCTCCATACAGTATGCGCCCCACCAGATGCCGAAAGACGTGTCGCCTCTGGCTACTTTGGCTATAGTCGGCAAGTTGGGGAGGGTGGAGTATAGGTATGGAAGGAGGATCACAACTATCATGATCGCGAGTGAGAAATGTCTATTGTCTTCGTGATATCCGGGCCGCAGTAGGACGGCGACCTGAAGGCTGATTGAGTACCTCTCAAACGGTACCGGAACCGACACTCACCGCAGCAATCGCAGGCAGATGGGCTGTGACTACAGTGAACAACAAGCTGTGCCTATAATTTGAGCATGGACAGCCCAATCGGTGGCTCACAGGACAGTGTCAATGCCGCAGAAAAGGGATCCAGACGTAAATTGGGCAGATCCCATGAGAGATACACCTGCATTGTGTGCCATCAGAACCGAGGTGGCTACGATGACCGAGAGACTCGGCGGACGAGGACATTGCTCGAGAGGGATACCCGAGAAGGAGGTCGGTAGGAGATAGACAGGCAAGAGTAATAGGAGGAGTATGCCAATGAGAATCGATATGACTGAGGAACATGCATGAGCAATGAGCAGCTGAGCTATTTGGTTGGTCTCACTTCGGACTACAGCGTCGACAGCGGACTCGACGCTCATCTTAGATCCCATCGTCCGTTGGTCCGGTAGCTCAGGGCCCTTCGGGGGTCTGGATGGTACAACAACGACTTGAACGGACACGCTCTCACAGGAGATCAGTCTTCAAGTGCTCGAGAGGCCTTGCCGCGAACATCAGACTTTAATTGATGCGATCAGTCTCCTCATCAGTTTGGAATGGGCATCAAGGGGTGAACACTGTGTACATTGGTGGTCGTCAAGGGGCTAGAAATCGTATCAGATGCGATCACAGGACCTTGGTCAGTAACAACGGTGACAGATCAGGCGGTGCATGGCACCGCGACTCCCAGCGTTGTGCGTCGCTCGTGAATCTCGCCGTCGCAGTGAAGATAGAGCACTGAAGATCCGATCCAGGCTCTTGCTCGCACTTTCAAATCGGGCGATCTAAGGCACGCGCCTGTATCCGTCCAACAAACTGGCTCAATCTTGCTCCACGGTCTCGTATTACATGCATGTCAGGTACCCGATGCTCGTGTTCATGCTTCGACAGCCATAGGAGATCCTCCCTGGACCCCTGCTTTGCCGGCGTGCTCCAATGCCTTTTTCTCCTTCTCGTTGTATTTGTACCACTCCTGACTGACGTCGTAGTTGCCTGAAGTCTCATGAGCTGATGCTGGCCGACGCTCAATCCGCTCGACTCACCGATGAACTCCCATCCATTCTCGCGGACATGATACAGATTGCAGGTGTTGCCCGAGTATCCGTCACGGTGACCGGCAGCGATAATGGATCGGCGACCCAGATCCTGAGCCTCTTCATCTGACAGGTCATACGAGTAGCCCTGGTCGAGAGATTAGATTGTCCCACCATGAAACCACTTGAGCAAGCACTTACCTGGTCAAGGACACCATATGCAAAGGTACTTCCTGATCCCACAGAGAACAAATTGCCCTTTATCCTCTGCCCATCACTGTCGACATAGAACAAAGCGGGGCCCTGTCATGATCAGCTTGGCGCACAGGATCTGGGTGCCGCCGACATACAGTTTTGTCCCAACCGGCGATCATCGTTCCCTAAATTTATGATGAGCACGTTTCGGAGGAGCAGGGGTACGCATGCTCACCATGCTCAGTCCCATTCCCTTGTATTGGTATACCAGGTTGGTAAGGATTTTGCTCGCCGCAGCAACACTTATACGCTCCTTGTTCCTCAGCTCGTATAGTCTGCACCGGATCCCAAGATATGTCTCCCTGTTGCAGCTTCAGATATTGTGTCTCTTGGGACTCGAGAAAGCTCACCAATATTGGCAATCGGCAGCTCCTCCAGCCATAGTTCCCAGCAGGTATGGGTTGATCTCGATCACTTTCTTGACCGTTCCACTCGCTAGCAGGTGCATAAGCTCTATCTCTTGCAACATGGGGACAGTGACCAAGCTTACCAATATAACTCCCGGCTGACGCTCGAGAGTCCACAGCGACAATAATCCCTCCTCTGAATTTGAAAGCAAGACAAGTGGTTCCGTGAGCCAGCTTAATCTTAGCCTCAGGGTTAGTGGAAAGGTTGTCGGTATGCGTAGCGAGGAAGGAGATAGGCTAGACAGGCCGCGCGTCAGCTCGATGATGGAAAGGATGAGCATCTACTATCGACCTACATCTAAGACTCTGGGCACTGTCATCCCGCTGATTGCTCCCGTCCTCGACAGATTGCCATAACCTCCCATACTGCCCCATTCTGCGGCATTCCCGTAAGCCTCGTCGTCTTCTCCATGCACCGGCACAGCTGGTCGAGACAATTGTCTAACAAGGGTGTCCATGATGACGAGCTCGCTACAGTAATGGAAGAGCGATCAGAAGGACCAAGTCAGACTAAGAGGTTTGTATAGTCTTCGTTTCACTGTCTTCGTCTTTCGTAGTGCGGTCTTTGCTCGCTGTGTGATGTCCCAGAAGACCAAGTCTGCTGAGCGATAGTCGACGCTGAGCCAAGCGTTGGTTCGCGGCGGCGCGAACCCGGGGATGATCAAACGGAGGACCAGATAATTTTTAACACGTGGTTCCAGGCGACTCGGGTTCTTTGCGTCATATCGTCGAGCATTCTTTCATCGACAGTGAACAAGCATGAGTGGGCGAAGGTCGGGCTTGCAGAAGGATGTCATTGCCTTGTATAGGAGGTGAAGGGTCTTTGATGATGTAATTCGAGTCCTCTTAGCTGACTTCTTCCTGCAGAGGCGTCAAAGCTGCTTTCTCTAAACCTCGAGTGAGCTAAATGGAGCAGAATAAATGCTCATCGTGTCACAGTCAGAACGGGCCTCTTTCCTCTTACACCTGAAATATAACTTTCATAATCCAACATTGCAGGCGAGAGATGTCAGTGCTATCGAGCATCAGGTGAGCTGGATCACTTGGGTAGGCTACGGACGCTCTACTGAGTCCTTCTACAGCTGCGAAAGATGAATAGGACGATCGAAATGCTCGAGGAGCCCTCTGTACACCGCATCAACGTCTCCCCTGAAATGAGAGAATGGTGGCAGCAGAGGTTGTCCCCTGAGGTCTCATTCGCACGATCTCAGGCCTCAAGCTCGGACCATCGACCATCCGCCACAGACCGAGGAGACTCTTCGCAGGGTGATGCTCAATGGGGCCATACCCTGCCCGGTCACGGCGGTACATAGTGAAGGGTCACAACGCATCATCGAAACAAGTCCCTCAATCCATCTCTACATCCTCGACCTCTTCCACATCCTCCCAATCACGACCGTCCTGATCATCTTGCCCATCGACACGGTCCTCCATTTCCATCTCGGCAGGTTGTACACCCCTCTTCTCCAAGTTCTCCAGCAACTCCTTGACATGTGATCCAATGCCCTCGTCCGGGTAGTCTTGTTCCGAGAATAGTTGAGCGCATTCGAGCAGTGCTCTCATGCTCTCAGAGAAACACGCCTCAGCCGATATGGATTCCGGGCCGTCTTCCTCTTCCTCGTCTTCATTCTTCTGTGTCGTGCTCTCTTGCGGACGGATTTTCTGAAGCGAAGGGTCCCCCAGGAGCGCCTCAGCACGCAGATACCAGGCCCAACCTTCAAGGTATGCAGATTCAACTTCCAGCGAGTCCTCTTCTCGAGCTGTTGTAACGATGGACAATGCTGGAAGATGATGATTGTTTTCAAGAAGTAGGCGTACAAGACTCAAACGGGTTGGGAGGGCGGGTAAGGATGGGTCGACTGCAGGGAGGCATCAACACCGCATGTATACAAGAACGTACAAGCTTCTTTTTCCTCGAGCTCTTCGTACAGGTTCATAATCACTTTGACGGCATCCTCGGCCCTCTGTTGACTAATTCGGATGGAAGCCAGCGATAATCTGGCTTCAAAATCGTCTGGTGATATGCTCAACGCCCGTGATATCAGGTCGTCACAGTTTTTCTCAGCCTCAGGCTCAAAGCTAAAGGATAGGTCAACCACAGCTGCTCCCTTTTTGGGCTCACCATAGGTCCGACATCCAAATCTCAACCATCGCTATCAGAGCAGTGACTGCCATGGCCTTTGCAGCAGCAACCTCTTCCTCCTGGTCATCTTGACCTTTTGATATACGCCCTTTGCCTTTCTGGCTCGAAAGGCCGGCCAAAGCCCGTTCAGTCATCGCGGCGGCGGTAGAGTAGTAACCTAAAGCCTCCCGGGGATCGTTTGCAGTTTGAGCGAGGTAGAGGTAGGGTGACGGCGTGTGAGGAGGCTCGTCGGTATGCGGAGGAAAAAGTTGGAGTAAATGCTATCGATCCTTAAGCGCTCCATAACACTCAACGAAACCAAGCAGCTTACTGATCGTCCAAGCTCTTCATCTCCGCCTTCCAGTTCTGCCACCCCAAGAACCTCTCTCGCTTCAAGGTTTGCGGGCTCCAGCTCCAAAGCCCGCTTCAGAAACTTGATAGCAAGCTCAAAATTACTCTGCGCCAACAGTACGTGCGCTTTGTCTGATGTAGATATCAGCATGCGAGCGTTTGACCGGGTGAACACCACCGACCTATAAGACTGGACGAAGTAGGAGCTGATGATGGACCGGCTTCGGTAGCTCTTGCAGCTGAGTTTCCTCCTTTCCCTTTCGGCAGACCATTCCTTTTAGCCTTGTTCTTCGTTTTGGACATGCTTGCGGACAAAGCTTCAGTCTCGCAAATCTTGTGGCAAGTGTGAATGATTATATATATATACAATCAAAAGTTGAGATCAGCCTTGAGCGAGCGATTCAACTTTTTTGATGAATCTTACGTAACTGATTCGACCTGAACCTCTGCTTTGAGATGGACCTCGTCGAGTACTCACTTGCTGTCTTGACGTTGCATCGGGCAGGATGACTGACAAAATCCAAATCATCCCGCTTACAGAGGGCAAGTCCTGATAGGAAGATGTTTGCTCTACGCTGACTCTTGCCAGATGCTCTGAATCGTTACCGAATCACTCATCCGGATAGGGATCTTCGACCGTTATTGCGTCGACTACACCGTCTAGGAGCATTTATCCCATCTTCAGATGATCCAGCCAGTCGCGCCGAGCATGAGCGAGAAGTAGAAATGTGCAAGTTGGAGTTGATAAAGTGGCGGAGTGGTATTCAGAGGATCATGGGCACTGTGGAGAATCTGAACAGACAGCGGCTAGCATACCTCGAACGAGCGAAAGAAACAGGTGAGCCATCGGGTTACCAACCGACATACGAACCCGCACTGAGCTGTTACCATCTAGTTGAGAGGACGGAAGAGCTCAGAGCCACGTTGGATAGTGAAAAGATATTACTTGCAAGGAGGCGTCGAGAGCGGGATGAGCAGATCAAGTGTGATGAAGTCGCTGCCAAAATTACGGCCAAAGGCAAGACTAGGCTAGAACTGGATGAGTGAGCTTGATCATGGTCTCAAGCATGGCATCATGCTGATGTGTCAGGCAAATCTCCTCACTTCAGCAGAGTCTGGCAGATCACAAGGCTTCTCACGAGCTATACACGCAGACTGTACAGGCTCGAGTGGATCTTTTCAGTCAGATCACTGCGCTGGTGGACGAGGTCCGAAACACCAAGCTACCCATAGACCCTCAAGCATCTTTAGAGGAAGTTCCACCTGAGGAAGAAGGAATGGATGTGGATGATTCCTCAACTGCAGCAGCAGCAGCAGCAGCTTCCTCATCTTCAGCGCGTCTCAACGCTTCCGCCTTGCCTTTCCAACCTACCAAATCATCTACTAGCGCGACCTCAGCGCCTTCAACTCGCAATACTAGCCCTGTCCCGACTGGAAGTAGTATGAAGCCCCCTCCAGCATCTCACGGTCTACCTACTCGACCTAGCAGATCGGCAGGAACCACATCATTATCCGCTTCGAACCACAAGATACCGAGTCGTCCCTCGACGCTGCGAAGCGTGACCACTCCAGTAGCTGGAAGTTTGGAGGAGGGCGAGCTGGGAGCCGAGGAAGAGGGCGAAGTGAATGAGGATGCCAGGGGCTCAAAGCGGTCGGCGGCCACAGAATCAAGATCAAGGAGTACTAGGGCCAGGCGTTGAGTACCCTTTTCAATATTCAACGCAACTTGTATCGGCATCAGAGTTCCAAATCGCTCTGCGCGAGTGAACAGTGATATATTGGTACATTACCACATTTACTGTCTCACTACGTGCGCGCAGTATGACTCGTCCCTGAATACTGACAACATCCACCCGTACAAAACCTATCGATGATGCGCGCCGTATGGAAGACCTTGTTGAATTGCCTGAGGCGCCGGCCCACGGTACATGTCCTGATCTCCCGTACTCCTCTGCCTCTGAGGTACTGGTTGCCCATAAGGACTGAATCCCTGCGGTGGCCTACCTTGCGGTACCGCCTGACGTCCTGATTGAGCATGATGGGGTGGAGGTGCCGAGTAAGAAGGCTGCATACTCGGCGATGGAATTCCATTCGGGGAGTAGCCCTGCATTGGCGCAGTGTGATGTCTGGCGTCGTATGGCTGACTCTGGGCTGGCGGTGAGCGTTGCTGCAAAGGCTGTTGAGGGTATTGCGGCGGCGCAGCAGGGCGGTATTGTTGACCTGTGTGACTACCCACAGGTATGCCTTGCGGGAGCCGCTGAGGCGGTTCCCACGGTACGCTCGGTCTAGCCCCATTGGCGAAAGTCGGCGATTGTACTGCTGGCGATGGTTGTCCGCGATATACCTGACCTGGCATTGGCCCATTCAGAGCAGGCTGCATAGGCCGCTGTTGAGGCGGCGGGCCAGGGTATCCACTTCTGCCTGGCGACGCAGCAGCAGGTGGCGGACTCGTCATGGGTCGAGGCGGGCCATAGGGAGAATGCTGCATCTGTTGTGTTGGAGGTGGGACTGGTTGCGAAGCTTGCGGATGTCTGAAGATTTGGCCAGGCTGAGGACCACTGTGCTGCGGTGATTTGACTTCCGAGACAACCCTTCGCATATTGTTTGGTTGGCCAGGAGGTGAGACTGGACCAGGTTGAGGAGGCTGAGGGTGATTGTTGGCAGGGTAAGGAGGAGCAGGCGGGTTCGAATACGTCCGCTGTCTCGTATCTCTCACATCTGACATGGAGTGCGAAGTGGACATCCCATTGTGACCCTGAGCACGGTGGAAATCGGGCTGTAGTGGAGGTGATGGACCATTGCGGACAGGCCCAGGCGGTGGTTGTGATTGCTTGGTAGGAGAGGTGTAATCACTGACAGGTGGAGATTGAATCGCAGTGGGAGGCGATCGAGCTCGATGAGACTGTGTCTGTTGAGGTGGAGGCTGCGAGTTCGATCGATGCGGGGTAGATGCAGGTTGCGGAGGCGGCGGAGGTGATGTCGAAGCATGCTGTTGTACATTTTGATGCTGTCGATGAGGTGAGTTCTGCTGTTGAGTGGGTGGAAGCATTGACGGCGGTCGAGGAGGACCTTTTAGACCCATGTTAGCCATGGCCATATTGGCGTTGCGAACTTCGTGATCCACTTGGACAGTCTGCATGCCGTAGGAAGGCTGTCGGATCGGTGCTTCGGCATCTCTGCCAGATTGACGGCTTCGATCCGGTTTGGTAAGACCCATCTTCTTGCCGGAGCTCGCGATCGGCGCTGTCGCCGGCTCCCGCACAGGCTCACGAATCGGTTCTCGGATGGGTTCTCGGACTGGCTCTCGGATGGGCTCACGGACCGGTGCCACACCTGCGCTGCCAGAATCGATAGGTCGAGGTGGTGTACCCTTCGCAACCGGCTGCTTGGCTTGAGCCTTTTCCTCCTCTCCATTGGCCTTCTTCTCCTCGGCGACATTACGGCCGATGACACCGAGATACCAGAACATGAGATTGGAAATCAAGACTTGCTCGTAAAGAGGTCGTCTCGCATTAGCGAGTTTGATGTGACTGAGGCGGTAGACTGCTCGCTCGACGTGTATCGGGTAGCGAGCGAACGAATTGAAGTTGGGAGAAGTTGGAGTAGATCCAGCTGTATGCGGCTTGTTCGATTTGGACGCGCCGAGGAGTGCAGCGGCCGCTGCTGGCCCGGCCGAGGAAAAGCTGGATACGGGGACAGGCTCGTCGTGCTTCTTCTTGCTTCCACCGAACAAGGACCCAAGGAACGAGTCTTTTTCCTTCTTGTTCGACTTTTTGTCCTTTTTCGAAAATAGTCCTCCCTTCTTCTCTTTCTCCTTTTCCTTTTCCTTCTCCTTGGTGGCAGTTGACGAAGTATCTGTGCGTGTGATGGACGGTCTTTCCATGGCGGGTTGAAACGTATTACCTTGAGGTCCGGAAGATCTCGCTGCAGGCGGCGCCATACCGGGGGGCAATTCCTGGTGAGATGCTCTAGGAGTGACTTGTTCCGGGCCAAGCCTTGGTTCAGGCTGTTGCCTATCCAACGCAAGTGAAGGAGGGATGTTGGCGGATGGTCGGGATTCGGCATATCCTTCGGTCGGGGACGGTCGTCGATATCCCGCCAAGGGATCCGTTGGGGAATCCTGAGTTGGCGTTTTCTCACCATCTTCTTTGAACCAATCAAAGCTACCGGCGGAGCTCGATTTCGGCAGCTCTAGCATCGGCAGACTACTGTGTTGTTGAGGAGGAGAAGGCTCTGGGCTGGGACTTCCACTGCGGGAGGTGTCGGTAGATATGGATGACTGACGAGAGCTCCTCGCGTATGCGTCAAAGATCGTGGTCTCATCTGTTGAACCTGTTGAAGGACGCCGATCTTCGAGATTACGCTCGTGGGAATCACTACTGCTTGGTCTGCGTCTAGCAGATTCTTCCGAATCATCACTGGGCGTCGTGGCTCTCCGTCTGGAAGGTCCTGCCGCGCGGTCGTCCTCCGGGTAGCCTTGACCGTCCATACCTTGCGTCGCGGTCATCCGGCTCCTCCGTGACGACCCATAACGCGACGTGCTGCCCTCTCCTCCCGGTCCGTATTTCCGGGTTTTGGTGATAGCTGACCGCCGGAGAATCGAGCTTGGACGTGAAGGAAGGTCTGGCGCGCCCACTGACTCGACGGGTACATCATCTTGGAGAACTTAAGGCATCAGCGCGCGTGTTGTCTTGGCAACTCACATCCCGATTGCGCGTTGAGACTTAGGTTTCTCTTGAGGAGCTTTGTCATTGCCGCTGGGTCATCGCTTTCTGCAGCCTCTTCAACGAGCATCTCCAAACGTTGCAGATCCTCTAATGTCAGTCCCTTGTCTCCAGTCACTCCGCCATAGATGCTCGACCTCTGCCTGACGGGCACCGGCGGTCTCTCGTTTTCCACGTTGTCACCAGCTTTCGGGGTATATTGCCTCGACAGCATACTCCTCTTCCTCCCTAGTGCGTCCCCGCCTCGCCTGCTGTCTCTTCTCGCGAGCCATGATGGCGAACGAGCGAGAGAGTCCGAGCCATCTGCTTCGGCAGCTTCGGGATTGCCTGAAGTGTGAGATTTGAGAAAGGCTCGAAATTCTCCAGGAGCAAGCTCAGGATGTAGATGAGCGGGGACCCAGAACGAGTCTCCGTTGAGCGCTGGCGCTAATGTGACATCGTCGTCAGAGCTGAAAGCGGATGAGACTTCAGGTGGGTAAGGCTGGTGGTTGGTTGATGAAGGAGGTGGCAGATCCGGATCCACGGGTAATGCTCCAGGGCCGGACGATGTAACGGATCGTCTCCGTAAGGTCCTGCCGAGGTGTGTCCAGGCGGAGAGGGTTAAGAAAGGATAGATAGACACAGGAGCCAAGAGGTATGCATTTAGGGCACGAGATAAGGAGCGAAAGGCGGAGCAGAATCGCATCAGTTACTTGCACCGCCAATCTGAGAAAACTCACTTCAAGGTCCGGACCTCTCGGGCGATGGCCTCATCGCTGACCTCTGGCATGACCACCCGCTATCTGACGGGATTTGGTGGCTGGCCAGCCAGTGCGAGTATGGGGGCAAAGAGGCGTATGAATGTCGATGCTATGCTGTACACCAGGTAAATAACCGTCGGACTTTGAGCGAGAAACAAACCGGCCGGTGTCCGACCAAAGAGAGGTTTGTGATGTCAGATCTCCCTTGCAAGCATGGACATAGACGACGCTATCTTTGACGACCAGATAATTTGAGGCTCATGTGAAGCTTGAGCGCGTTAATGAGTGAAGTGATCGATATCCAGGTCGAACGACCAGGAGAAAACCCGGATTGACCGTGTGCGGCGTGCGACCTGACCCTTTATTTGATCGTGTTGATGATAGTACAATACAGGAGAAAGCGGATGGAGACGTGGTTCAGAGGCCCATTCCAGTACTTCGATGTTCTGTCTCTGTCAAGATCCTGAGCGCAGACTATCCGCGATGTTCCAAGGCGATGATGGATGAAGACGAGGTGACAAGCATTCACATCGCCCATACACGCTCCGTTGTTTAAAAGGGTCTGTGTGGCACATTTAGAATTCTGACGCCTATTTGTCTCTTTGGAAATAGGCTCAACCTTTAGCAATGGCTTCCCTTGCTGTTGTTCTACCGTATCTAATGCATTGGGTCTAGGATCCAGGTGTACAATGCTCCGAATCTGTGGCTGGATTGCCCCACCATCTAGGTCCATCCCAGCGGAACAAGACCCCGAATAAAACGTAAATACTCAACGCAGTGATGGACGTCCCGGCATCCAGTGCCGAACTGCCACAATCAGGTCAATATCGACTGAGACAAAGCGGAACACGGGGGTCATAACTCGCCTGACGACGTATGCGTACTTGCTGTAGAGTCCAGGATGTTTCTTAGCGTACCATGAGTTGGCAAGGACGGCAACAATGGCTCCAGTAAGGATGATGTTGGTCGGGCTGCATTGTGTTCGCAGTAAGAAGCCTGGAGCGACTCACTATTGTGGTACAAGAGTAGCGCCGTGGCAGATGATGGGGAACACTACCTGTACCAGTCAACGACAAGCGATCGAGTGCCTCACCTTGTTGAATTTCATATGTGGCCATCGCTGATGCGCGAACCAGCACCCAATTGGGACAATCGCACCTAGCAAGAAGCTGCTTTGTTCAACGAGGGTGAATGAGCGAAGACGCACCCGAGATACAACACTTCATAGCCGCCAGAAAAGAATCGCTTGGGAGCGACAGCCCCCCAGATAATGCTTGCAGAATAAAAGATACCTGGAGCTCTTCCAGTCCATTGCCCTGTGGGGTCAACGGCAGTGCCATCCAAGAATGAGCGTTTCTCGTTGATCACTGAAATGAGGGTGATGTCTTCACATGAGCCTTATTCCGAGAGGTGGCTCACAATTTGCGAAGACGCCCAGCACTGTGCCAATAATCTGGCAAGCGAACATCTCTCGCGGTGGAATTGAGGTGTACCATCCCAGCTTGAGATCCTGAGCGAGAGCAAGCGCTTGAGACATGGCCATATCTAATCAGTCGTCAACTCGTTGAGGCCCTCGGTAACTAGTCACATACAGCCGAAGCACTTGAACGTCACACTGGGGCGAAACGGTCAGTACTATGATTGCCTCCCGAGCTCATTGTACTGACTTGCCTATCGGCTTCCCTGGCATGAGAACGCCCGCCACGCTGCATCAGGAGGCAATCATCAGCTTCATGATCGGAATCTGGGATGGGGGCTCACAACTCGGTGAGGACATTCTATAGACTTCTCAGCTTCCCCCTTCACAAATGGCATCCACTTACCAGTCCGATAGTCGTATTACTGACGGCAGCAATGATCCCGACCCTACCAGTCCGAATGAGTCCCCAGTCTGAAGTTTCGCATGTCCGACTTACGGTATTAAGAATACCTTTGCAGGGTGTCAGCACAGACTCAGACATTTGACCTGACTAACAGTGGCGATAGCGATGGACAATACCAGCGCCCATATCGGCATTTGAAGCGGAGTAGTCTTCACAAGAAGGACTGAGTCCGTCAGCGTGAGAGGACCCATATCTACCGTCTTCAACTCACCCGCTGCACCGAAATTGACTGCCAGCAAGCCGAAATACCAGCTTGACGGCACTGGCAGATAATTCCGCATCAATCGACTTTGATAGGGCTTAGTTCAATCGACCTAGTCCCTCATACTCACTTGTGCACGTCGGTCAAAGCTGCGGTTCGCTTCGATAAGGCTATGTTGTATGAGTAGGTTCCTGAGCATCGACTCACCTTCTTTGATCTCGTCTCTATGCCATAGCCAGACGTGCACGAGGATGCTGGACAGAGCGGCGAACGAGAGTCCATAAGACAAGGCGCTGAAGGTTTGAGCATCATCCGGTGATGATGGGAACTCACAAGTATGGGGTCAGCAACAATGGCCGGTTCTGCTCGTATGCAATTTCATTAAGTGATAGATCCTCGTTCAAGACCGAAGCTACATCGAACCTATCGAGTCAACACACGAGGCACATGTCGACATACTTCTCAAAGCGCGAGTTGTACAAACCAGAGGACACCGGTTCAGGATAACGGCGGGCGTCCCTGATCATCAGCTACGCTCGATAGACCGTCTCACCAGAAGTTGAAGAGGAACAGCAAGGGAGTGACCTTGATGTCAATGTCATCTTCAATACGCACTCACAATCCAGCACATGCCTATGAGTCCTCCGAAAAAATTACCCAAAGCCCAGTACGGCGTAAACAGACTTGTCTGATCAGCCAGAGGACCACGACTTCGACTCACGGGCCTGAGCTCCCTATGGTGCTCCAGTCAAAGCTGAAATCTAGCATTCCCAGACCTTTGTACCCGCTTCCCAGGACCCGCATCCACCAGCTATCATTGTCGATCAAGCAAAGTACGGAGATGGATGTGAGGGTGGGGAAGAGAAAGAAGGGGAGGTACTGGTAAATGAACGTGATGAGGAAAACAAATGTGAAGACTTTAAGACGGTCCCTGGTCGCCAGTTGAGCCGCACGAGATAGAGCTGAGGAAGTAGACGAATAGAGCGTTGTAAAAAGCTGAACGACAACGAGGATCGACGGCCAGTACATCGCGGGAGGGTATACTAAAATGGTTTGCAGCATCCCTCGGACCGTCAGACGAGGCCTAAAAGACTCAACGCACCAGCGAGTCCAAAGCCAATACATTGCGTGGTCAGGAGAAGGATTATCGAGGAGATAGGTCCGAGTGTGACGTGAAAGTACAGATCCATAATCGCAAGAATATCAGTTGCGTAGGCCGAGGTGGCACCTGAGCTAGCGAGTACACTGGGAATCGTCAGCTAGCTCTCGCTGGGCTACATGCCTGACGAGGATAGCTTCCTTGATGCTGAAAGGTCCTGGGTTGAGCTCGAGCCCCAGGAATCTCTGGCCCCTCGGTATGAACCTCTCATTCGCCAGTCCGTGACCCAGTGGATATGTAGCCAGGATGATAAAGTATGAGCTGAAGGAAGGGGCGTTCGACTTGAAGTAGAAGATTTGCGATGCAGAAGCGCCTAGAAGACAGAAGAAAGATCCAATCAGGAGGACACGAAGAGTCAAGGTCGGTAAAGTCGGGTCGTCCGTCGCTGGGACATGCTGGAATGAGAATGAGCTTTACCTGTGATGTCTGCATTGAGCTCACCTCTGCGATCAACGTATCGATCTTAGAGCCTTGTCCAATCGTCTCTCCGTCACCTGATTCGCCCAGCTCATCTATGCCACCTCTCTGCTTCCCTGATAGCAGTCCCTCTACTTCAACATTGCTGTGACCTTCGTCGAGATAGTTAGAGCTCGATGCCAGGTCAGGCAGCTCGTAAGCCTCTGCGTCGCGCAGATCAGACCCAAGCATGCTTCAGCAGTCGATATAGACCCTGCCGTTCAGTCCATTGTGCCAGTTATGACTGCCCAGACGTCCTTGCTCTTCGTTGCGTTTCTCTACTACTGGTGCAACACCCGGCATCTCGTCTTGCATCCGCGGGCCGCGCCCAGGGTCGCCACGTCATGCAGCTGCTATTCTGGAGACCCCGCAGTTTATCAATGCTTGCCAGCGTTGTTGTCATTCTCAGCATTGTCAACATTGTCTTCATTGTCCATCCATCTGCGAGATGTCAAACAACGCCCAGCAAAACTTTAGGTCACAGCTGTCCGGATTCAGATGGGCAAACTCGGTGCAAGATGATTCTCAACCCGCCGCTGGAACAGCAGCTGCGGGAGCATCCACGAACCCTTTCAATCGAGCTTGGACTGGATTATCAGGGTACATCCCGTTAAGAAACGAGGGACAGAGCCAGGAAGAGGAGGCTTATTTTGCTTTGTCCGTGAGTTTTGTGGGCTCGGCACGAGGCAAGCGCTGATCATGAATCGTAGCGATGGGAAAGGTGAGGTTTCGCAGATCGTGCCGAACTCGCAAGCATGCGCGTCTGATGCACACCTCTCATAGATTCCTCGGGTTCTTAGCTTGTTGTGCTGGTGGTCTGGCCTGCTTCTTCATCGCGTTCCTCTTCCTCCCCATTCGTGAGTCTAGAAAGGGGCCACGTCGACGGTTGCGAGCTGTAGACTTTCGGGTCAATTGCTCTTTCATTCGCCTGACACACGATTTGCAGTCGCCATCAAGCCTCGGAAATTCGCTCTTGCCTTCACTCTAGGATCATGCCTCTTCATGTTGGGTTTCGCGATCTTGCATGGGCCATGGAACCGTGAGGCCGACTGGGCTCTTCAATCAGAAGAAAAGATCTGACCGGCCGTGCTTGCTCTAGACCTCAAGCATATCACATCGTCAGAGAGGCTTCCATTCTCTCTAGCATACTTTGGATCGCTCGCTCTTACTCTAGTCTTCGCCATATGGGTGAGCACGCGGTTCGGTGTTGTGCCCATGGCTGACCATTCCCGCAGCTACGCTCGACGATCGGCACCATTGTTGCAGCGATTGTACAGGTGAGAGCAACCATCCAACTTTTCTCAGCTGCAAGCTGACTCGATGCTCAGATCGTCGCTCTGCTGTCGTATCTGGCAGCTTACTTCCCCGGCGGGACCACAACTTTGCGGTTTGGTGGACAAATGGCGATGCGCGGTATGGGAAGTCTGTTACCAATTTGAGCGTGATTTGGCAATGCATGAATGCTTGTAGATTAGAGATCGTGGGGATGAGCGAGAGATCCCTAGAACGCTCTTGAGCCAGCCAAAGAAGCGCTTGTTAGAGCTGCTCACACTGAATTGCACTCGGTTCCTCAGTGCCGCGCATTTTGGCGACAAAGACATCTTTTTTCCTTCGTTTCTATCATCCGAACTGCTGCTGAGCAAAAGGACTGCCGCTTTGCGAGCGGGTTCAGACCGACCGTCAAGCATTATGACTTACCCTCTCTCAACGACCCAACCAGACCCCGATGTATCCAATCAAGCTGTCAACGCGCCTCCGCGAGAACAGCTCCTATCCAACCTCTCTCTTCAATCCATTCTCCTCACCCAACTCTTCGCAATCATCTCGAATCCTCCGACGCAAGCGCCTGGGACAGCACAGTCGCATCCGGTGGCCGGACTCTACCGGGCCATCGACACCGCTACGAATGATCTTGGCGGCATAGTCAAAGAGGTTAGAATCCATCAACAAGCTTGGGCCAGACTGGAGCGCGTTAAGGATCAAGTGAAAGCTTTAGATATGGATGTCAGACGAGTCATTGGAGATCTCGAGAGAGGTCGCGTAGAGCTTGAAGGCATGGTGAATGAGGGCATCAAAGTTCGAGAAGCCATCGACAGGGTATCAAAGGGTGAGCAATATCATATATTAGCCTGCTCACCCCCCTACATAGATCCCCTTCCTGTACAACCGTTACTGGCCCATGCTAGATCCCTCGCGAGACATTCCTCTGCTCCCGTATCTTCGCTCCTCGCACCGATCGACAAGGCTCAGTATCAACCTTGGCCTACAGAGACGGCGATGCGAGCAGGCATTCTGTTCAGGGAAGGTGGAAGCATGTCTGGAATCGGCGACGTGGGCATCGTCGGTGGTGAGTGCATCTTACTCGCTTCATTGGCCGCCAGCTAACGCCTGAAAAGAGGAGAGGCCTCAAGAGGCTGTTCAAATGATGGAAGAAGACTATATGCAGCAAGAAGAATCACGCCGACCTGCACCGGCAGTCTTCTCGTTGGACCTGAACTCGGATTCGGACGACGATTAGAATGCAAGTCATCCCGCTGGGGCGCGGGGCGCGGCGTCGCACGTCGATGTCCCAGACTCAGACCCATTGACCCTCGACCACTATCATCTACCTCGCCTTCATCTCGCTCAACAGCTCGTCCTTGCATTTCCACCGGTCTTCGCACCATCGCTGTAGACCCTCGTCATCCTTTGGAAGGCAGTCTATCGGTATCCTGCAATGTCAGAACAGCTGCCAAACGGCCCAACGCACCGCTTGACGTCGACTTGGAATTTGTAGCCTGCAGCAGCGAGGTCAGGGCAAGATAGCTGTTCTGCCATGGTCGGAACGCGGTCGACTTTTCCAGGCGAAGTGTAGAGAAAGGTGAAATCGTACAGGTGTTTGACGTGGGAGTCTCGGAGACCTAAGGGGGAGGGAATCAGCGACCTATCGGATCAGCAGACACTGCCTTTGATGGTGCTAATGAATCCTTTCGTCCTCGGTAACAGGACGTTCAGGAGCTCTGATTTGCCTTTCTCCCTAGCAAACGCTTGAGACTGGGGACCGGGAAGTTAGCAAGCGAGGGAGACGATCATCACGAACCTCAAGAACCTTCTTCGAGGTCCGCCTCGTGCCCTCTGGGTACAAGACTATCCATGCATTGTGTTTGTTCTGCTTGATTCGAGCGAAAGCATCTCTGAAAACATGAGTCAGCAGTGTACAAATCTGGTCAATCATGATGACTCACTCAATCAGACGCTCGTCATTTGTCCAATTTCGCGATACAAGAATCATCCCTGTGATCAGCTCAGCACTCGAGAGAGACGGCGTACCGATAGCCCAGAATGAGATTCCGAAGAGTGGTATCTGCCAAACAATCTCCTTCTTGACGAAGAATCTCGAACGACCCATCATGCCCGCTCGTTCCGCTAGCCCAAGGACGAGATAAAAGTCGGCGTAAGAAAGGTGGTTCTGGAAAGGATATCAAATCATGTCTCCCTTGACTGTCTTACGGATATGACCACTGCTGATTCATTCTCTGGGATCTTGTCTCCAGTGATAGTCAGACAGTCCTTCGCATTCAGTGTGTTCTCCCAATGTCGCTGCATGTATGACCAGAATTGATACCTAGGCAATATCAGATATCTACGACTGAGGTCGAAGGGAGTCCAGCCAAGCAAGTGCTTCGGAAGCTTGATGTGCAGGACCCAGATACTCACGCAGTCCAACATGCTAGCTCCCATGCTGTCTTTTCGGAGAATGGTTTGATAAGTACGGCGAGAAAGAGTCCAGCATTTGCTAGCAAGACGAGAATGCAGAGGGCTAGCGTATGTCGGACCAGCAGGAATGTGGAGGGTTGGACTGAAGTTGACATATTGTGAGAGATGATCAGTCAGAGGTTCACCTGGTAGGCGAAGGATCAAGCTCCAGCAGGCAAAATGCCAGCGCCTTGGAAGGAGGTCGAGCAGGGCTTGGAGTCAAGTACCCAAGATGCCTCAGTCTCGTTTCTCGGGAACCAATTCTATAGCCGACAAAAGTCAATCGCGTCTGGGTAGACTTGCCGCAAATTCCAGCAGCGAAAACCGTGTGCTCTACATCATGCGGGCAGATAGCATCAGGAACACTGTTTGGGGCCTCGTAATCAATGCAAGTCGTAACAGATATGCTATACAACATCCACCCTGCCGGTTGAACCAGACCAAACGACAGATCACCAATTGCGAAGTGCCTCGCGGGACAGTGGTTCCGTCTCCATCTCGTACTCCACTTCGACCTTTGGTCCTCGCTTCTTTGAGCCTGCACCCTTTTTAGGATCTCTTGCTGGTGCTTTGCGTTTGGATCCGATTGCCGGCTGAGACTTGCCATTGACTGCTCGCGGCACAGTCTTGCCATTAATTTTGGGTCTTGCTCCTGACTCCTCGCCCTCGACACCGTCGACCCCTTCCTCATCCCCATCTCCATCCTCATCGGAGACCTCCAAATCGCTCGGAAACTCTTGATCTCCGCCCGACTCTTCTTCATCGGAATCAAACTCGTCAAACTGTACAGTTAGCGAAAGGATCATCCGCCAAAGACCCACCTCAGAGCCTGAATAATCCTCCAAATCCCCGACACTCTCTTCGTCCGAATCCTCGACATATTCCCTCTCTCCATCTTCCCATTCTTCTTCATCGAGCATACTCTCCTCATCCTCCATCTCCAATTCCTTCTCTTTCCCTTTCCTATCCATGTCCAATACCTGTCTCCAGACATCCTCATTGACGTTCAGTGGCGCATCGCCGTACGCCTTGGACCGTAGACGATCCAAGAGCTCCTTCTCAATAGACTTTTCTAGGTGGGCAGCAGCCAAAGCTTTTCGCTCCCTTGTCGCCTCACGACGATCCAGTTTCTTCTTGATTCCCACTAGCTTGGGCCTGACGTGTGCTCAGCCTGACTCTATGACCCCATGGCACTCACTGATGGCTCAAGCTCAGGCGGCGCATCTTGATCAGGTACTGCGTGATCTTGGTGATCCTCTGCTTGCACTTGTGGATCATGAAATTTGGCCAGTAGATCAGCTCTTTGTCGATCTAGTGACGGTGTAAGCTCCTGCGCTGTAGCTCAAACGCCGGTTTAACGGACCTGCTCCAGAGCCTTTTCGTAATTATTCGACAATCGTATTCTCTCCCACATGTTGGCGGGTGTATGAGCTCGTTCGATGGTCTTCATATATAGGTAAAGGACGCCTAGGGATGACAATCGAGCAGGGCAGGAATATGGCAAGGAGGAAGTAGGGAAGGGAGGCATGGTAAGCTCATGCTAGCCGCAGAGCCGAGCCTCGACTCACCCTCCTTCTCCCTGACAGTGGCGTACCGAGAGTTGGCCAACGGGCATGATTGTCGGGAACACAGTCCCGTGAGGTTGTACTCATTTCGACAAAAGTTCTGCGTCGCAGTTCTGAAAGATCCTGTCAGAATGGATAGGACGGTCGGAGTTCGTTCTGCTCACTTGACCTTGTAAGAGCAAAACCTACAGGTTCATCAGCCTCGGGACAGAGCTATGCTGTTGGAGCAGCTCACTGATGGTTGATGACGGACCAGATTACTTCGTCAGACTATCCAGTTGGTCAGTTCCCATCCCGGAGCGCTTCCCCGCTCTCTCCATCTCACCTGCATCGTGTCTGCTCGGTATCAATGTTGATGGTGATCCTTGCAATGTACGAAGTGGACATGGTTAAAACTGAAAATTTCAATATTTATCTTGGCTTATTTTCTGTCATCATTTAATCCCAAGTCCCGCGCGGCGGCAACGGCTGGGATTGCGTTTCAACAGCATGACGATTGACGACCGACATTATCGTTCATCATGAGAATTCAATCGCTACTGTCTCAGCCATGCACGAGTCATACCGGAGCGTTGTATGCCCGCAGTAAGCTTGGATCATTTCTCCATGACCCGCTACTGACTACTGACTCGCCGTTCAGTCCTTGCTCACCCGTCCGCAAGCCGAGTATATCGACCAGCGCGTATCCCAAAATCTGGACCGTCCGGGGATTTCGTCAGGACCTTCGCGACATCTTCTCCGCGGTCTGCGAATCACTTTGACACCCATCTTTTTGTGCAAAGACTGAAAGAGAATGGGTTGACGGAATCTCAAGCCGAGGGATTGATGAAAGCACTGGCCGCTGTCATAGATGATAGCGTCACGGCAATGGAGGGTGGGCTGGTTAGTAAGGCCGATCAAGAAAAGGTCAGTGAGAGAGATCATCGCTTCGCGCTGGTTCTCGTTGGGATCCGAGGTTGACAGATTACCAGCAACGTTACGCTCAGAAGGTCGATTTCGCATCGCTCAAATCAGAACTGCAGCTCATTGAGAAGAATGACCTGACACTGGTGAAAGGAGAGAACGAGAGATTGATGGCGGACGTTGAAAAGCTGAAGCAGCGACTGAGAGAAGAGGTAACGAGAACACAAGCGGGAGTCAGGCTGGATCTGAATCTGGAGAAAGGTCGGTTCGACCGTGTTCCATCCCTTTGGTTTGGCAAAAGCTGATGTTCTGCAGGTCGTATACGGGACGAAAATTCCCAACAAGAGCTCAAGATTCGAGAAGTCGACACTCGAATAGAGTCTGAGATTGCAGGTCTGCGCACTCAGATCGAACAGAGCAAAATCAGCATTCTGCAATACCTCATTGGTATCGGAACCGGTGTGGGAGCCATGATGGTGGGTCAGACGGCTTGATGCGGGGATGAGTACTAACGCGATCTTTCAGTTGGCCTACGCAAGGATTATGGTATGTACGAGGAGACGCACGGGAGGCGACGAGCTGACTTTCCCCTAGATGTGATGGGTATCTGTCTTTGTATCGCCAAATACGCTATGTACACCTGTCGCGAAGCCCGTTGCAGTGTCCTTGAGGGTGAAAGTCGAGGAGAAGTCGAGAAGAAGTCGAGAAGAAATCGAGAAGACGTCGAGAAGAAGTCGAGAAGAAGTTGAGGACAAGTCAGGAAGAAGTCGAGGACAAGTCAAGCGGGAGTCGAGAAGAAGTCGAGAAGAAGTTGAGGACAAGTCGAGCGGAAGACGAGAACAAGTCAAGGAGAAATCGAAAAGAAGGCGCCCATCTTCGCCAGGCATGAACCGCAAGAGTCACCTGATATAGAGATTCGGTGGCCTTCCGCGGCGAGTCCCAGCAAAAGCCAAGGTACAATGGCTATCAGAGTGAAGAAGGCGATCCCTCCTTTATCCGAGACCTCTCAAGCCCTGACCATGGTCAGCGGCGTACGACCTATAAGACACTTTGGGTTGACACGTAGGCTCTTCCCATTTCAACTACGGGCGACACTCGACCTTGTGACAGTCTACAGATACCAAAAAAACCTCATCAATCGAGTCAAGGAATTTTTCCCGACGCCACTCATTGATTCATTCTCACAATAGATTCACCATGTCAAGTCGCCGCAACCAAAGCGATCGCTCTGACAAGATCATGATCAGATATCTGCGATACCTGGAAACAGTTCGTGACGCTCAGAGCAGTGACAACGTCAGCAGCGATGGTCGGACCTCAGAGAACACCCGTCCTGCAGTGACCGTCTCCGTTAACGCAAAGCCGAGTGCATACCGGTTACCTAGCGTCAAGAAATGCGAAAGACTTGCACTTCAAACCGCCTCCCGTGACACCTCAGAGACAGCCTCCCGTGAGGCCTCAGAGACTCGAAGGCACGGTCCCAGGTCAGGATATGAAAAGCCGTAATGGGAGGTACAATTCGCATCGTAGGGAGGCGCCATGATGCCTGATATGCTATGGTTTAGTGATGAACAGCCTGCAGTGTCTTGATGGGACAGCGACTGTGCATACCATGTGATAAAATTTGACACGCTGAGTCTCTTGTGAGGCATCCATCACGGATCCGAAACGGCCGTGTCAGTGATGAGAGATTCGACGACGCCCCAGTGGATATCGGTCCATGCTGGTATTAGGACCAATCTAGGGTTTACACCCTGTCTAATACTGTATCGTCTGGACGCACCCTTTCTTCCGTTTCGCCAAGCTCTACGTCGTCTCCCCTCGTGACCCAGCGGTCCAACAAGTGATCGGTACAAGATTTTCACCGCTCCAGAGGGTACGACGACAACTGCTGATCCACTCATTACGCACACTGTCACTGATTCAAGTGATGTATTCCACCACGACGGTTCCGATTACATTCACTACGACTGATGCGAGTGACACTGCGTCAACTGTTGCACCCACGTCGACGTCGGACATCCTATACACCAGCGATGCTGTCTTTGACGATGTCCCAACATACTATCTCAACACGTTCACAGAGGTGTCTACCGCCACTAGTACCATCCTCGTTACCTCGACAAACGCGCGGTTGACCATTCAGGTTACTGGAAAACCCTTCACAGTCACTTCCGCCGGTCAAGCGACGACCAAAACGGTGACCGTCTTACCCGTCACAACGGTCACACCCGTCACAACGGTCACAGAGCCTCTAACAATGTCGACGGCCTCTTCGGTAAAGGCGTCATCCGCGAAGTCGTCTGCCAGAACATCGAGTCACAGCAGTGCTCAGACCTCTTCTGCCAGATCCTCCAGTCACAGCAGTTCTCGGGCATCTTCTGCCAATACTTCCAGCCACAGCAGTGTCAAAGCGTCGTCACAGGCTCCTTTAGGTCACAGCAGCGCCAAGTCCCCCTCGTCTTCAAGCACATTGTCGGCGGGCACGTCGAGACATAGCAGCATCGAGACCTTTGGTGTCTCGTCATCGCACTTGACAAGTTCCGTCAAGGTGTCTGCCTCTTCAGGGAAAGCCACCTCTACCCAGTCGCAGAGCCACAGCATTTCTAAGTCTGCCTCCTCCACATCTAGAGCCTCTAACTCACGCTCGTCGAGTGCTGTGGTGGCAGCCAATGGCCCAGTATCATCTGTCGAGGTCGTGTCATCCTCTCTTCATAGCAATGGTGCGTGTTCCTTATCGTCCAAAGCATCCGTCGTTTCGACAACCAAGGCATCCCCTTCCAGCTCATCACCCATTTCCCAATCAATTTCAAGCAGAGTCTCCATCGCAGAGTCTAGCACGATCAGCGGGACAGCTTCGAGACTCGTCTCCGCCAGCCCATCCAGCGCAGGGTCAGCCTCTAGCATTGCTTCATCAAGTAGATCAATTAGATCAGTCTCGAGTAACGCGTCCAGTGCCAGATCATCATCAAGCGCCAGCTCACATTCGTTCAGCTCAACAGGCTCCATCCTATCATCATCGCATTCCGCATCAACCAGTCTTTCGAAATCCCAACCTGCGTCAAGCGCGAAAAGCGTGTCCGTGTCGCATTCTGCGTCCACAAGCGCATAGAAGGCGAGAAGTTACGCTCCGAGACTTTAACCATGTCCCTGCAAATTGGCTATCGCCTTGTATCGAATGTTCATCCCGGGCTCTGAAACTTACACCATGCATGAATCCCCCTATGACTCGTTCAGAAATCCATCTTCCCTTGCTCCTTCAATTGACGCCATTCTTCCGCCAGCATCCCAAATTGATAGTCATCTTGAAACCGTCCATGAGAGAAGAACATTTGCCGACCAATTCCTTCGAGTTTGAAACCGAGGTTCTCGTATAACTTCCTGGCACCTGTGTTCCATTCGAATGCCTCTATACCGACCCGATTCAGACCACCCGTTTCGAAAGCCCAATGAAGTGTCCACCGTATGGCTTCTCCACCATAGCCCTTGCGCTGAAATTCAGGCAAGATATCGACTCCTATCGTGGCTTGCCGATGCGTGGCGTTGAATTGTGAACCGAGATGGATCTGACCAATGGAGACGAGTTGGGTCACGTCGCCAAAGTCGAATGTCTCCTCTTTCTTGGAGTTGAAGTCCCCGTCTGAGCCCTTAGAGTCGTCGTCTTTGCTGGAACTAGCGGCCGTACTATTCTTCTTCATCCTCTGCTCAGTTCGGTACGCCTCACTACCTTCCTCATTCAAGCAAATGACCACACCGAGCATAGATTTCGTCATATGCCCCATCATCTTTTCCGCGTGTCTCTTACCTTGAGGGACTGCAGGACCAAGCATCGAGTTGATATACCCTTCGACATCATGATGGAAGGCAAGATATAGTTTCTTGTCTTCGTCGGAATCTGGCTCAATGGCGCGAAAGACGAGTCGACTGGATCGGAATGGGTTTCTCGGCGTCATGGGGATCTATCAGTTCGATCGTGAAGGATGTGGAACAGTGCTATGATGAGATACATACACCTCGCATACTTTATGGACATTATCACAGCGCTTATGAGTCGTTTCACAGTGGATCTGAGGAAGCGCATACGCGTATTCGGATCCGAGATCTGCTGCCTGCCTGGCTATTTCCGCAATTCCGCCCGTCTTGAGATGCAATTTTGGAGGAGAACCGAACCAATTTCATCGTAATTCAAAGTTGCACTCGTCGTATATCGTTCAGACCTCTACCAGGAAGAGGGGCAGCCGAAGATTCTGGCCTGCTTCTGCGCAGCGTTCATCTGATCACCATGACGCTCTCTTCCGGCACTCTCAATCTCAAGTTCATGCAGAGGGCAGCTGCGCGCCAGCAAGCTCAAACCAGTTCGAATCCCTCCACACCGCAAGCTACATCCACACCTATAAAGCCTACGTCCAGAGCCAACGAGTCGCCTGCCGTCGAGTCGAAACAGAGCGTTTTTCCATCAACATCGTTGGTCAATGCGGAAGCTGGACCCAGTACGCCCCTCGCTCGATTCGACTTTCCCGAACAACCCAGTACACCATTGACGCCGACAGAGAAGGAAGCGCGATGGTCATTACCTCGTCGGAAGAGGGAGAACGGGGTCCATGGAGGTTCGAACTTGGCGTTCGAATCGGGCTACATGTCTTTCCTCATGCCTGTTGAAGATGAGGTGAGAGGTGAAGGAACAGGAGGAGGGGGAAGGATGGCATTCGGAGGATTCGGAGTGAAGGAGGATGAAGATGTAACTCAGGCTGATAAAGAGGGAGAGGAGGGGGACAACAGTATCGTTGAGGAGGATGTGAGCCTCGACGACATGCACGAAAGAGACTCGGAAAGCTAACATGAGCGACTCTATAGAAACGTAGGAAGCGACCTCGACCTACAGAGACCGCTCCAGAGACTCCTGGCCATGGCACTCGTACCTTCATGAGACCTCAAGGCTTTGAAGACCGGATGGAGAATAGCAGCGCCAATGGAACTACGACCTCGAGGCCGACGGACGTAAAGAAAGAAGCGGTGAAGGAAGAGCCGCCGAGTACCCACGGTAGCAAGCCCGACACAAAGAGACGGAAATTCGAGAATGGATCTCAAGCAGGACAGCCCTCCAGAGCGGATCGTTTACGAGCCATTGCCTCTGGGGATTCCAATGTCTCAGCGTCCTCTCCATCCACATCAACGCCGAGAGCCAGTCTGAAATCTGCCTCTCACACGCCTGAACTTCCACACGGAGAGTCAAGCAGCGTACATGTCCAGACACACGAGGTTCGGTCTGACGGCTCCAAACGCAAGAAGCGGAGAAAAGACCGGGGATCACTCAGCGGACCCGGATCTCAAGCTTCCGGGACCGCTTCTCCGATTAAGCAGGAGGCGCCTGCTTCCAGCCTATTGACACTGGATGAGAAGCAAGCACAGCAAAGGGCAGAAAAGAACAGACGGAAAAAGGAGAAGAGAAAGGCCAAGAAGGGAGCCAAGGCGGGAGAATCGGTGGGGCAGGCGAGAGATGAAGATTCCGAATAACGAGGACAGCCCTTCTCGCTTTCCTCTACGTTGACTCTGTATGCTGTATAATGACGTGACGACCATGCAACCATTGTCTTGCTTGATCCCCCTGCGTCTTTAGTGGATTTAGGCGTGAGAAATCAAATACATGCCACCATCATCCCGAGTATCACCGGCTCGTCTAGATGTTGGATGGGTAGAGCATCTGGGTTCACCTATCAGCATGGTCCAAAACCAAGGTGCAATGCATTCCCGCTCACCACTCTGCACGAAGCTCCAAAGGTCTTTGCTGGGAGGTTGGACCTGAATTTTGATTTGACGACTCCAGAGTTTCCGTGTGGTCGAGAGATTCGTCCCCAAATGACTCGGACGCGAGATCCGTTGATCTCACGCTTAGCCTTGTAGACGTAGGCGACGCGCTGAGGGGCAAAGGTCAGTAGGGTGAGACTTCGGTAATGGGATCTGGTGGTGGATATGGACGATCGAAGGAAGGCGGTGAGGTGCCAGCGGAGGATGATCGATCTACTGCTCCTGAAGACGCAATGTCTGCACAGAGAGGAAGCTCATAACGGTCCACGCCTCGTTCTCCTTTACACACATCTCCACCCTCCGTTCATCCTTGCATCCTCTCCTAGCCGACCATATCCCACCACTTTCATCCTAACTCACCTTTCCAAGGTAGTGTGTAGCAGCCTCCTTTGAGTCAACTCCCTCAATAGCCAACAGAGACTGGTTCGGTCTAGAGTTCCTCTTTCCTCGCTTGTGACCCAGAATGCGGCCTTTCATGTAGAGACTGAAGGGAGAGAGAGTGTTAGCTAGAGTCGACGCCAGGAGCAGGCATCACAACTCACCGACTCTGCAAGAATAAAAGGGGGAAATGGAATGACAGAGAGAGAGAGAGAGAGAGAGACATTCCACGATCAGTATCTGTACCTATCGCTGTGTGCTCCCAATCACACTCACCGAACCCATGATGAATGATGGATGGTCAATGATCCCGTGGACTGACACCTGGATTCTCTACAAAAACCTCTAAAATGAACAAGAGGTCGACCGAGCCATCGGATTTACGGCGATATGTATAAGCTCTCGAGCAGGTCAGATGAGTGTGGCGGAGCTGAATCTCTTAACGCCGATGACAGCGATTTGATGTTAAATATGGAATCAGGTGGAGTTGCCCGCCGCATTCTTTCTCTCCTCCGCCGCGGCATCAAAAAAGATGGCAGCTGAAACGAAAGGGGAGAGGCCCAACTCCCTCGCTCGGGAACAACTCAGTCTCCTTTGATTCGCTAGTCGCCCTCCCTCCTTTTCCTTTTGAAGCTGAGCGTTGATCGGGCTATGGTGCATATGGACGCCTAGTTGCTTCACGGGTCGATATATCACTATCCAATCCATTGACTGACTGTCGACACGTCGCTGTCAATTCAATCCAATCCCACCATACTTACCCTCAAGTTCTTGGCATTGTTTTGGGATGAAAATGCCAAGAACACGAGACTGAAGACGGCACTGCTCTCTCCCTCCCTTTGTTTTTGATCCCGTCCTTCACTGACGCTGTGACCACCATCCTATCATCTCATCCCTCGTTCTCACTCTCATCCTTTACTTCACTCTGGCGACTTGACATCTAACCTTCTGTAGCTTTCAATTTTGGTCACATCGCCGACCCAGTGTTCAGCCACGATGTACACCTCACCCCTCGTCGTCCTCCTCTCACTCGTCTCGGCTGTCCATGCTCAATCTAGCGATGCTAGTTCCGCGGGAGCCACGCCGACTTCCAGTCAAAATGGAGCTGGGTCAGCACCGACATCCAGCTTTTCCGTCGATCCAAATTTGCCTCAGACCCCATTGACAATGGTCGCTGGGCAGACCATCCCGTAAGTAGTGGCGTGTCATTCGTGGGGCTAGAAAACGGGACGTGTCGCGGTGATCACAGTGGTGGACTCCATTTTATTAATGACTTGGCGCCTGTACAGCATTAGGCTGACTCGCCTCCACAGTAATCTCGCTGAACTCACCTCTGGCGCACCTGTCCAATCTGGAGTCCCTCTCGCCACGACCTACAGTCAAGGCATCCAACCATCTGTTTCCCGTGCGCCTGCTCTCCCTAATCCCACCTTGACGGTGTCCAACTACCCCGCTTTGGACCTGACGCCACCGACCGATTCGCCAGAGGTCCAAGAATGGCTGTCAAAGGTGGGCTCGAACCGATTCGCATCGCTGACGCTTAGATCGACATGAGCAAAGTACCAAACTATAGTCAAACGGACGGGACGTGTGCTGGCTCTCCCGGCGCAATCTCTGATGGACGTTGCTGGTGGACATGTGGAGGATGCAGTGAGTTCTTAATACACTGTACGAGGTCTGAAAATGCAGCTCGTTCATCCGACATTACGATTTGCCCTGACAAGATGACCTGGGGTGTCTCATACGATGATGGTCCTTCCCCATACACTCCGTTGCTGCTCGACTACCTTGCCGCCGTCAACATCTCCACCACCTTTTTCGTCGTCGGTTCCCGAGTGATCTCTCGACCTGAAATGTTACAAGCGGAATACATCCAAGGTCATCAGATCTCTGTCCATACCTGGTCTCACTCGTCCATGACGACATTGACCAACGAGCAGATTGTCGCAGAGCTTGGCTGGACCATGAAAGCCATTCGAGATGTTATCGGTGTGACGCCAAACACCTGGAGACCACCTTACGGAGATATTGACGATCGAGTCAGAGCCATTGCTGCTCAGATGGGTCTCACTGCGGTCATGTGGTCTGCCATCACCGAGAATGGAGTCACGACAGACTTCGACACGGATGACTGGCGCATTCCAGGTGGTGCTGCCAACGGCCCTTCTTCCTTGTCCAAATTCAACACCATCTTGGACACCTATGTCCCTTCGCTCAGCACCGGATTCATTGTTCTCCAACATGATATCTACCAGCAGACGGTCGACTTGGCTGTGGGGTATGTCATGCCCATGGCCATCCAGTCGGGTAAATTCACCTTCAAGTCAATTATCAACTGTCTTGGATATCCGAGTGGGTGACTCCCATGGTAGCCACAACTGACATGCCAGACTCTGAAGCATACATTGAGACCTCTTCCAATACCACTCAGACTGCCATCACCTCTGCAGCATCGACATTCTACCAAGCTTCCATAGGTAGTGCGACTGGAGCAGCGGTCACCGCCAGCGGAGTCAGTGCATCAGGATCAGCAGGACCGTCAAGCGCTTCGGGAAGCTCATCAGCATCTACCAGCGGTGCAGCGACACGTTCCGCCAATCTTGGATTACCAGGTCTCGCGCCAGTGGTCGTTTCCTTGCTCGCTCTGGGTCTCGGTGCCGTCATCATAGCATGATCTGGTCAGCCCTCCCGAGCTCTCTGTGCCCTCAACTCTCAGCTACCCCAGCATTTCACCCCTAGTCGTTCACTACCTAGTCTGCCATTTCACTTGTCGAAGCTCCTGTATCTCCTCCCCTCACGGACTATTCATGCATGATCTGATCTGCCGAGCTGCACGTGGCTTCCACGCGACTTGATCTTTGGTTCCAGGCTTAATGAATGAGGGCTTTTTTGGCAATTTTTTGAGTTTTTAAAAATTCCAAGCCGCCGTTCACTCTCCTCTTTTCGAGTCTGGCTCAAGTTCATCCATTGTCTCAATTCATATCCATTCACTCATTCGTTCAGAGCTGCCTGTCAAGTATTCAAAGCCAGTGAAGCTGCACTGGCGACCGTGGAGGAGAACGCATATCGCTTGTGTCACTGAATCCCATTTTGGATCAGATTGCAGACACACACACATACACTGGCATCTTGCGGCTATTCGACACATCTTGCGTGCCATCTCAATTCACACGACCTCAACGAACACTTGGCAACCTGTCTGTACGAGTCAACTACCGTCCATAGGAGGCAGAGATGCCTGGAGTACACACGAGAGGAGGGAAGCGGTCTGGTGAGTCGTCTTCCAAGGTCTATCATTATGCACGACGTCGGGTCGTGCGAAAAATAAATTTTCAAGTCGTGTGAGCGGATCAGTCGGTACGATCCCGTCGAGTCATCTTGGACAGACCAAGACAATGAATACCGTCATCCCATCTCACTGCATTCTAGTCAAATAATTGCAGAGATCGCTCGCTAACGCTTGATGTGTCGGTCGCTGTAGCCGCTCTCTCCTCTCCGACTACATCGACTCAACCGGTTCCGAACCCTCTTCCAAAGCTGAAATTAAAACTCCGAGCGACACCTACTCCGACGTCTACTCCCCCTCCTCCTCCTCCTCCACCGATAGCTGTCTCCAAATCTCGACGGGATCTCAAAGGATCTCGCGCGTCTCTCGGATCAAGTACGAGAATTCGAAAATCCCATGCGAATCAACGCAGGACTACTGGGACCGCGGAGAACCCACATGTCCTTGGATTGTCCATTGACGATAGCGATTCGGACTTGACACCGGATGATGAGGATGAGGACAATGATGAGGTGGAAGGAATGGACGAGATCCAAGTGACGCCTCGGAGTAAGACGACTGAGAATGAAAAGGGGAGCGCGTCAAAAGTCGTGAGCGTGGGAAAGGACAAGACCGTTGGGACCTCTGGTCCTGGTGGAAGAGAGAGGAAACGTGCAGTCAAAATTGAAGAACTGGAAAGGAGAAGAGCAAGAGATGCAAAGTTTGGCGTCGGTAGAGACGAGGTGAGATCAGACAAGCTGAATCCTGGTTGACGATGCAGTCCGAGGCTTCCGATGACGACGTCACTCGTTCTCCTCGTCGACGGTCCAGACGCTCACGTTCGAGCTCGAGACATTCACGACATTCACATGGGCTGGGACATGAAATTCAACCGGATCTAGCCGAGGGCCTGCCCGAACAATTTGCAGGTCAAGAGATCGAAGATCTACATTATGGTGCGGGACCTGCAGAAATCGAAATGGAGCGAGAGGTCATCAATGGATGGTGGGATGGAGAGGAGGATGAGGAGGTGAGTCATTGTGACCCCCCGGCCTAGCTCATCGTCTAGATGTTCATCTCCCACTTGAGCGGATCAGAAGCCGACCGCCAATCGCAGTCGTCTGTCAGCTCAGATTCCGACGATCCCATGTCTGGATCCGAAGACGCTTCGACATCCGACGAGGAATTGGATGAATTTGGCTTCCCGTTGCCGAGTCAAGATAATGGCGCTGAAGCGGGGCCTCTGGTCCTTATGGAAAATTGGGACGGTCAATTCGTCCTGGTCCAGCCGAGGCAGGATCGCTCTCAGAGCCGTCGTCATGGGTCAAGAGGATCTCGTACGGCTGGCTCTGTGGGCGCCAGTACAACCTTCTCCGTCGGAACCGGAGCAGAAGGAGGTGAACAATTGCTCATCGACCCTGATGCCATGGATCCAAGCTCCGAATCTGAATGGTCAGGATTGACCGAAGAGAGTGATGAAGGCGATACAACTGATTCAATGGCGGAAGAGGATATGCCAATGTTGGATTCTCCGGCTTTGGACCAATTAATAGGCGAACAAATGGCCAATGTGTCCATGGGCGTCGCAGTCAAACCCGCTGGACCGATGTCGAGTATCTCGTCGGGCACAAACTCAGCGGCTCCGAGCATTCTTAATGGATTGGCCGAGGTTCCTGTATCGACCCCAGCGATCGTCGTCACGGATGCCTCGGGCGACTTAGTGGCTGCTTCAACCCCTGGTCCGTCTACTCAAGAGACCCCGTTGCCCGCGGCTCCGACGATGGGCACTTTCCACCCTACTACCACGCACCCGTCCCAGCACGCTGTGATCGACGGCAGCAATACACCGACGAAATCGCCATTCACCCACCGCCGTCGATCACGTACGAAAGATCGAAGTGTCCGCGGTCGATCCGATTCTTTTCCTTCCATCGCATCCCGTGATGAGAGGGAGAGGAAGAGAAAGACGCTTCAATATGATGCGGATCATTTTGCGATCCCGGACATCCCGAAGCGTCTACGGTACTCGTCTATACCTGGTCATCCGAGGTTCATCGCTGCAAAGCGAGCCGCCATGTCTGATATGGATATGGAGGATACGCCATCTGAAGAGGACGATCAACAAGCGGGTCCCGAAGAGGTTCTCGACCTGGAAGACATGTTGGAAGAGAGTATTTTGTCTCCCACGGGACATGACGATGATGACGATGATCAAGAAGAAGGAGGATTTAGATTCGATCGTGTACCCGTTTCGCGATACTTGAAACGACATTTCGGGACAGGATCCAAGCGAGGAAGTATGAGCCATGGTCCGGGGTCAAAAGGAGCCCATGGACACCAGCACCATCTTCCACAGCATCACTCGACTGGACACACGGTCCGATCGTGGTCTATGCCTACTTCTGCCGGGGTCGGGGTAGGACCAGGTATCACGGAACCTATGCACCAGTACCCTTTCGGTTTGACGGTCGGTTCGACTATTGGAGGATTGGACCATACCCTCGCTGGACCCGTCGGACGGATGATGCTCCTTTCGCCCGGTCTCGCTCCAGTCCATGAGGACAGGAGTGGTGTCTTGTCAAGGAAGGAAAAGAGGAGAAAGAGGAGGAGAGCAATGGGTGCTTTGGCTACCGGCCAGGATATCCCAGAGCTCGCTATATAATCTTGTGATCGAGGTGGGGCTGGAAGAAAGTGAAGAACATATATGGAGTAAACGCGAGGCTGAGAGGACGGAGGAGGGGCGGGTGGAAGAAAAGGCCCGGATTATTGCTGGGTTAATGCCATTACAATCAATCAACACGATCACGACATGTTGCTATAGTCATCCAGCCACCCAAAAAAAAAAGAGTCCCACGTCGCAGGCGAGGGAATGCATCATTGTTGCATAGTCTGGCGGATGCGAAGCAAAGGCGACGACGCTACTGCACCAGAGCCTCGTCTGTGATTCGTTATGGATGAGAAGAAGATACGTGTCAAGGCTCTAGATCATCAGATCATAAGATTCATCCCGTAGCCAAATGTTCGTCAATCTAATAAGATATTCGTGTGGGCACAAACATATGGATGATGGCACTATATACAACAACGCCAGTATACTGTTACACGATTGAGATTGCAGTGACTCTAATATATGTTACGCGGCGACGATTCCTTTCACTCCATCATGGAAACGTGAGAAACCGCGCGATCATGGCCATGTCCGAATCTCGGTTGGTATTGATCCAGTAGATCACCCCTGGATGAATTGACCCTATACCCAATCCCTTCCCCTTGATCATGTATCATCGAGGGCTGAGAATAAGACGCATCGTATCCCGTGGTTGAGTCTGGACCTCCGTAACCCATATACGCCGTGTGCTGCTCGTTCGGATCGAAATGGTACAATCCATCGTTTGAACCTGTTTCAAGGGAATGTGATGAACTCCATGACGAGGATGTCTGATGTCTTGACATGGGTTCTGAAGATGTTTCTGCTAACGGAGATGTCTGACCTCGCTTCTGGCCGGGTATATGGGTCTAAGAGGAAGGGTCAGGACCTTAATGAGACGTCAAAGACTTGCCTTCTCGTGTCGGCGCAAATTTGAACTGACGGAGAACCTCCTTCCGCAATCTGCACGAGAGCATTGAAAAGCTACAGAGAGAGAGAGAGAGAGAGAAGATGAGCTCAGGATCTTGAGCGATGGTACATATACTCACGTTTAGCACCCGTGTGTACGGCCATGTGCGTGCTGAGCGAGCTGGGTCGATTGAAACGCTTGTTGCACACCACGCTGTAGATGCGACCGACATGTCAGACCTGCCGTCTCAAGAGTGGCAGTGCCACTCACCATACGTGTTTCCTCGTCTTCAACAAATGCGCTTCTCTCGCCGCTTCCTCCTCGTCGATTGGCTCGAAGCGCATCATGTTGCCCATATAGTCTGGAACACCTTGAGTCTGAGGCTGAGAATAGGTGTGGCTCCGAGGAAATGCCTCTAGAGGTAGGTCGTTGCCAAGCGTCAGCGGGGTGAATCCTTGATTGATCTTTGAAGGCGTGATGAATTCTCTACTTTCCTCGAGGTGGTGCTGAGGCCAAGTCAGAATCTGTGCGAAATGCTGCTTGGGCTGAGGGGCGAATAAGTAGGACTCGACGAGCGATGTCGGGTGGGCCGATGCACAAGTCGGTTCAGTAGGCGTAGATGGTAGAGTGGCGTGGTGCGTCGGAGGGGTTTCGTCTGCTCGGTTGCCATTGGATTGAAATCGATCATGGGAGATTTGATGGGCCAATTGAGTAGCAGTAGGTGTGTTGTATAGGGTGGTATAGCGTGAGAAGTCCATGGGCTGTAGGAGAGGCAATGTGGTAGTACCAGCAGATTGGAGTGAAGCTGCCCCGCCGTCAAGCGATGGCATGATGGATGATTTCTTGAGTGGAGGTGTATGAAGGTTGATTGTATGAGGAGTCTGCTGAGAGAGATTGGAGAAGGGGGGGAGTGAAGGGTTAGGATAAGAGTAAGAACGCTGGTGTTGAGGAGGTTCAAAGGCGGACATGTCGACTCGTCAACTTGGCTCGAATCGGTGGCGGCGGGCAAAAGTGTCGGGATCAACAACAACCACTCACACCGGTGAAGAGGGATGAAAAGAAAGGCTTCGATATAGAGGAGACTGATTGTCACTGCTATTTGTGTTGAGCTGATTGGGTGGGTATCAGCCATTGACCGTTGGGATGGACAAAGGAACTGACGGGAAGAAAGCAAGGAGAACTACAGCGCGGAGAAGGGAGGGGGGAGGGGGGGATCAAAGGAGTTGTCCGGAGTCTGTTGCAAAGGGATCTTTACAGGACCTCCTCCTGATCAGGGAGGCATCGAATGAGGCTGTTGCAGTTCAAGGGGGTTTCTGAGACCTGGTGGTCCAAAGAAGAAAGGAGTGAGTGAGGCGGGTCGGAGAGAGTTGCGAGCTGGATTTGAATTGATTGGGATTCACTGAAGTCAGACTGGAACTACAGGACTCTACGCCTTCTCATGAGCGAGAAAAAGAGTGTCATCGACCACCAAGGTGAAGGTGCCAGTCAACTATGCAGATAGACGATATACGCAGGTGATTGATTGTCTGTTGACCCTTTCGGAACTGACCGGAGACGAGCTGCTCTTCTGAGAACCTCGCTTCGATTCAGACTTGCGTAGGTCTCCTTCGATCCAGTCCCTCACTCTCGCTTTCCAACCTTGCAAGTGAGGGACTGTCGTCCTCAGCTTCCCACTGCCGCCCTTTGCTTGCTGGCCAACGTGTACCCCAATCCACCGGCCGCGGCTTGAGCGATGTCAAAGTGGCGTACTAAAGGGAGAAGTCACGGTCACCTGCCAGGCTTAAACCACGTTGGGGATCTAAGTACACACTGATGCCTAGAACGGGGGTCTAGCGCCCCGCCTACAGTATAGTCCAGAAGCAGGAAAGTTTGTTGACGAGGACAAGGGAGAGATCACCGTCGACGCCGAAGCCAACTTATTGCAAGCGAGTTCTTGGTGTGGGCAGGTATAGCTTGATTCATTGGGACCGGCCAAGAGCAGATTCAGCTGGGATTCATTCCACGGTAGGTGACTGGGAAGCGAGAGGTCAAAGTGGTCGGTCGAGGCATTAGTCGTTTCCAAGGTCGTCAATTGGTCGTGAAGGCAGTGTGCCAAAAAGAGTTCAAGAAATGAGAGAGAGAATCAAGGAATGGTCATTTATTGTTCCTCTACCTTACTCGTTGCCACTCGGATTTACATACTGTACCATCCCCCCCTCCTTTCTCCCAAATCCCCCTTCTAAGCTGCCGATGATCGGTAGACTATACATCTTATCCTCCTCCCTCCCTTTGGTGTCGATGGTAGCGGAGTAGGAAATCACGAGGCAAAGTACTGAGCTATGCAGATGGTGGATGAAGCATTCAGTGAGAACGTTAACTCATTGTCACTGCGTTGGGTCCATTGTGCTGGCAGCCAGACCATCGTCGGCCCAATTTGGATGCCATTTGAAACGTGAAAGCGAGACAAGGAACGAACACAAAAAGCATCCCCGTGTCCCAGCTTCATCATCTTCGAAAGCACTGGATATCACCATGATGTTGAGGACAGACCTATCCGGCAGAGGGTCTTACTTGCAATAGTAACCTTCTTGAACAGAGTCTCAAGCTGGGTAGCTCATAGATAACGAACTACCAGATCAGCGAGCCGTCCCATATAGTCAAGCTCTGAAGGTCTCGGATCCGAATATTTGGTTCCGCTCCCTCACGGTGCGTGATGTACGGCCCTGACACAATTCAATGCTTGCATCGCTTGGATCTCCCTTAGAACAGACAACTATGAAGCATGATATCTGGCGTGTCGTTCCCTTTTTTTCCCGTCCCATCTCGTAAATCTCTGGCTACCTCGATACTCGTCGTTGATCCTGGGATGAAGCGTCTCCCGACCCAAACCACTGCCTCGGGATCCCCGCTTGACCCGTTTGACCGGCCTGACCGTCGGCTTGAACACCGAGGCCAGATCCCTTGACAGATCCCCTCTGAGGGTCAACTTGACCGCCGGACTGGCCTGCTGCTGCTCTGGGATCATTCGCACCATACCACAAGGCGCCAAGCAGATCCTTGGCGGTATTGGCAATATTGGCCGCTCTACCCATGATACTACTCCCATCACCGCCTTCACCCATCATCTCCTCATCATCGTCAAAGGCAGGTAAGGACATGGTGGGTTGAGCATTGGTAGGTACATGACCTGTGGTAGCCTGTGATCCATCCACACGAGCAGGGGCATCAGGAGTCGGCAGATCTGAATCGGTGTCGGTGTCTCGAGGTCGGAGAATAGGAGGAGAGGTATGAGGAAGAGAAGAGGGAGATGCATCCTTGAGCGACCTCAATGAGATCTGTATTGAGAACGGGTCGATCATGCCTAAGGTCAGTCAGATGCATCTTGAGGGGGCACGAGCGACTTACCTGGGGGGAAGAATGTGGGGTCGGAGTGTCGCTCTGGGCAGGATGATAGGATTCATCGACTTCCATCTCGTCTTCTCGACGTGGCCGAACAACGGGGGCAGTCTGGCCAGGCGATGCAGGACCACCTAGTCTGGAGCCTGATCGCCCTCGCGCATCAATGGGTGCGGCGCGTGTCGCTTGACCAGCGCCTGTACCGGGCGAGATTGAGCTCGTACTGGATGTGGATGTACCTCGGGAAGCGGAACGCTCGTGAACGGAGGATGATCGAGCAGCACTGCGCCCTCGAGTCTCCTCATTGGACACGGCGGGGTATTCGTAGCCTCCAACATTTCGCATGCCCCCTATACCTGTCGCCACAGAGTAGTTGAACTCTGTAGCAGGTGGAGATACTTGCTCTTCCGGTGGGGTCGGTGCGCCCGGTGGACGGACTTTGAGGATACTACGTGTGGGCTGGGATGTACCGCTCGGACTGGTACCAAGCGCGTTGAGGGACGAGCTGGAGGAGGAGCCAGAGTTCTGCAGCGACGTATCTGGAGGTGTGATCGCTCGTGATCCTTTAACAGTTGAGGATGCAAGACTCGATGCACCGGATGCGAACGATGGCGACGCATCGCCAAGATCTGGGCCTTGAAAGTATTCGTAGCCGACACTGCCGTATCCATCTTCGTCTCGCCATGGTGACGTTGGCTCTTGTTGCGGTTGCTGCTGCTGCTGCTGTCTCTGGAGTTGAACGGCTGGACTCGGGAAATCAAAGGCGGGATGATTGAGAGGAGGGGAGATGTATTCTGGAGGAGGAGCGTAGACCATTTGAGGTGCATCGGGTCCAGCGGCATAAGCGCCATTGACTTTGAGCAATGTCGGAGCAATCTTGGCGATCGTCAGGTGCTCCGGTGTGAAGACGCTTGATATGCTAGACCGAGAGGATGAGGCAACATTGGAGGACCTCATCTCGAGCATGTCCTCATCGGAGTCATCCTCGTAGGACATTTGAACTTCTGCCTCGTCGATGGCGACGCACTGTTCGACAAATGTATTGAAGGAGATGTGACGTTTACCCGACGACGTCGCGCTCAACGGTGGCAGATTGAGATTGGCTTGGCCCGGTGTTGCACCTGTCGAGTTGCTATTGCGTGTTGGACTTTTCCGTCGATTGCGATTCCTGAAAATGTTTGAATCTGATTTGGTGCGCTGAGGAGTGGGCCGATCAGGCCCGTCTTCGAGCATGTCGACATCATCGTCATCGTCGCGGCTAGTCGATTCAAGGATAGGCGAAGCGGGCATGGTGATGGAGAGCATTTCGGAAAGGGTGCGATGTTTAAGGATTGGTTTCTTGCCTGTTGCTGAAGCACTGGCTCCGGGCACATGGACTGGTACGTCTATCCCCAGTCGCTCGTCTGTTGAAGCCGCCTTGGGAGCAGGGACGGCCTCAACATTGGCCGTATGTAATGGGCCATATAACCAAGTCACATCAGAGTCTTTGAGCCTGTGACCATGTCAGATCCCGATCCCGATGTACTGCGTCACGCACCAATTCAAAGTCTCCGGACTGATCGTCTTCAACTTGTTACGCTGCTTTTGCCATGTCCGCCAACTTGCGTTCTCCAATCTGACACCATTGGCAATCTCGTGCTTGTGACGAGTCATGTTCCGCCATGATGCCCAAACATCCTCTTCTGACCAATCATGTGAGAGGTAGTCGACGCAAATGGAGGGAAGTCGATCCTGTATGTCTTCGACAGAAGGGGCGGCGGATGAGTCGGAGGGAAGAGTGGTCTAGAAGATAAAGTGTCAGCGGGAGGGGCTCAAAAGACGAGGTGCGTCAGGGGAATTCCCGTTTATACCCGAAACAGAAGATCACTTACAAGAGGGGGAATGATCTGAGCCATGGTGAACGGTGATGAGTGTAGGTGGGATATTCCTAGCAGACTCTCAAGGGCTTTGCGAGGCTATTATTCAAAACCCCCTTTCAGCAGCTGCTGCTGCTGCTGCTGCTGCTGCTGCTGCTGCTGCTGCTGCTGCTTCTGGCAATGCTTGGGACGTATACAGGTAAACACTTCGTAGGAAGCAGATCGATTGTCCCGGCAAACGTCGCAATCTGGAAATTGATGATGATCCCTCCTATTCCTTGCCCTTCTTACAGCCAATATGGCCTTGATTCCTACCTACGATGTATATGTGTCATGCCGCTGGACGGTGTGAAGTGGGAAGGCAAGAGGCTGTATATGATGCTATACAGGACGTGTGTCCTGAACTGGATTGATTGGTCAGAGAGATGAGAGAAAGAGAGAATGAGTGAGAGTGACAGAGAAGAGAGAGAGAGAGAGGCGGGCGAGGGCGTGGGCGGGGGGGAAGAGAAGACGCCGCCGCCGCTTTTTTGAAGATTCGAATGAAATGCCACACTGGGTAATTCCGGAAACAGCAACTGAAATCCCCGGCCGTAGGGAGTTACTCGTGGCGAGCCTGCCAGCCAGCAGCAGCTGTTGAGAGGGGGTGTGTGGCCTGCAACTGGATCTCAAGGCTCTGACCTGGGAGATCCTATCGTGTGGGCTGCTGAGTCTGAGGTCAAGCAAAGGCATAGCTCGCTTCAATCATCCCTACGAGGATCACAGCATACTACTACCCTGAAGCTACAACGCTGGCCAGACCAATGAAACGGGTCCCTGGAGACAAAAAAGGATCTGCGCTTCGTGAAGGATGGGATGGATCGTCAGGGGTACAATATAGAAGCTAGGCTTTTGAGCTACTGAGTGGGCGAGCATGGTGTCCTTAACGCAGTAACTGGGGGTGGCATTAAGTATATTGGTACGTTTGACATGCTTTGTACAAGATGCTCTTGGTGGCACCCGAGATCCACCGCCACAAACAGTCTACAGACCTTGCAACCTCGTTGATAGATGTTTCTGCGCCTCTCGGTTGCAGAGCTTTTGACTCTGGCCTCTCCACATGGAAGCGTGCTTACGCTCTCTTACTCATGCGAGATCTGTCCACCGGACCGCCAGACCACACCACGCTACCTCCACTCCTCACATGATGATACAGTCGTCGCCTCCCTTTTGACTCATCTCATCGACCAGTCCACCTGCATCTCTCGTCCCTCTTCCGTTCATCTGTCTGCCTTGGAGATCGACAATGAGCACACCAGAGTTGTGCGGATCTAGATGAGCAGATAGGTTGTACCTGGACAGACGATCGTCAGCCTCATCCTGCTTCATTGCTTATCCCATGTGCCTCACTTTCTCATGAGATCCTCGACGGCCGGTTTGATTTTCGCAACGTGACCTTGTGAATGTATGCCTTTACCTACGATGATGTTGATTTCCTCTTGACCGTTCTGTTGAGCTTGAGTAATGGCAGCTTCGGTCCGTTGGATGGCTTCCTGAACGTAGAGACCGTGCAGGTCAATGGTGCCGGGCGGAGAGTCGGTATTGTTGGCTGTGTGTAAGTCAGTAGACATACCATACCAAAGAATGACCCTACCATAGTAAATCCAATTGGCAGCTTGTTCGTCTATCTCATCTTGCTTCCTGGCATGCTCCTTCCCTTCCATCGATAGTTCGTGGGCTCTGGCGCCGTCTCCTCGTCTGAGCGCTTGTCAGCAGGACGCAGGACGTCCAAGGCGATGAACTCACTTGTAAGCCTCTTGCGATTGAGCAAAGCATCTGAGAGTCACTTGGAATCTCTACACCCGGCACTCACTGATGCGCTTTGTCCCCTTCGTGCCTAGCTTCATTCCGCATACCGACATATTTCTCATTCGCCTGATTGACCATATTTGGGTCCTAGAGCCAAGTCAACAAGCTTCTTCTTGGTACAGCCTCACCTGGCCATGAGGATGATGGGGTCCAATGATACCTCCAGACGGTAAACCATGCGGTCTGTTCTGAGGTTGATAATGGTTCCCTCCATGATGTTGATTCTGGTTCTGGTGCTGATTCTGATTCTGATGAGATCCCTGACCTCCACCAGCAACTTGAGACCATGATTGTCCATGAGCCTGTTGTCCGGGATATCCTTGCTGTGGCTGCTGCTGCGATGGTGGATATGTCTGAGGAGGTTGTTGACCTGGGTATCCCTGCTGTTGTTGATTATACTGTTGCTCTTGATTATAATTGCCGTACTGTTGCTGTTGTTGTTGCTGGCCCGGTCCCTGTTGCTGATTGTTGTCACTCGATCCGCCTCCGCAGAACGCATTCAGAAGTGCAGATATGAGCCGCATCAGCGGACTGCCTCCGTTGTTCGACATCTTTAGCGGTGGATGGGAGGACCAAGAGAGGTGGAGAACGTTCCTAAAATGCGAGAGGATCAAATGACGCCAGGATCCCGATGCTAATAATTGCCGACAGTCTTTTTTCAGCCCGGAGCCTTGGCAGCTGCACAAAAGGACGTTGTCGCAAAGTGCTGAGGTGGCACGCACTCTTACATCCCATACATACCGGCGACTTCGTCCCTGTAGCGAGGGATGAACAAATGGGGCCTATACTAGATGCATAACGTACAACGGGCATAGTGCCAGGAGGAGATAACTCAAATTGCTGTCGAAGGCGAGCGATGATGGTTTCACCCGTTGTTCTTCACTCGTTCTCGCCAAGATTCAGATGTGTATCCCATCTAGGCTCCTCAGCTGGATGATCATGCCTCGGGACGTCAATGTTCCAATCCTCATGCCACTTTCCATGCTTGTCCCAATGTCCATGTCTTCCCATGGGAGCATGACGCATATCGCTCATTCCTCCGCCCAGGATGACCCTAGTGGACAGCGTCAGCAGGCTGGATCTCTGTAGTAGCAACACACGGCTACGTCGACTCACGCCAAGCCGACGTAGATGACCCAAGCCCAGAAAAAGGCCATCCAGAACCTCCTCATGGCTCGACTTCTAGCCTGTGCGAGATTCGCAGGTGGTATCCAATGTTCATGAGAGGCATGAGCGACGGGTTGAGATTCAAGCTGAGAGGGCTGTAAGGGTCGAGTGGAGACCTGAGAAGGACCAGAATCTGTTCACAAGTTCAGCAAAAGAGGATGCCTGATTGACACTGAATCCGCCCAACTCACACGGTGGTGGAGCCTCCGCTTGGACGTGTTGAGACGAGGAGCCAGACGTTGATTGCTTGGCTTGCTCAGCGGCTGCTGCAGCTGCTTCGGATTGCTTCGCCATGATGTTGAGTATCAGATGAAATGCGATTTGAAAAGCGTATGTTTTGTAGACGAGAGATATGACCAAGCGTTTATGCTGTCGTCCATGGGATGTCAAGGTGGCGAAAAATTGGAACAACGCGTCATTGCCGAATGTGGCACATTATGGTAGATCTGGGAACGGGATACTACAGGATGTAATGACCATCCTTCAAGCTTGTCATGTCACGTTGCGCCTGCCATGGTCATAACCATATCCGCCAATCCCAGCCAGTGAGTGAGAGGGCAGAGACTGTCAGCCCTTCAAGCTCGTCCATCTCAGCACTGGTCCAGTCAGGATCAGATCTGCGTAAAATTTTTGCCGGCAAGCTGAGACTTGGTGCATCCTCTCAAGACCCAATCTCAGCGTGGCTGGCTTTGATTCATCATCCAGTGTCCATTTTCCATCGAGTGTTCTGTCATGAACGCAGATCGCCCTCTCAGGGTACACGTTCTCGCCCTGTCAAATGCCTGCCCAGCTGATCCCTCGTTTGCACGTGATACCCGGTTGTTACGGCTGTTCCCGGGCCGATCTCGGAGATTGATTTCGCCGAGAAAAACCCAGCTACCGTGGCTGGGAGAACGGGAATATGAAGAGCAGCTATAAGCTGCAGCTCCAGGCCCTTCTTGTAACCCAAGTCTGCGAGCGAAACCTTTGGTCCTCTGCTTGATCACTCATATCGCGCCATCTCCCCAATCATGTCTCTCTTGCCTCGAAGTCGCAGCGCCTTGCGCACCGTTCAGTCTCTTCACAGGTCCTCTACCCGAGCATATTGCGCCGCCCATGCCAATCCTCACTCGCCTTCGTCCATGCACCATCACTCTGGCATAGAACCCACAGCAGTGGATGGATCGCCCCTTCTGTCGCGGTACGAAGCGTACTATGATCCTAAGAAGGTTCTCAACCACCCGGAATTCAAGATTCTCGAGGATGGAGCTCCGGAGCTCGACGACCCGAAACGAAACCTCGCTTGTGCTTATAACCAGCACAAGACTGTCCACATGATTAACAAGCCTATCCCTGTTGCGGGGAAGAATGAGTGTATCGTCCATGTGAAGAATACTGGAATTTGCGGGTGAGCTACTCAGCATCAGAATAAAGATGTGCATTTGCTCAAACGCCCACGCCACGCCAACAGGTCTGATGTCCACTTTTGGAAACACGGTCAGATTGGACCTCAGATGGTCGTACGTGACGAGACGGGTGCAGGACACGAATCAGCCGGAGAGATCATTTCAGTCGGAGAAGATGTCAAAGATCTCAAAGTCGGTGATCGTGTGGCTATCGAAGCTGGTGTTCCGTGTGGTCAAGCAGATTGTGATCCATGTCGAACGGGACGATACAATGCCTGCCCACGTGTGGTCTTCTTCTCAACCCCTCCATACCACGGCACTCTCACTCGATTCCACGCTCATCCCGCTCCTTGGCTCCACAAACTCCCGGACAATGTCTCGTTCGAGGAAGGCTCGTTGTGTGAACCTTTAGCAGTGGCATTGGCGGCCATCGAGCGAGCAGGCGTGGCACTGGGAGACCCCCTTCTCATCTGGTGAGCAAAGGCGAAGATAGGGGGACGGACAGACCTTTGCTGAACAAATTTTCAGCGGAGCCGGTCCTATCGGTCTCGTGACTCTTCTCGCCAGTCATGCTGCCGGATGTACCCCTATCGTCATTACGGATCTTGTCGCGAGCCGACTCGAATTCGCCAAAAAGCTCATGCCTTCCGTCAAGACTGTTCTGTTGAACAAGGAGGACGACGCGCAAGTCAACGCTCAACGGGTCAGAGATGCGTGTGGAATGATGCCTCGAGTGGCTATTGAATGCACCGGGTTCGAATCTGCCATCAACACTGCGATCTACGTGAGTCTCCAGGGTCAAAGTCAATTATTGGTTCTGGTCCTGCTGCTGATGCTGTCTATCTAGTCCGTCGCGTTCGGAGGCAAAGTCTTTGTGACTGGTGTTGGACCCCTGGAGCAGATGGTAAGAAACGGAGAAAAGGCTTTCCAACTGATCCTTTTCAGTATCCCTTCGGCTACGTCAACGCCAATGAGATTGACCTACAATACCAGTACAGATACGCCAACCAAGTGAGCTACCGCGTGAGAGTATCCCGCTGATGCCCTTAGTACCCCAAAGCCATTAGACTTGTCTCTGGAGGTCTGATCGACCTCAAGCCATTGGTCACCCACCGAATCCCGCTTGCAAAGGCTGTCGAGGCCTTCCACATCGCTGCGGACCCATCTCAGGGAGCTATCAAGGTGCAGATCACTGATTAGGAGAAGAGCACCTCCCTCCGTACCGTATGGACAGTCTAGTTTTCTTCGGTCCGCAAATGCATTTTTCCTTTTGCTTTTACCCGGCTAAAGGCGCGTCCAGTCAATTATGCTTCATCCACTTTATCATTACAGCTCACTGACATGCGATGAGCTATCGCCTTCTGGAGAGGGACGAAGCTCCTGATCCGCTCTTACCTACCAGCTCGACCCCAACTAGGACGACGAAGACGCTTCCCAAATGGGCTCGACTTCTCCCGCGTGGTCGGTCCAGATCACGTTGGATCATCCTCGCTTTGACAGCGTTATTCGTCCTTGCTGTATTGAATCACCGAGCTTTAGGGACATGGCGTCGAGATTTTGTCTACCTCATCCGACCTCTTTGGGATACACCTGAACCTCCGTTCCATATCATTCCTCATTATGCTTCCCCTACAGCAGACGATACGACCGGTTGGTGCGCCCTTCACGGATGGACGCCAAGACCTACGGATCCACGCACTGGTCACGGACAAGTCAAGATTGTCGATGCCGTCTTGTTATCGTCTGAATTGGATATGCTAGAGATCAGGATGAGAGAATACTTGCCCTACGTCACGACCTTTGTCATTGTCGAAGCGGATCGCACGTTTTCCGGGGAACCAAAGCCTCTGTATTTTGATCAAAATCGATTCAACACCATTATCAAAGGTTGTCCAGGGACGACGATAGAGTACCATGTGATCAGGGATCTTCAGCCTGATCAACCTGTCGGTTCGTTTGATAACGAGATCAAGATGCGTCGAGCCGTCTCAGAAGTCCTGGCTTCGCTCGACTTGCCAGCTGGATCTCTAGTCATCCAATCAGACGTCGACGAAATCATCTCTTGGCAAACGTTGGACCTCTTGACTACCTGCCAAGGTTTCCCTCAGACTCTACACCTCAACGTCAAGAATTATCGATACGACTTCGCTCATCCTATCCCTGACGAAGGGTATTGGCGACCTCACGTGTACACCACTCAGACCGATCACGAAGGTGTAGGCTATTATCACGGGCGAGGGTCAAATGAGCTCCTGGCTGGAGCTGGATGGCATTGTTCCTTCTGCTTTGCTACGCTGGATGAGATGAGAGCCAAGATGAGAGGATACAGTCATAATGATAGGTTGAGAGATCCTTCATTACTCGATACACTCAGGTCGAGGGTCTGCGATGGTCGAGATCCATTCAACATGTGGCCAGTGAGTTTGATTCCTGCCCTGCACCAGTGACGATGCTCATCCCATCGTCTTTCCTTTCTCCAGGAAGCTTTCACATTCAAAGACATCTTTGCTCAATCTGGAAGATTGGCGAAATCCCTCGTCTACACCGACACACCTAGCGCAGTGCAAGAGTTCCCTGAGCGATTCGCGTACCTGCTGGATAAGGGCTGCGAGCGACCAGAATCCTAGATCGGACATGACGATGCATCATGATACAATGGCGATCCGATGCACAAACTCGTATCACTATTATACAGCTAATTCTTTTGCTTTTGATTTTGCCTCAGCCGCAGTGACTAGCGCATCGATCCCCGTAACGGGCTCTTCTGCCGTCTCGGCGGGACTTCGACGGGGGATGATACGGTCCATACGCTCACGTTGGAATTGAGGTAAACTCGGTGAAGCACTGGCTGCACCGTCTCTCACTCCGGCGTAGGGGTCGAAACGGGGACTGGTCTTGGGGACACCCATGGGTGAGACGGATAAGCGACTACTCTTTGGGAGGTCAAAGTACCCAGTTGGCGATTTGAGATCGACAGTTTGGATAGGTGGAAGTCGAGGTCCAGTCTGAGTCGCAGCGCCTGAGCCATCCTCAGATGACGATCGCACAGTATGGTAGGAGAGCAGGTTATCGGAGCGGGACTTTAGGTACGATTGAGAAGGCACCATGGACGGATGTTTCCACATGCCTGGCGTGACCAGATTCGTGCTGCTCCGACTTGACATGATGGATTCCGGGGCCGCATCCCGTGGTGATGTATTGTACAGTCCCAGGGTGGATTCACCAGGCGACCGGTCCAACCGGCGCTGAAATCTTCGAGCCAGAACCGCAGGGTCCAGATCCCAATCCTCTTTGACTTCTCGCCACCACCTTGCCATGAGATGGTCCAGCTTGACATTCCGGGTCCGCGCATGCCATTCATTGACAATGAAGAGTGGGACTGCCACTGAAGGATCAGTTTTGATGCGAACAAATGTCCACTCACTAAGTGGGACAGTTCGCCCTTTCCTGCCCATTGCGTCCATGATGACAATGATATTGTCCGCAGCTTGACCTTGCCTTTCGGCCGTCCATTCCTCCCCTAGAGTCCCTAAAGCCCCTTGCAGTCGGTACATTCCACTCTCTGCAATACAGTGCATAAGCCCGAACAACCATCCGCACCGGGAGACAAAATCAAGAGGCGAGGCAAGTTGACTGGATGCAGTGGCAAGAGTGTACTCTTGGAATCGAAGGCTCGGCGGGAGCGACATGGCCCAATTCTGCGCATCAGCAAACACTCTGGATGGCTGCGCTCACCTTGAGCTCCTGCTCCAATGCCAGCAGATCCCGGCGCATGTCTCGAGAAGTCGAATTTGCCACTGATAAAATATTATTGAAAATATAAAGCTGCAGGGTCAGTCTGGTTTTGTGTCGGTTCTACTCACGATGCGGATGGCGTAGCCTATCTCCCCCACTTGTCCGGCGACTGTCTGTCTATTCCCAGCTCCTGGCAGAATTCCATCTCTTTTCATATCGCTTCGCTCGCCATATCTCTGCCAAAGGGCTTCACCACCCGGAAGAGATAGATTGACCTTTTGAGCATCTGAGAATTTAATACTTCCAACTGAAAGCCCGTGCATGGTGATCATCCATGAGAGCCTGGCCCTACACTCTGCCAACGTATTGTTCCTGGTCTCGAGCGTTCTGAGTAGATTTTTAGCGCTATCGAGATAGTAGTTTGAAATGTCGCCATGAGCGTAGTAAATAGACAACAAGACCAGCCCTTGAGCAAGTTCTGTATCTTCCCACCCTGCTCTTGGCTCAATTTGAGAAGCTAGAATCTTTTTGGCAATGGCATCTGCTCGTTCGGCAAAAACCATGCCTCGGGCGTGAGGTGGAGTCGTGGGTGGTAAAAGGCTCAGTAGGACCGGGTTCGTACAGAGATGAGAGGCGATGGCGTAGATGGCGTGAATGAGGACAAGCGAGACTTGACCAAGATAGAGACGATGATAGAATGTGGCGGAGTGGAACATGGCACCGTAAGGATGAACGTGGTGAAAAAAGACTGTTGTTGAGCGACGATAACGACTATCAGACTCACGATGGACAAGTTCCGCAGATAACGTCTGATCCGAGTCCACCAGGTCGATGATCCTCTGTGCATGCTTGTCGTCTCGAGTAGGTGTGATGGGTTGAGCGAGGGTGGGCGTGACGATACGGGGCTGCTTTTGTGGTAAAGGGACGGAAGATTCGGGAGCAGAGCTCTGCTTGGACGGATCTCGAGTTCGTGGTGGAGGAATGATCTCTCCCTGAGCATTGATGTAGAGACATTCTCTCGAAGAGAATTCGCAATTGGCACAAGGCGCGAATCCATCACATCGTCTTTTATTTTTCTAATCCATCGTCAGCCTGTTGGAATGTATGCCTTGTCTCGCTCTATGGGACCCACATGACAGGCACTGCAAGCTTTTGCCAAACGTTTTCGTTTCCGGCCTTTGGTCGTCAATTCTTCACTTCCTTCCCCTTCACTCGGACCGCCAGACGAATGCCGCTTGTTTGGAGGCGAAGCGGGTTGAGTATATCGGGAATTCTGTCGAGGAGAAGGACTGCTAGCATAGGATGAATGACCGTGATGCATGTCTGCGGAGGTATTGCCGGCTCTTGATACCGACGAAGTGGAATGCGGCGACGGTAATGGTGGTTTCCTGCTGTCGGCCATGACACAATTATATAGTTCGGACCGTCGATCCCTACGTTTAAGGGACTCGGTGTTATACCTTTATTCGCCTGTTGAAGCGATAAGACGGTTCAAAGGTAGGTCGATGGAAGGGGTAACGAAAGAAAAGAAAAGGTGGTCCTCCTCCGAGGACTTTTCGTTGTCGCGTTTGTGATGGGCCGCAGCGACCGGTGCGGGTAGTGACAGAAACAGAATCGTTGCGCAAGCGATCAAGAGGCCCCAGTATCGTGTTCTCACGATCTAAGTGGGGCCAAAAGATGAGGATCCAGATACCGGCGAGTGGACCGGCGCTTGGTATCCGAAAGCCGATGTTTGACTAGTGGGCCTGAGTCTTTGTAGATCTTTTGCCCGACGTGTGCAGAGTCCACCTCGTCCGACCTGATGATCTTCCGAATAGATTAGACACCTTGAATCAATGAGTTACCAAAAAGAAAAGGGTTCGATTGAATGACACGCTTGGCGGGATCGGCACTGGCGGTCAAATCCTTCGAAAGTGAGAAGCGTTGGAAAATGATCGACGGTTCCCAAAGGTTGTTGAGGGTCACCCTCGTGATGTTCCAACGGTAATCTAAAACGATGGTGCGTACACGAGCGACAGAATTAACAAAGTAGACAATCTGAATGTGAAGGATAAATGAGAGGTCATGTGGGTACCACAGAGGTGAATGAGTGAGAGGTACAATGAGGAAAACGAAAGAAAAGGTCCTTCGGGCTGCTTTCTTTCTCTCCGTTTCCTCACTCTATGTGTATATGCCCTCGTTCCGCGTTGATCGACCCGCTTTGTGATTGTGGGGCCAGTGCCGAGAGTAGGCAGCTTCAGCGGCAGCGCCGTACATGCGGCGGATAATAAAGTTGTATACAATGGGAGTGAGTGGCTGTGGGAGAAGGAATTGAGAGCAACACAACATAAAATGATACGGAATCAGTTCCCCGCTCGGCCGGCATTTTTCTTTGGCTCCCCCCCTCCTCTTTCTCACCCTGATTCTGATCTTTCTTTCCCTCAAGCATGTCATCTGACCTGAAAACTTCCTCCACAGAACTACTACTGATCCTCGCCTTGCAACCTCTGTTTTTTTCTTTTCTTTTGGCCCTCCCTTCCCCCCCGCTTGGTGTCTTTCCATTGGGAATTTCGGGATGATAGAAACATGATTCTTTACGCAATTGTTATCGCTGTCGTCGTCGTCGTCGTCACACCACCACCACCAATGACTTCTCAAGCCTCCATCATCGTACCGAATGACACGATCCCTCAAAAGATCCACCGCCGCTGCTCTTTACTCCGTGCCCCGCGTAATGAGGCACAATTCCGCAGGTGGCGGTCGAGTTCAATGGGATCGTGAGGCAAAAAGTTGCCACTTTGGGTAGAGAAGGGCGTGGAATGGTTGACGCACGCCTCAAAATGAGAGTTGGAATGGGTAAAAAGGGAACTGTGCAATGTCGCCCGCTTTTCCCCCTCGTTCCGCCGACTTTTACCGGCGGTTCCAATGACGAGCAAAAGGCGGGCAAGGCGGGCGAGTGATTTGAAGGGGCCGAGACAGCTTCAAGAGGGAAGGGGCCGAGGGCTGAGACTGGGGAATGAGGCGTTGTCAGTTCTTAAACAGAAAGGGCGTGACAACCGCGTCAGCACATTCAGGAAAATAATGTGATATACTGATCCGTCGAAGGGGGCACGACGCAACGATCGGTGCCCTTCTGGTCCAGATCCCATCTCTGTCATGCCAGAAAACTGAAGACTGAAGAGGTCCAAGGGGGGGTCCCCTCTGCCGCAGTGCCTGAGGGGCAGTAGACCTCAAACTATCCATGGAATTGGGTTCTCACAGAATTTTTTTTTTCGTAGATATTCTTCCGAGTGGCTTTAATAGATGAGAGGAGGCGAGGGACCCGAATTTTTTGTATAGCGACCCCCGCCCTCCGCGCCCGGCGGGCATATTCCGTTGGGAGAGACCTCTCTGCAGATCACGATCACAAACGTCGACGACGTCGTGCGCACACGTGGTGTGGTGAGACCACCGTATCTCAACCGCTACAGCCGAGGAAAGGGGGAAAAGGGCCGTGATCCTCGCGTGATCATGTTGACATCGGTTAATTATTGACCGCCAGAGATCCAATTATAGATAAGAGCCCGGCTTTGGGATCCATACTGGGAGTCCGGCATCATTCTGGATCTTGAAACCCTCGGGTTCGGCAATCTCACCGGGCCACCGAAGCTGGCTGGCGGGCTGGCCAACACGCCACAAAAATCGCTGCCTATTCTATTTCCATAGCTTCGTCTGCCGCCTCAGTGACTGTACTGCCACTGCCAATGCCAGCATTACCACCACCACCACCATTGCTCCCTTCCATGGTAACATCTCCCGTCTCTGCGATCTCATCATCGTCGATCTCTTCAAACCTCAATGAATCATTTTCGTGTCCAATGTTCGGGTGGCCGTGCCATTCGTTGACAATTTGATCTGACGGGATGGGCATAGATCGATAGAGAACCAAACCTTTCTCAGCAGGAGGTCGAGGTAAGGATTGAGATGAGTTCAAGAGATGGGTGAGAAGGGATGGAGAAAGGGTGAAACCCTGGGCGCCAGGCTGTGATAGGTACCTACGCCTGGTCTCGGGGGAGGGAGTTGATTCAGGAGATACCTCCGAGTCCGAAGAACCAAGAGACGTGATGATGATACCTGGGAAATGATTCGTCGTCAGTCAGTCACCTAACTCTGCAGGGCTTTTTGTTTTTTGATTGGCCGGCCTGCGCTGAATGGGGGGACATACGATCTTTTTCCGGTTCATGCCATTTTGTTTTCCGTCGTGACCTCGACGGTGGCGGTTCATCATCACTATCCATATCCATAACCCCGTCTCTGTGCTTTCTCCTCCTTTTCCTTCGGGCACTACCCATATCCTGGGATGGATCCATGTCCACCACGTGTAAGTCTTGTCCAGTAGGATCAACTGCGTCATCTGGTTGCTCTACCGAGTCCGCTTGCTGAGCGACTCTAGCATAACGACGTTTAGTCCGTTGAATAGGTCGAAAGGTCGTATCGGAATCATCTGCTTCCCGGGACGAGGTCGAAGACGACGTCGTAGAGTCTCTGGTCCATTCAGAGGTGGATCGTTCAGGCAATTCTTCTACCCGAACATCCCTCTTATCATCTTCATAGTCGAATCCCACTGGCTTCAGATTCCTCCCATCGTCTTCGTCCACCTCATGTTTGGTCGCTTCAGACTCTTCATAGCTCGGTATGGGCGATACGGATCGATTCAAACGCGGAGAGATGGATAAACCAGAGAATCCATTGGCTAAATTTGGCCTCCGCTTCTTGTCATTATGCGGTTCAAGTGGCTCGGTTTCAGCCGCTCGTTTTCTCGTCGAGGATCCAGGAGGTGAGAATGCAAAGGGGGATGAAGGGGGAGGAGAAGAGTACATGGACGTTAAAGAAGGGGTCAAAGCATGGTCAGCGGCAGGCAAAGAGTGGGATGACATTCACAACAACAATTGACACACCAATTGCCGGTTAAGGGCGGAATCAAATCTGGGGGGGGGGGGGGGGGGAGGGGGGTTTAATTCGGTAGAAAGGAGGAAAGATAGTCGTGTGACGGCCAGATAACCCCTCTCTCTCTTTGTCTTATCCTCGCGCCGCTGTTTATCTGTGACCGACTCAAAACCTGGCCATAGCAATCCATCATGGTCGTGACGCCAGACTTCAAGCCTCTCAAAGCTACAGAGCCATTGTCTCCTCTGTTATTGCCTAATCAACCTAGACCACCTCTAAAACAGCGTTCAACAGGCTCATTCTCTCACATATCCGACTTTTCCTTGGACTCGCCTCACCCAGAAGACGAGGTGATAGACCCCATTGAAAAATTGGAAAAGCTAAAGCATGTGGACCTGAGTCTTGATGCGACGTGAGCTGGTGATCGTGTGAGGGATTCTGCTGATGATCATCAGCGAATGGCGACAGCCAGTGTTCAAGACGAAAATTCTTTCCCTCCTGCGCAAGCTGGTAGGTTGCCAATATTTTGGCTCATACGCCTGTCTTCCCGAGCTCATCCATTCATCCTTCAGCGGATCCCCAAATGGAACTCTCCACTCCTCAAACCCGCTTCTATCCATCTCCAAAAGGTCTCTGGAGCCTGTACCAATGCCGTCTTTTTCGTCTCTTTCAACCCTTCGCCCACACCTACGACGCCCAACTTTTCCCCCTTGCTGACCCCTAAAATCCCCCCTGCGGATCCGACTCTACCTATATCTGAAAAAGTCATCCCCATGACACTCTTACTCAGAGTATACGGACCAAGCTCTGGAGCTCTCATCTCGCGCACAGAAGAGCTGCGTATCTTGACTGTATTGAGCCAACAGTATCACCTTGGACCCAAGGTATACGGAACCTTTCTAAATGGTCGGATCGAGCAATTCTTCCCTTCCAGAGCTCTGTCTCCAGCAGAATTGAGAGATCCATTCATATCGACATGTATCGCCAAGCGGATGAGAGAACTCCATTCGGTCGACTTGGGGCTTTTGGGATTCGATTCGGAAGATTCAATGATCTGGCGGTTCTTGAGAGAATGGCTAGAGCTCGCTGAAGCCACGTTGACCAAGCTCGAAGGGATCAATGAGGAGTGGAAGGCGTATGTGCAGACGTTTCATCTGGACAACTTGAGGAAAGAGATGGAGCAGTACAGGCAATTCATCAGGGGAAAGGGACCGACTCATGTCGTTTTTGCCCGTGAGTTCAAGTCAAAAAGGCGAGTCGGGACTGACAGTCCCAGACAATGACATGCAACATGGAAATGTCTTGGAGCTCGAGGCAGAGTTAGTACCGGTGGGGATGCCCAAGCATCACAGGGTGAGTTATTTGAAGCCTGGACATCGCTGACGACAGTACATCGCTATTGACTTTGAATACGCTGCGCCCGGTACACGAGGCTATGATATCGCCAATCACTTTCACGAATGGCAAGCCAACTATCATCACCCTACCCATTCTTGGTCACTCATTCCCCATGCTCCTTACCCGACTCTTGATGAACGACGGACATTTTACCGAGCGTACCTCGATGACACTCGAGAGGAAGCTTTGGACCAACTCGAGTCAGAGGTCAAGATGTGGAGTCCTGCCAGCAGTGCATTCTGGGCTTTGTGGGGGATCATCTCAGCAGAAGATCATGTACATTCGCTGAGTCTCGGGGAGGAAAGGGAAAAGGAAGTCGACTTTGACAGTTTGGTGAGTCTGACGCTTGGTTCCAAGCCTGAACAATCTTCTTCACCAGTCTTACGCTCAAGAGCGAGTGAGCATGTTCAGAAGAGATGCGAGGGAGTTGGGTGCCATCAGCAATTAGCTTCTAGATATTTTGTTGTAATCATCGGGGGAGTGCCATGCTCATAACCTTAAATCAAAAACCGGAGAGTCGTCGCCTCCACTGAACCCACCACCCGCGGGATTCACGAGTTAAAAGGTCAACACGTCCTTGATCACATCTCAGTCTCATTCACCTCCTGTACTTGTCATTATGGCGACGGCGACACCTCCAGGCAAGATCACCTTGCCTCCTGCGCCATCTCCAAGAGAGATATTCGATGATCCATCGTACGAATCACCTCGATCCGAACTCAACTCTACACGAAAATCTCAACGCGGAGTTCAACTTGATCTCAACGATGATCCTAGCGTACCACTACCGAAACAGAGGAGACGATCTACTCGACCCAGTTTCGCCACGTCTATCAGGAGACCAGGAACGATGGGCATTCGAGCTCGACAAGCTAGTCGAGCGAGCGCTTGGTCAGGCGTAGCGGAAACAGTCATGGATGAATCATTGAAATTGCCCTCCCTGGTGCCCGGTATTCGACCTGCTTACTCGACTCCTCTACCTGTCTTACCCATGGTTGTTTTATGTATCGTGAGTCACTAGGGGGCAGTGATCGTCGGATACGAGCTGAGCAGACTCCATAGGCCATGCTGTCTGAGCTACTATCTGCTAATTTGTGTACGCCGTTCTTGCTGAAAATGGTCGAAGGTGGGTCGGCGGGAGAACGTATCTGCAGTGCTGATTGATAGGCTTCTTCCTCTCATCTGGAAGGGAGAAGAATAGCGAGACCGAAGCTGCTGTGGGATTGTGGACGGGTGAGCTAAGCCTGTATCCTGGATCTCTGCTCATTTGCCAGGTAACCTCGTATCCGTCTTTTTCATCACTCAATTCTTCACCAGTCTACTGTGGAGCAAGATTGCAGATCGACACGGTAGACGAGCCGTGCTTGTAGCGAGTCTGTCGGGAAGTGCTATCGGTGAGTCGATATCCCGTCGTGCACTCATCTGACTTTAGCGCTCATGATCTTTGGAACTTCCGAATCCGTGAGACTTTGGAGTCCTGACGAGCTGACATTTCAGCTTCCCGAGGCCATCTGTGTCCGATTGGTTCAAGGTATCTTTGGTGGTGCAGTCGGAGTGGTATGTCAATTGTCCTAGCCGAGACGCTCATATTTTAGTTTCGAGGTTCGATCAGAGATATCACAGGTGGGCTATGAAGCTGGCCAGAACTTCCTAACGACTAGACGAAACCAATGCGAGTCAAGCGTACTCAATCCTCGGTTTCATGTGGGGTTTCGGAGCCGTCATGGGACCAGTGAGTCACTCACAGGGCAAATCTCCTTGCTTATTCATAGATCTTTGGAGGCGTGTTTGAGAACCCCGCAACCAACTTTTCAAACAGCTTCTTGGGGCACATTGGTGCGTTCTGAACGCTCACGGCCCATCGCTTATATAGCAAGAACTCTTCCACACCTTTCCGTATCTTCTGCCGACCCTCTTCGCAAGTACGATCCTCATCACGGGCTCTATCCTGGCTTGCTTCTTGTCCTGGGACGGAGGTGTTCGTGGAGGATCACGTATTGCTCTAAGCATCGAGAAGAATGAGCCATTGGTGCCTGCCCAGGTGCCCGACGAATCCCCAGCACCGAGCTCTCGCACTGCTGTCCCATCATTACGAAATAAGCGGAGCGTCCTGACCCCGGATCCTGAATTGCTCTCTCCTACAGACCCTACTGGCCCAGTACCCAATCGACGAGATAGTCGAGCAAGCCTGGGAACGGCTTATGGGTGAGCGTGACCCAGGTCTGGTCAGCACTGATTATTCTCCCCACAGATACGGTGGAATTCGATCAAAGCACCCGACTCTGGCTGCTCGCGCGGCGCTTGAAGCCGCCAGAAGGGTTTCCCAGGCAACCGTGAGGCAAGAGCCCTCGGACGAAATGGAAGAGGAACCTCGGCTGGGTCTCGCGCAAAAGTGGCTATTGGGTGTGTGACAGTGTCTTGCATATGCTGACGCACACACAGCCAACGAGGAAAACACATTCAATATCAATGACCTGTGGGTCTCTGCCGCTGTAGCTCAAGAGACGGCCGTGTTCGAGGACGAAGATGAGGATGAAGACGCAGACGCCAGCGCCAGTGCCAATTCTCCAGTGTTTACGCCTGGATCGGAATCCGCGGCATCAGGGAGCGTGTCACGCCGAGGCAATCGGGTTCTCAGCGCTCGGTTCGGACCTGCCGCACACCGATTCTCCACGTCTCGCAAGTTCTCCACCAGTTCTGGTCAACTTCCAGCCATCTTTGCCAATACTGGACTGTCAGAACTGCCCGCGCTGGAGTCGCCTCGCGAATCTGGTCAAGACCCGTTCTTCCCTTCGCCTGCACCTGGACGTGTGGTCCCCAGTGGGCTCGGAGCCATCGCAGAGGGTCGTCAGGTCAATGAGACATCTCCATTGGTCAGCCCGAACGTTGAGCTGGTCGAGCAGCCTACAAGCACATGGAAATCTCTACCTCTCCTCATGATTCTCGAGGTGAGCGACGCAGATCATCGCATCGCTGACGGGGTAGTATGGCCTTCTCGCGTTTCACAACACGACGCACGATCAGATCTACCTCTCGTTCTTGGTCACGTAAGGTTTTTGCTGCGCGTGACACTGCTGACTGACGGCCAGGCCTTATCGATCTGGGGGCTTGGGCCTCAATCCTGCCAACTTTTCCCTTATCATCGCGACGATGTGCATCTTCCAGCTGTTCTACCAATTTTACCTTTACCCTCGACTTGGTCCTCCCCTAGGACAATTCACGCACATTCAAATGTTCAGGATCGGGTGTTTCCTGTACCTGCCTGCATACCTGTGCCTGCCGTTCCTGCACAAGATTGTGGGCGAGAACTCGTCCGGCGGCATGTTTACCGTTGGATGTGAGTTTGTTTGCATTGACGCGTCGAGATGACGAGCTGACGCGCGAGCAGTGGTTATTTGCATCACGTGGGCCGTGGATCTGGGCATGCGATTGCCAGTCTTGCTGATGTGTTTCAGGGCCATTCGATACTGCGCAGGAACGCTAGCCTACACTTCTGTCATGGTGTTGATTGTGAGCTAGATCTCGAAACGGGCTGTTGCTAAAACTATCAGAACGCCATGTCGCCTCCTCATGTTGTGGGTCTGGCCAATGGATTGGCTCAGAGCACCGTGTCGTTTGCGCGATTTTTTGGGCCTGTCGTTGGCGGATCGGCAAGTTTATCTAAAATGGGAGTGTGCGCAGACTGACCGTTTATAGCTCTGGAGTGCCAGTATCAGTGGTAACCCAACAGGTTATTCACGTCCTTTTTTCACCGTCGCCTTGTTCTGCCTGATTCAATGGTCTGTCTCTTTTTTCATCCGTTGATGCTGTGTGTATGTGTGTGTATATGCATCACTGTGTAATCGGCGCCCCTTGACGCCTTCAAATCACAATAGCAGCAACATCTCCCGCATTAAGACCGTACTTTCGGACATGATCGTTGTTGTTCTGTTGTTATTATCGTGTGTTGACGAGTGAAAGATGAGACCGCCTTGGCTTGAGAGAACAAGAAATGAACGCCACACAAGGGTCTCTCTCTCTCCTCCGGCTAGGTCCGAAATCAAAAATCAAAAAATCAAAAAGCAAGACGCGTCGAAGGTTTGTGGCAACATTGCCCTATGCGTGTGTATACTGTACTGTACTGTCTCTTCGGACAAAATGAATGATACGATACATGATGATCTTCATTAAGAAGAGTCGGGTCCGCGGACGATCAAAGTCTCACTCTCTCGGTCTGTTGAAGGCGAAAGGTGAATGAGGGAGACTCAGATGTGAGACCCAACAAAGAAGTGTCTGAGTCACAACGCAGCAGCAGCAAAGCAGCAAACGCAGTCTCTTCATTACATCAGTCAATCAGGTCCCAGGAACGCCACATTGAGAAAAAAAAATATGTCTTGGAGGGGAAAAATAGACCGCGTAAAGGGGGCAGCAGCCCGTGGAAACATTACTATTTTCAGTCAGATCAAGCGTTTTGGACGCCACATTCACTTTGTGCGAGACACAGAGAGAGAGGGAGCTGAGAGAGCGAGAGAGAGTTTGGTGCGTGAGTGGCAGCGTGGCAGCGTAGGAGAGAGAGAGAGAGAGACATTGTTTACGATCTGCAGTGAGGGCGAGAGCAGAGGGAGCATAGCAAGAGAGAGAGCGAGAGCACTTCACCGAGACATACAGCTCAATACCTTCCCTGGATTCCTGAGACACACAAAGAGAACGTACCCAAAAGTGAGGATCAACTGCCGAATGTTTAACAAGAAATAGACGGAGATGAACTGAAACCTCTGTTTAAAAAGTCCATCGGCTCAACATTGAAGCAGCATTCAACTCCGGGTCCTAGAGTACTTACGTCGACTGTGTTCACTCATTCATTCATTCATTGTACACATATATACCCCTCCAGGCTACATCAAGTTCTCTCCTCATCTCTCTACCTCAAATCTCACACTCCTTTGAATAAATCCTACACGCTGGACGCAATCCTCTTTATATCTAATCTCTCCTTTCATTCCAATCCCAAAGGGCGATCAGCAGCAGCCACAGCAGCAACACCGCTCGCTCAACTCACCAAACCCCACACATCCACACACCATTGGCAGAGCCAACACACACACACACACATACACGCGCCTCTCTGACACCATGTCCGCGACATCTTCGCCTGTCCCTACACTCATGCTCCAACCACCTACACCTCGCGCCGAATCATCACGTCGCGCCGTATTTGAAAACCTACCTTGTATCCCATTCTTCGAGTCCTTGGATATTCTCGACCCCATGGGTTCAAAACCTTTTGACGATGAACCTACTTCCCCTGCACTCGATTTGAACCTTCTCACACCTCCCGGTACACCTGTTCGTAAACACCACCGCCGTCGACTCCACCGAAAGCGATACGGACACGAGCACGGGGCTTCTCCATCCACTCCTTTCACCGGTATCGCCATCATTGGCTTTATCGCTCTACTCCTCCTCACTTCTATCGCCTCACTTTCCTCTCCTCTCGCTCATCTCCGCCACAACAATACCGCATCTTCGCGTCAAACCCTCTTCGGCCGATTCAGAGGAAGGATGAATCTCGTCAACGCTCTTCAAAGTCAGAGCGGAGTCCTAGACATGACGCTGAGTGACATGTGGACCCAAGTCGCCATTCGAAAGAGGGAGATTCAACTCGAAGCTGCCGCAGAACCTCGAGGCAGTGGACACGTCAAGGCCATGTCAGACAATGACTGGCAACAGTACAGAATCAACGCTCGTCTGCCTCTGCCGACAGCAGCGATGGAGTTTTGGGACCTGTAGCAATAACATTCTTGTCTCACGTAGCATATGCATTCTTGGTCTTCTTGATCATTTGCCGCTTGATGTCGAACAGACCGGACAGCGACCCACTTTGACCCGAATCTCCGATGCCAGAGACAACTTTTGACCCACTTCACGCCTTCGTACCTTGGCACCCCGCTTCTCGTTGGCCAAGAGTTGATTAACCGCAGGGTGCTCGGTGCGCAGCGGCAATTCAAGATCAGGATTTAGTAGTGCACACGTGCCGTGGACAAAGTGTCGACACAGGTACGCCAAAGTCACGGGTTGCGTAAACGCGCCGAGCCCACACACTGCACACTTCTCGGACGCTAAGAAAAAAAGAGAGTCAGCTTAGACACACGCTAAGCGGACTCACGAGAGGCCCTAGCTCCGCCGGTCTGCGCCGCCTGCAGCTCCTCGGCCAAGTCAGCACAGTCTCCATTGAGAATCTTGTGACAGCCTTCCATGAGTGAGACTTGGAGATTAGAGGCTTGGAGAATCTTCACCAGAGCAGGTTTCAGGCCCGGGATTCCCATGCCATCCTTGATTCGGCGAATCAGGCGGATCGGATTGATCTCTGCGCCGACATGTTCTAGCAGAGCACGGATAAAGTCAGGTCGAGTCTCCGAATAGTTGAGTAAGTCCTCCCATAGATCTTCGTCGGCTTGTTCCTTGGCGAATTCGATAGCCTGGAATCAGTCAGAGCATGACGGTGAACCCACCTTTTGAACATCTCCCATCCGCTGAATAATGAGCATGAGCGCTTCCTTGTTGTTGCCCATGCGACCGAGGAGAAAGACCATTTCAGGAACAAGATCGTGTGTCTTGCAGATTTTGTACGCCTGAGGTGAGCAGAGTCGAGGCACTACACTCACCCTCTCGAGGTCGTAGAAATTGCTGCCACGAAGGAGCAGCATGAGGCGCTCAGGTCCATGAGCCGCATAGAGATCGACCTACCATTAGCCTCGCCTTGCCATGTTCTTACCATTTGATCGCTGTAGGGAAATGCCAGAGACTGGTCCCGCTGGAACAGGGCGTCGAGGTAGAGATAGAGATATTCAGGTTTGGGTTCTAGCTGCCGGACAACTCGCTCGACCTGAAGTCAGCTGGGCCCGGAATGATAACTCACTGGAATCGAATGGACGTGATCGACGAGCATTTCTACTGCGGCATGCTTGTTCTCGCTCTGGTCGAACTCGACCAATGACAATGCTTGATCTTGAATCGAGGCGAACAGATTGTGCTCTTTGATCAGATCGAAGACCTCTGGCCTCCCCAGGCGAAGAAGATATGGTAAAGCTTTGGCAGGTTGTGCATCGTGAATGTACCTGGAGTCAGGTCAGATCATGGGAAGAACTCACAGTTCGGCCAAACTCTCGATGAGAACAGGATCAGGATCGGCTTGAACCTCCCCCTTGACAAGCTTCTGAAACGAAATCGATGTATAGATGCTGCCAGGCCAGGATTTGATAGTGGAGAGGAAGGCCTACACGCGTTAGCAGAAGGACGATCGCGAAACTGAACCTCACTGGTCGGTCGTTGGACAGCAGTGTATTGAGCACTGCGTCGTATGTCTTGACCTCAAGCCGCGGTGCGCGAGTCGGCAGGTATGGTGTTATGACCTGAAGTCAATGGGTGCTGTCAGGAGGGCACCCACTGCAAGCTGTCCTCTCTCGGTGTATATATCTACCCATGTCTCCCACGCACCCACATTGTCCTCCAAGACTCGAGAAGCCAGCGCCGCAGCTCGGGCGTAGTCGCCTGGCGTCAGCTGAGCACAGTTCTCAGAGCTCACCTTTACCCGAAAGATGATGCATGTACTGAAGACCGATTGCCTTTGCATCCAGAGCTCCAGTGACGGACATCTTCTCCGCAGCCTCCAAAGCCTCTTCGAACCGCTCGCGCTCGACTAACCATTGGATGTGATCCGATTCGTCCCGAGGTTGAACGATGATGATGTCGGCAGGAGTAAGGACGTACCAGATCTGGGAAGATTTGACCAGACTGTAATTGCTGCATCCGTAGAGGTGAAAATTGGCGAGACTCAATGCGTCGGCAGTAGATTCTTCACCCTGTGCGGTAATGACCCGTAATTCTGGTCGATTGGCAGCTTTTCGACGTTGCTCCATCGGATCATCGGTCGCTTCATTGTCATACGTGTCCGGAGCGATGTACGCCAGGACAATGTAAGAAGAACCGAACGGGGAGATACCGGATATCATGCAATCCACTTGGAAGATTGCCGTCAACTCGACTGTCAATGCGGGGAGTCCAGTTGACGTTTGAGCTCGCGGACGCGAACGTATACGGACGATCTTGATATAGTCTGCCCAGCCGATGATGAGTGTATGGTCATCTTTCCACAACAGAGAACATTTGAAAAGCTCGGCACGGGGTGGATCGGCCCCGCGGTCAATGAATCCGATACGTTGGGATGTAGATGTGTCGTATATTTTGACGCCCTGAAAGCTTTTAGATCATTCCCACTACTCAGAGCGGAGCGCTCACCAGATCATTTGCCCATGCTATGAGATCCCCTTGCCATTCGCTGGCCCAGATGGGTCCTTCGCCCGAATGCAACACTTGTTCTTTCCATCCCATCCATCCCTTCTCCTGATGGATCAAGCTGCCACCGAGACCTCCACAGACAAACGTCCTCGAAGCTTTCTTCGCGAACCCCGGCTCAAGAGATATTGTATTCATAGGTCGCTTGTAGTCGAATGCAAAGACCTCTGGGGTGGTCAAAGAGTGTATCATGACTCGGCCTGATCTGTTAGCCCCGAAATCAAGCCATCAAGGAGCTCTCACCTTCAAAGCTCGAGGTAGCTATGAACTCGTCTTCTTCGTCTATCCTTAAGCAGGTGATCCGAGCTGCGTGAGGTCGATAAGATTTGACTTTGGATCCTTCATGTGTCAACACTTGGACCATGCCATTTTCAGTTCCGATAGCCTGGTCGTCAGTCATAATAAGCTTAGGATCACGCACGATGATTCGTCTGCCGATGGCAATGGCGGATGCCTGATCTCGAGCCAGGATCTCCGGTACCTTGCCTTTGAGTCGGCTATACTTGAGAGTTCTGTGCGTTAGTGAAAGAATCTTGGTCAAGACTCACGGCTCATCGTCAGACTCAGACTCGGACTCGGATCCTGACTCGGAATCGGACGAGGAAGAGTCTCTCTCCTTGCCTTTGCGCGAGGAGCTGCGAGAGCTCTTGGATTCGGGACTACGTGATCTAACCGAGCTCAGGGTTGAACCCGAGCGACTTGGTCCTGCCCCCGGACTCGACGTGTCCATGACCTTATACCATATCTGAAGAGCTAGCTGTCTATGGGCCAACTGAGGTCATAGATCAACATAATACTATGACGTGTCAAAAATGTAAAGCCCGTTTGATAAGCTAGGTATCTGGTCATGGGGGTCGGCCCGCTCCTTGAGCCATGGTCTCTTCCTGTGATCCTTTCACCCCAATTCCACCATTCCACCATGTCCAACGCACGGATGAGTGACAAGGAGCTGGCTCAGATCAACGCTGTGAGTAAGAGCAAGACGAATTGAGCTGAAGCCAAGGCGGCGGCGGTGAGGGAATATGATATCAACCCGAGGATGGGTGAGTGGGGAACGTCTGAGCATGGACTGACCCGCAGACTATCGAACGGTCGCGGCGGTCAATGGGTAGGTATGCATCGTCGTCATCTCGCTAATGTCAGCCCCTTGGTCGTCCTCGATAATGTCTCGGTAGGTCAAGTCATGATTACCTACCGCTGAACGTCTAGTTCCCGTCGTACAATGAAATCGTCCAGCTCACCTTGCCTGATGGGTCCATCCGCGGAGGTCAGGTGCTAGAAGTCAGCGGGAAGAAAGCTATTGTCCAGGTGTTTGAGGGTACCACAGGTGTCGATACATCTGCTACTCGAATTTCATTCTCCGGATCGTCTATGAAGCTCGCCGTCTCGGAGGATATGCTTGGTCGAGTCTTCAACGGAAGTGGAAACCCGATCGACAAGGGACCAAAAGTCTGGGCCGAGGATTACCTCGATATCAACGGTGAGTCAAGGAGTCTTTCAAAACTCGACTGATCATCCAGGCTCGCCTATCAACCCTTATTCCCGTATCTACCCTGAAGAAATGATCCAAACTGGTATCTCAACCATCGACACCATGGTGAGATCGATGCCAAGCGAATCAGAGCTGATTTCAGAACTCTATCGCTCGAGGTCAGAAGATCCCCATCTTCAGTGCTGCGGGTCTCCCCCACAATGAAGTGAGCTTAGACTCCATGAGGGCGTGTCTCTCTGACTTTCATAGATCGCCGCCCAGATCTGTCGTCAAGCTGGTCTCGTCACCCGGCCAGGAGCCACAAAGGGTGTGCACGATGGCCACGAGGACAACTTCTCTATCGTCTTCGCGGCTATGGGTGCCAACATGGAGACGGCCAGGTTCTTCAAGCAAGACTTTGAAGAGAGTGGAAGTATCTCAAACAGTACTTTATTCGTCAACTTGGCTTCGGACCCAACGTGAGTCGAGTGAGAAGAACCGCACTGATGGCTTAGGATTGAACGTATCATCACGCCTCGATTGGCCTTGACCACTGCGGAATACTTTGCCTACCAGTTGGAGAAGCACGTCTTGGTTGTCATGACGGACATGTCTTCGTGAGTCGGCGTGGGCTGAGCTGGGCTGATCCCAAAGATATGCCGATGCGTTGCGAGAAGTCTCAGCGGCTAGAGAAGAAGTTCCTGGTCGACGAGGTTACCCAGGTTACCTGTATACCGATTTATCGACACTGTATGAACGTGCAGGACGAGTGGAGGGTAGGAATGGATCCATCACACAGATCCCTATCTTGACCATGCCGAACGATGGTGAGGATCTAAGCGAGAGAGACTCCGCTGAAGTCAGATATCACCCATCCTATTCCCGATCTGACTGGATACATCACTGGTGAGTCCATCGTGGTCGAAGTGCCGCTTACACCTTGCAGAGGGCCAAATTTATGTGGACCGACAGTTGTCCAATAGACAAATCTACCCACCTATCAATGTACTCCCGTCTCTGTCTCGTCTGATGAAGAGTGCCATTGGAGAGGGAATGACTCGAAAGGATCACGGAGATGTGTCGAACCAATTGGTAAGTCGCATGAGCGCACATATCATTGACGCCAGTACGCCAAATATGCCGTCGGGAAGGACGCAGCGTCCATGAAGGCCGTCGTCGGAGAGGAAGCCCTTTCAGCCGATGACAAGTTGGCATTGGAGTTCCTCGAGAGATTCGAAAAGGAATTCGTCGGACAAGGTGGGTGCGAGTCCCCTGGAGTGTGGGCTCACGTTCAGGCGCTTATGAACCTCGATCCATCTTCGATTCCTTGGATATCGCGTGGGACCTATTGCGTATCTTCCCTAAAGAGTCGCTCAACAGAATCAACCCAAAGGTGAGAGCCAGACGTAGCTTGGCTGACTCTAGATTCTCGCGGAATTCTACTCACGCAAGTCCAAAGAGGACAAGGCGGACAAGGAGGATAAGAAGGACAAGACGGAGAACCTCATAGATGCTTAGGATGGTTGCATGGTAGTGTTCATGATCGGGTCGTGCGTTTTCCCCCATCCGCACGCAGGAGTTCATCAGTCACTCCTCAACTCCCTTGGTTGATATTATATATTGCTTCAAGACCTTACTCCGCGGGGACATCCCGCCGACCACTCATTCTCTCTCTCGCTTGTGTGTCCATCTCCACTGCCCGTGCCCAGACCGACTCGGAGAGCTTTGCATCATCGTTGGACAGGGCGATGAGCCTACAGATCAGCTAGAGCAACGATGACTATTCACCTTGCGATCCGCATTCTTCGCGTCAGAGTTGCCTCGGCATCATTAGCGTTCCCGCCGGCCTTGCGGCTCGTAACGAAAGACTCCTGAATTTCTTTGGCCACGTCTTCTGGGATCTCAAGCTTTGCAGCGTGTTCCGATGAGCCCAGTTGAGCCAGCAAAGCATCACTACCCTGTGGTGGTGGAGTCGAAGGCTGAGTCATAGATCCGACTGGTAGATGCACGTCCAACTGAAGATCAGCTTACGCGTTCGATCATTGCACTCACAGGGAGCATGCTCTTCCCTTGACTCGTGACGATGAATCTGAGTTCGCACTTCATTTTCAGGTTGTCCATGTAAGGGTACTCGTATCCCAGCATCTGACTTTTCATACAATCTGATAAAGCCTGGAGATTCTTCACGGCTTTCGTTTCTAATTTGCCTCCTTGTCCCATGGCGTCTTCGTCGACCAAGACGACGGTACCTGATGGTAGTTGGAGTCGACCAGAGTTTAAAGAGGTAGAATCGGGAGAGTGGGGTTGGAAAGAAGATGAGTGTAGATTCGGAAGAGAGAGGGACAAGGTGACGGTACGAGTGAGTTGATTGAGTAATGGTTTCAGGGATCCACCGATAAAATTCAGAGAGAGGGTCCCAAGGGGTGGTAGACCAGTGGGTCTGGCTGATGGAGAGGAGATGAGCGAGAGTAAGAGATATTCCGCCGCCAGTGAATCAGGAGGAGAGAAGGAAGCAGTGAAATAGTCTAGGAGCTCTTGCCGGGAACAAGGGCTCGATAAAGGTTTCGGCACTGGTCCAGATCGAAGGACGTGGATACAAGGAACCATGACATCCTCCAAAGCTGGCATAGGTGCAGATGAGACGACGCCAACGACTCGGACCAGAGCAGCGGGCTCCCTGGATGGTCCTTCATCGTAAACCTTCAGCAAGGCCCCCAGGTAATCTCCGTGATTCTCCAAGGGAAATTTTGAGTGTAAGCTCTCCGGCAGTGTGTTGGTTGATGATGACCGTGATGAGCCTGGTATTCTGCCATCTTAGCGATAATGAAGGGATTTCGAATAACTCACTCTACAGCCCATCCGACCCATCGTTCTTTCAGATCACTCCAATCATCGCTGCCTTCGGAGTATACCTCCATAGGATAACCTACATCCTGCAGCATACAATCAAATCGGACGAGACTGAGAGAGGATGAACCCGGTGAGAAGGGTGAAATGTCTCCTTCGAGCTCCGTCTCGATACGACTGATATATTCCGTCTCATCTGGGCAGCCTATTCATCAGTCCCATCCTTCTTCCCCTTTCTACTCACCCCCATCATGCTCCCTTAGCGCTGTTCTCAATATCGACCTCAAGTCCATGGTCATGCAATGTTCAATGTCAGGCGTCTGACATTTTCAGTCCCGGTGGACGCGACGGTCAACGTATTACGTAAGGAGACTGACCCACCTCCACGCTCCTTACCTTTGCGACGTTGACGCTTGTAACGACCTCACCCTACAAAGTCACAATGGTGAGCAGTGACGACGGAGACAATGACTGACGTGCAGTCGGCTCAACCTGGAAAGCCAGTACCTGTGGAGACACAGCATGAGGACATGATTGTGGGTCAATTCCGCTCCTGAGCTTCACTTACTTTCAGCACGATGCGCAATTGGACTATTATGGAAAACGGTTGGCGACTTGTTCCTCAGACAAGACCATAAGGATCTTTAACGTCATCAAAGGGGAGGCTCAAGGAGAGCCAGTGATACTGAAAGGGTGAGTCAAGCGGGTTTCTTCCAAAGCGGCGCTCAGTCGTAGTCACACCGCCCCCGTCTGGCAACTTGCATGGGCCCACCCCTCATTCGGGTCCATCCTTGCCTCCTGCTCTTACGATGGACGAGTCTTCATCTGGAAAGAGGTCGGAGCGGGAGGAGGCAAAGGAAGTGGGGGAGAACTACAAGATGGATGGGAGAGAATCAAGGAGCACACATTGCACACTGCCAGTGGTAGGTTTTGCATCGGGCAACATATCGACTCACCCCTCAGTCAACTCCATCGCTTGGGCACCTTATGATCTCGGCCCGATACTCGCTTGCGCCTCGAGCGATGGAAAGATCTCTATTCTCAGCTTTCAAAGTAAGTCTGCAGGTAGCACATCTGTCTGACAAAATCAGATGACGGATCTACCGACGCTTCCATCTTCCCTGCTCACGGCCAAAGTGCCAATGCCGTCTCTTGGGCCCCATCCGTTCTCTCCACGCCTCCAGGCCAAGCTCCTCAACCCGGTCAGAACGGACAGGTTCCAGGAGTCGCCGCTGGAGCGACCTTGCAACAGCAGAAACGGATTGTCTCTGGAGGGTCTGACAACCTTATTCGGATTTGGGGATACGATGAGCAGGCCAAAAAATGGATCGAGGAAGAAGTCATCCAAGGACACGACGACTGGGTCAGGGATGTCGCTTGGGCACCGAACATTGGACTCCCAGGGATGTACATTGCTTCGGCGTCTCAGGTGAGTCCAGTCCAAAGCTCAAATGGGAATTGGACTAAGAGTACAGGATAAAACTGTATTGATACATTCACGACCATCCCCTTCTGCCTCTTGGACTTCTACGGCCTTGCTTCCTAATGCTCCTGAATCAAAAGATCCCCACTTTGCAGATGCCGTCTGGCGAACAAGCTGGTCCCTTGCAGGTGAGACTTTCCCTTTCCCCGGCGTGTTCTCTCGACTGACTTGTCAGGCAATATACTCGCGGTGAGCTGTGGTGATGGTAAAGTGAGCTTGTGGAAAGAAGGCGTCGGACGAGGTTGGGAGTGTGTCAGCGATTTCTCAAGCTAGCTAGGTATGCTAGCTAGATATGGAATGATTCGGCCTAGTTACATGAGCGCTCTGTTCCTTTCGTTGAAGGACTTTATCATACCTTGTCAGCGAGAACAGTCCAAGGTGTCTCGCTGGATCCATTGAGCACAAGTAGAAAATTGCCAATGTATGGACTACGAATGGAAGGAACGCCAGAATTTGCAGGCAGTGTCTCCTCCGGAGCCAAGGGGATCGAGCGGATGTAGAGTCGTCCGAGCTGCTCATAAGCGATGAAGGATCTTCCCCGATTCAACCCACCTCGCATTCTATCCTGGGTGATTCGTCCGTGGTCCATTGCGAAGCGAGACCTAGAAGCAGACGCATCCGCTCAGGCTCATCTAGCCACGGTCCTTCATCCTCCTCCTCCTCCTCCTCCTCCTCGTCGTCGTCGTCATTCGTCTCGTCGCGCTCTCCTTCCGGTCGCCGAGCACTCGCCACGACTGATCCATGAGGTGATGCGAGAAGCGCAGTATGAGGTCCGGATTCGACAAGCTGAGAAAGGGATTCATGACAGAGAAGCGGGGAGAGGAGCATGGTGAGGGAGAATTGGAGACAGGACTTTGCGTCGTGGAGTACAGCGGAAGTTTCTGGACGTCCAAGATGCCTTTCCCACCTCTCTATCTCTGATGGCAGATCAGTGTCGCTGAAACGGTTTGAAGGATCGATGCAACGCACAGAACAGATTCACTGATCTGGAAACGTCATTTCGCGAATGCTTAATTTTTGTGGCAAAAATACGAGTACAACCAAATACATACACATGTGCTATGCTATACTATGCTACATCAAGTCGTCAATTGCGGGGTCAATGGCCCCGTCGTAGGTGCAAAGTTCCACACCATCACATCACCGTCGTCTGATCATCAGCCAACATTCATTTGCAGAACCCACCTGACCCAGAGACAATCATATCGTCGCTCAATTGCAGAGTATTGACCGCTCCGCGGTGTCCAACCAAAGTCTGTACACAATCGCCCGACTGAGGATCCCACACTTTGATCGTACGGTCGTAAGAGCCCGAAGCGATACGCAGTGCGTCAATGTCCACAGTCCAGACTCCCTCGATGTGTCTGTCATCAGCGGAACGTCGGACACGGCATCACTCACCCAAATAGGGTCGACCTATCTGTTCCCTTTTCAATGTCCCACAATTTGACTGTGCCGTCAAGACTGCCAGATGCAAGGACAGCCCGTTTTCCCACATAGAGTTCTCCGTGCGAGGACTTTTTTGAATGGAGAAGGACGGCCGTCGATAGCTGGGCGGCAATCTGAGGAGGTGACGGGGTGAGAGATGAGGCAGGCGCGAAGAGGCTGGAATTCCTAGGCGTCGACTGCGTATTGTGCTCGGTCCGCTCCTCCTCACTCGCCGTCGTGTCGACCATCAATACACGGAGACTCTGCACTGGTGCTTTGTGACCGCTGAACACCCTAACGCACTCCTTCGTCGCAAGATCCCACAGCTTGATGTCTCCATCATCACCGGCGGAGAACAGCATGGCGCCTGCATCGAATTCAGGCGCTCCGGGCGTGGGATCTGGCGACGTGCCGCGGTGTCGGGTAAATGAAGGCATTTGGGTCGGATCAAAATCACCAGGACTCGTCTTGCCGTCCCATAGGACGACGCTGCTGACCCAGTCATCGTGACCAGGGAGTGAGAAATGATTACCACTGCGAAAGTTCCAGACGTGGATCGTGGTATCAGCTGACCCCGTCGCTAAGAGGTACCCATTGTAATTGAGCGCGACGACACCATCAGTGTGTGCCTCAAGGACTCTGAGACAGTCTCCTGCCCGCCAATTCCACATGCGGACGGTTCCATCCATCGAGCCGGTGAACAGTAGCATCTGGTCAAATTGTAGAGCACGGACAGCGCGGGTATGGCCAGTGAGGGTCTTGACCACAGTCCCTGTCTCCATGTTCCAGATTTTGACGGTCTGATCGTATGAGCCAGTGATGAGGACAGGGTAGGAGGGATTGGTGAGAGTGGTGTGGTACTGGAGGCACATGACGGACGAGGCGTGACCCTTGAGCGTTTTGGTGATGCAGCGACCTTTGCGCCAGTTTCGTTCAACCCGAAGTCTTTCGCAGTAAACATCTTTCCATGGTCGAGTGAGCCGGGATTCGAGGCGGGAGTCGGGCTGAAGTGAAGGTTGTAAGGAGCCGAGGGAAAAATCTGAGCGGATGGAGAAGTGACGATGTTGGGTCGTTGTCCGAGCATCGGTTTTATGACGCTTTCTGCTGCTCTCACCAGAGGACTCGGAGTCAGCCTGAAGATTCTCAGGAATATGCTCCGTCTCTTTAACGTCTCTCTTGCCCAACACCTGTTCCCTCGTCACCATCGTCGTGGGCATATGGTCTCCATGCTGATGATCACCAATTCCCACCGCCACTGAGGGACTTCCATCTTGCAATTCCACCTTGAGACGGCGACGTTCCAGCAGAGGCAGGCCCCAACCACATTTCTCGCACTTGCGATCAATGTGTTGTCCACACATTCGGCGCCAAAGCAAGTCGTCATCTGCAAGCGCCTTCCATGACTTGGAGACTTGCGCTGCGCGACCGAGTGAGATGGCATCGAGGTAACCTAGAACTCTCATGTTGACTTCACGGGGGAGGATGGAGAAGGGGTCGACTCGAATGATGAGGTTCAGGGAATCGGACAGGTGTGAAAGTTGAGAGCTTGAAGTCAGCACAGAAGACGTCCTTGTGTAAACTCACAAGCAGCACATGGTGAGGATCCCCTCAAGAATGAGCTTGCGCTTGGCATGAGGGGCAGTGGAAAAGGTTGACCAGAGATGAGTGACTGCGGAACGTTCCGAGACAGGCAGATTGTCGAGGCTCTGGATATCAGCTGGTGATGCCACGCGCCTTTACTCACCTTTTGAAGCTTACTGTTGACATCTTGATTTGCCATCAATTTGTGTCGAACGCAGAGCTTGTGTCCGGCTCGGGACGGAATGACATCCAGAATCGGATCATCAAAGGACATGACCAAGTGAGCAGAGCCAGAGGTAGCGATTATCGTCAAAATTGTCAAGAAGAATAATGGCGTCTGAATGTACGGTGGTTACCCGTTGCAAGATCGCCTTAAACCCGTGTACCGCAGTCTAGCAGTCTCAATTCCTCGTCGGCAACGGCAAGACGGAGAAAAAGACAGCAAAAAGCAAGCAAGGATTTGTCGAGGGCTACAAGCAGGACAGCAGCTGAGAGTCAGGAGCTACCAACGTGTTCAAGAATAAGAAGAATCAGAAGGAGAAGGAGAGCGTTCTGTCGTTCGTTGCTGAGTCAAAAGATGGAAAGATGTAATAATATATCAGATAGTTGCTCCGCTCTCCGGTCCATCGGAATCAAAAATCACGCAATGTAAAATTCCAGATCCCCCTCTCTCCCTTCAGCTGCAGCTGATCCAAAAGTGGCGACATCCATGCCCCCCCGCCCCGCCCTCACGCCATATGGTGCAATAAACATTCCAGAGAGGCGACGTGAGACCATTTCATTCGAGATATCATCGGCGAGTCGATGGCGTTGGCTGGAGACTCACAAGAAAGAAGTGGCAAGGTTCAGGATTCAATGATGCGAGGTCGAGAGTACCCTTCGGCATCCGCGGCAGGCGGTAGGGAGGCACGTGATCAAACTGCCACGTGGCACATTGAATGCAGCTGCTGAGCTGGCCCGCCGAAACTGCTTTTGTCCTTGAATCTTGCTAAACAACTAAATATCCTCCTCAATCCTCACACCACGCTCGCATGCATCAAGTAGAACCGACTCAGCTGCTTTGACATTACTCAAACCTACGACCCCATCTGCTCGTTTTCGCCATATCACCTACGCGCTAGCGATTCCTGAATGGGCCAAGAACAAAACGCATAGCCTCGAATCCATGGCCACGTCGAGTCTAAAACTTACTTGGCAATGGCGCAAAAGAGAGGCCAACATGTTGTAGATGTGTATGCAACGTGTGTTGGCCATGTAGGAATCCACTCTCTGCATGTGCCGTCCCGCTCGACTTCGTCTAAAAGAACACTCGCTGTATCAAACTTCACCCCTTCACGCTCCTCATTTGATAAATCAATCATGCATCGTATATACAAACTCGAGGTAGGGTAGCGGGGCCAGCACAAGTGGCCAATAAAGGATACGAAATCGAACAAAAGGGTAGCGTCACATCACCTTCCAACGACCTGGGTCTGTCAGCCAAAAGACTGCACCACGGTATCAACTCACCTCAATCTCAAATCTGCCAACTATGCGTTGACCCGTTTCTGTTTTTTCCAGGACTTTGATATTCCAGACGCCTGCTGCTTCCGGGACGCCCCACAACTCCAAATCATCAAAGTGGATCCATTCAGGCATGTCGTCAGAGACTGCCTCATACGTTGCTCCAGGTAGTCCTTGGGGCTTGGAATCGCTAGAAGTCGTCGAACTCGTGTTGGAAGTTCGCAGTGGTGGGTAAAAGTGGAATGGTTCCGCCACGCCGAGGAGTATCCGATGGACAGGCATAGGTAAGGATGGTAGACTTGGAAATGCGTGTAGACTGGCAAAGTCGCTTACTGCGGTTTGAGATGCGTCTCGGGTGGACACCGACTTCTCATTCTCTAGGTTAACGAGGCGGGACTGGGTATTGACTATGGTCGGACTGACACGGCGCACTGGGATACGACTATGGAAACTGTCTGGCGAGCGTCGGGTGTCGATCCGGGAAGCGGTACTGATGATGGCATCTTCAGACGACGCAGATAATTCGGATTCGGTTGGAAAGTGGATCGTATCAATGACGTTGGCCAGATAGGTCGAACCCAGAGCTGAGGAGGACAGCTCATCATCCTTTGAGGTTGAAACAGCCAAGGCGATAGCACTAGGGCTGGTGATTGGGGGATCAGATGTGCGAACACTTCGAGGACTGCTTGGTGTCGAGCTCCTAGCCATTTCGCTTTGCGCTCTGGGCGGGCTTACTGGGCTCGATCGATCCGCCGCTGCCCATACGAATGGCGCTTCGGATTCCCAACTGGCTCTTGAGCTGTGTCCATGAAAGTGACTATCGGTCGTTTCATGCTCGCTGGATCTTGCATCGGGATTCGGGGTATCTGGGTATTCGTACGCTCCTCCACGTTTAACAATGCCGGCTTGGTCGATGGCTGCAGCGAGCTGAGCTTGGTATGCTGCGTTTGCAAAGGATGGCATGATGACAGGTGGAGATATGGCCGGCATACTTCGAGGTGTGGTTTGGAAAGGATTGACAAAGCGCTTCCATGTATCGTGTTTGATGAGCACCTGGGCCGAAGGTGGCATCTTCTCGTCGTATTCCATGCTGGGAGTGGTGAGCTGGGATTCCAGCTCCTTTTCCTTCTTTCGTCGGTGCAGGATCAGCGCTAGCATAAGGATGATCAGAACGCCAATGCTGGCTCCAATGACCCCAAGGACGATGCGGACGGCTTTCGAGAGACCAGGTCGCCTCGCTTTGATTGCCTCTGGGGGTGGCCACAGAGTCACCACAGCGGTGGAGATGGCGTGAGTGTTGGGATCAGTCGCTTGGAGGTCCACTTCGACACTGTGCGTCACGTTGGACGGTACGGTCCCTTGCAGAGACAGTCCCTTGAGGGACACCCAGGGGGAGGCAGGCTTAAATGTGGCATTGAGATCAGCTTGGGATTTAAGGTATGGTCCCAAGTCGATCGAGAACGTCTCGTTGACGAGGAACGGTCCGAGAGTCGGCGAAGTAAAGGCGTAGGGTGAAAAGTCCATGAAGAGGGTGGTATTGGCGATATCACCATATTTATCTTCGATGCTGATGGGCACGGCGATCGAATCGCCTTGGGGAACACCGACAAAACTCTTGTTGGTAGGCACATACGTCAAACCTGGAATCGAGCCAATAGTGAGGTCGACATCGATAGGCTCTCCATCCAGCGTGGCATCGATTGGCACGCTGGTCGAGGACCAGACTCCGCTCGTTAGATTCAGCGATACTGGTGAGACTTCGAGATCATGGGAAGCGACGACCAGATTGAACGATTGGAAGATATCTGCACAGCCAAAGGTGTCGGAACCAGCGACAGTAATATTGTACGACTGACTAGCAATGGGCGCGACACCATCAAAGGTCACCGTCTGATTATTGAAGGACAACCAAGCAGGCAGTGGTGAGCCATCGGATAGGGCAGCCTGATAAAACACCCTCGTCGGGGCTGTGAATGTATTTGGCTCGAAGCCCATCGAAAATGACCATCCAGGAGGGACTCGGGCGCCGGGATAATGACTTGAATTGGCGCTGTACGGGAAGCACGAGGTGATTGTGGGGCTATGTAGCTGATTTACGATTGGATCACTGACAATCACCGGGCCAGGTCGTGGCGTCACTTGAATCGTCACGGGAGTCCCCAAGTTCACCACAAATGAGCCCACATCGGCCATGGTCGGTCGCCCCATAAGTGTCCCATTGTTGAAATGGAGCCACGAAGGGAGATTTGACGCGGATTGAACATCAGTAATCCAGGTAAAGTCTTGATCTACTCTGGCAGTAGGCACAAACGTTTGTGCGCCAACGTCTCGCAGGAATAGCCCTGCGAGTAACCACAGCATGGTCAGTACAGTGTTGAGATCATTGTGGGAAGAAGAGACCTGTGAACACAAGTACTGTAGTTGCATGTTGTTGTCAACAATGCTTGCCAGCCAACATTTTTCAAACCTCTGAGACAGTCGTAAAATGTCAGGTGATGAAGGCGCGCGAGAGCCCCTGCGACGAGCCCCAACATGTCTTATCAATTGCATGCCTGGATCTGCAAGTGTCTCAATGGTGCTCTTCTGCCTGATCTGGACTCACACTGTTCAAGTGCTTCAGTCTTTATACAGACCGCCTCCATCGCTCCTCTCAACATCGGCGCCTTTTTCCTCCACGGGCAAGCCTTTGCCCGATCGCCATCCGTCAATCTCGTCTCGCATACTTTCGAGTCGGTCGATGAGCGCTTTCCCCACGTGGCCAATGCCACTTGGCGACTCATCACGGATTGTGTTGATCGCCGAGGAGAATGCGGAGGAAAGGTTTGAAAACGTGTCGTTGAACACCTGAGGCTGAAAAAAAAAGGTTATAAGAATGGTCGATGCATGGTCCGTACGTTGCCAAAGACTCCTCTGACATCTCCACCGTGGTCTGGTGTACCTGATCCAGGCATGGACCCAGGAGCAGCAGGCTCATTCGAGACTTGAGGGAAGACCTGCAGATCAGGTTCTGACCAAACAAAATACACTCACTCCAGCTGGGTTCTCTCTGACATCATCAGCACAGTCTAGCGATCGTAACTCACGCAGTAGGTGTCGGTCCCTCTACATTGTCATAATGCAGCACTCCATCTCCCGTCTTGTTGAAGTCTGACTATCAGCCCAGCTCGCTGGCTCCCCCGCTCTCACCAACTGCTGAGCCTCCTGATCGTGACATGATGGGTCAAATATACAAGACGTCACTGATTTTCCCGAATTCCAGCTAATCAAAAATCATTATTGCACCATGCATATATAGTGTGGCTATTTCATCTTCCTCTCACCCAACATCCACCACAACCGCAACTTTCCTCCCGATCTTTGACCCACTTCTCCCAGATTGAGTCTCCGCCTGTCACGCCAAACGATGCTACCGTCCTGCTCTCACATCGATCACATATCAGCCCAACGTCCCCAGCAATAGGCGCAAAGGTGACAGCGTCGTAAATCTGTGACTCAGATTCGTTTAAGAACAAGGACGATGGCGCCGGTAAAGTCAATGCCTTTAGGCGTACAGGGACGAGCTCTGGCTGGAGAAAAAGCGACTCCTCCTCAGTCGGCCGCATGTGTATCGCCTGTAACTCTTTACCCCAACGTTCGATCTCCACGCCATGACTCGAGGCTAAATTTCTCATGCGATCCTTGGCCAGGATCGTGGCACGGGGATCCCCACTGAGACTCGTGGGCATGTATCGAGTTTGTGGTTGAGGTATAGGGTGATCCAGCCCCGCCACGTAGGATGAGAATGCGTCCAGCTGAGACAAGAGGACGAGAATGGTGCTACGGGCGTGAGGAACGAGAACGTGCAGGGATCGAACGGCGTCCTTGAGTATCACATCTCGGAAGATGGACGACAGGGTGCAGAACGACCATTCGGCAACGGTCACAAGGGGCCAAACGCAATCAAACTTGATGATCTTTTCGAATTGGGCAGCGAGGGTGAATAGGCCACTCGCTTGGCGAAGTCGAAGCATCTCGGCTGAGACGTCGCGGAGTTGATTCTGGTGGGAATGTCCAAAGACGGCGACCTGTAGTTGCAACAGATGGTCTGCATCGAGCCGTGCAAGCTGGAGAATGTCCCGAGCTAGGTTGGGCTTCCTTGACGCAAAGGCAGCTCGGACGACGTCGGACCAGTCAGAGCCGTCATTGATAGCGGAGAGGATGGAATCGTAGGCGGAACTGGCGAGGTCTTCTTGCAACGGGAAAGGTACGAGAAGAATCTCTCGTCCATCGTGTATACCCACGAGCCCCAATGTGCCGCCTAGAGCTCCTTGACTGCACATGATGCCGTCGACCCTCCGTGGACCTAGATCTACTTTGCTTTGTATTGTCCAAAGGCGATCCATCTGGGCCAGCATGACGCCGTCGTCGGTACTCAAGACGACAATGAAATTAGGGCCGACCTGTATAGCCTCGATGATGCCAGGCAGGGATGCAGTCCGTGAACCGGATACGAACTGTGGTCAGCGGTGCTTGACATGGCAAGCCTCACCCAGTCCCACGAGACCTGACTGGTGGCTTCGGACAACTCAGCGAAACTGTTGACCAGCTCTGCCTCTTGCCGTTGAATGGTGTACGTGTGGGCTGCGCGAGGTTGAATGACCACCGCTTCGACGCCATCCTCAAAGGGCATGAATACGACACCTTGAAGGCCCCTGACGGGCAATGCGGGCAGCGGAGTCACCTCGAGATCTATCATCAGCGAGAGCTATCTTTTCCAAACCTACACCACGTATCATCTCTGGACATGCCCACCTCGGCACGCAGCATTCGCAGCTCGCCTTCACTTTCCGTCGCAACCCATGCGGCATCCCCAGCTTCTCCCATCCATCCCCGTTCGATAGCGTACCCACTGTCGACAGGCACCTGTTCACCTACTGATGCTCGCCACCGCATGTGGATTGGACACTGGATCATGGTGGAAGTGTATTTGTACGCTTGACTTGATGGGTGGACCAGTAACAATGCTTTCGTCGTCAAGACCAGCAAGACCGGGCCATGCTCTGGTCTCCAGGATGGCGGGCCATCTCCAGATGTGTATAAAGGTAATACTTCTATAGGTTCCTTGTCCAATGCCAGAGTCGCATGATTCAATCCGAGTACGTTGGCTGGAACCATGGTAGGCGACAATATGCCCTTAGGATATATGCCTAGTTGTCCACCTTCACCGACAATATTCGGATGATACGTCGTGATCCAATCACCGTGTTGCCACAGAAACTTTACAGGTGACATGATGGGCGGAAAGGGTATAGGTCGAGGTGGATAAGAGTCATAGATGGGCGTGATGAGAAAGCCGGAAGGCGAGGGGTAGACAAGGTGAGATGTAATGAGGTGTCTGGCATCTTTGATCGTGGGCGGAGCTGCCGCAAGGCGTCTCATACGCTGCAAACCGGCTTTGGAAGACTCGGCGGGATCCATCATCGCGAAGTGTATGCGACCAACAGAGCACCGTTGGGATCGAGGAATTGGACAGTAACAACAAGAGGCACATGTATGACTTTCGGAGATTCGCGATACTCCGCAAATCTGGCTCCATACACGCGATCCGGGACGCGATATGAATGTCTATATTCGACATCGCTATCGCTCATTTCTCATTGAATCAGTGCCAGAAGAAGAGCAGGACTCGCTGCAAACGCTGTAAAAGATTGGCATACCGTATAGCTCACTGTGCTGGATCGGCGTCGCGAAAGACTAGATCGACGACGAAGCCTCCTGGATCCAAACCCAATCCGACAAAGCCATCATTAACTAAGCTCTTCTCATCCACCATCATCATCCTATTCTCATGCCGCAAGGAAAGCAGGCGAGCACCCTGGAGGAGCTCTCGGAACGGTATGTACAATGTCTCTGGGATTTCCGCTGACTATCAGGATCATTTACTCGGACAGATGTGCGTCGTTTTTATCAACGTTAGATCTCATGTAACTGACCCCCGACAGACTCTGACGACAATTTTGAATACCGTCATGTGATTCTGCCTAAGCAGATGCTCAAACTTATCCCTAAATCGTACGTCGACCCACATGCTGTCCTCTGCTGACTCGTAGATACTTTGCACCGGATGATTCTGGATTACTGCGGATCTTGGAAGAAAATGAATGGAGAGGCATAGGTATAACTCAATCTCTAGGATGGGAGCATTTTGAAGTACACGGTGAGCCCAGAGACCGTGATAGTCATACGCTGAACAATGTACAGCACCAGAGCCTCATATCCGTGAGTTCTATACACGATGATATCCAAGCTGATCTCCCAGTCCTGTTTCGCCGCGCATTGGTGAGTGTAACTGATCTCAAGGCCCCATTCCTCTCTGACTGTCAATCTTAGCCCGCCAAGAAGAAGTGATGCACCCTCGTTATCTGTTGTCAGTAGATCTTTGGCCTTCGCTGTCGCTCGGCTCATTTCAGGGATATATATGTATTGCAATGTATTGGAGAGACGGCGATGCATAGGATAGCTAAACGACGTCTAGTCGAACAGTCCGAAGCCCTGAGATTGTCAGCTTCAACCACATCGGTAACACCCACCATGTCGTCGTCGGATTCCTCCTTCTCCTCTTCCTTCTTGGCCTCCTCGGCAGGTGCGTCGGCAGCAGCGGCACCTCCGGCAGCGGCTCCACCAGAAGCAGCGGCGGCTCCACCACCTCCTCCACCACCAGAGGGAACGGATGCAAGCTTGCTGGATCCCTCGGCGATGAGCTGAGACATGTCAGCAGCGGTCCCATTGAAAATTTGACCTACCTCGTTGATGTCCTTGCCCTCGAGCTCAGAGATCAATTTGTCCAATTGAGAGTCATCGGCCTCAGCACCAGCAGTCTCGAGGAGAGACTTGATGTCGGCGGCGGAAGGCGAAGTGTTGCCTCCGAGTTGGAGCAAGAGGTAAGCAGCGATGTGTTTCATCTGCCGTCAGCGTTGTTCACCGAGTCCTCTCTCTCACTTTTGATGGAAACTGGCGACGTGAACCAAATTTAAGCTACAAGAGCAGGAACACGCTTTGATGCCTGGTTGATGTTATTAGATCAATGCAGCAGCGGGGTCGACGCTGGGCTCACCTTGTATAGTGGTTGGCAGCGAATTCAGACGAGGGGTGAAGGTTAACAGGTTTAAACCGGAAGCGGTCGGCGATAATTTGTCACGTGGCGCAGAGAATCTTAACACCGACACAGACGATTACCTGTTTGATCAACCCATCATCATGAGCAGGGTGAGGACTCGTATCCGACCTGTGGAGACTTTCAGTGGACTGACCGAGCATGAGACGCCGGAGAGGTTGAGAGCGCTCGAGAAGGGGTGGCGGGAGAGGAGACGGGTGGTGTTGGATGAGATAAGCCCCGGCGATCGAGGGTTGAACGGAGCATCGAGTGCGAACGGGCCCAGGAGGAAATCGAATGGTAACGAGTGCAAGGCTACGGAGGGCTCTCGTCAGAGCATCACGCAGCTGCGGAGAGTCACAGATCAGCCAGATGGACCCCGTAAGGCTCCCAGCCGTATCCCCTTGCGAGCGATACCACACATACCGGCGTCACCACCAGATAACCCTCCGGCAAGAATATACCTGCCTATCCTCGCACATCCACTACCGCCCACAGCAGGCCCTGTATATCTCCTTGGTCGACGAGACGAGACTATCACGATCCATTCACCTGGTTCAGCCATCGAGATCACGATTCGACTCAGTCCAAACCGGGAGATCCGGATCTCACACCATGGAACAAGACTAGCTATGTACCATCGGAAGGCTTCGTGGACTCTGGGTAAAGAGATTGAGTTACAGCATCTCACCAGCGAGGACGCAGCTCATTGGACCACCGTTGCTGAGATTGTGGAGCGATTCAAGCGGCAGACGCCTAGGGTGAGTTGCCTGTCCAACGTCGCTGACTACAGGTCAAAATGTGGACAGATTTTGGATGTCTGACGATAACGTGTTCCTCGCCTCCGGATGTCATTCTTCAGTACACTCTGGGTAACTGCAAAGTTCGAGCTGTCTACTCTACAGCTGAGCTGCGAATCGATACATCGGCTCGTGGCACAGACGGCACATTCAAGACGTCTCGAGTGGTGCCGCTGGGCTCGCGACTGTCTGAGATGCAGGACAAGCCAGCAGCAGCGCTTGGTATTGATCCCAGAATGATCTCCGCGTGGTCGCCCCCCGAGTTAGAAGCTATGTACCGTTTGTACAGACTCAGAAACGAATGGTCGAGATGGATGCTGTAGACTGTATGCCACTTCTTTTTTTTTAATGAAATCACTCGTGACAAAAATGTCCATTCAGTCTCTTTCTCTACCTACAACTTACCCACCATGAGACTGTCTCGTGGGGCGCTACGACAGCTGGCGGGCACGCGCGCTCTGTCCACAGCTCCTTCAGCACAACATGCTGCCCCTGTTGCGTCCTCATCTTCCTCTACCCCCTCGACATCATCATCGTCGTCGTCGTCGGCGTCGTCTTCTTCTGCAACTCCTGCCGAAGTCGAATCTTCTCGCCCTCCTATCCTTCCCTTTTTCCCTATCCCTCGTCCACCCAACTTTCCTGGCAAATTCAGACCGAACAATGGCGAGTATCCCACTGTCAACTTTGTCAACTTTCCGTATCCTCTTTGGAAGCCTACAGCGGCCAAGGATCTCCCAAAGGATACTGTTGGAGGAGATCATCGCGAGAAAAATCAAAAAATTCTCGCTGCCATGACGGGCTTGGAGGTCAAGGAATTGAATGACCTGCGTCGAATGCTCATCAAGCAGCAGAGGGTGTCGCATATGACTAAGAAGGGCAGAATGCGAGGGATGGTCGCTTGGATGTTGGTCGGAGATCCAAACAAGGGGTTGGTAGGACTCGGGCGAGGCGCGGCAAAGAGTGGACCTGCAGCGGTGGACAAGGCGTTCTATCAAGGTACGTGAAGGGCAGACGACTTTGCTGTGCTAATGGAACAGCCTGCAAGAATATGGATTATGTCGATCGTTATGAAAACAGGACGTTGTGGGGTTCGGGCAAAGAGTTAAGGGGAAAGTTTGAGTCTAGCGTGGTGCATCTGAGGGCGAGGCCGCCAGGTGAGTCGCACCTCAGTCCATGGCCGCTGACTCTCTTAGGGTTCGGCTTATTCGTGCCGCATTCAGTGCACAAGGTTTTGAGCATGTGTGGGATCAAGGACGCTTCGGCGATGATCGTTGGGTCAACTCATTTGGTCAACGTGACGAAATGTGTGATTCAAATGCTGCACGGAGGGGTGAGCGATGATCCTCAACTCATAGCTGACTCTTAGGCCAATCCGCCTGGATTCGGAAGTGGATTTTCAACTGCTGGAAAGGTGGAGAACAAGGGTCACGGAATGAGGACCAAGACGGAGATTGAAAGGGCAAGAGGGCGATATGGTGTCAACATTGGGCGTCAAGTCTAAATGCATATACAACTATAAACCTGCAAACGTTGATAATCTTCCGACGATGGCGAGAACCACAACGGCCACTATCCATCGCCAGCTTGGTATCCATCGACCGTGAGCGTGATTGACCACCACGGGTGGTGGTGGCGGCGGAGGTGTCTCCGGTGTGGGCTGAGGAGCGCTCACGCCTTTCGTCTGTCGTTATGAGTGGACTCGAAGGGACAACCTACGGAACTCGAGCCTGGAGCCTTGCCCATGTCAGGAAGGTCTGTCATTTCGGGTGTAGCATAGGTGGGGAAGATTTCCTGGCCAGTCAGTGAGGGGTTCCATTTATAGCAGGACCTACTCTGAACTTTTTGTTATTCAGATTGAATGCGTGAGACTGTTTGGCAAGAGCCTTCTTCTGCTCAACGGTCGTCTTGGCGGCACCGGCGGTGATTCTTGCGGTCAGCCATGTGGAATCGAGGATCATGCTCACTCGTCCGATAACATGAAACTGAGAAGACCCGTCAGGATGGTGGCGACGGACCACGCTGCGTTCCATCTGTCTTCAGTGATGCTCTCATTTCCAAACCTACGTGCTGGGATGGCTGCAGAGTCAACATCCGCATTCACGTTACGAACTCACTAAGATGTCATGCTCATGCAGATCTTGTGACCTGGGTCGAATCTTCCCGACGGGGTGAACAGCTTGACATCTGGAGGTTTGAATGCTGAGAGTCAGCAAAGCCGATATCCAAGGTTTCTTACGATAGTCTGAAGGGAACCAGATGAGACCATGGTATTCGCCTCCTTCATACGGCGAGTCAGGTGGTCCTCGCTTAAAGGAGAGTTCAGCGGCGGAGAGGACAGAGAGATAGACATACTATGATGAAGTGCCCTGCGATATCAGCTCGAGTCAATTGCTTGCAAACTCACAATCCAGAATGTTCTTCTCCTCAGGACAAGCCCATATGAACGGTGGTGGAGACTTTTGCATCGACAGATACTCCTGATATATGAGTGAGCGGGGAGCCAAGAGCTCAAACTACCTTTTGGAGCTGGAGGGACATCAGTGATGCTCAGCTCATGCTTTGTCCCGACTCACTCGTTTCTGCGCGACCTTGGTCGCCATGGTTGTTATTGTTTCCCAAGTTTCCCCAGCGCGACTCCAGTCAAAGGACGAATGATATGTGAGCGGAACTCTAAGTGGAATATGTCAAAAGGATCAAGAGGTCAGTCAGTCTGGCTGCAGATCAACAAATGGAAAATTCCGTCATCCCCGAAAGAACATCTCCACCGTGGGGGGTTACCGGATCTTTTGAGCTACAACTCTACCACGAGCGTGAACCTTTGGCCATTGCATGCACCTTCTTCGTATCTTTGACGATACATTCTAACTTGCGCGAGGTGCTCAACATGCATCGATCCGGTCTTGACGCACTGATCGTCGCATCCTTGACATGTAAGGGCGACACTGACCAAATCTTCACTTTCCTTCTTTGACATTCTCTCTACCCCTCTCTCCATGCCCAGATCTCATTTTCAGAGGTACTCTGTCCCCACTGACAATAGCATGGAGTATCCATTGCTCCAAACCAAACTTGAAGCCTTGGCTGAACGTGTCTGGTCGAGTGAGGCGCGTCAGCGACTGCTCCAGTTCTGCGACATGTCGACGTTGGCCACCATGCTGCCATTGGACAAGGCCTCGTTTTGTGTGGTCGTTGCAGAGCTATGGAAGACGATCGAGCCTAACTGCTTTTTCCAGCTCGCAGCTCTGGGGAGCTCAAGCGTGAGTCAGGACCTGGACATGACGCACTTCTGACTCCCAGAGTCGCCTTCTAACATATAATATGGCTGTTCAGACTCTGAACCTGCGCGAGGCAAGACATTGTGATCAAGCTTTCGATAGAATCCCGGATTTGCTCAAAACGTTTCCCAGTGCTCACACTGTACTGACCGAGTGGGCGACGTTCAAGGTCACGGGCCAAGGGGTCCGCCCAAAGATTCAAATCACACTTGAACGGAATCGAGCTATCCCAGGACTCAATATTCCAGCATCTGAACGTCAAATCGCCAAGCATTTTCCCGGCTGGAAGGTTCAAGTGCAGTACAAGTTGGGTATCCTGGATCAAGCATTTGAAAAGGCATCTTGGAGGGGCCTGAAGAAGTTCAATGTCGATTCAGCACTTGTCAATCTACAAGGGAATCTAGCGGCGTCCATTTCCAGCCTCAAAGTATGTGCGCCAGTGACTCTCGACGCAGTCGCAAAGTACCACCGGGCAAAGTCGCAAGCTGGTCTCCCGACTTGCGAATACACCATATTCACCCATAGCTATGAGATACAACACCTCAAGCAGTTCGCTCTGTCAACAATGGGAAGTCTTCAATTCCTCGACCTCAGAATGCATCCCAACTTTGAAGCAGAGGTATCATTGAAGCAGCTCCTGTGCGAATTTGACTGGGCATTCTTCTACGGCATAAAATGGCTGGACTTGACGGTCAAGGTGCCTCAGCTAGTGCCTGGAGTGGCGATTGCTCCTGGGTCAGCGTTCACTTCGCCCCAGACGCCTCCCGAGGATCTCATCCCAGTGCACAAGGGGCTTCCGCTCAATCTCAAAGTATTTACCATCCGCTTTCACTGGACCATTGATGATGACAACACCCTTCCCCCTCTGAATATGCGCCAACTTGCCAGTGCCATGCTAGCTGTTGGCGGACCGTCGTGCGAATATTCCCTCGCCCTTACCGATCACGATCAGGACTCGGAGATGCAAGTGAGGAGGAACAAACGAGCAACATGCGATAGGTGGCTGACGGCGTGTCTGAGAGGAGAGATCGAGCTCCAAAGGGAGCAAGGTGCACCGGGATGGTCGATACGAGCCAAGACAATCTGGCAATAGCCCTGAGCCTTACATCATTTCATCGTACATACAGATATAGCACGTTTCATTTCGCTGCAAACTTGCCAATAGACCAAGCAGCTTTCCCAGTAAGCTTTGCGGCGCCAGCGGCTGCCTTGCCGACGCCAGACATCACCTATCGTCAGCTCCCGCCTCAGATGCTCTTCGCTCACTTGTCCTTTACGTTCGTTCGTGAAGACGCTATCGAATCCGTCTCGAGCTCGATCCGCTACACTGGAGGCCGTGGCGCTGACACTGGGCGGGACATAGGATCCAGCGGTAGCGGCGGCACCTCTCCATCCAGATTGAACTGGAGCAGCCGCAGGTCGAGCTGAACGTTAGCGATGGATTCGACAACGACGAGCTCACTCTCTCCCACAGGCGCATGTCTCGGTGGAACAGGGGGGATTTCTCGTCCGTAGTTACTGGGTAGCGGCGGCATCTGTCTACCGGATGCACCGTAGGACGATTGTTGCTCTGGTCGAGGTCGGTATCCCATGGACTCTGGCTGTGGAGAGTATTGATATTCGGTATGAGCTTGAGCTGTACCGCGAGTCAAGTCGCTGAGGGATGAGTACTGAGTTGGGCGAGAAGGTGGGATAGGTGGTGGACCGCGATTTGCGGATGAACCATATGCTGTGGGTCGAGAAGACGGTGGAGGAGGAATTTCCGGCCCAGATGAGTTCCAAGGGTTGGTGATGGGCATGCTGAAGGGGAATAAGTCTTATGTGGATGGAAGAGTACAGAAGGTCATTGAACATGCGGTGCGGCGAGGCGGTTTGAAAATGGTGTGGGGCGCCAGATAAGGAACATGACGTGGTTTTGAACGTTATATGTGGCAGAAGGTATGAATGAAAGCAGGAGGGTCAGGCATCTCAGGGCCGTGTGTAGCATCTTCTCGTACCAATTCCCATGCAGCAAGCCTTATTTAGTACACTGAAACGAATCACATTGCTCTGCGGCTGCAGATATCCCACTGTAGTCAAACCCATGTCATACTTCTTCACCGTTGCACAATGGCATCTATTCCTCCATTTCCGCCTTCTCATTCAAGCCTGCTTGGGCCATAGGACCTTCTTCGTTGGTCGTCCACCACCTAGGCTTCAGAATGGCCTATCCCATATACTCACCATGTTTCTTCGTATCCCCACCACTTGTCCACCGCTCCGTCCCTCCAAGCTTGGATGAATGTGCTCGCTGTGACCAGAGGAGGCACAGAGTACAGCATAGTCAAGGGACGGTCGATAAACGTCGGGAAATAGTAGTGGAGAATAATGCTTGAAGACGTGGAGACGGCCAGTCCAATCATTGCCGCCTTGAACATTGGCTTCTTGAACGCTGGCGAGCTCCGAACGAGCTCCATCTTTTCCCCCGGTTCTCCTTTTTCAGTCAACCGAACACTATTGCCATAGTCATAGCGCAATGCCATAGCGACCTATTATCAGTGAGAGCCGAATTGAAGACTTACCAAGATCCCCCCAATCGCACATGGTACGGCGATCATCGGGGCAACCATTAATTTGTCCAGCCATGGACTAGGCTCGTGACGTGCCTCAAAAAGTGGTCCATTGCCTCTGCCGCTGAGTGCTATGATCCCTAGGATCAAACCCGTCAGACCTGCCACAAGGGCCTGCTGATCAGCTGTGGATATCACATATTGACACTCACCAGAAGGCCATGGACAAGCTTGATATACACTTTTACCGTCATGCGGTGAGGCTCAATGGCTGTAAAACCCATAAGAGTGTATGAACCGATAATGAACGGCACAGCTGTCATCCCATATTTTGCGCTCGCACCCAGGACGAGCGCCGCCAATATCCCCCCTGCAATCTTGGGATGGAGCGGACTGCCGACATTTGTACTGTACTCCAGAACGATAGCCTTTGATTCGCTCGAATGGACGTATTTGAGGAGAGATGGAAAGGGCCAGAAAATCATCACGACCTGCTCGGGAAGGTCAGCTAGCCCATCTAGCCCAATCGGCAGACATACTTCGCTATAGACCGAGTAGAAGATCCAAAATTCGAAAGCGCTATAGAAGCCGTCCACAAACCATGCTGCGCCGTACTTCAGCACGCCTATCCAGACACCCATCTGAGCGAACATCATCCCAACACCTTTGGCCATATGTAGGGTGAAGAATCATCGCCAGCCCTGGATCGCGGGCGGAGGAGGCGTAGACTCCACCTTGGGTTCTTTCGGAAGTGGAGGCGAAAGAGATTGTACGGTGATCCATCGCTGAGAGAAATCAGCTGAACACGAACTGGTTCGCGCTCACTCTTAGGGCAAAGTGACTTCCGTACGAGACGGATATGAGGGCAGCAAGATTGCCGAGAAGATACCACGAGACCTCTTCCCTGACCTCTGCATTGGTTTGCTCGATAGTCGTAGCGTTCATGTCAGAGTAAAGTGCAGCGCAAGGAATGTTGTGACACGAGCTTTCGGTAGAAAGATGTCATAAACATAGACATGACGACACAGCTTTGAGAGACGCGCTCTGCGGTCTGGTTCTCTGTGATGCAATCCAATGCACGAGCAAAGTCCGCTGTAAGAGCTGTACCATACTATATCTCTGGAGACTGCTATCTGCTACTATTCATGCATAGATTTGTACCTGAAGCAATACATCTATCGAAAACTGGCTGGTGCCCCATGACCGTCGGCCAATGACCGGCACCATTATCAACCGGACCGCTCCGTTCCACGTCCTTCCATCGTTGCCTCTGTGTGGTGGTCTCGTGTTGTCAACCATCTGTGCAAGTTTGCAAGTGCTTCTTCAGTCTGTCCACTGTCAGGTCACACACCTGGCCTCGTCCTCGGTACATGACTCATGTCGGCCGTCTCGTCATCCTGGTCACCTCCCGTGCCAAGCTCGTCTGATCATCACTGGGAGGAGGACGAAGCAGAAGTCGATGCGTCCATCCCCTCCACTCCTATAGATGGGCCGGAGGACTTCATACCGGCACCATGGACAAGGACAAAACCAAAGTCTGAACCAGATGCCCCTCTTCGGTCGCTTGACGATGAGGACGACCAGGACGACCAGGATGAACCGCTTCATTCCATCGATGCCGATGACGATGATGTCCCTTCTCCTTCGGAAGACCGCCAATGTAGAATCTGCTTCGCTGGCGTGGACGATGAACCAACGTCTGGAAAACTCATCTCCCCATGTCTATGTACAGGCAGCATGCGAGTGAGTCATCGACTGCGCGCGCCTGTAAAGCCATGCTGATCCGCAAAAGTATGTCCATGGTAGGTTGTGGTGAGCAAATGGCAGCTGAACCCAGTCAATTGCATCAATGCGTGGAGGGGCACTGGAAGCAATGCCGTGAGTGCTACGAGCGAGGAAACCATTGACTGACGATATGGCAGAAAGCCTTTCTTGGTGAGCCAGTCCCTATGATACCCTATCTGACCGCCGCCCAGAATGCCCTCAATGTCACCATCAGTACCGTCTCAGACGTGAGTCTGACCTTGACCGTCCAACACCTGACCCTAGTAGGGACCCTTGTCTCTGGCCTTGCGACATCCCGTCCTGTCCTGTTCATCCTCACTACGATCTTGTTCACGATCCTGACCATTCTGAACGGGGCACTCCTCCATTTCGGACTTCATACCTTGCCCTCGATTCGAGAGAAGATCTTCACCGCCCGCACACCTGTCTCCAACGTTTTTGACTTTAATAAAGATGAGGACGATTACTGGGTCAACGACAGCACGGTCATCATTGTCGGAGGAGGTGGAACCCTCATCTATGACATTGTCCTCGGCTCGATTCAAATGTTTACCGCTCTCGCTATCCAATTCGCCCATACACAATCTGTCATTTTCGACATGATCCCGGATCCTGTCGAAGAGGCCTTCTTCTGGCTGGGTATCCGTTTCCTCCTCGGTCTAGCCGTCATGGGTAGCTTTTCCTTCCTCTCCATGTTGATTTCATTCAGTCTCTTTGGTCCACTACAAATTATCAATTCTTTCCGTGGGATCGGCTTCTTTCGCAACTTTAGGCGTCGAACAGAGGGTCGGTCTATCAATCAAGTCGTCATCATCGCATTCGTCCTCATTGGGACGATCCGAACTCTCTTTCAAGTGTACGGCTGGGTCAAGCGACAGACTCATCGTATGCTAGTCTATGTGGAAACGCAAATTCTAGAGGTCAACTCGGAAGACCGACGCAAAGCTCGAGAAGAGGCCATCCGCGAACGCGAAGCGAGTTGGACACGACGCTGGTGGCGAGAGAGAAGGTATAATACCTGGCGAGGATGGTGGGAGATGTTGTTGCGCGTCTCAATACTGTTGAAGATCAGAGCAACCGACAAGTGGGAGGCCTTCAAGGCCCGACTGCGCCCAGAGTTAGGCGACTGAAGGCACAGCTACAGCGAGAGCGCGACGCGGGGGGTCATGTACAAGCTGTCGAAGATGTTGTAGTCCCGAAAATGGTACAGAGTACATACATTATGTTGATCCTGGTACATGTGTCGTTGACCCTACTGATGCTATCCCCTTGTCAGTCTGAACTGAACCGATATTCTCCGGAGGGTCGTCGTGGGGCGGGGTATTGGCTCGACTGTCGAGCGCCGGGGCGCCAGGAGGCGGCGGTGGCATCTGAACATAACTGATAGCGGAGAACTGTGGATGGTTCAGCGTAACATCACACACAAATTGGAGCTCTCTCACCATGTTACACCAGTCTTTGATGAGATCCTGACTTGACTGATTGTCTGTACCTTGCGCAGCACACAAAGCACATGCGATATGGAACACTTTACCCCGCACAGACTCGCCGTTCGACGCGAGGTCCTCTACCGGGATACTTTTCATGTCAGCGTATGCCGATGCCTCGGGAAACCCACTTCATCAACAACGAATGAATCTCTCTCGCTATGCCTTCGCGATCCTTTGCCAATTGCTCTTCGTCCACGTGCAATGCTGCTCGGAGATCATACTGTCAAGATCAGCCTTGTAACCCTCAATGTCCGACTCACCAGTGCAAACTTGGTGATCGCCGCAGTGATCAGGATATTTGCTCGCTGCATGGCAAATACCCCGCGCATCGACGTGACAGTGCTGACGCTTGGATCTTGAATTGCCGCGGGCATCTCGCGCAACGTCTCGTGCAATTTATCTTCCGCTTCAATGCTCCATTCCATCCCGACGGTCCTGAGTCCAGTTGCCAGACAACGATGGTGGAAGAAGCATTCTGAGAGGATTTTGAAGATCTTGGAAAGGCAGACAAATCCCGCCAGTACAGACGTTCTACCCGGAGGCTGAGGGAACATCCCTTGAGATGTGATGAATTCGTCATCGATAGGTTCGGGCAGCGAACATGTGCCTTGGAAGTCGTTGATGAGCATCGGCATTCCCGGGGTGGCCCGAGTCCTGATGTCAGCTCAGGTCTTGAAGCCCTGACCCACTTGTCACTCGCGTAGAGCTGCCAAAACACTCGCCGGCGGAGTTGTATTTCGATTGAATCGAGACCGAGTGTATTCGTCTTTTCGTCACTGTGCATACCCATAGCAAAGGCGAGCTGGACAGCTTGACCAAGCCGTGATCCGGCCGTGTGCCCAAGTCCGATAGAGAGGAGATAGAACGTGTCGCTAATGATGGTCAGCGATGGTCTTTGCGGCAATACCCACAATATGATGGTAGTGATTTGCGTCAGGTTGGTCGGCCCGTAATACGTCCTCTGAAGCGACTTGCATGTCCGATGGCACCGCCGTTGTAGCCGTTTCAACCCCTCAATGTCAAAGGTCTCGCTGACAAGACGGCTCGTAGGCAGCTGCGAGATCACATAGGCCACTGGCAAGATGAGCTGTGAGAACCATTGATTGAGACTCACCTATACTCAGCAGCAACGCTCTGAAATCCGTATCCTTGAGATCTCTTCTCGTTGCGAGATTCTCTGCAAAGGTCGGTCGATGAACCAAAGGTAGCAGTGGGTAAAGGTATTGCAGGAACAATGAGATGAAGTGGGATATGTTTGCCCAACTCGCAACGTCCTCCAATTGTGGTTCTCTCCTTGATGCCAGGAGGGCCCTCGGCCCCATCAACTGGCCACTGGAAGACGTGGACGCGGCCAGGTTCTCAGGAGATTCGAGAGCAAGCAGATGAGCTTGATCTGAAGGGAAAATGTTGGGAAAGGATAATGACACGTCGTTGCTGAAATCGATCTCTGGGCCACCCGGCGCTGAGGTGCCGAGTGAGCCCGCGACTGTGCCTTCCAATAAACTATCCAACCAGTCCAGCCCATTCAACTCGTGAGGGTCGTGATGTGTATCTCCGTTGGTTGGTAAGCCATTTCTGATTCTCGGAGAGAATGCAAATGATGACCATGGTCTCCCAGGCGTCATGAATCCTGGACTCGCTTCGAATGTGTCCATCCCTGCGGATAACATTGGCATGAGGCGATCATTCGTAGTGACTGTAGGTGAGATGGGTGGCTGATGATTCGTACTGCGGACGGAGTCTGGCGGCGGATAAGGCGTGAAGGGGTGAACGTGAGATGAGTTGAGAATGTTTCGATGAGGTCCAGTGTCATTCGTGTTCGACCGTGACCAATTGGGTCGACTCTCATTGTTGGGCTGCGGCGGCTCCATGGATCGATGCTCCTGCGCAGCCTTCAACGCGATCGCATAGCTGAGATGTGAGATGAGCTTTGGTGGTCTTCGTTCTGAACCTCACGAGTTCTTCCTCCCTGGCTTCTTCTTCACATAATCATACGTGCACGCTAGAGCCAACTTTCGACATCCTTCACAAACATCTTTATCGCCTACTTCACTTTCCACGCATTTTATCTGATGTCAGCGGAAACTGGAGATGCAGATCTTTCTCACCTTGCGCTTCCGACAATTGTCACACGTCTTGGTCGGGGCAGCCTTGATGCTGTCTGTCTCGCTCTTGGTCATGATTGGGTGGACTCTGTGGGCATGTGTCGAATGATTATTATAATCGGTGTTTGCCGGCAAATGGTTTAACCGTAATAGGGGCGACGGCAGGGGGGTTTAAGGACGGTGTACACTCGATGTGATCTTCTGCTTTTCAGACGGACGACTTATGGAGCGACGATGCCTTATCGATGTGACTATATGGGCTGTGATGTCTAAAATGGTTAAACTTGGGAGGCAAGGCTGAGTAGCTATTCGCCTCTTGACAATCTTGACCAATTCGTGGTGGACGCTTTCCTCCCCGTTTCCTCCGCCTTCTCAGCGGTGAAACTTTGGGAAGGATTTTGGGAATTTCCAATAATGGTTAGCCTTTTTGTGTGTGTGGCAGCTCCTGTCTGCCATGTGGGATGTGGCACTCGCGGCTCAAGGCTCAAGGCGTTGTTGGCTCAACGGTCTTATGCATAGTCATTCTCTCTCTCTCTCTTAAACACTGGCAAGCTCATCCGAAGTAATCGTTCGGACCTCTCCTGGAGTGGCTGTCGATCCAGAAATGGCACTGGCGACCACATCCACTGCGGTTCCGATCGATGATCGCGTCTGATGATAGTGTCGAATCTCATCAGGCTTGACTTCGATGATGGCCATTCGAGGATCCTCTGGGCCTCCCGTGTGAACACCATCGCCCTTGTCACCGAACCATGCTTTCAACGTGGGGTTGTAGAGTTTGGCAATGAGACCTTCTTCTTCGACACGACTGGAGCATTAATTAGTCTCATGAGGGGGTTTCTAAGGACTCACCCAGCCTTGCCAGAAATGGAGGCCCATCCATCGTTGCCCTCCATGCCGTTGATCGCGACATTGACGTGAGAGCTGAAACATGAGCACGTGTGGATGGCCTCAAAAGGAGAAGAAACACTCACTCATTCTCCACCTCCTTGTCCTTGTAGCTGTCACGGTCGTAGATGAACCTGATTTTCATGTCCTTGGTGATGTCCGCTGGCACCATGACTCGCGAATGAAGAGAGCCAGAAGGCGATCGAGTGACGAGCATGACAGTCTTGTGTTTCTTGATGAACGCGTGAAGGTCGTCAAGCTTCTGTGACAGGGACACAGACTTGCCAGCAGAGGCAGTGTATTGATCTTTTCCGGACATGGTGCGAGTGGATAGTTGTCGAGTGAATATGCGTGTCTGTCGTAGCATGAGTCAAACGGATGATGTCCGATGGGATTCACGGTGACGTCAAAAAGAGCTAGGGGACGACCGCCGGCGGCTGCGACCGTGTGAAAGCGGTCACGTGATAGACCCCTAATTTTCAGAGATCTCCCTGCGTTAATTGCTCGAGGCTGCTGCTCCCTGGACATACAACATGAAGCACCACGTCCCGTACCGCGGGGCGTTCTACACCAGATCAAGATGGAGTACCGAGAATGGAGTTGTCGTGTACAACGCCCGATGGCAAATGTACCGGGCTTACCTCCAGCTGTTGCGTCTCATTCCCGATCCACACCTGTGGGCCTATCTTCAACCTAGATTCCGAAAGCTTTGCGCCATTGAGCGGCCGGCGAGTAAGGAATTGCCTCCTGAACCGGATCTTGTAGGGTCAGTAGCGGAGATTGAAGAGGCCTACAGGGTATGGCGACTTGCAGTGAGAAATCATCACGAGGAGGCTATTGGATGGACGACATCCTTGTCTGAATGCAAAAAAGTGAGTCGAAGCGTTGCTCCTTTGCTTACATCAAGGAACTGAATCGATTGCGAGCTGCCGTGGCTACTCATCCTCATGCCCTTCTGAGACTCATTCAAGATGCTTACGGTCAAACCCCATCTAGTCCGTTGCGCAAGGAGCTCCTATGGGTGAGTTTGCTCACCTCCTGTTTCGTTGATCCCTTCTCCCCCAGGCTGTCTCCGAATCATCCCCACCTGAACCTCAATCGGATGAGATATATGAGCTGCTTGGCGAAGACCGCACTCCAATACCTGCTGCACTCGAACCCCTCGCTGCGAAACGCGAGATTCCCAACAGGGGAGTGAAAATACGCACACAGAGACCCTATCATCAGGGCAAAGCCCAGAACCTCACGGCGTGGCAGAGACGATGGAGCATCCTCAGTCCCCCGATATATCTTCCTAAGGGCTCTGGTGTATCGTGTGGATGGGAGGACAAAGGCATCGTCGTCGGAATGCGAGCACTCGCCGGCGTTGGAAATGTCTGGCTCCGAGATCGACATTTCCGAGTCACTGATCCAGGTCGTTTAGCCAAGCTCATCCCGAAAAGACTGACCATCCTCGATGGTCCACACCAGCTACCCACCTTTCAACTCCTCTCACCCATCATGCGCCGGATTTTTCCCATCAAGATCACCAAACCGACACTTCGCGAACCCCCTTATCCTCAACCTGAACGCCACGAGACCAGAAACGAGAGGCATCTGTGGGCTGGAGCCGTGCCCTTGACGTCGCGCATACTCCGAACAGCGTACGAGTCTGTCTGGCTCAGGCTAAACTTTACCCGACCCGTCAGCCATGACAATCTCGACCGTTGGGTCAAGTGCTCTTACGAAGAGATGAAAGCCTGGGAAGCGGGAGAGGACATTCCAGCATCCTCTCAGCCCTCGTCTGGATCTGCTCCGACACGGCCACACAAATTCGGCACGATCACATCGCAGGAGGAGGAGGCTCTTCGGGGATCCCCGAGGAGGAGCAGCGGCGTAGAGGACACGGTATACAAGTCGGCCGGGGGAGACCGTCTCTTGGCATCGAGAATAAAATTTCAGCAGTGGCAGAGCACTCGTTTAGAAGAGATGCGCCGACTCAAAGAGCCTCAAAACTGGCTGTTCATGCAGACAACCCTACTGCGATGGATGGCGAGATGGGAACAGATGCAGGTGAATGGCGTCGTTCATCGAAATACGTTTATCGATTTTTGCTCGCCGACAGCAGCTGAGCTCGACTGGATGAAGACTTGGGAAGATCAATTGGCCACGGGACAAGGCCCTTTTGGATTGGCACCTTTACCCCCGCCTGCTCCGACGCCACCGTCAGATATTCACTGGGAAAGGCGAGGGAACACCATCGTCAGAAACCTGGGTCATGGCAAGTTTAGAGAGGAGTTTAGATATGTTCCGAACGTCTCTGGGATGAGGCGCGGGTCACCATTCCCACTTCCGCAGCGTCTGGAGTATTCTCTCCCATCCGTGCCGAGCTCGATTTGGAGGGTATAAAGTAGTATCCCATTAGCAGTACTGTTGTATGCATTTATTGTTCCCCCGGAGAATTGCCGAAATGATGACGTGAAATCAACCTTAGCCACCACTTTCTGCTCGACCTTGAAGTCCTCTTCCCCCATCTCTCATTACCGCTTAGGACAAAGCTCGCTCATCATGTTAGCTCTACGTACCATTCCCCGAGTATTGGGTCAGCGAACCTTTGCTTCTACTGCCATCATGGGCAAACACTCACTCCCCTCTCTGCCGTATGCTTACAATGTGAGAGGAGATGAACATTGTGTGTGTTTTGACATCCACAGGCCCTCGAACCTTCCATCTCGGAGGAAATCATGACGCTTCATCATACCAAGCATCATCAGACCTATGTGACCAACCTCAATGCCGCTGAAGAGCAGCTTGAAAAGTTGACTTCGGCGGGCGATGTCAAGGGAGCCATCGGTCTTCAACCTGCTCTAAAATTCAACGGTGGAGGACACATGTGAGTAATGATATGGGTGGGGAATATTGCTGAATGAGGATGAACAGCAATCACTCGGTAAGAATCTGATCAGCGCTCCCTCCCACTGACATTCAGCTTTTTTGGAAGAACCTCGCTCCTCACGGTAGCCATGAAGCCAAAGCACCTAGCTCTGGACCCCTATTCGAACAGATCAACAAGGATTTCGGATCCCTTGACGCATTACAAAAGGAGATGAATACCAAGACGGCTGCCGTTCAAGGTTCAGGATGGGGATGGTTGGGTTACAACAAATCCAATCAGACCCTCGAAGTCATCACCACCGCCAATCAGGATCCTCTCTTGAGTGAGCAGATTCTGCCGAGCCTTCCGTTGACAAACCCAAGGCCACGTCCCTATCATCGGCATCGATATTTGGGAGCACGCATTCTACCTCCAGTACAAGAATGTCAAACCCGACGTGAGTTGGGGGTCACGATTGCCACATGCTAATCCGCCAGTACCTCAAGGCGATCTGGGATGTTGTCAACTACAAAGAAGCGGAAGCCAGATTGGTCGCTGCGAAAAAGTAGACATCTCGATGCATAGGTCGAGCGGCTTTGTAACCCCAGTCTGCGTGACTCGCCGTTACGGTCGACGATGATGTGGATGTCTGGTGCGTCAACATTGTCTTGCGTTTCGGACTCACCTCCAACGAAGTCCCAATACATCAAAGATCTCCTGCTCGGTCCTCGACGCGATGATTTCACCTACATTTATATGAGCCCATCTCTGCTGAAGCCGTCCTCACCCTCTGTAAACTTGAGCCCGTCCTTACCCCGTATGACACCATGTGACAAACCCCGCTGATTCAAGCTGTACCCTCGCTTACGGGCGTACAGACGCATACTTCGATTAAACTTGACTGGTTCAGTCTGGGTCAACCATGTCAAACGCACGATTTCATTCCCTACGGAAGGCTCATGAGCTTGGAATGTCGGCTGGACTCACCCGTGAAGTAGATCAGAGCCGCTCCCCACTGCTCAAACGGAATACAAAGAATATCTCGCCTTTAGGTTCTGTGCAGTAATTCACACCCACCCAGTCTGCGATATTTCCCATTTGGAGGCAATCGACAGATACCCATCCACTTGGCTTCCAAAGCCATCCAGTCGTGTGGGATTGACAGCTGGTAACGATCAGCTCTTGCAACAGAAATGAGACTCACGTCATGCGTTATGATCCCTCGTTTGCTCAATCCACTGACGAGTCGCTGAAGGACTCCAGCGTGGGTCAACCCGTCTTCCGGATGTCGAGTGATGAGAATATCCACATCGCCTGAATCCTCTTGCCCTCGTCTGTAGGAGCCCATAATTTCGATCCAGACTTTCTTATCGATGGATTCTGTTTCCGCCCGGATCAGATCGAATATCTCGCGACACTCAGCGCGAGGTATGCGCGTGTTGAGATCGTCAAACAGCTCCACGCCAATCTTTGCCTCGTGAGTCAGGCACTCGGGGTGGGGGTGGGGGGGGGGGGGGGGGGGGGGGGTGGAAGGGGGGGGGGGGGGTGTCAACCTACCGCCTGACCACCGCTCAAGCCATATTCACCCGTCCTCAGATCGTCTATACTCCGAGCACCCCGCTTATATAGCTCCGTGGCGAATGTCGCGCCGACACCGTATATCTTACGGAATTGAGCAATGATCTGGACCTGTTCGGTGTTCTCGTAGAACTGACGACCCTTGGTGCCAGAGACAAATTCGTCGATCTGGCGGTGTCAAAAAGATAGACGGGTGACAATCTTCTCACTCTGTCTGCAATGCTTTGTCCAATTCCTTTGATCTTCATGGCCTGGGCGCCAGAGGTGATGGGATCGGTCGTGCCTGCCATATTCAGCTATAGTTACCAGACACCACTCACGTCTGAGTATACTGGCAGCTGGGGATAATTAAGCCTTCGCCGGTGTGACCGCCCTACCTTGCTGATACTGCCGAATCGCAAACTCATTCTTTCCCTTCATGCCTGAGTACATCGTGTGCATGTCATCGAATTTGCTGGCCAACCACTCATTTGGACCTTTACCGCTCTTTCCATCATGAGCTTGTCCGCATTTGAACAAGTCGCCCCGGCGGTCGGGATTCGCCTCACGACCTACCGACGATTCTAATCGGTTCGGGCTATCATCCTGAAGATGTCAATAAATTCTCGCAACACGCCCACCTCGTCATCACTCGCAGTGCCGTTTTTCACGCCTGAAATCAATGCATCCAACCCATCTGCCTCGCCTTCTGGCGCGTCCTCCCACCCCAGTCCCGATGGTAAGGTGTGATTGGTCGCGACATCCATCTGTCGGTCTCGTCGACTGCGACTGAGTAGCGCTGACGCAGTTCGGAGCCCTGGTCCTCGATGAGGTCGTTTCGAGGACTCTGTGTCGGAATCCGAGGCGGTCTCAGGTCGTTTCCTGTGAAGGTTAGATTGGGCGGCGTCGTTCCAGACTTACCGATTGATGCTTGAGGTTCGTGACGCAGTGATGTCGCTTACGCGAGTTGATCCAGCGGTCGTGGTCCTGTACGTCGCCTGGCGAGTCAATGTAGTCTCCGGAAAGCTCAGCCAGGCCTTTGGCGGGAGTATAGTCCCCTTTGATGAATCAGTGTGTTGGGATTGCTGGCGCTGACTCACGGCCATTTTGCATCTCGCAACATAGTCCCACTTGACGCATATACAACCGATAGGCAAGTCTGTCAGTGATCTTATTCCGAGCTGTTGACAGAGGATTGATGGGGAGGAGCGATCGTGAATGACATGCGTGATGGCAGTATCGGGCTGCAGCGTAACTCGACCACCAAGGCTTGCGATCTTGGTGCTTCAGTATGTCAGGACGATGGGGCCAACTTACGATCCTCCATCGCTGATCGTGCTTGGACGCTGGACCAAGTTCTGGCGGGATACAGAATCTGAGCCCTTGGAACAGTGATCCCAAAGGGTCAACAACAGGTTTCACCCGGGATCTGCCTTTGCCCTTGCTCTCAGCCTTTTCACTCTTGATTTCGGACTTGGAGATATCCTTGGTGAAGCTTTCAAACAGCCTGGTCAGGGTCTGATATTCCTTCTTTTGGCGCATATGAGCGAAAGGTGAATTCCCGATGGGTACGGGTGAAGCTGGGTCCGCAGCAGCGGGCGTATCGATGGGCGCAGCGGCATGAGCTGGAGTATCGATAGGCGAAGCGACATGAGCTGGAGTATCGAGGGTGACGGTTCTGAGGTGCTTCAAAGACGGATCAGGTAGCCCTGGTGTGGCATTGCTGGGTGTGGGAACAGTAGGCATGGTGGCTGTCATCCGAATGAGCGGCCGTGGTGTGCGTGATGGACTCGCTTGAATGGTATCCGGTCCGGTATGAGGATGGGCTGACGATCTGGAGGGTCCTCCACCCTCTCTCGCCAGCCTCTCCTCAATCTCCTTTGTCGCATGTCGATTGAATGCTTCTGCTTCTTCAGCCGTCTCAACCCATTCGGCGCCATCATATCGCTCTTCTCGTGGCGTCACGGTGATGAAGGGGCGTGATGCCATCCCCGGATGCGTAGGACACCCTTCGTAAACATGTACCGTCTTTGTCCTCTTGTCATGAAACCATTCAGCAACATTTGAGCTGGTCCGATCAACTTTGGGACCAAACAAGTGGAGCCCCGCTAGTTTCCACGTGGATTTCCTTATAATGAACGCGGTCGCGAGGCGAGGCTCAGTCTGAAATGTCTGAAATCATTCCTGGACCCGGTGTCTGACGAACGACCATGGCGGACAGACGGAGAGCAGAGATCGAAGAGAAAAAGGCAAAGCTTGCTGAACTTCGACGAGCGAGGGATGAACGCAAAGCTCTCTTGGCCTCGGGAGGTACCTCGACCCAGGTCGAGGTGAGTAATGATTGAAGCAGGGGGTTTGTGTTAACGCTTTCAAGGCCGCCTCGACTTCTCGAAAGGATGTGAACGATCTGGTTGAGTCACTACTGGGTAGCTCATCCAGTACTCGACCAACATCGCCGTATCCTCCTCCAGGCCCCTCTCGGGCTCCATCAGGATCACATACACCTTTGCCCTCTGCACAGACCGGCCGAGTGACCCCAACTCCTCCTGTCCCGGATACGCCGGCGGGACGATCGAGCAGATTGAGCAATGAGGGTAGCACGGTGGACAGGAGGGGCATGAGTAATAGCCTCGCCCCTGTAGACAGGTATATCTGGATCAGTGAACTGAGCTGACTCTTCTATCAGGGATCTCTTGCCTTCGCCATTGTTGCAAGCTGTCGACTATATAGATCACTCGGCAGAGTTGTACGAGCTCCCAGCAAAGGTGAGGGGAGTGATGTGAGGAGGACTAATCTTGAGACTGCAAGACCCGTTGTGACCTATTCCAAAGCCGTCCAAACGTCGTCTGTTTCGACCGGCACATCGACGGACGAAGGAGGGCCGGATGCCGACACCGCGGATCACGGCGGCAGTGGAAGGGAAACAGAAGATGAGATGAGAAAGCGGATACTCGAAGGGCTGGAGGAGGAGAGGAAAGCATTAGAGAATGAGTTGAGGGAAATGAAGCGGAAAGAGGAGGACAGGGTGGTGTCTGGTGAGTGTGGGAGGGCTAGGGATTGACCTACGACCTCCAGTCGAGGTTGAGTGATGATTGATGGGTTTTTGCCTTCCAGATATGCCACACGAGGAACGGCAAGCAGTCTACTCGAACAGCGACTTTGTCTCATTCATAGAGGAGTCGACGAAGATTGTACAGAGGGCTTTGAGTGACGGCTATGACTACATACGAGATTATACCATTGGGATTGACGGCGCATTGTGAGCTTGTTTAATGGATACGTTGATTGACCACCGCAGTGACGACGAGAGTCAGAGGGTCAAACGCTTCTGTGCATTCTCAGACGACAGGTGGACCGTGGGTCGATCCATTACAGACATTGATTGGTCTCCAAAGGTCAGTCCCTCACCTGACCGAGGCTCACACATAGTTTCATGAGCTCGCGGTTGCGTCGTACAACAAAAACCCCTCGGCTGTGAATGATCCCGATGGAATCGTAGCTGTGTGGAATTTACACCTTCTCGAACGTCCAGAATTCATCTTTCATGCTCCAGTATGTCAACCCTCTCCGCGAACGCCACTGACTCTTAGTCTGACGTCTTATCCGTGACATTTTCCCCCTTCCACCCGACACTTATCTTTGGCGGTTCTTATTCCGGCCAGGTACTCCTGTGGGATACACGAGCCAAACAACAACCAGTACTCAAGACACCGCTATCTGCTTCTGGCCATACGTACCCGATCTACTCGATGAAGATTGTCGGCACGCAAAACGCCAACAACCTCATCTCTAGCAGTACCGATGGACTCGTCTGCACCTGGCTGGCAGATATGCTCGCTCAACCTCAGGCAAGTACCCCCGTCTGACGTTTCTGACGCCACCCGGCAGGAAGCTCTCACCCTCACCGTCCCTTCTCACAACAAGACGGATGAAGTATCCATCACCTGCCTCGATTTTCCCGACAACGAAACGGCCACATTCTGGGTCGGAACAGAAGAAGGCTCGGTGTATCAAGTGCACCGATACGATCGAGCCTCGGCGAAAGCGGGTCTCAACTCGGCCCAAGATGAGATCTATCGTGGTCACGCAGGTCCTGTGACGGGTCTGGATGTTCATCCCGCCACTGGATCGATCGATTTTTCTGACTTGTTTTTGACCAGCTCGGTCGATTGGACAGTCAAGCTGTGGCGAGGCAAAGCGGCGGCGGCGGCGACGGCGGCGGCGACGGCGGCGGCGACGGTGGCGAGGACGACGACGACGACGAGTGTGGACAAAGGAGGCAGTCGTGTCTCACCGATTTCTTCGTTCGAAGCGTCAGACGATTACGTCTTTGACGTCAAGTGGCATCCTCATCATCCTGCGATGTTTGCGACGGTCGACGGCGCCGGTAAATTTGACCTGTGGAATCTGAACAAGGATGTCGAGGTGAGCTACGTGAGAGATACGTGGGCGCTGAGCTTTTTCAGGTCCCGGTGGTATCCACACAGGTTTGTGATCAGGCCCTGAACAAACTCGCCTGGGACAGGACATCAACATCACGCAAAGCAGCCTTGGGCGGGAGCGACGGCAGATTATATGTCTACGATGTGGCGGAGAAGCTGGTCGCTCCGCGGGACAGCGAGTGGATCGACCTACAAAGGACGATTCAAGGCCTCGTTACGGTCAGAGATGCGGGAGGCGGCGGGCTCAGTGTCGAATCGCCGGCAGCTCCCTCAGGTCGTTATGCGACGAGATGAGACCATGATGCATGGTTCTAGCCCAAACTGTTGTACCCACCCCTGCTCCCTCCACCACCACCTCTCACATTTGCAAAGAGATGGGAGAATAGATCTCGTAAGATGTCCGGAGCGCTCCTCCAAAAGTCTCGGTGCGGTAAAAGGTCCCAGCCTTTGGCAGAATATTGCTGGTGATTGTAGAATATGCCTATGAGAGTCAGCACTGAAGTTGGATTCCGGTGATTTGACTCGCCGACGGCAAAGTATATGATGAGTCCAATAATGAGCAGCCAGAACAACGTCTTGATCAAGGTCCACAATGAGATCCCACCGCTATCTTCACCTCCATCGTCATAGGTATCTCCCGATCTAGGGCAAGCGTCTGGAGTGGCCCATTCGAGGGATAGGTAGCCTCCGGAGTAAGAGATGAACGTTGGATTCGGATCCGTGGCCGAGTCATCGCATAACAGCGTGAGATTGAGGTGTTGACTCGTTCTTGGAGACAGCATTAGAGCATCCTGGGACTTTCGTCTCACCCAGAATAGTCGTTCCCCTGTACGGATATTCTCACCCCATCTTGACCATTTCTCCCCAACGGCTCTGTCCATATCCTATCATTTGACGTATCCGTCTTCCATATAGGCACCACAGCTGTGACTCTCTCTTTGGGATCCGCGCTCTCTTTATGATTGACCAGTGTTAGACACACGATAGTATGTTCAGGACACTAGATTGCCATCAGGCCTGAGCATCAAATGCTCTCTCACCTGATCTTCATCCGCAATGCCGTCCTGCCATTCTAGCTCAGAGCAGAGACTCATCGAGGCTTGTGCTTTCGAAGTCGTAGGTTGTGTCGGTGTATCTTTGCTAGCTGTCCTGAGAGCTCCGAGGGGGATCAAATCATACTTTATGGAGGATGATGTGAACTGGCAGTCAAAGGCGAAGGTAGGGATGGCGAGGAGAGACATGGTGAACAGTGTGTCGAGATACATCTTTGAGCGGATGATCATGATGGCTAGAGAGTCGGTCGAGCGTCCTGGACTGGGTTGAACGTCAAAATGACCATGGTGGCAATGAGTCATTCTCGGATCATATTTTTACAGCTGAAATACCGAGATCCCCGACCTCTCTACCTATATACCCGACCTCTCTACCTATAGACCCATGGCTGATGAGCAAGCAGAAGCCTCGAGCTCCTCGGCATGGAGCAAAACACTCGTGGCGGGGCCATCACCATATCATGAGTCATCTCAATACCGCGATTGGCGATACTCTCCGTCCCAGCTCACCTCGTTGAGAGAAGCGCTGAACAAGAAGAGCGTAGAGGTTGTTACTAGGAATACGGAGCTGGAGAAGGTGGGCGAGCTATCCCTCCTTGCTGACACTCCTTCAGGAAGCTCAGAAGAAACTCGGTCATGACTTTCAAGATCCACCTCCACTGACGTCCTACCTCTCGGTCCAGGATGAACAGCTGCTTCTCCGATTCTACCTCTCTCAAGCATCTACCATCATACGTCAGGGTTTTGGACTTCCAGAAGTGGTCGAGTCCACGGCCATGTCATATTTGAAACGATTCTATCTTAAGAACAGCGTCATGGAATGGCATCCCAGGATCATCATGTGGGACTGCCTCGTGCGCTCAAGCTGACGACCCCGCAGGCCGACATGTATCTATCTCGCGGCGAAGACGACCAATTATCCGGTCTTGATGGAACACTTTACACCCAAATTTGCAAAATTGGACGCTCAAGAGATCATAGATACAGAGTTTGTCGTGTCACAATCGCTGAGCTTTCAATTCTGGGTGCGAACGCCTGAAAAGGCTCTCAGAGGCTGGGCATTGGATCTTCAGGTGGGCGGTCCGGTACTACTTCGAGTCCTGACTATCCCCAGACCAAGCCAAAGGCAGACGTAAAAGCAGTCAAGAAATCAATCTCATCAGCTTTGACTTTTCTCTCAGCATCTCGACTGACCGATGCAGAGTTCATTTTCACGCCTTCACAAATCTCTTTGGCCGCATTAAGACTCGCGGACAGAGGATTGGTCGACGAATACCTGGAATGGAAGTACGAGGAGAATGGGGAGACAACATTCGGTCTGACCAAGGGTCGACTTGTCGAGATACTTGTCGAACTGGAGGCCATGATCGAGACTGGAAAGACGGAGCTTGATCGCAAAACGGTCAAGGACATTGACAAGCGATTGAAACAGTGTAGTAATCCCGCGAAAATACCAGGAACAGCTCTGTGAGTTCTGCCACTGTACACCGTCCTGATGCGTGCACAGCTATATCCAACGGAAAGAAGAGCAGGCAAAGGAAGTGGCGGCTCAAAAGGCGGAGAAAACACTCAAGCTCAAAGAAGGCATGTCTGATCGGGATATGGTCTTTGGTGATGTCATCCGACCGACGCAGTCAAAGAAAGATACCAAGACATGGTCGCCACGCGTTACGATGGGATCAGATCGACCATTGGATGGCGCCAAGATGGAGCCATCCGGCATGGGCTTGAAGGACGAAGCCATGGGCAATCTAATCGGCGGAGCTGGTTTGAGAGACATCGGCAAGACGCATGAGGACATATGAACTTTTGGCATGGATGGGTGCATGGATGTATGATGGGCATGCGAATGCGATATTCGGTACCTGACTGGCAATGTCTAATGTACAGAGGCGTTCTAGCCAAATGTCGAAAATGGTGTCGGTATACCAGCCGATGCAGGCATGGCGGTTCGTCCCGGATTCACGTTGTTGGGGTATATTATGTCAAAAGTGATGTGTGCGATCGTAAAAATGGCGTATTGGTTCATGTGGCAAGGCTGATGGTGATGGGTCCCCACGCGCTGGGCTGCTCGACTTTCAAGAGGCGTTTGGTGACGAGAGCTCGCAGGTCAGCAGCTGGAAGGCTTGGCTCAACCTACTGAGACAGTTGTACTAAGAAAAAATCAGCTAAATCTCTCCAAGCAGTCTGCTCACGAAACCAATGGACGCGACACCCTTGGAGCTGGTCTCGGGAATCAGCTCTGACAGCTCAATCTCGTCCTCCCCATCATTGGATCGAGCCTCGACAAAGCTAGGATCAGCACCGTATCTGCACTCAATGTACCTCAGAAAGTCTCGACACTGCTTCTCAATGGTTGCCAACATCTCTGGTTGGAATGCCTCCGGGACGTCTCGCGCCATGGCTTGAGACTCGGTAATATCCAGCTGACTCTCCCTCGGAACTGACGAGCTTCAGCGTATTTTCGACCGGCACTCACGGTCCAGTTCCCCGTGATCATCGTCGCCGCCGATCAACATGTTCACGTCTTGGTCTCCATTTCGCTGAGCCAGAACAGATGCAGATCTTGACCTTGCTTGTCGGACATCAAAGGAGGTAAAAGGCCTATTTCCTGATGATGATTGAACGTTTCGACGGATGCTACAGGAGTCAGACCTTCGAACGGTGAGTTTCACCCCACCGGATCTCTTGAGGAGTCATGACGGTGTAACGGAGATGCGCACTGCCTCTCCTGCTAGTAGTGAGTCCGTCATGCACTTTTCGTTGTCAGCTCTTCTCTCACCACCCCGCCTGACCCACCACGAGCTTCGCTGCCTCCAATGGAGGGCGCCATCATCTGCCACTGCAGCGAGCAATCAACTAGCTCATTGTAATGTCGCTCAACTTACCGGCAATGGCTCGTTCCGGCCTACATTCGACTCAGCCCGTGCATTCTCCACGCTCTTCTCTCTACGTCAGCCCTTTACCGTGATCTCACGCAGGTGATTCTACGCACGGCTTGACGATGAGTCGTCCCGGTTGCAGGTGCAGTGTCCTGAGGCAGTACAAGCTCCTGAAGCCTGTCAGCGTGACACCCCTCGTACTGTACTTACATCAAATCCGGGTCCAAAGTCATCGAATGTGTCCATTGTCTGATTACCTTGATCAGGATACATCATTGGTGAAGGCACAGCGGGGGACGGTCTTCGGACTTTGCGAAAGTCGGCTTCGAGCTGCCACTGGTACTTGCCGACGTGTGTGATGGCCGCAAAGAAGACTCTCATGTCGGGATTGATGACTGTGAGGGTATCAGTATGTGACATATCGCATCTCACAATTGAGCCAATTAGGTCCACCGAGCAGCTCATCGACCTGAGCCTTGGTGGCTTTCCTCGTTTCGATTTCGAGTGCGTTCGCACGAGCGGCTCCCATCATTTGATCATATGCTCGGGTCGTGAAAGCATGATCGTCGAGTTCGAGTTCCTTCTTCATTCAGCTCCCGCGGTCCTAACCGGCACTGACCTTGTCAAAGGCGAGTCGTTTCTGCTTTTTGGCCTTTGGAACCTCTGCCTTCTCCGTTTGATCGTCGAGATGCCCCTCTTCAGGTGCCAACTCGCGCTCAACGACATCGATATCGGCCAATGGATCCACGTCGAACATCTCTCCCCCAAAGACCGCTCCTCCTCCGACCATGTCTCCCCCACTGGATAACTCAGTGACCGTTCGTCCAGCCTTGACTCACTTGTCGACCTCTCCGTCAGCTGGCTGATCACTTGAGGGCATCTCAGGTAGGGCAACGCTGTCAGTCGTCATATCCAAGACACCCCCATCGTCCGGACCAAAATTGAATTCTACATCATAATGTCCAGTGCTCAGCTGACTCTGTTGAGAGAGCCGAACGGTTTGATGTTTGCTTCGAGCTTCCAAGGGCGACGCGGAGACTGTGCCAGTGAGTTTACGACCGCAAGACGCCTGGGGTCTCACTTTTAGCTCGCTTGGCCCGAGGACCCTCCATCTCTTCCCCACCATGAACACCCTCTTGCGGGTCGTGCAGCGAGTCGAGAAGAGATTCGTCACGAGCGGGTCGCTTAGAGGGAGGTCTCCTCCAGTCCTGCAGCGTCGGGTCGCATCTCCTTCTAGGAACTTACGATTCCGCCGAATTCCGTGTTGAGTACACTTTGCCACGAAAGATCTAGATCTTCAAACGTGATATAATCGATGCTGCTGTTGTGAGCGTCGTCCTATCTCCCTGCGTACCGGCTCTTCCCCTCCCCAGGAAGGTCGATACTAGTCGTTCCAGCTGGCACACCGGCCGAGGCGGCTTGAACAGTTAGAGAACGTCGGAGCTGGGTGTGGAAGTCGGTGACATCCTGGATGATTAGACGCCAGTGTCCACGCACGGCTCACTGAGAAGAAAACATCGTAGTTGCCTTTATACACCCTGTGAAAAAGAGGTCAGATCGGCGAGTGCAATGCTTGTCCAACCTTGCGACGCCGACCAAGAGATTCCCACTCAGTCGTAAGGCCATTGGCTCCGGAGGCTCTGCAATCAACTCGCAAGTTTTGGGCAGATCCACACTGTGAAGGTCCTTTCTGGTGATCTTTTTCGACCCCTGACCCATGGTCGCCACGAGCCTTGTGCGGGAGTCAGCGGCCGTAGAGCATCAGCATGAGCTTTCATGACTCACCACACGATGCTGAATCTGTGAGCCGATGATGGTGTCAGCCAGAAATGCCTACGCCTCTTCCCACCGCCACCGCGCGCGTGCCACAAACGCTTCGACTCACGCTCCATTCTTTCTGCTCAGTAATTCTTCAGAATAGAACATGCTGAACGACTGTTGAAGGTGTATGTGAGTGAATGATATGGAGAGAGAGAGAGAGAGAACGGGAGTCTTGGATGTTCTGATGTATCAAATCGCTCCTCACCAAAGGGAGGCTACGCTCAGACCACCTCCAGCCTTATCAATCGTCCTCGCTTGGCAGTTCCTTCTATGCCACGTCATGTTGATTTTGAGACAAACAAGGTCGCGATTGACTTTCAGAATCGGATGGATGCCATTCAACGACCTCACTTACAGCTACTCACCGTGCGTGCTCTGTCCACAGTGACAGTGCATGGGACCTCGCTGGCATATCGATATGGTACCAGCCTCAGCAGGACAGCACGCGACTGCCTCTGCAGTACACCTTCACACTCAGACGACCACCACATCACTCCAACCCCGGGACATGTCCCCAAACTCATCCGCAACATGCTCTGAAGCAGAATCCGTGAATGGAGATAGTACAGACGACGAAGATGGAGTCTTTCTGGGCACTCATCAAGACGTCGAGACTACATTGGTTCACAAACTCTCTTTATTGTCTCCATCTGCATCCCCACATTCCTCTTCCAACCCTCCCCTTGATCGCCGTACCAAATCGACGCCTTCCAAGTTGAAGAAGAGAGATTCGAGAGAGTTTTACAGACGGAAAACGATTCTGTTGCCTCTACAAGGAAACATCCAGGACAAGGTCTGGGATGGTGGCTTTTACGAACGCAAGGAGACATGCGAGCAATCACCTCATGTTCAGTGCCTTCCGTCTGACGACCATGATGGATCTTCGTCCTCACCCTCGTCTGGCAGGACGATATTCTACTCCGCATCAGCATCGACCCCTATTAGAGCCATTGCCATTAAACCCCCGGAGCTCGCGGTGGGCGAAGCGGAGGAAGGGAGCGAAGTGGACGGGGACAGCGACAAAGAGAATGTTGGGCCATCTTGTCTCAGTCAAGTGTATGCGGACGACATGGTTTCAAGCACTGAAGGGCAAATCTATATCATGGGCGGTGTGGAAGACAAAGACACGACCGACGAAGAGCTACTGGAATATGACGGTGAGAAAAGATTGTTCTGCCATCATTCTGACGCTCAGAACTCGATACCGAGCTAGACATGGGCGGTCTTAACCTGTCCGACTTTGCTGATCCAGTGGACAACTCGCAGCAGACCCATCCAGGACTGAGCACTTTCAGCACGGCGGACCAATCAGTCACAAGTGTCGACCAGCCTGAGCCTGTGATCGATTCTGTGGAATCTGGATCTCTTGACGGAGCGGAGGGGTATGAGGAAGAGGAGGGACACATAGAGGCAGATACTCTGGCGGATCATTTGGCGGAGGTCGTGGGCGAGTGCTTCAATGATCAAGGTAATGGCGCAGAGTCCATCGACGACCTCCGCTCCCAAGGTGAGGTATCCCAAGGTGACATCATCGGAGACCCAGCCTCTCTTTCCCTCACCAACAGCATGGGCTCCCCTTTGCCAGTAGCCAGAGCAGGTCCCGTCGTCCTCCCGCAACTCCCACATCATCTTCTCAGTATCCGAGCAGGAAGCGACTCTCCATTCCGTGACCTGCCGACCTCACCTGCGTTTGGCAAAAATGACGCTTTCAGTCCATCTGGGTCCGGCGACAGGACGGTGGCGGCACTCCGCTTAGCCTCTCTTCTGAGTCCCACAAAATGTCTAGACGTCATGCAGACGCCGTCTTCCCCAGCGGGTCTTTACCCTGCCAGCGCTGGCACTCCTTCCGCTCAGCCTAAATTGGCGGACACACTTGGTCTCGGCGCAGCGACCAAGAGCAAAATGCTCAAGTCTGCAATGACCTCCTCGTCTGCTGTGGCTGCTTCCGTCGACCGACCAATAACCATCCCAGGCTCGGTTCATACTGATAAAAGAACCGCCGCTAGAGCTGTGGCCATTCGCGAAAGATTGGATGCCGCCTTCAAAGATCGACCGACCACCACCATTTCGATCGGGCCGCCTCAACGAGCAGTGTCTTCGTCATCTCAGTCAGCGCCCACCCGGCTGAACGGCAACGGGATCAATCGACCGCCTAGTCGTACAGGTCCTTCGATGCCAAGTTCTAGGACTATCTCGAGCTCGTCCTTCGCAAATCGTCCTACAGGCACGAGACCTGTGGATCTTCCAAAGCAAGCGACAACGACGAATGCTATGCAAAGGGAACAGAAGATGGATGCCTCCGCCGCCCGCCCAAGGACTTTTAGTGCACCAGGCTTCGCTCAGCCGACGCTTGCGAGTGCCTGGGGAGGTGTGAATGGTATTAAGCCGATCCAGAAAACAGCCCAAAGTACTGCCTCGAGCAACCCCACTACACTCAAACCCCTAGCGTGTGCAGCAGCAGCACCACCTCGGCAACCACTGGCACCGCGTAGTGTTCCTCAGCCGGCTGCTCTATTGACCAATCCCCCTCCGGTCTTTAACAAGCCTCCTAGACCTTCACAGCCAACAATTGCACCACTTGCCGCTCCTCGTCCCGTGTCACCGGCACCCCAGAATGTCAATCCTTTGAAGCGGCCATTACCCACCAATCAGCCGACGCTCGCCAGATCTCTGATAGCAAGCACTGGCGTCACTCAATCTCGACTTGGCTTACCGTCTCGCATGATTCGACCTGGAGGTCCTTCCACCGCACCTGTGTTTTCCCTTGGTCATGCGGGACCAGAGCTAGGTGGCGGATCCAGTTTGGGGTCCGTCAGGCAAGGTTACCGTTCGCCGAATCGACCGGGTAAGAGAGGCTACGGATCACCGGTTGTGCTGGACAGAAGGGTGAGAGTGCTGATCTGTACGTGACTAAATGATTGCAGCTTGGAACACCTTCAAGGCTGGGAACGCCCAGTCGAGCCATTCACCATAGACCTCTCGGAGGCAGCTATCAGGCTCAACAGCAGCAAGCTCGCTGGCAACGCGCGGTCGACGCAGACGTCTGCGTGCCTCCCACAGAGGTGGCCAGGATATCGCCACCTGTGGACGAGGCAGTCACAGTGACTGAACCACCGGCCCAGATCTCTGAGCGTGTGGAGACACCTCCCGAGAATGTGCAAGCTCAACATCTGTCCGTATCTCCTGCAGAGGAGCCGGTCGCAGCTGTCGCCGTTACTGCACCATTACAGCCCGAGTCGCTACCGAAACCCGCAGACAAAGTCGAGGATGGACCACTTCCACCGGTACGCAGCTATGAGTCGCACGAGTCGCCGCGACCCAAACGATCCATGCGTCAACCAACAACGGCAGCGACCAAAACGGCTTCTCGACAACCCAGTGCCGCTACCGCCCCGCAGACTGCGCCACTGATGTCTGAGAAGGAGCTCAAAGCATTGACGACCCGACACACGGCGCGAAATGAGGTTTATATCTGCGCCATTGACCGTCAAATAGTCCGTAAGACAGGAGCTCGACCGCCGTCGCCTACCTCCAAGATTCGAACGACGGCAGATCGAGATGAGGCAGAAAAGAGGGCAGGCAGAGAGGAACGAGCCAAACGTCGGCTCAAGGGATCAGATGGAAGCTTAGCGGATGACGAGGACAATGAGCCTAAAACGACAATGGTCGAGCGAGTGCTCAAGTTCAGAGGCGACGATGATGACTTTGTTACCCCTGCGAGACCTTTGAAAAAAGTGAAGTGGAATCATGGGGACAAGACACTGCGATGGGACAAAGGGCTTCTCATTCGAAGAGATTTTGGGGATGAGCCCAAGCGGACGTTGGAGCCTGCTGCGCGATGGGTCAATGCGACCAAGTCTGCTTTGAAAAATATTGCCGGGGTGAGTCTGATGTCAGGTCCTGTCGCCGCCTCTGCTGATCATCATCATCATCATCTTCAGGTCAAACTGGACCATCATGGCAATATGATCGAAGGATCTCGACCGGCTGAAGTCATCAAGCGGAGTCGTGTGCCTGTCACTGCTGTATTCTACGATGGGGAAGATCCTCTGCCTGTACCAGCATATACCGCTGCTGATCCGTCTGAGCTGGCTAAGATGAGAAAGAAGAAGTAAATGAACCTTATGGAATCAGTAGCCATGTTTGTATTCTTCTTCCAAGGCAATGAGATGCATAATTTTACGTCGCATGATCGTTTCAGGTCACAGCACGTGTAATAATTCGTTGCTACAGTATCAGAACGCTTCACGTCTCGTAATCTTCACTATAGATGGCGACGTGTCCTCGTTTGTCGCCATGTCGTATACGGGATGGTGATATACTGTCCGCCACCAAGTTTCGAACAACAGTGTTGAGTGTGACTGGACCGCAAGCTGGGGAAGCAAGGTCAGTCAGGATCGATCTCAGGTGAAGAAGAAGCGCATCATCGAACTCACTGGCGACGATCATCCTTCCCTCTGCTCTCGAAATCTCCTCTTCCAACACGGTAGCCAGCTTGGGCTTCCCTGCGCTTGCCATTTCCGTCATGGCGTTCAGAGCGTGATAGTCCGCTCGGTCGATCCACAAACCTGGATCAGCCGAGCCATCCCCGCTCTCCGGGTTTGCGAGGTAGACCATACTGCCTGATCTGGGAGTCTGAGCCGACAGATGTCGGATAGAATCACCAGCAATGGAGTGTTGATCGTCACCTAGGAAAATAGAGGGCGCTGGAGATGAGGTTCCCCGACCAAAGGATGTACCCATTGGCCCGCCGCGGGTGGCAAAAGGGTCATAACCCACGGAATCGGCAATGGAGCGATACGAATCGTTTCGAGCATGCGCGATCGTGTGGAATGGTCCGGCGGCTTGATGGGAGAGATCTTGTCCCACGCTATAAGGCTCTGCTCCACCATAGAATGGGTTTTGATGGCTGAATGGGCCCGAAGAGCCACTCCGAGACATGCCATGACCTGATGACGGGGGCGGGAATGCGTATCGTGGATCTGGAGGCATGGCGTCTTGCTGGAATTTGGAAGTATCAGGACTGAGCAAGGCCTGCGGAGCTCCTTGAGCTGCCAGGGCGTACTGCTTTTCGGCATCCATCTCTTCGTGATGCGAGAGCGGGTGACGTGAGGAGGCTGCTTCATCATCATCGTACATGGATCGAGGTCCTCGGGGGAAATGTCCGTGTCCTTCGTCGCCATAGGCCAAGTGAGATGGACGAGTTGGAGGATACGCAGACGGCACATAGCTTGTCCGTTCTCCTCGCACTCTGTAAGCTTTTCGACTCTTTGCGCGTTGAACTTTGCCTTGATGCTGTAGTCGATCAGAGAATTGCTGCTCGGCTGGATCATTGACATCCTCCTCGTCATCGTAATTGGTCAGGTCTATGACGTCCGCATACGACACTGATTCGTTGCCCTGTTCGAAAGACCCATTGACCGACGCCGACATGTCACTCATGGCGCTGTCGGCGGAGCCTCGTCTCTCATGTCGCATGAATCCAGGCTGAGGTCGAGAGAGACTATCGTATGGGTTGCCTCGGGAGTGAGTGACAAAGATGCTGATCTCCAGCTTGTCCGCTGCCACCATTTGCGTACATCGATACAGTTGCGCAGCGACCCAAGCGATCTCTGCGTACTCTCTGGCGACCCAGCAGAAACGGACGCGTCTCGTTCGATACTTGGAGTCTTGTTGACCCATACGTTCGGCCATGGTTCGGCAGACGTAGTCACACACGGCGGCACCAAATGACACGCCTGAACCACCGCAGATGATGGTCACTGTGGAAAACTCATGCCAGGGGACACGTCCAGCCGATCCAAATGGCCCATCGACCCAAGCTCGGACGTGAACGGGAGGGGCAGACATACCGGTCCGTCCACCGACACTCACACTGCCGATAGACGCCATAGAGACGTGTCTATCGTACGGTTCCTTGGAGCCCATGGCTTGGAAAGATCTATCACGGATGAGATCGTAAAGTTTCCGTGTCAGTCCCTTTCTAGCCTTGACGAGAATGACGATCTCATGCTCGCCACTATTGTTGATGATTGTGAAGGGATGAGATTGCGTCTTGGACAGTTCCGGCAGGTAAAGCAGACAGCTTTGACCAGCTGCCCATCTGAATGGACGAGGTGCGTTGATGGTCAAACGAATAGTACGCGAAGGCAAGAGTTGCGCTTGAGCGTAGCCGACAGGGATTGCAAGAGGACGTCGTTGTAGCGGAGGGTCAATAGGATGTGAGGAGGGGAGACCACCACGACCAAGAGAAGCTGGGAACTCCTCCTGTATGGGGAACGCTGGCGTGTCTCGTTCAACGCTCGTGGTAGTGGTTGAAAACGATGTCGGTCGCTGTCGCCGGCGGTAGGGGTCGGCGAACGGACCAGCCTGCTGATCCGGTAATTGCTCGTCATCATAATATCCCGTCGTCTGGCGTGGAGTCGCAAATTCAGCTTGGCTGTGATGCGTCAATCCGCTGACATTTCGCGGCGTCTTCGGCAGAGTCTTATTCAACTTTTCGGCACCGTAGTAGGGATTGTGATAGCCAAAATCGACGGGCTGCTTGACGTCCAATTCTCCATCGTACTGATGACCTCCGATATCCTGGTATCGTCTCCCAGCTACATGTGTCTTGGACGATCGCCGACCCCACAGCTTGTTGATATACGCAAAGCGGAGGTATCTGGTCACTCTTTCGCACAGCCAGAGTCCGGCTGCGGCCGCCATCCAGTACCAAAGGACCGGATGATGAGCCGCAGACGCCGCGATCGTGATGATGACAAGCACGACATGGGAGCCGAAGAACAACTCGTAACGGTGTTTCCGGACAGGTCGCAGTGACATCACCATGAGCGCTGTCATGGCAAAGTATGCCACAGCACCGCAGATGAAGCGGTAATTGCCCCAGAGATAGACCCAAGTGGGGATACCTTGATATTGATCTTGAAACAGCTGTACCGTCCAGAGCACGACATGCGCCGTTGTGATGGCCCAAATGAGCCAGGCTGTGATCCTATGCAAAGTGGCGAGCTTGTCGGCAAAGAGCTGGGCTGTGGGACGAAGCGACAAGAAAGCCACGGGAGGGGATTTGAGGGCCAATAACACAACCAGAGGCATCAAGGCGAATGCGATGAAGCCCATTCGGGATCCGAGAGTCCACAGAGACTTTTGAATCGTCACGGATGGCGCCGTCGCAGATGAGCGAATCTTCAACGCTCGAGCTGTAAAGTTGAACGTCGAAGCCCAAGGCGCAATATAGTCTGGTCCGATAATCGATAATGCGACGACGGGGACGACGAGCAAGATTCCGACCGAGAGCACCCCATTTGAAGGGAGAGCCCTGTTCCGTCTCCCAGGTTTCTTTGATCCTACGATATGGCGCCGCATGCTCCATCTACTGAGGCTCGCCGGTACAGATCCTCTACCCAGACGAGCATGATGAGCAACAATGTAGATGAGGGCTATCAACGCAAAAGCCATCCATAAGATGTACGCATAGCGATATGACGGTGTGCTGCGTGGGGGAATGAGCGAATCGGAGTTGGGGAGGGTGACTCACCTCATCATATGAGCATTCAGGTAAGCCCAGGCATACTGGGAGTCACCCTCCGTTCCAGGTGCATAACCATTCGTGGGATTGTTCTGCTAAAGTGTCAGTCCCGTCTTTTGCCCCAGACCACACGATAGATTCCGTCTCACATTTACAGGACCTGACGTGGTCACGTCAGTTTAGCCTGAGCAGGCGGCACTCACCAGTCACTGTACCCGTGATCAACACAGGCGGAGGGTATGACGTGACATATTTGAAGGGTGGAGTATACGACGTAGTAGCCACTGGGACAGTCGTCGCTCCTGTCACCGTCATCGTGCGCTATGAAGCCATACGACCTGGTATAGATTGGAGGAGTGGCGATCCTATACGCCAAGGGATCTGCGAGGTCTAAATAGACACTATTGCCTATTGTATCCGCGCTCTCCTGTGTCCGATATACAAGGCACGCTGATCCCGACGAGTCCTATACTTATACAAAGATGTTTGTTATGGTCAAAGTATAGATAGACCCTTCAACAAAGTTGCGAGTTTTCCAGCCCTCCTCCGACGTACACGGTCCGGAGCAGGTCGCGCTTATAGAACCCACGTGAATTCCCATACATTTCTTTTTGGCTGGTGGGTTTTGATTCCGCTCCAGCTTTCCCACACTGGCTCAATCATTGGGTTCGACCTAAATTGTACGAGACATGAGAGTTCTATAATCTTGTTGTCCATCTTCATTCATACGCGATGGCGACAAAGTGGATGGCTGGCTCCGCCGGCTTGGCAAGTCGATCGATAGGTAGCTCTTCTCGTCATGAAGGTGCATCTAGAGCTCTGTGAGTTGAAGCTATGAGCTTTTTTAACCGCTTGTACTCACCCACCTCGCTTTAGATCCTCTTCTTCATCTATCTTGAATCGAGCAAAGCCCTCTGAATCAACCGAGGAGCTCTCCGAGGAGATCGATGAGGGCAGAGAATTGCTCGTGGCGACCCCAGCTCAAGAGAGCCAGGCGGGTAAACGAGACAAGCTGGTCAGCAAATATTATGCGCACGCTCATCCTGGCTTGAGCGCCTCACATGGTCGCCCGACGCTGCCGAATCCCAAGCCCATCCCAAAGACTCACGGTATCCTCGTCGCGACGCTAGAAATGCACGCAAATTTTGTCGAGAACCTGGAATTCTATTCGCAATGGTGTTACCTTTCCGCTCGATCATTTGGCATGCCTGCTTGTCGACCGGACCGACTCCCGAGAACCAAGGAATTGATCACCGTCCCCAAGTCACCATTCGTTCACAAAAAGTTTCAGGAAAACTTTCAAAAGTTGACATTCAAGCGAATGATCAGGGTGTACGATACCAGTCCTCAGACGCTTGACTTGTGGCTTCGATATATTGCCCGAAACTCTCTGGGTGGGATCACCATGAAAGTCAAGATGCATGAGTGGGTCGATTATGGATTCGGCAGCAAGGAAATCGAAAGCCTAGAGATGGAATTGGACCAAGCTCCCACGCAGAACTCGGATGCGATCCGTCACAGAGCATACGAGCTTCTCAAGAAGATGGCAGGGAAGGAGGAGGCGGATCGGCTCATGAAGCCTGCTCTGGAGGGGGCCACCGCGGAGCCAGATCGGATCATGAAGCCGCCTGCTGATGTGGAGGAGGTCACGCCGGAAACCGATCAGATCATGAAGCCTGCTCAGGAGGAGGATGCCACGGCGGCGGGGGTCCGAACGGATGGAGGAGCTTCTGCTTCAACGCCCCCTCAGGTTGCGAACGCCTCACAGGCGAAAGCCAAACCAGCAAAAAGGGCATCATCGACCAAAGTCACTGCAAGCTCCGAGGAATCGTCGGACCACCAATCAGCACAAAGGGCATCGACGAGAGTCAATGCAAGCTCCAAAAAGTCGTCAGACCATTCCCAGGCTGCAGACTCCTCTCCCAACGTCTCAGGGGAAGCGGCTTCTCCCCTTGGAGACATCAAATCAACACCTAATGCTGAGTCTTCGAATCCGTCCAAGTCCAGAGGCGATGCTGCAGGGTTGCCCACGCAGTCCTCGCCAGAGACCTCGGTCACGGCAGACGACGGCGTCTCCTCAAATACCGACTCGACTTCCACTCCTGATGTCTCCCCAACTGCCGAATCCACTTCCACGCCTGATATCTCCCCAGCCGCCGAATCCACATCCACTCCTGCTGTCGCCACAGCCGCAGACTCAACTTCCACTCCTGATGTCGCCACAGCCGTTGACTCAACATCCACTCCCGTTATCTCAGCGACTACCGAATCGTCTTCCACACCCGATGCCGTCAAAACCGCAGACTCAACATCCACTCCCTTTCTCTCAGCAACTACCGAATCGGCTTCGACTCCTGATGTCGCCGAGACCGCCGAATCGACTTCTACACCCGCCACCAAAGATACTATGGAGTCCAAGACCGAGCTTGAAACCTCATCTTCCGAGTCACCTCACAAACCATTGACCGAAACGATTCCAGAGGTCATCACCTCTATACTCAACGGAACCGAAACTGAAGCGACGAGCGAGACAGCGCCGAGCGAGACTCCCGAGAAGAAGAAAAGTGGCAGGCCTAAGAAAGTTCCGGACGAAACCTCCAAGACCAAGGCTCCTCAGGCCCTCGGATCTGAGGGTGAACCTTTGAAGAGAAAACCCGGAAGGCCCAAGAAGACTGCGGACGAGACTCCCAAGCCTACCAAATCCAAAGAGGCTGATTCGACCTCTGGACCTGATGGTGAACCCATGAAAAAAGGACCCGGAAGGCCGAAAAAGGCGGTCGACGAGTCTGTTGAACCTGTAGTCAAAAAGCCCCGAGGCAGGCCCAGAAAGGACGCTTCAGGTGAGGGCAAGAAGGACTAGGAGGCGGTGTGACTTGAAGGTCATTCGTCAGATGCTTCAAGAGATGTGATGATTGGAGCGCACTGATCACGGGGAAGGGTGCTTGGGTAGCCAGAGCGACCAGAAGGGAACTTGTCATAGAATCATAGCATTTCAAGCGTCATAGCATTCGGGACCTCCTGAAGGGGGATCTATAAGGTGAAACTGCGAGACCAAAGCTCGTCGTGGCTCTCTCTGCATGTAATAATCTCACGCCAATCTTACATCACAGCTACAGACAAAGTTATCGGTCCAGCCTATCCAGCCTACTCTGCCCCAAAACCCTTCTTCTAGGTTAATCCACCCTCCTCCTGCTCCAGAGCCTTTCTAATCATCAACAAGATCTCAGTTTTCCAATTATCCAGCTTTGTGACTTGGTCGTATTGATACACTTGAGCCATGAATCGTTCGACATCGCCCTCCTCGCATGCCTGCATGAGTTCATGCGCGAATTTGGCTTCTCGAGTGGATGGGAACGTGACGTCCTTTTTCGCAAAGGTATCGAATAGACGCTGGGTGGTTACGAGGTCCTGGGTCGTGAATGAGTATTGAGATGCCCCATGCTGACCTGCATCGACTCACACCTGTGGCCATGGAGCACAAAGCTGCTCTGAGCCAGTACTCTTTAACGGAATATTTCGTCAACGGACTGGTCAGAGACCAATCTGCCACGATCTGGTAAAGTTCCATGGATCGCTGATAGTCTTGTAGTCCAGCAGAGAGCTCTGCGGCCTGTTGATAACATTGATTGGCAGTACTGCAGCAAGCGTTAGCTCCTATTACCCTGCGCGTCTCCCAGTCTCACGCATTCGCATCTTCTTGCTTGTACCAGTCTCCAGCGCGTACGAACGAATCTCGCGCTTTGGCAACGTCCAAACCATCCTGAGCGTAGATCCCGGCAATCTAACAAAAGAAAATGAGTAGAGCTCTGAAGTGTAGACACCCACCTCTTTCTCCCTGTCGGCGGCTTGGCGGAAATTACCAGCTTGTACTAAGAGCTTGATACATTGGTGAAGAGCGGTAACGGCGGCTGAGAAGATGAGCATATACTCTACTGATTTTCAGCTTACCCTCGGGTTCGCTCTTCTTGTAGCTCTTGGCAGCATTGTGAAATGCATTCATGGCATCGTTCATTTCATTGGCATGTTGACGACAGGCCGCTTCTCTGAAGGAAGTATCAGCTTTGTCCCTACTGTTGGACAGAGTTCAGCTGACCGCTCGAATGCAGCTCCGGATTCTGACCATCTTTTCTCGACTTTGAATGCATTAGCAGCCTGAGTAAAGATGAGCACCTGCATCTTTCTGATTTGTCCAGTCCCGTACAACCCACCTGTTGGAACAGATCCCCCGCTTCCTCCCACTTTGAACTTGAGCTCGCGAACCACCCTACAGAGGACGAGGCTTTCTTCTCTGCTTTCGCCAGATGCTCTTCACCCAATGATCTCGGTGCCATGATGCAGCAAATGTGAAGCCAGTAGCTCAACCGTGAACCGCACACCACGTCATGGGTCCGGTGTCCAGGTCTCTCGGCGGCGGCGAGGTTGAAGGAGCGAGAATCTTCCGTGGGAATGCTGACAAATCAATTCTGTCGGACACTTGGTGTTGAATTTCAGACCTTGGCTCGAAGTGTCTGCTTGATCTATAACTCTGGGTTATTTACAGCTATAGACAGCTATAGAGGACTCTTCCAGACACTACGTTGCCAGCTTACTGAGTGACGCTCTTTCAAAAGCCAGTCTTATTCTCAAAATGGCTTCACATCTCGCCAATATCTAGTGAGTCGACCGCCCACCCATCCCCTTTGCCGCTCTTGCTAACAGGACACAGCGGTACGGAGCAGGATCGAGTGAATTGCTCCTTCTACCTCAAAATTGGAGCGTGCAGACACGGCGATCGATGTTCCAGGTGAGTGACCACTGATATTCTTTACCGTAGCCATGAGCTGACCAGCTTGCATTAGAAAACATATCAAACCTCAATTCTCCCAAACCATCCTCCTGCCAAACGTCTACAACAACCCAGGTCACACACCGGAAGGACAAGGCCTCTCACCGACAGAACTTCAAGCGGATTTTGATAGATTCTACGAGGACTTTTACATCGAACTGGCAAAGTATGGCCACCTGTTAGAGATGCACGTGAGTCTGTCTTAGCGCTATCATAATGTTTTTATAACGCTGACTCACGCTAGGTCTGTGACAATGTTGGAGACCATCTCATGGGAAACGTCTACGCTCGATATGAATGGGAGGCCGAAGCTTCGAAAGCGCTCAACGCTCTTAATGAGAGATGGTATGCGATGCGTCCACTACATTGCGAGTTGTCCCCCGTCAGCGATTTCAGAGAAGCCTGTTGTAGGCAAAACGAGCTGGGGGAGTGCAAACGAGAGGGGTAAGCGACAATGTCTGAGAGCGCATGATTTGATGCTGATGCCATGTACTAGATTCTGCAACTTCATGCACCTTTGCCATCCTACAAAGACTCTTGTCTCCTCCCTTAATGCTTCGCAGAGATTATCACGGAGGAACAAGAAGGCTAATGGAGCGCCTGTTGACGATGGGGATCTAGGATGGACACCCAGTGGAGCAGCGAGGGATGATGGACCGGGAGGATGGGTTCCTCCATCAGATAGGAATGGTGGTGATTTAGGTTGGGTCCCTAGTCGAAGATGAGAGTCGTTGTGAAACAGTTCCAAAAACATCGGAGCAAACCCGCTGCTCTCGGTTCCTTAGGGTAGACGAACATGCCATGCATTCGTCATTGTGCACATTTTACTCGTAAATGTCGTGACAGTGTGATCTTGACCAAAGACTACGTACAGGCTACAATTGGCATGGGCTGGCGCTCTCAAGAGACTACACCCAAAACCTCCTCTTCTTCCGCTTCGTCCGTCCTTATCTCACCATCTGATGAAGCCTCGTGCTCACCTGAAGAAGAAGAAGACTCTGAGTCATCAGACGAGGCCTCACTGTTCGACTCTGCATCATCGTCTTCGCTGTCATGTTCATCACTCAGGATCTGCGGAGGCGAGCCTTGATCCAGAATGATAAACTCTGTCCCATCATCGAAACCACCTTCGACGGGTAAAACGTGAGAGCGATGAACATCTCGAACGAGACCATCGACCTTTTCGGCATCTGCTTTCTTGCCCTGTTCCGCGCGGAGCACATGTCGCAGTCCACATTTGTCACCCCTTGAACAAATCCCCTTTTCTCTCCATTCTCCGCATTCCCAAAGATGTAGCTTGGGACATTTCCCAGCTGGTTCATCGCACCACCCTTCTCTGGCGAACGCATCACAAACGGGAGCATCGTCAGATACCCTGACATGTGGGTATGGACACGAGGAACCGTTGCGGCAGGTAGAGGTTGCTTGGAAATGGACACAGGAGGGCGTATTGTGCGGAGTCGGATTGTGACATAGTGGACAGGTGGACGGGGTGTTGGGGCAGGTACCACGCAGGAAACGTGGACAGATGGCTAGTCGTTCGGGATTGTGAGCGTATGGGCAGGTCAGCGCGCGATCGCAGCGGCCTAGAGGTCAGTGTATGAGAAATTTTAAGGCAGACAGGCAGGGCAGAGGTGATCAGAAATCCAATGGTCAGTGAATTGTTTTTGCGTCCAAACTTGCTGCCCGACCCACCCGTCTTGGTGAAGTAACGACAGGGGATCTTGGATAGCTCGGCTCTGCAAGTGAGTGGGGGTTTCGGTGTGTCGTACGCACTTGGTGGACGATTTGACCAAATTTCCTCGGCTCGTCCGTCGGAATTTAGATCCAGCGTAATTGACGCTCTTGCGAGTCGGTGAACCGTGAGAAGTAGACGACTGGCCATTGGATGCTGGCGAGAGCTCTGAAGATGATTGAGCTCCGTAGCCGCATCGAGCTCACCTCCAATCCGCGTAAGCTTCTGTCCGCCCATCTCGAACTGGAAGACAATGCCATCAATCACCACTCGTTGACCTTCCGATGTCGTTGAAGAAGACAAGGTCTGAATATGAGGCGGCACTCGAGATCGCTTCTGTCTTGATTTCTTCGGCATGGACTGAAGGTGCTCGCTGGTGGTGATGTTCAGCAGTGATGAGATCATGAAACAACCCCCCACCTCTTTTCCTTGGTCATCAAGCTCAAATTGCCACCTTTGCTCGTGCCCTTGATCCATGGTTCCTGCACCACATTCACAGGCTCATTTGGCGGTGTTGGCGTAGGTGATAATTCCCCCAGTTCGCGTTCGGTGGTCGGAGCAGGCGCCGCGGCGATGGGCCTGCCAGACGAGTTTGCAGAAGTAGGTTGAGACTTGTTCAGTTGACGGTTATCCAACGCGTAGCCACCTCGACCTCTTCCTCGACCTCCACCACGTGACAGCACACCTCCTCCTCTGGAGAAGGATGAGCCTCTGGCTCTGCCTCGAGGTTGAGAGTAAGGATGGTAAGTGGGATGAGGGTTCGAGTGCGTCGCATGGCGAGATATGGCCCCTAGGCGGCAAATCAGCAAAAGTTGACCTAGATGGATGGACAGATAGACCTAACCTGATAACTTGGCGATCTCCTGTTGGAGTAAGAGCTTCTGTCTTTCGGACGCAGAGACGGTAGCCATACTGGAGCCCTCACCACCTAGCGTCCAATGGATCGATCAATGGGATGGATGTTGATGTCAAGGACCAAAACACGGTTCGCTCGACCGACTGAGAGGAATTCATTTACGTAACGTAAACTAAACTGACAATCGAATTAATCCTATAGCATACCTTGATGTGAAGACCTATGTCATGCCCGATATGGGGAGCGTCGAGTAAGCAGCGGAATAGTCATTGATGCATATGGCTACAGTGGATACATGAATCGATGTGACTTTCGGATGCATGCCATGTAGCTGTTGGATGAACATGTCCTCGTTGCATGAATACCAAAACTCCCTATGTCATGAGCGGAAGTATATTTTACCCCGAGTGTCCCTTCCCTCTTCCTCCCCCCGTTGTCTGTGTGATCCACGCTAATAAAAAGTCAGGTCATTTATATATTACCTCGCTGCGGGTATATAGTCGAGGTTCATTGGAACATCGTTGGTGGACAGCATTCAATTCATCGTCCACAAAGCTTTCGATAGGGTGCTAGGATATCTTGCGGCGGCTCAACCAGCTAGGACACAGCTGGTTCCCCATTCCACAGTCTGCATTGCAACCACGTTCGTCCATCGGCTCCTTTCGTCGTTCACCTTACAACCCGATAATCCCATCGCTTGGCTCGGACCACCGCGTACCAAGGGTCAACCCTGCTTTGGCGACCAGAACAAAACATACAGGTCAACTCTGGACCCGGTCAACATCTTCTCTTGATCATACAGACTCAGCGAAGGCTCCGTTATATAACTACTCTGCTGCACGGCGCCATTCAGCAGAGATCTTTGTCCAACCTCGATCAACCCTTTTCTGTCAGCCCGACAAAACTCGCTCAATGAACTCAGAGATTGGGAGCTCACGACCTCGCGTCGACACATAGGTTGGTCGTTCTGTGAGCACGCTCCCCTACACAAGCCCTTTTGATCCCCACTGACCTGCTCAGCTGAGCCATGAGCTATTCCACTCCCTCATTCCCCGGGGCCTGGATGTCAGCGCATTCCAATGAAGCTGGTCCTTCCAATCACCAACCTAAAAGACCTTCGCCTGATCCACAATATGCTTCACGATCTGGCTCGGTGACCGGCTCTAGTCGAAGAAGCTCTCCACGAAAAGTAGCTGCTCGAGGTGAAGGCGTTGTAACTCCTCCAGACGCCATGGAGCAATTTTTCGATGCTGAATCGGACGATGGAGCTATCAGAGCGTATGGTGCAGGTGGACTGGCTGGCTCAGCCCCGAATGATCCTGGGTACTTGGCTGCGAGTCACTCACCCAATATCTTTTCCACCCCCAACCAGTCTTTCAACGCATCACCGGCTTCGTCTCTGTCACGGACCAGCCCGATCAAGGTAGCTGGCACGATAACGAGGCATAGTCCATCCAAATTGGGAAAACCGTCACCAGCTAGCGATTCTTCAGCTTACCTACCGGTGTTCTCCAACGAGACCAGCTTTACCTCTCAAAGTCAGACCCGTCCTTCCCCGTCCAACTCCTCCTCCCCGCGAGTGCATGGCACGTTCTCATCCGCTGTCCACAACCCTGGACTACACCATTCACCGCCTACTTCTCTCCAGACTATACCTCAAAAGTCACCTCTTCTGCCACACGAGTTCAACGTGTACGCCACGGATAATTCATCGGATACTCATGGAACGGCAGAAACTCCCCTACGTGAACACTTTCAACCTTACGGATCGATGAGCTCCCCGCCGAATCGCGAGCGACTGGGAAGCTCTACATCGTCTATCAACTCCACCCTCAGGGGCAATCGAGCGCCTGCACCGGCTGCTCTGGATCTCAGTCCTAAGCGGAGGGGAGAGGCTGCACGGGCGGTGTCAGGTAATGTGGATAGGGAGAAATACGGAGCTATTCAAGGTCTCATGCCGCCTGGAGATTTTGGAGATTATGCCGGTCGGCGCAATGTATCAGATTCATCGGCGTGGTCAAGGGTGAGTGCACATCACGAGCAGTGTCCTGACGATCAGGTTTCCTCCCGGGATTCTCGGCCCCTACCTCAGCCGCCGCACTCGTCCTCTGACATGAATCTCGCTGGCACGATGCGACAGCATCCTACGATGTCTGGTCCACCTGGCGCCTACGCTCAGTACCAAGATTCCAAACACTCCCGTTGGGCATCTGCGTCTCCTTCCAGCTCGATCAATGTTCCGTTATCAGCTGTCGGAGGACATGCTCGAGTCACCAATGCGACACTGGCAACGGATCGCCTCAGTGTCAGGCGTGACGCCTCGCGAGCAGCGTGAGTGCATCGATATGTTCATCGCTGACAACCCAGGATTGACTCATCCCATCTTTCACCTTCTGCTCCCTCTTCCGACACCACTTCTCCCACTCTCGCGGCGCAATCCACTTACTCCCCGATCAGCCCTTACATTGACCCTGCGGATATCGACAGGCGGAATCTCGTTGGCGTTGGAGAGCTGTCTACTCCGCGCTGGGGTACGTTGTCCAACATCTCGGCAGAAGGAACGCCTGGGGTGACGCCTTCCTACGGTCAATCGCCGCCTATGCCTCGAATCACACCAAACACGTCCATGTCTGCCCGAGGTTGGGCACGCGGTCAAACAGGTCTAGGACTTGGTGTCGGTTTCGGCCTCGCTACATCCCTAGGCAATGCGATGGACAATGTCAAGGAAGAAAGCCCTCCACGAGAGAACCGACCGCGACATCATTCCGTGTCGACGGTAACTCCTCCTCGACCTACCCCTTCCATCACCACACTGCCTCCGCCCGTTCATTCCACGAATGGCGAGTATCCAGGCTTCGCAGATTTCGACTTTGATTCGAGCATGACGGCTGCATTGGCAGCTTCGCTTGGAGTCTCTGAAGAGCAAATCCCAGCTCCACGTGTCAGAGAACACCGGATATCGGCTCCACCCCCGCCTACCGCCGCTGCGCCTCCACCACCCGAATGGCGATCTCAGCCTATACAGCAGGCTCCGTTTGCCCCACCACCCCGAGTTTCGCCGGGTAGTGCTAGATCCAGGATCTACGCTCGCAGAGCGTCTAGACAGGCGTCCGCGGAGAAGACGCATCAGTTGAGCGATGTAAACCCACCGTCATCACCTATTTACGCGGCATTCACCTCGGCTCCATCATCGGCGGCGCCAAGGGAAGATGCGCTGATGTCCGAATTTGGCAATGTCCCTCGTCAACAATCCAGATTCATTGAAGAATCGCACGATGCTCCACGCAACTTTTCAAGAAGGACCCCGCCCAGCTCTGCAGATTCTTCCATCGCTTTGCCTCCTGGCGCACTGCGAGCGAGGAAATCCAGCTCAACGAGACCAGATGGAACACCAAAGACTCGTCAAAGTCCCAGCTCGGGTTCCCATCATGATATCCTCAAGCATTTTGCACCCAAAGACTTTTCACATCTCCCTCCTAGTCCTTCAAGCGCATCTATCAATCAGTTCTTGCGGAATTCAGGGTCAATCCACAACTTTTCGTCGGGCGGATTACCTTCTACCGGAGCGTTTGGACTGCCGAGCAGTACGAGCAAAGTTTCGCTACAGCGATCAGACTCAGGCCGAGTTCGTGGGGGTCGGACAGCATATGAGGTACAGGACGCCTCGCCCGACACGGATGAAGCATTACGAAAGCTTGATGGGCTTGGTCTCACGCCAATCAAGAGCAAGACGCCAAGAGGGAAACACTCACTGGCTGGGAGTTCTCAGACTACTCCGACTCGTTCAGAGACACCTCCGCTTACCGTGGGCAAGGCCAACACACCGGCGACGGAGAAGAGGTTGCCTCTCAAGCCTAGCAGTGCGAGCTTGCGAGCGGAGGCTGGGGATTCACCTACTCAGACTTGGGTGGATGTCGCGATGGAAGAGGCAATGGATAGTCCTGGTCCTGGGGACTCTAATCTACCAAACGCTGTTACGCCCTCCATCGGCGCAGCTGACACACCTGGACCGATGCCACTATCCACTACTCCGCCTACGTCTGCCCCTGCTGGACGAGCTGACAAAATCGGCAGAAGGATGAGCAACAGTAGTGAAGCTTCAGCACATAGCGAATTGTCGCATTCAGACTCTGTCGAAAAGTCGGTACCACCTGTCCCCCCTCTTCCCAAGAGCTTCATGTCTTTGCGCCAAGGCATGAATGTGGCGGGTACGATGGGTCCAACGATGGCAGATCAGAGTCCAGATCCCAACATCTCGATCGACGTACACTCGCCCAAATCAGTCGCGTCTGAGGCCTCGATCATCAGTGGACCTGGTCAGTCAAGCGTCGATGAGCACGGGCAATTGACGGGTACCACATCGACCGGCACGAGTCGTCGACCTCGAATGAGCAAAAAGTGGTCCTTTTCTTCTGCTCTCAATCTTGCTCGGCACGTCAAGGAGGCCGCGGCGCCATTGACATCTCCGTCCATGTTGGATATGAGTATCGCCGAGAAGAATCTTGATAACCGAGGCTCTCAGACTCCATGGACCGAGATTGAACACGGGGAGATTTCGCAGCCTGCACTTCAATCCCCACCTCTCGGTGGGATTGAGTCGAGGTCCAACCCCAGTATCACACCGGGAGCTCCTAATCAACTACCTCGTACCGGTAGCAAGCGCCTCACCCCATCTGCCATCCCGTTCTTCCGCCGAACATCTTCCTCGTCCATAGTCAGCAAATTGTCTCAGCCGAAACCTGAGGATGGGCTCGGTGCTCCGGCTCCAGCACCCAACCGCAGACCTTCAGGTCTCTCCGAACGGCATCCGTCGAGCACAGAATCTTCCGTCATTCCGGAACAGGACGACTCTGTCCCTTCTACATCTGCTCAGCCCAAAAAGTCGGTACTCAATATGCTGCGTGGTAGTGTGACCAAGCGCCATGTTTCCAACAAGGAGACATCGACGTCCTCCTCTGTCACAGTTGTAGACAACGAGCCGAAAGAAGCCAAGTCATCCAGTACTGGATGGTCGGGTCGAAAACGCGGCAAGGTGAGACTGAACAGTGTGCCTCGGGCTGATTGTCAGACTCTGTCCATCTCCAACGATGCACTCATTAGATCGTCGTCTGGAATTCCAACGACATCTCAGCAGAGCACGATCCATATTATCCACCCCAAGGTATCTATCGAGAGCTCTCTCTCGTCTCGATCGGTACAATCAAACAAGTCTGGATCCACCGTCAATGGTGGGGCGGCCGTCAAGGGTCCTCCGACCACACTACCTGCCATCGTTGGATCCCCGCCGATAAAACAAGCTTCCTCTAGCAACTCGCTCAAGCTGTCAGAGACAGTTCGGGATCTACCCTCCATCACCCCGACAAAGATCCCTCGGATCTCCAACCGACCGAGTGGAGGGTCGCCTTCCATGGTCCATCAAGGCATGCCTCCGCCCGCCATGGCATCTAGCAAAAGTGCTGGTCAATTCGGGTCGCTTGGAAAGAAGGTTTCAGCGACTGCCGCGGAACCACTTCGACCTTCCTTCTCTGAATTCGGAACACTGGCAAATTCTCAAGGCCATCGACATAACGCTTCGAATTCTCACCGAGCACATCTCTTGGCTCCCATGTCTGCGAGGACAGAGGCCAAACGCCACGAGAAGCACCGGCTTGAACCTGTCCGCGTGTCATCCGGCCAGCAGGTCCCTGCGTCTCGTCGTGGCCTGCCTGCACCTCCTCCCACTGCTTCTTCAAATCTCACTGCTCAGACTCAGTCGTCTCTGGCCAAACGCGCATCGCGAGAGAGCATCCCCACTTCTCGACCAAACATGACGCGTAGGGGATCCAAGGGAACGAGCAGTGGTGGTCAGACGCCGTCAGAACAGTCATCACCCATCAAACCATCGAAATTGGCTCATTCAAAACTCGTCGTTCCCACTGCCACTGCCACGGCCAAACTGCCCAGTTCATCGTCTGTTGGTGGAGCTTTAGCCTTCCGGAAGTCTGGACCGTTGATGCCTTCACCAACCTCCAGCCCGGCAGAGGATGAAGAGGGTCTCGCGGATGCTGAGATGCACGCATATGTCCAACGTCGAAAGGCCAGAAAGGCGGCTGGCAAGAAGGAGGATTTATCGGATATCGTCGCGTTCCCACAGGACATTGTACCGAAGCCGCCGCTGACCCAGCGAGGTGAGTTGTCAAGTGCTGTTGTTGACGCTGACTCGCCACAGCATTCGTATCTAAACGCCTGGGGTCCATGTCGGATTACGAGCGGCGAGAAGTGCTCGACTTTGACAATATTTACTACTCTCCGCCTTCCAGGATTGCTCGGCCCGCTCAAACCGGGGGTGCGACCTTCAATCATGGATATGATGATGAGCGAGGGGACTACCTCATCGTTGCTGGAGATCACCTGTGTTATCGATATGAAGTTGGCAGTGTGCTCGGAAAAGGATCGTTTGGTCAAGTGGTTCAATGCCGAGATCATCAAACTGGACAATCCGTCGCGGTCAAGATAATCCGAAACAAGAAACGGTTCCACGCACAGGCCCTGGTGGAAGTCAAAATCTTGCAACAGTTGGTCGAATGGGATCCAGATGACAAGCACAACGTCGTCAGAATGACGGATCATTTCTACTTTCGCGGTCATCTCTGTATCGTCACGGAACTACTGAGTATCAACCTATACGAATTGATCAAAGCGAATCATTTTGACGGTTTCTCGACAACCTTGATCAGACGATTTACGACCCAAATGCTGGCGAGTTTGCAATTGATGAGATCGCATCGCATTGTTCATTGTGATTTGAAGCCAGAGGTGGGGTCTATATCTAGGGGGTTTTCAACGCTGAACGCACGCAGAACATTCTTCTGTGCCATCCCATCAAGAGCGCCATCAAAGTCATTGATTTTGGATCTAGCTGTCTAGAGACTGAAAAGGGTGGGTGTGTCTGACGCCTATTGAATCTGACGTGCAGTGTACACATACATTCAAAGTCGATTCTATCGCAGTCCTGAAGTCATTCTCGGGATGAGTTACGCCATGGCGATTGACATGTGGAGTTTGGGGTGAGTGCAGAGGGTGTGAGCCGTGACTGAAGGGATCAGCTGTATTCTTGCCGAGCTTTACACTGGTGTACCGATCTTCCCCGGTGAAAATGAACATGAACAATTAGCTTGTATCATGGAAGTGCTGGGTGTGCCTGATAGAGACATTGTGAATCGATCCAGCAGGAGGAAATTATTCTTTGGTAAGACTATATCCCGACTGCTGTGTCTGACACCCCCTTGCAGACACCGCTGGCGCCCCTCGACCTTTCGACAATGGGAAAGGCAAACGCCGACGACCCAATACCAAAACCCTTGCTCAAGCATTGAAGTGCAACGACGAGCTTTTCGTGGATTTCCTTGCGAAATGCTTGACTTGGGATCCAGACAGACGACTCAAACCTCAGCCTGCTATGCGACATCCCTGGATTTTGGCAGGACGAAGACGACATGCGCCGCCTGCGCCGGCTGCGACTCGGAGCTCGTCCAAGGGATCAGATCTCCTGGCGAATGGATCGTCGTCCATGACGTTTTCCGGCTCGAATTGGAGTCTCAGTACGAAAGATAAGAAGGACAAGGAAAGCAAGAATGGTTCTTCTGGATTATTGATCTCTCCTCCCACGCCTTTGATGGCGAGGCAGAGTGGTACTGGATCCTCCAAGATGAGTGGATTGGCGAGTTCGACGAGGATGAGTTCGGGGCATGTCAGGAATGGCAGTGTGAACATGGTACGTGATAGATAGACTCGCTGAGGAAGCAAGGCTGATGAGTTCTCTCTTTTCCTTTTTTTCAGATGACGACGAAAGTTGGTCTTTGAAGCTGAGGCATGGCATGGTTCTGCATCTATACTTGAGGATGGATATGAAACGACGATGTGGCAGCTGTGTAGCAGGACATGATTATAGACCTCGAAAGTGTCACTGTGTATCTAATGTGGTCAATCTCAGAATGACGTAGTGGCAGCGGGCTGTCAGTGGGCTTTCAGCAGCCTTTGAACATGTGCATTCTGCCCCATAAGATCAATCGGGCAATGGCACTGATGTAGATTAGATAGATTCGATGAGAGGGGCGGGGGAGGCGGGGGTCGGGGTCCAACAGTCGACGCGTGTGAAAACGCGTCGTAACGCGTCTTTTTACCAAAAAAAGAGGTCCTCTACTTTTTTAAAGGGCGGGTCGCGGGATAAACGGATGTCTGGTAAGGAGGGGAAGAAGAAGAAGGGGCGGCGGCAGCAACCAGACAGCAGCAGCAGCAGCAGCAGCAGCAGCAGCAGCAGCAGCAGCAGCAGAGGCGCTGAACGTAGCTTATATAGATAGATTGAGGTACGAGGGGCGTATATATTCATATATAGACAGAGAGAGAGTCGTCGATGAGGTCATGGCTGGCACGACCTCTTTGAACCTTTTTTTTCTCCTTGGGACTTTGAAAAACCTTGTGTCTTCTTCATCCCCGATCACTTTTTGATTATATTTCTTAACCTGTCAGACCTCAGCTGTTCAGTCGGACGTGTTCAACTCATCCTCCATCGCTATCGGGGAATACTGTAACATCTGGAGATAATCGACATTGGACGAGGACCCTCCACCCCACTTGATCCGATCCCCTGATCCCAGGGTCTATATCAGACAACAGCAAGCAGTGCGAGCGGCAAAGAAAACGCGGACCCAGTGGAAATCTGGATCCAGAAAGGGCGCCGCCGCAGCCTTCAGTCGAGGGCAGTCAAGTGATCAGTCGACCTTGCAGCGGTCCGCATCTCTGTGCTGCGAGCTCATTTGCTTGCTCTCCCATCCCTTCATCTCCTGGCGCTCCTTGATTCACTATGCCATCCATGTCGCCCCGAAAGATGGCGCCGGCAAGTATAGTCATCCCGCCGAGGTTATCATTCTGTCTATCCGAGTGAGTTGGAGGGATGACCCTTGGGATGACCATCGTGCTGATGCCACGGATCCCTGCCCGTCTAGATCCTCGATATCTGATTCGGAGGGACCATGCACACCTTCACCCCATACACCCGCTCCGTTCCTAGTGAGTCGCATCGCCGTGAACGTCGTAGATGCTCGCTCACCAGCGCCCCTCAGGATTTCCCTTCATCCATCAACAAAGGCGTTGGAGGAATGCGCGTCGATGAGGATGATCACCCGCCCGCTATCGGCTCAAAGCGAAGTAGGGAGGACGACGATGCGGTCGACGAACCCGTATGGACTAGCGAGGAACTGGACACGGTTCAATCAGTGAGCACACACGGTGGGAGACATGATGGAAGCTGAATGTTCTAGACACTGGTTCATCCATTTCGACCTCTGTCTCAATCGTTTCCACCTGGAGATCTCCCACCGCCTCATGTCATTGACGAACTGACGAACCAAATCTTGGCCTATGCATTCAGGACGTCGCCGACGAAGCGAGCATCTGGGGAATCGGAGAACACAACCGACTTTAGGACAGAGGGATGGACACATTCTTGGGAAGCGACTAGGAAGAAGATGTTTGACATTGCGTTGTCGGAAAGTAAAGGGGAGATCATCCCGAGGAGGACAGCAAAGGAGACGAGGACACTCACTGGATTGGTTGCACGGCCCGGATTGAAGCGAATGGACAGTATGGATTTCCTGGACGAAGGGGAGGAGAAGGCTCCAGACTCGCTAGGGAGAGCGTTGAGGTGAGTCAGGTATCTGAGATTTTGGACTGACATTGTTATATAGACTCTCCACATCCCTGCAGAATAGCGCGAAACATGAGGTCTTGTCCGCAGGTATGAGCAGGTCGTCGTCTGGTGAGTGGAAGCTTGAACCACAAGGTCAAGTACAGTCGCTCATTTCGCGGACGCAGATAATACGATCAGCTCTGAGACGTCACGCGACCGACCATCTCTCCACACTGTCTCTGTCACTACCACTATCACCCTCACCCCCTCTTCTCCTAACCCTGCTGAATCCCCGGCACCAACAGCTCATGCCCCGATGCTTAAGCGTCGTGGCTCGTCTCGAGCGGCATCACTTCGCAGACCTACGAGCTTGCTTCAGAGAGGCAAAAGCTTCACGGCAAGCGATCTCGCTGCAGAGGCAAACAGTCAGGCGAAGACCACGCTCAGTGTTTCCGAAGCATTGAAATCTTCGCCTAATGGAGCTCTATCCGCTCAAATATACGATTCGCCCTTAAATCTATCACCTGTCGTCCCTCAGGAATCGAGCCTGGGTCTCTTGGCATCTGGTATGATGGACAATGTCAACGAATCTCTCGCATCATCTCTTCATCCTCCCATCGCTTCCGTCTCTGTGGCTTATAATAAACCTAAACTCTCTCGATCCGTCTCCTCGTCGGAAATTATCAAGGCGCACTCTGCGAGAGATCAGTTCCTCGCTATCAAGCCCATGACCTCGGATCGATCGGCCCTAGCTCGTCCGTTGAACCTCGACACCAAGCCTGTACCTGTCGAGGCACAGCATCATTCCGGCTGGAGCGACAGTGACGACGATCTGATGCCTCGGAAACCTCGAGTCGTCAAGAAGATCAAAGGTGGTAAAGTCAAGGCTCTCAAGGTGCAAGCGGTAGGCTTACAAGCTGGGGATCGAGGTGGACTAAGAAGCCCTTTTGAGGAAAAGGCTCACTTGGAACTTGATCTGTGAGCGTGTGGGCGGCGCAAAGTCCTCCGGTAGTCCCCTCCGAAACTGTAGCAATAAGAATGGTCGAACGGTTCTTCTACTCTATGTCTTGATTTCTTGTTTCCCCTCACTATATACGCTCTGCTCGCTCTTGTCTCTCAATATGCTGTATCTAAATCGTTGATTAGTGGACACTTGGCAATGCAATGTCTCTCTGTTGGCGAGCCACGGCCATACGGTATATGGCTTGCTGGATAGTTCGGCGATCGCCGCCTGATTTGCCACTCGCAACTGCTCGTGTGACGTCGTCGTTTGCTGTCACACGACATTTTTCTGAATTCCTGCAAACTCCACTCACTCAATCCCGATACATGTTGATCCTTTCATACGCTCCTGCTCCAAACTTGTCACCGCTCCCCCCTTGGTCTCTGATCGAACCTCAGTAGGGACTTCAGTGGCCAAAAACCCTTGTACACCTATTGGATGCTTTGATCCTCACCTCGCCCCTGACGAGCTCACGTCATGCGTCAACGATCCATTCACCGGACCTCCTCCTCACTCGATACACTTCCCCGTTGCCCAGGTCACAAAAGAAACAGCACTCCTTCCACTGGATCGTCCCTCTTACAGAACTATATATCCAAGCTAGTCGTGTTCCTCATGGCTTTAGCGAGGATTCCATTGGTCGGTCCATTGGCAGCCATCGCACCGCTACGACCGAGATTCTTAAATCGAGAGACAAAGATGACCACCAAGACTCCTCAACTCACTTCGGAGGCCATGCTCGCGGTTTTGGTACGTTGTGTGATGGTTCAAATCAAACCTTGCTGATACTTTGATATTAGCTCGAGAACGCTCCTCAGAGTGCTCTGGCCCACCGCCCATTACTTCGACAGATCTACCTGTACTCAAACCTCGCTCTCACTTTGGCTCTACTTCCTCTCTGGACATTACGTTATGCACATCCCTCTTGGCGTCCACGAAAGACTTGGTCCCTTGGGACCAGTGTCCGTGTTCGAGTCAAGAGAGATATATGTGGACTCGTCGGCGCTTGTGAGATTGATCATCTGGGTAGAGACCTCTCCATCGATCTGGCAAGTCACAGGACCGCATCAGCCTGAGGAAAGAAGCTAATGTCATTCATCATTAGTGCCCGAAAGACCTCTTGCATTCCCATCCCATCACCATACCTCCTGTCCCAGCAGACTCTCTCCGCGGTCACCCAGCTGAAATGCTCGCTTTGCTTCGCGAGTCGGCAGCGAAGAATGCCTGGACACCGCATATCATACCTAGGGCAAAGAACGGACTACCATTGAAGAAAGATTGGCTGGCACAGCAAGGAGTGCAGTATGGCCCCTGTCCTGTCAAGGCATTTTGGTATGCTGGAGACAAGTCGACACCAGAGTCGAGTAAGTTGCCGAAACGCACTTGGTGTTGGTGTTAATATCCTTCACAGCCCTGTCCCCGATCGACCCTTCCGAGCCTGTCGGTCTCTACTTTCATGGAGGAGGCTATTTATTCGGTACCGCCGCAGAGACCGACCTCACTGCCAACATCCCTAAGCGACTCGTCACGAACACGTCGGTCAAACGGATCCTCTCGGTTGACTATAGATTGGCTGCCCAAGGCCCTTGGCCGTTGCCCCTCATTGATGCCATCTCGGCATACAAGTATCTATTGGATATCGGCATGACCCCGGATAAAATCATCATTTTTGGAGATTCTGCAGGTGGTCATCTCGCCATGGCGTTGACTAGGTACTTGAGGGATGAAGGCAGACACGAGGGCATGGGAATGCCAAAGGGGCTCATATTGATGAGCCCGTGGTCTGATCTCGGATTCACACATGCGTGGGGAGAGGGTCGATTCTCGAATTTCGACTCGGACTTGGTAAGTCAACTCTCCCAGCCAGGTTGTGAGCTCACATCATTCAAAGGTTGACGAGACGTTTGGTCCCTTCGCTTGCTCGCTCCTCATGCGAGCCTTACCTTTCTCCCTCGTTCACAAGTCATCGTATCTCTCCCCTGCGTCCTATCTCATTCCATCTACTGCCTCGGGCCCAGATTCTATGGCCGACTTTCCGCCCACCTGTATCGTCTATGGGGGTGCCGAACGACTGTCGCTGTCAATCCTCAAGCTGTGGACTCGATTCACTCTCGCGAGGCAAGGCGCACACTCTGCGGATCAGGATTTGCTTATCGAAGGCAAGGATTGCGTGCACGATTTCTTGATGTTCCCTTGGCAGTATAATGCTGGACAAGAAGCCCGAGAACAGATGGAGGGATGGTTAGAGAGGCTGGTGCAGCGCCCCGCCCAAGAGCTTGGCCAAGTCGTGGATGCGGAGAACAGCCCCATTTTGGTGCCTTCGTGGATGTCATTGACGAACTCCATCCGGAATTCCAAATCGGCGCTTGAACGCCAGGACTTGCGCGAGGTGCTGAGAGAAGCGGCGATGGAGTCAGAATCCAGCATTCGACAGAGGCGGACAAGACGGAAGACTGATCAAGTCGGGGAGGCTCGAAGTGGATCACTGACATTGTTCACTGGAGCGGTGGAATCGGATGAAGAGACGCTTGTCGGAGATGGGGAGAGCGAGGCCTCAGAGGAAACTGTGGGTACTCTGGCGGAGGAAACCCAGGAGACGATAAAGTTTGAGGCCGATCCGCAGCCTGCTGTGCGACCTATCGGTCCACTAGCCCTCATGGCTCAGGCATGATCGTGTCTGTAGCATTAGCTGTTGTATACCTTAGAGCTGTATCGCATCTAGCATAGCATAGCATGACATAGCATTGCATACTGTACTACATCCGTCCAGAGGGCTATCTGGTGAACCTGATTTGCCTGTCGTACCCTACACTAACGGCTGACCATGTTCCATCGGCTTGTTGCAACATTGCAATGTCCCTGACGACCTGACTTGAAGCTTGACCGAGTTGCGTGGTGCCTCCGTGAACTTTGACACTGGATCGAGTTGTGCCGTCTAACGATAAGAGGTTGAGATAACCATTCGGCGAGGTTGTACTATAATGCGGAACCGCGAGTCAGCAATTTACTAAAAGCCCAGCTTGCATCTGACTTACATGATCCCCGAGCCATCTGGTATCCAGGCCATACGGGGCAGTACAAAGTCGTCAGACTCCGAACCCGTCCATAAACATCCCAGGCGTTCAGTCTAGCGTATCAGTCAGCGTGCCGCTCGACCCACGACAGACTACGTCAACCTCACCTCCTCCGGCTCGACGCCGTACAGTAAGACTCGCTCTCCGGACGTTCCTCGATGATCTCCCGTTTGACATGCCACGAGCTTTCCAGACGGGTGAAGGATCATATTGAGGACGGAGAACGAGACGTGTGTATCGTATTGCGACGGATTGAAGCTTTTCGTTCGAGTCTCCCAGGAGGATGAAGTCACGACCGATATATCCTCTGATGGGTCCGGTAAGCGAACGTAAAACATCTGATACGCGTTTCGCAGGGTGTACATGAGCCAAGTGGAAGCTGGATGAAAGAGGATAGATTCAGGGTTCGAATCGCAAGTAATCCGTTTGACAGGTTCGTAGCGTAGTGCGGGATCACAAGCTAGGTCCGGATGATCAAGCTCGTCAAGTAGCAGCATGTGATCATCGTCGTCTTCGTCCTGCATCTGCGGCGGAGCTGAATGAGAGGAGGATGCTTGATAAATGACGATATCTCGATCGTAGGACGCTGTCGCGAGGAATCGACCACAGGGCGAGAACGCTACTCTGACAACAAACTTGTTTGATCTGAATGTTTGGAGTGGCTGCAGCGTGATAAGGTCGGTGAGAATGGTACTTGAGGGCCGAGGGATCGCGCAGTGAGCGACAAAACTTGAAGCAGCGAAACTCACGTCCCGTCCATCGAGCCTGTGACTAGATACCGCGGGTTCAGTGGGTGAACGTCGAACGCTAGAATAGCGGCTTGGTGGGGTTGCAGAATCCTAGAGACCTGAAATGAGGGGAGGGAGTGAGTAAGGACATACTAGCTCGTAGAATTGATAGTTGCTGACCTCCCCGGACACATGATTGATAAACTTGATCGTCTTGTCGACCGACGTAGTGACGATGTCGAGCTGGAATCGAGCTCTGTATCTACCCGACAAAAGCTTGAACCGATCTCATGCCTCGACAACCTTTTCATCCTCTTGTAAACTCACTCGGCAGACGCTGTGTCAAACTCTCGATACGGTATTCTCGCCAACATGACAGTCAACAAATTGGCAGCACTGATCCCGTCGATACTTCTGATCACGCCTCCAAGTTTGACATCGGGATCCAACTTGATCCCTGCGATATCCTTCGCTGTCCAGCCCTTCCATCCTTGACCCAGTGAATCTCTCTCATGGGTCGAGATCTCTACACTGTCCAGCTGTTTCGGAAGCTTCGTCGAGAGGTAGTAGTCCTCCACGATGGTTCGTAAATCGGTATCAGGTGCATCTTGACCATTCAATTCTAAGTGTTCAAGATGAGTCGCTTCGAGAAATGAAGGGAGCGCAGATGGGTAACTATGAGCCAGGTATTGAGCGATAAGTCTCTGGACATAGTCGCTAGAGGCCATCTTCGAAGCTGACGGGTCACGATGAACGCGAGGAGAAAGCTGGACCCGCCGGCAATGTCCTCCGCCGCCTCGCCTCCTCAGTGTTTCCATCGGAACTGATCGATTGGCTAATCATTCTCATTCTAGTGATTAGCAAATTGTGATCACTAACGTAATCATTACATCAGCTTTCCCCGATCATCTTCGGAGTCAAACCTCTTAATAAGAAGCAACAGCAGCCGATTCTTGAACGTTGATCCATCCAACATAACGACGACCCCGTCTCTGATCTCATTCATCCCTCAAACTAACTGTAGATCAATTATGTCTGACCAAAAGAAGATCTTTGTCTTCACCGCTACCGGTAAGCATCAATCTCCCTCCTCACCTTAAAGCCTGGGCTGACTTTAGAGGTATCGCTCAGGTGACCAAGGTAGCTCCGTCGCCAAGTATCTGGCCAAGACTGGCCAGTATGAGATCTGGGGATTGACAAGGAACACGGAGAGTGACAAGGCGAAAGGTAGGCACCACCAAGCAATCACATAATTCGCATCTCTGCTAACGCTCGGGCGTGGCGTACAGAATTGACCCAGCTCGGAGTCAAAATGGTCAAGGGCGACATGGACGACGTTTCGTCCTACGAGCCTCACCTCGAAGGCATCCACGGAGCCTTTGTAAATGCTGATTGTGAGGTTACAATCAATTGAAAGCTCAACGCTGACCTGTACTCTGAAGTCTGGGCCAAGTACTTCTCCAACGGTTTCAACGGAAAAGAAGCTGGCGAGTACGAATATGGCGTAGCGACCCGTGCGATCGAGGCCGTCGTCAAGGCCGGAGCCAAGCATATCATCTACTCTTCTCTTGATGACTGCCCATTCGTTCCTCATTTCCATTACAAGCAGGAAGGTGAGTGGCAGGCAGATTCAATGCTGTCGACTTGGGGCTGAGCATTCGACTTCCACAAATTAGTATCCAAATGGGCAAAGTCCAAGGACTACCCCGTGACCAACCTTCACGTGGCACACTATCTTTCCAACCTTGTCAAATTCCCAGACTTCATCAAGGCCGACGGAGAAGGTGGGTATATCCTTCAGATCGCTGCCGCGGACGAGACCACCTTGGGCAACTTTGCGGTCGAACAGACTGGAGGATGGGTTGTCCCCATCTTTGCAGACTCGAAAAAGTATCTCGGTGAGTTATCAATCTCCGGAGAGTTTGTAGACGCTTGTTTATTCCATTCGCTTCTAGGCGGCAAGGTCAATGCCACTTCCGAGACATTGACTGTCAAAGAATGGGCCAAAGAGATCTCCGAGTACATTGGTAAACCCGTCAAGACGATGGGTCTCACACCTGCCATCTACGATGACTACTCTGGCCTGGTCAAGAACGGCGTTCCTGAAGAGCTGGTCCTCAATTACAAGGGCTTCAATGAGGGGTGAGTGGGGACAGGATATGTGGGATCGGCCGTTCCCTGATACGTCTCCAGTTACTTCAAGTGGAACCTCAAGGAGAGTCTTGAAGTCTTCCCCGACGCCTGGGACACCAAAGCATGGGCGAAGAACACTGGTGCTTTGGACCAATTCAAAGCTTGAGCGAGGTGTGAGCCATCGGAGGAGGGTGAGGAGCAGATGCAGAGGCAATGACTCCACACGCGTCGTTTGTATGACCAATTCTCGTAGCACTATTGCATATATCATTGTTTCGTCCGTTTATCGTTGTGTCGTTAAGGATCAGGGGGGGGGGGGGGAAGTCGTCACGGGTCGTTGATTACAGGTTCGTGAGGGGGATTCTTTGCTGGTGCAATCTGAACCGCAATCAACAAATGAAGATTGCGGCGACGTGCTCACCTCTACAGCCCAATCCTCTCAGCGACGCTCCTGCCCTGTCTCTCCCGCCTCTCCTCTTCAACCGCATTGTATCCAGCTCGGTCCGTATTGTTCACGCCTCCGTTCTGCTTTGAGGTGGATGTCATCTGTCCAGTCTGCATCTCGGTCGCCGTCTGAGTTGGAGCGTCAGACCCTTTACGCTTTTCGATCTCTGCTTGAAGGAGCTTGAGATCGGATGTACGGAGTGAAATAGCCGTCGGGTTGGCTCGAATCATCCTGGAGTGTGAGGGTACTAATGAAGAGCGCAGTACGCGAAGAGAATCGCCTGTAGTTGAAGATGAATTTCGCCACCGTGAGAAAGCTGAACATAGTGGGGAATGCAACAAAAGATCAGCCGAAAGCGGTTCATCGCAGCTCCCGTGGGACGTCCCGAAGATTAAATATTTGTTGTACGTTCAGACTTTTTTGTATACACTACTTCTCGATCTCGAACCTCACCAAACAGCTCCCCCCCCACACATCGGCATCATGGAGTACATCAACAAAGTCACGGACGTCGCCAGGAACTTCAGGGCAAGTCAAGCATTATGTCTAGTGGCGGAATTTGAGCTCATCCACGTTTGCTCTACAGGAGACTAGATTATCGACCTTGAAACCGCCTCAGGAGTTTGTGAGCGACCAACATCTGGCTAAATGTCATGAATCTCATGTCCCTGTTCACAGTTCGATCATCACCAACTATCCCGACCGAAAGATCTCAACGATGCCACTGCCGTGAGTGACCTTCCAGGTCGGGATGGCAAAAAATGGTGGTTCAGTGGTCCCACACAGCTGACGAAGCGTGTCAGAGGATAACTTACAACACTCGTCATTTCTCCGGCAACTACCTCATCGTCATTCTCATCCTCTTCGTCTACGCCTTGTGAGCGGGAAATATCGTCCATAGAAAGCGTCGTCATCTGACATCCTCCCTTTGTCAGACTCACAAACTACCTCTTGATCATTGCCGTCGTGTTCCTAGCAGGAGGCTTTGCACTCATCAACCGCTTCGGTAAGTGACCAGGCCAATTAGCTCTCCGGCTTTAGGTTACTGACGATCGCTTGCGTACTACCAGCCGCCGAACCCATCCATATCGGAAATCTCGTCATCACCCAACAACAGCTATACATTGGTTTATTCGTTGTCGGTAAGTGACATGAAGCCCATGAGATTGCTTCTTCGAGGAGACCCATTTCAACTCTGACACTTATTAGGCTTGCCATTGCTTTGGGTCGCTTCCCCCGTATCGACTTTCTTCTGGCTCGTCGGATCATCTGCAATTCTCATCATTGGGCACGCATGTTTAATGGAGCCGGGCGTTGAGAGCGAATACGCCGGAGTGGAGGGTGTATAGAAGGGTAACGAAGCGGCAGGGATGATGATATGTTCTCTGCGCATATGGCGTATCCGCCCTCAGCTAGCCTCTTATGGTATTACACATAGATAGACTCGTTTCACGCACAGGTATTCGACCATCTCATGTCGGGATGCGACTGCGTTAACAGATGTTCGAGCTCTTTGTCCTCTCAAATACACGAATCACCCGTAGGCGTATGCGACAGTGTCTAATCTCATCTATGTGAATCTTGGCTCATGCCCGAGGGTACGGTTCCGGAGCTTCCTCGCTTATCGGCACCTCCACCGGGACAGGAATCCCCTCTGACCTGTCCATCCGCCTTGTTGCTCTCACTTTGCCCGTCCGTCTTTCCTTTTCTCTTTCTCTCTCCTCCACTTTGCTGAGCTTGCTGCCTCCCCCTAACCACGATGAGAAGCCTCCAGGTCCCTTGGGTCGAGGCATGAACTCTTGTGATTCAGGCATGAGTAAGATATGGTATTTCTTCTCTCCTCCTCCTGTCAGCAACCATGCTTCGAGCAGTGCCAAGTTTCTCAAGTTTGATTTCCACAGATTGTCGATGAAATCTCCGATGAGAGGGACGAGACCGACGATGACATCGAGTATCACATTGAAGACCATCTGTATGACCACGTTCCTCGGGACGCCAAATACAAAGCAGAGCCAAACTTGGTACAGCTGGATAAAGCCAGAGACAATGTCTCCATATATCGGTACGAGGGAGATGATGTCGTCAAGACCGGCCTGTATGGCCAGTTCAGCGCGCAAGGGGACGAAGAGCAGCATTCTGAGACTCACTCTAAAGGGCAGACCCAGGTCGGACAGCAGTGGCGCAGCATCAAGCCAAAAGGCGATCGTACGGATATGGTTATAAAGTCTGACTCGGGGCACTTCAGCAGGTTCATCAGGAAAGATAAACAGCGAGAAAGGCAAAGGAGACAATGTATCAGGGTAATTCTAGAGCATTGATGGGGTTTTTTCAGCACGGCTCGAGAGCTCTGTGCAAAAGGATGGTAATCATCTTGAAAGAGGAGATTTGGGCATCGACACAATCGTATGACAAGGTTTCAACTCACCGCTGAGCTTCTGCATCTGTCTTGGGTCTGCCTACGCCATAACGGACAGGCGTGTAAGTCGCTTCGAAAGCACCAAATTTGACCGGCGCAGCATTCCTGGTGCAGAAAGGGGTGGGCAAATCAGCGAGATTCCTCTCGCTTACGTGACACAGAGACCCACTCACTGGCGATCTCGAGTCGCATTTGGTCTGTAGCTTCGCAAGATAGGCCACATGGCCCCAAAGATTCCTGACATGGAATCGTCTGCTGACTCAAAGGTGCAAAAATTGATCAATGTCTTGCTTTTTGGCGAGAGGAGGATGAGGATGATGAAGATGTCACCTCGGAATTGAACGACGTGTCGCGTGGCACCATGGAGGCTCGGAAATATGGCCTCACACCTGACAGCGGTACGCGCTTTCTAATGAGGCATTCACATTACACAAGTGAAGATTCAGTCTGTCGAAGAGTGATGTATCGTACTCATGTACGTGGGTTCAGATTTCCTCATCCCTAGGCAGTCTTGTTCAATCACGAGCTGATGGAGATTTCTCCCATTGTGGCGCTGATTCAATCCGGTCGACTGACGCTTTACGTCCTTTCATCCGACGATGCATATGAGTGCTCCTCACTCACTCTTTCCTTGAAATGATACGAGGCTCGTTTCTTGGAAGCGCTTGTGGCACGCTAGCGTCCCAGAACTCGGGGTAGGATTTGATCATCACGTATGGCCCAATCTGCAGTCGGGTTCGAAGCATAATGAGACGGATTTTGAGATCGATATCCACTTATGCCGTGCGAATCATGGTCTGGGCGGCGCTCAGTCGTGTATGCTCATAGAGCTTCATGTAACGAGGCGCGAAGCGATGGGTTGACTCAGTCATTCCTCTCGACGCCCATTCCATCTTCCTTCAGTGCTGTGAGGCGACTGATTTTGTAAATTTCCGCCACACGCGGTCGAATTGAATAGGTAGTACCTGTTCTTGTCCTCGCCGGCTTCATCACCTCATCTGGCCCCCAACTGGTGAGTAGCTTAGAGCTCATGTGAGGGGCTGACTACATCATTCTCAGTGCTCTCCTGTCGGTCCTAGTGTGTCTGTGTTCACTGCCTCATCTGAATAGTTTCACTGTCGGCAAGCTGGATCGTCTTCGAGGTTGAAGACCATTGGACCTCTCACCAGTGCAAGGCATCCTCATCTCAAGAAGGCTCAAAAGCCCTATGACTTAGCTTGTATCGTCAAGTGGACAACTGACACCTCGTCTGGTCTCGCCGATTGTCATCGGTGGAGGTTCGCGGTCTCTCGCACGCTTAGTCCCAGAAACTTGGAGCATCCTCACTCCGGAACCTCCGAATACAGGGTTCTCGTGTACCTCCTGCTGCCAGCTTGCAGTATCGACAATCATCAGGCGAGGTTCTTGCGAACATGCTCAGGCTATTGGGGTTGAAGAGACGACTTCGGAGACGGCGGCGCGGCACCAATTCCATCGCCCGCGGCCGTTCACTCACTCGAAAACCGCTCATCAATCAATTCGTTTGTCATTACCCATCCCTCCCCGATCACCGTCGTCTCTTTGCTTCACCTGGATCTGATGAAGCCACCGTCGCATCCTGCTCGGCCACTTGCTCGATGCATAGCCTTGTGGAGCCATCTCATACCCTTCATGGCGATCCCGGCTCCTCGACAGCAATGAACGGCCATTTTCGGCGATCTGAGACGACTCTGGTGGGAAGTGGTGAATGTGATCTACAGGAGATCGAAAGCCAGGTGAAAAGTGAGGTCACAGCAGGAACATCAGCACGCCGAGGGGCGTCGCCCAACTCGCCAATCTGTCAATTTTTACAGGCATACTTGCGCGCCTTTACGCTGTCTTTCACGCCTCGACAGCCATCGACGGTCACGCTCGGTGGATCGGAGGCCGACCCCAGGTCCGGGATGGGAGGTCACGCCGCTTCTCTCGTTGAGCCGCCTTCCATTAGCAAAAGAAGAGACGAGAATTCCGACCAGATGCGGGTCAGCAAAAGAGCGAAGAACATCACTGTCAAGTGTCTCCTCACTCTTCCAGTCTTAGCTGGTGCCCTGTGTTGCTATTGCTGGCGCGAGATTGGCTGAAATCGGCCAATGCTACCAGCTTGTAAGGTTGTTATGATATATCAGTACATGTGCAAGGCCCCCAGATGCGTCCTTTCGGGAAACCTAAGCCAATGCCAGTCTGAATTGTTAAGCTGGCAACAGCTTGCATCATTATGCTATAACAGGCGTAACTTTCCAGTGACCTGGTTGATCAGCTTCGCCGGTCCTCTGGATAGCATCAGTATGAGAAGCACTTGTAGACTCACGGCCCGATACCGAGGACAGTCTTTGATCCTGGTGCGACCTGTGTGCGTCCACTGTACTCCGTCAGAGACAGCTCTCCTGAAGTGGGAACTCACGCATCCTGTATGGTTCTCGCACACAAGTTCAAGGATCTCGCCTGGGCTGCCAGAACCTCCAGTTCTTCGGTATCTTGACAGCGAACCGCAATCTTTGGTTGACTAAGGCAGAATCAGCTAGAGCGCGAATGAGATCGAGTTCACCCATGCATCTGCCAGTTCCGGAACAACTAGGGACATCAGTTCGGATTCCATTAGCTCATTTGCTCACCCTCGGGTTCATTTCCTTCACCATGAAAGCGCAAGCAAGGGTCGCGTGCCCAGCTTGAGCTGCGATCTTCCCTTTTGACATTTTCAAACTGTCATTGACGACCAAGACGAGTTTCACTTCCTCTGACATGGCAGCTTTGACTGAAGCAATGTCCGAGCTCTTGGCCGCAGTCTCGTCCTCAGCATCGGATTCTGCATCGGTCGCTCCTTCACTGTCTGAGGATGAGGATCGATCGAATCGAGGTGCGCTGGGCTGGGAAGATGAAGGTTCGACAGGTCGACCATCGACCACTTCGAAGCCTTTCTGATCCTTCTTCTTCTTCGACCGATGAGCTGACGAGCTGAGAGAACGGGTCTGTGACGACGATGAAGGGCTCAAATAAGGTCTGAGCTGGTATCCTATGGTGAAGGCAATAATAGAGATAGCTAATGGCTGGATGAGGCCTACGTGTAAGATCAGCAGGGATTAGCAAACGAGCTGACCTTCTATCCTTGAATCTCTAAGCCAGGACATGTCGGATGATAGCAGGATGGATACAAGATAGATTCGTTCGGCTTTATTATATTTTTGGTCGGACAATCAGATGAATGGAATTCCAGTCCATTGTCATTGACTCCTTTGAGCTTCGCCTTTGACCTTCCTTCGACCTCGATCCCTGGCCGATATTCCAGTTTTACTTTCTCGCGCACAGCTTCGCCATGGCTCCAGCTACAGTGGCTGCGCCCGCTCCAAAGTACACCACTACAGGCACCGTTTCCTCTCCACTTGATCTTGAATCTTTCGCTTCAGCCAAGGGGGAGCATGAGACCGTGAGGTTGACTAGCGCAAAGGGCTCTCAGATACGCCCAAAGCCCAAAGTGACATTGACAAGTTTGACCGTGAACAACGTGAGCTGTATTCGAGAGACGGCCACAGTGTGAGTACTGGTGCTGACCATATGACAGTCTGGTACGCTTCGGAAGTTAAACTCAGTCGTCATTCCTATCGTTTACTCGGACAAGTTTTACAAGGACGTCTTGGATCCGTCACTGGATGACATCAACAAGATAGGTGAGGGACAGTGTGAGTGGAGAATGACCTGACGGTAGTCTATTACGCGGATATCCCTGTCGGAGCCATTTGTTGCCGATTCGACAACCAAGCCTCCACGTCAAAGGAGAAACCCCCGACCTTGATCATCTTGACTCTTGCGTGAGTCAGGGGGTCCTCATTCCGTCGCTGACGCTGCAGTGTCCTCGCCCCGTATCGTAGCCAGTCGCTAGGCTCTGCGCTCTTGCTCTCCGCCCTGAAAGCCTCGCTTCATCCTGCTCCACCTCCACCTCCGCTCAACGATGCAAAAGCGGGTAACAAGGCTCCTGCACCAGTCACTTTGAAGCCTCGAAAGCCTGTCAATCGGGCAATGGCTCATGTTCAGGTTGGCAATGAAGACGCCAAGAGGTTTTACGAGAGACTGGGGTTCAAAGAAACGGAAGTGTGAGTGGGCTTCGGGGGACACATTGCTGATGAACAGGGTCAAAGATTACTATTCAAAGATGCAGCCAAGGGATGCTATCCTGATGGTGTGCGAGGACATCAGGGCAGCGCTCGGGGAGCAGGCCAATGGCGATACCTAGAGACACATACAATAATCCTATCATAGCCGACGTGATATTGCATGCCGTCTACCTACAGTCTACAATTTGTTACACACCCTTTGATGCCGTCCTATAGTTGGGAAAAATGAGTTGAAAGGTCTGTATGTGAATGATTTGAGAATGACAATACTGCTGTGGGCCCAAAATGAGAAGTTCCTGTTCATGGTGTATCGTGTAAATTTGGTCTATCTGCGTCCATTGACGCGACTGGCTTCGATTCGTTTGGCGATCAGATTGCTGAGGTACATACGTCGGAGGCTGTCCCGCTTCAATGCGAGGTACGTGTCCATGGCTATGGGGTTGCTTTCAAACTCGGCCATGACCTCCATCACGTCTTCGTCTTTCAGCTCGCTCTCGCCCTGTAGCTGAAGGATAGCCTGAGTTCGACGCTGAGCTTCGGTGAGATGTGCCTCGGGTGTGGATACGGTGCGAGGCGGTTCGACCTCGAACGGCGGGGACAGCACGTGCCGAGGAGGAGGGGCAGTTTGGGGTATGCGGTTGATCATGGTCTGTGGAGGGGTTTGGACGTGGGTCGTGAGAGATGAAAGAGGTTTAAGTGGTAATGACTCGGTAGGCGTAGATGACATTTGCAGTTGTGATCGTGTGTGCATGTGTCGATGCGGGGGTAGTGTGGGTGGTGGTTGCTGTTGCTGTTGCTGTTGTGGTGGTGGCGGTGCTTGGTGCTGTTGTTGCTGTTGATGCTGTTGCTGTTGCTGCATGAGTACTGGTGTCGTCGGTGAAATCAAAGCTGGATCGAGCAGCATGCCTTGAGCATATCCTGTGGGCGATGGCATGGGACTACCTCCGAGGTGTCCAGCAGGAGGCATTGCGATGTGATATGACATGGGTGTGGGGCGTCCGTGAGTCAAACTTGGGTTTGACCGTGCGCGTTTCGGTCCTGGAGGTCGTGAAATGTCGAGGGGCGTTGTAGTCGTTGAAGGCCCGTTGAGCATGGCAGCGTCGTAATGCGGTCGTTTGGGGCCGCCAGATTGCATGGCGAATGAAGACTGGAGATCCGTCAGCGGGAAACACAATGAAAAAGTACTCACGCTATCGTGCATAAAGTTGGGGTCGTATTCTCCCTCTGCATCTACGTCGGTACCATCCCAGTGGTAGCCAGGGTCTGGCATGTTGAGCATGCCTGATCCACCGACGAGAACGTGACCTGGAGGCATGCCGAGTTGAGGCGTGTGGGGTGGTCCCGCAGAGGATACGGAGAGTGAGAGCATACTGCTGGCGTCGCTCATGGAACCAATGGATTTGCGTGGTCTAGTTATGGTGCCTCGGATCTTCTCATCAGGACATAGCAGGGCGATAGAGTTATAGAGGGGGATGTGCAGACGTTGAAATTTGCCGGCTTCCCATTGCTACGCGAAAGTCAGCAAGTGGACATGGCCCGAGGCGAATGAGGACAATAGAGTAGAGTCGACGCGTGAAGATGGTGGGGGCCCGAGGCAGGCAAGCATAATCAACGCAGGCAGTGCCAAGGAGCTTGTGCTCAAAAGGCCTCGAATCTCTGCTCGCAGTAACTGTGCTCGCGGTGACTTGGTTCGCGTTGATTCTACAAATCTCGGCGCAAATCGACTCGCTTCACTGCGTTCGCTTGCTGCAGCCATACTCACCTTCTCCACAGCGTCCCAATCTGCCTGCGACGCTACCAATTTGCTGGTCGCATGATCCCAAGAGAATCCTGGGACTGCTTCCATTTCTTTGGCAGCTTTGTAGTCGCGTTGAAGCTTGACACGGGCAATAGGTCAGTGGAATGTAGGGTACGGGAAGCGGACAACTGTCCCATTGTGCTCACCCTCTGCCAACGACTCTTGCAAGCCTCTGGCGTTTTCGGTCCCCCGGTCACCGTTGTTCCTTCCAACAGGTCGGATATTTCCCTCCATACTTCCGTTTTGAACCCGTTATCGGATGTCCTGGACGAGTCTCTATGATTGAGCAAGACGTTGATGAGGATCTCAGTGTCTTGTTCACTCCAATGAGCAGACTTTTTGCGATCTTTGGGTAGTACGTCGGAGGATGATGAGGACATGATTTCAGGGCGGTAGCTGTCGACCTGACAGACACATGAGATAGGTACAAGGTCGGCTTCAGAGTTCTGTAAGAGTTTCTATCGTGGCGGTCTATCGTGTTTCGAACCAGTTTTTTCTTCTTCTTCTTCGACAGCACTCAGCCAGTGAAATGTTCAGGTTGAGAATGACGGTCTCGTCTCGGATCGGTTTCAGAAGGCACTGAGATTTTTTTCCCCTCCCTTCCACGGCAATGATACTGTCGCAAAAGACAATGTCTCCCGTATGCGAGACCCCACACGGACACGAGCTGGGAAGATTTCCAGAGAACTGAAGACGGACAACGAGCGGGAAAAGTTGGGGTCTCCCGAAAGTCTCAGGGGAAGGGTGTGTCCGAGGTCGGTGGTCAGTGGTGGTATTGGTGGTGGTGGTTATGGGAAGGGAGATTGAAGGAAGAAAAAAACGAGGGTCGGCGAGAGGGGGAGGGAGGATGTGATGTCGGGGAGATTTTTCGGGCCAGGAGCCACCGCCTTGAGTCTACCTATGCGTCTATGTCATGCGAGTGCCTGTCAAGAGTTGGTGAAGGGTCATTCCATCGTGAGAAGAGGAGCGAGTGAAATTGTGTCCCACCCAGGAAAAAGCAAAAAAAGAGGGGTGCTGGTTGGGTGGTGGTGGTGGTGGATTTCTGTGAGGGAGGAGTGGGAATTTCCGGGAAACGCGAGTGGTAATTGATATTCTGAAATCACCGTTCAGATGAGATATAGCACTATAGCTCGGATTTTCCCATTCCAATCCCCCTCCCCCTTCTCTCTCTCTCTCTCTGCGTGCCTCCTAAGAGCGGGGTGAGTGAGTCGGGGACCTGGGAGACAAACCCATTTAGGTGGTGGCTCTGGACCCTGGGGGAAGTTGGGAAAATCTCGTCACTTTTCCTCCTCTTTTTTTCCCTCCTCCAATTGCAGACAGAGAGAGAGGCTTTTTGGACTGCGTTCAGCGAGGCGACTGCCAAAACCTAAACTGCCTTCAGGGTGTGATTCATTCAATCTAATGGGTAAGATGATGTAGCTGCAGCGACACGGTAATCATAATATCAATGATGAACAGCGGAATCTCGAGGGACAGGAAGTACGAGCTGGTCCTGAACACTGCTTCTTGCCGAGGGAGCGAGGGTCCCCACCTTGAAACGCCACGATCGTCCTCGTCCATTGAGAGAGCATGAACGTGCCTCGACTCGGTTCACGGCGAGATCTGTGAATTCTCGAAAAATGTGCCCCTCTTTCCCATCGGGAACGTTCTGTACCCGTCTGTGTCCAACCGATGCGACATATCATTATTCCCTCTATTGGGCAGAACCAGGCCCGCCCAAGGGCGTGACATCTAATAAATGAGTTCTAGTCCGTCCATTGGATCTTCAAAGACACGTCATCAAGGAAGGGAGATCTCAAGGTTTGATTCAGCGCGAGACTAGAGATACCGCCTTGGCGAGATACAAGTAGAGCAAACCAAACCAAACCAGACCGAACCAAACCAAGGCAAAAGCGGCTCATTCGGGCGAAAAGAGTTCAACTCTGAAAGAGACTCGTCGTACATCGCACGAACGCGGCAAGGGCTCGACCCGAGGCGCTTGAGACTTTACACCGATTTCTCTTCCGACGATCAACCGTACACGGATTGAGACATGCAATTTGAGGTCCAGGGTGGAGCTGGCGCTAGATCCCGTCAGTAGAGCTTACGATATCAACGCCCGGGGGCCATCGTGGCGGCCGCTACTTTTTGTGCAAGATGCCGCCACATGGGAAGTCCGAAATCATATTGTGCCCTGAACAAAAGCAACCGTCGGCCTCCGTATGGCCGGTTCACAGGCCACCGTGGCAGTGCCACGGTGAGACCTCAGCAGGGTCCACTTCTAGCTGTCGTTCGGACTGTTCCCTGACTGCTGAGATTCTCCGTCGGACCTGACCTGCTGCTCATAAGGCCTCGGATGAAGCCGAAATGCCTCTTGCTACCTACGCCATGGCGTTAGCCTGAGGCTTATCTCACCCAGATCCTTTCGATTACAAGCGATATTTAATTGATGTGCACAAGAGCTGTAGTTATTAAGCTGTCCGATATGACCTCGTACTCCACCATGATAGTCATCCCACCAACCCTTATCTCACTCGCTCGATTGTACTGCCACTTCTCTGCATTTCGCCACGTCATTCTCGGCTCAAAAAGGTCACTGGAATAGCCGGGACAGAATTCAAAACCAATGCAGCCGTCTTGAAACAAGGTAGAGTCAAGCATACCGAACCCGCAATCATTAAGCTGCTCGTACATTGACCGCTGGAAGACCGAAATAAGCTGATAGGACATGAGTGATATCAAAGAAGATGGGTTTGCGGTAGGTGCTTACCAAGGTCGCCTCAATCTGAGCTAATCCATCCTATATCATCACAGAGCAGCGAAATCTTGAGCGTACGTGGATGAGCGCGGTTCTGGGGCGACCGCTCATTTAGAACCTATGCAGAACCTCGCGACTGCATTTGAGAAGATGTCAGACTCGGATCGCAAAGCTCAGATCAAAAAGGTGGGCTGTGACCTTTTTGCTTCAAAGGCACTGGGCGACCCGAGCACAGGGAGGCTGACCATCCGTTGCCATACAGACGAATGGTGTTTTCCAAATCGATGTCAAGAATGACAACGGCAAGACAGCTACTTGGACGTAGGTGTATAGGCTAGAGATTTTCATGACTGTCCCTCAGAATCGACCTCAAAGAACAAGGCAAAGTAAGCAAAGGGGCGCCAAGCAAGAAAGCCGGTGAGGACTTACCGAGCTTTGCGAGTCGCGCTGAATCAGAATATTTGGTACAGATGTCATCATGACCCTTGCCGATAGTAAGCTGATTGTCTAGATGAATATACTGGTCTTGCTGCGTGCTGATCCGTGCTCGCAGAACACTTTGTCGAGCTCTCCGAAGGCAAGCTGAATGGTCAAAAGGCATTCATGACGGGTCTTTTGAAAGTCAAGGGAAATGTGAGCCGTTCGGGATTCATTAGGTCATGATCAAACTGACTCCGGTGCCAGGTCATGATGGCTGTGAGTGACAAACCGGTTCCCCATTGACACCCCTCAGACCAAGCTGGATGCCGTACTGAAGGTGAGCGGCGGATACAACCCAATATGAAGAGCGCCAACTCTTTTGAAAAACTATAGACTGCCAAGGCAAAGCTGTGAAGTCTCATTCCTGCGGGCTCTCGAGACGTTTGTGACACGTTCCGTATTAGACGTAGACTGACTCGTAATGATCTCGATGGCTGAAGAGTGCGAATTGGCTGAGATGTATTACAAAGATGCACACATCCTTCTTCAGGCTCTACTGTGACATATCGTACGGACACTGCGCTCACGCTCATGGTCCATCTTCATGATAGCCTTGTGATGGCCTTTTTATCCATCGGTGTGCCTTTGAGTCGTGGTCAGCTGATGCTACTCTGGTGCACTCTCTGGCACTCACCATCCGGAGCTATCCCATTCTTCGCTAGAATCCTGTTATGTCGAATTAGTCTAGCCTGGTCAAATGTGCACCGCTCGATGGCCCTGATTGGTCTCGTCAATGACTGAGCACAAAAGCAGACAACACCCACATGATCCTCCTGACCTCCTCCACACCCGCTTGATCCAGCCCCACTCGATTCTCTCCACTTCCCTCTCCGATATTCTCCTCGAGATCAAAGTTCCTAGACGAGATACCAGCAGCAGCTTGATCAGAGAAAGAGAATGTGGTGAGCGGCGTGTAATTGGACAACCTAGCGGCGAGCGGAGTGGGGAGATACGGGATGACGACTCGTGCCATGGGTGCGAGACGATTACGATAGTAGAACGCGCCTGAACAGACGTCAGCGAGCGACCAGTGTACGATGTTTGGGGCCGTGCAGCGGTAACTCACCCAGGACAATGATGAGAATCACCGAGAACGCGGAAAGGTGAAACAACATGGTGAAGTGGGAGCCGATTGAGCGGAAGTCCCCGTGCAATGGGCAAGGGTGTTGGCTATGAAGATCTACGCGAAGGAGGAGAGCACCTAATGCCTGTGAATTGGCTGTCACTGTCGATAGGCGACGATCCAGGAGGTCTATTAGCTGGCGTTGAAGTACACGACTGTGCTGTACGGTAGTTCTTTTGTTTGGTCCTTTAACAACCGTGGGAGAGTAAACTAAAAAAGTTGGAAGCCTCCTAATTAAGGCAGATCGATTTATGCAAGGCCTGTAATTTTGGTTCATGCTGAACGACTTCGCTCGCCATGTCAAGACCAACACTCAGGGACCAGCTCCGAGCCTTGGAGGACGATGATGAGGCCTCTATCGACCCTGAAAACGCCTACTCCTCCCTTGATACTGTACGCATTGGGCAATCCAATCGGGACGATTATATGGACGTAGGGCCTTCGAGACTGAGAGGACAGCTCGGAGATGCAAATCAGGTCTTGTTGGGCGACAAGTATGCAGGGACTACAGTGACGAGGAACAAGATTTTTGATGACGATGAGGATGAGGAACAGGAGGGAGGAGGCGAGGATGCAGACTCAGATGACGAGGAGGACGAGAGCGAGGATCTCCGTTCAGAACAAGATGCCGAAGTTGAGGACCATGCATCTGGCCAGCGGTCAGGCAGCGAAGAGGACGAAGGAGAAGATGAGGAAAGCGACGGCTCAAATAATGACGACGAGGAGGAGGAGGAGGAGGACGACGACGACGACGACGAACACGATGAAGATGATCCGAATTCTGATCCACAGCCCAAAGCAAGCTCGTCACGGCTGCAAGCAAGCAACTCCTTGGATCCCGTTGGAGCTCTGAGAGCAGCTCGAGCAAAGGACATTGAAAGGGGAAGAGGCATAAAGCGGCAGAAGGTAAGGGCAGGGGGTGTCATTATCAAGGCGTGACTTTGCTCATCGAAATAGGCCCTCTTTGATGGCATTGTCGCGCTCCGCATAACCTTCCAGAAAGCGCTTGCCGCATCCAACAATATCCTCTCAACTTCGCCCGAGCATTCACAACGAAAAGCAGAGGCTTTGGACAAGCTCCTCGCTCTCAGCGACGATCTCTTCGAATTACGAAAGGCTATCCTGCTGCCCGGGACAGATACAGAGGAAGTAGCTGACCTGGGTAAACGGAAGAGAGCAGATGCTTCGGAAGACTTGCTCCAAGCAAGCAATGACTCACTGAGACTAGCCGAAGCGTGAGTTTGGCATGGTAATCTCTACCGGGGTCAGTCTGATCCTTGCGTCTTTAGCCAACACTCCGCGCTCGTGTCCATCCTGACCAAGTGGTATTCCAAGATCCAGGCGGCAACGATCAACGTGGCATCCAAGGCTGCTGGCTCCAGCAAATTTCTGCAAAGCACAAAAGGACAGCAAAGTATAGTCGAAGTGATCCAGGCTGGCCTCAGTCAGGCGGTGAGCAAACCATTCCTTTTGGAGCTGACATGCAGGCCGGCACCACATTCATGGAGCATCAAGAAGCTGGCTATCGCTCCCTTCTTCGAGAGGTCATCGAAACGAGGTCAGTCGGAGGACCTGATCTGTCACATTTGCGTCGGGAGAAGAAGAAGAAGCGGGAAGCAGAGCGCGGTGGAAGCAAGGGTCGCAAGCTGAGGTGAGGGAGAGGATTCGTCTGTATTCTGACGGTGAATACAGGTATACGGTGCATGAAAAGGCACAACACTTTGCTGTACCAGTTCCACTACGAGATGGTTGGCACGAGGAGCAAATCGACGAGTTATTCTCGAGTTTACTAGGTGGTGCTGGACTACAAGGTGCGGGCACAGAGGGTGGAGTTCTGAGCCGAGATCTAGGCGTGGACCGAGGGTTGACTGATCTGGGTGGTCTGAGGGTGTTTTGAACATAGTAGACCCCATTTCCGGTTCACGAGACTGTGACGGTGACCGTGACACGTGTCCTACACTGCTGGCACTGATCAGAGATCCTGGTGTGTCTTTGTATTACATTGCATCTCTGATCTCTCTATGGTACGGACGCCCGATGTCAGACTCAAGTTCTTTGCTCAGGATACTTTGTCTAGGCGATTCACTCACGTCCGGCTATGTTAGCCCCTATCAGCCCAACGCCAGGCCGTATGCGATAGGGCTCGAGGAGGTCCTCGAGAGAGCACTGCCTGGTATCAGGATAGATATCACGGTGAATGGCGTACCAGGAGCGTGTGTCCAGGATGATTTTATGCAGCGACTGGTCGATGAGATTGGCGAGGATAAGAGTGAGTGTGTCTCATTCAAGCTTGGCACAGCGAGACAGACGTGCAAAGCAACGCTCACGACCAGAAGGCACGTCTCCCTTTGATTGGATCGTCATACTTGGAGGCACAAAGTGAGTGGTCCAATCGATTTCACCTATGTGGCCTCCGTTGCTCATTGTGCTGCTTCTCCAGTGACCTCGCATTCGCGAGCAGAGAAGGCGTCAGGGGGATCTATCAATCCCTCGAACGTCTCTACGCTCTCGCTCTGAGAGGGGGATGTAGAGTTCTCGCTTTGACCGTTCCGGAGACATGTTGGGGTCATCCCAGTCTACCGAAAGACGAGTTTTACGAAAAAAGAGACCAGCTCAACAATCTCATTAACTCGTACAAGAGGGACAATTAGTGCGTGTGCCGAGCGGAATCACGAGACGAGAGCCATTGACAGATGTGTTCCCAGTTACGTGTTCGACCTCCACCAGGCCATTCCTTACATGAACCTCAGTAAGGAGGACAAGAAGCTCTACTGGGCGGATGGAGTCCATCGTACTGCTCTAGGATACGACATCATGGGGGAAAAGATTGGCGAGGCGCTCTTGCGATTCCTGCGGAATGTATAGTGACCGGCTTAAATAGCTTCATCCATCTAGCAGACATGACGGTCATCGGTCAGAGAGCAGGCCCATCTTCAGTCAAAGCATCTCTCTACATATGTCCGGTCACTCTGCTCTCCTAATCGTGGCCTTCACAGCTACTGAAGCATACCCGGGCTACCCGGGCCATGACGGACCCTTGATGTCCCTCGGCGACTTGTTGGTTCGCATTTTCGGATCCGAAGTTTGATCGAAAAGTCCAGTTGTAACTCATCGATGACATCCTAGCCTAGATTCGTCATCAGTAGAGCATTCTGCACAGTAGGAGGTCCCGGAAACCCCAGTATCATCTGAGGAGAGCCAGAAATGTCCATATCGGCCTTTATAGATGGTCTGCTTGACCCGGCGGATTCCAACCCCTCCTCATCCCAAGAATGGGACGCCTTCCTGAAGGAGTATGAGCGGTGAGTCTCTCGCTCGATACCGCGATTGACTTCGTCGTCTCAGTGATAGACGAATCAGCGACGGCACTGAGCAAGATGACCAAAATATCGATCCTTCACTATACGCTACGAGTCCTTATCCGTCGCTCCTTGACCTCATTCCGAAGCGCGGAGAAGCATCTTCTTCGAGGCTTCCGGCAGAGCCCTCATCCCCATCGCCAGACACCGGCGGGCCAATGTCCAGATCATCATCAGGAGGCGTCTCATCCTCTCTAGCTTCGCGTATACAAGCGTGAGCTGCCGCTTTCAGTTGCTTAGCTAAACACCACCAGCCGCCTCAACACAACCCAGACCTTGAACTCGTTGTTGGTTCTTCTTAGATCCCCGCGATCCAATGACGAGATACAGCTTGAGCTGGTCGAAATCCTTGGCTTTGAAGGCGACGGTCTTCAGCTCGTGGAAGAGATCTGTAAACCGGGAGCCAGGCAAGTGCTCCTCGATCAAATGAGTGATACTCCCGGAGTCGCCTCGCGAGCAAAGGTGCGCGGCCACTCCAATGTTCATGTCAGATCTGAAGGCTGTGATTCTCTAGAACAAAAAGCCGACATCTAATGGGATCAACAGCTATCTACCCTCCTCTCGACTCAACGTCACCGCCTCCAGGGGCAAAGACAAGCGAAAGATCGACATCAAGGAACTCATCGGAACGGAGGAGGACATCCAGAGACGCATACAGGAACAGCTCAACGGTCCCAATCCAATGTTCTCTGCTGACGGCCCGGTGAGTGCGCTCAAGTGAGCCAACTGATCGATTCTCAGCGATTGATCGAGCACGAAGTTCTGCCGCATGTCTACTCTAGCGGCACGGCTTCGGCGTTCATGTCGTACGGTCAAAAGCTCGCCCTGCCGGAAGGAACGAAGAGAGAGTATTCAGATGTGAGTGTGATCTCTACAGACCACGCTCAAACCATGTAGAACTACGAGGAGGTCACTGTCCCCCCAAATCGACCGATCCCTCTCAAATTCGGCGAGAAGCCAGTCCGCATTGTAGATCTCCCTCCGCTGGCACGGGGCTGCTTTCCGGTGCGCTTGTCGTGATAGGTCCAGCTCATACCAGCAGAAATACGTCACCCTGAATAGAATGCAGAGCATTGTCCAGCCGACCGCCATGGACACGAATGAAAATATGCTCATCTGTGGTGGGTTGACCCTACTCTGTCCTCATGCTCACCTCCTCAGCGCCTACCGGTGCAGTGTGTCTGCTTTACAGTCCACATGCGTTCATCTGACCCTCTGCGTAGGGAAAAACAGATGTTGCCATCATGTCAATTATCAGAGTGCTTTCTCAGCACATCAAATCCGAATCCTCGGCAACCTTTCAGCTCGATCTCAACGCTTTCAAGATCATTTATGTGGCGCCCATGAAAGCCCTTGCCGCTGAGATCACCCGAAAATTTGGGAAGCGTCTCGCTTGGCTCAATGTCAAAGTTCGAGAACTCACTGGAGATATGCAATTGACCCGTCAAGAAATCGATGATACCCAAATCATCGTCACCACACCGGAGAAATGGGACGTTGTCACCCGGAAGCCGACTGGCGAAGGCGAATTGGCATCCGTGAGCAGCCTTTTCCATCCCGCGCTGACGATTACCAGAAAGTCAAACTGTTGATTATCGACGAAGTGCACCTGTTGAACGAAGAGCGAGGTGCGGTCATCGAGACGATCGTAGCAAGGACTTTGCGACAGGTACGCAGCAATAGTCCGGGCAATGGGGCTAATCGTCAGGTCGAGTCAAGTCAATCATTGATCCGAATCGTGGGTCTCAGTGCCACGCTGCCGAATTACATCGATGTCAGCGACTTCTTGAGGTGAGCCAGAAGGGATCTTGCAATTCACTGTCAGGGTCAATCGGTACCAAGGCCTTTTCTTCTTTGACGGCTCTTTCCGTCCAGTGCCACTCGAGCAACACTTCATCGGAGTCCAAGGCAAGCCCCGCAGTCAGGCTCTGATCCGGAATATGGACAATTCAGTCTTTGAAAAGGTCGGTCTGCCTTCGCTCCTCTCCTGACAGATTGTAGGTCTCTGAGCTTGTCAAAGAGGGCCACCAAGTCATGGTCTTTGTCCATGCCCGAAAGGAAACCGTCAAGACTGCTCAGCGTTTGCTTGAGATGGCTAAAGAGGAAGCGATGACTTCGTATTTTGACCCATCAGACCACCCAAAGTATGAGTTCTACAAGCGAGACATCGGTACCTCACGGAACAAAGAGATGAAAGAGCTGTTTAGCGCTGGATTTGGAATTCATCACGCGGGCATGCTCCGCTCGGATAGAAATATGATGGAACGGATGTTTGAGGACCAGGCGATTAAGGTGAGCGAATCCCGAAGTGACGGGCATTCACCCCAGGTCTTATGCTGTACATCTACCCTCGCGTGGGGTGTCAATCTTCCAGCCCATGCTGTCGTGATCAAGGGCACTCAAGTCTACGACAGTAGCCGAGGTGCATTTGTCGATCTCTCCGTCCTGGACGTGCTCCAAGTGAGTCTTGATGGTTTCGTCCCTCACGAAATGCAGATCTTTGGTCGAGCCGGTCGGCCGGGATACGAGACCAGTGGTGTTGGTTATATCTGCACGACTCAGGACAAACTCGAGCATTACCTCTACTCTGTCATGGCACAGGTGAGCAGCCTTCAGGGGAGACCCAGCTCATTGTCATCTCAGCATCCGATCGAATCCAAGTAGGTATAGCGTCTTTCCCCATTGACACTGCCAGATTCATCCCGGGAATGGTGGACTCTCTGAATGCCGAAATCTCCCTGGGCACCATCGCTAATGTACAAGAAGCAATCCAATGGCTCGGTTATACTTACTTATTTGGCAAGTGGTGCGATACTTTTGTCGGCTGACCTGTTCCTAGTCCGAATGCGAAAAGAGCCTTTCGTATATGGTGAGCATCGCTCGCAGAGCTCATCTCACCGCCAGGAATGCGCCATAACGAGCTCGAAGATGATCCACAACTTGGCAACAAGCGGAATGAACTCATCGTACAGGCGGCACGGCAGCTTTCGGCCGCCCTGATGATCAGATTCGACGAGTTATCCAACTCATTCGTCATCTCGGATTTGGGTCGAATAGCTGCCAAGTATTACCTGAAATACCAGAGTCTGAAGATCTTCAGTGAGTCAAGCACTGCCGAACCCTCCTGACTGCGGCAGACACCATGTTCCACGCCAAAATGAAGAACGCGGATTTCTTTGCCATGCTGTCCCAAGCTACAGAGGTGAGATCGAAGAGAATAGCTCGTTTGACCCCCTTAGTTCGACCAGATCCAAATCCGAGAGAGTGAGATTCCCGAGTTGACAGCGATTCTTGAGAGCGATCACTGTCCAATGGAGGTCAAGGTAGGGGAAAGGATCTAAGCATTGCTGATAGGTAATAGGGCGGAGTCAGCAACAAGCACGGCAAAGTCAACATTTTGTGAGACTCTCCATGTGACACATGTGCTGACTGGCTAGACTGCAAGCCCACATCTCGAAAGTGTACATCGAAGACTTCGCCTTGGTATCTGACGCAGCATACGTCGCCCAGGTCAGTCATCATTCGCCAGTCATAGCTGATTCGCGCCAGAATGCCGCTCGTATTATCCGAGCCCTGCTGGAGATAGCTCTTAGCCGCAAATGGGCCAACAACGCTATTCTCCTGATTGATCTCAGCAAAGCTATTGAGCAGCGCATGTGGCCGTACGAGCATCCTCTCAATCAAATCCGTACGCTCCACGCGGAGACCCTACACAACCTGCATCAGTATGCGGATGATACTGAAATCAACCAGATCCGCGACATGGAGGCATCCGAGCTCGGGACACTTTTGCACATGAACGAGCGACATGGCACTGCCATGAAGGATGCCGCGCTCATGTTCCCTACTGTCTCACTAGATTTTGTCCTACGCCCTCTAAGCCACGATGTCCTACAGATCAACGTGCAGGTCACGCCGACATTCACATGGAACGCCAAGCTGTCCACCACGGTCGAGCCATTCTATATCTGGGTCGAAGACGAAGAGCATCTCAATATCTTATCATGGCGATCTATCCCGCTGCGCCCAAACACGACCAAGCTGGACCTCGAATTCGTCATCACCCTGAGCGACACTCTACCCTGGTCTCTGAACCTTGTAGCGGCATCCGATCGATGGCTGGGCTCTGACGATACTCGACTCGTCTCCTTAGAAGGTCTGATCATGCCTGATCCTAGCCCAGAGTCCACTCAACTGCTCGACATTCCATATTTACCAATATCATGCTTGGATGATCCTCAATTGCAAAAGTCATACTCGCCATTCGTCAGCACACTGAATAACATACAATCTCAGGCGTTCTGGAGCCTGTATCATACGAATCATAACGCTATCATTTCTGCACCTGTATCATGTGGAAAATCGCTCCTAGGGGAAGTGGCCATGTGGTAAGTCTGCCTGCGCTGTCGAGCCTGACTTCAGGCACGCTTTCCGTCACGATCCCAACACATCGGTTCTGATCGTCGTGCCCCGTCACCAGTCGATTCGCGAGACGGTCTCGCGCCTCAGGAGTATTACTCGGCAGAGAGGCATAAGCGTCATGCCCTTGACACATCCGAACGATTTCGTCCACTTCGCACAAACTCAAAGCGTCGTCGGGGTCGCAAGTCCGTCAGCTTTTCTGCAACTCAACGCTTCAGACGCATTTCAGGTGGCACGAAAGCCGTCGCTGGTGATCCTCGAAGATCTGCATCTCCTAGACGAGGAATATGAAATCTCGGTAGCCCGTATACTCTCAATTGCTATGCCTGCCCGGACCCGCATAGTCGGTCTCACCTCATCAATCAACGACCCGTGGGATCTCGCCAAATGGCTTGGCGTAGATGCCGCATTCTGCTTTGCTTTTTATCCTCGTGATCGAAGCACGCCCCTTCTTGTCTCGATCAAGTCTTTCACCATCCCCCACTCTGCCACGTTGCTCAAGAGCATGATCAAACCAGCCTACGATGTGATCAAGATGACATCTCCAATTGGCGCCACAATCATTTTTGCTCCCTCTCGCGGGGCCTGTAGGACCGTCGCAACGGACTTGGTAACTCAATCTGGCACCGAGTTAGATCTCAATGGGTTCCTGACTACGTCGAGGGAAAATGTCGAGCCTTATTTGCAGCAACTGCGCGATCAGGCCTTATATGAACCTCTTCTACACGGAATCGGATATGCTATCCCTGGAGGTCACCCATCCGACTTTACCCTCGTCTTGTCCCTGTTCGCGAGCGGCATCCTCAAATCTCTGATTGTGCCCCGTGAATCATGTTGGACTCTTCCTCTGAGAGCCGCATCGGTCATCATTCTCGGTGCACAATATGCAATTGGCTCCCGGTCCGGTGATCGACAGATCATCAATTACTCGAGAACTGAATTGGTCAAGATGCAAGGTTTCGCTGTGCAGTCTGCCAATCACATTGCAGGAGAAGGTCGAGTCTTTGTCATGTGCCAATCAGAGCAGTCGGCTACGATCTCTCGAGTGCTGAACGAAGGGTTGCCTTTGGAGTCAGCCCTACCATCCTTGCTAAAACGTACGAGTCGTCCCGAAGCCGTTGACGCACTCTCTCGCATGATCAAACCGCGTCCGGCTCCACCTCCACCTCAGATCAATCGACGACGTGTCTCGGATCTTCGAAAGCGAGATATCATGGACTTGATTGGCTGGACTTATTTTGCGCACCGACTGCAGTCTAATCCGACATATTATGATCTGACTCGGGGATCCGAGGCAGAACAAGTGAGCCGCTTGATCGACCAGTGGATAGCAAGCAGTGGCGATGAGTATGGTCCGATTCTCAGCGCCTCGTCGAGCTCGGCGGGTTCTAGAATACCTTCGGTGAGGTCGACGGAGACCAGCACAACCGCTTCGGCATCACAAGCCATGACTCGTCAAGATAGTGGACAAGGGAATGTGGAGGGAGAGATCGTAAACGAAGTACCTGGCTCTGCCCATGTCCACAGAGACGGTGAGAGTCTGTGAAAAGCATGGTACGATTTTGAGATGTATGTGATCGAGTCACGCATACATGCGCCGTTCTCAGGCGATAGGGGGAGGGGCAAAATCGCGGCCGAGGCGCGCCGTGTCCGGCACATGATAGGTTTGTGTGTGGATGAGTAACCCAAATAGCCGTCGGTCTAAAACGCTTCCATTAGCAGGCGTACGTATTGAACCATACGAGCGGTCGAGGTTCCTTTACGAGCGAGATAATGATGCATGAGGACATGTCGGAAGTCATTTTCCCCGAGGGCCGGGCCCGAAAATCTGAAACGAGATCCGTTTTATCAGAAAGGGATCTGGTGGCGCATTTCATCTTCGGAAGTTGGAACTAAGTATACCGAGCGATGTCTATGGTAGCTCATGTATAAATGGTTGGTCAGTTTCGTGTGGACGACCTCATCTCCAGCTGTATTCCTCCCCCATATCACAATTGTCACATCGATTGAGCCTCTATACTTTGACACCATGTCCAGGTACCTTCATCTAGACGCGCCGAATGAGAACGGTTTCGGAGGGTTCCTGAAGCGTCAATTCACCAAGCCCAAGCCCCTACCAGCCGGTATTGACCTGAAAGGCGGTACAGCGATTATAACGGGTGGTACGTCTGGTCTCGGTCTCGAGGCTGGCATGCAGCTACTGGGGCTAGGCTTGAGCACTTTGATCATCACATCTAGAACCCAAAGCAGAGGAGAAGTAGCGGCCGCCAAACTCCGAACCAAGTATCCTTTCGCCACGGTCGAGGCGTGGACTCTGGACATGACTTCGTACGAATCGATCGATGTCTTTGCTCGAAAGTGCGATACGTTGCCTCGGATCGACTACACTATTCTGAATGTCGGCTTTATCGACCTCAAACGTGAAGAAGCACCTACCGGTCACGAAATGATGGTTCAGGTCAACTATTATTCGACCATGTACTTGACCACTCTGCTCGTTTCAATCCTCAAGAACAAACGGGCTCGCCAGTCAAGGCCTCCCGTCCTATCAGTGGTCGGGTCAGACATCCACTACTCTGTCGACGCTGATCCCGAAGGGTCAGCGGCGGCCTTTGCAGACAATCCCAAGAATGCCATGGGTTTCACCCAATACGGAATCTCAAAATACTACCTCCTTCTCTCCATCATCAAGCTGGCGGAGCAAATCGATTCTAACGAGCTCATTTTGAGCGTCTGTAATCCTGGAACGACTAAGCAGACGGATTTCGTGGCCAATACTCCCTTGTCATTCAGAATTCCCTTGACGATTGTCCGCGGTCTGCTCGGGCGCAAAGTGGCAGTTGGCGCCAGCTGCTACCTTGATGCTGTGTTAGTGCATGGTCAAGAAGCCCACGGGTCATTCATGAGTGACTGGACTATCAAACCGTGAGTCGGATGGCTCCACAGGTCATTGACCGCTTCCAGGTTTCCCGAGGTCGCCTACACGAAGGCTGGAAAGGCATTTCAAACGCGTCTATGGGACGAGACAATGTCGGAGCTGCGACTCGCACAGCCCAAGGTCTCGGTCTAGAGCCACAACAAGCTTGAGACAGTGTGCGACTGAGTGGGTCGCTACAATGCATGATTATGATGCTACAAATCGCTCGAGAAGGAGTAAATACTCCCAAGGAAGGATGTATGTGCTGAACGTATCTTCCACACATGAGAACTATGAGAGTGGCCGACCCTTCAGGGACGAATGATGGATGACATGTATACCGTTACCAATGGACCTCGTTGAGTATCGCTTCTGACAGACTCTTGAAGCGATCAAACCAGACCTCCAGGTGGTCGATATCCAGCTTGGGCCAGCTCACTTGAAGCTCAGCTTCAGAGATGGCTTCAGCAGCGGAATACATCGTCAATGATGACTTACCCAATCTTTCATCCATCTTCCTTGTCGACAGGATAGACAATTTCCTCAAGACCTTTGATGCCTCCTGCCTACTCGCTCGCCTCGTGAGATTCCCACTGAGACTATCAATATCCCGGTGCAGCTCGCTCATGAAAGCTGCGTCCTTCCCACTGCTGTTCTTGCCCTTTGAGGATTCGGCTGGGAGATTGGTGACAACCAATGTGACGATGAACTCCAATAAAGTGAAGAGCGAGTTCAGATTGGATATTGTGGCACAAGCATCATAATCTAGGGATGATCAGAAGGACAGTTCGCAGCATCGAAACCTACCGAGCTCTGCCTGCAAGGCTTTCATGAGGTCCACCCTCGGACTTCCATCTTCACCAAGACTCGCTTGGAGCAAGTCGGACAAGATCTCTGCCTGTCCCGCTTCTCTCTCGGGATGCTCTGCCTGGATATCCGCTAACAGTGCGGTGATCTCGGTCTTTGTATCCCTCAACGCAGGAGGGATCACGACGGAAGGTTGAGCAGGTGCTGGAGGGGGGTCTCTGGGACGTCGTTCCCTAGTCTGAACGTCTCGCCCGTACGTCCGGTTTGGAGGAAGCTCCGGCTCGAGGTCGATCGACTCGATGGCGGTCGATGCTACTGAAGCTCCTCGTAGAGTAAACGAGGAGGGGCTTCGAGGTCGAGCTGTACGTCGGGAGCTGGGCACGGGAGAGGCGGGCGTTCGAGTCCTTGATGCTCTATACCCTTGCCTCGGGCTCCTCTGCGTATACAGCAGCAAGGATGTACAGCTTTCTGGACCCACCGTCGACGAGCTGGAGCCGGACCGCAAAGCGGAAGGCTCTTGTGACACGGTTCTTGAGGGAGCACGTGAAGCTCTTGGAGAGGCGCTAGGCCGGCGATGATAGACGGTCACAGGCCTTGACCTCGATATAGAAGTCTCGCGGCGAACGGGCCCGAGTGATGCTAGGCGACTGTATGAACGACTAGGAGTTGCCTGAGAATCTCGTCAGCGCTGAGGAAAGCATGGCCACCGCACCCTCTGAGGACCGGTCTGAGACGCTCTGAGAGAAGAAGAAGGAGGAGGAGTAGGAGGCGGGCTAGGAAGCTCCGACTTGATCCTTATTGGATTTTTAGCACTCGACCCAGATGATATGGGAGTCGGGGGTGGACCCATGATGCGCCGGGGTGGTGTAGACTACAGCTCATCAGCAGATATCGTCTAAGCGGGGGGTTTCACTACTCACAGGCTCGTTTTTGACTTGGGAGGACATGGTTCTGGGGAAGGTCTTGCCTTGAAAGTCAGATGGATGAGATGAGAAGAGAAGAGAGGTATATAGAGATGTGAAAGAGGAGTTGCTGACGAGACGGTCATGTTCGATATATATGTGCTAGACGCTTCCTTGACGACGTAATGTTCAGACGTAGCGAAGGCAACGTCACTGCCTCGTGTCCATGACAATAAGGTACGAGTCCCGAGCATCTCAAGTCTCCTTTCAGGGACCACGCAAAGCGCTCCCCAGTTCCTGCCAACGGTAACGATGAAGAGAGGTAAGGGGTGTGATTGCCATGAGGCGGCGAACACAGGTGCCACAGGAAGCCAGCCAGCCGCCTGGTGCCACAAACGAGCGCGGGTCCATTTGCATACAGGATGCAACTTTTGAATCACCCTCGATTTAGGAGCATAGAGGTGTATCGCACGTGGATTCCATTGTAATTGAGACGATCACAAAGGCTGGAAGGTCGAAACGAACGCAGTCAGATGTGGCTGACGCCATTCTGATAATCGAAGGCAAAAGGCAAACAGTCATATCTCATCAAATCTTCTAAAGATGTGTCTAGTATCCGTCTCGATCCATCTAATCTCCATTCACTCGCTTACTCTTGACACCTTCTCTCCTAGCCCTGACCCCCTCTCTCAGCTCGTCCAACAACGGTATGGTCTGTTCCAGGGAGATGCAAGCGTCGGTAATGGATACACCGTATTTCAATCCCGCCGGTCCCTCAGGAGGAATGGCCTGCTTGCCTTCGTTGATATTTGACTCGATCATGACGCCGCAGATCATCTGAGAAGTGGCTCCAGAAGCGAGTTGAGAAGCCTGCAACGTCGTCAGGACGGAACTGAGATAAGAATGCCACGGCGACCTACAATGCTCTTGCCAACTTCCAGCTGCTTGATATGTTGCTTGGAAGAGTTTCCGTGCGAACAATCGATCTGGATTGGAAAACGAGCTGGTTAGAGGACACCATATGAGCTCAGAGCTTGACCCTCACCATCAACTTTGTCGGAAGACCGGCCTTTTTCAGCTTCTCCGCAGCGGCCAACACGTATTCCTCTTCGTAATTCGGTCCCTTGCTAGATCCACGCAAGATGACATGGGTCGAGTTGTTGCCTTCCGTCTCGACAATGGCTGACAGGCCCTGCTTCGTGACGGACAAGAAGGTGTGACCTGAGCCCGCGGCCTTGATGGCGTCCACAGCAATATCAATGGATCCGTCCTATGGCAAATGGCAGTCAGCTCGAACTACTGTGATGGTAAGGCACGACCCACCGTTCCGTTCTTGAATCCCACGCTCATGGACAAAGCACTAGCGAGCTCTCTATGGACTTGTGACTCGGTCGTTCGCGCTCCAATAGCTCCCCAGGAGCTCAAGTCGGCCAGGTACTGTGGGGAGATGACATCTGTTGAGGGAGTGAGCGCTTGAAGAACAGGAGAAGCCTTGATGTGACCCACCGAGGAACTCTCCAGCAGCAGGCAGACCCATCTCGGTCAAGTCCAATAGCAACTTTCGAGCGATCTTGAGACCTCGGTTGATCTGGAAAGAGCCGTTCATATCGGGATCTTGACATTTGTTAAATGAGGAGCAACTCTATGATTTGAGTGAGCTCACCATTGATCAGACCCTTCCACCCGACCGTTGTCCGGGGCCTGACATCGTTTGTCAGTGCGAGTACCTTGTGAACAGCGGTTCACGCTCACTTCTCGAAGTAGACTCGCATGACAATCATCAGATCCTCCTTGGCCTCTTCTGCATACTCTCTCAGTTTCTTAGCGTACGTGATGGCCTGCTCAGGATCATGCACCGAGCAAGGTCTGGAGTTTGATCAGCGGCCACTTTCACAGCGCAAGTCCCAGCTAACCCAACAATGACCAAGAGCCTGTCATCATCTCCCTTGACGACAGCTTCGACCTGTCTTCGACCGTCCAACACTGTCTGAGCACCTTTGAGCGTCAAGGGAAGTCTGCAAGCGGGTCAGTCCTCTCTTTGAGCATTCTTTACACAAAAAGCCTCACTCCTCATGCAAGATCTGGGGGCTAAGGTATGGATCAGCATGTCTGTAGTCATTTCCAAGGGAGGAACTCACGGAATCAATGGTCGAACACTTCGAACCCTTCTGTCATCTAGGAGATCCATGACCTGTTACACAGCTCGTCAGTGAGGCCTAGTAAACCTGCTACTGAGATTATACTGACGTCTCTGACTGTAGCTGGTCCGTGAGACATATTAGTTGGTGTAGATGCTTGTCTGAGCACAATAGCTACGCTGCGTGGAGTTGGTGCAATTCCATCCCAAAGTTTTGAAGCCCGACCGTCTTTGGTTAACGTAATTCTGATCGACGAGGATCTGTGCCTAATTTTTGGGGAATAGAATAGGCGTTCTCTCGTTTGCCAACCGCATGATGTTGTACTCGACACGAAGGTGTAGCGTCGAGCACTGGGAATCCTACTCGGCACAGATCTGAGTGATAGCATCGTCAAACATGGTAGCTGGATTCAAGAGTGAGTGGGGAAAGGCGCCCTGAGTTTCGAGATTGAGATCGCTGATCTGGTTCACCCTCCTTTCTTTGTACACACCCGACCACCCGATCTAACCTTCATCCCTGTCGCCCTCTCTCCCTCCTCAAAACTTGCTCACGTCTCCCTACATGATACCACGTTTGACGCTTTGCACTGTCAAATCGTACGTCTCCGCCATCCGCTACGATCCGCATCTTTTCCATCGCCTATTCATCATCGCATCTAATCTTCTATCCTCCCCTCCCGACATGCTATCTCACCTCGGTGACTCAATGGTCCATACACCAGCCGTCATACTCCTCTCTTTCGTCCTGGCCGCGGGATTCCTGCTGGTGATTCTGAGCTGTGCGTTATGGGCAAATTGGCTCCCATTGTTAGTCGGTGAGCAAGCTATCTTGTCACAAGAGATGTCCCACACGCTTATCCCGCCTCTCAGCTCTCACTTTCGTTCTTGCTCCCCTGCCGAATTCCATCTGCTCGAGATGCGCTAGAGCGGACGACATTTCACCAGAATACAACTCGACATATGTGGACTTTGGAAGGTTCGTCACTGGCATGTTGGTCGTGAGTCATACATGTCTCTACTCAATGAAATCGGCATTGATCTATACGCCGCCGCCGTTCAGACCACCGGGCTCTGTCTGCCAATTCTCCTCGCGCACTCTGCGCTGATTCAGCCTGCTGCATGCTGGATGTCCATTGCTGGAGGTGGACTGGTGTACGGTACAATACTAGTCTACTCGGGCTGGTTCGGTGGATCCACCGACGATGAGTTCTAGGTCAAGGGGGGGGCTGCGATGTGGCAGATCTCGGTCATCCGTCCGCACCGACAGGCGAGATTAGATGATCATTGCGACTAAATGTTTGACCATGTATTTTCGTACCAAGATGTGATAGCTGGCTAGAACCCCTGATCCGGAAAAGGGAGCGGTTGCTGACATCTCGCTATCACTCTCCGTAAAGATAATCGAAAAACGTCGGGCGGTCCTCCCAGCCCCGACCCCTGCCCCTCAACGCCCTCTGAGCTAGCCCGTTCAAATGATGCTGAGCTGCGCTGTGCGATTCAGGATTGAGGTTAAAGCTCTGCTCCGAAGCAGAGTCGTCGATCACCCCATTCAGTGAACCTTGCAGTTGTCTTGATCGAGGCGGCAGCTCCAGACTATCCGTCATTGGATCCCAGTCGGAAGAGCCTCCCTCTGAAGATCCAAAAGCGGAGGACGAATCATGTGACCAAACCCTCTCTAGGCCATTTAGCCGTATCATCCCTCCCTTCAGGTCTAGCTCTGCCATGGCGTCCTCTATCCCAGGCGTCCTAATGCCATTGACTCCTGGATCGCTCTGCTGATCCCAGGGTAACTGACCTGGTTGGATAGTGGATTGTGAAATGTCAGGGTCGAGCGAGTAACCACCCAGTTCGGTCTCTGTATCTGATGCTTCCGATTCTGTCTCGCGGTCCGTCGAAGCTTCGGAGTGAGATGAAACGTCGGAAGTTTCAGGAGTGGGTAAGAGATGAGATGGAGGAAGGGCCGCAGGTCGGACGAGCTGTGGAATGATAATGTGTGTTAGACGGATGGGAAGATTCTGGTCATCCTGGTGATCCTCGCCTTAGATAGTGTCAGACGGAATCAGGTATTGTACTCACTCCACGAAACAAGGTCATAATACCTTGCGAGCAGGTGAACAACCAGTCGTTCGAATCCATCCGCAATGGTCCAGGTGAGATGCGCAGGGGATCTGGGGAGAAGTTCAGACCTACGGCTCACAGCGCCCCAGCTCACCTGGATAATTCCAACACTGCGGCCACGTGCGAGCCTTCCGATGGGAGTCTAGGGAGCACATCTCGGACCTGATGCTGTTCCGGAAGTCTCCTCGAAGGACCTGCACCGTTGGATTTGGATCCGGTGATCTCCACCAGAGTCGGATCGATCAGTCTCCAAGTGGATCCCGAGGCATATGACTGTGGCTCGTCTGTCTCGTCCTCGCTGGACTCTACAGTGTCCTTTTCCTTCATTCCCTCGGCATTGATCCACTCTCTTCCATCTAGCCAATCCCTGATCTCCTTCTCCACCACCAAGATCAACTTTTCCGCCCTACGCCCTTTGTTCCTCAGCAATGCCCTCACACCCTTGAGCGAGGTTCCAAACGTGCCATTCTTCGAATCGGACGAAAACGGATCTCTTGGAGGACGCTCGACAGATGGGATATGGCTCGATCTCGGTACTGTCTCAGGTGGGAATAATGGTCCTCGACGAGCTTGTAGCGGGACAGAGGGGTAATAATCAGATCTGGTCGGAAGGCTGATATGAGGATTGGAGATGAACGCGGCTGGACAGTTAACGATGAATTGCCCTAGGCATACCATTATCTTTTCGCCTTATGACCCGTTTTCCCTGCTTGCTCCCTGACACAACGTCCCCTCGGGTTGACTGCTTGTCCCTCTTCGCGTGGACCCTTTCCCTCTGTTGAGCGTTGTGAGCTTCGAGCTGCTTAGCTGCGCGATTGGTCGGATTGAGCAAGATCGCAGGAATGTGGAGCCTGTAAGAGGGTCAGAAGCGACGACAGACAGCCTAACGCACGGTACTGGACCTGCATCTGTCGAGTCACTCATGCTGAACGGGACGACCTATACTCTCCATGCAGGATGATAGCATCGATCGGCTAGCATCATGGACTACTTCGGTGATCATGCAACTCTAAGCGGCAATCGCCACTCTGCCACTTTCGGCGTTTGGTCTATCCAGCGAGGAATGGGGCTGCCGCCCTCTGCCTGTTGGCTGCTGGCTGCTGCTGGACCCTCTTCGCGCGTCTCCGGTATCTTTGCTACACTCTCAACTTCTCGCTGTATAATCTACATCCCTCGTTCATACATCTGGACTCTTTAAATCGGTCTACAGTCACTCATTTGACACATCCTATCAGAGGGAAATTCAACACTCATCAAGTCACCTAAAAGTCACTCGTTGATCGTCCGAGCGCGTCAGATACATTCTATCTTGCAGACTTGAACCACTGCTACAAAGACCTCGTGTTATAGAGCTTAGACAAAGCTGCCAAAATGGGAGGATCATTGAGTAAAGCCTTGGGTGAGGGTCTACCCACATTGCACCCTCGTCTGGCTCATCCTTCTTGACAGGCAAAATCTTTGGCAACAAGGAGATGAGGATATTGATGCTTGGTCTCGATGCTGCGGGAAAGACGAGTAAGTGAAAGAGGTCGCTGCAATGTCTGCCAGTCGCTGAACACCTTCTCAGCCATATTATACAAGCTCAAATTGAATCAATCCGTTACGACCATCCCGACAGTCGGATTCAACGTTGAAACCGTGACATATAAGAATGTCAAGTTTAACGTCTGGGTAGGTGCAAAGTCCCATATGAACCGTTCGCGGACCCCGCTGAAGGTTGTCTTCAGGACGTTGGCGGTCAGGACAAGATCAGACCGTTATGGAGACATTACTATACTGGCACGCAGGGATTGATCTTTGTGATTGATTCGGGGGATCGTGACCGTATTGATGAGGCGAAATTGGAGCTGGAACGGATCTTATCGGATAGAGAAATGAAAGATTGTCTCTTGATGGTGTTTGCCAACAAGCAGGATCTGCCAGGCGGTGGGTTTTCCCATTTAAGAGATATCTATCTAACCGCTCAGCCATGTCTCCGGCCGAGGTGACTGAAAAACTGGGTCTGCATAAGATGAGAGATCGGACTTGGTATGTCCACCCGAGGTGAGTGCAGGGCGTTAAGGGGGAATGGAACCATTTGGGCTGAAGACTTTCGCTCAGTTGCGCCACATCTGGGGATGGACTATTCGAAGGTCTCTCATGGTTGTCCTCCAACATCAAGACGGCCAAGTGATCGATCATCGCAACAGATCAGGTGGTCTGAAACACCCCTATGCCACTCTACCTCTCTGCTTTTAATGACTTGTACGACAACCATCTTGACGGCATCATGATACCCCCAGCTTTGCTCGATACTCTATACAAGGCCTTTTCCACTACAGTATTCTCTTCACATTTTCCCTTCGCTTTTGGGTAACTCTCTAGCTGCCGACCGAGGTAACTCAGTCGTGCTAATGCAAATTGCGTCGATGCATCTGAATCAGCTTCTCTGAGCTAGTGGATGAGAGTGACACGATGTGCTGGCAGTAGGTAGCCTAGTGCACTCCCGTACTCGCCGTGTGGAGACCCCAAAGATGTTGTCACCATACGTCACTGAACAAGTGTGTGTATACTCAAAAGATGACCCAATGCTCCACTCGAAATTCCCCCCTTTGCTCCGATCGGCGCTGACTCGCTGGAATACCCTCGCCGGGGGATCCTAATCGCCTCTCGACATTCTTCTAATCAGGAATACTAATGATGATGATCAAATTGGATCAAATGGTAATGAGCCAAGCCATGCTTGCTACATTGCTTAATGACGTAACGCGTGAAATCCCTCCCCGTTCTCCTGTAAAAAATCCCCTTTTCCGGAAAACCACTGAACCTGAGACCCCGGGAGTGGGAGGTGGGCGGCTTTGACCCATTTTCTAGGGTGCTGCTGCTGCTCGCTGGGTTAGCTTGGGAGAGGGGAGGTGATATTCCATCTTCTCTCATCTCAACCATCCCCTGCTCATCGCTCCATCTCTCTTATTATAATATCACATCGCATCGCCTGCTCACAGCTGCACACATTCCACACGCTCTCCACTACTTAACTCAAACTCCAACTTTGTGCGCCGCCCCGTCTCAGAGGATCTACCGTACACCCCGTATTCGACCCTCTCTGTGACCGTTTAAGACACCTCCAAAGTCGTCAAAGATGGTCTCGCCAGCCTTTCCAGGTCTCTTCTTCGCATTCGCCGCTATGGTGTTGCTCTTGTTTGGTGAGCCCCAACTCTGCCCAGAGCATGCATGCTCTCAGCCTCCTTCCGGACGAACCTGTCACGAGCGGTTCATCCTCTGGAACCGGCCTTTTTTTCCCTCCCGTTTCGCAATCTTCCATGTCGCTGACTATCCCTCTCAGCGTCCATCTCTCCCCCTGCTTGGGACAAGACATACTTCCTCAGTGCCGATGTAAACGGAGCGACCACCTTGTTCGGTGTCTTTGGAGAGTGTATCGTCGGACAGGGATGTAGTTCCAGAAGTGTCGGATATGACCTAGTCGTCGGGGGAGCCAAGTGAGTGAAATTTTTGGAGGTCCCTTGAGTGGAGAGGCAATGCTGGTGGTAGCTGGAGGCTATACATGAGCCGGAGCTTGTTGGTCGCCTGGCAGTTCTCAGACCGTCTGGGTCTTGGCTTTCTATGGCCTGGCCAGGTCCGCGTTCACTCGGCCCGGCCTCCGCCCCGATGAGTCACCCGACCAACAGATGCTGCCGTAACCTCGACAACAGACATACTGATAATATTTCCCCCATCCACAGCGGCCTCGACATCAGCGCTCGAGTCCTTCAAAACTTGACCTACACTTTGATCCTGCACCCTATTGCCGGATTCATCGCCCTCCTCGCCTTGGTCTTTGGTCTCATTGGAGCCGGTGCTGCTTCCCGAGTCGCCACCATCTTCATGGCCATCTTTGCCTTCTTTGGACTCGTCGTCGCTCTCGTTGCCTTTGTCATTGACATGGTCCTCTGGAACGTCGTCAAGAACAAGATTGAAGATGCTGGATACGATGCCACCCTGGTGGGTTAGAAGAATACGTCTATCCCTTGACTTCACGCTGACCACGTCCACAGGGTAACGCCAACTGGTTCACTGTCGGCGCCGTCGGAGCTTTGATCCTCTGCACTTGCACTTCCATCTGTGGATCTTGCGGACGATTCGCCACTGGCCGAATGGCCGGTGAGAAGGTGGGCGAAGAATGATCTCTGAGCGGATGAGTTTTGATGGCTGACAGCCGCTTCTTAGTACTGAGCGATGGACATGCCCATGCCCGTTCTCTAGACTTGCCCGGAGATCTCCCATGGACAGTCGTGTCGACTCCATTTCTGAGCCGTTCCTCGCCTATACAAATCATCCTATAAACCTCAGTCTCACACCTATACCCCGTCATCTACAATCTTGAAACCCCTTTCTTCTTTATTTCGCGTCGCTTGACCTCGCCTATAATTGACCTTTTTTTCCCCTCGCCTCCCTATTCTTATATTGAAAGACTTGCTTTGCGGAAGAACGAACTCGCCAGAGGGTGACATATTTGTGTCGGACAGCGGCGAGTGGCATGGAGGGGAGTGAGATTGACAGAAGAGAGCGTGATACATGAGAAGTTGGCATATAAGCAAGCTTGTACAGAAGTATGCGATATATAACCTATTCAAATTGACAGCAGCGGCAAGTGCCACGAATCGACGCAACTCTAGGCTCGGTTTTCCTCTGCTTTCACTTTCAGAGCTCGCCATCTTAAAGGGTCAAGACACCACATCCCTGGTCTGTGTCCGGGGACAGAGGGTACCGCTGAAGCTTCAAAAAGCATAAGCCATACGAGCATCGCCTGGTTGATACTCGCTTCTCCCTCTGTAATCCATCCAACATGAGCTCGAATCGCTTATTGGATATGCTGAAATCAGCTACCACCTCTATCCCGCCGACAACGTCGTCGTCTTCTCAGGGCTCGTTCGACCAGCAGCCCGAACCTTCGACGTCGTCATCTGGAGGAGCTGAGACCTCTGTTCAATCTGGCGGATCACCGAGAGAACCCTCGCCATCGCCTCCACCTCCATCCCTTCAGGCAGTCTCCCTCTCCGAGTTGTTCGCAAGCATGACCACAACGAAGAGCACTTCTTCCGCCCCATCTCCTCAACCGCTTAAGTCGCCTCAGGGACCTTTGTCCCCACGTTCTGATCAAAAGGCAAAGCTCTTAGGCATGTTGAATTCGATTTCTCCAACGCCCGCAGTCCAAAAGCAGGATGGATCCGGAGGTAGTGGCGCGGCACAGTCCAGTAGCGACGATACGGAGAAGACGAGACCGCCTATGGGACCATCGGCAGCAGCGGAAGATATCCTGCGCGGGAGTGATGGGATAGGATCTCAGACGCGGTAAGTTTGAGAAAGATGCAGCAACATCCTCCCCAAGCGAGCTTACCTTTCTGTCAGTCCCTCGACCATTGGCCAGCCGGTCATCCATCATCCCTCCGGTACCGACCCCACAGATGATGCGCCATCTGGTTCTGAGACCCCTGTTTCTGGTCATGCTGCTCCTCCCGCGGTGACCTCTCCTTCATCTAAAGCCAGATCACTTGAACCAGTATCCGCCGGACCACTCAAGAAGGCAATGTTCGAATTCGTGTCCCCTTTCTCAGCATTTGAACCCCCTCCCAAGCCCCCACCGGTCAAACAGGCCGACAAAGTGGAGACTGGACCATCGAATGGTTCCGTGTCCCCGAAGCCTCCGTCAGCAAAGCCAGAAGCGGGCAAAGCAACACCAGCTCTCGCTTCGCTGGCTGAACCTCCTAGAGTTCGACAAGCGAGCGGTGTGGCATCTTCGGGGTCCAGCAAGGATCTAGGGCTGCCATACCTTCTCGGTAAAGTCGTCGCAAAGGGCGTGGAGGGTAAAGGGTGAGTTAGTTCTCCTTGACGCATGAAGATGGCTCATCATCGTCTTAGACCCGAACGCCTCGGAAAAGATGGCATCAACATTGATCTATCTCAATCTAATCTGGACTCGTTGGTTAATTCGCCAGAAGCCATCCAAATCATTCCCACGACTATCATGCGAAGTGAGAACGTCTCGTACCACAAGGGTCGAGATGTGGGTCTCACTTCGACCTGGCTAGCGTACACCATGTCGAAAGGCAAGTCTCATGCCAGACGTCGTTTTTCTTTTTTTGACATTTTCCAGGCAGAGCACGACTCATCGATTACAACTCCGCTGCTAGGCTTGTCCTTCAGCTCCCACCCCGACACACCAATGGACCCGTCCTAGACCTGGCGGTGACGTCCACATTGGTAGCTATGATTGGGGTCGATCATTCCGTCACAGTCTTCCAGGTGCCCAAGAATTGGACAAAGGACGACCCGCCGACCCAGATGATCCTGCACATGACTCAAAAGGGTGCAGACGATGAGGCGGACACCGCGAGTATCGGTGCTCTGTTCCGGGTCGAATGGGTCGAAAGGGGTAAATCTGAGCCATTGTTAGCTGTTGGAGGACCCAACGGTGTAATCGTCTTTGATCCGATGAGCTATCGAGATCGCGACTTGGTCACACTTGCAGACGTCAGCTCGGAGCATAAGCGACTGTCAACGGAGGGAGTGAGTGGCTGGGTAAGAGGCTTGATGTGGTTGACATCTTTAGCGCCTCGTCGGGTTTTGCCTCAATGCCAGCCATCAAGCGATCGGTCTGCTGTCCGACTCGTCAACATTCACTCTCTATAATGTTTCTAATTTGAATCGCGTTTGGAATCGTAAACTCCCCAGCAAGACCAATGCCGAAGCTCCCAGCTCTGTTCAGTTCTGCGAGAGCAACATCCTCGTCGGCAGAAGTAACAATACCTCCTTTGATCTTGTTCAAATCACCGTCGACCTCGCCGTCCTCACTACTATATCCTTTGCCGCAAAGTCACCATCACCTCCTCATCTTCACTTTGGTCAGGCGGTATATGATGCTTCCCATACCATACTCTGGATCGCACCGTTCAGTCGTGGATCTCTGTTCGGGTTCAAGTATAATCTCAAAGGGGTGCACCCAGCCAAAGCGAATGATCTTCCAGCAGCGTTCGATATGTTTGCAGAGTACCCTTTAGAACCAGTTCTCAGCCTGGTCATTGGCCCCTCTAGATCCACCGAAGACCAGACGGAAATGTTTTTCGCCACGCCAAACGGGTTCAATCAGGTCCAGATCCCGAAGATGACAACTGATGCTCTTACTTCGGCATCTGAGCAGCGGGCAGAGACCATCCCAGCGCTGTCTGTTCCTCCACCTGCCCAGCCCAAATCTACACCTTCTCAAGCGTCGAAAAGAGCTGCTAAAGGCAATACGGTCCAAACCCCTGTCAAGCAGTCTCCCGCCTTGTCTGCGGCGGCTGTCTTTGCAGATACAAAGGACACGTCGTTGTCCGGGACTGAGGCGAGCACGGACAAGGAAAAAGGCAAGGGATCGACTCAGGACTCTGGCTCGTCTGACGAGATCGCCAAGGCTTTGAAGAGGGTGAGTGATAGCGGTCTCGGTGATGCTGACACGTGGGACAGACCGAGAACACTTTACAGAGCAGTTTCAAACAGCTCATTGCGAACCAGGTCGGTCCGATATCCTCTCGTCTCGATTCACTGGCCACTGGTGGGCTTGCCGATGAGATCAGTGCCAAGGTCGAGAAGCAGCTCAAAGCATCAGTCACCGCAGCTGTTCAGCAAGAAGTCAAGAAGACGTGAGTAGGCGAAGCTCTTCCTCGATGAGTATGGCTGATAAGTCCTTTTCAGCGTTCTTCCCGCTCTGAACACGATGATTCAATCGGAGCTCCGATCTGCAGTCACGTCCACGATTCCCCCGGCTTTGAGTACGGCACTGCAAGGCATGCCTCGAGATCTAGAAAGAACGCTGGCACCTGCTTTTCAGCGGATCGTGTCGAGCGTCGTGCAGACATCTGTGAGTCAGAAGAGCTAGGAACATATCTGACCCGTTGCCCAGATCGACCGAGCAGTCCAAGACGCGTTGACCAACTCTTTGCTGCCGACGATGGATGCCGCCAATGCGAGGCTTGCCGAACAGCTTCAATCGGACTTCAAATCGGAGATGGTACAGTGAGTGGGCAAGTAGTACGAATACTGACTGGCCTCTCAGAATTCGCAAAGACTTTTCACCTCCTCTTGCGGAGCCACAACCATCCCATGAACCTCTTCTCCGAGCCCTCGCGGCGTCGGTAGCGGAGCTACAGCAGCAAGTATCCGCCTTGTCCGCTCAGGTGTCCCGCGGTGCCAGTCAGCGACATGGGCCCCCTGAGCCATCGAATGCGCCTCTTGGACCTGCACCTATAATACAGTATCAACCTCAAAATTCCTACCAGTCTCATCCTTCCGCTCCTCCTCTTGCTCCATCCGCTCAACAGCCAGCCCCTCAGCTCCAACAGACTCCAGCTCAATTGGAAGATGCGTTCCTCTCTGCGCTCGGAGCTCAAAACACGGGATCGACCATTCAACTTGTGAACGAATACTGGCCAAGAACGGAACAAATCTTACCCACGCCTCCTGGTAAAAGTCCATTGAGTCAAGCGGTCCTGTTGACCTTGTTCCATCGTGTAAGTCTCAACGGTCATGTCTGCAGCACCTTACTGACGGCGGAAACCGATAGGCCGCTGTGGCTGTCAGTGAAGTCTCACCGTACGATGCTCCCTTCTCAAGATTGGCTCAGTGGCTCCGACGAGTGGCTCAGCTTTTGGAACCTCGAAATCCGGAGACTGCTTCATTCTACCCTCGTGTCTTGCCCGTCGTCCAGGGTATCATCAACAACACGATCGGGATGATCAGTCAAAGATTCCCGGGAGACGTGGAGAATGTCAGGTTGTTGAGATCTATTCTCGAGGTCGTAGGTGGCAGGTGATAATAGCTTCTGGTGGAGCTGGAGAAAGGCCGGGTAGCGGCAGGAGATCAGGGCGAAGGACTTGAAAAGAGACGAGAGATATCTGAGACAGACGACCGGAATTACCTACTGTTCCTAAGCATTACCATCATCTGAGGTCCTGTGTATCCCTCCAATCATCATGACTCAAAAGCATCTGACTCGCGCGCAGCGAGCAGACGTTTGTACCTTTTGTTTTTGCCACCCTCGCAAAAAAGTATCGAGGGGACCGGATTGAAAAGTTAAAATTCCAGGTTAAGACGCTTGGTGTGTTTCTACCGTTTCTACCTGTCCTCATCTATCACAGGTCGAGGCTTTCCAAGGTGGCTCGGAGCTCCTAACAGCAGCGTCTGCGTCTGAAGGGGCTTGTCTAGGGGCTTTTGGTGGACAAGACGAGAGTCTCGCGACATCATGTCGTACTTTATGACCCAGTGAGTTTCCTTCGAATTCATAGAATGTGAAGCTCATTGCACCTCAGTTTACACTCTGGATGGCATGTCGATCAGGTGAGTCGTCGCCGTTTTAAGGAGTAACTAGCGTGTACGATGATGACTCTGTGCTGACGCTACAATCCGCCTCTTAGGCCATCCTGGTGGAAGAAGACCGCGTCGTGTGTATTCGATTTGGACACGATCACGATCCAGACTGTATGGCGATGGATGAAACGCTCTATAGCGTTTCGGAAAAGGTTCAACAGTTTTGTGTCATGTATCTGGGTGAGTTGAAGCTCGCGGAGTCTACTCAGACATTCCGGTCCCGCTGACGAACGATCACAGTGGATATTACAGAAGTTCCAGACTTTACAAAGGTCAGTCGAAGGCCCCCCAATTTCCCGATTGATTGATCGATCGATCAGAGAAGGCTGACGCCGTCGACGCAGATGTACGAGATCTATGATCCTTGTACAGTCATGTTCTTTTACCGGTGAGTCGTCGCAGCTGTCCCTTGGTAATTACGTGCGCTAACACCCTTTGATGCTAGAAACAAACATATCATGATTGATCTCGGAACGGGAAACAATAACAAAATGTAAGTGATGGCTTCCTCCCCCACGTGAATCAGGGCTAACGCAATTGCTGTAGAAACTGGCCGATGACGGATAAGCAAGAGGTCAGTCAATCCTCAGTCCGCACCGCCTACCTCGCTGACTCCACCCCTCTCCTTCAGCTAATCGATATCATCGAAGTTGTGTACAGAGGCGCATCGAAAGGACGTGGGCTGGTCGTCTCGCCTCGAGGTAAGTCACAATCACCCCTCCCACCCGATTGTGTGGGCTGAGCCGTCAACGCTTAGACTACTCGACACGGCATAAATACTAGGATAAAGGCGGAACGAGCCAAAAAAAAAAAAAAGGGGGTCACAGCCCTTCTAGGTGGACTTTGCTGCAAGCCATGCATGGCGACGTTATTACTATACTTTGATGTATTTGTACAGCAGGAAAACCCCTCTCTCAGGTTCTCCGCTGAAAGATGCGATATGACTGCTCATCGGGTCGACTACTGAGCGCATCCCGGACAAGTGTGCAAAGTGTGATGGACGTAAATATCACAATTGACACAAAAGTCGTTCTTGCACTTCGCGCATCTGACGAGAGAGGCTCAGCCGGTAATTTACCGTCGATCAAAGACTAAACTCACCTGTATCGCCCTGTTGGGCTGACAGCCTCGTCAACTTGATTGACACCGGCAGATACAGCGATTTCATCGAGCTGGCTGCGCGTCAGCTCAGGGCACCATGGGTCTATAAGTCAAACTGACTAGGGGGAATGGATCATCGCATCCGAAACAGGTCGGCTCCAATCTTCGAGACGTGTGATCCTCTTGAACAGTGTCGGCAGGCGTGACGCCGTACTCTGCCACAGGGAACAAGAACCAAAAGCTGAGGTCATCAGACATGTCATGCCATGCTATGCTCTCTGATTATCATTGCTCACCTCCGCGCCAGGTGTGGACTCGACACCACCATTAACCCACAGACTTCGCAATCTGTCGGTACGTCGCAAAGTTTACTCCCGCATCGAGGGCAAAGATATCCTCCTTTTTTGAGGATGCCATGACAGACGCACATCGTTTCTCCACCCAATGGTAGACGGACAGGAAAACCCATCACCATGAGATCTCCCGCAGGCGCAGGCTTATTTCTCCCTCCTGCTCCTGTACCTACTCCACCGGCGGCCAGAGCGTTCCTTACTCCGACGGTGAGTGGCGCTGCGATAGTCTGCGCAGGGGGTGGTATAGTCTCCCATAGAAGTTCCCTGAGGTGATCCTCGTCCATTGCGACACCGAATTTTCCTCCTGTTCGTTCTGAGATTTGCTTGCATATCTTTATTTCCCCAGAGAGGGAGATGATGGTGGTTCGGACACGCGATTGGACGAGATCTTTCATTGTTTGTTGAATCGACGTTGGGCCATCGGGATCAGCAGTGGAGATGGAGGAGAAAATGACGAGTATTTCAAGAGAGGATGTGACGGGGAGGTGACTGCAATCATCCGATAAGTCTAGGCAAGAACTGAAAAGAGGGACCTCTAACCCACCCCATGCCGCCTTTTGCCATGGTCAAACCGTTTTGTAAACTTGGTTCACCAGATGGTTCCAGTTTCCGTTTATCCGCCAGTGCAGCGAGAATCTCTTGAGGGTTGCCTGGGATACTGATCAGCTAGAGATAGGACGGTAATCCTCCACACAGCCCACCTCCCATCGGTATCAGTGTCTCGGATAGACGATCCCGCATCAGGACGATTCCAATCTGACCCAGGGGATTCTGATCAAACCATTCTCCAATGTATCCTCGAAGGTACTGCAACGTTACTTCCCACCTGATCATACGACATTTAGCGATGTGGCGAGCCTTGAGCATTCGTCTCTTGACCGAACCCACCTCGTCGGACGAAAGTCTTTATCCCGCATCGATTCAGATAGATCCAAGATGATAAACATGTGTCGAATGATGGATCGTCGAATCGGTCCTTCGCCAGCCATGGCCCTGGGCAGCATCTTCAGGGACGCTCTCCAATCATGTTTCTATGTGCACGAGCGCAGTGTCACTCACCTCTTCCGCCTACCTCTCGCCAGAAGCTTCTCTACCGTCGACTGTAGCCCTCCTTCCTCATCGTCCTCTTGAATCACATCCCATGATCGAGTATAAGCTCCTTCCCACGTTTGCATGCCGTCCTAGCAGGCACGTCAGCCACCAGATCTCCATCTGGCAAGTGATCCTGCCGCGTCCATCATACGCGAGCGAGACCAGCCTAGTGTGCTAGGTCTGCGGCTCTCCTCCACTCACCCCTCCAGTCTGACCATTCGCTCGACCTTTGCCTTTACGTTGTCGGCTCGGACCAGGCCGATCGATATCATCCTCATCGTCGTCGATATTGATATCATCTGCTTCGGGTGCATAGTCTTCGTCGACCGCCATGATGCATGAACACACGTCTGGGCAGAGCTTGCAAGTGACTAGTAGAGTGTACAAGGCGCTCTCGCTCTAAGCTGGGAAGACGATGATTACGTCAACTGTTCGACGCGGCTGATTTTTTCGGGCGGGCTCGGGAAATTGCCGTAGGGGTCTCTCATGGGTACTGCATAACATCGGTCCAGACAGCCTCTATCACGATGTCTGCATGCTTCCACTGGGAAAGTCTATCAGACCTGCATCAATCCCTATGGCCTTTACTATCATCGTGCAACTTGCAGTCCCAGATCACTTTTCCACTCTGATTCAGACGCTCTATCAGAACCATCCCAAGAGCAGTGCTAGGTGTTAATACGCCGCCCTTAGATGCCAGCGGAGGGAGCTTTGTATCAGATGGAGGCGGTAGAATTAGTGATAGCGCGGCTTCGACAATCATGTCTGAGAAAGACAATGATAGTCAGTCAATGGCTGACCAGCTTTTCCACGCGATGCACCGATGGACTCACAGTTCGTGGCTATGTAGCCTGGATCCCCCTTATGCTTGCAAGTCGTGACCACGGTAACGCCTTGAGCGGTTGTCTTCGAGATGCTAGTAAGCTCTAAGCCTCCAGACCTCAAAGACCTGGATACAGGGCATCAGCCTAGATGTCTCAACTGTTTTAAGGAGCTTTAGATCACTTGTCAGAAGGTCCTGATCCCGGCGAAGGCAACAACCACAAGAGGATGTTTCGGGTCAGTGTTGATCCGAAGAATACTAGACCAAAGAGCATCAAGCCGAGTGAGACGATGATGGATTCGATCCAGCTCCTGGTCTGCAGTGCTTCGGTGTACTCCAGCTTGTCGCCGTGCCTGGGTTCATCCCCCCTCTTGATGCCCGTGGCGTCTTCCGACAGTCGAGAGAGAAACCAGGATCGTCGGACAACGCAGCAGTTGAAAGGGTACATGAAGAAGAATCCTCCGGTCAGAGAACGAGGAAGAGATGGGTGACTCGATTCGTAGACTAGTTGTGGGGGAGGTGTAGGGCCGGAGGCTGACAAAGGACGATAAATGCCACGGTCGCTGCAAGGCTGACTCACCTGACGTCAGCATCCATTCTCCCTTCTTCACGATCTTCTCTTCGGCAGGGGTCTCGGCTTCAGATTTCGCTGATGCCATCGTTCCACCTGATGGTGATCCTCCAGTCTTGAAGAAAGCCCGAGACGATGCGATACTGGCGTCTGGGTAGGAGGACTGAAGTGTCCGCAGGGCAAGATACAGCGACATGTCGCTGATAAGTGATTAGCAGATAGAATGATAGCGCGCCCTCACGACGGAATGGAGTCGAACCCCGAGGCGATGACGATACAAGATCCAGTGGTGGACGCCTGATAGTCGTATTTTGGTATGATCACTTTGCCTAGAAAGTAACGTTCTCCACATAAGTCAAGATAGTGTGTACCAGTAGCTGCGCATGCTCTTGAGAACTATCAGTCTCCATTCGTCATATGAGCTCCAAAAACGCACCGGATCAGAGCTTCGGCATGATGTTCTCTGAACGGACCTGGAATGATGGTCAAACGATACCCAGACGTGCAACCCCCTAGTACCTCACTCACCAGCAAGATTGATAATGACTGTCGAGCGATCGACCAAATCCCTGACACTCTCTTCATCTGTCAGTTCACATGCCACCAGCTCCTTGTCCCTCTTCATATCTTTCGTCGCAGCCTTCAACTTTTCTTCATTTCTCCCTGACAAGATGAGGTTGAATGATTCTCCATCCGGATGATGATCGAGATACCTCAATAACTCTCTCGCTGTGAACGACGTCGCTCCATACACTGTGAGAGTGGGCGTAGATCCTTGAGAGCGTGTTCTGACCATGGCCCAAGTGCACTCGATGAGGTAGGTCGAGGCATGCAGTGACTAGCGGTGATGAACTGACCAACAGTATGACGTAATGTAAGTTTCTCCGGATCCGAAAGTCAGAATGCTGGTTGTCCAGGCCAAAATAAACCTCTCAATCTGACCTTGTTCACTTCGATCGATGTGCCCATCCATGGATGCCTCAACATCTGTGTTCCACTAAGATCAGTCCCCTGGACACCGGCAAATGCTGCGACGTGTGTGAACACCATAGCTGATACGTTCAACGTCTCGTTCTTCTGAATCCCCTTCTCATCTGCCCCCTTGTTCCAAAGGCAGTCTGAGTGCGGTGTCTGTGTGTGTGTGGAATGAATTGAACATGCCTTTGACGGGGTCTCGTACGAGGCAGAGGATGAAAAGCTGATAGCATCCAATGGGTGGTCAAGATGATCTCGGAGTGTTGCGCTTCGGATACTACAGCGGGAGTGTGCAGCTCTCGACAAGCATGTCAACATCTGCGTCAACAGCCCAACTCAGCCCCTTCGCAGTCTATGAACTAGACTTCGAGGCTACACCATGACTCCCTTTCAAACCAGGATGTGTTCCATAACTGCATGTGGATGTACCTTTGACCGTTTCATCAATACTACTGATCCGATCATCTAGAGAGCAGTGATCATCAACCGCAGAGGCGAAAGTTCGGACACTCGCTTGGAATGGGGAGCAGGTCGGAGTGTGGGTGGGTCGATGAAGCGAGGGGTACGGGGATCTTCGGTTCATCAAAGCTCACACGACATTTCTTTCCATTGCATCTTCCCACCCACAATCAATCCCTACACAAGTCAAAGACTCCATGTCGACGCCCACGACACCCCTCACATCCACATTCTATTCGCCACACCACACTGGCCCGATGCAAACACACAAACCCCCTTCGCTCGCATTGTTCCTCTCGACTCCCCATCTCGACGCTCTAGACGTCCAAGATGGTCTCGTCGAGCACTGCTTCAGATCATTTATCTCTGGCAAAAGAGTCAGAGAATGGTGTCTGGATATCAAGCGAGCAGCTCGAAAGGTACGTCGCAAGGGGGTGTATGAACGCAGCTGACACTATTGTCAGTTCACAGACTCTACGACCCTCCATCATATCCTCTATGCTGCTCCTCTTTCCATCCTGATCCCCTTCCCTCCAGACACGTTTCTCGCTCATGATCCCATCGGTCCACCAGATCCTGAATCCCTCTTACCCCCTTCGACCCTTTCCACGCTCTCTCGAAAACAGCTCGTCGATGCCTTGATCAAGCTTTCCAAGACTCTACTCGCAGAGCGACCCACCGGATGGTCCGAACTGGTGTTGGAGCTTTATCTCGAGTACATTGCTCGTCGATGGCGACTGGCTCTGGAAAAGCACGACTCCAATCTCGTAGATGGCATCGGCAGAAAATTGCTAGAGATCGAGTTTGACGTGAGTGTCGAATCATCACTTGACATAGCTGACGTGCTTGTTAGGTTCAGCTACGTGGCGAAACAGAAACCACTCGATCCCTCATTCTTCCCGTCCTTCAACACGTCCGATCAGGGCTCGGCTTCATCACCTCAGTTCAGCTCGTCTCGCGGCTCAACTCACCACGTTACCAGGATGCCCCATCCGATCTCGTCAGTTCATGGATCACCATTCGACTGAGAGCAGGCTCTCAAGCTCAGGATATCATCGCTGAGCTTGCATCAGCTCAAGACAAGATCATGGATGCTTCTCACAGATCCGAGTTGGTCCGTACAGTCGAGACCCTGGGCCTGAACATCCACTCAGATTCGCAGGACACCCCTCGGTCCACTTTCGAATCTCTCACCAGGCGACCTCACCGCAAGTTCAGCCTTCGAACTAGGACACTTGGCTTTGGCGCCTCTGGCAAATGGCGACCTGGTCATCAACGACTGACCTCGTTCAAGAATTCGTCAGGCTTCCCTTCCAAGTTTGATCCGGAACGACGACCATCACTGCCCAACTTTTCCACCACGTCCCTTCTTAACCCTTTTGCGTACAAATCCAGGCTATCGACGGGGGGCCCAGAATCACCCAGTTCCAAGCAAGCTTCAAGAAGCTTAACTCGCCTCGTGCCGTTTCCTCTGGTCAACACCCTCTCCTCACCAGACCTCCTTGGCTCGACCTTGGATTTTATCGACCCAGCGACTATCCGGCCAGTCCTTGTCCACCAACTTCTGACGAGCAAGTATCATCTCTCAACGGACAAGACGGATGACTGGTATCTCGGCGATGGGCGTCATCTTGCTCAACGCATGTTGATGGATATTGAGAACAAACTCAGGATCAATCAGGGATCTATCGATGCAGTCTCCGATCTCAGAACCATCTTCAGACTTGACCCCAATTCCGATCGCACCGGACCCCTTGAAGCAATCGTTAACGGTGAATTCGGCACGTTTCCTCTCCCTCCACCTCGCATGTCCATCGCTTCGACGTTGATGCCGGAGGGTCACAGCCGAGCTGCGTCATTTGACCTCGACCGGTACTTTGAAGGCCTCTCTGAATCAGGTCCAGAGGACCCTGTCCCGGTCCCAGAGTCTGCAAAGGATGGGGATGGATGCGCTCGACACAGCACCGAAACTGTTTTACCTCCTCTCCATAGCCACAGGCGAGTGAGTACAGGTCTCGAATCCCTCCTTACCATGGCTACGGGTAAGACTGGTCTGACCGACTTTACCTCCCGGACGAGAGAGAGGCGAGCATCCCATGCGAGCTTTACGATCCAAAAAGCTAGGCGAGGTTGGACGGGTTTCTCAGTTAAACTGGTCAAGCCGAGACGAGCAAGCAGTATCGATACATTCACTGGAGGCGGTACCGTCAAGTCGCCAAGAGGTTTCATGCTGCTAGAAGATCCGGATGACGACACTTCCGACGACGAATCAGTTTACGAAGACGACGAAAGCTACATTGGTCCTCTCGAATCGTATCTTGCTCCATCTCGATTCAACCGATGGTCGAAATCAGAGGCTGATCTCATCTTCCCTCCTCTTCCGACTGATCACGATCGAGCCCATCCATTTGCCGCGACATCGCACCACGTCCACGACAACGACATGTACACTCATCTACCAGCGACGACTTCCCTGAGACGGAAGAGGCGGATCGACCGACCTTGCGTGACGGCCTTCGATCTCGGACTAGGTAAACAGATCTTGACCCCTCCAGGGTTTCCAAAAGGCGACCAGTGGCAGGATAACTTTCCGACGACGCCTTCAATCGAACAATCAGCTCCCGACTTTTCCGAATCAAGCTCTACTCAGGTTGTCGACTCTACGCCTCGATTCGTAGTGACTGCCGATGCTCAAGACCTCATGCCGCAAGGATACAAGGCGCCACTCACTCCACCGATATCGCCACCTCACCGACCTATCTCCTTGAACCATTCTACGGCGGGATCCCATGACACAAGCTTTTCGGTTGTCGACCATGGCTCGGGGGCCACGGTTGAGAGTGGTCGACCGTTGGCAGTCGATCTATCGCTTACCGAAAGCGACACCCCCAGAGCCAAGCATCAACATCGACATTATCGCATCTTGAACGGTGACTTAACCCCGGAGAGATGGAGTGACGGGTCGCGAGGCCCATACCAATCACCAGTTTCACCTGTCATGACCCCTACAGCATCAGCAAAATCACTTCGCCAAGTCTCCTCATCCCAGCATCTCGCTCTGACACCGGATTACTCTCCAACTTTCACGGAGGATTGGCATACTGCGCATGGTACGCCTGTGAATCAAAAACAGGTCCTCGGTGGTGATGAGACGATTTACGCATCTCCAACCAAGGCGGCAACGCACTTTCCTGTTCCTGTGGATCTGCGCCGACATCGTCGACCTCCGCCTGTACCTCCCCCGCGCATGTCGAGTCTACGAAAAGTCCGACAATCACCCAGTCTCGCCAGTCTCTCCGGCAAGACCGTGTGGTCCAAGGATACGTTCAGTATCCGATCGAGATCGATCACACCGACGGAAAGGCGACGAACTCCAGCGGCGCCACTTTCTATCGAGTCTCATACCTCGTCATCCCTCAGTCAGCTTGTCTTCGCCATATCTGACGATGGGCATGGCAATTTCTCTTTCCCGGGCTCGAAGAACGCTCTCCAGGCCTTCCTGACACTTTTCAATGATGCGTCGGATTGTTTGATCCTCAAAAAAGGAGTGACGGAAGACCACATTCAACAGATGCTGGCGCACCTCTTCAAGCCGGACTTGACGCCGGACGAACAACGACACATCACATGGCTCATAGAAAAGGCTGATGAGCTGGTAGGTGACAGGGGAAATACTCCCATTGGACTGAGACTGACATCGTCTATCCTTCAGATCGATGATCCACGCTGGACTCGGCAAGCAGCAACATACCTCCCTTCGGTCCGCTCTTCGACTCATGTCGACCACGACAAGCCACTCCCAAGTACACCGTCCTCGATTACCTTCTTCACGCAACTGCCTGACCTAACGCCAAGAAGCGCCATGCGACCTCCCGCTACACATCCTCTGCTCAGTCCTCACAGAGTCCACGAAGATCTGCCATGGTCAGCTTCGAGTCCTCATCATATACGGCTAGCAGGGAGGCAGTCTCTCGAAGTGGATCCTAGCGACTACTTTTCTGCTCGGGGTCATCCTGATTGTCGAGCGTCCATCAATACGTTTGGCAGGAGGCGAGAGTCTACAGGATCGTCACTTCCTAGTCCCACATGGGTTTCTGCTCATGTGGCCGCGCACTTCTGAGGCTGAAGAAGCGCCAAGTTGTATCATAGAATTCGGACAATCTTGTTGTATACGGCTTCATCAACACACACGGCAGACATGCATCGTACACAGGCAAACGCGGATACTTCTGGACGCCAACTTGCCCTAGTCCACAGATCATCTCTAGTTGAATATGCAGTATAGTGCAATTCCACGCTGGCTCAGTGGGCGACCACCATTGACATTCCACAATCATAATGCGTCAATTGCAATGCTATGCAAGCACGATCGTTGCTGATCATTTCAAATCTACAGTACGTGTCTGGCCCCGACCCATACCTTGTTTTTCAAACGTCCGCTCCTCCTCACAGTATACGCCAGCCCATCTAGACGGTCTTTTTCTTGCTACCTCCTCCGGCGGCCGATCTCGATTTTTTCAGCCTCTTTCCAGATTCGAATGCAGATACAGCCTTGTGATCTCTACCGAGTGGATCTTCCTTCTTGACCTGATAGATTCGGACGATCCAGTTCTCAGAGGTGAATGCTTCGTCTGGTGACAGAGTATCAGATGAAAGTGCCTGCTTTTTCAGCTTGCTGAACAACTTACCTAGTGTGTCTAGGGTGACACCTGGTGGGATTCGTTGACCTCTGACACGGTCTTGAGCGGGTTGACCACCGTACAACTCGGTGAATCTGCGCATCAATGTCAGCGGGAACAGCCCTGCCAGGGTATCGTCGATACTCACCGGTAGTAAGACATCTTGTACATCAACGAGTTCTTCATGGTGCTCGTGCTGCCCTCACGTCAACTAAAGTCATCCGGGACCGTCCTCTGTCTGCTCACGCTCTCTCACCCACTGCATATTCGCCACGGGGTGTAAAGTAATTTGGCTCTTGTACCTCGTCTGGCCAAACACCTTGGGCAATCCTAACCATCCAGAGGAACTTGTTGATATCATCGCTGAGACGAGTTAGCTCAGTAAAATCGGGCAAGCTCGTGACGCTCACCCAGAGTACCCCAAAAGACCTCCGAAGATGACCAAAACATAATCCACATCGTGCTTCCTCAAGATCGGATACGCGACATCCTCGTTTGAACTCATAGCCTTGCCGACCGTGGCAATATGTGTGTTATTCCACGTATTGTTGTCTACAAGCGTAGGTCTGTCGGCCATGCCTGCTATCTGGTACCCGTAGTCCCACCAGGACATGACGACGGCATCTTTTTCGGTGTTCTGTCGAAGCCAATAGTAGGCCTCTCGGAAGTCATCGATGATGGCTTGGGATCCATCGGCGTTGCGGGAAGCAAGGACAACGGATGGCGAAGAGTAGGCTGTCTGGGTAACGAATGTACAGTGGTGGACCCAGAGAAAGAGGAAGTATGAGAGTGTACCGACCATGATAATTCGCGTGTCGAGACCATAGACTCCGAAAGAGGATCGTTTCCCCAGAAGACCAGTGAAGAGGGATCTTGGCTTATTCGAAGCAGCGGCAGCGGCCTTCTTACTGGCCTTCTTCGAGGGCGTCGAGTGACCGTCGGTCGTGGTAGAATCCATGTCGGTGTCTTCTTGAGGAATGATAGGGTCGATATAAGTCTCGAGGATCTTTGAGTATGCGATGGCGGCGGAGACGCAGACGACGGGCGTAATGACGAGCATGAGTCGGACCATGACACCTGCAAAGTAGGACGAGAGAACGGCGTAAATGATGATGAAGACCTGTTCATCGCGCATATCCTTGAAGCACCAGTAGAGACCGGCAGGGAAGAAGAAGATGAGCATGCCGAGGTCGAAGAAGAAGGATGGCCAGGCGGTAGGCTGATGCTCAGATACGGATGCGATGATAGGGACTGGCGGAAGTCAGTTGTCATACAATTCATGGGCGACATGCGCCACTCACTGTGAATCTTTGCGTATCCAGTGTCCCAAAGCGAGTAGAAACGTCCGGTCCAAGGGGCGATCCATCCGGAAAAGGTCAACGCCACGAGAACGGTAAATGAGGCGACGAACGCCAGGACCACGAAACCTCGGAGCAGGAGCTGGAACTGCTTTCCAGGCACCAATCGTCTAACAATCTCGACGAAGGACACAAGCTGCAAGAGTCCAAAGACACCGAGTGCGGCCATGTGTTCGGAAGTTCGGAGCGGGAGGAAACCGACAAAGGGTACTTGCATCGAGCAAATGGTTCCGATAATGTACCAGGACGAGTAAGATAGGTAGAGACGTTGAGTGAATCTACCCATGAGAATGAGGACAAACGCGTGAAGAGGTATCACTGGCTGTCAGCATGCAGGTCTATGTTATTTCTCACTGTTGGTGATGAAGACATATCCACCCCATGCAGCCACCATCCATCCGTAGAACAATGCAGCGAGCATGCCCCAAAAGGCACTTCCGAGCTTCAAAGCCCTGATCCAAAAGTAGAATGTGGACATGAGCAAGAAGATGGCGATGGCTTCATTATCGTAAGATCCAGCGACAGATCGAGAGATGTATCCTGGAGCGATACCGATGAAAGCAGCTGCGAGCAGACCAGCAGATGGGGTCGACATCTCAGTGGTAAATCTGGTTCGCGAGAAAGAGTCAGCAGTGAGCATGAATGAAGCGCGCGAGCCCCTACTCACAGATACGTCGCGATGGCTGTGAGTCCTGCGAATCCAGGCGCGAGCATGACACAGACATTTCGAATATCCACGGGCATGTTCATCCATCTCAGTGCGTTCCAGATCAAGCCCGAAGTGACCATCAACCCTGGGTAGATGGTCCCTCCTACAACCCTCCCCAGAGGGTACCAAGCGGTCGGATCGAACCAGTTCCAAAACTCGTAAAACCCATCGTTGACCAATACCTTGGAAGCTCGGTAATTGAACCAAGGATCAAATTCATGAATGACCGATTCGAACCGGATCACAGCGAACAATCTTGACCCAATGGCCGCTGCGCTGATCAATAAGAGCGTGACGAGTCGGAGAAAAGATTCGGTATTGGTAAGGAGGGAATGGGAGATCTGGGCTGGGAGTGGATAGGCTAATTTCCTAGGTTGTTGTACTGAATCGCCGTTGGGTTGGTTGGGAGCGTCAGAAATGGAGGGAATGGAGGCATTGAGAGAGGAGACGGGATCATTGTCTCTCGAGGAGGAAGAGTCGGTTGCGACCCGAGGTGTCTTTGGAGCCATTGTCGACGGGACGGTCACCACACCAACAGAGGTGCACTGTAGAGGTTGGAGGCTTCCGACACGAAATTTAGGGTGATGGCGAGCGGTGACCAGTCGCTTAGAAGCTCTGGGTCTGGCGAGGCTCTAGATCACCTTCAGTCCTTGGTCCTTATCCCCTTGTTCAGCTCTTCTCTGTCGCTCTTGAGCTCTTCAGTGTAGCGAGCTATTCTGAGCCAACGACCGACACATTCGCAGAACTCCAACGGGGCAACTTTCCCACGGTAGAAAGCCAACAATCCGAGGCTCTGAAAGAAAATGGATGGTTTGTCGATACTATGAAAATACTACCATACTACAAGTATCCCTTCTTCAGTACCTGCATCTCGTTCCAGAATGCATTAATGTGCCCCTCTACTGCGGACCCTTCATCGCCAGCTTTAGCGCCTGCGATTGGTGATTAGCAAGGATGCACGTTCAGTCAGAAGTACCTTCTCAAGTTGCTCCAAGTCAGTGGTGCTTCTGGCGTCGATCCGCTTCATTTGACGTCCAGTCTGAGCCATGATCTCATGTATTTCGTCTTTCGATCGATCGTCATGCGCAAAGATGACAGAGCAACCTTTGCGCCCGAATCGACCCGTTCGACCTGAGGATGTCATGAGTTGAGGCAATTGAATGGGCGACAACTCACCGATTCGATGAATATACGTCTCGATATCAGGTCGAAAGTTCCCACCGGGGCCCAGATCAGGCACGTCATAGTTGACGACCATGTTGACCTGTTGAATGTCGATACCTCTCGCGATGACATTGGTCGTGATGAGGACCTTGGTCTTGCCCTCTCGGAATCCATCGAGAATGGTATCTCGTTCATCCGTTTGCTTGTCACCGTGGAGCGACGCAACGGAGTGACCCTCCTGAGTCAGACGATTGGCAATGTTGTCGGCAGTGTCTTTGCGCTGAGAAAAGGGTCAAATAAAGGTCGTATCGCGGCCTCACCTTGCAGAAGACAATACTTTGTCCAATCGACATGATGTCGTACAACGCGGAGAGCGCTTCATATTTCTGATTCTCGCCATCACATTCGAGCCAAAGCTGCTTGATTGTATCAATGGTGACGTCTTCTTTCTTGAGGAAAATTTGGTTTGCTTCAGGGGCACAGCGCTGAGCAAACTCTTGGACATCGGGAGGGAAAGTAGCAGAAAAGAGAACGACCTGAACTCCTCTGGGTAGCATTCTGCAGCGTCAGCGAGTGCTCACTTGTGCGCACTTACTTTTGAATTCGACTCGTTTGGTCACCCAAGCCTTGCATAGCGACCATCTCATCGGCTTCATCGAGTACGAATACTCGGATGTGTTTCGGGTCAAAAATGGTGCCTCGTCTACTGAGCATATCAACGAGGGTTCCGGGAGTTCCGATCAGGATGTGTTTGTCGATTTTTTGGCCTCGGGTCCAGCTTCCGGGCACAGCGAGGAAGGTCTTGATCTCGGTGAATACCCCTATCTTGTTGACGACTTCTTGGATCTGGCGAGCGAGTTCTCGAGAGGGGGCGAGGCAAATTGCCTAGTCAAATGAGAACGAGCCATCGCCAGCGTCACGTGCACAGCTCACCTGAGGGGCCATGATGCTTGGATCGACTCTCGAGAGCATGTTGAGGGTGAATGCGGCAGTCTTTCCAGTACCAGACTGACTCTGACCGATGAGGTTACGAGGTCTGCAAAGAGTCAGCTCGTCCCTGTCTAGTGCCCGGACAGACTGACGGGTTGTTGAGGAGCATAGGTAAGGCATTCTCTTGAATCTTCGAAGGCTTTTTGAATCCAGCAGCATAGATTCCTTTCATCAGGCTTTCATGGCTGCGGCAGATCAGCTCAAAGTTTCGCACTAAAAGACAGGAGCTGACATTGGAAGGTCTTCGAAGCGTTTGACACTGTATAGCGGGTTATTAGGGTCTGCTTGTTGATCGGCTAGTTTGACCTGCGAGCCGTGATCAGTAATTTATCGGATGTGAGAGGAGAAGGCCACCCCTCACCTGAACCTGAAAATCGTTCGAGATGAGTCCGCTGCCAGTGTCTGACATGCCGGCGTCGATTGGCTCATTATCTCGGCCATTGGCCGCGTTGCCATTCGAGTTGCCGTTCTTCATGGTGTTGCCCCAGCCTGGATGATGATCAGCGGGGATAGTGCTTCGAGGGATGGAACGGACCGTCATCTGCCCTATCTTGCGCCTTGCTATGTGTTGTCGAGCCCCATGCTAAGACAGGTCAGCGAGAGCTCTGTGTGCACATCGTTAGCTCACATATAGGCTCATCCATTAAATCCTGAGCCATCTTCCCAGCTTTCTTGTCTTTACTGTCTTCAGGTAGTAATTCTCCCTTGCCAGAAGGCTCTTTAGTCTCCTTCTTCGCGCCCGTTGAAGCACTGGGCTGAGCGCTGGTAGCTACCGCTGGCGTAGTAGTAGTAGAACTAGCTGACGCTGATGGGGCGGATCCCCCCTCGCGACCCGATTTGACACCGGCAAGAGCTCTACCAAATAACGCACTGGAGGTGTTTGGCCGTGGCCGTGATTGAGATTCGGAAGAAGCAGAAGCTGGAGGAGGCGAATGAGGAGTATCGGATGGTGATGACGAGGATGATGAAGCTGGCTGAGGATCTCCTGTTGAAAGACCCGATATACGAGATAGCAGCGAAGCTACGGGTTGATCCCCTTTCTCCGAAGTTGTCCTTCCAGCAGGTTCAGATGATTCTGTATGAGGTTGCTCAGTATCGTGTTGTTGAGATTCGATCATGATGAAAGAGAGAGAGAGGAGAGGAGAAGCAGAGGGTAGTAGGCGGCAACTGGCGAAGCGAGAGAGAGCGAGAGAGACGGGGGGGGCCTATGCCTCGTGGCTCAACAACGCACAGACCCCCGCTTGTCTACACACTCATGCGAGAGCATGTGGCAGTACATATCTGAAGTTAAGAAAGCAGAGCCACTTACCTGGAGCTTGAGGTGGACTTCCAAATGTCCTCTTGAGCTCATCATCATCATCAGACTCCTCATCAGCCCAATCCTTTTTACGCGGTGTAGAGAGGTTGGACATGGCGGAAAGAATACGAGGTAAGACCAGATAAAAGCGAGGGAAATCCGAAGAGATGAAGGGTTTGAGGGACAAGAGAATCAAGTTGGTACAAGAAACACAGTCGACACGAATCACAAGATCTTGTCAAACACGTATTTACAGACCAGAAGAATACCGTTGAGGAAAGGTCGTGCGTGGTTTTGAACTGAATGTCGGGTTGAAATCGTCATCCGAAGGATGCGAAGGTGGCAGTTTAGGACTGGGGTAGGGTGGCACAATCAATAAAGGAGAGTCACGATTCTAGATTTGCTTTGGGTATGGCATGCATAAGCAAGACAGGTTGTAGACAAAGCTTCTATAGCCTGCAAGTTCCACACGATGTAAGGGAAGGGATCGGACTCGGGTTGACGCTCGCGCTGCTCCTTGAAACACTGCTCGTACCCGTGGTCGAGGAGGCCGAAAGCCGCGGAACGATGGAACTTCTCTGTAAGTTTGTGCCTCTCAGATCGCAGTCCGACAGCGCTGGGCTCGAGCAGAGAGAGAGAGGCATGGAACCTGTCAAAGCGGCATTCGAAGTGAGTTGCAGCGATGACAGGGTAGAAGGCAGTGATGTTGGAGGAGAGGTGAAGTTGTTGTTCGACAAGAACCTGCCAGTTCATTAGCCTGAATTTACCGACTCGCCGTCCGCGCTCACAGGGTGGTCAGAGATGTCAGAGATGAGAAGTTGGGGACTTGGCCGCCGAAAGCATTGTATGACAGGTCCCTGATGCACTTCAGCTGAGTCGACTCTGCGATGACGGACACCGACTTACAGATACTTCAACGAGCTAGGCAGATTGTTCTCGCTCAAAACGCCGAGTCCCTGCCCGGTCATAACGCTGATAAGGCGGTAAGCATGGCTCAATTTCACACCATCCGCACACTCACAAAGTCTTCAGCGCCGAATTCTTCTCCAGATCTGGCATCTTCGGAGCTAGATTGGCATTATTGATCAAGGACAATGTGGAAAGTCGTGTGGCCTGTCGAAAGTCCGCAGTCGAAAGATCACCCCGAAGACCAGTGTACTGTAAGTTGATGCTCGTCAGATTCTGCAGTGCCAGGATGTCGGAGTAGAAATCGCCGCCTATCAGAGTAAGCTGCTATTCTTACCCTACTCTTGCCCAACACTCACTCGGTACGGAATTATTGCCAATGATGCTGAGGGATGACAGCGAGACTATGTTCTCCAGAGTCCTCGGCAGCAAGTTTGGGACGTTGGGATACTTGAGCCCTCTGGTATGGTCAGCTTGGTCCATATCTCGTAAGGATAATAGCTCACATGCTGACCACTCTCCCTCTGGAGTCGCAAGACACGCCGTTCCAAGCACAAGGGCTCGCATCTTTGCCCCAACCCAAACCGCTCAGAGGTCCTTGAGCCTCATGAAGGATATCCATCAATGCACAGAATTGCAAAGTTGCTCCCACGCCCGTAGAATTGCCGCCTATCAGGTCTGACTCAAAGTCATTCGTCGCCGACGTTAAGAGCGGGACGCAGTCGGAACATGGGTATGTACCGGGAGAGCCGGGCGCAGAGCTCATGAAGAGGTCCAGACACGTTGCCAGGCTTTTTGAGGTAGTCGGCGAAGTTGTATTAGCTGGAATAGTTGGATCATTCTTATCCGATGACGAGTTGTGAGACGAGTTATCTGCGCCGGATTGAGTCAAAAGAGCGGTACAGAGTCCAATGGTGAGCGCAGCGAGGATTACGATCACAAGTATCATCAGGCACTTGATCTCAGCCTATCTCCACTCTTGGTGTCTCTCACCTTATATCTCTTGCTCTTCTTGTTCTTCTTTTGCTCGTCCTTCTTCTCTTTTCGACGCAGACAACACCACGCTCGAGATCCGTCGTGTGACCTGTACTTGCGCTTGTTGCCCAGACTCCACTCCTCTTTACCTGGCGATCGCCTCGGGTACATGTAGTCTGTACTTCGGCTAGGCACCTCGGAAGCGTATACGACCTGTCGAGGCGGCACCAGGTGTTCTTCCGAATGTAATGAAATGCCTCGAGTGGCCATTCTGAACCTGTCCATGTCCCTCATCTCTCTCTCGCGCATCTCACGTACGACTCGATCTGCAGAGCCCTCATTTTGGGTCCAAAGGGTAGATTTGCCGACCCATTTGTGGCTTTGATTCCTGACCACATCACCAACGCGGTCGAGCAGAGTCTTTCGTCGGTTCATCCGATGCGAGTCGTGGAGAGAGGTGGGTGAAGGGCCAAGGTAGGTGGGAGTGAGGAGAACATTGTGCAAGACTGAGTCGTATGCCTCGCCTGGACTCTCATCGCCTCGATGTCGCCCGGCTGGTGGCGGTTGCAGATGGAAACTCGAGGTCTTCTCGGCTCGGATTGTCGGAGTGATGTTCTGCAACACACCGCGAGGTACAACCTCACCAGGATGGATGGAAACTCTGCCTTCTCGCCATGAGGGGTACTGGTGGCCAGGCTCTACTTCACAGACGTCGAATGGATCGAGCTTCTCCTCCTTGACGGGCTTCCGCTTAGACTTTGGAGTTTTTGATTTGGCCGGGCTCGGAGGCTTTTCATGAGGCGAGAGACGGAACCAACCGGCCCGCCTTGAGGGAGTATGTCTAAGATGTCCATGCTCCTGTTCGGGTTCAACTGTATCGGTTGTAGCTATGACATCGCCTACGCGAGGGTACGCTTGACGAGTCTTGCTGAGATCAAGAGGCGGTGGTCGACGATGAGGCGAGGAGGATGCACCAGGCTTCGAACCCAAGACATTCGTCAAGGACGATGAAGAATGCTCAGACAATGGCGGGTTTCTGTCCTTAGGTCGATACGGACGTTTTGGGGGTTGGGAAGCGTATGGCAGAGGAGGTAAAAGAGGTGGTGATCCGTCTGACGGTTCGGGATACTCGGATTTTGCGGGACTATAGATGGAGGAGGATTTCGAGACGAGTGCAGGACGTTTCACAGCATCGACATGGCGAGTCTTGATCCGAGGTTGAATGTGAGAGGTCGCTGGTGAGGAGGTAGAAGCAGAGGCGAAAGTATCGAGCGGTCGAATAGGGACCGGAGGCAGAGGTTCAGATACTTGAAGGGGGGGATGACGAGCGGGTAAGAGGGACAGGATTGAGAATCGGGATTTGAACCGTGATGGGCCCTCACCAGACATGGCGAGATGTGGAGTGAATCGCTGCAGCGACAGACAGGTGAGAAGAATCAAATGTTGAGCGACACGTTTTAACACCTGTAGACAGATCAGTCAACCCCGGTGTCCGGCGGCAGAGACAGGCTTGGAGACCAGCGTCTTGGTGCCGTAGATGATACTGTCCCAGAGCGAGAACATTTATCAATTATGGGCAAGCTCTCAAGGTCAGCAGACAGAGTCAGGAAGCAAAGAATACAGCCAGCACTCATCTCATCCTATGATATGTCATCGAAGCTGTGGGTTGACTGACGATAGAGACCTGGAATCTCAGGGGATCGTGTCTGATCTCTCATGCATCGAGCGCATTGTTGTTTGTACTAATCGAGTGTCCAACGGACAATGAGGGTGTACTGTTCCTGCTGCTGCTGCTGCTGCTGCTCACAAGGCGGTGAGAGAAAAGAGTACAAATAGCCAGTTTGCAAGACAACAATAATGAATCGAACGGTCCAAGATGAAACACCGTGCGAGACCTGAGCACCCCCATAAATGGTATCCACCTTCGACGCAGCTTTCGTGAATCACAATCGGCCATACGACACCATATGCATCCCGTTCACGACGTGTATTAGTCACCAGCCTGTAACCCCTTGACACTATGTATACTTTGTATGTATGATCTTCTTGTAAAATCTCCTGGATATTCTGAAACTCCTCTCCAACCCCAGTGCCTCTGCACAAATGTCATCTACTTGTTTTTGCCCGCCGATCGACCACTCTTCACACTGGCCGTCTTTTTCCCCTTCTTCTTACTGGCACCTCCTGTCAATTCCCACTGACCACTGTTCCGCATCAAGCCTTTCCGAGCGTCCTTGTACTCATCGTCAACTTCTGATTCTTCGCTCGTATCCTCTCTCATCTTGCCGATTCGAGTAGACCACTCCTCGTGTTGAGCTGCGTCTTGACCCGGACTTTCAGGTTGGACATCATTAGTCGGTGCCGCTGAAGCTTCTTGAGCCAGTCCAGGAGCAGGATTGAGAGCAACGTTGGGAGACTCTGGGACGTTCATTCGGACAGACTTTCTTCTGACCTGTCCACCGGCCAACTCTTTCGCAGGTCGAGGTCCAGTCGTTTCGTCGGAGTCAGAGTCGACAGCCGATTCGTAAGCGGCTTGATGAAGTTGCTTCTCGTTGGGCAGCTTCTCCACGGTCGGAGGTCCAACATTGATACCTAATCGCTTGATCCTCTCATTATCGACAACCTTGAATTTGGTTTCATCATCGTCCTCAAACTCGCTTTCGGAAGTCTCGGCGGGGTCTGCTGTGCCCTCATCCGCCGTGTCATATTGCGTTTCAGCCGTCGAGGACTGGTAAGACTGGCGATGAGCCATCTTAGCCGGGGCTACAGGTATAGCGGGAGCCGCTGGGATCTCCTCCTTGGGCAGGTTGACAGGTCCAGGCGCAGAGATTGAGTACATGGTGGGAGGAGGCTCGATAGGAGCGGCCAGGACAGCAACAGGTTGCGCTGCAGGAGAGGAAGGTCTCAGTGCCGACTTGAGAGGCGGCGACAGGGTCCGGCTGGGAGGAAGGGGAGTAGTCGATCGCTTCTTTTGCGCGTCTTCTGGCTGATTGACCGATCGTCGTGAGCTGTTCCTCGACAATGTCTGGGGTCGATCAGTGCTGTTGACGGCAAGCTTGGGAATTGGATCAGCTTTGACGATGGAGGTGCCGGGTGCCTTTGGCAACGATCCAGCCAGAGGATCGGTCTGACTTTTGGGTGCCTTTGGTACATCTGGCATATTTGGCCCCGGGGTGCTCTCAACCAACGACATGATGTTGGGACTAGATCCTGTACTCCCAGTTGCAGCTCGCGCATTGACTCGCGAGATACTGCCGTTGGGTCGAATCCTTTTCGCAGTACCGCTCGATTTGACAGTCGCAACGGAAGTAACCGTCCCTGATCGAGATAGAGGTCGTCCAGTGGAGGGTTTGGGTGTCGTCGACCCAACAGAGCCGGCCCCAGGTGTAATTCGGCCGTTGCGATTAGGCGCAGGAGGAATGAGTCCACTAGCGACTGGAAGCGAGCTTCGGGAAGAGGGTTTGGTAGATCCTGCCGACCAGGTGTTTGCAGTGGTGTTGTTATTGCTGACGCTGACAAGATTGCCAGGCTCATCATCACTGCTCGAATCGGCAGGACGCTCAGAACGACGGTTGCCAAATGCAGATGAAGATCGCTTGACATTGGCATCGGTACGTGTCCGCCAACTGGATCTGTTTGGCGAACCACCTGATCCATAAGGAGGAGAGCTTCTGCCCCCGAGCAGAGGCCGTGGTGGACCTTGGAAGAAACCAATGACCTTTTTGAAAAAGCCCTTCTTCTTCTTCACAGAATGATTGCTCAAACCACTGCGATTGCTTCTGGCGCTTCGAATACTCGACGTCTCTGAGGCAGCTCGTCGATTTGTACGGTAGTCAGAATTGGTCCGGCGCAAAAAGCTTCGTCGAGGTGAAGTGTAATTCTTTGACCCGACGCCAACGTCACTAGCAGCTCGTCTTCCACCGGTTCGACGGTTGAGCGGACTGTCGTCTCCGCCAGGTCCAAAGTCACTGGTCCTACCTGTGACGGAAGCCACTCCGAGGGGCGACCGACCGATCGTGCCCTTGCGATTCATAGGCTGTGGTGCGCTACCCAAGGGTCCGTTCTCGTGAACGACCAGACCATCCGCTCGCTCATCGCCCGAGGAGCCGAGTTCATCTTCCTCTGCAATGCTACCAGCAATGGATCCAGGTGGATTGATTCGAGGGAAGGGGACCCCGGCGCGGCGAGGAGAGCCAAAGTCGTCGTGACCGAATTGGGAAGCAGATTGAGACGGGGACAATGAAGGGTTCGAGTCGAGCTCGTAAGCGTCGGTTGGGAGTTCTAGAGAATTATCAGCGGGACTCTAGTGTGTCGACTAACCATTGATCTTGCCGAGGTCCTGCATGCCTTTCTTGGACTGCGCGACCCACATCTTGCCTACTGCATTCATCGCTTTGAATCGTTCCTCGAGTCCATGAATCAGAACCTTGTTTCGCTCCTCCTCAATCTGGATTTCAAGGGTTCGCAAATGCTCCTCACAACCCAAGAGCTCTGCCTGCGCCTCGGCAAGCTTGCTAGCTCTCTTGCTCTCCTTGCTGGTTGTGGATCCTCCCGAAGTAACGGAAGACAGGGAGACTCGAGAGCTGAACTCGGCCGGTCGATACGAAGCGGCAATGGCAGAAAGGTCAGATTTGGTAGGTCGTGACTTTGTCGACTTGATCAACCTCGACACGAGGATCTCCTTGTCTCTTCGGACTCGGGTAATTTCCTCCTCCAGTTTGTGGACTTCCTTCAGCTCTTTCCTGAACCGTTCGAGACTTCCCACATAGAGAGCCCAGCCTTGAGCATCCGCTTCGATCCTTCCGAGCAATGCAGAGCCAATGGTCGATTCGGCGTCGTTGTGATCGTGATTCAGCAACGCGGGAGATAGGGGTCCTTCGAACGCAGCATGTCGAACAGAACGTCTGATGGGTGGGAGAATACCCGGTGAGGAAGTCGAGTAGGCTAACAATGACGAAGTTGCCGAGTGGGAGTGTGACAACAATGTCAGAAGAGTGTTGAGGATGGTTTTCTGCGTGTCACTTGGGAGGAGGTCAGCCCCACGTCAAAGGAAATCAGTCCTGCCAGCACTCACAGATAATTGCTCAACAGGCGGTCACTGCTACTCCTGTGAGCGTGACCTGGTCGTAGAGTGTCCATCATGTATTGAGCCGCCTAGAACGGTGAATGAGGGGGAACGGTTGGATTCCCGGCTCTTGCGTCACGTCTCCCTGAAGACAGCCTCTCCGTTGCGAACAGAGGAGTCAATGACGACCAGCCAATCTGTTAGATCTTGTACAATGAAGAACAAGAAGAAGAAGAAGAAGACGAAGACGAACAGAAGGTGGGGGCGTGTTGAAGATCAGTAAATTGAATGAGAGAGAGAGAGAGAGAAAAGGAGAGAGAGAAAGTCAATCGACCATCATTACCCGCATTAGCCATTTCCGGATGCAGCACCCCCATTTTCTGAGATGACGTAACGTTTAGCGTCTCACGTGGTAGGAGGTCAAGCTCTGACGTGGCATTTTGCCACTGGCATTCGCTCGCGCGGATCCGTCGCGTCCCAGGCGATAATAATGTTGCAGCAAGTGACACATCTGGAGCTTCGTCGATAGCATTGTCGTCGCCCCAACGACTATTCACCATGGAAATAGAGTACGAAGATCAGCCACAGACCATCGCACCGTCTGGATTGCTTCCAAGACCTCCTGTCGAGATGCCGGAAGAGGATGAATCAGAGCAAGAGCCAGAAGAAGAAGACGAGGAGGAGGAGGATGTAGAAGGAGGAGAGGATGCAGGTGAGCTAGTCGGCGGATAGAACCCCCCTCATTGCAGGTCTGACGTTGAGTCGCAGTACCTGTGGAGAAGAAAAAACGAGTCATCAAGCAACGTCAATCATTAGCGGAGAAGCAACAGGGGACGACCATTTTCCCTATAAGCAGGGTCAAGAAAATCATCAAGGCGGACAAGGAGTTGGACATGATGACGGGAGAAGCCTGCTTCATGATAGCAGTAGCGACGGTGTGCAAACTCTATTGAGGTAATCTTCCCAAGCCTGATGCCTTCCAGGAATACTTTATCAAGCATTTCATGGAAGAGGGATACACAAAAGCGAGATTGGACAAGCGGAAAATGGTCAATTACCGGGATATGGGTGGGTCCTAGCCCGTCGCGCGGCCATGCTGATATGTCAGCCGCCGTCGTGGAGAGATCAGAAGAGTTTGATTTCCTCAGAGGTGAGATGAGCTCTTCGTCGCCCTTACCTTTCACCCGACTTGTATCCTCGGATGAACACTTCGTATCACTTATTGTTCGAGACGCAAAGCGTCGAGGAAAAGTAATCTTCTCACTGAATCTCATCCATCCTGCTATTCCTCTTTGTATCTTCACTGAGCCCAGGCTGACATCCCAGATGTTATCCCGATGCCTATGCCTCTATCTGAAGCTCTCCTTCGCCGGCAACAGCAACGTCGTGAGTCGCCACAGATCAGCGATCTGCCCTTGGAGACTGACGTCTTCGCAGACGATGCCGATCCCACAATACAAGAGGATGGTCCAGAAGAAGACGTCCCATTGTCCGATGACTTACCACCACTCGCACCCTCTACCAACCCTCTATTCCCCAATGCATTTGTGAAACGTCCGCCGAACGGTCACGGTCGCGTCCCAAAACACCCGAAACCGCCGCCTGCTGCAGTAGACACAACGAATCAAGATGTGGCAGAGCCAGAGATACCGAAAGTGCTCTCCGCAAAGACTGGACCGGTGAGATGACAGCTCGGGACCCAATGTCTGACGGATTCTCAGAGCACACCGCATGGGCTGCAGACGAGAAGATCAGCGAGGAAAAGTTTGATGGCGGAGGATGCAGAGGCGATGGTAGTGGATCACGAGAGTACTACAGGAGAATCTGCCGAGCAATCGCATGAGGCGCATGCTGGACCTACAGGTGGAATGGAGCAAGATTAAGACGAGTTCGGCCTCGTCGTGGCATTGTTCAGATGTATTACTCTTCACGTCAGATATGCGTCTTCTCTATCTCGCCCGACAGAGCCGGCGTCCTCGGCTGTATTGCGTGATCTTAGGCTCATCAGAGGCGAGTTCTCAAGCCGAATAGCCCTTCCACTGGATGCATGCATGCAGCGCAGACAATAATGATAATGCCCAGTTTATAGCTGGTCAAAGCTTGTTACCTCTGGCGGATATAAATCGGCTAACAGAAAAAGCTTGGCCATCCTTTGAATCTTTCATTTGCCCGCCCCATCAACGGCACATGTTCAGATACCGAGTGACTAACCGATATCTATTCTCGCGTCCTGATATGTGTTGGTCTATTTCAATTTCGATGTTGGTGTATGGAGACTCGTCTTGGATCCGTTGGAAACCCGCTCGGCTTTCAACAGATCCATGCGTCGGCAAAGAATGAGCCCGAATCCGATGGGACCGAATGAACCGTTTCATTCAAGGTTCCGAATGTGTTCTATTCAGAGCTCCAATCTCCAACCCCTTTCTGCTGCTGTAAAACCCAGGAGAAGGAATGCTCTCTTGAAGGTTTAACGTCCTCGTACTTTGAACTCACTCTCCATCTCTGCTCGACTCAAGCAACATGGCAGCTATCACTGCGACGATGAGTCCATCCTCTTCCATTGCTGGAGGCGTCGGTCCCAATACTGCCTTGCCTCCGGTACCAGCGATGGAGCCTCGCTTCTCGCTGCCCGATAGCACGCCTAGATCCAGCAAGACGTCCATCATCATAGGCGGTGTCACCGTTTATATCTTGGGTCTGGAAGAGCTTCAAGCCAGTCGCAAGGACGGACAAGTTACCGTACTATACCTTGCGCACATGCGTAAAAGCACATATACCGTCACGGAGAACCTCGGACATGAGATCTTGTACAGATACAAGCAACACTGTAAAGGAGATCAGAGTCGACGCGGTCTCATCGCCGTGACGATGGATATGCGGAATCACGGTGCAAGAGAGGTGAGCAGGCGCATTTTGTGATAACACCATCTAACTCTTCCCAGATTAGCAGGTTAGCTAATCTTACCTGGCAAGATGGCAACGAGACGCATGCGTTAGTGGCGAGCTGACGATGATGGCTGATGTCTCTTCAGCTCCGATCTCATATCCGTCATCGATGGTTCGGCTACCGACTACCAAGTGGTCATGTCACATTTACCCTCCTATCTGCCCCAACAATTCGATTACGTCAAGAATGTCTTCATGGGTGTTTCACTCGGAGCTCACACGGCTTATCGAGTTTCCCAACTCTCTCCCTCTATCGACGGTTACATCACGGTCGTAGGCTGCCCTTCCCTCTCTTCTCTCCTCCTCTCTCGGCTCGGCGTTCTACCTTCAACATGCAACGTCAGGCCAAGCGAGATGGATAAGGTGGACTATTCAACTTTGAAGAGGATCATGAGCCCAGATCAACTCAGAAAGTATCCTAAGAATCTCGCTCGGATACTATCAAGTCAAGATGAAGCCATCTTTGAGCATTTTCCCAGAAACGTTCCGGTATTGATGTGTGGCGGCAAGCTTGATCCATTGGTCCCGACCCTTTTGACGGTGGACTGGTTGGATCGAAGGGGAACAGCGAGCTCGGACGATAAGACTACTTTGTTTGTACAGGAGAATACGGGGCATAGTTGTACGAAGGAGATGGTGGCTATGGCTGCCAAGTGGATATTCACAAACTTCTCATAGACCATGTTGTAATTGGGTGATGCAAGTAAACTCTGCAAAAGAGCCATGTGTGCATGGTATATCCCTTTCGGACCGACTGCGCTTCATGTCCAGTCAGATCGATGGCGGAAGTCATGGTAGAGGAGGTCCTTCATCGGTCGCAATTCATGTCCATGATGCACTTTAGAGCATGTCACGACTCATTCTCGCAGGGTGGAGAGACTGTGCACTTCACGCTCAAGTGCAAAGCAAAGGGCATTGATAAAGTCTCCCTTGAACAGGGAACAGTTCTCCTTCCTATGTCCGTGTGATGCACCCAAGATGCCTGGAACCTCTCACTCAATGCATCGCAAGCGTTGACGACATTATTACAAAATGTACCTGTAGTCTTCATTCTGCTTGTCCGACAGATCCTCGTCAAAATGATGGTGGTACACTCGTGCTGACGCCTCTCCCGTCCTGCGGTCCCGGCGTGCATTCTCCATGCGGAGAGCGATATAGCTCGCAGTCGCGATGACAGCGACGAGCGCGAGACAGATGGTACTGCCCATGAAACCTGCGTGATACACTGGAGCAGGTGAGGCGCCAAATATGTTGGGTCCGATAATGTTACCAACACAGTACCCCACAAAAGTGGTGGCGCTGACCATTGATTTTTCTGTGCTAGGTCAGTTCTTCTCTCTGTCCCTATGGTCACAGTCGACTCACTGGTGTGTCCAGCAATGTTTGATGCGGCAAGGGAGACGGCAAGGCCTCCAGCAGCCACCTGAATGGCCAAGAGGAGGATGCCAGCGTACAATAGACCCTTGTGGCCTGTTGGGCCCTTGATCCAGCAGATCAGTGTACCAGCCATGGAGATGAGGACTGTGACGAGGATAGTGATGTATCGCATGTTGGGAACCCTTCGGTTGAGGTAACCAGCGGCCATGATACTGACGAAAGTGATGGCGCCAATCGGGCAGGTGAGGGCCAGCGAGTGGAAGTGGTTATATCCAAAGCCATTGATGACGAGCGTTCCAAAGGTTCCGAGGGCTCCAGATGGGACTCCGGTAAGAAGAATAATCAGAGCACTGGACCACACTTTGTAGTCGGTAAAGGCTTCCTTGATCTGTTCTCCCTTGAAGTTGTGGTTGATGGTTCCGGCTCGGTTTCGCTCTAATCGCGCAATGGCGATTTTTCGTTCATCCTCGTTAAGACCCTTAGTCTTGAGAGGGTCGTCGGGCAGAGTAAACGTCAAGACGAATCCCCATACGACAGTGACGGCACCGAGGATCAAGAACAGGGGTTTCCAAGGGAGGAAATGAGAGTGGATTTGGCCCAAGGCGTAATTGAGTAAAGGTGAGACAACGGTGGCAAGCCCCACACAAGAGTACCAAAAGCTCAATCGTAGAGCCTGTTCCTCTCGAGTCCACCAGAAGGTGACGAGAACGGTGAATCCTGGCGCCACGGCCGATTCAAAGACTCCAAGGAATACTCGATTGACCATTAATCCAGCGTAGGTAGTGCAACCAGCGGTGGACATGACGACGGCTCCCCAGATGATCGTCGCGCCGCCAAGAACACGAGAAGGAGAATACCTCTGGGCGAGAAGCATCATAGGGTAGGTCCCCACGAGATATCCAATGTAGAAGATCATCGACACATTGGCAAACTTCTTATTGTCGGTGATGGCTTTCCCAGATTTAGTGTGTCCGATGACCTTGCTGAGGTGTAGATCATCGAGTATACCGAATTGGGTGGAGGAAGATAAGATACCCTTGTCGTATGCTTGGAGGAAGTAGGTGACCATCATCAGGGGCAGAATCCTATACACTGAATGAGCTCATGGTCTGGACTTGTGACCAAGCGGACTCACCAGAAATCTAATTTTCTCACGAGACGCTTCTCAGCGGCGGCATCTGTAACCTCGACCACGGCTTCATCTTTGTGATCTCCACTCTCAACTTGCATATCTCGATGTTTATGGTAGAGTTCCATGTCACGGAAATACAATAGGATGTGGGGGACAGAGTCGGAGTTTGGACTCAGACCATGGGGCAATGCGGGGAGATTTATATACACGACGAGTCTAACGTTCAAAGTCCCAAACGAACTCTCAACCTGGAAACCTCGGTGTCGCATACAGAGGCGTTCGGTTGAATCGGTCCCTCGGTTCATGTTGTAAACTGCCACATCCGGATCTCTAAAGGTTTATGTTTAAACCCAACAACAGCGAGAAGTCGGGTGGGAAAATTCTGCCGTGGCCCCCCGGACCATTAAGGGGATCTGATGTGTATTCCTTTGATTTGATCGTACCCTTCCTTCGGCACAGATCTGACCATCAAACAAACGATCAAATCATCACCTCGAGCCGACAACCGAGAGACCCATACTTGCACCCTTCAGACAGCTTTATCTATTCTCTGAACTCCGATACTTATTTCCATGCAAGCATTCTCCACGGCGCCCCAATCTGGTCCACCACCGAATGGACCGGAGAGGATCAAGCGAGCGCGCCGAGCTTGTACAGCCTGTAACCGTCGAAAGGTCAAGTGCGATGTGGTAGTCACCGGAATACCGTGCACAAACTGCAAGCGAGATGTCAGCTCGGTATGTGAGACGGTCATCCGGCGTAGGACACGGTATGTAGGAATTGGAAGCGGCTCAGGACTGAATCAATGATCCCCATAGACACAAGAAGCCACCCCAGCCAACGGGTTCGGAGCCATCGCCATCTAGCGTCCGAAGGACCACAGAGCCTGGCAGCTCTACCCGAGGCGAGCGATATCCTTCACGTCAGCCCTCGGAAGAACATACGCTTGCCAACGTGCCTTACATCGGCGACAATCGAGGCGCTCGACCTTACGTCTATGACTTGACCCACTCGGAGCCCTCTCATCCGACTGCCCCGGTTCGACACTCAAACTGGACGCCGATCCAGTTCGAGCAATTGAAGTACATCAAAGCGTTTGAACCGCTCGATGAGAACCTGTCGACGGGTCTGCTCAAATGCTACATCTCAAACATCCACTATTCACTCCCAATCCTGGATCTGTCAGCCGTCCTCAAGTCCCAGGTTCCATACTCAGAATCATGGTTGCTTTACTGGTCGGTCATGTTGGCGGCCGCGAATGTGAGTGAGCCATGTATGTCTGCGCTGACCGTGGTCAGTTCGCTGGACCACACTTGCTCCAATCTGCAGGCGTCGAGTCACGTAAAGAGCTGAAAAAGGAGATTTACCGTCGTTGCAAGGTGGGTTACAAACTCGGGAGACTATGCCTGACCTGCAGTCCCTGTATGATTTTGATGTAGGCACAAATAAGATCACCCTCATCCAATCCGTCATCCTCATGTCTTTCTGGTATACTGATGCTCAAGATCATACGGGAGCTTGGCATTGGATAGGCGTCGGCATTTCGCTGGCTCAGACGCTCGGCTTGCATCGGAATCACAAGGGAATGGCCAATCTGACTTCTCGAGAGATGTGCATCCGACGGAGACTCTGGTTTTCACTCATCATCCGTGATCGATGGCTGTCCTTGGCTAGAGGGCTCCCATTAAGAATCAACGACGAAGACTGCGATGCGATCATGCCTAACATACGGGATGTCCTCGAGGATGGCGATGATGTGGACCCCGTCGAGAGAATGAGATTTCTCCCTGGAGATACCGAAGCCCTCGCCGAGCTTTGGATCTTGTTCGCCGAAGCCAGTGTCGTCCTGGGTCAAGTGCTGCGAGTTCATTACGGCATCTTTGCGGAGCGTGAACCTTTCGCTGCATTGGACAGCTTTGAAAAGCACGCCTTTGCAATGGATGCCTGTCGACCGGGCAGGGTGGATAAGAGACGTCTGCAACGTGGCAATTTGATCCAGTACTATCAATCCGAGCTTTACTGGCAGTGAGTAAAGCCTTTTTGAGCGGTCATTGACAACAGCGGCGTCAATGTGGTCCTCAGTCGTCCCTACGTCCTTGGGTCTTCGTTTCAGAATCCCGCCGTCGCCAACTTACCGATCGTCCAGACGGCTCTGGCTCGGGCTCGGGATTCCAGCCGAGAGACTAACAGCGTCCTAGAGAGCATCATGGATCTGGAAGATGGGGTCCATCTGCTCAAACCCATGATGTGAGTTACAAAAAACGCTGAACGTTGCGCTGAAAGTCAGCATCACGGCCTTGATCCCGTCGATGCAGATGCACCTGTACGAATGTCGTGGGCAATCTTCCACACGGACAATGGTCGGCCACAATCGGCTCAATTTTTGCCTGTCGGTGCTTAAGCTCTTACGACGGACGTACTGGAGCGCAAATGTCACTTTACAGCTATTTGAACATGCTCTTAGAACTCTCCAGACCGAGTCGCTGTTCCATCAGAAAGCAAGTGCAGCATCGACGCAAGATGTGTCGGGAGGACAAAACGTCGAGTATGCCTCGCAGTTCGTTGATCCGACATTCTATCCGCCATCCATTTGGAACACGACCGGGTTGGTGAACGACACTGGCTTCCCAGAGATTGAGCAATTGTTCAATGCCAATTTCGCATTGCCTGACAACGCAGTGACCTGGCCTCAGGATTGGTCCACCTGGGGTACAGCGGTATAGATAGGTGGCGTTTCCTGCAGACCTCTGGGCATGGGAGTCTCGGGTGACATAGACACCAGGATGCATCTCCTATTGACGACCCTGAGATGCCGCCAATGTGTGACACGCGTAAAGATCGTCCCATGAAGCGTCGTCCGAGGCGGAAGCAGCGTAGGAAAAAGTGCACGAGTATGAGAGTACAAGACGCCTGAATGCCTGTAAGAAAACATCCATTCTACATGAGAGTCAAGTAACTGCATAGATTTGGTTGCACAATCGATTAACTGAGGAGGAGTTCTGTCAGACCCTTTCCGCAATCGTAGAGAAAGCAAAGCGTTCATGAGGACTTGTATTCCTACCCAGAGTCGCTGGGTTTCTGGAATGGATCAGCTCAAGTACATCATCTCCTTTTACCATATAGACTGTGTACTCTAGACACCAGATCTGTTGCTTGGACGGCGTATACGCTTCATCTCTAAACGTATACATGCCGCCACCTTCGTTCAGAATAGGATAGGCCAGCTCGAAAAAGTAGTACTGATCACCTGCCACGGGACAAGCTATTAGGCCAGTGCCTGCCTTGGCACTGTGGAATGCATCTTCATTCAGCCAAGGGAAACGGTACAGTAGAGGCATTGACTTGCCCAGATTGATTATTGCAGAGATTTTTCGTCTTGGTAGTGTATACGACATTCCCATTGAAAGTCAAGGTACCAGAATGAGTTGAACCAAGCTGTATCTCATGTCAGATGGATCGAATCATAATATGACCTCACCGGAATTGCATACTCCAGGATCCCTGCGTTGTAGAAGGTGACGGTGGAGCCTGATGCGGGCAGCTCGGGTGTATAATAGCCCCCACGAGTTTGACTAGGGGACATCAGGAGGTCGTTCATTGCTTGATCAGCCAGCCCACAAGGTACTTGTCCCACCGGAGCAGTCAGTAAAGATAGGTTGTAATCCCGCGTAAGCCCTCTTGTCATCTTGTACAATGGCAAGGGCGAGCAGCGAGGGCAGTTGTGACAATATGACGAGAGCGGCGAAGAGCATTACTGCATCAGTTCCAAGAGATGAAAGAGGATCCAATGAGCCTGGAATTGCATTATATACTGTCCAAAAGAGAGGCACAGAGCACCGGTTCAACGATGTTACCGGGTGACCAGTTCTGGAGGGATCCATAGACAGCAGATTTGCAACATTAAAGTTCTGGGTCTTGAGAAGGTTGTGACTAGTTGAAAGCCACCGCGATGGGGTAATATGGCGTCCTCTGAGGAGCCTCCGTGACAATGAGGACGTTGCCTCGTGACTGACTTGAATCACTAGGACATTACGTTGCGTTCGTCGCCTCGGTCCTCAATTTGTACATAATCGTTCGTGGCGTCTGACCTCACACTTTATAGTCAGAATGTACACCGTGTAAAGAGCAAGATTATTACTCTGACAGGCGAAGAGGAGCAGTCCCGTTAGTCGTCCGACCAATCTTATTCGTCTCCGCATCCCGCTATTCACCGGAGGAAGCAGAAGACAATCCATTCTCTAGCATATGAGATCTGCAGTCTACCCGATGACCTGGTCCAACGGAAATAGAACGTGCCTGTCTTGGCGACCTTCTACGTTGTCACTGACTCTGAGCTCTCACGCTCAGCAGATACTGGACGGAAAGCTAAGAGATATTGCAAATAGGACATACGCTCGAGATGCATGGAGCTGTTCAAGTGTTCGACGATCCTCTGTGCCTGGCTCCCCTGTCAACCTCTCCATGCAGTGGATTCGGGATCCGATTTGATGTGCTCGCTGCTCTGAGCGCCACGGTCCATCCTTCCGAGCTGGAGTGTGACCTGAGCGAGTCGTATCAGCCGATGGATCTCTCTATACCCAGAGTTCTACAACTTGCTCACCGGCTGGATGACTCTCGTTGGATCATTCAAGACCTTTCTCAGCTTTTGACGACTATTAAGGAAGACGAGCAGTGACACAATGTAGACCTGGGGTTTACACAGGAAAAGGGTGATGAATGGCGAGTATCCATTCGGGATATTGGCCGCGTTCAAGGCTAGACATGCGATGCACCTGATTTCGTCAGCTCGTGGATTCTGAACCCCATACTGACATCAGCGTTGGAGGAAGTTGAGTTTGAACAACAAGCCTAGTCTTCTGGTCAGTGCCAACATCCCTTTTCCCTCATACACTCGACTTACACCGACAGCTTTGTCAAGACCTGATCGGTCGACTTCCACCCAGTTCGAGATCTGAAGAACGTCCACATCATAGCACCGGAGATGAAACCACTACTGGCGACCTCGAGGACACCCCAGAGGATACCCGGCGTGGTGCTGTGAGAAGGGGTCAGCTGAGAGGGACTCATGCCGAGGGAATAGCTGACTTGAGATAAGCATCTATTCCAGAAGCTACACGGTAATTGGTGTACTCCCAGAGGATCGCGCCCGTAAAGCTTGCCCTGTAGACGGTGTTAGCTTCCGTGACAAATCAGAGAACTTCAGCCGCACGAGAGTAGAATGTTCACGACGAGGATCCAGATGCTCTTGGTCAGGAGCCATGTCCGATGAATCAGATAACTCTGAGGTTGGACATCAGCCTTGATCTAGAGATTCTGCAGGCTAGACTCACAGTCACCGCTGTTCTCGCAGCCACTGTGAATAGCCAAGGCTGTGTGAACCCTATACGTATGAGATCAACTAAGACTTTGGACATTAACTAGGTTGGGACTCACAATTATAGTTCACAAAGGTGGCATATTGACCGAAGTGGTAGACATAAGTCTGCATCATCCACGCCAGTAAGCTTGGGAGGTATCAGCTCGAGCCCCGTCGACACAGAAGGTGACTGACAAGCCGGTATAGACTGGAGTAAGGAAGAACGACCAGCCCTGAGCGGTCGATCAGCTAGCTCCATTCACACCCGTGATGTGCTTGACTCACCACCATGGCTCGAACGATCGTCAGATCAGTCTTTGCTGAATGCTTGTACCAGCGCCAGATCTGAACCCAGATCACACCTTGGCAGATGCATGCGAGCCATGTCCTGAGGACCAGGCCGTCTGTCAGCGCTTCATCGTTGTTGTCGCCATTCCCGCCACAGTTCCAGGACATACCCAGCAATGTAAGGCGTAATGTTCCTACCTCGATTGGCTGAAAACGCCTGAATACCGATAAATTCCATCTCAGCATTGCTCAACATAATTGAGGAGTTGTATGTAGAAGGCAACGGTATTCGGCAAGGAGATGGCGATCAGAAGGAGACAGAAGAAACCATCAGTGTATAAGTAGTGTCCTCGATCTGGGCTCTCGAGCCTCCGTGAGTGGGGAAAGAAGTAGAGCTCTTTGATGACATGCGAGAGACTTTTCATCTGATGGGAAATGAACATTGCGTCTCAGCCCTTGACTGCTCACGACCGCTGTGAGTCTGGGTCGTGCTGAAGAGAATGGGCCCGGTGTGATGGGCAAGATACATGATCACGATCTGAAAGGTGCGAAGGGGTATCTGAAGGGGGAAAAACGACAAGAATGACAGCGTTCCCGAATGCCTACTTTTTTCGGAGCGGTTCGTGCATCGATGTTGCGAAGACTACAGGAGACAGTGAAATGAAGCGAAGACTGAGCAACCCGGAACTGTGGGCAGTCTCGGCGCGCTTCACCCGCGATCCCTATCACCAACCACTCATGATGGGTCCAAGCACTGCCAGATCCAAGGGTGACTACCAAGGGAGGTTCAGACACTACATCTGTCACCATCTAGTCGAGCTGTTGCACGAGCGATCTCATGAGTGATCGACCTTATTGTCAGATTCCTCCCGTAATCTGCCCTTATATTCTTTCCATTGCATATTGAATTGAGGGCAGCAAGTATTGGCGGCGGTGGCTGCAACTGCGATTGCAGTTGTGTTGCTCGTCACAAGCGGAATACATAGGACGATAAGGTATAGCTGCCAGCGGGTCAACGATACAACAATTAACAATGACGATGAGGAAATGATGACACTTCAACGCGTGCGAATGCCCCGATTCACACCTCTACACCGCAGCGACGGGGAACTGCTGTATACCCATTGTTCCTGGCATGACTTTTGCCGGGATCTTTGCGATGAGTGATGGAGGTTTCGGTCTAGCCGCCAAAGCCTTGGTGAGCATATCGCCCACCTGGGCAATCTCGTAACCTCCGCCCAGGCCCCTCTTCGTGGCTGTACCAGAGCTTCCCACGATGCTGATCCAAACGCTGCCGTGAATACGGGGACAAACGCGTTGACCAGCGAGACGTGTGACGTGAACCAGTTCCTCCATTTCCCTCTTACCGTCTTCACCATCTCCCAACCCATCGTCATCGACCCAGGTTGTTCCTCTCTTCCGCTTATTCTCATCTGCGATCGCCCTATCTCGCTCTTTCTTTTCTGCTCGACGAGCTTCTCGTTCTTTCTTCGGAGCAGGTTCCTTGAAATTGGGATTGTTGTTCCGTTGCCATTCGAGGTAGAGATCATCGTAGGAACGTGAACGACCTTCTACGGCGCGCTTGGCTCCAACAGTGTGGGTTTTACATGTGAGAGAACGAGAACAGGGCAAGTTCTTGTCGTTGATGACTCCGCATTGGCGATCGAGATCGACGGGACCATTCCCTGAAAGCATACGGATATCAGTAAGATACGGATACGGCATGGAGCCGGGGCTCGATGATGACGCACCTCGCATTCGCTTTCTCTCTGCGACGGCGATCTTCTCACGTTCCTTGGCAGCTTTGCGCTCTAGCTTCGCCTGCTCTTTTTGTATCTTCTTCATTTGAACCTTCTTGACACCCTTGACCAGCGGCGCCTCATCATCCTCGTCATCTGATACAGGTAGCTTGGCACGTTTCTTGCTTGGTGATTCGGATGACGATACTTGGCTCGTCAGATCGCGGATCGCAGCAGAACGTACAGTCACTAGCTCTTCGAGCTCTCTTGATGCTCTTCTTGATGGTCAATGGTGTACCGTCAAGGATATGAGAGCAGATCCCTATCTGGTCAGCGATAAGAAGCACCATAAATCACTCACGTTTATGATCCCCGAGAGCTAGCTCTAAGACCGCCTTGTCACACCTTGGACACACTACGAGACCTCTGCCAGATTCACTACTTCCCGCTTGTGGATAAGCACCAAAGAGATTCATATCGCGTTCAGGGATGAAGTCCGCTGGAGGCCGGGGCGCAGAAGATACATTGGATGGCGAGGAAGCGGTGGAAAAGGTGAATGGCGGGAGAGATTCTCGAGGCTTGAGAGAGAGTGTCATGCTGTAGTGTGGAGGGAGCTGTGCAGGTCTCTGACACTGCGACGTGGACGGGGACACAGACGATCGGTACGAAAGCTGTAGATGAGATTGGCCACAGACAAGAGACAAAACTATAAAGGCTGAATGGCGAGTTGAACCGGATGCTCGGTGCGATCGGCGTAAAACGCCGCTCAAGCGCCTCCCCATGGCCATTGTGTAATCAGAGTCCGACTCTGAGCATGCTTCAATGCTTTGCGCGGACCTCATGCATGACATCGCGGTCGTGGACAGCAATACATACCGACTGGCTAACATCTTCTCACTGCCTGACAGCTCCGTACTTCTCGTGATACACTTTCACAGCCTCCAATTCCTTTTCCATCCCTCCCTTTTCTTCGAGATAGCTGAGGATATCACCTACAGCCATGATAGGTTCGACGGGGACCTTGAATTCCTTTTCCACCTCTTGAATCGCGCTCGTATCGCTGTCTCTGCCCTTTTCCTGTCTATCAATGAGTTGAACGATCCCCACAAGTTTGGCTTCTGGGCTCGAGGCGATGATATCGATGGCTTCGCGAACAGCTTTGCCAGAGGTGATCACATCGTCGATAATGACTATACGGCCTTTGAGCGGTGCGCCGACGAGAGAGCCTCCTTCTCCGTGCTAGAACAATCATCAGTGGGTTTGCAAAGCCGGTGAATAAGAGGATCGGAAGGGGGTGAGAGTTTGTGCACGACTCTTTGGACGGAACGGTGAAATATCGCGTTCCTCCCAGTCTGCCTATCGTCGCAACTCGAGCCCTGGACTCCGCGATGATCGAGTAAGCACTCCAACTCACATCCTTCTTCTCCTTCCGGTTGTATGCGAAACCGACTTCCCGTTTGTGTTCCCTCGCCAATGCGACGACAGTCACAGCGGCCAGTGGGATACCCTTGTAAGCTGGCCCGAAGAGTACGTCAAATTCAGGTATACGGGAAGAGGTGAGAATATTCGCATAAGCAGTAGCAGCAGCGTCGATCAACGATGCGCTGTAGATGTTTCCAGCGTTGAAAAAGTATGGCGATATACTGACATGGTATTAGTGGGTTCTTCAAAGTGTTCAAGCGGTCGAACCCCCGGACTTACCGGCCAGATTTCAGCTCAAAGCTGCCGAATAAGAGAGCATTGTTGGCGATGGCAGCTTCAATGAAAGCCCTCTTGGCGGGATCTAACGGGGCCATGGTGGACAATGATGGAGCAGATAGGTATGCTCGGTGTATAGATATAGATTTAACGGTGGAGGTGGACCTGGAAAATTTAGAACAGCCCGATGGACCGGACATGGGATCCCGAGGACCACTGCTGATAGTGTTCCGAACGGATCAGAAGAGGCTAGAGAGGGGAAGAAACGCAAATTCCAGACCGTCGAGATATTCCATTCTCTCCTATGAGGATGCATGCAGCGCTTCGTTATCATATACACTCAATAGCTGTGAGGCTGTTCAGTTGCTGACCCGCCACACTGGGAGACAGATCAACTGAACCATAGTCCCGCAATCTGCTCCACCAGCGAGCTGTCAAGGGCATTCCCCCTCTCGTAACGATGATCAGTAAGGACGGGCCAGTCAAAGGGCAAAGCGTGGCCGTTTCTCGGGGACAAAGGAGCCTTTGGGGTGTGTCTCAGCGCCGTCTCAGAGGGGTTGGCATGTTGAATCGTTTCTCTGAGCCTGTCATTCAGCCAGCATGGACTTTCTGGATCCATCCGTGATCCCGTCGCTGCCCCCTCCGGGCGGAACATTCTCCCACTCTGCTCTGATGGGTCGACCAGCGATCATCGTTCAACCACCTCGATCTCATTCCGAGCCAGCAATGATATCCCGTACAACGGCTCCTCCGCCTCCCGTGCCGCCGAAAAGTGACATGGTCCTTCACCTACCTAGCTCATTAGGCCGAAAGAACGCCATGGTCAAAAGAGCTACATCACTCGAAAACCGTATGGATCATTCGAATCACGCTGGAGTTGGCGCTGGGAAAGGTGGAAAGAATGCTCGTGAGGCTTCACATAACAGGACAATGTCAGATACCACGGACGCATCACTCACCATCCACCTCAAATCTCGTTCTTCCTCGACAATCCCTCCACGAGCCTTGCATCACTCATGTCAACAGACTCGGCATTCCACGCTGGCAATATGTGCGTCTGAAGGGAGTGTTCGCCTAGGTACCGAGACGGATCTGGAGCGAGTCGCATCCCTCTTGACCAAGCTACATGCTCTATCCCCGCCTTCTCGGATGATTGGGCCAACTCCGCCAGCTTATACAGGGATGCTACATCCTCCAACCCTCCTCGTCCCACTTGCTATCGTGCTCGAAGCGTTGGTGGTGGAACGATCAGTCTTACGAGATGAGTATCCACGTGATGCAGAACGTCTCCCAGCACTGGACGATGGATCAGTATTACAATACACGTCAGGTGATGGCGAGCTGGACTGGACAGTGCTCAAGACGTACACCCTGACATTGGGAAGTATCATCAATGACATTCTCCCCTTCTTGCAGAGTCTACATGCGACCGAGGTCGAGGTCTTGACCCGCGGTCTGCGAATGTACGTAGGAAAGATGAAAAAGGTGTTTGCAGAGGTTGCAGGAATGTACGTGGAAGGGTATAGCTTTCTACGCGGTTGGTGGGATGAAGATGGGATGAAAAGTACGGCTGGTGAAGTAGGCAGATGGGGAGACTTGTTTGACGCGTGAGGCAAGAATGAATTGGATATCGCAGGTTTCGGCGATAAGCCAGCTTGGAGAGTGAATTGTACAGTGCCACGCTCAGATATCATCGGCGTTTAAAATTATATCACCGATTCGCACCCGTTATGGCAGGTTCCTCTGGCCCCCCCCATGGCCCACAGAGTGTAGCTCAATAGTCAAAAGCTGGCTGCCAGAGTCTTTTCTCTTTCATCCATCCAGACTTCAAGTGAGTATAGGTATCCCGACCAGCTTCAGTCCCCCATCACACGCTCTCTACCACCGGTGTCGGTCACCAGGGTGTCGTTCGTCTTTCACACGGACGCTGCGCTTTCCCGTCACTTCATCTCACTTTCCTCCCAACCTCGAATTCCTTCGAAATCTTTGTCGAACCTTCAACTGACCATTTTGCCCTCACAGGATGGGTATTGCTCGAGACTCGCGCCACAAGCGCTCAGCATCCGGTGCCCGCAGGGCTCACTAGTGCGTCTGAAGTGTCGCTCCCTGAGGATAGAATTCGCTGACATGCCGCGCCGTCTCCCTCAGCCGAAAGAAGAGGAAGTTCGAGCTCGGTCGTCAACCCGCCATGACCAAGCTTGACTCGGAGAAACGAATTCACGAGGTCCGAACTCGAGGTGGAAACACAAAGTACAGGGCTTTGCGATTGGACTCTGGAAACTTTGCTTGGGGAAGTGAGCACGTTACCAGAAAGACCAGGTTGCTCCAGGTCGTGAGTGGAGATTTGGCATGGCACGGATATCATCAAGTACTGAGACTCTTTGCTTCTAGCGATACAACGCCTCCAACAACGAGCTGCTCCGAACCCAGACTCTTGTCAAATCATGTGTCGTCGATGTCGATGCTACCCCTTTCCGACAGTGGTACGAATCTCACGTGAGTGGACAGCTAGCCCCTCCAAAAGGCTCTTGACTCACTTCTTTCTCTCCAGTACGCCCAGCCCATCACCAAGGGAGGAAAGACCACCACGACCGAGGACGCTTCCGACAAGAAGCAATCCAACCACGTCAAGCGAATTTTGGATGAGCGCAAAAAGGACGCCAAGATCGACCCCCTGCTCGAGCAACAGTTCCGAGCTGGTCGTCTGTTGGCTATCCTCACTTCTCGACCAGGACAGAGCGGTCGAGCTGATGGATACATTCTCGAGGGCAAGGAGTTGGACGTAAGTTGACCCAAGCTGTCCACGACCTATCCACTTACATCACGTCAGTTCTACAACAGGAAGCTCCAGCTCCGCAAGTCGAAGCACGCTGCTTAGGTCTAGGACGTGAGACTTGTACTTTGAGATGGATTCATGACATGCGCAGACAACGTGGAGACACGAGTAATTAAACGATCCATGCGGTCGGTCCAAGGAGGCTATAAATGCGCAACAGGTGGCTCCTTTCGAGATATATACTACAACACTGCCCACAACAAGGCGGCGAGAGCAATGATCAACTCGACTGGCCTGTCTATTGTAGTCGCGCCACCGTAATTGCCTAACGGGTCGTCATCGCTATCGCCACTGCCTGCTCTGCCTGTCGAATTCCAATCGTTGAATGCTGCATAAGCCATGATGAGAAAGCTCTGGGCTTCGGGCGATGCTTTGCCCTGTTCGCCAAAACTGAGTGGATCGACTACCTGTGTGACGAATCCTGTGGAGTTGACTTTGGATGATACGGCTGACAACAATTGAGAGGACATGTTGACGTGTGCGTTGGTCAGCCCAATGGTTGAGAGTCGACTGTGACCGTCAGGACCCGGTTGGTTTTGAGGCGCACTCACTATCCAGTGGCTGCGAACAAAGCCGAAGACGCCGCGTCCTCAAATGTGCCAGTATCATTGATATAGTTGTGCAGCAGACCGTTCTTGCTCTGCCAGAGCGTCAGTCCATCGCGCCACATCTTGCGAACTCACGATGTAGCCACTGGCAGCTGTGAGGATCTCTTCGATCCAGGATTGCAAGTCTGACTGCTGTTGCTGCATAGCACTGGAGAATTGACTGTATTTGATGGTCGCCAAGACTCTCAGCATTCCAGCGGCTGCCCAACCATTGCCCGTCGCCCAACAGCCATAATCGAGAAATCCACTCCCGTCGACAATGTGCATCCAGAGGTTATTGTCGGTCTTCAAGGCTTGACGGTAGAGTGAGCATTGGGTATAGGCTTCTTGGATGAGGGATTGGTTGTTATGCAAGACTCCATAATACGCCAAGAAAGGAGGGACCATATAGACGCTATCGGACCAGAGTTGAGCTTGGTCAGCACGATGAGAGATGGCTCCGCTACTGGTCTACCGAGACGTCAACACACCGTGATGGAAGAGCGTGCATCCTGGACCTACCCTTGGAACATCGTACAACAAGTAGTCGAGCTCTTCCCGTGCCGCGTCCCCGTACCCTATCCCATTGACTTGCTCATTGTGCGTGCTAACATTGGCCAGCAACACGGAAATGCCAAGACTTGCTGGATCTCCAGCTGCACCATCTGGCAAAAGAGTCGCTCCTTGAAACGGCGAGTCTGTCGATGTGGACGAATTACGATTCTGCATCGTCATGTGGGCGAGGTCGTAGACTTGGCTGAATTGGTCGGTGTTGAGGTTTTGAGGTAATGGGAAAGGGGAACTGGATGAGATGGGCGACAGGGATGGATAGTTGTACTCTAGCAGTGCCTCGGCTCGAGTGCCGTTCTCCCAGCTGCAAGTGCCTCGTCAGTCTCCAAGACTTCAATGGACACAAAGGGATTCTCGCGATTAGGCGTCGACTTACGAGTAGACTGAAATTTGATTCATCACATCCCACACTTGTTGAATTCTACTCGGCCGGAGGTGAGTTGCCTCTGCCCACCTCGCCAGCAGTCCAAGGACGAGCAGTGTCCGGTGAGTCATTCTGCGATATGGAGTCGATAGAATCCTCTGCGTTCAGCGATGAATGGTGAGTTGAATTGAGTGTGATTCTTTGTTGACAAGAGAGGTCCGACCGTCCATCCAATTTTGCCAAGATCGACGACCCCTTCTTCTTGGCTGAAATGATAATCCTTTGAAGGGGCGGATACTCGCTCTGTCCTCCAGGTGATAGAGTAGTGGCACTGCGAGCCCTGCTTGCAAGAGAGACAGACCGCTGATTCTCTTACCGCCGGCGTCCCAATTGATTCCCCCCAAACCGGAGATCTAATAAGATTCTATGTAGGAGATCGGGATTGTTCTGCGGCTTTGAATGGCGCTGCCAAGCCGAGCCGAGAGAGCGATGCACCGGGCACCACCGATCTACGGTCAACGGAGGTATGGATGGACAGTCACGATACTTGGACGCCGAGGTTGAACCAAGGTCGGATTCACGTCGACAAGTGATAGATTGGGTGAGATGCTGCTATCTTACTCTCAAGCGAGGCCCACGCATCTAGATCGGATCCTATACGCACGACGTCACTGACTATCTGGGGGCATATTTCGCCACACTTTATGTAAATAATGTGACGTAATGAATTCCCATATCACTGGTACCTAACCGCTGAATGGACACACCTCACACCAAACAGTATTTAAGATGATTCATCTGCCTACATCTACGATTCGATGGCCATGCTGCAAGTCGGTGACAAATGAGACGTCAGACGGGACGTGCAGAAAGTGTCCACCAGTGGAACAGCCACATCAGGCGCCATTGGTACGAGCACCGTAATGCTGACCTTGTCACACCTGGCGAGGTGCACTAGGACCTAGAATGCCCTGATTCTATACATCTTCATCACGGATATCCATCTGATATAGTGTTCTCGCTCCTGGCCCAGCCTGTTTTGGGGGGGGGGGGGGGGCTCAATCCTCAGATCCTCTCGCAAGGCAGTTGGCACCGCGCACTTCGCTCTAAAGCGCCGGCGGGGTTCCTTGATTCCGAATTAGCAAGGTGGGATGCAGCACTATATATCTTCCAGTTGGCTAAACTATGCCGGTCCCAGCGGATAGGCCAAATGATCATGTCCGGCATTGATGTTGTACTAGCATCGACTTTATGATCAACTTGTAGGGACTGAAAGAGGCCAGGGACTGCTACCCCCTATTGTGCGTGCTTCACCTCACCTCACTGAGCTGAGCTGAGCAAAGCAAGCCAGTCCGTCTACAGATGTCGAGTCCATCAGGACGGGTGAACACACCACTCCGGCCTTGACCGATCTTTGTACACTGCATAATACGTCGCTACAGCTGAAACGAGGCCCAGACTTACGTAATATGTGTGTTGGGCTTTTATTTCCACTTTTGGGGTTATCTATTTTGCCGGGACGCGATGGCGCGTAGAAGCTACCCATTCAACACATTTGAGGATCCCATCCGCAGACTGTACATCCATTCGTTGTTGCTGCTGCTTCGCTCGTTACAGAGACATAGCCCTGGGGTTCAATAGATCACCAGGATATCCACGACAGCTCTGATATCCTTACACATCCATCAATATGGGAAGAGAGATTGTCAGCGTGTCCGGTGGGTCCATTCCACAAGAGGCTTTTGTTGTTGAAACTAATGTTCATGTCTTGGAACTTGCAGTCGGACAAGGTGAGCAAATGACACGGAGCAATGACCAAGCGATTCTCGACGATTCACGAGCTTGACAGTCAGCTTGAGTATCTGCTGACTGCTCGACCTAGCTGGTAACCAGATTGCTCAAGCATTTTGGCTCAACATCTTGGAGGTCTGTGCATCTCACCTACTGTGTCCGAACAGATCGCTGACTTGGTCATCAGGAGCATGGTCTAGACAGTGGGTTAAGGCTCAAACACTGACGGTCGAGGTCGTGCTGAGCTATGTGGTATAGAGAATGGGAAATACACTGGGAACGACCAACAGCAGCTTGACAAAGGTATATTAATGGTCCGGTCAATCGTTTCGCTAATGCTTGGTCAGTCGACGTCTACTTTACCGAGGCGTCCAATCGCAAATGGGTTCCTAGGTCTATCCAGATCGACTTGGAGCCCGCAGTCCTGGATACTATCAAAGCTGGTCCACTCTCCAACCTCTTCCGACCGGATACCTTTGTACACGGTGAAAGTGGAGCGGGAAACAACTGGGCAAAGGGATACTATACCGAAGGAGCGGAGCTGGTGGACCCCGTTCTGGATGTCTTGAGAGCTCAGGCAGAAGCTGCAGACTCGTTGCAGGGTTTCCAAGTCCTGCACTGTGAGCTTGCCCCTCAGCTGACTGATGTTACTGCTGACCCTTAATCTTCTCAGCGCTCGGAGGAGGAACTGGATCAGGATTGGGCTCTCTCCTCCTCGGCAAGATTCGAGAAGAGTATCCCGATCGTATGCTCGCTACCTTCTCCGTCTTCCCTGCCCCGTCCGTCTCGGAAACCGTCGTCGAACCCTACAATGCCGTCCTGTCCACCAACAACCTCGTTGAGAACAGTGATATCACTTGTTGTATCGACGTGAGTCTCTTGGCTTGAACGCTTTGTGGCTAACCGGACGGTAGAACGAAGCCCTGTATGCCATTTGCAACACCGAGCTCAAATTGAAGGAACCTCAGTACAAGGATCTCAATCAATTGATCGCAAAGGTCATGGCTGGATTTACAAGTACGTTCTACGTTGTTGGTCAATCGTCAGTTGCTGACCAGCGCCTTCAGCCACACTGCGATTGTGGGCATATCTACAGGCTATCTGTCTCGCTCGCTGACGGATCTCTAGCCCCGGTGTCCTGAACTCTGACTTGCGGAAACTGGCTGTCAATATGGGTGAGCTTCACTCTGTTCGCTTTTCGAAAGATTGAGCTCATGGCCATGCAGTACCCTTCCCGCGTCTGCATTTCTTTACTGCCGGATATGCTCCTCTCGTCGCATCACACACCAAGTCTTTCACCGTCAGTAACAATCGGAAAGCTTTCGCGCAATAATTGACCCCCCTCTAGTCGTCGCGAGTGCACGATCTCACCTCTGCCATCTTTCAAAAGAAGAGTTTGCTGGCGGCTATTGACCCAGCTATGGGCAAGTATTTGACTGTCTCAGTCGCGTATAGGGGTAAATTGAGCATGAGAGATTGTAAGTGGGAGTCTTTCGACCGTTTTCCTGACATTTCAGTGGAGAATGCAGTGTACGAATACCAGAACAAGGTGGAGTAGTGAGGTGAAGTATATTAGCTGACTGTGTAGAACTCGACCCTCTTTGTTCCCTGGGTACGTCCCCGTCACCGCATATCGACTCTTGCACTGATGAGCATGCTAGATTCCAAACTCTTCGCTCACTACTCTCTGCACTGTTCCTCCAAGGGATCAACCGGCCGCCGCGACCCTTGTCGCTAACACCACGGCCATTGCAGGCGAGTTTCGCTCGGACCTAAAGCTGTCATTGACTGACATTGATTTCAGAGGTCTTCAAAAGGTCTCATGCACAGTTCAGGTCACTGTTCAAGCGCAGGGCGTACACTCATTGGTGGGTCGTGTCGCATCTAGTCATCGGAAGCTGACCTTCATTGTTTAGGTACACTGGAGAAGGAATGTGAGAGGGCACCTTTTGAAGGTGTCTCCGGGTCCATGCTAACAATCGTGCCAGGGATGAGATGGAGTTCACCGAGGCCGAGGGCAATTTGGCAGACCTGTGCACAGAATACGACCAATGTGAGTCCGTCCATCTACTGTAAGGCTGAGCTGACCTTTTCCAGACGCCAATGCGGAGATCGATGACGAAGAATATGCCGAGGAAGTTCCTGTCGAAGAAGAAATGGGTGAAGAGGTCTATGACGAGTAGTCGAGAGCGAAAGACTCTTAAGATGGGCCCGCCCGTTGGGAATTGGAAGAAAATCTGCTTTTGCTGTATAGTCCTGATATACTTAATGCAACACGTACTACTAGAGCTTTGGGCAAGTGGGACATGGAAATGGTCTGCATGAGAGGAAGGCATGGCTTCGGCTTCGGCTTCGGCTTCGGTACATCCCCTGGAGTAGACACCGTTGGCTACACGTCCGCGTTCTCAGTATTCGTCTCTGTACACCCTAAAGCCGGTGTCACCGCCGCCGGCAAAGAATGACGCGAGCTGATCCTCTCTCATATCTTCACCTCCCCATGTCTCTTCGTGACTAGCTTTCATACTTTCCTCTGCACTCCACCAGGACATTTGCTGATTCCCTGAATCCAGGTCCAGCTCGTCAGGAGGCATCGGGGACAAGGCAAATCTAACATGCCGGACAGTTTTGCCCATACGAGCTGCCACTCGCGATGCTTCTTGAGACTGCTCAGGCACTTGCTGCATTTGATAGTCGGCCTCGTCGTCCGGTGTAGACTCTTGCATGCCAAGACTTCCAGCCTGGGGTGAAAATGAGAATTCTCTAATGGAGTTAATTGCTGTACTTTGCGTATCGGCCAAAGCCTGTGAATGAGTCTGTTCTTGAGTTTGGTGTGTCATTTTAAGTTGCGCGTTCCGTGGAGATTGAACATCTTCCTTTGTGAGCCCTGGGTTCGTTTGAGCATTTCTTAGGTTTGAGACGGCTTGAAAGGCGTATCTTGCTTTTCGCCCAGGGAACGTTTGCTGGCCTTTTGCGGGGTCAATCGGCGCTTGACTTTTTGTTGTGTCATAATTACGCCAAGCGCCATCAGTGACGCCTACTAGTCTTGGCAGAGGACTCGCAGAGCCAACGGAGAAGGTCCGAGAGTCGTAAGAGTCTGTTGACAAAGTACTGTATGACGCGGAAGAAGAGGAGGATGAGCCCGAGTCGCTCGAATAGTATCGATGTCGGCGGTGTCTAGAAGATCGAGCACGGCCGTACCGGCGATACTTGCTGCGGGTTTCGTGATGTTTCTCGTGATACCTTGCTCTTTTGCGACTCGAGGCTCTCGTGTGATATCGCATTGATCCGTCCGATGAAATGGATCGTGATCGCCGAGAATGGGAGGGTCGATGCGGATAGCGAGCTGGCGGTGAAGCGATTCTACGGCGCAATTGACCCTGTACAAAACGTCAATCAGACATACGTTGCTTTACAGCACGCTCACGGGAGGCGTCTGGTAAAGATCTTGCGGGATCGACTCGTGGACTGTTTGCACTACAGCTTCGTATTGAGGACCTGCTCGGGTCGGCTCATGGGCTTCATGAAAGTCGGATCCAAGCCATGGTCTCGACGTGTTGGCCATTTCACTGCCCATGGGGTGTACATAATGATGAGATCTCTCTGTACGAGGTGTGATGTACCGAGTCTGGGTCATGGAGTTGAAGCGTACGCCACGTCGTATAGGGGTTGGCGATGGAATATTGTCGATCTCGTAGCCGGTAGATATGGAGACTGTTTGATCAGTAGAGGAATGGTCGTTTGACTGCGGCTGTGGAGGATGAGGAAGATGCCGATGAGCGTACGGATAATGAAAGGCTCTATGGGGTCTCTGATTGAGATGAGGCGGAGTGGAAGTCTCGTCAGGGTGGAAATCATGGGAAGCAGTTGAGAGGATACGACGATCATCGAAAGTCGATCCTAGATAGCCGCCAGGCTGTCCACCTGCGTGAGAATGTTTCTGACAGGTCATAAGAAGTCATCGTCACCGGGAGCGCCCACGACAGAGGACATACCAGCATAGAATCGTATCTGGACCTCTCCATGGATGTCTCGTCCTCGTTGAATTTTGTCGCTGAGCTGGATGTGTTCACAGGACCTTGATACTTTGATATCACGAGAGGTCTACCAGCTATTATATCCTCAAGCATTCTATCGCTTTGAAGCTGAACGCGCTTATCAGCAGACGAAGTATGACGATAGCGCACCTGTTCTAATTCGTTACGAGCAAGGTCAAGATTTTGATAAACCTGAGACTCTTCAGCTTCCTTGATACGCTTCTCATCAGTCCATTGTTGGAGCACAAGGTTGACACTCTGGCCGTCATCCAGAGAGGGATCTGTGAATAGTCAGCCAAAGTTGTAACGAACGCTGTATCCTGCTTGAAGGGACTCACACAAGCTGTCAAACTTTTCATTCAGGGACTTGAGCCTCTTTTTCGACCTTGGATTGGGTTGTGAGCGCTTCGGGACCGTGCTGGAGGCGTCAGGTGGTAGAGTCAGTCGACCGTTTGTCAGGATGCGTGGTGATCGGCTTGACCTGATCAGGTCAAGTGGTCAAGATACCGAAGCCCTGTTGTCATCGCGACGGGATCATCTCACTTCTTCAGTGCGGTTTGATGCTGCGAGACATCCCTCAGAACCTCCCATGGCATCTTGCAATAGGTATCATCACTGTACAGAGATGCGAAAGAAACGACGGCCGAGGAGAGAATGCATGAGACATCAAGGTCTTTATTTTGGTTTACCGTTTGTGTTTCAGGTGGAACATGAAACTCCGCCCGCTGCCACGGCGACATTTTACAGCTTTCTTGCTGTGGTCCACTTCTTCTGCATTTGCATGATGTCGCAACGTCCAACAGCGAATGTGATCGGCATGTTGGGCCTGCTATTTACTTGATAAGTTGCGCAGCACAGAGTCGTTCAAACCCCTCGAAGCCATGACACCTTTGGATCGGTTGACTTCTAGATCATCTCGCTTCTTCAGCAGACAAGCAAGACAAGGGGGTCCCACTTATCGAAGCGGCCACTGCTCATCCTTTTCGCCCAAACATAGTTTGGTTGTTCATCCCTCAGAACGAGAGCTGGGGACGTGTAGTCGATGACAAAAAAAACAGTTTATGGGGGTGTTGAGAGGATCAGGACAGAAATGAACCGAGGGAGTGAGTCCTCGCAATTCTCCGCGAGGAAGAAGAGACAATTTCATGCGTGTGATGAGCTGCGCGCCCTTTGCGAGACAGGGATCTCAATTTGCACGTTCGTGAATCAATGCATTCCCTAGTGTCCCAATTCTAGTGATACAATTGAAGATTTGTTCCCATGTTTTAGAAAATGATTACCAAGCATCTATAGAGAACCGAAGCCCCGTAGAGCTCACAGCACGTGAGCTTGATACGGGGATTGAGCCTGTGCACGACCGGCGTGATGGCTCGAACAAAGATCAACTTCCCAATGATCCGACTGATGGACCTAACCGATCAATCGTTTCCAAGTCTCTCTGCTCATATCCCATGTGCCCATACCCATTGCGAGAGATATATTGCCACGCTCTGCCATCTCACCCAGGAGACCAGAACCAGGCAACATCTCCGGTGGACGAGCATTGTCAAGGGTATCGTGGGTCGAGCGGATGACAGATTGGATATGAGGGACGGAGACCAGAGGCGGAATATTGGATGGCAGGGTTGTGAGAGTGAGGACAAGATGGAAAGCGAGGGCGAGAATGGGTCTAAACAGGGGGAAAGAACTGCGAAGGGGTCAGTGAACACTACACAGATTGCTCAGAAGGAAACTGACTAGGACAACGTCCTCCCAATCTCAGGCTGGACAAGGTGTCAGCTGCGCCTCCAGTCCTTGAGCTTATGTTGACTCACTGAGCAAACGGATTGGATGACCGCAAAACCAGCGTCACGAGCTCTTTCCAACAGAGTGTATCCCTCGGGATCTCTCGCTAATTCCGTCCAGATACTTTCGTGTGCTAGACATCCCGGCGACGTGGTATACAAGATGGCATAGTTCAGATACAGGCTCAAGATCCTACGCAATGTGAGCATCGGATAGAGATAGGTCCACTTACGGATCGTTCCGGACGGCCCATACACCGGCCCAAGCCTCCCAACGAGGCGAATACTTCCGCCAGATCTCAATGGACCGCTCGACAATCTGACGATCGCTCCCGAGCGTATCGTCGTGATTTTCAGGCGAACGAAGAAGATCTGTCTGTGCTCGATGCACTGAGATCGAGTCAATATTTCCGTCCTCGAGGTCGACTCACCCTCTGCCAGGGTCTCGCAGTACTCTAACCAAGCCAAGAGCTTGAGATCCCTGTCACGATCCCTAGCGGCGGACTCGGACGTGCCCGGAACCGAAGGCCCCAAGCGATCTCTCCAGCTGGCATTAAGCACGTCGTGTGTGAACGGAGGTTCGAAATCGACCAGCTGGCTTCTGTGGAGCAGTGAGCTTCACTTCAATCACGAGCAACCTACAAATGATCCATTATAGCCAGATAGACCCATTCGCGCCAATCATCATGGGATCTTCGCCTATCCCAGATTCTGTCCAAGCCTAGAAGACGAGCCTGTGCCATCGCCAGCGAGATAAGGGCACAGTCATTAGTCCAGGTCCTACACCAAGTCAACACATTTTTCACGTCACGCCAAATCTCGAACCCACCCGAAAAAGCCCAATGCGCGAATCTCGTTCTTTGTCCAAACGACATTTTGACTGGTGAGTTTGCCGATCTCGCTGCGAACAGCTCGCTGCGCTTCCTCTGCGGCTTTCCTTGCACTGTCACTGCGATCCAAGGACACACGCTTGCCGAGGAAATCGACCACTAGACCCTGTAAACCATGACGATCACGCAGTCCGATCAGCCAGGGTGTGAGCGGCCATGCTCTAGACCGATAATCTTCCCAGATACCATCAGATATTTCCAAGGCAGCTCGAGGAGCAGATGAAGAGTTCGATGATGACGAAGCCAACATGTCCACAGATCGATGCAAAGCTGCTAATGATTGATTGATTTGCGTCAGACTATTCGGTACATTGCCAAAATTATGGAGGGCAGTCTCAACACTTCGAAGTCGACTGTCAATATGCGGTGAGGGAGGTCTAACAGGTGCCTGGGTGAGCGGTGGACCCACGGCGATATGGTAGGGTGGAGCGAGCCCGGTGGCTGGGGCCGGACGATATGATGCGACGTTTGCTGCCGCGGCGGATCCTGGGGTCGATGGTCTTGGAGCTGGAGGATACGGACTGGTGAGAACGTTGATAGATGCCGCAGGTGGTGGAGGCATTGGCTCTCGTGGATCGCGAATATCTCTTATCGCCGAACGAGTATACTCTCCACTGCCGGGTGGACCACGAGATATCGCGGGTGGGGCAGGCTGAGCTCCTGGAGGGTAAAAGCCTGCCACCCCGACTGAAGTGGGAGTCGCGGGTCTGGTCGCGAAGAAGGGTGGATGATGAGGAGATGGAATGGTTGATATTGATTTCGGTCTTGTCCGGGGCTCAAAGACACATGGAAGGCCAGCGGCACGACAGCCATTACACGGTATACGGCCTGGTCCGTCGCATTTCATCCTGATAAAAAGAACGAGTATCAGTCAACATGCCGTTGGGAATATAATATCTGCCACTCGATTCAACCTACTTTTGTTTTCTACATCGGACACAAGCCATGATGCTTCTTGGTGCGCGAGCTGTCGTATCTCGTGTCAAGACCATCTGTGCCGTTGTCCGGTTCTCGTCGATGCTTTCCATTTGAGTAGATGTTGGGGAAGACGGACTTCCCGCCTCAAAGGACTGCCTCGAACGGACCCTTGAGGATCCTGCACCCGCAGACGCCAGTCCGCGGTCGTCACCTCGCTCTCGCTCCCGCTCTCGCTCTCGGTCTCTCTCCGGCTCGTAGATTGGTCCACTTCGTGTGGAACCGCTCGAAGTCCATCCTGGTGCCCAACTTTGAGGTCTTCCCGAAGGCATGGACGGTAAGGGAAAGGATGGACCGTGATGTCCGGCGGATGGGAGAGGTGGAGGTAGGATCGGTTTTGTAGGTGAGACCAACGACTCGTTCCGACCTCCTGGTCCATGATCTCTCTGAGACGTCTGCGATTGGGATGAAGGCGAGGAAGGCGATGCTGTGCGTCGAGCTCGTTTGGCGGGAGTGGGGTTCATTACTGGATTGGTAACGAGAGGAGAGGAAACCATCAGCATGTTGTTGTGAGGTAAAAACAGGCACGTCAAGGTCGGGCACTTTTCTGGGAGCCAGAGAAGAGCAGGGGATGGGGTTTATACACAGAGATGGAGGAGAAGAGTTCGGTGAAGCAGCCCGAAACGACACACTGGTAGGATAGGGAGGAGGAGAAAAGTCACGGTCTTCCTTCCTATATCTCTGGCGACTCTCACATCCGGAATGACGGCGGTGAAACTCACCTTTAACGATCCGCCTCCCACCTACTTCCTTTCACCTCCTCGTCTTCCACCCAGATTCTTCCTTTCTCGAAGACCTCCCCCTCTACGTGCGACGGAATGTTTTGAAACCCTGGAGACGCTGACCTTGTTTTGTCGACCCTGCTCCTTGCTGAGTCCAAGAGCGAGAGCGAGAGCGAATTCGGTCGAAAGGGGTGTGAGAGATAATTGCAAAGCGGCAATCTCCCGGATCGGCGCGATGCCAAGGTCGTGCGCCTGCTCTCTATGACGACCGAAGTACTGAGCCTTGGGCGAGCGATTGGCGCTGGCGGTATGGGTCCGATGATCGCTCAATGACACTGCGAGTGGTTTGAAGGGTTGATGATCGATGTTGATAGTTGAGTATCATTTGCTGTCGTCCAGGTCGAGTCACTAATAATATGATCCACGAAGACGATGCTCCCGGCTCTCTCGCTATTGTTGTATGCCAAAGGAACCGCCAAATACACAGTGTATGGGTTGAGTGGGACCTGCCACTGCGTAGCGTCGGCTGTTCCACCCGACACTGCTCTTTGGAAGCCTTTGCAGGTACAAGGCTATATCGTTGATGATACCTTGTCTCTGGCTCTCCTTTGCTCTTTGTTCTGCTTTCACGATGACTTGTCTTGGTCCTCTCCGTTCGTCTTTACGGAGCAATTATGATTATACGATTATCCTTTCCTTCCTCCGCGCCGTAACGTAAACATTCCATGAGCGTGATCCCAAAAAGTCTGGTCCTTTGCGATCCTCCGAAGGATGCTTCGGAATCCAGGATCCTTTGTCAACTCTGGCTCGCTGGAAACTGATGCAGATGGTCGAGTTTCGACGATGAGCGGCGATGAGAACCCGGGGGGGAGGGGGGAAATGAGTAAGGAGGGTTGTGCAGGTCGATTTGTTGATTTTTGTGTGGAAAACGGAGGTTTTGAGGAATCTTCAATTTTATGTTCGTACGTACGCCCTAACTGGACGGACTAGCCACCCCCTTCTTCTTATTGTTATTTGTTGATGTTGCTGCTGCTGTCAAAATGGTCTAGATGAAGGATCCTCGACGACGTTGGAGGTCTGGCCGTTTGATACTCGGGAACCTGACGAACGGCGACAGGTCTATCACTGACAGCCTTTCCAAAAGTGCCACCCCCCGGTTCCTTGGAAAACGCTCACAGCAGGGGCTGATTGACTGTCCTTTTACCCTAGACCTCACAGCCCAGGAATGTCGTCCCAACGACTCATCACTGAACACGGGAAGGGCACGCGCTGCGCTGCGCGCCGGAAGAGAGAGAAAGAGAGGGAAAGAGGCAAGTGGCGGAGAGGAGAGTGAAAAACTTTGAACCCGTCGATCGGATGTCTCAGGTTGATGGGATGCAGCATCGAGGGCGAAAAGGGGGTGCCTGCGAGGACACAAAAATGGCCTGCAGAGATCTCCATCCTGAGGGGTCTTTCTCACAGGGTAGGATGTGTACTGGCCGGGCGAATTCAAGCCTCAGAGATCCGCCCGGGGGGGGGGAGGGGTGAGGGGACGAGGGGCGAGAAAAATTTAACATCAAAATAGTCTTCCAATTCAGATCTTGTTCTCTCTCCTCTTCCACCCAATCTTCATCTTCTTCCCTCCTCCCGGTCCCGTGTCCAAATTGCTTATCGGATTAATAGGGGAGCAACATGGAAACAAATCGTTTCCGTCTCTGACAAGACGACGCTAGTGGAAGGGACACAAAGCCACCCGGAAACTTTGGTGGTGGTGGTGAGAGAGGCTGAATTCAGTGGCATGCCACCACCGCCGATGACTACAGACCTTTTCCAAGGTACATCGTCACGGGCTATCACCCCGCTTTACTTTTGATTTTTGCCTCCTCGCATCCACACGCAGCTTCCCGGTTCCCGCGTACGTTAAAAGGTTCGACCGGGGTATCAAATCGACGGGCACACGGCGTATTTTCATTAGACCAAACGGACAATCAGAAACTCGTAAGATAAAAGGGCTTGATTGAGGTGGTTCATGAACAAGGCACGAGTTGGGGTTCAAGTCAACGAGTGTGTCCAGCCTCTCCGACCTGAACGTGGGAGCTCATACACACAAAACGTCCCGGTCTCTCAGCCGAGAGCGAGAGAGATGAAAGCCCACTCGTTTATTTTTTTCGGTGCCTTACATATGCAATAGGGCTCATGGTTAATCTGCAAGCCTTAGCAAGACACACCCAAAGAGGCAGCTTCCCCTGGCCCGCGTCGACGACACCCTCAATCTGAATTGAGCGTTGCGGGATCATCTGACACCATACATATGACCGGATTCCGAGGCAGCTTCCTAAGTAGTAGCGGTCTATATGTGGGACTATGAAACAGCTTTACGAGCCTTGCGACCGCTCCCCTTTTTTGGGTATAGGAGAACTCTCTACCTCTCTCGCACGCTGACGCTAATCCTCTCACCGAGATCGACGAGACACACTTGAGATCCTTGACCAGCTCGTCCTCTGAAGCATGTTCCACAATAGCTAGGGCGCAGGAAGTTTGAGGGCAAAAGTTTGGGTCTCACACCTTACAACACCACCGGCTCGGAAACGGGATCATCAACGGGAGGTCCACGGGAACCGTGGCGTTTTCATCGGGCATTCTACCGATCCTCCTCCTACTCAATCGTCATGGGCGGCCGATAGACGGCCGTTGGGAAACGCGAATTAAGGGGTCTCGATCAGGGTCACGAGGTGAGAGATCTGACTGTATGCAATGAAATACCAAACCGGTCCCTTGCCGTTCAACGGAGAAAGAAGAGAACCAGTTCTCATACTTCCTCGGCAGCAACAAGACAGAAATACTACGTCTGAGCGTCGACGTAGTCTATTTTGATTACGGTGATGATTTTACAGTTTAGACCACGCATCGTTACGCTCATATCATATCAACAATACTTCCCGCCCAATTGACCGCATGACGTCTATCCAGTGACGTTTGCCTTGCCCGGCATCTATACCACGCCATTGCTCATCCAATATTTGCCTCTAGAGACGGAGTATTCAGCCAGATGCCACATTCCAGATTCGGCTCACCGCTGCCTCCAAGTCTTCACAATAGTCTTGTCGCAGAGCATCAAATAATTCGCGGACTTTGGTCCGTCGAACAGGGAGACAAAATGCACCTGCTATCAACAACGGCCAAACGAGCATGACGCTCATGCGCATGGCGGATGCTTCGCTGATCAATTCGAGGACATTGGCGACAGCCTTGTCGATCTGCGGGGTCGTGGGAGGCTGTTCCAGAATCTATACCATCAGCATCTCGCCGCCGTCGCCTCAGCTCACATCTGCAAGGATGAAAATGATGGCCATGTATTTGTGGATGTAATCTCCACACTGCAATGTCTCAGAAAGGGATGAAGCTGACCAATGCTCACCGTCACACGGGGATGATTTGGTATTGCGCATAAATTGATTCCCCATATATCTAGCTCCTTCAAGAACGTCTGGCAATCGCGATGTACTTGATCCGCTGCGTCCCTCAATTCCTTGGCAGGGGATTTCATGCTCAGACCCAGGCGCTGTTTGCGGGAATCCAGGAGAGCAATCTGAGGCGTAAGTCACGTCGACTCTTATCACTCACTCTTGCGATGAGATCAACCATCCCTCGCGAGACACCAAACCTATGCCATCAGCATCGAATCATTCAACTTTCTCCTCACGATCGTTCGACGGACTCCCATTCGGACTTGCCGTTGGACGCATGTACACTATCAAACCACCAGGGATCGAACCCGCCAATCAAGGAAGGACCTTTACCCGTGACGAAGTGACCTAGGGTCAGGTTCCTCGACTACATGGAACGCTTACTAAAGACATCGTGCAGGGCCAAGGTCTCCAGCAGATATCTTCGAGTGAAAGAGTATTCTTGGGGCCTCAGCAGCACATGAGGTCCTCCTTTACGATTGGTAAGATTGATGACAAACTCCATGTTGTCTCGCCATGACGTATCAGCGCTGATGACCTATAGGTCAGAGGGGGCATCTGGCCTTGACTCACATCTCGGATGCACAGGAGCGTGCAAGCAGCCAAAAGGTTGTCGACTGAGAACATCAACGACTCTTCTGTACGATCTGATCTCACCTGGCTCGCTACCTTCACCTCCAGCCGCCAGGACGATATTTGCGACGGCTGCGCGCTTGAACTTGTCACTCATTTCTTTCAGATCTGTCCTATGTTGCGCCCATTTTGAGCCGAAGGAGAGATGATCCCCAATTTGCTCCGTCTCATAAGCGTAGTGCACAATGCTAGCGCTCAGCATGCTCATTCTCATGGCAGCTGCTCCAGGAGACGTCACATCAAGTAGTCGCGATGGCGTACAGAGTCCCAATAATGGATTCGGACCCATGTCTCCCATCGTGACGAGAATCCGGGAAGTGTTGTTGCAAAAGTTGTGGAAGAGCAGTAAAGCTGTTGGTGAAGGGAACGCATCGGTTAGAAAATCGAGACTGTTGGGTAGCGGGGGAGCTGAGGTCAGACCGCCAGCAGACATATCGGGATCACGGCTGGATGTGAAGCGATGAGAGGGCCCAAATTCGTATAAAAGGTCATCGTTTGCGTGGGCACTGGAGCACGTCGGTCAGCATGAGTCCCATTCGGCTAAGCCCACCTCAGTAGAGTTTCAATGATCAGAGCACGCGATATGGGCTGTGCATTCTGCTGCAAGTTCGGTCTGAGATTTGATGACAGGGTAGGGGCATTCGAGCGATTCTTTCGCCTCTGAAGGAGCAACGAATTGGCGATATCTCGGTGTTGTATCGGTATGTCTGAAAGGCTAAATGCGGGATTTGACGACGACAAGGTAGGCGATATCCGTGGCTGAGTGTAGGGCAGAATCTGGGCGGAAGATTGTGAGAAGGGCATGGGACCAAAGGGGACTGTGATTGGAGGCGTTGGCGTGGCCAATGGATTGACAGATGATGGAGACCTAGAGAAGCGGAATGGATGAGGCTTTACCAGACATGAGCGCTGTTCGTCCACTGATGAACTCACCCCTTCCAAGTGTGCAAGTCGCGAAGTGTTCTCGGGAGAATTGACAACGGTTGTATCGAGGCTCAAAAGTCCAGAAAGCGCAGCTTCATCCACATCGTCTCTTACCGATTCATCAAGATAAGACGAAGGCCCAGGAAACATGAAGGGATTGGAGAGATCGATGTCGAAGGATGGGAGCCTCTGACGAGTGACTTGATGGATTTGCTCTCCACTCGCTGCTCGAGAAGGGCCAGTGGGAGCCGGTTGAGGGATCGGGAAAGGTGGTCCAGGGACAGCATGACTGATAGGAGGAGCAGGAGGGAATGTAGGCTGTATGGAAGCAGAGCCAGGACCAGAACCCAAGGCGTGGTCATCCTCTTTACTGCTTATCCGTCTCCTCCGCTTGCGTTGTTGTTCTCCTCCTCCTCCACTACCTCCTCCATCTTTGTCTGCCGGATAATGACATTCTCTCTGAGACGCAACGCATCTGAGGCAAACGGGGACAGTCTCATCACATTTGACTTTGCTCTTTCGACAAGCTAGACATCCCGTCGTACTCCTAGAAAAGCGAATGGCTTTCCTGCCCTTTGTTGACGAGTTCCCATTATTCTTGGCCTGAGCTACAGGATTAGTCTGAAGCAAGACTTCTTGAGCACGACGAGCATCGACTATACGTCCTGTGTTTGATATCGTCAATCAGCAATGCCAGACTTCTTAAATCCCTCTTCTCTGCCCTGCCCTTCCTGTCTGAATCGACTTCACTCACTCGCTTCTCGGGAGATCTCTGCAAAGTCTAGTTCTTGAGATGGAGGGGTGTCTGTCATGTGGGTTTCTACGACGAATGACAATTTAATCCGTCACGAAATAGAGGGAAAACAAAAGATACATGCTGGTGCCATAACAATTCGCAGGCGAGGAAGAGGAGTCTGTCGGCCCGATTATTCAGGCTGTATGGCCGGTCCTATTGGTCCACTACTCATGGTAGCTTGACCAATGGCCTCCTCGAAGAGTGTGATGATCGACCTCTTCGGAACGTAATTGAAACGCTCGCAGATGCTCGGTTCAGGTCATCAAAGATTACCCCGTGGGCTGCTTCTGCTTCTTGCATTAGCGGCGCCTAGTCGAGGAGGTGCTCGCGGAATTTCGTTCTTACAGAACAAAGATGGGAGCGTCAAGAATCATGCATTTATGGTTGACGATGGCATGGCTCCTTCCCCCCCTCATCCTCTGTATGTCTTCCTTTGGACCTGTGTAGCAGAGATGCAAAGGGACGAGAGAATGATCGGCCATAGAAAGGGTTCCTCCTCAAAAGGTCCAAGAGGGAAAAGGGGCCGGTGAAAACTCCTGGAATAATCCCACCCACAGCGGAGAAAGCGTAACCGACGGTTAAAGCGAGAAAGAATAGATAGGTCGCCACCTCTCCAACGGGCCGGTCCCTCTCTCTCTCTCTCTCTCTCTCTGTCACACACACGCATTCAACTCCCTTGTCACCATGCCAGGCTCTACAAGCACAATGAATGAGCTCCCTGTGACTTCCAGCAAGGCACTGCCCATGACCACCTCGACCAACGATCTGGTCAATATCGCCGATCAGCACATTACAAAAGGTTTGGGTAGGCTCCGCGATCACGTTTTTAAGGAGGGTAAAGGTCTTCGAGTCTTGACCACGGTAAGTCAAGCGCTTGCAGGGAGGCTTTGTGCACTTTAACTGATGGGCATCATTCGTAGGATGGCAAGCAATTGCTCGACTTCTCCGCTGGGATCGGCGTCACTTCTCTCGGACACAGCCACCCTGATGTCACTGCTGCTATCATCGCTCAAGCCCAGAGCATCATCCACGTTCAATGTGCCATTGCATTGTCGGAACCCTATGTGCAGCTCGTCGAATCACTCCTGGCTATGATGCCTGATCCGAGCCTTGACAGCTTTTTCTTCTGGAACTCTGGCGCTGAGGCAGTGGAAGCCGCTGTCAAGATTGCGAGGACGAAGACCCATCGACAGAATATCATCGTCATGCAAGGCGCATACCATGGTGATTCTCACAGCACGAATTGTGCGCTGATACATCTACAGGTCGTACAATCGGCGCTTCATCCTTGACCAAATCCAAAACGACCTTTTTCAAAGGTACTGGACCTCTGATGGTGAATTTCAACTCCACTCCCTTGCCGCATGAGACCACGTAGCTGATAGTCTTTCCGTCATAGCCCGGCGTCCACGCCACACCATTCCCATACTGGCACGCTATGGGCTTGCCGAAAGACACTCCTGAGGAAGTCTTGGTAGAGAGAGCCTGCAGAGACTTTGATAACATCCTGAAACAACAATGTGCACCCGAAGATACCGCTGCAGTCTTCATCGAGCCCGTGATTGGAGAAGGGTGAGTAAGCGGAGGAAAGGCTCGTTCCTGGCTCCTCGGACTGATTGCAAGCACAGCGGCTATGTGCCTGCTCCCGCAGCTTACGTTCAACACTTGCGAAAGCAATGCACAAAGCATGGCATCTTGCTCGTGGCGGGTGAGTCCCCCTTTTATGCCTTCCCACTAGATCTCGTTGACCAGATCCAGACGAGATTCAGACTGGATTCTACCGTACAGGCAAAATTTGGGCTATTGAGCATTCCGACGTGGTTCCCGACATGATGACCTTTGCGAAAGGAATCGCGAACGGTATGCCAGTATCTGGCGTGGTGACGCGTAAGGAGATAATGGATGCCATGGCTCCAGGATCTTTGGTATGTAGCACAAATGAGCCACTTTTCAGTGGGAATGAGCTCCGCTAATGCTCCCCGTAGGGCGGAACTTACTCTGGTAACGTTGTTGCGTGCGCTGCTGGAGTCGCCACGACGAGATACATGCGTTCGCACGACATGCTGGGCAACGTCGAAGCTCGTTCAAAGCAAATTTTCGATGGACTGAGAAAAATTCAAGAAGATGTAGAGAATGGTGGATGGATGATTGAAGAGATCAGAGGGAAGGGAGTGAGTGCAGATCATGAATTTGGTCGTTGGTCGACATTCGCTGACAGTCTTCTGATAGCTCATGATTGCTATCGAGTTCAAAGACCCGTCCTCCCACATCACTTCATCTCACTCTCGTGGACCTAATGTCCAATTACCGCCTTATCTCAGCACTTTGGTCCAGAACGCCTGTATGGATCAAGGACTCTTGTGCCTCACCACCAGTATCTACCCAGTCATGAGGTTGATACCCGCTCTTATCGTCAGCGAGGAAGAAGTGGACGAAATGCTGGGTATAATGGCGCAGGCCGTCCAGACTGTTGCCAAGACATTGGAATGAAAGGGATCTATTTATCTAGTCTGTTTCGATGACGGTTGTCTTTCTTGATGATTTTGCGTTCTATCTATGCATACACAGGTGGGAAAAGACAAATGAGGAAAACAATGGGCACCTAGGTGCTATATATACAAGACAAGGGGAAAGATCCGGTTCGTAATCATGAGGTCGTCTAAATGGCAGGTCGGAATGTTTTCTTTTTTCCCTCTCCGGTAATGTTTCAATCGTCTCGCATGCCATCATCAGGCTCGAGCACTCAACTCGCTTCCGGACGACTGCGAGGGTGTCATGGCGATGCTCTCCGTCTTTGTTCTCGACGCCGCAATCTTCTTAGGACTCTTGAAGAAGATGGCCAGGAGGACGCAGCAGAACACTCCCCAGCCGAATTGGAACCAGAATGCGATTTGGACATTGGACCAGTTCTCGACACCTCCATCATGGATAGACAGTAGAGCATCCTGAATAGAATAGCCAGTAACAACCCCGAGCTTAAATGGGATGTCAGCGTCGGACCAGCTCCAGGAATGCCCTTTCGGGTGAATGCTCTCTCACCTGAGTAGCAAGTTGGAAGAGAGCACCTGCTGTTCCTGCCATGGCGGGGGGCACAGAAGTCATGATCACCACGCTAAGCACGTTAGCATCGAAGCCGATCAAGTGCAACGAGAAAAGACTACTCACTTGCATGATAAATAAGACATGGCCAATCCGATGGATCCGATCAGCTAGGTGATTGATCAGTCTTTCGCGCTGGACACATATGTCGCCGACTTACGAATGCAGGGAAGAGGTATTGCCAATAAGCCGATCCCAGCTTGCCATCACTGTAGATGTATGCGACGAAGGACGCGGCGCAGATGGCGAAGCCGAGGGTAATTGGTATTTTCAAGCTCGACATCTTTCTCAGAATGGGTCTGACGAGGTTCACGTCAGTATCGGTCTCGACCGAATCTGACTTTCGACTCACGATGCGAGGATGAGGAACAAGCAAGCCCCGATACCGAGCGGTAGCATGCGTACCGAAGATTTGATGAGCGACTCTCGGTAGATGACCTCGAAACGCTGAACAAGGGGCAATTGGGCATTGGCGACCCATGAGAAGAGATACATGGTCGAGAAGATGATGAGCGGAGCGTTTGGAATCTTCCAAAAGCTTGGCGGTAGAACAGCCTTCTCAGCATCAATCTTCCATTCCCAGATAAAGAAGCCGATCAATAGAGGGACAGAAAGGACGATGGTGATGAGGAAATGAGCTGAAGACCATCCATGCGCTGCCCCCAATGTGAGAGCGACGTTGAGTAGCAACATGGAAGCGAGTATCAAAAAGTTGCCAATGAGATCGAGATAACGCCACTTTTGAGCCTTGTCGGCGTGAGGACCTCTCGTGGAGGGGATCATAAACTGGGAGAAGATTGCGAACGGAATAGAGAGGAAACAGACCCAACGAGAATACCATCGCCAAGGCGCCATCTGCTCGACGGTGGAACTGATCTCGCCAAAGACTCCTCCCCATAGAAGGCCTGAAAGGATTTTGTCAATCGAGAATTTTGAGATATCTCTGCTCACCCGTTGCATTCGCAAGCGCGGCTGCCATGCCAAACATGGCGAGCGCCTTTGGCACCTCATGAGGCTCAAAGACTGCGATGATGAGCCGGAAAGCGGAGGGAATCTGGGAAGAATCGGTGAGCGTGAACCCTTGGCCCGCAGTGTGAAGTATGGCTTTGAGCCCCGAACTTCTACTCACTGTGGCTGCTGCAGCGACTCCATAGAGACCTCGGAAGATGAAGAACGAGACCTTTTCAGTCATGAACGAGCTGGCCAAACTGAAGATGGCAGTGAAGACGAAACCCCATACGAAGACTGGTTTGGCAGAGTACAAGTCGGATACACGTCCAGCCAGGAGGAGAAAGGAGCCAAAGGTGACACCGTAGCTGTTCTGCGATTTGACTCAGAGACTAGACCAGATCTGTAGACCGAATGGAGGGCTCACCAGGACCCATATGGAGTCTTCAAATTGTATGTCGAGATCCCTCGAGATGCTCTGAACAAAGACGATGAAAGCGGACCTGCCACAAATATCAAGATACTGATGAGGACAGTGAGCCACATTGGGGAAGTATTGTTGATCTCGCCTACCGAAGACACTGAGAAGATGAGGAGCAATAACCATTTCCTTCCCTGTGATATCTTGGCTTCTGCACCTGTCATGGCGGCTGCTTGGCCCACACCACCTTCTTTGTCTTGATCATACAGTACAGGCGCTTGCGACAAGATGCTATCGCTCTTGACTGATTTTTGATCCTCCAAAACCGGTCGACTTGACATGATGCTAGTTTGTGATGTTGCACCTGCGAATGTCGTTGGTGTCTGAGGTGAATGAGGTTGATACAGAGGTGTCGAAGTATTGTTGTTCATGATGATGTTTGGGAGTGCAGTTGACTCTCCTTTATGGATGACCAGGACGCCTCTTGGACGACCTCTGGGGCGAGCCAAAAAGAAAAAGTTTGTGCCACGGATATCCGGGTCGAGGCGAGCTCTAGGTTCGGCTCACGGAATGCGGTCACGACGGTTGTATTCAAAGATCAGCCATCAGCCTCACTTTAAAAATCATATGACTCCTGCCCTGTGTGAGCAGCTCTCGAATGAGTTATATAGAGGGAGAGAATGTGTGAAAGGCGACGGGAAGAGATACTCGCAGCTTTTATAAGGGAAAAGCGAGAGAGTGGGTGACCCACGTTGGGCCAAGAAGGGGGTTAGGTACCTTTGAGGCGTACTAGCGTCGTCGTCTTCTTCGTCCTAGTCGACGAAAGGAGATTGAGGAGGACCAGAAGGAGGGAAGAGGGCTTCATGTCAGTGGAAAGGTGTGTGAGATATTCATAGAGGCTGGGCACATCGAACAAACCCGGCGGTAAGGAGGAAGGAGAGCAAGTTCCAATGGAAAGGACCCATTCGTGTATTGTGTGGATGGGATAAAAATTCCCAAGCTACCGATAATCCACCGTGTCCCATCATCAATCAACGGAGGGCGCATATCACACATTGGCTCCACCATGACTATCAGCGACAGCGATGGATTGGCGAGCCCCTCTAACTGAAGTCGAGAAATTGACATAGGTAATGAGGAGAGTTGTCGAGATTCGGACCACGGGGAGGACCTGAATATTTTGGGTTCAAGCCAGAAATTTCGGACCTGGTGAAGCGCGGGGTGTGGGCTTTTGTTTTAACCCGATATCTTCTTTATCTCATCATCATGCTTACAAATAGTCGTCTGAATACAACAATGGAGGATATACATACAAAGGGACGCTCCCTCATACACTCCCTAGCTTAGCTCTCATCCTTCTTGCTAGCTCTAGACTTCAACGGGACCACCGTTCTCCTCTTTTTGTCTGCTTCAGGCGCGGTATGTATCCGATCACGGACTTGGGCGTTGAATCCTGGCACACTGATGCCATACGAGTCATCTACAGGACGTCAGACGCAAAGTCTGAGGAGGCAACTCACCAATAGCGAACGCTACGTCTTTGAGCTCCACTCGGGGAGATTTCCTATGCTTGGCAAGTCTGATAGCTCTTCGAGCTTCTGAATCAATAAAACTGTCCAACACATCGCCGAGCACCTGTCAGATGCTCGTCAGTCTTCCCCACCTTTACCAACGCGCGTCAATTCTCACATCAAAGATACCCATTTCGGCGTGTATACCGCCCCCTTCGTCCTGTAGCATTTCCGTAAACTTTCGCTTTCGCCTCTCATCCTCCGTCTCCATCTTGATAGGAGGGGCGGGCGGTAGAGGCGGAGGACCGGACACCATGGGGACAACAGGAGCCACGGGTGTGGGAACGGAATTGGCGCTCGTGCTAGCATTGACGCTGGGTATTGACCCCGGTGTTGCGGTTGAGCTGGGTGCCGTGTTCGTATTGCTGGGGGTGTTACCTGGGTTGCTGCTAGCGTTGCTCGCGTTCGCCTTGTTGAACTGAGCGTAATGAGTTAGAGACCTTGTGAACCGTAATTTGAGGACCGGATCCTGAGATCATAGAGTGAGTCAACATACTGCTGCAGTCTCAAGACATACCTGTAGCAGCATCTTGTGCCGTTGCTCTTGGGTGAAAACCAACAACTTCTTGATCTCTGACATAGGCATAATCTCGCCAATCTTCTTTGAATCCTCTACGCCTTTCGCCATGAGGATCTCAAAGTCCGCCTTGTTGATCAAAGCGGACTGCCCTTCTGCGCTCATCGATGGATTCAAGTGGGGAGGGAGAGCCAAAAGCGGATTCGGTTGATTTCGGTGGAGCGCCATAGCGACGATAGGTCGAGCCTGTTGAAGAATCATCGTTCGGACCTAGACGAGGCGGTCAGCACATGACGTAGGTCATCCTGCGTCTAATACAGACTTTGGATATTTGGTCTTTATCCAGCTTTCCAGCCTTGTCAAGATTGAGCATCGCTGGTATATTCATCAATCCATCACCTCGACTTTGGTTACTCGCTGGCGGTCGGGCAGCTGAGCCAGATGCGGCGGATGGTGTTTGCGCCGGTGACGGACCGCTTGAGACCGTTCCAGCTGGCGTGGAAGTACCAGAGCCAGAGGCGGGAGGTGGACGAGCCATGGTGAGTCACACCCACGTTGGTCGTGCGTTCGTGAAATGTGATAGAGTGTTAACAACATGAGCTGGGATGTAGAGAATCGCGACGGGGAAAATTTGCTTCCGTCATTCGAAGATTTCGTTCATTCCTGCAATCGTGGGTACCATTGAGACGATCTCTTGTATGGGCAAAGATGCAGCAGAGCCGGGTTTGGAATGTCCTCCAAACCGTCTCTTCATAATTTGATTGCCTCGACCTCGATAGCTCTGTTCGATACACTGCCGAAACATGGGAAACCACACATCCGTAGCAATGGCGTTCCCGAATGGACCATCCTGGCGACCATCTGTCTCGTCATCTTCAAAGCAGCGGCCGTAGCTCAAGCAGGACAGCAAGCCCACGGTGAACATGAAATTCAAGTGGCCAGTCTTGGATCGGGCGTCAAGTGCTTACCTGCGAACAAACTTTCTCCATGCGGGGATACGCTGCACGATAGCCATGCTGAAATATTGGCCAGGAGAGGATTTAAAAAGTGGTTGATGAGTGAGGCGAAGAGATCTCTGAGACTACCAGAATCATCAGGACAGAGTCTCGTGCAGCTCAACCGTGAGACGAACCGATTTGGTCTCCGCCAAGATGTCCAAGTCTGGCTATACGTGTCCAATCTACCAGTGAGTTTAGCAAAATCGTCTTCACTAGCTTATCCTTACAGTGCGGCGACGCCTCGACTCTGCATACAGCTGCGCATCAGCCATTAGACATGGCGACGTTAAAGAGCTCAAAGGACGGACATAGACCTATACATAACGATGGGACAGCTATCAGAGGACGAAACGGATACGAAGCTTTCGGGGCCATACGAACCAAACCTGGTCGAGCTGATTCTGTCCCGGCCACAAGCTTTTCATGCTCTGACAAGATCGCCTCTTGGTCTGTCTTAGGTCTTCAAGGGGCCCTCTTGGCCAACATATTTGAGCCAATATACCTTGATGGGATTGTGGTTGGTGGCGTGGAGGATCCCCCGGATCATTGGACGGGGAAGAAGGGTGATTGGACGGGGACCATAAAGGACGAAGTCCAAAGAGCTGTCTGGGGACGGTTGGAGGTGATCAAGGGTGAGTCCACCAGAAGGAGAAGATGAACTCGGAGCTGAGAAAGATAGACCGCTTGGTACCGCCTTATACACTCCACCGACCCGAAGTACATGTCACTTCGACGACTTTCCCATGTACAAAGTCTGAAATTCTGAGAAAGAGCTCACTGGAACCGGCTACATCCGTCACCTCTCTCCTACACTTACCATGGACCGGTAGCACTCCGGAAGTAATCTTCAATGGCAGTCGAGCTGGAGCATGGAAAGCACCAGGGTCAAAAGCCTTACCGGAACGGAATCGTTCAAGCGTGTGCAAGCTCGAGCTATTGCGTGCGTTTGACGATCTCCACCAGGATCTGCATTCAAGTCTCGGAGGATCGCAGTTGGGAAGGTGAGCTAAGTCATGCCCCAGAGCCGAGCTGAGTTCATGCAGCACCGATAGCAATGTCAAGACCTACTTTGAGATCAAGCATGGCGAGCTGGCATCCGCTTACCAACGAGCGAAGACGGTCTTACGTGGCACACCGTCGAAAGCTGATGATTCCATCGATGACGCATTCAAGAAGACCGGTCAATCCTTCCAGGTGACTGCTGGGTTGGATGACTCCGGACATAGCCCCCCATTCAGAGGTTGGATAGTCAGTGGACGCGAATACGAGAGCTTCACAGTGGACGGGGAGCTCAAGACTATGCATTGAACCACGCCACATCCGCGCGCCACTGATGAGAGTTGAAACTCAGGCACGGGGGAATTTTGAAACAAGCGGTATAGCCTCTTTTTTAGTTTGTGTCTGTGTCGGCAGGCTGGTCACTGGTCGCTGCTGTACATTCACTACCATCTCTCTCTCTCATTGTGATACCTCTCCGGAAGACTGCTTCAAGATTGAGACTCAGTGCTCAGCTCGTTCAGCATGCTCGTGATCCTCGCGTGTTTACCCTTCCTGCTCCATGTCAATGGTGGGTAACCTGTGAGGAAGGTAGAGCAGGTGATCTGACCATGGCACAGCCGTTCTCTCCATCCTGTACCCTAACTCGAATACCATCTGGTGAGTATGGCGCTGAGTAATGCGCTTCGAAAAAATGCAATGCTGAGAAGCTCGCCCGCAGGTATAAGAATTCCACTGTGAACCTCAATTGGACGTCGTCCGACCCAGCCGTCGATACATTCTTGTTCCAGGCAGTGCTGTCGAACCAGGATTCGAGTGTCTTGTCGGGAAATCAGCGGATAGCCGATAGCAGTGAGTAGGCTGTCCTCTAATCTACCTCTATACTGACGATCATCTCAGCCAATGCCACGGCAGACTACGTCAGGATCTCGTTACCTGGGGTTGCGGCCTCGTGAGTGATCCGAACAATTTATGATGAGGATGCCTGTTGACTTTCGCACAGATCAGGATACATTGTCTCATTCGTCAATACCACCAATCAGTCTCAAGTATTGGCCAAATCAGATCCATTCGAGATACAAGATGGATCCGGTGAGCTACGATCTGTCAAGCCGTAGCTGAGAAGAAAGCAGTCCATTCATCATCAGCCGGACCTAGTGCGACATTTGCTTCTACACCCGTCAACACCTACATTCCGAATGCAAAGGATACGGGGTCAGTCTTGACCTGAAGCAAGAGTCTCGACGCTCATATAACCTATTTTAGGACATTCCCCTCGTCGTTCCCTTCTGCGAGCGGATCAGCTGGTCGGTTGGTGTCGGTCCCTGTCATCTCCCTCGTCGGAACGATCCAATCGCTGGTCTTGGGTCTCGGCGTGATATGCGGACTCGTCCTGGTCCTTTAGGCGTCTGACCATTACGGCCGTTCCTGGCTGCAAACTGCACACTGGTCATATCAACAGTGTTTGCCCTCCCTTTCTTCAGCGAGTTTATAATGCTTTCTTTCCAAGCTTTCACATAGGACAATGACACGCTTGCATGACGAGTAATTTTACCTACTCGACACACTCAAGCATGCCCACCCAACATCCGTCCCCAGCTGACAAGCTCAGGGCCTAGACCCGAAGCCCCCTCTCCTCGCATCCACGCAACGATCTCGTGAGCTGAGAGGGTACATCGAACCTTTGCAAAACGCCTCTGGACAGACGTGCTACCAGCAGGAGCGAGTAATCCCAATCGCAATAGATGCTCGTAGCCCTGTAGGTTCCAGTGTCAGCATCGGATAGGTGGTGTCATGGGCACTCGAGCTGTACCACTGACATTTCTCAACACTCCTATTGGCCAGCGAGTCTTCCCGCTTCCGACCAGCTTTGTCCTAGAAAACCTCAGATACTCTTCTTCAACTTGAGCGAAATTGAACTCGTCTCTTCCAGCATAGTGCAGGTGCTTGCTGATGATCAAGATGCCGACTGAGGGTTGAGAGAGGCCTTTGAGTTTGGCGGTCTGTAAACCCCAGCCTGATTGTTCAATCTGCCCAAGAACAGAAGCACAAAGCTGAGCGACGTTGATGAGATCCACTTGAGAGGACAGGACAGAAATTATCAAAGGGACCTGTAAGAGTCAGGCCGTGGTCCCCTCGCCACTGCAATGTTGCTCGCTCACAAATGGCTTGTAGAGTATCCTGACGTCTGTCGTCAAACCTGTCAATCGGTCCAGATACTTGACGACTTTGGGTTGATCAAGTAGCGTCTGGTGGGGAGTATCAACGAGGAGACCCTTCCGCCTTTGCTGCTCACCTCTATACCGTACTGCCAGTCATCCTTCCACAGCTGTAGAGCTTTTGCGTCTGGTTCCGCGGAATCTTGTTTGGCATCCCATTCCCACGGGACAAGAGCACGATTCAAGAGCGTTTTCCAGCCTGGTCCGCCGGGAGAAAGGGGAGAAGGGATTCGCCACATCCGATGAGAGAACCGAGACTTGACCCGCTTCTCGAGAAGCAAGAGTGTATCCTGTGGATGTCAGAACATGGAAGGAGCTCAACGACTTACCACTCGGCACGTCACGCCTATCACCGCTACGCCTCTGCCCGTCGTCTTGACATCCCCTGTCTTGATGCTCTGAACCACGTCGACTGGAGGATGTACTTAGCAGTATTCACGCCTCAGCTTTCGCTGCTCACGCAAGCAGTAAAGTAGAGCCTGTCGAGCATGCTCTGTGAACATGTCAAATTCCTCGATGACGATGATGATGGCTCGTGGGGAGGGAGCAGTCAATAGTGCCAGCAAGTGGGATGGCAGTGTGGTTGGGGCGTATTCCTGAGACCAGTCATGAGCCGCTTCCCATGGAACAACAACAAGAGCCACGTACCTGATCGTCTGCGCCATCGACAGCTTCATCGTCATCGTGGTTTGCGATGCTGATACCCTCTGCTTCTGCGATCTGCCGCCCAATCTCCCTGATAGCTAAGCGATCACTGGTCTGTGCGTGTCCAGACAGTCGGACGACGATCGGCAAGGACGTGGAGGTTGACGGCAGCAAGTTCAAAGCTCGACCAAGGGTCTGAAGCGTCCGTCAGCACGTCCTTGCCCCCCCCGAGCTGTGACACTTACCCTCGTCTTGCCGACGCCACGAGGGCCGACTACGAGTGCACTATTGCCTTCACCGCGTTCCACCGTGGCTTTCAGTAGATTGACCAGACCGTGAAGGGCCTCATTCGTATCTTCGTCCATGAACGGCGGAGGGTCAGAGGCGATGCCTTGTGAGGTCAAGGTTGACAAGATTCGAAGGACGTGAGGCCTGGCTCCTGGTGGTAGACCGGCAGGTTGTGCCGTGCCCACTGGACGTTCATCCACTTCCATATGATTGTCAAGAGCTCTGGCCTCCAAGCCATTATCCAGCATGTCAGACTCTGTCGACTTCGGCTTCCCGCGCGTATCCTCGTCCTCGTCTGCGTCGTCCTCTTCCTCCTCCATACCTCCGTATTCATCAATCTCAACGCCTCGCTTTGCTCCTCCAACTACCTTCCCACTGCGTGTCAATTTTGGAGCATCCGCATCGCCCTCATATTCAAAGTTTCTGGCTTCTTTCTGGCGTCTCAGTGCTTCATTGGCAAGAAAAGTCTCTCGAGACACTCCAGTGCCAGCATCGCTCTCTAGAAACGGATTGTCGTCCGCTAACCGTATGGGTGCTTTCTCCTCTTTCCTGGATCGAACAGGCGTAGGAAGCGCTTTCTTGACGCTCGAGGCGAGTGTTGAGCTTGCCTTCGCTCCATTTCGGGGCGTCTTGGTAGCCGCTGGAGATGCAGCGCTATTGCCTCTGAGGGGAGTCTTCCCTGTAGGGGTGTTCTTATGCCGTGGAGTTGAAGTGCCGCGGTTTGAAGCTCCGCTCCCTTTGGCAAGAGGTGTACGAGCTGGGGTGGGCTTTGACGTGGAACCAAGAGCAGAATTTGGTGACATGTCGGCCATCTTCGAGCTACTTCCTATGGCACGTCGCTTCCTTCGAGAGGTCTCAATTTCCACCACAATCTGAGAGCGAGGGGTGGATCTTCTACCTTTTGCTGGACTTTGACCTGACCCTGAGGCATTTGAAGAGGGTTCGTCCAAAGCTAGAGGATCTGGAGATCCCAAAGTTCTCGTGGGAGTCGATACCATGACTATGCTCCTCTAGCATGCCAGTATGACTGCTCACTAGCTGTTTCAATAATGATTCATCGCGTTGCAGCAAATTGGAGACGCGGAACAACCGCTTACTAGGAATTTCATTTTGCTTCCGTTCGAAAACCATTTGTCCTGGGACTCGGTGAGCTTCTCTTGGTGTTGACATCTTGGTCCCCCTCACCTGTTGGCCAACATGGACGTCGACAAATCTCTGGATGATCTCATAGCTGACAAGAAGACATCCCAACCTCAACGAGGAGGTAGAGGTCGCGGAGGACCTCGATCAGGTCCGGGAAGAGCTCCACAGGCTCCTTACGCTGTAAGTCTGGTGCAGTCTCTCGCGGATGGTGTCAACTCGCGCTCAAGGTCACTGACTGTCGACCCAGAGGCCCCCTCCGAGGTCAACAGATGAGACTTGGGTACACGATGCGTATCAAGGGCCCAGTCCTGGAGGTAGGAGGAACGGTGGAGGCCCTCAAGGAGGCTCAGGATTCGCCGGATCTCCCGCTGGAACAGGGGTGGGATTTACTGGTATCTCACCTAGAATCGAAGTCGTCGGATTGCACTATGAAGTGACCACTCAGGATCTCAAGGTGTGTAGAGGTCCTGCTGGGCTCGATTACAGTCAAGCAGACGATAACGATGGGGTTGACCCGCATTTCCTTTCCAGAACATCTTCTCTCAAGCCGGTACACTCGTACAAGGCCCAACCATTCGCGTAAGCTTCAACTCCACTTGAATGTAGTCTACTCTGCTCCCGCGCAATCGAGTACCCGGGAAAACAAAAAACCAAAGGGCTCAGTCTTGCAAAAAATAATACGTGTCCGGGTCTCATGGTTGTCGACGAGAGTTCAGCAGAATCAGATCACATTCCATTTCGTTTTGAGCGCAGCTTATGATTTGCCTTTTTGTTGCTCTTTCTCCGGTAAGTACGGACCTGGCGTAGACACATGTTGCTGACTCCCAATATGTAGCGCTATAGTACGATCGCTCAGGTCGATCGCGCGGAGAGGCGACAATGGAGTTTGCCTCCTACCAACAGGCTCGGATTGCCATCAACAAGTTTGACGGCGCCATGACGAAAGGTTAGATATCTCAACTGCCAGCCGTGATTGGTTCTGACCCTGTTTACTCAGGTCAAACCATTTCGATCCGACTCTTACCCCCTCCAACTGCTCGACCCGGCCCTGGATCCCGACCTGCCTCACAGACTGGGGCTTCGCTCTTGCAGAGGATGTCTGGACCAGGAGCAGGCGCTGGATCCATTCCAAGAGGCAATGCTCCGCGAGGAAGTGGCAGAGGGTGAGTGGCTTTGCGTGATTTCAGGAAGGACGCCTCTAAGCATTCTTCCAGTGCGCCTCGAGGTCGCGGTGCGCCTGCCAATCGCGGTCGAAAAGGCCCTGCGAATGCTGGAGATCTCGACAAGGAGCTAGACAGCTTCATGACGACTACGAACGTGAGTGCATATTCCGAGAGAGCATACCGGAGATAGATTGATCGTGTTCAAGGGCAAAGCCGATGATGTGGATATGGCCTGAGTTGAAAGGGATACATACGCCTGGAGATTGACGTGCTTTCCCAAGAATCTATGCAACTATGTCGTCTTGCCGTGTCCTCGTCTCGTCTACCTCGATTCCGTGCCCGATCGCACGGCCGCTCGCTCTCACAGGAAAATGAAGATAGCCCCCTTGCCGGCAAAGTGCCGATTGACTTTGATGAATTTGCCGATTGGACCGCGTTCTCTCATGCACACAGAGCTCCCTTGGAACAATATATCGATTCGTGTATCGATTTCATACTGTCGAATACTGCGTGCCAGCCTTGGCTAGATCAATATTACATCCTCGGTCAGACCTAGGGATCCTGCGAGAACTTCCGTTGTCCTTGAAACGAGCTTGAGTCACGATTCGCGGTCAGAACAAAGGTGGAAAAGTCGCGCCGGAGGCTCCGGGGGCGTCTCTGGAAAAAAGACTCAAACAGTCGAAGGTCTATTCAAGCATGACATAGAGCCGATAGGCTGCACAGACTACCACATCAACTACCGCGACGATCTCCACGAGTCATAGCCCACCATGACCTCGCCACATCGCGAATCACCTCACCATCGCGTCGTGCCTTTGGAGGAAGGCCCCCGATCTATGTATGAATCTCCGACCAGACCACAGGGATCTACATCCTCAGGACCTTCATCTCTTGGCCGTCGGAGACCAGCTCCTCCTCCGCCGCTTGACAGTCAATTGAACTTGGACTATCAAAATGGTCTCGAGCTAGGTCTGCCGCGATCTTCAAGTTCCAATTGGAAACAGTCTCCTCCGCCAGAGTCACCCACCTCGGGCCTGAGGTCTTCAGTCTCACAACGCCGCCCGCATTCTCCGCGGTCCAACACTTCGCCTAACGTGTTGAGAATGCCCTCATCTGCCGGAGCGTCTCGCGAAGCAAGTCCTCGGAACTTTAGCAGACCTCTACCTGGTCGAAATGGGAGTCACGAAGGGAGCGCGAACGGTAATCGAGTGCGAGCCAAGTCGATCGAGGGACCGGGCAGCTCAGCTTCTAGTCCAAGGACCGATCCCAGCCAATCACCATTCGCCAAGAGACTCGAAATTGAAGCTTTGCCGAAACGGTCCAGTCCAGCCAAGACCGTCAACGCCTCGACTTCACCGGTGTACCCTGGCCTCGTACTCGAACCTTTGGCTGGCATCGATCAGGGCAATAGCTTACATTTTGGAGTGGACACAATGCGTTTCGACGGGCCAATGGACGATATTCTTGACATGAGCGCTGCTATGGATGCCGGCACTCGCAAGGGCAGCAATACGGGTCAGGATGAAACGATTGCACCATGGCTGAACGATGCTGGCACGGCTCCCATCTTTGGAGAACCAGGCGAATCATCGCGTCGGCCCAGCGCTGGGACCAATGTGTCAAGAGAGGATCCCAGTCCCACGTATGACCCGGACTATATGAAGGACAGGGCGGGCACTACGCGGGAACCTCGCAAGCACTCAAATCAATTGCTCAATCATTTTGCATCTGTTCCCTCTTTGCCAAAGTCGAAACGATCAATCGCGGATGAAGCTCCGCCCGTGCCTTCGGGCTCCAATCTAACGGCGGGGAGAGGATCTCACCCTCAATTTCCATCTCGACCTTCTTCATCTGGCGATGCGAGCATCTCCCGCGACGCATCGCGGGCAACATTTGATCCTGACGAAGGAAACACACCGTTTGCCGGATCTCGAAATACGAGGGCAAAGCATTCCCTTTCCTCAGCATCCGAGGATCCCTCTGGCCATTCGCGTCAACCGAGTGTCACGGACGGTAAAACTTCACGACTGGGAAGCGTAGCTTCTACCACGTCCATACCAAATCAGATTGAAAAGAAAAAAGGTCTCTTTAGCGGCTTCATTCGTCGAAAGACTGGGCAGGCTGCGTCTAACAGTGAGTGACAGGCAAGCTCTGTATCGGTTTGCTGACGCCTGCACGTAGACGTCGAACCCGATGGCCATCGAGGTTCGGCTTCGAGCGGAAGACTGCCTTCTTCTGCCTCGACTCGCTCAATAGGTGGCAAAACGTCAGACGCGTCAGACGAGCCACCTATCAAGAGACCTTCCTCTCGCATGCCAAGCTATGTTCCCGAGGGCGCAATATCCCCTTTGGATGAGGTCAGAGAATCTGACCTCCGGCTGGATCTCAATCTCGAAGATATGGAGGGTATCGTCGACCAGTCTCTGATCGGTACTCCAGCTGCATCTTACCGATTCCCGTCGGTTCCAGCGCAGTCTGGTCAAGGCACACACTCGATCCCGGAACCGCCTGGCTCCATGTTCATCCAGGATGCTCTGAATCACACGGGAAATCTTGCGACATCGGTCTCGTCCTACGGGTCTGGTTTATCACATCGATTGCCCATGAATCAGTCTGCAGAAGGTCAAATTGGTTCTTCTTCGGATCATACAGGCTCAGCCACGAGCCCATTCCAACGCACTAATCCATTCCGATCCGGATCCTCATCTATAGGGTCAATTGAAGAAAAGAGCAACGGCCCCCCTTCACCTCATAACATGTCACCGAAGCATGCCGTTCTTCCCCAAAACCAACCTCGGCGCCCATCTCAGCTTCGCAATGTGAAGATGGGGTCTCTGACATCTAACACCTCGTCGACAGACTCGGGTGATGGAAAATCTCTGCAGCCGAACGCACCGACGTGGGCTGTAGCCGGAGAAGTGAACCGTGGACAGACCTTATTCCAAGATCCTTTCGGTGCTCCTGGCGCAACGGCGTACAACGAGTCTCTAGCTTCTGGAGGTATCTCACCCAATCGATCAGCCAGTCGTGCCAGGCTTTCCTCTTCAGGTATTTCGACTGATCGATCAACATCGGGGCAGAGTGAAGCGGGTCTCCGTCCGGATAACCAGCGGCCATCTACTGCGCCATCAGGAGGTGCCAACATTGGTCCCTCAGCGGCGTGGGCAGCGCCAGAGTCCTGGGGTGTAGAAGCGGACGCCGAGCCCGATGACGAAGCAAGCAGTGACGAGTGGTCTGGGCCGGCAGACAGTCCAAATCTTCCCGACTCTCCCACTCCACCTACCATGGACACTGCCATGCCTTTGCCCCTTCCCAGCGTATCAGGAGCGAAACCTCCTCCGTTTGGCTACAACTCGCCTGCCAAATTTGGTCAAGTGCGACCAGGATCCTCAAGAACTGGAGCAGGAGGACATAGACCGCGCACTAGAGATGCTAGAGGCAGACCTGGGACGGCTCGGCCTGGAACCGGCGGTCGTCCGAACACATCTGGCAGTCTACACGCCTCGAATGCCCCAGTGGGTCAAGCCAAGCCTTTCATGTCTAGCACTTCACTGACGCCCTTTAAGCATTGGATCCGTATACATCGAGCTGATGGTTCTCATTCCGTCATGTCATTCCCGCTCTTGACCACGACCGCGGAAATCATCAGCTATCTGTCGGGAGCGAACGACGCTTCAGCAGGCAAGAAAGTCAGCACGAGTATGAGACTGTTCGTCCGCGAAAGGGGACAAGGTGAGAGGCGACTGCGATACCGATGACTGCCTGCTAATGCCCGGACAGATCGGCTACTGCTGCCGTCGGAGAAGCCTTTGGCTATACAAGATCGTCGTCTACGACAGGCTGGCTATACAGAAGCTGAACACATCGAGGAATTAGGCAAGAAGGATCTGGTCCTCCTGTGCAAGTTCTTCTACCAGACTCCAGTCTTGCCTGTCATGGATCCAGTGAGTTCGCATCTGCTATATGTATCTACGCTCACGCCTGTTGTCAGGAGGAGGAAAGTTCGTACGATTCGTTCGAATTCATCGACATCGCTGGCAGAGCCCTCCAAACCATTCCGATCTTCTTGCATCTACACGCTCACAACATTATCATTCTCAACGTATCTCGAAACCCCATGACCGATTTACCACTCGATTTCATTCAGGCTTGTTCAAGTCTCAAGGAGCTGCACATGTCCTACATGGCCTTGAAGCGGATACCACAGGCAATATGTGCGAGTACCACACTCACTCGTTTGGACGTGTCATGTAATCGGATTGCGGATCTGGAATCGGTTCCTCTACACGAGATCGTCTCTTTGACGTCGCTGAAGGTTCAGAACAATAAACTCGCATCTATCCCCAGCTATTTTACCCAAATGAAGACGCTCAAATACCTCAACATCTCCAACAATAAATTCGAAACATTCCCTGCAGTCTTGTGCTCCATGTCAAATCTGGTCGATCTCGACGTGTCCTTCAACAATATTGTCGAACTCCCCTCGGAAATGTCAGAATTGAAGTCTTTGGAACGATTGGCAGCGTTCGGTAACGAGCTCACCACTTTCCCCTCCTCCTTCTCGACTCTCGCCAGTCTTCGTGTCCTCGACGTGCGGCGTAACAAGCTCGCCGATCTTTCCACTGTCTACACTCTTCCAAATTTGTCAACCCTTCAAGCCGACAACAACAATCTCGCCACTCTGGACGCTCAATTAGGCGCTCGTGTCAGAGAGTTCAGTGTACCGCACAATTCAATCACACGTTTCACGCTGGCTCCGCTCTCATCCATGGTCTCTGTCACCTACTCGTTGACTCATTTGAATCTGTCTCACGGTAAGATCTCCACGCTGGCGGACGAAGCTTTCCACGGACTGGTCAATCTTGTGCACCTGAATCTCAACTTCAATCAGTTGACACGACTCCCCTCGACTCTCGGGCAATTACTCAATCTCGAGGTCTTCAGCTGTACCGACAATCAGATTGTGGCCCTGCCGCCTGGTCTAGGTTATATGCAAAAGTTGCGCGAAATCAATTTTCACAACAACAACTGTCGATCCATCCCTGGAGAGCTATGGGCGTGCAGTTCGCTGGAGTATGTGAATGCAAGCTCGAATCTCATCACTGGCTCCGGGGCCGTTCCGTCAATGGAGGATATGAAGAAGTTTTTACAAGGTGTCGATGAGAAGCGCAAACAATCATTCATCTCGGCAGACGGACTATCCCTCCTCAGTGTTCCCTGTGCTACGACTATGAGGCACTGCTTGCTTGCGGACAATCGATTCCAGGAGGAGATCTTCCACGCATGCTCTCATCTCTCCGAGCTGCGGACACTCAACCTCAGTTTCAATGATATCTTCGAGGTCCCGCCGTCCACTCTCAGCAAAATGTCGAAGCTTGAGGCCTTGTATCTATCTGGAAACAAACTCACGAGTCTACCGGCAGAGGACCTGGAAAAGATGAGCAAGCTCAGAGTTTTGCATCTCAATGGAAACAAGTTGAAGACTTTGCCATCTGAGCTAGGCAGTCTAGCTTCGCTGCAGCATCTGGATGTCGGTAGCAATGTCCTCAAGTATAACATCGCCAATTGGCCATACGATTGGAATTGGTGAGTGGAGGCTGGCTCTTTGGCGTATACTGATTTTTGATCATCTGCTTAGGAACTGGAACACCGCACTTCGTTACCTCAACTTGTCCGGCAACAAGCGACTCGAGATCAAGCCTACTAGCGCCCAAGACATGTCGCATGCTTCAGCATCACGTAAAGAGCTATCCGATTTCACTGCTTTGACCGAGCTTCGAGTCCTGGGTCTCATGGACGTTACCCTGCGAATCCCTTCCCTTCCTGACGAAAGCGACGAGCAACGTGTTCGAACATCCTTTTCTGAGATCAACAATATGGCATATGGCATCGCTGATATGCTGGGATCGACTGAACATTTGGCAATGTTTGATCTCGTGGTGCCTAAGTTCCGCGGCAGATTCAACGAGTGTTTGTTCGGCATGTTTGGTCGAGATTCGCCGTCCGCTCCATCAGGCAAGATCCCCAAGTTCCTACAAGACACCTTTGCGTCAGAATTGATCAGTCAAATTGACAAGCTGCAACCTGGCGAAGACGTGACTCAAGCATTGCGAAGGGCTTTCCTGTTCTCGAATCGGGCGACGTTTGACCACCTGGTCGCCCGATCCGCGGAAAATAATCGGAAAGGGTCCGTAGCCAGTTACGCTTCCGGGCCCACCACCGCGAGATCGTATTTGCCAGGATCATCTTCGATATTTCGCACTGGGTCTTCTGGAGCTGTCGTGTATCTGGTCGACAAGACGCTGAACGTCGCGAATGTGGGAGACTGTCTGGTTGTCCTGTCCCGAAAGGGGGAGGCAGAGCTCCTCTCGAGATTACACGATCCGACAGATCGTGATGAGACAGCCAGAATTCGACGAGCTGAAGCTTGGGTCTCCACCAAAGGTTGCGTCAATGATGAGAAGGACGTGAATGTCTCTCGTGCTGTCGGGTACTTCCAAACTTTCCCCGCTATCAATGCTTCACCTGAAATTCGTACGCGACAGTTGACCGAGACAGACGAATTTGTGATCATCGGGAATCACGCTTTGTGGAAATGGTGTTCTTACCAGACTGCTGTCGATATCGCCCGGACGGAGAGAGACGATCCTATGATGGCCGCTCAGAAGCTACGAGACTTTGCAATCTCATACGGAGCTGATGGAAGCGTCATGGTCATGGTGGTCAACGTTTCGGATTTATTCCTCGGACGGAGTGGTCAACGGCCGTCCACAGCATCAGGTGGTATTCCACTGGCTGGCTCTTTCGACGGTGCTTCAGACACCAACGCCACGTTCTACGGCAGAGACAAGCGCAATGCGCGTCGTAGGGTCGAGGAAGTCGGTGACAGAACTCTCAATCGATTGCAGCAAGAGATCGAACCGCCTCAAGGTCAGGTCGCCATTGTCTTTACCGATATTGTCAACTCCACCTCACTGTGGGAGACCAATCAAGGAATGCCGACTGCCATCAAGATGCATCACAACTTGATGCGTCGACAGTTGCGCTTGGACGAAGGTTACGAGGTCAAGACTGAAGGCGACTCGTTCATGGTGTCTTTCCAGACTGTCGCATCCGCGCTCGCTTGGGCATTCAATTGTCAGATTGGTCTTCTCTCTCTGGAATGGCCCAGAGAGTTACTGGAGTGCGACGATGGTAAACTAGTCTACGATTCAGAGGGAAACGTTGTACAGCGTGGTCTCCGAGTCAGAATGGGCATTCACTGGGGAGCTCCACAATGTGAACGTGATCCGATTACGGGCCGTATGGACTATTATGGGCCGATGGTCAACCGAGCTGCTAGAATCAACGCCAGTGCCGATGGAGGGCAATTGATGGCATCACAAGATGTCATTAATGAGATTCAGAGCTTGCGAGAATTTCTGGATGCCGCGGAAGAGAGCAAGGACACGGCTGACCTGCCTGTGGACTTGAAGAGGGATCTTCAGGAGCTAAGGAGGATCGGTTTCGAGGTCCAAGATATGGGCGAACGGAAGCTCAAGGGTCTGGAGGGTGGGTGAAAACCAAAGCGCGGGAGGCGATCTGAGAGGCTGACTTCGTTCTTACAGTGCCGGAAAAATTGCACCTTCTTTACCCCAAAGCACTTTCGGGTCGATTCGAATTGTCGAACGATCTCCGAGCCAATGTCGAAGTGGGAGATGCTCGCGCTCATTCCTCGCATCGACATATCGATATCGACCAAGTCCGAGAGTTGTGCAAATTCGTCTTGCGTCTCGAGGGCATCTGCTCATATTATCAATCTGTGCCGAATCCAAGCACACCGCCAACATCTCCTAGGTCGCCATTGTCGTCTCACGGGCTTTCGACAAGCGCGATCGACATTTTGGGCGTCAGCGCTTCCGTCACACCTACATCCGCTGCTATGGGGTCTAATCGAAGCATGGGTCGTCCGACCGAGATATCACTGTCGCCAAAGTCTGCTATACCTCCTCTAGCCCTAATCGGGTCCGCTACAGCGCCTGTGATGGAGCAATCACCCTCGCGGCGAACAAAGACGTTCAGAGTCAATATTGCTGAAACGTACCTTGGTCCAAATATCCGAGATGACATGGGTGATGAGGAGCTGATGAATATCATGGACAGCTTGACGACCAGACTGGAGAACAATATGGCAATGCTTGTGAGTCGGTCTAGGGCACATTTTGCGGTGAACATTTGGCTGACAGGAAATTCAGTTGATGCACCGGTTGGGCGGGACTGCAGCTGTTCAAAGTGCTTTTGCGCGATTTGCAGCCTTCATGTAGATTTGAGTAGTAGATCAGCTCTGGAATCATCATGATGAGATCTAATCATATTGTTTGCGTTTGGCTGCTTTGCGGGTCGATCGTTGTCGTTCCGCCACTTTCGGGCGTCGCCGCTTCTGTAGCTGTAGCTGTGGTACAAGAATGAAAGGGGAAAGACTTGAAATTTGGTTCCGTCACTGGCAATCACTCTACCCAATGGATGAGGTATACTGCAGGTTGATCTTGCAATTGTATCGCAACCATCTCTTCTCACTCCAATACTTCATCGCCTCGCCCCGCCCTCTCGACACGGCTCAACTCATCCAACATATCTACATACGTTCCCTGCCCAGCGACATTCTCTCGTCACTTGATCGCCCTGCTTCATACGCGCTGCTGACTTACATTCGTAAACAATAAAATTCCAGACAAGCGGGGTTGAAAGACAGTCACGTCTAGTGCATCTCCAACTCGCCGCTCGCCATTGTCTCAGACCAAAGACAGGCTCCTGCAGCGTCCAAGGAGTCCCGACAAGTGTAACTGCATCTGCTACATCACGTCGCCTGGTTCTGGCAATCAACTAATCGACGGTCCTCTCTCGATAATCGCATCATGTCCATGTATGAGTCCGAATTCTCTCGTCGATTACTCGCTTCTATCCCTCCTTCGCCAAAGTCCTCATCATCGTCTCATTACTCGCCGATGAAACCTGGTCCGGATGTTTTTGGAGACATCACGCTGCCGCTGGGCAATGCCAGCCCAAGAGGCGCGAGTCCGCTAGGCAAGATGAAGGGTAAAGCTGCTGTTAGGGATTACGGTGATAGGTGAGGATAGGCAGATATGGAAATCTCCTTGATTGACCGCTCGCTGTCAGGTTCATTCCTACTCGTGATGGGTCCAATCTCCATGCTTCTTTTCAACTTATGCCGGAGATCGACATCATTACTGGCAAGGAGATTGTGTCCCGGTCCAAGACTCGGAGAAAGAGTTTGTACGGGCAAGGAACAGATCAGGACGTCCGTAGAGGTGCGTGTTGACGATCCTGATCCTTTCCAGCCATTGACGTCCCATCCCAACAGAGGAAGTGAACGCGACCTTCACTCAAATCCTCAAGACTGAGCTCTTTCCACCGTCCTCACCGGCTTCAGGCAGTCGTTCTCCCCGCAATGCTCCATCTCCCATCTCAAACGCTCGTCATCGTCGACCGATGGCATTCCACCACTCCGGCAACATCAATCTCCCCGATAGCTCACATACTGTCTCCAGTGCTGGGACAACTCCGATGCATCATCATCCACCGCCCGCCATGGCCGGTGGCGAGCGAGCTGGGGAGAGGGAACTATCACCTGCGTCCACCCTTCCACCGCTTCCAATGCACGCGCCTTCAACACCGACATCGGGCCACGGAAGGGCGCCTGGCGCTGGACCAAGCTCGTCGCATCATCGAGCACATCAATCACAGGTCGCTCTCACATCCACATCGAGAACAGGCACCACACCACCAAACTCTCGGAAAGCCGCTTTCTCTCCTCCTCCCTCTACTGGCCCTGGCTCACCATCTACACCGACAAGGAAACGGATCCTCACCTTCAATTCACCTAGTGCCGCCAGGATGGCTGCATTGACCGGTGGGAGTAAAGGAGGTGGTCTGGACGATATGAATCATGAGAGATATAGTCTGAGTCCTGTTGGCAAGGATAGTCAACGTGTATTATTGAGCCCCAGGAAAGGGGTCCGACGAATCCTGAGGACTCCATTCAAGGTGTTGGATGCGCCAGAGCTCGCAGTGAGTCTCCAAAGAATCCAGAAAATCGCCTTCTGACTTTTTCACCAGGACGATTTCTACCTCAACCTCGTATCATGGTCTGCTTCCAACGTTCTTGGAGTCGGCTTGAATTCTTGCGTCTACCTCTGGAGCGCACAGACGAGCAAGGTCACCAAGCTGTGTGATATGGCAAACAGCGCGGGCGAGGTGAATGATGTGATCACTGGAATAGAATGGACCAATAGGGTGAGCTTGAACCTCTGCTACACGTATGTCGGCTCACGGCTGTGCAGGGAAGCACACTTGCGATCGGAACCAATCGCGGATCAGTCGAAATCTGGGACGCGGAATATTGCAAGAAGATTCGCGTCATGTCCGGTCACTCGGGGCGTGTCGGCTGCCTTGCTTGGAATTCTCATATTCTCTCCTCTGGCTCCAGGGATCGCACAATCCTACATCGTGACACTCGTATACCTGATCAGTATATCAGACGTCTGGCCGGTCATCACAAGCAGGAAGTCTGTGGTCTCCGCTGGAACGCCGACACCAATCAATTGGCATCTGGAGGCAATGATAACAAGCTGTTCGTCTGGGGCGGTACCGATTCGAGGCCGACCTGGCGGTTTGGCGAGCACCGAGCTGCCGTCAAGGCGATTGCTTGGAGTCCTCATCAGAGGGGCGTCTTGGCCAGTGGAGGTGGTACGGCAGACAAAAAGATTCGGTTTTGGAATAGCTTGACAGGGGGTCTGGTCAAGGAACTGGACACGGGGTCTCAGGTGAGCTTTTTCCCCTAATAAGGTGCATGACTGATCATTGCTCCAGGTTTGCAACCTCATGTGGTCGAAAAATTCCAATGAAATCGTTTCGACACATGGCTATTCCGGCGGCCCGGTTCAGAATCAAATCCATATCTGGCGATATCCGTCCATGACTCAGGTCGCCACGCTGACAGGCCATACTTATCGTGTCTTGTACCTTGCGATGAGCCCTGATGGTCAGACTATAGTCACTGGAGCGGGTGATGAGACGTTGAGATTCTGGAACGCTTTCCAGAAAGGTAAGGGTGAAGGACAGGAAGGATCTGGGGCCGATACGAGTGGGATGGTGAAAGGAGCCGGAGGTCTTAATCCTTTTGCGAAAATTCGCTGAGACAAGAGAGGCACATATCACGAGGGACATTGGATTATGTGTATTCTATCATTGTATCTACACCCATTCGCTGCAGTTGCGACGAATTCATTCATGTATCGAGGACCTTTACAGAAAAGAGTGCCACTCTTGATTGAAACTCCGGCGATGACCGCACAGGGTGGGCGATAGCCAACCCAATTTTGATTCCGCTCGGCTTCGCTGCTCTTTCGGGTGATCACACTCTCTCTCTGTCCTCTCTTAGCCCCTCATCTCCTTGTAGTCAAGTCGTTTGCTTGTCCTCTGTCTCTTGACTTTGTCCAGACAAGCTATCAGGAACTAGTTAGATTGTGACCAGGCTCTCAGGCTTGATCATCATCAAACCCGACTCAATTCCATCGCACAACTAGACGGGCTATAATCATATCACACCATTTTCCGCCGGTAGAGCCACGTCAGAGAGAGAGTCTCACAACATCTTGCAACTCAATCTCGACCATCATTCCATCCGCCGGAGGAGTACTTTGGGATTCGAGGACCTGCAGATTCTCCAGCCCTCTGATCTTTGAGGACGGGTACCAATCCTGGAATCGCGTAATCACAGGACTGGCTTTGAGGATCTCTGCTCGCCTTCCTCTCATTCTCCATTCCCCAACATCCTTCCACCTTTCATCCCACCACTCTCTGTGCCGATGCCAGATCTGGTGCGGTTACGCCATTCTTACATTTGTTTGATAATAGACTCTTCAGATCCCACCTCTGAACAGAGAGATACAGAAGGCACCCTTGGTAAGTCTGAATTCCAGTCTCCTTTCCATTCCCTGCGTGAACCCCTTTGGACCCGCAGTCTTCCTTGTACCGCTTGCGCGACAAACACATGAGCTGACACGAGCATCTGAGCACAGAATTGATTCCAGAAACACCCTCACTTCCCCCTCACTCCTCTCTCCCTTCCTCCATTCCCTCCCATGTTCTACCCTCACCATCAATCGGGACAACCCGCCTCCTCCTCCAAGCACCACGACGGTCCCCCAGGTCCCGGCTCCAATGCTCCGCCTAGTGGACTCGGTGGAACTTGGGGAAGGCATCCGTTTCCTCCGCCTGGAGGTCCGATGCCACTTCCTTCCCCAGGGTACGGTCCCCCTAGCGGACCAGGAGGGCCTAATGGGAATCAGGGTCCATCGGGCCAAGGAGTGAATGGGATGATGGGCTTCGCACCTGGTCCGCATCTACCGGGTCATGGACCTCATCCAAGCTTTGGGAATGGCTCTGGTGGAATGCACCTCGGCTCAGGAGCAGGAGGTAGTCTCGGCATGGGATATGGGATGGGAATGTTTGCCAACTCTGGAGGTCAGGGCAATGGGTTAGGCGGAGGCCAAGGTGGAAGTCCACCTAGACCAGCAGAGAGTAATATGCCAATGACTTCGCATTGGCAGCAGCAGCTCATGCGCTACGAGGTGAGTCGAGCCTTCCATCGTCTGGTCACTCAACTCATACGTATACCAGGCTGCAAGGGCATCCAACTCGCCTCATCATCGAGCTCGATCCGCTGCTATGGCCTCGAGAATGTCGAACAAACCGTCTGCCGTCACCATTTCTGACCCTAATCATATTTCTACTCCCTCATCCCTCGCACCGACCCTCAATGGAACCAGCAAAAAGCATAATGCCGGATCCCTCTCCGTCTCTAGCCGGATCGAAACACCTCCCCCGCCCAGCTCAGATCCAGGGACGACACCGGCGCTGTCGACAGTTGATCCTGCTGATCCGACTGCCGCTCCAGCTCCCGCGACAAAGGACGACGAAACGACGTCGAACGAACCCTGGATGGGATTAGATCTAGGCGGAATCAAGCTCAGGACCTTGTCTACTGCTCTGTTCACTTTCACCCACATAACTCAACTCTACGTCAACCACAACGCCCTCTCCTCCCTCCCTTCTGCCATTTCTTCTCTGCGGCAACTTAGCTTGTTGGACGCGACCGGCAACGAATTGACAGCGATCCCACCAGAAGTAGGCTATCTCTTCAAATTGACCGAGCTGTTGCTCTTCGATAATCATTTGACAACGCTGCCATTCGAGCTCGGAATGCTGTACAAGCTTGAAACACTCGGGATCGAGGGCAATCCAATGGATGAAAAGTTCAAGAAGCTGTTGGCGGAGAATGGTACCCCGGGTTTGATCATGCACCTCAGGGATGAAGCGCCTTCGCCAGATCCTCCTCCACAGCGGTCCTGGATCGAAATTGAGAATCCGCCTCCTCATCCATCTGAAGGCAAGCAAGAGCAATTGACAGTCTTGTCCTACAACATTCTTTGCCCATCGTTCACACCTAGCTCTACCTATGTCTACACTCCATCCTGGGCACTGGATTGGCAATATCGAAAGGGCGTGATCCTGGACGAGATCACCAATGCGGCACCAGAAATTGTCTGTCTCCAGGAAATCGACTGCGAGCAGTATGCCGAGTTCTTCCACCCTCATCTCAAGCAACATGGATACGAAGGGTGTCATTATCCGAGAACGAGAGCCCGGACCATGCCTCCGGAAGAGGCCAAGCTGGTCGATGGCTGTGCGACCTTCTGGAAGGCCGACAGGTGAGCAGGACTCGAGGCATCGGAGGCATCTTCACTCACTGTCGTTCTTCAGATTTCAGCTCATTGAGACCCAAGTCATCGAGTTCAACCAGGTTGCGCTTCAAAAGATTGATATGCGGACAGATGACATGTTCAACCGAGTCATGTCCCGAGACAATATTGCGGTGGTCTGCAACTTTGAGCTTATCGCATCTGGTGCTCGGTTAATGGTGTGCAACGCCCATATTTACTGGGATCATCGGTATCGAGACGTCAAGTTGGTCCAGACGGGAATGTTGATGGAAGAGCTCGAAAAGGCAATCGATAGATTTGCAAGTCTGCCACCGAAACCTCAGACTGGATCGGAATACAACAACGGCAAGTCTCCATCCTACGATCGCCGCAAACATGGGCTCGACATTCCTTTCATTCTGTGTATGGATACGAACTCGACATTGGACTCGTCAGTCTACAATTACCTGTCAACAGGTACAGTGCCTCCAGATCACGAGGATTTCATGTCGCACACCTACGGAACATACACCAACAAGGGCCTGACTCACGGTCTGGACCTCGAGAGTGTATGCGCCAGCTTTGGTGGTATGAAAATGACCAATCATACGCCGACGTTCAAGGAGGCGATCGACTACATCTTCTTCACTCCCCAGAATCTTTCGGTACTGAGCGTACTAGGTGACGTGTCTCAAGACTATCTGGACAAGACGGTCGGGTTTCCAAACGTCCATTTCCCGTCCGAGTGAGTTTTGTGACGGTCTTTCTATAGGTCTCAACTGACGTACGCCTAGTCACATCCCAGTCTTTGCCCAGTTGAGAATCAAGGGCAAAGTCGATCCTAGTGCGTCCGGTGACGACAAGCCGAATGGCTTCCGTCGCCGGGACTGAGTTGTTCCTTCATATTCGCAGCGTTTGACTACCAGTATCATGGCGCCTGAATGCTGCGATATATGGTGTCTTCGCCCCGATGTGTATAGTATGTAATATGCGAGTGAATTGTGAGCGGAAAGTGTAGGCGCGGCGTGAAGAGCGGATCTAGGAGAAGATCAAGTCGGACAGGAACAAGCCTGGCGTGTGCTTTGTACGGGAAGGTCTGCACTCTCGGCTCATCCCATCTCCCTTCTCTCGGAACCAACAGTGTAAAGTGTGTCGTCTCTACCGTCCATATCCCCATATCCAATATGAAAGATGAAGCCAAAGAACGGGATCAAATTTCAACTCGAAATCTGAAACGAGCGCGTTTCGTGTTGCGACACAGAGTTTGACCGACCGAACAGGACAATAGAACCATTTCTTTCGACTTTCATGCTTGTTGGACACGCTCATCAAGACACTGCGGCCCATCCAATAGCCATCGATCTTGTTTGATTATACGACTCTCCGGGCATATTGACCGCTTTATATTCCCATTCCTCTTGGCCCCGCTGGATCCTCTCATCTTGTCATACACAATCACATCAGCATGTCTTTAAGTCTCGCCGACGAATTAGGAGAGGCATTCGACTCTGGTCCATCCGGCTCAGTGATGAGCTTGAAGGATGAACTTGACTTTGAGCTAGATGGGTATGGTGCTCAGCATCATGGTGATGATGAGGGTAGGTGTTGACGACCGATTGATCTGACATGCAGCTGATGTCAGAGCAGAATTCGCTTACGAAGGCTATCAGGATCAGGCGGAAACTCATTCGATGCACCTTGATCCATCGCCCTCTCGTAGTCATACGATATCTTCCAGCGGATTTGCCCCACACCATCGAACGCAGCTTTCAAATGAATCGGGTTCGACAATTGGACCACTCTCAACTTCCCTTTCAGATGAAATTCTAGACAACGGACGCTCAGGAACGCCAGACCCGTCTGACCCACAAAATTTGTATCCTTCTTCTACGGATGATCTAGACGGGATGCCCTTATCGCGCTCTGCCTTTCAGCCGCACAAGATCGAGAAGGATCCCATAGTCATCCTTCGATCCGTTCTCGCCTCGACTTCTGCATTTCGCTCATCACTGGCCAGCATAGATGTCCCGGTATCAAACTCGTCTCGAAGCGTGCCTTCGGCTGACCGACCTTTTGTCCTCCTCTCCTCTGACGTGGAGGGCCGCCTCATGCGCTTGCTGGAACAAATATTAGAGTCGGATCGCCGCCGAGAGGACCAATGTCGCGAGTTGACGATCTTGCTGAGGGATAGTGCTTCGGTGAATTGGGAAGGCATTGATATATGGGAGATCGTCGGCGAAGACGTCATCAATGGACCATCGGATGATGACGAAGTGGCTACCGCAGGTTTTTCACGAGGGGTCCAGCGCCTGGGTTGGACGGGAGATCGTCGCTCGCCTCCGCAAGATGTTTTGGAGAATTCCTGGATCGCCGTGCGGGAGACGTGGAGGCCGCCAAATCCGTCAGGGTTACCCAATGAATCTTCGCACGAACTCGATCCAGATCAATTGATGGAGGTGTCTGACGGACCGCATCAGACTGTTACAAATGGCTCTCCTCTCAACGAATTCTCTGGTACCGACAGGCAACCTCCGAGCAACACCCCTGCCCTGCCTCGCGAAACTGCTCAGCTGATTCGAACCTCAGAAGATCTTTCGCGTACCTTGGCTAGCCTCACAGAGACAGCTCACTCAACCTCATCGCTCACTACCGCCACAGCGAGGCGCATCAGAGGGATCAGAGCTGGTGTGGAGTCGTGGCGTGAGCGCGAAGCCCAAGAAGATGCGGCGAGGGTAGGCGTGAACGACTGGGAGCGGACGAGACTCAATGCTGGCCTCGGTGCCGTAGCAACCACAAAAGATATTTTGGACAGAGAGCTCGAGGGTTTTCGCAAAGCGCTTGACCATGCTGGAAAACGGATGGAGACGATAAGGGGTAGTACAAGGGATCTGTGGCGGCAGCTGGTGGCTGCTTAATGGTAGGTATGTCTCGATGGAATGGGTATGGACATTCATGCATGGGGACCGACTTACGTCATTCAAGAGCTCGACGATGCGGTTGCAGGCGGGTCCAGAGTACGGACGTGCACCGTCGAAGCGACCGTCGCGCCTCGTCGGCGTAGTCCATTGGGAACGTCAAATCTGAATCCCTCGGAGCCGTGGGATGTACCAGTCTTGTGACCTTTTGTCCTCCACAGATGATAATTTTTCCCCTCCCTCATGTCTGCTCCGCGCTGAATGGTTACCAAGGACATGGCGCCGCTGGTGAGATTCCGACGATATCCACGCTCACCCTCCGTCACGGTGAAGACCGCAGACGTACCATCAGCGAGGTCGTCGTCTACTTGACTTTCGCAAAGCGAAATGACAGGATGAAGGAATCCAGTCGAGGCAATCTCCACGACAGAATAAGGCACTTCAGTGCCTGCCACACTCGTATGTGTCGACCTGTATCGAACGCTGGGTAGGTCATATCGATCGAATGGCTTGTCTTTCGTCCACTCTGCCTCGGTCCCTCGGATAGCCGCTGTTCTCTCACGCCTCGGTCCAACGGCCAAAGCCGAAGCTCTGCTATCTGCACGCATCTGTTGAGCATAAGACAGTTCAGTTGGACGTAGGAACTCTTCAAGGTGTTTTTCATTGAGATTGAAAAAGTCCAGACCCAAAGACTGGGCGTACTCTTCGAGCTCTGCAAATCGCTGAGGACCACCTAGCTCTTTGATATCAGCCTCGCTGAGTATGGAAGTCTCTGTAACGGGCCCATTCGGATCATAGACACCAGTAACGATCGAGTTGTACGGGATGGTTACTGTCCGGCCGTTGATTTCTTCCGTCCTCGTTGTAGGTTGGGGCATTGCTGGGAAAGACCAGTGGGTCGAGGGATAGGAATAGGGGGTTTGATGTTGGGCATGGCAATCGAAGTTTGAAAGTACAGTGGCAGTGGAGGGTGGGATAGTGGGTTGTGACGAGTTGGTGAATGACGCTGCTGTGGCTGGAGCTGTGGTCTCTTGGAGATATCGTGTCAACTCTGGCGGAAGTGCGATATGGATAGGTCCCGTATTTGGGTCATTTACAGTGATGTAAGAAGGCGCAACGGTGGTTCGACCCTGACTGGCCGGCACTGATTCTTGTCCCACATTCGGGTATCCCATTGGCGAACTCTGGATCCAGGGAGATACTGATTGAACTGGATTCGGAAGCGACAGCGGCAAAGAGCTCGGCCATGAGCCAGTCTGATAGGTACTCGGCGCATAGTTTGACTGCATTGTATGTTGTGGCCTGTACGATAATCCACTGTACGCGGACGACTGTGGACTGTACCCGTGTCCCATGGCAGACGGCACGAACGAGACGGCGGATGACGGATGTGAACCAAGGTTTGGGGGTCCATACCCATTCTTCTTGAGGATTCCTCCTGTTCTGCGAGGATGAGAGACAAAGGCAGAATCTGATGAATACCCGACACTCTTCTTTGGTGAAAGGCTCAGTCTAGTGGTAGAGGCAGGTTCGGACATTGAGGCGTCGAAAGCCGCGTTGACTTCAGCGAGACTTCTGTGTCGGGGAGCATTACTTTCCAGGTTCTTCTTATTGACCTCTGCTTGCCTCTCCCACTCAACCTCCTGGGGACTGGTCACTTGACGAGAGGCAAGGCTGAGCGTATCTGCCCAAGAGACTGCATCCCCAGTCGGCGCTTTAAGATGAGCAGACTCGGTTGATTCTTTTTGTCTCACTGCGTTAGTGAAATAGGGATTGGCGGGTCTCGACATGGCTGAAGCTTCCGCTCCGGACAAATGCATCACTCCACTGTCCCCAGCCATGGAGGAAGGACGAGGTAGGCCATATGACGAAGTCGGTGGCGGGTAGAAGGAATGAGCTGTACCAGTGAGTGTATCGTGATAGGGATATCCATGATTCACCCAGCCGCCACTGCTTCCTCCCACCGATGACTGCCATGGTCCAGGATTCGTAGCGCTCGGGTACTGAGATACGGCATTTTGAGCAGCGCCATAGCCACCAAAACTGTGCTGGTTACTGTAGACGCCTCCGTGAGACAGCCCGTGATGAAGGTTCCAGCCATGAGGAGCGGCAGCCGACATGATAATTGTGTAAAGTGGCAAAATATGTATGCGGAAGGTGATTTGGGCGGGCGAGATGAGGGGTCGCGACGTCAAGAATGGGGGCGAAAGGACCGGATAGAGGTGGATAAATGCGACTGTGATCCGTCGATATGGGGTTCTGAATGTTCGTGGTGGTGAATATGATCTCGTGATGCCTAGCGGGCTCAGCCAGGCATAGCGGTTCCGTGCTTGTGGTGGTGAACTGTGTCGAAGGGGTGTCGACGGAATATTGATGATATCGATAGGTCGATCGAGCGCAAAAATCATCCGCCACCCCTGCCATCACTCCTTTCCTTGGGGCCAATATGAAAGGAAGAAGAGGAGCTCGTCCGAAACAAGTGTTCATCTGTAAGTATCCATCAGTAAGTACACCGCGGGTCATGTGTTGATGGCAACGATCTGGATCCCGCGAGGGACACAAGGGTATGTCCATACATTCCGTGTTTGAGTATGATAATACAGAGATCAAAGAGGGTCCAAAAGCGGTTTGGCTTGTGTTAGCGTGGCAGTTCCTAGTCGTCTGATGTCTTTCTGGATACTCAGTTAGATCCCCGAGATCTCGACCGCTTCCCCTTGCTAGAGGTCCGCATATCTGGTCGCCGCGAGACACTACTGTTGACCCTTTTGACGCGTCGACTTCGTCCACGCTCCGCATTTCGAGTCTCGTCCGGCGTCTCTAGTCTGATCAGACTGATGCAGAGCTGAGCGCAACCCATGATGAAAGCACATAGGACGAAGATGGTCGGCGCGTACCATCCAACCGTCACTGCAAAGAGATTTCCAAAGATCAGAGGCGAGATCAAGGTGGCTCCAACGGCTGAAATGACGCTGATGGCTCCGAATAATCTACCGGCTTCAGCTTGACTTGGAATCAAAGATAGCGCCAGGGAATTCAGAGCTGGTCCGGTTGCTGAGCCCAGAGTGATGACCATGGAGCACAAAACATAATTTCTGGCATTCTGTCCAAACGCCAACAGGGTCCATCCGGTGAATTCGATGAACATGCAGACCCGCACAGTGACCAAATCCAGGAGCGAAGGTTGAGGCTTTGCCATGGTGACGGCCTTTACACTCGAAGCGGTCGTGGATACGGACGGGTCTCGACCGGATGAGTGAGGCTCGGAGGCGTCGGGAGCTGGTTCTGGAAGGCTGTTTCCGATCAGTCCGGCCTGCCTGAATCGCGGCTTCGCGTAGTGCATAATGACTGGGAATAGTCAGCCAGGTGTCCGTAACACCCTGCAGGATGCTCACTCGGAAGAATGAGCAGCAATACTGTACCACGGGTGGCACCAAGCAGAGACATGTAAGGTCCCACCTGGACTCGTCAGCATGTCATGGTCTCTTGTCACCTCACCTCGGCCGATGTCCATCCAAAGGCGAAGAACGCATATTGCATCTTGACGATGAGATTTCCCTGGGCATTGGTCAGCAGACTATCAAGCTTGATCTGGCAAGCTCGCTCACCATCATCAAGGAGCACACAAACATTCCCAGGCCTACGAGGGTCAAGTTGTAGTCTTTGCCTCTTCCATCGGGCCTTTCAACCGGTGCAAAGACTTGAAGAGGTCTAGCGAATCTTGTCATTCGCCTGAAGAGCCGCTTGGCATTGCCAACGAATCTTTTTCGTCGACGACTATGTCCTGCGGTTGAGAATCGCCTGCCAGATACGCCAGGCGTGGCGGGCTCTTCCGTCTCATCGGGATCTTCGTTCTCCCATTCTCGCTCCATGGCGTCTCTCCTCTTTTCGGCGAGACGTGAGATCTTGGCCATCTTTCGAAGATGTCGTCTGGCTTCGGACGAGAGGGATTCCGGTAAAAGGAAGTAGTAGGCGGGAATACTGACGATATGGAGGATGACATTGGCGTAGAATGGGATCATGCTGTGGAAGAGTCAGTGCGCACTCAGATGTTTTGGTAAGACTCACATATTGCCCGTGGCCTTGATCAGCAAACTACCCAGGACTGGACCGGAGGCAAAACCGAACATTGTGATTCCGGCGAGTCTGGAGAATGCAGAGGCCCGAGAACCATCAGGCGTCGTGTCGGAGATGTAAGCATGGACAGTGGCTGAGATTGTAGAGTATCCTCCCAAGAGACCGTCTAAGAAAGGTCCGATAAGCAAAGCTCGGTATCCACCCGGTGCTAGATATGGGAAGGATGCAACGAGGACGAAATTAAGCTCTCTGCACGGTCCCGTCAGCCAAAGTCCATGCTATTCTATTGATAAGCCTATCTCACCCCAGCGCCAGCCCGACGGTGGTCAGGGACATGAGCTTTGATCTGCCAACCTTGTCACTCTTCTGACCCCAATAACCAGTTGTCAGGGCAGATAGAATACCTGCAACGAGCATCATGCCTGAGAGATGTGTCAGGACCGGCACTACCATGTTAGACTCACTCATGGTCAGACGAGCTGCGGCGGCCTGGACTTTGGGATCACGCTTGCAAAGAGCCGGATCGATAGCTCTGAATGGTGGATGACTGTTGATGGGTGACGATCCTTGACTTCCGTTGCCAGCAGGGGTATCGTCACTTTGACCCGGTTGACCGTCGGGATCAGTTGGAGATTGGGTTGGATGAGGGATGGGTCCTGAGGGGTAGAGGATTGTGGATGACGGCGATTGGGATGAGGGAATGTCATGACCTGGGTTGGAGGCTTGTTGTTGGTGTGACATATTCCATTCGTACATCTCTCTTTGCATTCGCAAGAACCACTCGTCTGCTGGGGATTTGGCGGGCTTATCTGTAGTCGGTACAGAGACATTGGTCTGTAAGTCAGAGGTCCAAGGTGACTCGACATTCGACAAGGATGAGAATGACATTTGAAGGTCTTGCGCCAGGGTCATGTCCTCCATCGACGAGGGCTGTCTAGGAGGGTGCGAAAGACAGGCCAGATTGATGTACAATTCACTTCTCGGAGCGGCCGACATTCCGCCAGTCAATGTGGCTGTAATGATGAAAGGGTATATCCAAGCTGGTCTTGGTTTGCGCCATAAGGATCGTCTAGCGATGGATCCCACTCTCGCAGCTTCCCATTCGGCATCGTGGATGCTCTGCTCATCTGGCACATCTTCTTCGCTCTCCTCCTCGGAAATCTCGTCATCTTCCTCTTGTTCGGCATCAGGATGATCATGGGGATTGTGATGATGATGATGGTTGTGTCCCGTTTGACCGTCTACGTTTGTTGTTGGGACACCATCCGGGTACAGCCACCTCGTTACTCCATCGTCTATTGGACCGGGCTCGCCTCCGAAAGTAAGAACTTCCGAAGCGATGAACTCTTGGGCCTGTCGCCTGGCGTGAGATTGATTGGACGTTACGGAGACGGCCGAAGTGAATGAATGCTGTCTAGAATTGTGAGGTCGGACATGCCTAGGTACTGATAAGGAAGCTTTGGAAGGTGCACCACTCGGTGTCGCCGACATGGTAGACTCAAAGTCTCTGTACGTACAGCTTGAATCGAGGGACGCTGATCAATGTAGAGATAGGGAGGGGATGACCACGCGTTGAGTTCAAGGCAAGGTGGGGGGGGAGGGAAGTTGAAAATAGGCCAAAAGGGCGCGGCAGAGATTACACCGTTTCCACCGAAGCGATGAGGGTCGGTCGCTTTCAATCGAAAGGTCAACCTTTGAAGGGACGGTCTGGGACCGACTCAGATGGCTCCAGACTACAAGCAGGGTTAGCCGCTATCTCTCTCAGTCATTCAACTTTCAAGCTGGA